TAGTAATGTTATTTGAACTAGACAGGATGTATATTGCAATAAGCGCGACACCATCCTATGGGGATGTCTACGCTTTTCATTATCACTCTCCCTTCTCGTAGCTGCAGTGCGTGATCGTGAATGCAGTTGGGACAGCATCGTTTGCATGCACGAGTCATGATGCGAATGAGGGTACTGTCGCATTTTTATGTATCGGTATGTACATGTGAGTGCAATTTAATGGAGATAGATACATGCGAAGAAGAGGCGTACAAATCTCTTGTTCATGGGATTGTTGTCTGGACATGTACCTTTACACCATTTGGGTCAAGTGGATCGATGGTTCAATAACACTAAGGGAAAATAAGATAATTTATGATAGAAACAGCAGTGGGCTAACTATCTGTGATATTGTGTTTATTTCTATTGAAGCATCATACACAACCTAAGGATGAGACTGCGCACGGGAGTTAAGGTACGTCAGGCGCTGCTCGTATGTACGAGCGAAAGATTCCCAGGCTTGTCGTGCTTCCAACATGTATCGAAGCTCCTTTTCTTTCTGATCTAAGTGTTGCTTCACCAACGTCAGCTGATCGTATTCCTGCTGCGAGGTGCAGGAGAGAAGCCTCTCGTACACCCGCCCGGCCTGAGCAAAGAGCTCTTGCTGTTGCTGAGTGTAGGCCACTAGCTGTTCTTGTTGGAGAGAGGTCCACCAAGCCTGAGGAATGTTCTCCGAAGATGGTGCCGGTGCAGACAACAGCACAGGTACAGGTGAAGAGACTGGTGGAGGCGATCGGGCTTCCGCGTCTTGCGAGAGCGGGTCCTGTGAGAGACAAATCGTCTCATCGGCCTCATGATTGATATAGTCTTCATGCTCAATACTGTCCTCCTGCTCGACGCTGTCCTCCTTGGACCAGTTGTTGGACGCAGAAAGTTGCTGTTGTGACGACTCCAGCTCAGGTGCAAAGCGAGTGTTCTTGACTGGCTTTTTGGTGCCATGGGTGGAGCGGGTTGAGGTCATTGTGAAAGTTGGTTTGTGTGAATGGAATGGAAAGCGAAGAATGTGGAAAGAAGTTGTTTCTCTCATCCTCTTTCTCTTTTCTCATTCTTTTTATGTCTCTTCCTTTTCTTTTCCTGAATGCCAATTGGATCAAGGAAATCAGGATGTGGTGCTTGGTGATTGGTCGAGACACTCATGCGAGGATGTCTTTCTTGACAAGATTCATGCAAATCAGAGTCGCATGACTATTCGTTTTATTGTCCTCTCTTTTCTTTTCATCAATCTGATTGGTCCATTCATGCATGGATGGTATTGTGTTGATGAAAATCGCTCTGTCTTTGAGGTGGGAGCAAGAGAGCATTTTCATGCATCTTCTGCAGGTTGTCCCGGACATTGTTCCCGTTGTCATGATAGTGTGCAGGAGTGAAATTGTGTAAGATGGAAGGTGTGGAAGGTGTGTGGTGAAGAGAACAATCAATCATGTTCCTCCCCTTCTCATATATGCCAAGTTCTCGCAAGGCACTTCTATTGTTACTTGTAGGTCATCTGACATTGGTTCATGCATGAATCACGCAATCTCTCTCGGGGACAAAACGAACGATGACATCGTCTTTTTATTTTCAACATCATGTGACACTAATCATCAGTGGCGAGATCTTACCTGCGGTGAGGATTAGTCTCTGCTCAAGCATCGCAGTCGATGCGAGGTCGTGCTTTCGATACCCTGGGGTATAAGCAGTAGTGGTGCCAGTGTTTTCAGACTGGAGTGGTGCCAGTGGTGAGACGGTGCTCTGTCGGCTGCATCGCTGCATGGCTGACCTTCCATTCGGTGATGGGAGTGCATTCACTTGCCCTTTTCGCATCTCTCTCTTTTTTTTTTTTTTTTTTTTTTAGAGGAGTGAATGCGTGTAAGGGTGTGTGAAGTAGGGATGATCCCCATTGTGAATTCGTTAAGAAAAATGGAAAATAATAACCGGGGTTGTGATAAGCAATGAGGTTATGGAAAAAGGGAATAACGAAACAAAGAGAGGCATCTGTTTAATTCAGGGACGAAGAGTCCTTATGTACTCTTCGTCCTAATGATACACGTGATTATAGCGGCCCCTTCATGTGCAGAGGATATAAAAAGGCATATAAAAAATATCCATAACTGACATATCTCTTCAACAGAACACAGAATAAAATAGCAATAGACAGCACATGTTTTTTTAAAATGTAATCTCTCCCCTGTATTTCGCCCCAAAGATACAGTTGAGAGTACAAGTGCTTTAGATGATCACATACAAGAACTACTCTGGCGAATCTTGCAGTGAGGGTTACAGGTTAATAGTAGATGGACACATTCAAGAGTGTGGTGTGCGAAAAATAAGAAGACTTTGTTGTTTGGAGAATAGGTTGGCGTTTAGTAGGATAGTTAAACAAAAAATGTTACAATGGTTGTCTTATATGCTTGGTATCATATATACATTCTCATCCCATAGTCGCTATGGATATTGTCGAGATCTACAGAGATGTAACAAACACCATATGATAACTTGGACGTGAAAGGCCTCCTTTGCCATTACATACTCCAACGAGCACTCTCTGTCCCACTCTTACTAGTGTTGTGATGTGGATCTATAACGAAGATTACTATCTGTTAATGGAAAGAAACTAACTACTACGAGACTAAGGACTACAGGCATATAACCGTCGATAAGAGAGACTGTTGCTAAAAGATGTGGTGGCTAGGCAGTGACGGCGATGCCATAGGTTAGCAGTCATATTCTTTAGTAGACATAGAATTAGTAGTGCGTCGAGCCCTCTTGTCTGCTCTTTGTCCTTTTACACATCACTTCTTGGACGAGAGCAGTATTGACAAGAGTTTCGCTGGCGCGCTGCAGTGTATCGTTTCGTGTGATTCTTTAGGACGCTATTATCACTACCCCCGACTATCAACCCCCCTTCAACCTACAACTCCTTCCCCCCGTACCAATTGAGGACTTAACAGCGGTCCTACAACTCTGGCCTTCGACCCTCTCCCCTGAGTAACAGTAGTAACTCTTTTTCTTTTAAGGGGCACCGATTGTCAGATTGGTTGGGAGGGATGCCTTGACATTGTTACAAAATCCATACCCCATTCGCCAACCCTACCTCACCGTATTTAGACCTAATGTAGATACTGTATAGGTAGAAAAAGGGAAGCGTGGTGGCTCTTGTGTTCTTTGCCCTTTTTCAGAGACACATTTGCCAACGTTAGCTGACCCTTGTTTTCAGGTACATATATTGAAGCAGTATAAAGGCCCTTTTTCAGAGACATATTTGCCAACGTTAGCTGACCCTTGTTTTCAGTGTGTGTGCGTCAAGCGAAACTAGTGTTTATTAAAGGAGCAAGCAACCAACAACCACTATCAACTGCGGGCGCAACGATCGTCTGTTCAACCGTTATCGAACCTTCAGATTTTGCAACAACATCAATGTCACCCACCTAGCGCAAGTGGTTAAACTGCACTGCCTTGAGCAAGCGGGTTCAGGTTCAAATCTCGTCAAAATTCTCTCTTTCTTCAGCCTGGGACGGCTTCAATATCCCATTCCATATGTCTTTCAATAGTCATAAAAATCAATAAAAATCTCAAAGCCTCCTGCGGGCGACATAAGCAGAAAAAAAAAAAAGGCATCAATGTCAGCGCAAGAAGTGTACCACTCGTTGCTGTTGAACTTCCAGCGCGACTGCATGACAAAGTTACCGGACTTTAGGTTGGTGAGCAACTTGAAGCAACCACCACAGGGCCAGATATAGGTGTCCTTGCCCTTGTCGGTGCAGTTCTTGTAGTTGAGCTTGGCAATGATTTTGTCCGCTTATCTCTTGAGAGCGGCAAAGTACAATTGCTGGCCTTGGGTTTGCTGTACTTCCCATACTGTGGCTCGGCATTGCTGCTTGTGCGATATCGTGGCTCAGCATTACAGCGTGTGCGATATTGTGGCGCTGTATGTAATAAAAATAAACGTGATACTTCCGAGTGGTTTACACCTCTCTCTTCAAATTTCGCACAGTTCATCAATCCCAAGATATGACACTTCCCGTAAATAATCGTTCTGAAACATATTGGGCTCTCAATTACACATAGTTACTCATTCTGGTCACTATGACTTTCTACCTCTGATTCTTCATTGACACTTCACCTAGAAACCTAGTCATTCTACCTGTATATATAGCTGTAGCATAGTAATAACAAGCATCAGCATTGCTCCAACCTCTGTTCCTCACGTGTATCACCTTCAGCTATTACACGTTCACCCATAGAAATATGGCTGGAAATCTGTTCCTATCTCTACCCCTCTCAACCCACTCGCCTTTCTCGAGTCAGTCATGCGCTCTATAAGGTGTGTGTTGTCTGGCAGGTTGAGGGTTAACGAGTAAGAAAGTTGTCTTTATTCCCTTCTAGTTTAAGTCAACTTTTATGTGTCTGGCTTGAACTTGTTGTGGCTTTTACTTCGTTAATTAAAAATGAAAAAGAAAAAGAAAAAGGAAGCGTTCTCCTATTGTGAATCGCACCTATCCACACAATAGTGTAAAATGTGCACTGAGCAACAAATGACATCAAGTGTGAAAATGTCTTGGTGGTCATGTCAACAAATGCTGTATATTTTGGCTTCTTCCACTGTTTATTGCCCCATTCAAGGTGAATCAGTATCTGACATGCGGCGGCTGGGTGCCTGAGAGACCATGTTGATAGCGCCAGCGTCTCATGGGAGCCTTTGCTGTCTTAGGTTCTGCTAGTCTGCATACTCGCATACTTAAAATACCTGTGGACCGCGTGTTGCTACTATCTGCGGGGACAATGAGTGTATTGGCGAGTAAGGCATGGGTTGGGGCAGAGAGTATGTTCCATATGGTGGTGCGCACTCATAGGATTGAGGCAAGTATGGGTCGGGCTTCGGGGGATAAGCGGGAGACTGGTGCGTGTATATCATGGGCTGGGGTTGATAAGACGAAGTGTCCTCCGGGCTATGCACATTGGCGCCTGGTTCCCTGTCGGGGTTATGCTGCATCGGCGGTGGCGTCTGCCTGTCTTCCCTGCCATATCTGATTTTGTGCCGTTGGTAAAAGAAGAATCCCAGGGCAACCAGAAGGATAACTCCTGCGGCAACACCTGTTCCGATGGCGGCCGCATTGATTGGGGGAGGTGGAGGCGGAGGTGGAGGTGGAGGTGGAGGTATAGGCGAAGGAGTAGGCGAAGGAGTAGGCGACGGGCCCACTGAAAATTGGGCCGTCCATTGGTTGATCTTGAGGTTGTAAATGATGAGTGTCCCAATAGGGCCTACGCGAGTTGGATAGGAGTCGCCTAGATTTCAATCGGGGTAGTGAACAGAGTGACCATGAGTACGCTGGTAAACGAACAATGCTCAGAGTACCAATGTGATAGGCTCATTCAGGTCGTTGTACCTCCCCAGGCAATGAAGTTGTCACCGGCGACCGTGCATGCCATGTTTAATCGCTTCTGGGACGGATCGGCATCGACTCCTCTCGTCCAAACCAACGTCTTTAGGTCCAGGAGGTAGATGCTGCTCAGCGGAACATCTGTAAAGTCCTGCCCGCCAAATACAACCATCTTTGTTCCATTGTTGGCTACAGAGTGAAAGAAGCACATTCATGTGCACCGTGAGTATTAAGCGGCACAAGATACGAACAGCCTCGAAGAACTGCGCTGTTTGCATACCTGGCACCATGCAGTGCCTATAAATGTTGCCGGGGCTAGATCCAGTCGCGGGCTAAATCCACACGAGTACGCGTCAGCATTGAAAGTTTGACACCTCAGTCATGCTCAAATTACTCGCCGAGTTCGCTGTTACTACTTACGACAATGGCCCAAAGGTTCGATGAGGGCGTGTACTCGATCAATTTCGAGTCGCCAAGGCTCGGCCCTCTCCACTGGTAGCCACCATAGAACAGCATGCTGTTGCGGTACGTGCTCCACACAAGGCTGTAAAAGGCGGGGTTCCCAATTTTGACGGTAGCCGATGCAGGTGGCATGTTCAGAAACGATGAGGTGTATGTGTCTGGGTTGTAGACGATCATCACAGTGCCGTTATTGGACGCCGAAGGAGCGTAAAGGAGGCCGGTTGTGGGGTCCAAAGCAACCCTACTTCCCCAAGTATCGCCGTAATCGGAAGGCAGCGTATGATTCGATAGCCAGGAGTTGGTGGCGAGGCTGTAGAACGAAATTGTCGTCTCGGGGTCCCAGGGGTCCCAGATGATCAACCGCTGCTTGTCTCTTGAAACCGTCATCCAAACACCAAGCTGGGGTACGACTGCGCTAGGAAGGGTCCGCCAGGGCGGGTTTGATGAGCTCCAAGTCTGCTGCTGGAGGTTGAGCGCCACAAACTGGGACGTGGGATTGCTGTAATAACTAGTAGTGAAATTCACGTCCGTGGCTCCACCAAGGCAGTACAAGGTCTCCTCGTCCACAGTCGCATAGGCCATGACGCTAGCTGGCGTCGGAGTTTGGCCCATTGTAGGCGCAAGGAACTGTGTAACATGGAGGAGGAGAGGGAGGTGTTTTACGACGTATCTCTGAAGGCGTGAGTCTGGGCTTTGCCATAATACCGAGGCGCGAGTGTGGTGTCCGTGCTGAGGAGGGTGGCGAGACATGATGCTGCTGCTGATTCTATGTTCTGTGAGAGTGTGAGAATAGGGGTATGGGCGGTCGCGGGGTCGGGACGTAGCGTGGCGTGGCGGAGAGTGCGAGAGACAATGAGAGAGCAAAAGGACTAGAGAGAGCGGGAAGTGTTGAGGAGTTATGCGCTTATAAACAATAGATAGTTAAATGAAAATATAAGTTGTGGTCTCATTTTATTCATTTTGCCTGTTGGCTTTCCAAATTACGGTTCGCAGCACGGGCAACCTCCGAGTCACACCCGATCACATGCAATTACACAAAATGTCGCACTTAATTTAAAACATAGCCAGTGCACAAAGCTAAAAAAAATTGTTTCACCGTGGCCCTTCCTCACACGCGCCTTTTCTGTCTGTACGAAAGTACACCACCACATGAAGAATACGAGCTAATCTGAACCTGGAACCGAGCCTCGACTCAAATGAACTGCTTTAGACTCGCTTTGACCACGCGTTGTGCCACAGCTTGCTTCAAGGTTCCTGTGAAAGAGGAAAGGACAGTTTAGATCACATGGCTCAATCACCAATCACGGGGATAACTGGCTTGTGGCAGCCAAGCGTCCATAGCGACGTTGCTTTTTGATCCTTCGATGTCGGCTCTTCCTATCATACTGAAGCAGAATTCAGTAAGCGTTGGATTGTTCACCCACTAATAGGGAACGTGAGCTGGGTTTAGACCGTCGTGAGACAGGTTAGTTTTACCCCACTGATGAAATGTTGTTGCAATAGTAATTGAACTTAGTACGAGAGGAACCGTTCATTCGGATAATTGGTATTTGGGCCTGCCTGAGCAGGCAATGGCCCGAAGCTATCATCCGTTGGGTTATGGCTGAACGCCTCTAAGTCAGAACCCGTGCTAGAACGCGACGATTGCCGCCTTTTCCGATTTTTAGTTGAATACGAATAGATCCTCGGATCCTGAATCATACTACGTGGGGTTATCTTGCAGAGCGGAAAGGCTTTGTGAGGTTCCTGCTAATGTTAATTTCAAATATTGGAAGAGATAAATCCATTGCAGACGACTTTAATTGAACGGGGTATTGTAAGCAGTAGAGTAGCCTTGTTGCTACGATCTGCTGAGATTAAGCCCATTGTTCTATAGATTTGTTCGAAAGAACAACATCTCCTCTCTCTCTTCTTTTTTTTCTTTTTTTTTTTCTTCTTTCAGTTGCTTAACTTAAGGGCATTATATTAGTTTTTTTGAGAAAACTTGTACCTTTTCACCCCCCCTTTTTTTTTACACGGCCCGCACTATATGCCTATTGCATCTCAGTGTCTGTCCACTCACTCCTCATTCTCTATTAAGGGTAGTAGTATTATATATATTATCATAGGGCTCAAAGATCCTAGCTTCTTTCTCACCATCTTCCTCTCCCCAGCTGTTTATATTACAATGCCTACTATTGCTCCTTTATGCCCCTTTATGCCCATTGTTGCCCCTTTATGCCCCTTTATGCCCGGTGTTACCCCTTTATGCCCAACTATGCCCCTTTATGCCCATTGATGTTCCTATATTCCTTTGTGCCTAATGCATATTTACAAAACGCTCTACCGTAAAAATACAAATAAAGAAGGAATGTAACTTTTCTTACTCATATATCTTATCATCCATCTTCGATTCCCCGCCCATCTTTATTCTACAGCAGCACAATGTCCAGCAAGGCCAAACTTATTATTATTGTAGGAGGCAACATTGAAGTCATCTTTACTCCGCCCTATTATTGTGTCTGTGAGGCCAAACATTCGACGAAGCGAAACTTGCAGCGACACATTCAAGGCTGCAAGGATAGACACCCATGCGAGAGCATTGAGGGTATCTTAAAGCTCAAGCTTCAAAAAACATGTACATTCGAAAACGACCGCTTTTCTGCCAGAGTAATGTCTGATTCAGCTAGGAGGCCATCCATATTCGGCTCCACCAACCATAGACTACAGTATAAAAATATCTGTCAACACCTATTAAAACAGTGTGTTCCTTGAGAGTACAACAAATCTCATCAGCTTTTTCCTTCCACCAGTCTCCATTTTCTACATTCACCACCACTACTTTGTAACATCATGTCCAAGGCTGTCGCGTCGTTCCCTATGATCGGTCGACCCTTGGCACGATCGGTCGACCCTTGGCACGATCGGCCGACCCTTGGCACGATCAGTTGATCCTTGGGCGCAGTTGAATGAGCCCAAGACAATTAATTAGCATTGCTCACAATCACATATATATATCCCACAGTACCCCAAATAGTTTGATCCTTACCTAGTAACTTGAATAATACTTGGTCTACACCTTGAAAACCCATATCTGACTCCCTATTCCCTTTGTTCTCTTCCTCCGCCTCTCTTCCTGATCCTGCCTAAGAAAAGGTCAACTCTGCCTTGTTCTAGTCTAGATTCTCGACAATGTGCTTTAGTAATGTCGATCCATCGAGGCAACGTTTCCATGTAGATTTTGGTGAAAGTGGTGAACGAGATGAACCCCGGAAGCTCGTTTCCTTTGTAGCGCAGAACGAGGTGGCAGATCTTGTCCATTGGCAGCATATACTCGTCCTTGTTCATGACAACGTTGTATCGCTGGTATAGTCGGTAAAGCGAGGATCGAATGAATCTGTAGTCGTCCTCTGACTCCAACAAAGGTGACTCGCAGTTGTCAGAACCATGCTGACATAAACTCCTGTAGGACAAAAGTCTTGGGGTCTTGTCGGTTGTTGTGATCGTGTCGATCCTGTGCGATTTGGTGGCTCCTGCTTCCGATTCGCCTTTTTGCGTTCCTGATCTAGATCTTTCACCAGCTCCTCATGCTCCTTGTCCATCTTGCCCTGTATGGTGTTGCTATTGACAGTTGCGAGCGCCTTCTCAACGTCACTGCCCTCTAGAGCCTGTCGTAATTTCATGGCCTCCCACATGTTGCCGTGTACTGCACGTTCTGCTGCCGATACGAATAAAGAGCATCAAAACATAAGATATGAAGAAGGAGTGAAGTAAGATTGCAAGTCATGAGGTGTTATTACTGGCAGACAAATCTGATGACCTTTTTCAATTGGACCATTTCGTCCCTGTACTCTGAGATGCCCTCAAAGAAAAAATCGTCCATGTTCGAAAGGTTGATATACACCATCACATCCTGGTCGCCAGTCACAGGGTTTGTCAAGACATGGGTAGCTGGCATACCGTACTGGACGTCAGGCAACTCGATGTGGATGCGGAGGATACCCCTGAGGTTGGAAGGAGTACCGGAAGCCACAAAGTTGCTTCGAATGGTTGCCAAGGTTGGATTCAAGGTAGTACCGTCCTTTTGTAAGAAGCAACCTCGAATGTCACTGGAGGTTTCGTTTGACTGGTGGGCCTTCTGTGCCAGACGACTGCTGTAGAACTTGATCGCAAGAGTGCCGGCGTACCGCTTGTCAGAGAAAAACCAAGCTCCATCCGGACGTGTGCTATAGCTGGCAATAAGCATCTTGTTCGGAGGACATTCGGCGAGAAAGGCGAGATCGGCGGCGACGCCACTGTCGGTATATCCAAATCCATTGGCCGTGTTGATCCCGTCGATTTGAAGCCTGAGATCGTCGCATCATTTGGGCAAGGCGATGCTTTGGAGGAAAGGAAGGTCCACGAGACGGAAACCATTGAAACGTTGAAGTGATCGACGGACAAGTGGCTCCAGAGAATCCCCCTTTGACGTTGAAGCGACACCGAAGTTGGTGACAATCCGGTAGAGTTGATCCAGGTACTCCGAGAGCGCAGGATCCTTGTCCGAAGCCTTGAGCTCCTCCTGTACCGCCTCAACCACCATTGGCTCGTCCAGCACCAAGTGAATGCCATCGGGGTGTGGTCGAAGTCTACACAAGGCTTTGTCCACAAAGTCGGACTGCTGTTGGCTCGAGAACGAAATTTTGCCATCTTGGAGATGATAGGCCAAGACCATTCGACCAAGAAGCCGCGCTGCCTCGCCTGTTTTTGTCGTTCTCCAGAATAATGCGTACCCCGGCCCGAAGCCCATTCATTGTATGCTCAATCGACTTGTCAACAGCGTCTTCGAGATCAACTTGTTTCGAATCCTGAGAAGAGCAGCGCGTGGCAAGGCGTTTGACGACGTCAACGGAAAATCGAGCTCGTCCTGTTAGCTTGCGGCGTTTGGCAGGCGGGAGATCGCAGTCCGACATGTCCACTAGATCTGAGAGAATTTTGTCGACATCGTTTTCATCGAAGCGGGGGAAGTCCGTTATCCTCGAAAAATTAGTGTGTTTGGCGATGGCCGAGTACACATGATCGGCATCTTGAAGCGAGATTGCCGTGCCAAGAATCACCAGCGTTGCTTGCATGTTGCTCAGCGTTGCGGACAAAGGCGTGAGAAAACCACGGCGAAACTTGGATTGGATTTCGTTCTTTTTTTTTAATAAAGACCCTCCCCTTCTCTCTAGTCGGGGAAAAGACTGTATTCATTTTCAGTCTCTGCAGTGTGGTTCAGAAGAAAGCAACACGAACAAGTGAAAGCACTGTGGACATCGATGCTCAGGTGCTGTTGTGTTCCTCGGCCACAAAACGAATACTTCGAATTGTAAAGGGAACCTCATCAATATCTTTTGTTGACACAGCGATTTAAGCTGTGGGAGAAGAATGCAGTGGAAGTGAGTGAGTCATAATCTTTCTCTTTTGCGTGCATGCAGACAGATTGATACTATAATTTATAGTCCCCTTACATTAATGTAATGCCGTCTCACGCCAATTGATATTGTAACGTCCAAGACCTTCTACGTTTACTGAGGTTTATTTTCGTTTTCAAGACCTAGCTAGCAAATTTGTGTAATACAGAGTCGAGTAAGCTATAACAAAGAAAAAAAAAGTCAAGGAAGAGTGGTGACAATGGAGATTATTTGTGGAGCTTGGGCCGCTTGAGGGAGGGCTTTGAGTTCAAAGGGTTTTTTTGCGCCACGTCCTTGCCGTCGTTGCTGATGTCCACCAGTGGGTGACGACCATGGGTATTGATTTCTGCTGTCAAGGGCAGTGCACGCATGGCGGAGTTTCCATGAGCAGGGGTCAATGGAAAAAAATCCTTGATCGATTTTTGGCTGCGACGAGATGTAACAGATATCTTGGATGGGACGTTTGATGGCAGGCTGGTTATGATAGACGATGATAGTGGGCTGATGGTTTGTCGTGGAAGAGCAGAACCTTGGAGGGTATGCTCCTCGAGTAACACAAACGGCGGTAGAAGAGGCGACTCGGCTTCGACCTCCAAGCTGGGACGGGGTTCTGATCGCATACCATGCAGTTGTTGTTCCCATCTAATTCTCGAAAAAAAATGGTTAGCGATACCATTTTTGAAAGTCTGTCGATTGTTTCCATATTACACTATAACTTACTCATCCTTCGTTGCGTTGGTGTCCTCGATCAATTTCCATAGATCAGCGCGTAAGATCTTGACCGCCCACTTTGGCTTGAATGACTCTTTGGAGAGTCTGAATGCAGATGAGTCCTTGAACTCGGACATACTCTTCTTCGCCACGTTGATCTCATTCTCCATGAGTAGGATGGTATCGAAATCGTACTTGTCAGTGTCGATGTTGCGATCAATATCCAGTTTTCTTGGCAGGGTCACTTTCATCCCGGTGACGAGTGATCGTCCTTTGCATAAGTGCAAATAATAGCGATACTTTTCATACGACCAGGAGGCCAATCGATCAGCTTTTCCGCGTTCCTGCCGGCCGTACTCAAACTTCTGGTACCTCCTCTGTAGGACCTTGTCTTCGGGCCACTGCTCCACCCTCGCTTCATCGAATCCACCGTTTATCACAGTTTCCTCGATGCTCTCGATCACTTCATCTGCCCATTTTGTCCCTTTCGGCATCTCTGTCTTCAAATCATGAAGAAAGTCTCGCCGCTCCTGGATGGTTCGATCACTGAATAAGCTATTATCAAATGAGGTTAGAAACTTTATGAAAGAAATATCTGATATTAAGACAGGAAGGATGAAAGACAATAAACTTACCAATTGCATCGTAGACATGCCACCACTAATATTTGGTCAGGATGGCTGTAATTGAGAGCAACGCCATCCTTGAACTGTGTTCGGTCAATCGAAGATCGCTTTCGAGCATCCGCACCAATCTCATTACATGTCGGATTCCTGCAATAAAAACAGCTGCAATAGGATACCGCGGCCTCATCACGGAGCACAACAAACTCCTCAGGGTCGAAGGCAGGGGACCCGACACAGAATCCTCGAGCAAGGGTCGTGACATAAGCCATCATGGCTTTTTCCAAGCTCTCATAATCCCCGGGTCGTTTTGCACGTTTTAGATAGGCCCAAGATCGTACTTGCCTCGAAAAATCGACATCTGCAACACATTTGCACGTCTTGCAACGTCCTGTAAGATCTAGAGGATTATCTCGAGAGTCTCGAATCGAGCGGCGAACTCTGAAGACTGCGTTGTCCCTCGTAAGCTTTGTATCGCAGCTTGCGCAACATCTGTCACTAAGAAGTTCATTGATAAGGTCCTGCAGCTCCGGAAGTTTCGCAAGTTCAGAAACATTCCTATCCGCCACTCCATATGTTTCTTTGATATCTGCTGCAATCTGATGAGACAAAAAAAAAAAAAAAAAAAAAAAAAAAACAATTATTAGTGCCTATACAGGGGAGAACAAACTGCGTTCAGCGTCTAAAACGACGCATACCCTTCCCCTTTGGCGGGAAAAACATGTATTGCAGACAGTGTGGCGATTAAAAACAGGAAGACCAGGTTTTCTGAGCGAAGTGCCGACAGTTCTCCAAGTAATGACGTCTCCACAGATCGAACACCCTTGATCTTTCTGTATGTTCCCGGCCATACGGTATCCGCTCTCGGCAATCCTCAAGTAGTCGCGTTTTTGACCATAGGTAAGTTCGGTCTTGGTATCCGCCCACAAGACAGGAGAAACTTTTAGTCCGTCGATCTATGCCAAGGATTTACAAGGAGGTAAGCTTGTCTACTTGAAAGCCAACAAAATTTAAAATGTATGATAAAGTACCTTAATGAATCCGTCGTTGTCCAAATATGCTTTAGGTAGGAACACAACGTTCTCCAGATGAGTTTGCACACCAGCAATCACCGTGATGCACCAGACTAGAAGAACAAACAGAAAAGAAAGTTAGATTTGAGCACGCAACATTTCTGCAGAGCAATATAGTAGTAATTACCGTTGGAAGCCTTGTTGATACATGCAGGAAGCTTTGTCTCAACAGTCTCTGAGCCTTGTCCTTTGCAGCTACGTTGGTGTTGATGACAAACACGTCTTGTCATGTACTTTGCCTTGCAGTCGCCCTTTCCGCACGCAAAAGTCCGATGCACGTCATCCAAATGGTCGTCGTGCTCTTCCTTGCTGTCGCATGTGTGTCCACAAACTTTATCTGAGTCGCTTTTGTGCTCGCAGACAAAGTGAGAATGAGCGACTCTGAGGTGAGCATCAAGAAGCGCCAGTGTGTGAAACCTTTCAGAGCACTTGTCTCCGTTCTTGGTTGTGTGTGTACATGGGCGGGTCTTTGGGGCGTGGACTTTGTTGTGATGCACACGGAGTGATGACTGGGCCGTGTATCTTTGTCCGCTACCTTGGAACGAGCACACCCACGATTTTATGAGGGGTATTTCGGAAGGAGATGGTGCCTTCTTTCCAGAAGAGCGCCGTCCAGCTGGAATCTTCTCCATAATGAATGGACTTCTTGAAAGACGTGTGTTGGTCGCGAGGCAAAAGTAAATAGAGAGTGATGACAAAGTTCTTATATGATGCTGGAGGTTTATGGAGCTGGAGCGGAGAATGAAGGGAAGAGCAACAAAGAGAAGAGGCAGGTCGTGGTTTTGTATGTTGTTGCCACCGTTTTAGACTCTTTTTTAATGGAACAACAGGAAAGTAGGAAGCAGATAGAGAATAAGACATATTGTGATTTTATTTGCATAGTTGCCTTTGATCTATAGCCAGGACTACTGTGGACCAAATTAATACCATCACATGGTTCTTTGCTGTCGAAGAGGGCATCTCTGTTGATCAAAGCAGATGGTGAGAAGAGCTTTTCGGACAAGATTCCAGTGACCGCAACTTGAGCCTCGTCCAGGGCAATCACCAGTCCAAGTCGTTTGGAAACAAGGATAGACTGAAGCTTGTCTTGGACTTTGCTGAGCATGGCTTGGATTGTGTTGTAGTCGTACTCCTTCAGCTTGTAGACCAGGTCACCGGTAGTTAAGGCACCTTTGGTGGTCTGTTCACGGAAGAACTGCAGGGGTTCTAGAGCAAGGTTGTTGTCGAGGAGATGCTGAAGGAAGAGCAGCCGTGAAAGGAATTCGAGCTTGACGCGTTCTCCTGCTAGGGCCTTGACTTCGAAATCGATGTCCTTTGCGTCCTGCGAACGCCCTTGATTCCTGTGAATAACGGCCCGGTACATGCTCTCAATGTCTTCTGCAAGCGTGATAAAGTTCGGGTCCTTGAAGCCGGGAGAGATGGTGGAGCTCGGGATGCAACAAACACAATAGATCACAAAGTGCTTGCTCGCGAGGTCAACTACAGTCGCAGTCTTTCCTGATCCAGATGGAGCAACCATAGCTACTACGCGACAGTCACTGTATTTGCCCATGTCATCCTCCACAATAGAATGCAAGGTTTCGCCGTCGCTCGTCCTTGCCAGCTTGTCCAGCTCAAGTCCCAGCATCACCAGCTTGATGTCTCTTGCTGTCTCACCATGCGGAAGAGTCCTCTTGAAAAAGGGTCCTAGCTCTTCATTCTGGAAAGCCTCAGCTTCCATTGGATCAACAGAGGGGGTGGGTGGTAGGGCGATGCTGGATGTCATTGAGAATGACTTCCATTCCTGCTCGAGGCGATCCTTCGGAATAGACTTGAGCTGTGGAGTGGAGGGACGGGCAGGGACAGGTGCATGGACTATGTTGGTGCAATTGGATGAGTGTATCAAGTTAGTACATGTGTAATAGGCAAGCTCACGAGTAAGGTGACAATATAGCACGCGTGTGCATTACCTTGAGGAGGTCGCTGGACCATGATGTGGATTGTTTTCATAGGTGGTTTGTCTGGAAAGACATCGGAAACATCGTCGGTTGGGTGTAGCTCTGTTGATGACTCAACTTCATTCCGGACAATCGGGTTGTGTTTGTTGGCTGCAACGACGGGGATCGAGACGCGCCAGAGGGTGAGGTCCTGGAGAGCGTGTCGATATCCAGTCTGGCACTGATGAGTACCCTGAGATCATCAATGGTGTCTGTTGGTGTAGCTTTGACGGGGAAGGCGTTCGACTGGAGTTCGCCATCAACGAGACAGAACAGGTTCAGAAGGTTGTTGGACATGGTGTTGTGAAGAGTGAAAGGAAAGTAAGTGGAAGGGGAAAGGTGAGGGTTGTAAACGGAGCGAGGGTTGTGGAGAAGGTGCGGGGTGTAGTGAGGGCGAGGGGTGAAAAAAAGCAATAGGTGTGGAAATAACAATAAGGGCGGTGAGAAACAAACTGACAGTAAAGTCGAACAGGGGAAAAAGGTGGGGAAGAGACGATAAAAACGCATGGGGAAGGTGGCCCAGCAACGAGATGAGGGAAGAGTGAGGAAAGGAATCGAGCGATGGTAAAGGCGGTGAAGAAAGCGCGTGGTGGAAAGGTAAGGGCGTTGGAAGTGTGGGAATGGTGGCAGAAAGGAAGAAAGGGAGCAGGGCGCGAGAATTACGTCACCGAAGAGAGTAAATCTTTTTCCTTTGTTGAAACATTACATTTTTTAACCCGTCGATGGAAAGGTGAGTGGGGGAGGCATATCTGAGCACGATGACTCCAGCTAAACAAGTTCCACGGACCAACGATGTGCATCTCGGCTGGCTCCAGATGTTCCGCTTGCTAAATATATACGATATGCAACATTTTACAAGCAACACCATAGTCAACAATCGTCTGATCCTTTTCTGTCTTGTTGATGGAGGAGGTAATATCTCAAGCCATCTCTGTCGAAATCGAGCAGGCGAAGGTAGTGGATAATCTCAAGAGGCTTATCAATTCCTGAATTCGACGACTTTGCTCCAGACAAGCTCACCCTCTGGTGCTTCTCCATCCAAGTTGTCTCGGCCAACAAGCACAAGTTGATCGTCTTGATCGAGATTGATTCCCCGACCGGGCTCGACCTGACCGAGCTTGACCTGACCGAGCTTGACCCAACCGGACGACCTCTCTGATGTCTTTTCGGGCCAACCACCAAAAAAAAACAATTGTCATCGTCGTTCAGCAACCCTCTCCAAGTAACGCAGACACGCGCTGCTCTCATTCACACGTCGCACATGCGCTCTGTCCATTGTGCCTGCGCTAACCCATCGCACTCATTTAATTGCACTTACACAGTCCGTACACCTGTCCCTGCCCGCGTCTCCACTCCTCGCTCTGGCCACCTCTCGGATGAATCACGTCCAGGTACACCGCCTATCGGTAAGTGAATTGTGTGTTACCCATCTTTTTATTGTACTATACCTTTGTCTCATTGTAAACTCACGATCAAGCTCTCTTCATGTCTTTAATCGGGATCAGGAACAGAGCGCGCCAAATCTCTCAGCAGTCACACCACACCTGGCGTGCGAGGTCTGCCAGAGGTGTTGCGCCGTGGCGTTGTCGAATCACAGGACTCAAAACCACCAAGTGTTGGCCTTCATTCCTGAGAGGCGCCGCTCCAATGTCCTGCTGCACAACCTCGACAAAATGCAAGCACAAGACTTTCCCGTATTTGGAGTCAGTGGATACGGAAAGACTCGTTCCATGATTGAGATGCTCTGTTTCCAATGGGGCTTCCGCAAAGTCGGACTTTGGATTAGACGACCTCTTCCGCGTAGCTGATCTCACTGACAACAAAACATTGGAAGACGCGGCCGGCACCAACACTGTTTTTGCCAAGAACATGACACTGGTGCTCTTCCTTCCGCGCCTCATGATCCTCGGCTATTGCTTGAAGGTCCCTGGCTCCCGTCGGACATTCTCGACTGCTCGCTGGGGCTTGCTCCAAGTGTGCCCCAACACGCTCAGGGTTATGTTCGTGTATCTATGCATGAAACCCTGCGATCTCACAACGGCACACACAGTCCCTGTGTCCGACCCGGCCTCTATTGTCCGCAAGGAGTTCGAATCGGTGTGAGAGATGCTTGCTGCCCATTGTCCTTACTTTCCAAGCGAGTCCAACTTTCGGATGGTCATCGACGAGGCCCAGATCCTGAGCGACAAGAGCCCCACGTCGTTCGCGTCATCATCCACACAAGGCAACCTACGACCAATGTATGTCATATGCCAGCATGACAACGGTGTGACAACATTTGGAGATGCTCAGAGATGAACAGGCAGAATACGCAGCTAACAAAATTTTACTTGATATTTTTGATACTTTCAGGTTGCCCCTCGTGTTACACGCATTCCGCTGTGATGGATTTCGAGACGAGCTGACTACCATCAACATATACCAACAGTATCAAAATCAACATCCGTCTCGCCCACAACATCCACCAGTGAGGACCTTACCACTGCTCCCAGAGATATGCACAGCACTGGCTCTCAGGTGCCGACTGGTGATCGCACAGCCTCAAATACCCTTCCAAAGCGATCAGGCACACAGCAGAAGAGGAAAGCTTCCGTGTATTTATTGGACCTCAAACCTCCGGCTTATCCTCCGCCCAGTTCTCCATCAGGATCAAGCATTCATTCTGCCTTCGACAATTCAGGGAAAAAGCAAAGCCCTAGCAGGAGCTGGCTCACTTAATTTTGCCACACATAAAGCAAAAGCTCTGTAAGTTGTGCTGTTGCATTTGCATTTTGAAATCCCTCAAGGCTGTTTTGATATACTGTGCTGACTTTAGCTCCTTGCTTTGCAGTGCGTTGAACGGTATTTGGTTTGTTGGCAAGGCGACACTGGAGTGTTTGGATGCAAAAGAGATCCATAGGGCCATGGGCAAGGAGCACCGTATACCAGATTACCCGGAAATTAGAGCATTAACGCCCCAAGTTGAGGAGATTCTCCAGTTTGGAACTGAACAGGAGGTTGCGGAGGCGATTGATGAGCTGTGTACTGCAGACATACCATGGACAGTCAGAAGGGCGCTTAAAGTTTGGAGGCAGCTGTAAGTGAAGAAATGACTGGCTATGATGGACACCAAGGTCATTCGTACGCGTCTTGACTAATTTTGTTTATGTCTTTTTTCAGTTTAGACACACTACTGAACGAGCCTAGACGGGACCTGCAGGATGGAGAGCAAACTTTTGTGAATCGGGTGTTGCAGCCATTTTTGTCGGTGACGTTTTCTGCACGAGGCAACAAGGTGTTGAGGGGGGATATTGAGCACGACTCTGCCAGCGAGGACAAAGGGGATCACAAACACGGTTCGCAGCGATTTTTTCATTGTTTTGCCTATTCCTCGCTTGGACTTGTCCTTTGTGAGCCTGGTTGGTGAGATGAAGCCACCTGAGAGGACACAGTCGGCACAGTTGGAACTGAAGGATCAATGGAAGTTGTTTCGTATGATGAAAAGTGAGATTGACTCTCAGATCAAAAAGGGTATACAGGATCCGGTTGTCTGGGGATGCCAGGTCTTTGGATATGATATAGCGTTTTATGTGATGGATCAACGGATATCACTCATTAACTGTCTCATAAAAGTGTTTACGGGCACGTTACCCAAGTCTGTTGAGATTATTCGATCAACCCCTGAGATATCCTCCGCTTTCTTTTACATAGAGGTGAGTGAGGATTAAATCAACCGAAACTAGTATGTGCATGAATTGAAACAAATTGCACACTAATTGTCCATTTGATCTTTGGCTTGTAGAGCTGTATCACCAAGCGAGGACAAGTGCTCGAGAGATCCCTTCTCTATTCCCCTCCTCCCGATCCACAGTATCATACCCAACCAAACCAAATAACGCCAAAGAAGCACAGGAAGACGTAGTGATAAATTTATTGAAGCGAACAATGAACATACCACAACGCGTCGGGGGAGCTCTGATGAAAGAGGGGAGAAAGAGTTGACATTGAAGGATCAAAAAGCTACGGCGCTACGAACACTCGGATAGAATAAACTAACTATCCCTTCTCAAGATCATCCAATGTGCATGTTTCCGCGACCGAAGAAGGTTTATAAATGCGCGTCGAAAGAAATTTCTCAGTAACCGAGCAATAGCTCTACGGTCACGTAATATGTCCTCATCCCTTCCAAAGTCTGACCATCCCTCCTTCAGTCCTTCTTCATCGTTTGTTGTCCTTTGATGCTGTTTTGTACCATTGATTACTGATGTTACCTCTTGGTGTTGTACCTTTATGTAATACATTTATGTTGTAATTTCATGTATCTTCAATGTGTCCATTGATAATTTACCCTAACATTGTATATTAACGATGTACCTTGGTGTTGTACCCTGATATTGTACTCTTGTACCTTTATTTCCTAGCATCACTATCTTCATCTGGCTGCCCTTATTTCTGACCTGCCTTTATTTTCCAGCAGCCTCTTGATTTTCAGCATCTCGCTTCTTTTATGCCTGTATTTCCCTGTGAGAGATTCCTTGGTACCACTGCCTCTTGCCCTAGGTGTTAGGAAGACATACTATCTAATGGAGGTCTTCGATGAGAGCGACTGTCGTGCGATCACCCTTGGATTGGGATAATATCAATGTACTGTTGCCGTATTACACTGAACTACGTTGTCGACATATTCTCGCCGTATTATCGACGCTCTCTCATTCATCCAATTGCAATTTCGCAGAACAGACAGGCTGTTACTCATGATGAGGTACATGTGTGTCCATTGTAGTGATATCTGCCTAGCGTATCCCAAACGTATCATAATCGTAGGCGTGTGGTTTCCATTTGATTCATTGTCACTTTGGCCAAAGTGATACATACAGTAAACATGTATGGACATTTTTCAGGAACCAATATATTTTTCACAGGGCTTAGGTAGGAAACGAGCATGGATGCAGTTTGATAGACCATTTTTGCGTAAATTTTTCTCAAAAAAAAGGGGGGGGAGGGGGGAAAGGTCACAGTGGAATGCCAGGAAAAGGGCGGGCTCTGGAAGGAGAGAAGGGTGATGATAGTTTATCATATTTTAGATGAGGCATGATGTCGCGCAAGCGGATCTTGGCATCTTCTATGCAAAATCATACGGTTCAAATCGCTCCCTGAGTTGCGTGCAAAAATATCAGGCTGGAATCGTTAGCCGATGCCCATGCGCGCTTTCTAGTGCTCGATCGAATGGAGGACTCGCTGCGTTCAATCACCATGCTTTGTTCATCCAGGGATTTGAATGATGGTACTCTACCCCAAGTGACAAAAGTGGTGGTCAAAGCAACGATTATCTGCGAGCAGAACGCCTCAATAAAAAACGGAGTTGGAAGGTCATAAAGTAGGTATTAAAGAGGATGACCGTGGCACTGTCACGGGTGGTCTCTTTGAAGTTATGCAATTGAAAAAATTGGTTGAAACAAAGAAAGAAAAAACGAAGATACCCCGACCGAAGCCGCGAGCACTATTCTTGTTCGAAAATAACTTGGAATATAGGTCCTTAGCTGTTTTATGTAGTGATGGTGCAAAGCAAAGGATAGTTTGGGTATTCTATCGTTTACCAGGTTTTCTTGCGGTCTTCAAACGGCTTTGAATTGCGGAGTTACCGATTATTCTGTAACCTCCATAAGGTATCCCAGCACCCGTATGGGCGGAGTTTTCATCTCTCATTAGAAAATTTTAGGGGGTGTATATTACCCTGCATATGAAAATTGTGCATAGTTTAGTTAACATATCCCCCAAATGTGCTTACTTGTATCCCTCTTTCTGCTGGCGCCTATGCTCACTGCCGCGTCTTGAAACACGAACTTACCGCGATGGTTTATGGTATATTAAAAAGGGTACCATGTGTCCCATTGAAAAGACAAAGGACAGTGCTTATTCTGTGTTTATAACCATTTGTTGATTAATGTACCTCCAGCCCCGTGTATTTTATTATTGTATACGAATACTTGAGCTTCTCCTACGGTCATTGTGATCTGTGTGCCATCTTAGCACGGAATCCATGATACACGCTAGCCTTCTTCAAAAAGCTGGATTCTGACCATGTATACACCTCCTGCGCAACACTTACCTCTACTCATAGAAGATATCTTGCATAAGCCCCCGCAATATACATGATGGTCGTTCTATAAAAGCTGGCTGCAACTTTCTCTTTTTTCTCATCAATTCACTTCAACCTAGAGTCTCTCCTTCACTACACCTACTCTTCTTCACTACACCTACTCTTCTTCATTACATCTGCTCTTCTTCAATCGTCTTTTCCGTCCTTTTCACTAGAACACGCAAGGCTATCAATGTGAGTGATCACAATTCTTGGATGCTGGAACCTTTACTGTACTTGTGTTATATGCTATGATACAATAACATCTTGCTGCAAAAGGCTAACCGGGCGCCTTAATATATCCTCTTCTTCCTGCCATGACTCTGTCACTACAAACAACTGCCGCCGCTCGATCGTCTAATATAACAGTATTCTAGTTTGCTGTACCTGCTGTCCATGATGCTTGCAAGATTTCTGTTGGTCTGTGTGTTGATTGGTTTTGCCGCAGCGCAAGGCGTACTCAACGAAAATTTGCGCTGGAGAGTCAACGGAGTACGTCGAATGGCGTACAGTTTCGATCCAAACTATCCTCAGCAAGCACGACAGACTGTACTGCGCGGCATTGAGAGATGGAACCAAGTTTTGGGCGACTGTCTCCCGCTTCAGCCAAGACGAGCCGGCGATCGCGACTATATCAACGTTTTTAATGGTGGAGGGTGCTTTAGCATGATCGGCAGAGTTGGTGGCGGTCAAGCCTTATCGCTGTCAGTCAACGGTTGCGTTTATCGAGGAACCGTGATCCACGAATTTCTCCATGCTGCAGGACTCATTCATACACAGAAACGACCAGATCGCGACAACTACATTACTATACACTGGGGGAACATCGTGGATAGCTGGAAGAGTCAGTTTACAAAGGAATCATCCAGAGACATCGGGAAATATACAGATTACGACATTTACTCGATCATGCACTACTCCTACCGTCATCCGAGCTGGTCCATCAACAATCGACCCGGTTTCACCTCAAAGATCCCGAATGTCGACTACAGCAGGATCGGGACCGGAGACGACTTCACCCAGAGCGATGTGCTCGCTATCAGACGGATGTACAAATGCCCAGCGCGCAAATTTAACACTATCGTCAACAACAACAACAGCAACAACCGCAATGGAACCAAGGATAGAAAGCCCATTCTCTGTTCCAACGTGTAGGGTGTCGCGAATCTTGACAGGGCTGAGGCAGGGTTGGTCTTTTCCCAAGGTCTGGGTTGGATGAAGGCGTGCGAGCAGAGGATAAGGGGATAGATGTCAGAGGGTGATTTTTCAAGGTGTTAACAGAGTGTTATTTGAGTACTAGGTAAGGATTTTATGGGCTATGTATATATATGTGTGTGTATCTTACGTTAAATTCGGAGGTAATTAACTAACAACACCTTTGGGCAATTTTCGTGTTTGACTAGGGCTGATTGATTGTGCTAAGGGTCGACCAAGCAAGTCAAGAGTCGATCGATCGAGCCAAGAGTCGACCGGTCTGACCTAACCCTAATTTAGAACGCGACATGATTTTAGAGTCAAATCAATTATACTATAGATAAACGGTTTATTTGTCTGTTTACCCACTCTGTACGTGTTTGCCCACGGGGATAAGAGCCGGTCTGTCACCATTTGTATCATAATGAAGTAGAGGTGATGGGCAGTGTGAATATGGAATGGATGAAACGCGGGTCGAACTGCATGCAGGCAGAGTGCTATCACTTCGCTGTCGACTGTGCTTGATAATCTCCTGCTTGCCGAGGCGAGAGATGTAGTATCACCAATGGCTTGGTCTTCAATAGATTATGCTGAGACGTATGCTGTCCAACTCTAACCAGGATGGCCAGGTCTGGAGGCATCCATTCCTCAACAGATAGGAAGCGGGGGCAGATCAGGGAAAATGTCTCGGGTGGTGATTGGGAGTAAGGGGATAACATACCACACTGAGAAGAGGCACGTAGAGCCCTGAGGAGGTACAGTTGTGAGACCACCCTACAGGGTGGCGGAGTGCTTGAGATGCTGTCTGGTTCATATATTCGAACGACAGATGGGCGAAGTTGGCGCTGTTAAGGCGGATCAGCCACAACTTTTGATGAACGTGTTGGCCATGGTTATAACCCAGTGAAACTTCCATATCATTGACTGTGGTGCAAATATTCATGGAAGTCCTGAGGCGAGGTAGACGACGAAGCGGTGGTAGGAAGGTAGGAGGTGCCCAAGGAAGGAATGAGGAGAGGGCGGCGGCATTGCGCATGTTGCCATAGATGTGGTGTGCAAGTGCGTCCGTGAGTATTAACAGGTACTCTGGGAAAGTGGTGCTGTTGTTGAGGTAGCCCTGGACAGTAAATTAAATTAAATTACTCACCGTCACTGGAAAACCCATGTAAATTTTTACATGGAAATCATTCGCCACTGCATGCGATCCAATTAATTGATCAACCAAGATCAAGCATTTCAATTCCGACGATGATCCGATGTCGGTTCATGCAAAAAAAAAGGAAAGTGGTGATGAATGAGGTTACGAATCAAGAGAATGAAAAACAGGAATCTGGAGTCTAATCAGAACATTGATGAATGAGCATTTCAAAAAAAAAACGTCGAAATCGCGTTTTGGTTGATTAATTGATTGGAGCACTTTATATGCATAACTTTACAAGGGTTTAGCATGCATTAGGCTTTTTTTTTTATACCGCAAGCTCAATACACTTTTTACAGATAAATTGAAAGCAGTTATATACAGAAGACATCGGTGGAATGTTCTTCTTGACTTCCTTCCTGATCCTGCTTGCTGTTGCGATCGAGATCCCAAGAGATTCCCTGACCTCTCGAACTGAATGTCCTCAAATCAATTGCTGGATGGCATTGTGTTTTTTGTAGGGGATATAGGCGTTTTTTTTTTTATTGTTGTCTTCTGCTTGTGGCATTGTGTTTGGTGGTGGGGAGAATAGATGAAAGAATAGATGATGAAGGAAAGTGTAAGGATGGATGAAAAAAGTGAGGATGTAAGTGATGCAGCCTTTTAACGAAAGTGTTTCATCTAGCATGCAAAATTCAAGAAAAATCGTTACCGTGACGTCATATCCGAAATGGCTCAGACTTGTGCTTAAACATGCACAGGACGCACAAGAACTATAAACAAGTGTCCATCCTGGGGGTGAATGGTAAGAAGATGAATAAGCATTTCAAAAAAAAACCAGAATCCACAAAAAGTTGAAACACTCTTGTTGAGCACTTTACATGTATCTTCGGATTGCGAAACGTCCCTACAGCGGCCACTTTCCGCTAGCCTTCATGTTAGTTTTGGTGGTCTCCCACGTCTCAACATCTATCTTGTATAGCCACCCCGTCGTCCCATCGTAACTCGCAACGCCACTCTCCTCCAGATCCCCGAGACCCAAAGATCGCATTAACGCTCTCCAAGGTTCATTCTCGATGTCCGTCTCGAGCCTGATCAGCTGGCACTTCAACTCGGTAAATGCGAAGTCGATGGATGCGCACAATGCCTCGGTTGCATAACCCCTACGCCAGAGCGGGTGGTCGAGCATGACGCCAATGTCAGTCAGGTAGGGACTTCCGCCAGATGCTGCGCTTGACTGTGGATCGACGCTTGGTTCGGGCGCGGGTGTGTCAGCACCGCCAGGATGCAGTTCGAAACAGTTAAAGCCTCCAGTACCGATAGGCTCGCCCGTTTCGCGTAACACAATGGCCAGGAATGCATTGGAACCATCGGAGGCCATTTTGTTCCAGTTGGCTATGCGACGGAGCATCCCGTCGATCGAGATACTGCCGTGGCCTCTTTGGTACGGCATGTTCTCGGGTGAGGAGAGGATGCGGGCCAGCGTTTTTGCATCTGAGGGAATAGCATTTCGGATGACCAGACGCGGGGTCACGATCTCGTACAATGATGGCGGAAAGGAGGACGACATTGAAGTGAAGTGTGTGTTAAAGTGAAAGGTTATGGAAGAGGGAGGTTCTTTGTTTTATACAGTATTATCCTCGCATGAACTCTAATACTGCGTATGAGCTCTAATACTGCGTATGAACTCTACTACTTCGTGTGGACTCTTACAATGCGCATGAGCTCTAATGATGCGCATAAACTCTAACACTGTGCATGAGCTCTAACACTGCGCATGAGCTCTAATACTGCGCATTGCACATAGCCCATTTTATACATGGGCTAACTTTCACTTTTCCAGTAGAAAGTGTACTGAGCTTGCGGTATTAAAAAAACAGCTTAACGCGTGCTAAACCCATGTAAAGTCATGCATATATGTCAAACACAAAGACTTTGGGTAGGAACTCCAAACTTTGATAGAAGGTCGTTCAGGATTGAGGAAGTAAGAAATTAAAGTTTGAAGGTAGAGAGAAATTAAAAAATACACCGCAAGCTAAAAAAGAAAATCGTAATGCATGTAATCCAATTAATTGATCAAGCAACATCGAGCATTTCAATTCCGGCGATGATCCAATGTAGGTCCATGCAAAAAAAGGCAAGTTGTGGTGAATGAGGTTACGAATCAAGAGAATGAATGACAGGAATCTGGGGACCGACCTGAACATTGGTGGATGAGCATTTCAAAAAATAGTCGAAATCGCGTTTTGGTTGATAATGCTTTACCATACTTGATTTATGTTTACTATTTTTTAGAAAGAATGGAGTCGTAGGCGAAAATGAGACAATAAAACATGAAAACCAACGCCATTGACATGCTTTCCAAATGCCAAGACAACGTACAGTTGTCCGGCAGGTCAAGTGTGGGCAGAATGAAGCAATGAATGAGTCATTAACAAGGGGTCATTAGCATTCATGAACGAGCATTCCATTTCCAGTCGAATCATCAAAATGACAAAATTTGGCCTGCGTCAAAGGCATGGTTTTAGTGCGGAGGTTCTAGTTGGAAGGACTATGAACCCAATTGGCCTGAAGTTTTGTGCAATCCAACGGACTACGAAGTGAATTGTCATGTCTGGACATAAGTCCGCAAAACATGGACATACATATGAAAATAAGGTTTGGACATCCACAGGTTTCAAAAAAATTCAATTCTACGCTTCGTAGTCTATTTACAAGAGACGTGCCTTACGGAAGTTCTCACCGGCATAGATGGAGCCCCCGTTGAGCTCCTCCTCAATGCGGAGCAACTGGTTGTACTTGGCCAAGCGCTCAGAACTACAAAAGTACAAACAAAGGAAACAAAGAGTGTGGTTAGCAACGTTTTGTCCTTTCTCGAAAATGAGTCACCTTAGATCAAGCAACAAAACGCCGAAATCAAAAATCACACACACCGGCAAGGAGCACCTATCTTGATCTGACCACAGCGAAGACCAACAACGATATCAGCAATGGTGTGGTCCTCGGTCTCACCGGAACGGTGAGAGACCATAACACCCCATCCGGACTGCTGGGAGAGGACAGCGGCCTATACCAGAGAAAAAAAAATGCAAGAATGAGTTAATTTTTCGAGCCCAAACATTAGAGCTGCTGTAATACAGTACTCCGTGGGTAAGAAAAAGAGTTTTTCCGTTCTCCAGTCTCTGCTACGTTTGGAGGATTCTACCAAGGTGGAACAGAAAGACTGTTTGTACGATACCAAGAACCTCGCTATGGACTCCACTTTACCGCAGTTTACTGATAAGGATATCGCCTGTGGTCACCAGTGTACAACAGCGCCTCGATGATCTGTTTCTGGTGACCGATCGCCAGCATACTCTTTTCCGCAAGATGCTTCAAATCTTGAGAGCTGGCGAACACGTGAACCTGCGGCGCTTTCGTCGCTTTTGTTCTGAAAGACGAGACAGGCTGGAAGAAGAGGAAGAATCAGGGTGGCTGGAGAATGTGGCGGAAGAGAAGAGAGAGGAGCTGCGGGTCACACATGTGTTAGAATTCCTGTAAGTTTGACTTCACCATGTCAAGCTGCCGAAAGCGATTGCGAATTTATGGACTTGACACTGACAAATATATTGACATGTATGCTATAGGTGCGAGGAGATTTTACGCAATAGTAAAGTTGCGAAGAACTCGGAGCATGAGGAAGTGTTTGTTTGGCGGGGGATATCGCAGATACTTCATGGTCACGACGTAGTTGTCCGGGTGGGGGAACTCGGCTCTAGCGCTACGAGAGGGGACAGGGTGGAGGTGGAGAGTCAGTTTGGTGGCGCGGAGTCAAATGTTAGAGGTAGGAAAATCGACATCCTCCACCAGCTGTGTCCCGAAGGTAACAAGCCCATTGATCTTGTGGCGTGGGAGGCGAAGTCCGAAGCCGTGTCCTCCGAGACCCTCCAGATTCAGCAGCGAAAAAACATTCACATCAATGCGAGTGTTATGAACAAGCTGGCACAATACCTTGACTCGTCCTTCCCTCGACCTGCGCCAATCATTCTCGACATCATAGGATCTCGAGCTTTGGCATACATGGTCACGAAGGTCGAACCTGGTATCTTCGTTGTCAGCTGTCACCGAGGATATGATTAAGTTACCCAAATCGGCAGATGGAATCGACAACTTTTTGGAGGGGGGCAGCCTGTCAGCATTACTCCGAGTTGCTGTAAGTATCATGTTTGCCACGTCGCACGACAACCCAGAATGCCTTGTGCACCAATTTTAAATGCCTGAACAATCTATAATTAATAGGACCACAACACTTCCTTCGCCCAGACCGTAAAGCAGGGATACATCAAATTCGAGAAGCGGAAGGCATGGGCTAAGATGTCGGGGCAAGGTTTCCAGAGCAAGGAGGGCCCAGCAATCATCTTCACCCCCTCAAAGAAGCAGAAGCAACGACGAATGGCTGCCGCGTCGAAGACGAAATAATAAATGCAAATTTTTTAATGCGCACTCTTCAATGTGAAAGAAATAGCATATGACAGATGAACAAGTTCCGCGGCCGACAGGGGTATCTTTTTTTGTATACACGCACAGTATTAGTACAATAACGCCATCACTACCTACACCTCCACCTCGCCCCACTTAAATTTAGCATTCATCTACCAAGCCTCCTGCATACTAGTATCATATGCATACAGTAGATCACCAATTCTTAACCACATACCATCCAAGAGCTAACGGAGTCGCTGAAAGACACGTACGGTCATTCAAAGAAACGTTAGAGAAAGGTCTTCAGGGGCAAGCAACTCTTTGAGACATTCATCTCTCAACGGTACAATATCAAATGAACACTCGTGTTGCTCAGTTGCACAATTCCACCCATTCTCTTTATTTTTCGGAAGATCAATTGCAGGCATCACAGATTTTTCATCGCTGAGTCAGCTTTTGACTGACGAACAATTAGACAGCTCTTGTTTTTCCGGCAGTATCCAAAAAAAGTTCACAGATACAACAAAACATGATCACTAAATTCAACAAGACACATCGCATCTTGGAATTCCCTCCAGGAGCATTTGTCATGGCCAAAGATGAGTCGGCAAAAGGCTCTTTTGATCCACCTTATGAGGGTCCATTCAAGATTATTCGCCGCACCACTCGTGGCTCATATGTCCTACGAGTTGCTATGAACCGTATATTGGCTCGCAATTATGCTCCAGAACAGATGAAGCTCGTCACGCAATCTGTCGATGTTCAGTCCCATGAAAACGATCACTTTCTGTTCATCAGTGAGTGAGACTGATAAGGCTCTTGAGTTTCGCTCTCACGTCGATCCGTTTTGTCTCCTTACCTTCTTAGCCTTCCTTTCTCTCCTTCACGCTCTTTAGACGTCTGACTGATTGTCACCGCCAGTTCGAAAAGAATAGCAGAGAGGAGAGAGAGGAAGAGGTCTTCTCTACTCGACCGAGCAGATTTTTTTTTTTGCTTTCGTCTGATTGTGTGAGTGGGTGTCCAACCAAGCAACTCTTTGTTTTTTTGTGGCCATAGTCACTTCTCTCTTCACTTCTCCATCTTTCTGACCTTCAGCACACCCTCATGCGCTCTCACACTCACACTCCTCGCATTCACCCCACCATCGAATCAACGCACATCTCTCTCACCCTACTTACTCAGCGTATGGAATCGCAACGAGAGTGGTTCTCTCTCCAAGAAAAAAGGATCATGACTGCTGTTGCTTTCACTCGACTGACTGGGACACTTGTCCTCGCTCAACAGCGACAACATACGCACTCGCTTGTTTGACAACTTGCTTGGTGAAGTTCAAGGTTCTTCTTTCCTCCGTCGTACCCATATGCACATCGAATACCAGGCATATACTTTTTTTCACATAAACACGCAAAGAGCCCACGATCGTGAAAGTTTGGATAGCGGTCGACTCGTGCTTTGATGACAAACCCCTGGAGAAAAATAGAGCATTATTGACAAACCTAGGGAATTGTTACTATTATTATATTGAAGGGGTGAGGCAAGGAAGTGAGGGTATAAAAAGAAAAAAGTCGAGGAGGACATGAAGTGCGTATGTTGGGAAAAGTGTGGTGCTGTTGAAGGAAGGAATGCGTTAGGGAATGAAAAGAGAAGGAGGTGGATATGTTGAGGTTGGGCAAGAACGTGGTGGCAAGGGATGCAAAAAAAATATAGAGAAACGCGATCAACACGTCTGCAAGTGCCTGGTGCTTTGCGCTTTCTTCCCCGACACGTATGTGCGCTCCGTGTTTCTTTCTGGTGGGATCTGATCAGACCGATTAGGTATGCCTGTTTCGCTCCTTTTTTTTTTTTTGTTGGCTTTGACCTATCTACAATATGAAGAACTCGGCTGCTTGCGATCAGCTTCGTCTCTTTCTTTTCTTCATATTCCTCTTATCTTCTCTACCGGCAGTACACTGAATGGTTTGAAACCATCTTCTACTCCCATGTATTCTGCCAACAAAATCACTCCTTGCTCGCGCATCAATTTTGGGAAATATTTTTGTATTCTATTCTTAGGCCAACTAGGCAGCGTTGTCCGTTATCAACGATAGGTGTGGTCAGATCTGGATCCATGCTTTGAAATATCTCGGGTTCTTGACCTGGATCGTGAACGAGATCTGGACCTTGACCTGCGTCTCGACTGTACTCGAGTAGGAGTTCGCGATCGAGACCTAGAACAGTCTCGTTTGCTCCTACGTGAGCTTGATTGAGAATGGCCTCTGGATGGACTGCGTGAGCGACTCCTTGATCTCCTGGATGGTGATGAGCGCCGCCGTGTGCTCTTTTCCGAACGATGCCCCCGATCCCTTGACCGCTCTCTCTCGCGCCACCTAGTTGGGCTTGAGCTGCGACTCCTGTTCCGTCTCCTTGGGCTTCGATCGCGACTGCGACTCCGACTATGACTCCTCTTACGTTTTGTCGACGAGCTATGAGTACTGGCCCCCTTCTCGTCACGCTGATGAGAACGTCGACGCTCCTGTTGTGAGTCACTCGATGTCAGGCCCTCGGCGTTGGCTCTGGCAAGCGAAACTGTTTGCCCTTGATCCTTCGCCTGCTTTTTCTCTTCGTTTGAGCGAGTTACTATTACGAAGTAATAGAAGTCTTGAAAGTTAGTTGTATTGTCTTCTCACAGCCGAAAAAAAATGAATGATTGCGACAGCACTCATGGAAAAACATGTTCTGACGTCCATACTTGACTGCTCTAGTCCCTGCCGCATTCTGTGTTTGAGCTTCTCGGCCAGAGTCATCTTCGTGGTATCAATTCCTCCTTGTCCTGCTTGAGAAGAAGATGGTTGCAATGGGTTACGTGACGCAGTAGAGGCCTGGGTGACTGTAATCGATCGTGAAGCAGCACTCTTCAATGGTGTTGATGACGAGGGCGATGTATCCACGTTATAATAGTCGTAATCTCCTCCAGATTCAACATCCTGCTTTGGCGATCCGATCTTGAACTCTTGAATAAACTCGACCGTATCCTTAGATGGCGACTCTGATCCAGATCGCGAAGAACTGTAGTAAATATTTTCCAAACAACTGCGTGTTAGCAACATGCTACTGCATGAAACCCCAGTGCATAATAGATTGGGTAAAGACTGGAGGAGCTTACGTGTCGTGATAGGGCTCATAAGAAGGGCTGGATCGTCGTCCTCTTCGGGAAGATGGGGAACGAGATCTCTTTCTTCGATTCCTATGACGCCGACTACCTTGTCCTCCGCGCCTTTGGTTCTTGGCAGGACTACTCGCAAGTCCTTCAATTTCAGACGCCTTCAATGGCTTCTTTCCCGCCAGAGCTCGCTCGAGATTCTACTCAGATCGAAAGCAGCAAGGTCATTCGCATAAAGGTCAGGTACTGTGGTCTGTATTATGCGTCATTGCTTCCATTTGTTTCACAGTTTCTGCAATGGGCTTACCACTGCTGTCACTTTGAGCTGATTGACACGCTCATCCTCCTCCTCCTTGGCGACACGCAGCACTTGGTAGTAGTCTTTGATGTAAAACTCCTTGCCAAGAGAATCCAGAGTATAGCGATCGCGTGATGTGAGATCGTCAAGATGGTCGAAAATGTTTTCCTCTTCCAGCGCAGTGAGCTCCTTTTCTGGCGCCTGTCCAACAGCACTGTCGGGCTGTACGGCGCTCGTCCCGTAATCAAACGCAAAACTTGGTCTTGCCGCTGTCCCTTCCGTGGCACTGTCGCGTTTCCTAGTTATTGTCGTGCCAGAAGAAAGGCGGATGTGATGTGAGATAATAGGCCAGCGACAAGATCCCTTACAATGCCTCTGTGCCATGAATTTTCCGTGCGAGAGACGCGTACTTTTCAGAGACCTTTCCGATCAATGCATGGTGCCTCGCGACCAGGTCGTTCCACTCTTCCTCGTTGTCCAATAGACATTGTTCTTCGGTAACTATTATACAAGAAGCAAAGCAGCGGTTGCGGTTAGTTAACACTCCAAGCCCTACCCATTGGATACCAGTTGCGACAATCACCCACTCATTCAGGTCACTTACTGCGAAGACGAATTTTGTCCACAAGGTCATGCCATCGCTCAAATCGAAGTTCGTTTCCAATGCCATCCTCGTCCCGATCTGGTCTCAGTCCCGAGTCCACCACAGAGGCGGCATCCTTTGGAAGAAAGTCCAGCAATGCCCTTCCGTCGAATCGATCAATCAATACATTTGAGTCTCCCGCCCATGGCATCCTAAAACAGATATCAATGGAGATTGTCAGTATGATCTGCGGTAACCTGGGTCTCGTAAACACCAAGTATCCAATTGCGTTCTTCTTGATTTACAAGCTGGAAGGGTCCTCGTGGAAAGTGTAGCTCTCTGAATTTGCAACTATTATTCGAACAAGGTAACCACATATGTGTTAACAGGACGCTCGCATTCATGTCAATTGGGACTCCAATGCATAAGTGTCATCAGATTCCTACCAAGACGTGTGGCGGTTCCTGAAACTCTCAAGAGCTGTGTTGGGTCACCCAACTAGAAGCGAAGAATGGATATCGATTGACAGGTCAGCCGTGCGTTGGACCAAAACAGAAAAAAAAAAGGCAATCGAAGTGCAAGAATCAATTACCCTAGAGTCGTAAAAGGCTTTTCTGCGCTGAGCACGTCGACGGGCACTTTCGGCGAGCTCTCTGATCCGCTTCTCTTCCTTGGCAACACTATATTTGTTTTTCGAGGTCGGGCATTCGTTTGATCCAGCCAAGAGCAGCAGGGTTCTTTCTCATTAGTAGATGTCAGAGAGTACGCGAGCAAGAGGAGACAGGTCTCCAGGAAGCCAGTCGTGATGAGTTGTCGTCAGTCTCAAAGGATGGAAAAAGAGAGTAATGAGTTCAGGGTCCAGTCCTACGTTTTCCACATGGCTTGCTCGTGTGTCCTGATGAAAGTTGATGGAAGTGTTACAAGAATCGACCTTGTCAATTTTCATACAAGGAAGGAGAAAGTAACAGCCACAGTCACGCATTGACATTTTCTTGGGCGAAGAAGGAGACGTAATTTGTAACCTTGTGTATTTTTGCCTGCATGAAAAATGCAAGCAAGCAAGCAAGCATTCTAAAAGATAAGCAAGGGAAGCATGGAAGAAGGGGAGGAACTAGACTCGACGCCAGTCATTGTCGTCGTCATCATCATCGTCGTCATCGTCGTCGTCGTCCGTCAAAATCTCGCGCCTTCTGCGGGTGTTTCGTTCTGGTGCTGTTTGCATGGTTGCGGCTGGCGAGCGACTCGGCAAGGGGGTAGTGCTTCGGGCACGGGTAGTGTCACTTCGGATGGTTGCAGGACTGATTGGTCTGTCAGTGGGACTTGCTCGCGATAGTGGTTTCTGTTGTCGCTGTTGTCCTTGGTGGAAGGTCCTGGTGGGTTGTTGAGAGGCATGGTACGCCACTGGATTTGACTGTGAGTATCTGACCGCAGTTGATGTGGTCGTTGTCTCTTGACCAGCCCCAATTGCTGAGATCAGCAGCTGAGCAATCCACATCGCCGACCCTAAGTCAATGAAAGCAAAGATAAAATAAACCAAATGTAAGCACGTTGACAATGCTCACCATACTGATAGATTGGACACTAAATGTTATGACAAAATAAAGAAAGCTGGACGGAAAAGCATGTGAGGATTAACGAGCATACAACATACCTCCAACTAGAATACCAATGACGGCGGCAATTGTAAAGAAGGAGTAGACGGGGAGGAAGGCGAGACAAATGTCCTTCATCATCATGTAGGGAGTCTCGAACAATGCTGCTACGGCCGAGTATGGTTTGGCGACGACTGATCGAGCAGCCCAGTAGCTTGTCCGAATATACCAGAGACAAGCACGATAAGCAAACCATGCTGAGGCCTGAACGACAGGCCAGATGGTTGAATCTTGCTTTGATCGAGAGTCCTTTGGCGGAGGTTGTTGTCGCTGATGGTCCTGTGATGGCTGATATGATGAAAATACAGATGCAGATGCGGAGGCAGAGGCAGAGGCAGAGGCGGCGGGCGTTGGATACACCGAGGGAGGTGGGCCTTGAGAGAAGGCAGGGTGCGTGGGAATGTCTTGTTGTGTCTTGGCGTCTGGTTGACCTCCGAGAGTCATATAAACCCAAGGGTCGCTACCGGCTACAGCGGCACCACCAATCGCGTTGTCGCGTGAGTCGTGTTGGTTGTTTTGGTTGTTCAAATCCTGTGCCAAGGGTTGTTGTACAAGGGAGGGTGATGAGGTGGAGAGTGCAGTGTCTTTGACAGGACGAGGAGGAAGGGGATGTTGTTTGGAGAGGACGTTGGGTACGGATGAGGCGAGGGAGTAGAGGAAGATGGCGATGAAGAAGAGGACGATGATTTTGCTGCAGCAGCCTTGTTCTGGCTCGATGTCGATTCTGTGGATTGAGTTGTCGTCGTTTGTGTGCATGTCTGCGAATGTGTCGTTGTTTGTCTGAGGGTGGTGTTGTTGTGGTGGTGAGTGACGGTGTCTGTGGTGTGATGACATTCTGTGTGGTGGTTGTAGTGATGAGAGGGAGAGGAGAAAGAGGGAAAGGTGTGAGGGAATGTAGAAGGGGGGAGGACAGTAAAGAATTGAGTGGAAGGGGAGTGGAGGGGGAGTGAAGAGGAGAATGAGCAAAGAGAATTTGTCCGGACCGAAGAAAAGGGACAGAGGAATAAAAGGTCAGCAAATTAAGTAAGCTCTTCTTGCTGTCTGTCTCTCTCTCTCCCCCTCTCTCTCCCTCTCTCTCTATCTCGTCTGTTGGGTTGTGGAGGAGGGAGCAGTGCAGGAGTGCAGGGTGTGGGTGGCAAAGCGAAAGAAGATAGAGATCGAGAGGGGATGTGCGCCTTGAATACAATTAGCAGATTATTGAAAAAGGAGGACAGTGGACAGTGAGAGCTTATGCTGCAGCTGATGTGATGTTGGCTGATGTTGCAGTCGGATGATGGATGATGGATGATGGATAATGATGGGTGCCGTTGTAAAGCAAGACAGCAAGACAACAACCATAAACACATCATCCAAGATGCATCATCGCTTCCCATCCAACCATCTCGACCTGCCAGTCCATGCTCTTGAGCGTGCCCAGCCAATCATGGCCCCGCCCCGGCCATTCCCCAGCCAATCGTGTCCAGTCGATTATTGTTGTTCTTCGTCCTTTATCGTCGTTACCCCTGGCAATCGATCTCTCTCTCTCTCTCTATGAAAAAAGAATGGGCCAGCAGGACAACTCTTTCCTTCCCTCGCTCTCTTTTTTTCTATTTATTCCTCCTACTTGGTTCCTTAGTCCACTTTATCTTTTCAGTCTTCTTGAACTCTCTCTCTCTCTCTCTCTCTCACTCTTTTCTCTCTCCAACCCAACCTTCTTTTTTTCATTCGCCTCATCACCGAAAGAACACTCACTCGCACATCTCTCCACCACAACTAACCAGCAACCACTCATTCCCTTTCTCTCTTTCTTCTCTCTTCCTTCTTTCCATTACCCGCCTCGCTCACTCACTCACCCTCCCTCCCTCCTTTCCCCCCCTGCTCCAACCTCTCCAATACAACAACAATCATGCCTGTGGTTCCATCGGGTCGACTGCGACTCAAGCATGCCGCCAACTTGATCAACCACCACCTCTCCGACCTCAACATCCTCTTTGAACCCCAACTGCGCGAATCTGTCGGACCCACCGGCACTGAATGTAATTACCCGCCCTCCCTTCACCTCATTTCACAGTCCCTCTAGTCTCTGTTGTTGCATTCTTCCACTGTTTTGTTTGTGTGTATTTTTTTTTATTTGTTCATAGTCGACTGACTGAATGTGGTTATGCGGGTGCTATGTATGTCATATGCGGGTGCTATGTATGTCATATGCGGGTGTGTAAGTGTGTCTTGTGTGCTATGGTCTCGTTTGTCTCCAATCCTCCCCTGGGAAATTGTTCATTAGTTTCGCCGTTTTTTGTTGTTGTTGTTGTTGTTGTTGTTGTTTCTTTTGTTGCTCTTGCTGCTGCTGCTGCTCTCTTTGGTAATGGAGACATCGATTGGTGGGTGAATGTGTGTGCGAGTGAGCATGTGCATCTACTGTGAGCTGCAAGACCGGGTATGAAAGACGAATTTGGGAAGATGTGCGTTTTGTCTATGTGTGGCAGGGACAAGGGACAGATGACCGCCATGGCCCAAGTTTCAGTTTTGGGGTCATAAACGAGTTTCAGGAACCAGACACCTTCTTTTTTTCATCTAAACTCCCACGCATTCTTAACCCGTTCATAGTCATACCCTTACGAGCAACGACCATGCACGCTCTCTTCATACATGTTTGCACACGCCTCTTTATCATCCATACTCATACGATGATGCAATACACAATCAACTTTCGATCTAAACCCTCTCTCGGATGAACATACTCACACAAGCACAAATACTGTACAGCACAACTAACCCTATTGAGCCATGGTCCCTAAACCTCTTGCACTCTCTCTGCCTCTCTCCCTCGGATATAACATAGACGTGTTCATCGACTACCTGCAAGAAGCTATTCCCGAACTCAAGGATCTGAACGAAACTCAAGTGCGACGTGCCATCAAATACGATGCCGTCGACAGACTTGAGGTACACTAGAGTTTCATTCTTGTTACTTTTTTTTTCTCACAAAGCAAAAACAAAACAATAGGACAGGAAGAAGGAACCTAACCTAATCTCTCCTTCGCTTTTTTTCGACTATGACGACAAACAAAAAAAAAAAAAATAGCTGCACCCAGAACACAGCCAGGTGCGACGTTGCAGGCCGTTTGACGAGACAGAGGCAGTCGATCGGATGCTGTTTGTGGACGATATCGACATTTTGGGTCACGAGGACGATCCCACTGCCATCTTTCAACAACTCCTCCTCCCTTACCCCGGCGAACCTCTCGACCTGCCATCGTCTCATAACAACAACGACGATAGCAGCCAAGAGGAGGACAATGACGACGACGAGAGCGATCCTTCACAGGCATCGACTGACCACCAGGCACTCAACAATCAGACCATCATCCGACCCTATGGCAACAAGCCCACTCGCTTCTTCCAAGGGTTCTGTTATGTCGAATTCCCATCTCGAGATCTCTGCCTCCAAATGTCCACCAGAATCCTCTCCCGGAACAATTCTGTCCGCGTTATGCCCATGTACGTCTTTTTTTTTTTTTTTTTTTTTTGTTGGTGTTGTCGACGTATTGAATCCTATCAATCCTTCCCTCCGTTTGTCTGCTGCGACCAAAATCACCGTTCAACGACCCACAAACGAGATCCTGGAAATGAAAGAAAGAAGGAAAAAAAAGATGTCGATCTTCCTACTGTTTGTGTACGTTGTGTTATTTACCATATCTACATATCTCGAATTTGAATCTTATAGGAGGCAATGGCGCAAGCTGGAGAGCGAATACCTGAGTCTCAGAACGAAGGCACACGCCCACTAGATAATCCATCAGGAAAAAGAATAAAAACAAAAAATAAAAATCTAACTAGAAGCATCTCTCATTCGATCAAACATATTAAAATAAAACCCCTATATCATAGTCCAGCAGCCGGCAAGAAAACAGCAACAAAAAACATGCAATACAAAAGAAAAGAGAATTGTTAATGAGGTATAAGTTTAATTGAGTGTAAGTATGAATATGAGGAAGAGGAGTGGTATGAAATGAAGGATATGTCGCAATAAGAAGAGAGATCTCATGATCAAAGGGAATGACACTCTACTTGTCGAGCTTTCGATAATGTCCTACAGTAGCTAGGGACACGCCTGCTTACTGACTTGCCAAAAGCATGATACAACAAGGGAGCTCTTTCCTTGTCGGCGGTATCTCAGGGCAACCTGAACAAGAGAGCTCTTACTTGTCAGCGGTCTCTTTGGACAGGGGAGTACCGAGCCAGCTCCAGGAACGCGAGGCATGGATATTATAGCTAAAAAAGCGCTTCAAAAAAAAGTCCCACGAAGTGCAGAACACAAAGAACAACTTGAGCTGCGCCACTGCCTTGGCCACACCGAAGTACAACATGATCTGAGGGGCCATGGGCGCATGCTGGGTCAGACCGGTGGATGGGGTACTGGGGTTCTTGATCAGCTTGATAATGTTGTTCATGCACACAATTCCTTGCCTCCATGCCGCTCCGCCCGTCTATTAGGTATATCAAAGAACAAAAGAGGGGGAAGAAAATAAAAGAGAATGAAAAAAAGAAACAAGGCTTGTTAATGATCCACAAAAGGCGTTGTCGTTTTTCCTTCCCGTATATCCACGACACAAACGCGTTCTAGCATGATCTTACCTTGACGTCTTCGAGATCGGCGACATCGCCGGCGGAAAAGATGTTGGGGAAGGCATCGTCAATAATCTGAAGAGAAGGCTTGGTCATGACGAGACGGTTCTTGGGGTTGATCGACTGGGGCGACAACTTGCTCAGCAGGTCACTCTGAGGTGTCATTCCCGTGCACAGAATCTATATTGATGGGGATAAAATAAACGAACAACAATGCACGTTAGTACCAACACTCTTCAATGATGGGCGTAGTAAAAAGGAAGGTCGCGCTTTCGTAATCAAAACCAAGGGGAGGGGGACATACCTGGAGGTCAGATTCGATTTCTTTGCCGTCGCGGGTGGCGACTTTGATCATCTTAAAGTCATCCTTGAACCCACCCTCAGGGATAACAACTCTGTCACCCCGGATCTCGCGGACACCAAAGTCGGCCAGGATCGCCACCGTCTTCTCGTGCATGGTGGTCTTGTACGAGGGCATATACTGATCACGTGAATGGACCAAGGTCACCTCCTTCGCAGGAAAGTGTTCACGAATCTCTACCGCCAATTCCAACCCAACCGCTCCACCGCCAATGAGCAAGATCTTGGTCGCCTTTTGGATCTTGGCCTGCATTTCCTTGAGTCTCTGGATAGCCCCTGCCTTGGTGTCGTGGTCGTTCAGGTTGCCGGGTTCAGGGTGACGAGCACCTGTGGCATAGATGAGGTACTCGTACTCGATGCTGGTCCCGAATCCTTCGATAGGTCTGTCAATCTCCACATGGGTCTTGGTGATGTTGGTGGCGAGGGCTTGGATGACCTGGCCCTTCTCAGGAGAGTCGAAGAGCTTGGTGTAGGGCACAAAGAGTTCATTCTCCCAGCCGTCAATGACACAGGCGCGGGGGAAGGCAAACATGTAGTGGAAATGGGAGTGCTTCTCGATGGTGATGACACGGTGTGTCGACGGCAAGTACTTCTTTGCCTCGAGTGCGGCGGCGGTGGCTATTTCGATTGATGAATGAACAAGAGTGTTAGACTAAGTGCAGCCTTCTATAGCCATCGAAGAGGCTACGAAAGAGATGAAGGGGGAAGATAGTTACCAACGCAGGAGCCGCCAATGATGACAACGTTTTTCTTTGGTGTAGCGGTGGTCATTGTAGGTAGAGTAGGTAGAGTAGAGAGGAGTAGAGTGGGGAGTGAGGATATTAAGTAGAGAGGAGAGCGTGTGAGGGGAAGATGCAGGCAAGAACAAGAAAAAAAAAAGGGGGGGGGAAGGAGAAATACGGGCCGGCTTAAATAAACATTGGCTGTCAGTTGCGGTTTGGGCAACGACAGCCATCATTGTTATCAGATGGAGTGAAAAAAACGTTATCAGATGGAACGCTGAACCAACAAAACACAACACAAACAAGCTAAACGAGTAGAGTAAGGCAAACCGACGGCAAACAACTCAATCTATACCTTTTTTGTCATGCAATCCCCTCTCTCTTCTCCCACTCCCCAGCGGTGTTTGATTTTTTTTCAGCGCAGCATCATCCTTCTCAGATGAATGCGCCCAGTTCAAGACCCCAGTCTGTCACAAAGGGGCATGAGCGGGGGTGAATATTAGGAACTTAATTCTTTCTTAGCACAAGGTGGGCTAGTCTTTTTTTTTCTTGCCTCTTTGCTGGTACTGTACCGTAAAAACATGACAAGAGTAACTATGTGTGAACAAAAGGAGTTTATACTGTGTAGCAGAATAAGAGAGTGAAAGTCAACGAGAGAATGGGAGAATAATGACAGAGACAAAAAAAAAAAAAAAAAAGAGAGGGAGAAAGAGAGAAAACTGAAGGTTGAAAGTCTGAGTATGTAGAAAAGTATGCAGAGGGATGTTGTCTGATTGTTTTACCATATTTTGTTGTTGTCAGGACCAGAAAACAGCCTGTCCAAGAGCCTTTGTGAACGAAGTTGGGAGTATGAAGATTGTTGAAATACGTGCAAAAAGCCATCAACATCACTATTCAACCACAGGGTACTCCTGAAAGCCAAGTGTGAGTCGTCGACAGGGGAGGCTTCTCTTTGGATGAGAGAGAGTAGAGTACAGCGCAGAGAATATCTTCCTGGGAGCAGTGGGGACTTGATTCCCTTGCTCTCAGTGAGTCTGTCCCAAGTTCAACCTTTTGGCCATTTTTCACCAGAGCATGAGCGCATGTTGCTGCAGTCCACATTGATATATGATTTGTTTGCATGCTTGTTTTTTTATTGTTTTTGCTTTTCGTTTATGTTGATTATTTAGTTGTGGTTGTTGTTGCTGTTTCTGAACTAGAAAGAAAAGAAGGTTGGAAAGCAAAGGCGTGATAGAGTGTTTGCTTATCCTTTTACTTGCCAACAATAATGGAAGGCACCTCGCAAAAGTACTGCCAGCGACCCTCGACCAGACCCTTGGCAGTGTCGTCGAGGACAACTTCCCGTCGGCTGGCAACATAGACCGTTTTGTTGAGAACCTGCTGGCGCAGCTCTGTAATCTTTTCCTTCTCAATCGGCTTCTCCAGCAACTCACTCAATGCCTCGACCGCAACCTCCAGGTCACGCTGGTTGTCCTCAAACAGCTCCGTAATGTTGTCCTTGATCAAGTAGTAGGCGAACGCATACGTCCAGCGCAGTGTCATACGGCATGATGTTAACACATCCACCGCCTTCTTTAAGAACTGCACCTCGATCCATGACAATTCACTCGTCCGCTGCATCTCCTCCATCTTCTTCTCAGTCTTCATGTACAAGTCCCGATCCAACTTGGCCGACTGCTCGTGATTTGCGAAGCGGTTGTAGTACTACCAGAAAAATGTTTGAAATGAGCGTTTGTTAATATTCTGCATCCATATACGACCATCCCGGGTGAACCAAACAACCTTAGCAACACTATCGTATAAACCACATTAAATACACAAACTATACGAGATACGTACGTGGAGGTAGCGCTCGAGAGAGGCGCGAGATTTTGCTTGCTGATCACGGGCGTCAGAACTGCTGTTCTCCTCGAAACGGTTGCAGTTGTACCAGCTCGAGCCGTGCTCAGACCAAGGACCCATGCAGACCCAGCAGAACTCGTACTTGCACTTGCGGCACGTCATGTGGTTGCATCCTCCGTTCTTCTCGATCGTCGACTGGCACTTGCCACATTCTTTGGTGTTTGCTGAAATCCAGTTGGCCGTCTCCGAGTCGTCTGCACACTTCTTCTGCCATATCTTGACCAGTCCGCACGACGCTGGCTGATGATTGTCCAATCCGCATGCAAAGCAAAAGTCGTGACCGCATGCACACGAGACTGTCGGTACAACAGTGTCAAAGTTATGATGCGCAAGGCGGCACTCGACCGCATTTTCACAGTTGGGTGCGGGGCACCAGCGCAAGTTATCTAGGTCAGCAATGTAAGCCTTATCCTGCAACCGTCTGTACCTATTAGGTGGATGTAATACAAGTGGCAGGGATGTTTGTTAGCATGTGTGGAGTTTAACATGTTTTTGGCCTAAAGGTCACCAATGTCTTTGGGTCTCTACTCTCTCCTTAACATCAAATCATGTGGTCATCCCCAGTATGGCCCAGTCTGCATCTTCTACCCCTGATAGTCTTCATATCAAACGGCATGTTCCATCACCATCAAGGTCAAATCTGCGTCTACTACCATCGAAGCCCTTGATATCAAAAGGCATATTCTCATCATCGTCATGATCAACTCTGCCTCTACAATCATCCCTGTCATCGATGAGTAATCAAAAGAGTCCAGTAAGAACTTACTTTGTCAAAGTAGAAGGAGAGATGATGCGCTTGATGTTGGCTTCATCGACAAGGACACTGCATCCTGACTCGGGGCAGAGGATCCTCCGGCACTCTCCCTCTTCTTTGATCTTTTGGGTCAGGTACTGTTCGTAGCAGCCATGGCAAAAGACATGTCCGCAGCTGAGGCCGAGTGCGCCGCCGACGGGGCTGTCGTCATAACAAATCTCGCAGAGGAAACCTGCCGGCCGCTGAGTGATGGTGATCTTGTCGCTGTCGAGGACCACGCCGGCCTGGTCAAGGATCTCCTGGGGGTTCTCCATGTAACGTTCAATGAGTCGCTCCTTGTTCCACTTGAAGGACCGGAGGAGCGCAGCAGCCTGTTCGGTTGAGAGGTCGAGGATTCCGGCCACATGGTTGGAGGCATTGGCCTGTGCAGAGATGATATCGGGGAGGGGCACGACCTTGAAGTCGACCTCATAAGCCTTTTTGCGATCCTTCTCGTCTGTTAGGTCCGAGAAGCCGATATCTTCTGTCTGCTCAAAGTCCATCTCTATTATTCAGAAAAGAGGGGGCGACACGGCGAGGCAAGAGAGAAAGGGAGGGGGGTAGAAAAATAATAGATGAAAAAAATAAAAAATAAGAGTCAGCTGTCTCCTGTTCATATGTCACATATGCTTCTTGTATAAAACATAGGCCAAGAGGATACAAAACAACGGAGATGATGCGATACGTACCGGACCCTTCATCATCGGAGCCATAGTAGTCGTCCTCAAAGTCGGATGAGCCTATCGATGTAACAGCAAGGACAAGGGGTTAACAATGGTTAGCAAACGGAGCAGGAGCGGTGTAGAAACAGAGTGAAAGGGGAAAGTAAGGACGAGGGGATCAATACGGTCTCTGGACAATAAGCTCCTTTTTCGTTCTGGTAGTGTGCGTGTGCGTGTGCGTGTGCGTGTGTGTCTCTGTGAATGAGTCGAGTCTCCTTCCGTGGTTCATTCTGACTGTCTGCCGTGTGTTTTTAGTCATGCTTGCTTGCTTACCTGCAAAGTCGTCGTCGCTAAGGCTTCCTGAACTCATTCCAGGTGTGTGTGTGTGTGTGTGTTTGTTGAAAAGTGAGAGTGATGGGTATCAGTGAAAAGGTGATGAATTGACTTGTCCGAGAGTGAGCTGCTGCGGTTGGTCAATGCGCGACACAAGTAGGAAGTGAGGAAGGGGTTGTGAGTGTTTGTTTTTATCCGATGTGAGGAGGAGTAAATGAGCGAAGGGGAAGAGCGAGAGTGGGTAGTTGCGGATGGTGGCGGGGGGGGTGATGAGCAATAGAGGGAGATAAGTTGTATGAGGAAAAAGACAGAAAAGAAGGAAAGGAAAGGAAAGGAAAGGAAAGAAAGAAAGAAAGAGAAGGCGAAGGTCTTGCCTTATTTTTATGTGTGTCTGTCTGCCTGTTTGTCCGATGTGTGTGGAAAAGGGGGTAGTCCAAAGGGGGTGAGGTGAAAGGGACACTAATCACCTCGGACGAAAACTGTTGTCGTTCTCTCGCCTGACGGAAGGGAGGGCCATCGGTGGATTCGACTCTGGACCTTTGTCTTGACTTGGCTTCGCCTCCTTTTCGCTGATTCACACTCTTGTGCCATATGTGCCACGTGATATGGTGGCAAACACCTTCGATACAAGTCGGTTGTCCTCGGGAAAGATTGCCTCTCGATGGTATTCTAGCACCATTCATTCAATACGAAAACACCGCCCCATCCGCAGGATACCGTCGTGGACTTTTTTTCCTTTTCTTCCTCTTTGTCGTAGCATGCATACACTCTCTATGACGCTATCCTACTCACACTCTCTTTTGTCTGTGTGTTGAACTCAACCATGGCGCAAGAAAAAGAGTGAGTGAGTGAGTGAGGGCGCAGTCGAAATGAGAAATAAACAAGAAGAGGGGGTACTGAATTGAATTGAGAGAATCTGCCGCAGAACAACATCGAAACTAAATACGTGGTGACGATAACGAGCCACAACAATAAGACTTCTCACGATCCCTCGTTTGTTGAAAACAATAGTACCCTTCCATCGGGGTTTGTCAAGGCGCAAGGCTGTGTTCAAAAATTGAATGCGCTACCAAGGATGATGATATAGCGAATGACGATCTTCAACTTGTTTACTATATTGTCCATTCGTCCAATACTCTGTGTCTACCAGCGAGGTCGTCCTCCGTATTTCTATTCGAGCAAGATAACAACGACAGCAGTTAGTCATGCCACTTCTGAGAAAAATGACAATGAAGAACGGCAACTAACAAACAATACACCAAAAGGAGACTTACCATGGCACCGCGGCCTTTGTATTTGATCTCGGGCGATTGAGACCGAGGTCGGGGCACAGAATGCACAGCTTCACGCTGCTGCTCATAGAGACCCTCTGCTGCGGGTTTGATATCGACTGCTGCTGCTGCTAATGCTGCTGCTGCTGGGCGAGCAGGCGATCTCGAGTCCGATCGCGCACTCCTCTTGGCATCACGTTCCCGACGGCGACTTGGGCTATCATCACGATCGCGGCTCGATCTCCTGGACCGTCTGTCCTTCTTGTGGCGTCTTGAAGATCGATCGTCTCTCTTTCGCCGACTTTTTCTGTCATCTTCTGACTCCGACTCTGATCCTGAACGCGAATCCGAGCGCGAGCGGGAATGGCGACGACGGCGGTGTCGGCTGCGGCGACGATCACGTCCTCGATCTGAATCGCTTCCAGTCTCACTGTCGCTTCCACTCGCACTAGCGCTCGAACTGTCACGCTTGGACAACCCCTTACCGCCACGCGACGGCCCCTGATTCTTGTCAGCCGTTTCATTCGCCCCCGCAGCAGCAGCGGCAGCAGCGGCAGCAGCCTTTTGTGCTTTTTGTTGTTCCAAAACCTTGGGTGGGATTCTGAGCTCCAGCTCACCGCAGTTTGTGATCATTACAATTCCTACAGGACGATCGTTGCGCTCATCTGTTGGTGTATTCTCTACCTTCTCGACAACGTCGTATCCCTTCACAACCCGACCAAACACCACATGCTTGCCTAATATGTGTAAACATTGAAATGATTAGATACTGGTTCATTTGTAAGGGCCACTGGCATGCAAGTTGAAGGATTGAAAGGCTTACCATCCAAGTGAGGGGTGGGTCGTGTTGTCAAGAAGAACTGCGAGCTGGAGGTGTTGGGCCCCTTGTTTGCCATCGACAACAGTCCTACAGGATACCATACAACGAGAATATGTCAGTCAGTGCATCCTGATTCGAAAAAAAGCCTTAGTAAGATGAAAAAGGAACGCTCCTGTCGTACCTTCGGTGTCATGCTTGCGCTTGAATCCGCCCTCATCCTGCAATGGTCCGCCATAGATACTCTCGCCTCCTGTTCCATCACGTCTTGTAAAGTCTAGAGTGAAGTAAAGCCAACATTATTAATTAGTTTGTGATTCCCTGTAGAAAGATCCTGCAAGGCGTAAAAAGGGTGATGTCAAACTCGATAGTTACCTCCTCCCTGGATCATGAATCCCTTGATGATACTGGTTAACAAAAAAAGCAGCCGGTTAGCATATCAAACATGTCGAACACGATCTGGTCCTGATACACTGGCGAGGTATGTGGACGCAATTTCAATTCCAATTGACTGCTCCTTACCGGTGAAAGATTGATCCTCGGTAGTGCAATGGGACCCCGCTGATCTTGCTCATGCCCTTTTCTCCTACATATCAGTATAACAGCAAGAGATCAATGACATATCAGTAAGGAGGCGCGGCACAGTTGTGTTGTCACTATTTGGTAACAATTAACCACAAAGGCATGCTGTGAAAGGACATACCAGTGCAAAGAGCACGAAAGTTCTCTGCTGTCTGAGGGACCTCATCCTTGAAAAGTTCAACGATAACCCTATTATAGTTGTCAGCAATGATCCAGGGTGATATTCGTTAGTCTTTCGTCTGGTCTGTTGTCGAGTCCTCCTTGATGTTTTCAACGGCGGCATCAAATCAAGACGATGTGCGATCCTATGTTTCCTGGCGACATGCCTTCCTATCCTGTGTCCGTCGATGTCGATGTCGAGGAATACTCGTGGGTTGACCATTGTTGAAAGGAGTGTGTGATGGAACTGTAAAGAAGAAAAAAAAAAAAAAAAAAAAAAAAAAAGTTAATCGTTGAACAAACGAAGTGTGTGAAAGTGTGACTGGCAGACCTTGTCCTGGAGAAAAGAACAAGAACACGTCGACCACCTGCACCTGAGGAGGGGTCACTTGCAACCGAATCTCCTTTCTTCTTCGTACTTCTTCTACTACACTCTCCCATTCATTCACGCCCACACAACTACAGCAATGTCGTCCGTCGAAAAGAGAACCACCAGAACTACATCGGAACAGACCTCCTTTGGTTCTTCCTCCTCATCCTCCGCCTCATCGTCATCAGGATCCCGCTCCTCTGTCAACATCTCGTCGTAAGTCACCCAACAACGACCAGCGACCTCCATAAGTTAGCTACTCTCAATCGACAGGCGCCGGGGTTGATACTGCCTCAGACCTTAAATCAGAACACTTTGATATCAATGCCAATTCTGGGGCGACTTGTACAGCGACAGTCTTGACAATTGACTTATATCGTTTATGCTTTATCGTTGTTTATCCTTGAGTAGCTCTACTCTTGCCAAGTTGGCGTTCTTCACGGTCGCTATGATCGTATTCCCTATCGCAACCTACTTTCTCACCGTCGACCAGTACTTTGGAGGTAAACCTTGCTTTGCCACTTACTACACTCTACGACATTTGAAGAAAATATGGACAGCCCATTATCTCATGCCTCACCTAACATTTTCTTCAACCCTTTCGTAGGCAACGCGACGTATGCAGGAATTAGCGCTGCTGTGATGGCCAACGTGATCCTCATTGCATACGTTGCCGTCGCCGTCATGGAGGACTCTCAGGCCGGCCCAGCACCCGTCTCCATCAAGAAGCAGCAATAAAACACCTTGATCGTATGGGCATCAACCTCAAAGATAACATCTGGTACCTCACATGTTATGTTACATAATGTCAATGGATTAAGGATCTACAGGAGAAGTGGGTAATGAAAAAACCAAGCAGCGTTCGGAATCTTGGTTGTCCTTGAGCGCTTCCTCAAACCGAAGGAACTTGAAGATCTCCCGCACACGTTCTCCCATACCGCTTCCAATCTCCAAAATAACATACCCGCCGCTCGCCATGATGCTCCTCGTCGCACCGTCCGTCGAAAGATCGCGTGAGAGACTGCAGGCCAAGAGTTCATAGGCTCCATATCCTTCCTTCTCAGCAAATAGGGCAACCGGTGGCTCATGCTCAGTTCCTGCAAAGAGGGTCTTTAACCTGTCGGCTTTGGCGCTGTCCAGATACGGCGGGTTGCAGACGAGGATGTCAAATGACTGGAAGAGCTCTGGAGTTCCTTGCAGGTCACTCAAATCTCCTGGCAGGAAAGATGTCCGATCTGAGAGGTTGTGCAAGTCCTTGTTTATATTGGCGATCTCCAGTGCTTCTGTGCTGATATCAACACCGACTCCAGTCGCGCTTGGTAGCGAATTCAGGAGTGCCAACAATAGACAGCCGCTTCCTGTGCCGACATCCAGGATCTTGACTGGTCGCTGCTGTGAAAGAGTGATGGCTGCCCTGACGAGTGTCTCTGTGCTCGATCGAGGGATAAGTGTTGCTGGTGACACTTTGAACCTCATTTGATAGAAATCCTATTTTTGGTAGCGATAATCGAAATCGAAGCTGTAATTAATTGACTTGCATGTATTGGTGATATGGCCACTGGAAAACAGCAGTGCTGTAGCTCACCTTCTCGCCGATCTGGTATGCAATAGGTTTGTCCGACTTGCGGTCAAACGTTGAGACAGGTTCGACTCCTCCCTTGCGAAGTTCCTCCAACTCCTCAGCCTTTCGCCTCACACACGCCCTTTGTTCCCGATTCCGGAGCTGCTCAAACTTTGCTGGTTCATCAAATGACGCAACGACCGTCGTGTCTTTGAGTGGGTGCTTGAACTCGACTTTTATCACGGCAGAAAAGAGTCCCTTGTTGCGGTTGGCTTTAAGAGGTTTAGTGTTGCCACTGTCGCCAACAACTGGATGTCCTTGACTCAAAAGATACCGGCGGATGTTGACCCCCAAGTACGGCGACCGAGGGGTAATGTCTAGAGTTGAGATAAGTCCTGCCTCGTTGGATAGTGTCAGGTGGACGACGCGGATGGACTCGAGGAATTCGGCATCGAGACTAGTCGTGTCGATGGGTATAGATCCGCCTGGTGAGTAGTATGTGGTATCCTGCCTTGTGCTTTCATCTGTTGCTGCTGCGTCTGCGTCTGGTTTCTTCCATGCGCCGTGACAGATGATCCTGAATGTCCTGATAAACTGTCCTTCATTGTGCATCTTTAGCAACGTTGCGCGCATCGACCGCGTCTTTGCTACCAGGACCTAAAGACATTGATGTCCAGATGAAAGATGACAAGGTTAGCAGCTGATGCAGTGGTTTTTCGATACATGGATCGAGCAATTGATGTAAAATAAATAACTTACAAGTCCGTTTGCGGCCTTTTCAATGCCGTGAATGGCGCAGGGTAAGCGGTGCTGCTGACCTACTGCCGGCGAGATGTTGGAGGGTATTTCAAAATTGTCGTCCTCGTCTTTATCATCATCCACGTCGCCGTCCTCGACAACAACACCTCCGGATTCAACATGTGCCTCAGCATCCTGCCCCAAATGATCTAGTTGCTCATCCGCGCCTTGGACAGAACGACTAGGTGACACTGAAAAAGGTAGCATGAATCCGAATGCGACCATGGTCTTTCCTGATGGTTTAACGACAACAGCCAAATCATCGTCCTCGTACCGGACATCAAGCTTCTCCCTGCCATATACAGACTCGTGAGCTGCACGATCATCGAAGCGGATCTTGACCCAGTCGCCCTTGACCAGCAGTTTTGTCACCTCTGCCACGACTCCATTCACTGTGACCTATGTCAATCAGATAACGAACGGAGATATGTTGTCAGGAATCGATCCATCAAGCAATTGATCACAGATGGAAAAAGATCGCTTCACCTACCTCGCCTCGCTTGAAGCACTTGCGGTTGTGTTCTCTTGACTTGACGACTGTCTTCCAGTGGGCGAGCACAAACTTCCATGCTCTGTTTCCGTCATCTTCGTCCTGCACCTGCAACTGCAATTCCTTCATCCTGTGCCTGGAATGATGTTGTTTTTGTGAATCAAAGAAAGTTGTCCATCTCTCTCGTACCTGTGCTCTCGTTTCCCTTTCCCTCTCAGTCAACAACAAAGGACAAAGAGAAAAAAAAATTGGCGGCGTTGTGGCTTGGATGGATCTACTCCTGATCGTAAATCATTTTCTTGGTTGCGGTCCGTGGGAACCCTGTCCGCCTGTTCTGTTCTGCTCTGGTCTGCTCTGTTCTAATGAAAATGAGTCAAGACATTAAGAGGTAAAGAAGGACTAGAACAACGACAACCCAGACATGAAGTTGTTTATCCCCTAATGAAGCATTGATGTCACATATCCTGCACGATGTATATGTACCCTTTGTCGCCATTTACATCGTCAATGACTCGTGGTAGAAGTAGAAGCAGATAGAAGAATATCCATGAACATCTGCAGAAGGGGTGTAGCCAAGCCCTCTAGTGTTTGTGTTTGTTTGCTCAAGAATCAAGGCGGGGCGTTGTACGTTTGCCAATAGGTTTCCTTTTGCGGGCAAAACGGCGCACCAATTATCCTCTGCGCACAAGAAAGAGGTAGTAGGGGGTTTTCTCCATCTTTTTTTGAGAAAGAACAAAAAGGTAGAAACGAAATCATCTCCCTCTTTCTTCTCTTTCTTTCATAAGTCTACATTCAGCAACCGCTCTTTACTGATTCCCCCATCTCACAAGACCACTTGTTGATCACTTGTTCCTCCTCCTCATTGTCAAAAACACTCACCCATCTCAACAGACACATTCTCACTTCAAAAATGACCACCCAGCGCCCTGAACAAAAGTCAACCGTCGTTGTCCGTCTTGCCAGTGCTGACGATATCGCCCAAGTCGAGGCCATCCACAAGGTCGTCAACCGCGCCTATCGCTCTGGTATGCAAAATGCACATGCTGGTTTCTTTCACTGGCTCGATCGGTTTGGCTGTAGAGTAGTATTTATGTCACTGCTCTGCAGTAGAACTGTGTTCCACAGACAGTGTCAATTGCTCCCCGCCCCACACCGCATGGTTATCTAACATCTCCACTTCTCAATTATGTGTCCATCAATGTATTCTAGAGGGCGGCTGGACTACTGAGGCCCATCTCGGTGAGTGATTACATATTATAGTAGATTCACGTTCGCCTCGACATTATTTATTGTCCATCATACTTTCTAGTCGGCGATCGCCTTACACTCTAGGCATCTCGCCCCTTGGTCCAACGTACACACAATGCACAATGTTGAATTGATCCATAACCCCCAACCAACATATCCACGTTCTATCTATCCCTAATAGTGACGGAGGAGCGTATTACGGTGGATGAGTTGAAGGAGGCATTGCTCGACACGATTAACCCCATCCTCTTGGCCTTTGACTCCGAGACCAACGAACCCCTGGGTACCATCCAGCTCGAGCCTGCCGAGCACTACCCCGATTTCGGCGAGTACAAGAAGGAAGGCTATACCTCAACCCACACCGAGCCCGTCCCCAAGGACCAACAGGTCTTCCTTGGTCTCTTCTCTGTCGACCCAGCCCAGCAGTCCCGCGGTATCGGCCGCAAGCTGGTCGAGGCGGCCTTAGCCCATGCCAGGAAGAACATGAACCGGACCCAGTGTGTTGTCTATGTGCTGTATATGCGTACCGAGTTGATCAAGTGGTACAACAAGCTGGGCTTTGTTGACTATGGTGAGAAGGTCAACTTCCCTGACTCGTCCCGCATCGTCCAGGAGGATACCCATTTTTCTGTTCTCCGTCTCCCTCTTTAAACAACACTACGTAGTGCAGTTGTCAATAATGAAAAATAATATTCCCTATCTACCGCGTCAGTTGAGCGTCCCCCTCTCGCTAGACAGAGTGACAGTGTAGTCAAAAGAGATAGGCCGTTCTGGGTCAATGGGCGCAGCTTTTACCAATGGAGAAGTTCTTCCCTCTCGTTCCCTAGTGTTCCGCCAGCTCGATGAAGATATTTTTCCCGGTGTTGGTGTCGTCTATGGAGTGTGCGCTTTATTTTGCATGAACCGCAGCCAGACCCCCTCCTGCCTTTTTTTTTTTTTTTTTTTCATTGTCCAGCAAACAGCATTGACCTGCCTCTGGCCATCTTCTTTCCCTAATCGGATTGGTAACACCAGATGGAAAAAAAAGGAGGGATTAGGCTCCTCTCCAGGGTGCTGCTCATGTTGGTAATGTGATCGTTCACTGCCTTTATGGCGAGGATTTGTTTACTCCTCCAAGTCAGTTCTCACGATATAATTTTGCTTCCAGGAGAGTGCTGCGGCTCAAGTCAAAAAATGGATGTCTTGAAAAGGCAAAGGAAATGGGCGTCCAGCTCCATCGACACCAACCTCGTCTTTTTCCCCCTCAGATGTGCTAAGCCCAAGTAGAGTTTACTGCTGGGTTGTTCAGACAACGTCAAACAGTCGGACAGTTTGAGCAAGAGCAAGATAAGAACGAACCATTCTTTTTTTTTTGTGTGTCGTGACATGATAGTGGCGTGAACCTTGGTTGACTTGGTTTCTGAACATGTGTGACAATGAGAAAAGTCCAGGATTCATTCTTGTACCTCGCCTCTTTCTTTCTATGGACTATGGCGTCGGAATAGAAAAGGAGATAGAAGAGGATACAGCCCATCTGTGCCAATGGACAACCCGGCCTAGCTTTGCCACGAAAGAGAAACCAGAAATGGTAAAAAGAAAAAAGAAGGAAAGTAAAGAAAAAGGGAATTGTTCCTCTGTGTGTGTGTGTATGTTTGTGCATGCACGATGAAGGAGGGAAAAGAAGGGACGGGGTGGCAATGGATCAAATGTTAGTCCGAGGAGAAGAGAGGGTGAGCATGCATAGGAAGTGGTGACGAGTGGGTGCAATGTCAATGGCTATGGCCACAGTATCTCCCTCGCAAATATATTTTGTTGACACTTTTGATTTGGCATCCCGCTGTTCCTTTTTCGCCACCGCATGCAAACTAAATCTCCTACACGAACATGGCCCATCCACAACAGAGACAGAGACATGGCCGTAGTCTGCGCCACCAGCACTCCACTTCCCTCTCACTTTCCTTTAGATAGACTCATCCCCCCTCTCTGTTTCTTCGTTTTCTTCTTCACTTTTTTCATCTCTCTCTCTCCTTCCTCATATCTCATACTTCATCGCACCTTCTCTCTCTTCTATCACGACCATCACTCCCTTCCACCTTTCATATACCCTTACAACACACAGAGACGATATATAACAAAACGATAATGGCTCAATCACAACTGCCAGCAGAGTGCATCTCATGCATCATCTCACACCTCGACGGCGACCTCACAACCCTCTTCCGCCTCCTCACCGTCAACTCGACCTTCTTCCGCGCAACCCTCCCATACCTCTACCGCGACCCATACCGGACTCTCGAACGCCGCGAAGCTAAACGAGTCCGCCGCCAGGGCGGCTACCCATCCTCCATCTGCGGCTATGTAGCTACGAAACGCCTCCTCTACCTCCTGCTCCTCTCCTGCCGGCAAGGAGACGATCTGGTCCCCTTTCTCAATGTCGACTGGGACGAACCCCTCTCACCCTTTGTGTCGGACCAGCCCCTCATGGCCTGTTATATCGACTACCTTGGCGACCTCGACTTTGATCGCTGGACTGCTACCCTCAAACTTCTCATGCCGGAATTCGATACTCAGATAGAGCAATACGCCTTTCGACTCTTCCGACTCTTGTTCTTGGACCACCACAAGGAACGCGTTCAAAAGTTGGCTATTCCTATCACCCATATTGAACCTTATATGGATTTGTTGCCTCATCTCAGGAACTTGCAGCGGGTCAGATTCTACGTGGACGAACTTGAACAACCACCCCAGGAGCGCTCACATATACCCGAGGATGAACTAGCAGCAGAACCTGCAGCAGAACTAGCAGCAGGACTAGTAGAAGAACTAGAACTAGCAGCAGTCAACGAGGAGGTCCAAGTTGCTGAGGTTCCGGATATTGTTGCTGCTGATGCACTTGTCGCAGAAGTTGAGGCCGCTCCTGTCACTCAAGATATCGAACCCACTGTCGATCCTGTCGCAAATCTTACGCCAGAGCCCGCAGCCGACCCTCTCACAGAGCCTGCCATCCCAGAACCAACACCAGAACCTGCCGTCGAGCCAGTCGAAGCACCAACAGTCGAGGCAACAACAGTTGAACCCATGGCAGACCAGCCCATCGCAGTAGTGGAGGAAACGAGCGAAGAGAATTATGATGCCCCTCCAGTCCCAGCAGAGAAGACGCTCGACGAAATCCTCGATGAGATCCTTGCCGAGAGTCTGGCCGCTGATGCTGCCGCCTACGTTTGGCCAGAGCCTGTGCTACTGGAGGAGCAGACTTTCGATGAGGCTCTTGGTGGTTTCATGGCGATCGAGATGGATTATGTTCTCCCAGAACGTGCACAAACACAGGACGGAGGAGAGGATGAGGTCATGGTTGAAGGGGACGCGGTGGCTGCAGAGGTGATGCCTGTGGTGGCGGTGGTTGATGAGACGATTGCCGTTCCTGCGGTAGTGGAGGAGGTACCAGTAGAGGAAGAGGGAGACGGTATGGTCGATCTGGCTGCATTGCCCGCGGAGCTTGAGGCGGTCGCCACTGCTGAGCATGGTCCCGCAGTACCCATCTATGACCACATATATGAGATTGAGTCGGAGGTCATGCTGCGTATGTTTACAGAGTCGACTCGAATCAGAGACACTGGAACGTCCGAGTATGAACCCGAGGAGGCCATGGCTTACATCTTGGCGTTGGTGGGCGATCCTGAGGAAGAATTTGAACCCGAGTCTGCCATGGCAGATATTCTTTTTTTACTCGGCGACCCTGAAGGACATGACCAGTTTTGGGAGACGACTGTGTTGGAGAGTGAGGAGGCACAGGAGGAAGAAGAGGTTGCTCCTGAAGAAGAGGTTGTTCCTGTAGAGGAGGAAGTGGTGGTTGTCCCAGAGGAGGTGAACGATGTTGTACTTCAGGAGCAGGAGCAGACACCCGCACAGGAGGAGACCCCAGAGGAACCCGCACAGCCTGCACCTCCCGTCTTTGACCCTACCCCCGACGGCGTCAAGTTCCTTCAAGCCCATGCAGAGCTCTTTGGACCTGGGCCAGGACGCGTCGGTCCTGGACTTGTCGAGATTGAGCCCCCTTACTCATGGATTCACCCTTCTGACTCGGAAAACATCACCTATAGCAGTCGATATGTGGAGTTGCTCAAGGCGCAGTCGAACCCTACGATTATCCAGTTCCACCACTGGGAGAGGTTTCGCCATTACCTCAAGGATACGCCTGTCCAGAGTGTCAAGCGGCTGCGGTCCTTTTACGAGGAGTGGCCTGAGGCTGGGTGGGATCAGGCTGGGCTTTTGAAGAAGTGTCGTAGCCTGGAAAAGTTCTCGTCTAGAATCTTTGACCCGACACTCTTCGAGTTTGCGATCGAGGAGCAGCAGGACCGGGACATCTACGAGGAGCTGTGCAAAGCCGGTGTTGCTGGCGCGTCGACAAGTCTGGGTGGCGGCAGAAGCCATGGTGGACACTATGGTCCTGGCGAGGATCCTATCCCCCTGCGCAAGGTCAACCTCATTAGTTACAGGGACGGGTTCCTTCACCCTGTGCTTCAGAATATATGCACGGCCTTCATGGACAGTCTCGAGTCGATTGTCATCCGTCTCTTTATCTCGGACGATGCTCTTCCCTTGAGCCAGTTCTGCTACATGTCTCAGCTCACGGTGTTGGACCTTCGTCATGACTGTCCCGACGCCCTCACCAACGACACCTTTTTCTTGTCCTACTGTCCTAGCCTCAAGACCCTGCGTTTGCGTGATGGTAAAATGGAACAGCCTTTGATCATCCAGACTCCTTGTGCGCTGAAGGTGCACTGGCACCTGCCTTGTCTTGAGGAGCTGGTTCTTGTCGGCTCTGCCTGCGATCTCTTCAATTATGAGTCTCTAGCCTACTCCCCACGGCTTCAGTCTCTTCGCCTCGAGTGTATCGTGCCTGACATGGGTGTCCACGTTGTCGACGAGATGTATCAAGAGTACCTTACTCACCCCTCTTGGAACTGGTAAGTTTTTTTTTTTTTTTTTTTTTTTTTTTTCATTTGTTTCGTTTGTCATGGTCGCACAACAAACAGAAGCAACATGCCTTCTCACACAACATTCTCTCTTTATTCTTTCCATTGGAACTACCAGGACGTGGAAGTTGCCTCGTCTTCACACCCTCCTCTTGAAAGGCAGACCAGCCCACCTCTTCCGCCCCTGTCTGCTCCTCGGATGCCCCAAGTTGACCAACGTCCACCTCGACGTCGGCAGAGTCTCCCGCTCCGTCACCTCGGCCAGAGACGCCCTTTCGACCACTCCTTCTACCTTCAACTCTCCAGTTCGCTCGCTCACCCTCAAGGGCTACTGGTTCATGAACTCGACCGCCACTACCGTTACCGACTTCTTCCAGACCTGGTTCTCATCCCTCACCTACCTCAAATTCGAATCGACCGTCTTCTTCGACAACCGCTCCATGCTCGACGGTCTCTACTCGATTCCCACTCTCCGCAAGGTCTTCCTCTGTCGCCAGACCATCTCGGAGTACGATGCATGGAAGCTTGGATTGGAAGGCTGCCCCCTCAAGAGCCCATTCGAGTGGGAGCGCAAGACCCGTCATATCTCCTTCCAGGCAGAACTCCAACGTCTTCGTCTTGTCGTCAAAAAGAGGCAAGCCGAGGCAGAGGAGAAGGAGGCCCAAGCCAGGGCTCTCATACTCGAGGTCGAGGCAGAGGAAGCTAAGGCCAAGGCCGCGGCCGCAGTGGCAGCATTGCAGTCCGATAACAACGTTACCACCCCCGCGTTTGTTGGCTCGGATGTTTCCGTGGACAACAACAAGGACAACAAGCCAGAGCCCACTCCTACTACGGACAGGGTGCGTTGCCAGAGTGTCGACAGTGCGATTGCATTGGAGGAGGAGCAGGCACAGGCAGCGGAGCAGGCCAAGTTGGCAAAGGAGGATGCAGAGAATGATCGATTTGAAAGTCTGCGGTGTGTCTATGTCTTCAAGAACATGCGCTACCACCGCGGGGATGATACCCCACAGGATCTCCTTCTTTCCTGCTCATTGTAAAACATTCACAGAACATTCATAGAACATACCCTCTTCTTTTGTGACAATGAAAATAAAACAAAACAAGAAAAAAATAGATGGGACTGCATGATCCCCTGGAACACTGCAGCTCAAAGTCTGAGACTCATACACAGGGTCTCTCTCAGCAATTCTTATTTTCTGTTTGCGATCGTCAGTGTTCATGTTTTTTGTGGTCTGTTCCCAGACAAGCGTTTTCAGACAGGAACGGAGAGGTATTCACTGGTGCGGTCGAATGAGAAAAAACAAGTTCGTTTATTTACACGGAATGAAAAGTGGATAGCAAAACCATAATGATTCGCGGGGAGGTGGGAGGGGCGGATCATTTTCGAGAAACGCCACACCGAGATCCATAAGACCCAGACAGGTATCGCTCAGTCCTTGTGCTTGTCCTGTTGTTGCTTATCCGTTATCAGATCGATCCAGTCGAAAAGGGTAGAGAGAGTTCCTGCAAACAAAAAAAAGTGTTCTTTTGAGATGGTGGGAGTTGGTGGTGTTACTGGGTGAGTGTTGTAAAATACATGGTCGTAGAGCGAAAAAAAAAGTAAAAGGACAGGGTGTATGGTTGCCGTTGTATATGGTTCTCGGTTATTGCTGCTGGTTGTTGCGATAAAGGTGGGCTGACTTGGCTGAAGGTTGGGGAAGAGGAGTGGAGTGGTTGCGTTGTGTTGTGTTATGTTGTTGGGTTTGTTGAGCTATCGGGCAACTTCGGTTGGCGATATTTTTTGGGCTTCTTTTTTCCAGCTAAAGCGTTGAAGGTCGTTTAGGCCGATGCGGTGGCAGCAGCGCGCTTGCGCTTGTAGTCGCTGATAGCCGACTTGATCGCATCCTCCGCCAGCACTATTATCATATATATAAGAGAGTGTGTTTGAGATGGTTAGAAAGGATCCAGGGTGTGTGAAGATCAGTTTGGTTGTTGCTTCCCTTGTTCCAACTTGGTTGACTGCGCTGTTGTTCTCTCTTTTTTTTTTTCCTTTTGTAGTTCCTTATTGACAATCAAGTTGTCTGTCTGCCCGGTTGTTCTATGCAGCTGTTGGTGTTGATGTTGCTCTCAAAGGTTGTTGTTGTTGTTGTTTTTATCCTTTCCTGTTGCTGTTGACAGCCTGGTAGTCTGCGCTGTTGCCTGTCGATCTTTTTTAAGTGTCACTGCGCAAATAGACAGACAAAAAAAAATGCCACACTGACACAATCAGATAAGAACCAACTACAAACAAAGTAACTTACTGGAGCAGTGGAGCTTGACGGGGGGGAGGCAGAGCTCTTTGGCAATCTCGGTGTTCTTGATAGAACCGGCATCCTCAAGAGTCATACCGCGGACGCGCTCGGTCATATAACTCGACGAAGCAATGGCAGAGCCACATCCAAAGGTCTTGAACTTGACGTCGACAATCTTGCCTGATGCCTCGTCGACCTTGATTTGGAGCTTCATGACATCACCGCAGGCGGGTGCGCCGACGAGACCGGTGCCGACAAAGGGATCGGCCTTGTTGAAGGATCCGACGTTGCGGGGACGCTCATAGTGGTCAATGACCTAATTTTTCATTGCATTTCCATTCACGGTCAGTTGGTTGGTGTTCGTTTAAAGGGGCAATATGAGTGTGAATAGGAGTAGGAATAGAGGGGTACCTTGGGGTGGTAGGAGCGGACGGCGATAGCGGCCGAGGGCTTTGCAAAGAGGGAGCGGGAGGCGTTGAAGATGGTAGTGCGAAGCATGATGTGAGTGTGTGTGAGTGTGAGTGTGTGTGTGTATGTGTGTATGTGTAGGAGAGAGGAGAGGGAGGAAGGAAGAAAAGAAGGGCTACAAAAAAGAAGGGAGGATAAGAAGAGGAAGAATATAGACGAGAGACACAGAGACAGACAGAGAGCGGAGAAGTGTTACTCACCTTACACTCCCATGACAGAGTCTGAGGGAGGACCTAGGCTGGGAAAGGAGATTTTAGCAGGAAGATCTGTACTTGCACAATTGACAACGTATCCTAAGCCACTTCTTGCTTGATCCGTGTGTGTGTTTCCTATCTGTGTGACTGTGCAATTACCCCATCACTTTCGAACAACAAAGCAACAAGGAAGAAAAAAAAAAAGAAAAAAAAAGCTAGTCGCACTCACTCTTGGATATTGCCTTGGTTCAGACAAACTTCTTTGTTGCTTCCTTTGTGCCTTTTATTCATTCGCATCACTCCACACCTCTCCTCTCCTCTCCTCTCCGTCACTCCATCACACATCACCTCCCTCGACACTGGACAGACAACGCCGGAATGAGACCATTGACTGAACTCGAGACAAAAACCTTCTTCGAGAAGTTGGCAAAATAGTACGTCAACAACACCAACAATAACACTCTGCACAACATACAACAGCCAGTCAGCTTGTTTGTTTGCCACCATTTTGCAAGGAAAGGGACCCAAAAAAGACACTCTGCTAATAACTGGACCCTCTTTGCTTCTCAACCTGAATAGCATCGGACGCAATATCACCCACTTGATCGACCGTGGCGATGAGACCTACTGCTTCCGTCTCCACCGCGACCGTGTATACTACGTTAGGTAAGGATCAACGGCTTGTCATTCTAATAGTATCCTCTCAGGATGTTTGAAAAACGGAAAAATATACTGACCATTATTCCCCTTCTTTGATGACAGTGAGTCGGTGATGCGCAAGGCAACGAGTGTCGGACGTGATCAGTTGATTTCGCTCGGTATCTGCTTCGGAAAGTTCACAAAGACTGGAAAGTTCCGCATGCACGTCACCTGCCTCGAATACATCGCACAATACGCCAAGGTAAATTCACTACCCATGGCTCATTCTAGGACTTTCCTGCCTGTCAGCTGGGGCATGTTTTTGTTGAGAAGTCAGGATATCCAAGTTAACAAATCAAGATCATTGCGATTGTTCTGGAGAAGATTCAAAGTCGAGCAGGACAGCAGCTCTTGTTCAGGAAATTGAGTGTATCAACTACGTCGCTCAAAGGACGTCCTTGACACCCATTGGGCACCAAATAATCACAGCAGACAGGAAAGCAGGACTCTGAAAGCAGATATGGCAGTATGGGCCATAGTCACCTTCTGGCAACTCATGGGTTGTAGACACCTTGTAACAACCCATGAACCAATTGAACCAAGGAGCCTGCAAACATGAACACGACTCAGTCACTGCGAACAACAGCGGGACCTACAAGTGCCAACTATTGACAGCCTCGGCGACAGTATGGACAAATGCAACAGCTTCTAACATACCTACCACCTATTCATCAATTCCAACGAACAATAGCACAAGGTGTGGATTAAGCCCAACGGTGAGATGCCCTTCCTGTATGGTAACCACGTCGTGAAGGCTCATATTGGTCGTGTCACCGAAGATACCCCAGAGCACCAGGGAGTCATTGTCTACTCGATGACGGATGTGCCCCTCGGCTTTGGCGTCACTGCCCGCTCAACATCCGACACCCGCAAGATGGAGCCCACCGCCATCGTTGTCTTCCACCAGGCCGATATCGGAGAGTACCTTCGCCAAGAGGATACTCTTTTCTAAGTCATCCCCTTGCATCAATTTCTTTTGCACGATATCATTAGCATTTTCTTTACCTCCTTTTTTTCTTTAGCCACATTAAAAATCATCATAGTCCATGCACATCGTTCTCTTTTTTTTTTTTTTTAAGTGTTATTTTTGGACGGTATGTCTTCTTGTGTACTTCTAGCCCATTAAAAGCAGATGGGTGAAATGTACATTGAATTTGCTGTAAAAACAACAACAAACAAAACTCCTAGCTAGTCAAGACGTGCAGATTTGAGGATATCCTCTCTAGACCCCCTCAAACCCACCAACCCCTTTCCCCCATCCTTTCCTTCTCCATCATCTATCTTCTCCACCAACGACTCCTCCCCCGGCGAAAGCCTATCACTTGGCACTCCTCCCTCCTCCTCCTCGGCAATCGTCCGAAACTCCAAACTATACTTTGATCGCGTCAATCCCCCAGATGTACCCTTCCGCCGCGCCGCCTCATCCTCCTTATACTTTTGCAAATCCTTTTGCTTTTGCCCCACGCCTCCGAGCCAAAAGGCCGCCACGGGGAGGCTCAAGAACAACGACCCACTCATCGTCAGACAGATCGCTCTAAACCCAAATCGCTCATACACAACTCCACAGACCACAGGACCGACGAGAACGCCGAGAGAGAAGGCCATGTTGAACATTGCATAAGCGCGTGCGAATCCGTCACCGGCACCGGTGGTTCGGACGACGGCCGAGATCTCGCCGAGGACTGGGGTGAGGATGGCGGTGCCGGTGGTGCCAATGATGGTGAAGAGGAAGATGATCATGGGGAGAGATTGTTGGTAGGCGCCTGTTAGGATTACAGCTGTGCCGCAGAGGACGATCGCGACGACGCACATTATCTTTGCGCCGAACCTATCCGACAATGCGCCTATATTGTACAAGATCGGAAGTAGGGATATGGTGTTAGATCGTTTCCCTGTCCACATACTCCATTAAAAAAAACTATTCTTAACCAAAATCAACAAGATGGGACATACCTGAGATGGGCGCGGTAAGGGTAGGGAGGGAGAAGGCCATAAAGACAAGCCCAATCCGCTCAGAGGTAAGATTAAACGCACTGGCGAGATGCAACGGCACTGTCGGCTCAGCACCCGAGAACACAAATGAGTTGCACGCCGTGACAATGACACAGGCCATCAGACGCTTGTTCTTGATCAACTCCCAGAAGCTGGTGCTTTCCTCCAATCGTTGGTTCTTTCTGGTCGCCACGACTTCGGCTTCCTCTTCGGTTGCCTCCTCTTGCTTGCCCTGGATGCGGAGTGCTTTCACAATCTCTTCGCGCTCTTCGATGATCAAGGCACGGCACGCAAGATCGATCACGGTGATGGCGCAGCAAAAGATGAAGGGCGCCCGGTATCCACCTCGCTCGTACAGAATCCCTCCTAGAGGAGGACCCATCATCAACCCAAGCGTATACCCCACAAGAGCCTTCCCCATCTGGACGCCCAGAACATTCGCCGGGAAGACATCCGTAATCAAAGCCAGCCCCAGCGTCCAGACCGACCCACCAGCAACACCCTGGAGAAGCCGAGCAAGCAAAAAGACATAAAAGTTGGTCGCGAGCATGAACAACACCGTCGAGAGGAGCATACCGAGAAGACCGATCAACATGGGAACCCGACGTGAGACGAAATGGTCGCCCAGGACGCCAAAGAGAGGAGACGATAGTAAGATTCCGACGGCGTAGACGGCGAGTAGTAGTCCTGTGTCGGTCGCCCCTCCGTCCATCTTTTCCGAGACGATGAATGGGATAATCGGGACTATAATTCCGTACTGTACGTATCCATTTCGTGAGAGAATGTTAGAAGCGCGTCTTTTTTTCTTTTTTCTTTTCCATCTTTTTCTGTTGGATAATATGAAGAATAAGAAACAGGAACAAAAGTACGTACGGTGGCCATGTCGACAAAGAGGGCGAGAAAGACGGTAAAGAGAATAAAGTTGGGTGATCGACGTAGACGACCAAACCACCCATGCTTCTTGACCTGAAGACTTAATTGACTCGCCGACCGCCTCAAGTTATTCTCTCGTCTAGGAACACCCAGCATCTCACTACCATATGGATCTCCGCCATTAGGGTGTACCCTACTGCCGCCTCCACCTGTCCTGGACGCGCCTGCTTGTTTCCTGGATGATAACGTGGGTGGTTGGTGTTGCTGTTTTTCGTCGTATTCACCATCATTGTCGTTGTGTGCGCGTCGATAGGAAGAAGAGGCCGAGTAAGTCGAACGTGAGGACTGCGCGGGACTGACGTCAATCTCGACTGGTGGGAGGAGCACACTGCCTGCTGGACTCGCCATCGCCGATCCTGGTCCTGACCTTGCTCCAGATGCGATTGGGCTTTGATTCTGGCTATGATAGCCAGTGCCGCCTCTTGGTTGCGAGGCCATTTATATTCCTTGGTGGCGGTGTTGTTGTGTTTAGTTGAGAGGGGACGAGAGGGATAAGCCGAGAGGAGACGACAGGGGTATATGAAAAAGGTTCAAATCAGAGCGAAGGTCAAAAGTAGACAGCAGTGAAGGTATACAGTCGTTTCAGATACTTGTTGGAGAACGAAGAGAAAGGATACAGGGTTGAGGCGAGGATGAGGTCGATAAAGTGGAGTGGAGGGATGTGAAGTACGTGGCAATTCCGAGGATCGACGATGAAAGACGAAAAGTGAAAAGAAGAAAAGTAATAAGAAAGTGGGACCAATTGTTAGTCGAGTGAGTGTAATGGAGAGAAGAATACGAAAAAAGGATAAAACATGAAGCAAGAAAGAAAGAGAGCATGAAAGAGGGACACAAAGAATGAAAAGAGAAGGAGAGTGAGCGGGAAGAGACGCGTTATACCATCGGACCATGAGGGCAGGTTGTCTTGTATGTCTGTCACCTTTTCTGTTCGTGGAAAATGGAGAGGAGTGGATGGATGTCTTCTTTTCCTCTATGTTACTACTTGCCTGTGTTGTGGCGAGGCGAGAAGAAACCCTGAATTCCGATTAACCCTTGTACGAGGGAGAAGGGAAGACTCGTCTTCGACGTGCGCCTTCGTCTTCATATCCAATAAAGAATTAAGAGATCTCAAAGACACCCAACAACGACCCTGTGTTGGAATGTGGGCGAAAAAGAAGGAAATAACTCGTATGTAAGGAAGACAGGTATGTGTTGTCCCTATAGGTAGGGAGGAATAGTTCTTCTATTGCCTGTACTTATCCACCTTTGCACTGGACGGCGCACAGGTGACAAAAGCATCGTCCAATACATCGGGTTATTTTCTTCGCGACTCGGCTCACTCTCGAGTGTCGGATGGATTGTGAATACTTCGTGAAGAAAGGGGGCCAAAAGGCAATGTTGACAAGAGGGAATTCTGATGTCCATCGGATCGTTTTTATTTTCATCCCTTAGTCCGTGTGAACACACGAGAACAAGAAACAGGGCCATTTTTGCTTACAGCCTACCCAATGGCAACTAACTGAATGCATCGATCACTATCTCTGCAGGTGTTTGTAACGTAACGCGCTGCGTTTCCTTCTTGTGTTCAATGTAAGCAAAGAACGCAAGGACGGGCAGGCGCGCTCTGTGTGTTGACCAACGAGTGGTCAAGGAAACCACTATCTCATTTTCAGTCCGCCGAAAACACCCCTTCATTAGAATCTCAAATTAGTCCGACTCGTCCGATGGGGACGCGTTAAACGGGTATTTAAAAAGAGTGGACCATTGCCTGTCGAGGAAGAAAGACACTGACAGCCGAGTTAGGGCAGCCTACGCTTCATGCGTCGTATGGATAATCAATATCCGTACAAGAAGGGTAACTCTTTTTGAGAGCGCGCGCAGACCAGCAAAAATACGATAGAATAAAGGAATCGCCAACAATAACAAAATAATGAAGGAAATAGATATAACCAAGGTAGTTTATTTGCGCAGGAGTGCGACTATTCACCATCTCTATTGCTCTGTGCCGGTGTAGTCTCGCGCATCGGTGAATACGCATGGTGTTCACGCCCACCTGCTGTTAGCCGCTCCCTAGACCCATACATGCCTTCCCGCGTATGTGCCGCAGACCCACTACCCGTCGAAGGGACGCCAAGATGATGTACCGATAGATCCGACCCTGACCCTCTCAGTTTCCTTGTCATCCGGTGGTGAGAAGGTGTCGCCTGGCCTGCCAGGGAGGGTGCGGGTGCAGTTGCTAAGCCTTGAGCTGGATGATCATGTGCCATTGTAGTTCTCCTTGTCGCTGGACCCAGCCTGTTGGACAGTGCCGGGTCGTGTTGATGCAGCTGAGCATCTACTAAAAGATCCGTCGGTTCCATTGTATATCCATGATGCAGCAGTGTCCTTTTAGTCTTTGATGGCTCCCGATCAGGCAGAATGACGCCTCTCCGGCCGCGCGTTTGGCGGCGTTTCCGTCTATTTTGACAATCATGTTTGATACCACGGTGTTAATCCAACAATACTGAGCGGTCTGTGAAAAAGGTCAAACAGGCATTGAAAGCTATGTGTTGAATGGTACCTTTTATCGCGTTCACGATCCCGCTCCAGTTTATCGATTTCAGGCTCGGTCAGCTTCTCCAGAATAGGCGTGAACTGTTCAACAGCTTCCTCCTCTCGTAAAATAGTTGTGATCTTTGGCAGAAAACTGCTCCTCAAGTCCTCGTCGTGGACAGAGCCACCGTCGTAACTGTATCCAATGAGGTTGAGACACTTCGTGTGAATCTGAACCTGTTCTCTAATAGAATGTGCAATTGCCGTCCTATTTATTCACAGTACGTTGACGGTCTGGTCAGTGATGACTTCAATTGCAAAAGATTGCTTCAACTGCGTAATTGTTCAACTGTTGCGTTGTCTCCTTACCTGAACTCGCCACCTAGCCCCAGTTCGTTAGCTAAGACCTCTGCAAAATGTTCCGGATCGTTGTTTGGACAGGAAATATCCCATTCAAACTGATCTACCAGTGAAGTATTTGCCACCGTAATATCAATCTATACATCCACAAAGGGCGAAATAATCAAAGTGTTAGCAATTCCTGTTGTTCCTCACGGTGTAAGTGCATCAAAGACCACTTAGCAAAAGTCGAGCAAGAGCCACTTTCGAGACTTACTTTGATCAGAATACGAAGTTCCTGTGATGGCCGGGTGTCTTCTCCAGCTGGTTGCTCTTGGTCCTCCATCATTGTCGGGTTGGAGCTCAAGACAGGTAGATGATAATCCTGTATTTGCTCGCGAATTGACTTTGCAATCTGTGGGGCAAACTGGGGCGCTGGGAACTGCATGTCCTCGCACAGGACCTCAGCAAAATGTTCTGGCGTAATGAGCGTCTCTGTTAGTCCCAATGTCCATGTTGGCAGAGGAGTTTGTGAGATGAAAGAATGGAAGAAAGTTGTTAGTTGTTGTTAGTTGTTGTCCTGCACGAAAAAAGACACAGCAACTCCTGTTCCTCGTCATCACAAAAGACGTGATCTCGTACCGTGCAGGTTCCATGTAAAGGTATCGCGTAACACAAGTCCATCCACTTCTACCTCCAGCCGTATGGGTACCAGGATGTCCTCCTTTTGCGCCTGTTCCTCGATCATTGCCTTGGTACTATAGAAAAATAATAGCAATTGAAAATAAAAAAAGGAATTGCGTGAGTCAAGTTCCAAAAAAAAAGTGTTCAGGAACAATAAAACACACAGTAACTCGGAGCGTGTCTAAACCAACAAAGCGTAAGCAATTAAAGTGCGCGTAGGCTTACAATGTAAACTCCTTTGACTTTCTGGCGCGCTTTCGGTGAGCTGGGTAGACGATATGAAACGCGTTGCTTCCTTGTGGACCCCCTACTGCCGGATTATGAGGGGCTGCGTTGCTGCCGTTACCGTACGCGGGGTTGTAGCCTGGCCCAAAGATCTCGGTTCCTGTCTGCTGTGTCTGGCGAATCTCGAGCTGTTTCTCGTTCATCAACGCGATCTGCATCTGCCGTTGTTGCTCAAACGCCGGGAGGAACATTGCGTCCCGCCGCATGTATTGTTCTAGTTCTGATCGCTGCTGGGACGAGATGGCGGGAGTTGGACCGACTTGGGTCAGGGTTGGGTTTTGGTTGGGTAGCAGGGTGGACGCTGGTGGTGGGTTGGCGTTGACGACGGCGGGTGGTGGGGCTATAGGCCCGTTTGTGAGCGTAGCCTCTGACATTATCGACATTGGCGATTGTTTTTGTTTACTCTGCTGGAGAGAGTGTTTCCGTCGACTCGCCAGTTTTGTAAGCTTTGTTGGTGGTTGAGGGATGGGTGTGTATTTTTCTGTAGGGTCCGTCGCTGTTGTTGCGTGGACGTTGTTGATTGTTATTATTGTTGGGTTTGTTGTCCTTGTTAATCGTTATGGTTCCTGGGTTCTTTCAGTGCTGGCCGATGGACAATAATATAAAGAGTCGATTAAGAAGAGTCGTGGTGCCACCGAGTAGGAGCCAGGCTTCAAAGGACAGAGAAGAAGGAGGATGTAAAGGAAAGAAAAAGGTGATGAAAAAAAAGTGAGAAATAACGCTGAAAGAGATCATCCCTTGGGCCTCTACTTCGACTGAAGTGAGTGGGTTTATTGGTTGCATTTACGATTAATTTCGACTTCTACACGTGACTTCGAACAGATCTCTCTCTCTCTCTCTCTCTCTCTCTCTCTCTCTCAGGAACCATCTCCTCTCGTCTGCATTCGTTCACAACTTGACCATCGAGCTCAAGCTACACAAAGGTGCACCCATTTACAAAGATAAAGAAACATACAGATAGGGAGGGTTTTTTTTGGATGCTGTTTTATTTTAAAAGGTTGCTGTACAAGAGAGGTATGGAGAGGATTCAAAGCAAGCACCAATTTTTCGCAAAAGACACGAAAAGAAGCTGAAGGGAGGAGTTGTTATTAATGTTACAAAAGAAAAAAAAGCAAAAAAAGGACAATAGGATACGGAAACAAGCACACTCGCGAGATCGCTTAAGTGCGCTCGCCACGGAGGCGACGGGCCAAGTGGATATCCTTGGGCTGGATGGTGACACGCTTGGCGTGGATGGCAGCCAAGTTGGTATCCTCAAAGAGGGAGACAAGGTAAGCCTCGGAGGCCTCCTGGAGGGCACCGATGGCCGAGGACTGGAAACGGAGGTCAGTCTTGAAGTCCTGGGCGATCTCACGAACGAGACGCTGGAAGGGGAGCTTGCGGATCAAGAGCTCGGTCGACTTCTGGTAACGACGAATCTCACGAAGAGCGACGGTACCGGGGCGGTAACGATGGGGCTTCTTGACACCTCCGGTGGCGGGGGCGGACTTGCGGGCAGCCTTAGTGGCGAGCTGCTTGCGGGGAGCCTTTCCTCCGGTGGACTTGCGGGCGGTCTGCTTGGTACGGGCCATTGTTGTTGAATGTGAATGTGAATGAGTTTTTTGGTGATGAGAAGGAGAAGAGAAAGGGATTCTAAAAGAGGAGAAAAGGAAAAACCGGAAATAACAAAGGCAAGGGACCTCTTTATACGACCTGTGTGGTTTACTTGTGAGGCTGACTTGTTTTGAGTTTTGGATTGAATGCGCGCGCTCCGCCCCTCTTTTGTTTTTTGTTGTTTCATTTTTCAATTGAATTGAAGTGTGCTGCAAGACGCGTCGGAATGGTTTTTATTTTATTTTTTTGTTTTTGGAGGAAAAAAAAGAAAATAATGGAGACGCGACGACACATTGCATCTAAAGAATCGTGGTCAGGTGTGAATTGGCACTTGCAATAAGAGGGCCTCGTTTCATTTTAGTGGGAGTGCTCAATTTTTTCACTTTAGTGAGTTAAAACATACGCGTCTGAATGAAAAAAGAAGGAAAATGAAAACAGCCAATCAGATTCGACGTGAGCCTTGTTTTGAAAATGAAAAATGAATGTTTTTCGCCTGTTTTGAGTGTTTTCGCTGAAAATTCATTTTTCATTTTCTTTTTCGCTCTCTTTTTCCTTGTGCTCACCCTTAGTGTTCTGAGATTGAAACTCTCCCTCCTTCACCCTTTAAATACAGCCAACTCCCCCCGGGCATCTTCCTCTTTTTCCCTTCTCTTCTTCTTCTCCACACACTCTCGACTTTCTAGTCACCCACAAAAACAACTCTCTCTCCCACTCTCCCCCTTCAAAAACAAACTACTTCACATCATGTCTGGCCGCGGTAAAGGTGGAAAGGGTCTCGGAAAGGGCGGTGCCAAGCGTCACCGCAAGATTCTTCGCGACAACATCCAGGGAATCACCAAGCCCGCCATTCGTCGTCTCGCCCGTCGTGGTGGTGTCAAGCGTATCTCTGGCCTCATCTACGAGGAGACCCGCTCCGTCCTCAAGGTCTTCCTCGAGAACGTCATCCGTGACGCCGTCACCTACACTGAGCACGCCAAGCGCAAGACCGTCACCTCCCTCGATGTCGTCTACGCCCTCAAGCGCCAGGGACGCACCCTCTACGGTTTCGGCGGATAAATATCCACTCCTGTCCTCCGTCTCGTCTCTTTGCTCTTTAGCAACCACAACCACAACCAACTCCCATTGTACACAACATAATCCTTTTTTTCGCTTTGCGTTTGCTCTTGTAAAATAAAAACCTTTGTTTTCTATCATCCACATCGCATCCTCTTTGTGTCTATGTGTTGCCTCCTGAAATTGGCTTCAATTGCTATTACAATTTGGACTTGCGCAAATGAACGCAACATACAACTGATGAATAAATTCGACTTGCTGGTCAACTTGTCGAGTCTTCTGCTTTGTGCGTATCTTTTTCACTCTTTTTCTTCACCCAGAGTCGTAACTCCCTCTCTGTCTGTGTCAATTGTGTCTCTTGTGTTTGTGCGCGCAAGAAATATGCTTTATTGGCTGAAAAGTGAAGACAATGCAGACGGTGATGACTTGGCGTGACTTAATGAATGCACAAAAAAGGCTGATGGCTCAACTCTTACCGCCAACGCCAAAGTCTAGGTCGTCAAGAAAGCTCACGTCCAGGTCGTCAAACGTGGACCGTGATGAACTAGAGATCGATGTTAGCGACGGCGTCGTCGCCGAGATTTCTGCAGCGGCAAAATCGATCCGCCACGGTTATCATCCTTTTTCAACAGCCCTATCCACAACCACTGCAGACAAATCTGGATGATGCCGCGTGCGTTCTCTGATCTGCTCCACAACCGCCTTGGACCTCATACGCAGGTTTCCATCCAGTGCCTTGTCCAACAGCTTGTCCACTCCATAGGCAGTTGGACCAACAGCCTTCCAGGTTCCCATTGTTGTGATCAATTGATCAGGTGCTGATGCTCGTCGCTGCGCAGGCGTGTCCTCTCGCAAAGGCGCGCTGTCAGGCACTGAAGCGCGGCGAGGGGTGGGCGATTGACCCCTCGCTGTCACTTTTTCTAGGACCTCTGCCCATGTTGACACTGGTTGTGTTGATATTGCTGACGGTGTTGGGGGTGCTGCTGATGTCGGCGCCGATCTCTTGCGTGAGCTGGATGGCGATGATTTTGGTTTGTTGTTGGTGGTTCTTGTCGTCGCTTTGGATACCGCAGAGCCCCTAGACAGGGATATGCTAGGCGCTACTGTCGTAACAATTTCGACGGCCTCGTCCATGTTCAAAGTGCGGCTTGTAGGCGGTCCCAGAATGGGACCTTGGGATGGCAACGACGACGACTTGACTTGAACAGGCGCTCGTTCGACAGGTGCTACAGCAGGTCCTCTTGATGCCTTTCCGATCATGCGTGGCGAATCAACCTCCGGTGTGATTTCTATCACAATCCGTTTCTCCTTCTGCGTCGCCTGCCTTAGCTGCGGTTTCCCCTGCTGCACCACTGGCTTGCCGCGCTGTACTGACTCTCTCGGTTGTTGTGTCAAGGGTATCTCCTGTCGTTTCAATGCACTATGGTCATTCTGACCGGTGGTGTCGACTCTTTTGTCGATTGGTCTCTCGTTGCCCATCGATACAGTTGATGCCGCCTGTTTCTCATACTCTTTGCCCAAGATTGTCTTCCAGTTGGCAGGAAACCCATTTCGGAAAGCCTTGATCATGTCCTTGGAGAAGCCTGTCAGAAAAAAAGGCCAGCAGGTTATTAGTAATGACAAACAAATATGACACGATTTTTTCTCTCTTCTTTTTCATAGAGAACAGAACAATAACTGGAAGGCAAAAGGCAAGTAGAGACACAACATACCATTGCCTTCCATCTTTTGGACATCAATTGATCCGTAGAGGCGATAATACGATCCTGTGAAGGTCATGACCAAAGTCGGCTCTGGCGCATCCTTGATGGTCGACGTGTGCCACGTCTAGTGCGGATAAATTGATAACCTGATTAGCACCTCTGCGAATACAATCAAGTTATTTCTCAATGGCGATGGGAATCTTGCGCGTTTGTTCATACCATAACTTTCGGCTCGATCATATTTCCTTGCACCACAATGCCCAAGTTCCCATCCTGCGCCTATCATTCACAACAAAGTAAAATAAACAATGTCATTAGCCAGCGCAAGGAGGCCTCACTTGTACTCGATTACCAAACGTGTTAAACACAAAAAGAGAGACATACCAGGTTCTCCTTTCTCTTGAGCCACCACCCATGAAAGGCCTTGGCTCGTACTTGTGTCGATGAGGGTTGGCGTGACGGGCGGACAACTTTGGATGGCTGTTGTGAGCTCTGGTGTTCCTGTACGGGAATCCGTGCGTTTACTGGTAGCACGGTCTTTGTTGGTTCCGGGGTTGCGGTGGGATTATTCCTTGCATCCGATCTGGTCTGCCTCGGGGCATCCAATTTCATGTCGAGCACCGGTGCAATTTCTATGGTTCTCCGTGGAGTTGGTCTTGCACTGTTTGCTGTCGTTGCCTTGGTGGGTGATTGGGTGGTCAATGTAGTATCCTTGGTGGTAGAGGCGGTCCTTGTCTTCAAACCGGGTTCCTGCTTGGAGTCCTTTTTAGTAATTTTTTCTGTATCAGTCCGTAGACTTAGTGGGGGACCCTTTTTGGTGGACCTGACTGCAGTACTCCTCTCGGGGTGGTCCACCACAGGTATCACAACGCAATCCATTCGCTCGACGGCGCGATTTGGCCCATCCACGTTGGATATCTCAGCTGCTCTGTCCACTTCCTGGTGTACTTCCTCAAGCTCTTGAATCTGCTTTACTGCCTGACCTTGACCCTCATCATGCTGTAAAAGGCCTCGCCTGCGGGGTCTCGCCTTCCTCTCCTGCTGACGCTGCCGCTGTGTCATAGTCTCCCTTCCAGGGCTGTAATCGCTCTCGGACGTGTTACCCCCATAGTTGGTCACTGCGGTTGTCTCATCTTCCTCGTCCACAACGACAACTTCCTCCTTTTCGTCCTCGTCGTCCACGACCAAGACTTCCACATGGTCGTCCTGGAGGGATGGTGGCGTCTCAGTGTGTCGTGGACGCGGCGGTTTCCGTGGCAATGTCGGTTTCTTGGGAGTCAAGTATGTTGTGGCGGTGGTGGTAGTAGTAGTCGTATTCAGAGTATCGCTTAAAGACGGTGGTCCTGATCGCTGTTGTTTTGCTGGTCGTTTCTTTGCGGAGGATGTTGTTGACTTTCGTGTGTTGAAGGTAGATCCGCTGTCGCTAGACTCTGTGGCGTTATTGACAGAGGCAATGGATGAAGACCTGGCACGTTTGAGAAGAGCGACTCGTTTAGTATTGCTGGCATGACGGGTCCTACGGCTTCGTGCGGTGTCTGTCCAATCCTGAGGGACTGTGGATTGCGAGATATCCTCGATGAGAGACGAGATGATTCGACGAGAGGGGATTATGGCTGTTGCTCGGCTGCGAGATGCTCGCCCCCATGGTTCGGCTGGATACCGTAGAATGCGGAACTCCTCCTCTGGTTCTTCTCCATCGTTGTTGTTCTTGTCGTTCGAGTAGTTGTTATGTAGTTGGCTCTGACGCGACCGAGCTTTCAAGGCCACGCTCGGAGGGATCTGAAGCATCGGCAGTTCCTGTTTCTGACCATGGACACCAACCAGAGAGAGAGGAAAGAAGAAAAAAAGTTGAATGGAGTGGATGGATGGTGAGTTTCATATAGCCCGATGGTGTTTTTGATTCTCTGGCATGCTGGGTCAAGACCGCGCTTGTTTGACCCTGTTTTTGTGCGTGCTGGTAGTCAAGTCAAGATGAGAGACCAACCTGGGATGACCCGTCTCTAACGCTGGATTCCGAATTGCGAGCCATCCGTTTTTTTGATCCTGATGTCAGGTCCTTTGCTGCGCTGTTTGCTGTTCTGGTTGATTCTGTTGTTGGTGTGATGGCGAGAGGAGGTTGAGGCGGGACAAGGATCAAAGAAAAAATGGAGAGAGAAAGAGAGAGAGAGAGAAAAAAAAACTAGCAAACAAGTCTGTCGTGTGGCACCATCAGAATTCTTTTCTCCAATTCTAGTGGTGACAATCGTGACGCAATCCTCAGGGGCGATTTTGCAAAGACACCAAGAAGCAAAAAAGAGCTTTATGGCACCAAGCTCTGAAAGCAAAACAGAGAAAAGCTCATTGATGAAGCAAGCCCTGGATTGCTTCGCCCTGTCTTGATAGATCAAAGAGGCCACAGATATCCCCTTGGAATGTCACACTCAAAATATGAATCAAACTTGCATTGACTCGCGATAGAACATCTCACATTGACACAGCATGATTTTTTTTTTGGGATTGGTTTTTATGTTTGAAAACAAAGCTAGATGTACAAGGAGGGGATGAAAAAAGAGAAAAGAAAAAGGGTAGCAAGAGAGGAAAAAAGGAAGCAAAAGAGAATCTTGCACACTCCTGGAACGTCGACGGAAAAAGCGAAGATATTAAAACAAACGGGTTGAAAGTCGAAGATTATAAAACAGGTTGTCGTTCAGGATTGGGGTTGTGTGTATGTGTGTACAAGGAACCAAGGATGGCAAATGAAAATAAAGAAAAAGGAAAGAAAAAAAAGGACAAAAAGAGAATGATGGGTGCATCCTGCTATTCCCTTCCTATCCTTGACTCGATCTTCCTTCGACTCTCACAGTCGCCACTGCTCCTGATGCTGAAAAGCATATTCCTGTTTCTTTACTTGGAGGAGGTGTACTTGGTGACGGCCTTGGTGCCCTCAGAGACGGCGTGCTTGGCCAACTCACCGGGGAGGATGAGGCGGACGGCGGTCTGGATCTCGCGGGAGGAGATGGTGGAACGCTTGTTGTAGGCAGCGAGCTTGGAGGCCTCACCGGCGATGCGCTCAAAGATATCGTTGACGAAGGAGTTCAAGATGGACATGGCCTTGTTGGAGATACCGGTGTCGGGGTGGACCTGCTTGAGGACCTTGTAGATGTAGGAGGAGTAAGTCTCGGAGCGGGACTTCTTGCGTCCCTTGCCACCCTCGGACTTGGGCTTGCGCTCCTTCTTCTCAGAGGCAGCAGCGGTCTTGGCGGGGGCCTTGCCTCCGGTGGAGGGCTTCTTCTCGGCGGTCTTGGGGGGAGCCATTTGTGATGTGTGGGTGGTGGGTGGGTGGTGAGGAGAGAGAATGTGGGTTGGGTGGAAAAAAGTAGAAAAAGGAAAAAGAAAGCAAAAATGAAAATGCGGGCTGACCTTTATATAATGTGGCTTTGTGTCTGTCTGATCAAGGGTTGTCTCTAAGTGCAAGATGATGGAGTCGAAATGAAAATTGAAAGGGCGAAAAACAAGCGCGTCGAATCGAAATTGTTTTTTTTTTATCCAGAGCAACGAAAAACGAAAAACATTTCATTTTTCATTTTTCATTTTCAATTTCATTTTGTGGCGAAAACGAAATCATTTTTTTGTGGCAGACGCGTCCACCTCATCTAATTCGAATCGACAGTCTGAATCAGCGGGGACTATAAATACTGAGCACACGCCCCTTCCCTTTCTCCCTTTTCCCTTTTCCCTCTCACCCCACTCACTCTCACTCACTCACTCCCACTACTCAATCTCATCGACCTTTGCCTCGATCAGACCAACTCATCCCTCATCAACAAAACCCTTCACCCACAACACACTCAACTTATAACAATGTCTGGCGGCAAATCCGGTGGCAAGTCTGCTTCGGCTCCCAAGAACTCGACCTCCCGCTCTTCCAAGGCCGGTCTTCAGTTCCCCGTCGGTCGTATCCACCGTCACCTCCGCAAGGGTAACTATGCCCAGCGTGTCGGTGCTGGTGCCCCCGTCTACCTCGCTGCCGTCCTCGAGTACTTGGCCGCTGAGATCCTCGAGTTGGCCGGAAACGCCGCTCGCGACAACAAGAAGTCCCGTATCATTCCCCGCCACTTGCAGCTCGCCATCCGCAACGACGAGGAGTTGAACAAGTTGCTCGGACACGTCACCATCGCCCAGGGTGGTGTCCTCCCCAACATCCACGACTCCCTCTTGCCCAAGAAGACCAAGAAGGGTGGCCCCGCCTCCCAGGAGTTGTAAAGCGGGAATAACAACCAACCCAACCAAAATCGACGTCATCCGTTCTTTTTCTTTGCTTTGTTTGCTTTTTTCATTTTTCATTCTTTCCCTTTTTCGCTTCTGTATTTCTTACTTGACTCGACCAACCAACCTGGACTCGGCCCATTCTGCTTGTCTTTTCGGGACTTTTTTCCACTCTTCAGACCCTCCAGTCCGATTACAGTTCAACCTTTCTGATCTTGTCAAAGCAGACACACTCCATGGCTCAGGAATGGCTCGCTTGAATCACTTTCTTCCAACCATTACTTTTGTACATAATTTTTTCTAATAAAAACATTCTGCCATAGATACCGATCCTTCTTTTCGCATTGACTCTTGGCTTTTTTTCATTCTAGAGTTTTTCACTCTCACTTCAGACTTTTACTTTTCCGAGTCAAATAGACCATGCGGACCCGAGCTGGATTCTCGACCTTGGACTTGAGCTGCATTCTTGGACTGTGCGGAACCGAACTGTATTCCCAATTTTCAACTTTGAACCGCTTCCTGACCTGAACCATGCGGACTTGAACCGAGTTATCAATATTGGACTTGAACTGGATTATCGACCTGGATCTTGGACCTTTCTTGACTGGTTGACTTGGACCTCTGTCAACCCGATCAAATGTTCCTCTTCCATGAACCAGATCTTTGAACCTTGACTTGAACTCGGTACATTTTTTTCGAGCATGATCCAAATGATCCTTATTCATCCATCTACTTTGACATACTTTGATCCCTCAACCCATCTGAACTACTTTGAACCATTACGAAGGACTTGTCTCAACCCAAACAAACTGAACTTGCCCCTTTCCACAAGAGCAAGCACGCGAAAGCACCAAAACCATGGACTTGAACTTGGGCTTTTCGAAGGGTTTGAGATTCTGTAAACGCAAGAAAGGAGGAAAAGATAGAGAGAAGGGAGGCATCGAGCAGCATTCTGTTTGTGCAAGTAGCCAACCTAATAAAAAAACCTGTTTTGCTGATAATGTGGTAATACTGGGTAGATCTCAAAACACCAAGCATATAAAAAATCGGACTGAAAAAAAAATGCATGATGATGATAAAAAGACCTTTTGAAATAAGGGTGAGTCTCCGTGTGCAGAGTCAGGGCGAAAAAAAAATAATAAATAACAACAGCGCCAATTGAATTACAACTCCGCCTTACTTTTTGTGTGCTGCGAAAGAAGAAAAAAAAATGCAAAAGAGGGTGCGCCTTTTTATTTGTATCTAAAGCTGGGCAAGACGGCTCTTGATCTCGGCAATCATCTGGGTACGGGGGTACTCGATTCCTCCCTTCTGGGACTCATCCTTGGAGCGCATATCCTTGATCTTGATAAGTCCCTTCTCAATCTCATCGTTTCCAACAATGACCGCAAAGGGAATCATGTCACGATCACAGGCATCCCATTGGTTCTGCGTCCTGGGCTTCAGCTTGTAAGCAAACTCGGCCTTGATACCGGCATCCCAAAGCTCAGTACAAATCTTCATCCTCTCCTCGACAGAGACACCTCCCAACCCAACGACGTAGACCTCGACCTCGTTACTCTTGATATCCTCCTTCTTTTGCTTCTGCATCAGGATCGAGAACACACGCTCGACTCCGATCGAGATACCGACACAGGGGATGAGCAGGTTGGGCTGGCCCTTCTTGTTGGTGCCAGAGAACATGCCCACAAGGTTGTCGTACCGTCCTCCTGCAGCAATCGATCCAACACCGACAGTGCTCTCGTCCAACTCGTCAGTGCCCTTCTTGACCGTAGCACGAGCCTTCTCTCCATTTGCCAAAGCTATCATGAGCGAGGTGAAAGTAAGGGCGAGTTAGTGAGTGTTTACAGGGAAGCGACAGTTCAATTCGCAAATGGATAGTTAGCCATATCTCAATGAGAAAAAAGAAACATACTGGGAGGAGCAGAGCCTTCCAAGACGGCCTCGTAGATCAAGCCGGTGTAGTAGTCAAGACCACGAGCAAGGGAGAGATCGAAGGAGACGTAGCGAGTGACGTTGAGGACGTTCAGGTACTTGAACAAAAGGGTCATGTCATCCAAACCCTCCTTGGCACGAGTGTTAGCGCCCAACTTGGCATCGGCATACAAGCGCTCCAAGAGCTCAGCGCCACCTATTCAAGGACAACATGCGTAACAACATCAAAATATGATTAATACTACACATTTACCATATGAAGCATTCATCCACAACCCACAGCATGTAAAAGTAACGGACATACCCTTCAACTGGACGTATTCACCGATAAGATCAGCAGCCTTGGGGTCAAGACCCTTCTCCTCGGTCATCTCCTTGCGGACCTCAGCCCAAGGGAGCTTGTCTAGCTTATCGACGGCAGACGAGATGGTGCGGATCTTGTCCTCGGGGACACCGCAGACCTCAAAGATACCATCCAGAATCTTGCGGTGGTTCAGCTTGATCGTGAAATCGCCCAAATCCAACTCTGTCAAGCACTCGGCTAACACTCTCAAGCACTCGCTATCGGGGATCATGGCGTCGTATGTTCCAGCAACATCGAAATCCTATTGTGTGTTCAGGATAATTAAAGAGGAATATATCGTTAATGTCGTGTACGCTTTCAGAACAAAAAAAAGCAACAAAAAGGAATGGCAAGTAAGGTCAACGCTAAAACGTACGCATTGGTAGAACTCTCTCATGCGGCCCTTGGTCATGGCGGGCTGATCGCGACGGTAGACCTTGGCGATGTGGTAGCGCTTGATGTTCTGGTACTCCTTTCCGTTCATGGCCAAGAAGCGGGCAAAAGGAACAGTCAAATCGTAACGAAGCGAGCACTTTTCGCCTCCTTGGTCCTCGAGATCGTAGATCAACTTGCTGTCCTCGCCGTACTTTCCAGAGAGAATCTCCTTGAGCTCGAAGACGGGTGTGTCGATGGTAGTGCCTCCGTGCTTCTTGAAGACTTTGATGATGGTCGAAAAGATCTTTTCCCTGACAGCCATCTCTTGAGGAGTGTAATCCTTGGTACCCTATTGTCATTTGAATGGAGATATCATGGGTATACCATGTCGTGGGTTAGTTGTCAATGCATTGGAGGGTGTATGAATGCCCACAACAAAAAGAAAAAGATAACACATTTCAAAAAAGGGTGAGTCACACACAACCCATAATACAACACATTTCTACTTTTATGCTACAACCATTGAAAGTACAGAAGGCATTAACAAATAGTCGAAGTGTTACCTTGGCGTTCTTGAGGGTGAAGGCGCCCTTGCCCTTCTTGTCATCACCCTTTGCGGGCTTAGTAGCAGGGGCAGCAGTAGCAGCGGCAGCGGCGGGGTCAGAGAGAGAGAGGGCCTTGAGCTCGGCTTTGAGGGCGTTAAGGATGGCGACCTCTGCGGTGATCACGTCCTTGTCTGCCTTGGAAGACTTGAGGGAACGGACCTTGTTGCCCTGTTCTGTGATGCGTTGCTCAATGGCTTCCATTGTTGATTTGTGAATGATTAAAAAGAGTGAGAGATGTGTTTGAAATGCAGCGAGGGTCCTTTCTGTCCCTTTTATCCTTTCCTTCCGGTGGCAACTTTTTTTTTTTAATTGTGGCTTGTGTATGTATGTCTGTGATCTGACAATGGAATGAGTGTAAGAAATGAAATCGACAGAGACGCGCCTTTGCCTTTGCATAGCAAAATCGACAGAAATGAAAAATGACAGAGTTGTGTGTCTTCTTTGTCATTGACTCAACGTTGAAGCATCTTCTGGTCAGAAAAGAACAGGAGGTGCTTCGCCGCCTGCTTCGCCGCCTCACTCTGGCCATGTCCATACGCCATCAACATCTATATTTCATGCATCAGGATTAAACCAGAATCATCATTTATGACTCAAAAGTTAGCATGTACGTCGAGCCAGGCTCATACAACATCAGGGCGAGAGGACAATGGATAGGAGATAACTTACGGAGATGAACTCACGTCGAGAGGTCTCATAGTCAAAGAGGTTGAGGTACTTGTCCAGGCGCTTCTCCATGTCATCAAAGTCGCCTGGATGCCGCACCACATACTGGGCTACATGGGCCAGCTTCTCCCGATCCGAGTGCGACTTTTTCAAAGACTGGTATAGATCGACGCGCTTGGCGGGTGCGAGGGGAAGCGACAGGTTGTCATTGCCTGTGCTCGTCGACTTGCCTGCCCTTCTATCCACTGTAGAGTAAGGTGTCGCATCCTGTTGTAAGGCATTTGAAGCATCCACTTGACTCTGCAAGAGCTCTAGAATCGATGGAGGATAGGTTCTCTCTGGTAGAGAGTCTGGCTTTCCTAACGCTTTGCCCTTTGATATTGTCAATAAAACAAGAGTGGGTCAGCCGATTAGCAAAAGCAATACAATAAAGCCCAAATGCTCACAATTGCAATGCCAGAGCCATCCAGGAATAGCGTCCAGCATACACACCTTTCGCTTGCGAAGTCTTAGCCAGCGTCGCCTGCGAGCAAAGGACCGAAAGACCTCATAGTTGCCATGCCAGGGTGATCCATGAAAGGTCATAGCATACTCCCATCCATCCTCATCCACATCTCCCGTCATGTCGACCAGCCAACTCTTGTGGACCCACTCCCAGCTCGGATCAGGTAACTCATAGTCGGAAGTGTCCATGGCAGATGTTTGGAACGTTTGATCAGTCCACTCGTCCGGGTCGACGGGTAGCAACGTATTTGAGCTGAACTTGGGAGTACCGAGAAAGAAGGCACCTCGTTGGTGTTGATACAAAAAGTCGTAGACGAAATCTCCTTCAGGCTCTGGGTCCCCTTGACATTGAAAGTATCTCCGGTCGCCTGCCGCGGTCTGTGCGTCCACAAGGCGAGCTGGTTCCAGATCAATCAGGTTCGAAGTCTTTTTCTTCTGCCTTGCTTCCAGCGCGCTTCCTGCAAGACTCACACTCCGACTCTTCTTCCCGGCAGGGTCGTTGGTGGTGGTGGCGGCATCGGTGACATCTGAGGACTGGCTATCTGTTGGGGTGTCTGCTGACAATGTGGGGCTTCCAGAAAAGACTGGAGGGTGTTCATCCTGTTGAGGCGAGTGGGTGAGATTTCTGCGGACAGCATTGAGTTTGGAGAGGGGTTTCAGCTTTTGCTTGATCTTTTCGGCCGCACGCTCGTTCTCCCTACGGGCTTCCTCCTCGGACAGCCATTGGACTGAACCTGGTTCAAACCCACTGGATGTTGTATCTGTGGTTTTGTCAGTGCTGGCATCGGATGTCAAGGGTTCACGAGCAAGGATTTTGTCGGTTGACGGAGTCATGTTGGGCCGTGCAACTTCAGGCTGGAGGACGTTGGTGGTTCTCGGACTGCTGCTGCTCTGCTCGTCTGTTCTTGCTGTGCCTGTTCCTGCGCCTGTTCCTACATCTAGCGGTACTCTTGGGTCCATTGTGTGCTACAGTGGGTGTACGTGTGAGTTTATTTGTGAAGGAGTGGTGAATGAGAGGAGGAGGAAGAGGAATGAGGAAGCATCGTTTTTCCGTGTCTTTCGTCGTTTAAAAAGGGAGAAGATAGAGAGAGAGCATGACAGACCTGTTGGCTGAAGCAATGAGCGCATTCGATAGGAGTAAATCGCCCTTAACTGAAGACTGATTGCCACGATACACCCTTTCACAGGCACAAACCATACATCAAAACGAGCGCACTATCTCTGTGTAACTTGAAGCAGTCCCCTTGACTGTCTGACTGCCACGACCATCATCATCTGTTCACTCCCACACAGCTTACTTCTTGGTTCTCTCTCTCATCACCACCAACAAAGCCAATCGACTCTTGACATACAACAGGACGCTGGATTAGCACCCACTAGCTCACTCACATCACAACAGCAACAAGGACACTTCAGGACACAACTCATTCCCACACATCGATCCACACAAACACAAAACACCATGGTCAACCTTACATTGTACACCATCAAGGCTGTTGTGATGCTCGACAGCGAAGGAGGACGCGTCCTTGCAAAGTACTTCGGCCAGGACTACTCTTCGCCCAAGGACCAGAAGGCCTTCGAGAAGGGTCTCTACGACAAGACCAAGCGTGCCCCCCATGGCGAGATTCTCCTCTTTGACAACCAGGTTGTCCTCTACCGTTTCCACGAGGACGTCTTCTTCTACATCGTCGGCATGCCCGAGGAGAACGAGGCCATGCTCCTCGTGATCCTCAACGCCTTCTCCGACGCCGTCTCCATGTTGCTCAGGTAACTATTTGGTTGTCAATTCGGTCAATATAAAGACTCCCCTGCCATTTTCGCCTTACATAACTCCACCGATCATTTGACTTGTCAAGCGATAGCCGCAACTAACCCGTATTCATTGCTATACATCGTATTCAATTGGACCCTTAGACATCAAATCTCAAAGCGCGTCATCTTGGAGAACTTGGACTTGGTTGTTTTGGCATTGGACGAAACGATAGATGAAGGGTACGTTCCTCACTTTATTTCAAGATCATGTCGAACCACTCGCACATATCGTACATGGATACCTTGGATCGTTGCTTGTGCAAAAGCTGACCGCCTCTTTTTATTTCTTTCATGTGAATAGAATTGTGCTGGAAACGGACCCTTCGGCGATTGTTGCTCGTGTCTCAAAACCAAGAGAGAACTTGTCAGATGTGCCACTGTCTGAGCAGACCTTGATCCAGGCCTACCAGACCGCCAAGGAGAAGTTTGGAACTGCACTCCTCAAGTAGACACATACACCCAGTTGTGTCCTTTTTTACCCTTTTTTTCCTCAGTGGATATTTTTTTTTTCTTTTTTCGTGGAGCTCAATTCATCAACCAGTCAATACAACTCAGGAACAGAGAGGGTCATGGATCGAGAGACGATTGTTGTCAGTTCAAATGCTAGAATCAGCGATGGATCCTTTTTACTGTAGAGGTTTTTTTTTGTAGTGGATAGGGAGCGAAAGAATAAACTTCTCGCGTATTATCGTCCTTTCCCTCGTCGTTTTCTTTTGCTATCGATCATACTAGCAGCCATAGTCGAAAAAAGATCCAGCAGTCACGTGTAAGGTTGACCCTTACTGTGTCCAGCTGATTCGTTCGACTTGAACGCCCTCTTTTTCTCACCTCTCAACTCCTTCAATCCCCATTCACTCCCTCCTCCAACGCTGTAAGTTTAAAGGAGCCGACGCACTTTTATCCTTTGTACTTCTTCTTAACTTAATCTCTCCCTTAACAGCCATTGTCATTCGATCTTCAGTCTGTTTTTCCCCTCGCCCTTCATTCACCCACTGACCACATCCCTATTTTCCTTTCTTTCCCAACTCCACCAGAAAAAAAAGAGACGTCACCAATCACCCTGTCCTCCTTCAACAGCTTCCTTCACACACACAATCCCTCCTCTTCACGACAAAAACGATATAACTAAATGGGAGTCTATTCTACACGCGACAATGGCGGTGGCGGATACTCGGCCTCGTCGCTCCTCCCCTACGTGTCCATCACCGGTCTTGGCCTCGTGGGTCTCTACATGCTGTTGACAGGATCAGGAGAGCAGTTTGCAGTTGGCGAGTTCCTCCTCAGCGTCAGTCCCTATATGTGGTCCCTCCTCGGTATCTCTCTCTGCGTCGGTCTCTCTGTTGGTGGTGCCGCCTGGTGAGTTCTCCTTTTGATTGGATTTGGCAAAGGATATATTTGAATGTGTGTGAACAGTATGTTGAAGAGCATAGGTGAGGTTATAGAGACAACGAGAACTGACGACTTTTTTTGTTTGCTTTGCGTGTTTGCATGGTGTGCGTTGATGCGATTAGGGGAATCTTTATTACTGGAGCAAGTTTAGTCGGAGCAGGAGTGCATGCGCCAAGAATCGTCACCAAGAACTTGATCAGGTATGCACCCAACCAACCCAGGACACTGACATGAAAGTCAGACAAAAGAAACCTCCCTGCCCATCACGCGGCGCATAACACAGTCGGACAAAGGAGAGACAGGACAAACGACAATATCTACTCCCCCTGACCCTATTTTTTGATGTTGTTGGAGTCGTGACCTCAGGACCAACAGAAAAATATCATAGCTTATTATGCGTAGTAACCAGCAATATTGGCATGCATGGACCACACCTTACTGACACACACACGTTGTTACTCTTCAATGGCATGCGATAGTATTATTTTCTGCGAGGTTGTTGCGATTTACGGTCTGATCATGGCCATCGTCTTCACCGCAAAGCTCAGCAGCAAAAACGACGCCAGCATCACCTCCTCAGAGGCCTACTACAAGGGTGGGGTTTTTTTTCTTACAGATTCCTCCAGCGACGACTTTTTCAGCTGTGAAGCACATGCTGTACCGCGTTCTCACTCCTTCTTGCGTTATGATATCTAACCTCTTTTGACAACTGAAATACGAAAATGTAGGATTTGCGTTGTTCTGGGCAGGATTGACGACTGGACTGTGCAACTTGGTGTGCGGTGTCACGGTCGGAATCAGCGGAAGCAGCGCCGCCTTGGCAGATGCTCAGGACGGCCAGTTGTTTGTCAAGGTCCTCGTCATTGAGATCTTTGGCAGTATCATTGGTCTCTTTGGCCTCATCGTCGGTCTCTTGGTCGTACGTATCTCTTTTTCGTTGTCGTTTTTTTGCGATTGTCCAGGGGTGTTTCACTTCGTGATGTTGTGAATCTAAATGTTGACTGACACTCTGTTTTTTCTTTTTTTGTTGCGATATGATAGAGCGGAAAGGTCAATTAAGTGTGCAGCCTCTGTTGTTGTTTATTCCGCCCCTCTTCTTCCCACCCTCTCTCTTTTCAGGGCGCGCTTCTGGATGTAGCTTTCTTTTGTTGGCGACTTCAGGATCCAGTCCTTCTCTCTCTTCTTTTTTTTTTCGTCATTGTTCAATTAAAAAATCGTCGAGTTCTTTGACAGAAAGCAAGCAAGTCAAAACATTGAAGACAGCAGGAATCAGTTCAGGAAACTCGAAGAAAAAAGGCATACGTTCCAATTGGATATCATTATTTTTCCACGACCTTTTATTTTCTTTCGTATCTTTCGTATCTTTCTTCTACAAGGAGGACCACCATCCAAAGAGGGCTTGTTCAACCTCCTGCCAGGTATCCATCTCTCCAATCACGGGGACACATCTTGTCAAGTGCAAAGCCAGCCCCTCACTTGGCCACAACAGGACGTGCCACATGCACCTCCTTGCCAACGAGATCGACCCTGCTCCTGCTCCTGCACCCACAGCATCATCCGCAGCAGCAGCAACAGACTGACGCTGCTGCTGCTGTTGACGAGTCTTGAGCGCAAGGCGCCTCCAAGAATCGAGAAGAACTGCTAGGATGTTTGAAGAATCTCGTCGCCCGTTGAGGATGGTGACGAATACGGATACATAATCGATCAATGGGTCGGACTCTAAAAGCGCGTCGCCATAGTCGATCATGTTTGTTGGTTTGAATGTTGGAGTTGTTTGTTGGTGAGAGGCTGTAGAGATTGGGATATCAGGACGGTGATGATGAGGAGGAGGAGGGGGTGTAGTGTCAGGTAGGGGAGTGGTCGCGTCGGTGGAGGTTGGGGTTGTGTCGTCGTCGACGATGGTGTGAGAGAAGTGGGATTCAAAGTTATTGTTTGCGAGCGCGAGAGCGAATGCCTTCATATTGTCGTCGGTGGAATCTTGTCCTTGAGCAGCGGGAGGGATGATGGGAACGTCACCGCCAGCGACAGAAAGAGAGGTGGCAACTCTGGCATAAATAAGGTCCTCCTCTCCCAGGTGGATGGGGGTTTCTTGTGCATCGTACGAGAGCATCAAATTGGCGAGCCACGACGGCTTGGACTGATTACCAAGGATATTGCTTGGGTTCACGTCGCCGTGTACCAGAGACGCTACAATATCGCCCCGGGTTTGCGGGTCGAAGAGAAGGGAGGCTGAGGTGGGGAGGTAGTCTGGGAGTTGGTCGAGGAGGTGTTTTGGGAAGAGTCTCCAGCGTGCATGGTTGAGGTGTGCGGATTTGAGGCGTTGTGGGATGGCGGTGCGAGAGATTTCGTGGATCTTGGGTGAGATGGTGTGCGGTTTCAGGTTCAGTGTATGGTAATCTATGGTTAATCGAACAAGGGAGACATGGTTGAGTACGAGGAGACTTTAGGTTGGCTTTCATATCAACTAATACGAAAAATAAGAAAGCTCACATTGAAGGCCCTCCATGAGCGAGGCCACAAAGGTTTCATCAACCTGCTGGTCCGGAAGAGAATCCAACGCATGAGACAGCGACATGCCCGACACGGCCTTCGTAATAATATACGGTCTACGCCATTGAACCGCCCCTCCTTCCTGCCCCTCTGTTGGCGAAGTACCCTCAGAAGAAGAGGACTCGGAATAGTATCCGTGTCCCAGCATCCGGGGTGATGAGAGTGTTGGGACGTTGCTATTGCGCTTGCGTTTTCCGGCCCTAGATTTATCGTCCATGAGGAGTTGGTTCGCGGCCACTTCTGAGAGGAAGGATGGGAGGCCGTCCTGGTAAGGTGTGAAGAACTTTACAAAAGCGCCCTCTACGAAGAAGCACTATTGTCGCACGGTGAATTAGTTGTCTCGTTAATATATTCATAGAATCAATGGCCTCTGCAAGTTACAAGTTCACGAATGAACGACCCTAAAAAAAAACTTACGATATTTCGTCCGCCAAGAACGGGCTTGATATCATTGACGTCGGCGTCAATTCCAGCGCGCTGAAGAACGTCCTGAGCACGGGACCGCCAGGTACTCAAGGAAACTGCCGAGTCAACATCAAGCAACAGCGGTTCTTTATCGGCAAGTCCCGGTATCAATAGTTCGTCAGGGCGAAATGAGAGTGCTGGGATCAAGTCTGGTCTGCGGCTGCCAATCTCCTTCTCCAACAACTCCCATCTCTTCAGCTATGCAAGCGAATAGTTAGAAAAGCGTATGTCAATAGCGCGCCTTTCGAATTGAAATGCATTGGTAACAATTGTGCTTGAAACAAATGACTGAAAGAGTACCTGAGTGGTCTCCTTCGACTCGCTCAGCAGGGACCACTTGACGTGCAAGAGGTTAGCCTCATCTGCAAAGTTGTGCGTCACAGCCACAGTATCGTCCATGTTGATGACCATATGCCACCATCCCGACGGTACATAAATCGTTTGTCTAACGTCCAACAGAAAGCGATGATCGATTTAGCAATTTGAGTCGCAGGTCATTCATAACTCGCAAAGCTTTGAACTGTCATGTTTTGCTTACCCTGGATTCTGGACGATTTCGAGGGGTAGTGACTCTGGTGGGAGGTTTGGGTAGACGTCCAGGTACCATGACACGGATGTCATTCTCTCGGATGATGTGGGATCGTGGCCTGGAGGGATCATATGCGGAGGATACCTAAAAGGTTTACATGGATATATAGCGGTATGTAGGTGTCAATCCTCATACTTCAATTGAATCTGGTTGCTGAGGTGGAGTGAGTGTCAGTGTCCGCGCGAGACTTACAATGCCCAACGCTTGTGGCCTGACAGCAACGTGTTCCAAGCTACGTAAAGAGCGCGAAGAAAATTTTCAGACGGTTAGGCGGGCAAGCTGAAGCCAAGGCTAAGAGGATATGCAATAGTCAATGCCATACAATACGAGAGGTACATACCAGAGGTGCCGGATGGATCAACGTGCCAAGGGGCGCCTGTTCGCTGCGGCCCGACCAACAGCCATCGGTATGGTGGACGGATGTCGCCCTCTAGCAACGAGAAGTAGTCGAACTCGAAGTACTTTGGCACCTATTCTCAAATAAAGCACCCCGAAGGCGCGAAAGTATGAGTGTGGGTGCAACATCCAGAATCCAGCCTTTTCAATCCCAAGTATGAAAGAAGCGCGAAGTACCTCATAGGCAGAGTCCATCTCGGGAACATTATCTGCAAAGTAAGGGTCAAACAGATAGAGCGGATCTGTATCATTGTTGTGCTGGATGTAATGCAAAAAGTCGTCGAACCTCATGTTGAAACTCGGTTCCTTGTCGCTCTCGATGTTGGAGATCCGGAACAGCGTGTCGCCATACTAATGCCAAGAAAAGGGAAAAAAAAAAGCGTGCATGTTAATTTTCCAAGTCAGCTGCCTGCAGTGGCGAAGCAGCACGGCTTCAAACAGCACCCCCTAGAATGCAATTGACACAAAGACTGAAATGGGCCAATATGTATACCTTGGCGGCAAGGGTATCAAGAGTCCAACCCTCCCAGGCGGGCCATTGCTCAACGCCCGAGTTTTGGATCATAAGTGGGCGATTAGGGTATCGGTAGCGTCTGTCAAATGTCTCTTGGTCGAGGTCATCATAGTTCTCGAGCGCAAAGGAACGGTGGGACGAGTGGTGATCTGTTGGGGCAGGGTCGATTGGAGGTAAAGGTGGAGGTGGGTAGAAGTAGCCTAGGAATAGATGGCCGCGGTGCCATTGTTGACTTAGGTACGGCGAATTCACGCCTAAAGTATATACATGCACAAATGACAGTTGAGTATCACGCCCAACAAAACTCAGCCCCCTTTCCCATACCGCTGTCAATAATTGCTTCGAAGTCCACATAGTTGAAAAGTACCTTGGACAGGAAGAGGGTGCTTGACGAGGGGATAGTTGGCGCATGTCTCGTTATGGTCTGGAGTGGGGAAAAGATATGTGAGGAACCAGCTGCCGCGGAAAACAATGCGGGTTGAGTTGCGGTCTCGGCAGTCAAAGAACAATCGCTTCCAGACATAGTCGTTCCTGGCAAAGGCGTTCAGATACCGAGATGTCAATGCTAACGACAAGAGGTCCTAGAGAGTTGCATATTGTTGTGCGTTAGGTTAAATAACTGGAAATGTGCCTGTGAAAGCGCGAAGTGGTAGTATGTTTCACCCACCTTTGGGCCAACGAGGGTCAGGATGCATTCGACGAGGAGTGAGTCTGGGAGGGCATGCAAGGCGCCAAGACTAGCTAGCCTGGCAGGGTCAAGAAGTTCCATGGTGATGGGGTCAAGGTCCATGCGAAGAAGAAAGGATCGATAGGGATGAGAAAGAGAGAAGGAATGGAAGAATGGAAGAATGGAAGGATGAGAAGCCATAATAAATAACGAAAACGTCTTTTCGACTTGTGGCTGTGCGCTGAGCCACTACGGATGATACCATTGGTCCAGTATACTCGCTTCACTCAGCTGGGGACCTGCCTTTCAAACAATTGAACAAAGAGAACAAGAACGAGTCGGAAAGCCGCTTTATTGATATATGTACATTTTTTTGAGAGAATTAGGAGCCCTGGCTCCATTGTTGACTTGAGTAGCCGGCGGCCGGAGAGCCAAGGCCTGGATGTGAGAGTGAACGGTGGTCGTAGGTCATGCCGTGGTGCAGATGTGCAGGCGTGCCTCCTGATCCACCATGATGCCCGTATCCTGGCCCGTGTCCAATGTGATGGCTGTGTTCGTCCCTGGGCCGTTCCGTCACTTGGAGTTTCGAAAGCCAGGCATCCAACCATGGCTCGACCTTGTCCGCGACAATCCTGCATTCCTCGCTCGACGACTTTACTGCCCTAATCTTTTCCTCGATGGTCGCGTTTTCTCTCTTCATGGTCTTTTGCCGGGCGTCGGAGATGCGGTCGAGCTCACAGACTAGGTTGTCCATGACCTGTACGCGTAGACACTGTTCCCTCCAGAATCGGATGGCTTCCTTGACTTCTCCTGCGAGGTACAGCACACGATTGTTGTTGAAGGGGGCGCCAATGCCAGCACTTGCGCCGTTGACGCCGATAGGTCCTCCGTTGGCTCCGTTGGGGTCTGGGTGTCCATTGATGCCGACAAGACCCTTAGGTCCTCTATTGTTGGGTGACATGGCTCCGTTAAGAGGCGATCCTGCTGGTGCTGGAGGGGGCATGGGTCGGGCGAGGAGGGCGTCGACTTGGGAGAGAAGGCCATCTCCTGCTCGTTCTACGTTCTGAAAGGACTGGAGGGCGTAGTCGCGGATGTACTGGAGCAGGTCTGTGAGCTTGTCGACTCGTTCGAACTGGCGGAAGAAGGATGACGAGTCCTGATCGACCTGCCACGGGCAGAGGATGACGGCGCGGCGAATGTAGCGAAAGAGGAGAGTCCTGAAGTGGTTGTGGTCCATAATGAGTCTTGTCAGTCGTGCATCCAGCTGATCCTGGTCAATCAGCCCACTCGACGACATGATGTATTATTCGCACTGAGGAACTGTTACTCTTGTTGGAGGGGGGTCCGGTCAATGGCGTGTTTTTTTTGGGGTTCGCAGTGATGGTTCCTGTTTGTTGGCTCTTTTTGTTCCTCCTGTTACGTGGGGTTTCGTCCTGCGAAGTGCTGCTGCGTGCACGCTATGTTGTTGTATGTCCAGCGAGGAATGGCGCTTGGTTGTGTTGATGAATGAAGGGAGAGCGGTAACCTAGAGTTTGAAGAATGAAGAAACGATACGGATGAGCGTCTATTTTATATGCCGAAGAAAGGCAATAAACAACGGAGAGTAAGGTGATCTCCATTGTTCTTGTCAAAGAGACACGCTTCCTGGTTCGCCTTTTTGTTTTTGCTTGTTGATGTTGTTTTGCTGTTCCTTTGTTATATGTTATGGATGTGTGGTTTGGTGAGTGTACCTCTTGAAAGGGTGATGGGTATGGCCGGCTTGGTCGATGTAAAGGCCGGTTGGAGTAAGGGCAAGCGCAAGTGAAGGTTGAGGTGTTGTGTATGTGTATTTAGAGTGTTGATGGTGGCAAACAGTCGACTCCAAGAGAGATCTTTTTTTTTTTTTTTTTTTTTTTCTTTTTCACTTGGTGGCTTTGTTTACGTGTTCCAGGTAGGTGTTGTAGAAGTCAAGGGAAAAAATGAAGCTTAACAAAAGCCAAAAATTTGGCTCTGCGAAAGTGAAGTGTCTGGCTGGACCATACCTTCTTTTGTTTTTTTCAGCCTGCTTTCAGCAAGGCAGCAAAAGAGGCGAGCCTATGCTTTGGGTCTTGTATGTATGTATCAGCAAGCATAGTTGTTACAGCCCCGATGTCGGCTGTTTGTTATTATGGTGGCATGAGTGTGAGTGCTAGGATGAGGATTTGAGGGATGAAGGTTGCTGAAGTCATCAAAAGAAGAGATGAGACGAGTACGAGAGGATGAGTACAAAAGAGCTGAACGTTGAGACAAAGTAGCGAAGAGAGAAGAAAGGAAGAAGAAAGGGCATATAAAATAAAAAGGCGGGGTTGTGTGGTATTTGATGTGTGTGTGCCTTGTGGGGAGTGAGAGTGAGGAGCGAGTAGGAGATAAGGCAGAAGAAAGGGCAGCAACGTGGGTGGTGGGACACAATTAAAAATGGGAGTGCTATTTGTGGAACCAGCCATTGCGAGTGCCAGTAGGGGGAATGAATGAAGGAAGGGGTGAAGAATTTTTGATACAGGACGAACGAAGGGGACTCTGCTGCTGCCTCGCTGTCTAATGTGTGTGGGTGTGTGTGTTCAAACTTCAAAGAGACTGAGCACAGAGTGGACAGACAGTACAGTGCAGTACAGCAGCACACAGTAATAAGCTACAGTAGCGACGAAGGAATGAGGTTGAGAGCCTTTGTTCTGTTCACTTTATTCTTTTTTTGCCTTTTTTTTTTTTTTTTTTTTTTTTTTTTTCTTTTTCAGCTCCACCCTCCCCCCTAACAGGTATTATTATTATGATTATGATTATTATTACGATTATGATTATTTGCTTTCCTTGGTTGGTTGGTACTTTGTAGACATCGTTCTTCCTCCTCTTTCTTTTTTCCCGCCCTCTTTTCTTCTTTTTGTTCGTACCTGACCATATCAACTCTATCCACACCTGTGTCGACTGTGCTGCTGCTGCTGCTGCTGCTGTCACTCTTCCCCTTCGTCCCTTCTTCTTCGTCTCTGCTGTATTCTGTAATTCATAATTCGGTCTTCGTCTCACATACCCTTCCTGACACTAATTATTAAATAATTATTCTTCTCACTTCTCTCTTCTCTCTCTCTCTCCCTCTCTGCCTCTTCCCCTTCCTTTCCCCCCCTTTTTCGCTCGTTCGTTCGTTCGTCCGTTCGTTGGTTTTGCTTTCCTCCTTCTTTCTCTCCCTTCTTCTACACCCCTCCCTCACCCCCTCACCTCTTACTCCACCTTTTTATTATTATTATTATTATTCTTCTTCTTCTTCTTCTTCCTTTCCCTCATCTCATCCTCATCCTTCTCTACACATACCCTCACTTTCATCATCCTCATCCTCATCCTCACTCTCTCCGCCATCGCCGTCAACCGTTGACGGACAGCCAGACAGGAAGAAAAAAAACCCCACACCCCACCCACCTTTTTTCCCCTCACGCCTCCTGCCTCCCTGCCTGCCTCCACTCAACGAATTCACACACGCATACATAACATATACTCACAGCAGCAACAACAACAACAACAATACATACACATAGTAACGCCATCATCATCATCATGTCGTCCCCTTCCACACCATCCCCCTCAGGGACCACCGCCCGCAAATCTGCCCTCTTGGCTTCATATGGTTACCCCTCTCAGCCAGGCATGGTCAGGGCCGTCGCCGCTGCTGCCGCTGCCTCATCCGACGGCACCGGTCCCAACTCCCCCGGCCCCCTCTCTGGCCGCAAAGGCTCCATCTCCACCACACGCAGCAGCTATCGCTACTCACAACTCTACTCTATGGCCGCAGAACAGGATGTCGAAGTCGAGGATGACCTCGCCCGAGGTTAGTTTTTCATCATCATCTCTTTTCTCTCTTTTTGCTGTACCTGGACAACTTGTCTGGGCGGTAATAGTAGTAGTATTGCTGCTAACTACCATAAGGCACAGATGGATATATTATGTGCCTGCAATTGAATAACTCTCCTGAAGTGAACATGCATATTAACCGTTTGTTGTTGTCTTTATTATTGTTATCAACCCCTCTTACCTACCACCAACAAACGACTAATTAAATAGCCCAGAAGCGCCTGAGAGAGTTAAAGACAAAGATCTCGTCCCAGTCAAAGAAGAACTTTGTGCTCGAACGCGATGTCCGTTACCTCGACTCCCGCATCGCCCTCTTGATTCAGAACAGAATGGCCATTGCCGAGGCAAGTTCTTTATCCTTCTCTTTGTTTTTAATCCATCTATCTCACACATCTGCGTGCCTTTTTGCCCTCTCTCTCTCTCTTCTTCGTGCTTGTTTTGTGTGCTTTCGCATTAATCCAATCTACGCAACCGTTATGAACTTTGAACAAGAAAACGCTCGATCCTCGTTGGTCTAACCCTCTCTCTCTCTCTTCTTCCTCTCTCTCCTTCGTCAAAACAAACAATGCTATTTGTCCTTTTTTTTATATTCTCCTTTCAACCAACCTAACCCAACGCAACCTGACCCTTTTCCTCTTTGGCCATTGGTATGCGTTCTGCTCTACTGCATTGCATGAAACCCAACGCCCTGTCCACCTCACAATTTCCCTACTAAATCAATCCAACAAAACAACAACACGCAACAACCAACACACACAAAACACAACGACTACTTCAAACAACAACAACGACGACAACATCAACTATAACGACGGTAACGACAACAGCAACGTGAAGTCGCTGAACACTTGGAGGAAGCCGACTCCTCGGATGGCTTGTTCCCTGATGACCGCAAGCTGCAGTCATACGGCAACCTCTTCTTCCTCCTCCAGACAGAGCCACGCCATATCGCCACCCTCTGTCGCCTCGTCTCCCTCACAGAGATCGACACTCTTCTCCAGACCGTCATGTTCACCCTCTACGGAAACCAATACGAGTCGCGTGAAGAACATCTTCTCCTCACTATGTTCCAGGTAAAAAGAAAGTCCTTCCTTCCACCTACTCCTTCTAGAAACATCATACTCCCTTGCGCCCACAGTTCCACCTATTTCTCTCACATATCACACATACACACGCTCTCGCTCGCTCTCTCTATCGTAACCCTCTCTCGCGCCCCCAATCTTGTCCCCCTCCCTCCTCTCCTTTTCCGCCTTTTTGCTTAATGAGCCCTTTTTGGCTGACATGGATTGCATTTGTGCTCACCACTTCTCTCAACCCATACACTCCCCTTCCTTTCACCCCTCCTTTGCCTATATAGTCGGTGCTCTCAGCCCAGTTCGAGACCGCCACAGAGTTTGGATCATTACTCCGCGCCAATACACCCGTCTCTCGTATGATGACCACCTACACTCGTCGCGGACCCGGTCAGTCGTACTTGAAGACTGTCCTCTCAGAGAGGATCAACAGTTTGATTGAGCACAAGGAATTGAACTTGGAAGTCAACCCTCTCAAGGTCTATGAGCAGATGATCAACCAGGTTGAGGAGAACACAGGGTCATTGCCCCCACATCTTCCCCGCGGAGTTTCTGCAGAGACTGCTGCCGCCAACCCCGATGTTCAGGCTATCATTGCGCCTCGTCTGAGCATGGTCATGGAGATTGCCAACTCGTTCCTCGACACCATTCTCGAGTCCCTCGACCAGGTCCCCTACGGTATCCGATGGATTTGCAAGCAGATTCGCAGTTTGACCAAGGTAAACAACACTCATCCACTCGTCAGGGTACATTGAGGTCAATTGATTATTTAGAAGTGATGCTTATTTCATATACTGACTGACGCCGCCATCTTTTCTGTCAATGTCACCTTAAAGAGAAAGTACCCTGACGCCACGGACTTTTCCATCTGCTCGTTGATTGGAGGATTCTTCTTCTTGCGCTTCATCAACCCTGCTATCGTCACTCCTCAGGCCTACATGCTTGTCGATGGTCTGCCAAGCAAGCACCCCAGGAGAACCCTCACTCTGGTACGCAATTGGCACATGGCACATGGCACATGGATACATGGAATTAATGGCTCAGCATTGAACAAGGAGCACAGGTGACTAACAGTCCCTCATTTTTTATGTTGCGTCTGATGGGTTATAGATTGCAAAGTTGCTGCAGAACTTGGCCAACAAGCCATCTTACGCCAAGGAGGCCTACATGATGACTCTTAACCCCTTTGTCGAGAACAACAAGGCCAGGATAAACAAGTTCCTCAACGATCTTTGCGAGGTTGGCGATTTCTACGAGAGCTTGGAGGTAAGGATCTCCTCATTATGCTGCTGTTTAGTTTGGCACAGGGAGAGGCAATTTTGTCCACGCAAATACACTTCTAACATTCCACACATTTTCTTAACCGGGAATAGATGGACCAATATATGGCATTGTCGAAGAAGGAAATCAACTTGAACATTACGATGAACGAGTTGTTTAATACCCACCAACTGTTGACTCAACACCGTGACGCCCTTGCACCTCAGGAGAAGCACCACTTGCGGATGTGTCTCAACGAACTCGGTCCAGCTCCTCCTCAGGTTCCCCGCAAAGAGAACAAGACCATCATCTTGCCTCTATTCAGTCGATGGGAGACACCTATTCAGGATCTGCACTCAACTTTCCTGCAGGAGACCAACATCACCCAGGCTGATATCATGTACATGGAGACAAAGTCGATTCTCGTTCAACTGATCCGTTCGATCCCCGGTATTGCTGACAAGCGGCCTCTGGACTTGATGAAGATTGCAGAAACCGCCGCGACGACAAAGGATGCGATCTTGGTCCGCAAGGGTATCAAAGTCAAAGAGATGCTGATAGAGCTGGAGGCGCTGAACGTGGTTGATGACCATTTCACATTCATGACGGAGGAGGTGACAGAGGAATTGAGGCACTTGGGCAACCTGAGAGAGAAGGTTAACGAGGAGGCGGCCAGTTTGGAGAGTGTCTACAAGACCATTGGCGATCATAACAACTACTTGAGGAGTCAGCTGGATTCATACAAGGCCTACCTCCAGAACGTGCGCATGCAGAGTGGTGGAGGAAACAGTCCTGGACAGGGCTCTGGTGTCGGTGTTGTCACAGTCGGAGGAAAGGAGGCCAAGAAGGGCAAGCAGCAGGTGCTTGGACCATTCAAGTTTACGCACCATCAACTCGAGAAGGACGGCGTCATCGCCGAGAGCAACGTTCCCGAGAACAGGTACATTTATTTTTTGTTCCGTTTTGTCTGTTTGAGAGGTACTTGGTTACATTTGAGTGTCTTTGAAAAGCGCTTGCTAACACTCTCTGTCTTTACTATGTGACACGAACGACGATAGGCGAAGCAATATTTTCTTCAACATTACTTCACCTATTCCAGGAACGTTTATTATTGCACTTCACTACAAGGGTCGCGATAAGGCCATCCTGGAGATGGATTTGAAGCTGGATGATCTTCTCGAGAAGGTAACTAACCGTTCGATCATGGATTCGTCTTGACTCTGAAATGTCTTTGAATATGCACCCTAATACTCACACATCCTTTATTCCCATATTTCTCTCAAACTAATAGCAACAAGATCAGGTGCAGCTGTTGGATCTGGAGTATGTACACCTGAATGTGAACAAGGTGTTGGCCTTGTTGACCAAGACCTTCATCAAACGCTAATGTGCTATTTTTGATGACCCAAAAGAGTACGAAAAAGAACCATTCTTCGGCTCCTTTTTTACCATTTTCTATACTTTCTTTTCCTCCTCCCACATAATAAAAAATATGAACCATTCATTCTTGATGTCTGTGCTTTACCTGAGAGGGCGAGAGTGCTCAGTTTTTTCTTTTACTTGGCGAACGACGCTAAGAAACATATACATGTGTGTGGCTTGACTTACGTAATATGGTAAGCACGATCAAAGTTGGTTGCGGGATGGATTCTGCTTTGCATTTGGGCGAGTCAAGAAAAAAGGGGGAGGACATGTGTGTGTGTTGGCTCTGAGGTAAAAAAAATTGGTGGCAAATGTTCGATGACTTTGAATTATTTTATTTTGCATTTTGCTTTGTCTGCGCTGTCTCTGGGGACAATCATTTTTTTTTTTTTTTTTTTTTTGCATTCATCACTCAAGGCTTCAAGATGATCGGTCATACACATACAAAGTCATCTCCCCATCTCAAGATGACGCAGCCACAACAAAACAACGACTGTCTGATGCAGAAAAAAGGTGCTTTGATCAACAAGGACTTATGAAAAGGCTCTTTTTTTATTTTTATTATTATGATTTATTATGTTACAGACATATCTCATGATGATAAACATGTTACTCCTGCTCCTTCCTCGCTGCCGCCATCGCAGAAGTCACCTCCAAAGGTATCCCAGAGCTCTTCGCCCTCCACCCGCAACTCTTGATCCTCCTTGTTGATCGGTTGGACCTTGGCCAGGATCGTCTCCCACGCTCAGTCCTTCTGCGCCATCTTGAGCATGTGCGTCTTGTAGACCGTGATTCCGAATGGTGTCACCGCCGACGTCGCCTTCTTCTTGTTTTCCTGAGCATAATTGTTGTGCCGTTGGTCCAGCTCCTTGTTGGTGTGGATGAGGCTGTCCTTGGCCTTGACGGGGGCGGCGGTGATTTGCAGACATGTCATTATTGTGAACTCGGATACAGTTCGTCGATGGTTTTTTGATTCTCTTGCATTGTTTAATTCGAACTTCATATTGCACCGAGTCCTCTCCTGGGATATCCTTGTTTAATAATAGCGATCATCCATGACTCTCTCGACATCAAAAATCCGTATCCGGAAGGCTCTTGGTGGAAATACCACAACAAAGGAACCTGTGGTTCGTAAGGTCATGAACAGAGAGATACAGTGCTCAGCAACGGTCATCAGAGTGCGATCCAGTAAGTCCCTGGCGTCTTCGGAGGGAGTAACTCGCTCAAGGTAGTCCTTTGGGTGTTTATGACAACATTTCTACTTGTTTCAGGGTCGGCAAAATGAAAAAATATCGCGGCGTTTGATCTCATTTCTGATTTGTTCTCAGAACCAATCACTTACCGGGGAGTAATTTTGGGCCGTCCTTTCATGAACTTTATGTAGAATAGTATGCCGAGGGGTGAAAAAAAAAAAAAAAAAAAAAAAAAAAAAACGTCAATCTTGTCGGTATGGACCTTCCCCCCCAAAGCCCTCCGGCGCCCAATAACCGGACTTCTTAGCCATCCGCAAGCTGAATACACAGTTGAATGAAAAAAAAATACAGGTTTGTCAAAAGTACATTGAGACCGATCATGTATGCAGCAATTTGCTACCTTTTAGATAATGTTCATTTGCATTGTCGTACCTCCAGGTGAACGATTCCTCCCTCAAGCCCAAAGTCCGATATCTTGAGTTGCATGACTTTCCCTTGTCAGAGCTGGAATGGCAGCAGTTCAGGGCATCCATTGGAGCGGGAGCAAGGTGATCATTGACCTTGGGGATTTCCTTATCGTTGGCGGCAGAACCGATATCCTTAGGACATTAGACACTCCTGTTGTTCAGTCTAGCAGCAAGTAAGAGAGGAGAGTGCAGAGAGGGAAGTGTGTGTGTGTGTGTGTGTGTGTGTGTGTGCATGTGTATGTGTATGTGTGTTGAAGAACGAATTTAGGAGTGAAGAGAAGAAAGGAAAAGAGAAGAGGGGAGAGGAGAGGAGAGGAGAAAGGAAGCAGCCTCCACTATTTAAAAAAATCTCCCGAAACTGCCCAATGGAGCGTAATATCATGACAATGTGAATTCATGCTAGACCCATGTAACAAACATGCTTTAACGATATCTTCTATGCAGGAAGTAAAAGTCCCATACGTTTCCTATTTCTAGATCCCACTTGGTGTCCTTAGTATGGACCTGCTATAGAGTTACCCAAGAAAGTGTGGTATTTAAAAAAAACAGGTCAGTCTGTGCTAAACCCATGTAAAATTTTACAAACATGATCAATGTGAGATCGGGTATTTCAATTCCGGCAATGATCCAATGTCGATCCATGCATTAAAAGGCAACTAGTAATGAAAGTTGTTACGAATAAAGAGAATGAATGAGAGGAATCTGAGGGCCGGTTCAAACATGAGTGAATGGGGGCATTCCCAAAAAAAAAAAGTAGAGTACTTTAAATAACTTCCGCTGACAACGCGCACAAGGATGTAAAAAAAAAGGTTTGTGAAAAAGTCTCTTGATTCAAATGATACGATGTTCGCCATGTCGTGTTCAGAATCGAAATCTCTGCTTTCTTTTTGGTCTGTCATTGCTTACTGGGCAGCCGTTGTTTATTGTCCGTTAACGGATTCTATCCACGTTCATGTCCATGTCAATACTTATCTCTACTTCCATGGCCATCACCACCATCATAACCACTGCTTGTCGACTTTTGTTCCCTTCATTTCTAGTCTTTTGTCGGTCTTGAACAGACATTCTTGTCGATATCTGGTCCGCATCCCGATGAACATCCTAAGGACATATGAGAGAGAAAAAGGAGTTAACATGAGGGCCGGAAATATTAATGATATTAGGGTATAATAACAGAACTGAAAAGCTCTGACTGTTGTCACCATTAACCATATCTTTACTTCACCCTCTTCACCTTCTACATCGACAAGACAATAAGAAAAAAAAAGCCAGTGAACAATAAACCACACTGGACTGCAGCTGACGGTTGGTCTCCGTTGCCCACAAGAGTGTCTCCCAACCCTGAACCTTTTGTGCGGTCAAACGCAGGGATGAGACTTTCACCTCCTGGTGTGCAGATCCGATTCGTCACCCTGCCTCGACACTGGGCCAAAACTCGCCAAGACAAGGTGCTCCTCCGTGGGCCGGGACCATAGACATGTTGAAATGTCTTTCGCCCGCAACAATTTCCGAGCGCATAAATACGCACTGTTTGCAACTACAGAGCAGTCGTCCCTCAATGTAAACAAGGCATATGCACTTGGTTATCCCATATTGTTCAAGCGCAGGTTCCGAGAAGGTTGACGGTCTCTTGCGAACACCAGTGTGTCTGTTGAGCACCATTCTCTCTTCCGTCTTATATCCCTTGTCTGTTATCTCTTCTGACCTTTTCCTCTTCACTCTTCTGCCTCCTTTTTCCCTTTTTGTATTTACTCTTGCTCTTCTTCATGTCCCTCTTGCTCTTTTACATGTCCCTCTTGCTCTTCTTCATGTCCCTCTTGCTTTTTTACATGTCCCTCTTGATCTTCTTCATGTCACTCGTGCTCTTTTGCATGTCCCTCTTGCTATTCTTCATGTCACTCGTGCTCTTTTGCATGTCACTCTTTCTCTTTTTCATGTCCTCCTTCTCCTACATACCTCCTCGCTCCTCTTCCCTATCCTCTTCTTCATCTCCCTCTCCATCTCTCTAACAGTCTTCTTTTTAAAGCCCTTCTTTCTCTTCCTTTCCTCGTCATGTTTCTCGTCCTCTTGATGTACCCGCCTTCTTTTCTCCCCATCATTTTCCCTATCCTCTTGCCTACCCTCTTCTTCTCTATCTTCCTTTTCCCCATCTTCCTCTTCCCTATGCTCTTCTTCATCTACCTTCTCATCTCGCTAGCAGAATTCTTTTTAAAGTCCTTCTTTCTCTTCATGTACCTTGTCCTCGTTACCTTCCATTTCCTCTTGATGTACCTCGTCCTCCTTGTCTCCTTAACCCTCTTCTTCCTATTCCTCTTTTCCATATTCCTGCAAATCATACCCAACTCGCTCCCTGCCGCCTCTTTCTACCTCAAAAAAATCAATAAACTAGAACTCATCTTGGTCAACTTTCTGCTTGTTCGGCCAAGGTGTTGCTATTTTCAATGTTAGACTTGGGAAAGGGGTCGAAGATGAGAAGTCGTGGGAGGCGTATGTTCCTGCTCTTGCCGTCTGCCGATGTTGGTGCATCCTGCTTCCTGCTTCATGTTCCATGGCTGTGGAGTAGAAGGTTAGGATGGGTAAAGAAGAAGAAGAAGAGAGGGCCAGCAAACAAAAGGTTAGCCAACACACTTCGAAACGATTACGTAGCAGAAAGGAGACAAAGGCCGCCAAAGAGGCTGACAACGAGGGAAGGGAAGAAGGACGGGGTGCATGGGGTCTTTGTTTGCTTGCCGTTTGTTTATCATGTTTGCCGTTTGTTTATCATTTCGGAAGCGAGGGCGAGGGTGAAGATGAAGTGAAGGAGAGAAAGGATTGCCTACTCAGCCCGACTTAAATACTGATCTCGAAAAATAGACAGTCCCCTTTGCTCGTGTTGAAAGGACTCTATTGGTTTATTACAGCCAGGGGCAGGAGAAGAAGAAAGAAGAAAAAGAAAGGACTGTGAGAACGTTAGATGCAAGCAAGGCAACAAGCGACATCGTCACAAAACAAGACAGTACAGCACCATAATACAAAGTTTAAGAAAGCGCATAGCAAAGAAAAGAGTCCATGAGAAGGAGTCTTACCATACACACATTAAAGACTTGTGGTTGTACTTGTCTTGTCCTGTTGTCCAAGGCGAGGGGAGCAAGTAAGAAGGAAAAAAAAAAAAAAAAAAAAAAAGAGAGAATGGGAGGGAATCAGCATGGCGAACTTGGTTGCATGCAATGCAAAAAGTGAATGACTCTCCCTCTTTCCCCATTCCTCTCTCACAAAAAAGAAAGTCGATCCATTTTTGTTAAAACAGACAAGGAACAACACTCGTCACCCTCAGTCTTGTTCTCTCTTCCCCATTTTCCGTTCTTCATCTCTTATCTTTTCTTCTATACTTGCTCTTCAACTCCCCCTCACTGACCGAACCAGAGTACAGCCAAGACGATGACGACATGGATGGCGAAGGACAAACAAGGTGGAGTCAACATGATCCGTTCGACGACGTGCCTCTGCGAGATTGAGCCCTTTTCATTGTGAACTATGATGGCTGGAGGGGATGGGAATGTTCAGGGAGTGGTAACAAAAAAATAAAACAAGCGGAGCTGTATTTTTCACAGAAATGCATCGGTCACTTCTTTTTTTCTTTAACATACACATTCGTCCTGGTTCTGCACAACTCCCATTCTCATTCACGCTTCACGTACTGGAGTTGCGCGGTACAGCACTCAAAATCGAGGTGATGGATGAGGAGAACGTCAACTTTTTATTAGCTGTTTTAACTAGCAACAGTATTCATCAAAGTCTTCATTCTAAGTGTCTTCTGTACGGAGGGAACCATGGCAAATGTGTATTTATTTCCTACTTATTCCCATATCTGCTCATCTCGAATACAAACTGTCCTGGCCAAGAAGGAAAGATGTGCAAGAGAGGTTCGACTATTGACGATTAGCATATGAATTTATCACGATGGGGTCTTTTGTTTTGCATAGTACGAGGCCGACAGAGCTCGGAAATGACACGGCATAACTAGTTTGTGGAAGGTACCTCGTGTTTTCATTTAGCATCTTTTCAGGGAAGAGTATATGTGGGCCATGTTGATGGCGAACATGGACAACTTGTCAAGGTTCGATTACAATATGTTTTCGCCAGAAAGCTCTTGTTTATATTGATGCAAGTAAGTGTCTTTCTGGTCCGCTAAGCTGTAGTAAATTGGGCTTACACCTCGCCATTTCCTGGCTCGACAACGTTTGCTTGAGCCCTCTGGTCCTCATCATTCTTCTTCTCGCCGTTCTCCTTCTCCACTCCCTTCTCGGCCTTCTTCTCCTCCTTCTCCTCCTTCTCCGCCTACGTCTCCACCTCTTTTTTCTCCTTTTTCTCGCTCTCTTCCTCCACCTCCTTCTCGCTCTCCTCCTTTCTTTCCTGCTTCTCGTTCTTTTCGTTCTTCTCGTTCTTCTCATTCTTCTCGTTCTTCTCTTCCTCCTTCTCCTCCTCCTCCTTCTTTTCCTCCTCCTTCTCCTCCTCCTTTCTGTCGTCCTCCTCCAGCAATTCCTCCATGCGTAACGCTGAAAACTGCTCGTTCAGGATGCTGTCAGCAGTTGGTCGCCGACTCGGCTCGTGTGTCACGAATGGTACCGTGAAGCTCCTGAACGCCTCATTGCTATTGCCCAGATGTAGAAAACAATCAATGGATGAGCCCATGCGGTCGTATTTTAGCCAAGTCCAAGAAAACCAGTAGGACAATTCACTCGCAAAACACACTTACTTTGCCATGGGCGTGTTGCTCATCATTGCTTGCAGGGTCCGGCCAAAAGCAAAAATGTCAACCGGCAGCCCATACCCGACCCCCGTCATCACTTCAGGGGCCTGAAAGTTCTCGCTCCCGATAATGCCCTCAAGGGTCCTAGAACATGCAAAAAAAACAACCATGTCAGTTGAACTGGCTCTTGGCAGATATGCTGCTGTGGCATCACCAGATTTCAATTCCTATTGTTTGCACTTACTCGCTCATGTATCTCACTTCGCCTAGGTCTGCCAACTTGACCACGTTCTGCTCAGTGATGAGGATGTTGGCAGGTTTTATGTCACCGTGGAGTATGCTGTTCCTGTGCAGGTGTGCTACTCCAGCGGCCATCATCATCGTATATTCGAGGAACGTGGTCTTGTCGATGCGTCTATGGACGATGGCGTCGTGAAGGCTCTAATAATTAGGTATACAGATCACGTACGGGAATTAGAAAGGAGAAACTGTGGAGCGATATGAACTGCGGTTCATCGTTATCACCTTCATCTCATTAAAGCAAACGTGTCCTACATGGGATGCCAACTCGAGGACCATGTGCAAGAGATCCCGATAATGAAAGTGGCTGATATATGCAATAATGTTTGTGTGGGGGAACTGTCGCAGTGTAATAACCTCAGTTTGGAACTATATTATAAAAAGGACAAAGTAAGTACCTTTTTTTTGCGCCTCCTATCTGCGAAAGAATAACAAAAAAGCTTGTTTTGTACCACGCCGTTAAAGTGCATCTTGTTGAGCAAACGTACCCTATCGAGATTTTCCAGCGACGTGGTCTTGATCGCGAAGAGCCCACCTTCTTGAAGTCTCTCCACCTTGTACACGGCGGCATAAGTTCCCTACGCAATGTCATTAAATTGATACCCTATCAGCATAATTACTCTCGCTAGCACTATCCTTTGGCATTATGGTTTGACGTTGTTTATAACTCTTTAACTTACCGCGCCTAGAGTTCCCAAGTACTTGTAACGCACATTGCGGTCGACGTATTTCTAGAAACGTTATGCAGGTCATATTTACGAGATATCAAGTCGATGTTAGCAGGTTGTGCTCATTTTTTTGTCCATTAATAATACAACCACTGAGTGAAAAAACGTATGCAATATCCGTTAGCCAGAACATGAGCTTTCATCCGTCTTTGTGTCTTAACATACGGGAAAAGGACGTGGTGCCTTAACGGGGGCTGGTGGCGGGGGGTGAGGGACAGGTTGACTAGTAGCCTTTCGCTTCAAATTAATCTTGTTGTTGTCGCTGCTACTGCTACTGGTGTGGCTGTCGTTATTGTCCTTGCTGCTGTGAATGTCGTTGTTGCCGTTGCTGCTGCAGCTGTTATTGATGGGGTTGTTGTCAGTGCCGTCGTTGCGGTTGCTAGTGACAGACTTGACGACGGTTTTCAGGCCTTCGGTGTCTGGGCCGCTACTCGAACCCATGCCAATGGCAAGGGTCTCTGGGTAAGTCAACGAGATGATAGGGGCAGGGGAGGGAGTGGTATTGGAAGTGGAGGGGGTGGTACTGGAGAGAGAGGGGGTGGTAGTGGAGGGAGATGGAGTGGTAGTTGAGAGAGAGGGTGTAGTAGAAGAGGAGGGGATGGTAGTGGAGGGGGGTGGTGTGGTAGTGGAGAGGGGAGGTGTGTTAGTGGAGGGAGAGGGGGTGGTGGTAGAGAGAGAAGGTGTGGTAGTAGAGGAGGGTGTGGTAGTGCTGTTCATCTTGTTGGCAATGGTTGCTGTTGTCTGCTGGCAGAAGTTCGTTGAGGAAGAGAAGAGAAAGATGTCAATACTAAATCCCGTCGACGCTTTTATCTAAAACTTAAGCCGCCAGCCAACAGCTCTCCATTGCTCCTTTTCTTCTCTGTCTGAAGTTTGCTTTGATCAGGTATTAAGAGTCAACGGTAATGCTCTTTGTGCAGCAAATACGCATGCAAGCCAGTTTTTCTTTCATTCGGACGTACTAGTTTTCGTTTTTTCCCTCGGCCTTCCTTTTTCTTATCTTGTGACGGTATCCCCTTTTTTGCCACTGCCTCTGCCTCCTGCGCTTGTCCACTACCCTTGCCTTGTTGCTGTTGTTCACCATTTTCATGTGCAGACACACCTCCTTGTTGCATATTCGCCTCTGCTGCTACACTTTCCGAAACAGCGAGGCGTCTCTCATATCGCAAAAGCTTTGTTTTCTCAATGCTGTGCTATATCTCTGTTTGAAATCCCGTCGAGGTGGAGGGCGAAGTAAGAATACATGGTTAATGGTGAGAGCATTCACTTTCTTCATTGATATCATGCACGACCCTAGATAGCGCATCTTGATTAATTGCTGTTATCTTTCCAATGGTACTTTAATATCATTGACAATCCCGGCACTCTTGTTATCCTTTTTTTTTCTTTTTCTTTTTCTTTTCTCTCTCTCATATGTCCCTAGGATGTCCATCGGAAAGCGGACCAGATATTGACAAGGATGGCCTGTCTTTTCGCTGTAAAGTAGTCTTTCTCTCTACCTTCTCTTTCACCTACTCCTTCTCTTCTTTCTTACCCCTCCTTCCCTCGATTACTCCCATCTCAGCTTCACTTCTCCCCATTCTCCTCTCTCTGTCCTTCTCTTCCAAATGACCCTTTTCTGTCTTTCTGCTTTATTAGTCCTCCTGCCTTCCCTCCTCCCTGCCTTGTCTCTTTTCATTCTTTCTTTCTTTTTCTCTTCCTTCTTTTTCTTCATCCCCTTTCTTTGTATTGCACTTCTATTTCCATCATATCTCCCTGTTCAACCTGTCAACTTTCCCCCCTTTTTCTCTCAATAACCAACTGCCTTTTGATAATATTGCTATATCCACGATGCTGCACACCGTCAAACTTTTATCTCAAGTGAATGAGAATGTCTCTTTGAAGGCATATTCATCCCTCGGATAACGCTAAAGCCTGGGTTGCATGGAACTCTGTCGGTTTTCTCAGTCTCGCACTCCTTGAGCAACTTGGGTCAATTGTAGATGTGAAATCGAGGTCTGCTTGGGGGTGTTTGGTCGCATCCCCAGACAGAAATCCATTACATCGGCAGTAGGTTTGCTCCTGGGTACCTTGGCAAAGATGCAATGTGTTACAAGTCAAGTAAGTGTTGGTAGATTGGTTCACGATCGTGAGAGAGATAACTTGCTTAAGTTGTCGATCAAGCTGGCTGGCGCAAGTATTGTTGTGGGCGAGAGGGGACAAGCGTTGTTGTAGTATCGATGGATGTGAATGTCGATCAAAATTGCTAACCAGTCTCATCCTCTTTTTTTTTTCCTTGCTCTTTCATTTCGATTTTTTGTAGCAACCAAGTTTTGGACAGGCAAGATACGACACCCAGTCAATTTCTTTTTTTTCTTTATTTTTGGGTGTAGCGAGCTAGCCTCAGGTTAAGCAACTAGAGCGTGTTCTTCTTTCTTTCTATCTCAAAATAAAATATGCTCGCCAAGCGTCAGTACCAACTGTGATATATGCAAACCTTTTGACGGAAGCTACCAGTTGGGGCAGTCCCGCATGTCCTCCTCGCTGAGCTGTTCCTCCATGGTGTACCCTGCGAGACAGTCCTCCAGTCTGACGGTATTCTGACACTGCTTGCTCCCTGCCTGCTCTTCCTGCTCTTCTTGCACAGACTAGTAGGGTCCCGCGTAGAACCCAAAGTATTTCCATGTTCTGCGGTCTCGTCCTCGACTATCCATGACCGCAGTGTATATCAATGGCTCTGACGATATGTCTCAAGAACCGTAATTCATATCAAAGTATAACGTGCGGGAACTTGTAAGGGTTGTGAGCCGTGTAGACGCAAAGTGGAGGAATGCATCAGTTCAGAACTGGTATGCTCGCAAATAAAACTCACCGCCCATTGCTTGGTTCATATTTCTAAGGTGTATGGGATCAATGTCATGGACGGCCCAGAGTTTGATTGCCTGTTGTTTTGCGTGGTACCTGTGACGAGGATAGCAGATGTCGGTAATTGTTTATGGCTTCGAGTTGAGCTGTCCTGCAGGAAGACAGCGGGCTACCTCCAAGTGGCAGAAAACAAGTGGCGAGGATCGCTGTGTCCCGTTGTCTTGTTTTTACTCTGTTGTCAGAGAGCGTGAGCCTGAGAATGAGGGTTTGTGGGTGTGTGGTGGGTGTATGCAAGTGAAGAAAACAAGAAAACAGAAAAAAAAATAGCTCGCAAGAACTACATGTAAGTACTTTCTGTCACATGAACCACTCTTTAGCGCCTAACTTGACGCCATCAACTGAGTTTCCCTCTGCTGAGATTGGCAACCAGATCTGCCCTGTGGAATGAGTATAAAAGGACTAAGGAGTCGGACCTTTTTTGGTTTTTTTTTCTTCTATTCAACTCCATTCCCCTTTCTTGTACCGTACAACAACTCTATCAACCATGTCGGCCACCAACAACAACAACAACAACAACAACAACAACAACAACAACGCCAGCAGCTACACCAGCAGCTACGCCAACAACCACACCAACAGCTACACCAACAACCACGCCAACGGCTACACCAACAACCATGCCAACGGCTACACCAACAACCACGCCAACAACAACAACAATAACCAGGAAGTTCCTTTCTGTAAGAACAGCATACATATTCATCCCTGCGCCACCTTTTTCTTGACAAAAATGCTCTTAATCCACCCCTTTTTTGCCCCTTTTTTGCCCCATTTTTTGCCTCCATTTTTTGCCTACATTTTTTCCTTTTGTTTTTTGATGGACAATGTCTTGTAAAGAGAGAAGAAAAGACCAAAGAAAGGATCTTACCTGGCTCTATTCTCTCCTCCATATTCATCACATACGAAAACATTGACCTGATTTTCTAATCTTGCATTATCTATTCCGCCTCCTTCGCCCTTGTGGATCGGATTTATAACCTTCTAATTGTGTTTTCTCCTGGTTGTTTTCTCCGTTTTTCATATGCGACTAGTCAATTATACAGGAAGAACATTGGAGTCGAGTGCCACAGCGTTTTACGCATATGGAAGGGCGCCTCAAGTCCACTTTCTGGACAGCGACCCTGACATGTCGACCAACCCTCGAGTCGAGGAGGAGGAAGAGGACGATGAGGTCCTCGAGGAGGTGTTGATCTCGGGGATCAACAACCTCGTACTCCCTGCCCCCGTGACGGCCGACGAGGTGGCAGCAGACCTTGGCCACCTCAGCTTCCAGGACCTCCCGATTACATTCGAGGAACTGGAGAGCGACCATGCGGCCTACGAGGATTTCGCTAGCGGTTTCATAAACATGGATCCTTAGTCACGGGGGACAGCAAAGGGTGTCGGCAACAGCAGCAAAGGAAACGAGCAGCAGCGGCAAAGAGCGGCAGCGGCGGCGGCAAAGAGCAGCAGCAGCAGGCGGCAAAGAGCAGCAGCAGCAGCGGCGGCGAGAGCAGCAGCAGCAGCGGCGGCGAGAGCAGCAGCAGCAGCGGCAAGAACAATAGTAGCGGCAAGAACAGCAGCAGCAGAAAAGGGAAAGAGCAGCGGCAGCAATGGGAACGAGCGGCAGCAGCAACACCATCACCTCCTTTTCGCCGCGACAACCAACAACGTTCTTGCATAGCTATCAACGCTACCACCACCATTACTACTATTACCCTTAATCTGAGTAGTTACAGTTAAATAAACAAATAAAGTCAAATACATCTCTTCCTTAGTCGCACCACCTCCTCGCCCTGTCCTTACTATATCCCCCCCTCCTCCTTTCACCCATACTACGACCTCTACCACTGCTTTGATAGTACTTTGCGATACCGTCAAAATGTTCCATAGGAAGACCAAAAAAATATGTCTTGGCTACGAAGGGCGCCATGAGCACATCCGCTCATATGTTTGATTCTGCGAGTTAGCTGTCATTGCTTTAAGCTGGAGAGATAAAGAAACCATCGATGGATATCCTGATGATGGGATGGATAGAACAGCCCAGTCAAACAACAAAACCAAAAGATAAGCATGTCAGGTTTCAATGCTTCATCCAGACCTTCGAGGTAAAGCTACTGATCAACACATACATCTTCACCAGCGGTGATCAGAAGCAACACCAAACGGCTTCTTGCTCACGTTCTCTATCTTTTCCTCGGGAGTCAAAGACCCAAAATACGTTCAGTTCACATTAAAAATACTCTCGTCTTTCTTTCTCTTCTCTGTCTACGTACTTGGGACCTATCATCACCATCGCCACTGCCTTCGCAGATCTCGCCTCTGCTTACTACTTGGGGCCCCTTGCACAGGTGAAAATGATGCCTTTTATGACTTGACCTTGCCCAACAACTCGAATGTACCTTTGGGATTGAGACTGTCCCACTCGCCCGTACGGATCCAGCCATTGCCATCAATGCTCGTCGCCGTCGCATTGGACTTCTTATAATCTCCTTTCATCGCATTAGGGTCGCGAACAAGGATCTACCCAAACCAACGGCAAATTTCATCTCCCATTAGCAAACTCCAAAATGCTCCTATACCATGAATCGTTATCAAGTGGGCTCCTATAGAAATAAAACAATAGTTGCCTCGCCACGGGGGTTGGGCTGGTCGCCACTGGTATATCGTATATCGTCGCTCGGGGTCATCAAGAAGCTTGATCTCGTTACATCCGACGGGTATACCCTAATGAGCTTCGATCGAGTAGCCAAACATGTCGCGGCTGGTGACAATTCCTAAGGTCCCGGTCCTGCCATATTACGCCATCGCATGGATGCCCATCGCTGTCCTAATGTGCTTCAATGTCTCTGGCTTCGTGGGATGTGTCGTGAGTTGACGTCAAATTGAGTGTGTTTCAGCATAACATCTCCTGATTGAACACAACCCTGTCACTCGCCGAGAAGGGCAAGAGTATGTACTAGTGGTAACGATAAGATAAACTTTTACTCCGAGTCGGCTCCTGACCTCGCCCAATCTAATGAAATTTCATAAGCTTGTCGTCGACACGCGTCCAGCACCCAGCAGCGCCAACTTGGAAGCATATGCCTGCTTCTTGAACGAGGATCCAGCGCTATATGTCGTATCCAGCACCTCGTGAATCGTTCGCAGAAGAATTGGCGTGTTAATTACACAAGCAGTCAATAGAAATGTTGCATGTAACTGTCAGTACTGCGATTCTTTTCCTAAGAAAGTTACGAGTGAATGAAAGCTTAGGTATCTGGCGAAGAGTGTGGGAATAGTAGCTTGTGAGTTGTAAAGGACCTTCTTCATCATCCCAGAGAAGAAGACGATTAATCTGCCCGCCATCACCATAACACTCGTCATCCAGGTTCCGATCACATCGCCGTTGGTGAAATAAGAGAGCAGATGGTCCTTGGAGGTGAACTTCTTAGCGCCAGACAGCGATCCTGTGAATCCAATCATAACAGCAACCTACTTGGCGTGTGTCAACAACAGGCCCTCTGATAACTAAGTTATATACAACATTAAGAGTAAAGGGTAGTTGGGGTTGATTATTATTGCACGGCTATTAAAGCATTCTCCGTGTCCATGACGTCCAAGTGTACAAGCAATTGATGCTTACCGAAGTAACTTGGTATTTTAGGTGATTATTGCTACATCCCAGGGTTCTAGAAACAGCAATTGAACAAGGGCATAGTTGGAAGTTTTGATCAGTAAAAACCACCCTCAGTCCGAATTCTTGTTCTCGAGGTATTAAAACGAACCTGGCTTAATAGTACCCAATGCTCCTGAGTTTCCATTGTATTCGACTTCCACAAATTTAAGGATACTGGCGCCAGCCTGTGTTGCAATCCTCTTTTCCTCCGCCGAGATATAGAGAGCAAGGCCATAAAGATGGTCTTGATACTGGGATAGTCCTTCAAGGCGGCCTGTTGGTCGAGAAGGAGGAGGAGGGGGGTGGATGTCGGGTTCGGGCTTGTTGAATTTGACAAAGCTAAGAATGGCTGCGATTGCGGTCGTCAGGAGGATTGTAAGTGTGTCGACGACCTCCGTTTCCTTTCTTGATGCACCGTCCAATATCACAGAACCCCTAGGAAGGTTGGAAATTCAGTACGTCTGTTCGGGAGAAGGTGAGAGGCGGGAGGCGAGAAGGTGAGATGTGAGAGTGGAAGCTATTGGGGTGGGAGTGTCGTAGGTAGAAAGGCGCTGGGTGTGGTGTATGGTCGAAAAAAGAGAGAGAAGAATAAGAGTAAAAGAAGTAGCGCTCGTTGGACACACGATCATAAAGTGCCGACTTTTTTTTTTTTTTTTTTGAAATGCTCATTCACCAATTCCTGGTTACTGTCATTCATCCTCTTGATTCGTAACCTCTTTTTCGTTTATTTTTTGCTCCAGCTCTTGGCGACGATGACATGGCAGCTGATGGTATCCCTTCTTCCTATGTCGCTGATGAGACTCTCAGCGCAGACAAGTCCTCATCATGTGTTGGATTCGTCAACCACCCGTAAGTGGAGCCTCTTCAAACAAAAAGTGAACCTCTACGCGAGAGAGGAAAGTAACCTTTTTTCCCCCTCTTTCATGCAAGTAAGCAGACTCCCACAACAGACAAAGACAAACAATAGTAGGATAGGAGCAGCGCTATGGATATTAAATATAAACCTTTTCTCCCTCTTTCGCAGGCATAACGGGTTCACTAGAGTTTTTTTGTATCACCAGCGATAACAACAGCCAACAACGAAAGCCACACCAGTAGCAGTAGCAGCAACAACAGCGAGAGCAGTTTGAAGCGAAAGGCTCCCAGCCATCCTGTCCCTCACCCACCGCCACCAACCCCTGTTAAGACACCATGTCCTTTGCCCGTATGTTAAGAGACAATGACGGATGATAGTTCATGTTCTGGCTAACGGAGAGTACATACGTTTTTCACTCAGTGGTTGTATTATTAATGGATAAAAAAAATGCACGCAAACCTGCTAACATTGACTTGATATCTCGCAAATATGACCTGCATAACGTCTCTAGAAATACTACGAAGGCAAAGTGCAGTACAAGTACTTGGGCACTCTAGGCACGGTAAGTTAATGAGTTATAAACAACCGCAAACCATAATCCCAAAGGATAGTGCAAGCGAGAATAATTGTGCTGACAAGGTATCAATTCAATGACATTGTTTAGGGAACTTACGCCGCCGTGTACAAGGTGGAGAGACTTCAGGAAGGTGGGCCTTTCGCGATCAAGACCATGCCATTGGAACATGCCACCATAGTACGTTTGCCCAATAAGTTGTACTTTGGCCGCGTGGTACCAAATATATTTCTTCGTTTTCTTTTTCGCAGATAGGAAGTGCAAAAGGTACTTACTTTTTTCTTTTTATAATTTAGTTCCAAGCTGAAGTCGGAACACTGCAACGGTTCCCTCACACCAACATCATTGCATACGTCAGCCACTTTCGTTACAAGGATGTCTTGCACATGGTCCTCGAGTTGGCGTCCTATGTAAGACACGTTTATTTTATTGTGATGTACTTTATTAAAAAGAGGAACTGTGGAACAATAGTGGACTGCGGTTCATCATTATCAACATCATCGCTAATCCTTGTACGTGCTCTGCATCCCCAATGAATAGAGCCTTCACGACGCCATCATCAACAGACGCATCGACAAGACCACGTTCCTCGAGTGCACGGCGATGATGGCCGCTGGAGTAGCACACTTGCACAGGAACAAGTTACTCTACGGTGATATCAAGCCGCAAAACATCCTCATAACCGAGCAGAACGTGGTCAAGTTGGCAGACCTAGGCGAAGTGAGGCACATGGTCAAGTAAGTGCAAGCAATAGGAATTGAATTCTGGCGATGCCCCAGTATCATATCTGCCGATGCCTCAGTATCATATCTGCCATTAGTGAGCTTAACTAACATGATTGTTTTTGCATGTTCTAGGCCTCTTGACCGCGCGGTCGGGAGCGAGAGCCATCAGGCCCCTGAAGTGACCATGGAGGGCAAGTATGGGCTGCCGACCGACATTTATTCGTTTGGCCGCACCCTGGAAGACATGGTGATCAACACGCTCATGGAAAAGTAAGTGTCTTTTGCGTGTGAATTGTTCTACTAGCTTCTTTGGACTTGGCTAAAATACGACCGCATAAGCTTATCCATTGATTATTTTCTGAATCTGAACAATAGGAACGAAGCCTTCCTGAGCTTCGCGGCTCGACTCATGGAGTTCGAGCCGAATCGGTGACCAACTGCTGACAACATACTGAGCGAGGAGTTTTCAGCGTTGCGCATGGAGGAGTTGCAAGAAGAGGAGGAGACGAAGGAGGAGAACGAGTGCAATAGGCGAAGACTGGGACAGAGAAGTATAGAACAGGGACGAGAGTTGAAGCAGTGATGATTGATGTTATTACTATAATACAACTAAATATATATACAAAGTCGCCAACTAGGTTTCTAGGTGTAGTGTCATACAAAGTCAGAGGTGAAAGAGGGTGACAGAGGGTGACAAGGAATGACTAACTAGAGAGCAATAGTAAGCCTAATATGTTGCAACGAGCACGAGAAGAAGGAGGAGAAGAAGGTGGAGGAAGAGAGCGAGAAGAAAGAGAAGGAGGTGGAGGAAGAGAGCGAGAAGAAGGAGGAGAAAGAGTTGGAGACGTAGGCGGAGAAGGAGGAGAAGGAGGCCGAGAAAGGAGTGGAGAAGGAGAACGGCGAGAAGAAGAATGATGAGGACCAGAGGGCTCAAGCAAACGTTGTCGAGCCAGGAAATGGCGAGGTGTAAGCCCAATTTACTACAGCTTAGCGGACCAGAAAGACACTTACTTGCATCAATATAAACAAGAGCTTTCTGGCGAAAACATATTGTAATCGAACCTTGACAAGTTGTCCATGTTCGCCATCAACATGGCCCACATATACTCTTCCCTGAAAAGATGCTAAATGAAAACACGAGGTACCTTCCACAAACTAGTTATGCCGTGTCATTTCCGAGCTCTGTCGGCCTCGTACTATGCAAAACAAAAGACCCCATCGTGATAAATTCATATGCTAATCGTCAATAGTCGAACCTCTCTTGCACATCTTTCCTTCTTGGCCAGGACAGTTTGTATTCGAGATGAGCAGATATGGGAATAAGTAGGAAATAAATACACATTTGCCATGGTTCCCTCCGTACAGAAGACACTTAGAATGAAGACTTTGATGAATACTGTTGCTAGTTAAAACAGCTAATAAAAAGTTGACGTTCTCCTCATCCATCACCTCGATTTTGAGTGCTGTACCGCGCAACTCCAGTACGTGAAGCGTGAATGAGAATGGGAGTTGTGCAGAACCAGGACGAATGTGTATGTTAAAGAAAAAAAGAAGTGACCGATGCATTTCTGTGAAAAATACAGCTCCGCTTGTTTTATTTTTTTGTTACCACTCCCTGAACATTCCCATCCCCTCCAGCCATCATAGTTCACAATGAAAAGGGCTCAATCTCGCAGAGGCACGTCGTCGAACGGATCATGTTGACTCCACCTTGTTTGTCCTTCGCCATCCATGTCGTCATCGTCTTGGCTGTACTCTGGTTCGGTCAGTGAGGGGGAGTTGAAGAGCAAGTATAGAAGAAAAGATAAGAGATGAAGAACGGAAAATGGGGAAGAGAGAACAAGACTGAGGGTGACGAGTGTTGTTCCTTGTCTGTTTTAACAAAAATGGATCGACTTTCTTTTTTGTGAGAGAGGAATGGGGAAAGAGGGAGAGTCATTCACTTTTTGCATTGCATGCAACCAAGTTCGCCATGCTGATTCCCTCCCATTCTCTCTTTTTTTTTTTTTTTTTTTTTTTCCTTCTTACTTGCTCCCCTCGCCTTGGACAACAGGACAAGACAAGTACAACCACAAGTCTTTAATGTGTGTATGGTAAGACTCCTTCTCATGGACTCTTTTCTTTGCTATGCGCTTTCTTAAACTTTGTATTATGGTGCTGTACTGTCTTGTTTTGTGACGATGTCGCTTGTTGCCTTGCTTGCATCTAACGTTCTCACAGTCCTTTCTTTTTCTTCTTTCTTCTTCTCCTGCCCCTGGCTGTAATAAACCAATAGAGTCCTTTCAACACGAGCAAAGGGGACTGTCTATTTTTCGAGATCAGTATTTAAGTCGGGCTGAGTAGGCAATCCTTTCTCTCCTTCACTTCATCTTCACCCTCGCCCTCGCTTCCGAAATGATAAACAAACGGCAAACATGATAAACAAACGGCAAGCAAACAAAGACCCCATGCACCCCGTCCTTCTTCCCTTCCCTCGTTGTCAGCCTCTTTGGCGGCCTTTGTCTCCTTTCTGCTACGTAATCGTTTCGAAGTGTGTTGGCTAACCTTTTGTTTGCTGGCCCTCTCTTCTTCTTCTTCTTTACCCATCCTAACCTTCTACTCCACAGCCATGGAACATGAAGCAGGAAGCAGGATGCACCAACATCGGCAGACGGCAAGAGCAGGAACATACGCCTCCCACGACTTCTCATCTTCGACCCCTTTCCCAAGTCTAACATTGAAAATAGCAACACCTTGGCCGAACAAGCAGAAAGTTGACCAAGATGAGTTCTAGTTTATTGATTTTTTTGAGGTAGAAAGAGGCGGCAGGGAGCGAGTTGGGTATGATTTGCAGGAATATGGAAAAGAGGAATAGGAAGAAGAGGGTTAAGGAGACAAGGAGGACGAGGTACATCAAGAGGAAATGGAAGGTAACGAGGACAAGGTACATGAAGAGAAAGAAGGACTTTAAAAAGAATTCTGCTAGCGAGATGAGAAGGTAGATGAAGAAGAGCATAGGGAAGAGGAAGATGGGGAAAAGGAAGATAGAGAAGAAGAGGGTAGGCAAGAGGATAGGGAAAATGATGGGGAGAAAAGAAGGCGGGTACATCAAGAGGACGAGAAACATGACGAGGAAAGGAAGAGAAAGAAGGGCTTTAAAAAGAAGACTGTTAGAGAGATGGAGAGGGAGATGAAGAAGAGGATAGGGAAGAGGAGCGAGGAGGTATGTAGGAGAAGGAGGACATGAAAAAGAGAAAGAGTGACATGCAAAAGAGCACGAGTGACATGAAGAATAGCAAGAGGGACATGCAAAAGAGCACGAGTGACATGAAGAAGATCAAGAGGGACATGTAAAAAAGCAAGAGGGACATGAAGAAGAGCAAGAGGGACATGTAAAAGAGCAAGAGGGACATGAAGAAGAGCAAGAGTAAATACAAAAAGGGAAAAAGGAGGCAGAAGAGTGAAGAGGAAAAGGTCAGAAGAGATAACAGACAAGGGATATAAGACGGAAGAGAGAATGGTGCTCAACAGACACACTGGTGTTCGCAAGAGACCGTCAACCTTCTCGGAACCTGCGCTTGAACAATATGGGATAACCAAGTGCATATGCCTTGTTTACATTGAGGGACGACTGCTCTGTAGTTGCAAACAGTGCGTATTTATGCGCTCGGAAATTGTTGCGGGCGAAAGACATTTCAACATGTCTATGGTCCCGGCCCACGGAGGAGCACCTTGTCTTGGCGAGTTTTGGCCCAGTGTCGAGGCAGGGTGACGAATCGGATCTGCACACCAGGAGGTGAAAGTCTCATCCCTGCGTTTGACCGCACAAAAGGTTCAGGGTTGGGAGACACTCTTGTGGGCAACGGAGACCAACCGTCAGCTGCAGTCCAGTGTGGTTTATTGTTCACTGGCTTTTTTTTTCTTATTGTCTTGTCGATGTAGAAGGTGAAGAGGGTGAAGTAAAGATATGGTTAATGGTGACAACAGTCAGAGCTTTTCAGTTCTGTTATTATACCCTAATATCATTAATATTTCCGGCCCTCATGTTAACTCCTTTTTCTCTCTCATATGTCCTTAGGATGTTCATCGGGATGCGGACCAGATATCGACAAGAATGTCTGTTCAAGACCGACAAAAGACTAGAAATGACGGGAAGAAAAGCCGACAAGGAGTGGTCATGATGGTGGTGATGGCCATGGAAGTAGAGATAAGTATTGACATGGACATGAACGTGGATAGAGTCCGTTATCGGACAATAAACAACAGCAGACAGCAGACCGGTAAACAATGACTGACCAACAAGAAAGCAGACATTTTTGGTCCTGAACAACGACATGACTTTTTTGATCCTTGTGGGCGTTGTCAGCGGAAGTTATTTAAAGTACTCCACTTTTTTTTTTTGTGGAAATACCCATTCACCCATGTCCGGACCGGCCCTCAGATTCCTGTCATACATTCTCTTGATTCGTAACATTATTCATTACTAGTTGTCTTTTAGTGCATGGATCGACATTGGGTCATCGCCGGAATTGAAATGCCCGATTTCACATTGATTACTGGCGAATGATCTATATGTAAACTTTTACATGGGTTTAGCACAGACCGATCTGGTGCTTTTAAATACCACACTTTCTATAGGTGACTTAATAACAGATCCATACTAAGGACATCAAGTGGGATCTAGAAAATAGGAAACGTATGGGACTTTTACTTCTTGTATAGAAGATATCGTTAAAGCATGTTTTGTTACATGGGTCTAGCATGAATTCACACATTGTCATTATATTACACCCCTATTGAGAATGGTTGGTTTCCTACATTAAAGACCTTTAGATCACACACCATGTTCGCTGTATGTAACTGCCTTCAATTTGCCTGTAGAAAGTGCATTGAGCTTGTGATATAAAAAAACAGCTTACCGCGTGCTAAACCCATGTAAAGTCACGCATATAGGTCAAGCACAAAGGACTTTGAGTAAGGAGCTCCAAACTATGACAGGAGGTCATATAGGATTAAGGAAGCAAGGCATCAATGTTTTGAATGTAGACAGAAACCAAAATGACCCCGCAGGTGGAAAAGACAATCGGGATGCATGTAATCCATTTAATTGATCAAAGCAAATCTAGTCATTTCAATTCCGGCGATGAACCAATGTCGGTCCATGCACTAAAAGGCAAGTGGTGATGAAAGAGGTTACGAATCAAGAGAATGAATGACAGTAACTTGGGAACATTGGTGAAGGAGCATTTCCAAAAAAAAAAAAAAAAAATCGAAATCACTGATCATTTTTTTTTGTGAAGCACTTTATGATCGTCTGTCAAACGAGCACTTCTCCTTCTTATTCCTATCCTTATCTCTCTTTTCGTTTTCTACCACACAACACACCCAGCACCTTTTCTGCTTGCGACCCCTACCCCAATAGCCTCCACTCACGCCTCTCATCTCTCGCCTCTCCCCTCTCACCTCCTCTCCCCTCACCTTCTCCACTCTCACGCCCACCTCTCACGACCACTCGCAGATGGCCTTCGGGCCATGGTCTTTACAACCGCACTATTCACGCTCCAGAATCAACTCGACAATGGTAAGTTTATTACCTGTTGCCTTTGTCTTTGAGAGTGGGTCGAGTGAGATGTGGCTGACGAGGTAAAAGACCAAGAGCAGGATAATATGAATAACGAAAGAGGATGATACTCAACAGGCCTACTGGATTGCCAACCTTCCTAGGGGTTCTGTGATGTTGGACGATTCAATACATCAAGAAAGTAAACGGAGGTCGTCGACGCGCTCACCATCCTCCTGACGATCGCAATCATAGCCATCCTTAGCTTTGTCAAACTCAACAAGTCCTAACCCGACTTCCACCCCCCTCCTCCTCCTCGACCAACAGGCCTCAGTTATTCCCCTCTGGGGTGATGGTTGGTAGGCTATTCACTGTGCCAAAACTGTGGCTGTTGGATCCTCGTTGGTAAAGGTTCCTCTTGAGAGAATCAGGACTCTGTGCGGTGTCTGGCAGAACGGTCTTGCTGCAAACTCTACCGGTCGCTGCCTTATGTACACGCCCCGGAGCTAGTTCAGTTTTCTTATGTAGGTGTAGGTATTTTTTTTCCCCAGGAGACGTCTCTTCTGCGCATGGTGATACTTATACATTCAGCATACAAGAAACTTTACGCTTTTTTTTCTTCTTTTTTTCACTTTGTAGGAATCATAAGATGAGAAAGCTTAGCCTCGAAATCAGCTTCAACGACAAACGACCAGCACTTTGGGCCTCCAACCTGACCCACAACCTTACTTCTCAGTATTACTTCTCACAGAACACGTTGACAGGAGAATTGGCGGATTCGGAACATGATTTATCACAGAGACCAAGGTGAAGCCCAGGACAGAAGCCCCCATCGGAATCTACGCCATATATTCTCATGGTACAGAGGGTCGTTTGTCATTGAACTACGCGAACTCATCGACAACAACCTACCGGGACACCGACTCACCATAATCGTGTTTTAAACTAGGATTCAATAGAGTCGTTCATTGCACAGCAGGCGATCGACAGATACGGATTCGTGGCTGTTCTCCTCCACGACCTGAGATGCAGCGAACTCTTGATCGAGATTGTCAACCAGACAACGATGAAAGTTCTTGTTGTCGATCCGAAGGCTCTGCTTCTTCTGTCCTTGAAGAACTGTCCCAGTATCAAGACCATCTTTGTGGCCCCGCTCCCTATATCTCGGCGGAGGAAAAGAGGATTGCAACACAGGCTGGCGCCGGTATCCTTAAATTTGTGGAAGTCGAATACAATGGAACCTCGGGAGCATTGGGCACTATTAAGCCAGGTTCGTTTTAATACCTCGAGAACAAGAATTCGGACTGAGGGTGGTTTTTGCTGATCAAAACTTCTAACGACGCCCTTTTTCAATTGCTGTTTCTAGAACCCTGGGATATAGCAATAATCAACTACAACACCAAGTTTACTTTGGTAAGCACTAATTGCATGTACACTTAGACATCATGGTCACGGAGATTGCTTTAATAGGCGTGCAATAATAATCAACCCCAACTACCCTTTACTCTTAATGTTGTATAGAACTTAGTTATCAGACGGCCTGTTGTTGACACACGCCAACTAGGTTGCTGTTATGATTGGATTCACATGATCGCTGTCTGGCGCTAAGAAGTTCACCTCCAAGGACCATCTGCTCTCTTATTTCACCAACGGCGATGTGATCGGAACCTGGATGATGAGTGTTATGGTGATGGCGGGGGGATTGATCGGCTTCCCCTTTAGGTTGATGAAGAAGGTCCTTTACAACTCACAAGCTACTACCCCCACGCACTTCGCCAGGTACCTACAGCTTTCATTCCATCAGAACCTTCTTAGGTCTTAGGAAAAGAATCGCACTGCTGACAGTTACATGCAACATTTCTATTGACTGCTTGTGTAATTAACACGCCAATTCTTCTGCGAACGATTCACGAGGTGCTGGATACAACATATAGCACTGGATCCTCGTTCAAGAAGGAGGCATATGCTTCCAAGTTGGCGTTGTAGGATGCTATAATCGTGTGGACGACGAGTTCGTGAGTTCTCATTGGATTAGGCGAAGTCTGTAGCCGACTCGGAGTAAAAGTTTATCTTATCGTTACCACTAGTACATACTCTTGCCCTTCTCGGCTAGTGACAATAAAGTCAATGTTGTGTTCAATCAGGAGACGTTATGCTAAAACACACTCAATTTGACGTCAACTCACGACACACCCCACGAAGCCAGAGACATTAAAGTACATTAGGGCAGCGATGGGTATCCATGCGATGGCGTAATATGGCAGGACCGGGACTTTAGGAATTGTCACCAGCCGCGACATGTTTGACTACTCGAATGATGCTCATTTGGGCGCACCTGTCGGATGTAACGAGATCAAGCTTCTTGATGACCCCGAGTGGCGATATACGATATACCAGTGGCGACCAGCCCTACTCCCCGCGACGAGGCAACCATAGTTTCATTTCTATAGGAAACCAATTGATAATGATTCATGGTCTAGGAGCATTTTGGAGCTTGCTAATGGGAGATGAGCTCTGCTGTTGGTTTGAGTAGATTCTTGTTCGCGATCCTAATGCGATGAAAGGAGACTAAAAGAAGTCCAACGCGACGGTGACGAGTATTGATGGCAATGGCTGGATCCGTACGGGCAAGTGGGACAGTCTCAATCCCAAAGGTACATTCGAGTTATTGGGCAAGAAGAAGAAGGTCAAGTCATAAAAGGCATCATTTTCACCTGTGCAAGGGGCCGCAAGTAGTAAGCAGAGGCGAGATCTGCGAAAGCAGTGGCGATGGTGATGATAGATACCAAATACATAGACAGAGAAGAGAAAGAAGACGAGAGTATTTTAAATGTGACTGAAAGCATTTTACGCCTTTGACGTACGAGGAAAAGATACAGAACGTGAGTAAGAAACTGTTTGGTGTTGCTTCTGATCACCGCTGATGAAAAGATGTATATGTTGGTCAGTAGCTTTGCTTCGAAGACGTGGATGAAGCGTTAAAACCTAACATGCTTAACTTTTAGTTTTGTTGTTTGACTGGGCTGTTCTATCCAATCTATCATCAGGGTATCCATCGGTGGCTCCTTTAACTCTCCAACTTGACCCATCCATAGTTAACTGACAGAAACAAACATATGACCGGTTGTGCTCATGGCGCCCTTCATGGCCAAAACATATATTTTTTTTGGTCTTCCTTAGGAATATATTAATGATATCGCAAATTATTATCAAAGCAGTGGTAGAAGTCGCAGTGTGGTAAGAGGAGGTGAGGAGGAGATATAGTAGGGGTAAGACGAAGTACTAAGGAAGAGATGAAGATATGTTGACAATATTTATTTATTTATTTAGTGCAAATACTCTGATCGAGGTTCTACTACTGCTGCTGCCCTTGTCGCTTGCCCCGTGACTAGGGATCCAGGTTTATGAACCCGCTGGCGAATTCCTCATACGCTGATTGATCCCTCTCCATTTCCTCGAATGTTATCGGGAGGTCCTGGAGGCTGAGGTGGCCAAGGTCTACTGCCACCTCGTTAGCCGTCACGGGGTAGGTTGTTGATTCCTAAGATCAACACCTCCTCCTTCGTATATGGGTTCGACAGCGATGTCGATGTCGCTGTCCAGGAAGTGGACATGGGGTGTCCCCTCGTAGTCGCAAAACGCCGTTGCACTGGACTCCAGCACCCTCCCTGTGATATTAACTAGTCGCACATGAAAAACGGAGAATAAAATAGGAGAAATACAATTTGAAGGTTATCATCCGATCAACAAGGGCGAAGGAAGCGGAATAGATAATGCAAGATAAGAGAATCAGGTCAATGCTTCCATATGTGATGAATATGGAGGAGAGAATAGAGCCAGGTAAGGTCCTTCCTTGGCTTTGTTCTTTCTTCTTCTATCCTTACAAGATATTGTTCATTGATATGCATGACCATAGGCAGCGCAGGAATGAAAAGCAAAAGGAGCAAAAAATGGTGAGGAAAAAGAAGCATTTTTGTCAAGGAAAAGGTGGTGCAGGGATGAATAGGGTTCTAACCTTGAGATTTGACGGCGTGTAACCAAATGCGCCGACAACACAGTCCGCCATGGAAATACGCTTCGATGTGAATGTGGGAATAGTGTGTATGCTGTTCTCATAGAAGGGAACTTGCTAGTTGGGGTGATTGTTGGGGTGGTTGTTGGTGGTGGTCGACATGGTTGGTAGGGTTGTTGAATGGTACAAGGAAAAAAGGAAAGGAAGAGAATAAAGAATCAAAGCAGGGAGACAAGGAGTTAAAAGAAGGAAACAGAAAGGCAGAAAGGTCGTGGGAGAGGACAAAAATAAGGGAGAACGAAGGAAGAGAGGTTTGTGTGGGAACAACAAGTGCCAAGGAAAATGACGTTGTGAAAGGTGGACTGCGGCAGACGAGAGAGTGGCAAAGGGATGTCCCGAGTCAAGTGCATGAGTAATCAGCGCCCCTCCTCTTGATCACGACCATCCGTCCCTCAGCTGGTGATGATAGGAAGTGATTTCAGCAGTGACGAAAAATGATATGGTCCACAGTTCTGTACTGTCCTTACCTTTATGTTCATGTTCTACTTGGAAGGCCTTAGATGGCTGCAGGATTAAGATCATGCAATACAAACAACCCTGTGACCAACGCATCATTATCCATCTCCTATGCTCTTCAGCAGCTCTGTCTGTTAGTAGCACCATCACTCAGATCGCCCAAGGTGATGGAGAAAACAGCGTGGTCGATGATCTTGTACTTTTCTTGGCGATGACGAATGAGTCCTTGCACGGCATCATCATGTCGGTCTTGAGTGTCTTGGTCTTTATGATCTCGCGACCATTATCTATGAGGCTTCCCCATGTCGAGAAAGAGGAATCGGGAAGAGATACATGGGCAGGGGGTTGAGGAGAGCGGGGGAGACCCTGAGTCAGCAAAGTAAAAAAGTCATGGCAGGTAAGAGTTGGCATAGGAAAGGAGGGAGTGAAGGTGAGGGAAGGTGACGGAAGGAAAGTGAACTAACAATACGGATTTTGCCACTATTCTGAGACAGTCATAGCTTCAAAAAAAATGGGTTGATGCTTTTTGCTTTTACCTTGGCTTTGGTCGTGTGCCATCACATGTCGAGAGGACCCTACTGGTTTAACAGCCAGGGGAGGGCAAAAGAAAAGAAGGATGTGAAGGCGCGGAGGAAAAGGCGCTGCAAGAGGGTGCGGGGTATGACGACTGAGGGTAAAACAAAACAAAAAGGAAGCAAACAAAAAAAAACAGGAAGGAAACAATAACAAGGCAACGAGTATGGATACGAAAGAAGCATTAAAAACAAACAAACAAACAAACAAATGCATGAATGAATGCATGAATGAATGAATAAACAACAACACCAAAACAATGGCAACTCGGAAGCAAACAGCAGCAAACAACGTTGTACGCAGAGCACGCAAAGCACAAAAGCAAACAGGAGCAGCTTACAACAAATGCAAACAGCAGCAGCGAACGACGTTGTTCACAAGCCTGTAGCGAACAATACAACATGCAAACAAATACGACAAAGAAACGTAGCATTCAGACAGCTCCCCAAGTGGCTGGAGTGGTTGTCATATCCGTTTGTACAACAAGGTGGAGAAACAACATGGCGAATTTAGTTCCTTGCGCGTCAACTCAACTGGAAAAAATCATTAATATTAAAAAGGGGTGGTTACACATATTTTTTTAATGCAGACAACGACAACACTCATAACCTCCGGTCCTCTCTCCTCTTACCTCTTTCTTTTTACTCAATTCTCTTCACTTCTCTTCATCAATGTGAACAGCGAACCATTTCCTTCTATCGTGCATCATGCGCCTTGATACTTTAGATTCCATGCGTAGAGGTCTTTTGTGGCGGGATGCCTGGCAACCGATATCTGGGCGTCAGGGGAGAGCCGATAGCGGAAGTAAACTTTGGGGCGATCTGTGAGGTGGTAAACTGAAGGGCTCAAGACAGCCCTAAAAGGCCCCAATCCTGCAGCAGATTTCGAGATGGTAACCAGCGTTTCAATGGTTAAAGCATGACCATCGTGAATACATATAGGTTGAGAGGAAGGCGCGCTTCCTGAACCGTGTCCAAGGACACCGCAATGTGGCCACGTTTTACAGCGAGTTGGGCGATGATCGCGGCTCTTGCCTCTTGCTGGAGTTATACCAACTGAGAGACTTCTATGTTCTCCTCGTGAACTGTGCGCTGCTGCTTGCTGAGGGGATCCGGTTCTATGGCCGACAGTTGGTCGGGGGTCTGACCTACATCCATAATGCTGGCATAAAACACTCTGCCTTGAAGCTTAACAACATTTTGGTCGGGCAGCAGGATGCAGCTCAAGATGGCAGACTTTGGACTCGCGAAGGGCCAACCCAAGCGTCGTGGGTAAGGCATTGAGCTAGATAGCTTACCTTTGATTTTATCCGTGACCGTATTAAAGGAGCGATCTCTTAGCTAAACCCATATTACTCTGCGCCGACCATTAGCACTATGAAAGCAAGCACTCCCAAATACTGGGCGCTGGAGGTTGTTATGGAAGAGGAGCACACGGACAGGATCGATACCTTCTCGCTCGGCATCATCTCCTGCAACATGCTCACCGAGGTGACACCGAGAATTACAACAAAGTAAACGGTAAATCAAATTGCAAACAAAGATAGAAAACAAACAAACGAGCTCTTAGTAGCAAGGTTTTTCTTCCTCAATCACAGGCGGAACATAGACACCGCGCAATACGACCAGTCGATAATCATCTCCCTCCGACCGAGGAAACCAAAGAACCTATTGCTCGTACTCTTGTCGTTGATGTCGACCAGCGGATCGATCTGCCCGACCTTGTGGCGCACAAGTTTTCACCGACACGGATTCAAGGCCGTTCCAGACACGGCATTCGACATGGTTCGGGTGTTTGACAACAGCTCTGTCGAGAAGCATGCCCGCGCCTTAGAGAACAACGGCGAAACCCCGGGAGCGTGAAAGTGGAAGAAGAGGATGATCGAGAAGGCTGCAGTCAAGGATCACGAGAGCCAGGTGAATCAAGAGCGCCACGTTCAGTCAGATTGCGCGGTGTTTATGTTCCACCGGTGATTGACAATAAAAAAAGCACTTGGTAATAAGAGTGATTTCTATTATTATGTTCAATCTGCATTTCCGTTTACTTCGTTGTAATTTTCGGTGTCGTGCTTTGGGATGGCTCATGTATGCGGCAATTGCTACCTTCTGGATAATGTTCATTTTCATGGTCATACATCCAGGTGGACGATTCCTCTGCGAGTCCAAAGTCCGAAACCTTGAAGTCCATCCCCATAGCGACTAAAACATTCTTTGGTTTGAGATCGCAGTGGCGGATGCCAGCCCCATGATTACAGCTAAAGACCTGCTACAAGCTGTTTGCCGAAGAACTTGATTTCGGTAACCGATAAGAATGCTCGGTTGATCAAGAATACGAAAAAGTCCCCGGGGCTGGTAGAGCTTCATCAAGAGACAGTGGACCCTCGCTCGCCCTCGACAATGCCATACGTCTTGACAGCGTTGTCGTGTCCTTGCAACCGACCTAAGAAGTGGGTTTCGTTTCGGATCTGTGCATGATAGATAAACAGGAACGAGAATATTAATGACAGTTAGCAACTGCATTTCGCGAACAAGGTATCCTTGCTACATGAAATACTCAAGCTTCGTGAAGTTTTGTTTACCATCTTCATCTTAGCCGCGGGCCTTGGGAACTTGAGGGCCATCCTCTGTCCTTTGCTGTTGCAGATCTCGTGAACCCCCAAACTTATCTTCGGCAATGGGCCTGCTATGAACGTCGACGTACAGGTCTCCTGTGACCTCTTGCGAAAAGGAAATTCAGGCATCTGGGACACAAGAACGTGAGGTGAATCGACGGATCTCGGTTAACACTCACAGATACAGGATGCATTCAACGACATTTCGCCCCAGAATGAACAACGATGCCACAGGCTTGCTTTTTGAATCTGCTTTATGTTGTCAATGTTAACGACATATGCGAACAAACGACAACTAGTACGGTGTCAAGGCTCGCACAGTAAGTTTTTCGACCTACGAAAGCGTCAAGTTGGCATCTCCACCGAGGTTGAGTGAAAACGAGGCGTCATCAGGAGGAATATTGAGGTCGATATCTGCTCCATACTTGGCCTTCAACTTGTTCTCTTCAGCCTGCATCCGCGCGTTCGTCGTCTTCCACCAGTCATTCAACTCTCGCTTCCTGGCTATGAGATCCCTGATATCCCAATCCGTTTTCTCCTTATCTGTGAAAGCGTCCAGTCTGCGTCTCTTGTTTATTTCCGCCAACGTAGCAGTGTACGGGACCTTATTTTGCTGCCCATTGTCATCCAATCCCACTGCTGCGGGTGCTTTGCCGTCGCCACTACCGATTTCCCCCGCTTCTCGCTTGTTGCTGTCGCTCTTCTTGATGTCGCTCTTCTTGGTATCGTAAATGATGTCTTCGAGGACGGGGGCAGTGTCAAAGACAGATTCGGGAAGTGTCATGGGACATAATTCGTCCTTGAGAAAATTATGGAACGCCAGATCCATGATCAGCGCACGCGTTTTGGGATCGATCTTGAGTGCCCACCTGATGAATTCCCTGGCGTCCCTGCTCCCCCGGATCTTTTTGTAAAACTTTCCCGGTGGTGGGTATACTTCGTATCTAATTTGTTCGCATAGCAAAATAAAGTTGTATTAATTACATGTTCGATTTTCGTTCTTCTCGGTGTTACTAGTGTCCATGATAGCCTTGTTGGAACTTACCTGTCTGTTATCCGGGGCCGCCTGCAGTTTAACATCATGTATACAATAATACCGATCGAAAAAATATCCATTCCAGCCGTGTGCTTCTCCTTCTTGACAACCTCTGGCGCAACAAATCCCACCGAACCAATGAAGCCACTAATGCATACCAAGTTAACAAGCACGGATTAGTGATATGCTTGCTACATGCAGGTAAAAGCCAAAAGGCTGAATAACATGTAACTACTCCATGAAACAAACTTACATGTATTTCTGGGACATGGAGACAGAAGATCCAAAACTAGAGATCTTGAGGACCATCCCTTCACCGACTAAGATGTTTCCCGGGTTCAAATCACGATGAATGATTTTGTTCCGATGAATCGCCCGTACGCCCTCGACAATCTGTTTCACAAAATAGCGAACTTCGGGCTCAGTCAAGAACTTGCGTTTGGCCATCAGCGACGCCAAGTTCCTGGGAAGACAGAGTTCCTGTCGAAGATACATCCCGTCCGAGTCGTAGACCACGCCAAAGTACTGGACCACGTTGCGGTGACCACGCAGTTTTTCTAAATGGTGGATTTCCTGCTGGATCTAAATTGTTGTTCAATAATATGCGAATGATATATTAGTTGATGAATTGTCTTGGGGTATGTCATCGTACTGGCAATTGTGCCTTCGCAAATGCCACTGTACCAGGGTAACGGAGAGTGTTTCCTTGGGTGCCTTGACGACACAGTGATCTCTGAATCGATCGACAACCTTGTAGACACCCTCGCCAAGGACTTCGGTCTCGGTGTACTTTTCGCCAGTCTTGTTGGCCTTGAAGACCCTCTTGCGACTAGTCGTGGTTGTTGCCATGCCTGTGTCCTGGAGAAAGTCGTGGAGAAAAGGGGCAAGTACTGCAGAAATTGCAGGGTCGTTTGGCATGCTTGGCACTCGGACAAGGCCAGCGTCGTGGGTGATATTACCGTTGGTGGTGGGTTGTGTAGTGGTGGGTTTGTCGTAGTTGGTGGCCATGAGGCTTTCGAGAGCTGAAAGGGAAATGGTGGGGTTGACATTGGTGGCGTGGAAGGTATTGCGGTTGTTGGCGTCAGTATCGCCATGACCGGTTTTGGTTGCAGTGGTCATATTTTTTATGTGCTTGCACTTTGTTCCTGTGTTCCTGTAAAGAGTGCGTTGCGATCGTGTTGCTTATCCAGGGAACTGTGTTCGCGAAATCCTGACGGACGGACAGGTGAATATATGAGCAAAGGTGAATAAAGAGGAAGGTAAGAAAAGATGAGAAATCAAAAGGCTTATTTATACATCCTCCTCGAAAAAAAAAAGCTTTGGCCAACCCTTGCCTTGTGGGAGACCTTTTCTTTTCGTTAACAAGGCTGCTTGTTGCTTACTTCCAAGCGACTCGCACACTCACTCATTCAGCCCATCTCTCTTGTTTTTGTCTTGTCCTCATCCAATCCGTGTGTGTGTGCTTTCATTCGTCGCACGCCTTCTCTCTCTCTCTCTCTCTCTCACTCGTTCTTTTGCTTCCTCCTCTTACCGCAGTTTCGCCTCATTTGAACATTCCATTCACTCATGGACCTCAAGTGATTTCCTCACAAGCTACATCTCCCCCACAAGGGCTGTGTTGTTCCGGAGGAAGACGTACGTGGGCTTTATAGTGTCTGCCTCCGGAAAACAGGACACACAGAAGAACCCTATTAAAGACGACAGCATGTTTATTACCTTGCGTGTGTGTGTGTGTGTGTGCGTGTGTGTTATTTTGTGAAATGGCTGTTGCTGACACACTAACAAGAGTTGAAAATGCATTTTATTTTGAATGTGGAGCGTGCTCTGTTCATAGGCGCAGTAGGCACAAGAAAGGATCGTTCTCCTGTTCTCCTCTCCAAAGATTTCCCTCTGCTGTACTCCCTGCTCTAAATTGACCGGTCATCCATTTCGACATTCTCCTTGTCTACATCATTCTCCCCCTTATTGTTTTCTTCGTTGTCTACAAAAGAGCAACCTCTTTCGCCTTTTCCCTTTCTTTTATTCTTCCTTCCCAACAACTGATACCTCCCTCTATCTACTACCCAGTACAGCTCCTCATCTTCTCACTCAGCACAAATCTACCTCGTTAACTCGGCACGTACACAGCGCAACTATGAAGCCTCAATTGATCTTGCTGCTCAGCCTGGCTCTGGCGAGCATGGCACTGGCGGCCGATGCACCAGTCGGAGGAAACGCGCAACAACAAGTCCTCGCGGTTCCCAGCGACCAAGAGGCCACAACACCTTCAGCCAACAATGACGCCAACAAAAAGAACAGGGAGCAGGAAGAACAGGCCGAGGAGGCTGACCCATCGCAGTCATATGTGTTTGACATTTCTAAGAAGGCAACCCGCGGATACGATATTGACGGACGACAGGAGGTGGTTAACATTGGTCCTGGTCTGAGGACGACTGCTGACGGACAGACCCAGTCGCGTTCTGGACCCCGCGGTCGTCAGCGTGGAGCTGTTCTCCCTCACAAGTACATTGTCAAGTTAAAGAACGGAGCTGAATTCTCGTCACGTAAGTCTCTCCTTGCTGATTGAGCTGTGGAATTGGGGTTTGGGTGAATGATGCATGAGAAGGATGGCGTGTCTTGTTGCCATGTTTGTCCACCGCAAACCTGAAGAGAGGGTCCAGAATCCACGCAGACATAAATTGTGTTGGACAAAAGAATGGAGTGGAGCAAACAAGAGTGAAGGATAAACAGGGGGGAAGCAAGCGTGGAATTAGCCTGTGAGGGAAGAATCTAATCCAACCTCCTATTTTTTTTTCTTCCTCCCTTTCACACATACTCTCACCCCCTTCTTGTTATTCTCTCGGATTCATGGTCTACTCTACAATTTCCAAAACACATATCCTCGTCTAAACCTTTAGTGAACCTTCGTTCCAAGATCGAGGAGCACAATCGTCTATCTCGTCTCCCCCCTAAGGGTGACGAGACCGAACGACGTCAGGGCGAGGAGAGTGGTCAAGACGAGATTCCGAAGGAAGAGTACATTCCTAACCAAGTTGACCATGAATACGACTTTGGGACATGGAAGGGATATGCGGGCCAATTCTCGGCAGAGTTCTTAAAGGAGCTCGAGTCGCACGATGAGGTCGAGTATGTGGAGGAGGACACCATGATGTGGGCCTGGGGATATGAACCAAAGTCTCAGGCACGCGATGAGGATGAGGTGATTATAGAGGAGATTTTTGAAGACCGGGAGGAGGCCCTGGATCACGCTATTAATGCTTCGTTTGGAGACCAGGCGGTGCCTCCGTTCAAGAACGAGACGGGTCGCTTTGAGGCGGATGCGATTATCAATGGTCGCGGTGTCGGTTTTAATTACGTCACCGTCAAGGCGCCTAGCTGGGGTCTGTCGCGTATTGCTCAGAGACACCGGGATACTCAGAGAGACTACACCTACATGTCCTCTGCGGGGTAAGTGTCTTTGATTGGCAATGGATCAAAAATTAATTGTTTCGTGCAGCCAACCATCTGTCATCTTCGCCCTGCCAACTCAACTGCTCTTTGTCTGTATTCACAACAGCGCGGATGTGGATGTTTACATTATCGATTCTGGTGTCTATGAAGACCACGCGGATTTTGGTGGACGTGCTACCACCATCGCCAATTTTGTCAATCGCGAGCCTCGAGGTGACACCTGTGGTCATGGTAAGGTTTATTCGTTCTCTGATATGTTCATTTGTGTTGTTAGTCTGATGGTTTTGCTCACCCTTTCTTTTTCTATTTGTCTTCTAACTGCCTTGACACCAACATTCTGATATGTTGACAACACAAAATGAAAAATAGGAACGCATGTGGCAGGAATTGTGGCAGGATACCGGTACGGAGTAGCCAAGCGCGCACGCATCAACGCAGTCAAAGTCCTCGATTCCGAAGGCCAGGGCTCCACCTCCCAAGTCCTCGCCGGCATCAATTTCGTGATCCAGCACGCCGTCAACAACCCCAACCCCAAAAAAGTCATCAACATGTCCTTGGGCGGAGAATTCTCTCGAGCTGTTAACGATGCGGTCCGCCTGGCTGTGACGCGCCATGGATTGCCATTCTTTGTGGCTGCGGGCAACTCGGGTGACGACGCCTGTCAGTACTCGCCTGCGGGTGTGGAAGAGGCGTTTGCGGTGGGTGGATCGGATCGGGGGGACAAGATTGGGTGGTATAGTTGTACGGGGTCTTGTGTCAAGATTTTTGCGCCTGGTTCCGGCATTCCTTCGGATTGGATTCATTCCCGCACCTCTGCACATATCCTCGACGGCACCAGGTACCTTTCTCTAAATTGCTGTGTATTCTTACCTGCTGTTTTGAACCTTCTTTTTGATTAACACTTAATCTTTCTCCCTTTCCAAATTAGCATGGCAGCCCCTCACGTGACAGGAGTCGCGGCATTGTTCCTGGGAGCAGGCAGCACCTATAATAATGCCCGAGAGCTGTACTCGGACATCTTGCGGCATGCAACCCCCGATGTGATTACAGGGTTAAAAAAATCCGACTCGAGAACCCCTCATTCTCTGCTGTATAACAAGTTGGAGGATATCTAGGTGGGATTCAGGACTGCACCCCAGGATGATGTCCCTGTTGAAGGGTCTGATCCCAAGGAGATTGAGGCCGAGTCGTCATCCAAGAAGAAGAGTGCCAAAGGTCGTCAAGCCAGCAAGAAGGATGATGATGATAAGAAGAAGAAGAAGAATAAGGGTGATAACCAAAAGTTTGAGGAGGGAAGGTACTGAAGAGGCGAGGTGGGGTTTGAAGATAGTATTTTTTATTTTCTTTTCAAGCGACGCGTTGAACGTCCAATCAACAGAAATTGCTCCTAAATGACAATTGAACGAATCATCACGTGTATGATTGTCCACTGAGAGCGACCGAGCTGACCCCGACAGACCGAGACACGCAGAAGGACAGACAGTTCTGACTCCACACATTCATCCACACAATTTGAAGGGGGAGGAAGGGAGGGAGTTGTCGTTTGTTATCTTGATGCCTGTCGTTGATTATGTGTGCGTGTACGGCTTTTGCTCTCTTTCTAATTATTGAGTACACAACATACGTATCTCGCTCATACTGTCTGTAGCCATGCGCAAAACGGCACGAAATTCCAGTTCTCGGTTGCTGTGTGCTACTATGGTGGCCTGTTTGTTTTGTTGATGTGTGGATGTGTGTGGCCTGTTGCTTTTCTGTTTTCTGTGGGAGTGAATGCATATCTGTATTTCGCCTGTTTGCCTTTGTTGTTCACAGGGCGAAAAGGCAGAGGATTGCATTTGGAGGAGTGGTGTTGTGGTGTTAGCGAGGAGTGAGTGGGGGTTGATTTCTCATTTATTTTCTGTCTTCTCTTAGTTCCCTCTTTTTTTCTTCTTCTTCCTTCCTTCCCCTCCTTCCTCACTCTTCCCTCTCTTCCCTCTCTTCCCTTTGCACCATTTTGTATCTCTCCCGCCATATCATACACATACACCTTCACATCGCCCACTTCACCTCCTCCTCCTCCTCCTCCTCCTTCCTCCTCCTCCTCATACCAAGCAACCCGTTAATAATATATCGCACTCACTTACTCCCAACCCACATACTCCACTTGGCCATGGACCACCACAACAACCAACAACACCCTTCATCATACCAACAACAACCTAGTCCACAGAAACCACCGCAGCCAACACCTTCCACAACCACAACATCAACCTCAGCAACACCTGCCTCAGAACCAGTGCATTGTTTCTGGGCACTGATGACCTATGGCGACCTCAAATTCATCTACCTCTCCTCTTCCGTCCAACGAGCCGTCTCTGCCAAATACAAAGAGCTCCTTGGCAAATCCTTCTTTGATTATATCCATCCAGACGAGGCCAAATTAGCCCGGAAGGATCTGAATGCCTTTATGGATGTTCATAACCTCTACGGAAGTGTCACTCGGTAAGTGAGGGTGTTTCTAGTGAAGGATTTACAAAGAGGCAGATATAACAGGAACAGAAGTTTCGAGCAACAAGCGACATACAATACGATGCGATACACCCCGCAAACTACGTACACACTCGAACACATGCTGACACACATGCGCACAACAAACAGACCCCAGACAACAAACAACAACAACAACGGCAGCAGAGAAGCAACAGCAGCATGGGTACTGCTCGGAGACTTTTTTTTTTTTAGTATATTGCTGTTTGCTCTGCCAGGGACCAAGAATGGAACAAAACAAAAAGCTCGGTTGTGCGACACTGGGTGATCTACTTCGTTTTTCTTCCTTGAAAGTGTTCATCCGCTTTCATAAACAACAGTTGGCTAATGAATGACCTTTGCCTTCTCTTCTCTCGTTTACGTCCTTCCTTCCCGTCGACTCTCTATTTTACATTTTCTCTTTGTTTGATGTGCACCCCTTGCTTATTCAATCACGCAACAACACGAACTACCTTGTGCACAAATAGGTGTCGATTCAGAAATGTATGTCCGGAATGGAAGCAGCGCAAGCTTGCACGTCAGCCTGAATCGCCTGGATCAGCCTCAGCCTCAGCAGCCGCCCTTCTCGTCGCAGCCAACGAGGGCGGTCTCTCCTCCAGAGGACTCGGACTCAACGGGCTGCAGAGCAACAACAGCGACAGCAGTGCAAAAGGAGATGACTACAACAGTCATAATAACAACAACAGCAGCGGCGGCGATAGACTGTCATCCCTCTCCGCAGCGTCATCAACAGTGCCGGGATCCCAGCCGGGAAGAGGAGAAGACGGGACAGAGAGCGAGGGCTGCAAGGACTACGAGGATATCTTTCTGAATGGCGAGGAGGACGAGTTCATGATCCTGGATGTAGTCATGAACGTTGTCAGCGACGAGGTTGTCCTTGGGTTCTTTCACATCGATGGTCGTAAGTGCACTTTTCTAAAGATGACGAACGTTCCCTTTGGGTTTCCGACATATGGGCTGGTAGTAAAAGAAAAGAAAAAAAGTGCTCTCGATCACATCCGCAGGAGTAAGGAAGGAAGGAAATGAGAAAACTCAAAACTCTAACGATGGCCATGGTTCGTAATCAAATAGAGGGTCTCTACAAGGGGTTTTGGTCCAACGGCATCTGTGGAGAATCGAAGGAGTCCTTGCCAGTAAGTTCATTTATCATTTAATATTACTTACGCATTGTTTTTTTGTTGAGCTCTCTTCACTTTCCTCTCTCCTATTCATCTTACCACATCGACCCTTTTCTAATCCACCTCCCACCTAATTTCGCTGTTCGCGCTAATTTTTTTCGGGTTCTAGACCTTGGCCCCCGAGATTCTTCGGGATCTGCAAGAGTCACTCAAGACAAGGAACAGCAAGGCTTCAGGATCGCACGGATCGCTTTCCGACAATGGCTCTCCACCGTCTTCCCCACCACGAAAACCGTCCGATAGCAAAACCAAACGCATTTTCCAACTCTACGACTCCCTCAATCGCAATCTGCTCCTGACTTGGCCCGAGCCAGGTCCCAACTCTCCGGATGCGGGAACTATGGCCTACAACCCGGAACTCTATACCCAAATTGTCAAGTCCCACCATATCCCATCCGACGCACTCGACAACACGACATGTCTAAAGCGGTTCTGCTCAAAACATGCCCTGCCCAGTCTCAGTCCATCGCACCCGGAGCCGTCCTACCAAGTCGAATCTGTCTTCATCCCCTATGGCCATATAATCTTTGCCTGCTTCCAAACCTCGCCCTCGACTCCCACCAACAACTCTTGGACGGTGACAGGTTCGCCAACGACATCTATGGCAGTAACGCAGAGCGGACAGCAGCTTGCGACACCATCTCCAGGACAACGGCTCTTTGGTTCCACGTTTGAGTCAGGGTCCCCAGCGGATCACATCTCAGGACTGGGCTTGCTGTCATCACCAGGACAGTTGGGATCGTCACTTTTCGGAATTAGCGGCACTCAAGGGTCTTCATCCTCTACGTTGAACTCGCCCTTGATTATCCCATCGCTTCCTTCTGTCTCTCCCTTCCTGAAGCATGCAGTCGCTGGCCAGATGACCATGACCTCAGCCCAGACTCCAAGCCCATCACCCGCAGGTCCTATCCGATCTACCGCAGGCACACACTCTTCGCCATATCATCCTTATTCTCGGACAGTGGGACTCTCCAGTTCTCTCTCTGGAACGTCGTCACCAATACCCGAGGCCATGCAAGAGTCTCTCAGTTTCTTGAACGACTACAAGGCCAGCGGCGAGACGGAAAGAGAGCGGTCAGGAAAGTCGAGTGCTGCTGGTGAAAACCCATCAATATGGCATGCCTCGACACCTCACCCAGCGATTGCAGCCATGGTGGGCCATGCCCTTGCACCGTCGTCGCCTTCCTTCCAGAGGACAGTCACAGGGGCTGATAGTAGCCGGGGTTCCCATTCCCGACAAAAGTCTGGCGGTACTGCTGAGGCACGCCTTCATTCGAATTTGGCACCCCCCGAGGACGCTCACAAGTCGGGAAATGAGAAGGATGCCAAGGTGCGGAAGCCGAATGCGTCCCCTCGACACCCAGCACACGATGCCGCTATTCGGAATAAGTCGTTGTCTTCTGGATCGTCGTCGTCACCACCATCGTCATACCAGGATCTGGATTCTACAGGGATAGAGGGAGGGTCTTCGTCGATGACTGGGCACAATGGACATGTGCTTCGAGTTGCACAGGAGGAGAAGGCTTGTGAGAGCTGTGGAACGACCAACTCTCCTGAGTGGAGACGGGGTCAGTCTGGAAAGAAGGATCTCTGCAACGCTTGTGGTCTTCGGTACTCTAGAAGTGTTGCTCGACAGAATCGGCAGGCACAGAAGCAGCTCGAAGGGAAGCTGCCCAAGAGCAAGGCGCCAAAGGGTGCTAAAGCTGCCAAGGCGGCTGCTGCTGCTGCTGCTGCCGCCGCCGCCGCTGCCGGTCAGAAGGGTGGCTCTGTTGAACGGGACGGTCTCGAGTCGACGTCGTCTTCTGAGCATTACAACCAAGGCTACATGCAGCAGGATCCTCAACAACAGCATCAGCAACATCACCAACAACATCACCAACACCAGCGGCAACATCAGGGGTTGGAACTCCCTTACGGCTCTGCGTCCTTTTCGGCTCCTGGTATTGTATCTAGTTATCCAGTTGCTGTCAACCATTCAACGTTTTATCACGGACAATAGACCATCCTAGTCTTGGTCTCTTTTTTGCTTTTTTTTTTTCTCGTTTCTTTGTTTACCATTGTATCGCGTAATAAACCTTCCTTGTATCTTATTTTCTTCGCTATGAATTGTGTTTATTTGCGCAGGAAAGAAGAAGTTGACCCAGTAAGAGGAGTGGTCAAGTCTCTGAGAATTCTGTGGGCGAGTTTTGTTGGTGGCAGGCTTGGCAGTAATTTTATGCTACCAATTTGAAGCAACCAGTTCAAGTATTGTGTTAGTTAGGCATCGCTTTGACAAGGAGTAATGAGTGAAAAAAAAAAATCAAGGGAGAGACAGGATGGTGGCTTACTGTCGAGGAAATCGGCGGCCATGAGAGTCTCGAGTGCGTATTCGGGTTCGATCTCAAAGTGTGGAATCTCTGTCACCGAGTTCAAGTGTCGCGCCTATTTAGAAAACATGACGATGAAGAAGGAAAAGGGCTTGTTAGGCCGAGATGTCCATTTACTTCTTGTTTTGAAAAGATACGTTACGAAGGAGGGAGGTGGTATTTTAGGCGGGGGGGGGGACATACCTTGTAGTACCAGTATTGGCAGACCTTCTCCAAGATGATTGCCCTATCAATGATGTACGTTAAGTAGGTGTTCTCTGGCTATTCGTTATCCTGTGAGGGTCATTGATATAGAGCTTTCCTTATGGGGGTCGGAGGCGTTTTGTTCAATGCTCTGTCCCTCCATTCCAAGAGATTGCACGCGCGTCACTTGGTTCATGAAAAATCCCAAAAAAAAAAACGAGGAGTCGATGTATCCGTCCTGAGCTGTTCAAATGGGATCCTCTAAAAAACATACTTAATATCTCTGAATTGGATTACACCCTCCGTCGATTCCGTGAAATGACCTATCGCATACACCAACAAATAAAAAGGATATGTCAAAGAGTTAGTTTGCCATGTTATGAATCGACCAAGCCCAAAAAAAAAAAAAAAAAAAAAGTTGGCTCGTAACGCCACCAAAAAAAACCGCCCCCCACTGCATTCAGGTTTCTTGAGAAGTATGAAAATAAAGTACCAGGGCTGGAGAGCATGTTCTTGACGGTGCCGGAAAGCATGGCGACTTCGCGGTGAATGACGAATTGGAATCCGTCTGAGGATTCGAGGGTCACGTATTCGCTTTCTGACATCATTTTTTGATTTGCGTTTGCTTAGGTGGGGAATGTGGTGCGGGGAGATGTGGATGATGTGTGTGTGAAAGGGAGGGAGAGGTTGAAGGGGGAAAAGGTGAGAATTGAAGGGATGGAAAAAAGAGAGTAGTGACTTTTTGATATCTCAGCCCAGGACTAGGCTGGCAAAATGACAGGAGGGGGAAAAGCCACACTTGATTTATTCATTTATTCATTTATTCGAACTCTGTCAATGGGTGAGGGAGAGGTCGCCGACTACAGGTCGGTGGTCACTCGAAAAGACCCCATCCTCAAATCGGGTCTCCAGTACCCCATACCCGTCAACCTTCCATCCACCACCCTTACTCAAGAACAAGAAATCAATCCTCTTCTGGTCAATGGGACGACTCTCGAACCCCGTAAACGTATTGTCGTGGCCATACCTCTCGCTCTTTCCCACGACGTTCCTCAAATCGCGCAAGGAGGAGGAATCAGTAGTGAGGTGTTTGTATGCTTCTTCGTCTGGGGTGCTGTTGAAATCTCCTGCCAGGAATATCGGTAACTCGCTCGGTTTCTGTTGTTGCTGCTGATCATGGCTGAGTCCGAGTTGTTGCTGCTGCTGCTGTTGTTGTTGTTGTTGTTGTTGTTGTTGCTGCTGCTGCTGGCCCAAGAGAAACAGCTGCTGCTGGTCCGCAATATGCTTGAGAATAATCTTGCCGCTCTCCAACCTCGCCACAACTCCCTGATCGTCCAAATGAGTATTCAACCCCAAAACCACCACACCCGTCTTCCAATGCCTCAACAAAACCGACGTCAAAATACGCTTATTCGACCCATCCCACCCTTTACTCGGCACTTCCGGAGTCTCTGACAACCAAATACTCCTCACCCTCTCAATCGCCCAAACCGAATACCGAAACAGAATCGGAGAGTACTCCCCAGCCTTTTGACCATCGTCTCGACCAACGCCAACATGGGCCCATTCGGGGCCGAGACCTTCAAGGATATCGAGGAGTTGAGAGTGGAGGACTTCTTGGAGGCATATCAGGGATTGCGGGTTGTGACGGGCATGGAGGCGGATGGAGGAGATGACGAGCGGGGCGCGGCGGGGCCAGGGGAGTTCGTTTTTGAAAGGGTAGGATGTTGCGTAGCGAATGTTGTGGGTGTAGAGGCGGATATCGAGTTTTTTGGGGGCCTCCTTCGCGAGAGAGGTGTTGTCCGTCATGTCGTCAGTCGTGTCGAAGAGGTTTGTGTTGTGTCGTGTCGTGTAGTGTCGTGTTTGGTGGGGGAGAGGAAGGAGAGTAGAGGAGTAGAAAGGGAAGGAAAGAAGAAAATCGAAAAGGCGGCTAAACTGAATGGGTCGAGAGTGGGCGTTTGGCTCATGCTGCACGTGCGATGCGTGTTCAAATGGCGCTTCAAGTCAAAGAGTCAAAGCGAAGGGTCCCACCGCCACCAAAAGCCACTGAAGGGATAATAAACCGTCGCTTTTTACTTCTTCAACCTCATCTCTTTCCTTCAACTTCCTTCCCTGTTTTTCATTCATCCCATCACCCTCAACCTCATCAACTCTCAGGAACGACGCTTTTGTACTCTGAAGAAAGACGACAATAAAATCTAGTACCTCGACTGCACACTCTCGCCCAACCTGTCGTCGTCAAATTTGTCCCTGTCCTCTCGGTCCTCACCCGACCCTGCAAGGTCAACCCCCACTTCCGCGGAACATACTTCCAGTGTCCATGTCGGCATCACCTCCCGACTTGAGGAAGAGGAAGAGGAGGCAGAAGTAGAATTCCTGCACACCCCTTCCCCCTCCATCCTCTGTCCCGTGTAAGCAACATACCCATTTTAATTCCACACCTTGACTCTCTATGCCAATGATTCTAACAAGGACAAGGTGCGTTTCCTGTTGTGAACGGGGGGATTAGGTGCCATGATGTGTGTCGGGAACCAGTCATCACCAACGGATGCAATCACTCCTACTGTGCCCCGTGCATCTACCACAGCATCGAGATCGAGCCCTTTTGTCCCCTCTGCCGATCACGCATCAAGATCGAAGGTGCGTCCCCCTACATTCAGCGCAGAGCAGTAGTGATAGAAAGACCGACGGCCTAATGCTATATAACTTAGGTACATACACGACCCCGCCGCATTGTGCGAATGTGTTGACTAAGTCATCTCTTCTTCCCGTTCATACATTTAGATCTGCATCCGAACTTGGCGCTGTCTGGATTGATCTCTGAACTGCTCGTGTACTGCTCCAACAAGAAGTATGGTTGCCCACAGATTGTTCGCCAAGATGCGCTCCATGGACATGTCCTCTATTGCTCGTATGCGCCCTCTATCTGTCCCAACAAGGTCCTCGGCTGTCCTTACAAAGGTATGTTTCATCATCCGCACCTTTGTACTATTCCTTGCTCAACCTTTGGTCTGACCTTAACGAACCCTGAACAAATGAATCGTGCCTTCCGTACTTACTCATTGTGACTACGATGTTTAATTTTTTTTGTATATGTTCTCAGGGACGATGCGGGATTCAAAGGAGCATTTGCAGAACTGTGTCTACGAGCGGTTTAAGGGATACATCGATTCAACCAACAAGCGCTTCGAGAAACTCGAATCCTTGATTGCCGTACGTTTTTTTTTCGGGTTTGCACTTTTCCTGTTATCTCCTGTAAGATTATTTGACATAATGTACATAAATGAAGAGACTGACCATCACCATCTGGTCTTACAATGCATATTGTATGAAAATAGGACCAGTCGAGAGAGGTAGAAAAGCTGCAGAGGATTATTCGATCAGGAAAAGGCGTGACATATACATTGGAAAGGGGTGCCTCAGAGCAATCAGTTGCTTCATTGGCAGGATCAGGAGCAGAAGAAGGAGCCAACGTACCCGTGAACGGTGAATCTTCATCCGGGACTAAACGCACAGTCGTTTCGACGTTCCCGCACGACGAGATTACATGCCACCGGACGATCGCGAGTCATCCCTGCGGAGTGACCAGTGTGGCTGTCAATCAGGATAAAGTCTTTGCGGGAGCCCATGATGGAAGTACCAAAGTGTTTGATATCAACTCGGGGCAGCTGTTGAAGGATCTAAAGGGGCATACCATGTCGGTCTGGGGACTCGCAGTAATGCCCTCGGGGGATCGCTATTTCAGTGCGGGATCTGATGGAACGATCAAGGTCTGGGATTGGCGTAATGAGGATGATGCGGCGTGTTTGGTAAAATCGATACCGGACCATAATGCCAAAGTCTATGGGCTTGTTGTGGATCAGGGAAGACTTTATTCGGCGTCGTCGGACAAGACGGTTAAGGTATGGGATACAGAGACGCTCGAGTGTCTGGCGACGTTCCAGGGCCATACGGGCGGTGTCAATTGTTTGGCGGCGCTGACTGAGGCCAGTGCCCATCAATTGGTAACGGGATCCTCGGACAAGACGATCAAGTTGTGGGACGTGTCGACAGGAACATGTCTGAAGACAGTCCGTCGGGGTACCAGTGAAGTTCTCGACGTGGCTGTAGGAGACGGGATGTTGTTCGGAAGTACCTATGATGCAGTCATCCATGTGTACGATATCAATGAGACTCGGGAGTTGGGCACACTGAGCGGTCATAATTGGGAGGTTTGGCAGCTTGAGTACGGACAAGGGCATTTGTTCAGTGCTAGTTTTGACCACACTATCAAGCGTTGGGATCCGCGGCGGTTCCAGTGTGATCTTACCCTCAAGGGTCACAAGAGTAAGTTCCTTTTGCTGCTTTTGCTATGCATTGGATGATTCGTAATTTGGTTGTTCAGGTTATAACGATAATGACCTTTCTTTCGTTTGTTCTTATGATAGGTTTCGTCCATGGAATGGCTCTGGACGAGAATTACTTGGTCACAGGCTGTGCAGACCGTACCATCAAGGTAATGATATGTTGTGGGGTTTATTGTCCAATATCTATGGTTGTTGTCGTGCTGTTACCGTGCCCAATGATTCTTTCACTCGTACTAATGCGTACTTCTCTCAATGCTGCTATTAGATCTGGCGCTGAGTAGGGATATCTTTTGCCCCAATAATAAACTACACTTACTGCCTCATCACAAGCATTGAAAAAATACCACCCCGCTGAAAAGCTTTAGCTGATGATGTTATCTTGTGTCTTTATAATTAACGGACGCCCCTCACTCCTAACGAAAAAATCCTCCCTAAGGCCTCTTTGGCTTCTCATCATGGTCCTCATTCCGGGAGGCGACGAGTTTGAGGTTGGTATCGTATCCATGCTTCTGGAGGTCCTTCCAAGTCTCCTCGGGCTCACTTGAGGTCTGGAGGTTGTACATCTGCAGGAATCCCTTGAGTGTCAATTGGCCCTTGCTGTCCAGGTCGAGGAATTCTGTGATCTCTTCACGTGCGACCTCATCAAACTATTTTGTTATGCAAGGGGGGGGGGAGGGGGAAAAGGGATAAAAATTGTCAGTTGACGAGCCGATGGGATAGAGGGTGGGGTGAGATGATATGGGTAAGAGCAAAAGTGTCAAGTCGGGCTTCGTTTTGTTGGAGTGCGTTGTGGGTTGGGGGAAGGCGGAAGCAATTGGAGGTCCGAATGTGTTAGGAATAAGAATCGGGCAGGCATGTGTGTGTATTTTTGTGGAGACGGAGGCGCGACTATGTCGTTCCGAATTGGTGTCGTATGCCGTAAAATAAAACTCACCACGTCGCCGTTGGTATCCTTGGCGAACGCGTCCAGCTCTGCGTTGCTCAATGCTCCGTCTGTTACCGAATTGAACAGAATCGTGTTTGATTAGTTATGATATTTTCAATTGACAAAGGAGGGTAAGGGTGAGAAGGAGTTGGTGAGCTAGTTTCGGTTGAAACCCGCATCAAGTCCTGTTGAATGGAAAAAGTTACATACCCTTATCGACATCGTAGCGCTCAAAAATGGCCTGGTGGAGGGCAAAGAAAGGAAAAAAGAGGTTGATGTGAGTGAGTTTGCCATGTCCTTGTTGCTTGCCAGGTGATCCAGTGGTGGTTCAAAACGACGACGCGTATTTCTCTCGACGCAAGAAGAGTCCTGTTATTGCTGTGAGTTACGTACGACGAGGGCATCTTCGCATGCCTTGGTGAGTGCGCCGTCCTCTTCGGTAAGTGTGGGTGGGATGATCATAGGCATGGTTGTGAGTGTCCTGTAGTGTTTTTTTGGTGGCAATGGTTGAAGAATGGCAGCGTGCCTTTTTCTTTTCACGGCTTTATGCAAAGTGGGTGCTGATCAATACCACCCTTAATACCTGTGAAAAGCCACCATCACATTTTTTAAAGCACAAAAAACACCCTTTTCGTTTGGTCGCTGATCAGTTTCCGGACCCACCTCCACTTCCTTCACTCTCATTCACTCTCATTCACAACAATCGCCATGCTTCGTCAAGCTCTTCGTCTCAAGGTACCCTTCCCGTTCTTTGCCGTGGATCGCACAGGAACAATACTTACTCAACGACAAACCCACTGACCCCGCTTTTGCGCCTTACCTTCAATAGTCGGTTGTCTCGCCTTTGGCTTCGTCATTCAGGGCTGCTGCCAAGTTGCACACCGTCCCCGCCTTGCCATACACTGTTGCCTCCGGAGCCAAGCCCTTGCTCTCCCCCGCTGCATTGAAGATTATCTATGAGGATCACCAGACTGGTCTCGTCAACCGCCTCAACGAGCTCATCGCAGGTCAGTTGCCAAGGGGTTTATCATTTCGGACATCTCGGAACCTCGGGAAGGTTGAATCATATCAGGAAGAATACCCTCTTGGAATCAGGTCTGGAGAACAGGAAATGGAAGAACCCAAGCAATTATGGGCTACAGCAACAATGCCAAAGACTCGGAATTGAATGACTACAATTACCGCGACGTGAATGGCTCCAACTAACATTCTCGAAGCTTTTTCTGATTAACCTTGTAATAGGCACCCCATATGAGGAGAAGGCTTTCCACGAGGTCCTCATGGACAGTGCTCGCTCATTGAACGAGGTTCAGATCTTCAACAACGCCTCTCAAGCCTGGAACAACGACTTCTTCTTGCGCACCTTGGTAAGAGTTCATTTTTGTTAAGGAACATACAGACATAGCTCGTCAGGACATTCTAGGAATGAAGGTAGTTGACAACACAAGCTAACACCTGTCGTCCAACTGGTTAATCCGGAACCAATAGAGCAGTGCGGTTGAGCAAAAGCCCATGTCGGAAGTTCTCGCCAAGCGCATCAGCGAGTCATTCGGCAGCGTCGAGGTGTTCAAGCGCGAGTTCACGACCAACGCATTGGGACTTTTCGGATCGGGATGGACCTGGTTGGTCGAGGACAAGGATGGACGTTTGGTTCTGTTGAACACATACAATGCAGGATCGCCTCACCACCGCCGTAGGATGCAGCGTGAGGATGAGACGTCGACGGACCACGATTTCGCATCGGCTGCTCAGAACCCTTACTCTGGCGCGTCGAAGTTCTCGGCACCGGCCAAGTTGATGGCTAACAGCAGCTATGTGCCCATCTTGTGTGTCTCGATGTGGGAGCACGCGTACTTGACGGATTACGGAATCACCCGTGAGGGCCGTGAGAAGTACTTGAACAACTTTTTCAAGACTGTTGACTGGAGTGTGGTCGAGAGCAGGGTTCTCCGTGTCGGTGGATTCTAAGCATGAGGTCTATTTCTTTTTTTGACCTTTGTAGTTGGGAGTAGAAGGGAGCATGAATCATTATTATTTTTTTCATAGATATCATTAGTATTATTAAAAGCGCATTGCCAAATGTGTGGTTAGAGGGGGAGTAATTTTCCGTTGTCGTCATTTTGTGATCAGTGTGCGGAAATGATATTTCCACGCCCTCGTGAAAGAGTGTCAGACCTTCGCTTCGTATTTCTGCACCCACCCCTCTTTTTCTCCGCTCCTTCTTCTTCCTTCTTTATTCTTCTCCCCTTCACACCACACCCTCTTCCTCTCTCGATAATATTCTCTTCACGCAACATACTCCCTTCTTCTCTCTATCTTTCGCATTTCCTCCCAGCCTCACTCTTCTCAATGTCACAGCGCCCAAAAGCAACACGTCAAGGAACCTCCGAGCTCGAGTTGCCACCAACCACCCTCTCCAAGGTGCAGTTCCAGCAGGTACTTTACCCATACGACTTATCTCCACTCCCTTCTTGTACCGCTGCTTCTAGACTGAGTTTGCTGACCCTTGTTGCTCCTTACCAATTGATAGGTCAGGAACCTGACAAAGGACGACGGCCACTTCAACCTTGTCAGGTACTTTGTTCGCACCAGCAAAAGAGCTCACATATGGGCATGCACGTCCTCTACCAGCACACCAAAAGAACAGACCAGGAAAAAACTAACATGGAGACACGAAACGCTCATTCCATCTACTCTGAAATGGCAAACTCGTTCTGGATCACTTTTTTTTCTTGCATTCTTAGAAACTTCAATCTCGCAGATGTTATCACGCTGTGTAACGGGGCCTGTGGCGCCCTGTCTATCTTCTCGAACCTGCGATACCTGATCACCCACGAAGAGTACTATCTCTGGCTCGCGATGTGGTGCATCCCACTCGGGTTCACTTTCGATGTTTTTGATGGCCGTGTTGCTCGTTGGAGAAAGACGAGCTCCATCCTCGGACAGGAGCTGGATTCGCTGGCCGACGCTGTAAGTTTTTATCTCTGCTATTGTTGTCAACGCCTATGTTGTGGATGTTGAGGTGGAGATGAACGACCTGTGGAAGTCGGCACGCTGTTGTTTTTGTTGTTGTTTTCGTTGCCTTTCCTTTGTTCCACAATCCGCCAAAACGCCGATACTCGCCTGGCCAAAATGCCAACCAAACACACACTTTATCCGAGAGCCAGGTTCAATTGTCACATCCAATCGTTAAGAAGATCCAAGAGTGGTATGACAGGACAATTGGTTTCCCTCTACTCAGTAACTCGACGCTTTTTTTATCACCGGATCAACTCAACCAAGCCGCTTGAGTTCGTGGCACTGTTGAGGACATTGGACAACCATGACAAACCTTCACACATGGATTGGCATGTGTGGCGAGTGGACCCACTTTTTTTTCCGCCCAGACCAACCTGTTTTTGCAACTTGTGGCGTTTGATCCATTTGACGTCATGCTCTCGTGTATTATGTTGAGGACCTTGGCCCTGTTTGGACTTGTGGTTGTGTGGAATTGTGTCATACCATTACAACAACAACAAGAATGGACCACATCTCGCTCTGACAACAAAACGCGTGTCATGTATTTCTTTGTTCAATGGGATAACTAGATCTCCTTTGGCGTCGCCCCAGCCGTGCTTGCGTTCGTGGTCGGAATGCAGAGTTTCTTGGACACGGTCGTGCTGACCTGCTTTGTTTGCTGTGGAATTGCGCGTTTGGCGCGTTACAACGCCACGGTCGCGATCTTGCCCCACGACAGCGATGGCAAAGTGGATTACTTTGAGGGCACACCTATCCCGACATCGATTGCACTTGTGGGTGTGATTGCGTACCTGGTGCACCATGGCCAGACTGGATCCCAGTTGCCGGGTGGGTTGATCGAGATCGTGCCGGGGTATTCATTCCATGCCATGGTTGCCATGTTTGGTATCAGTGGTACTCTCATGGTCAGGTAAGCCTACTTTTCTTCATTTTTTTTTATATTTTGTATGCATTTGGTATATGATCATAATTGCTTATATTCTCTCTCTTTCACCCTTTCTCGATTGTAGTAAATCGCTCAGGATCCCCAAGTTGTAAATTATCTCTCTCTCTCTCCTTCTTTGTTTAACACCATCTTTGCGAGAGACATGATCGAGAACAAGCCTCGCCGGACACAACCACACTTTTCATTTCTCCTGTCATTCAATAAACACATCAATTGTCGCCCTTCTTTCACTTACTACTACTTTGAGAACGATAATATCATCCTATTCCTTCTCCCTTCCCTGGTCCCTGTTCAAATAAGCAACAAGCGACCTCCTTGCTTTGAGGGTACAAGCTTGCAACGGTTGGTTGAGCTAGCACTATTTCGACGAAATGCCAGTCACGAATACTCAAGAAGGGTCCGTCACGGCGTTCACGCGCATGCCTTGCCACCCTCTTCCTCTTGCTCTCTTAAACTCTGTTCTCGCTCACTCACACCGACAGTTTCCTCTCTCATTCACAAGTGCATCACAAAGACAGCACAGTACAACACAGCACAAGGAGACCAGAATCCAAGGGACCATACCACCAATAACCCCAAGCAGCGTCAGGACCACAACCTTTTAAGCCAGCCAGACCAAGACAAATGCACGACGCTTTTAAGGTCTACACGGTCATCGAGAAGCTGCCCCACAAGATCGAGTCCATCTTTGCACAAGGTACTCAACATCAAACAGACTCTGCATGCCATTGTCAGGCTGTTTACTTTGTATGTCTTGGATGATTGTTACGCTGACAGTGTTGTATATTCGACCTGCATACTCACAACTTCTTCCTCCGTTTGACGACCGTGTAGGTGACAAACTCTATGTGGGCACTCTGTACGGAACCTTGCTCGTCTACTCTGTGCGGGAGCCTCTCGGTATGTTCAAGACACGGGAAATAGACTAGAAAAACTGTGCAAGGATTCAACTGTCCGTTTGGGTTGACTTGGTGTGCTGACCCGTTACTTTCTGTCTCCCTCTGTTCCTCAAACCGTAGGCCAGGATGAGGCTATCTCAGTGACACTCATGGAGACACTCAAGACCTTCTCCAAGAAAGCCATTGAGCAGATTGACATCATCAAAGCCGTCGGCGTGTTGGTAACCCTGTCAGGTACGATGCTACCCATTCATGTGACCTTTTTCATTCAGGATATGTCCGGCCATCTTGAAATATTTGCGCGGACAAGAGATGCATAGCAAACAAGAGCTCACACCCTACTCTTTTTGTTTTGTATGAAAAAAAAAAATAGATGGATATGTCAACCTCCACGACCTGGAAAGTTTTGCATTGAGGACACAACTGGGCGAGACGAGGGGCGCAAATCTGTTTTCAGTGTTTTCAAAGATTGAGATTCAGGATGGGTTCCCTCAGGTCGTTACTCGACTTGCTGTGGCGGTGAGGCGCAAGGTCATTGTCTTTTCCTGGCAGGATAGCGAGTTCATGAGCACCAAGGTATGGATGACTCTTCTCATAACATATCAGTGGATGCTGGCTACTATGAGAGCGTTAATGGATGTCAAACTAACAGCTATGGTTTTGTATGTTGTTTTACTAGGATTTCCCTGTCCCGGATAGGGTCAGGACAATGGAATGGGTTGGAACACAGAACCTCTGCATGGGATTCGATAGCGAGTACGCTCTCATGGACTGCAGGACTAGTGTTTTGAAAACTTTGTTCTCGCCCACCTCACCTTCTGTTCAGGGTGCGCTCGGTTCGACTCTGGAGAGTACTCTTAACACACTCAACACTTTCAGTTCTTTGGCCACTGGAGGTCTTATGGGCTTCGGGTCCAAGCCTGGGAAACCCCTCATTACTCGTCTTCCCAACGACGAGATCCTTCTTGGCAAAGAAAGTAAGGCCTTCAATCCAAGAAAGTGAATGATATTAACGATGGCGCGCATATGGACTACAGCTAACAGCTAAACAAATACTTCACGTTGCTTGGAATAGACTCAAGTATATCAGTGGGAGTGGACGGAATGCCAAAGCGCAAGAAGGGGATCGAATGGTCAGGAATGCCCGAGGAATTGGGCTACTCGTCCCCATATGCTGTTGCGATTTTGTCACGGCATATTGAGATTCGCAACATTGAGACGAGGGAGCTTGTTCAGAGCGCAGAGATGCCACACGCTCGACTTTTGACTCAGGGAAAGCTCCTCTACATTGCAAGCACGAGTGAAGTCTGGCGCCTCATCCCCTTCAGCTTCCCCCAGCAGGTAACTATCGCCGTATTTTTGTCAATGGCGGTAGTTGTGATTACTATTGCGTTCATGTTCACACTAACCGTTGTATAATATTTTTGTGCCTGAATTCACATAGATTGACGAGTTGGTGCAAAAGGAAGAGTACCAGGAAGCAATCAGTCTTATCAACCAGATCAACCCCGTCCTTCTGGACGAAACTGTAAGTACAGGAATGAGTGCCGTTCACGGAAAATCTTTTTCACTCAACCTTTTCGACATGAAGGGACATCTCACGCAAGTGCCTTTTACTGAACCTCAATGTTAGGTTGATACGTTGGGCAAGATCAAGACTCTGTACGCACACCATTTGTTCCGCACGCACCAGTACGAGAAATCGTTGACTTTGTTTTCGGAACTCGATACCCCTGCAGCAGAGGTTATCGGACTATACCCGGCGGTGATCTCGAGCCATTTGCCTCCCAAGGAACTCGAAGTCGTGTCTCCCAAGCCTGGCAATGTGGATTTGAATGAAGCGAACGCGAAAAATACCCAGCCTATTATCATGAGTACGTTTCGACTTTTGCTGTTTTTCGAATGTTTCTGGCGATCAATTTCGTGTAACGTAGAGGAAGAACTCACATCAACTATCGACATATCATAGGCACAAAGGAGCTTGAGGATGCAGTGGAGTGCCTGATCAGGTTCTTGGCTGACAAGCGCCAAAAGATTTCAAAGTCGCTGCAGACGCTCCAGAACAACCACGATTCGTTTTCATACCGTCACTCGAACCAGGAGGATGAAGCGGAGGAGTACCTCCAGATGTTGGAGATTGTGGACACGGCCTTGTTGAAGTCGTACATGATGACCCACGAGCGTTTGGTGGGATCTCTTTTAAGAGTCAACAACCACTGCAACCCCGACGAGACCGAGAGCCTCCTATTGAAGCATAAGGTATGTAATTCTTTTTGTATTCTTAAAGGCTTGTGTGCAATAAGATTCGGTGTGGAGGAAACTAATTCATTTCCGTACGGATTTTCTCTCGGAGAGTAGAAATACAAGGAGTTGGTGGACTTTTACAGAGGCAAACAGCTTCATCGCAAAGCATTGGAGCTGTTGAAGACTATTCATGCGAACCCTGGCGAGATGAATGGTGTTCTTCCTACAGTTAACTACTTGCAGCGATTGGGCGTCGACCACCTCCCTCTCATACTCGAGTTTGGAACGTGGATCTTGGAGCTGGACCCTGAGGTTGCCATGAAGATCTTCATTGACGATGAACCAGAGATCGACACGTTACCGAGATACAAGATTATGGCATATCTGGAGAGGCTGTCGCTGGACCTGTGTGTCGTTTACTTGGAGCATGTCATTCATGAGCTGGGTGACAAGACCTCGGACTTTCACAATACCCTTGTTGTCTCGTATCTTGCCCAAATCCAGCGCGACTCCTCAACACCCGACAACGAAGAGGACATAATCAAAACAAAGGCGAAGCTGTTGCAGTTCTTGGACGAATCCACCTCGTACAAGGCGGAGCGTATTCTCAGTCGTCTTCCTGTCGACAGTAAGTGAGCCCTTTTAAATTGATCGCATTTTCATCTGTTTATGTGGACAAAATCAGGGAGATGCCTAACCGCGTACTTTATTTTGTTTGTGCCAATGTAAATAGGCTGCTACGAGGAAAGAGCGATCTTGCTGAGCCGCATTGGACAGCATGACCAGGCGCTGAACATTTACGTTCACAAACTCAATAACTTCCAGGCCGCTGAAGAGTACGTATCGTTATATTTTTTTTCCTTAACGCTTCCCTTTGTCTTCAAAGTATTTTTTACTCAGTACTCTTCCTTTTTTTATGTTCAATGATAACCATGTAGGTACTGTATCAAGAACTTTAACAGCAACGATCCAACCAAAAATGTGTACCTGTTGCTGTTGAAGGTATACCTGAGGCCGCCAAACCGCGAGAAGCCTATGCTGGAACCGGCTCTTGATATCTTGACCCGCCACGGAACCCATATCGATCCTTCCGCTGTAAGTTGTTCAATTGCTTGCTCCGTACTTCAAGTGGTGACTTTTATGTCTCTCGATCACTTTCTGACATTTGACTACGGTTCACTGCTTAAAATGTAATGTGTAGGTGATGGCACTGCTGCCAGCCTCGACCAGGATCGACCAATTGTTCAAGTTTTTCGAAAAATCGATCCGTGAGAGCAACAAGACGAAGCATATGGACATGATTGTCAAAAATATGCTCAAAGCTGAGCGTCTCCAGGTACAGTATTTATCAAGGATTGTTAAGAAGATGTTATTGCTGTCAGATATTTGCGGTAGAAACTGACATTATCAATTATTTTTTTTGGCATTGGCGATGCACTGTAGACGCAGGAGCAATTGACATTCTATCGGTCAAGGCGCGTCAAGATCACGGAAGACAGGATGTGTCCGAAATGCAACAAGCGTATTGGCAACAGGTAAACTTACATGGATCGTTATTATTTTTTAAGCACGCTGAACAAGACTGTACTGTATGCCTACGTTGGTTGTCGCCTTCTCACTCACATAGTTGCCTTTTCACCTTCTCCTATGTAACATAGTGTGTTTGCAGTGTTCCCGGATGGAGTTGTGGTTCATTACTCGTGCAAGGAGACGATGGCTGCGATGGGGCACTGGCGCACGTAAAATGGCTACAGCACGATCTTTCGCCGTCGTTCTGCCAGAATAAAATATTGCTTGGAATTCATTGAAAGTGCCTAATATCTGTCGAGAGAGGAGGACTGGGCGATTTTATTTGAAGCGATGTTGGCCTTTCCGACCTTGCTCATATTGCCGCTCCATGTCGTATGATTGCTTCAGTCGTCTTGATGCTTCGAGGGACTAGTTTTTTTGTGAACAAGGCGACAAGGAGGATATAGATCGCGTTGGTTATTGATTTGGAAAAAAAAAAAAATCGAAAGCGCGTGAGCAGGAGAGTGAAAAGGTAGAGGAATTGAGACTTACGGCATCTTCTGCGTTCTCGGGCTTTGCTTCAATCTTTGTCGACTTTCCTAATCCCACTATTGGAGTGGAGTTGTTTGTATGAGAGGGATGATGATGATGGGTCAGGACGTGCTCGCTCTCGGATATTTTATCCAGCTGCGTGTGTTCAAGAGGGTGATAAATGGATGATACTTACTTAGTCTTAGGAACTTCATGCGCTTCTCGCCGCTGGCGTCACCGACAAAGGCGGTCTTTTCCCACTCGTTTGCTGTCAATAGTTTTGATCTTGTCGACGACGAATTTGTAGAGGATGCAGTGGTGGTGGTGGTATTAGACGACTGGTGTATCTGTGATGAAGGAGTAGGAGCAGCAGGTGTGGGTGCTTGGACGGGAACGGGGTCCTGCGCAGAGGGCGAGAAGCGACGTTTCCTGCGTGGCCTGGGAGCCGGCTGATCGGCTTGTTCTGAGATCGAGTTCGATACTGGTTGTGGAGGACTGGACGCGGTGGGATCTTGAGGTCGAGAGGCGCTTGCTGGTGGCGGTGGTGGAGGGAGTGTTGGTGTTGGTGTTGATGCATCTTGGGTTTCTGGAGGCGGAGGTGGTGGAGGAGCGATTGGTGCAGTGTCCTTGATTGGAGGCGGCGGTGGTGGCGGTGGTGTTGCGGGCATTCTTGAGATTCGATAATATCCTGGTACGAAAACGTGTTTCCGGTAGGTGGTTTTTGCGAATTTGGGGGGGGGTCTCTGTGAGGGTGTTGTCGTTGCTTGTGGGCTCCTGTGTGCTCCCTTACTTGAAGGTGTCTGGCGTGCTTCGCGCGTGAGTTCTGGTGATCAGTTGAGGTGTTCGTTGACGGAGGAATGGAGGTGTTGAGAGAAAGGAAGAGTAAAGAAGGAGCAATGGGGTCAAAAGCTGCAAAGGAAGAAAATTACTGCGATCCCCTTAACCTTGGCAACGTTCACCTTCGAGCGGTTGGGTTGGGCGTCGCATGGTTGCGAATTCACTTTTCTTTCATTCCTCTTCTCCAACAACGAACGACAGCAACCTTCGGCAATCACCCCAGAGTGCAACCCATTCCAACCCTCTCATACTCACTCAGGTCACACACACTACATACTTAGCACATGGACCAAGACCCAGTAAGGCATCACTCTCATTGTCCTTTTGTAGCAGCACGGTCTTGAAAAGTGGGCTTGGCACCAATAACAGGATGTTATTTTCTTACCAGAGCTCCAAAACATACTGTTGCTCTTGTTTGCTGATATAGGGCATTATTCGTGTTGTTGATCCGAACGAGGAGCAGGAGGATGAGGCCCTGGTAGCACTTCGCGCTCTCCCTAAGGTACAGCTATACTTCCAAGCTGCTTCAAATGTGCAACATTGTTGTTATTGGTGAAAGAAGCGCGCGTTTTTTGACACATTGGGTCTTTGTCTTGTTTCCAATCGCCTTTTTTTTTAGTTTGAGCCGTTGGTCGTGCCGGATGCTCCGTCCCATTTCTCGTTGACGAGCGTCTTTGGCGCATTCTCTACTTCTGCCGACTCCCGTGGTGGTAAACCTTTTTTTAACTTAGTAACCGTACCTTGGAGTTCTGTTCCTCTCTCAGTACCAACTCTAACACATGTGTCACTTTGCCGTACGCAATGAAATATAGCATCGACGGAATTAGCGTTCAACCCAAGTGTGCTGGTCGACATTTTAGTTCAGATCAATGGTCACAGCAAACGGTGCGGACAGGACATTCAAGAGTTCCAGAGGTCGCTCGGGACAAAGATGAGGGCATTAGATGACTTCACTACGGGAGCTGTCCAGGAACTGACCGCCATTCATCAACAAGCCAAGACCAACTCTGGCGAACTTCTATCAGGTATTTGCCCTTTCCTTATGTGCGGTGTCCCAGGTTTTACTCTGAGGGCATAGCTAGCGTGTTGCGGGGAAGGTATAAACATGACTTGCTGACTTGTATTAATTACGTGTGGCAATTACTAGTTCACGCGTTGTCGAAGCAGGCACAGACGACGACGACGTTACTACACGGGATAGTCGACAAACTCAACCTCATATCAGATGCCCTCCCCACAGAAGCAGGGGTCGTCGGGATCTCAGAATCGGCATACCCACACCTCTACCAATACCTTCATCAACCACCCGAGCAACACCATCATCGTGGATACACATCGACAGGAGCGACAAAGTCGTCGTCAATAGATTCCAGTCCTGAGAGCAGGTTTTCCGCGCCGTCGGGGTTGGCGCTGCTGGGCCAGAACACGACGCCATTGAATCGGAGACCTACGACTACTACTGCTGCTATGTCTGCGACAGGAACTGGTGCAACGACAACAATAGGGACAAGTCAGGGGTACCAACACCTGCACTATGCACCATCGCGGACGACAGCGCTTGCAGTCCCCAAGGCTCGGGCCAGTATGGCGCTAGCATCGAGTTCACTCAACTTTCTTCCAATGCAGTCAACATCAATATCAGATCTGGACTCCACATTCGGGAGCCTGGCTATGGATGCTGGTGGTGGAGGGCTGTTGTCGGTGAGTCCGATCCCCCGATCACGGAGCGCGGATATAGTACAGGATTCTAGTGTTGGCCAGGGGCAGGGGACGATGAGGGCTTCTGACAACTTGCGGAGGTTGGCAAATAAGCCTGCGCCTGCGCCTGGTCCTTGATTCGGATAATGGCGATCGGACCGTCAGGAGTGGTCTCGTTGGATCAGGAGAGGCCTTATCGGTTGCAGTGGGCTGGACCCGCTGCTGCATTTTGAGGTGGACTGGCGTTTCAAAGGACAGAGGATCTCCTCGCCAGTAGGCGGAGATGACAGCTTTGCTAGTTGTACTAGATGGTCACTGCTCTGCCATCGGAGGGTACGAGTACTTCAAAGTCTTGCACTGCACACCACAACAAGAATAAACGAAGCATTTGGCCCTCCCCGACGATCTTCTTTTTCTTTGGACAACTCTGGTTCATATATGTTGGTTCTTTGTACCTCTCGATTGAAACGAAGATAAAGGTGTTTTTATTAACAATGGTGAAGGGGACGAAGAAAGGCACCGTCTCATGCGTCGATATTGTTGACTTACCGGTCGTCATTCTCGTACTTATAATAATAATAATCATCATCATCGGCCTCAATACCATGGTCAACAATTCATTCTCTCACATACCCATTCACAAACAAAACATATTTATTTCATTCCAGGCGAGCACTCACAGAAAAAAATGTACGTAATCACCACCGAAAAAGGGGCGTCGTGTCCACCTTCAAACCAAGCTCCCTATAAAGCCACTGGAACGGCTCAGACAGCCTGTCATAACTACCACCAAACGCCGCAACCTTCAACGCGGGCCAATGTCGAGACATCCATTGCGCTTCCCCCCAACCCGTCGTCACCGCCGTCTCCTTATCGCTCGTATTCATCGATCCCCTGAGCTCTTCCAGTTGTGTCAACCCCTGGAACAAGTCCAGATACCCCGGTCGGCCCGTCTGCTCGTCTTTGAGACTCAACATCGCCGGGAACGACCTGTTTCTGTCATGGTAATGGACACCCATAGGATGGTCCCTGTCCAACAACACCACTCGCAACGCCAAATGGGTCAGGCTCGTCAATACCCCGATCTGGCGGTACAATCTCTCATACAGGACGAGTTGCTGCTCCTCATCATCAGTCAGACCAACAATCGGTGTCCTCGTGTAGTAGGGCTCTTGACCGGGCTCCAAGTCGGGCATCTCATGGATGGCGACACCAAGATCCAGGATCTTCAGTTTGGTGCAGACCCAGGGACTCTCAACAGCATCCGACAACTCGATGAACCCACCATGGACATGATCAAACGAATTAATCTGCATCTGAAAGTGCTCGAGCGCTGGACAGACCGTGAGTATTGTTCGTATAGCATCGCTCGCCACATGAAAGCAACTCTCAAAGACCACTTTCCTAAGAACGTCCGAGTGTCGACGCCACATCCAGTCAGCCCTGTCGCCGCCCAGACGCTCAAATGAGTTGAACCATTGGAACTCCTCGATCTGTTGCTTTGGCACCGCCAGCATAATCTTGACCGGGATTGTCATGTTTCCGTAAAAGTTGAAATTTGAGAATGATAGGCTGCGTAGCTTGGGACAGTGAGCGCCTAGGGCGCGACCAATTGCACTGCCGCTGACTTGACCTTGAATCCCTGGTAAAGATAGTCGTTGGAGGTCGGGACAGCGCTGGAGTATGGCGACGAGGGCTTGCCCGGAAGCGACTTCGCCGAGAAACCACATGGTGAGATCCCGCAATGCTTTTCGCGCAGCTGGTATCGGTGTCGCCGGCTGTAAATCGTCATGTTCCTGTTGTTGCTCTGCATCGCTCCAGTTGTGGCCCTTGACTAACCCAGCGGTATAAGAATATTGGTCCATGTTGACTGATATAGCTTGCACGCTCGAACTGCACCTGTCGAAAATCGTCCGCCCAATCAGCTCCCAAGCCTCCTCGCGAGCAACGATCCCATCCAAGTCCAAAGTCTCTAACCGCGCCAATCCAGAGAGCGAGTTGGACAAGGCGTTCAAGTCATTTGCGTTAGAAATGAAAGGTCGCACTATTTTCAGGCCCATCAGACGTGGGTTGAGACTGACGATCCAGGAAATTTGAAGTAGGGTGGTCTGAGGATCTTCGCAGCTGTGGAGATAGTACGGACATGAACCGATATATTGCGGTTTTTTGAAGAGATTGGCGTCAAGTCGTTCCAAATTCGTTATCAGCGGTATGGGTATAATCCACGGTGAGCTGGGGTCTGGAGTTGGGAGCCAATCGGGTCGGTCCTCCTGAGTGTTGTCGACAGTGGGATCCTTGGTGGCCTCCAGAAAAGCGAGCATGCAATTGAAAAGCATGGCGATATCAATGACTGAGATCGTTAGCCTCCTGATATGCTGGACGTTCCTTGAGAGGGCGATAATGGCATCATAAGAATCGAAAAGATTGGCTTCTCGGGAGTCATAGTCGAGGCACAGGTCGGCGTAAAGTAATGGCTCGCAGAGTCGACAGAGCTGACGGCTGGTCTGTACAAGTGTTGAGATGTCGTTTTTGTCGAGGTATGCCACGACTATATGGGTCAGTTCTGGAATGTCAAAGAAGCGGGAGCCGGCTGAGGTCATTTGTGATGGTGATGAGGATGAGGGGGGGTTATTTTCTTTTGGTGATTGGACAAAGTAAAAAAGGGAGTAAGTGCACGCTCAAAAGATATCGACTTTATTTTATTTGCACAAAGAGGGGGTAAGTTGAACGACGTTTGGAGAGGAGATTAGAAAAAAGGGGTCGTTTGCTCTGTCGCCATGTGCAATAAGAGAACTGTTGTTCAACTGCATAAAGACTTCACCATGTGCCACATGTACAACCAGAGTATGGTCACTCAAGGAACGCCTTTTTGTTTAATCGTTTGGAACGATAACCTTAGACAGAGCCATCTATCTACCACTGAAAAAAAGGTTCCGCATCGACAATCAGATTACGCTCCCTCTGAAGCCACGAAAACGGTTCTCGCAACTCGCTCTCGTCCTTCGCGAACGCCACCACTCTCAGCTGGGGCCAACACCGCGCCATCCACCGCGCTTCCTCCCACCCCATCGTCATTTTTGTCTCCTCGTTGTTCGTATTCACCGATCCACGGAACTCCTCTAGTTGCGTCAACCCTCGCAACAGATCCAAGTACCCTGGTCTTCCTGTCTGCTCGTCTTGGAGATTCAGCATCGCAGGAAAGGTCCTTGTCACGTCATGGCGGTGTTCCGCCCATATGGAAGTACCGACAAAAACCGCTCGCAATGCTAAATGGGTTAGGTCCGTCAATGCCCCGATCTGGCGGTACAGTCTCTCATGCAGGAAGAGTTGCTGCCCCTCGGCATCGGACAGACCAACAGTCGATGTCCTCGTGTAGTAGGGCTCTTGACCGGGCTCCAAGTCGGGCATCTCATGGATGGTGACACCAAGATCCAGGACCTTCAGTTTGGTGCAGACCCAGGGATCGGCAATGGCATCCGAAAGCATGATAGTGGCGCCACGGACATAAGTAAAGTTCTCGATTCCTATCTGGAAATGCTCGAGTGCCGGACATTTTGTCAGGATTACTTGGATCGCTCCACTAGTCACACCATGACACCGTTCAAAGACAATCTTCCGAAGGACCTGCGAATGGGGTTGGAACATCATTTGTGCCCTGGACGGGGTTATTTGTTCCGAGAACCCGGTCCACTTGAACTCTTCAATCCGCTGAGCCGATAGAGACCTCATGAGCCAGATCGGAATCACTACGCTGTGTCTGTTGCAGCAGGTCCAATCAATGAACGCCAGGCTGGATACCTTTGGACAATGGTCTTGAATGAACTGAATGATGTTGGAGTGGTCTGACTGATTCTGGATGCCTGGTAAGGCCAGCCTTTTGAGGTTGGGACAGCGCTTGAGGATAGAGGAGAGTTCTTGCTCGGGAGAGCCGCTGCTGGCGACGACGGACCACATCGTCAGATCCTGTAGTCGATCTCGAATACCTGGAGATGCCCGCTCTAAGTCCTCCAATGCTTGATTAGCGTCACTCCAACCGACTGCAACTCTGCGAGAGCATTTTCTGTAAAATGGGCGGCTCATATTGACGGAAAGGACTCGGACGGACGGCCCACAGCTGTTGAAAAGAGTGCGCCCGATGCACGCCCAATTATCATTGTTGGAAGCAACATCGTCCAAGATCAGCGTCTCCAGACATGTTAGGACCGACAGTGATGTTGACAGGAGTCGGAGATCGACGGCATTGGAAATGGGGATCCACTCGGCCTTGAGGTATGTCAGGTGTGGGCTGAGATCGAGGAGCCGGCAAAATTGGCGGAGGGTGGTCTTGGGGTTGTTGTCGGTCTCGAGGTAGAAGGAGCATGTGGAGGCGAATGATCCGCGTATTAGTGTTGTCTCAAGTCGTTCCAAGTTGGCCATTGGCGGTACCGGTACGATGTGTGAGGAGGAGGTGGTAGTGGTGGTCGAGCAATGGGAGGAGAGCGAGTCAGATGAAGGATCTTGCTTCTCGACGCCGATCGAATGCAAATGGGCGAGCATGCGATTGGTGAGCATAGCGAGGTTGACTATAGATATCCTCAATTTCCTGACATAATGAATGTTGCGTGCCAGCGCGAGGGTAGCGTAGCGAGAATCGAAAAGATAGTGACCATGGGGTTTATAATCGAGGTGCAGGTCCAAGTAGAGTAACGGCTCACAAAGCTCAAAAAGGCGACGATTGGCCTGTGCAAGCGCTGAGGTGTCGTGTTTGTTGAGGAGCTCAGTGACCATGTCGGTCAACTCTGCGATGTTGAAGAACCGAGTGCCTGAAGATGACATTCGTGATGCTGATGGTAATGAGGATGACTTTTTTCGAATGAATGAACAAAGAATTCAGGTGGCAGTGAATTTTTTCTTTATTCACTTTTTCTTTCTCTCCTGGTGGCGCAGAAAACGGGATGTGAATCGTCCACGTACATATCCTTGGCATCGCATGCATGACACATTTTTTTTATTCTGCCAAGTGCACTGCCACAACCTTGCAATGGCAGCTTTTATCCTCATCTTCTTCTGTTGCCAAAAGACGCGTTGCTAGTCTTGCTACCCAGGTGCGAGTTGTTTCCATGCACAAGCCTTATGACTGCTGCCTTGACGCGTCCGTCCCTGGATCATTCTCCTTCATTCAACTCCATACCGGTACAAATCAATTGATGAGCATAATGATGAAAAACATACCCACAACTAGACCCGTCATCTTCATCTCCATTACCCGCCACTCACTCCTCCCTTCAGCCTTATGTCTCGACCATCCACTTTCATCCACCACCCCACCCTCGTTGACCACCGGCGAGGGAGCTGGTACATTTGGTCCATCTTTATCCGCCACCTCCTTAACCCATCGCGTCTCACATCCCCTCAAACAGGCCATTTTTGACCAAAGTTCAGATCGCCTGGTCTCCCAGGTGCCCCCTCGTCCTTCCCATCCTGGAGTTCTCCAGTACAAGACTTCCCGATCATCCCAACTATGCCGCCAAGAACCATGATCCCCCCCCCCACCCCCCCCCCACGGACCTGATCAAGACGACACTTCTAGAACCCTTTTTTCGCCGCGCCAGGGGATGCCGCTCTTGTTCCCATTTGTCTACTTATCCTGTTGCAGAGCATCAAGACAAATCCGTCGGCTCCTCCACGAAACCAGGACCTCAATTCATCCCCCTCCTTTGTGTGTGGTCGTCTTTCAAACCCACCTTTTCCGAACCTTCACCTACCGTCTTTCTTCTTCTCCCTTTCGTCTTTGGTCATCTTGATCGTTGGCCTAAGGGGATCTATCATCGCCCTTTCTATTTATTTATTTTTTCGTACAACGCGACATACGCCATTTCCAAATCAGTCCTGAATAAATGTCCTTTTTCTCTTGTTGCCTTTTGAAGAGAGAACGATCGTCTTGTAACCTAGGCCTTTGATGTCAACTTAGAAACCCCTCCCCGTACTTTTTATTTTTTTGGGTGCGTGGGAACGAGAACCTATGCATACGGACCATGGAGCGCACCCCTTAATAATGTGGATACAGGAGTGAATCAATGCCTAGAACGTCTGAGGACACTGACGGCAACTATCCTTGGATGCAGAAAGAGTGCAGTTTCAAGCCGCGCCCTCGCCCTGGGGAGCCTGGTAGGCAGAGGGGGGTTCAAGCGGACGAGGTCGTATTTTAGTTAGGGAAGGGGTTACGATTTCTCACTTCGGTGACGTAATTTATGCGCCCATTGTCCGCTAAGGATGGAATCATTCTACTACTTCAATCATCAACCTTTCATCACCATCAGATCCGAGCACGGCACTGAGCAATCCAACTCCTTCCGCGTCGTTCTTTTTTTTATTTTTGTGAAGCCTTGGACAGTGGTTCCGTTAGGGATTATGACCCCCACCTTTTTTTCTACTCAGAAAGAGGGTGGTCTCAGTTGGTGGTGATGACGGGTCAGGTAAGTCAGACACTTCATCAGCGCTACCCTTGCCTTAAGCTACTTTTCCGAGAGTTCTTAGCCGGCTACACGACTCCCCGGCTGCCTTCACCATGGTGCGGCAGCTGGGCCTCGGACGGAGCATGGTGCATTTGTCTTTTTCAACTATCAGGCCTTGGGCGCGCTGGACTCCCTGTTCTTGGTTAGGCCTTGGATGTGCTGGACTCCCTGTTCTTGGGTTAGCTGGATGCACGCTGGACCCCCTGTTCTCCCTTGACAGGCCTCGAGCTGCATTCAACCCCCGTCTCTGAGAACAGGCCTCAGGCAACACTCAACTCCCTTTCCTTTCGGAACAGGCCTCGAGCTGCGTTCAACTCCCTGCTTTCGCCGGCCTCTCGAGGCCGTTTATTCCTTTTTTTTCTTTCCATTTTGAACAGGCTGTCTCTTTGTTGTCATGATATTAACTCCAGTTTTTTCTCTGCGAGGCAATGGGGCAAACGCACCTCGAATCTAGGTCGATATCCGCAATATTCTGTGGCGGTCAAGAATAGTCTGCGAGCACTACGTGAACGCTCTCCGAGCGATGACTAGGGCGATCAAACAATACCACTCTCCTCTTTGCTGTCCTCTCATGTGGTGCAGCTCATCAGCAAAGCCTCTTCAATAAACAACGACATTTATTTTTTTTGCCCAGAATATTAATGTTTGAATGATCCCCAATGAGACATGGAACCAAGGTCAGGTTGAGCTTGCCCTACAAATGTGTCTTTTTTTTAAACACTTTAACCCGCCAACAGCAGAACATGAGAGAGATCTATGTGTGGATAGCAACAGATCAAGTCTCGATCGAGATATACCCTTCGCGGGATGCAGAAATGCCTGCTGGATGACAAGATCGGGGAGAGCACTTTGATGGGCGTTCTCCTTCTCCAGGGAGGTAGTCGAAATGCTGTTCGATATGAGTATGTGCGGACACGCTTTCGACCGTGCTCATAGCTTCAAGACCCTCCCGTTGCTTCCTCTCTCTCTCCCCCCTCCGACTCCTTCAAAGTTTTTATCCTGTTGTTTATTACCTTGCTTCTCAGATGATTGTAGGCTCGTGGCAGAATAAAAAACTACGAAGACACCTCACTATGCTTCCCTTTGCCTAGAAAGGGCACATTCAGTGATGGGCAATGAGCGTTAACGCTCATAGTGGTCTTGATGATATGGTGTGTAGGAGGCAAAAGACCGATTCACCCAGGCACTGACACAAATTTTCGAAGAACGATGCACAAAAATCATAGATGAATGTCCCTCGAAAGAGACCCGTAAGGCCTTCACTACCATTCCTTCAAAGTTCTCCATTAACTCCTATTCCACATGAGATGGTATTTCTCCATTTAATATTTGTACCCGCTGAAAATAAACGATCAAAGGGAAAGTACATTGGGAGGTGTGGGTGGCTAGTCATGGTCGAGACAGTGGGGGGACAATGGCAAGGGTCTGTAAGGCCTACTTGGCCTTGGACGGCGACTTCTGCCGAGGTCTCTTCAGAGTGGGCATGCGTGGGGTGGCAACCTTGTAGCGCTTAATGGGAGTGTTGATGACCGGGTTTCGCCCCTCGTCCAGGGAATCGTATCCCAGCATCCTGTTCTTGGCCTCCTCCTTCTTCACCTTGCGCATGCCTGCTTAATCGTCGCCGCGTACTCATCGTTGATGAGCTACAGGGCACAAAGCACACACACACAAAAAAGCTCCCCGAGTTAGAAGAGTGTAAGCATGTTTCGTAGGGCAACATTGGCAAGGAGAACAAGCATTTTACCTTAATATTAAGCAACGCACTCATCCCACCCTCCCTCAGGAAGTCGACCATGTCTTCCTTCGTACGGGGCAGGCAGATCAGGCCTTTTTTCTCCGTCACAGCCCCCGCCACAAAGACATCAGGGTTGATCTTGTGGATCTTGTAGGGCAGGGCGGTTCGCCCTGCAATGTCCAGGAGTAACGGGGATGGGAGGGGGTAGACGGGTCGCCTGCGGTCCAGGCCTGCCATTGAGTGCGTGGTGCCGATGAAGCAGGCGTTGAGGCGCAAGTTCTTGCACCTTTGGACCTGGAGTTGGATCGATCCCGCGTCTGCTGTCTTTGCCTCCCAGCAGAACAGCTCGACCAGCTTCCTTTCCTCCAAATGAAAAAAAAGATCGATCTTGCGGCCTCTTGCCTGAACGGAAGTCCGGTCACGGGAGATGGCACCCTCTACCCGCCGGCGGTCATATCGTACAGCATGCGACGACAGATCACCCATCCTTGGTACAACATCACCATTATAGAGCGCTCTCGCCACGTCGCGCCATAGACACACGTCTTCCTGTTCTGAGCACGCTCGGTTGCCCGAGTGCAAGATCTCGTTGCAGCTTTAAAAAGAAGAGGGAAGGGGGAGAGTAGATGAGTATAATATACTTTCCTATTACTTGTGTGTTTAAACACATGTACAGCTTACCAATAAGCCTTGTTCCCATATGGTGTGGCGAGAGAATCACTTACAGAATGTGGACGAGCGAGCAAATGGTCAACTCCTCCTTCATCGCCTCGGTGTTCGGCACCTGGAAAAAAGGTGACTCTTGTTTGAACGAAACTCGCAGGTCACAGGCATGGCGCAATGAAAAAATGTCTAAGGTGTCGAGATCCAGCGTGTGGAGGAAATTTGTCTCTTGCATCATCCGCTCAACAAAGTCCAGCTGGCGTTGGGTCGGCGTCATGAAGCCTTCCACGACGCATGACTTCTTGTGGTCGGCAAACTCGTTGTGGAATGCTGCGTTGTCCCCATCGATGGTGTTGATGATGCATGATAATGCGACACTATTGTGGGAGTAGCGTGCGGTTTTCTGTTGTTAGTCAAAGTGGCCACGATCAAACCTGGGCTTGTGTAGGTATAAAAGCATGAAAGGAAAGGAGCTACCCACAACAATTGTTTTTGATTAATAAGGTCATCCTCACGCCAAGTCTCTAGCAAATGTCGCGCATGAGCATGAAGTTCTTGGACAAGCGGCGACGAAATAGGCTTTGCGAGAAGCTTCATTTTTTCCTGATCATGGCCAAACTAATCGAGACAACCAAGATGGTACGCAAGGCACATTGGTGAGTTGATAGTTGTACCACACTACATAAGCTGTTGGGAAGCCTTCATGTACCTCCACAACACTTACACGTTGATAAAGGTCCTTGATCAAGTCACAGAAGGGTGAGTACGGGCTCGTCTCGGTCAGCTCGGCTTCATCTTCGTCTGCGTCGGTATCTCCTTGCGCGTCTGTACCCGCATCGAATCCGTCTTCAGCCTGTTCAGCGACATTGGCCCTCTGCTCACTATTGTTGCCGTTGCCTGCTCTGGCTTTGGCTTTGGCATTGGCTTTGGAATGAGAGCCTTGGAAAGCTTGTAGGCAAAGAGTCATGTCGGAGATGAATATTGGTGTTAGCCCACGAATTAAAATAGCGTATACCAAGTGAATTCGTGTTTGCCTACTGGTAGTCTAGACTGCTCACCTTGTGAGGATGTGTCTGCTGAGGTCTCTTCGCCATTGCCTGAGGTCAAATCTGTCAGCTGGGTTTCCGCTTCTTGCAAGACCGAATCAGAATACGCTGCCACGAGCCTATCATTAAGATGTGCCACACGCGCCACTGCTCGTGTGGTAGAGCGAGTCTAGTCAAATTGTAAGGGTAATAGAGATAAGTGATTTCATAGAAGATAGAACGATTTGAATGTGGGCTTGTCAAAGTTTGAAACCCCTAAATGCCATATTCCAAATCAAAAGGATCTGATGAGCCAATATGATCACGTCCGGAAGGCTGTTGGCGACTCACACAGGAGGTCCTGGACAAGTTCCGTGTTCGTGTTCCTCGTGTCATCGGCGTTTCTCCGAGCTGCTATATTTCTTCTGCAGTTGTTTGCAATTATTGTCGTGGAACAAACAAGTTGTGATCGTGAATAGGCGTTCTTATTCATCATCTCAATGATGAAGGTAATGTCATGGCGTGTTTCTCTTGCCTTTTGAAACTACCACACGCGAATTATTTCAAACGCGAGTTGGACGTCCTTGAAAGCTCATCTAAGCAGCGCGGGATTGCAGACCAATAACTGACTTCATTTCAAGAATCCCAAGGTGAGCCATATCGATATCATTCAGAGCCGTAATGGATGTTACCGACATTCCTGTATTGGGAGGTATGTGATCGGTGTTTGTGCTAACATTGCAATTACATGTTTGTAGAAAGCAAGCTCAAGCATAAGATTGATGTCGATGTCACAAACAAGCCATCAGAGCGACAAGGTATATGTCGAAGGTCTTTCTGTATTGAATCCCACCCTCGCCTCCAGTGATCGTACTGGCGAATGATGTCAGCAAGACTTAAAAGCTTACTTGACATTCAAGTAGGGATTCGTTCAATTGCCACGCCCAAAGACGCTTTATCTGAGCTCAATAAGCAACCACGCCACAACCACGGTCGTCGCTCGCCCGTCCTCACGCGACATCCATTGACCCTAACACACGACATGTGTACCAATACGTGCTGGACTAGGTGAACATTGGGCGCCTCTTCTAGGAGTATCAAGTGGCTTCGATTGCGACTGCCGACAATCTGGATATCAGAGTCACCCTAGAGAACATTCCGCGATTTCTATATATCATGGTCGGCTGGTTGAAAAAATGACTATGCAGTGATGCAGTGTGCTCACTCTTCGCTTTCATTATTGCCTCCATGTATAGGTCTCTCAACTTTATTTGGGACACATGTCTGCAGCTACCTGGTGTGTCCATTGACATCCATAAGCAGGTTTGCCAACGATATGTTTGGCCTCGAGCAACCATGGCGAGTGACATTGGCTCTCTGTGCACAACCCTCGGAGAGCAGCTGAACACCGTTCAATTCAGCCTCTCTACCATTTTCTGTAAGTGGCAAGTAAAGGTCATGTTCTGGAATTTGACTTCAACAACAGCTAATTGACCTGTCGACGCCTTTTTTTTTTTTTTTTTTTGCCAAGCTCTCTCAAGTTGCCACTTGAGAACCACAGTTTCCAGGAGACCATTGAAGACATATATGCCACGGAGTAATCGACGTATTGCTTACCCACTGGTTCCCATGTCAAGGACGATTTCGTTTGGACTGGGCGAACAAGGAGTCTGATGGTTCAAAGGAGAGAAGACAGAATGGGAAAAAACCCAACGGGATCATCAACCCGCGACGACTGTGAAATCGCCTTTATGGAAGTAAAGCCACCAAACGAGACAGGTTCCAACCGCTCCTACCTAGATGCCCAATGGAAGCTTGCAAATTTTTCAAGGACACCATTGACTCGTTCCTTCGCCAAGGTCGTCGCATCACCCAAGCAGGTGCGGTTCAGATCTTCGGTCACAAATTGTCATTGTATACAATGGAGTACATAAATGATATTTCCCATTGGTCCCTGTCGCGTATCTCTTACTTACCATGCGATATACACGACTGCTGTCGTACCTTTGCTTGCCTGCGACTGTCTTCTCACCTCACTAACTTGACTTGATGGTCCTTTCTATGTTGTTGGACAATATTAATACGACTGCGGATATGCGCGCTCCACTAGTTATCGAGTATGATGATGAAGAGGATAGGACCGCTATCGACGAAAGTCGTCCTTCAAAAATCATCCTAACGTCTCGTGCGAACATGCTCTAGCCAGCTTCTTTTTTTCACTGCTGAGCCCTTTTTTTTTATTGGACATGACAACTGGGTGCGAGGACTGTTGTTCCACCCTTCAGTCAAGTTCCTTCCCGGTGCAGATCAAGATTTTGGGGTCAGAAGACGCTCGATGCCCACGTACACATTGTCATATGTATGGCCTTTAACAAGACGGCTCCAGTAGCAGGAATAAGATTCCTAGATCCGCAAATAAAAAGCTCCCTTCTGTTTATTCCCCTTTCCTTCTTTCTTCTTTCCCAATTGTTTTATCGCTGCTTCCTTGAGCACTTCCTCGTCCCTTCCAGTATCTTGCCATCAGTTCTTGCAACATGCCAAAAAAAAAAAAAAAAAAACTTTCTTTTTTAATTAAATTTATTTTTGCGAAAAAGAACAGACGACCCACTCACGAAGCACTCGATGTCCCCTTCTCATATGTACATAAAAGAAATAAATATTCCCCTTCTCAACTACACAAAAAGCTACTTAATAAAAAGCACGCTTAGTTGTTGAGGGGGGAAGGGCCAGAGGCATAGACCAAAAGGTCATAGGTGAAAGCACCTCCAATGGCACCAAGGAAGGGTGCGACAATGGGGACCCAGAAGTACCAACCCTGACGAGAGAACGCCTCCAAACCCCAGCCGAACAAGGCGGTAAAGAAGCGAGGAGCCAAATCACGAGCAGGGTTAAGAGCAAAACCAGTCTCGTAACCGAACGAGGTTCCAATGGCGGTCAAGGCCAATCCAATAATAAGGGGCTGGGTGTTACCGGCGGGGGTGTTGCCCTTATCCGAGGTCGAGAGGATGACGAGGAGGAGGAGGGCGGTACCGAGGAACTCGGCGATAAAGGCGGCGGAGGTCGAGACGGCATCAGATTGACGGCCGGTGATGAAGATGCCGATGGTGGCCTCGGCGGCGGCGTTCTTGATGGCAGAGTAGTTGGTGATGTAAACGACGAGGGCACCGGCGAAGGCTCCGGCGAACTGGGCGATCGAGTAGACGATGAAGTCGGCCCAGGAGAGACCGCGGAAGATGACCATTGCCAATGAGACGGCGGGGTTCAAGTGGGCACCCTATTGTTACATTCGTAGAAAATGGTTGGGTTTGTAGGAAGGATGAAAGTAGAAGGAAAGGGGTAAGAGAAAGAGAAACGGTGGGTCAGTTGTCATGTTAGGAAGAAGGAAGAGACAGAAGCGCATTGATGTCATGTTCCTCTCTTTTTTTTTCTCTCCTCTTTCTCGGATACATCCTCTGAGCTATGTTGTTGCACTACACTGTCATATTATGTTGCATCATATGTGGTTTGTATGTGCAATGAAAGAAGTGCGATATCGCTACGACTGTCTAGTCCTTGACTATGTCGTACTGTCTGACCTCGATACAATTCCTGTGTTGATGTTCTCTTCCAAATTGCTTTTCTTTCCTCCGCTTATTACGCGTTATTTGTTGTATCTCCTTTGGTCTCGCCTATTTCCTTGTCGTATGCACGTCGTCTCGTCGTGCTGTTGAGATTTTTTTTGTTGCTTTGCGCATCGTGCATAGCGAGGGGGTGTGTTGCATAAAATAACTCTCGAATAGCGTGAGAGTGCGGTAGAAACAAACATGGGGAAGAGAAAAGTCGAGATGAAAAAAAGCAGAAGGGTACCTCTCACTCCTCCCACCGACTCTATGTCATCTCATCTCGTTTTTGTTTTTCACTCGCCGCAGATGAACAATCGATGTGGTTTTGCTTTCTAGCGTGTCGTGTCATCATCTACGGGCTGTGTGTCTTTTTTGGTGCTGTAAAGTGTATATCCATGGTATCGCGGTGTATGTACAGCGGTACTTTGTTTCGTCTTGTTCTTGTCCCTCTTCACCACTCCACTCCGCACTCTCACTCTCCGCATGGAAACACAAAGGAAAAAAAAGGGAGTCTAAACACGAAAACGAAAAAAGGGTCCGTTCTTCCTCCTCTCCCTTCCCCGACCACCTCACCCCTTCCCATCCAACCACACATATAAAAAACAAAGCAAAGTAACTTACAGAGACACCTCCGGCGACATAGATACCGAAGGTCAGACCAAGACCCCATCCCAAGGACATGGTGAACCAGGAGGCGTTGTTAGGGGAGAAGACCAACTGGGCAATAGCGCCCGAACCGAAGGCGACCAGGATGGCAGTTCCCAAGAACTCGGCGAATCCCTTTCTGAACTATTTTGGTGTGAAGAGGGTGGTGAGAGGATGAAGGAAAGGAATGTGGGATGAAACAGGGAGGAAGGAAAGATGAAGAGAAAGCACAGGAAAGCACGTTAGCAAAATTGAAAACATTGAGTGGGTGTTGGATTGAACCTTGTCTGTCTCGTGTGCTTCTCTGCGTTCCCGTTCTCTGTCCTTTGTCTCTGTCGGTGTTTCGGTGCATCGTTGCTTTGGCGCTTTGGTGCTTGATTTGTCGGTTATGGCGCTTCGGTTGCTAGCTCGCTCTGCTTGCATGCTCAGGTTCTCGAGTTCTTGAAATTCAACACAGAACGGGACAGGAGACGTGAAGTCAATATAAAACCACAAGCAAGGACGATGAAGTTACCTTGTGGCGGATGCCAGCCCACTTGCTGTGCGCCTCGTATTTGGGATGGGCAACGCCGCGCTCGACACGCTCGATGAGAGGGTCGGACTCGTGGGAGTGGTGGAAGTGGGGCATTGTTGTTGTTTTTGGTGTGGGTGAAGGGAGGGAGAGGGGTGAAGAAGAAAAGGGAAAAAAAAAAAAAAAAAAGAAAAAGGGAGAGAAAGAAAAAAAAAGAGAGCAACAGGAAAAGAGTGTCTCGGTCTATTTGTACCTGCGGCGGGCCACCAACAACATCTCATCAGGTAAGAGCAAAGGGCGGGAGGAATTGACCAGAAATAACATCGTATGTGAACAGACAGGGAAAGGAGTCATGGCAAATGGCATGACGATGGTACATACTGCGTTCTCCTTGTATGTGACTGGCTGGATAAAGTAAATTGATTTTCTCCTTAGAAAAACATATTAACTTTGGACACCCTGTGTCACTGTGTGAGATGGGACGGGTGAGTTATGGTATTCCTGGCGGCGGAAAGATGAGAAACGAAGTCCAGACTGGCCCAACCTTCCTTCCCTTCTCTCGCAATTGAACTCAAGAGAGAGCAATTGTGGTCATCCGCCCTATCCCATTATCACATCACAATCCCCAATACCGCCAGTCAGTACAGCCGGGCTTTGTATTATTTTGTCGCATTGTTGAAGAAAAAATATGAGAGCACCGCAACAGAGAAACCCCTCGATTCCAACCAGGAGGGAAGAAACAAGAGGGGTTTCTTGCCATTTTTTTTTTTATTTATTTGTTGCGTGCTCTCAATGTTATTGCGTTCGGGCTTAGCTTACGCAAAAGGCATATGTCCATCCATCGAACACAGGGAAGGAAAACAAACAAGGAGAAAAAAAAATCGTTCCGCGGATGGGGCTGAGATGTTGTCATTCTTCTCGTTTTCTATGAATGTGCGCGTGCGTAGAGGAGAAGTAGTTTCATCGCGAGTGAGGAGGATGAGAGAGAACATACCGAACAGCGATAAAAAAAAAAGCAAAAGCAAAAGCAAGGACCAAACAACTGGAAACAGCTCAACACGCGATGTATTTCACACAACTAGCACATACCACTTTTTTTCTTTACTCCCCATGCATGCTCTAACGCCACTGCTCTCATACCATCTTTCTTTTCTTTTATGCCTTTTGGTGTAATGGAGTGGCGATGCAGGGGAGAGGTGAAGATTTGATTGTTATGGCATCAAAGAAGGGAAAGAAGGATAGCTCTCTGTCTACCCGCTCGCTCAAGATTTCTGAGGGAAACCATTGTTTCGATCACTCACTCACCATTACCCACCACACACCACCATAACATTTGGAGTAATAAAGCGTATTTTGAGTTTTTCTATGTGTGTCAAAAAGAATTGGGTCTACGAACGCGCTACCCCCTTTGTTACAAAGGGACAACACGATGGGTATAGATAATAATTAAAGAAAGCAACTTACAGGTGCGCCCTGGCATCGGTTGCAGAGGAATCAGGCGCACGGTCAATCTTGACAATATCCTTGCGCAAGATCTTACCCGATGCAGACTTGGGAATCTCGTTCGTGAACACAACACCACCCCTCAGCTTCTTGTGGGGTGCAACACGTGCTGCCAAAAACTCCATAATCTCCTTCTTCAGCTCATCATTCTTTGTAACACCCTCCTGAATAACAACATAGGCACGAGGGATCTCAGTGGCCTGGGTGGCATCGTAGGCGGGGATGACGGCGGCGTCAAGAACCTTGGGGTGAGTGATGAGGAGAGCCTCAAGTTCTGCGGCGGGGATTTGGAAGCCCTTGTATTTGATGAGTTCCTTGAGACGATCGACGACGAACCAGTTGCCCTTCTCGTCGACGTAGACAATGTCGCCCGTGTGCATCCAGCCGTCCTCGCGGATTGTGTGTTTGGTGGCCTCGATGTTGTTGAGGTAGCCCTTCATCACGTTGGGACCCTTCAACAACCATTCTCCAGCCTGGCCCACTCCCAATTCTAAATAGTGGTTTAAAAAAAAAGGAATTAGAGTCACTATCGAACGCAACGATATCATGGTACACATTGCTACTTGATAATTGCCAAAGAAGTGGAAGTTACCTTTGCCGGTCTCAGGGTCGACAACCATGGCCTTCAAACCAGCAACAAGGGGTCCAACAGACCCATCAGGGCCACGAGCATCAGGACGCAAGCAAGCAACCAAAGGAGAACCCTCGGTCATTCCAAATCCCTGACGACAGTAAACACCCAATCTCTCCTCAATCCTCACGCAGAGATCCTTAGGGAGGGGAGCGGCACCACAGTACAAATGACGGAGAGAGGACAAGTCGTGGTCGAGGACCATAGGGTGCTTTGCGAGGGCGAGGGCGACGGGGGGCACGATGAAGGTGTTGGTGACCCTGTACTTTTCGATGTTTTGGAGGAACGAGGGGAGGTCGAACTTGGGCATGATGACCGTCTCAGTGCCCTATGGTGAGCGAAGAGAGCATTGTAAGAAAAGAAGAAAGTGGGTGGGTGAGTATGGTAAGCAAAAAAGAAGTGAGAGCGGAAACATCGCATGCATAGGGTTCAGTACTGAAAAATACCGAGCAAAACAATGCACTGAAATAAACATTCGCATGAGAGCACAATTGACCAAAGGAATAACACCAATTGAGAAGAATAAGAAGAATGAACAAGAACGAAGAAAACGTACGGTGATGAGGGAAATGTGGAGGCAGTTCATGAGGCCATAGATGTGGTAGAGAGGCAAGAAACCAAGGATGACAAGGTCCTTCTGCTTGATGACCTCGGCGTCGTAGCTCATGATCTGGACCAAGTTCGAGGTAATGTTGCGGTGGGTCAGCATCACTCCCTTGCTCTTGCCTGTTATTTCATATCAAAGTTGAAGGTTTTAAAAAGAGCGAAACAGCGGCAGCGCAGCGGGAAGAATAGAGGAAGGTCGGGTAAGTTGCTGTACATGGATTAGAGTACATTTTCAATCAACCATGCTCAAAGGCAATCGGATTGGATGTGATCGAGCGCAAAGGTAAAACACGACATGAAGAAACAATGGGCGTTACCGGTGGTGCCAGAAGAGTAGCAGAGGTAGGCAATATCTTCCATATCGATCTTTACGGGGGCAGCGAGGCGCTTGGAAAATACGGACTGGTAGGCCTTATGGCCAGCCTCGTCCTTGCCACCAAAGAGGAAGATGTGTTCACGCTTGATGCCGCAGATCTTGGCTGCCTCGAGGGCGGTAGGGAGGAGGTCGACGGTGGTAACCATGTACGATGCGCCAGAGTCTTTGAGCTGGTGAACGACCTCATCGATGGTGTAGGAGTGGTTGACCGTTGTCACGACGCCTCCTGCGCAAAGTGTTCCCAGAATTGGCACTCCAAAGTCGTACTATTAGTTGTTATTGAAGTATGTTTTCGTAAGTTTGATAGATCAAATAGTTCCGGAATAGGGGTGTAGAGAAAACCGGCTAGAGCGTTATTGCATGTTTGATAGATCGGTCAACTGGAAAGAAGGGTATCAAGGAGGACAAAAAGGTCCAGCTGTAACACAGAGTAAGAAAAGAATATAATAATACCTGGTTGTAGGAAAAGATGGCAAGGACATCCTTGGGCTGGAAGTCATAAGAGTCCAGGAGGCCAGCAGCGAAGTGCTTGGTCTCGTTCAGGAACTGACCGAAAGTCAAAGATTTTTCGGTAATGGGGTCGATGAAGACGGTCTTGCCGGGTTGGACGTTGAAGGGGTTTGACTCGAGGTAGTGGTAAATATCAACCAGGGGGTAGTTGGGTTCAGGGTCTGAAGACTGGAAGATCATCTTGAATGAATGGTTGAATTAGTAATGAGGGAAGGAAACAAGGAATGAATGTGAATGAGAAAGAGTGAGAAAGTGAATGAGAAAGAGAGAGTGAATGGGAAAGAGAGAGAAGGGGGATGAGTGCGACAAGAATAAAAAGAAAAGGAGAATGAAAGAAAGAAAGAAACGAAGACGAAGGCGAAGGAAAGAGACTCTGTAGAAGGTCAATCCACAAGCAAGGTATATCGAGAAGAACGAGAAGGACAAGAGGAAGAGAGCATTGTGCATTCCATTGTCCCCAGGCACCCTATCATGAGACAGATCGATCGGAGTCAAAGGGTAGGACAAGTGTAGCCTATGAGTGGAGACGAACTCTCTCAGCTGAAGGAGTTGAGTGCGAAAGTGGGAGGAAAGAGGTGCGACTTGACAGGAGAGAGTATTCAAGGTAGACGATCGGCGGAGCGGATGTATTATTTGAATGCAGACAACAGTCGACGGGATAATTGACATCCGAGCGAATTCCTTCTTTTATTTGTACACACAGAACACTAGACACATGGGCAAGAAATCGTGGCTAATTGTTTGAAGAAGAGAGAGAGAGAGAGAGAGAGAGAGAGAGAGAGAGAGAGAGAGGAGAGCACATACTGAGACCATTAGGGGAGGTACCCCGCTACCTCGGAAGTCAGAGGTAGACTATGTGTGCCCTCTAGGAGCTATGTGGGACGTGTATGATCTAGGGCATATCCCTAGGATAGACGATGACTGATGGTTCCTGAAATGGGCGATCACAATGAATTTCTGGGGCTATTTAAATTAGGTCTATTCTAACACTTGTCACTGATGATAGATGATGGCCATGTGTGCGTGGAACATGCAGACCCAATTGGATGTGATTAATGTTCCTGGTACTACACATACCACACAGGGATTAATGTGTGCTATGTGTGCTGTGTGCTGTGTGCTGTGTGTGTGTGGCCCCCCCTTTCGCTCTTCTATGAATGTGAATGTGAACGTGAATGTGAACGTGTGGTAGGATAGGACAGACAATCCCTTTTATTCCCTCGATCGAGTGAGTGGGAACACACACACACGACGACAGAAAAGAATCGCATGGAACAATTCCCTATGGAAAATGACAAATCCAAGTCCTCGCGATTCGCTATTCGCTGGGGGAGGGATGGTTCTCTTTCTTGTGCTTGTCCCTGTGTTCACCCATTCTCTCACACCACCCTTCTTTTCTCCCTTTCCTGTCCTTTTCCTTCTTCTTGGTCACCAACGAACATTCGTTCATTCTTCATTCGCTCATTCCCGACTCTCCCTGCACAACTTCTCTTCTTACACTCACACCCACTCACTCGGCCACACACCCGTCACCACCGCCACTACCATTACCACTACCAACTCGACTAAGCAAATAACCAAGGACAAGAAGAACCATGGCGTCGACAATGACTGCAGAACAGCACAAGCTCAGAGGAAACGAGTTCTTCAAGGTCAAGGACCTCGACCAGGCCATCCATGAATACTCAACCGCCATCGTAACGTCGCCTTTCTCTTCTTCTTTTTTGGCTTTACTGAATGGGTGCCATTCAGTAATAATGACAAATGCAACAGAGGCAACAGAACGACTGACAAGGGTAGTCTTTTGTTACAATGGACATTATTGTAGGTCAAGGACCCAAAGGTCGCTGTATACTATCAGAATCGGGCCAACTGTTACCTCAAGGTACCAATTCGCAGAACACTGTTCCTCTTCAAAAGACAGAGAATAACAACACTGTACGGAAAACACACGGGCTGACTAAATTCTTCGACAATACCTCTTTTTGTCTTGTATCACCAATATAGTTGGAAAAGTATACGAACGTTGTATCGGACTGCGAGAGGGTCGTTGAACTCGACAAAAAGTCAGGTATGCCATATACCATTGTTCATTTGTTGTTCTTGCGGAACGAACGCTTGTACAGCATTGCAATTAAACTAACCTGCACTCTCTTCCTTTCTCAAATGCCAACAATGCGCATGATAGTCAAGGGATACTACTTTGTAAGTTCTGGCGATAACAGTTGAACCAAGTGCAACAAAACATGTTGTTATTTCGCCCAAAATGCACACGAAGGACAATATGTTGACAGGTTGGAACTCCTCATTCACTTTTGATAGATGGGCAAAGCGCAGCTGGAACTCGGACAGCCCTCAGAGGCATACTCTCTTTTGAAGAAATGTAAGTCAACAAAAACAATCACATTCCACTCGACCCAGCTCTATCCGTATCCAAACTCACCAAACCTCGTGTATATATCCTATTAATTAGCATACGAATTGGCGCTGGAGCAACGCTCGGCATTCACAAAGGATATCGTTGCGATCATTGCGGAGGCCAAGAAACAGCGCTGGATCGAGCAGGAACGGAGGAGGATCGCTCAGGTTTCGGAGACATACCGGTACCTTTCTGGACTCATCGAGCAGGATATTCAGCGTCAGGTCGATGCCCTTGACAGGGACTCATTTGATTATCAGAACTATTTGACGGATTTGCGTTCCGACAAGGAGGAGCGGTTGAAAGAGTTGGAGGCGATGTCGCAGCGGGCGGGGATCCCTGACGATTATGTTCGGCCTTACATTGAGCATAAGAAGTCGACCACCAACAGCAACAATGGAGTCATCTCCCCCGAGGCGTCGCCAGATCCCATTAGCGCGATGGATATCAACCAGGAACCTTACAAAAAACCGATCCTAGTACCTGCAGCACCTAGAGAAGTGCCTGACCACCTACTGGACAAGATCACGTTCGAGCTCATGCACGACCCGGTGATCTCAATCAAGTCTGGAATCTCGTACGAGCGAAACACATTGTTGCAGCACTTTAGCTATGGACGCATGTTTGATCCGGTCGCCCAGGTGCCTATGACTGAGCGCGATATTATCCCGAACCGAGCCCTCAAAGAGGCCTGTGAAGATTACTTGACCAAGAACGGATGGGCTGTCGACTACTAGGAGGTTGTCATTCAATGGAGGGGTTTTTTGTAGGCGCTATTTTACTATATCTTCACATACCCCCTCCTCTTCTTATACACTAATGTACATATATTTGTTTATTTTGTTATTGACAATGACCTTTTGGACGTTCGTCTTATTTCTTCCTTTTTTTTGACAATGTGGGCATAGTTGAAAGTGCCTATTTAAAGCTTTCCTGAAAAAGTCCATCCTCCCTTTGTGTTTCTTAGATACCAAGACGGTGAATCTCCTCCCACCGCTTCGTCAAATCCTTCACTGGCATATGACACTCAACATCCACACCACCCACCTCATTCTCATCCTCCTCCAACACCATCTCCCCGTTTCCACTTTCAACAAACCCGGCAGAGAGCTGGACCTTGTGTTTGGGGAGGTACCGTGTTGCCTGGACGAGGTCCTTGACATTCGCCTGGGCGGCGTTTTCTTCCGCAAGCTGTGCGACGATGACAGAGTGGGCGGCGGTCGATTTGAGGGCAAGGACGCGGGATTCAAGCTCAGAGGGTGGGCCGGTGGGTGGAGTGTAGGGTGAGATGGAGGATTCGATTATCTCGGACTGGTGGGTGGTGGATGTGGGGGAGGAAAGTTTCTCGGTAGAGTCCGTGGGGCTCAAGGATGGGGTTGTGGCCGAGGATGTTGAAGGTGCGGAGGTGGCGGTATGGGTGTTGGAGAGGGTGGTGCTGCTGGTGGCAGAGTCAAAACTGCGGATGGTGCTCTGGGAGTTGGATCTGACCAATGCGTTGGTCGTCTTTGCCCAGAACTTTGTCAAATCCGCGACCGTTGGTGCCGCCATCTCCTCTTCCTCTTCCTCATCTTGTTCGCCCTCGTCAGCAGTGGTGTAGTCGGAGGGCGAGGTTGCGGGGCTGAAGTAGTCGGCCAAGGATCTGTCTGCGGACAAGTTCTCAAATGATGAGGGGTTTATCTGCGGCAGGGAAGAGCGGGGGGAGTTTGAGTTTGCGAATTCTTGGTCGAGGAGTAATTTTTGGAGGGCCTTCTTGGATTTGGGACGGAAGGTTGCGGTTGAGGAGGCAAGGCTGCACTTCTTGGAGAGGGTGGTGTGACGGGAGGATGGAGAGGAGACTTCTTCTTCGTCTTCTTCAAGGACGGTGGCGAGGAAGCCTTTACAAGCTGGGTGGGTAGATCCGAATTCGCCACAGTCGTTCTCGTCTTCATCTTCCTCCATGATTCTGGAGACCTTTGCCTTGTCTTCTTCCTTGATCGACTGGATCGACTTGGAGGATCTGGTTGACTTGACGGACTTGTTGTCGTCGCACAAGCGGCCATTATCTTTTGACATAGGTGACAGGGCAGGGGTTGTCGTCGCCGACGAAGATGAAGCAACAGATCGGACCGAGCGAGGCTTGCTACCGGATCCCTTTAACTGAGTACGACTAGTCACGAGCACATTCTCCTCCTCGATCGTGGGCGCGTCGAGGACTTGGTCCTGGAACGCAATCTCGATCAACCGGAACGTCTCGGGGATATCGCGCGCCTTGCAATCGGTTCCCATCTTGATCCGGATAAACTCCTCTAACTCGTCCAACGCATCCCGGTCGCCCACAAGCTTGAACACATCCAAAGATTTCGATTTCACGGTCTCGAAGACACGTTGGCCTTTGATGAATCGTGGACGGGTCCGGGCGTCGGTTTGCCACATGGTCAAGGATATCTCTGAGGGTGAGACGCGGACGACGCCGTTGGTGGCTCCTAAAGCGTTCAAGGCGTTCAGACCAAGACTGGAAGCGGTAGCTTTGATCTTGATCTTGTCAAAGACCATGACTCCAATGGCCATATCGCGTTTCGTCGCCGGGTTGTAGAAGCCAACAGACAGTGCGTCGGGGGCGTTGGACATCCGACGGAATTCCATATGGCATTCGCCCAGCTCTGTGTACTTTCGTCCGCCCTCAAGGGTCCTTGTATCTTCAACAGACGACATGGTCTGTGGGGCCGAGGAGGCGGCACGTTCGATCCGCTTGAAGACACGGAGGGCTTTTGAGCGGTAGTCCATACAGAGGAAGGTGTTATCGGGCGAGATGCGGGCGTTTTCCATTAACCAATCATGATACTTCTTGAACTCGCCGACGATTTCAGTGGTGGAACAGGTGATCTTGTACATCTTTGCGATCGTCACCGTCCGGGCCTCGGGGTCAAACTCGATATGCATCTCGGGGTGGAGCCAGGACCGGGCATAGAAGTCGGTGATGTAAGGGGGCTCGACATAGTGGATCTCGCCCTTGTGCATGCGCTTCTTGCAGAGGAAGAAGTCATCCCTCTTGCGGTCGATGGCATGGGAGGGGATCAGGCGGGCAGGACGGAGGACTGCAAAGAGTGCGCATTCGTCTCGGAAGTAGGCTGCACGGTCTTCGATGCCCATGCCAAACTCTCCTGGGGCCGATTTACCGGTGGTCAAATCCTCGATCTGGACACTGATATCGTACAGGTGGCGCTTGCGGAAGGGTATGGGCTGTTCCAAAGGAGGAATGACGCCAAGGTCGAGGGGCAGACGACGAACTTCCCAGAGGGAGGGTTGGCCCAACTGCATGCGTCTGGCGCGTTCCTCTTCGTCCGTGGCAGTGAGTTGGTCTGGGTGGATCTCCGGGAAGGAGCCGTTGTCCTCGGCGTGGAGATTGGCGGTCGATCGACGGAGGCTCTTGAGCCGCTTCAACAACGACACTTTGCCCGTCTTACTTCCACTTGTTGCACCAGCAGCAGTAGACCCACCACCTCCTCCAGACTTGAACATCCCACTACCCGCAAAGATATTCAGTGTCGCCGTGCTACCACCACCACCACCACCACCACCACCACCACAAGTCTGTTGGAGTTCGGCCAACTCATCCTGCTCGCGACAAGAAGCCGAAGGCTTGGGCTGTTCAATGTTTAGCGCACGCGCAACATCGACCCAGGCGTCCCTAACTTCGCCACTCTCCGCCTGCAGGATATAAGTCGTGTCGTTATAAAAACAGACCATGACCATGTCCTTCTGGATAACGGGCGGGTAGACAACATCGGGAGTGGATGAGATCTGGGCGTCAATGACTAAGACGGGTTCGTGGCAGAGTCGCAGCGGCTTGTGGACGTTTGATCCAGAGGAACTAGCGGCGAGGGAGAGGGTGGATCCGTTGGTGGCGGCGGCTTTGAGGGCGCTCCTGGACTCTGATCTCGACAGTTTCTTGGATGACGACTTTGTTGCCTCGTGAGGGGCGGCGCCAGCGGGAGGAGGAGGTACGATCTCGCACATGAAGATCATATCGGTCGTAACAATCAACCGATACTCCTTCGGCGGCGCAGGTACCACCACCCCCTTCTTCTTACCCCCACCACCCGCCTCCACCGTCCTAGAAGCAGCACTCACAAACTCCACCAACCTCCCCTCATGGATCAACTTCCTCTCTCCAATCAATCCCCTCGCAAAAAGCGGCACAAACTGCGGGAAACTTGCCCGATCCTCGACCGTCGTCAACGCCATCTCCTTATTCAACACCTTAAACATATTCGAATAATCGATCTGCTCATGCAGAGACGACAACTTCTTCGAGTTCAAAAAGACAGTCTGTGCCTTTTCGAAATTGGATCGAATGGATTGGTCATAGTATGTGGCGATGGTGTCGGTCTCGTGGATGAGGGAGAAGGTCGTGCATTGGGCGGCAAAGGCTCGATAGGCCTGAGCGAGGTGCTCAAAGGTTCTCATTTGGGCTGCCCAGTTTGCGCATACCTCTTGGTGGTGTCTCAATACCTCTGGTGAGAACTGTGGCATCACCCCTCCTGCTCCTTGACCGTTCAATGTCGCTGACGAAATATTGTTGACATGGGCCGAGGACCCATTGACGTGTGAGAGTGTCGACTTTTTTCCAAAAAGCGAGCGGCGCGTAGATTTGGGTGACTTGCAGCCAGTAGCTGAAGAAGAGTTGTTGACGAGGGCGGCGGTGATGGTCCGAATACAGAGGACGAGTTCCTGAAGGGCATGGTAGACGGCTGACCAGTCCTGGATGAGCTCGATGGTCTCTTGTGAGGAGGCGTTGATCAGTTCGTAGAGTGCCTTAACGGTTTCTTCCTTGCTGGGATCTGTCTCAAGGATCTATCGTTTGTGTGTGTGTGTGTTTTTTGTCGTGCCAGAACGTTAGTGCGGTGTTGTTTTTGGAAATAAAATTCTTTTAAAACAAACAAAAAACAAAATAGGGGAACAGAAAGGGTAAAGTTACCTGGTCAAAGCGTTGGTGGCGTTCAAAGACGCGTTCACACTTGCTGAGTACAGCATTGAGAATCGACACGTCGTCTGATTGCAGTGTCTCTGCAGCCCTGCGCATCGCTCGCAGCTGGTCCACCAGGATCTATTTTTCACATACCAAAAGATAACAAAACAGAGGGAGGAAAAAAAAAAAAGGTGGGTCAACATCTAATGATAGCTCTCCACCTGCAAGAACAAAGCAGTAAGCATGTTAGATCATATAAGAGAAGAAATGGACTAACCAAGAAGTTGCCGGTCTGAGGACGATGGATGAGTCGCAGTTCCTGGAGGGCGTTCAGTACATCATCGTCGGATCCAGTGTAACCGTCAAGCAGCTCGGTCGATGCAATAGATGCACCGTCATCACAGTCGGCGTCCTGCTCATGGTTCTGTAGAGATCGGATCTTTTGAAACCCATGCTGCATCCTGTACAACTTATTCGACACCTAGCACATGAATGCAGTTACAAAAAAAGGAGAGGGTCAAAGTTAGCAAGGAGGTGGGAGGGCGAAGACCGTGATATTTTTTTCATTTTCGTGAACGTAACAGCAATAAACAAAAAAAAAAAGAATACAACATCTTACCCATTCGCTGTAGGACTTGTCCTGCTGCTTAGCAAGAATCCTTGTCTTTTCATCACACACCTCCTCCTCCTCCTCCTCCTCAAAATCGCGACCCTCATCCGCAGAAAGAGCAGCAGTCTTTGCAATCTCCGTTCTCGTAATCAGCGTCAATCCCTTCAAGGCCTCTAAGTCCTCACCACCACGCATACCAGCGGCGGGAGTAGTGACGGCGCTGAAAAATGTCTCCTCGTCCTCCTGGGCAGAGGTAGGCGACTTCTGGAGGATTGTCGTGCTGTCGTTGAGGACCTTGGGGACGATCAAGAGGGTGTGTTGAGTTTGTGAGCGAGAGCGAAGTTGAGGGCGGGGGCGAGGGCGAGGTGCTGGGATGGGTGGTTCAGCAATTACCGTGGTGGGATTCACGTGCGAGGTCGATGAACGCATGGTTGTGAAGTTGTTTGCTGTTGCGTGAGTAAGATTGAAAAGGTTTGGTTATTGATATGAAGGTGGTGTTAAAAAGTGGTGTTGTGTTTTTTTTTCGGTTATAGTGTTTGAAGAAAGAAGAACAGAGAGAAAGGTATAAGACAGATAGAGGGGTAAGAGAGAAGAAAGGAAGGGGTATGAAGGTAGTGGAGGGTGCTGGTTTGTTCACCAAGTGTGAGGGAAGGGAAAGTTAGGGTATTGGGGATGAGTAGAGAGATAGTGCTTGGGTATATCGCATAGGAAAGAGATAAAGCACTCTGATGAAGTACGAGAAAAAAAAGAGGAAGAAAGGAGAGGAAGAGGAGCGATACTCAAGGACGATTGTATATAAGGGGAACAATTCATACATGCATGAATACCAGGCTGCATATCTACATGGGAAGCAGAAGGTCAGGACCAAGACCAGGATGGCATAGCACGCAAGCCAGCGAAAAAAGGCGGATAATAAAAATGACACCGTGACGAACGAGAGGGAGCGCAACGCGCATTGCTGGAAAGGAGAACAAAACCAGGCCAGATGGCAATGGCATTTTCTTTGTTATCCTCTTCATGTTTGGCTTTTGTCAAATGACTTCTTTCAAAGAATAGAATGCATTACAAACATCGTTATTCTCTTCCAACGGACTGTTCTGTTTGTTTAGCGTGAAGCGTGGCAGCCTATAGGCATTGACGGTTTGGAGGGAGAAGCAAAAAATCGATTCCTCAGAGAGGGAGAGATCGATCTGAATCTGCACCAGAGAAATGGATTTGAGGCAAAAAGGGTGAGAGGGCGCTCAGAAAATGTAATTGCATCCTGTCCGTTGGAAGCTAGAAGGAGAAAGGAGAAGCGACGATGATCGGAACTTGGAATCCTCTCCGCCTCCAGAATCTGGGTACAATGAGCGACAGCTGGGAGGGCAAGTGTGTCCAGACCACTTGTGAGATTCGGTGACAGAGTACTCGACGGTTGACTTATGTTGAAACGAATAACGAACGCCGATCCACTCAGATCCACAGGGTTCACACACATATGCTGTACACACACCCCCATGAAATTCAATTGGAGCGAAACCTCACATACACCCCATTCACTACAACTTTTGTCAAGTTGCCCAACTGACAGAAGAATGAAAAATGCACGTTTTATTTATGATAATGCGATATGAAACTGACACTCCTTTTAAAGCGAGGCAAGCACACGCTTAACAGTATCGCTCACAGTCTTCTTGGGCGCACGCGCAGGATCCAACCCTCCCAACTCCTTCATAACCTTGCCCATATCCTTAGCCCCCGTAGCCCCCTGTTCCTTCACAACCCTCCGAACCTCCTCCTCAATCTCTTGTTCAGTCATGGCCTGGGGCAAATAAACCTTCAACATCTCAATCTCCTTGTTCTCCTGGGCGGCTTGTTCTACGCGACCGGCGGCGGCAAAGTTGGAGATGGACTCTTGACGGCGTTTGATGGATTTCTGGATAAGGACTTGGATGACCGAATCGGTGACTTTTTCGGGTGCTTGGGGGGATTTTTCGAGGTATGTCAGGTCGCTCAAGATTCCCTATGAGAGTTCGGGTTGGTTCAAACATGCAAGTGGGTTTGTTTGGAGGTGAGTGGGATGGACTGGTGGAGAACAGGTGGAGCGCGATGGTACCTGTCCGATCCGATCTGGTTAGCTGTTGCCAAAAAAAATCAGCCTAAGACAAGTACCTTGACGACGGCGAGTCTTTCCTTATCCCTGGAGCGCATGGCATCCTTGACGTCGGCCTTGATGCGGAGGAGCAATTGAGGTGTAGCAGGGGCAGCTAATAAGTACGCCAAGGAAAGGTAAAGGTGAGTATGTTGAGGCAAGGTGTTTGTTCGTCGCGAAGACCGAGTGGAACCGAGAGTATGTTCATAAGGGAGTGCAAAGTGAAGAGAAGGAAGGAGTACCTTCAGTGGTATAAAAGAGGCATGCCCTGGAGGCAGCAGCGAAGGGACGAGTCAATGCAGAGCGGGCAAACATGATGTCTGTGAAGAGTGTGGAGTGCAGGGATGGGTGAATGGTGAAAGAAACGAACCCCGGATACAAAGGGAAGGGAGTAAACAACGAACCAACCTGACGTGACTGCTTGACCTTTGGCATTGGCTTTTAGTGGCCACCAACAAGGCACGAAGGAAACGTAAGGACAGCGAAACGAACGCGTTTCGTTTTTCTTTCTTTTCATCAACCACAAACACCTACAGGACAGAGGAAAACCCATCGCCGCAAGTATCGTCGGGATCACCTAGAATACGGACTTCACTCAACCATTAACACTTACACACATCAACAACCCTCACATCACTTGCAGACATCAAATCACCACCAACAACCTACCTACATACGCACTCACTCACACACACTCTCACACAAGCGAGGAGAAATGACACAATTCCCAGACAACTGCCTCGTCCTCCGTCGCGCAACGGAGTCCTGCAAGACCCTCGACTCCCTCCGGTATAAACTCCATACCCTCCAGAAAAAGATTGCTAAAGCCAGGGCCGCCCACACCTCCACCACGCCTCTTACTCCTGCTGTAAGCACCTTCACACGCCTTTATTGTCCTTGGGTGACGATAACAACCAGGAAGACACGTTAACTAATAATAACATTGTTTACTATGGCAAATAGACTCAGGACCAGGTGATGATGGGATTGCTGAACGAGGCGTACACACTTCAATTCCAAATATCAACCCTCCTCGCCGCAACAGAGGAACCCATTCCAGAGCGCCAGCGGATACCGATCACGACCCCTACAACCACCACTCGGGAACAGGAACATATCAGCATTGCAGCACCCCCAACAAATGCTCCCGTCGCATGAAGAAGCACCTCTCCAGCGGGACCAACGCATTGTTTGAAGGAAGAATAAAAAACGACATTCACAGAAACAGAAAGTAGTACGGAAAATACTTTTTTATGAGTGAAAGATGAGAATCAAGGCAGTAGCCTACGTGACGCGAGGACGACCTTGCCTGCCGTCGGGAATCGGTATTTTTTTGTTGACAGGATGATTTCGATGACGTGCAGGCTTGTTGGAAGGACTCGAAGACGCCCCGCTGGCTGCTGCGCTCGCCACTGACAGTGCAGGTGATGGCAGATTGCCAGCGACTCCTCCTCCTCCTCCTCCTCCTCCACCTTGTGTGAACGGGTTCAGACTGGATCCTCCTCGGGAAGGGCTGTTGTTGTTTCCGTATCGACCGTCCAATGACCCCATCAGCGGTGATCCCAGAGCGTATGGAGGTGACGGGTAGCCATATGGGACCGCCGCTCCACCTGGAACATCCGACACTGACGACAACGAAGACGTTGGCGGCGCCAATCCTCCAGATTCTGCAGGAGGAGAAACAGCAGGAATATGCAAATAATGACGGAAGACCTGAATAATCTCATCAAACGATTGCTGCCGCTCATTCGGATCCTCCTTCCACGCCTTATCATAAACCGCAAAATACCAATCCGGCGTCCCCTCGACCCTCCCCTCCTTCGCTCTCGGGGTATAAGTTGAGAGATCTTTGAAGGGGTACTTGCCGGCAAGGATGAACCAATAGATGACGCCCAGAGCGAAAATGTCACACCGGATATCGTACCGGGGTCGATTGACACCTTTGTTTGCCAGTCGTTCGGGGGCCATGAATTTTAAGACGCCTCCTAGGGGTTGACTTGATTGGGCTGCCAAGCTGCCACGGATCCTACGTAGTCCGAAATCGGTTAGGCGTGCCTGGTATCTTGGTTGTGCTTGTCCTCCTGTATTAAAAGGTCGAGTGTCGATAAGGACGTTCTTGGGATGAAGGTCCCCATGATGGAACCCGCACAAGGCAAGATGATCGAGTCCGACGGCAATATCAAGTGCGAGCACCATCCGTTCATGGGGCGAGGGGGACTCTGGGACCTCGCGGGAGAGGTGGATGAGTTTGTGGAGGTCGCCGTGGTTATAAAACTGCATAATCATGAACCGTTCGATCCGGTAGTCAGGATGGTGTTTGTTGGCGATTCCGTAGAACTGGACAATGTTGTCGTGGTTCCCGCACAGCCTCATCACCTCCACCTATTGTAAGTGGTATTTTGTTTGTGAGCTGTTAGTTTTTCATCTTCTTGAAAGTGCACAAAGAAGGGGAAAAAAAGCAATCAGATCAAAACCTCTTACTTCTTTGTCGAACATGGAAGCGTTCTCGGCAGGAGTACGAGTGCGCTTGGTATCTAAAAGCGACTTCAGCACTACAAACACGTTCCTCGACCCCCAATACGCCTTCCTGATCTCTCCATTTCCTCCTACAGCCAACATCTGTCGTTGTGTGAACTCTGACTGGTAATCAAACTGGTCCTGTCGGTTTCCTCCCTCATCATCTCCATCCATCCAGGGCGCGATAGCGTTCAGGACAGAGGTCAAGAATAGTTCGTGGTCTAGGAATTGTGGCACTGCTCCTCCTGGAAATCCCGCTTCGCCGAATCCAGGTACAGCCACCCCTCCAGCGGGTCCATCGACACCGCCACCAAGCCCTGCAGCAGCTGCCATATCAAAGATTCCTCCCGCTCCTCCTCCTCCTATGAGAGCTCCTGGTCCAGCGGGTAGATGCGATAAAGATCTCTGGCCATGAGGACCGCTTTGGATATTGGACGAAGCCGTCGAGCTATTGTCCGAGAACGACAAGCTGGGCATATCCGTCCCCGACCCATCATACTGCCTCTCTCCTCTTCCTCCTCCTGCTTGCAAATACTGTTGCTGCTGTTGCTGCCGAAGTTGCTCCTGCATAAGCTGCTGCTGATAGAGCTGATGGTACCAATGCAACTGCTCCTGCTGCTTCTGTTCCGTCCCCAATCCAAGCGAGAGGGGTGACTGTGGGCTGTGGATATACTCCGCCGGTGAAAGCTGCTGCTGGTGTTGCTGGTGTTGGTGATGGTTATGGGCTACGGCGACGGCACGTTGTTGGTGTTGAAGCCCTTCAAGATGTTGGAGGTGCTCGAGTTGTTCCTGTTCAAGTCGGGCTTGGTAGGCCCGTTGACGTTGGAGTTGATCCTGTTTGAGTTGGTTCCCGTAGGATGGGATGCGGGCATTGTGATCTTCTAATGGCGTTGTTTTTTCTTCTTCAGAGTTGTCAAGGGACATTCCTTGGTCGGAGGGGGAGATGTCGTCGGAATGGAGGAGATCAGGCATAGTGTCCATGTCTGCTGTCTGCTGATGCTGTTGGTTGCCATTGTCTTGGGTGACACCGCCGTAGAAACGGGAGAAACTGTCCTTGAAAAAGTTCATTGTATGAAGGCTCTTATAACCTATTGTTCGGTTGGAGAGGCGATTGGGCGTGCTGGTGGGACTGTTGAGGTGTGTGTGGGTTGGGTTTGTGTAGTAGGGTTATGAAACCTCGTTCCTGAAAAAAAAGGTTGTTGGTCTCTGATTGCTGAACCCAGGTAGAGTAGATTGTTGTCGGTGATATTTGGTTGAGGAGTGTGAATGAGGGGGACTGTGTTGGGAAGCGAGGCGGGGGAGGAGTGAAGAAAGAGAAAGGAGGAGAGAAGAAAAGAAAAGAAAAGAGGAGAAGAGAAGAGAAAAGAAGAAAAGAGACGAGAAGAGCAGAGAAGAGAACAAAGGAACCCATGGGGGTGGGTGGCGACAATCCATTAAAAAAAAGCATAAAACACCCATAAATGGTAGATAAGGGCTCATCAAATCTGTTCTCCGTCCCGTTTTTGTGCTGTACTCGTACCGCTTCTACTTTCTTCCCTTTTTGCATTGTTTTGTCTGAACTGCATGGAAAGAATGATAAAAAAAAAAGGAAGATATTGAGCCCTGAACCATCACAGACTATCGAGCCCGTCCTTGCCTTCTGCTGTTTTCATGCATATGCATCCTCACAGATTTCAGGCGAATCCAGACGGTGACCGGACATCGGAAGCACTATTGGCATCGACTCCAGCTGTGTTGTCGGATTTTGCATATCACGAGCTGAGACAGGAGGCAAGGGCGACTGAATGGCCCGACAGTGGGCGCGTGGAAAAAATTCTCAGGGGAAAGGGGAAGTTTTCACTTTTGGCTAGGTGGCCAAAGTGCCAGTGGCGAAGAGATCCTTGAGATAGCAAAGACAGAGATGTCCTTGTTGTGATTATGTCGAAAGTCGTCATGATAACAGGCGTACGAGAGACGAAAGAACCGGAGGGAAAACACGCGTTGAATGATCGCGTTGGTTATTAAAGAGGACGAAAGAACGAGAGGACCTCGTTGTTGAGGATTATGTATCCTTTCCCTGACTAAAAGGATAGATGAGTGGATAAAGCCTGCAGGAGAAAAGTTTCTTGAGCAGAGAGAAAAGAGAAAGAGTTGATACAAACGGCAAGGTGGGTGAAAGCATTGGTTCCCAGTCCAAACAGAGTAAAGCTCACACTTCTCATAGTCTACTTTGTGCAATGGTCGTACATTGTTTTCTTGTTGTTTTCATCTTCGATTTACAGCTGTTTGTTAACACTTGTTGATGGTTGTCGTCGTTGTTGACATGGACGGGTTCGTTGCCATCGTGGTTAAGATTTCGTCAATGAGAATTCTGTTCTTGTATTCACCCATGCTTCTGGGCATTGTTCGCCTTATTATGTTGTCGTGCAAACGCATGTTATTGTTGTCAATGCTGCCTGATGCCAATGGTCCATTTCGTTATAGATCTCCACTTCCTTTTACCCTTTCCTTTCAGTTTCAATCCAACCTCTGTTTCTTTCATTTTCCTTGCTCCCATCTTCCCTTGTCGTTCCCACTCTCCCGATAGACGGGTGGCGAACAAAAAAAAAGCAGGCAAATGACACAGAAAGACAAAATATATGAAGTTATTTCAGTCATGGTTTCAGTCCCGAAAAAAGGTTGTCTCTCCAAGAGAAAAAAATTCAGGGAACTGACGTTTGTGTTATCTTTGTGCACCACCTTCCCCCTTCGTTATATTGTCTACTATCAGCTAAAAGACCTATGAGGGCGGCACAGTGATGTAGAGGTCAATCAATCGCTTGAACCCGAGAAGCCATTTGCCCTCACTATCAAACTCGGTCTGCATCAGCTTAGCATGGATAGCATGGCACTGTGCAAACGACCTTGACGACAATGCTATTCGGCGTTTGAGAAAACAAGAAATGGTCGAGGTGAATATAAAGTCCGAATAGGCCGTCAACAACTTCAACGATCAGGATGAACCAACAAAGTCCGCTTTTTATGTTTTTTAATGGACAGAGAGAATAAAAACTGGGAGCGGCGTGGCGTAAAGAGTACAGTACCTTCAATCATTTCGCCCAGAGGGACGACGACACGCTCCTTGACAGTCCCGTTCTGCATCTGCTCCTGCAAGGACTGGAGTCTCTTGGCCGTGTCTTCAAACATCCGCTTTTGAGGTGCCTACATTCGTTGATTGAAAAGAGAGATAGAGATTGAGATAGGGTTAGATGAGGACTTGGATCCATATCATCCGAACTACGAGAAGGTTGATTTTCTCTGTTTTCGTATGTTGTCGTTGAACAGACAAGGCAAAGTAGTCGAAGGGCTGTTTTTCTTCCGCGGGGAAAGATCAGCCGGTTACTGTTGTTGTTTTTGAAGCTGCGGGACATGATGTGCAACATTAAACGACATTGTTTGCGAAAGATGATAGACAAACGTCCCGCTCTTTTTTCTTGTTCAGAAAAGTCGACTGTTGTCTTCCATTCCGAAGAAAAGACAGCCTCGACTTAACTCCTAGCCCTCGTCGCCTTTTCCCTTTTCTGGTAAAATGATGTTACCATCCCTGCATCCCGACGCGTGCCGTTTGTTGTAGTTTTGGAAGAGTGCTGTTTTTTTCATAGGACTATTTAGCGCGCGAACGCGTGCCAATTACAGCCACCCTTTTCTCCTCATCCCTACCAACATCACACTATAGATCTTGTCTGCGCCTCCTCTCGGAAAACTCTCTTCATCAGCCCCCTCTCTCACACCTTTGCTTTTGTTTTTCGACTTGCATTAATCCACATACGCTTGTGCTCTCCATTTTTGTTGTTGTTGTTAGTGCCCTGTTTTCATCTCATCTTCTTCCTCTCACTGTTGCCCGCGCACGCCCTCTCTCTCACTACTGTCGTTTCTCTTCATTCCCGCTCTCGATCACCCTGTTTTGCTCTTGGTCACTCATGCATCATCTAATCCTGGACAATACCATCCTTGTGTCGCCGCTGTTGACGCTGTCCACCAACAACCCCTGAATCCTGTTCTACCCAAACTCCGGTTCTCTAGTAACGTGATCTTCCCCTCTTCTCCTTGTTGCATGCTTGCAGTCTCTTGTGTTCTGCTCCTGGGTGGGCGAAATACTTACAGGTACGTTAGCAGAACACTCTTTGATAATCCTAGTCAAGGTTTCGTTCATAGGTCCAAAGTCGTACGCAGCCCCATCGTCCTTTTTGGCCGTTTTCTCAAAGATCTAAGATAGAACACCATGAAAAATGTCAAAAAAGTGTGAGTGCACAAAGAAAAACAAGGAGCAATTTTTTTTATAGAGTTTTCTCATTCCTGAGTACAAACGGAATTCATCATTTTTGCCCCAGCAAAAAAAATAAAAGCACATGGCAAGAAGGACCCAACTCCTTTTCTTAAATCCTCTTCTGTTGCACCTTCAATGAGTTCGTAATAATTAAAAGGGAGGTTATACCTTGGTAGGAGGGTCGTTCCAGTGGTTGTCGATAGCAGCAGTTCGGAAATCTCCTTTAGTATAAGGAATAGGTGAAGGTCCAGTCCCAGCACCCTTCATGGGAGGTGGGGGCAACTTCATTCCCCCGGCAGGAGGAGGTGGCGAGGGAGTGGCTACAGGGCGTGAAGATCCAAAGAGCCCTGGAGGCCCACCTCCTGCCAAGGGCAACGACGTTGCTGTTGTGGGCAGTCCTCCTGTTGATACGGATTCTGATGCTCCTGTTGGTGATGATGGGGGAGGGTATGAGATAGAGACTCTGTTGTTCTTGCGAGGCTTGAAGGTTGGCAGTGGGGGTGCGCCAAGAGGTGCAGAGAATGAGGAGATGTCAAAGTTGTCCTGTGCCTCGTCGTTGTTGATGGAGTCTTGGGTATTGTTGTCTTCGTTGGTCCTGTTTGACGCGTCCATGGTTTGTATTCTTTCTTGAGGTTGATGAGTGATGGAGAAGAAGAAGAAAAAGAAGAGATGATGAGCAGGTTATTAATACCCGAAAGTAAAAATCAAGGAGACGACCAAGAAGAAAAGACATGAAAGTCAAATGAAAGATATGAGCTCGTGGACATGTCATATTGCGGTGTCAGTCTCAATAGTAATTCAAATGTGGACATGAATGGTCTGTCCAGGCCATAAAGAGGATTGCCCGATGGGTCTATGTATGCATAATTCTACAAATGGCTTGGCAACGGCAGCCACGCGAAGTAACTGAAAAGTGATCAATCAATTGATATCAATTGATCAACAGTGTGATTTTATTTGCTTGACGTTGGCTCAGGATGATAACAGTAGTCCATTCCATGACCTTGGTCTGGAGTCTCCAACGACATTGCTGACCCGCACGGGGGTGTCCTTTGGATAAAGTCCAAGGACTGATAAATCCTTGCCGATACAACAGCGACCTTTTGGAGATCCCTCCCCTCAATGGCGCCCATCTGGATACCCCTCGTCATCCTCATCTTCCTGCAACTCTGTCACTGTCGCTGATAACAGCACTCTATTCTCATCCTGAATGTAAAAACGATCGATCATCCACTCAACAGCAAGGGGCATGATCCTGACCAACCTCACGCCCGCACTGCCATCCTGAATTGGATCTCTCTCACACTTCGCACTCTGAGATCGTACCCACTTCAGTAACTACCATCACTGCTGCTGTCACCAGATCGTTCGAGTTAGATGATCTTCCCATCCAGCATAACAACCATCCCCGTCTCGATCTGACAGCTAAACCAATGACCCCATCTCACTGCGACCTTCGATCTCGACCGATTTCATCAACCCTCCTCCACATAGATCTCAAAAACAACCATCAGCCCTGCCAGAGATCGTGATCATCCCTCCGTTTCGATCATCGACTTGATCACCCTGTAAGTGAATCCTCCTGTAAAGTGAAGAATCGAAAAAAAAGGAGGTGCTGGTTTGTGCTTTGGAGGTGTTGGAATCCCTGAAAAAGACACGATCCGATCTCCATCCTCCAAACAAAACGTCAACCTCCTGTTCCTGAAAAAAACCAGCCCTCTCGTCTGACCTCGCTCAGCATCCAGTGTTGCCCTATTACAACACATCGCTCCTTTCTGTACAATGCCATCCTCCACTGCTCCTGCTTGCCAGAAAAGATGTTCCTTCAGTCCTGTACAACTTCTCCATCACTGCCAACGACACATAGTCTCATCCTTCATCCTGCTCTGCCAACTACTCTCTCCACTGCAAATAAAAAGATGTCTCCTGATACCAATTGCTCCAAACGTTATCCTCCATATGCTCGACAATCCGACATGGATTCTCCTGGACTGCAGTTGATGTTGATGTGTCTGTGTGGGAGGAGCCGATGTGTGTGTGTAGGAGGAGTTGATGTGTGGTCCTGAAAAGGAGGAAGGAGAGTGGATGGTGGGATGGTGCCGGTGACGGTAGACTCTCCTTGGAATGCGCCTTCACGACATATCCAGACAGCAACCCCACGGCAAGCTGTTCCACCAAAAACACTCGACGGTAAAGAGTATCCTGCTGAAAGACAGAGAGAGCCCTTCCATGATAATGAAGCGATCCTTGATGACGGTTCCGAATGACGACTGAGAAAGGGCGAGTTGCAAAGAAGTCTTCAGAAGTTGTGATTTGCGACTAGCGCAGGCTCGTCTTCATCTCGCCTTGATTTATATGTAAGGAACCATTTGTATTGTATGTGTTTTCGACGTTCATCGTCCCTTTTATTCAGCAGGAAAATAAAATGGGAAAAAGAGACCAAGTGTTGAATTCAAATAGAAAGGTAAAGCTCGTGTTTGGGAAGGCGCGCTTATTCCTCATCCTCATCCTCGTCCTGGTTGGCGATGTTGAAGTAACGGAGCTCATAGGTACCCTTGTCCGAGGCAATGACACGGAGCCAGTCGCGGAGCTGGTGCTTCTTGAGGAACTTCTTGGTAAGGTACTTGAGGTAACGCTTGGAGAACTCCTGGTTGGCGGTGACGGTGATCTTGGCGTCATCACCACGGACAATGGTGACCTTGTCGGCCAAACCACCGGTGCGGCCCTCGATCTTGATGCGATCGTGGAGGAACTTCTCGAAAGCCGAAGCATCGAAAATCTTGTCACCGGCGGGGCCGGAGCAGTCGATGACGAACTTGTAGGAGACCTTCTTGCTAACCTTCTATTAGTTGGTGTAGAGGCGACAGAAGGCGTGGTGGGTCAGTTGGGGGCCATTCCAAGACCAAAAAAAAAGTGGTAGATTGACAGCTTGAATGTCGATGTATAGTTGAATCCCGAATGTCAAATCGATGATGATGGTGTGAGTGATGAATCACAATCCAGTTATACAGCGCCGTGGTTGTCGCTGACATAGTGGCGTGTCCTCCCTATATTCCCGATCCCGATCCTTGTTGTCTTGTAAAAAGCGAATGAGGTTGAGGTCACTCACGGTGGGGGCCATTTCTGAAATTCGGGAGAAGTAAGAGAGAGAACTGTTAACTTGCTCGCTTGCACACTCGTTATCAATTGTTTTTTTTCTCGAGGGAGATTCAATCCATCCATCCGTGCCCCTTAACTGGATACAATTCTTTCAAAAATGAAACAAGTCAGGTGATTCGATCAGTTGGTGGCACATTATTGGAGAATGTGGGGGGAGAGTGCAGGTGCACCTGCGAGCGGAAAAAAAAAAAAAGTCGTTGGCTACACTTGAGCATGGTGGAGAGCAACCACACAAGTGGTTCTGAGTGTGAACAAGTGGATAATATCCCTGGAGATCAGCTTCAACTGCCCTTCAGAACGCAAAAAGATGTGCGTGCTATCAGTTGTTCGCTCGTTTGTTCTTTCTCAGGTCACCGTTCACCTGGCCATCATTTTTCGCGCAGTGCAGTCACGCAGCCATCCAGACAGCGTGCATGGTCATCTTTTGAACCTATTTCTGCTGCTGCCTGTTGAACAGGTGCGAGTTCCTCTTTCCCCTTACTTTTTTTTAATTCCCTCTCACCCGCCCTCCTCACTCACGCACACACACATTCATTCCTCTCTCTCTCCCTCTCTTTCATTCAATAACGACAACACTCGACACATTCTCGAGAGAACCGATCACTCTTACTTCATAAACACATAGTGCAAGCACACGGATACACAGCCACACCGACATAACGAGCAGTAACCAACAACCTCATGGATACCGCTAGTCTCTACTCGCAGGCACAACCAGGCGCCTTTGGTGCCGAGCTCAAAGTACGGCGCAACATACATCTCTTCGTTTACAATATCAATGCCAAGTTAAATTGTTATCAAAAGGAGTGCGTAGAAGGCTGTAGGCCTCGCCAAGCCTCGGCGTGAGAGCTGTTCGTCGCTCACGCGCTTAGGCAGACAGACAGACAAACAGAAAAGACTAACGATCGTTTGCTTTCTCGTGTTCTCCCATTGGTGTTGTGCCTTGTCCAATATCTATAATAGGATCAAATACCGACCATCAACCAGCATCTCGTCAACGGCATATCGTTCCTAAGCGAGTTCAGAGACTTTTGCAAGGAAAGAGCTAACATCGAACGGGATTACGCCCACAGGATCGAGGCACTTGTTCGAAAGTATCAACACAAGAAGGAGAAAAAAACTGCGCACGCCACCCAGAATGGAGGAGTCCCTGCATCGCCTCTGGAGCCCGACTTCGATCCTGCTCTCAACGACGGAACGTATGTGCAAACTCAAGAAACGATGACGCACACCAATGCGAGCATAGCAATCGGAACATGAAAGAACCAACGACTATGAAACTAACCCTTTCGCGCCAATCTTTTCCCAAACCCTGCATCTGCTTTTCTTAGAACTTCTTCTAGAGCATGGACGTCCATCTTGAATGATACGGAAGCGCTTTTACGGGACAGGCAACAATTCTCAGAGAACCTTATTTCCAAAGTCTATGATCCACTCAAGGTTTTGGCTACCAAGAAGGACGAAGCGCGCAAGAAGGTACCAGGGCTCACTTACATATAACGCAACGGACCATTGACTGATCACTCTGACAAACATACTAATGATAATCTCCATTTTATTGTTCAATAATTGTTGAATAGCACGTCCAATTCGCGCAAAAACTGCTAGCGGAACGTGAAAAGTCTGCTCAGGAACGCGACAAGGCAAAGGCCAAGTACGATGCCAGCTGTGAAGAGGTCGAGAACTCCAAGCAAAAGCAAGAACGCGCCTACGATGAAAAGAACCAGGAAAAGCTCAAGCGTTCGTATTACCAGGACATTTTGGACATGAACAACAACAAGGTATTTTGAAGCTGGTGGATGAGCGCATTTGTTAGCGTATCATTTTCACTTGAGGTTTGTACACTGCTAACGCGCACTCTCGTTTGCAATCTCCTGTTGATTCATTGGATAGAACTCGTATGTGTTGGCGCTGCAGGTTCTCAACGCTCACCGCAAAAAGTACTATGACCAGGACCTCCCAGAATTGTCTAACGTAAGTCTCATCGAGGAGAGATTGTCAGGGCAGCACAAAGATACTTCAAATGGCTCAATGCTGACCATGAATCTATCATCCTCCGCCCTTACTAGAACATGCAAGCACTGGATGAGAGCCGTATTGAAGGGCTGAAGGAAGTGTGGGAGGGCTACATTCGTTTGGAATCCAAGTTGAACACGGACGCTCAGACGCACCTGGACTCGATGATGCAGGCAGTTCAGGCAGTGGATGCCTCTGTTGATTCTGCCATTTTTGTCCGCACTCATCGAGCGGCCTGGACAGCACCTCTGGATCTGCCTTTCGAATCTTCGCACACCTTTAACGACACTGTAAGTTTCCGTAATGATCGGTGTTCTCGAAGGAACTGAATAGGGAAGGCTACGGGAAATAGTATTCTAATCACAATGACGTTGTATCGAAAATAGGAGGAACTGGTGCTGGATGATAACGCTCGCGTGTTCTTGAGCAACAAATTGATGAAGCTGAGAAGGAAGCAAGCACAGGCGACGGTGGACATCAACGGTCGACTCAAGGACATGGAGGGGCTGTTGAATCTCAAGAATGCCTATATCGAGAACAACAGTCTAGGCGATCCAGAAGAGGTACAGGAGAGTATCTTGGAGGCATCCCGAGCAATCACTGTCCTTCAGACCATGGGTGCACTCTATGAGGCTGAGATCAACACCATTGTCCAGACGATAGGAGGTACTATATCGAATATGTGCACCTCGATGCTAAGTGTCTGTTCATTACACCATGGTCGAGCCCAAAGAATGACAAATAGACAGGGAGTTTCAAGTTGACAGAAAGGGACATGATCTTAACTGTTATTTTTCGCTTCCTCAATTGTTGTTTTTTATCATTTTCCTCTCTACCGTAGACACGGGAGTCCAGAACCAACCCCATGACTTCAAGGCTGCATCGTTCACTATCCCGACATCGTGCGATTATTGCCAGTCGACCATTTGGGGCATTGCGAAACAAGGGTTTACGTGTAGGGACTGTGGGTTCAACTGCCACTCCAAGTGTGAGATGAAGGTGCCTCCCAACTGCAGTAACGTCAAGGGAGGAGCCAAAGCCCAACGGAATTCGATCCTGGGCGGAGGTCCACCGTCGGCATCGTCTCCGACCTCGACTTTTAGCACGTTATCAAGTCTTCCACCAGACCTTGCTCCCACAGGAACAGCGATTTCCGAGCTCAAACATCGGGCTTCCCTTCGCGAATCGTCGTCGTCTTCTGGCGCTCTTGCTGGTGCAAGTGCAAGCGCTGCTGCTGCTGCCCGGAGTCCCCAGTCAAACAAGAGAGGGGCTCCTCAGGCTGGATCGCATGGGTCGCTGAACCAACTGCAGGCTCATGTCATCTATGACTATGATGCCAGTAGTCCTGGCGAGCTCACAGTGCGCGTTGGCGATGTGGTCACTATCCTCGAAGGCGACGACGGTATGCTTCCTTGACTTTTTTTCTTTTTTTTCCTTGGTTTAGTTTCGATGAGCGTGTAACTAATCTTGACTCTTTCAATACGTACGACATAGATGCATCCGGATGGGTGACGGGTCAGGTGAATGGGTCGTCGGGATTGATTCCCTTGAGCTATATCGAGATGGAGCAGTTCTATGAGGCACCTACCGAACCAGCACCTATTCAAAAAGGTATTCATCTTAAGACATATTCGTTGCCATTCGCAGAAGCATAGCTATGCAAGAACGTACAGAAAACTCTAACGATGAGATATGTCTTTCTTTTTGATGCTAACGTTTCCTTTTGGTAATTCTTTATTTGCGCTAGTGCGAGTTCTGTACGACTATGATGCACAGTCCAACCTTGAGCTCACGATTCACGAAGGCGACATTGTCGTCTTGACCAGTACCGATTGCTCAGAAGGCTGGTGGGAAGGTAAGAACACCAGGATGAAACGAACGGCCTTTCCATACGCTGCGCATGATCATACATGATAATGATGATGACGGTGACGATCCCATCTTTGGTTCATGATCTTCCACCTACTCCCCCTCTCCCATTTACCTATTCCCATGGCATTGCTCTCTATTTCGCGCTCTTGTTATTATTATTATTATTATTTCGCCGTTCTGTATGTTATTATTATTCTTGTTCTCATTACTAACGATGATGCATATGATAGGTACATTGCGTGGAGTGACAGCCCAGTTCCCAGCCAACTACGTCGAGCTCATTTGAGCATTGAGTTCTACAGAGCGAGAGAACGAGTGAGAGACGAGAGGGATGATGACTAATCCAGTGAATCGGCACTAACGCAGGGTTGTCCGTGTGCTAATAAAGACGAGGGTCGTTGGACTCTTTTTTCTTAACCCGTCAGGCTTGATCAAGAAACAACAACAGCAACACCAAAACAAAACAACACCAGCAACAACCCCTTGCGAAAGGGGGATGATAGCTCTTTTTGTTTTTTAGGGAGTTGTTGCCAATGATGTGCACAGGTAAGCATTTTTAAAACGAGGAAGAAGACAAAAGACACAAGGTGGCCCATGCGAGGCTATTTGAAGAAAAAGAAAAAAGGGGATCCTACCTGGCAACCCAATGAATGATAGACTACACTTCATTCAGAAGGCCATTCGGTATTTTAGGTGGCTGCGATCAATCCATGGAATCAAAGACTAACGAGATCCTTCGAACCCCGCAAAAGAATGAGAAATGAGAAATGAGAAATGAAAAAAAAAAAAAAAAAAAATTTACGGTCACACATTTCTTCTCTTCTGTCCTTTTTGACTGTGCTCTTTTCTTCATCACCATCCACCTCTTTTCCTTATATCCACTTATTTTAACTCGTTCCTTTCTTGATCGTCTCCACTCCCATCACTAACTCAAATCATCCTCATTTCCTCCTCGTCATCTCATCTACTCTCTCACACTCCCTTTCCACCAGCTCCAAGAAGCCTTTATTTGTTTATTTGAACAGTATTCGCACACACATACTCTTGTTTCGTCGTCGTTCTTTTCTTTGTAAGCTTGCCAGCCTCTCTCTTTTATTCTCTTGTGTGCCATCTATCCCTTCCCTACTTTGCTTTACTCAAAGAAATAAGCTTGTTTTCGAGAGTACCCTTGCTCCTCGTTCCTTTCTCCACCAACACCAGACACACAAACTCATACATATACACAAACACATACACTTACGCACACTGGCCACCAAACAGGTAACGAAACCCTACCCTAACCATCGGACCATCGGACACAAAACAAGAGCCTTTTTTTTTCTTTCTTTCTTCGTATCACCACCCACTAAAAATCATGTCTTGTTATTGCCTTGCCAGTGACGACTGGCTGGGTGGCTGGCTGGTGCTGACAAACACCTTCGTCAAGCAGCGCAGATCCACCCTTCTTTTTTATACTCTTCGGTCCTTTCTATCTGCCATGGTTATCGACGAATGATCATCGGTTAAAGTAAAAAAAAAAAAAAGAGGGCCTTGATACAGCTGTGGAGTGGCGGTGATCAGATGGATCCTTCGGAGGTGTTTTAGTGTGTCTGTGGGTTGGGAGAGAGGAGTATGACTGGTGGGTAAATGTCGTGTGGACTGGATGTTTTGGTTCCACTCCTCCTATTCCCTTCTTTTTTATTTATTCTCTTTTCTTACTTTTCCTCCCTTGTCCCCCTTCTCTCCTCCTTACCCCCTCCCTCGTCTCCTGTCTCCCTTGTTCTCCACTCCCCTCCCGTCTCTCTCTATCTCCTTGCTCACTCTTACTCCTCTTCACTTTCTCTTTCTCTTCCTCTCTTTTCCTCTCTTTTCCTCTCTTTTCCTCTCCTTCCTTCCATCCTTCCTTCCCCACCCACCCACACTCACACTCACATACTCACACCCTTGCACAACTGTTGTCCTTGCTTTCACCTCCACGAACATACAGTACACACTCACTGTCTGATACTACTGCAGTCCTTGCTAAACCTGTATGCATGTCCTCCTCTCTGCCCCCCTTTTCTTTGTTCACAAGCACACACAACCCATCAGCGACGCATATCCCCTCCCCCCCAAAACACATCTAAACAACACTCAAACAGCAAACAAACAGGTTCAAGACATACACTCACCCTATGACCTTCCTCATCTCATCCTTTTTTTTTTTTTTTTTTTTTTTTTTTTTTCTCTCTCCTCTTCCCAACTTCTAGATTGACTACAGTTTGCCAAGTGCCACCCACACCATGAATCCGAGCCGCCCTCAGAGAACCCACTCTGTCCAGTCTCCTCCCACCCCTCCAAGTCTTCCCCAGTCCTCTTCCTCTTCCTCTTCCTCTTCCGCCTCTCAATCCACCAGAACCACCCGCTCCGCTCTCAATCGTTCCGCCACAGCTGCCGCCGCAAACTCAAGTAACTCGCACACTGACACAGATATGAACCCTACCAGCACAAGACACCCCTCAGAAAAGTCATCTGCGACTGAAACCTCCGCTCGCCGTGCCTCGTCCTCGACCCGTCGCAAGCCCACCTCCACCACCTTCTCCCTCGCACCCATGACTACAACCACCGTCGTCACCACCACTACAACAACATCAACAGAATACCCGCCACTCTACTTCAAGCCTCCCCCAATACCCGCCAACCTCGACCCAAAGATCTTTCCTCTCGCTGATACCCCCACCCCGCCCGCCTTGAAAAAGTTTTGCTTTGATCTCAATGGACAGCCAACCTTTTTAAGGGAGAGCCAGGAGAACGAACACAGCATGGGCCAGGTAATGAACTGGAGCAAACAAAAGGGAGGGTCTTGTGAACACATCCCGCAATATCCCTCTCCTCTATCTCTCTTTCCTCGCATCCCCCCTTCACCTTGCTTCCTACCACCACCATCGCCATGTTTGTGTCTATTCTATTGTTTGCTGGAAAACCTTTGCAGAGGTGATTCCATTCCACCGACCATGCAACATAACCACTGGAAAAAACACTTTATTCATCACACTCTTGCTTGCATTCTTTTAATTGGACTATCGCTTATTAATAGCTGGAGGATGCCTTATTCAACCTCAGTGCGTCGGCGCACCAACGAGCACTCAAATCGGCTTCAGAGCACAGCAGCTCCCACCCAGCAGTCAACAGCAACGCACACAATTCGAGCCAGCGACTGGAACTGCATGGACAGGACGATTTTTCAATGACAAAGGAGACGGTGCGCGGGAACGGACACGACCAATCGACCATGACGACTATCACTCGCAAGTCTGTGGAACATCCTCGGCGTGGACTCGCTGTTCCGAACTGGCGCTCTCGCGAGGGGTGCCGTGCCAAGAAACGCCCAGCCTCACCCATCACCCCCGGCGGCTCAGTAGATGTATCAATGCCCCAGCCTCTGTTGGGCGCCACTGCCCCATCAAACCTGATCTCGCCATCATCATCCTCCAACCCTATGTCCAAGGATGAGGCTGCTGATGCCTACTTCTTGGACAGGACTTCACCCCCGCACAAGAAGTCCAAGCGACCATGGACAAACTCCCCTCTTCACACCCAAACTACTGGAGCACCAGCAACAGCGTCTGCCTCAGAAACATCGTCTGCCAGTCAAACTGGCCGGAAATTAGCAGCTTCTGTTTCAGCTCCGTCCTTTGCCGATTTCGCAACTCCCGCCGCTCCTAGCCGCTCTAGGATCTCCGAGCGTGCGAGGGAACTCTCTGCTCACGTTGCAGATCTTAGGGGAGCCATTGACCCTCTCGGTCTTCCCTCACCGTCGCTCTCTCCTACGGCGCTGACCCAGGTCTCATCTGCCGGCTCGAGCTCCGATGGTATCCTGACCAGAAGACGTCACAAGACTGTCCCAACCACGTTTGATCATGAAGATGCACACCAGGAGGGGGAGGGTGAAGATGAAGAGATCTATACCGAGGACGATGAGGAAATCGATGGAGAGATGGATATCGAACGATCTCTGCAACAGGCCGGTGTCGGGCAAACTTCAACCTTGCTGGATCTGCCTGCTATGATTGCGACCTTTGACGCCCTTCCCTCGAGTCTGCAGTCGTACATGCTTTTCCACTTTCTTCGTCGCAGCCCTGCGCCCACTCTTCAGTTTGTGAGCTCCATCATCCTGGCAACCATGAAGCAAGACTTTTTATCGCTCTTGCCCATCGAACTGAGCCGCAACATTCTCCGCTTCTTGGACGGTCGCAGTCTTTGCAAGGCAGCCCAGGTTAGCAAGCAGTGGCGTGTTGTTGTCGATTCTGACGCCCATATCTGGATGCACCAGTTCCAGAGAGAGGGATTCGTCTTAGAGGAACGTGAGGAGGAAGACGCGTTTACCCAGAAGCTCGGTATCGATGGTCATTACGGAGTCCGCCCCAACTATCAGGAAAGGAAGCTGCAGGCCAAGAAGAGGATGATCAAAGGCAAGGGTCGTCTGAACCACGCAATTGTTCGCCCCACAGATTTGCCAGAGTCGCCTCTTTACCCAAACGACGTGACAATGGACGAGGTAGATCAATCTGCTGGACAGCACGATGCGGCCAACAAGGTTCGTGGTTGGGACAGCGACACTGCAGAGGAGGATATTGATATCAAACAGGAGGATGAGGAGGCATTTATGACGCCTGATGCAGCACCGCCATCCCCAACCACCAGTCTTACAGGACGATTCAACGATGTAGATTCGGAGGATGAGACCATGGATCAGGACCTCATTGAGGAACCCTTTGGTCCTATGACACCTTCAACTGGTCATCCCTTCAAGGCGCTGTTCCGTCGTCACTGGATCACTCGCCAGAACTGGACCAAGGGCAGGGCCAAGCACATCCAGTTTAGAGGACACAGTGACCGTGTCGTCACCTGTCTACAGTTTGATTCAGAGAAGATCATCTCTGGTTATGATGATCAGTCGATCCATGTCTACGACACTGTAACCGGAAACCGCCTCAAGAAGTTGGACGGTCACGAGGGAGGTGTTTGGGCTTTACAATACCGCGGCAACACGCTCGTCTCTGGAGCGACCGACAGGACTGTTCGCGTCTGGGACATCGAGAAGGGCATCTGCACGCATGTCTTCCGTGGCCACACTTCGACTGTCCGATGCCTGCAGATTGTTATGCCCGTGAACGTCAACAAGGACCCCCATGGCGTTCCCAAGTACGAGCCTGAGTTCCCTGTGATCGTAACGGGGTCGCGCGACTCGACCTTGTTGGTTTGGCGCCTTCCTGACCCTGAGTTGAACGGTCACATGTCGCCCACTGATAGTAGGTGGCTCCTGCATACCTTGAGTGGACACGTCCAGTCGGTGCGTGCTCTGGCAGCAGAGGGCAGTACCCTTGTGTCGGGTTCATACGACTGCACGGTCCGCGTTTGGAACATTGTAACGGGAACATTGGTCCACCGTCTCCAGGGTCATGCTCAAAAGGTGTACTCTGTTGTCCTGGACAAGGAGCGTAACCAGTGCATGAGTGGAAGCATGGACTCGTATGTCCGTATTTGGTCTTTGGAGGATGGATCTTGCCTGCATGTTCTCGAAGGTAATAAGCGCCTGCATCTCTGTCTGTCTGACTATGTTGGAATGTTACTGAGGTGTTGCACGAAAGGTACATGAAATTGTTCCACTAACCGGATACCCTGATTTATGTACATTGCTTTTATCAAATTAGGCCACGCGGCATTGGTCGGCTTGCTGGGACTGAATGCCAATCATTTGGTGTCTGCTGCAGCTGATTGCACGGTCAGGATCTGGGACCCAGCCCGTGGTGTCTGTCTGAGGGTTCTTGCAGCGCATTCAGCTGCGATTACTTGCTTCCAGCACGATGGCACCAAGGTCATTTCTGGGTCGGATGGAAACTTGAAGATGTGGGATTTCAACACTGGCAAATTTGTCCGCAACCTGTTGACGGGACTGGGAAGTGTCTGGCAGGTCAAGTTTGACGAACGTCGATGTGTCGCTGCCGTCCAACGTGCTGCCGCCAATGGCGCCAACGTCCCCAACGGCCTCACCTACTTTGAGGTAATTTTCTGTTTCCATGTTTGTGGTTTGATCAATGTGCATTTGGATTCTTTCTCTACTGGAACGATTACTTATGCGACATTACATTCTTTTTTCTTATGCTCAGGTACTGGATTATGGAGTGTACGGAATTGAGGAACCGTTTGAGAATGCCCCAGCTCTGCCGGTGGATGATGTCGCTGGAGGAGTAGGAGTACCGGCAGGTGGGGCTGGCGCTGCAGCGGCGGCCGCAGGTGCTGGGGCTGGTGGTGCAGCTGCTGGAGCTGGTGTTGCAGGCGCTGGACTTCCTGCAATTGCTGGCCCCCCTGGTCAAGCTGCTGCATAAAGCCTCGCTACTACGAAACGGCTAACATTACGACCAAAGAGCTGATTCTTTTGGGAATCGCTTCTTCTGTGTTCGCAGTCTTTTTAGTTGTCGTTGCCTCATCTCTTTTCTGTTATGCCCTTCTTTTTCCTGCTACTTTTTTTGTTTTTTTCTTCCTTCATGATCTTTGTACCTTTTTCTTTCTTTTCGATTGTACTCTAGTTTTCTCTTTCCCGTTCGTTAGTACTTCAATGAAACTCTGTATACAAAAACCTTCGATAACCAGCATCTTGATGTAAAGGGATGGAGAGAAGTGCGAGATGAATGGATAAATAAATATTACTTTTTTTTCTTTCTAGAGAAGTTTTTGTTTTTCGGAAGACAAGGAGACGTGGGTCTTTTTCCTTGCCCGTCCCGAAGATGCGAGCGAAGAGGTGATGAGGCGGAGGAGTCCAAAGAGAGCCCAAAGAATAGCGACGACCAGATCAGTGATGATGACGACCCAGACTTGGACGTCATTGAAGAATCCGCATGCCGTGTAGTGAAACTCCAGTTCATCCTCGCTCATGTTGTTGTTGTTGTTGCTGTTGTTGCTGTTGTCGAAAGAAGATGAAGATGAGGTGGAAGGGATCTTGATTTCAAAGAGTCCAGAGTATCCACCAAATTCTGCCATCATGGACCGTTGTGTGACTTCACGCACTCTCCGTGTTTGCTGTCTCTGTTCCTTCACTTCCTCCTGCTGCTGCTGTTCTGCTTGCGACGAACCAGAAACGGGGAGGGAGAGGTCTGTGGCAGAGGCGATCCAGGTATCCTGATCGTGGTGGAGGGTATGAACGACATCGCATCCGTAGTGGTCATGTCCATTAAGGACAAAGTCTGGCCGGAGAGTGTTCAAGATCCATTGTGTTGTGTTTGGTGTCAACATCGTCTGCTCAATAATTGTGTTGTCCCTGGAGAAGAGGAGAAAAAGGCATTGATTATGTTAGTGTTTGTTGAAGAGATGAGAGAGAGAGTGTGTGTGTGTATGTGTTGAATGGGTGTTAATGATTATGCGTCAAATTAAACAAATTTGTAGTCGAAAATGAAAAGGAGAAACATACCAGTGTACGCGGATATCTGGGGGGTCGACACAAATACCTTGTTCCTTGTGGAAGGGGATATGTGTCAAGAGGACGATCTTGTCCTGGGGGTTGTTCTCCTTCAGCGATGATGCCTCCTGCAAGAACTGCCATGTCTGTCCCCGGAGGTTCTATTTGTCAAAGAGAAATCAAGATAGATGCCGTTAGTGATGATTGAAAAGGGGTGATTTCTGACATTAACCGTTCAATTGTAAAAAAAAAGGGGGGACGTGCTTATTACCTCGTCAGATGATGGTCCGTCGAGGAGCATGGTGTTAAGAACAACCAAATGCAACCTTCTACTGCTTTGCGACCTCCGAGAATCCGTATCATTCTCACTTCCAACAACGCCAGATGTTGGGATATCCACAGAACTGATAAAGTTGGATTTGCCAAAGACCTGCTCCCACCGCTCAACCCGGTCCTGCGAGATATCGTATCCATACCCGATATCGTGGTTTCCCGTAATGTTGATCATCACTGGTACAGTGCTCTCCTCTCCTGCTCCTACTGTTCTTGCTACTGATCCTGAGGATGACAAGGAAGGGTCAGGAAAGATGGACCGGTAACGAGCGACACGAACATCGAATTCTGTATCATCGATCCATTGACTAGAGAAGAGGTCTCCTAAGACGCTGACGTGCGTGGGAGACTGCGGAGTATGAGTTGTTGAGCGGGAGAGGAGGGAGGGGAGTTGGGCGAGGGGTTCCCAGGAGGGAGACATCATCTTTTTGTAGATGTGGCGCATGTAAGCGTCGTTGAATGCTAGGTCCACATGAGCTGTTTAGTAGGAGATGGGGTGAACGATGGAGAGTTGGTTAAAAGGAGTGCGTACATGAGGAGAAGAGTCTTCAGGAGCAATTTTTTTTTCTTTTCTCTGTGCGACAATGGTGAGCCATTGGAGGAGAGAGTGTCGTTGTTCTAGCACCAGTCAAAGGAAAGAACAAGAAGAACAAAAAAAAGGGCAGGGCTGTCGCCTGGTCCATTTTTCTTCCTTCCTTCCACCGCCAAAGAGAAAAAGTCGAAAGTTACCTCGCTTCCCAAGACGCCGGATCTTTGCGTCGCCTTCCATCTGCGGATCAGCAAAGACGACCATCCTCATGAAGGATTCCTTTGAGTCCCAGTTCCAGTGACAGGTGATGCGGGCATAGTTGTGGAGGACGATGGTTCCGATGATGGCGAGGCCTGTGGCCGTGTAGAGGATCCCGAGGAGTATCCTTGCCAGCATCCTTTTCACTTGCTTTGTGGGTTTCGGAGGTTGATGGGTTTATTGATGGTTGAGGGTGGTGGTCGAGAAGTGGGATGAATAAGAAAGGTAATGGTGAGACAAGGAAAGGAAAGGAAAAGTGGTGAAGGGGAGACGGAGAAGAAACAGAAAAATAGGAGGTAAAAATGCCTTTGCACTCTCCTTTCTCACCTTCTAGACCTCGAACATGGTTGTTGTTCGCGGAATAAAAGTAGGGTTTGACACTAAACGAGAAGAGGGACTTTCATTTAATAATATTAAGAGATAAAGATCCGCTCGTGTGAGCTCTCACAAGTACAACCCGACATGAGTTGTCGGCTGAAAAAGAGCGCCACCAAATTGTGCAGTTCCCCGGTAATAAGATACGTTATTGTCTTTGGTCAGAAGGCCGATTTATATGTGAGAAAGGGCCTGACAGACGGCAAAGAACAGAGGGAAAGAGGGAGGGGAGAAGGGATTAGAAAGAAGAAAAAAAAGAAAGGCATCCAAGGGTTGACAAAGGGGGAAGGACGTAGGGATGGAGGAAAGTGAACGAGGAAAGAGGAAAGAGGAAAGAGGGAGGAACGAAAGAAAAAGAAAGAATGAAAAGAATGAGAGAGAGAGAGTGGAAGAGGCGCGTGATAAAGGAAAAATAAAGCTATCATGACGGATTGTCTACACTCAGCGGCCAGACTGATGGTCAACCGAAAAATATACTAATTTGGTCGTATGCACCATCCCTTGTCGCTGCTGAAAGACCGTCATTGGCCCAACAGCCAGGGGTAAGGAAAGAGAAAGGAAGGCGCGGAGGGAAAGAGTGCAGGGGTTGCTGGGCATGACGACTGTGAGAAGGAACGAGCATGCAGAGGTCAAACCATAAACGAGGCAAGGGATTCGCCACACAAGCGAAGAAAACAGCAATACCAAATCAATGCAAGGGCCATAGCGAACATAGCAACTGCAAGCAATGAATTGCACAAAGCTCGAAGCAATCAAAAGCTCCAGCAAAAATAAACACGAAATAGAAAGCGTACCATCCAGACCATTGACCAGTTGTTGTAGTTGTTGTCTTGTCCTGTTGTATAAGGTAAGAGGGAGCTAGAAAGAGAACGAGGGGATCAGCATCGCATAGCTTGTTTGCATACAAAAGCGAATAGATCCTCTCTTTTTCAAGACTCCCACGAGAAGGCGCAGAAGAAAGAGGAAGAAAAAAAACATTGTATAACAAGGGGTCAATGCACTCCCCTCGGTAATTCATTCCCTCATGTGAACAACGGTCAATCGATATAAAGTCCTCAGCTTTCTTTCTTGTCTTCTTGTCATCTTCTCTCTTCATATCTTATCTTTGCTTCAGTAGCTCGACAACCCTCATTCACAGCCCCACAACAAGAAAACAAGACCAATGGACAACAGCAGTTCCTCCCTCACTGACCCTTCTGTCCCCGTCGATCTCTTCGACATCACCCACGCCATGCCGCCCTCCCTCAACCACAACAGCACCCTCACCGACCTCCCTTACATCATCGATCCTCTCGGTACCATCCACAACATGAAACTCCCCGTCTTCCACAACCCCATACCCATCGACCTTCCACTTCCCGCAAGCATCCTCGACTATATCTACCTCATGGAGCATCCTCTAACACTCACCAACCACTGTATAGTCACCACAGCAATCCCCAATAATGCTGCTCTCCCTGGAGCTCTTATTGCCGAGACTAATGGAAATTGGATCACCCACGTCCCAAGCAATACAGTGCTTCAGCTCCCTCACCATCAGCCTTACCTCAACCAGCAAGGTACAGACAACGCTATCGCTCAGGAAGTCGACTACAATAACGAGCCAAGCACCGCCATAGGATCATATTCAGTCGCTGGTCCTACCATACCCACCGGACACACATATGTTCCCCTCACCCACTGTCATCCACAGGTCAATACGCGCGACCAAGCTACCGCCACTTTCACCACTCGTCTCGGCCAAGAGCTAGCGCCAATGTTCCACAAGAAGGTCTTTGTCGATTCAGTTTCCTGTGAGGCGTACGCAGAATCGGAGTACCTTGGTGGAGGAACGTTTGGAGCTGTCTACGAGGTTGTTGACCGCTTTGGGACGATCTCGGCGTTGAAGGCTCCAAAGAGAGCAGCCAAACCTGAAATAGTGAGTAATACTGCAATGATTCAAGGTGTTTGGTTGTAGCACAACGATCGCGAAATGGAAACCAATTCATGTTTGTTAACCTTATACATGTTTTTACTAACCTTATACACGTTTTACTATCCTTATTCATTGGAAAACGATGATTTTTATAGATTCAACGCGAGATAGATCTGCTCAAGGCGGTCAAGGGTTGCACCAACGTAGTGGAGTTCCTGAGTGAGGTCAACGATCTCAAGCAGGGACGATGCCTCCGATTTGAGATGTGTTTCCATAGAGACTTCCTCCAGCTGCTGGCAAAGAGGGGTGCCTTGACTAGGCCGGAAGTGCTCTATTTTGGTAGACAGATCTTGGAAGGACTACACGCGATTCACAGCAAGGGCATCATCCATAGAGATATGAAGCCCGAGAACATCTTGGTCGCTTCAGGCATGACGCTCAAGATTGCGGATTTCGGATGGGGATTACGGAAACCAAAGAAAGGCAAGCAATCTGTCCCTGTCACGTAAGTTTACAAGTTACCTTTTTTTTTTTATTGTCGGATGGATGTTTATTGTTTGTGTAGGTATTCTTTATTTTTGTTTTGAAATGCCATGCTAACCGCATTTTATTCCTTTTTGTTGCCTTACCCCTCCCCAAGTGGAAGAGCCGGATCATTGGGATATGCGGCGCCCGAGTCGTTCTTCAACGGAGAACATGATTTCCCCCTCGATATCTTCGCCACGGGGATCATCTTCATCTATATTATGACTGGCACGAAGCCCCGCATCACAGACGAGTAAGTACTCTACATCTCTGTTCGCGTTGAAAAAAGTTACCGATACCCCCTCCCCCCCCCCCTCATCTCTCCAAACACCTAAACGTAAAGATATTTCGTTAACAATGTATTTGTTGTCCTCATCTCTGAAAAGGTCCACCGTGTATCCTCCAACCAAAGAATACTTCAAGTCAATGCCAACCACAGAATATGGCCAGCACTTCTTGCAAAGGGCCCTGGTCATCGACCCAAGGAAGAGAGCAAGCACAGATGAGCTACTCCACCACGCCTTTCTGAGGGTCGCTTACTGTCCAGAAACCCTTTCCGAGTCAGCTTTCGATTTCCCTCCTACGTTCCAGAATGACGACAAGCGGCCTGCCGATGAGGATTCAGGCGTCGACTCTAGTCGGCAGAAGAAGAAGGTCAGGATCACAAACGCTCAGGAAAAGTCCGAGACGGATCAGGAGTGGTCGACAGAGGGCATGGAGGAAGAGCTGGCCGAGTTCAAGAAGGCGAAGCTGGCTTGTATCCAGGAGTTTATGGCTGTCAAGAAGAAGACACTGGCTTTGGGTGAATGGGGAACTGCCCTGAAGAATAAGTACGGCCCTGACTTGGATTTGCGCGTCCAGTCTTCTGGAGGCACCGAGCACTAAACAAAGGCCGATGAACCACGTCACTTCTTGACCTTGTTCCATTGTAACACTAGATAAAAACATATACCTAAAAAAAATAAAAAATGTGTACCTGCACCTGAATCTCGAAGGACGAAGGAAAACCCATGACCTTGGACACATCCTTCATTACTCCTCCACGAAAAAAAACGAATAACGGCCATATCCGCCTCATTATTCACAAACCCTTAAAACAATTACCATGCCGCCATCCTTGCCTCCATAGCCTCCAAGACTTCTCCTACATTCTGGACTTTATCCTCATTCTCAGGCGGGACAGCAAATAGTAATAATCGTTCGCAGCGCAGAGTGTTACTCCTTTTGCGAGGGGAGGAGGGCAGGAGGATTATGATTATGAACATGGTTAGGTTTGTGTTGTTTTCTTCTCTTAAGGATGAATAGGTCGACATCAAAAATACCTAGGAAATCATCACACGTGACTCGGACGCGTTCTTTTGTTTTCGCGAAGGTCGCCCCATGACAATGAGCCAAAGCACCAAGTATGCTCCAACAGTTCAGAAATTGGAAAAAAAAAAAAAAAGTGAAGTGTTGTTTATTTTGTTCTCTACGCCTGGAGTGCCTTGCTGTCCGTTTCAGCGCTCTCCCCAGCTGTCGTCGTCGTTGATGAATCCTGTTCCTGTCCCTTTGTCTCCTCCTCAGCGGGTGTAGAAGCTAAAGTACCAAGGGACGAAGGCTCAACAACAGTCTTGGCAAAAGTCTCGACACTAGCAGGAGCAGGCGAACTGACTTCACTGCTGGCCCCACTGTTGTTCTCGCTGTTGTTCTCGCTGTTGGCCTCACTTTCAGCCAACGCCAACTTGATCCTCTTGCGCTCCTGGTGCTTCTTGTTCTTGACCTCGGTCGGCAGGCACTTTTGGCGTTGCATCAACTATTTGAGTTTCCAGAAGAAAAAAAAAGCAATTAATATGTGTCTGGAATAATAACAAAAAAAAAAAGGGAGGAACAATTGGTACGTGTTGAACACAGCATGAAAGTGAAAAAGTTCCCTGAAAATGTACCTGGGAGTAACGCTTGCCCATGAACATGCGGAGATCTCCACCAAGGGAGATATTGTTCTCCTTCTCAGCGTTCTGCTCAGCATACTCGCCCAACTTGATCGACTGACCGGGTTCAGGCAAGTTGATCAACATTGCCTGATCGAGCTGCTCCAACATCCGCGAGTACATCAGCGACTTGGTCACATAGCACGACCATTGATCCTCCATCGCGCGGTACAGTCTCAGCGGCGTAATGTCGTTGACCAAATCGACTTCGGTCTGGTGCTGCCACTCGATGTTCTCAAAGTGGCAATCGTACAACACCAAAGGCAGATCAGAGGCCATGTCGTAGTTGGGCTTGGCAGGACAATTCTGCACGTCCATGAGCTGGTCAATCACCTCAGGCTCCTCCAACCCCTGGCCCACCGACAGCAGAACCGACATCATGCACCGGACCTGGTGCCACAAGAACGCCGATCCCTTCAACGTCAATTGGTAAAACTCTCGACTCTTCTTGGCGGGGAAGTTGTGTTCGGGGACAGTCTCGATCGAGATCTCGTGGATGGTCCTGTCATAGTTCTCGATCGTCTTGGAGGAATCGTACTTGCAAAAGTTGCGGAAATCGTGTGTGCCCAAGAACTTGAGCGACGCCGCCCGCATCTTCTCAATGTCGATAATGCCCTTGGGGAAAAAGTACTTGTACTGTCTCCAGGAACAGTGGAACCGAGCGTTGAAGTCCTCGGCAACGGGTGCCCAGGCAATGATCCTGATGTCTGGGGGCAAGAGACGGTTGACGATGTTGAGGTACGCCAGCTCGCCAAAGACACTGCCGTCCTTGTTACGCTTGATCCCGCGCTTCCAGTAGACTCCTGCCTTGGCCTCCAGTTCCTCCTGTGTCAGTCCCTCATCTGCAGGATCCTTTGTCTCGGGGACAAATCCATCGCCCTCTGAGCGGATGACATGTGGCGAAGATTTGGGCAAGGCAGAACGAACAGTCAAAGCAATGACCTGACCTAATCCACTAACGCCTCGATCGGTTCTACCGCATCTCGAGTAGTTGCAATCCAAAGGGTCCTCAATAATCCTGGCCGCCAACAGCGCGTTGAACAACTCTGACTCGACCGTCTTGATCTCGTTCATCCCCTGCGACGCGAATCCTCCATACGGCCATCCAAAGTAGGCAACCCGGAAAGCAACATGACGTTTGGCGTATTTGGAGAAATCAAAGGGGCGACGGTCCTTACGCTTGGGGGTTTCGATCGTAGAGTAGACTGGGGTGGATGAAGTCGCCTCGGACTCGTTATCGGTCGACGCCATCGATCCAGGACTCGACGAAGAGTCCGTCGACATCAAGTGCGCAGGAATCGCCGTCGCATTCGAAGGTCCATTGCTCGAACCAGTCCCACTCTCGAGTTCCCGAATCCTGTGAAGGAGCTCATCCCGCGACCAGGACGAGTACTTGTCTACATCCCCACTCCCACTCCCGAGCACCGCCGCGGATCCACCCTGCTTATTCCTGCGCTTTCGCTCTGATTTGCTGATTTTACCGGGTACGGGCAAAGGGCGATCCTTGTTCGTTGCCATTATGTTGCTGCTGTTGTTGGTGGTGGTAGAAGAGAGATGGTCTGCGGATTTGCTGCTTCCGTTATGGTGGTGAACGTGGTTTTGGGCGAGCGCCTTGATATTGTTGGTGTGTGCGAATTTGAGAAAGGGGATGTTGTTGTTCTCTTGGCTGATGTGTGTCCGTTGGTTGAAGATGTATTTCCCAGCTGGAGTCTTTGTTGAAGTTGAAAAGTGGACAGAAGGACGAAGAAGGTGGTTGAGTTTGAGGACTGCGGCAGAGGTAGAGTTGGCGCTAGTGTTGCCAGGGACGGAGAGTACGATGGACGCAAAGGAGGCGTTTGGTTTCCTGGCGAAGAGGGAGATGAGCATGCCCTTCCTTTTTGCTGTGAAGTTGGGCCAAAAAGGGACTTGAATGAGTGTGGTGTCCTTTCTTGTCCTTGGCCTTGTCCTTTGTCCGATGGGTCGATGGAGGTTGTGAGTGAATGAACAACAAAAGGTGAGATTGATCTTTTGTTTGCAGGAGAGTTTGCAGGATGTGACTGCTTGTGTTCACTTCTTTTTTTTCTTTTGTCAAAGGACACATTGAAACGGAGAACGAAAGAACGACATATGGATGTTACCACCAAAGTGAACTGGCTTTTTATTCAAAGGATATGTACAGCGAACAACAGGAGAGTGAGCGTATAAAATGGTGGAGGCTGTAGGTTGCTTGAACTTCAAAGAGAAGAGCCAGGAGAATGACCGCCGCCAGAAGAAGACTCCCGCTTAGTGTCCAGGGTGACTAGGATCGTGCTCGGGGTGAACTGGATGTTCGAGGGTAGCCTCAGCACCAGTTGCAAGCTGAACCGACGGGTGGTCGCGCTGTTGGTGGTGCTGTTGGTGGTGCTGTTGGTGGTGACCAGTGTGCGACTTTTGGGTGTGGTCCTGTCCCTCTCCCTGTCCCTGTCGCTGTCCCTCTCCTTGTCCTTGGATATGAGCATGAGCTTGAGCTTGAGCTTGAGCGTGAGCGTGAGCCTGCTCGTGCTGGTGCTGGTCGGCAGTCGAGTGGAGTATCTGGTCCTTGGTAGCAGAGACGGTCGTGTCCCGGAGGTCGTAGTGGTGGGTCTTTCCGGTATCACGGAGGTTGTACAAGTGGGACGCCATTGTTTGGTTGCTTGTTGTTGTTGTTGGAAGGATGTATTTTGTGGTGTTTCCGATGAGTGTGAGAGGAAAGAGCGAAAGTGAATAGACACTCTCACGGGTTTAAAATCGTTTGCTGGTCAAGACTACTGAACATGATGTCATGATGATGTTCAGAGGACGAGCAGTCACTCGTTCCTTCCCAGGCGCAGTCGGTTGTTTGACACCAAGTTGAAGCCGTGACGCGACCTGTCGAGGGAGCAGAACACGAACACAGTATCGTCATCTTTCGTAGATCGTTATCCCACGCTAGGAAAGAAGGAGGAAAGGTAAACAAGAGAAAGATAACATGTGTCAACCTCGAGTGGCATGCACGTTGCATCTTTTTTCTTTATTCAGACAAGGTTCCGCAGGCGCACAAATTGGGGAAAGGGGAGACAAAAATAAAAATTCCTCGGTCGTGGCTGAAGGGTGGAGTCGACACCTCAACGCCATCTCTGCTCTTTTTTATTTTTGCGCCATTTGCACTTTTTTTTCGTTCTTTCTTCCCTCTCAAACACATACCCCTACCACTCCCCCTTCCACTCACTTGTCCAATTGACACCACCGCCCACGCTTCACCCCCCTCCTCCTCCTTCTCCTCCTCCTCCTCATACCCAACCTTCACAACAACACAACAGCAAAAATGTCCTCACTGGCACTCAAAATCAACCCAATCGAAATCCCAGAACTCCTGCACATAATCGGCGCCCACCTCTCCACAGGCGACCACAAGACTTGCATGCTCGTTTCCCGTGCCTGGCTCCACCTCTTCCGCGCCTACACCTGGGACCACCTCCTTTACTCCCGCCAAGGTGTCCCCCACATCGAGAAATACGGCCATATGGTCCGGTCTCTTACCTCCTATGGTGTCGACGACCAGGATTTGCAAACGATTGCGGGGACATGTCACTTTGTTCGGTGACTAGAAGTGTCGTTGTCGGGCGTTGCGACGGCGATGGGGATGGATGCGTTAGTGGGGAACTTGGTTTGGGTGAAAGAATTGAAAGTCGAAATGGTCTATAGTACCTGTTCTCCGAGGATGATGGTCAGTCTTGGACGGTTGGGGAGGTTGCAGAGTTTAGAGTTGAAGGATGGCCCTAATTCCAGCGATTGTAATCTCCGGATGCTGCTCAATGTTATCTCGGAGTGTCGGTCCCTGGTGACGCTCAAGGTCTCCCGACTCGGCGACTCGATAATCCAGCCTCCTAACAATAACCGGCACTCAACGTCTTCAAATCCGTCCCCGCAGTACCTAGAAGGCGGGAATGTGTTATCCCCTACAGGCACCTCGACATCGGTCCTTTCTCGCCTTGGTCGAGCCCTCCAAATCACATCAATCACACGCCCAAACCGTCCCTCAAAGGACCTCTCCGCAAAAGAACCCTGGCGCAAATTCGTCCGCGACACCACCATACCTCTCCAACCCACCTCTGACCACATCCTCTACCGCCCCCTCGACATCTCTACACCATACCCACTCCTCCGCCGACTCTACTTATCCTCAATCGATACCTACCTTACTCCTGACAACACCCAAGCAGGACTTGAGATCTTGTTCCGAAAAACCCCCCTCCTAGAAGACCTCTCTCTCAATTGCAACTCCGTTCGGCCCCTCCACCTCGCCGCCTGTCTGGATGCGATCACTGATACCTGCCATGGGATCCAGTCTCTAGAGTTCATCCACTTCCGATCGTCGACAAAGCACCCGAACAACAACATGGACTCAATACATCGGTTCTTTAAACACCACCGACCAGATTTGACGGTTCTCCGTTTACAGTCCTGTATGGGTCTAGAGTTTGTTCTGGACTTGATCCCACCAGCCACGCTGGAGAGGTTGGAGAGGGTATCGTTCGAGTATACACTGTACTCACATCCGATCCTTCACAAGTTCATGACACGGTGTAAAGCCCTCCAGTATTTCACCTGGACTATCGAAGCACTGCACCCTCCCTTTCCTATTACAACACTCACCCCCACCCAGCCTACCACGCCTCACAACGACCAACAACAACAACAACAACAACAACAACAACAACAACAACAACGGCAGATTTCCGCATTCATGGACCCCTGGGCCTGCAACAAGACCATGCGACACATCGAACAGACCCACGCAATTCAAGTACAGGATCAAGAAAGTCTCGACTTTTATTATAATTATCGTCTCGCCCAGATGGAACGACTCGTCTCCCTCGGTGTCTCGTATCTCGATATCCGCAATTCTATGCTGGCCGCTGGTGTTGTGCAGAGTGATGCGGGGGAGCAGATGGGGGAGAGGGCGTTGTCGAGGGAAGGAAGGGGAGGGTTGTTTCATGACATCTCGATGGGCGAAGTGGATAGTCAGGCACCTCATGGCCGTGTCGCTAGGCGGGAGCTTGTTGTGTACCAGGAGGGACAAGGACAACCTACACTCGCAGAAGCGACAACATCAACAGGAGCACCAGAAACTATAGCAGCAGCAACAGGACCTTTGACAGCACAGAACCAGGGCGATGAAGACCAGGATGACAACATCAACGACGAGGACCATCTCCACACAAACAACGCCCCGGAAGAAGAAAAACGGGGATGGCACTTCAAACACGTCCAAGAACTGATCCTAGGCCCCATAGGAATCAACACCTACACCCACCTCCTCGACACCCGCCAATTGAACCTCACAGAAACCCAATACCTTCTCGACGCGTTTCCGAAACTACGCAAGATCCGGTACCGCGGGAGGATGTTTCCTTTGGATTATGAGGCGAGGACATTTCTGGAAGAGCTATGGCCAAGAAGGATTATGGTTATACATGTCTCGCAGGGTTCTGCCATTATGTAGGATAGAAAGAAAAAAAAAGGTGAAAATATTAAAATTGGTATCGTTATTATTATGCTTTTTGTATGTCTATGCGTATGTATGGTATGTATGGTATTTGTCGTTGTTTGTTTGTCGTTGCTATGCTACTCTTCTTCTCATGGGGAACAAACACCCCTCATCATCCTCCGCACCCCCCCCCCCCCTCCTTACACACGATCAAATTCAACAACAAGATTTGGTCTCCCCGCCTCCCGACACCACTGCTTCACAATCTCCTTCTGCGAAACCAACCCCCCGGCAACATGCAACGTCTTCAACTCTGGCCAATGCTCCAAAATCCACAACACCGATGACTTCTCCACAGCCACATGGCGCACCTGCGGGAACCAAAAGTACTCTATCCTTGTTGATTTCGCCATCCACGCCAACGTCGTCTCGATCGGCGTAATACTGATGGATGGGTATGAGATCGTCAGACTTGTGAGAAGAGGCAGTTGAGAAAGATGCTGGAAGATCATAGATTCGGTCCCACTGAACCCACAGACGAGCTTCTCTAGCCTGGTAGACGCCCAGGGTCTCCGGGGGACGCCATCGTCGACGGGTCTATCGAGCGAGAACACAACCCCATCAGCCTCAAACTCCCTCAACCTCGTCCAAGTCTGCAAGAACTGTATCAATGCACCCTTAAACCCCCTCGAGTTCCCAAAACTGACGTCTAAACACTCGACAAACTTGCAATGTTCCTGCATCACCTCTAAAGCACGCGTTCCAAAAAACGAGTTTCGGAACCCGACCGTCGTCAACAACGGGAAACTCTTCAGAATCTCGATGATGGTATCCTCCTTGATGGTATCAAATGGAAAGGCCATGCGGATGGAGGTGAGGTGGGGGATAGAGTCGCGGAGGGAGTGGATGAATTGTTTGGACCAGGTCCAGCGATAGATCTTGATCATCATGTCCGGGACTAGGAACTCTTCGATGAGGAGGGAGGAGAGCCGGGGCATTTGGCGCGCTAGGGCGAGGAGGTGGTCTTGGGAGATGTCGACGAGGCGGAGACTGAGTGATTCGATCGATGATGTTGTCTGGGCCGTGTTGGTCGAAAGGGAAGAGGATGAAGGGGAAGATGAGGGGATAATTGGCAGCGTAGGGGTGACGGGGAATGGGCCCGAAATAGTCATTCCGGCAATGGTCGTTGTGTGTGCTGGAGCTGCAAGTGCGGCGGGTGGAGGATAGGGGGTGACTACAGGAGCTTGGGGGAGAGGCATAGTCGACATGCCCTGTGTCTGTTGTTGTGGCTGAGATACAGAGGACGACGGCGATGATGATTCGTTCCCTCCAACAACAGCATCGGGGGCATGGGAAGGGCGAGAACCATCTGCAACTTGAGAGCTCAATGTAAACAAGCCCTCGAGGGTCAGGTGAACAAGGCTTGGAAAGGATCTGAGAATATTCTCCATCGACACCTTGGGCTTGCGCGCAGGGTACCCCCTCGTCCCAATCTGCAGGGTCGTCACCGTCGGCGCCCTCAAGCCTAGAACAATATTCGGATCCAAGTTATGAATCCTCACCGACAAGGTCTCCAACGCTGGTGTCTCATCAGCCTGGAGGATCAACTTGAGCTGCTCAAACGGTTTCCAAGGATCCGTCAAGGGTCGAACCGAGGCCTTCTTTCCAAAGATCCGATGCCACGCCTGCTTCTTAGGCACCGTACCAGCACCACTGGCAAAAGGAGAAGGGGATATCTCTTGGAACCATTCGATGGAGGTAGCGAAGCGGGTATAGTTCAAGAAGGAGCTAACAAAGTCTGGCTGGTCAAAGTCGGCAGTCTTGATGATGCGGAAGAGGAGAGGTTGGAAGATGGTGTGCCAATCCTTGCAGACGACGGCGCATTGGGCGATGGTGGACCGGTTGAGGAATGCGGCAATGGCGAGGATGATCTCAGGGATTGTCAGGGCGACCGAGAACTGGACGACTTTGTTGTCAGGCTGTTGTTGATGTTGTGTGAAAGTAGAGCGGTAGTGAGAGAAGAGGTTGGAGGGGAAGGTGGCTGCGGCGCCGGTGATTGTTGTGGTGGCAACTGCTGTGGCGGTGGCGGTATTTGCAGATGGAGATGGGGCAGACGAGGAGGAGGAAGAGGAGGAAGAAGTGGTGGATGTAGGGGCGAGTGCGGCAGCAGGAGTGATGGTGGTGGATGAGGAGTCCTTTTTCTGTTTTGAGGTTGCGTTTTGAGAACGTTTCCACTTGATAGTGTGCATTATTATTGTGGTGCAGGTGGTCGTAACAACGGATGGGTGGAGGAGTGGAAAATGATCTGTGAGTGAGGGAGGGGATAAAAAGGTGGTAGCGGGAGGGAGGAAATGAAGAACGAGAGAAAGAGAGAAAGAAAGAGGCGTTGAAGGGGATGCAAGAAGGGGAAGGTAGGGAGAGGGGTGAGGATGAAAGGATGAAAGGAAAGAAAACAAAAAGAAAAAGAAAGAAAGAAAGAAAGAAGAAAGAGGGAGGAATGAGGATGAAGAAAGAGGGGGATGGTGGCGCTATTTATCACAAGTCCCCAAAGAGTGAGAAAAAGAAGGCTTTGACAAAAAGATACCCCATCAAAAATACTAACGTTAACATCAATTGCATTTAGAAGTGAATTGATGCGGGAATCATGAGGATCCAATGGAAGGGAGTCAATAGAGAGACGACGGCACAGGAACAGAGGGACACTTGAACAGAAAGACCAGGGATAAGGGGACAGAGGGACACAGGGAAGGAAGGAAGAAGAAAAGGGGACAGACAGACAGACATGGTCGGAGCAAGAAACTGGTGAAAGTGAGATGGGCCCAGCACCTGCATGCGAATTAACTCTATTTCTTGCTGTCCATGGACTTTGTGTTTTGCGCACTCTTGGCGCTATTGTTGTTATTGTTGTTGCCTTTTCTCTTTATCCCGCGGGATGTACCCTGGATAGGTATCTCAACAAAAACAACATCTTCGCCAATATTCCATGCCATACGCCTCCACTACACTCCGCCAGCTGACCCCTTCCGACTTACACAAGAAGCAAACAATAAAAAAAGGGTACCATAAAAAAAACGACCGATTCGTCCTCGATAGATGCTCATTCATTCTCTAGACCCATTCCTCTCCCCCCAAATCCATCCAATGTCATTTCATCCTCGCTGACGGCTCTTTGTCGTGCAGTTCATATCAATTGGAAGTGTCAATGGGCAACGAAAGATGAAAATAAAACAAAGGTGACAATTTTGGCGACGAGCGAATCCCAAAAAAAAAATCTCCGCCCACGGGAGAAAAAAAAGAGGTGATCTTCATTTACCACCACAAGAAAAAAAAACCACAAATCAACAAATGGGTGAGAAGAGAGTAGAGAGCAAAAAAAATAATATGTAATTCAGGGGTGGACACACACTGAGAGAGAAAGTGAATCACGCAAAACGCAATCAACGTTATGTGCGTTGTCCATACTGTTGCGCGTTGTAATATATATTCATCCAATTTTTGCCGTTTGCTCAATTGTATTTGTGCTAGATGTACTTTTGACATTTATCATTCGTGCAATTAACAAAAATGAATGAACGTCTTGCCTGGTCTGAAAAGAAGAGGAGCGAATAATGTCAAGAAGAAATACCACTCTGAAGGCAAAGCAATATGGTTTATAAAGGACAAAAAAAAAAAAGGCAAGCCGCGGTAAAATGAGAGCAGCGGGTGTCAATGGTAATGGTATGGCAAAGGTCATGTTATATCTTGTCAATTCAAGCTGAGGGTCGACGAGGGGAACGATTTTTGTCTGTCAACGAAGAAGGCTCTCAATTCGTCGACCGACAGGGACAGAGTGACAGACAGAATTCCAGGCTGCTTCTTTTCCCCCCTCGCTCGTTTCAGGAAGGGAAAAGTAAAAATAAGTTTCCTGCATATGGATAGGAAGGTCCAGAGGGTGGGAGGAAGAGAGGAAGGGAAGAAAGAAAGGGAATGGCATGTACATAAGCAACTATTCGGTGGGTTAACAACTTCGAGCGAACAAACAAAACAAAACAAGCAAGCGAACAAACGTTGGGGTAGAACAGCAAAGAACAGAAGAGCAATCAGGAAAGACTAATGGCGATGGAAGTACAAGTGAGCGTTGGTTAATGAGTGCGTTCAAATTCAATCTCCACAACCCATTATCGCCGAAGGACACTGCCACCACCGTCATCATCATCATCATCATGGACGAGAGCACATTCACCATTGCCTTGCCTGTTCTATTTAAACCTTGTTCTTTTGCTATTCTATATGTTCTGAGAATGAACAACTTCATTGACAAAAAGGTTATGACAAGACATGACTAGCAATCGATTGCCTGTAATTGAACAGTTGGCATAATTTTATTGACTGCATCTTCACGGCACAAGGGGTTGTTGACAGGGATGGATCGAGACTCAACTCACGCGTCTTGCTTTTTATTATTACATTTGGCGTTTGTTGTCAACTAGGCAAGGGCTAAATAAGAGGACAGGTAATGCGTCATGAATAACGAAGGAATATCGGTTATCCTGAGCTAGAATGGGCGAGTGGAGCGAGGGAGACTATGGCCACAGAAAACCAAGAAGACACATTGTAGCATTTTCGCGGATGATCGGGATTTGTGGTGCTGTTACATGAACACATAGACGTCCTATGGGGTGCACCGTACAGCACACGTATGCAGACGTGCCTCTTGGTCACACTCGTGTAGGCACGCTTTTGCGTGCTCAATTATTCAATAATTCGCCTTTGGAGTCGTCGGCCGTCGACTGTCGACTGCCAACTGTCGACTTGGGCTAAGTGAAGATAGGAATGGAAGGCGGCCCGTAAGGCCATGCCTCATCCATACCAAACAGACAAACAAGTAAAGCCAAGTCATCCATTCCCTCTTATTGCTCTTCCTCTTTCAGATATCCTCACACACTTTATCTTCCCCCTTGTCGGACAACTCTCCCACCCTCCTTGCACCCTTGCGCTTGCTACGCCTCTTTCGTTTCCCATTGCCACCACTTGAACACTTGTTTTCATCTCTCTCGCGCTCTCTCTCTCTTCCCGCCTATCCAAACGTTCGATTACGCGCACCTTCGCGATTACGTTCTCGTTCCTTTTGACCCTCTTTCTATTTTCCCATTCCCCTCTGCAACTGCCCTTCCCCTTCCTCCAAGGGTTTATTATATTCATTTTCATTTTCTTAGCATCTGCCAGGCAATAAACCCATCCATCCCATCCTCCTTTATTTATTCCACATCTCCAAAAAGTGCTGTCAGCAACCCCCTGATTTATTATTCGTCTCTGTCTCTCTTTCCCTCTCTCTCTCTCTCTCTCTCTCTCTCTCTCTCTTTCTCTCTTTCACTTCCCTTCTCTCTTACTCTCCTCCTTCCCTCCGCTCCGTCCCCTCCTGTGTCTCTATCGCCGGTCCATACCCTGACGCCCGTCTTTCTCACAAACTCACCCCTCTCTCCCTTTCCCTTACACCCCTTCCCCACCCCGTTTGGACGTTGACAACGGGAGAAACTATTTAAACGATCCCGGTTCCCCTCCTTTTCTCTCTCTCTCTTCTCTCTCTCTCTCTCTCTCTCTCTCTCTTTTCTTTCACCCTTTTTCTCTACTGTCGTTGTCCTTGTTGTCTGCTTTTGGACACACGGGCACCTTTTCTTCTACTTCCTCTCTCCTCTCCCTCTTGACGATGGCATCCATAGTGATCCCTATACCCTCATCCTCACTGACTGACGTCGAGGCACAGGCACACAGGACAACGACTTCCACATCATCTCCACCATCCCTCACATCCGCAGCAGCAGGAAGGATATCACCATCATCATCCCAATCATCACGGACAACAAGCGCAAACTCAAATACAAACATTAGCACAGTTCCACCAGGAAACCAACCTGCGCTTGCACAGCCCTCTACTGCACCAACACAAACACAACAGCAACAGCAACAGCAACAACAACAACAACAACAACAGCAGCAGCAACAACAACAACAACAACAACAACAACAGCAGCAACAACAACAACAACAACAACAACAACAACAACAACAGCAACAACAACAACAGGCACCGAGACCTTGGTGGCGACCCCCAGCACGCAACTTCAGACCCCACCCAGGCAACCACGCCATCAACTCCTTCTTCACAACATCCTCTCTCGTCGTTGCAGGATCATCCTCAAATAACACCCCTCAGCAACAGCAACAACAACCAGTATACACGGAGAGTATGTCTCACTACTGGTATAGAGCATTAAACTACATCCTGAGGATACCCTTCCGAGAACTGCTCGGCAATGTCTCTCGCCCCTACGACCCTACAGCTCCCCTCCCCCTCGCAGATGTGCCCCTCAATGCCACCATCATCGACACTCACACCCACACCATCTACACCAACCCTTACACCGGAGAAAGGAGTTCCAACGGCGGCAATGCCAGCAGCAATATCAACAACAACACTGACTTGCCCTCGAACAGCAACACAACCAACAGCAACAACACCACCCGCTCACGCCATTACTTGCCGCAGATCAGGAAAGCATGGAGTGATCGGACCTCTAGCATGAGCTGGGCCATCTCGACTGCATTCTTTTCCAGCGTGCTATTTGTAAGTTTTTTTTATCTGATGCACCCTATTATTATTCTTATGCATAATACACCGACGTTCTCGACCCTCCTCCCTCTCCTCACTTTCCCCCTTGTTCGTTGCAACGAACCGTACTCCTACCTACATACACCATTGCCACCTTCTCCTTCTTTGTCGTTGTATTTTACCATTTCCCCCCTTCTCTTCTCTTCCCTCCTCTTCCCTCCTCTTTCCTCCAGCCGTCTCCTTCCTTTCTTGCCTTGCATCGATGTGAAATGAACGGCATGACACACAAACACAACAAACGAGGGAACGGGACAAACAAACAACAACAAACAAGCATGTTTATTAGATTTCTTTTTAGTGTTTGTCTGCAGGAGAGGACGTTTTGATTTGGAGCGACACTCCACTCAGGGACGCTAAACGTTTGGGAAGTGTGTATTGAGCGTTCACCATCTGATCCTCTCTCGGCGTTTAAAAGAAGGGAGAGGGGGGTTTCCCCTTCTCACACTCAATCATCCCTAACCCTATCCCTCTCGCACTCCTTATTCCTCTTTCTATTTGACCCAAGAGCGAGGGAGAGAGAGAGTCGCAGCCACCAGGGAGAACGGGATGGGATGGATGCACCTACCCTAATTTGTACTTCGCATTACGCAACCTAATTTACTAACGTTTTCTTTCTATTCATGCACATGGTTCGTTTTGTGCTCATTCTCATTTTGGAATAGACGGTGTTGGCGGTCGCGGCCCTGGTTTTGAATTGGGAGGTCCCAAGCGTATACCTCAAGATCTTCCTGGTAGCGTTTGTGGTGCGCAAGTGGATTGCGACTCTCCTAATGGCAGATCGTGCTCTTTACCGACTCCCTCTTAATCTTACGGAACCGGATCCTGATATTGACGAGGAGCGACATAACGGAGTTGCCATCTAGTACGTCCTGAGTTTGGCTACGAAAGTACGATATGCGAGGTGTTAATGAGGTCAACACACTAACTTCTTTCTTTCTCTTGTTAATCCTTTGCTAGTATGAGTCACTTGTTTACGTGGCATGGATATGCGATGCTTATCTTTGGACAATTCTACGTCCTCTTCTACGCGTCATCCAACTACCTCTCCGCATACCCGATCATCACAGGAGTCGCATTATGGTTCGCGTGTATTGGCCTCGTCCCTTTTTTCGCCTTCCTCTCACTCCTCCTCCTCATCCTCCTCTTCCTCTATTTCTCGTATCTTGTCATGTACCTCGCGTTTTGGCCACTCAGTTACTGGGGATTGGTGCAGAGGCAGGCCATCAGTCGGATGAATGGAGGGTACCAGAGTGAGGGAACGACTAATACTACAGATCTAAATCAAGTTGAGAGGTCGTTGGAGGATGCGGAGAATGGTCGTGGGGGTGGGTTTGGAGCAGTGGAGAATTTGAAGTTGTCGCCGGCGATGATGGCCATACCGATTGTTATTTACAAGAAGCCTGGTGGGCGACCTGTCATGACTTCTCCCTCTGCGGTCGCGGCCATGACTGCTGCCAATCTTACCAACACCAGTTCTGGACAACAACCACAGCAGCAACAGGATCAAGTCGTTGTGACAGGAACTCGTCCAGATGGAGATCGACCTGTGGCGCTGGCCATGCCTCAACCTCGTAGATGCGGATACGGTAACGGACGTGACACCCAAAACGATGTACTCAACAGGATGTCAGCCAATCTTTCGATTATCTGCAGCACTCCTCCTGTTCCATCGTACGCAAGCTCTAGGCATGGACGGTCCCGATCTTCAACGACCACTGGATCGGTGTTGTCGTCCAACATGCCCTCTATTCCCTGTACGTCGTCCGGGCAGGTGCAGGAGATGACAGAAGTCGACACGGCTCGTCGGCAAACTGCCTCACCAATCGTCCCTGCATCCACACCGCTTCAAACTATACCCTCCTCGGCTACTACTGCCAATTCAGGATTTGGATCTGGAACTGGAACAGTTGCACAGGCAGCTGTGACAGACACTGCTGCTGGAGCTGGAGGGTACCCGACGTGTGTATCTGAGGTCGTGTTCCCAGAAAGACACCAACGGAATTGTAACACCGGCCAGGCCAGCAACAACACCAGCAACCACAGCCTCGCCGCCTCGCACTCCGAAACACCGTCGGCCCGTGACTCAACCCCTACGACCTCAACGCCTGTCCCAATAGCACTCGCTCAGCCCGCAATCGCATCTCTCCCTGCACCGCTCAGCATCGGCACACTTTCAGCCACAAGTTCCAAGACCTCCTCGCCCTTATTATCGCCACTGGGATCAGTTGCCGCCTCCGTTGCCGTCTCCATTGCCGAAGAATCCGATGACCTCCCCCAACCCCACCAGACTCTGCAGGCACAGGAGGTACAAGCGCAAGAAGAGGAGTTCAACAACGGCGACCAAGAATGCGCCATCTGTCTCTCGGACTTTGAAGACGGAGACGAATTGCGACACTTGTATTGCAACCATCTGTTCCATCGCAATTGTGTTGATCGCTGGTTGGTCAGGAACGCGTTCTGTCCGAAATGTAAACGTGGCATCTAGGTTTCGCGTCTCGGAGTACGTCATTTTATTTCTTTCTCTGCCACTTTTTTTTTTTACTATATACATAGCACACGCACACATTGCACTTACTCTTCACATGTACAAAACAACGCCACAAAACACCGAACAAAAAGATAACAATACGATTAATTGTATAATAGCAAAACTGCACAATTTTATATAAAGAAAAAATTGGGAAGGAAAAAAAACCCGCGATACGTACATTCAATTGGTATGCGCTGATGTAAAGATAGCTACTCTTTGCTCACTTGGGTATGCGTGGGTAGGTAAGGCGAGAGTCCCGATTTGTTGCTCCTGCTCCTCACGACTCCACCACCATTAAATCCCTCCATGCCTCTCTCGTCCTCCCCCTCCCCCCTCCCCCCACATTTCCAAATCCTCATCCTCGTCAACTAGCCCACCCCCATTCTCCTCAAATAGCTGGTTCTGCTCCTCCTCGGAGAAATCGTTAAAGTCTGAAAAATCGCTCTGATCCCCTTCGCCCTGCTCATCCTGCTCGCAGGTCCTCCATTCGTCCATTTCGAGGTCCAATTCGAGGCACTCCTGTCGCTGTCGTCGTTGTTGTTGTTGTTGTTGGGTTTGACGATGGTTGAGAGCTAGATCTGTACGTTCGCAAATTTCGTCTCCGACATTTGGACTGGTATTACAGTCAGGAACATGAGCAGCACCCTGCTCATGGTTGATGTTGGTGATGTTATTGTTGAAAGAATAAGAAATAAACAAGAAATGTTCCTGTTCAGGACTGGGCTCTCTTGGCACTAATGGTGGTAATTGTGGTGAAGGAAAATAGTCCCCAGCATCGTCATCATCATTGTTGTTGTTAGCTTCTTCCTGCTGCTGCAGCTCCTTATTGGTTCCTTTTCCTTCGTCCTCGTTCTCCGAATGTTGTTGTTTTTGGTGTGTCGACCATGGCTCACGGGCGTCGTTGCCGGTCATGCTTGTTGCTCTTGGTTCTCGCATCTCAGCGTTAGCGTCGGTATTGTTGGTGCCGTTGGGGATAGGGATAGAGGGGATCAAGTCGCGGCGAGGTCCTATCCGTGTGGTGGTCCTAGACTTTGTCGTCCCATTCATGACAGTCTTGTAGGCTATAGCCTCGAGCGCCGTTTCGAGAAGTAAATGCGTATTGCCTTGAGGAACACTCGAATATTGCCTTCGTATCCTCTATTTCACACGTATCCCCCCAGAGGAATGAAAAGAAAATGAAAGATCATTAAGGATAAAGACGATATAACCATTGAGCTATGCGAATAGGGTCGAAGCATATGTAAAAAAGGGTTACCTGGATACTCTGGGTCATGGAAACCTTCATCTCAGGACTGTTCGCATTACGATAGATCCCCAACAACGAGAACACGATCCGTCTGTTATCTCGCATCGTGTTACAGAACCATCTTATCCGCCTGGAGGAAAAAATTAGCGGATGTCTCTGTGCGAGGGCGAAGAGGACTCTGTCGAGACCTGTCATCATTGCCATTGTTTCCAGTGAGTGTCCATTTGGGGTGATGCTGTTTGGGTCGAGGCTAGTGGTGCCGAGCTGTGAAGAGAGGCGGGTGTAGAGGATAGTTAAAGAGGAGGAGGTGGACGTCCAGTAGAAGTCGAGGGTAACGTGTTTGAGGACGGCTTCGGCAAAGTGTGGCCCTGTTGGTGGCAGATCATTGGTTTGAACGTGTAGCCAAACTTCTAACGACGTGTGAAGGTAAGGTTTTGGAAAAATTGGGGGCGACATAAAATAAAGAAGTAATGAGCATACAGAGGATCAAGGTTTAAGCTGTTTAGTGCAATTCTGACTTTGGCAAATGCAGAAAACAAGGATACTGCTGAGTTTCGAAAACGTACTATTGCTTGGAGTTGTGGAGTTGTGGGAGACTTCTGGCTCTATCCGTGAGACGCCGTACGAGTGCCACCTGGGTATTGGATGGTTCTACACATCCAGACATCAACAAAAAACGGAAAATAAGCAAAGCAGCGTAGCCAAACACTTCAGGGTGGCATGAAACGATAAACCAGGTCTCTCTCCTGTTTCCTTTCCTTTGTCCCACTATCCAACCATCCGCCTTCTCCCCCCCCCTCCTTATTTCGGCTGCGCTCCAAGTTCCTTCCCCTTCGGTCAGCTCAGCTCACCTTGACAACGTCGAGTGTAGACAAGAAAGGTTGCCCCTGAACCACAGAAGATGTCACCTTTATGCCGTTGATGAAGTGATTATGCTCGACGTAGACACGACCATCCTTGACTCGACAAGGGATGCACGACTCAGTCGGCCTAGGAGAGGGGTTAAGAGGTGATGGAGTGGCGTTGGTGCTGAGGTACTCTATGACTTGTCGACAGTGGATCCGTAGTTCGAAGGCGGGCTCTAAGATGAAATCGAGAGTCAAAATTATCTGTTGGTTAGGGGGATCGATGGCGTCCTTGTGAATGGCATTTTAAGACACGATAATGATGCAGATGCCTTTTTGTGTTACCATTCATCACAGGAAAGTTCGTATTCTGTTGCTGGCACCTACTTGCGACGACAGGCTGATCCACGATCGTCACTGGCACTTGGTTATTGTTGACAGCAGCAGGGGTAGCAGCTGACTGTGCGATGTGGGCTGGACATTGACACTTTCTCATGGCGAGCCAACTTGAACAGACTACTACGTCGAATGGAGGGAGACTGAATTCGACTCCTTTTATGTCGCCCATCGTACCTGTGATCGTGAGAGGTAGTCTCTCTTAGTACTCAAGCCTTGTTCTCCTTGTGCATGGATTGTGAGGCTCCTTTTTCATGTTTGCCACCAATTTTGATATTTGTGCCAGAAAAAGACGAAGAGTTTAGCAGGATGTCTCCTTCGTCCTGGACGTAACAAAGCTTTACCTCTGTCTGTTTGGATCGAGTGCTTTTGTAATTTCCTTGTTGCTGTTCTTGAAGGGTCCTGCTGCGTCCTTGCATTGCCTCATGGCTTGCGGTGGTAAAGAACAGAACAAGAGAGAAATTGACACTTTGTGTGATCGACAGAAAAAGGGCAGTCAAACAAAATACCCCTTAAAAATGATTTTCGTATTGCCACTCCTACCCGTTGTCTGTCTTGCATTTTTTGCCTTTTGCATTGCCATCTTCGCTTCTTTACTCCTCTCTCCCCTTCCTCCCTTCCCTTCCCTTCCTTTCCCTTTCCTCTAACCCCATCCCCCATCCCGCTCCCTTCCTCCTCCTTTCTCGTTTGGCCATCTCGCACCCTCTTCCTTCCTCAATAGAAAAGAGACTCTCATCCCCGTTGTATCATATCCCTTTTACCCCGCTCTCTCGTCCTGTCCACCTCGCCAACGCTTCGCTCCTTCCCACTCTCTCCTCTTCCTGTCACGATAGCAGCCTCTTGTCGCCTCCTTCCACTGCTCTCGTTCTACTCAACACTACTCATCGTCGCTCTCCCTCGCCTCAAAGACTTTGTCAACAGTCTCACCGCTACTCTTCCTGCCAGGACCCCCAGCCCTCCCTTGACCGCTGCCACCAACGACACTAAAGTGCCACCATCAAAACTACCACTACCACTACCACACTACCACAACCTCAGCCCAAGGCCGCCACCGCCATATGGGTCGCCCTATCAGCCGCGACTTTGAAGGCGAGCTTGTTCTCAAGTTTAAAGCCCTGTTTGACAAAATCGTCGACGGCGTCAATAAGGAGAATGTAAGGGGATCAATCACTTCTTTTTTGCTTGGGTTATCACGGAAGATATATGTTGTCTTTTTCATTGATTGTTTTTCCTTGGTGCTGTTTTCCCTTGCCTTCCGTGTTCTTCCCACTGCGCCAAGTGTCGTTGTTGTTGTTCCCTCCCTCATTCCCTCTCCCTCTTTCCCAATTATAGGATGGGAAAACGGAAGGGGAAGGACTGTGCAAAAAAAAAAAAATCACCACAATCACACACCCATGTCCATAACCCCACAGACACAAGCACGAGCAGACAACTAAGAAAAAGGCACACAAACACTAACCCAAAAACAAAACTTTATATGGCACTTATTATTAGCCTTCATATCCGTTCGATTTTGAGCGGTTCGTCGATTGCTTCAACACCGACGACTACATCACCAAGCAGGTGTTTGAATACCTCGTCAAGGAGGCTGCACGCAGCTACAGACGAGCCAACCCCTACGACCGGATCCCGCCCTTCCCTCGGCCGCCAACTATCCATCACACTGCCTCGTCTGTCGCACCAGGCGCAGGAGCAGGAGGCGCATCCTCACCTTATACCTCGCTTTCTTCGTCACTCTCTTCCTTGGCCTTTGACAACCCACAACAACAACACCACGATCGAGTCCACAGTGACGCTTCTCAGAGCGAGGGCGAGCAAGCAGGTGTCTCTAACACAGGAGTCAGGACAAGCACAGCCGTTGACTCTCCGACCGCTGCTACGACTGCGGTGCGAGGAGGATTACAGCGATCATTGACTCCAAATTCAACAGCCGCACCCGGAAGCTCGTCACGCACAGGAAGATTCCACAGACCCTGGGATCAAGGAACCACAGGACCCGACCTTGAGATCCTGACTCAGATGTTCAACCGATCAAGGGAACGGCGCTCAAGGGAACGGACAGGGGCCTCTGTTTTGGGATCAAGACAGAATCCCCTGCTGGAAATCGACAACTCGGATGACTCGGATACCTCGGATGATTCGATCTACGAGAGCCTTGCCCATACACGATCGATCATGGGAACCATGCACGACTTGGACCCTTCACCAACTCATAGCCCGGGAAGAAATACGTCGCAATCGATAGCCAATCGACAGAGTAATTATATTTCGTCTACACAGCCGTATCCTCCACTCTCGGCTTCGCCATCGTCACCGACCACATTTGCGTCGCCACCTTCGTCCCACTCTCCCTTTTCACCGCCGTCCTACTGGGATTCATCGACGGCAGTCAGAGCTGATAGGTTGCAGCGGATGTCTCGGTATGTTTTCGATGACTCTGGGATGGCACGACTCCGACAGCCGGGATATAATAACTCCTTCCGACAAAACTGGAGACAGCATAACCGCCGTCTTGAAAGGTATCGGGCATCAGCTTCCCTTCTCGACACCTTGTCTGGAACAGGAGGAGCAGGAGGCCAAGGTCAATTCTCGTCTTCGTCCGTTTTGCCAGCACAGCCTTCGACGGCGATTCCATCTTTGAGCCGTAGGCCTGACCAATCAATCACTACAACCTCAGCCTCTGGCATTCCTGGAACGTTGAGAAGTGGACGACGGTTGTCGGATCCTATGATTACCAGTCGTTCAGAGTCTCTCTCTTTTTACTCGGGACTTGACGCTGGACGAGGTGCACGGGAATTTCTCGCTCAGCCAGAAGAGGATCGGTACACCAGTTTCGCCGAGGCTTCTCGCAGAGGAAGAGCCGCTCTGCGATCGGCAGCCATTTCTCTGGAGGCAACAATGGATGCTGCACGTGTAATCCGGAATCGTCGATACGGGTCAGAGGGATCTGTAGTTGAGGCCTCTTCTTCGTCATCAACCTCTGCACTCTCGACAGCCCTTGTGGCACCAGTGCGTTCGACCCCGACTGCAGCCTCGGCGCCTACTGTGCTTCTGGATGAAAACTGTGAGCCAGGAGAGACAGCATCATCGTCATCGGCGACGACAGGAGTGGCAAGGCCTGAAGAGGAGACAGTGGTGGCGAGTCTTTCAGTGGCAGCACCGAGGGAATCAGCAAGTGGTCGCCAGCCATCGATGACACCCACACGTCCAGACTCGCCTTACCCAACTGTTGACAACATCAGAGCAGACTCGCCCTATCCTGAGGGTAATGTCTAATCACCTCCTTTGTTCCCTTGAATTTGATGCACTCTCACATCCACTCTTACTTCTGGATGGATTGGAAAATAAAATGAAGTGAAGTGGAGCACACGCGCCTTTTTGAGGAGGCCATTGTTTCGTTCATTGTTCATTTCGTCTATTGTTCTTGTGTATTCTTGGAATAATAGGAGGCATAAAGTGGATGAAGAGCAATCGAGACTTGAGAGCCGTGGGTCCCCCCTGGACAGCCATTCAGGAGCAACGTTCTTGGGTCTACATGGCCCTTTTTTTTTTTTTTTTTTTTTTTTTTTTCTTGTAGCAAGCACTTTGCTAGGTTTGGACTCTTTATTCTCGTTCGGTTATGAATGTAATCTCTGCCGCTACATTGCACACATTCAAAGTCATGTAGCTAGTGAAAAAAACAGGAAGACGTTGTAAGGGTTTTCTAAGTTGCGATTCGTCAAGAGAGGGAGGGGTGAGAGATCTGGATAATACTCAATCCCGAGGAACAGTGAAGACTAGCCTGTCATTTTTGCTCTGGCACTGGCGCTAAAGGGACGCCTCGCCCGGAACTTCACCAAAACTCGGAAAATTCAAAGTCCGGCCAATAGGCCGTCATCCACCAAGCCTCAAGTCAGCCCATCGCACCCTTAGTCTCAATAACCAAGACAGATCCTCGAAGAACCCTCAACTTGGTCCACGCCACCCAAAAGATCCAAAAGCCCCCCCCCCCCCCGGTCGATCCGAACTACCATCAGCACCACCCAATGTCCAACGTACTGGCCACACAATACTCTTTGCGTATTCTCGCCAGGAACATATCGGTCGTCGAGTCTCTCCACCTCAGCTTGACAGAGACTGTATATTTCCTAAAGCGCCGTCGTGCCTTCAGCTTGGGATATGAGACTTCAGTCGCAACCGAGACCACCTCACCTCCACGAGTGTTCGCTTTGCCGCTCTTAACCAAGCTGACCGAGTCGTCTCAAGCCAAGAAAAAAATGACAAGTCATCCCTTTGCTATCTTCCCACCACCTCGATCTCCACTAGCACTATTACCACCTCCACCATACCCTTTCCCGAATTCTTGGCGATGACTTGTCGCTTGTTGAAGATGAGCCCTTATCTGGTCAGGATCATAGTCCATCGTGTCTTGATCAGGAGCCGGGTCGAGATCAGGGCCTGTGGTTAGCATGATCGCTGGCCTCTCAAGTTTGGAGGAGCTGGATCTGCTGCCGCAATACACTCGCGAGATTCGCTCTGGGCATGGCCCGCAATGGGTCGTTCGACATCTTCTGGATCTGCCCGGTAACTATCCGCAAGTGTCTGGTCAGGACTTTGTTCGACCACTCATACACGTTGTGGAGTGTACATGGCGGTGATGCCCTTGTGCTGATGGTGTTCGATCTGGAGGTGAAGACTATGGGTTGGTTCGAGACGAACAAGAGGCGTTGGGCCTGTCCAAGAAGCCAGCGTGGATTTCCGCGAGCTCCGATGTGTAGGAAAAGGTGAAGGGCCGCTGTCGACATGGTGTTAATGTGTGAATGAGAGGAGAGAACGAAATGAGGCCAATCTCGAAAGAGAGGCGAGCACCGCTTTTTATTTCGCCCACATTTGCGCGGACATCGAAATCTTTGGATATGTGGTCACAATCAAGTCAAATGTGTTTGACTGTGTATCGCATTTCCTGCCCATGATAACATTCCTTGACAAGCACAAAAGAGTCTAGATGATCCTGTTTATTGTAAAGGTATATCCGGGTACTATTCAAGGCTGGGTTCCCGATCCTTCAGGTTCCTGATTGACTGGCCGAGGAACCGACGACTTGACTATTGAATAGGCATTAGAACAAAGAAACTATGTCAGCCACTGCACACATTCCACACATTTGATCAGTTTGTCGTTAACAGCCTTGAAGCAGTAGCACGCAGAAAATTAGCTCCTCCTAGGTACCTTTTGGCATGCGCTCGTATTCGTTCAAGACTCTCTTCTTTGGCTTCTTGGGTGCACGGTGATGGTGGTGTTGGTGGTTGGGATCAGAATGGTCGTGTCCACATGATCCATCGTCCTTGTTGCTGTTGCCCTTGCCCTTTTCTGGTTTTGAGACGGGACCACCGTCCGACTCGGATCCTGAAGAGGAATCTGATTCTGAAGATGACTCGTCCGACGACTCGCCAAACTCCTTTTGCCTCTTGAAGATACAGCAGACTATTTTAAAAGTAATGAAGTGTGTGTGATTGTTAGTTCAAATTGCCCTGGATGATGTAACAATTGACAGAGCACTACGGCGAAGCCGTTTCTCGGCAGTGTGTATGGTATCAAGCTAGTGATAGTCAACTAGGAATATCGCTTACTTTTGGACTTTTTCTTATTGAGGTGCTCGTTGTCAATCACATCATCATCCCACTGAACCCTGCGCTCGGTGCCAGGGTCACCTGTGAGGGACAATACTCCGTGGGCTTGATCATCCTCGTCGGCGCTTCCTTCCTCGCTAGTCTCGGTAGCATTGATGGTTATGGTCCTGGATCCATGAGTGACAGTCTGACTACCGGCACCTCGAGTGCGAAGAAGGGAACCGACGCCGTTGCCAGGTAGTCCGTCAGCAGCAGGACTTCCTGCTGCACCAAAGACGCTGGTGACTGGTGGCCCTGGTGGTCCGTAGATGTCGTTTGTTGGGTCGTGTGATGGAGCCATGTTTTTTTTTGTTTTGTGGTTTGTCGCTTGTTTTGTTGAGTGTGGTGTGTTGGTGTTTGTGGCTGTGAGTCGGTTGGATGTGTTGGGGTGAATGAATGAATGAGTGAGTGAATGAATGACTGGATGGAGAAAGGGTTAGTTGGAAAACAGAATAAAAAACCGTTTTCATGCTTGCAGCATAAGAAGGAAAAGAAATGACTCGCAGTCACGACCACCACCTAGAGTTCAAGTTGGTCATCAAAGCTGCTAGCACGTTCCTTTTTTCTTCTGTTCTTCTGCTTTCACACCAACGGACATCACTTCTCTTCGACCTTTCATTACTCTCTGGGACCTGCATCCAGGACACATACGGCAGCCACAAACAAAACAGCTAGCTTACTTAGCCAGGAAGACACACATCAAATTACAGGGGAAACCATCATCCCTTTCACCTTATACCCAGGAACACCTCTGACTTCATCACACACAAAACGACACCATGATCTTTTCCATCTACATCATCAACAAGGCCGGAGGTCTCGTCTACAACAAGGACTATTCCGAGGGTCTCTCCAAGCTCACCTCCAACGAGTACCTCGTACTTGCAGGAACCTTCCACGGGTGAGTGAGCAGGCGTACCTTTTCAGGACTATATCAGCCCAAAGCGTACCACTACAGGAGCAGAAATCAATGAGGTCTGACCATTGTCGTTATTCCCTTTACCCTGGTGTATATTAGTGTCCATGCTATCACGTCCAAGATCTCACCTGCGCCTGGATCCAGTGGAATTGAGATGCTCGAGACCGATACTTTCAGGATACATTGCTTCCAGACCCTCACAGGTACCAATCAACTTCATCAGGCGCTGTTCAATACTCGTTTTCTGATCCTGTACCAATCAACTCACGCTTCACACTACAATGCTCAAACACGAATAGGCACGAAATTCTTGTTGGTGGCAGACCCTCAACAACCCTCAATTGACATGATTTTGAAAAAGATCTACGAGACATACTCAGACTACACGGTCAAGAACCCCTTCCAGAACCCCGAGATGCCTATCCGCTCAGAACAATTCGATGTCCACTTGTTGAAGATGGTCAAGTCGTTCAATGGACTCGTGGCCAACAACAGTAACCCCTATAACGTCGGTGGCAACGCAGGCGCTAATGCTTCCCTCCAGAGCCAACCTCATGTCCCGTCCTTGCAACCTTCGTTATCCAATATTGCCTCCTCTGGACAAGGGCTTGGTTTTTAGTTATCGGGTCATCATCGGCGAAGCAACTTGATTTATTAAATATGTTTAACAAAAAAAAAAAAGTGACGTCACGCGGGCCCGATTGAGGCTCCTTAAGCCACTTATGTCGAACTACCGCTGCAGCTCAGAGACTGATCAAGTATAATCGACAGCACAATCATTGTCAGCTTTTTACACCTTATCCCACTACTTGCCCACACACAACAAAACGTCGTCAAGATGAAGCTGGTTCGGTATGGCAACATCCCATTGGCCTACAGGGACCCACGCTACAAGGAAGACCTGACCTCAGCTTACTCGATGCACTGCATCCAGGCTCGCAACCAACAAACCCTCGCACCTCACCAGCAATCAATGAATAAACAGCAGCAACTACGGCGGACATCCGCGCTTCAGGATAACCACGATGTCTATGCGACAACGACATCACAGACCCCCTAAAGAACGAATCGCCATGGACGACAAGCTCATTATTCGACTCTGGAACCACAGTGTTTGTTGCAAGAGGATCATAGCAGTCAACGACCATGAAAGCAGATCAGCGCCACTAACTCCTTGTTTTTACGCCTCCCCTCGTTCACCTTATCTATATTCTATAACAATAATAGTTTTCTCATGAAGCTCAACACCGAGACTGTCACAGTCGAGCTCAAGAACGGTACCATTGTTCACGGCACAGTCACAGGTACGCTCAGGAACTCCATTCTGCAGGAGCATAGCAACCACTTCCAACATGCTTTGACGCGCCACGTCTTTGATCCAATCGCAATCGATCCTAACCATACAAAACGTTGCCATATTACTAATAGGTGTTGATATGAGCATGAACACACATTTGAGAGCTGTCAAGATGACGGTCAAGAACAAGGATCCCGTCAGTCTAGAGTCGTTGAGCATCCGTGGCAACAACATCAGATACTTTATCCTCCCCGAAAACTTGCCACTGGACACCCTGTTGATCGACGATTCACCCAAGAGCAAATCCAAGAAGAAGGCTGGTACGTACTTTCATCTATTCCCTTGTCGTGGCGCATTTGTGGCTTTAATTATGGATTTACTGGGATGTGGTTCGTCGTAACTTTCATACTGACATGCTGCCGCTTTTTTTGTTTGTTCGTATGAAGTAGGATCGTCGGGACCAGTTTCAGTGAGGGGACGCGGTCGTGGTCGTGGTGGCGCAAGAGGCGGCGGCCGTGGTCGTGGCCGTGGAGGCCGCCCTTAAAATACAGTTGGCGACTGATCAGGAAGGATTGTGACAACTGAACCACACGGAGGCAGGGGATGCGATATGGAGAATACTAGCTAGGTTTTCTGGACTTTCATTAAATGCAAACAACAAAAAGCAACAATCGCAGCAGTACGCAGGAATGTGTTTGGGGTCGGGCAGCATCAAGCAATTGCTGGCTATCATGAAGGTGCATTTTCAGGAATAAGAAGTGCTCTCCTCAGGTCTGCCTTAACTGATTGTTCATGTTTTTCAGTCTTGAACGATGATCGTGTGACTGCTGCAAGCATTTTCATTTTTTTTTTCTTGACAAGGGCCATAGCTCGCAGAGATGCATCCTTCAACCAAGACAAGAACCGCCATGGCACAAAACTCTGTCAAGTTGACAGATCTGTCCGACCAGATTCTCCTGCGGATATTCTCATTCGTCGCTACTATCACCACCAAACATGAACCCACTGCTGATGTCACACCCTCAGAACAAGATCCATTACACCAGGACCACCCAACTTCGACTTTCGACAGCGCAACAACAAACCCCAACAAACCAGAAACCAAAAAGAAGAACGCTCAGAAAAAGAAAAAGAACCGCGTCGCGGGATTGGGCGCTAGAACGTTATGTCGACTGTGCTGCTGCAGCCAACGGCTGAACCATCTGGCTTCGGCTGATCAGCTGTGGCAAGAACTTACGCTGACGCGGTTCCCCGACCGGCATTGGCCTACGACTGATCAAAAAAACCTCGATATGATCCGTGTTCGGAGGGAGCATCAGTTGAAGCTTTTGGCGCCTTCGACAAGCTCACTAAACCATCAGGGGTCTCCGGCGCAGGATGAAGAAATGAGTGACGGGACGGATCAGCAGCAGGATCAAGAGAGCGGTGACCGTGACGAGGAAGGTCAGAATAAGAAGCAGAAGAGGACAAAGTTCTACTCGCGTTTTGAACAACGTGCCCATCGCCGCAAGTTTGCCTCGCTCGACCCAGAACTCCGATACACTCCCCTTGCATGGACAAATACCTTCTGGACATGGAAGCGGACTTTCTTTGGAAACTGTCGCTTCGTCGAGTCCAAGGACGTCAGCACGCCAAATCGAATTGGTAGGTGTTGCCGACAATGCGTCCTTCAATGCTTCAGGACATCCTCGTATGATTTGGTACTAACCGTTATCGCTTCTCCTGTTGGCTTTGTAGATCATGCTGTGCACAGGAACAATTTGGATGAGGCGCGCGAGGAATGTGGGCGTTGCTGGCGGCCGGTTCGGTCATGTATCTGCTCGGCACTGACGACCCAACTCTACTGCAATTGTCGAGTCAGGATCATGATTCTTCAGCACCCAAGGTGTCAAGTGAGCATTGGAACGATCAGGATTCTAAAGACCACATTCAAATATTGTCAAATTGTCATTGGCAAGGACTTTAAAACCGGGCGATCCTTAGGTAAAGCACACATTATCATATTGGTTACAGGCATTATGGCATTAACAATGGTTGAGAGGTTTAAAGGTAACGATCCTGATGCGGCTTTTGTTATTGTTCTAGAACTGGACCAGGCACTGGATGATTCTAACTGTACACCACTGCTGCTGTACCCCAGTCATGCCGCTGTCGATATCAAGACATTGGTGTCAATCGACTCTTCAAACGTAGCACCCTCGACACGGTACTTCTGCGAGGGTTGCACCCATCCTCACGAATCTACACCAATTGAGACAGGAAGCAAAGATCAAGACCAAAGCAACAACAACAACGAGTCGCCATCGCCGTACCCCTACAAGTTGATCATCGCTCTGGACGGTAGTTGGTCCCATGCCAAGATCATGTACCGCTGCAACCCCCGGTTGCAGCAATTGACTCAGATCAAGTTCCCCAACCCACCGCAGTCGATCTACCATGAGCTCAAGCCTGAACCCAAGGTCACATATACTTCGACTGCTGAGGCAGTAAGTCAAGCGGTGGCACTTCTTGGCTGGCCTACGGATCCGGCAAGCGAATCGTTAGCGAATTCGGCCATGTCTGATGCTCACTTGCTTCATGAGGATATTGTTCGCCCTCTCAGGAAGATGATTGAGATCCAGGATACAATCCAGGACCAGCAAAAGGACCAACAGCAAGTCGATAGCGATGCGTCATGACAGAAAGGAAAGACTTGGTGACGGTTCTGATCCCTGCGACCAAATACGAAAGTAAGGAAGTGGGAGTTTGTTTAAATATTAAATAACGCGTTCACTTTTTTCATTTTATTTGTGTGACCCATGTTGAACGCATTCTTTGTGGCGCAAAGGGACTTTTTAAGGTCTTACCATTTTCAAACTTCTTTTTTTTTTACTGAATGCAAAAGCAAAATAAACACAGGATGGGTCACCTTTTTGTTGTTGTCATCGACGTGGGAGCATGCCATTTCGAGTTCGATATTCCTGGAGACCTACCTTACTTTTTTTTGTACACACGAGGGTTTATCACCATGCTTGAGTCTACTGTATTGGTATGTAGGACGTTTCCTTCTTAATTTTCAGGTACCCTGGTCAAATCGAGGTGTAACTCGATTCCTGGGTACCACTTGATCAGCAAACAAGACATCTTCGCCCTTGATGAGCTCGTCCTGTCCAACGCGACCTTTACATTTCTAGCAGCTGCGCTCTTTGATTTTATTTCTTTGAAGTGAATAAGTACTGCTACATAAATAACATCACTAACATTCTTTTTTTCTGCTTACTTGCTCGAATATGCAAGAATAAATACACGGCTAACCTAAGCTTTGAAATGTCTACCCTCAGATGTTCGCAAAGGTATGTCCATGACTGGTCGCCAACCACTGACCTTTCTCCCCCGTTCCTCGTTCTGATCAACAGATTCGGCGCCACTAATCTTTTCTCTTGCGCATTGAATCACGTGCACTGGATCAAACCTGACCACTTGGCCCTTTTCCGAGCGAAGAACGAGGAGCCTTCTTTCTTTCATTTCTTCACAACACATTCATTACCACAACCAACGATAAACAGCAACAAACATGAGTAGCCGTTACTTGATGCTTATTGGAGCGATCCCCGTCTGCTACTTTGCAGGCTACGCATACCGCGAGTACAAGGATCCCGATCAGTCCATGACCGTATGACCCATGTCACTCACTTATGGCAGCACAGGAGGATATACACCTTCAGACAAGAGAAACGCAACTAACGACTGTTCACACATAATCAAACTCATAATTAGACATTGAACCGGAAACCAGAGACGCTGTCAGATAGCTTGTAGGAGACCCACTCGCATGGGCATCCCTATTAATTATTTCCGCTTCCTCTCTACAGATCATTCTAACGCTTATGCTTTTTTCTTTGCCCTTTTGCAAAATAGGCTGGAGAGCAGGTTGCAGACATTGGAAGAATCAAAGAAGAAAGTGTTGACACAACTCGCAGAACTGGAGGCACATCGGGAAAAGCTGCAGACGGTGTCCAAGGGCGTGAATACGAATATTCCTGGACGTCTGTGGTAGATCATTCGATGTTCGTCGTAACTTTTGAGGCAGGAATAAGAAATAAACAAATGGGTCGATCAACGACAGAAGGGTATAGGATTGACGGTGATATAGAAGCATCGGAATGAAGTGAGAAATGAGAGAACAGAGAAGGTGTTAGGATCAGCAAACAGACCCCCCCCCCGTCGAGAGGGGAGAAAAAGGGAGCGAGACGGGATCAGGAACAGGATGCAAGAATGACAGGACCTTCTTCTTGTCAATTTCAGTTAGGATGAGTTTGGAGCTTTCCTCAACTACTTTCGCGACACACCAATATGCGTGCGACAGAGACTGAACAGGAGTGGATTGGATCCAGACGCACACAGTTCCAAAATGCCAATTAAATGCCAGTTGTTTTTGGTGGCGCGCATCGAAGCAAGCCTTAGCCCATGTCGTCTTTCAGGAAAATACATCAAAAAACGACGCGGTTGCGAAGTTGGGAGGCGTATGCATTTATCACCGATAGACTCATCTTTACTTTTCCTAGCAAACAACTGCGCTGTGGGGAGTGATGGCACTGATGCAGATCATCCTGAACCTCGCGGCACGGAACCTGTCACCTTTCTCCTTCTTCCTTTTCCTCCTCGACTATTTCAACACTCAAAATCATTCTCGTCACTTTCCCTTCTTCTCTCTTCTCTTTTTTCTCTTTCCTTCTTCCTCTTCCTCTTTCCTTCTCTCGTCTCTTCACCCTCTGCCACCCTTCCCACCCACACACTCAATACCAACCATACACACACACCTACAAAAAACCAGCTATGCAGAACAGCCCTCTCAACTACACCCCCTCGGGCACAGTCGAAGAAGCCCAGATGATCTCTTGGACCGTCGATACCAAGCAACCCTTCCCCATCCAGGGGCCCTTCTATAACCTTGCTGGGTACCTCTTCAAGCCTACTCTCAAGCGCCTGGTAAGCACTAAAGGCAAAATAAAAAAATAAAAACGACACGAACGAACCATCGCCTTGGTTGTTGTTGTTGGCATAGAAGAAAAGCCTTTATTTCAGGGCACGATTCTTGTGTGACACAAGTAATTAACCACTTTCGCCCATTTTGTCCCAAATAACGAAACAACACACCAGAACCCGAAAGCACCACTCGACCTCGAGATCGAACTGATGTCGTCCGTGAGCGCAACGACGCCTCTGCAAGTCGGTGTGACCGTCGAGACCATGGCCCCACCTGGCGAGAAGACCCTCATCCACAGCCACCAGTGCCGGACTGCATCGCTCTCGGACCGCAACCGTACTATCGGTGAGTTCCCTTTTGCCTGCTTACATGCGTATGTTTCGCTCTGCTTTGTAATGTTGAGGAAAGCGGTGGGTGATATGGTGATCATAGTGAAAGGTCTTTCTTTTGATCAGTGCCGATGCAACTGATGAAAGCTAGAAATACAAAAATATGCCGCAGTACTAACATAACCACCTCCCACGCGCTCTACCCCCTACCATAGAGGTCAAAACAATGATGACCCACGACCGCTGGGAAGCCTCCAAAGGCCTCCGGATCGAATTCACATTCGACCCCATCCAACGCCAAAGGCCCCGTTACGACTGGCTATGGAACTCCTCTTCCACAAAGGATGTTGAGATCCGGTTCTCAGACCCGAAGGTGGCTCCTATCCTTGTCCACAAGGATCTGATTCTTGAGGCGTGTCCTAAGCTTGTTAACTTTGTTCAGGTTGTTAACCCTAACAGCAATGCTGCGGGGGGTGATGGTACTGGAGTGGGCGCGATGGCGCAAGGTCAGGCACCTACGCCACCCTCGGCACGCTCGTCGCGTCCTGGGTCACTTGCTCCAACTACGTCACCTGTCATATCGCCTCAAGTGAATCCAACTGCACGCGAGCATCAGCGATCCGGACAAGAAAAGAACCTCATGTCCATGGACGAAAGCCCAGATACCTCCTCCCTCTACCGCTCAACGGCCAGCTCATTTGTCAACATCTCGCGAGATCCTTCCGTGTACACGTCATCGGGAGACGATATGTCGATGACCGGGTCGAACAGCGGCGACAAGTCGCTCAGACGTTCAAAAGATACCCTGCTTGAGAAAGCATATGCTGGCGAGCGTAGAGCTCTTCTCTTGGCGCGTGGCGGCAACGATGGTCTCGACTCGGACCAGGAAGACGACAAGCAACTGACCCGTAAGGAAAGGAAGGAACAGAAGCGAATTGCTCGCGAGCAGCAGAACGCTGCTGCTACTACGTCTGACACTACCTCGTCGACAGATGTCGCGCAAGTTAAGACTGAGGACGACCTGACCCACGAGGAAAGGAAGGAACAGAAGCGACTAGCTCGCGAGCAGAGGAAAGCGGCTGCTGTAGCGTCTGGCACTTCCTCGTCGACAGATACCACACAAGTTAAGTCTGACGACGACTTGACCCATGAGGAAAGGAAGAAACAGAAACGACTTGCTCGCGAGCAGCGGAAAGCGGCTGCTGCAGCGTCTAGCACTACTTCACCGACAGATGTCACACAAGTCAAGACCGCCGACGACCAGCGAGAGCGCAAGGTGGAGCTCTTTGCCAAAGAGAAAGAAGCCAAACGACCGGCTCACCAGCAAGAGCGCGAGAAGACCCCCCATTCGCCTCTGACCCATACCACCCCTGGTTTCAAGATCTCCTCGACCACAGCTCTCCACCAGCATCAGATGCAACACCTGCAGCTCCAGCGACAGTTAACCACTGGCAACAACTCTCCATCTGTCTCTGTCAGGCGCCGCCCGGAACGCGAGATCTGGCACTGGCCAGCTCAGCTGCACCCAGAAATCTGCACAGCCATCATCCGTTGGATCTACTATGAAGAAGTCCCCACTCATTTTTCAGGCAGCAACTACCCCCTGAATGTCATCGACCCCTTCCTCGACACCTTCCACCGCCTGGACCTCCTCATTCTCTTCCAAAGCTTCCTCACCACCCAACTCTCTCTCATCGAAAAAAACCCCAGCCCAATGTCGTTCTGGATATTCGCAGAACTGGCCAAACAAGGCGGGATGGTCAACCGGTTCTTTCGGCCCGTCATTGTCAAGTCTACAGCAAAGAACTTGCGCCGCATTGTCTGGTTACCAGAGTTTGGAGAGGTCATGGGAGGGGTCGATCCGTCGGGGATCTTTCGAGAGGCCCTTGCGGGGCAGCCGTCGCCGCTCGCGAGAGAATGACTTGCCAAAGTCGCCGCCGTCCGGTGGGCGTGGAACAAGGCTACCGCTACCTGGACAGGGAGATCGAGATCAAATCAGTTACGCCGCGAGAGTTGCACTGACTTCAGTACTGAATACTCCAGCATCACAAGCACGAACACCAGCAACACAGACACGACCAGCAGTTACAGAACCACGAACAACAACAACAATACCACAAACAGCAACACCACCACACGCAGCACCCAGAGAGTCAACTTCAACACCGACAACAGGAACAGCAACGGAGGGTTGGATCCAACAGAGCCATCATCGGAAGAGGCAGAGGAACATGCACGGTCAAAAACATCATGGTGGCGGCGATGGTGGGTGTCGTCATTGGCGCCACACATGAGGATGCGACAGTCTGTCTTAGCCACTTTCTGGTCATTCCTTAAGAGCCCTTTCAAGTATAGTGACGACAACAGCAACAACTAGGCGACATAGGCGAAATACAATACTCGCAATAAACAAAACAATTGACTGAAAGGTAGTGTTTTTTTTTTTTTTTTTTTTTTCTTTTTCATTTGGATTTACAATGGTGGCGGTGGAAAGGTAACAAGCTAACCTAGATGCCATGATGCTTCCAGGCATGGATATCGCTGACAGGGATGTCAAACCACCCAGCATAATACGCCAGATCCGGGTCCTCCGTAAGGAGGATGAACCGGTCCTTAGGGATCCGTTGGGTCTCTTCTCGCTTTCGGAGCATGAACAGACAAGCGCCCAGGATCGGACGCCACACCCTTGGTACATTCATCACATTCCGCACCTCTACTTCGTTCTCCTCCTCGAGTTGTTGTTGTTGCTTGGCAGGGGTATCGTTGGCATCTGGGGGTTGTTGGTTGTTGGTCGTCGTGGTCTTGATGTCCGAATCTATTATGACGGTATCGCCATCGCCGTTCTCCTGCTTCTCTTGTCCGTTGGTCTCCCCCTTTCCATTCAAGCCACCTTCGCCCTTGCTGTTCGTAGCAACATGCTCATGTCCCTCCTGCTCCTTCGCCTCCGGTTCCTCCTCAACCAAATACGGCACAGCCTCACTCCACCGTCCAAGACTGTCCTTCACATTTTGCCCCACCAACAACGGTTCCGTTCGCCCCCACCTAACAATATTCAGCCAATCGTCCAGGAACCGAATCGCCTCTCTCGTCTTTTGGTTTCCCTTGTCCTGTCCCTTCTTGGCCTGATCCAGTCGGTCAATGACATCCAGCGGCACAATCAACAGACACTGCCGGTGATCCAACAACGTCTTGATCTCGTTCAGATTCCAGACCAGAACCGACATGTCCACGACACAGGTCCACCGTGGGGGACCTTGGTACTTGCTGTTGCTCGAGTTGGCGTAGAGATGGTTGTTGTTGTTATTGTTGTTGTTGTTGTTGTTGTTGTTGTTGTGGTTGGGTCGACTTGGTCTGGACTGGGGAGAATGAGCACCACCCATCTTACCGCCGCCGATGTTGGATCGCTCTTTCCGCTCCCGTTGAAAGTGGTCCGTCACGCGTGTTTGGCCGGTGGCAGGAAGCTTGACCATGGACGGAAGCATGGTGATCGGGATTTTGTTTGTGTTGTCTCGTCGTCCGCCACCATCGCCACCACGTCCAGGTTGTGCAATCCTCCGTCCGGTATCCTCTAGTCCCTTTTGAAGCGTCGTGACCTGATCCTGAAGCCAATGAGACGCCAACATCTTTGACCCCTTTTCTCTCAACAAGCGCTAAAATTCAAAACGACAACGACGCACAGTCAGCCTCTTGCACATCAAACATTGAAAGCGACTAAAAGCAATAAAGACAAATACCTTGTCGTCGGCATCCAGGACACGGTACTGTGAAGGCCTGCTCGTATCTTGATCCAAAGAGTCCGCAGCGGCACCGACAGGTTCAAAAGACATCTCGATAACAGTCCCCCGGATACCTTCGCTCGCCTGAATGACCTTGGTCGCAAAGAGTAGCAGTCGATTGAACCGCGTCTCCTCCAAATTCTCTGCTGTGTCCATACACGGCGCCAACTGCAAGTGAAAACGGCGAAACGGCATGAGTCCATAGAAATCTCCCCGATCCTGTTGCAACAGGCAGAGCGCCCTCTGTGAAGCATCATCGACATCGGGGTCGTCTGCGTGCTGATCGCGAACTATGTTGAGTATGTTGACAAAAGATCGAAAAAAGGTCACCGCTGCGGATTTGAGCGACAAGTCGGAGGACCCTGACGTGCCCGGTACACCTGCCCACTTCTCCTCCAGTCGAATCATCCCCCAAATTTGGTCCCAGTACGACATCCAGAACTCTATCAGACAATGAACAGGCGACATCAACTCCTGGTCCAGCCTAGGCAACGACGCTGCAGACTTGCCCTTTTTACGATCTCCCATGTAGCTCAGCATGAGCAGTTGGCGATCCATCAACACTGTCGCCACTCGTAAGAGATAAATGAGTCCTGCTCTCTGCGCCTGCTTCAGTCCCATAGAGCCTTCCTTGGTCGTCGATTCTGTCGGAAATGAAGAGAGTGTCGTCCTGGCATGAAGGTCATAGACAATAAAGACAATCGACGCCACCATCTTTTGCGCCGTGCTCTCAAATCCTCTGCTCGCCAACCTACTCGACAGCTTTTGACACAGTGCATCCAGCAGAGTTGAGTCGTAAAATGTTACACTATAAAAATGGAAAACAACGAAAAACTTTGTTAGTCTTACGACCAAGGCGTACTTTGTTCCGTAAATGCTCTCTCGCCAGATTGGAGAAAATGGCGCACTGGACAAAAAGTATTACCTGCGGAGGTTCGGTGAAAATAGGTCCATTTGTATCTTGATGAGCAGAACGCTCAGATCGCACCGTGCCAATGCCAATTGCTGCGCCAAATTTGTCTCGTTCTCAATTGACTCGTCTCCGTCCTCTTCGTCGTCATCCAGACTCATCACCATCGCTCCCTTGGAGTCATCTGCGTTCGGGCAAATCGAAGCGAGTAGATCCTTGAACCGATTCTGGTACCGAGAAAAAAACACCTTGAGATTGTCTCGCACAACCACTGAAGGAATCTTTGCGCCCAGACTATTGTTGTAATAAATGGTCGTATCGCCTACAGTTAGTTGCTGGTCCGTTTTGTCCTTGTTGTTGTCGACACTGAGGTTGACAGACAATCGCTCGAAAATGTATTGGACACTCACCTCAGGCAGTACCAATACAGAGCATCAATGTCGTCGCTGGCGTAGGATGAGAGAATGGCGAGTTGACCATATGGTTTCCCGCTGTCAGGGAATACACGAATGGCTCTTTGATAGAATCTAAAGGCCGCCTGCCAATCCGACGCGGATGGCCTTGACTGGGTCGACTTTGTGGTCTCCTCTCCAGTTGAATTTGATATAGCTTCGACAGCCTGTGTCTCTAACCGAATATTGGTCCTGTATCGCGCCAAGTCTCCTAGATAGATAAAGCATTTTTGGATACAGCTCGCCAGTGACTCTTTCGGGTAGGCAGGGACCAGCGAGGATACTGTTGACGATTCCTCCTTTTTGGACTGTTGTCGGTTTCGGCCATTCCTGCTACGCGGTTGCTGCTGCTGCTGTTGCTGCTGCTGTTGACTTTGTTGTTGCTGGGAAAATCGACTCGTTTCGGACGGTTTATTCCTGTTGGATGTTCCTGAATCCGCCTGCAAAACTTCGACGGCAATATTGCCGAGGTCAAGGTTGTGTTCACTGCGCAGAGCCATGATCATCTCGTGATAGAACCCAGTCCCCTTGTCCAGCAGTTTACTGAGTTCATCCATGACTTCCTGACGCCGAGAACTATTCCTCTCGAGCTATTAAACATGGTAAAAAATATTGAGGGCTGAGGTTAGTCAATGGGGGCATGCTGACAAAACAGGCACTCGCATACTTCGCATCTTTGTATCTTTCGGCGGAGAAAAGGCAATAGAGCACTGAGTTGTGCTACTTTGTTCTGAGCTAGGGTCATCTGAACGATTGTGTTTCTCCATCGCTCCAATGGTTGGTGTGCGCCCACTTTGCCATTGTTTTTCTTTGTTATTGTTATGCTCTCACATACCCCCCGAGTACGCGTGTGTGCTCTCAGACTTTTTTGTTCCATTGTCTTTCTCTGTCTAGTCTACTTCTTCGCACTCACACACTCACACAACATACCTTTCTCAGTTCCGCTCGGAGCTCTTCGACAGGCGCATAAAAAACATACCGCCACAGTCGGTCGTCAACTGATTTCTCAACTGCGGCAACTAGATCCTCGAGTAGTACAGACTCATAAACATCCTTCAGACTAAATCGACAAAAAAAAAAAGACCACGAGAGAGTCAAAGCGTACCCATTCGGTTAGTTACCACACAAGTGTACAAACACACAGCATGCATTTTTCATGACCTTGTTTGTACGTATACTGAAACCCCCAAAGCGCGGCATTTGTTGGAAACCATTTCTAATGTATCCTGTTCCATCCCTCACCAGTTTCCCTTTTCATCAAGCCTCGTGCCCCATTTTTATTCGACAATTTCCTTTACCTGTCGCGCAAGAAGGAGAGTTCCTCGTGGCCAGATCGAAAATGATTAGAGGAGGGGATCTGGAAGCCCTGCTCTTCCGGCGATGTCTGCTGCTGCTGTCGACCGCCGCCGCCACCGCCAGATCGTCGTGAAGTTGTGGATGAGACCGAATTTTGGCGCCGCTGGCCGTGATGGGAGGTCGTGGATGAGGTGTCCGACAGATTGGAGCGGCGGTGGTCATTGACGGGAGAGGAAGGGTGAGAGGTATAGGTGCTGGATCGATAGCCGACCTTGCTAGCCTCTACATGTTGTTGGATTGTTTGTTCAAGTAAGGATGCATCTCTATCGCAAGAAGAGAGACAAGAAGACGGAGTTGGTAAGTAGGTTGGCGTGGTAAGCTCGGCTATGTCGAGTTCCTGTGTCGACTGTTATGTACTCTTCCCGTCGTCGTAGTCGTGTTCTCTGTTGTTTCTTTGTCTTGCTTTTCGTTTCCCAGTAGGTGTTGAGCAGGAGAGCAAGAGGGTCATGGCTTACAAGTATAATTGTCGCACAGTCTGGATGTGATTTTCAGGAGAGAGTGTGTTGGTAGAACTTGACATCCTCTATGGCCATGTTACAGCTGAATGCAACCAGGAGCAGAGAACAGAGAAAGGCGAGGAGAAGGGTGTGAAGAGAAGAGAAGGAAAAAGAAGGAATTCGATTCTGAGGAGGAGGCGATGTGTTCCTTGGCGCTGCTGTGTCCTGGTTGTCGATGGCGGCTGATGCTGCTGTTAGAGTGGAAGGGTGTAGTTGGTTGTTGGTTGTTTTGAATCTGGTGGCAAAAAAAGAGAAGACGATGAATAAAAAGAATAAATGAGTGTAAGTTGTGTGTGTGTCTGAGAGGAAAGAAGAAAGAAAGGCGCGCTTGCCACCAGTGGGATGAACTGGAGGAGAGGAAGTAAAAAAAATTGCTCTTTTTGTCCAAATCAAACAACACCAAGTAAAACGATCACAGGTAGTCTAGGAGTAATTATTAATAACAGTTGGAACGGTCTTTCTTTTTTCTACCTTCCTTTTTTCTTTTCTTTTCTTTTCTTTTTGTTGGTGAATCTTCTCTTTTTTGCTCTCTATCCCTTTGCCCTCCCACCTTCCACACATACACTTTTCTCCTCTTTCACATAACTTCTCTCTCCCTCGTTCACACACCCTGGATGGAGCTAATCGCTGCGGCCAAGGTTACCGCTGAAATTCTCGCGGCTGCAATCGGTAAAGTGCTGATATTTTCTTCATTTTGAAAGAAAGGGTTTCCTTATATCCTCTCTTATATTTTTTTCTAACCGCTTTTTTGTCACAATTCAACTGCTTAGAAAAAGTCGTTGCCCAGTGGTCTCTAGAGGGGAAGGTAATCGGCCTCACTAGTGATCAAGGAAGCAACATAAAAAAATGCATGCGGGATCTAGGGGATACCATGGGCGCTCACTGGATGCCCTACACGTCACATATGATTCAAGGATGTATCAACAAGGCCTGGGACAACACCAAGGGTTTCGCGACGATCGCAAAGAAATGCACATGGATTTCGAATTTCTTCAACGGCAACAGCAACGCCCGAACAGTCATCAAGCGCCATTGGACAACTTACAAGAATGGACTTCTTCCTGTTGGCAGCGCCACTCTCGCCGACAATGCCCGTCCTGCCAATGGTGCCCCTTTCGCCGGCAATGTCCTTCCCACCAACGGCGTCAATCTACCAGACGATGTCCGTCCTGCCAGCGATGTCCGTCCTGTCAACGGCCCCGTCCTCTCCAACGGTACCCCTTCTGCCGACGGAGCTCTTCCTCCCATTGGTGCTCCTCCTTCCACTGGTGCCTCTCTCCCCACTGGTGCTTCTCCTGCCGATGGCGCTCCTCCTACCAGTGGCGGCCCTTCTATCAGTATGCCCTAGAGCATGGACGACGACCTTTTTTTCCTTACAGCCAACGCTACCAGGTGGAACTCGAAGTTTCATCTGGTAGAGCGAGTTTACACATATAGGGCTGTACTGGAAGCAACCGTCCAGGAGCTACAAGAGATGCGGGGTGTATCCTCGGAGGACAAGAAGAAGGTCAAGGAGTTCAAGAACCAGTTGCTCTCGGCGGAAGAATTGGATGGTCTTGGTGAAGTTATCGAGCTTTTGCGTCCAGCTACAGATTTCACCCACTGGGTGGGAGGTTCCGACTACTCAACTATCTCCCAGGTGTACGACAAGGTGCACAACCTCCTTCCGAGAGTTATCTCCTTCCAGACTGAGACGGCACAAGACATGCATTTGAAACTGGAAGCCCTGATCAAGTCTTCCTGGCCTGAGGACAAGATCTCTGACGGCATGCACCTGTCTATGCATTTCAACCCTGGATGTGCAGGATCCAAGATCTGGGACCTAGAGAATGCCCACCAAATTGCCGAACACGCTGCAGAGGACGCTGCCTATGCCGCCACCGAAACCGGTTGCCATGAAAACTAATAGTTTATTGAGCTTGACAATACGGCCCAAAGTCTCTGCTCGACCAATAGCTCCTTGGTATATATCCCCGAGAGTCGCTGCTTCGCGGCCATCACCGAAAGAGGGCTTGCGCGGAGCGCCTCGTACTCGGCAACCATGCTTTGGGTGAATCTCTATTCGCGGTCCTCCACCCAATCGTACAGGAATGCGGATCCTAGGCGACTCCGGACTTCATCGATGGTTACATTGTAGAGGGGGAGAAAGAAGAAGAAGATTCGGACCAACACCATTCCGTGGGCTTCATCGCTCTCTTCCAGAACCGTATGTGTATCGCGTTCTAGGACATCCAAGGTGAGTTCCGGGAAGTGATCGGATAGAGCCAGCGTATTTAAAAAAGTGGTGCATTTCTCCAGTGGATATCCGAAAAACTCTTCCAGTAAAAGCTCTAGTATTCGTGGAAGACCGCCGGTGGACGTTAGTAGGTAAAGAAACGCCATCTTTGGCATCCGCTCGCGGTGATGGACATTAGCGAGCGAGGTGAAATGGCTCATGGCGTCGTAGCATACTCCCAGGGATAATGTTGGATAGCTGACACATTTGAAGGAGTAAGAGGTCGGTTCCGCTGCCCTAGTCACCTCCTGCCGAGCTGTCCTAGAGAGAAATGTCTGTATCATACTGGGTATGATCGCTCCGCTCATGAATGGTCCTAGACTGCGCATCATATCCTGGAACAGGGAGAGACCTTCCTTTGTGTGACGCTCTGTTTTGCCCCCCCAGGTGAATTGTAGTCTCATGTAGCCGAACAGGGGGGGTGGCCTTCCCAGCGATGGCCGAAGATCTTCTGGAATTCGTCAACGTGAAAGAAAAGGAAGAGTGGCTGTTCCACCGGAAGCCCTAGATCTTGGCGGATGGCGATAAAAAATAAGATCATATACTAGAGTATTCTTATTTAAGGTCAGAGATGATTGTGGAGAATGGGAAGAGAAAGGAGAATAGAGACGTTGCTCGCGACATTTATTTTTTCGCCAACTCGTTTGCATGGAAAAGAATGTGGAGGAATGGGGAATGGGGTACATATGTGAAATCGGAAATATCGTAGAGCAAGCTGCAAGACAAGAGCAACCTAGTCAGAGTTCATGCGGGAGTCTTCGTCTTCATCCTCGCACCGATGGTGTTTTGTCGTAGGTTCCTCCATTTGATCGTCGCTGCCTTGGCCCCCGTCAGTCCGGTCCAACTCTCGCTTGATTCCCTTAAGCTTATCCAGTGCCTGCATATGGTTTTTGGGGAAGAGGTCGTGTATGTTGTTCTTGTCAATCCTCAGCGAAATGCACTGGGGTGTGTCTCCTTGGGCGGACCAGATTCGCTCGCTTCGTCTGACCTCCGGAAATGTGCCCTCGACGCCTGCAAGCTCGGCCGGATAAGCAATAACAACGCCAAGGAACCGCTTAGGATAACCGGTACAATACCTCTGAAGCATCGCCTCCTGAAGATGACCTTGGACCGCGTCAGCCTTGACCGTAGAGAACGCAATCAGGGTTTCTGGCATTGTCATCTTGTGTCGCATCTTCAATTGAACGAAAACGGGACAGTAGCCATGCTTGACGAGATGAAGAACAAATGCAACATCGGGTCCTGAAGGCGTCTCGGCTGGGTGGTAAAACGGCGGAACTCGCTTCCCGTCCTTGCGTGAACCGTGGTGGACATGGGCATCCAGAAACTCATCCAGAGATAAAGCTTTAAAATCGATCCCAAGGGCGAGGTGGTTGACATATCCAGCAATTTCAGCCTTGCAATCCAGAATGGGATCGTACGACTTCGCCTCCTTTGGAACCAGACCTGTGTTGGACAGAATTTTGTCGTGGAAAACGTGTACCAGGCTAGGCAACACTGCCATTTCCCATTGGTGTCCATGCACTGATGCATTTGGTCCTGAACCGAACAACGAACAGATCGCACTGTGAAATTCCGGGTCATATCGACGGAAATAGTTCACGGCAGCGCGCAGTGCTAAGGGTTCATCGAGGACCGTCACCGTGTGTTCGCCGAAATTAAAGATCCTCCCGACAGAAGCTTCCACCAGCGGCGCCTCCTCCGTATTGAGAAACAAAGGACTCCCGTACAGGTAGTGCAGCAACACAAAAGCCATGAGGGAGGTTCGTATGTTTTGGTATTTTGCGTAACGCGACACGAAAGTGTGAACTCTGCGAACCATTCGCGATATGTCGAAGGCGATGTTTCCTTTGCCGTAATACTGGGACTCCGTCGATGACAACGCATCCTCCGTTTTCATGATCGCCAGTCCCCAATCGATCTCGCCATTGCTGACCATACGCTCTAATTATATATTGAATGATTCATTAAATATACACTAATCAGCCTGCGCAACTCTTTCACCATCCTCCGCTTCTTCTTTTCCTCTCTTTCTAACTTGGAACAACAGTAAACATTAAACATTCAACCTTGCTTACCGATCGCGGAAACAATGGGCCTAAAACGTCCACGCAAGCGTGCAAAGAGCTCTGGTATCGATTCTTCCGGCACATGAGTGTCGAAGATGATTCTGGCTTCGTCATTGTGTAGCGAACGACGCACAAGATCTCGGTAGTGTTGGATTTGTTCGGGCGATTCCCAGCCTTGGAAATCGGTGAATGGCCCAAGCCGCTTTCGGTAACCTTTGGGGACAGGAGCCGAGTCTTCGAGCCACTCCATATCGAAAATACTGAGACCAGTCCCACAGGGTACTACGCAAAAATGGTTCTCGTCGGCAGAGATCCGGTTGAGCCCGTGAACCAAGGGGAAGAGGATCGGTCGCTTATAGACGTTAGGAAGGTCAGCTCCGGCTTGTCGCTCAGGTTCCAAAGGTGTTCGTTGAGAAGGGAAGATTCCAAATTCCTCTTCGCTGAGATTTTGGGCCTCGTCGATCACCAAAAGGATCTTGTAGCCAAAGCGCTCGGTGGGCGTGTTGAAGGTGAGGTTCAGAAGGCGTTGGCGAAGACTGGAAAATCGTTCTTGAGCGAAGGCACTCATGGTCGTGATGCCTACGGAGTGACGGTGGATCTCTTCCGCGAACAATGTGAACAGCAAGGTAAATAGGTCCTCGACACCCATCGAGCGGAAAGCAACTTGTAGCAGCATCCAGTGTTTGCACGTAAATGTCGTTCCTTCGCTCTCTGCAATGTCGAGACAGAGGTTCAAAATTTTGACACGTGTAAGAACAAGAGCCAGCGCAAGGATGTGAACGTGGATGTTGCTTTCTGAATCACGAAGTTGATATCGCTTTTCTTGTCGGACCAAATCAAGAAAGCTGAGGAGATCACGGGAGCCCCAATCAGTGTTGCTTCCGTTGAAATAGAAACCCCAGTTCTTGGTGAGCATCTCGATCGTCGTCCTCGTTTTCCCACATCCAGGGACACCGAAGAGTGGTAACAGGGGAATCGCTCGCTCACGAATCTTTTCGAGCGCTCTATCGGCAGTACTGGGAGGGCGCTGTGTCTCAACCGATTCTGGTAGGTTTAGAAACAAGAGACTGGGCAGGTTCGTTTCTCCGCCTGCACGGGGACGAACAAAGGGTAGACCGCCCAGTGTTCCTTCTGTTGTCGGAATGTTCGCACCACCTTTAACGAACTGGACGAGGCCTGTGTAATTGGCCGAATCAGGTGCGAAGAGGGTGTCCTCGATCTGTACTACAAGTTGCTGCCATTCCTCTCTTATTTAAATGCAAGGGAACACAATCAGTATTGCTCCACTCTTCGGGCCATCGGCACGTATCATACAATTCAATGACGAAACGAATGATGTACCTGACAGCGGTGGACCAGGATGAGATTCGGGTGCTTGGACTATAAGATAAGGATACATAAGATAAGTACAATGAACAAATTTTGCCTAAAAGTTGTCAATGAAAGAGAGCAAAACGCGTGTGCATTACCTCGAGGAGGGCGCCGGACAAAGATGTACGTGTTGTCATCGGGACTCTCGGGAAACAGCTCGTTGAGGCGTTTCCTCGGATTGTCTAGCTCAGTCTTGTTGTCGCCGTCAAGAGCATCAACTGTGATGGCAGAATGCAGATTGCCCGCGGGGATGACAACACGCCAGAGGGTAAGATTCTTAGCATCAACTCCGATGAACGTGTGAGGATTCTTGTCTCTGATGCGATCCTTGAGGTCGTCAATATCATCCGACGATGGGATGTCCCTGAGCTTGAAGGCACGCGACATAGGTTCGCCATCAATAAGACAGAACAAGGTCAGAAGGTAGTCGGTCATGGTACTGCGAAGTATCAGTGAAATGATTGAAAAGTAAAGGATATGGAGAAGTCGAGGGGTGAAAGAAAAAGACGCGAAAAGGATGAAAGGTGAGAGCTTAAATGTGAAAGAAGAGATTAAAAGGGTGTAGGAATGGTGGTAAAGGCGATGAGGGTTGGCAATAAGAACGGAGTGGTGAGAAACAAACGGTGGAAAAAGAGAAAGAAAACGAGAGAGGGTAAAGGCGATAAAGAAAGGGCGGAAGGTGATGGAAAGGGTGTAAAGGCGTTGAAAGTGTGGGAATGGTGGCAAATGGTCGAGTTGGGCTTGGGAAGGTGTTGCGATTACTCACTTCGGTGACGTAATTAATGCGCCTATTGTCCCCGCCCTGCGAGGCGAGTAACCACATTTGAACAGTCAAACCTCTATTACAAGTATACTATAGGAGCTAAAAGAGGGCGTGCTACACTCATGTAACGTATTAGGGGTGATTCAGAGTTGCCACCCACGCAGTGCTCAAATAACTCCTTTAGAATACAATCCAATGGTCCTCTCTCCCTCTAAGCCTCTCCTTGTGGACTAAAGTGATGGGATCGCTCTCACTTCACTTTGTTGTTCCCTTCTCCCCTTTTTACCTTCATCACACACTCCTTTTTCTCATTCTTACCCCTCTCCTTTGTCACTCACAACCGCCAACGTCATGACCACAGAGACTCATCGTACGGACCTGGACTTTCACACACGCGCCTCACTACACATTGTTCCTTTGTAGCCACACAGACCCGCATCAACTCACACCCAAACCCATGCACTATCTATTGTAAAAACCTTCTCTTTAGCTCGCGCCATCAAGGTCGACAAGTCCAACCTGCTCGACCTCAAGAGCGCCTGCGACGACGCCCTCAAAGAGGTACCTACAACCTTTTCTTCTCACTCTTACCGACCTCTACCTCTCATTGACATATTAGCTGCTCCTTACAAGGACTAACGCGTTTCATGCTTGACGCTAAACAATAATTAGTACCTCGAGACAAAGGGAGGGTACAAGCAGAGCCACAAGCACACAGACATCAAGCTGGTTCTTGGTTACCTCGGCTGTGCCTTTGCCGCTGCTGGATCCTACTACGGATATATTCACCCCTTCGAGTTACCCGCCACAAAGTTCTGGACCGGTGTCAGTGTCGTCCTGTAAGCACCCTTGTCAGTTTCTGGATTTCTAGATGCCATTGATGAACTTGAGGTGGTTGACCCCCTTGAATACGTGGCATTCATTTGTAGGACCTACTAACCGGTTGATATATTTCTTTGGCAAACAATGATAGGTACTACCTGTTCAATGCGTTGATGATGGCGTACGCGTACTTCATCGAGAATGATACCATCTTTACAGGATACAAGTCCACTCCTGTACGGCCCATTCGTCCCCCTCTGCAAACTTTGATTGCCAGAACTCCAACCCTTCTTTTCTTCTTCTTCGCGGACTGCCGACAAACCAAACCTAACTTCTTCCCACTCACCTCTTTTCTCCAATATAGCACGGCACGCAGACAATCAGTGTAGGATCCTCGGTCAAGAGCTACAACCCTTACTACGACATTGACCTTCACATGAACATTTCCGGATCATCGACATCATCATCAGGATCGTCCAAGACCACCATCACGGGAAAGAAATCGACCCACCAGCGATTCTCGACCGCCTTCCAGTACTGGTTTGACGAAGACGGTGTTCTGGCCCAGGAGCAGTTCGAGGCCGATATTATCAAGTTCTTGGCCAACACCGAGGCCACCCACCTCGAGTAGAAGGAACAAATAATACTAAAAACGATGACAATGTAGTATTACCCCTTCAACACGCCGAACAATAATATTTTAGTTTTTTGCACTATTATTGGCACTACAAGCGTGGCATCGTTTGGTTCGTGGTTTTGGCCGTTTTCGTGACTGTTTACTGTGCATTCACAACGGCACACGCGTTCAATCAGAAGCCGTCACATTCTGGAGTTCTGCGCGCACTCTCTTCGTCCTTTAATTCATAACTTCTCCACTCATTCCCTCTCGACCATCACCACACTCCACACCCTAACCCCCAGACACTAACGACACAGAGGCGCCACACAGCACACATAAACCATACCGAAACTTTCAAAGGAATTCAACTAATATGCCAGCAGTAACGACCAACGGAGAGTCAGCAACCACGAACGGCGGCTCGGGCGTCGACCAGCTCGACCATATCCTCACCTCATTCACCACTCTCACAGACTCCCTCGCCATTAACGACGCCCTCCTCGTCATCGATTATGCCCTCCAAGGTACTTTTCTCCGCAGGTCTTTATATCTCAAATACTCGGCCGTGAACACTCGGGAGATACCCCTAAAAAAATGCGCCGAAACTCACTCTCTTTGCATTCCTGGCCATTGTACACACCACATAGGGCCAAATGCAACAGCGCAGACGAGACAAAAGATCCTTAGCTCAATCCCCCTCGGATACTTTTTTCAAGTCCTCCAACAAGACCACGGATACGACACTGAACAGATCAATGACAGGATCTGTCATGTTCTCGAACTCCTCCTCAAAGACCAGCCTTACTCGACATTGGTTCATGACGAGTTATTGGTCGCGGCGTTGGCTCAAGCGCTGGATTCTCCATCCCCGCAAGTTCGTGCATTGGGGTTGAGCCAGGTTGATAAGGTCGCTGAGGAGGACCTTTCTGTTCTGAGGACCTTGGTAAGCACTCTACCATTTTCGTTTACTGAGAGTTTGAGGCTGGATGCTGACTCACAGATCGCTTTCCATTTATGTTACGTCCGATGTTTAATGATAGCTATTGTCGCCGATGTTTAAGGCAGTTGTCGGTGGGATTGGATCAGGCAGCCTCTCTATCGCCGAGAGGTCAAAGAAGACTCTGCTCAAGGTACGTAAGAACAGCAGGAAATATTTACGAGTGGAATAATCAATGCTAGAATCGAGTTTGCAAGATTTGGAGAAGCGGTTTCGCTAACGTATGATACTCTTATGATGCCAATAGATCTGCGAGACTCAGGAGAAATTGGAGGCGGTCATCAATAACACAGAGGCATTCAATCAGATCAAGGACCTCGCCAACTCTAGGTACCGCATTGTCACTTTTTTTACACCGCATCTCGTCCTTACCAGAGCCACCATACAACATCTCTAGCCTAGACTCTAACACCGTAGCCCTTATCTTCCTTCAATCTCCCAATAGAGATTCAATCGTTCAACTCAGGATGATCGAGGCACTAACAGAACTCGCCTCAAAGTCGTCCTCCACTACCCATCTCCTCGACTCAAAATCCCTCCTGGACTCTCTCAAATCTGGCCTCACCTCCACCGACATCCTCGCCCGTTTCAACATCCTCGAAATCCTCGCCGAGTTCGGCACCACCCTTCCAGGTAGCGAATTTCTGGACCATTCGGGAGTTCTGGCGAGGATCGCGCAGGTTGTGGAGAATGAGGCTGGACAGGATAGTTTGGGGTTGAATGCGATTGTGAAGTTGTATGGGAAATTGGGTGCGGCGGAGCAAGTCGATTTTGTGAGTTTGGATATGAAGTATCAAATTTTGGAACAGTTGGAGAGGTTGCTTGTGGGGAATGATGATTATGAGCCTGATGAGTCTAGCAAGGTAACTCGTCGTTCTTTTCCTTGTTTTTGTTTCCTGCTGTTGTTTTTTTTCGTTCTCGTTCCACCAAACGAGTTGTGGGTCAAATCCTAACAAACATACCATGCTTGCAATAGGTGGAGGTGATGTCAGCGATTGGACTGATCGGCGGGAACGTCCAGAACACGGAGTGGGTCTCACAGAGCAAGTGCTCTGAAGAATTCATCATCGCCTTTCAGTCACTCCCTCGAGACGCTAAAGTCGCCTGGTATCACTCTCTCGCCCAAATCCTCGCCTGCAGGTAAAAACACCCACGTCCTCATTCGGGGATGTGTACTGTACTTGAAACGGCTCCTGGCTGAGCAAGTAATTTGCTCCGCTCATATCTAACCGTTCCTTATCATTCCCCCCCTAAACCTCCCAACCCTTGACCAAACATAGCCCGGATCCTTCGCAAGAGACTGAAAGAATCATCGCAGACTTCTACACCCGCTTGGACGGAGATCCAAACCTCCAAAGCCCCTTTATCATCCGCCTCCTCACATCTGCAAAATCCCAATCCCAACAACTGGCCATGTCCGCTCTTTCTGTCATGATCCCTCTGGCGCACTACTCCTTTGGAACCCAGAAACTGGCTGCACAGAGGGATGTCTTGACGTTTCTCTTGGATCGCAACACAGAACAATCCCATTCCGAGAAGGTAACATACAAAGAACCTCAGCACCTATTCGCCATACTTCTCGTCGTCATTCTCCTCGTCCTTGATTTGTCTGGAAAATGAGACTGATAATTAACCCTTCTTCTTTGGCTTTGGGTTTCGGCTTGATAGGTGGCGAAGCATGAAGTGATTGTGGCAATGTTGAAGACGGCAGAGGAGGCCAAGAAGTCAAGAGGGACAGATCTGCTTACTGTGGACCAAGTCTCACGTCTGGACCTGCACCGTCGTCAAGGCCCCTTCTACCAACGTTCCACCGCCACCGTCTCCATCCAGGATATCACCGCTTAGCTGGCATATCTTTACTTGACTTTAAAAATACAAGACGAGAATATCATAGCACAAAGAAGCGCGTTCGTTGTTTTTCTGAGTGGTTCTTCCAAATCAGAGGAAGGTTTTGTTTTCTTCTCTCATTGAAGACGAAAAAATGGTGTATTATTTTTTTTTGCACAACAGGAATCAAAGAAAGCAAGAGCAAAACGAAACAAAACAAGCAAATGACAAACTAGTGAAAAAAGAAGACGAGAAAAGGAGGGAGGGAGGAAGGCTGGAATGTACAATGTTTTTGAGAGGATGGAAGTGATTCTCGTTTTGTTACAGGAGTAGTGAAAGAGTGTGGTGTCGGTGGTTTGATGAAAGGTGTCACCACAACTTAGTTGACGGCGACAGTGGGGGCAGGCTTGTCAGGTCTCTGGATAGGCTTGCGGTCTTGGAAGCCTCCGCGAGCGGGACGGCCGCCACGGTGACCACCCTGGGGTCCCTGGTGTCCGTTGGTGCCTCCGTTTCCGTTCTGGAAGTGAGGAGGGGGGCGGTTCTGGAAGGTGGGACGGGGACGACGCTCCTCGGCATAGACAAACTCGGATCCGACAGCGACCTTGTTCTGCTTCAAGGCGGCGTTCATGGCGTCGGCGGTAGTAAAGTCGACATAAGCGCAGTTTCTCTGCTTGGTAAAGTCAAGACCCTTGACGATACCAAACTTGCTCATAGCCTCACGCAACTGCTCCTCGGAAATCTTATCGGAGATATTCTTGACATAGATGGGGAAGAACTCGTCACGGCCGTTGACCTTGTGAGGGGCACCCTGCTGCTGCTGCTGCTGGGGTTGGGGTTGGGGCTTGGGCTGGGACACAACCTGGGGCTTGGGGGCAGCAGGCTGGGGAATATTGACGGAAGATCCTTTGGCAGCAGAGACCTGGGAACCCCACTGGTCCGAGTCTTTGGCAGCCAAGTTGGCCCAAGTCTTGGGCTTGGGAGGACCAGCAGGGACGGGGGCAGGGGCGGGAGCCTCGACAACGGGGGCGGGAGCCTCGGCGACGGGTGCAGCAATTTCAGCGGGAGCAGCAGCGGGAGCACCGTTCTGCTTCTTAGTGGGCTCAGGGGTCTTGGACTTCTCAGCGACCTCAGCCTCCTTCTTGGCGGCATCCTTCTTGGTCTCCTTCCTGTCGCCCTTCTTGTCGTGCTTCTTGTGCTCGTGCTTCTTCTCAGTCTTCTTCTCCTCGACGGCGGGCTTCTTCTCCTCAACTACGGGCTCGGGGGCAGGAGGGCAAATAACAACCTCAGGCTCGGGGGCAGGAGGGCAAATGGCGATCTTAGGCTCAGAGGGAGCAGGAGCAGGAGGGCAGATGGCGATCTCGGGTTCAGGGATGGGAGCAGGGGCGATCTCGGGCTCATAAGTAAGGGGAGGGTTGGCGACCTCAGGCTCCACCTGCTGCTGCTGTTCCTCGTCGACTACCTCAGCCTCGATCTCGGAGTCGTCCTTGAGGTAACGGAAAATGTCATTCAGGACGTAGAAACCCTTGGGCTGCTGAGCCAAGAAGAAGGTCTGGACGAACTTCTGGGAAGGACCGCCCCTGTTGGACATCTCTCCGAGGACCTGGATCATGATACCTCCGTCCAACGAGGTCTGGCTGTCGACGTTGCTGACCAAGACCTTGCAGTCCTCAAAATCCAGAGCAAGAATCTTGGCGTGGATGTCCTATTTGGTGCAAAATGTGAACAATTAGGGTACTGTTAGCATTGCAAGTTTTACGTATCATTTCCTTTAGCCTTTTCACTGCTGTCCATTGCGTCCGCCATTTTCTCGCCCTTGCAGCTGCACACATTCCATCAACCTTGCCCACGCGACATGACCAGAAGAAAAACGACGTATTCCCCTGCGTTTGATAATCGGTGCTATTTTTTATCCGCCTTCCTCTCAACGTTTGCGTCTTATGCCATAGTGTCCATGTGTCTCTGTATCCTGTCCTTATCCATGAATGCAACTCCAATGATTGAATAAGATAGCCACTTGCCTGTTGACCGTGGCAGACTTCGGTATCCTCGCCCTGAATGCCGTGGCTCATGGTCGATTGTTTATTGTAGAAGCAGTGAAGACGCGAGGGCTCCTTGTTCAAGAAGGTGTAATATTCGTGGACAAACATCATGCCGACTTCGTGCGAAGCGACAGGGGGCGCCTCGCCGTTGGCGGGAGTAGAGACGTTTGAGGTGGTGGTGGTCATATTGTGATATTATATATGTACAACGAAGAGTCGGGTAGGTGTCTAGGGGGTCTGATGAGATCTATTTTTTGAGTTGATGGAAGTAAAAGAGAGGAGTAATGTGGAATGTCAATAACGAAGACTCAGCTGATTTGATTCACTGAGCACAAGGAGTTGCAGAGTGGCGCTGAAGGAAAGGTAAAAAGAAAAACAACCAGCTCTTGAAAGGGGTGGTTACAGTAAAGAGGCAAAACTGGTAAACAAACAAACAACGAGGCACATACACACACATTGAGAGAAAAAGGGAAGAAGAAAGGAGAAAGGGAAAGGGGCAGTGAGCGAGAGAAAGAAAGAAGTAGCAGAGTCAGGCAAAACCAGGGCGAGGTTCTGTTGTGTGTCTGGTAAGATGAGAGCGCCGGACAGGCAGCCAGCAGCGGGAAAAGAGATAAGGGGATAAAAGGGGGAAAGAGTGTTGTGTTCCCGCATGATCCCAACCAACTCTCCCAAGCATGAACAAACAGCAAAACCTTTTTGTTTGTACAGTGTGGGTGTGTCTGTCTGTATGCCTTGCTCCATCCCACCCGCTGTATATACCATAACGAACATTGAACAAACTAAACGAAAGAAACGAACGAATAGAAAGAAAGAAAGGTAAAAAACCCCACTTTCAATAACAACGCCTCTTTTCCTTGTCTCTCTTTTTGTTGTCTGTCGGTCTGTCCATAGAGGTGTGTTGAATATCGGGCCCTCAATAGAACAAAATAGATCAAGTCGACGAAAACGGCCTCACTGGACTGTGAAGTCATTGTTTAGAAACATTCCCCTCCCAGCTAATCAGCGTCTCCTTTCTCCCATCCAGCAGAAAAAACAGAATCCTCTCCTTTCTGATGAACAGATCCCCTGTGTGTTTGTCTGTTCTTCCCCTTGTGTGATTTGATTCCTGCAGAAAGCGTTTTCCTGTATGGTGTGTGCGTATGTGTGCCCTGTCTTGTTCTCTGTGTGAGTGTGTTGCGTATGTGTGCAGCAGAGGGCTGTGGCACGTCCCCTCACCCTATCTTATTGTTCTGCTTGGCCACCATTTTTGGCTTTTTGTCGCCTTTTTTATGTTTTTGACTTCTGATCGCCAAAACTCCAGTGGGTCCAACAGGGTTGGCCCCTTCCCTCGAGTGATGGTATTCTGTAGCAGAGTCCCTTGTTTCCTGAATGCAAAGTCATCTGCTGCTCCTCTGTCATCAATCAGAGGTTTCTCCATGCACTCTGTTTGTATGAATGATGAGTGCTCCTTGCTTGTCCTGAACCGGGCGTATACGATGTGGTTTGCAAAAGAGAGAGAGAGGTAAAGATGAGTTGCTTACCAAGGTGGGAATGCAACCGGGTCTGAGTATGTCGCAGGGATGGTTGTTGGTGGGTGTGAGAAGGAGTGTTGGGTTGGTGGGAAGATGGATGAGGAGAGTGAGAGGAGAGGAGTTGAGTAGGAAGAAGAAAAAAGAGGAGAAAAAAGGACGGACGCGTTGGTCCTTTTATTCATTTTTTCGCACCAACGAAGACAAGAGAAAACTGACCAACCAGAGACATCCAAAATTAGACTCTTCTTTGATTTGCACTTCTCACATTCACAAAATGACCCTCGCCTCCTTGCTTCTTCCTTTGTGTTTTGTACTGCTGCTGCCACTTCCATATGGACTGGTAAATGTGCCTACTACCAATCCAGCCAAAACCATTGTCGTCTCCTTCTTTCTTTGCTTTTTTGTGTGTGGATATGGTCACGGCATGCCTTATAAACAAAATATTGTTTTTTTGGAAGCATCCGCGCTATATATCAACCTTTCTACTCGCTACCCATATCCTCACTTGTTCAAATGGTTCCTCTGAGGAACCATTTGGCAGCCTTGCATTGACAGGTAAAACAAGCAGGAGGATTTTGCCACCGTTTGTTGACACAATTCAATAATATTATTCCCCTGCTGGGTATCAACGAGTCGGTCATGAGAGCGATTTGAGAATACAATAAGACCCAGGTTGGACTACCACTACTGACGTATCAGATACCGCAAGGGTCGTGTGCGATAATTCTTTTCAAGAAGAAAGGAGGGCGCATGGGCCCTGTCTGGACAATGCCCGGTTTGTTATTGTGCTTGTCACCTGCCCATCTCTCTCCACAGTCCACACACCATCCTCGACTCATTGTCCCCGATCCTATTTTGTCGGTAGAGAGTGAAGGTCTGGCCTCCCGGTGGAGGGGCAAGCATGAACAAGTTCATCACATTGCCAGGAGATATGCATATATTCTTCTATCAAATCGATAAGCATCGTGCCCTGTCTGTATGTCCATTGGCTTCGAGAGTGTGTTCAAACATGCGAGGCACAGGCTCTCTCTTTCCCATCCTCTGCGGCCTAAACTAGCATTTTTTTCCTCTGCCTTTCCCTCTTCTTCGCTCTCGTCCTTTTTATTTCCTTCCCCGTTCACTTTCTTCTCACTCTCCTTCTCCTTCTTCTTCTTCTTCTTCTTTTTCTACTTTGGATCCCCATTCCCCTCACTCATAATATAATACCCCCTCCCCCTCCCTCTTCTCTTTCCTTCCTTACTCCTCCTTGTACATTATATCATCACCGGTCATCCCCCTTCAATATGGATCGTCATAACTCGGAACACCATGTTGCCACCACCACCACCACCACCACAACCACCACAGACAGTCGTCCAGGCAACCCTGCAGTAGAGAGCATATCACCCTTACAACTACCACCACCGCCACCCTCTTCTTTCACAACCGACAAACTGCACCCTTCCTCCTCCTCCTCGATGTTGCCTAGACCAACCTCCCCAGCATTATCAACCTCCCACCTCTCCGTCACCACTAACAACAACAGCAGCAACAACAGCAACCTACAGCCTCCACCTTCTCAACAGGACAACGTCAGTTTGCACGGCGGGACCCGGACAGCAAGTGTGCACAGTCGACACTCGTCCCGACCAGGGAGCATTCAACATGCCGCCATTGCTGCTTCGGCGTTTGTCAACAATGCCGCGGCAAGGAGGATACGGATAAACATGTACGGAGAACTTGTTAGTGGCTGGTACCACCTCTCCACCAGCTCCAAGTTTCTGATTATCTACTACCTTGCCGCCACCATTGTCGAGGTAAATAAGGCTCTATTCCCTCGCGGTCACTCTGCTGATAAGAGGCGACAACTCACCAAATTGCCTCGTCAATTGTTAGATCGTGGCGACGGTGACGGTGATGGTGCTTGAGCGGGAAAAGATTCACAAGTGCTACTACCTGGCGGCCTTCTTGTGTCTGTATCTTGTCCGGGCCCTGGTCATCTGCTGGTCTCTCCTCCGTCGGTTCTTGTACGAGCGTCCAGACGATCTCCCAACGTCCCTCAGTGGTGCCTGTGGTGCACAGTAAGTTTTTCCTTTTCTCCTTCTCTTTCTTGCTCCTTTCTTTGTTTGTTTATGTGTATGTGTATGTGAATCTGTATTTGTTTGTGTATAGTACACTTTTTTTCTTGTGTTTGCGTTGTCTGCATGGTCGTTGGCCACTCTTCTTTCCTTTCATCCCTTCTTTTCGTGTTCTTCGTGGCATGTGATGGGTTTTTTTTACGCCCAAGGCTTTAAAATTCACTAACAACAAAACACACTACTTCCTCTCTCTCTCTCTCCCCACACCCTGGCACTCTCCCATGACATTTTCGCACCCTTGTCAATACGCTCTCAACCGAAACAACCTTGTTCACCCGTGCGTCTATATGTTATACTCGCTAAAGCTACAAGACCTTGGTCAATTGGGGCTCCCTCGTGCTAGTACTCATCTCGATCGCCATCCTAACAACACAATCCCACTGCGCCGAAGATGCCCCCGCGCTGTTCTATCTCACCCTCGTCTTCTCCTTGGTCGGCTACTTTTGTATTGCCATGCTGTTGATGCTCTGGCTTGTCGTCCTCTTCTGTCTCAACGGACTCGTCTTCATTCTGGAGCTCTTTGGTGTCGGACCGACCGTTATGCGATGGCAGGGCGCTACTCAGGAGATGCTTGATGACATTCCTATTATCAAGTTCTCTAAGCCTGCACCACCACCTGAATCTCAACAACCACAGCGTGCCGCTGCCTCGACGCAGCAACAGTTTAATGAGAAGAGTAGTTCGAGTGACAGTAGCACCAGGAACAACGCTTTTGCGCCGACGATTGTTGTGTCCGACGACGACGGGAATCAAGGGGCACATGATTATGGACAAGGATCACACTCGCAGAACCAGCAGCAAAAGGACGAAATTACACTCGTCCCTGAGCCCGTTACGGCTGCAACCTCCCTTCTCACAAGCGTTGTCCTCGAGATAGAACCTGCACTAGAAAAGGTCGACATGGAGGAGGAGAAGGCCGTGGCGGTGATGGTAGACGACGACGAAGCGCAGGACAGGGTTCCACCACTCTCACTAATCACCTCGTTCGCCGAGGGCGAGAACAAGCGCACTCGGGATTCAACAGCAGTGGAACTAGACCAATTGAGCCCCAGGGAAATAGAAGAAAAGGACCGGATTTCGAGCAGCTGCTCAATATGTCTATGCGAGTACGAGGATCTGGACGAGCTGCGACATTTGCCCTGCGACCATTACTTCCATCAGGAGTGTGTTGACGAGTGGTTAAAGTTGAAGAGGACATGTCCGCTGTGTCTGTTTGATATCGCACATGCGAGTCGCGGGAGTAGGATTTGGAGGCGGCGTCGTAGGAGTCGCAGTCAGAGACAGAGTACGAGCAGTAGTCCGAGTACTCCTGGTGGGCCTGGTAGTCCTGATACCGACGGTCCGGCGCGTCGATTTTCTTTTGGATCTCGACGTCGTTAAAGATTTCTCATCGTGTCATATATGATAGTCTACTTTTCTACGCCCTTAATACTTCACAACAATAATACCATCACGTTTTTTGACGCGATCTTCATGACTACTTGGCTTCTTAACTGGACCTGTCTTTCTAAATCTATTGCAAGTTACCGGCCAGAGGCGCCATTTCTAAGATCGTCACCACCCAGGCTGCAGGCTGAAGCTAGGAAGATCCGCTAGACGAGTTTACTTTGTACTGTATGTCCGCTTTGCCCAGAGTGAGCCTCGACCGTGGTCTTTTATATTGACGTAACGCGCACATTAATTCGGACCCTATTCAACGCCCATTCGTGATCCTTTATCAGCTTTGCAACCTCTCCGCTTCGTTCTCTCCATCCTCTCCTTTCAAGCCATATTTTACTTCTTCCTCCTCCTCCTCCTCTTGCCCTTCTCCTCTTCTCCTTCGTCCCATTCAAATTCTTTCTTCTCATTCCGCCATTCACTTCTCTCACAATCACCATGTCGCACCACTACGCAAAGGTAACATAAACAACAACCAAGGGCTGGACACTTCTTTCACCAAAAATCTGGTTGGCCTTCCTATCTACCTATTCACTCTGGACCAACCACCAACCATTCGCCTTCACCCTCCTCTTCCTACTTCTCCTCTCATCATAGGCCCCTGCTTACGAGCAAGACCAGGACTACGATAACAGCGACAGCGGTCAACGCCAACCTCATCAATCGTTTCCTAGTGCTGCTGCTGGCTTCAGCGGTGGACCGCCACCCGCCTGGACAACCATTGCTACCACAACAACTTCAGTTTCACCCATCGATCTATACCCACAAACCACAACCACAACAGCGACGACGTATGCGCTCTCAGAAGTCCAAGGCCGAGAGGATGATAACACTCACCAACTACAACAGCAGCAAATGTTCACCGTACCCATGACTCCTCCCTCCAACTCCTCCGCACCACAGTCTCCTTACACCCATCAATCCTCCTCTCAGCCTTCTACTCCACGACGACAGCTTAGATCATCACCCTCACAGCAACGACCTCGATCCTCCCCTTCGAGCAACAATAGGAGAAATGGAGTGAATACACGGTGGAGGGAGACACAACAAAGCCTGCGACGCATGATCCTGAACCCATTCATCTCCCTTTCCTCCCTCCCTTCTTCCTCTCCTCCTTCCCCTTCTACATCATCATCATCATCGCCTCCTTCTTCATCAACATCGACGTCTGGATCGTATACATTGATTAGGGACACCGAACACGACGGCGGTGCACCCTCCTCCTCCAATCCCTCATCGTCCTCCTCAGCAACAACACATCAAGGGAGCAGCAGCAGTGCCGCTGGACCTGGAAGGTTACAACCGACTAGGTCATCGACTCGACCCTCAACAGCTGTCGACGGTGTCTTCTCAAACATCTCGGCCAAACCTGAAGTCGAAGTTCAAAAAGACGATGAGCGTCGTCCTCCGGTATTGTTTCATGCCCGACTTGTATAAAAATACACATGTGCCCTCTTTTTTGCTCTCACTTTTCTGCGCACCAGCCCCCCTTTGTCCATCCTTTGTCCACTGTCTTTGCCTGTTTGGAAACCAAACCACAAAAAATATGCAAGAATGGTTCTCCCGGAGCATTTTTTTTTCTATTTTGTTTGACAAACAATGCATGGCTACGCACTTAAGCCTGCCCCAAAGGAGCATTTCGCCACACTTCCCCCACTGACATAATTCTCTTCCTCTACTCCTCTGTTCCGCTCTTCTTTTCACCTCCATCATCCATATCAATTCACTGGACAGACATACGAATCAGCGTTGCAGGATGTGACGCCCCCATACTTTGAGATGACCGTCATGTCGCCTTCATCGCAGCACGGAGGACGAAGGGACAGTGTCTTTGAAGACGAGATCCTGGTCGGCGGATTACCTGTCGGCAATATCTTTCAGTTCTTGTGGAATATCGCAGGTAAAACATGCATATCCAACCAAATCCCGCAGCGAGAGGATGAGAGGAAAGGAACAAAACATTCGTTTCTTCGGTCATATTGGAATCTTTTTTTTTTTTTTTTTGGATCCACCCCTCTTCCTTCTTTCTTTTATGCTCAATTGCATGCGTTTTGCGTGCCTGGACATTTTGTCAAGCTGAGTAGAGAAAAGCAAAATGCATTGAAATGTGTGCCCATAACCACATACCAAGCTTTCTCCCCTCCCCCCCCTTTTCTAACCTTGTATATAACTCATGTTTGTATTTGTTTTTCTAGTGGCGGGCAGCTTTCAGTTTTTAGGGGTTCTGTTGACATACCTCTTGCATAACTCCCATGCGTCCAAGGTACATTACAAACATATGCTTATTTCTTTCAGTCCAGAAGCGAATTGCTTCGAAATTCTCGACTCGTGCTTGGTGCAACATCCAAATCCAAACACCAAACACACGACCAAAAAAAAAAAAAAACCTTGTATCAATTACCCTAACGTGCGTTTTCTACCCTTTTTTTTTTTTTTTTTTTTTTTTTTTCTCTCCCTCCACTTTCCTGTTGACTGATGTAGAGTGGGTCATTGGCAGGATTAGGGATAACACTCCTCAATTTCGGGATCCGGATGCGTGGCGGGCTAGGTACAATCTTCAACAACGACACCTCCACCAACAACCCAAACCCCTCTACCTACGCATATAACCCAAGCATCGGCGGAGTCACCCAAATCTCCAATCCCTCCTTACCATCCGTGGACGATACCGGATACATTGGTACACCACCTCCTCTGGGGTACGGGTACGAAGCGAATGCGGATTCGAGGGAGATGAATTGGTTTCAAATGGACCTGGAGACACATTGGGTGTCGATGGTGTTGATAATGGCTGGGTGGATGGTGCTTGTTAAGGCGTTGGCGGAGTATGCAATTGCGAAGAGGATGGAGTCGATTATTAAGGCTCGTCCGGAGAATGAGGATTTGGAGGATGGCGGGATGGAAGATGAGGAGGAGGATGAGGAGGAGATGGAGGAGTTTCTTGAGCGACTTGGGGGTGGCGACAGGGATGTGAGAGGGGGGAGGTTTGTTGGGTATATCTCTAATGAGGATGATATCTGATAACCGTCAACACCGTTTAACGATAAGTAGGCTTTGCAGAGAATAAAAAAAAGATAGACGCGCTACGCGTCCTTGTACATAGTATTCCATATCCCACTCATTCACGCCTCGTATCGCGGTGAATGTATCCAATCTTTTTTTGTTGCGTTATGTTCCTCTCTGCCTACTTTATGTTTGCACGTCGCAGTCTGCCTGTGTTTTTATTCATTCGATCTGTTTTATCGCCTTGTTTTCTAGCACAATTTCGTGAGTCCTTGAGAATAGCCTTGAAAAAAAAATATTAAGTATAGATCCGCCACGCTCTTTGGCTCATCTCGACGTAAACGTAACTCAAAATTCTCCACCAGACTGGGTTTCTTCATATCTACACCTGGTTTTGAGGGCAATCGCGAGCCTAGAAAAAAAAATATGAGGGAGGCCAAGTAGAAAGCATGTCAGTCACCGAGCAACAAAGGCCATCAAGCGTAAAGAGTAAAGTAAACCGCCCCCTTTCCTCTCAAAACCAACAACTCCGACGACGCAAAATGAAAAACCAAGACGCAAAGATAAAACTTACGATATGACCCTCCTGCTGGCACTTGAAACAAACCTGGGCGCGGGGCCCATCAGGACACTCCCTCGATAGGTGACCAAACAGGTTACAGTTATAGCACTTGACCCCACTGGCCTTGCAGTCGCGCGAGAAATGGTTCAATCCTCCGCACTTGTAGCAAATCACTCTTCCTCTTTGGTTCCCGCCCGCAAAGCCTCCCGTGTTGCCGCCGCCGTCGCTAATGTTGTTGTTACCGCCAAAGTCTCCGTTGTTGTTGTTGAAGGTGTCGTTGAAAGTGTCATTGTTGTTGTTGTTGTTGAAGGTGTCGTTGTTGTTGTTTCTGACAAAGTTGTTGCGTCCGCCGAGTGGTGGTGGGGGGCCACCGAAATGGTTACGAGGCATGGGTGGGCCGTTGAATCGAGGTGCGTTCCTGCAGTTCCTCGCCATATGTCCCTATGTACAACATGATGAAACGCAAGTACAAGGTGAGTATTTATGAACATAAGCCACATAGATGACAAGGGACAACCGTCAACAGGGATGACGGTGACTTACAAACATGCCACAGTTGTAACAGCGTCCTCCAGCGCCTCCAGCGTTCCGTGCCACCCGGATCGAAGGGCAATCCGCTTGAATATGTCCCACTACGTCAACATGAAACAAACACACAAAACAGGTTAGCTCAGAAACACTCTCATCTCGTGTCTTCAAAAGATTCCAGCATTAATTTCATCTTCAATTTATCATTTGCGAAAATGTCATATTGCCATGAGGCATCATATGCTACCTCCTCCGCAAGAGTAGCACTGCTTAGAGTCAGTGGTACGGGGCATGGGACAGAGGTTCGATTCGTGGCCAGTCTGCTTGCAGTTGTAGCACAGTCTCTCGGGTTCCGTGCACACACTTGCGTAGTGGCCCACTACAAAATAGTGAGAAAGGAACAAGAACATCATTATTGGTATGAGTGAGCAAATCAAAGGTAGGAAGTAGTGTTAAGAGGATACAATCACCAAAAAAAAACACGCGCGTGCTTGTTCTTGGTTGTGGTTGTCGAAAGAGTCATAGGTTTCGTAGGAAGTTGGAAGTATGAAGTCGCAAGCTTACCATTGCCACACTTGAAGCAGCCCTTCCTAGGATACGACATGATAATGCTTCTTTGTTCTTTAATCCGACTACTACGAGTTCAGTATATCAAGAAAAGGTAGGCATAAGAAACAACGCTGATAAATGGGCAGCACTGTAGTAAAAAAACCCCTGCGTGGTCCGTGGTATCCTCAGCTTGTTTATGGAGCATTGGTTGTCCATGTGTACATACAATAAAGAGAGACCCCCCCCCCCCCTCTTCTACCTCCAAACCCTCGTGTTTGTTGCTGTTACTACCATGAAGCATTTGCTGGAAGAAGGCTGCCGCAACTAGGCCTCACGTTCAGTCGCGTCAATTGGCGTCATCTCCCGATACTGCAAACAAACGCGTGCTCTCCTTATTATCCTGTCAATCATTGCTACAAGGACTGGTTGTAGTGTTGTATTGTTGGCAATGGTACATATGAGCGATTGTCCGCCCTTCTCAGTAGTTGAATGGGAGCAAAACTCGTTGTCACGTATTCTTCATTCCATTAGTCTCCCGTCCATGAACTCAAACCCAACGAACTCAATCTGCCGTTCGCCCTCCATTCGTGCCTGAAGGCTTGTCCTCCCATGTTGTCTGATTCCGGAAAAGCGGCTACTGGGATTTACCTCGAGAGAGTTAGAGTGGTGAGTTTGTAAAGAAAGGAAGGAAGCGCTGCTTTTTCGCACTTTAAACCTACGTCATGTACAAATCATGTGACCGATTCTTGTTCACGCATCCCTCGATCTTCGGCAACCCCACCGTCCTATCACGTACCTCTTGGTTCCCAGCTCCATCAAACCCGTAAAGGCGCCAAACGATCAATTGACATGCTTACACAATCAGCTAGTATTATTTACTTTTTTTTTATTTCACAAAGGGGAGATTTTGTTTGGGATATGTTGGTTTGGTTGGTTGAGAGAAAACAAGAGAAAAAAAAAACTGCAAGGACGCTATTTTCTTTGTTTATTCGTCAGCGGGGGCCTCAGCCTCGGCCTCGCCTCTGGGGCCTGCTATCGTCAATTGGAGATTATTGTCGAATGCGAGTGATGTAAATGGCAAATCGTGTCCAGTTGTCCAGGGGAGAATCGGTTGTCAAATGTACCATAAAAGAGAGAAGAGGGAGAAGAGAAGAGAGATGGGGCATGGTTAGCAAGTGGCTCAGATCGAGATAACAAAACGACTCAAGAAGGATCAGGAATAAAAAGAAGCAAGGCATTACCATCCTGCATGTCGGAGGTCCAGAGGGTCAAGTTGTCTCTGAGGAGCTGCATGATCAATGTGGAGTCCTTGTAGCTCTCCTCGCTGAGAGTATCCAACTCAGCGATGGCATCGTCGAAGGCCTGCTTGGCCAAATGGCAAGCACGGTCGGGCGAGTTCAAGATCTCGTAGTAGAAGACGGAGAAGTTGAGGGCCAATCCGAGGCGAATGGGGTGGGTAGGGGGCAACTCGGTGATGGCAACATCCGAGGCGTTCTTGTAGGCCTCGAGGGACTTGTCGGAGGCCTCCTTGCGCTTGTCGCCGGTGGCGAACTCGGCCAAGTAGCGGTAGTAGTCACCCTTCATCTTGTGGTAGAAGACCTTGGACTCTCCCAACTGGGCGTTGGGGATCAAGTGATCAGCGAGGACCTTGAGGATATCATTGCAGATGCCTTCGAGCTCCTCCTCGATCTTGGTGCGGTAGGTCTTGATCATGGCGACGTGGGCCTCAGATCCCTTGGACTCCTCCTTCTGCTCGATCGAGGAGACAATGCGCCACGAGGCACGGCGGGCACCGATGACGTTCTTGTAGGCGACGGACAAGAGGTTGCGCTCCTCGACCGACAACTCCTTGCCAACGGAGGCGACATCCTTCATGTTCTTGACCATCTCTATTAAGCGTTCAAAGAGTTAAGGACATATCATTAGTGTTTTTGTTGGGATATTTCTTTAAACGTTGTTGCTCTTGTTGCTCTTCGTTGTCGTTGCCAATTCGTTGCTGGTTGGTTGTTGTTGGTGGTGTTGGTGTTGTTGTCGTTGTTATTACTCGCTGTCGTTGTTGCCGAAGTAGTAGCAAGCGGTCGTCAGAGTTTTTTTTTCTGTTATTTTTTGTGCAACCGCGTGACCTCAGCCGAGTTGGAGTGTGTGTCTGTGTATGTGCATGTGTGTGTGTGTGTGTGGTGTTTGAAAGCGTGTCTGTGTAAAGAGCGTGTTGCTCAGTCGCCTGAGGATATATGATTGCCTTGCACCCAAAAAAAAAAAAAAAAAAAAAAGATAAGAATCAATTTCCACCTCTCCCCCTGGAAAAAAAAAGACCACGCAAGGAACAATCCTCCCTCCATTTTTGGACCACCTTCTCTCTCCGTTGCCGAAAGCGCATTCTTATGAACAAAGAACGGAAGTAGAAAAACAAAACAATGGAAAAGAGAGAATAGAACGTGGGAGGGAATGATGGTGGTGCAGTGAAGGTGCGGGGATAGCGACGGACTTGGGATCCCAGAGCACATGTTTTTCCTTATTCATATTTTGACTCGGGGACCCAGAACATTAAGAAAGAAATGTGTCGCCTTTTCGCTGCTGGTCAGGTTGTGGTTGGTTTATAAAATGACGCGCATTGTAGTGGCGGTGGTGGTAGTGGTGGTGGCGATAACGGGTATTGTACGTCTCTCCCTCTGTTGAAAAGTCCAAAGTCGCCGTGTCCAGATGACCCAAGCAACGGAGATGATGCTGAGATGAGAACAAAAAGACTTGTTTTCCTCTGCTGGTCCTGATCGAGACCGTTGTCTGATGAAGAATAAGAGAAGAGAAGAATAAAGTAGCGTGTGTTGTTCCTTTTTTTCGTGACACAGATAATAGAGAAAAAAAGGTACACACACGTATACACACACACAAGCATGGCATACTGAAAAAATAGAGGCGCGCGCGTGAATTCCTTGTGTTCGCTTGTGCTCGCGTGAGAGAGAATGGTGCAAGATATGCTGTCGACGATGACGATGGTGATGCGAGTGCGAAGTGAGAGATAGACAGACGAGTATGAAGAAGAGGTGTGTTATTATTACCTTCGTAACGCTCGGCCTGCTCAGCGAGCTTGGCGAGGTAGACGTGGTCTTCGCGGGTGGGGGTATCAGCCATTATATGAATATGTGTTGTGTGGTGGGTGTGAAGTGAGAAAGAGGAGGAAGAGAGAGAGTTGAGGATATGAAGAGAGAAAGAAAGAAAAGAAGAAGGGGAGAGAGACGAGAAATAAAAAAGAACTCAAAAGAAGAAAAAAAAAAACTGTCCGAGGGGTATGGGTATGTGGGTGTGCGTGTGATGTCTGGCTGAGGGTGAATGAATGCCTCCAGAACAAGTAGGATGAAGCAAGTGCGATGTTCAGGTAAAGGAAGTGACTGTTTGTTCGGCAAGCGGAGTTTTATGTTCTGTGATGGGATGGCTGGCCTTTTCTTCGTTTTGAATCGTCATATCAAGGTGAGAGCATGAATGAACACCTGTGCCGCACGCATATACACACACGCTCAAGAACACTCCCTGGCTGAACAGCAACAGCGACAGCGACAACAACAACAACACACGCTAATCTCACTCCTTCTGTTGCCATTCAATTGATTCGCTCTACTACTCTATCCACTTTGGTTTTTTTTTTTTTTTTTTTTTTTTCGCTTGCCGAACATGTTTCCCCCTTCTCACTCTCCTTTCCCCTTCTCTCTCCGCCCTTCTTTTTCTATGTCTTTTTTTTTCCTCTGCCGAAAATCATTTCGCTCTTGCTCATTTCATTTCTTCAGAAATAAACGTCTTCTAACACTTTCATATTCTCCTGATTTTGTGTACCTCTCTCTGTGGTGCAACGATATTAAAAAAAAAATCGAGGCATAGCTCATCATCATCAGACCGCCTTCACACTCTTATATTTGGGCACACAACAACTCCGCCCAGCCCAACGCACATTGATCCGTTCAATTGCTCGTGGCAAAGTGGGAAAGATACCAGTTCATTTATTAAAGGAAATCACAGAAAACCATGGGGTGCGGGGGAGGAGGGAAAGTGAAAGAGGAGGATCATCTCATCTGTGGTTTGGTGCACCCACGGTTTTTCCATCTATGGTATGGTATGGTATGGGTGGTGCAGTCTATCCACGCTCCCTTGGGGGGTTGTCCATCTCTGTTGTCTCAATCTGCAGCCCAACGGTGTTGTTGCTTGATGAAGGCGAAAGCGAAAAAAAAAAAAGAGGAACGCGTGGTCAAACAAAGACAAAAGGCAATCAACAATCAACAAACAAACAACAAAAACAACCGCATCCACCAGATCACCGACCCAAAAAAAAAAAAAAAAAAAAAAAAAAAAAGGTCAAGTGCCCGTTCGTTACCCTTCTTTTGTTCAGTTCTGGAGCTGAAATGGCCACATTCTTACTGTTTTCCTTTGCTTTGATATCATTTGCTATGATATCCTTTGTTCAATTCTTCTTTTCCTGCTTTCTCTGTCAGCCCCTCTCGCTTGCCGAAAAAGAATGTATTTTGCCCTTGGGGCGAGAGAGAAAGAAAAAGGCGGCGTTGAGAGAAGACAATGGGCGCATGGTTATTACTATTCTCTCTCTCTCTCTCTCTCTCTCTCTCTCTTCTGTCTTTCACTTCATGCTTCATTTCCCTTTTCCTTATCAGCTCTTCCTCACTTCTCCTATTCCTCATACCCTTCTCTTCAATGGACACCAAAAATGGTGTAGTCGCTACTATCTCCCTCTCTCCCTCTCTTCCTCCCATTCATATCTAACCAAAATAATATATTCCACAAGGGTAATAGAAAAGCATAGAGGAGAGAGAATAGAAACGAGAGGACGATGATCGAAAATCGGCAAGCAGAGATGTCAACAAACCACAACAACCCTCCCTCCTTTCCCACAAGCTGGCTCTCACATCCCATTCCTCTATTATTTTCCTTTTACACTTTTTTTTCCCCACGACTTGTGTAGCCTTGGGGAAGTGAATGCCTGCAAAGAGAACCCGCGCCAGCCCCTGGTTGAATACCAGCAAAGGAAATAAACAAGATGGTTTTTTTGGTCCTGGTCTCAGCCAGGGATGGAGGGTGGGGGTGTAATCAGCTCTTGGCATGTTAGAGCCTGGATATGGAATAGCCCTTCTTGACTGACCCCGTGGATACCATTCTATCGGCCAGCCAGTCAGAAAGCAAGCGTGCTTGCCGCTCGTTTCGGTCAATCTGTTTTACCAGCCACTCGCGTTTGAATGCGCCCCCCCCCCCGCCTCTCCGCGTCTTGGCTAATAACAAACACGTCTGATCATCTCACTCAGGGCCGCCGAGGGCTATCTCTGTCACCAAGCCTCGCCTCGCCCTTTCTCGTTCGAATACTTCGCCCACACTCCATTCATCTTGGTTCGGCAACAAAGTTGGACTCACAAATCGTCCCCCCTCGGCTTTCACGTTCGCATCTTTCCCCTACCACCACCTCTTCTTCGCCAAACCACGCGCAAATTCATCCGTGCAACGTGATTTTTTGTTTCTTTTAACTTTCCTTCACTAAACAAAAACAATTAAGTATGTGCAGCACGATTGAGAGCGATATTGGTTTCGATTTTTTTTTCTCTGATCATCAATCTTTTTCTTCTTACATACGTTCGCTCCTTCCTTATTTCACTTCTACCTCTCCAACACCTGATCTAGCTGCCGATATGTTTTCTCCCCTTTGCTTTCATTCCTTTTTCTATGTTCACTCTTAGTTGCCGAAATGCCACTATTGATCATGCTAGTCTATGATCCGGTGTATAAACACACAGGGCTCTCTCTCCCTCACTTCCTTGCCCTTGATCATTACACAAAAAAGAAATCTATTCTTGGGAATGTATGTGGGGTTACAAAAAGGCATTTTGGGTTTCCTCGTAGAAAACCCCCCTTTGTATGTATTACCATCCCAAGGAAGGAAGGGGAGGGGGGATCAAGGAATGTGAAGACTAGGCCAAAAAAAAATAAAAAAATTAACCCCTCTTTATGTTCTTTGTGTCCTTCTTTTTGTTGGCTGTAAACTCTGTCATTATTACTTTGTCGTCGCCCCAGAAGTTATCTTTATCCGTCCCCCCTTTCCCCCCCTTGAATTGACGCGCCCTAGCAAAACTCTCATTAACTCATTAACTCCACCAAACTCCTTTCCTTTCTTCCCCTTCACGAACATGTTCATTTTACCTCTCATTCTTACCCTTATCGTGTTCGTCTCTCACATTCATATCAATAATTAGCCCATTCGCGCTCACCCATCCCATTCCCTATCACTTCTCGACACATCAGAATATCAAGACTTTAAGAACAAAAAAATGATTTATTGACGACCAATGTATTGTCCGTCTGGAAAACGTCGAATATGCAGAAGCGAACGGGTTCTTTTGACCTCAGCCACAGCAGGAGAAGGGGGGGGGGGGGGGGGATAATTTGTTTGCACACCATAAAATAAGAAAAAATGGAGGATGACGATGTCCATCCCTACTCCACTTCAGGGGGTTAAAAAAATGCTTTTTAGTTTTGGCCCATGAGGGATCACAAATAAAAAAAATTCGCGCCGTAAGAAAAAAAAAACAAATGAGGTCGTCAAAAGAACGTGAAGATGCAACAGATCAATTGAAATTAGAACGTGTTTTGTAAATAAATAGAATATTAATAATTCGCAAAAAAAAAAAAAGACCACTGGTATGGACGACTAGTCTTGTTCCTGAGGGAATTAAAAAAAAATGGGAGAGCAGGATGGGTGTAGAAAAAATCAAAAGATGCGGGGTGGAAGGTGCGTAATACTTCCAGGACCAATTCGTTAACAGGAAGTGTTTTACGCAAAGAAAAAAAAGTTGGAGAGAAAAAATTATAAAATGAAATGATGACGATAACTTCGATGGTTAACTGGACATAGATTTTTTTGTATGAACAAAACCTTGCAGCTGTATGAGCAGGCAAGATGTGTTCAAAGTACTTGGATAAAGCAAAGGAAAAAGAAAAAAAAATCGGCAGAACGATTTGAAAGTCTTCGTTATCAAGGAGAAAGGGGGGGAAAAGAGGTTTACTTGGTATGAAACACAAGCTGTTTATAAGGTAAACAATCCGCAAGAGTGGAAATAAGGGAGAAGAGAATCAATGGAAATAAAAGTATTCAAAAACAATAGAAAAGAAGAAAAAAAGTTGAGGTGGCGAGGAGGAAGAGGAGAAAGACGACGCGCGCGGCGCGGCGGTCAAGCGCGATTGTGGAAGATCAGATCAACTGCAGTCAAGCGCGATTGTGGATGATCAGATCAGTTGCGCTCACCAACGGCAACAGTCTACTAGGACACGGCTCTCTGCCCGTTTGGTCAATAAAAGAAAGTAGAAGAATGGACGGAAGGCGATCTCCCAAAAGAGGGTAAATCAAAACTATGTGATAGAAGAAAAAAACCAGGTGCTGGAGGATATTGGAGAGCGGCAAGGAGGGCGCGGGAGAAGAAGAAGGAGACAACTGGACAATCTCACAAAACCATAGCACGATGAACGACTGGCTCCAGATGTACGCGGTGGGAGACTATAGACGGACTGTCAGGGGAGGGCAGGGATTATAAACATGACAGACGCGTTATCAGGACGTGTATCTTGGAGGCGCTTGGGAGGTGAGACAGTGACAGTGCTGTTGATTGGCCGGGGAAGAGGGGTGAGACAAGTGTTAAAACATAGTGCAACTTCAGGAACAGTAGAGATACACAGCCCCACGCCAAAGGAAGGTGAAAGTGAAGGTGAGGGTCGAGGAAGAGGGGAAGGACAAGGAGGTCAAGGAATATGAAATATTGTCTGGGGTTGCACCAAGGTGTCTGTTCAATGCTGCGAGGAAGCAATGCGACATGCAGCTGCAAGTTGATGGAGAGAAAGTAATGGAAAAAAGTGGTTGTCGCATCGTGCGATCAGGGTGGGCATCGTGAGATCAAGGTGTGCGTCGACGGCTGTTCTCTATGAGAGGTGGTGCTGGGGAGGAGGAGGTTTTGGACGGTTGTCGGTAAGTATGTAGTTTAGTGACAGGGACGCGAAGCCAGGGAGTCAAAGGCAGTAAAAAGGAAAGGTTCAACAGACCAGAGAAAAGAAAACAGGGCGAAGGAAGGAAAGGTGTCCTATAAGGGGGCAAGTAATGGAAAATGTAGAAAATAAAAGGAAGAGATTCGAAAGTACAATACGTACTGAACAGGGACAGCAGCCTTTCAATTGAATGAGAAAGCGATCGGATTCGGCGATTAACATCGAGCTTTTTTCAAAGGAGAACAGGAGTGAATGAATGTGTATGTGTGTTAGGGAGCGTGATGTTGGGAAGGGTGATGGGCACAAGAATGAGAATAAGAAAAAGAGAGTGAGTGTGTGTGGTGTGTGTGTGTGAATGGGAGTGATGGGACAACCGCTCGCTCGACACGATCGAGGTTAGAGCTGATCGTGTCAAGCGAGCGAGTGGTAGGTGAGGACGGAGAAAAAAAAGGCGCACTCGCGCCGTTTTGTTTGTCAGCTTTACAAATGAGGTTTGAGGAGATAAAAACGGGTTAGGGAACGGTTAGGACGAGGAAAAAGAGGAAAGGAAGGAAAGGAGGTCAAAAGAGATCGAAGAGAAGGGGAGAGCAAAAGGGATCGAGGTGAAGGAGAGAAGGAGAGAGTAAAAGAAGGATCACGGATAAAAAATAAGGTAGAAAAGTAAAGTGCAAGTGAGAGGAAGAAGACAAGATATCGATGGGGTGGGTGTGTCTGTTTGTCTGTCTGTCTGTCTGTCTGTCTGTCTGTCTCCCTGTCCACAATAATGGGTTGATGGCTGTCAGTGAACGCAAAGACAGAAAAAGACGGAAAAGAGTGGGGCAAAGCACAAAAGAAAAAAGATGTAGATGGCTGAACGCACGCAGGGGTTGCTAGGGTGACTCTCTCCACCTTGTGGATAGATGTCGCCTGTTTGTTGATTTACGAAAATAAAGGAATATTATATAATAAGCAAGATGGAAATGGATACGCAAAAGAGGACTGTACGTGTGGATGTCTATTGAGTTTTACCTTTTTACCTTGTTTGAAGAAACAAGCACTTAATCCAGGTTCTTGGGCCAAGATCGTCTCATCGTTGCTTAGTTCCCGATTTGTCGGCATCCCTCCCTAATTGACGCCATGACCCCACCGGTATAAAAACTCTGAACGCGACAAAAACAAACCGCGTCCTCTTACGTACTCCTCTTCTTCCAACTGTGTGCATATCATCCCAAAGCAAAGCTTCCCCTTGCTCTCTTGCCTTTTGTTTTTCATCATTTACCTCTCTCCACCATGTATTCCTCTCTGTCCGTGGTGTGTGAATTGCCTCCTTGGTCGCCCCTTTTGAACTTTAGTCGATGGGAAATGCAAGGGAGCTAAAAGCAAGGAAAGGGAGAAAAGAGGAGGAAAAAAAGGGATACCGTCAAGAACATGAGCTGGCAAGGCACAGAAGGAGGAAAAAAAGGGGATAGGCAGCAGGATCACATTGCGAGACAAGCACACCTTGACATGATTCCATGTGTGAATTCTCGACCTGTTTTATCAGTCAACTCCTTTCTCTTTGTCCTGTCTGCCCCTTTCCCATCTCTCTTTTTATTTCTTTTCATTTCATTTCATTTCGACATTAACAATAATACGCACGCTCAGCTCACTCAGCACTACTCGCAACGACCCAACTCATCTGCAGGAAGGAAGCAAAAAGATCAACAACAGGAATCAACATCAACAATGTTGTCGACAAACGCAGGAGTCCACAATGGAGGTGACCCCACCCTGAACAGCCACCACGCTCACCAGCAGCAGCATAACGGCGGTGCTGCCAACAACAACAATGCTCATATGCAACCACACGGTCATACCCAGCAGGACCACCATCACCACCATACCCAACCATCCCACCACAGCCACCACCACAATCGGCAAGAAGAGGTGAAGAAATGAGCCGTGTTTTCATATTCTGTAGTGGCCGGTGAGAAATACGTGTCGGATTTTGGGACTTGTGGTGGAGGGCTATTTTGGTCCTGACCTTGTTGTCTTTTCTCGCTCTTTTTTTTGTGTGTTGCTTGACGGAAACGACTAGGAGAAGGCTCGCCTACGAGCAGAGCAGCGCGCGAAAGATATTGCCAAGAACCAAGAACATATCTTTTACTCGACGCGATACTACGGTATGCTTGTGTGATTTGATACCTGGTACCATGGGGAAAACGAGCTTCCCACACTAAACTTTCATGTCTTTTTACACTACTGTACAACGTTAGACGATGTCTGGGAATACAGGTACGGATAATGCTCTCCTTGTGAACCACAGCGCTGACTTTTGTCCACACAATGGCTAACAGACAGACGTATTTTTTTGGCCTCACATGCAAATATAGACATGTGTCGTTACCAAAGCCTATCGCGCGACACGTTCCCAATGAGTTGATGACAGAGGAAGAGTGGAGAAGTCTTGGAGTCAAGCAGTCCCAAGGCTGGGAGCATTACATGATCCACAGTACGTTCCCTTCTTATCAGGAACCGTCTTTTCTGGAGTTACGTGTCGCTCACTAAGCTCACCATATCTCCTTGTAATCCTTCGTAAACAATAGGTCCTGAGCCGCATGTTCTCCTCTTCAAACGTGAGAAGGACTACCAGATCAAGTATGGTTTCGCTTTGACCACTTTTCCTTCGTTTTTCATGCGAGCCAAGACTTATGTGACAGTTTTCTATACTTTTCCTTCATTTGCCCTCTAGGTACCTCAATGCACCTCCACCCAAGCCTTAAGACTGGAACTGATCTCTAAACCACCCTGGATGATGGATACACTCATGGATGGCGGACAACAAGCATACCATATCCACGAATGCCTTTTCTTTTTTGTCCCTCTTCTTACTACTTGTCGAATGAACCATGCCTGCTAAGAGACACCCACCCTTTAGATAACTCTTTTGCAGAACAATGAACTCTTTTTATTTTATGTGAATATGTGAAGGACCTGATCGAATTGTAATGCTGAAAAAGCAGTCCTCGTTTGGATCGTTCTCCTCGAACCATTGGGCTGATCTCTTACCAAAGCGATTCATTCCGAGAATGCACAACTCTCTTTTTCTTTTGTCCATACAACTTTCTCACGGATTCCAGGACACAAGCAACATCGACTATGGCTAGCATCGGAAGGATCACTACACGGATCACCAGGATCTCATCACCTCACCACGTCCTCCGTCGCAGCATCCTCCAACCCGCTACTGCGCGGTTCCTTACCACAACTCCCCGCACCTTCCACTCCCACAACTCTTTCAACGATACCACCGCCGCCAACAACAACAACAACAACAACAACAACAACAAAGAAGACGCGATCTACACGGTGAACAAGGAAGAAATCGCGAAATTCGCCGCAATGTCTGACGAATGGTGGGCTCCCCAGGGGCCCTTCAAGATGCTGCATCTCATGAACCCACCCCGGATCCGGTATATCCGTAACCGGCTCCAGGCCTCTGGTGCTTTGTCCAAGAATGGTGCTTTTGGCGCTGAGAGTGGGAAGGAGGAGTTTTCAGTGGGAAGGTTTCCATTGCAAGGACTTTCCATCTTGGATGTTGGGTGTGGCGGTGGACTTCTTGCTGAGGTAAAATATTCACAGGATATTAGTTGTCTCTATCGAGAAAAGCTAGATATCAAAAAAAAAAAAATGTGAGATTCGATTCAGGAATACTAAACTGTGATTTTCTTCGTGTTCACAAAAAAAACCAACAACGACGATAACCATTTAGGCATTGGCGAGATTGGGGGCAAAGGTAACGGGATTGGACGCGTCGATCGAGAACATACAAATGGCACGGATCCACGCCAAGAAGGACCCCCTTCTCAACGGCGTCTCTGCACCCGGATCCCTCGAGTACCGCCATCAGACCGCCGGTAACTTTCCCCTCTCTTTGTTTTCACTTTATCATGCCAATCAGAGATCGAGAAGGGGGGTGTGATATGAAATTGAGGCGAGGGGTGGAGGACTCCTGTTAACGTTTTATACTTGTGTTGTGGTGTATTTAGAGCAATTGCTGGAACAGGGACAGCAATTTGATGTGGTCTGCTCGATGGAAGTCATTGAACATGTCGAGAACCCCGCAGGGTTCCTCAAAGTCCTCGGCCAACTCATCAAGGTAAAAAAAAAAATATATGACTATAACCCCTACTAACAACCAAAAAAAAAAAATGCGCTGCGAAAACATGCCATCTCTTCTTCCCGCTGACTACCTTTTTTTTCTCTCCTTCCTACATCTTACCTGAATTAGCCGGAAGGAGATTTGATCCTCTCAACAATCTCGCGTACACCGCTCTCCTACTTTTTAACAATCTTTGCCGCAGAACATGTCATGCGCATGGTCCCCGTGGGGACCCACCATTGGTCGAAATACATCAACCCCGATGAACTCCACAAGGGCGTTGAAGAGCTTTCAAAATGTGAGGTCTTGAATATTCAAGGCATCGGATTTAACCCCCTTTCGGGACAATGGGAACTTACACGGAGTCGGGATGGTAGTGGTAGCGCGGAGGCTGGGTTGTTGGGGTTGCTGGGGCCACCACTGGCGGAGGCTTCGAATTATTTCTTGGCTGCCAAAAAGCCTGCCGCTGCCACTGTCGCTGCTGACGGGTCTTCATAGGGATACAGCACACTCGGGGCATACTCACATTTACATAGACAATCTCCACTGTATAAAAAACACATATAACACAATACAACACAGGCACAGAATCATGATTATTTGCAGGTGTAATGATACAGAGCGCTACAGTTTAGATTTGAACATCCGTTGGGAGAGTGGGAACTAGACCGCTGGTCTTATCCTCTACCGCATAATACATCTCCATCCCAACACCATAATCTATGCGTGATAGGTTGTACAACAGCGAAAGAAGTATGGATTAGCAAAGAGTATGCAAACGACCCCTGGCGAATTCAAATAATACAATTATCAAACAGCTTTACCTCCAAGGAACTCGATGTGATACGCCTCCAAGGCAGGGTAGGTCGACACCTCGCCCAGCGTCATCTCAAACACAGGTCCAACGATCACAGGCGCAGTATGTGCAAGAGTAGGCTAATCGTAGAAAATTGAATGCGATAGTTGGAATGTAAGGATGATGTTGCTCTCTGTCCTTGGGCACAGATACAAGGAATGACATAAAAAACAACTTACACGACGGAGATCCTTAGACTTTTTCTGAGACATCTCCTTGGACCCGCCTTCATCACCAGCATCCAAACCCTCATCATCCGACAGATATCCCTCTGGAACTAGCCAGTCGTCCTATAAATAAATAAAAAGTCAGCGCCTTTTTCCCGTAATGATTGTACAGCACGACACAAGGAACCAAAAAAATAACATTCTCAAAGTTACCTCCTCTTCTTGTTCACTGCAGAGTTCCTCGGCATCATCATCGTCATCGTCAGACTTGCACTCTTCACCCTCCTCGTCTTCCTCCCACTCAGCTTCACTGTCAAAGTCATAATCCACCAAATCCGCATCCTTGCCCAAAAATCGGCGTCCTGTAATGTTCTTGCTCCTCTTTGACCACGTTCCTACAATTTCATTGCAAAATAGCCGCATTAGAAACGATGCGTGCTGTAAAATAACGACAACAAATGGTGAACTTATATGAGATGTACCATAGTAGGCGGGGCGGTAGTTCTCGGCGAATTGGAAGAGACGCATGCGGAGGGCGGGGATATCCTTCCAGGTGAGCATGGAGCTCATGTCATCATTATCCTGGTCCTCCTGGAGCAACAGTCCCGACTGAATCACATCCGCAACCGACATATCCCTGGCACCCTGTGGAAGCCGCTTCATGGTACGAGGCTTTGACGCGTCGCTACCAACAATCAGCCGAGTCCGCGAAAACAATATCGAGAGCGTAGTCTTGGCAGTCGCCGTGTCCAGTGAAGGGGCAGCTTCCATGTCTACATCCATCATATCTGCATCGCCATGATGCATGTCAGCATCCTTGTCAGAATCCTGCTGCGTCTTTCCGAGACCGAGTTCCTTGTCGATGGTACTGCTGCGGGGTTCAGAGACAAAGCGGTTGATAGGCGCCAGCGCCGTGTCCTTCTTGACGTGAAATGGGTGGAAACGGCTCGCAACTGGCGCAGTTGAGCAATCTGCGCCATTGACAACCTGGGCTGCATCCTTCTTGTCTGCCACCGGAGCCGCATTCTTGAAGAATCCAACAAACTTTTGTGCCCGCTAATATCGGTAAAGTGTAAATAATGATATTTACATAGGCCATTAGTGCGAGTGGATACCAGAACAACGTCATCTAGAACAAAACAAAAACAAAACCCCCAATTGACCCGGTCAAGAATAATCACCTGGTCCTGCTTGAGTTTATCTTCCTCGGCCTTCTTCTTCTTGGCCTCTTCCTTTTGCAAACGCTCGGCCTCTTTCTGGTCCTTCTCCTGCTGTCTCTCGGCCATCTTGCGTTCCTTCTCCAGTCGTCGCTCCTCCTTGGCCTCTGCTTCTTTCTTCTTGCTCTCGGCCTCCTTGAGTTTGAGCTCCAAGACTGCTGGATCAACTGCCGCCTCAACCGTGGGCTGACTTTCTAGCAGAGGTCCAGCAACTATATCCTTATCAATATCCATCCCCTCAGCTCCTCCAAGAGAGAGGCGACCCTTCTGGCCAGACGCCAGTGACCCTGCCTCCGCGCCCAACAATGCTTCCGGAGCAACGGCAGGAAGGACAGGGGGTGGTGCGAGATCCTCCTGCTGCTTGGCATCCAATCCCAAGAACCAGGCCGTCAAAGCCGCCGATGCCTCCAATCGCTTCGTCCGCCGCCGAACCACGGCTGCCTTCATATCACTCGGAAAGTACTGGTCGATATTCTGGACCTCCCAGCGGAAGATCGACAAGTTGGGTGGTGTCACATATGCCTGGCCTGGCAAATTGACGATGGGTACACCATAATTGACCCGTTGCGCCACCGACTGGATCACCTCCATGATGGCTGTTACCGAAACTGACGTCCCTGTCCGCTTACTGGGACTCGCTGAATTTGACTGACTGGCATCAGTATCCTCCATGTCCGAATCAACGTCCATGCTACTGATATCCTCAGGTGCTGTTGCAGACTCTGCAAAGGCATCGAATCCGAGCGGGCAGAGCATAGGCTTGAGGGCCAGCGCCACCTCGGACAAGGTCGCGTCGTTCTCCTCCACCATCTTGGCGACCAATCCATAGTGTTCCTGTGGTATGCTGGTAATCTCGACACAATCCGCCTCCAACTTGACGCCAGAGAACTCTGACAGGTCTGTTGCCTCCTGTAACTTTTCCCGATACTCGTGAAACTTGCAGAGGTCTGCGATGGCGGAGGGGTGTGTTGAGAACCTGAGCTTGTTTTCTGTGAAGGAGGCCTTCCCGCTCCTGACTTTGAACATGGACGCCGTATCGATCTTGTTGACTTTGCTCATGCCGCTGCTTGGTCCTGTAGTTGTTGTAGCGGCGGCAGAGATTCCATTGACGTTAGTGGATGATGGAGCGGCGGTGGGATTGCTGGGTGATTTGGGTGCCTCTATTGCTGTTGTTGTTGTAGCGTCAGTTGATCCCAATGGTACCGGCGTAAGTGTTGCTCCTGCCTCCGCTGCTGCTGCGTTCGGGCTGGTCCTCGTCTTGGCCACGTTCTTGCTGGGTGAAGATTTAGATTTTGGTGCAGGATCTGCCGCAACAGATGTCGAATCAGACGTAGCCGATTGTTGTGCAGAAGATGCACCTTTCTTGGATTTTATCCCTGGTATTATCACCGCCGTCAGAGTTTCCTTCCTTGCCGACGCTGCCGCTGCAGTTCCTGTCGCCCTCCGTGATTTGGTGGGTGATTTTGGTGCTGCTGTTGACTTGGCGGGTGTCTTGTTGACTGTGGTAGTTGTTGTTGAAGATGGTGTGTCGTTCTCGGTAGTCGTCTCTTTTGGCTTTTTGGCGCGGCTGGCTCGTTTCCTTGGTTTGGGTGATTCTGCAACCGGTGTCTCTGCTGGTTCTACGGCTTCCTTGGCAGCTGTACACGAGCGTAACATAGGAAAAAAGACGGTGTGAGGGATGTTTTCTGGGCCGGTTGAATGGATGCAAGCACCCAAAAATTGTTTCTTCTACTCGTGAGCTTACGTTCTGCGGCTTGAGTTGCAGGTGGAGTGTGGGTGGGGGGGGTATTGTCGGCTTTTGTGAAGAATGCCGACAGGGTCTTTGTCATTGTAGGTGATGATGGCTTTGGCGGCATCTCTGTGTTGATCTCTTCGTTATTCACTCCTGGTCGTTACAAAGGTTGTTGTTGGTAGGTTCAAGCCAGGTAGAGAGGGGAGTGTATGTAGAGGTCTCCTTGTCCTTTGCTCGCTGCTTTGTAGTAGTAAGTTGTTGTTGTTGTTGGTTGTGAGTGTTGAGTGATGTCGGATGTCAGTTGAGTTCGAGAGGAAACAAGAAAGTGGTGGCGATGAACGACTGAATGTCGAGCTAAAACAAACGAACGACGCGCCCTGACAAACAAAAATATGTTTGGAGAACAGTCCCACCGGCGGTATGTCACGGGATTAGAGGATGTACCAAGGAAGTGGCCAATCAGAACTCATGTATCGAGAACGACATATACCATGACAAACAGCCTGGTAGTTCTTCCTAAGTGAAGTACCTCAGAATGAAGTGTTTGAGTGTCGCGCTCTAATGAAAACATGTTAAAATAGCATTTTTACATCAGATCTATCACCACTGTTGGATCCATGCAGTGAAACTGCAGCGACGAAGCATTGTTAAACAAACGATTTTCCTGTAGATGTAAGCGTAATCAACGGATGCGCTCTGTGCCACGTCGATTGGGGAGGTGATTCATATGTTCTACTGTATGCGCCTTCTGGAGGCGCTTCTTTCTTCCTCACCCTCAATCCATAGCGTAAGCGAGTAGAGCTTGAACTCCTCTAATAATTCGTTAATTTTTATTTTTCGTCCACGTATGAGTCTCACAACTAGATTACCTACTATCAAGAGCATCAATATGAGCGCCTCTTCTTCCTCATCCGAGAGGGGTCAGTCAACAGAGGGGAGAAGCTGGAGTGTGCAAGAAGAACCGAGTGACGATCCGAAAACGGTCTTTCTCAGGAGGTATCTACCTTGGGCCATGGAGAAGTGTGAAAAAGAGTATATCTCATTCGCTTCGTTTGTCCATTAGTTCAACCTGCCCGACTTGCGGGATGCGCAAGACACCTACGAAGCTGTGATCGACTCCACACAGCTCAAGACCTTGCGCTGACAATCGTCGAAGACAGCGTGCAACACTTTCAGGAAGCACAGCCTGTGGCGATTCTGGTCAAATCATATGCTGAAAATGGAACGACGTGACACAAAGACCAACTTTGACATCAAGGCCGCGAAGTCTGCAAGGGTTGTGCAGGATGTGGGTCTGAAGGAGACATAGAAAAGAACTCTCCTTTGCCCTTTCCCTTTCCCTCTCCTGATTGATTGAGTGATGAATTTGCATTGTGTCGCGTGGGCTTGGGTTGGCTGTAACAGTTGAAATAAAAAAAGGGGCGCAAGAGGCGCACCATTTAACGGTACACGTTGCGCAATTCCGATGTTCCCACTACCAACGTGTACGAACAGATGTCAAAGTGTCAGGTGGGGAAAGAATACAAACATACAAAGAAAAGACAGGAAACAAGCACGATGAAGAGTTGGGTCAGACTACATTTGGTTTTATTGTTTCCAAAGAGCTGAATATGATGCGAAAATATTATGATGGTATAAAAACTACATTAGTTAAAATGGAGTGGGGATTTGTGATAAAAAAAGCTCCAGCGCGTATTATACGAGCATGGGGGAACGAGAGACGAAGGCGAACACCAAACCAGAAACAAGACCGGCAGCGGGGAGGGTGGCAATCCATCCGGCGAAAATACCGAGCAGAAGACGCCAGTTAAGGGACTTGAAACCACCGCCAGACATGAGACCGATGGCCGAGGTGGCACCGGTGATGCAGTGGGTCGAGGAGACGGGAAGACCGAGCTTGGAGCAGGTCAAGATAGTGATCGAAGTACCCATCTCGGCCGCGAATCCACGGGTAGGAGACATGTAGGTCATCTTGTTACCGAGGGTGCGCATGACGTGGTAACCGTAGGTCATCAAACCAAGATCGATGGCAAGACCTCCAAAGACAAGAATCCAGACGGGGACGGGGGCCTTCTTGACGTTAATGTTGGCGTTCTCCCAGATGTAGTAGATGGTGGCAAGGGGACCGATGGCGTTGGCAACATCGTTGGAACCGTGGGCAAAGGAGGTGAAGCAGGCAGTGACGACCTGGACGGCAGAGAAGAGACGCTCGGTATCGTGGTCGTACTTGGTAGCGTGGTCGTGGACAGAGTTGGTATTCAAGTCGTGGGTGATGTTGACCTCCTGGTTAAGACCGTGGGTGACAAAACCCTTGAGCTTCTGGCCAAAGGACTTCTCCTTGTCCTCGAGAGCAACCAACGAAGCATCAGCCTTGCCTTCACCAGCCTCAAGATCAACAGCGGCCTTGCCACCCTTCTCTTCGACAACCACAGGAACCTCACCCTGGGGCTTGACGAAGGGGATGATGAAGACGTGGAACCACTTGAGGTTCTCGTTGTCCTTGATTCTGCGGCGGAGGAAGGGGCGGAGGAAGAAGAAGCACCAGAGGAAGACCAAGGCACCGACACCGAGAGCAATACCGACGGCAATTCCAATCTTACTGTCAGACTTCAGGGAGGTATTTGGGGCACCCTTGAAGATGATGTAGAAGACGTTGACGGTCAAGGCAATACCGAAGTAGACGGGGATAGCGACGAGACCGCGCTGGAACGAGTTCTCGTGCTTCAAGACCAAGAACTGGGTGATACCAAAGAGGAGGGCACAGACAAGACCGGCGCAGACGGGAGAGACTACCCAGGAAAGGACAATCTTTGTGATACCACTCCACTGGATACCATCGGAACCGAAGGCAGAGATACCAGCACCGCAAATGGCACCGACAATGGCGTGGGTGGTCGAGACGGGCCAGCCGCGGGAGGTGGCGAACAAGACCCAGCTGGAGGAACCGATCAAAGCGCAAACCATGGTCAACTATTGACAAGAACGAGAAGATAAGAAGAGAACGAAGAGAACGTTTTCGTTAGAGGCTGTGATATTTGTTTTTGCTGTTGAGAAAGAGGAAGCCGCGTTCAGGACAAGGAAAAGAAAGCTTACCATAAGAATCTCGGGCTGGGCCTCGTACAAGGACGTCTCAACGATTCCACCCTTGATGGTCTCGGTAGTGTTGGCACCGAGGAGGAAAGCTCCTCCGAACTCACAGAAACAGGCGATGAGCAAGGCTTGGGCAAGGGTAATGGTACCGGAACCGACAGAGGTGCCGAAGGCATTAGCGACATCGTTGGCACCAATACCATAGGCGTCCATGAAGGCGAAGAAGAGACCAATCCCGAAGAGAAAGGTGAAATCGTGGACTTCCATCATTTTGGATGAAGTGTTATGTGAGCGAGAAGTGGGAGAAGGTGGAAGGGTGGTGGAGTGGTGGTGAAGAGACGGAAGGAGGAGAGGAAAGAGGGCCGTCTGGGGGGTGGAGGATGGTGAAGAGGATGGGGCTACTGGTTGGGGAGGGTTAGTCGTCGAGGCACACAGAAGAAAGGGATGAGTTGTAAGGATGGCAAAGGTATATTTATACAAAATGGAAGTAAGGATGAGGTTTCGTTGTGCTGAGCACGCTCTAGGGGTGTGTGTGCAGTATGTTGCTTCTGAGTAATGAAAAAAATAAAAACGAATGATGTTATCCAACCCAACTGTATGAGATGTGTGTCTATCCATTCGAACTAAGTTGCTCGAGAGCACGAAAACTGAAGAGAGAGTGAGTTAAAAAGGAGGGAGAGTCTGAGTGCCGCTAATCGATGCTTGATGGGCCCTCGTGGTCGGTCTGACTTGTTGAAACTGTTGCTTACCCGGTAAAGGAATCAGCCAATCAGACCCTAAAGCCCATGGTCTTTCGACTCCCTGCGCGGGTTCTGGCTTCCTATTGGCTATTCCATTCAACCTCTTTTTTTTACGGGCATGGCGGTGTATGCATAGCGTACAAACGCGCCTTCTTTCTTCTCACAGAGAGAAAGGGCATGGACTTAGATCGAACGGACAACAGACAAGAGCATAACAGATCGCCTTTTATGTTTGCTCCTAAAGATGTTCCGGCTGTCCTTCTATCTGCCAGTCCATCGGTCTGTCTAGGTGAATGAATGAACCACCACCACGCCACCGCCACCGTGTGCAATTGCATCCCTGTAACTCGCCCCCCTCCCCCTTTCCCCTCTCCCCCTCTCCGTTTCATTTCCACCGATTTCCTTCCTTCGTCTCATTTTGCCAGGTAAGGTCATCATTCTTTTCCCTGCTTCCTGCCCATCTCGTTTTTTTTGGGCCAATTACCGAGGGTTGTTTGTGCAACCTTATTGAAGATTAGAAAGGACAGAAACATGTCCCTACCTTCAGCCAATCAAATCTCAGGACCACCAGAACGTGCATGTGGACCCTCCGCCAGGCGTCCATTTTTCTTTTTCTTTTTCTTTTTTTTTTTTTTTTTTTTTTTTTTTGGCGAAAAGAGGTGCTCAGAAGAAATTGGGTATCAGAGTCGAGGTGGGAGTTGAGTTTGAGAGGCTCGTCCATTCGTCGTTTTTAGATACTTCCTTCCTTCGTTTCTTCCTGGGGTTTCTTCTTTTTTTTTTTGAATTTGGTTTATTGCCGACTGATGCGTGGATCTGTCTACTCTTCCAATGGGCGGGCAGAGTGAAGAGAGGTGGTAGAGAAGAAGGGGAGATGGATATTCCGCGAAGCTACTTTGGATGATAACAACACTTACGTAGCAAGGATACGAGAAAGAGAGAATCGATCCATCCAATGTAGTTAGAGTAGAATCCAATGGTCGTAGCTTAGCTTACCGCACACTGTTCTATTTGTCGAAAAAGTATATGAAATAAGCCTGACAGCCCTCCAATGCAATTTCACCAACTTAATAACCGAGAGACAGACCAGAATCAGGACATAATGTACGCCCTTTTTTATTTCGTTATGTTCCTAACTTCCTATCAGGGGTTTATGAGACAACAAGGTCAGGGACAGAAAAGTGGGTCACAGTGTTGTACGCTCTTCTCCCATGATTCCATCCGCATTGCAGACCAACCCCCGATTTGAGTATTCCGTTTCCACGTTAGTGACAAGTCTTATATGTGTCCTTAGAAACAGATAGAAATAGAGAACGAGAGACATTCATTGTTGATCATCATCATCAACAATCACTATCACTACCATCACCAGTCCCCTTGCTCCATCATATGGGATCGATTCTGAATCCATCATTTCAGAATTTTCCTGCTCGCTGCTGTCTCCTTCGTCTCGTGGTGGGAGGGGAAGGAATCGAGACATAATGGACTGTGTGCTCGTCTTTCGACCTCGAAAAGCGAAGCACCTATCACTCGCCTGCCACCCATGATCAAGAGATAAAAACACGCATCTCTCTCCACTCTCACACACTTGGACACAGCAAAAACAGCAGTCATAATCTTTCAATTGCAAAAAAAGAACCCGAAGGGTAAGGGAGTAGTAGACAGAGATAATGCAATCCGAGCACACAACACGAGCGAATCGATCGAGAAAATTGAAGAAGGAAAGGAAAGCATGCGATGGTCGAATGGACGAATGCGCAAGAAACTCGACTCACGAGAACAGCCTAACAGTGAATATTCATAATGTGATTGGGCTTACAAGAACGAAAGTCATTCGACGTTACTCAGAGGTGTCGAACAGATGCATTGTGCGTGGACCATGGGTGGGAAAAGAGCCAACAAACAATGAGACAACAAAAAACTTAAAAAGGGAAACTGGGAAACTTTATATTCTTTTCTACTAACAAGAGCAAGCGCGATGGCCCGTGGTGGCCATCCGCCACTTTGATTGGGTTATGAACGCCATTGTAGGGAAAGAAAAGAGGAAGAGCCTGGATCTGCATCGTTTGCAAAAGTGGACAAACCCGGGTAAACAACGTTGGGGTTTGGAGGGGTTGTAGGGAGAGGGAGTACCGTAAATGCAAAGCAGGTGATGCACGTTTTGGGATGCTGGATAGAAACTCATCCTCGTTGGATACTTTTTTTGTGTGCGTGCTCACAGAAGGACAAAGGACATTGGAGAAGAAGGTATGTGTAAGAGACGGAGTTGTCGACTTCACAAGAGGGCTCTTAACAGAACTTGTACGACAGACACAAAGCAAGCAGGTGAGGTGTTGCGCCTGTTGCCCACCTTCCACACGTTTCGAAGACGTCCCAAATTAGGACACAGTAAACGATCGGTTCATTCATTCCTCTCACTCCCTCCCCATTTTTTTTCACAGGCTGGACAAAAGGCTAGCGTCCCATATGGGGAGAAAGGAGAATGCAGTCCATTGTACAGCAGGGAAAATCAGGAAAAGCACTAGCAGGGAGTGGAAATGCCCGCCTTTTTTTCCTTTTCATGGTTCTAGCGCCGATGTGGTGGATACTCTAGCTCTAAAGGATGGCTCGAAGGAGGAGACAGACAAAACGTGCATTGACGATGAGCACGTTGTGGGAAGGAGTGGGCGATAGATAGTTGGGTGGGAGGATCAAATGGGCATAAAGGTCACTCCTATAATGTCCGTAACCGCCGCCATGCTATGCAAGTCTATTCTAGTGTAGTACTTCTTTTGTTTCTATCACGAGAGGGGGAGTCGCGATTCTTTGTAAGAGGAGAAGATGACCGCCTGCCAGTACCACTTAGACATATGTATCCGGCGTATGCTATGATATCAATTTCTTCACCGCCGTGCCGTAGTCATAGATACGTGTATTTTCCGTTAAACCAAACCAACAATAAGCATGGACCACGATCCTCCTCTTGTGCAATCGAGATCTGCTATTGTCGCCCCAGCGCACTGCATGTGCCGATCCAACTCTCGACTACAACGCGATCGCCTGAGGTTTGTGGTGTTGCAATTCATTAACTCTACTCCATTACGATCCTTTCTCTTTGAGCATATCGACCAGTCGTGTGTCTCCTATTCCCATCTCTTTCAAGTATCACGGCCACTTTTTTAGTTGCATCCCAATGACAGCATCCCCCTAGATGGCTCTTCTTTGGACAACATACATATACACTATATTTTTGTCTCTCAACCGATCAGCTCCCCTTCTGTGAACTTGAAATCCCATACTGTCAACGCTACATTGCTCTATGAATATCAACCCTTGACTCCAAACCTTGTCGCCCGAGGTTGGTTTAGGTGGTGTTGCAGTTCGTCCCGTCCGCTCTCTTACTGTTATTTGTCCAAGGGCTTACTTTCATCACCCTTAGCACACATCGACAAAAAGTATCGTATCTCCTTGAGGAATGGACACTGGGTAGTTGAAGTAGCTGTGACAACATAATCGAGCTGGGGCAAGATATTGCTAAGCTTGACTCAGTCTGAGAGACTTTTCATGTGGGTGGACAGTTGGGTGACAATAACCAAGCTTGCCTTTTCTTACTTTCTTGTGCAAAACACGCAAGGATCATTCACTCTCTGGCTGGTCAAGGGTCTGAATGTTGTGATCTTTAGCAGCAAGGGCCATCTTATTGATCATCGCGCTAAATAAGAGCCACTCGTCAGCCGTACCTAGCAATTGATTTTTTTGCATGCATTAGAATAGCAGAAATTAAGGAGACGGACGGTGTGGAAACAATGGGATTGGTGTCATCTTCTTCTTTGCTCACACGACCAAATGTTGGCCATGGTCAGTCAATGGGGATGAGGGATAGGCTTACATCGTAGCAGTCTTTTTTTTTTTTATTTTATTTTAACTCGTGTGCCGTATCTGTCTGTCATAGCAGTTATCACATCGATCCAGAACTCGAGTGGCCCTTTTGCCCTTGGGTGGGAGAACTCTTTCTAGGGTAAAATGATCCGGTGCCTTTCATCCCAATTGCAAGCCCCAATGGCAAGGGTTGTGAGTGTGAAAAAAAAACCAGTGCGAAGGGATGAGATGCCACAGGAGAAGAAGTGAACACCAAAAATCAGCCTAACACCACAAAGTATATCAACCAAACACCACAGGGTGATAGGATGTTTTTTGACCTATGGTCTGTTCGATGATGAGCGAGGAACAACGAAGGAAAGGAATGAAAGAAAGAAGGGAGGAGTAGGAGGTAGTAAGCGAAAACGAAAAGGAGTAAGGAGGAGACAAAGAGGCAATTGATAGGCACGCGGCAAGTCAAGGGTCTACTGCCATCCATTCCGGTCATTTTTTGTTCCTGCGCTGCACTGAACCATTGTGAATTTTCTGTGCCTATGCGCATATTTGGATGAGTTGCGGTCAAGGGTGCATATTCTAAGACCGCTAAGAGTGACGAAGCATCAGAGACACGTCGAGGGCGAGGAGGCTTTCTAGGCGAGTAAGAGCTGGATGTATTTCACGTGACGCGATGACATGATGATAGGATGACCCCCGCAGTGTTTTAGGATACGACACAAGGTGGAGGTGGAGCAGTAGCGTGTGTTTCATGGCGCCATTGTCGTACGAAGCACCGATAGTGACATGTAGACAGGAGACCAGTAGTAGCAGTGTGAGAAATACCATTTCTGCAGCAGTGCTGTGTTCGAATTGGTTGTTGTTGTTATGTCCTTCCTTCTTTCTTGGCTTTCATTTCGCGCTGCAGCGTTGCATTTTTTTATATTGCTCACTTCGCTTTTGCCTTTTCTTTCTCGCTTCCTTTCTTCACTCCCTTCACCCCTCCTCACTCTCCCTTCCTCCCCTTTTGATCTCACGAGGTCATCACCAAACTATACATCACACTCACCATTCATTCTGACACTCTTACATTCGCCTTTCTTCATCGTTCCCGGCTCAACACACACGCTTTGTTCTTCTTCGTCTCTTTATTTTTTCTCTTCGTCATCCCATTCCAACTAATCAACCCAACAAACAAAAGAGTCTAATGGATCAACGGACAACGCCAACCTCCTCCTCCTCCTCTGCTAGTGCTAGTGCTGACGCTGTTCCTACCCGCACTCATAGCCGGCCCACCCCACGGCGGACACCCTCTGAACTGTCCGCACTTTCCAAGAGCATCCTCTCCCTCCACGACGACCTCTCCTTCTCCAACGACAATACTAATACCAACCACGTCCACTACGTCAACGAGGCCGACTCTAGCTCAGACCACTCCAGAAGTCGTCGACGCAGGTCTAAGCGTGACAGAGAAAGGGAACGGGAACAACGTGAACAACAGCAAGAACTGCTGGACCATCATCACCATGTAGCAGGAGGGGTAGGAGCACAATCTTCTAGGGAGACGGCACCCCTCCTGGCAGCGTCTACTCGTAACTCGTCGTTTTCCTTCTCCTCCAGGTCACTCGACACGGGCAACTATTCCGACAGTTTCGAAGGGTCATCACCCCTCCTGTACGGAGACTCCTTTTTCGACCATCAGCCGCTCCAACGACAGTTCCAAGATCGACTGCACCAAGAGCAACTCCAAAACACACTCTCACCAACCTACGGCACAGATCGACCTGCCTCGCAGCACACCGTCCATTATGATCCCCCAGATAACAACAACAGTAACAACAATGGACCGACACCGCAGCGGGTCCGTCTCTCCGGATTCCACCCCTCTTCGACCTCATCTCGCCATAGTTATCACAAGACGTCCCCGCCCAACCCATCACCGTTACAAGGTCCCTCAGTCATATCGACTCGTTCCCATTCCTTTTCATCACAGGCACAACTTGTCAACTCTCGTCAGCCAACAGGACAAGGACATTCGTCTGGATCGAGCCCCAAGCTCAGCGACCGCAGCAGTGACTTGGAGCACCACAACAGGGATATGACTGAGGATACATTGATCATGCCACAGATTATCACAGGGAGTGAGCAGGATTTGCCACATATCGGCACTGTTGACTCGGATCGAGGTCGCCCCGCCAGGAATGTGCTCTCGTCATCCCCAACGGTTCTGGAGGTGATGGGTCCTCTTCCACGAATGATAACACCCTCTCCTGTCCCCCTCCATGCGCGTCTGTCCAAGATTCAAAGAGAGGCCAAGAGGGGTGCGCGTGTGATTGACATGGAGACCAACGGATCGTCGCATCATTATGACTATGAGGACGTTACAGACTCGAGCCATGACTTTTCGAGCCGGCGGCACTCGGTCGCTGAAGAAGATGTAAGTTTTCTCTTTCTTTCTTCCAGATTGGGAAGTGATCAGTACCCCCCTTGCATGAGGCAGTTGGCAACGACAAGTTTCCTACACACACCTTAAGTTTTCATCCATGTCTCTAACCCGGACGCACCTGTTACTGACGAACCTTTTTGACAATACAAACTAGGTGTGCTATCCATTACCCGCCACCGATCTGGAGATCAATTATACCGCATTGGAGGACTACATTCGGCTGGAGCAGATCAAGACTCAAAACATGATGGCAGCCGCAGAGAACGGGACACCTAAAGTAACCCCAGGGCCCCAGGCAAGGACCAAAAGCGCTACAGGCGGACTCTTATCCAAACTCAGGGGGGCGTCCTTCACCAGTTCAACTCCACTCTCGGCCAAATCAGCACAGGACTCGAATTATGGTTCAATCCCAGGCAAAAACTTTGGAATCCCTGAGCGAGGTTACAGTCTCTTTGGCGAGCGAGACAAGACTCAAGTAAGCACCCACACACATGCATTGGAATTGTAAAACGAAAAAAAAACAACAACCAGGAGAGTTAGTTGGCTAATAGTAAGATGTCTACTTTTCTTGTGCGCAATTTAGGTCCCACTGGACGATGCGTATCGATTCACACTCTACTCGACAGCATCTGTTACTGTGCACGCGCAAACATTGGGCGAGATTCCTCCGAGGGGCCAGACCCTGTCCAATATGTTGCAGGCAGGATATTTTTGGCTGGATGTCCTAGCACCCACTGACGAGGAGATCCGCATGCTCAGTCAGGTGTGTGTTCTTCATCTTTTTTTGTTTTGTGTTGAGAGCACTGTAGGCATTTATTGCGCTGCATGACCTCATGGACTTTATATTGATTTGGAGATTTCATTCTTTATTTCACAGGTCTTTAGAGTACACCCCCTAACGACAGAGGATATCCTGATGGAGGAAGGACGGGAAAAGTGTGAGATGTTCCTTAACTACTACTTTGTCTGCTTCCGGACATTTGTTCTCGACCCCAGCAGCCACAACTTTTTGAATCCTATGAGCATATATACCCTTGTCTTCCCCGGGGGCATCATTTCTGTGAGTGTCTTCTTTTGTCTTGCTGGTGCCTTTCATTTCAGTTCAGTTATATTACATGTCATACTTATCACTTTTATTATGACAATAGTATCATTTCCGACCGGTGCCGCATTGTAGAAATGTGAGAAAGAGAATTCGACATTTGAAAGACAGGATAGAGGTGACACCAGACTGGATCAACTATGCGATCATCGACGACATTGTAGACACGTTTGCACCGTTGATCGGCGAAATCGAGACAGAGGTCGACATGATTGACGAGCTGGTTCTTATTCTGACGGAGTCGGAACAGTCGGACATGTTGCGGAGAATTGGTAATTGCCGAAAGCGGGTCATGAGTTTGCTCCGCCTGCTTACGGGAAAGGCCGATGTCATCAAGGGTTTGATTAAGCGATACGAGGGCCGCATGGGGCGCAAGAATATGGGCGAGATTGGACTATTCATGGGCGACATCCAAGGTATGCTTTGGTCTGGATGTATATTTCTATTGGAGATGCAACTTGCACACGATTCATGAGCGATCAATTAACACTTTTCTTTCTATTCGTAACTCGTAGACCATATTATCACGATGCTGCAGAACTTGTCACACTGTGAAAAGATCTTGTCCAGGTCACACTCGAACTACCTTGCCCAGATCAACATTGAGATGACCTCTGCTTCCAACGAAACCAACGACGTTCTCACCAAGCTCACCGTAAGCCAAGTTCCCCTTTGCTCGTTTCATTCCTAGCTATCTCACCTTCTCCAAGTGTGTCGATGACTTTAACTATCAACCGTTACTTTTCTTCCCAATATGACACATAGGTCCTGGGAAGTATTGTGTTGCCGATGAATTTGGTGACGGGTTTATGGGGAATGAACGTGCCTGTGCCGGGACAGGAGTCTGAGGATCTGACGTGGTTCTTTTGGATTGTCACGGCGATATTCATTGCAGCGGGTTTGTTCCTGTTGATCGCCCGCAAGATTAAGCTCCTCTAGCTCACCAATGGGCACTCTTGACCGTTATCAGTTCAATAGTGCACAGTCACATTTATCCCTTCGTCTGCTTTGGAATCTCCTGACATTCCAAATTAAAATGGGCAAAGAGCATTCTCGTTACCTTTTTTTGGAACAGAGTTCAATTACACAATAAACATCAGATATGGTTATCGATGTTGCTGCTGTTGTTGCGATCCAGAGGCAGGTGCCTGGTTGGCAATGCTACTCTCTGACCTCACTTAAGCCACCAAGCAATGTTAAGGGGCTTGTCTACTTTTTCCCTATTGTTATAGTCTGTTCAAGGTTCTTAAGAGGGTCAAAGCTGCACTTCGACAACGCCTACCGACAACCCCGTCGACAGCCCTTGGAGTAAGGCGAATAGATCTTTGTCTTTTTCAGAACGATGGGAGAGATCAGCGTTGGTTTTTGATAGATGTGCTAACGTTGTTTTTTTCCGTTTATGTACCTGATGTCATTAATCATTCACTTGTTTCTTCAGTAACCTACACAAACCACATTCCAGCCCTCAACTCCCTTATCCCCAACTCTCAAAAGCCAAATTGCAGGCATGAATAAACATAGAAATTTTCTCACGAAAACGATTGACGCGTAAAAAAAAGTATTTGGGCAATGTATGTTATCCATCCATCCTAATAATCCTGTATTCTTATTGCTGCTGTTGTAAAAAATGGCGTCCGCGGATTGCCATCGGAGATCGCATCTGCCAACGGTCGCGTACCGAGCATCACCAAGGACAAACCCGTGCACATCGATGTCAACGGAGCCTACTTTCGGCTGATAAAAGCCCGGACCTTCTCTGTGGTGGGAAAGTACATGTCGTCAGTGGCCCGCGCCGCCGCCGCCAACCACCCCAGCATGCAGGAGACACCATCAGCGCCCCTTACTGCCTCTGAACAGACTGAGACAACCGCCACTGAGCAGATTGAGACAGCGGACCCTGACAGTCTCTTCACCTTAATGCGGAACTTTTGGAGCAGGCTAACACACATTTTACTCTCGCGGACACGCTGTCGCAGTTGGCGTATGACGCTGCAGGTCCTTTGTCGGTCATTGTGACGAAAGAGAGCAAGGTTGAGGACGGAGCAGATCGTCACAGATCGATGGTATGTATTGATATTTGGTGATAGATGTTACGTCTTCGATGTACACGGGCAAACACAATGCTTACAATACTTTTTTCCATTTTTTTTTCTCAATAGCAGTTTACTCATATTGCCACAGTACTTTTCAATCAAATGTCGACATATTGTGATCCTCAGGCGGAGTCGACTATCTTGCACTAGGATGGCCTGTCATTGCTGCAGAATCAGAAGGAGTATCAACGGCGTCAGGACCGGCAAGTCAAGGACATGGATGTTCTTCGATCAACGGTCACTCAGCGCAGATTGTTGGAGGGTCTAGGAGGAAGGCAGTGTACAAAAGGCCAAGAATGTCTATCTACCCCCCTTTGGCGTCATTGGTGAAATCATTGCCGAGTTGATCTTGACCTACGGATGCAATGTATGCTTTTGCTCTTATCAAGCCGATACGTGCATTGCGCGCCGTTATGCCCAGGCCGTTCACCCGGAGGATCTCTTTGTTGTCAGCGGAGATTCCGACATGATTGCCTTCAAGTCCATTCCACGGCTTATCTACCCTCTCGGAAAGTACCGTGAAATGACCGTGATCGACAAGGCGGACCTTCTTCGCGTACTGGAAATCCCCTCGGACAACCACTTGCTGTTGGCCGCTATTGTTGCAGGAAACGATTATACCAGTGGCGTGTCTTACTACGGCCTGAGTCCCTCGTGTGACATCATCCAATCCATGGATCTACCCCTCAACGACATCGAGTCCTTCGACTGTATGTGCAGGAATACCTTGTCCGCGTTCAACGAGAGATTCTCGCCAGGAAACGCACCCGAAAAAATCGCCACAGGATGGATACACAGCTAACGATAGGAATGGAGGACTTTGAGCATGCGCTGAGAGCATTTGTGGAGATGACGGAGGATCCAGAGCCCGGCAAGGACCAAGAGCCCAGCGGCGATCCAGACACGGCGATTTCGCAGATGGATTTGGACTGGGAACTCAGCAAGACTCTCGACGGCATGCAGACCCCGATGGAAATTGACGGCGCACCCCTCGAGTTGACTCCAGCGCCGCCTCCAGACCAGGCATCTGCTCTGCAGGGTTCCACACCGCATGAGCTTGTCGTTAGTGTTCTGTATCAGCTGGAACTGGACGAACTCGTTCGGGGACACAGCGTCACCGAAACAGGAGCAGCCCCCAGCCCAGCAACAGCCAGCGTTGAACCCCAAACGGCGACGGCACCGGTGGAGTAAAACCCAGAATAGCAAGCAAAGGAAGAACTCTAAAAAATATGCTACACGAAAAAAGTAGCGGCAGTCCAAGTAAGTATTATTTTTTTGGGATTTGCATGATGGCATGCAACGTCTGCACATGAACGAAAACAGATAACTGACACTTACATGTTGCTTGAAATAAATTAGATATCGCTCAAGGAATGACTCGAATCCTCGATACGCAGCTCATAGGGTTGAATAGCCCTCAACAGCCAGCCCTGTGGACGATGCAGTCCTTAGCAAGATGACCCCCTCGCCTCCAAGACGACCAACCGCTTCCAGCAACAATAACTCCGATTAGCCTTCCTTATATCATCTTCTTCATCATCGGTATCTTCTTCCTCGGCGTCTACTTCCTCGGCGTCTACTTCCTCACCTCTATCGCCCAACAGCAAGAAGAAGAAGAAGAAGAAGAAGAAGAAGGAGAAGAAGAAGAAGAAGAGGAAGAAGAAGAAGACCACGCCAAGCTCCGCCCCGAAAACCAGGAATGTCGACGCGCTCCCGACACCTGCGCTCTTGAAGGACGCCTTTAAGGCGGCGTACAAGACTGTCACACAAACTGTGGGATCAATCAAGGCATGTCTACGACGCGGGATTGACGGTCATGGAGTAAGTGATGAAGAGATCACCATCATCGCGTCCCGTCTCGAGTCCGCCGCCCACTTGATGGCTGACACAAGGGTCCATGTATTCCAGATGCTGACGATGCTTGTTCTTGACGAGCTAACACGGCCGAACAGGAGAGCGAGGGTTCTCAGATTACGGACCCGTTGGATTTGTTGTTGAGCAAAGCGCCAGGAACGTTTCTCATTAGGAACCTTGCCACGCTGATCCTTGACGGGAGGCTGGGGAAAAGGACGAGGCAGGATGTCAACGGCATCGCGGCCCGCAACCTCGCTCAGCGTACGTACGATCGGTACAAGGAGATCGCTCACGGATTGCGCTCGCTCAACACCACATCAATCAACATGGGGGATAACGTCATGGAGTTTGGTTTGAGTGTGTTTGTCCCAGTCCAGACACACTCCAAAAAGTCGCCAACACCATCGTGGCCAAGGTACTTTCGACACGCTTCCACTGTGTATTGCTTTGAGGTTCCCCTTTGTTTTGACTGCTAATAAGTTCTTTTCATATTCTTTTTTGTCTTCTTGTAGATGAAGAAGTTAGGCTGGGATGATAGCAAGATTCCTCGATTGCCTGGTGAGGACAAGGTTGAGAACGCCAACGGTCACTCACTCGACCATGAGCTGGAAGACGAACTGGACGAGGACGGATGCTCGGATATCCAGCCTGGTCACATTCGAACCTGGTGGAACCACTTTCTTTCTCTGCCGGCGGAGAAGCGACCGATCTTCATCCCCCATACTAAACTCCAGCCTCCGTTCATACAAATTCAGGAGCGAGGGATGAAGGCGGTTCTTTGGGGTCAGGAGAAAAATCCAGCACTTCCCGTCGTTACCCGACTTTTGAGCCCGACAGGTGCAGAGAACATGGTGAAGACACGGCCTGGAGAGCTGATACGGCTTCTATTTTACGGGACAAGGAACACAGGATCAGACAATCCCTGGATCGGCATCAAAATTACTCTCACAAGCTTTGACAAACGCACAACCACAATGAGATCTCTTGCGGATTCGATGCCTCAACAGTTCGGATAACGGGCCCTGCAAGGATACGTCAACCAACGAATCGCTTACAACAAGCCTGCGGGAAGTGCGTGTGACCTTGGTATACCCTGCTCACAAGTCCCTCCAGAGTTTCCGATCAACAACCAGTCCTCTTCAAGATACGCCATCAACAACTTTATACGGACAGGTGGATTGCAGCTGCAGGTGTTGGCGTACGACATGAGATCTCGTTACCAGTCCGCCTTCGCTATCGACCCGGTCATGCGCATGGAGAAGGTCTTGCCTGATCATGCCACGATCATGCGGATCGTCAATGGTCAGATCCCCAAATGCATTGGCAGGGACCCTGGGGAACTGGTAACAGCAGCACTCTACATGGTCCATCATGCTCACAATTGGGACCGGCAACCCGAAGCACAGGATCCACCGGTCTCCAATCTCTTGATTCGCCGGCCTTCGCTCTACTCCCCAACCACAAGTGCAAGGGCCGAACGCGAGAGGATCAAGAACAGGCCTCCAGCAGCTCAGGCAATCGAAGCCATCACCGGTGATCTTCGGGTCCGGGAGCAGGATTCGACAGCAGCCATACTACGGCTCCCCTCGCTTGCGGATATTGAGAGTGCAGGAGCAGTGCACGGTGGACGAGTTTGAGCAAGCGCTCCTTGTTAGGTTGACTTTGGAGCCTCTTCTGCGGGAGATTTATTCGATAAGACGACCTCAAAAGGATCGGTGGGCAGAGAAGAGGGCCAAGCGGGCGGAACTGGACATGGCAGTGGATGCCATTCTCAGATTGTGCGGTCCGGAGCCTTGTCTAATCACCATCGGAAACGGCACGTTCAGGACAGGACTCAACCTGGCCTCTAAACATGAGTGCTTTAAAACGCACTTTGTCAATAAGGTAACATTTCCAACAAAAAATTGCTGTTGAGATACATTTTAATAATCATGCCTTCACACTTTCAACAATCTAGTCTAGAGTATGTGGGTCATGTGGTCGTCCTGGTTGACGAGTACCTTACCTCGAGTATGTGCCCCAGTTGTGCGGCTCATGACGTCCGGTCCAGAGTTGCCAAACCTACCCAGCGGTTGTGTGTGTGCCTTGAGTGCGGTCGGTGGATCAACCGAGATTCTGTCGGAGCGTACAATATTGCGATTGCCGAACGCTGGATGACCCCTGCAACCCTTCACAATTGTAACGTTCACGAACTGAACGTAAAATCTATCCCCACGACTGCTTCTAGTTGCTGTGACTGTGGACAGAAGAAGGGATAATAAAAGGAAACGTTCCTCGACTTTTTTCCCCTTCTTTTTTCTTCTTTGCCAACTTCTCCCGCAGGAACATATACATTCAAACTTACATCATGCCCGCTCATCCTGCAAGTCGATTCTTCTTTTATTCGTTTTCTTCTTACCTATTTAACCATGAGAAAGCAACAGGAAGAACAGTGCATTCTCTGAAAGGAGACTAACAACAAAAGCCAATGGTGCTAACCTCCTTTTTTTTTATCCATTCCTCTTCTACTTCCACTTCATTCATTGAACAACACAACAGATTGTCAAGATTGCCGTTATTGGCGGAAGTGGACTCTACAACCTCGAGGGTCTTACCCACGTCGCCGAGGTCAACCCCGACACTGTAAGTTATCTCCAATTGCTTCTACTTCCTTCAATTTCAATTTGCCATGTTCTCGCTATGTCCGTTTAACAGGTGAACACTTCTTGTGGAAGCTTGCCTGGATACTTCACACTGTTCTTCAACTGACCGTGCAATTGAACCTTCAACACATGAACAAATAGCCTTGGGGAAAGCCTAGCGATGCTATTACCATCGCCAAGACCGCCTCGGGTCTCCACATTGCATTCTTGGCCCGCCACGGCCGTGGTCATTACTTGACCCCCTCCGAGGTCCCCGCACGCGCCAATATTGCGGCCCTCAAGTCCCTCGGTGTTGAAGCCATCATTGCCTACTCTGCCGTCGGATCCCTCCGTGAGGAGCTCAAGCCCCGCGACTTTGTCCTCCCCTCGCAGATCATTGACCGCACCAAGGGTATCCGCCACTCGACCTTCTTTGAAGACGGTTTGGTCGCTCATGCCATGTTTGCCGACCCCTTCTCCGCAGTCCTTGAGCAAGTGATTTGGGACCAGCGTGGCGTGATCGAGGGCGGAGATTTCCACCGTCAAAAGACGTTGATCTGTATGGAGGGACCTCAGTTCTCAACGCGTGCAGAGTCGCACATGTACAGATCGTTTGGTGCTGATTTGATCAACATGAGTGTCCTCCCCGAGGCCAAGTTGGCCAGAGAGGCCGAGATTGCCTACCAGATGATCTGCATGTCGACGGATTATGACTGCTGGAAGGAGCATGAGGTTGCGGTGACGGTTGAGGCCGTCGTTGCGAACTTGAAGGCCAACTCGGACAATGCTCAGAGGTTGTTGGCGGCTATTTTGCCTGGGTTGGAGGAGGTGGTTGAGAACGGCAAGGCAGCGGAGGGTTTGAAGGGAAGCATGATGTTTGCGTGTATGACTGCTCCTGAGAGACGTAGTAAGAAGGCTGTTGAGAAGTTGGAGTTCTTGCTTCCTGGATACTATGCCGTTTAAAAGGACTGAATTGGGTTCGCTGACAGTGTCCTGTTCAATTCATCGATAGACAAAAATCTAATATTTATTTTCTTGAAGGAATTTCTGTGCACTCCGGGGTGTGGTGAACTGTTTTCGTTCTGTGTGTCCAAAGGTCCGACAGGGGATAAAAAAAGCGGAATGGTATGGGAGACATGTGTCAGTAGTTGCCATTTTCATCCAGTCGTTACTATCCTGCAGGAGGTTGTGCCTGAGGCTGGCTCGCTGGCTGGTCAACTGGGTTATTTGTGTGGCCAGCGAATCTGCGCCCTGTGTGTGTGGCCTTGACCCCTTCTGTTCTGTTCTCACGTCACGCTCACGTGTGGAGTAAGAAAAAAAGAAGGGCTGGAAGAAGAAGGTGGGACGGACATAAAAAATGTATTTCGGTCTCCTTGAGCTGGGTGTTCGAAACCAAAAAAGCAAGGGGGCTCGCTCTTTTTCATTTCGTTCTTTCTCCACTTCACACATCATCCATTCTTTAAACACATCCTCGACCTTCAGGACCTTCCTCGAACTAATTAGCAAGGGACTAAAGCGACAACCAGCACAGACTTAACGACAACACTCAAAGGAAACGCGAACAAATAACCGAACATGGGTCAAGGTGTATCACAGCCACTCGAGGAGATGGTCAGGGACTCCAACTGTAAGCAACTCTCACTTACTCGCTGCTTTGTTGATCACAGCGCAATGCACCAAGAACTATAGACAACATTCAAACATAGTTGATTCTTTGGAAACGACGACGGGTGTTGCTGATGCTTGCGTATGTTTTCACACGGTCGCAGTGTGTTGTACGTGTTGGTGCGTCTAGTTTATGTTCTGTGTACTGACCTCGCTGTTCTTTTTTCTCATATCTCCGTCATTTATATTACGCTTATGACCCTCCGACCCCGCCTCGCCTCGCCTGACTTTTTGTCTATCCCGACCTATCTTTCTGCATTGGACAACCTCAATTGCTATCGCACCATGCCCATCGGATACCACGGAACGTCAACGCCAAACAACAACTAACATCAAACGCCCACGCACCACCTATCCACCTCTCACCCGATTGACATTGGACAAACAAACGCCTCTCTCAAATAGTCACGGCGGAGGAGATCCAAAGACTGTACAAGCGGTTCATGAAGCTGGACAAGGACGGGTCAGGCTCCATCGACAAGGAAGAGTTTTTGGCCATCCCTCAGATTGCGACCAACCCCTTGGCATCGCGACTGATTGCAATCATGGACGAGGACGGTGGAGGAGATGTGGATTTCAAGGAGTTCATTGCCGGATTGTCGGCGTTCAGCAATAAGGGCAACAAAGTAGAAAAGCTCCGCTGTAAGGCCCTTCTTTTTCTTTGCTTTATTAGCTTGTTTGTTGCCGCATTATTTTGTCAACTGCAAGACTGTGCTATATTTACCTATGACCTAATATCATTCTTTCTTCCTTCCCTCCCATTCCTTCCTCAAATAGTTGCGTTCAAGGTATACGATATGGACAGGGACGGGTTCATCTCGAACGGCGAGCTGTTCCTGGTGCTGAAGATGATGGTGGGCTCAAACTTGAAGGATAACCAGCTCCAGCAGATTGTCGACAAGACCATTATGGAGGCTGACAGGGACATGGACGGCCGTATCTCGTTCGAGGAGTTCTGTGGCGCGGTTGAGAACACCGATATCGCCAAGCAGATGACCCTTGAGAGCTTTTAAGGATTGGGAGATTGATTGTGGTGGTGACGAAGACCAGTACGTGGAGGACACGTTTATGAGTAACGCTGGCCTGTTTTGAGATGGTTTGAGGTGGATGGGGGACAAGGAGAACGAGGCGTTTTATTTTGTTGGGTCGCAGGAGAGGCGACTTGTCTTTGGGATGGAGGTAGCCCACCATTTACCAATAATAAAATTCATTAGTACAAAACACGCAGGGGTGAAGGCGACTCAGCTACTCGTTGCAGCTTGTCCTTTTTCTTCTTTTTTTTTTGGTACGTACAAGTTCGCAATGCGCTATTGAACAGAGCCTTTATTCGTGTTTACTATTTAAAATGTGGGTGATCTGGTTGCGACTCATTCGCCTTATCTGAATCCTTTGTATAAATATTTGCTCAAAATGGATTGCGAATTGCTGTGCGCTTTTTGTCCTTTTTCTGGCTCGGGACGATTTCTGTTAGGCGGATACGTGTTTGACTAGAGGTGTGGTCCTTTTCATATGCGTATGGTGTTGCACCGTATCCATTACGCGCACTTTTTTTTGGGGTGTTTGGTATTGATATGTCTTCACCGAATGAGCCACTTCGACGACACAACCTAATCTGTGATACCATGGATCTACTAACAGGATGTGCTGAGGCCTTCAAGTACTTTTGAATTCTTCATAGGGTTTGGGGGAATTGAGGGATGAGATGGATGCCTGAACTTGTGTATGCGTCTGTGCAATGTTCAATGCTATGTTGTTTATTGTTTACCATCTGGGTGATTAGCGATGAAGATGTGTCCCTCCTCTTCTTGACAATGTCCAAGGAGTGGAATAGCAACTTTAGCTTCTTGATTGACGTTAGTTTTCTTATTATTCTCTCTATTAGGACTAAAGATGATGTCTGGTTCGATACGAAATGGCCGTGTTGAACCGCTCGAGGACTTTTTAGGGCTCTCTTTGGCCCCTCCCGGGATACAACCTCATAAATAGCCCCAAACTTGCCCTCCGCTATTGGCTCCACTCTGACGTCTAGATATCGGTCGCCAGTCCTCCTGTCACAAAGGGCTTCGACGCATGAGGTCTAGAGTATCGAGACAGATGATGCATCCTGTTTACTTTCTTTGAATAAGGAGCGTTTGAAGGATGAAGGAAGAAAACTAATATAAAGCAAATTCTCCCTTTTCCAGCCTTTTATTACGACTGGACGATGCTTCTAGAGGTTGGAATGGCTTTTCTGTAGAGCGCCTTCAGTTTCAAGGTCATATGGAGGATGTTCAGGCCTGGTTGATTTAATCCACGCCTCCATAGCGATTGTATTTTCTCACAACATGCTTCCAGGCATAAATAAATATAACCTTAATTCTTGCCTTGATCTGATTTCTTTTATGTTTGGCATGTTTTGTCGTGTAGAGCGCGTGTCCTCTATGGGAAACGACAAAATAGAGGTAGTGGAAGATCTAAGTTCCACAATAGTTCCACATCTGTTCTTTTGGGTAGGACCTGTTAAACATGAAGCGGATTTGTATGTGAGTTTCCGGGTTTCATTGTCTATCCTCCTCTTTCATCCTTGTCAGAGTCAGTGAGCAGGTATCATTTTTCTCATCGTTTAAACATAACAGATAGAAAGGAACAGCACGATATCGTACCATTCGATGTACTGAATCCTCTGCAGAACGAGAGCAAAAGACGGTCTCATTTTTCGTGAGATACTTCTTGGTGAAGACGCAGTCATCAGTGAATTCACGCGATTCGATCATATGCTGCTCCGTGGCTTTAGTTCCCTTTCTCCAGCATCTTCTCTTTTGATATTGACGACACACTCTTCATATTCTTCCAATCCTATCACGTCGAACATCGGTTTGTGCGGGAGAGTTAATGAAAGTTTTTTTTTGTTTCTTTTGTTTATTTGAAAATAGGACAGGTCAGATACCATGTGGTACTATGGTCATTTCGTCCTTTGATTGGAAAGTGTTCTTGCTCTTTATATTGAAATATTCGGCCGCACAGAGGATCAGTCCGATTACCCTGAACAAAAGGATCAAAGGCATTTTTTTTGGGAGGGTGGAGGCGATTCGCAATACAGTCAAACCTCCCCTATAGTATAATCCCCTATCATATTCATATGCTATTCCCTCCCCTATTGCATATTTTTTTTTTGGGAAAATAAGGTTTTGGGTCCATGATCCTGAATCACCCCTACTACGCTACATGGATGTAGCACGCCTTCTTAATAGCATAACCTCTCCTATAGCATACTTTTACTTGCAGCCCAAGGATATGCTATAGGGGAGGTTTGACTGTAGCTTGATTCCCCCCCATTTCACCATTCATAAAAAACTCACAAGGATTCATTGCCTTGACTTGAGGGCTTTTGATATGTGCGATTAGTGGTGAGGAAGAGGTCGACGACGAGGACGATTAAAACACTGAGTCTTGTAGAGTTTTTTGTGTGCTTTGATCGCTGGAGTGGCGATTGTTGACCAGAAGGTGTTTTGACCATTCATCATAAACGCATTTGTACTGCCTTCGCTGGGATAATAGTGGGTCAAGAAGGACTGCAACCTGGCTGTTTTCAATTTTAAAAGGCCCGCCATCTGCAGGAGCAATGTACAGACATTAGAGGCCATCATCAAAATCTCGGTAAGCCGATCAGTATCCAGTTCTTGATGATGATTATGGACGTTATGGGAGCTCTTTGAACCAAGATAGCCGATGTCGTACCATTCGATGCTCTGAGTCCCTTTGTAGAACGGGAGCAAAGACGTACGCTTACGTACTCATCCACTATGACAAAGTCGAGAAGAAGCAACCGATCCAATAGCGAAGGAGATACTTCTACCCCTGTCACCAATGGAGTTGCAAAGATGGCAATTGGGAAAGACAAGCCCAGCAGGCGCTATGGGGAAGCAACAGTGGTACCATTGGTCTTTGGTGATCACGTCCCAGGCAGCGCGATCAATGAGGCAGACCTGCGAGGCGGTTAAGAGGGTAGGTTCATCCATCAATTAACCCACGCGTAGAACTTCAGGTGGCAGGTCTTCTGTCTTGAATCCCGCTTGTATGGACGACATTGTGGGCGGGGAGGGATGGAGAATGAGGCAGAGGCTAAGGCAGAGATGGAGGCAGAGGTAAATTGAATATCGACGCGCGATGAAAAGAAAAGTCAGGGAAAGGGAATGACAAAAAGGGAATTGAAGGTGAATTGGGCGAAGCAGACAAATAAGGGAAAGTGAACGGAAAAGGGGGGGAAAAGGGGAGGGAAGTGGAATGAGGAAAGGAATGAAGTAGGAGAATGGGTCGAGGAAGGTGGGTGAATGAGAGAGAGAATGAGGGAAAGTGGAGTAGTCAATGGATAAGCCAATGCGGTCGTATTTTAGCCAAGTCCAAAAAAAAAAAAGGCCAGTAGAACTGCTCACACGCAGAAGACACTCACCTTCACATGTGTGTGTTGGTCATCATTTCTTGCAGGGTTCGGCCAAATAAAAATATATCGGCTGGCAGGCCATACTCTCCCTTCATCGTCACCTCAGCGGTTTGATAGCGCTCGGTTCCGACCGTGCCCTCAGGCGTCCTAAAACATGGAAAAGCAGCTATTTTAATTGAACTGACTCATGGCAGATATGCTACAGTGGCGTCACCAGATTTCAATTCCTATTGTTTGCACTTACTTGGCCATGTATCTCACTTCTCCTAGGTCAGCCAACTTGACCACGTTCTGCTTGGTGATGAGAATGTTGGCAGGTTTGTTATCACCGTGGAGTATGCCGTGCCTGTGTAAGTGTGCTACTCCAGCGGCCATCATCCCCGTGTACCCGATAAAGGTGTCTTTGTCAATGGGCCCGTTAGCGATTGCGTCGAGAAGGCTCTATTCATTCGGCATGCAGAGGACGTAAGGGGATTAGAAAAGGGGAAACTGAGGAACAATAGTGTACTGCGGTTCATCGTTATCACCTTCCAATAAAGCAGACGTGACTTACATGGGACGCTATTTCGGGAACTCAGTGCAAGAGATCCTAGCACATACGAGTCAGTCTGGCCCATCCACTGGATTTTCTCCTCAGATTTGTGGAAGAACTAGCAAGATCCATCTTTGAACAATGATAAGGTATGTGGGACGATCGTTGAAAAAATAATTTGCGAGTAAGTTTTTTACATCGTTCTCTTCGATTGTGATAGAGTTCCACCAATGGGAATATACGAGGATGGAGGTATAGCATGGCGATGACCCTTGATGGTATACTCTTTTTCTCTCCTTATCAGACGATTAACCACTGAGATAGGAGACGCTTCTCTTTCTCAATGCTTCTTTACTGGGGCTTCCGACTATGCAGGGGCCCATCTTTTTCTTATGATGTTCTCAATGTCCAGCGAGGGGATTAAGTGCCCAGCTTCTCCGAGCGTGCACCCAGTTGTCAGCCTTTTGGATAAGCAAAACAAAAGCTAAGTAAATCTATGCATGGTGTGGTGCTACACTTTGACTCCCTCTTTTTCCCCAATGCAATATGTTTAGAAGCATGTACTGTTGTTCAGGGAGATGTCCATTCTTTCTTCTTCCTTGACAGGTGATTGTGTTCTTGAGTGTGGTGTTTAGTAAGAAAAATATCGACGCGCAGAGAATTTGCCACTTCCAATGATGTGTTTTTTGAGTTGGCGTCACTTTTTCGTTTCGTGCAAGGTAGGAGATACCTTAGTGAGGTTGGCTGTCCTTCAGTCATAAGGGACCTGTTTTTTCTATCTCAAAAACGAAGTAAGACAGAGAATATCCCAGGAGAATCGCGTTCGTCTTTCACTTTATTCTCTATCCTCATGGCTGGACAATACACGTAGCGAAGTAGCAGAAACAGCAGGAGAATGCACTCTTGATAAAACGCGGACACTACTTCCCCTTGATGTCGTGAGAGCAACATGCTCCAAAATTATACAAGTTTATAAAAGGATAGCAAGTGGATATGAGAGAGTGGCTCTTTGAGTGAATCTTTCATTTCGAAAGTGTGCGGGGGGGGGGGGAGGACAAAGGAGTGAGTAAAGAGTAAGGAATAAAGGCGGCGTACGAGGTAGGGTAAAACTGACGAGTGGGATGGTTAAGGGTGGAGGTGCTCGAACAGGCTTTCTGATGATGGTTGAGTGGACGCGTGGCTGTGATGCTGTCCACATGTTCAAAAATTTGATGATCAATATTGTCGTGTCGACCACACGTCGTTGTGTCCTTTTTCCTCTCATGTTGTCCGCCATTCTGACCATTCTAAGCACCATGAGTATTTTGAGCTTTTTGAGCAGTGAAACCATGGTCTATCTCTTGCAAATATTGGTGGCAAATCTTTGAGGATTAGAAATATTTTTTTATTTACTTTGTCTAGGGGAAGAAGACAGGATCACATCCGCACGGTCATCGTCATCCTCGTTGCAGTTGTCATCTTGGCTGCCGCGTCTGTCATCACAGAACTCGCTTCCAAGGAGGTCGAGCAGCGCGTCCCTCTCGGCATGCAAATCCCGGCGCTCCTTTTCGATTTGAGCTTGGACCTGGGAAAAGAGGATGGCCCACTCGCGCTCCTATATAGTCTCCTTGGCGACGTATCTGCGATAGGCTTGAGCGCCGAGTGTGGCCGTTCCCGTGGTCTTCTAAGTGTCTCCTTGGTTCCTGGTGCGAGCGCTGTGGTCCTTGGTGGTGGCGTCGGCGTTGGCGTTGGCATCGGTGATAGCCTCAGTCCCGGATTTGGTATTGACACGGCACCAATGTACAACCTCCTTGCCTTTGGCAGCCACCACACATACGGTAGCGTGGCTCCTTTGATTCACCCGGATCTCATGATCCTTGACGGCAGCCTTCTCGGATCTCCTCTTCTTCCGCTTCCACGCTCTCGAGACTTCAGCATTGTTCTCTGAGGTGCGTGCATGCGTTTTCAACAGAGTTATTGTCAAACACCGGGGCCACGTCGAACGCCGTATTGGGAAGACTCTTGAGGCAAAGTCGCGACAAAGGAAATTGTGGTTCGCAAGCTCATGAACATTGATACGATGCTCAACATCGATCTCCAGAGTACGGTCCAGCAAGTTCCTAACGTCTTCGGAGGGGGGCACACCCTCGAGGTAGTCTTCTGGAGGATAGATGACGCTGTTTCTAATGTTTCAGGGTCGGCAAAGTGGAAAATGGTTACTTCGGTGGTTTTTTTTTTTTTTTTTTTTTTTTTGGAAAATTGTCCCATTTAAACTCAATCAACTTTGTTCTCAGAATCGATCAATTACCCGGCGTTAAGTTAGGCTGTTCTCTTGTGAACATCATGTAGAAAATGATACCAAGGGAAAACACGTCAATCTTGTCGGTATGCACCATCCCGTCAGGACCTCCGGCGCCCAATATCCTGGCGTACCAGCTGTCCGCATGCTGGAGATACAGTTGAATAAAACACAAGTCAGTAGTTAATAGTGCATTGGGATTGATCATGTGTGCATCAATTGCCACCTTATGAATAATGATCATTTGCATTTGTCATACCTCTTGACGGACGACTCTTCTGAGAGCCCAAAGTCCGTGATCTTGAGGTGTATGCCTTCAGCGACTAAGACATTCTCTGACTTGAGGTCGCAGTGGCGGATGCCAGCTTCAAGAATAAAGCTCAAACCAGCTACGAGCTGCTTGTTGAAGAACTTGATCTCAGGGACCAGTAAGGGTGCTCGGTTGATCAAGAGTACGTAAAAATTCCATGACCGGTAGAGCGGTATCAAGAGATAGGGACCTCGCTTGTCCTCATAGCCGACCCATGAACTAGGCCTCGTTCGGATCTGTGCATGATAAGTAAACAGGAAGGAGAATATCAACAAGAGCTAGCAATAGCATTTTGCGAACAACGTATCCTTACGACATGAAATATTCAACCATTGAAGTTTTATCTTACCGTCTGCATCCTAGCCGCGGGCTTTGGAACCTTGAAGGCTATACACTCCCCTTGCTGTCGCAGACCTCGTGAACGGCCTCAAACCCTCCTTCGGCGATGGGCCTTCCACAAGCGTCGACGTGCAGGTCTCCTAAGACCTCATTGCGAAAGACCGGTCCAGACGGCACTTAGGACACAGGAACGAGAGGTGAGTTGACGGATCTCGGTGAATATTCATGGACACAGGATGCATTCGACTAATACTACATTTCACCCCAAGAAGGATATTGACCTGTCATTGTACCTTTTTAGGGTTAGGAGCGGGGCGATCATTGACCTCGGGGATGTCATTCTCGTTGGCGTCAGAGCCTAAATCCTCGGGGCGGTAGACGCTGTTGCTGTCCATGCAGGCAAGAGGCGAGTACGAGCCATGTAGGTAGGGGTTGACGGGGTTGACAAGAGGGAGTGGGGGTTGGGGAAAGTGGAATATTTGTACTGCTCGTTGTCGCTATTCATATCGAAGAGGATTGAAGACAAGAGAAGAGAAGAGGAGTGAAGAAAAGTGAAGTGAAAAGAAGTGAAGAGAAGGGAAGAAAGGAGAAGAGAAGAAAAGAGAAGGAAAGTGAAGGTTATGAGCGTTGTCAGAGAGAGAGGGAGGGAAAATCATTCACTTTTTGCAAGCAACTAAGTTCGCTATGTTGATTCCCCCTCACCTTGTTGTACAAACGGTGACAACCACTGCAACCACTTGGTAGCTTTCTGAATGTTACGTTTCTTTGTCCATGTAGCTTTGTTCGCTACGGGCTTTGTGTACGAGGTTGTTTGCTGCTATTTGCTTCTGCGCCCCTTTTTTGTTTCCTTCGTTCCCACAATAGCGTCGTTCCTTTCTTTGCACACCCTGATTGGCTGTTGAACCAATAGAGTCCTTTCGACAAGCCTACAAGGATGGCATAGCTGTCGCTTTTTGAGTGTGCCCATTTTTTTCGATGCCATCACTCTGTCTGAGTGGTGGCAATTCCATCTTGTGAGTTATCAATATCAACCTCCGTCTTCCTCTTTCACCAAAAGTAGGCATGGTTTAATGTTGGTAGGACGCAGTGGATGCTATGATATGTTGCTTCGGTGACGTAATTGTGGCGTCCATTGTCGCCCATAATTTTTTATTATTTTTTTCGAACAAAGAGCCAGGGCCATCACATAGATTTGAATCCTTCACTTTCGCTCCACCTAATCCAACCTTTACACCTTTTTCGCCTCTAACCCCTTTACCCTACCGCCATCACACACTATAACCAAACCATGGCACGGTTCGATATCAACAACATCCCCGACAACGAGGAAGACATTGACTTCTCGGACATTGAGGAGCGTTACCAGCTCTCGTTCGAGGAAGGGTTCGACAACATCGTCGTCGTCGACAACATCCCCCTGGTCGACGAGACCAAGGAGGAGAAGCTGATCCAGTTCCTGAGAAAGATCTTTAAGAACGTGGGAGAGATCCGTGATAAGCACTTTACAATGCCCAAGGCTGTCAATGAGAAGGGCAAGCTTATGAGCAAGGGGTACGCTACTTTTTGGTTTGGTTTTGGCTTCGTTGATGTTACAAGGACTGGAACTGGAGCTGTAACTGGGCAGGAGCAGACTCTCGATTGCAGATGACCGGAACTGGACAGAATATGGACTTGACTCGGACAGGCTTTGAAGGTGGCATTGACTGAGCCATATTGACTGCGCCATCTTGACTGAGCCGCATTCAAGGAGTATATTATCGACTGCCGCCTTTTTTATTTCCATTTTCTGCGCCGCAACAACCACGATCGCCCTCGCGCCTAGCCCAGGACCCCACGACAGCACAACCCAGGGAACTATCAACTACAACAAAACAGCTCACACCAAACTTGTCGCCTATATCCTATCGCCAAATAGATTCATGTTCATTGAGTTCGAGAATGCGGAGCAGGCCACTTTGGCTGTCAAGTTGATTGACGGCTTCAAGATGGACAAGTCTCACACCTTGGCTGTCAACCGCTTCACCGACGTCGAGAAGTACTCGGCCGTCGAGGAGGAGTTCCACGCTCCCGCCGAGGAGGAATTCATCGAGAAGGTACACCAATACTTGTATTCAGACGCGACGCGATCAATTGGTACTGTTGCATGCAAGGCAAAGAAAATGTTTACCAACACATGTTGGCGCATTGCTCATATAAAAACAAATAGGAGCATCTTAAGTCCTGGTTGGCTGATGAGATGGGTCGCGATCAAATGGTCATCTACCGCCACAACGAGGTTCAGGTTCTCTGGAACATGCAGAAGGAACAGCCCCAGATTGCCCACAACAAGCCTCACTGGACCGAGACCTACGTTCAGTGGTCTCCTCTCGGATCGTACCTCACCACTTTCCACGCCCAGGGTGTCGCCCTCTGGGGAGGCGAGTCATGGAAGAAGATTATTCGTTTTGTTCACCCCGGTGTCAAGCTGATCGACTACTCCCCCAACGAGCGTTTCCTTGTCACCTGGAGCAACGAACCCATCGTCGTTCCCGAGGAGAACAACGACGGACCCTTTGGTCCCGAAGATGAGGGCAACCAGATCGTCATTTGGGATGTCAAGTCTGGAGCTCTTCTCCGTACCTTCCCCTCGCTCGCCCCCCAGGCTCCCAACGCTCGCTCGACTGTCTCATGGCCCGTCTTCAAGTGGTCGCCCAGCGAGCGCTACTTTGCCCGCGTCACCCCCGGATCCCAGATCTCGGTCTACGAGGCACCCAGCATGGGTCTTTTGAACAAGAAGTCGATCAAGATTGACGGCGTCGTTGATTTCGAGTGGGCTCCCTCTGCTGGCGCTGATAAGTCTGGCAAGCCTAAGGATGACATGCTCGCCTACTGGACTCCTGAGGTCGACAACCAGCCTGCCCGTGTCACTCTTCTCAACATTCCCAACCTGGATATTATTCGCACCAAGAACTTGTTCAACGTCAACGACTGCAAGCTTCACTGGCAGAACCAGGGCGACTTCTTGTGCGTCAAGGTCGACCGCCACACCAAGAACAAGAAGGTCACCTACTCCAACCTCGAGATCTTCCGTGTCCGCGAGAAGGATATTCCCGTTGAGGTTGTTGAGGTCAAGGAGTCGATCTTGGCCTTCGCTTGGGAGCCCAAGGGCGAACGTTTCGCTGTCATCACCACCAGCGACCCCAACTTTACCTCTGCCACCCCTGGCTCGACCACCTTGAAGACCTCTGCCAGCTTCTACTACTTGGACAAGGGCAAGGGCAAGGATACCCTCCAGTCGTTCAAGGTCATCAAAACTTTGGCCGGCAAGTCCTGCAACACCATCTTCTGGTCGCCCAAGGGCCGTAACGTCGTCTTGGCCACCCTCCGCTCGCAGACTGTCTGGGACCTCGAGTTCTACGATCTTGATTTTGAGCCCCTCGAGTCTGCTGCTGCCAAGGTCCCCACTGGTGGCGAGAAGGACCCTGCTGCCTACTTGCAGTTATTGTCGTCTGGTGAGCACTATGGTGTCACTGACATTGAGTGGGACCCCTCAGGTCGCTTTATTGCCACCAGCGCCTCTGTCTGGAGACACACTATGGAGAATGGATACCAGATCTGGGACTTCAAGGGACAGATGTTGTACAAAGAGAACTTGGAGAAATTCAAGCAGTTGGTGTGGCGCCCCCGCCCCAAGACTCTGTTGTCGAAGGACCAGATCAAGAACATCCGCAAGAACTTGCGCGAGTACAGCAGCCGTTTCGACGAGCAGGATATGGAGTCTTCGTCGCTCGTCTCGTCTGCCGAGCGCCAGCGTCGCCGTACCTTGTTGCAGGAGTGGGCCGACTGGCGCAAGCGTGTTGAGGCTGACTTGGCCAGCGACCGCGCTGCTGCCGGCCAGCAAGTTGCTGCAGCCCCTGCTGACGATGAGGAAGCTGAGGAGGTTGATGAGTGGATTGAGGAGGTCATTGACGAGAAGGAGGAGATCGTCGCTTAAACCAGTGGTGTTTGAAGTTAATTCAGCACTTTATTAAAAAAAAAGAAGGTACAGCGTCGTCAAAGACGTTTTTCTTTTTTGTTCAACAAGGAGCCTAGTGTGTTGTTGCTTAGCTGTGATTAGACCCTGAAAGAAGGCAGTGCGAGGTTAGCACAGCGTAGTGATGTGTGTGGGTGGGAGGCAACAGGAGGAGGTGTGTTTTGGTGGTGTGTTGTGAATGAGAGTGCTGTTTGCTGTGTGAGAGCACTTTCTTTTTTGTGGGTGAAATAAGAGCAAGAGAGTGGGCGTCAAGGATGGATTCAGGCAAGGCAAAAGAAAGACACAGGTACGAAAGGCATAAGGCAAACAACAAAGGATTACAAACGAGAGCCGTTCAGTCAGCTTCAGTCTTCCAGCCAGGGCACGGAGAGATTGAGAGAGACAAAGCATACGAGGTGCACAAGGCAAACACAGACCGAGAAGAAGAGGAAGAAGGGAAGGAAGGCCAGGTCCAACTGATGAAAGGGGTTCAAAAGAAAGAATAGACATATCATAAATGAATTTCAACTGTTCCTCTTTGTCGTCTCATCATCTTGTTTCTTTTCTTTTCCTTCTCTTTCCATCATCCCCTCTCCTATGTTCATCATCCCCCCTTCCCTTCTCTTCTCTTTCTTTTCATAGCACTCACACTTCACTCATTCCTTGTACACCACTCACTTCTCCCTCCTCTTGCCATCGCATCCGCTGACTCTCTTTATCTCCCTCACTCACCCACTCACTCCTTACACCCCCTTCTCTAAACCCTACTCCCCTCACCCTCTAACGATCATGATCTCACCAGGAACCATCCGCAAAAAGAGAAACTTCAAGAACCTGGCCCTGGACGAGGCCGCCAACGAGAATGCCCCTCCCGGTGGAAGTGCCCATCTGCACAACCTGCCCATCGGCGGCCAGGGCAGCGCCCGCCGCGAACCTCTGCCGGACCTCGAACTCGGCGTCGAGTTCAAGCTCGATCTCAGGTCAGAGGACCTCCAGACCATCTCGGAGCTCGGTGCTGGTAACGGAGGCACCGTCAGTCGCGTGATGCATCTCCCCACCAAATCCATCATGGCTCGCAAGGTAAACTTGTGTTCTTGTTTGTTTGCTTTGTTGTTGTTGGGTTGATGGGTGATGGACGATGGTTGGGCTATTTTGCTGTGTCTTGCCACTCTTAGGCCTTTTGCATTTGCCTTTGGCATGTCGCTTGCTTTGCTTCTTTCCCTTTTTTTTCTTTCTTTCCTATGCTTCAATTGGTTCTTATTGGTTGCAACTGTTGTCTGTGGTCTGCATTCACCCTTCCCTCCCCTTTCCCTTCTCCTTCCTTCCTTCCTTCCTTCGACAGACCTCGTTTTCTATTCTCTTCGTTCTATTTCCTGTCGCTGCCTTTCCTCTCCTTTACTCTCCTTCCTTTGAAAGGAAACAAACCAAACTGTCGACGATATCTTTTCATAAGGATACGGATGAGTTGCTTTCCACCCTTTTTTGCTTTGTTGTCTGCGCTCACAACAGCCAACAGCACCCAGCAGGAACCAACAACAGCGCCAGCAACACCAGGCTTCTTTGTCTTCTGTCCTCATAACAAAACACCTCGTCTAACACACACAACTCGTTCAATTGCTTCTTGCTAGGTCATTCATATTGACGCTCAACCTGCGGTCAGGAAGCAGATTCTGCGTGAGCTCCAGATCATGCACGACTGCAATCACCCCAATATCGTCTCCTTCTACGGCGCGTTTTTGCACGAAAGCGAGATTTCTTACTGCATGGAGATTATGGATGTCGGGTAAGTGGTTGTCACTTGGCCTTGTTCTTCCAGTTCGTCTCCACTATATCTCTATTGCTACTACTGCTTCGAACCGCCTTTCTCCTTTATCTCGCCTTCGCCTCTTGCCCTGGATTTGGTCAGACAGAAAGCATTATACAAATTTGGACAGGATTCATGCGGGAGCTTTGTTACTATCATCACCAATACTCTGCCAAAGACGGACAATAGACAACTCAACGACAGGATCTGGGCTTGGACAGACTGAATTGACTGATGACGAACATGGGTTGTACCAGGAACTACCTCGTTCAGGAACTATCGATAACTGGTACCAGAGCTGCCAGAAGTGCCGTTATCCGAGATCAACGTGAGAGGAACATCAAGCTAATCCAACCTTTTTGCATATGTATCCACTGTTGTGTAGATCACTGGATGGTATTTGTGCAAAGAATGGAGCATTCCCCATGGATGTCATTGGACTCATCACGGTCTCTGTGCTCAAGGGACTAAACTACCTCTACACAAACCACAAGATTGTCCACAGAGGTATGCCTCGACTCTCACATTGTGTTTCCCAAAGGATCCGGACTTTTCTGTTAAAGCCAGTTGCAGGATGATGGAGGATGAGAGTACTACGAGGAACCAATCAGAACTCGTTCAATGGGGAATAGGCTTCTCTTTTTCAACCCATATTTTCACTCATTGACCCATCTTCATTTCTTTTCTACGCAAAACTAGATCTCAAGCCATCCAATATCCTTATCAACTCTGCAGGACTGGTCAAGATCTGTGACTTTGGAGTCTCTGGGCAACTTGTGAACTCGATCGCCAACACCTTTGTCGGAACCAGCAACTACATGTCGGTACGTCTCGTTCCTTTTTCAATGGAACCTCCACCTTCGCACTTTCTTTTTGCAACGTTGTTATTGCAATAATTGCTGGATATGTACCCTTGTGGCATACACACAAAAGACAAAACGGGTTTCAATGGATCGAGAGAGAGAAAGGAGGGCGTTTATGGAGTTGGTCATTTGCCCACTGTTTTTTCTTCGGATCTTGAACTAACGGCTCTTATTTTTCTATTGCTATTTTATTTCTGATATATTACGCTTTGGGTCCGGCCTCATTTTCCTTCTTTTCATTTCCCTCTCCCCTTCTGTTTCCTACCCCTTTCCTGTTCTTCATTATCTCCCCTCGTTTAATTTGCGTGCTTATCATACCCACTTTTTTTTTTTTTTTTTTTTTTTTTTTGCCGCAATAGCCTGAGAGAATTCGAGGATGGAACTACGGAGTGCAGTCGGATGTGTGGTCACTAGGTATCACACTCATGGAGTTGGCGCTTGGACGGTTCCCTCTGGACGCCGAATGCAGATCGCTGACTGTTCTGGAGTTGCTTCAGCACATTGTTAACGAGCCCCTTCCTACGCTTCCCCGTCGAGACTTCCCAGAGGATTTCTGCAACTTTGTTGACATTTGGTAAGTCGCTTTTTTTTCTCGGAGAACAGGATTTGGATCTGAATGTGGAGTCTGGGCCATGTTTTTCTGTCGACTACGCTACGCTATAACTAGGGATCGACAGGACTGGAATCGATCTACTCAGTTTGTGTTACAGTGCTAAAAAAATGAGCAGGAACCTTTTTGGGCGGACAATTGACCTCTTTTCCCCGGCGCATTCTCTTTTACTGTGTTTGACGTTGATAGCTTGACCAAGAGCGTAGATCAAAGACCATCGCCTGATAACTTGGCTGTAAGTTACTTGTTCCCCGATCAGCCCTATTGCTTCGCATTGTTCAGGACAGCACATGATTCTCATACTCCAATCTCTTGCCTCCCTTTTTCTGACCTCCTTGTGCTGCACAAACATCTTTTGAACAATAGCAACATCCATACTACCGTCGTGCAGAGAGGGAAAAAGTGGACATGGAACACTGGGTCAGCCATCTGGTCAAATAGTCCATTGGAAAACACACGCCTACAGGATACACTTCAGGAACTATCATATATATACACACCCACACCAAAAAAAATACGCAGACCGACCGCCACCTTTTCTTTTTTTTCGCGACGCTTATGATTTCACTCGACATGAAAAATAAATCTTGATGCCGATTTTTTTTACATTGGGTGGTGTCACTGGTGTGAGTGTGGGTTGTGAGGTGGAGGATGAGGGATGGGTAGCTCGTGTTGGGGGTGACTGTGCGAAATATATCCTGAAAAACAGACGGTTCAACTCGGTGTCGTTGGAATAGTGTTTTTATCTTCCGTTTTCCTTAATTCAGGGACATGATTCAGAATTGGGCGAAGAGGCGATCGCGAGAATGTCGGTGGGAAAAAAAGAGCTTATTGGATTGGTTGAGAAAGACTTGAAGAGTGCACGAGAGAAAGGTAATGGTATCTCTTTTGCATGACTGCCCCCCCACTTTGACTAGACACATGAATTTTCAACTCCCCTTCACGCCGTTATCTGTGTTTCGTTACAATGACTTTCTTCTCTCCACCTCACCTCACCTCATCTTCCTACAGCCTTCGACATGCCCTTTCAATCCATCACTTCACCATGAATGTTTAAAGTCTGAACCAAGTTGCTTACTGTCATTTTTTTTTTTTTTTTTTTTTTTTCCAAAAGCATGGCAACTTCCGAGGAAGAAAAAAAAAAAGAACAATAGACCCATCAGGGCACACAATCGAAAAAGGGGCGCTGTGTAGACATCCGTGGATATTATTTTTTGCTAAAAGTCAATGAGCTTATCCAATGGTTGAAAAGGTCCAAGTGAGATAAAAGAAAACGGCCAAATCCTATAACAAATTATCTAGAGGATGTCGCCATCGACAAAGGATATCCTCGAGGTCAATGATCGCCCTCGCTCCTGCTTCAGTGGATGCCTTAAACATCTGCCATTCTAGCTCTGAAAAAGGAAAAAGGGGCATGCAACTCAAGATAGCAGCCTTCGGGCTCGCAGAATCGTCCCACATAACCCAAAGAGGGGTATATTGTGTGTTGACCAAGAGTAATCCATATAACTCTTTCAAAACCTCAAAGATCTCGTCTTCGCTTCTAAGAATCCTAGAAAAATGACATTACAAGATCGACTCAACGCCTACGTCTTTAAATCAACTTGGGAAGTCCAAGTGCGGCGGCAAGATGACCGAAAATGACGTACTAGGCATTTTTACCTAGGTTGCAAATCGTACTGACACATGCAGTCGAAAAAAAAATGATCCACGGCCGTTTGCAGCCATCGATCCTCCTCCTGTGGGAGAGAACGACCCAATACCTCGTCTTCAAATCAACTCGAGAAGACTAAATGAGGTGGCAAACTCACAAAAGATGAGGCTATCCTATTAGGACATGAAAATTGAACAACATGGTCCACGGCCGCGTGCAGCCTTCAATCGTCCTCCTGCGGGAGTGAACGACCCAACACTTCGTCTTTAAGTCAACTCGAGAAGACCAAATGAGGTGGTAAGTTTACAAAAGATGAGGCTATCTTATTAGCACATGCAATCGAAGGACATGGTCCACGGTCGTGTGCAGCCCTCGATCGCCCTCCTGCGGGAGAACTTGGAAACTGGTTTTCGTCAATATACATTTTTCTGTCTTCAAGTTAGACGACATCATTGATCATATAAAGTAAATAAACGACGGGGATGGAGATGGAAATGAAAACATCAAAGGTGATTCAAAGATACCGTTCAAAGTAACCCTGCATTGACGACCAAGTTAAGTGTTGCCGCACATTCAAATAAAAAACAGGAAAGGTTCCGACTGTAATCACCATTCATATTGGTGAAATAAAAATGTGATGGCATAATGGGCTCTATGAGTTGGACGGGGAACAACCAACACAACAAGCAACATCCACAACGCGGAATCGTTCTGTGGGTCGTTTTACGGACAAAAAAACATAGGGTGTCATTTTGAATGGAAGTAGGAGACAGTGAAGAATCAAGGAACAACAGCACCGCGGGATCTGAAATGAACACGATCAAGTAAAACTACGGACCGAATCATCCTTTCGCTCTATCTTCATTCTATAGGCTTCAAAAGCAAAAAGGTGTCTGTCTGTTCCAGAACACAGAAATCACGAGTCGTTTCATTTTGAACTTATTATGCAGAAAGCATGAAGGGGACTTGGTAGTCAGTACTGCTCTCCGAAAAAAAAATGGATTTGAAGGAGCTGTTCGAATCCGTTGGTTTGGACCATTTGTGCTTTTTTTTTTTTTTTTTTTGTTTCTTTTGTTTCTTTTCTCCATTGAAAGTGTCCTTCAAAATAAAGAGAAGCCCGCTGATCGAGCAGAAGGATGACAGCGATAGAGGAATGGAACCATTTAACCGCTAATATCACTTTTGCGATCTAAACACACGCAAGGTACTTCAAGCCGTAATCTATCATGCCAAGGTTATCTGCAAATGAAAAGGTTTATTATTCTCTTCAGCAAATAAAATGGTATCTTAATCCTCAGCAGATCTCATCCGCACACACACTCAAAACTTCATCGCACGCTCAATGCCCTCCGCACACCGAATCATATCCGGCACATGGAACTTCTCAAACACAAGCGGGAATGGGGTATCAAAAGAGCACAATCTCTGAATCGGCGCCTCCAGCCTCAAAAAGCACCTCTCCATCACAGTGCTCGCAATCTCGGCCGCAAATCCCTGAGTCTTGGGAGCCTCATGAGCAATAAGGAGGCGACCTGTCTTGTTGACAGAGTTGCAAACCGTTTCGACGTCCCAGGGGAGGATGGAGCGGAGGTCGATCAATTCGACAGAGAGGCCGGGCATTTTGGTTTTCGCGAGTTGGATGGCATTTTCGAGGACGTACAATTGAGCGCCCCAGCCAACAATTGTGAGGTCCTTGCCCTGAGTCAAGATCTCAGCTTTGCCCAATGGCAACTCGTAGTCTCCTACAGGCACCATCTCCACTATTTGTGTTACGAATATTAGAGAATGGTGGTTAGAACTGATATTTTACCCAACATTACAACTTCATCATGCCACTGCAAGAACACGAAAAAGAGCATACCGGCGGCACGGTAGAGAATCTTGGGCTCCATGAAGATAGTGGGGTTACGATCACGGATTGAGGCCAAGAGGAGACCCTTGGCTTGGATAGGGCTGCGGGGAACAACAACCTTGATACCAGGGGTGTGAGCGAAGTAGGCCTCGGGGCTCTGAGAGTGGTAATGACCACCATGTCCAACCGCTCCACAGGGTGTCCTGATGCACAAGCCGCCCACATTGAACTCTCCTCCTGATCTGTAACGGTACTTTGCCGCCTCGTTCACAATCTATTGTACGAGAGGGAAAATGTAATTAGTACACAAGGACAACGAGATGATGCCTTCTTGTTTTGCGGTCCAGTACTCTGGTTCAGGTATTTTTACCTGGTCAAAGGCGGGGAAGATATAATCGGCAAATTGGATCTCAGCAATAGCGGTCGATCCCATGGCGGCCATACCAATACCGAATCCAGCAATTCCCTGCTCCGACAACGGGGTGTTGAACACCCTGTCGCGACCTATTCGTCATTGAACAAAGAACAGTGGTTTCAGCGCTTCTGTTCATTGTATCCGCGTGGCTAATCGGCAGTCATAGATAACATCGCTGGAAGCTGGGCTTACCAAACATCTCGGAGAGACCCATGGTGCAACGGAAGACACCTCCAAAACCAACATCCTCGCCAAAGACGCAGGCGGTATTGTCAGTCGCCAGAGCAATTCTCATCGCGTCGTTGATAGCCTGGAACGTGTTCATCTTTTTTGTCTCTCCTATTAAACAAAAGGACGTAGAACAGTATTAGTCAGATGTAGCAGGGCAGAAGGAGTGCTGTTGGTGATAACGTGGTCAATTACCATTGGCGACACTGGCGAGTTCAGGGTTGTGGAGGGCATCGTGGTGGGTATGCTTGATCAGTTGAGAGTTGGCGACTCCGGGGAGGAACCCCTCTGCAGGAGGAGGAGAGCTGGATGATGCGTAGTGGGTCTTCAACGACGTGTGTAAGAGCTATTTGGTACATACGACAAAATAATTAGCGCGTGCTTTAAATCCTGAGGTAGAGTACCACACCAATGGGCCATTGTGTGTGTATGAGAGAGAGATGGGTAAGGTACCTTGACAGGTGCGCCTTGGCGAAGGAAGGTACGGGAGATGGAGGAATGGGATGAGGCAAGGCGGGTGGATTTTAAGAGTGTGGTGGACATTGCGTATGTGTGACTAGGATGCGTGTATGAGTGAAAGAGGTGAGGCGGATGGGAGTGAGGGGTTCGAGAAAAGGGTATGTGTGATGACGAGAGAGTGGGAGGAGGAGGGTGGGAATGAAATGAGTCGAGAGGAATGAGATGATAAAAAAAAAAAAAAAGCAAGAAGAGAGTGGAGGGCGCTGCGGGCTGGACTGACTGTGGGGTGTGGGGGAGGAAGTTCAAAGCAAGGCGGTGCCTTGACTTCTTTCGCACGCTCCTTCTTCAGAAAAGAAATTGCCACCCGTGGGAAAGTAAAAGGTGAATGCAGCCCATGCGATCACTGGAAGCTTCCTCCTTCCTTCACTCTATGATGGTGGCGAAAAAGACTGACATCGAGGTTTATTTGAATACTTGGGTCTCAATGCATGTAAGGAGAGACAGGCTGAGGGCTTGGGTGGTCTGTCAGCTTGTAGCGGCGGAACTGGTCAGACTGACCCGCGTCCGCCGGTGGACGAGGGGGCATGGAGGGTATCGAAGGGATAGAAGATGCACTCAACGGAACCGCAGGTACCGGCTCAGTCGTTTGGCTATAGTCCGGTGAATAGAGACGTGGTGCAGAGGCAGAAGCCATAGGGTTGTATTGGAATGATGTTGGCTGGGGCGGTATTGACTGGTATCCTGACGTTCCTTGCTGCAGTGGTGGGGAAATGTATGTTCTGTAGTCGTGGTTCATAATTGTAGCCGAGTTCGAAGAACTAACGTTGGAGAACGAAAGTGCCGGTGATGCTGCTGAAGGCGGTGCGACGTATGAATATGACGTCGACGGCGACATGGGGCCGACTCCTAGATCAACTGCGTTCGGGGCAGTTGCATTCTGTTGCACAGGAGCTGCTGCGGGTCGAGAAAAATAGAGAGACTCATCCGGTAGTGGTGCTGACTTTTCTGGGTAGTATCCATAAGAACTGACATTGCTGCCTCCATTATGACTATAATGTGTTGGTAATGCTGACCGTGGATTGCCGCTCAAGGTACTGAATGATCCTGGGACTCTCGAGTCGTTAGTTGTAGCTGTATACCCCGCAGTAGAGCCACATGGGGCAACCGATGACGATAATGCCAGCTGCTTATGTTGCTCTGTTGACGAGGATGGTGAAAGGGTGTTGACTTCAGGTGGTGGGATTGTCGGCAGTGGCTTGAAGAATAAATCATTGTCCGTAATCGGGTTTGTGCTCGTCCTGAATGGCGAAGAGGAAGAGGACGAAGAAGAGTAGGGGAGGTGAATAGGAAGTGTGTGGCTCCTTGATGACGATGGTTCACCTGCCATTGAACTTGGTCCTTGAGACGACTCGCCCCCTCTGGGTTTAAAAGACGGTAACAGTGTGCTGTAGCGCGGAGGCACCACGCGTTCATATTTCGTCTGAGGGATATAGGCTGCCTTTGACGAAGCACTGAATGGGTCCTGTATCCTTGAAACTGCTGGGGGCGGTGTCGAAGGTGACGAGACAGAAAAGGATGCTTGCGAGGGCGAAGAGATCGGGTATAATGTTGGCGAGGGTGAAGAAGCTGAGAATAAGGATGGCGATTTTGATGCAGAAAGGACAGGTGAAGAGAAGTAATCCTGGCCGAATGGAGCTGGGGCTGGAGAAATGGAGAGTTGATTGGTGGAGACAACGATAGAGTCGTAGGGGTTTCCGTAGAACGAGTCGCGTTCCCTTGCCTCCTCCGCGACCAGTGCTTGGTATTCCATTGACATCTCCAGCGGGGGGCGAGCCTCTGCAACAATGTCCATGATGATGGGGAGGTATACCTCAAACCCTCCAGGAGAGTCAAGGATCTTTTTCCGCAGTTTCTGGTTGACCGTCTTTTTGGACTTGCGCTCAAAGAATCCAGTCTGAGATCTCATGTCGAAGAGGAATAGGATGTGATATTGGATCGAGATGATCTTGGTGGTGTCCATGGTTGGAGTTGCGTCGATAGGGAGGGTGATCTCGGCGAGAATCTTTCCTGTGTGGGATCCCGACTCGAGCTTGATAGCGTGTGCTGAAGCCGCGATAACATGACTGTACTCTCTCATTTGCCTATCGTGAAGAATGGAACTGGTTAATCGGTAGCTCAAATACCAAGGAATGGAAAAAAGATGAACAGATGACAGTGAAACGAAACGTACTCTTTGGCGGAGTATGATTCCTTGCGGATCAGTTGAATCCAGCATCCTGGGTCCCGACGGATCTTTTGAGGGTGAGCGAGATCGACAGACAGTGTAAGGACCTGACCTGGTCGGTAGGCAGATCTGGCGATGGAGACTGCAGCGGTGGCCAGGTGTCGGTCGTTGTTGGTGTACATTTTTGTGCTACTTGAGCCGACGATGGAGACGGCGTTGGAGTAGTTGGAGTCGTGGACGTGGTCAACGAGATCGATGTTTTTGTTGAATTTGATATCCTGTACTCCACCGAGGAACTTTGTTGAGGTCACGACTGCGGTCAACGTGTACTTTACCGTTCCATGGCGATACTTTAACATACAAATGAGAATATGATATTAGTGTTCAGGCGCCTTCGTCGTTTGGTTGGCGCCAATTGAATTGTCGGCAATGAATGAGAATCCGACAAACAGAGAAACTTGGCAACCCATATTCATAGCACAGCTTCGAAAACCAACAATAACAAAGAATGAGCAAGAGACGAAAAAAAAGTGAAAAATTGGTTACCTTGCCGGAGGAAGGGAGATGCTGCAGGGGAACAGTGAAATGGAAAGGCCAGCTGTGCTTGCCCTCGTCGAGGACAGAGGTGGTGGCGTTGTTGGGGTTGCCGAGGAGGACGGTCTGCAGGTTGAGGACATAGACCTCCTCGATAGACTTGGCGACCTTGGTCGACACCAGTCCGACGAACCTGACCTTGATACAGGTGTATCTTAGACTAGCGCTTGTGTTGAAGTTGACTTTGCCTATTGATGGAAGCGATCCAATTGACGCCTGTCAGTGTCCTGTGCTGTTGTTGTTGTCGTTGTTTGTAATAGAAGAGGCAGTTGAAACAATGGAGTAGGGGTAAGGGGGAGAGAGTAGAGGACTAACCGGTGAAAGTGTCTCCCGGACGAAAGGGTGTTGCCTTGATGGCGTCTTCGTCGAGGTCAATGAACAGCTTCTTCATTCAGTTGGTTGTGAATGTGAATGTGAGTGTGAATGTGAATGCGAGGTATGATATACAAGGTGACAAAAAGGGCAAAAATGGATGAGAGGTGAAAGTGAGAAAGAGGGAGAAGAAGATAGGCTGTGTCGAAGAGTAGAAGATAGAGTAGGGCTTAGGGATGGTTCCAGGTATTTCTCCTTTGGTGTAGTGTATGTAGGACTATGTTGCACACGAGAGAGAGAGAGAGAGAGAGGAGGAGCAGTCAATAATAATGATTGTCAATAATGGTGTGCCAACGACAAGCTAGAGGAGGAAGTAGAAGTAGACGTAGGAAGGGAAGAAGGGAGGAATGAAGGAAGGAGGAATAGAGAAGGCATGAATGCCGAGGGAAAAAGGACAGAGAGAGAGAGAGAGAGAGAGAGAGAGAGAGAGAGAGAGAGAGAGAGAGAGAGAGAGAGAGAGAGAGAGAGAGAGAGAGAGAGAGAGAGCAGAGCAATTAGTGAAATAAGGCGTTCGTTGGCTCGGGAGTACGATCCGTGAGTGAGTGTGCGGGTTCGTTCATGTTGCAAAGAGCGAGAGTGACATTAGGATAGAGTATTTGAGTTGGTACACCAGCAGGGAGTGGAGTGGTTTTGGATTTCAGGCACAAGGAACAAGGAGGGTGTCTTTCTTTCCACAGGCGGTGGAGGCACCGATCAATCCATCAAGTGAAGAAAAAAAAGAAAATGCTCTCAAACAAAAATAAATTTCGATGGATGTTGTTGATGCCTGGGACACAGCCGCACTTTTTTCTCCCTGTACGGGCTAGTGGAGAAGGTGCCAAGAATAGACACCATGCTGTATTGCTGTATTGCTGTATTGCTGTATGATGGTCAAGTTCAACAGCAAACAGCAAGCCAAGCCAAGGAGCAAGAGAGGTGGTATCCCTTTCGGGTAGTCAGAACGAGAGCGACCCGCATCCGATTGTTTGTTTGTTTTGTTCATGTCCGTTAGGCAACCGTCTGGCACACTGCACAGTACATGAACCACGCTACTTCCATTATTACTATTCTCCTGCAACACATGAAATGTCTTTATTTCAACCCATCGGGTCTCATCTTACTGCACCCTTCCCCTACACAGGATACACACATGGCATATTATTATTACTATTATTATTCTTCTTTAATGTTTGCACAGCGGGCATGACCTTTTCTCTGATTGTCTGGTCCATGTCTCGTTGCACTCTGGCCTGTTTCTCTCTGTACCACCCCCCGTCGCACCTGCAACCTGTTGCTTGTCAAAGTAAATACTTCTCTTCCTTCGCTTTCTTCTTGTATGCGACTGTACTGTAGAGAACATTCGTCACTTTTGACTCTTTTTTTTTTTTTCTTCTTTTTTTTAAGCTCTGTTCTCTTCCCGCAAGAGTGGGAGACAAGAGGTATCAATCGTCATCACCATTATCATCTTCATCGTCATCAGCCCCTATTCTTTACAGCTCCATGTACCACAGTTCCGAATAGCCTACATGAACCATCATCAATCCTCAGCAGCCAACCCATCCGCATATATTCGATGATGCTCTCTTCTCTCTCTCTTTCTCTCTCTCTCTCTGTCCCTCTCTCTCTCTCTTCTATCGACAAGTGTGGATTTGGCTCTTTTCTTCTCCTTCCTCTTCCATCTGTGTATGAGTGTCCTCGATACATTTTTCTCCTCCGAGTCTGCACCCTTTTTAGCTTTTTTTTTCTTATTCATTTGTATCTCTCTTTACTTTCCCTTTTCCTCCTTTTCTTCTCTTTTCTTTTCTTCCTCTTCCCTTCGTCCCCTTCCCATTACCCCATTCTCCCTCTCCTTCCTTCTTCTCCTCGCCTCTTGTTCCCTTTTAATTCCCTCTCCTTCGCTCCGCCATCATCTTCCTCTCCTTCCGCTCTCATTTGTTTCTTAATTACCATTCCCTCATCCATACCCCCTCGCTCCTCTTCCCAACTCACGACCCCATCCACATCTATTCAAGACTGACAAGACCAACATACCCCTCTCCCTGCCTCGCTTTTTGTCTTTTTCTTTCTTTCTCTTCTTACTTTTAACGACATATCATAATACGACCAACCTATCAACGATACGACACACAAGGGAGCCAACCACCATTCTCACCAACCAATTAACCTGACCCGACATCACCTACTCTTCAAAAGTGTTGCTGCTCATCCCTATTACAAACACTCTCCTCTCGTTTCCCAACGGAAAACAGACACACAAAAAACAACAAAAAAGAGAGCGATCGCAAAGTTGACTTGAACGAACGAGATGGGTTCAAACAGACCAGCAGCAAGGAACCAAAGGGCCAAGGTACAACATACAGCGACATCTCCCTTCATTTTTAGTATCCCGCACACCCTATTACCATTATCCCTCTCTGCCCTCGACTCTTGTTACTGGTGCCGTTTTTTTTCTGACAAAGAACTCCTTTGAAGACGAACCAACCAACCAGAGGAGCCAACCGACTTCAACAAACGCTTGTGCCGAGGTGGCAATGGATAGCAAACAACCGCACAACAACGAGTCCAGCCTAGCAACGCACCTCAACAAAGCTTTCGTTCAGTGGCAACAGATAGCGATCAATTCACTATCGACACCAGTACACGAAACGAACAAACGAACGACAACAACTGTGCAACCATTTTTGTACACACACTCTCTGTCTTTGTCCAGGCATTCGATCCCTTCTTCATCCCTTTTGAATGATAAGCATGACGACAGCAAACAGACTATTGCAGCAAAGAAAACTCTGTCTTGCAGTTTAGTCACCTTTATTGCATTCGTCTTTTTTGTGTTGTTCTTAGGAGCAATTGTGTTGACTGGGCTTCAGTATCCATTGTTTGTTCTTTTGTGTTGTTGGCCATCCCAACATATTGGCTGCCCCCTTTTTTTTATATCTCTTTCTTATGCTCCCTTTTTGACCACAACAGAATATATACGCAAACAACAAACGACAACAGCAGGGATAGTTCTCTCGCTCAACTCAACTCGTTGTTTTCATATCTCTTGCAACACAGACGCAGGGAGAGACACGCAAGCATGCACGCTCACTCTACACAAGGAAGAAAGAACAATATCAGGAGCTGGATAGGGATAGGGGATCGAGCACAATTCTAGGAGAATCAAAACAAAAGAAAAAAAACTGACCCAGCACCTGTCAATTGCTTGTATGCTTTATTATCTTTATCACTTCACTAGCTTGCAGCAGACTTGAATGACCTCTTCAAGGATCTCCAGTCGAACCAAGTCAAGACCGTTGGCAACTACCATCTCGGTCAATTGGTCGGCCAAGGTAACCAAAAGACATTCCTCTCATCGTCATGCCTTGCGACATATCCCATTGTTCCTTCCTTCTCTCTCTTCTTTTCTGCTGCCGTTGCTCTCGACATTTGCATAATTGGGATTGGTTATCGGTTGTACGACATCAACTTCAACAATCATCAACAGACGATGGCGACACAGGATAAGGAAAAGAGACACAACAGAAAGCGAGGGAGAAGGGAAAACAGTGATAAAAAACAGAGTTGCGTGTCCGTGTACACAACAGGAAATATGCTATCACAGTGACACCCTGCCTGTCCACTCTCAAGAGAGACCTTTAAGCACATGTCGGACAGGGGTGGCTCTGAGCAAAAGAAGGAAAAACAACGAGCAAAAAAAAAGAAACAGGGTCAAGTTGAGGGGAGGGGAGGTACATATGGAAAAGCCGTACCTTATACCACGAACAGCATAAGGAAAAAGACGAGGATCCGGCATTTGCAGTGAGCTTTTCATTTCTTATGCAGTTCTCATATCCACTGCACATCACCATCTCATCCATCAGTTAGCCTGGAATAAGGCGTGAGCCAACAACCAAGCGAAAAGAGAAAGTAGAGGGAGAGAGCATTGGCGATGGGTGCTCACTTGCATCGAATCCCTATCCTCATCTTCACTCTCGCGCATTTATACCAAAACACTTACTCAACTCACATTAAAAACATTCTTTCGCTCGGTTGTCTTTCCATTAGGCACATATGGCAAGGTCAAGCTAGCAACGCACGCATTAACAGGACAGCAGGTCGCAGTCAAAATTGTGGCCAAATCTCATGCAGCCATCATCACCCGAGAGATCTACCACTGGCGCTGTCTGACACACCCCTATATCGCCCACTTACATGAAGTCCTCACCACAGAATCCAAGATCTACCTGGTAACAGAGTACTGCCCCAAGGGCGAGCTCCTCGAGGCCCTTATTCGAGATGGACGGTGTAAACCCTCGCTGGCAAAGCGGTGGTTCCGGCAAATATGTCTGGCAATCCAATACTGTCATTCTCGCAAGATTGTCCATCGAGACCTCAAGCTTGAGAACATTCTGCTGGACAGCCAGAACAACATCAAGCTCATCGACTTCGGGTTCACAAGGGAGTGCGAGTCCAAGAAGCTGCTCGAGTCCTACTGCGGCTCTGCAGCCTATACGGCCCCCGAGATCATTGTTGGCAAAAAGTACTCCGGACCAGGTAAAGCAACAATAGCGCATTCCAATGAGGAACAGACACAGGAATGAACTGAGGACAAAGAACAGGAGCTCAAGAATAGCAAACTCCTCTAGAGTCGTTCTTTACTGTCAAGAGGATGAGATGGTGTTGTTAACCTGGCGGCAACAAAAACGAAGCGGGATGAAATGCCATTGCATGGTCTCTTCCCCCCTCTCCCCTCTTGGTTCTCTCTCCCTTCCTTTCCTGCCTGCCCTCTCCCATCTTGTTTCATCCAATGCGGACCCTTACTCTTTTTTCGTTTGCCTCCCCCACTTATACTAATTGTTCTTACTGATTGTGCTCACATCCTAAATTTGCTCTCTTTTTTACTTCTTCCCTATGTGGTTGCCATTATAACAGAGGCTGATATTTGGTCCCTGGGTGTCATTCTCTACACGCTTCTGGCGGGTTACCTGCCCTTTGATGACGATAATGAAACCGTGGTCCAGGACAAGATCGTGGACCTCGATTATGAAATGCCTAACGAGCTCTTCTGTAAAGGTAACGAGACAACCTCCTTCATGCCTTGTTATTGTTAGCATACCCCTGGATTTTTATTAGACGACCCCCGTACGAAATGAGAAGTTCAATATCTGTTTTACTTCCCCTGCCTGACGCCTCTTTTATGAACCCCTTTGTCCGTAATAGACGCTCAAGATTTGATTCAGAGTATATTGAAGGAGGATCCTAAGGAGCGGTTCACAATTGAGCAAATCTTGGCTCACTCCTGGTGGATGCCCCGTTCAGACGACGACGAGGAAGGCGGGGGCAGTGGTGCAGCAGGCGAGGGCGACGGAAAGCTATCGATGGAGCAACAGGACGCGCATACAGGACACGGACGCCAAGGATCTTTGACGAAGCGCGAGATTCACCCGGTTGCGAGTCAACGGCCCGGCGATATTTACTCAGGATCAGGGTCACCCCAGTTCCCATCACCCTTGGCCCAATACCCCTATGGCGTCTGGGGTAATCAGTCGCCTTATACATTCAACCCTCTGGGCGATATGCTGAGGGCCTCTTCACCGGGGGGACCTCCAGTACCTTCGCCAATCTCATCACCTCTGCCATCGCCCTCACCGATGGTGAACAAGAGTTTTCCACGTTTCGAGTCTGCAGGAACTATGGACGGTAATGGATCGGCAGGCGCACGGATAGGAGGATCGGGATCAAGCTATTTCCCAGCAAACTCCTTCGAACAACGACTTCTCATGGTCCTTGAGAAGATTGGTCTCGACGCCGAGATCTTTTCAAAGTCAGTTCCTGCCCAGTCATGCGATCCGGGATACGGACTCTGGTGTCTACTCATGGAACAAGTGAAGCAGCGAGCGATCGACAATGGAACGTCTCTGGAGTGGGAGCAAAGTATTGCTCTGGTTGAGACGGCCACTTTGACCGGAGTTGGATCGACTGGCGGAATTCCTAACGGTGCGCTGGCGATGATGGGAGAGAATGGCAAGAAGTCTCCCCGCCCTATGTCTGATCCTAGTCCGACGTCAAGTCAAGTCAACCTGTTGCTCCCTCAGATCAGCATACAACAACAGACATACCCTATTCATCCTCACCAATTGCATCAGCAGCAACAGGAACAGCAGCAGCAGCAGCAACAACAACAGCAGGATAACTCGGAACTACAACGTCAGACAGTGGAACTGAAGGAACTGTTGGACAAGTACAAGCTGGAGGCTGAACTGCTCAGGGTGGAGAAGCAACAGTTGGAGAAGGAGAAGATCTCTCTTGCTGAGGTCCAGCCCAGCAAGGTACATCCTTTTGAGATGAAGGAGTTGCCTCCCATTTCCGCCGAGGCTCTCTCGGGAGCAACGGGAGCGGGCCAAGTCAAGCCTGAGCGGCCGGTGCAGGATAGCGGAGTCTCTGTTTCGACTTCGTCAACACCACATTCGTCCTGGGAACTGACAGAGCGGGATGGGCCAACGATACATGTCGAAAGACCCCGTCGGAAAAGCAAAGGGATTCTCCATTCCCTCAAGGATCGATTCTTCAGCAGTACAGGAAGCGATGTCGACCCTCACTCTGGACATGCATCACCACACCCTCCATCGCCTATCCCACCCAAGGCGTTTACAGGATCTCCTTCTTCCTCGACCAACTCTGGCACAACCTATGCCTCACCCAAACCATTACCAGCCCCACCAGCACATCCCTACCCACACCTGCTGCAGCACCCGACGACTCACTCCCCTCTGAGCGCGGTGTCGTACAAGTCTGCCAGTACAAGTTCACTAGCTATTGAGAATGGACAGTCGACTACCCATTCGGTGGCTGCCCGCGCTGCCGCCTCGTCCGACCAGCTCTCAATACTCGACCCCCACCTCGACCACAACGTCAGCCAGTATCTGGATCCAGACACCCCGTCGACTCATCACAAGAAGGGCGGATTCATGACTTGGATCTCTGAGAGCGCTTCAGGAACTGTCCTGAACAAGACGCCTGTTGTTCAGAACACTGCCAAGGTGCCAAAGAAAATCAATGGACGATCTTACTCGACTGCTGAAGCCTTTGCAGACCCTTCTTCGGTGAATGGTAGTGGTGGATTAGCCAGGAGTCCAGCATCATCCTCGGAAGAGAATCGACCCCAAATTCCCGCCATCCCTGCCAGCTTCTTCCAGCCTATTTGGAAGTCGCATAGTGGAGGCGGATCAGCTCATGGATCAGCGTCTTCATTACCCTCAAATAACGGTTCGACGTCATCTTCTACACTGGCAACATCGGCACCATCAGGAATGAGCATTCGTCAGCGACTCGCCTCCTTTTCGTCGTCCACCGCCAAGATCACACCAGAGGAGAGACAACGAGCAACAGCAGCGGCTGCTGCAGCGGCTGCCTTGGTTGCCCAACCTTCGTACCCTGAGCGTGCACACTCTCCTTCACCACCTTCATCTCCTCGTGGCCCAGTCGGCTCGAATGCATTAGCCGCCTTGGGCGGAGCGACCCCTAGGCACCACCCCCACCGTCAGGATGATGAGATCAATGAGATTGTCGCAGCCGCCGTGGCTGCGACTGCTAGTGCGCATCTGAAATCGAGCGGTTCCCGCAAGAAGAACATTGGCACAACTTCTTCTGGCTCAAAGAAGAACAAGACTGTACTGCAAAAAATGGAGCGGACAGACACATATCACTCAACAACCAGCACCTGCTCAACGGCCACCGCAACGAGCACGACTTCTGGCAGCACTATAGTAAGCCATTCTCGACGCGTCTCGGATGCCTCTAGGCGACAGGTCTCAGCACCTTCTCTGCAGATCCCATCATCTGTAAATGGAACAGGACCTCCCTTTGGCATTCTCAAGGACACTGGAGCTAACAAGGATGTCACTCGGAAGCCATCGATCAAAGCATCTAAGGCCTCGATGCCCTCATTGATGACCGCCTTCTCGTCATTCAAACCCTCCAAATCTGCACCGTCGTCTCCTGTCGTAAACTCGCCATCCCGCATCTCTCGTCAACAACTCCCGCAGGATTCAGCACATCTACCTCCATCACCGTCTGTCGATTCTAGCTATGCGACTAGGACCAACAGATCCTCGCGAGCTAGCCAAGAAAGCTCCACATCGTCGATTGTCAGTGGTCGATCAAGAGCTATGTCGAACGCAATGGAGAGACCACTGCCTCCATTGCGCAACCAGGACGGCCATACAGATGTGGCCCCTTTGCCGCCTCTCAAGACTTTCGGTGATGGGGTAGTCATCCAGGAGCACGAGGTTCGGCCCAAGAAGCGTACTACCAGCCGAACCAGCATTACAGCTGCTTCGCTTAGCAGACGTTCGAATGAGTCGTCGGGATCTCTCATCTCTGCGGCTGATCGGTCAGAGCCCTCGAGTCCTATCACAGCAACCACGTTCGCTACAGCTACAGGGATCACAGGCGGCGCTGCCGGTGGCGGTTCTACGTCAGCGGTTCATGCAGCCAGCCCAACTTCGGCAGTGTCCCCCTCGAAGCGTGCTAGCTTGGGCAGTTTGAGCAGTCGTCGGAGCAGTACCAGCAGCATGCGAGACCGCAACATCTTTGGTCTGACACTGGATAGCGGATCTGGATCACGGAAGTCGTCATTGAATTTATCGCGGACGTCGCTGTCCAAGAACACGTTCCAGTCGCCTTCTGCCTCACCTGGCCAGCCCCGTCGTGGTGCTGAGATGGAGCGCGGAGAGCGTGAGCGGTATGGCCAGGAGGATTTGGCATCAGCAGGAACTGGACGTGCCAGCCCATTGGCGCTGTCGGTTGTCGAGGAGACACAGGATGATATGTCGCATCAGCAGGAGTTGATTGGAACGCACTCGCGCACTGGATTGAATCACAATGTCAAGGATGCTGGTCGTAAGGATATGTTCCCCATGAGCGCTCCCTCGTCCATCATGCAGTCTCGTAGTGGTGTCTCGTCGGTCACAGTTTCCAACAATAGTTCGACTCCAATGGCTGTTGTGCGCGCAACTCTTACGGATGCAATCACCTATTCGCCTTCGATCTCTGCATCGTCGTCATTGAGCCGCGTTGCCCATGATTCCAAGACTGAAGCAGAGGCCGCGACAGCTGCTGTTATTGCAGGAGCTGAAGAAGCCTTGGGCGCCAACAAGACTATGGACGATGCCGCGGACGTGAGCTTTGGATCCGGGTCGACAACGCAGCCTCGCTTAGATTTCACGGATGGGCGCAGCCTGATTCCTTCGCCTCCACCCTCGCCATCACCTTTGCGCCCCAATTCTATACGCAACTCCGCTGCTGCAGCTTCTGCGATCCCTGTCGCCGTCGGATCTGACAAATCGACTTCTGCTGCTGCCCCTGCGCCAGCTGCGCCTATGGTGATGAACAGGAGGTCGGCGATGTTGGAGGAGCCGAGAACCAGTCTTTTGTCGACCAGTTACCCACCTCCAAGGGCTAGTCTTTCCTACTCTGCTGGTGCTGCTGCTGCCGTTGCAGCCGCCGCTGCCAACGCCACTGCTTCCTCTACTTCGTCTTCGACCATGCTGGAATCGACGTCCCCTCCTTCGCCCTTGTCCTCTAGACCCTTGGTCTCATTTGATCAGCACTTTTCGAACCAGGCCCGAATTAAGGAACACCGCGACTCGACCACGCCCCGCAAAGTCGTCAATGGATTCCAACCCCTCGCTGCCAAACGTCTCTCCAAGCCTGGCTGGAACGCCAACAACAATGCTAATAATAGCACTGCAGAGGGACCGTCGACCCCCCAGCTCAACGAGTCCTTGATGCCCGACCACCGTGCCTCACCTCCCCCACCCTCCGCCATGGACCGCTTCTCGTCGTCCTTCTCCTCCGCCCATGGACCTCCCAACGCCTTTGCGGGCCGCAACCGTCGTGGATACCGAAACAGTACGGGATCTATGGCCAATATGACCCTACAGCAGCAGCAAACCTTTCAGCAACTCCAAAAGGAGCAGTTGCTCAAGATCCAACAGAACCTGCCAAACGCTGGGTATGAGACTACGGCGGCGATGAAGATCCATGGACCTCGCCCTCGCACGGGTATGTTCCCTAAGCGCGAGTTGGGTTCTGGTCTTGGTGGTGGTGGTGGTGGAGCTCTTGGTGGATTGGGGGGTCTTGGTGGCGCTGGTGTCCCTAGCCATTTGGGATCGTCGTCGATCGTTGCTGGTGGTGGTAGTATCAGCCACCATAACAATGGTAGCCAGAGCCCTGGTTTCGGAACATTTGAGACCGTCTACGAAACTTCTGCTGGTTCCGCTGGAAACGGTGTTGGTTCGGGACCTGGTGTCGGAAAGAGGGATTCTTACTCAAACCGGCGCCAGAGTATGGCGACTGCGATGGGGAAACGTGCCGGTGCTACCCCCGCTGCTATTCAGGAGGAGGAAGAGTCTTAAACCCTTTTCCCTATTTCCCCTTCTTTTCCTTTCTTATTTTTTCCTTTATTATTTTCTGTTCTTTTAATTGTGTTGCTAATATCCTTGTCTTTCTATGTACCATATCATGCCCTTTTCTTTTTTCCTTCTTTGTGGTTCTTTCTCTTTTCAAAAAAATAAAAATCGCCAAAAAAGCGACACCTTCACAATCAAAGCAAACTCGAATAAGTCCCATCATCTTTGTCGATATGCCAAAAAAAAAAATGGTTGTGTATTAACAATAATAACTATGAACAAAAGAAGAGCTACTTACAGGCTGAAGTTATCAGCGGCAGCAGAGGCAGCAGCAGCCAAGGCCTGGAGGGCCTCAATCCGAACAGGCAACTGCTTCTTGAGCTCCAGAAGCTCATCAACTGCAACCTTCACAGCATCGGCATCAGCCTTGTCGGTCTTCAACTGACGGACCTTCAAACCAGCAGCATCGATCTGGGCCTCGAGCTCAACAATCTCCTCGGGCTTGGGACCGGGGCCGGTCCAGGCAGGGGCGGCCTTCTGGGCAGCGGCGTGGGCGGCGGCCTTGGCCTTCTTTCCAGAGACGGCAGGAGCGCCGTTCTTGGCGGCGGGGGCATCCTTGGCGGCAAGCGCCTGCTCCTTCTTCTTGGCATCCTTGGCGTCCCTGACCTCAGCCTGGGCAACGGGGGCAGCCTTGGACGAGATTGAGGCAACCTTGCCATCAGGGATCAAGATCAAGCGTGCAACGGTGGTAGGGGTAGCGACGGCGTCAACAATGTAGTATCCCTTGCGCTCAAACTGTATGATATCACCCTTGTTTAACTCGGCAACATTTCCATCAGCAATAGCCTCAGTCTTGAACTCTGTCGTGGGCGTCAAGAGATCCTTGAGCTCGTCCTCCTCCTCGACCTTCTTCTTGGTGATGAGGTAGTCGTAATCCATCAAGTCGACCTTGACAAGCTCAGCACCGTCGGCCAACCAGGTCAACTTCTTCTTGGTCTTCTTGAAGTCTCCCTCCAAGTGCAACTCGGCGTTGACGGACGTGACAACTCCCTCTGAGTTCTTCTCGATCGACCGGATGAAAGCGTTACCCCAGTCCATCAAAGTAACCTCCTCGTTGACCTCGAGCTCCTTGCAATCAGCCTGGTCCATCCAGATAGTGGGTCCATAAGCAGTCTGCTTGTTTCCGAGGGCCTCATTCTTCTTATGACGGGGCACCTCCTTGAGGGTATAAGCCTCAGCGCCGGCAACATTGACCTTGACCTTGTTGGCAGCATCGACAGCAGTGTGACGGGGAGCAATAGGGTCGATCTGCTTGCGGTTAACAGCCCAAAGCTTATCCCACTCCAAGGTAATATAGTTGGTTGAGGCACCCTGCATGAGGATATAAGCCTTAAGCGCCTCCATGGTCAGACCACGACGGAGGATACCACGGATGGTAGGGAAGCGAGGGTCATCCCATCCAGAGACACGGCCCTGGTCAACGAACCAGGTGAGCTTACGCTTCGACATGAGGGTGTAGACGAAGGAGAGACGAGAGTACTCCCAGATGTGGACCTGGCGAAGTCCGAGGTTGTCGAGGAACCACTGGTACTGGGGGTTGCGATCGTGGTACTCGTCCGTGCGGAGGGCATGGGTGACGCCCTCGAGGGAGTCGACGACGGGGCAGGCAAGATCGTACAAGGGGTACATCTTCCACTGGGTGCTATTACATCGCAATTGGGGAACAAAATAATAACAAGCGTTAATGATCATGCAAAATCAAAAGCTAGTAAATATGCAAACAACGTACACAAGCAAAAGTGAAATTACCCAGTGCGGGCGTGGGGGATGAGATTGCAGCGGTAGATGACGGGATCACGGAGAGCCTTGTTCAGGTTATCGACCGAGATCTTGGCACGAAGACAGCAAGTCTGTCCAAACTCGGTAGCGTTCTTCATCTCCTCAAAACGACGCAAGTTCTCCTCAACCGACAAGTCACGGCACTGGGAGGCAATACCGTCCATGCGTTCGGCACGCATCTGCTCCTGGCCGGTGGTATCACAGTAGGCCTTACCCTCCTTGATCAGCTGAAGGGCATAATTGTAGATGGTATCAAAAAAGTCCGAGGTATACGACACGACCGAAGAGTCGATGCCAATCTTCAACAAGTCCTCCTTGATCGAGTGCTCGTACTCCTCCTTCTCCTTGCTGGGGTTGGTGTCGTCGAAACGGATAATAAGACGACCATTGTACTGGTCGGCAAAGTACTTGTTCAACAGGGCAGCCTTGGCGTGACCAATGTGAAGGTAGCCTGAGGGCTCTGGGGGGAAACGGGTCACAACCTTGCCCATCTCGGCGTCAATCAAGTTGATATCAAACGATCCCTGATCAGCCTTAGCCTATGTTCATTTACATGAAAAGAAGTATCCGTGTTAATTGGCAGTCAAGGAAGTAGGAAGTCCAGTGCGGATACTCAACAATTCCTGTAGGATGAGAAAACAAAACGTACGACTTTGGCACTGTCGTTGGCCTTGGCGACCTCAACGAGGGCAGCCTCGACGAAAGCCTGGGCAGACATGTGGTTGAACCAGCGGCCGAGGTAGGTACCAAGGTCCTTTCCGGTCTTGATCTGGCGGGCGAAAATGGCGTTGGCCTTGAGGGCACCCCAAATAGCGATATCGGCAACCGAGGGCTTGTGGCCGACAAAGTAGCTGCGAAGGGTCAAGTGGTGGTTCAACTGCTGGAAGATGACGTCCAAGGTCTTGAAGTCTGAGCTGTTGACGATATCCTGGCTCTTGTCAATAAAGTCGTCCATCTACAAAATAACATAATAACGAGGTAGGGTCAGTGGGGGCTGAACTCCTGATGGCTGTATATGGCGGTTTTTTTCCTTTGCCTGTCGCCTCTGTTGTACACCGAGCGAGAAGAGTCACCTACGACGCTGGTGGAGGCGGGATCAGATCCGTAGAGGGTGTTCTTGTGGGAGCGGACGATGTATCTGAGGATAGCGCTGACAGAGGTCAAAGTAGTTCTATTTACGACAAACACAAGGAGCACGTTGTCAGCATATTGGCGCGTTGGGATTCTGTTCGCTATGCACTGGTTTGTTCTCACGAGTCAAAGTAGACCAGTGCGCTGATCAGCCAGTCTCATTCCTAAAGCACATACCCGTTGGCAGTCAATGCGACGGTGGCGTTGTTGTGCTCGGCGAGGGTGGGAACGTTCTTGTACTCGACCTTGACGACGGCGGGGTTGTTCAAGGCATGGGCGAGGACGATGGGCGCTATTCAACAAGACACACACGCAAAAGTGAATGAACTGGGTCAGTGTGTCTTTTGAGCAATCGTCCCTCCTTTGTTGAAGCCGCATGTCAGTGACGAAGCCAGAAAGGTAAGCTTGCTGGTGTTAGATCTCCGTGTGTGTGATAGAGAGTTCCTGTGTTGCTGTTATTACCATAGGCCAGCGTGGAAGCCTTCTGGGCAATGACAACAGTGGCCATGGTTGTGAAAGTGAAGAAGAGGAGGTGTGTTGAGAAAAAAAAGGAGCGGACAAGCTTTACTTTATTCAAAAGCATGTTTTTTAAGTACAGAGCAATTCCACGTACAAACAACAATAGAATTACATAGAAGACCACAGCAAAAAGTGACTGCGGCTGGTTGGTGGCGCTAATGGAGACAGAGACACCAATGTATCCCAAATGGGTCATCTTTCATGAGAGACAGCTCCGACTCCGGTCAGTGAACGGTAGATACATCCTCGACAAAGATAAGACAAGTACTGACAATACAAAGCACCGAGTTTCATTGCATTGCTTCTGTTTTATTTCCAATGGGGTATTGTGCAACTCTCGCTCCTTTTGTTTTCGACTACGTAAATGGTCAGCATACCTGTAGTACAAGAATCTACCGATCACCAACAAAAGAAAATCAAACTAAAAGGGTCCAAAGCCAGCAGGCCCAATGGGTCCGCCAAATCCTCCAAATCCACCGGGGCCACCTCCAAGAGGGATAGGAACAGGTGCAGGCACAGGGATGGGAGCCGGGACTGGAGCCGGGACGGGGTAGGGGAAGGGCTTAGGGACTGGGAATGGCTTGGGAACACGGACAATCTTGGTCTTTCTGTGCTTGTGGCGGTGGCGGTGGACATCATCGTCGTCGTCGTCGTCGTCTGAGTCGGAGTCGTCGGAGTCGGAGTCATCATCGTCGTCGTCACAGTCGGAATCATCATCATGGCCACGCTTGGCGAGAACAATGTCCTGGAGCTGACGCTTGGAGAGGGATCTGATTTGGGACTTGTTGAGAGAGACGGTCTGGCGCTTGGAGACGGATGTAGGCGATTGCCTGATCGAGACGGGGACGGCGTCAGATGCGTTCAGAGTCATGGTGGCCAGCAGGGCGGCAGTCAGCATTAGAATGGCCTTTCGAGGAACCATTTGGATTTGATAGGTAATGAGGTGTGTGTCCGTTTGCGGAGAGGATGGAAGTGAAAGAAAGAGACGGTGAGGATGAAAAAAGAACCTTTAGAGGAGAAGAAAATCGGTACTTTTATACCCTTCTGGACATTAAGGTCATTGCATACTAGTGGGGCGTGGATGTGCATATGCGGTGACTTTACGCGTGTCAGTTTGCAAAAGTACATCATCGCATCAAGGAACCCAGCCCTCTGATACCGATACTAAGAGGAAATTGGTGCTGATGGTTTAACTCAGGGTGGAGACAGCAAGACACTCTCTCCCGACCACACGATTAGAGTGATTTGGAAATGTAATCGAGACGACGGTAAGCCCATCGGTGCCATGATGGTGACTGACTGATGTGTCGAAGGGTATGGATATCTAGTGATGGGCGCAATGGCTCGTTGGTCCTTGTCAGCCTATACCGCTTTGTTATGGTCGACTCATCATTCCAATGTGTCGCGCGGACCTTAACTAGCTCGTGGAACCAGAAGCATTCCCTCAAACCATGGCAGGAAAAGACATGCAGCTGTTGATGACGATTTCCTTTTCGTATTGGCGATCCTTGATTTTCTTTTAGCGCGTTACTATTGCCCGACCCACCCATAGTTAGGATGTGAGGGAGTTGTACGTGAAGTTGTGACTGAAAAATCTCAATGCCTCCCCTTCTTTTCCGTGTAGAAACCCTTGCCCTCTCCATCATTCATTTTTCATGTTAATGACCGGAAATGGCAAACACAGAAACAGGCGCTAGGTAGAGGTGTTGAGTGCAGTCTGATAGAAAAGAGGTCGTTGAATAACACCCCGGTGGCAAAAAGTCGGAAAAGGCATGATGATGGCTAATTCATGCAAAACGAAATTCCATGCCCATGACAAAGAGGTGCAACAGAGCAGAAAGAACAAGCTGGTTGGATAGAGGAAGTCTTCCTGAATACCACCTCAGTGAAAAAAAAGTGTGCGTGGAATCGAGAAAAAAAAGGGTCAAAGTTAGGATGAGGCCGATGTAAATGACCGTATCTCGATGAAGAAAAGAGGAATCGAGAAGCGGATCGCGTGGTCCTCTTCGTCTCGTCAAGAGCAACAAGGGACTGATAACGCTTGAAAAGCAATGTTTGTCTTTTCGGTCATCTTTTTCACGTACACACATTCCATATGGGCGGTCGGGCAAATAGGACGCTTCGCTTCTATAGCAAGTTGGTGGCGTCGATTCGATTTGCTCTCTCCTAAATGACGATGTAGTAAGGACACCTCCAGTCAAGCAAAGGTGAACTGCAGAAGACGAGAGAGTAAGAGAGGTGTGCAAAAAGGATGTCCTGAGTCAAGTGCAAAAAAAAGACAGTAAATGATGGCAAGAAAGAGAGAAGAGTGATGGATGAAAGAAAAGAAAAAGAAGAGGACGTCTCGAAGGAAAAAGAAAAGGGTCTCGAACGCTTTTTGAATGGTTTTATAGCCAGGGGGAAGGAAAGAGAAAGAAAGGACGCGAAGGGGTGGAAGTAGAGGATGCAAGGGGTGCAAGTGGGTATGACGACTGTTGGAACAAAAGAAACAACTAGCAAAAGAGGAGATATGAGGAGAAAAGAGATGCCCCGGCTCGACGGCAAAAATGGAGGCAAACGGAAGGCCAAGGGGATAGCCAGGCAAGAAGGAAAGTGTTTACTCCTCACCAATAGAATTCTTTTTCATGAACGTAATAGGGAAATAGAGGTTCACACGCTCGCTCAAAATTCACTAGCAGAGGGTTTACTTCGTCAATCCGTCCGAGGCCATAAATTGCGCCAACGTCCCTGCCTCGAGTTTCTCTCTCTCTCTCTTTTCCACAAACCTCAACTCTTTCCTAGTTTGACATCAACTCCCTCCCTCATTCATTCACCCGCCCACTCCTCTCCACTTCCAACGCTTTGAATTACATAACTCAACAACAACAACCAACCCATCCCATCCCTTCCGAACCTCGACGTCATGAACAGGAAAACTGGAGCCATCAAGGCCGCTAATGCATTGATGGAAATCGACGCCGCTTGTAAGTTTGTCGTCCTTCCTTTGTTTTTATGCTGTATGGTGGAACCTAACAACAGTAAGTGTCCCTTAACCAACATTGTCTTTTTGTACTTGCCACTTTTAACCTTGCGATACAATAGCAATGAAGCGTAAGGACAGAGATTACGATGAGAAACAGGATACCCGGTACAAGAAGAGCAAAGCCGATGTCCCCGCCACAGCCAACACAGCCATTACCTCCACCACCTCAGACGATGTGAACAGGACTACTGCTGTCTCTTCCTTCTATAACAGCCCTCGCTCTGTCACCACCAACAAGACTGCTATCGCCCCTTCCACGCCCCCTACGATCACACGAACTTTGGCACGCGAACATGATGCCGCTCTGAGCCATCCAGCCACCACCTCTAACAAACTGAAACATCGCCTCGAGGAGGATCACCAAGAAGAGGAGTCCCAGGATCATGACCAAGAGCCCCGAAAGCGATACAAGGCTTGGAGCAGGAACCGGGCACCATCGACATTGTCGCCATCCTCAGCGTTTAATTTGATGTCTTCTTCGTCTATCGCCTTGTCTCAGACCTCTTCTCGCCGCCCCTCGTCTTGCCGCCGCTCTTCCTCCTCTTCCGCTTGGTCAACCTCACAGTTGCCTAAATCGTCGTCGCCTGCACCCTGCGCACATCCTCCACCAGCACCAGTCGATACCAAGCAGGCCTCGCCAAAGCAAACATTGATGACCTTGCAATCAGCAACTAGATCTCCCCGATCTTCTACTCCTCAGTCATCCTCCCCGACGCCCTCTACTATCGCAGCCTCCGAATCAGTCGATACATCATCATATGGAGGTGATGGTAGCTGGGTGAAGGTTCGTGAAACCGCCGAGACCATGATCGTCACCATCCAAACCCGTGCCAAGAAGGTCTTAAGCAAGGCCCGTCAGGAGCACAACGAGTCAGCTCAGAAACGTGAAGTCGAGCAGCGCATCAGCGCGACCACCCTGATTGTTGATACCCCCGAGGAGCACAGGGGCGATACGAATAGCGGGCCTTTGGTCAGCATGACCACAAACCAGGGCCAAGACGTCAACTTGACCAAGAACCCCAAGAGTTGCTATTCGAGTGACGACGGCGAGGCCAAGGAGGTTGACGAGGCTGAATTCGACTTTGAGTTGGATATCCGCGGTACCCAGAAGCGGAACAACTACCTCCGTATGCGTCCTACTTATTCTCTGCATTTCTACACCTACTATTCACCGAACGGTAGCTTTGTCACCGGGTGCAGCAGCAGCAGCAGCTGGTCTCGCCGCAACCACCCCTCCACTACGGCGCATGTGGGAGAAGTCAATTCGACACCTTCCTTTGTTCGCCAAGGCACACGAAGTCGTCAATCTCGTCACCACAGCAGCAGCAGCGACACAACCGGTGGATGTGATCACAACAATAACAATAACTCTGCCAACCCAACCCACCTTCACCACCTCCTGAACAGCACCACCATGCACTACGACACCAATGAGAACATTCCTCCACCATCATACAAAGCGCCTATATTCAACTTCCCCTGCAAGACGCGCGCTGAATCTGTGCCGCTGATCCTCTCGAACAATGATAGAACAGCTCGAGCCCTCAGAAGCAGCAACATCAGTGGCAGCGGCACAAACACCAACACTGGCAATCATCACCCCTTCCGCCCGATGTAATACCCACAAAAACGCACAAAAAAAGTCCCCTAAAACCAACAAGAACATATTGTAAAATACTCATAGCCTCACAAAAAAAACTCCCATCCCTTCATTACAATTACGAATAACTCTCTAATAAAACATACTCCAAAAGTTATCAAGCTGGAAGTTATCCCTTCGTCTGTTTTCGACCGCTTTTTGTGGTCGAAATTTATCCCTTCGATTGATTCTGCGAGCAGGGTCCTCTCCATATTTACAAAAAAAAACACAGAGAGCACCCACTCCGTCACATAAAAAAAGAGGAACCACCACGAGAGGAACTTCCATATCAACTTATCTTCCTATCACTTTTCCTTCACTTTTAAACGTCAGCGAGATGGACAGGCAGAACAATAAGTGTGGATAAAATAGTCTCAGAGCCGAGCCTTTATAAAAGATAATGTTGTCAAAACCCTCTGACAATTCAGACGCCTCTCACTCAAAATAAGAGAGTTTGAATCAACCTCCATAAATGAAATTGACTCCAAGACAGAAAGGAAAAAAAGAAGAGCGCTGGATCAAGGCGACAGACGGAGTGAAGAAAGATCAGACCAAGAGATGCGAAGTCAACTTATCATCGATGTTTTTTGCGTTGGTGAACGCGCTGAGTTTCCATGAAACGGCGCAGTTCGTTGCAAAGTCGGCCCGACGTCATATGTCTAACCACGCAACAACATCGACACAGCAGACTTCATCCGGCCCAGAGCGAGCAACCGACGACGATGACGCGGGCATGTCTACTCACACAACAACATCTACACAGCAGGCTTCATGCAGTCCAAAACGAGCAGTTGACGTCGAGGATGAGGACATCGCCGACACTGCTTCCTCTAACAAACGCCTCCGACCCCTCCAGCTCCGGCTCGTCGACTCTCGTTGAAGACATACAGCGATTGCTGGCGACACAGCCATCCCAGATTAGGTTCGACGAGAGTCCTCGTGATCTCCTTATTGCCTCTCCGCCCTCAAGATTCTATCTTGCCTTTCTCTTTATCGTGCTCTAAAGATAACAAATCAACGCGTAATGTCTCAACACGACGCATCTATTGCCTCTATCGCACTTGATTTTTAGAAATGCTCCGATCTCTCATCACTTTCCCTCAATGCAAGTAATACTTGGATATCGTAGGTAACCATAATTTTCTCAGCTCTCATGTTCACTTCCTCTTCCCACTTTCTGCTCTTTCCACCCCTTCAACTGCAACACGGTCAACGATCGCCTCCATTTTGACTATTTCTATCCACATCCCTTCACGCACCAGTATCACCACCCGAGTCTGTCTCTTCAACGCAATCCCGCTGCTTTAGCCTCACCCCACACATCCTTCTCCTCCAGTCACTGCCACCCCAGCAAAACCATCGCAAGTTACCACCAACACCCACCATGGCCACAACGAACATCGAGCGACAAGTCGACCAAGCCCGAGACGCCACCCATGAAACCCCCCAGATCGTCGCCAGCAAAGCTCAATCGGCACTGGAGTCTGTCAACCAGATGGGTATAGTCCAGCACTATGTTTTCCCTCCCGCGGGATACCTCAAGAATCTATATGTCCAAGCTCCCACCAGTGTCAAGATTGGGGTCGTTGGGTTTGGAGCCATGTCGGCTTTTCCTTTGGGCTGCTTCATGGGCTTCATGGGGTTTGTCACCCTTGGGTCCTTGGTCGTTGGAGGGATTGGATTTACCATTGTTGAAGTGAGATATGTTTCTTTGGCACAATGACAATGATAATACGCACTCGAATACCAAAGCCTGATAGACGAAACTGATCCGAAACTCCCTACCCTAACCCATTATCATCTGCATGTGCCAATCATCACCTTATCTCTGTTTAGGTAGGATTCGCAATTTTCAGCTTGATTTTCCTGCTCCCAGCTTTGGGAGTCTCGCTGCTGGTTGCCTGCGGCGTCGGGTTGGTCAGCATGGTCGCCTATGTCGGGTACCTCCTTTCCTGTGCAGTCCTAAGTATGATCTGGGGACATGGTGACTTGCGCAAGGCTAAGCGACAGATCCGGGAGGCCAAGCAGAGGGCTAATAAGGGCTGTCGACGAGCCAACGGCTAATAGAGTCGAACAATCACGAGGGACCATCGCACTAAACAGTGGAACCAGGCCTCGCTTATGATAAGGACTGATTGATCTCAACAACCCCTTGAGGAATAGAGAGCGTCTTTTTTTTTTCTTTTTTTCTTGAACTCGCCAACGCTTAAAACACTGTGGACAGTCATTCTTTTTTTTTGGTTTTAGCCTTTTGAAAAGCTCTTTGTCTCCACAAGCATCTTATAATTCTTTCACTTCCTCATAAAGCAAAAAAATAAAAATCAATACACGGACGCGGTGGTCACAACCAGCCAACGTTCACGGACACCCATCGTTAACTTGCATTATTTTTTATCGAAATGTAGTTCAAAACAAGCCAATCGGTATTGTGGGCGATGGGGAAGGGAGGTCGCACGAGTGCGGTTGCAGACAAGCAAGGGTAGCAAATGGCTGAAGGGCCGGGCTCACATAAACCACATCACCAGAAAAAGCAAAGCAATACGAAAAGGTCAGCTTTCTGCCATGTAGATATCTCTTCAACGTCTTAGCACGGTTCGTATATAACATACCCTTCTGAAGCTGCTGCTTTACGGGCGCGTAGGTAATCGACTCACCCAATCCTTCCGAAGGCGTGGCCTTGCTCCAATTCACGCCCTTGGTGGAAACGTGCTCGCTGCGCGACCAGGTGGGCATAGTACTCCGCAGAAACCATAGAGACGGATCGAGTGCATCGAGCATACAGGTAGCATAGTCTGTAGGTTAGAGTCTGGAGACCGTCCGATGTAAATCAGCTCCCATCGCAGAGAACGTTGTGGAGGGCAGGTCTCGAAGTTCCAGTCAGACCCGCTTGCTACTGGAAGTAAAATCAAATTGGAATGGATGAACAATGCCAGTGTAGACCACAGTTCCGGGTGGACAGTTTCCCGATCGATCGGCCTGGCCCTTCTGCATTAGAAAGAAGAGATTGTGATGGCGCTTCTGGACTACGACAGACGTGATCTTGGTGCAATGGTCAGACAGGACTTGGAAGAATGTGTATTGCTTTTGTTATATTTTATTATGAAGGAAAAGGAAGGAATAAGAAGAGTGTGCAGAAGTAAGGCAGGGGACAGATGTAAGTGAGTTATTGCAGACTGGGGAACAAGACAGGGGAACAAGGGGTTTATTTATGCTAAGGGCCGAATGAACAGAAGGAACCAAGGCGGCGCTTGGACATTGGACGGGGCTTGGATGTTGGACCGAGGCTTAGGACATTAGACGGGGCTTGGGGTTTGGGATCTTGAATGGTCAGCTGGCGAAAGTCACGTGACGATATCAGAAATCCATGGCGCGTTCAACGGAACTAGGACAAAGCCTATTTTCGCATAACCTGGACAACCTGGGGCCTGGCAGCCTTGGGGCAAAAGTGGCACTTGGGAGCATACATAACTTGTAGCTTCTTGGAAGCCGACCGAATGGCATCCACTTCGACTTGGTGGGCTTGCACAAACTGACCCTCCGAGACTCTGTTGAGGTAGAGCAATATCCTCTCAGGCTTTTTCTTGGTCCTGCAAAAGATGCAAAGAATTGCCGAAAGCAGAGGTGAACGGTAGGTGAGTACGAATTCGTAGCCCATCCAACAGAATTCGACACTTTCTCAGATATACTTACGAAGCAAAGATTGCTCTCGCAAGCTCGACGACCATAAGTGTCCTCGAGGTCTGCGATAGTTTCTAGGCGCGCTCCTTGGGTTCGGATAGAGGTTGCATACTTGGCGTCGCGGGACGAAGGATGGTTAGTAATGACTAGGGCGGGCAGAATACGCCCGCTCAGTGCGCCCATCACGTTTGAGCAGCACAATCTGGTTAATGATGGTGACATCTTGATGGTGGATGTTGATGTTGGGGAGTGTTTCGAGCTCAAAGAAATTTGCGGACGTTGCAGACTTGGCCTAGATTGGCGTCGTGACGAGTTCAGTCAGCTTGATAAAGGCGGATATGGTTGACGCTATTGTTCCAGGAGAGTGTAGAGTGATGAGTGTGCAAATGTGTGGTTGACTTAAGGTTCGTTATTTGTTTACTGTGTGTACTTTTGTATATGGGCGAGAGATAATAGGGGCTCAAAGGGCCAACAAGAGAAGCAGAGATACAATGAGAGAGGCAAAACGAGAATATGGTTTGCGATGTTGACCATCACCCAAGGTACGAATAAAACAGGCCTTTTTTTTTGTTTTTTTTGAAGCAAAACCATAGCCCTGCCATTTCCACAATAAACTCTTGGGTTATTGTTTTGGTGACTTCATGCTGCATGGTGTGGAAACAAAGAGAGAGAGAGAGAGGCAAAAGGAAAAAAGAAAGGGACAATGAGAGAACAAAAGGTGTTTGTGATGGTGACCATCATCCACGGTATGCATGAAGCAGGTTATTGTGGAAATGGTTTCTTGCTGTATGATATGGAAACAAAGAGGGAGAGAGAGAGAGGCGAAAGGAAAAAAGAAAGGGACAATGAGAGAACCAAAAAGAGACATGAAAGAGACATGAAAGAGATATGAAAGAGACAAAAGGTGTTTGTGATGGTGACCATCATCCACGGTATGCATGAAGCAGGTTATTGTGGAAACGGTTTCTTGCTGTATGATATGGATCCACGGTATGCATGAAGCAAGTTATCGTGGAAATGTCAGGTTATTTTTGGGCTTTTGTTTTGGCGATTTGTTCCTGAATGGTATAGATTATATCGCTTGTGTGTGTTGAGTGATAGTGGTCTCGACATGTAAGCCTTTGTCCTTTCCACTGCCCACTTTTCCTATAAAATCCCGCTTCCATTTTCCTTCTTCCCTCTTTCTTTCTTCCTCTCTAACCACACTCTCCTCAGCACACCTCACATCTCACACTCTCCTCCACATCCACCTATTCCTCCACATCCACCTACATACTACTTTACATATATCTTCGCCACACCCTTTCGAAGCAACCCACAACAGCCATTCTGTAAGGCCGATGCTGGATGTGATTGCGAACCGTACTCATTATACCCTTTCACAACTTATCAAGCAAGAAGACTCACACTAGCTCTCACACTTTTCTTAACATAGTTCAAGAATGGGAATCAGTGTCCTTCCTTCATGGATCAAGGAGGCCTCCGACGGAACCGAGGAAGATCTCACCCAAAAAACATGCCATGTGGACTTTCCGGCGATGTTTTTCGCCCTGTTGAACTCGCGTGCATTTTACGGAACCGTCAGCATCGAAGCCAGGCAGGCCCGACTGCACTACTCACTAAAAACAACTGTCGCTACCAACGTACCAGGCGAACAAAAACATCCACATTCGCCATCTGGGTCTGAGGGGACCGAGTCGGGGAGTCCATCCATCAAACATGCTCGCCTCACATTGGGAGCTCCCTCAGGCACAAGTACATCGACCGGTCCTGCGTTTGTTGCGATCCCTCCTGGCTCGGTTCCGACAAACCTTATGACACAGGTCCAACATCTACTGCAAGGAGGACCAGCTCAGATCTTTCTCGACAGCAATGGTACTCTCACAACAACACGTACCGAAAACAAAGGCATTGTAAGTACATTCGATTTTCAAATACAACCGGCAAAGACAAAGCTGCTGTAAGAAATATACCTAATACTATCTCATCGCTTTGTGTTTTCAATAGGACTATGGCCACATAGGCCAGGTTATTCACGACATCCTCATGAAAAAAGTCTCACAGGGGCGCACAACAATCCATGCCGACGGTCCCCGTTCGGTCGAGAAAGAGCACGCCCATCAGAAACGGGACCGTGATCTAACAACGCGGATGAGAAAACTCATGGAGGACTACGACGAAGACAAGATCAAAGGGACGAAACGGCTATACCGGCGTCTAAAGTCTGTTTATCGGGCACCACCCGATGCCGCGAGACAAGTGCTGGATGCTCTTCAGAATCTGGGGTGGACAATATGTCGCTGCCCCCACCAAGCCGACTGCTGTATTGCCCGTTGTCTCAATAATGCCGTCAAGCCGGAGGATGTACGAATCATCACCAAAGACTCTGACCTGTTGGTCTATGAGGCCTCTACATCGATCACTATTCCTGTCGGCAGTCAGTGGAAAACATTCCAGAAGCAGGACCTTATGGATCGACACCAGCTCCCCACTCCAGCCCACCTTCTTCTTCTTGGTATTTTAACAACAAACGACTATACCGACGGCGTTCCTTACTATGGCTTGGTGTCGAACGCTGACATTGTTCGGACGTTTACATTGGACGGACTCGACGGATTGAGCGACCAGGAGCGACTTGGACAATTCAAACACCACGTCATTCAGTACTTGAAGATTGTATACGACAGCGCCCACAAGCTCCAGGAGATCGCAGAGGAGTCCTACCTCCAATATGGGAAACACATGCAACTGTATAAGAAACACGCTAAAAGGTCCTTGAACAGGGTCGGGATAACTCAGTACCAGAAGAACGTAAAAGACAGCCAGTTCGATCATGCCCTTCAGGCGTTCGTGATGTGCACCGAGCATCCTTTACCTATGGGTGGGACCGAAACGACTTCCAGCACACCCGATATCCACAGCCTTGTCACGACTATCATTCAGGAAGTTGAGATGAAAAAGGCGAAGACCAACTGGGAGCGTTTCTCAAGGAGCCAAACATCACATACAGGACCATCAGCGCCCACACCTATTATCGACCAGGCACCTCCACTCTACAAAAAGAGTAGAAAACAAGAAATGCGCCATGGCTCACGCGCCCGGTCAAGGAGAAGGCAGAAATGGCAGAGGACAAAGTAAGTACTTTTTAGCGTCATCTTCAGTTATATCCAGCCACTTGTATTGACTTCTATTGCTTCTGTACTAATATTATTCTTCATAACATTGGCGCGTTTATTTCTAGATTCCGATCCCGGACGGATCAAGCAGATCGATACGTACCCCAAACGGTCAACCTTGAGAACGCCAGCCCCGTCGAGGACGTAGAATTGTCTGGTCTGAAACCATCAACCCCTCGACCATACAAGCCAAAGGATCCCGCTACCACCAACGAACAAGCTGCCACTGCCCCTGTAGCCAAGAAAAAGAAGAAGAAGAAGCATCTTGACTATCACCAGGACAGGCCTGGTTATGCTGCTCTGAAGAAGTCATTCAAGTCTGTTTTCGCCACTGTCACACTTACCACTGGATCAGTCAAGGGGTGCCTGAAACGAGCTACCGATCTCACCCCGGCGAACGTCGACATGGTTGCTCAGAGACTTGATATGGCTGTGTCTATCGTCAATACTGCCAAGCATTTTGTCTACAAGATGCTCGAAATGCGGATCCTTGGAGAGCTACTCTCTAGTTCGCCGCCGACGTCCTTTCTGGAGGATATTCTGGATTCAGACTGGGCAGAGATTGTTATTGGGAATCTGTTGTCGTTTGTTCTCCGAGATTCGACAAAAGCACTAGGACCTACAGCCAACAAGCCAAAGTCGAAGGAAGCACAGGCGGAGGCAGTGTCGATTTTTGCGGCCTTCAAGGGGTTCCATCCGGGATTCAAGGCTGTTAACCCATCCAGCATACCCCTCGGTGTTGTCATCGATGATCTGGCGCCCAAGATCTGTTTGGCTATGAAGTTGCATTACAAGAAGCTCCCACAGACTATACGCACAAAGGTACTAATCGCCCAATTCGTTGATGAAGCGCCATTGATAATTGGAGAGAGTGTATTGCATATTCTAATACTGTGCCTTTTTTTCTTTTTGCAATAAAATAGATGGAGAAGCTGGAGTTCGATCCCGCCCTACTTCCAAAAGTCGAACAGGAGGATGAAGACAAACCTGGTGATGACGGCACTACTCTAGACGATGACGGTACTATTCTAGACGATGATGCCGATGATGAGAACCCCAGGAAAAAGTCGAAAAAAATTGTCTATCAGCCTGGACACATCCGATCATGCTGGAACTATCTCATGGCACTTCCAGCGGCAAACCGACCACGTTTCTGTACCCAGTCCAAGATGGCAGACAGCTTTATCGACATTAGGGAGGAGGGACTGATGCGTATCCTTTGGGGAAGAGATGCAGGTCAAGTCGGATTGATTTGGAGCGGCAGCCCTCATAGCCACGACTGGGCCAACCTACAAGTCAATACGTCATTCGGGAACCTCATCAAGATGCTTTTCATTGGAGATCGAAATACGGTTCGGCTCGCAAACAAACAACAAACAACATACGGGAAACGAAGTGCTACAATGAGTGAACTCAAGGCTGCCCACCCCACCATCTATGACCAAGGACCACTTGCACGACACCTGACAGATCGAATTAACTATTACCGAACCCGACACAATGCATCCATCTCGGCCGGATCGTCGTCATCGTCTTCAGCATCTGCAGTGCCGCCGCCTTCCAACCCCCCACTATTGCCGACCCCTCCTCACATCCAAGGCGCACAGTCTTCCTTTCGGTATGCATTGAACAATTTCATCCGCACGGACGGCCATCAGCTGCAACTTTTGGCCTATGACCTCACCAAGAGTCGGCAGGCGCCGGGTCGTAAGGAGTTTCTACGACGTATCGAGAACCAGTACCCAACCCGACAGTCGATAATTGAAGCATTCGGTCAAGACTTGGAGTCGGTGGCGGTGATTGGCATCGATCCAGGCGAAGTCGTGAGCGGTGCGTTCTGTGTGCGTCTCGATGACAAAACTGTGGTCAACTTGTTGGTAAAGCGCGCATCACTGTATCAGCCAACACTCGCCTTCAGAGCATGGGAACAGGAATGGAGGCGACAACACCCAGCAGCCGGTCCCGCAGATAATGTCGACGCGAGCCTTTGGACGAGGAAGACGGATGACAAGAACAGGGCAACTTTTCTACCTTCGATGCATGATCTTGAGAATGCGCTCCATTCAACAAAATACGACTCAGAGGACGCCCTCAAATCCGCGCAACGGCAGTATTTCGAGTTGGAACCGATCATTCATGGATTCTACTCATCGTCGGACTGGAAGAAGGCCGTATACCAACATAGAATGGCAAAGTTGTCAGAGATGGACATGGCGGTGGCAGGCGTGCTCCGACTTGTGAAAGAAGCATTGAAGAGTAACCCAATGGGAGGGCGTAGGGTCCTCTTCGCGTTGGGAAACGCGACTTTTCGGACAGGGTTCAACCTTACATCGGTCCACACGACGTTCTTGCGCAGACTACAGCAGAAGGTAATAATGAGAAAGGAGAGAGTAGAAAGACGATGTACGGGTGGTCGTATCTACTAGTATCGTATGTCCCTTCAATACCATGGCGATCTGGATACACAAGTATATTAATTCATTTGTCCTTTTTAAAATTGATAGAGCATGGCCCTTGGGTACAAGGTAGCGTTAGTGGATGAATATCTTACATCTACAATGTGCCCAACCTGCGTTTCCAAGGGTGAGACGACAAGACTTGCTAAGCCCTCGATGAGAACCTGTGCGTGTGTGAAATGCAGGCGGTGGATTCACCGAGACTTGGTGGGTGCGCACAACATTGCTATCATCGGCAAGCATTACCTTAAGCATCTCGGATGCCCCCCTTCCCTTGCAAGACCGTCGCCGCAAAGCTCATAACCTCTATAGATTGAAACTATAGTTTATTTATCCTAGTCTGTCAATGACTAATGACGGACGAAGGGATAAAGGACAGTTATTATTTTCTGTTTGATTCTCAGAATTCCATCGTCTCCTTCTGAATCCCTCTCTATTGAAGGATCGTATCCTGCTACAATATTCAGCAAAGGCCGACCATTCTTTCGTTTCCCCCCGAAGCCATTCAAACTGCTGAGAGATCACATCCTCCTCAAACAAGAATTCAAAGTAACAGAGCAATGGCCAATTTTGGGTCATCTTAACCACCTTTGGTCACTCTGTCATCTTCTCGGACTCATATGTCTTTACGCTGTACGAACCCCGAAGGTTTCTAGCTTCTTTAACTCAGAAAATTACGAAGGAATCATGGGCGGTCGTTATAAGTGTCTCTGACGCTCAGCATGGCGGGCAACGACATTACCTGTCCGTTGCTTAGGTTTCTATCATATACTTGAGCGCTTGCTTTGAGAGGTACCATGATGAGATCCAGATGCTGTAGACTTACCAAATTGCCAATTTGCCGGTACATGTCTTCCAGTCGGGAAAAGTGGTGTGACTCAACCTGGGAAAGAGTGATCGGCAGTAGGCGCAGAAAGTAGGGCGAGACGACTCCTCGCTCGACAGGGAACTCACATCCTCTGATGGCGATCATGAGAGTCCGTAGCTTGGTGCAGACCCGAGGAGATCCTAGAGCGTCGTCAAGTGCGAAATCATGTCACTTATTCGAGAAGAACAAATCAGAGAGCAGCTTGAGAGGTTACTGGTTGATCTGGGCAAAGAGTGGGCTCCTTGTTCCTGAATAGCGCCGTTTGATTCACAAAAGCACCAATGATCACTGTTGGTCAAAACCAATCTGATAACTCAATGCGTTTCACTGCTGCTTAAATGAGGTGCTCCAAACAAATGATCATTCTTTTTACGATTTCGACCTTTTTTTCTTGAAATGCTCATTCACCAATGTTCCAACCGGCCCTCAGATTCCTGTCATTCATTCTCCTGATCCGTAATCTCATTCATCACCACTTGCCTTTTTGCATGGATCGACAATGGATCATCGCCGGTACTGAAATGCCTGAATCCGCTTTGATCAATTAAATGGATCACATGCATCACCATTTTCTGGCAGAGCGGGAGCTTTTTTTTAGCAGGCCCACTAAAAAAGCAGTTCATCCTCTGTTCAGAATTTTTATGGTGATACATCTTTTCTCTGTCGCTTTCCTTCATTCCAGATTCCTTCATTCATTGCTTCAGCTAAGCTCAAGATCTCTCACTTTCCATCTTCCCCTTGCACATAACTCTCTTGATACAAAGGTAAACATTGTTAAGCAAAGAAAACTCAATCAACAAGCATCCCTATCAACCTCAGTCAAAAAACCAATTCATTCGCCCTCTGCTCTCAAGGAACGTGGGATTCCCAGAGTTGCTACCTGTCTGGCCTAACTTCAAGAAGGCCAACGCCACCACCAAGGGCCACAGCACTCGCACCATGGACCAGGGAGAGACTCGGAATACTACGGGAACGGCGATGTTCGGTGCTCAAGCCTATCACGGATACGTCGCCAAGGAGACTGTGAGAGAGCGCGAGTGGGCCATCTTCCTTGCTCAGGTCCAAGCCCAAGTCGAAAAGAAGCGCCGGGACTTGCATGCCGAGAGGGACGCGCTGCACGATGTATTTGGAAGCGAGTTCCGCGATGACGGGCGTGGCAGCCAAGTTGACAACTGCAGCGAGGATGATAATGGCGGTGCGGATGTGGTACTGTCTTCTTCCTTAGACAAAGTAAATAAAAAACCCCTAATCCTCAAAGATCTGTCACCAATACCTGCACGGAAGTAGACCATGGGTTTAGAATATTCATATTGGCCAGAATGGTAGGAATGGTAAGAATGGTCAGAATGGCGGACAAGATGACAGAAAAATGGACATACCATTCGCGTACGCAATGAGGAATGAGTTAAGGCAAGGCGAAGAATTAAAAAAAATTGATGCGGGAGGGATAAGGAGGAATAAGAGAAGAGAGATGGGTGATGACAAACACAGCAAAGGACATTACCGAGGGAGTATCGGCTAAACAGAGAATGAAGACAAGAAGTGGGGAGCAAACAAAGAGCAATGAAGTGGTGGGTAGTACTTGACAGCTAAAAAGTAGATTCACAATGAACACGGAGGATTGCTGCACTGTTTTACAGAGTGAAGGAGATTCAGGAACCTCATCGCGGAATTCGTCGAGGAAAAGTAAAAAGGAGGAAAGGGAGCTACATGGGCACTCTCTCTTTCCGTGATCAAAAAGATCGCGCTTTAGTCTGCAGTGTCTATTCTTTCTAGCATATCTAGAGACATGATCCTGTAGTCGTCCTATTCTCACCTGTGCTTTGGTCGATCGAGATCCTGATTATCCCTCCTGTGATGTGCACTTGAGCGACCCTAGGCAAATTGCAGGAAGAAAAGGAAGGAAAAAAAGTGTCAGTGGAAAGTGAAAGTGAACCGATTATCATGTAGCACAACCAACCCTCTGACGAACGCATCATTATCCAAGTCCTATGCCCTCCAGCAGCCATGTCTGTTAGTAGCACGATCATCCAGGTCGCCCAGGGTGTTTCTTTTTCTTTATTTCTTTCATGCCATTCCAACGCATAGCTGCCAGACTATACCACGAAGCAGATTCAGCCAGTGGTCATCCGCCATCTCACCCACCGCATCGTCACCTGCTTCTCGTCACCAGAGGACCAAGTAACCCCAAAAAAGAAACAAGAAGCCATATCCGCTCTTGATGCATCCCAGAATGACAAGCTTTTCGAACTGTTTCACACGGTCGGTGAACCCCCATGAGCACCTGCACCTTTCAGGCTCCACAATAATTCGTAAACCAGCGGATGAGTCTCAAACGACGAAGTTACGCCCTTCCGTTATTAAACAGGCATTAACACTCATGGGGATGAAGAATCGTACATAAGACCCGCCGTAGCCGATATACAAAAGGTATATGGCCTTTCACCAGCATTCCCTCAAAAAGATTGTAATACAGCCCTCGTTTCCCCTACTTGTCCCTTGGCCGATAATAGGATAATGGATTCAGTCTAAAAAAATGAATGGGGTGATGGGGAAAACAGTGTGGTCGATGATATTGCACTTTCCTTAGCGATAGCGAGCAAGTTCTTGTATGGCATCGCCATGTCGGTATTGAGTGTCTTGTCCTTGGCGATCTCGCGACCATTGTGTATGAGGTTCCTCCATGGCGAGAAAGATAGATCGAGAGGGAAGAAGCAAGGTGGAAGGAAGAGCGTAAGGACATAAAGAGAGTAAGAAGGAAGGAAGAGAAGTGAGAGTAGACGAGGGTAATGAGGGATAGGAGAAGGAAGGAGAGAAGGAGAAGGAGGGAGAGAAGGAGAAGGAGGGAGAGAAAGAGAAGGAGGGAGAGAAGGAAGGAAAGAGAAGTATGGCGAGCCTAAAGAATATGACAAGAAGCGACACTGGTGAGAGGCAGAGACAGAAAGACAGAGAGGCAGAGAGGCAGAGAGGCAGAGAGGCAGAGGGGCAGAGAGAGAGCGGGTGAGTCCGAGTCAGCAAAGGAAAAAAATCATGATTAGTAAGGGTTGGCATAGGAAAGGAGGGAGTGAGGGCGAGGGAAGGTGACGGAAGGAAAGTGAACTAACAATACGGATTTTTGCCACTATTCTGAGACAGTCATGGCTTCGAAAAAAAAATGGTTGATGCTTTTTGCTTTTGCCTTGGCTTTGGTCGTGTGCCATCACATGTCGAGAGGACCCTACAGGTTTAACAGCCAGGGGGAGGGCAAAAGGAAAGAAGGATGCGAAGGCGCGGAGGCGCGGAGGAAAAGACGCTGCAAGGGGGTGTAGGGTATGACGACTGAGGGTAAAACAAAACAAAAAGGAAGCAAACAAACAAAAAAAAAAGGACAGGAAGGAAACAATAACAAGGCGACGAGTATGGATACGAAAGAAGCATTACAAACAGACAAACAAACAAATGCATGAATGAATGAATGAATGAATGCATAAATAAATCAATAAGTCAACAACTCCAAAACAATGGGAGCTCAGAGGAAAACAGCAGCAAACAACGTTGTACGCAAAGCACGCAAAGCACGCAAAGCACAAAAGCAAACAGCAGTAGCTCACAACGTTCTTCACAAAGCATGCAAAGCACAAATGCAAACAGCAGCAGCTCACAACGTTCTTCACAAAGCCCGTAGCAGGCAAAGCTACATGGAGTTAGTTCAGATAGCTACCCAAGTGGTTGCAGTGGTTGTCATGTCTGTTTGTACAGCAAGATGAAGGAATCTAGTAAGAGAAAGGGAAAGGGAAAGTGAAAGAGAAGGAAAAAAATGAATGAATGACTGACTGACTGAATGAATAATGAATGAAAGAGATTGAATCAGTATGGCAAAGTTAATTCCTTGCGCGTCAATTCAACTGAAAAAAAAACATTATTGTATTAAAAAACAGTTTTGTTAATGCAGACAACAAACGAGGACTCACAACAAACGACAATGAACGAGGACTCACAACAAACAGCAACGAACGAGTACTCACAAAAAAGTACAACGGACGAGAACTCACAACGGACAACATCACTTATAACCCTCGTTCTTCTCTCCTCATTCTTCTTTTCTTTTCTTCTCTATACTCAATTCTCCTCAATCCTCTTCAAGATGAATAGCGACAACGAGCAACACAACAATTCCACTCTCCCCAACCCCCACTCCCCCACTCCCCACTCCCCCCACTCTCCTCTCACCAACCCCCCCTTCCCTGTCCCCAATTCCCCACTCTCCTCACTCCCCCCTGTCAACCCCTACTACCCACTTGGCTCGTACTCGCCTCATGCCTGCATAGACAGCAACAGCGTCTACTGCCCCGAGGATTTCGGCTCTGACGCCAACGAGAATGACACCTCTGAGGTGAATGATCGCCCCGCCCCTAGCCCTGAAAAGGTACAATGACAGTTCAATTAATATCCTTCTTGGGGTGAAATGTAGTATTCGTTGAATGTATCCTGTGTCCATGAGCATTCACCGAGATCCATCGACTCACCTCTCATTCTTGTGTCCTAGGTGCCGTCTGGGCTCGTCTTTTGCGATGAGGCCACAGGACACCTGTACGTCGACGTTCGTGGAGGGCCCATTGCCGAAGGAAGCTTTGGCGCCGTTTACGAAGTCAGCGACAGCAAGGGGGAGCGTATGGCCCTCAAGGTTCCTAAGCCCAAGGCTAAGATGGACAAGGTAAGATAAAACTTCAAATGGTTGAATATTTCATGTCGTAAGGATACGTTGTTTGCAAAATGTAATCGCTAACTCTTGTTGATATTCTCCTTCCTGTTTACATATCATGCACAGATCCGGAAAGAGGCCCAGCTCATGGGTCGGCTGCGAGGACACGATAACGTCGCCAAGCTGCACGGTGTCGTCGAGGACAAGCGAGGTCCCTGTCTCTTGATGCCCCTCTACCAGCCACGAGACTTTTACGCACTCTTGATCAACCGGGCACCCTTGCCGGTCGCCGAGATCAAGTTCTACGGCAAGCAGCTCGTGGCTGGTTTGAAGTTCATTCTTGAAGCTGGCATCCGCCACTGCGACCTCAAGCCAGAGAATGTCTTGGTCGCTGAGGGCATGCAGCTCAAGATTTCGGATTTTGGGCTCTCCGAGGAATCGTCCGTCAGGAGGTATGATAATTCAAATGAGCATTATGGTAGCAATTGCTGCATGCATGCATGCATGATCAATCTCAACGTACTTTTGACAACTAACTTGTATTTTTATTCAACTATATCTTCAGCACGCGGACAGTTGGTACGCCAGGATATTGGGCGCCGGAGGTCCTGGAGGGGATGGTGCATACCGACAAGATTGACATCTTCTCGGTCGGCATCATCTTCTACATGATGTTCGCAAGAGAAATACCCAACATCACCGCCGGGTAAGCGACGCACTCTGAGAACAAAGCTCAATAAGTTTCAAACTGAACGATTTAAAAAAAAAAAAAAAAAAAAACACACACACACACAGAAGTAACCATTTTCCACTTTGCCGATCCTGAAACATTAGATTCGTCGTCGTCTATCCCCCAGCCAACTACCTCGACGGTGTGGCCCCCTCAGAAGACGCCAAGGACTTGCTGGGCTGCACTCTGGAGATCAATGCTAGGCGTCGTATCTCTGTCCAAGAGCTTGTGAGCCACGACTTCCTTTGTCGTGGCTTCTGTCCCAAGACCCTTCCAGATACGGTGTTCGATGAGGCCCCGGTGTTTGACAACAGCGCTGTTGAAAAGCATGACCGCACCTCAGAGAACAACGGGGAAGGCTTGGGAACGTGGAAGCGGAAGAAGAAGAGGGCCGTGAAGGCTGCCAAGGGCAAGGAGGTTGTACGTTGGTCCCGTGTTGATACCAAGTCCAGGACTGAGGCTATCACCGGTGCCAACGCCAACACCGACGCCACTGCCGAGGCCGAGGCCACCGCCAACGCCACCGCCACCGCCACTGCCACCGCCAAGGTCCACGGCACTCGCACCGGGGACCAGGGGGAGACTGGGAAGACCACGAGGACGGCCACACTCGGCGCTCAAGCCTACCACAGGTACGTCGCCAAGGAGGCTGTCAAGGAGTGCGAGTGGGCCGTCCTCCTTGCTCAGGTCCAAGCCCAAGTCGAAAAGGAGCGCCGGGACTTGCATGCCGAGAGGGACGCGCTGCGCGACCTCTTTGGAAGCGAGTTCCGTGATGACGGCCACGGCAGCCAAGACGTCAAGCACAGCAAAGATGACGATGACAGTGCGGGTGTGATCCTGTCTTCCTCACCAGACAAAGTAAGTAAAAAAAACCCCCCTCCAATCCTCAAAGATTTGCCACCAATATTTGCACGGAGGTAGACCATGGTTTCACTGCTCAGGATTCAAAGTGTACATGGACGATAGTACAAGTGGGACAAGTCGTGCTCTTATTGCTATGCGAGTTTGTGTAACATCGACTACGAAGGAGATGACTTGGAAGAAGATGACTGCTGCTGTTGCAAGTCTTGTGAGGGATATGCGAGAAAGACAAAATCCCATCCAAGGATACGACGAACCGTAAACACTTCCCGGATCCCCTGTGGCCAGACAGAACTGTCCATTTCGCCACTCGTAACGCCTTCACCCCGATCGTCCTCATAACCATCTTCCTTTCGACCACTACCTCCACCTCCAATAGGCAAGTGAGACCCTAAAGGCGATGTAGACTTGAACGTTCCTCCGGTCGGCCTATGGCCAGTCGGAGCTGCAGCGCGGTAGTAGTAATAATACGCCGTGGTCGTCGCGGATCCCGAGTTGGCGCCCCTTCCGTCAATATTCGAGTTGGCAGTCTTGAGGAACGAAGGGCCAATGACATAGACCCTCAACAGCATACCGATCAGGAAGAAGGCAATCGCAGACCAGACCATGTTCCTGAACGTGTACGCATAAAGCAGCGACCCTCGGAACCGAGGATGATCTGCTCCATTGGTCGATCCTGTCCGACGAGCCGTCGCCGAGGTGCTGCTGGCATGAACAATCCTCGATCTTTGGTACTTTGATGCCGAGGACCGACTGTTTCGTCTACGGTGAGCTAATCTCGAGTCAACTTCAGAGTCGGGGCCTCCAGATTCGATAGGTTCACAAGGATCGCGTGGTGATCGGACAGTATCCAGAGATGGTCGAATGAGTGATAGGTCCTTGTTCTGTGGCTGTTGAGCAGATCTGCCCTTTCGTCTGCGCATCGTGCCAGATTCGTGTGCCCAGTCGGAAACATCTTTGTCCATAGCTCTCGATCCTCGGTTCTCATCCTCCACGTACTGGGTCGAGCGGGGTAGCTCATCACCTGATCGGTGGCTATACCCTCCTTGGTCAGTATCATCCTCACGGTCATGAAAGACAATCGACCCATGCAGGCTCTCTAGATCAAGGTCGTGGTCGTCATGCTTCCGGTCACGCCCATTCGCCTTGCCCCTGCTACCAGTTCCATTCAAGATACCACTGATACCGCCACGGCTCGTACTTTTACTTGCACGGATCGTTCTATCGTCATCCAGGTCATCATACTCCAACGCAGACTGGCGACGGCTATTCTCGTTGGACTCTGCATCGGGCTCATCAAGTGCCGCGTCCACACTACCACCTTGCGATCCTTTGGAACCACTACTACCCAACAAACCAACGCTCATTAGGAACCCTGAAAAGCCGGTCAACGTACTCGTGGGCCGAGCGCCATCCGGAATTGGATCAGAGATGCGTTCATTGTGGTTTTTGAAGGCAGAATCAGACTCCGGCTCATGAGGATCAGCCAAAAGACCAAGTTGCTGACGGTGATGCTTCCTGCGACGAGATACTGTCCGGCTGCCACGTCTCTCCTGTTCAGGGGTCTCATCCTCAGCATCCCGCCTTGACCGCTCATCATCCATGGAATCTGCACTTCTAAGATCCGACCCTTCGTCCTGCTCAGCACTGCCATAGCTCTTCCGCCGAGACGACAATTTCTTCCGTCTCGATCCTCGTCCGTCCTGGGGGTCGTCAAGATCCTCCATCATGCCGTCCAAGAACCCGAGTTCATGCCTACTCCAGCTTGTAGCAACCTTAACAGGCATTCCATCGACCATGACTCGACCCAGCCATTCCTGCTCATCAGGCGACGACTTGGGGTTCTCCTTGGCCTCTTTGAGAGCCTGATGGTCGAGGTCCTTGTGTTCCAATCGGTCAATCTTGACTCCAAACTGAAAGACGCGCGTCTCCACTTCAAGTTTTGGTGGTTCTGACAATGATGACAGCTGCTGAGGGTGTTGCTGCTCCTGCTGTTGTTTGACGCTAGGCTCGGGCGTGGCAGTGCCAGGCGAAAAGGCAGGTCGCGTAGTCTCTGTTGTAGATCCCAGTTCCTGAGACGATGAGGAGTTTGTCAGGTGTCGGCTCTGCCTGTACTCCATGTGATCGCTGTCTGGGAACATGGTCGAAGTCGTTCCTGCGACTGAGCTTGCCGTGACGACGGGTTTGGCGGTCGCTCCAGAGATCGCATGTGGCGCTGCACTCTTCAGAGCCAGAGGGGCCGCTGCCGCCTGTTGAAGCGATTGGAGATAGGACGCACTGCTCTCAGCCTCGGGAACCGTGATGACGATCAGGTGCTTGCGTCTCTTGGACACTCCAGAGAGCGAGGACGAGTGCGAGGGCGCGGGAGGAATGTCGATAATGTTGACCGTTATCGCTGGCGGCAAGATTCTGATCAGCGAAGTCGATGAAGGAAGAGCCCGGGGGACATTAGCCGAACCGCCCAATACCGCCGCAATTCCAGTTCCACTTGTCGCGGCCTCAGACGACATGCTCTTGTGGAACGCAACATCTCCGTCAAGAGACGATCGTCCATTCAATTCAGCTAATGATCCCTTGCCATTGCCGTCAAATCCTCCAATGAGCTTACTGGCCGCAGAACTGGCGGCGGTCGTGCCCGGGCTGCTAGTCGATCCTGTGAGTTTGACAGCCGATACAGAACTAGACATGGCCTGCTTCAATCCCGAATCGCGTTGCTGCTTGTGTTGCAACAGCAGCTCCGGATCGACCTTGATGTTGGTGATGATGTTGTAGCCCATCGGGTACTGCTTCAGATCAACAACCAATTCCATAACAGTTCGACTCTTGACTTTTGCGGACTCGTCCTTGGTAGTCTGCTCATCCTGGTCTTCATCCGATACATTCTGCTCCGGGCTTCCAGACTTTTTAATGTGCTGTTTCGACTTGCGCCTCGCCTTCTTGCTCTTCTTGGCTCGAATCTCCTTCGCAAGGTCCAGTCGAGAAGGATTCAACCGGAATTGGTCAAAGAGTAGAATGAGCTCGCAATAGTACTCTTTCATCTTGAAGTCCCAGCTGACGATCCTGTTGGCTGGTTTGATCCATGGCACGATCGGAGGCAGCTGTAGCAGATTTTCATCCGTTGTCGCTGGCTCCACCACTATTAGAATAATAAGTACATATCAGAACATGTCAAATAAAGTTTACCGCTTCGACCCCTCTTCAGAAATAGTTGAACACTTACATAAGGATTCACCAACAACCATTTGTTCCGGGATGCGGATAATGGGAGGAGCTGCTTGGGCTTGGAGATAGCTCTCTACTTGGGTGATCATCTTTGGGAACATGGTCTGGATCATGCCGCTGATTCTCTGTGGGACAGAGCCTCCGAGATCCAAGGCGGTCATAAAAGTCACTCGCGTGGAAGGAATCGGATGGTTGGAGCTATATGGGTCGATACCCTCGAGGATCCATGCTGACAGATGCAAGTGTGCTCTTGGGCGAGACTGTGGAGGGGTTGATGTTGAGGTTGAAGCTTCATCCGTTGCCTTTGAGGCGCCACCGTGAGGGATCGATGTTGAGATGATGACGATCTGTGGACAACGAGCACTCGCCTCGGCAAACGCTGTGGCTGTTACAAAGTACAAATCACGGGCACTAAATTGGTAGACAACAAGGTTACCTCACTGTCTAATCCTTAATTAATGCACAATCACCAGCTGGGATAACAAAATAGACTTACGGGAGAGGAAGTGGGAAGAAGCTCTTGAGGACATGATGGAAGGTTGAACATCCAGCACCAAATGACTCCAGCATTTCTCCTGACTCGTACAAGTCATCCACTATCAATTTCAAATTTAAGATATGGATATGGTTATTAGTCGGCATCCCCTACGGTTGAAATATAACGTCGCAACATAATATGAAAACAAATGACTTACGCTTGGCTCGAGTTCCAAGGGTTCCGATGACGGTGGCAATCTCCTCGAGAGAAAACCCCTCGATGACCTTCTCCCCTCGAACCAAAGGGACCTGATCCGAGATCTCTGAGGGCATGAACCGTTTCGTGACTCTCATTCCACCCTTGCTGTCAGACACCACAGTCCATGAATCCTCGGGGTCGCTGTTGATTTTGGAAAGTAGGTCCATCGCACCTTGCGCATACTGCAGCGGAGACATAAGGGTCGACGGACCCCGTTTCACTCCTGGCTCCGATGTCTGACCATTCTCTCCGGCTCCATTGGCCGCCTTCTCGCCAGACTCATCCTCTTCGCCAGCTTGGCTCTCCTTCTCTGCCAATGCACCATCCACAGATGAAGGCGCTTGGGACTTGTCCTTGTCTGCGAGTAGGGCGTGGTGGGGCATCCACGTCAAGAGGTGCTCCATGGAAGGCATGTTGATCGGGACACCATTGACGACAATACCGCATCCTGGCTTGGTAGGCTTCCGTGCCATCAGTAACACTTTCCCTCCTGCTGGTACCGCTCGCCCACTGGAGTGCTCAATCCTGAGTCGATACCCTGTTCCATCATGAGGAACGCTGGAACAAGAGACCTTGGATGGTGGCGGGTCGATGGTAATATCGCAGTCACCATTTCTCGCCCAGACACGCGCATCCAGACGAATCTCGGCCAAGAGCTTGTCAGTCGGGCCAAGTTTAGGCGATCCAAACTGCTGAGGATCGCCGGACCCAACTCCAGCCGTTAAATCAACCGTACTCCTCCGTTGCCGATCCGCTGACAAAGACTGATGGTGTTGGTGCTGTTGCTGTAGGGGCTGTCGGTGTCCTGAAAAGATGGGGTTGCTGTCCTGCACATACTCCAGTCGGAATGACGATTTTTCGTGAGAATATTCAACACCCAGGGCACGACCTCTACGGATGCTGACCAACGTGGGCGGGCTTCCGTAAGTCTCGAGGTACTTGATTATCTCTGCGACGCAGAGTGGCATCTCCGTTGCCATGGCGCCAAGGGCCGTTCCTGGAACCATCCATCCCGTAGGTGCTGCGTGGGCGATATACACTATCCGGACGCTCTTGGGTTTGACGGTCTGAAGATACCAGCCCGAGACGACAAGTTCCGATCTGACAAAGGGTGATACTGGTGGAGGAATGGCGGGATATAAGTTGGTGTCGTCGACTGATGTCGCAAAGTAGTGAATCGCGTCCTTGGTTATAAATGTCGTATTCAACACCGCCATATCCTTCGGACTACATATCATAAAAGTTGAAAAGTCAGTATTCTTCTCTTTTTTAATGTCTGCAGAATGGTATGGCATGCATGTGACTGGGTTACCTTGCTGGCCAGAATCCTTTGAAGCGTACATAGGAAAGAATCGAACTCGGCGTAGCATGCTGCAACATATGCGACTCATCAAACATTTTGTCCCCTATGAATGAGAAATGAACAACTTAGTTTATGTTTACATGATTGAAACGCCCTCGAATTCACAAACAAAACTGGCGAACTTACAAATTTTGCGGGCGGAGGGACAGTCGAGAACGGCCTTGATGTCCCAGATGGTATAGTCCTCAAAGATACCCTCGCCCTTGACAATCCCAGGAGCGTGGCCTTGGACCTCAAGTTTTGAGATTTGAACGCCTCGTTGCTTGGACATAGGCTTCCAAGAAGTCACAGGTTCTTGTACGAGCGAGTTGAAGTATCCATAGCTGCTGTTGACTTTGCTGGGGTTGGTGTTCCCGGGCTGCATCGTGCTGGTGCCGTTACTCATGATACTTAGGTTACTCCGGTTCAGGTTTTGCATCGTTGTAGGCATCGACGAAGACATGAGCAGCAAAGGTGAAGCTGTCGTCCTGACTTCCTGACCATCCAGACCGTCAGAACCAGCCTGCCAGTGAGACGGGCCAGTATCGACTTCCTGCACAATCTGTTGACTGAGCTCCAGCTGTTCTTGAAGTGACATACTGAGACGCTTGGTTGGAGGGATGGAGGAGCGGTGGAATGGTAAAATGTTCTTTTCCTGTCCGTTAACCGAGACGCTGAGGTTGTTGAGGTCAGAGGTGGGCAACTGGCCTTGACCCAGTTGATTCTGCTGTTGCTGCTCGTTTTCACGCTCCTGCTGCTGGCGCTGAAATCGAAGCTGTTGATGACTCAATAGGTTGGCGCTTCCAGACGTCTCTTGTGGTATCCGCTCTATACGCAACTTGACATTTATCGCGCCATGGTGAGGTCCAGTCTCGGTGTGCTTCATCCGGAGAATGTACCTATCCCTGCCCATGTATTTGAGACATTCGACATGTTCCTGCACAAACTCCTCGTCCTCGATGTCATTCATAAAGATGTGAACCACAATGTCGCTGCCAAGGCCCCACTTTTCGCCATCCAACTCGACGTCGACATATCCATGCTGGGGGTTATTACCGTCTCCATTGTTCTCGAGATCGTCGCCTTCATCGTCCGATAGTACCAGCTCTTGTGGTATACTTGACGAATCCTGTGCGACCTTGCCCAGCTCTGGTCCTTCTTCCACAGCAGCGCCTCCTAACCGGAACCGCTTCAATGCACTGGAAATGGTCCTCTGTCCTAACAGTAAATCCTCCGAGTCGGATGGGATGACATCGTACCGCAGCTCATAGATGCCAGTCGCTGGGTCGTATTCGTTGAGATCCAGTTGTATCCGTGGGCTATGCCGGCTCACATGCGGCGGTACTCCCTGTCGTCGGAGTAGGCGATAGACGTTGGCGATGCATGAGGGGACATGCGACTGCATAGAAACCGAAGAATTGACTGCCCATCCACGCATGTCAATTTGATAATAAAAGCTGACTCGGATTGAATGTCGGGGCATGACGGGTTTGTTCTGCGATGCTGTCAGTGAATTGAAGGATGTGAACGAGACAGTGTCGTCCATGTCTGCAGGCACGAGCTGAATATGCCAAGCGACAAGCGGGAGGTATGCGCGCACATGTGGTGGTGAGGGTCGCAGAAAGATGGGGTCGTCATGTGAAGGCTTGATGGACGTGGCTATATGTAGCACGGCGTTGTGGTCCAGAAGGGTTGTCTCAATGAGAAGTGCATCTCTCGGGCTATGGCAAGGAAGTTGCACAGATATATATTAATTCCACGCAAATTAACGAAAAAAATATGAGCGCTTGTGTTCCGCTTCAGATGATGTGTTTCCTGGCCGTTATTGTCGCTGACACACATGTGATTCTGGTACCGCCATCCACTTCTCCAGAAAAATATTCAGCAGACTGTTATGTTGCTTCCACGTTGTGATTACCTTGCGGGCCATGTCGTTTTGAAAATAGTCTTGGTGATACAGGTCGAATCGTCCAAAGTCATCAAGACATTCGAGCTTTCGACCATGGGGTCCCCTATTGCGATAAATGACAGCGCGGGTGACCAATTGCTATGGTTAGAACAAATTCTCGATTGTCTGCGGATAAAACAAAAGAAAACGACGCAAAAAAAAGGCGCGGAAGGCGCGACGCAATTCATAAGAAAATAAAAGGTCCTTTTAATTCTTTGTCGTCGTTGGTGCTCATGTGTTTCTGGTGTTTCCTTACAGATCTTGCGTGCACCAGAGCACTCCAGGACAGCCCTCCAGTCCTCCAGATCCGTTTGCTCGTTCAATCCTGGGAGGACAATGCTCGCCCTGACAATCTCGGCTGATTTTCCAGGAACGCTCTTTTTGGAGACGGTGATGGCAGGGAGGAGGGATTCGATAGCAGCCGAGGCTGCTGACGAGGCTGATGCTCCTCCCGGCAAGTTAGAAAGGATATCATCGTTGTGTCGACTTGCCACTGGAGATGATGCTGTTGATGATGTTGCTCCTGTCCCGCTTCGTCCTGCACTTCCCGGAGATCCGGATGACCCGTTTTCTATAGAAAATATTACAAGAAAAACGATGAGCTCATTATTAATAACATCGTCATTTCTTTTCTCCTGTGAAAGAACCGCAACAGTAAAAAGAGCCTGTCTGCCTGATCGATCATTCACACAAATGCGAGTGCTCCAGCAAGCAGTTACTCAATACAGGCACACTGTTGCAACATACTGTTGGGTCGGACAGAGGCGGAAGAAAGTCGCTTCCAACCGGAACTTGACTGGGCGAGCGAACTGAAGTAAGTGAGGGCAGAGGTCAACGTCTCGGTGTACCGCTCTGTCGCGCTATTTTGTAATATGGGGATGAGACACAGTGGCCCCAACAAGTCGGTCAATAATCATAATTATATCCAGCCGAGGTCAACTGCTTCTCTTTGGCGAAGAGGGTGCCAACTTGAGTGAGGGCGCTGCTTGCTTGGTTACCTGTCATGATTAAGATCCATAAGTGCTGTTGTGAGTAGGTATTGAATGTCGATTAGTGTGAGTATGGGAGGGTGTGGAATCCGAAGCTAGGCGAGGAGGCGAAGTATAGCGGGAGCACTGAAGAATTCAGAAAAAAATGAGGGAGGGGGGATGCCTTTGTCAAGGACAGGAGAGGCGAATGAGCCAGGTCTGTCAAGTCGGTTGTCGTTGCTGTGTTCGAGTAGGGTGTGGGTTCATGGATGTATTCGATTGTTGTATGGTGTGGCTCAGGGTTGTTTTTTGGTCGTTGTGAGTGAAGAGTAGCTCTTTTATTCGTGTGAGAGGTAGAGAAGAGAAGGAGAGGGAGAAAGAAAGTATGAAGGGAAGAAGAGAAGAGGATGAAGAAACAAAGGAGTGGGAGTTGAGGAGAGAGTGACAGGTGGAGGCACCACAGTGACCAATCCAAGAAAAAGGGTCATGTCTCGTTGGGGTTGGCACTCTCCACAACAGTCACAAACTTGGCGACGTTTCAACAGAAGAAGAGAGAAGACATAAGGGATATGAATGCGACAACGTCTTTGTTTGAGAAGGGAGTGATCATGCTTTGACTGATAGATCATCAAAGGGATCAACTGGAGGATGCTGATCAATTTGTTCACAAGAGGGTCCCCTCCTTGCTTCATACTTTTGACCCTCCAGTCGTTCTCTTTCTCTTGTCTAGCAACCGTCATCCACAACACACATCCACACTTCAGACGAACTATGAGAGGCAGACTTCCAGAGACAAAACTCCAACAACAGCCACAACCACAACCACAGGCCACTGCCTGCAAACTCCCAGACTGGGACTTTGACCCCGTCACCTGGAGACAGTACCACGCCACAGACATGCCCGACGAACCCACAGACGAGGAATCTATCATCCAGGAGCACCTCTACGATACAAGGGCCGACATCCAAATCTCCCTCTCCCAACCACTCATCAAGATCACGCCCTATAACCCCGTACCCAACGAGTGTTTGGCCCTTTTGAGTGTCGCTCGTGTTGTTCAACGAGAGATGCAGACTCTGCAAGATACACTCTGTGAGTCAACAAGGTTGTCCTGTACACAAGAACCTAGAAACCAGGAGATCTCTTTTTTCTCATTTATTTTTTCATCTTCACTCCTTGGTTATGACAGCAAGCTGCGGAAGACCACCAGACCAGCGAGATGGCGACTACACTCCGGCACCAAACTGGGACTTGGCGTACTTGACGGACATCATCAACAGCTGGAACGAACCCGTGGCGCTCGAACCCGACTACTATCTCTTGAAATCGATGTGTGTCTACGAGCTGGGCATCTCGATCCAAGTGTCTGTTCTCGGCCACGAGAAGGTTCAAAAGTACATGAACATGGCTCTCACACTGGCCCAGCGAGGGGAACGGATCCTTAAGACAAAACTTGGACCAGGTGATACAGCTGACAGGTTCTGGCGGTATCAGACCATGATGAGTTACATCTATCACCATCAGGTACCTCAATTAATCTACTTGATCATCTCTCCGTTGATCTTTACGCGTGCACGAAGATCGCTCACATTCAGTCCTCCTCTTCACAGGCAGACATGGTGATCACTCTTTTCAAAAGGCAGCAAGAGTCGACCGGACTTCAAAATCAGGAATTGGAGGATCAAGTGTGCGATCTGGCGTCGCGAGCTTTGCGTTGTTTCCACCGAGGGATGAGATGGCACCCAAATGTCAACAGCGTCACTGTTATCAGCAACGAAGAACCATTCAAGGACGGGCAGTGGATCAAGATGGCGAACCTGGCCGATTCATGTCTCCAGTTTACAGACAACTTTGCGACTCGTCAGACATGGTACAGACACACCCTCAAGCTGCTTCAAGGCGCATTGTACGAGAACCGCGCTCAGGCTGGCCGGTTTCTGGGACTGATTGCCAAGACCCATTTGGAGTATGCACTCTGGATCTATGAGCAACGGGTGACACCGTTGGTTGTGGTGCCAGGGCCTTGCCCCATGTTTCTGGAGATGCAACACGCGTCCATTGCTGGTAAGGTCATACATTCCTTCGCGAATCAATCGAAGTACGGTAGGTTCAATCACACATCGAACTAATAAGAAGGTTCCAGCTCTAATCTACGCTTCACAGGCCATTGTGGCGACCAGTTCAAGTCCGGACAAAGTCCGATCTGAGCAACATCGTCTGGTATGATCCCACATCCAAATCATCCTCTCTTTGAAAGCTGCTTTGTTGTTTTTCGTGACCGATCTGTGGCGCACATTCGTCTAACGCTCAAGCTGTGCCATTATCTTCAATTGGCACCTGTATAGGTCATCAATACTTTACACATGATATCGCTCACTTGTGCGGCTCCCCACCTCATCCACCTTTACATCCGCGAAGCATCCCGTTGGATCGAGCAGCTCAAAATCAAGTTCCCGGAGGAACCTATCGACCCCTCATATCTCTACACCTCAGATTTCATGGCCGCCAAGGATCGAGCTATTCAGGCCATTACGCAGTATCGTCAAACACCTTCATTAGATTGAAGCAAAAAATTTCTAACATTTCTTCTTTTATTTTCTTTTTTCGATTACAATTGAGTAGTCATTTCAACAAAAAAAGAAGGGGGAAAGGGAAAGCGCTCAGAATTTATAAAGTTGTACATCCATCCGACGTCGCACGATGGCGGCCGGGTATTCAGTGCTTGACTCTATTTTGATCATCATAGCTTTTGGGGAGAGGGGACAGTGGAGAGGAAGGTGGATACAAAGGAGACATGATACAATTTGGGACAAAACACGCAAAAACAGCACAACAGGAAGAGGGGACTCGAAGGGGGGAATTGTGTGTTTATTTGAACGACGACATTATGATACAAACGGGGGGATGGGTATATGGGTGGATTGGGGGATGGAGAACGGGAGGGTGTTGGGAAGGTGGAAGGGTGGAAGGTGAGGAGAGAAGTGTGAAGGGATGGAGAGAAGGAAAACAAAAACACGAACAGCAAATTTTTTTCCTTCTTATAAATGCGCGAGAAATGAAAACAAATGTGATTAATGATGTATTAAGGGGTTCAAAATTCAACGATAAGAACGTGACCAATCCACGTACAGAGAAACAACCAACCAACATGTACGTTGCCACCAAATCTCGCGCGCCTCTTGTTTTTGCAGGGGTACGAACGAGACTTCCAGTCGATTTGTTTGTTCAGACTGTTCAGAGTCCCTCTTCCTCCTTCACACCTCTCGGCACCCCTCTCCCCTCCAACGGCTCACCCTTCCCTCCTCTCGCAGCCAACACAGGATGTCAGAACCCTTCGCTCTGGACGAGGAGCTCAACAACCTCCAGACAGACTCGATCCACATCCCAAACGAAATTCCCATCGAAGGAGAGAACCCAAAAACACTCGACCAAATCCTCAATGGTAAAACCATACCCCATCATCCTTGCCTCTATGTTACTTTTTTGTCGCGTTGACATCAACTTGTCGTTAACGCTTACTTCCTTTACCACTAGGCATCGTTGACACTCTCCAAGACTCATCATACAGCATCACTGATGGCACCACATTCGACCAAATCAGAAGTTTCATCAAGTAAGGTGTCACTTCCTTTGACGCCACCATTTTCAAGGCATTTTGTTTACTGCTCCAATTCATCGTCTGACTCGCGCTTTTTTTCTTTTCCTTCTTTTCCATCTTTTTCATTGCTTATCAGGCACTTTAACACGCTAAAAAAGAGCACAGCGACCAAAGTCTGGGATATTGTCCTCTCAGGTACACGTCAGGTCTGATTGTTCCGAGATACGGCGTTCTCTACAAAAACTCGCCTCCGCGACTATTTTTCACTCACGGTCTGCTATTGTTATTTTCATGACAATTAGGATTCAACTCGGAGATTGTTGCAACGGCGCACGATCTCGAAGCAAATGACCAAGATGAATATATGGAGCATAGGTTTCCACTGGAGACATACGGATTCCTGATTATGTGGATTATCAGTTTGACGGAACAAAAGGCAACATCCCGAGCAGTACAGTCAGAAAAGGCAGCAGGAAAGGCCACTGTAAGTCCTCATGGTTGTTGTTGTTGTTGATGTTTGTCCAGCAGAGATATGCTTTTGCGCCGTCGTTTTCCGTCTCATTCTAATGCGTGAATGCACCTTTCTTTTGTTTTTATGCTACATAGCGCGTCAAGGGATCACGGACAAAGGGCGGCGCAGATGTAGAAGAAGGAGTGACAGCATGGATTCCAGAGAAGCAGAGAGCAATGGTCTTGATGGCTAGCGTTTTGGATTTGCACCTCTCCAAGATTTGGACTGCAACACACGAGAAAGAGACCTTTGTCAGTTTGTTCTACAAGCCCGCATACCAACTCTTGGAGAACAAGGATAATGTCAGAATCGTGGTCCTCAAGAAACTCACCTACCGTGTCCTTTGCCTTTGCATCAAGCGCCATAACCACGAATTCGGTAAGAACATGTTCATAAGCATGGCATCCTTTAACCCCTGCCCCACAGCGCCGCTTTTTTCCAATCATTAATAATTTCTTTCAACGTTTTAATTTTCTCCGCAGGTGCCAAAACGACTATTTTGCAGAACCTTCAGTACTGGGAGCACACACCAGAGCCAATGGCGGAACTACTGGAGATGTTGAGCAGCGAGTACGACTTTCCACAATTGGTGGACAGTATCTTGAGAGACGTCGCCTCAAAAGAGTTCGACGAGTCTATCAAGGATCCCACTGCTCCTCGAGCCTACTCGAAGTTCCTGGTGAAGCTTTCCGAAATTGCCCCCAAGTTGGTCTTGAAACAGATGGGTCTTTTGATCCAACACTTGGATGGAGAGGTACGATACAACTGCATGGTGATTACTGATGACTTTGACCCATGGTGCTTAACTTGACGTTTTTTTTTCTGTGGGCCAAATTAGAACTACTTGATGCGCCAAGCGATTGTGGAGATCATTGGAAACCTCATTGCCTACCTGTCAGAGCTCGAGCAGACGGAGCAGGTCAAGAACCAGATCGACGGATTCTTTGACGTTCTGGAGGAGCGCATCATGGACAACAACTCATACGTGCGCAACAAGCTACTCCTGATCATCGCTTCTCTGTGCGACTTGCGCTCAAAGTTCCCCAAGCGCCGCCAACGTTTGACAGAGCTGGTTATTGGACGACTTTCGGACAAGAGTTTCTTTGCCCGCAAGCAGGCAATCAAGACCCTGGTCCGCTTGATTGAGAAACATCCTTATTCCATGCATGGAGGGGAGCTGGACTTGGAAGGGTGGGAAATCCGTTACACAGAGGTCACTGACGATTTGAAGGCTATGGTGACGCAGCCTGCCAGGAGACGAGCTGCTTTGCGAGCATCCGCTGGTGGGGAAGGCGACATGGAAGTTGACAAGGCTGAATCAGAGGCAGGGCCAGAGGATGATGCTGAGGATATTGCGGTTCCAACTGACGAGGAGTTGTTGGAACTCCAGGCATCCAAGGAGTACATTACCAAGACACTCCAGCAGCGTTACTATGCCGATGCCATTCGCTTCATTCATCTGATCCACCGTGGAGTACCAGTGATGTGCGAGCTGTTGGCCTCGACCATGAAGCAGGAAGTGATCGAAGCCATGGAGTTTTTCGTGGCCATTCATCGATACAAAGTGCGATCCGCATCTGTAAGTTCACCTTACGTGTTCTGACAAAAATAATCGTAGTTTGCAGCCCTAAAAGATCGAATACTAATCTGTGGTCGACATTTTCATTCATAGGAGGGAATTCGCAAGATGGTGCATCTTGTCTGGATGAAGGACAATAACGACGAGGCTAAAGGTGTCCGCACCCGTCTGGTTGAGTGTTACTGGCAGATTTACCTCGCACCCGATGAGTCGTTGACAGCGAAGGAGAACACTGCCGTCATTGCCAGGAACCTTGTCAGGTAAATTTTGGATGGTTAACTGCTTCATAGAACACCTAAATTAGGGGACAAATGATGAATGCATGCTAACTTTATACTGTTTACCGTGATGAATAGTTTGACGTATGACAGCACATTGGCGGAGTTGACCTCGCTGGAGCAGCTTCTCACTGTTATTGTCGCGGATTCGATCGCCAATAGCAACAACAACAGTGAGGATCATATTTCCATCTCGGACGAAGTTGTCGAGAAACTCTGGCAGGTCTACAGCCATCACAAGGATATCCCCAACCAGCAGCGACGCGGAGCCATCATCATTTTGGGTATGCTTGCCAAGGCCAAGCCCGACATTGTGGCCAACAAGATTGAAACTATTCTTAGGATCGGATTAGGCAAGCACGGAAGAGCCGACCTCGCCTTGGCCCGCTACTCTTGTATCGCTTTGCAGCGCATTGCTGGCGAGAAGAAGAAGCAGAAGGGCGTGATAGCACAGGATACCGTCCGTCTGCCAATGGACCACGCCATTTTCCTCCGACTTCGCAACCTGATTGACACTCCTACCACCTCCAAGCACTGGTAAGTTGGTGGACCTGTTATTTTTAGTACAGAATGCCACGTAAAAAACAAGAAGTTGTTGACATAATGTTTTTACGGTGCTTCTTTCTATAGGTTTTCCGTTGCAGAGCAGGTGATAAATTCCATCTACTTGTTGGGCGAACATCCAGACTCTTTGTGTGGAGACATCATCAAGACACGGTGCAAATATATCTTCAACCTTCAAGAGTCCAGTAGTTCCCCGGATACCATGTCGATTGATGTTCCATCTACTCCTCTTCCTGACGACTCGACGATAAACCCAGAGAATGCATTCAAGGTTGACTCGTGGCAACTCAGTCAGCTCCTCTTCATTGTTGGCCATATTGCCATGAAGCATATTGTCCACATGGAGGTTATCGAGGAGGAGTTCAAGCGACGGAAGGCGGGAGTAGGAAGTGACGGAAAGAAGGACAAGGACGCCGCCGAAGATGAGCTGGATCAGGTCGTTGGAACCACCGAGGACGAGTTTGGCGATGCTATGGCACACATTCGTGAGAGGGAGCTGCTCTTTGGCGAGGACAGTTTGCTTCAAGTCTTTGGCCCGCTGATCATCACTATTTGCGGTAACAACACCCTCTACTCCGTAAGTTTCGACTGGCCATTGTTACGCGTTGTGGCAAATGCGCACTACTTGGTCAAAAGATATGCTAACGCGACTTTATTAATTACATATGAAAATGCAGGACAAGACCCTGCAGAGCTCAGCTACGTTGGCGCTGTGCAAGTTGATGTGCATTTCGGCAGAGTTCTGTGAGCACAACCTCCAACTCCTCTTCACCATCTTGGAGAAATCCACGCAGCCTGCCATTCGCTCCAATATCATCATCGCTCTCGGAGACATGGCCGTCTGCTTCAACAACCTCATCGACGCCAACATCAACTACCTCTATAAGCGCCTCTCGGACTCGGACAAGGCCGTCAAGAAGAACACGTTGATGGTGCTGACTCACTTGATTCTTAACGGAATGGTCAAGGTCAAGGGCCAATTGGGAGAGATGGCGATCTGCCTGACAGACGAGGACAATCGTATCAGTGACTTAGCGCGCCTGTTCTTTACAGAGTTGACCAGCAAGGACAACGCGGTGTACAACAACATGCCGGATATCATCAGTCATATGTCGAACACCCAGATTGCTGAGGACTCCTACCGGAAGATTATGAAGTTCTTGTTTGAGCTAATCAAGGAGAAGAACATGGACTCGATGATCGAGAAGCTGTGCCAGCGATTCAAGAACACGGACCAGCCTCGTGGATGGCGCGATATCGCGTTCTGTCTGTCGATGTTGCCCTTTAAGACCGAGAAGAGTTTCAAGAGGCTCCTGGAAGGATTCCCTCATTACCAGGACAAGGTCTACGAGGAGCAGGTCTTCAAGTGTCTCACCGACATTGTCACTAAGGTATCCACGAATTAATATTTGTAGGCTGTTCGTTTGGCGATTGAATGGACTATAAGCAAAGAGACTTAGTTACTTTTTTCTTTGATTGGTACTACAGGGACGTCAAATCAAACCACCCAAGCCTGAGCTCAAGCCTATCATTGACGAGTTTGAGAGCAAGCTGCAGGAGTACAAGGCTAAGGGAGACGAGGTGCAGGACACTGAGTTCAAGGCGATTAATGCCGTCAAGAAGGGCTCACGTAAGGGAGGCCGCAGGGCTCTTAGCACTCTTGTTGGATTGAAGATCAGGAATGCCTCCGTGGCGACAGCGGAAGTTGCCGAGGAGAAGCGGGTGACACGCAGATCTAGACGAGGAGCTGATCAGGACGAGGACGGCGATGACATTAAGGAGGAAGAGGAGAATGAACCCCGCCGTCCCAAGACAAGGAACGCAAAGGACGGTGACCAGGACGACGAAGTTGACGATGAGGAAGACGCTGAGATGGAGGAGGGTATGGAGAAACTGACTGTACGGAATGCTCAAACCAACTCTCGACGCGACCAAGGTCGAAGTGGAAGAGTAGGAGCCAAGGATCGCGTTGACGAGGATGGTGACACGGTCATGGATGAGACCCGCAAAGCGTTCCATCTAGGGGGAGATGAAGAGGAAAAGGAGGAGGAAGAGGAAGAACTCCAGCCACCAGTCCGTAGACGCGGAAGGGGTGCCAACCGGGAATCGTCCGCTGAGCCTGCCCCTGCTCGCAAGGCGACCAAACCGCCTGCAAAGGCCGCCAAGGCCAAGGCACCAGCTCCCAAGGCATCTGGTGGTCGTAAGAGCAAGATGTCGTCACAAAAGAAGGGCAAGTCGAGAAAGACGTGGTCTGACGAGGACGAGAGTGGGGAGGACGAGGAGGTCTTTCACACGGGCGATGAAGATGAAGATGAAGATGATGATGAGGAAGAGAGCGAGGAAGAGGTGTCGACACGGAAACGCAAACCTGCGACCAAGTCAGCGGCCAAGGCGACAAAGAAGACAGCTGTGCGAGATGCGAGCGAGGAACCAGAGGCGACGCCTCCACCTCCACCTGCTGGGCGAGCCAGACGGGCAGCCGCGACCAGAGCACGTCGCATTATCGAGTCCGACTCCGAGGAAGAGGAAGAGGAGGAGGACTCTGAATAGAGGAATTGGAGAGAGTATAGGGAGGAGGAGGAGGAGGCGTATCTGTACCAACAATAACAACAATTGCTAATATGAATTCGAATAAAAAGAATGCACCTGAGCCATCTGGACCATCTGGACCATTTCGTTGAGTTCACATTTCGGGTAGCCATGGCTCAGCAGCGTGACCCATTGTCTACTTTTTGGTACCAATGCGATCCGTGCTCTCAAGAACTGCAATGTAATGAATGATTGTATGACTACACTTACATTTATCCCCAAAAATGAACAGTAAAGAAAATATATTGCCAAAACAATAATGGATCATGCGGCAATCGTGGCACAGACGGACGGACAGAAGGACGCGCTCAACAAATGTCACCTCCTTTCCCCTTACTCGCCCTCCATTCCATCACTTCCCTCCGTCTCTCCCTCCTTCCCTCCATTTCGTAGGATCTACTCCTAATTCTCTTTGCAATCCGTATTGGGCATGGTTTTAATGCAAGTACAAAGCGATCTCTCGAAACCTTGAAGAGAGATGAAGGTCATGCTTGCATCTGGCAGGCGGCGCAAATTAAACGACAGGGGCGAATAATACAATGTAAGAGATACAAAGGACTACTGTTTTTGTAGATCTCGAGGTTAGCTATCTACCAATGGTCAGTTTTTCTATCTGTGCATTGTTCTTTGTTCCTTTGTTCCCTTGTGGCACTCTTCAGAGGAGATAGTCCAGTTTTGCTCTTGCTTTTAATTGATGGTTTACTGGAAAGGAGAGGCCGAGGGCCGAGTTGGAGACTGTAGAAAAAATAGATAAAAGGGGTTGATGGTTTTCATTGTTGTTCTCTCTTCATTTTTTTTTCTTTAACAATACAAACGCTCTTGACGATTCTTCTGAACGACCACTGACTGACGACCCGATTCACGCCTCCATCTCTCCCTCCCCTACCCTCTCTCTCCCCCCTTTCTCTCACTCACACACTTTCTCCTTCCTTTTACTCCCTCCATCCTCAAAAACATATAACCATGAAACAACAAACTTTCAATCACAAAAACACAACTCCGCTTGAGCCACAGCCACAATGTCAACCCCACCTCCAATTCTCAATCTTAATCGCTGGCGCTGGGATAGGTGGCCTAGTGATGGGTGTCATGCTCGAACAAGCAGGAATCCCTTTCCTCATCCTCGAACGCTCCTCCACCATCCGCTCCACTGGCGGTGCGATATCCTTGTGTCCCGACGTGATGCAAGCGATGGACCAGTTGGGGTTGATGGAAGAATTGCGAAAGGAAAGTGTTCCTATTCGCCAGATCCGGTATTTTGATAGGATGCGGGGGGCTGTGGGTGTGGAGCTCAGTGATGCGGTTACTGATATGTTGTTCTGCGAGACGAGGTAAGCACTTTTTTTTTTCGTTCTGTTTACTGCTTGGTTGAAAGGGGTGTATGAGCGAGAGTTGAAGAGCTGGTTTTCAACCCATTCATTTCTACTTTCATAAATCATGAATAAAAACAAGAATAGATATGGAAACGCAATCCGCACGATCCCGCGTTCAGTCTTAATCTCCCTCCTCCTATCCCGCATCCCACCACACAAGATCCTCCTTGGCAAACGCGTCCTCCGCACACAAGAATCCTCCTCCCACATGACTTGCTACTGCGATGACGGGTCCGAGTATCAGGGTTCGATTCTCGTAGGTGCCGATGGTACCTACAGTGTGGTCCGCAAGAATATGTACCAGACCCTGTCTAGTTTTGAGCCTGATATCCTTGGGGGTGAAGGAGAAGAGGAAGTGCGGGGAGGGGATGGAATAATGATGGCGGATGGGAGGGTGATGCCGCATCAGCACTGTGTTGTGGGGATTACAGAGCCGTTGGATCCGGAGGAGTTTGAGGCGCTTGGGAGGGAGTATGGGGAGTTCCAGGTGTTGCGTGGGACTGAACATGAGCATTCTGTAAGTTATTTGTTGCATTGTTTGTTTCAATCGCGATGTAAACGAAAACAAGAGTTCATTCTTTTGGTTGGTTCAATGCTTCCTCTTTGTTGACTTTAAATGATCATTGAATGTTAATAGATCTGGTTGATGCCATTGACAAACTACAGAATCGCCTGGAACGTCTTCTTTCATTTCCCTGAAGAACTTCTCCAAGAATACAAGGGCCTTCAGTCCTGCCCTTCCACTCCCACCATTGAAAACCACGAAAACAAGTCTGGTACTGGAGGAATCCAGTTCACTTTCCCTGGTCAATACCCTTCCCACCTTGCCACTCCAAGGCAACAACCCCAAACCCAACAGCAAAACGTCGGGTCTTGGCAAAGTATCTCCAAACGCGTCCACGACCGCGCCCAAGCAGCCCTCGAGACCCTCCGCGATGTCCCGAATCCACTCAGCGCCCGCCAGGGTCGATTTGGTGATCTTCTAGACAAGACTGAAGTCGACAAGATCTCGAAGGTGACTCTTGAACAAGGGGTCTTCCGTCGTTGGTTCCATGGGCGGACTGTTCTGATCGGTGATGCCGCTCACAAGTCGTTGCCGTATGCGGGGCAGGGTGCCAACCAGGCCATTTTGGATTGTGTTGTGTTGGTCAGTAAGCTTTACTTACTCGTCAAGCCTGCTCCTGGTACGGTCGAAGTGGCTGCTGCTGCTCCAAGAATGCCGCCTGTGGCCCACCATACCATGCCAACCCGCCTCCGCCCCGCATCTCTGTCCCTAAAGCCCTACAAGTCCAAGCTCAGACTTAGATCCAAACTCCCACTTATTCCCATTTCCCTTCCTCCCTCCCCACCCCCTTCCCCTCTCGCCACCACACCTTGTACCAAATGGTACACCCCCGCAACCACAAAATTGGCGCAAGTCTTCCAAGAATACTACATCACCCGCTCAGCGATCGCAAGCCAAGCGACCTGGGGCGCTAGGTGGGCCGACACCGTTTTCGGCGGTCAAGGGATCGGAGCGAGTTTGGTCCGGTTCGCATTCTTCAAGTTGCTTCCGACCAGGTTGTTCTATGCAGTGTCAGATTCGTATTTTGGGGCTCAACATGTCTTGCCGTTCTTGTCAGACGTTGGTAGTCCTACTGGTGGTGCCGGTGGCGGGGATGAAGAGGGGATGAAGTGTAAGAGTCGTAGCTTGAGTACGATTGTGAGTGTTGACGCAAAGAACATGTTTGGCAGTGAATGGGGCGTCTTCCTCACGCTTTTTCGATGGTTTTTTTAATCCCCATCTCCTTCCCCTCTTGCAAGCGCAAACAGCACCCTCTCATACCATATGCCTTCTTTTTTGTTCTTTGTTCTCGTCTTTTTCATGAAGTTTAATTTATGTTTATGCCTTTTCAGTTGTACGGATACCCGACAACTCCCTTGATGATATCCTTTCCACCATTGAGTGGAGTAAATAAAATAACTTGTCGTAAAAATAAGATCGTTCATTATCGTCTGTTCATGGTAAAAAAAAGATGGATCTTAACTCATTCATATAAAGAACATAAACAAGGACGAAACAAAAAAGTCAACATTGAGATGAAGGAACCATCGCCTCTTTCCACTTTGAGGCCATGCAAATGGACATATGGTTTGCCCGAATTAGGAAGGTCTTTGTGAGGATTTTCGTTTTTCAATGGGCTGGAGAGCGCCTGAGCGTCAATGCTCACTTTAATTTCGTGATACAAAGGCATAACAGAGGCGAAGGAATACTTTGGACCAGAGGACAGGAGGAGAGAGAACACCACTCCAGGCCCAAGGAAAAAAAACAAGTACCCATCGTTTGAGCCATTTTCTATGTTGCTTTTCCCATGTTTCGTCCGAGCGTCAAGACGCGTCGCCTTCTTCGCTTGTAGAATTCTGGGGGTGTCGAAGACTGTTTAATCGCACAAGTTGCGACTGATCGGTGGTGTCAATGGACCACTACATATTAATCTCAGTGCCATCACCTTCTGCCACTCATCGCAGTTCTCTTCTCCCTTTATCTTTTCTCCTATCTTCTCTTCTTACGTTCTCTCTTTTACTCCTATCTAACGAACCGCCACCAACCCTATTATCCATCTATCCATATCCAACCCCTTCTCTTGCGCTCAATATGGATACAGCAAGAACAGGGACAGGAACAGATCCCATCATACGAATCGACATCCCTGTCCAACAGATCGAAGCTACTCACTACAACAACAACACGATCACCGTCTGCTCGGGGGGCTGGATCTGCACCATCTCTCAGCAGCAGTCGCAGCCTATCATGGACGATGAGACTGGTTTCGAGAGGGACCTGGAAGTCGTTGTTGTTGTTGCTATTCAGCAACCAGGTGGAGGGGGAGGAGGAGGGGTAGAATACTTGAGCATGCTCTCTCAGTACAGTCACCTGTCGGTCGTCAGCGCTGGAGATAGCGGGTTCTTGGAAGACGGTGGGCGGGGTGAATGTCTTCAAGAGGTGACGATCAAACATCTGGAGATGCTTCTCCAAGGAGTGAAAGGTACATACACCTTTTACCTTTTGTGCATTCATCGCCGTCGCGCGCGCTCTTGTCTTTGTTGGAGAGGGGGCTCTTGACATGTTTTTCTTTCTCTCTCGCACACAGTTTATGTGGAGCCAGGCATGGTATTATACAGACAGCGATACATCTTCAACATCCAACTCCATACCCACAGGAACACCCACTCTCGTCGACGACATCTTCCGCCACGACTCAATCACCGCCAAAACCCATACTACAGAACCCCCGCTCCGCCCATGCCAGTAGCCCCACCCATCTCTTCTCTACGACTAAGCGACGTCTTTGTGGCAGCCAAGCAGCGCTTGAAAGACTTTCTTGACTTCTCCAGAGGATCCGATTTCCAAATCTCGTTCAACCATCAACCAGTCACAGCAACAATGACAGCGACACCCGTACCGTCGTCACCCGCCTCGGAGTACTCAATTCCTCTTGTCCCTTCATTATCAGCGGACTCGGTGCTAGCTTTTGTCGTGCCAGGCCAGTGGCACCAACAACAGCAACAACGTGCATCTCTGCAGGATGTTGAGTACCAAAGAAGAGATGGCGGTGGTAGAGATACGGACACGCTCTTTGTGCATTCGTGCATCATGTCCACAGTCACTTCTCCAGCAATGCAGTCCATTTTGAATTCTTACCCTCCTCCACCCTCGCCACTCCCTTCAGCCTCAACAACACCCTCTATCGCCCCGTCGCATGCATTCGCTTACACCCGTACATTCAGCAACGACAGCAGCAACATAAGTCAACAACCACCGTTCCCTGAGCCTGCGGGTTTCTATCACCCAGCACTGTTCGCATCCAACCAACACCGTAGGTATCACTCTCCCTCACAAAGACAACAGCAGCCGACCCGAGAGGTCCGATTCCAGGATGTACCTCCAGAGGCTGTCCGAGCAGTTGTTCGGTACATCTACTTGGGCCAGAAACCAGTCCTTGAGCCCTATTGCGGCTACACGGTCAAGGACCTGATGGCCTTATCATCTTACTTGGAGATCGCGCCCTTGGAGGATTATTGTGTCCAGCTCGTAATTGGTACTCACCGCGACACCGATAGCGGTGACGATGACTCTGGCACCTTCAGCCGCGATTACAATAGCATGGGACGACAACGACGGGGAGGTGGCTCCGTGCGCTGGACTAGTAACTTGATTTTGAGAGGAAGATCCCAGAGCCGGATCTCGCCGGAGATGGCGGTGCAGGTGCTGTTTGATTGGGGGTACAGATACACCAAGATCCGGACGGCATTGGTCTGTGCGCTGATTGACAACGATCTGGTTGACGACGGAGTTTTGTTTGGTTCTCTTGATGGTGACACCAAAGGTGGAAGTGGGGGGAGATTGTTGCGGTCGTTTGCGGGGCATGAGGCGTTTCATGCTATCCTGTGTGAAATGGTTGAATGGCAGTTGAGCCGTCCCCTTCTTTAAGCGTTCTTGCTTGTTTTGATTGTATATTTTCTATAGTGTAGCACGTCGTTTTTCTTGTTTTCCGTCTTGTCCTGTCTGGTCCTGTATGATCACTTCAGCAGAATAAAATGCAAGCACAATCCACGTTCAAAACAATGGGGGAAAAAAAATTGAAAAATGCATCTATTGTTGTATGATTGTTGACTTCACTTCCTCCTTCGTTCCTGTTTCCACTCAAAATAATGGTTTCCTATATCCTCCTTCTTTCCTGCCAGGGCTTAGTAGGTGTAGATATGCTTGGCGACAAGTTCTCTTGCTGCCTTTGATCCCTTGTCGTGGTACACTGCTCCAACAATGGCCTCCATCGTATGTGCCAACACCGAGTCCTCTCCTACTTTTGAGTCCGTTGACTATTTTTAACACAATTGCACAAAGAAAGAAAAAAGGATATTAGTGAACCCCGCACAAACTGATCCTCCTACATTTGATTTGACTGTACGAGAAAAGAAGGGATAACTTACGGAGGCAGCCTTCCAGCGCATGACCTCGTCGACACCCATGGAGCGAGCAACCTTGGCCAACTTGTCGGAGGCGGTGGCATGTGCGACCGATGACCTCAAAGTCCTGTTCGACTTTACTTTATCCCACTTTTGTTCCGTCACATGCATCTGCAAGAATGTGCGTCCTATTTCAAACCAAAATAAAGTCGTGTGTTTAGCTTCTTCATCGAGAGTGAGGCGTCCAATTGATCCTGCAGCTCATGACAAAGCCTGCTCCTGATATCTCGGTTATATTTCCGAGGTGTTGAGTGAGTAAAAAAAAGAAGCAAAGGGATCTTACCGAGGTAGCCGAGCTTTTCGTTGGTGGGGAGGGATCCGTGGGAGAAGGACTTGTGGGTGATGGACTGGGTCATGAGAGAGGCGTCCGAGATGTCGACGCCGAGACGCTTGTAGACTGCGCTGACCTTGGCCGAGTCGTCTCCCGAAGTCGAGTAGGCCCGAACCTCATATGTGGCGCCTAATGGGTATATTCGTCGGGTGGTAGAGAAAATGGTTCGGGTTTAGTCAGGGTCGGGGTGTGAGCTTGGTGGCGCTTTCGTGCAGAGGTCTGTCTACTCCTGTCTAGCGATTGAAGGAAAGGAGAGTGGTGGATTTGTGTGCCGTCGTCCGAGGTTGATGCATTCCTGATCGTCTTGGTCCAGCTTCCTGTCTCTTGAAGTGTTCATGTCCTCCGGAAATAGAATAGAGGGTAAAGTTCCGTTCCAGTGCTTGTATTCGCCTTTCTCTGTACTGAATTCCTTCCGAGCTGTGGTGTTGTCTTACAGCGGGCAATGGTGTTGGCCAGACGGACAGGCCTGATGGTGGAGACTCTTTGAAGCATGGCGACAGGTAATGTAAGTGTGATGCAAAGGAGTGAGGGGAGAGTTGTGTCCTTGTCTTTTGTAGGACCTTCTTTTCCACCCAAACAGCGGGTGCTGCCACAAGGTCGAGCTGGGGTGGAAGGTGCGATCGTTATAAGCCACATTGTTTACAAATATCACGTGTGGACTGAAGGTGCCTGAATGTGATTGTCCTTCGAATTTGATTGGCCTATTCGTGGGGAGCGCGTCCTCTCTCTTGTTTGAGAATTACTCTCTGGTCGCTTTTTCGTTTGACCCTTATCACTTCGCCCGTTCTCTACTTCCTTTCTTCCCATCAGTTCTATCAATCGGGCTCCCAGGGTAGTGCCCTGTTCACCACTCCCTGGGGCCTGTCTCCAGACCCCTCTCCCTTCATCGGCGTCTCCCCTACTTCTTTGAGCCCTCTCTCCTTCTCTCTCTTTCTATTCACTCGCATCAGTTCATCACATTCACAATCATTTACCAACGCGATCGGCGACATGCACGATGGAGAACTTCACTCCTCTCTGCCTCCTCAGGTCCATTGACCCTGAAACTACTCCATCGTACCATGGTGAGCAACACTTTTCTTTTACATACATCCGTTTTACCCAATTCCCTCTTGCCTCTCTAGCTTGCTGTTTGTGAACTACTATATTATTACAGCGTACTCACCAAAATCCTTCCTCTCTATCTCTCCCTCACCTCTTCATCTTCCTCACTCCCATGCAACACGGGCGCATTCCAACTCCCCTTACATCCAATTCTTCTATACACCAGCAACTACTTTGGCCAACAGTTTCAGCGCCTATTCTGTTTTCCCCTCCTCCTCCCTCTTTTGCTAGGGTTGCATCTTCATCATCCTCCAACTTAAGATCGATACCCAATTGATCACCCGTTCATCAAGTGCTACCCGAGGAGGGGGGTTTCTTTCTCTCCTACTTCTTCAAATGTCAGATCCTGTCATCTCAGGCCGTTTCTCTAGAATTTTTGCTCGGCACCGGAGTCCCGCCTGCCCTCCTTTTAAACTAGCCTCCTCTCTCACCTGAATAGTTCTTCCTTATCACCCTTTTACCTATGAAACCCCGCTTTCACATTGGAACTGCTCTAGTACTGTTCTTGTTCCACTCTCTCAAGGTGCATCACTACTCCTAGGCCTACACTTTTCAACCCCTCAAATTTCGCATTTCATATCGTCGTTGCACATTCAGTCAGCAGTAGCCGTGGCACGTCTTTTCTCAGCTTCGAACTACCCTTTCTTTTTTTGTCTTTTTTCCCCCTTTAACATTGAGAAACCATGGATTACCATGTTATGATGACTTCAAACCAAGAAATCCCCGGCCCCGTCCTCCCCCTCCTCTTCCTTCACCTTTTTTTTTCACCTCCGTCCTTGTGGACATATTTACATCATCTTTCAGGGACTATATCCTACAGGTCGTTCTCCCTACGGATCGGATCTGTAGCCCCCTCCTTTTCCTTTTTTCACGCCAGGCCAAAGATGATCGTCCTCGGGGAAAAACATGCGAGAATATCGGCTCTCGTCATGTTCTCGTCCATCGTGGCGGTAGCCACCGTTGCGGTACTTGACGACAAGAAACTGTCGTTGGACAACGGCATTCTACGGTTCGGGATTCCGAAGCCATCCAAGTCCTATCCGCTCGAGGTTATCCAAGATGCAAGCCGATCAACTTCCGTCTCATCGATCCTACGACCATGCTATCCCTATCATTGAAGGAGCAACAGTTCCTTTTGGTCCCGTTTACAACCTGTCCCAGACCGAGCTTAAAGCCTTACATGAGTATATCATAGAGAACCTTGCTAAAGCCTTTATTCGCCGGTCAGAATCTCCCGCCGGTGCCCCTATTCTATTTGTCAAGAAGAAAGACGACTCTCTTCGTCTCTGCGTCGACTATCGCGGCTTAAACAAGGTCGCCACACCAAATCGCTGCCTGTCGTGTCGTTCCCTATTGTAGTGATGTAGATGGGGATCGCTTGGAACAACACATTTTTGGTAGTGTTGTTGCAAAAAGATGTGGTGGCTAGGCAGTGGCGGCGATGCCTTAGGTTAGCAGTCATATTCTTTAGTAGACATTTATTAGTAGTGCGCCGAGCCCTCTTGTCTGCTCTTTGTCCTTTTAAACATCACTTCTTGGACGAGAGCAGTATTGACAAGAGTTTCGCTGGCGCGCTGCAGTGTATCGTTTCGTGTGATTCTTTTAGGACGCTATTATCACTTCCCCCCCCTCCAACCTACAACCCTCCCCCGTACCAACTGAGGACTTTACAGCGGTCCTACAACTCTGGCCTTCCATCCTCTCCCCTAAGTAACAGTATCGAGCCCCAGATTTCGCAACAGTAGTTTAGTCTAGCTTCTTTAAGGGTAGTCTGATTCAATTTAGGACTATAAAAATAATGAAAGGCTTTCGAGCTCCTTCTGCTTCTTTCTACGTTTTATTTGATCTATCAACATTGTGTTTCTGTTCGATTGCGCAGGATATTAACCACACCTCGACAGGTACCGCTCAGATGGCCCTACCCTAACCTTGTGCCTAAAGTCCTCCCAACAATCCCCTACCACAATAATGGATCGACCCTAATCCATCGACTTCTTGACGTTGTTGTGCCACCCTTGATCTCATAGAGATCTACTATTCGCCCTGCCCACGATTTCGCCAGTCTCTGATCCGCCCACCAGCATTGGAACTCGCCGATCTAGCGTTTAACGGCGAACTGAGGTACATAGCCAACCCTTTCGATGGATGAAGTAGCACCACCTACACCACCAACACCACCAATACCACTGGTTCTACTTCACTGTCAGCACTCCAACCCCTCCAGGGCTTCATATATGAGGTCTCCTTGGTCCCCTCCCAGTTCATCCTCACGGATATAGTCCTAGCTCGCGGTCCATTTGGCTAATAGAGATCCCCCACTTTCTTTGGCCTTCGTCCACTTTTTCTATCTTCAGATCAGTAATAGAACACTGTAGACAGCACCCCTTTCCGTCCCTTTAGTCCTTCAGGATAGTTGTCACCCCTTTCTCCAGCCGGTAAGTGCTTCTGAACATCCTTCAGCTCTCCCTCACTGCGTTTCAGTTCTTGTTCTATTGTAGCCTCAGACTAATAGATAGAAACCGTTATGTTGGATTCCTCACCGCACTATGATGAGTCGACTCTTGGCATGATCGGTCGACCTTTGGCACGATCAGTTGATCCTTGGGCGCAGTTGACTGAGCCCAAGACAATTAATTAGCATTGCTCACAAACACACATATATATATATATATCCCGTAGCACCCCAAATAGTTTGATCTTTACCTAGTAACTTGAATAATACTTTGAAAAAACCCATATCCGACTCCCTATTCCCTTTGTTCTCTTCCCCCACCTCTCTCTCTGATCCTGCCTAAGAAAAGGTCGACTCTGCCTTGTTCTAGTCTAGATTCTCGGCACGCTATTTCTCAGCATGGTGAGAATCCTCTTACCGGGAAGGAATGGGGCAGAAGTTGGTGGACATCATCTTCCACGGCCTTCCCGGGGACGGACAAGAGCGGGTCTTGGGCCATTTCAACGGCTTTCGATTCAATATCCCTCTAAGTTGCATTCATCGGCAATGTCTTTACTCCCACGAAACGCTTTATTCCGGAGGCACTTGTTCGTTCGTAAGGAGTCCAAATTATCATATGGTGTTTGTTACATCTCTGCAGATCTTTCTGATATCGACAGCGACCATTAGATAAGAATGTATGTATGGTATCAAGCATGTAAAACAACCACTGTAACATTCTTTATGTAATTATCCTACTAAACACCAACCTATTCTCCAAACAACCAAGTCTTCTTATTTTTTCGCACACAAATCTCTTGAATGTGTCCATCTACTATTAAACTGTAACCCTCAATGCAAGATTCGCCGGAGTGGTTCTTGTATGTGATCATTTGAGGTACTTGTACTCTTAACTGTATCTTTGTCGTGAATACAGGAGATATTACATTTTAAAAAATCCTGTGCTGTCTGTTGCTATTTTATCCTATGTTCTGTTGCCAACTGTGAAGAAATATATTAGCTATGGAAGTCTACACTGCATTTCTTGGGCTTTGGATATTTTTATATGCTTTTTTATACCCTTTGCACATGGAGGGGCCGCATAGTAGATGGAGACTTACAAGATATTGGTTTGCCGAAACTAAGAGGGCTTTGTTGTTTGGAGAATGTGATGGGATAATTACGCGAGGAATGTTACAGTGGTTGTTTGACATGGTTGATCTGCAGAGATGTAACAAACACCATATTATAATTTGGAGTTGAAAGGCCTCCCTACACCTCACCTGCGGCAGCCTCCCTGTCTGCCCCTTCCCCTCCTCCGCTGCCTCTCCGAAGTCTCGTTCTCCTCCCTCCAGAGACTCCCCTCCGGAACAATCCACCCTCGTCCACTACACCGAGACCGTCTTTTTGATAGAACCGGCCGCACGTGTGCCCAATGGTCTGCTACAGTCTCCACCGGTCCCTCAAACACCATGGTCCCAATCTCAATGGGCTTTATCGTGCAGTTGCCTGAGTCTAACGGGCTTATCGCTGTTCTCGCCGTCTGACCGCCTGACCAAGGTGGCACGCTTCATCTCCAATACTGATAATGTCAACGCCGAGAGTACTGTCTTGTTGAGGTTAGGTACTGCAATTAAGCAGCAGTCATTTTTAATTGACGAACTGAGAATCAAATATGGTTCCACTGGATCACGAAAAGAATCCTGTCTTCGCCAAATTGAATAAAATCACTGTTCTTTCCCGTCTCCATTTTTCCCTGTACTTTTCAGTTCCCCTCTTCCCCAAGCATTCTTTTCGACCCATGGTCTCTCCAATATTGTCTCCGATTACAGCCTTACTTTCACCGCCCTCTTTACCCGATCGATGATGAAGTTCCTTGGTGTCGCCCAAAATCTATCCACTGCGTTTCATCCACAGACTAATGGGCAGATAGAGCGCACCAACCACCCTGGAGCAGTCCGATGGTTCAATCGACGTCTGTTTTTCTATTTTTTTTTGCTCACATGCTATTCTCCTTTGTAGTATACACCGACCACGCATAGCACTCGATGTTCATTAGGCCTGACTTTGTGGCGAACCATAATCCTTTAGTTCCTAATAAAAATATTACTCTTCATCTTACAAAAAAAAAAGGTTACCTTTGGTTCAATTGCTCCTGTACTCTCATTCTCTTTTTTTTCTCCAGCCTCGATCATTTTATATTTTCTGAGCTATGCTTCAGCCTGTTAGTGGAGGGGGGGGGGGGGGGGAGGGTTTGTTCCTTTTGTCCGTGCCTATCAACTCTCTCTCGATTTTCTTCGCTGAAATGATTTTTCATTTCTAGCAAACATCCGAGCACGCAGTACAACACAACCAAGCAACAACAACAAATCCCAAGAATTCCGCACAACCCAAGCTGAACTAAACCACGAAAAGCATAACCGGTTCCCCTCGACCCCCCCCCCCAAATCTAAATTCCAGCGGCACACACAAACCACTCACCATCAGCATCCTCCATCATGGTGGTCAAAATAGTAATAACCAACTATCGGGAAACTTTAACAAAAGAAGATTTTCGCAAAGGCTGCGCATGAACCAAGAAAAAATAATCAACCTACGTGTACGGAAACGAAAGCGAAGGACCTGTCAACTACTTACTTTTTGAAAGCGAAAAAAGACTTAATTATTCGCCCGCCTCCACACTAAACCACATTAAACAATCAGAGTAACAAAGACGACACAAAGCCAAAAGGGGGGAGGGGGGGTAGGACGTTGTGTTGTCAGGGGGTGCATAACACGTTGTTGTTGTTCTACTCGTTGCGTGTACCCGCACCAATGCAATCAAGTAAACCAAACACAAGGGAAACAATGATAGACGCAAGGGTCTTTTTTGGTCGCTCGGATGTTTATGAGACAGAGAACTGGGAAGGGAAAAGAAAGGAATGATGCAATTTGCACAAATTAACAATGCGATCCAACAACAGCCAGCCGATAGAAAGGAGACAAGAGGTAGACGTGGAATTTGGTATGGAGCAACGTTGTTCAGCTGAGTGTTAAAAAGTGGGTATGATGTCGCACCAATGGGTACCAGAATGGGTACAATACGTACAGACGTAATAATACGGTGCTGTGAGAGAGAATAAACGGGGACGAGATGCTTACCCCAGCTGCATGTAGGTCTAAATTGTAGCTCAGCGGTGCGGGGCAAGGTTTCTGAGAGATGGCAAGAAGGGAATGCCAATTGTTGTTGTGAAGGGGAGATGGAGAACATGTTCCATCAACCCTAAAGGCTGTTTAGAGGTACTTTTGTCTGGTACTCTCCCCCTTCATTACGGGACTAGCACATGAAAAAGGAAGGGGAAAGAAAGCCAGTAATGAGAGGAAAAGAAAGAGAGCAAAAAAATAGAGAGGGAATATGAACAACCAAAAAAACAAAAAAAAGGGGGAGAGAGAGAGCATTGACGACAGCAACTGAGGACGACAAAACGAACGATGAATCCAAACGCCATGCTTGCAGGGGACACTTGCACCTGATGATGATTGCGATGGTGACATCCACTTGTTATCAGATATGAGGTACGACTGTATGTGAATCAGTTTCAGTTCCGTTCCAGCAACAGGTCCACTTTTCAACTTTGTATGTCTTTCTTTTCTTTCCTTTTCTCTTTCTCCCTCTTCTTTCTTTACGTTACCCCTGAACAGCCTTGCTCGTCTCATCTGTTCTTGTTTCTTTTTTTTTTTTTTTTCTTCATCCATTCGTTCATTCATTCACGTTCACTTGCATTCATTCACTTTCCGCTCTTCGCTTTCATCCTCAACCATTGCTCCTTCTCTCCTTCATTCACTCTTCCCTTCACTGTCCATACTCTACTCTCAGCTATAACTCTTAGTCCCATTTCTATTCATTTCATAACCCGTTCCCCTCTCCGCCGTTAATTTGTATCTATCATTATATATTATCCTCGACTCGACCATTCCTTTTTCCTTCTCGTCGACACTCCCTCCTCTCCCTTGCCTTTTTTTCTCCTCAATACTTCCTCCCCTCACCAACCCACTCGTCGACAAAAGCGACACTAAATAGGAAACACGGCAATATACTCTCTCACCCTCTCCTCCCTACCCTTTCCTCCTTCTCACCCTCTCCCTACAATCCAACTCCTACCACCACATAGCCTAAAAAAATCACCAACGAACACCAGCAATGCCACCAGCGCAGTTCAAGGTGATAATCGCAGGCGGCGGGATAGCAGGTCTCTCGCTAGGAGTCATGCTCGAACGAGCAGGGATCGACTACATCATCCTCGAAGCAGCAGGCGAAGTTCGGCCGCTTGGGGCAGTCGTCTATCTGGGACCCCCTGTCCTACGAGCGTTTGAGCAATTGGGTTTGCTGGAAGACTTGATCCGACACGCAAACTTTATGACGGGTGTCACTCTTATGGACCACAAACTCAACAAGATTTGTCGTATTAACGTCGACTACGCCAAAGAAAGGTAACTTTTTTCAGAAACAACGAATGGTTCTTCACGCTAATTTATTGAGACGGAGTTGGTAGGGGCGTTGACCTTATGGGAAAAAAACCATAGGAAGGTGTGGAAGGAAAGGGGGGAGGGAAGAAGAGGATGTTGAGAATGAACAGTGGGAAAATGAGCAAGAAACCACAAGCGTTTTGAATTGTCTGTGTGTATGGGAATAAGCGGCCTGAGGAGATGGAGGACTGTAGTAAGAAAAAACGAACAAGGGCAAAAGAGAGAGCGCGAGCAACTACAATCAAAACGTTTGCGTGGGTTTGTTTGTGTGCTCGCTTTTAAACCGATTGGCAGACAGTGAAAAAGGTCCATGTATCCATGGGATAGAAAGGTGGGTTTTCGCAAAGAAGGGAATTGACCTAAAGCAATTATTGAGAGCAGGGTGATTCGTCTACACTTCCCAACATTCATTCACACCATTAATATCTATTTCGCACCACCCTCATATATTATACATGCACAAATGTACCTGGAGTCTTCTGCCCTGGACATTACCCACTCCACTCTTCATTCTCCACTTCACATGTACACCCCATTGACGTTTACAACAAGGGAAAAGACAATGGACGAGGGTCCACTGTGTTGTGTTGATTTTTGAACGGGGGATACGTACCTTTTTTGAAGGGTGCGTGTGAGATTGTTGTTTTCTTTAGACCCAATCGAACGGTCAAATGAATGGTTGGTCGGATTGGTCCATGGGCATTATTGAAATTGCATGCTCTCCATTCCTCCTCCACATCCACACATCGTTCTCCAATCTATGTATCTTGCATGGTCCATTTTTCTTTACCCTATTGATGAAAAATGAGCCTGCATTGGTGGCAGGCAGGATATGCATGCATGTACCTCTGTCTTTCTGTCTCAACTCCCAATACTGTACATACATACCCATTGGAGAAACAAAAAGGAGGCAGAGAGGAACCCAAAATACAAGGACGAGAAGGAAAAAACATCGAAGCGATGTGTGTGGGGCTGTATTTTTTTTTCTTTTTTTTCTTGGATATGTACGAGAACGTACAACAGCCATAGGTTGGAACCCCGTCCCTCAGACATACTAACCCATTTTTCTTTCTTTTTCGGTGTCGAATGATACATTTGTATGTGCTATTAGGTACGGCTACGACACCTTGACGATATTCCGTGCAAAGCTCTACAGCGTCCTGCTATCCCGCATCCCAGCTTACAAGATCCTCTTTGCCAAACGGGTCGCCTCGACAGTACAAAGCAGCGAAGGGGTCAAAGTCCAGTGTGAGGACGGGTCGACTTACAATGGCGATATATTGGTCGCGGCTGATGGCGGTTCATCGCCGATTCGGAAAGCCATGTATACCGAGATCAAGAAACGGACAAAGAAGGTGTTTCACCCTCAGGACTATGCGTTGCCAAAGCTGGATCAGAGGTGTATTGTGGGGGTTACAGAGCCGCTCTCGATGAAGGAATACCCTATCCTCGCGTCTAAGGAGTGTGAGCTCATCCTAGTTATGCCCCGCGACTCCAACTGCATGGTAAGGAACCTTAATAATGTTCACGAATGTCGATCTTTGTTGTCAAAGCATGCGCTAATCGTCTTTATGTACATGGGACTATTAGACGTGGTGGATTCCAATGGAAGGAAGGAGGTTTGGATGGGGCATCACATCACCCATGCCGTCAGCCAACCAACCCAGCAAAACCAAAAAGAAGAAAGAGGAATCGAAGTCAAATGGACTAAACCATCTTCGGGAAGCAACAACAGACACCACCACATCATCATCCTTTGACATGACCCATTCACTATCATCAACACACGAAAGCGCAAGCCCAGGACATAGACAGTTCTCAAGCCTTTCAGGAACTTCGTACAGCCCACCTTCGTCCAACTCTTCGTCGTCGATCCATGGCGGCTACAGCAGTAATGTACATATATACAACAACGGAGGCGGAGGGAGCGACAATGGCATATCGTCCAGTTCCAACATCACCACCTCTGCTCTCGCCGTCGGCACCAACAACCACCTCGACCTCAAAAAGCGCCAATCCTTCGGCCGTCTCTCCAAAATCTCCACCTCCAGCTCCAACAGCTCCCAAACCAATTTCCAAAAGTACCCTCCAGTCCTAGTATCCGCCAACAGCAACATCCTTACCCCACCACTGAAGTTGAAGGACCTCCCGAATGACCGGACATGGTCGAGTTTGGATACCCAATATGGGATTGATGAGTCGATCCGGGAGCAGGCTAGTCCGTTTGGCGGAACGTTTGGGGATATGATCGATATGACTTCGAGAAAGAATGTGACCATGTGTGTTGTTGAGGAGAAGTTTTATAATACCTGGCATTTTGGCCGGACCATCCTCCTTGGTGATTGTATGTTTTTTTATTTTTTTATTTTCTGCGTGGTCTTTGAATGTAAAGTTGATGAGTAAAGCCGTTTCTAACTCCTGGCGCTTTCCTTTCTCTTTCCCATTTCACCAATTAGCTTGCCACAAGGTACGTGCTCTATGATTTCATCTCCAGACGCCAGATTTTTAGCTTTCTCCGTTGTCTATCCTAACGAAAAAGCTTCGCCATCACTAACCGTACTCCACAACGTCCCTTCCTACACAACAAACAGCTCTTACCATCATCAGGCCACGGAACGACACAAGCGGTCCTGGACTCGATCAGTCTCGCCTCGCTCCTCTATGACCTCCCCTCAAACTCTGCAACCGATATCGAGGCCCTCTTTCGCATCCAATTCGAGCGTCGTGGGCCGGCCGCCAAAGCTGCCGTTATCGCGTCTCAGCAACAGGATCAGCTCCTCTTCAACCGAGTATGTTTCATTTTTTTTTTGTTTCGTTGTTGTTCCGTTAAAGACGGGGGGTTTTTTTTATCACCCCCTTTTTTCGTTTTAAGCGATGCTGCTGTTCTTTCCAGTCATATACTCATCCTTCCCCCCTTTTTTTTTCTGCTACTTCAACTATTCCAAATAGAAACTATCAGGAAAATTCATCCGCAAAATGGCCTCCAACTTTGTCTCCGATAAAATCAAGATAAAACTCGGCGACAAACTCTTTGACGCCCGCCCAGTCCTCCCCTTCTTAAAACAAGTTCCCTCCCGAGGCCACGCAAAAAACACTGACAAGACCGACGTCCCCCTAACCCAAGACAAGCGGTTCGAAGTCGCCCGTCGCAAATCTATTTCTTCGGGTTACCTCACCTCTGGCTCTGGAAGCGGCGGCTCCCGTTCACGACGCGGGTCATTCGACTACGGCAGCAGTAGTGGCGATAGAGACCGCAGAGAAGTGCAAGCGCAAGGGAACGGAAGGAGTCTGGACATGACGTTCGAGCCTCCCAACTTCCCATACTCGACATCTATGCCGTCAGTGGTCCTGCCGGGCGGGACAATGTTGCCGAAAATGCCGATGACCCGGCCCATGTCGCCCATGATGGATATCGAAGGAACCCTGATCCCCATGCTCTCCCGCCCGCCCGAGAAACATCCTTACAAGCATCAACAGGACCACAATCCTGGCCATTGGAACCTTTATCAATAGAACTTTTTTTCGAAAACATGTTTCTGTAGCATATATTTTTTTTACGCCCCTTTCATGTCTTTTCATGTCTCTTCATGTCTCTCCACAACCACCTTTGTACACATACCAATTTTCATACGCATAGAATAATAACATACATATTTGAAAAATGCTTTTTTTTTTTTTCTTTTTCCTTTTCTTTTTCTTTTTCTTTTTCTTCGCAATTTGAACCGGCGCGTCCATGGTTGAAGAACTCTGTGAGGCATAACTAGATTTTACTATATGATGAGTGGGATAATAGGTGCGTTTTTGTTGAAAGTAGGTGCTAAGGGAGAACTAATGATAGTACAGAAGAAGAACTGATAAATAGGACAAGAGAACAGAATTGAACAAAGAAGTAAACAAAAAGAGAGACAACAACGATTACAACAACTAATAACAAACAAAAAAAAAAAAGACTCTTAAAGGACGACCGGGAGAGCGGAAGGGGTGGTAGATGCGGGCGAGACGGCTGGAGATGCAGCTGGCGCTGCTTCTGCAACAGGAGCAGCAGATTCACTACCACCCACACCGTTGGAGTTACCAATACCATTACCGCCTACAGCGGCTGCAGCGATCGATGCAATGCCATCCTGCTGCTTGACCTTGCTCATGAACCCAGCAACCCGCGACAGGTCCAGACTAGCACCATCACTCTCTACAGCAAGTGTCAGCGGCACAAGCATCTCATCGACCTTCTCCAGCGGGATGCTGCAGCAGATCGAAATCACTTTGCGGCACTGCAACTCTTTATCCAGAGACTTGTCCTTAATCTCGACCAGCTCGTTCGACAACTCCTTTGAGTGCTGCTCATACGCGTGGATACGGGCCTTCAATCGCAAAATCTCTTCTTGCAACTCTACCTCCTTTGTTGTTGACGATGTCGTTGCTGTTACTGGCGCTTCTTCTGCAGGCGATGTCGTTCCGTTCTCCGTCTCCGCCTCCTTCGCTGCCGATAATACAGAGGAAGAAGGGACCGCAAAATGAGTGTCCACATCAACATCATCTACCACAGATCCGTCCTTACGCCGCTCAAGATTGGCATACCCAGGAAGACTACGCGCCTTCTTGGCTTCCTCCTCTAACGCTTGCTCTAAATTCTTGATCTTGTGCTGAGCCTCTGTCAATTGCAACGACTGTGTCCGATACTGCTTGATGCTCCGCCGAGTCTCGGACAGCTCTGCTGTCGCCTGGCGAAGAAGCCCCAATGCATCTTGGAGTTGTCCTTGTCGAGCCATAATCTCATGGGAGAACTCTCCGTCCAGTTCATCCAGCATCTTTTGCACCACTGTTTTCGGAAATTTTTGTTCCATACAAGATCATAAAAAAAGGGGGGAGTGGGGTCGGTCAGTCCATTGGTCAGAGGTTCCAAAGACACATTTCCCGTGCATGCATGCTCAATCGGTCGCATGACTAAGACACGAACGACAAAGCGCTCTTACCGTTCAAAATGTCGCCTCCGCGTTTTTCGTGTTCGGTCATCTTGTCCAAGTCTTCCTTGACACCTGGTCCTGGTGCTGTTGGAGCGGCACTACTACTGCTGGACGGGCGGGGCTGTTGTTGACGAGTTGACTATTTATAAATTAGATGTATCCAAAAAAAGAAAACAGTAACCACGGCATAAGTATCCTTGTCTCAAAAAAAAAAGGGTTTTCACAAAGCACGAAAATCGGCTTGGCAATACGACATTTTACCTGGATGTCATCGACCCCAAAATCTTCGGCTTTCAGGCCGACCTTGTTCTCAATGTCCCGATTGGCACCAACGTCCATTAGAACCTTGGACAGATAACGATCCCCAACACGGGCAGCAATCGTCAACGCTGTATCTCCATTCCTGTCCTGAACATCCACGATCGACTCAAAATCTCCACCATGACGAGCAATCCACTCGAGCACGCACTCCATATAGTACCGTGAACTCTGCTCCCTGCCCCGGATCCCAGCCGTGATGGCAATATGGTGTAGCAGTGTCCTGTTCTTGCGATCGACCAAAGGGATGGCCTGGTGGAGCAGGCTCAGCAAGATCGGGAATGACTGCTTGTCAAAGTTGTTGGTCACCAGTACCGCGCGAATCAACGCCGATTCGCCATTGTAGTTCACTCGACGAATGTCGACCTGCTTTCGGACAAGGAGTTCCAGAACAGGTATCCGCGCCAAGGCTGCCGCCCAATGCATTGCTGAGTGACCCTGATCGTCGATCACAAGGTTAATGTCGAGGTCGGGTGGGGAGACAGGGTCGGTGAGTAGATCAGGGATCGGATCCTGGTCGTCGTTCAAAAATATGCTCATCAGGATAGTCCTGTACTTTTCCGCCCCCTCTAAAGGAGGCTCGTCGTATACTGGTGCCATAATATGTCCTGATCGACGTCCCGAGTCATAATCTACTCCATACTCCGAATAAGGACTGCCGTGGTGGGGGGACGAGTGGTACGGTTGGTGATGTCCATGGCCGCCATGGTATGGGTGATGAGATGGATGATGTTGGCCTGAGTGCTGACGATGATGATGATGGTGGGAAGGAGGAGGTTGTGGTGGCGGTCCGTGGTTGTAATAGTTGTGAGAACGTCCGTCGTCATCAAACTCGTGAAGGGGTGGCGGTGAGTTGTTGGTTCTGAATCGTTTCCTGGGAGGTTGATCTGCAGGCCACTGGGGCGAAGACGGGATCATTGGCGAAGGCGCGTTGAAGGAAGGATGGAGTGGTGAGGGTGTCATGGATGGGGCGTGGTTGAAGGATACTGCAGATCCTGGGGTCAATGCGGGACTGTTCCGGCTACGTTTGGCAGACGGACTCGCCTTGGGCGCGACTGCAGCGAAGGGTTTGGGACGCTCCTTAGCCTTGAGTGCTGCCTGGAACATCTCCTTGGATGGAGTGATCGCATCGTGTCCCTCGGGAATCTGGAAATCAAATAGATCGCGAAGAAGTGGTTCGACCTTGTACTGCTTCGCTAGATCCTTGCCGCGCTGGTACGGAACCCTAGTTATTTGGACGGTTGTTGTTTGAATTGTTTGAAAAGTCCAGAAAAAGTTTCAGAAGAGGAGGCAGTGGGAAAGCATGAAAGTATGAGGACGACAATAAAAGAAAGAAAAAAAATATACAATTCGCAGTGAGTACAGTTGATTCTTGTCCGAACTGCAACTGTCAACAAACTCTTGAATGATCATCCTTACCATGTTCCTTGGTACTTGCCATATCCACCCTGAACCTTCTCATGTGGACCCGTCAGAACTTCTCGCTCGAGGATTTTCGTCCGCTTGCCCTTATCGATCCCCGCGACCTTGAGGATTTGCGTAGCGTTCAAGAACGAGTCGTGTGTCCGGCGCATAACGGCGATGCCACGGCACATGAGCTCGTAGACGGGCACACCCGAGTAAATCGCCGTGTAGATGTTGTTATTGCCACCGTCGCCGCCCATTGTTGTGGAATAAAGTAAATAAAAGGGCGTACGGGCTTAGGCTTTTGTGTTGTTTGTTTGTTTGTTTGTTTTTTTTTGGATGGCGAGGGTCAACTGAAAATAAAAAAGGGAGAGCGAGTGAGAGAGAGAGAGGGAGGAGGGAGGGAAGGAGGGAGGGAGAGGGTTGATTGCCTGTCCAGAGTTTGTTAGACTGTGGGATGCAAGGCGAAGGGAGGGAGAGTGGGGGTGTGTTGGGTTGATGAGAGATGAGCGAATGTATGTATGCGTTAATGAAGTAGAGACGTACAGATGGGAGAAGAAGGAAGGAGAGAGAGAGAGAGAGTGAGTGAGAGGGTGGAGAGGAAGAAGACGTCCATGAGGACTTAAAACGAAGAGGGAAAAAAAAGACCGTTGGGCGGCAGTCCACCCAGTCACTCGCCACAGAGTGAAGTCACTCGTCCTCTGTGTCTCTGTCTCCACTCCGCACAGCGAAGAAGAAAAAAAAATCTGTCTTGCCTGATTAATTAAGGGCAACGTGATCGAGACACTCCGAGGACACACGAAGAACACGCGGGCACGCTCTGCGCGTTCGCGATTTCATCTCTCTCTCTCTCTCTCTCTCAAGAACATGGGCTCGCATTCATCACACGGAATTGCGCGGATGGGTGGCTCTTTTTTTTTTTTTTTTTTTATATTTTGGTTCAAATGGCGTGGCGGTATGCAAACTATGGTACATCATATCATACAGGTGTTAATTATAGAGACAGGCAGGAGACAAGGGGGGAAAAGGACACGCAATTACGCAAGGACATCTTGAAGGGTCCGCGGCATAGACACTCGTTCGGCCTGCTTCAACCCCTCATACCACTGGCACACCTCCGCCAGCTGCTCCCTCTGGCCATTGCTCAACGCCACAATCGCCAGCGCCGACTGCGCTTGGTGGCTCAAAGTCGCCTCAGCTTTTAAGATCGCATTGAGCATCTGTAGGACAGGCTGAGTTTCGTTCGTCGTGTTCTGGCCCTCCGAGTCCACAGACTTGCAACGTGCCTCTCGAACGACCGCAGCAACAAGTGGCAAGGCAAACTTGTGGAGTGTAGGGTCAAAAATCTGTTTGAAAAGGGTGGGCTTGAGAACATCGTTGAAGAGCTCCTCCCAATCATAGGCATAGATCAACAGCAGTTCAAGTGCCTTGCGGATCGAGAACTCGAACCCTGGTGTTGTCTGACACTTCTCAACAAACCCTGGTGCTTGAACAGTGTCCATGATGCTCTTGATCACCTCATCCATATATGGCGCTTCATCGAAGACTGGCCAGCCACACTTCTTGGTAAACGTCGCAAAGTAATTCTATCATAGTTGAAAACGAAAGAAAATAAACATTGTCAGCGCAACATAACTGAGAACTTTGATGTAACGACAACCAGGACACTAAATGACTCATTGTTATCTTGATACCATACCTTTGTACCCTCGCCAGCACCTGCCTGCAAAGACCCAAGGACTGCTTGGAATGCTGTAAACATGAGTCTTCGAGGATCTAAAGTAATAGAAAAAACATGCGCAAACTGTTAGTTGCTGTAAAAGCAACTTGTAGGGCTATCATGCAGCAAATGGAGAACGAAATGATCTGTACCTGCTTCATCTTTGGCATCGGATGGGATGATAAATATCGAGGGCCAAACGGCGGCGATGGTCTCGGAGAGGAAAAGAGTAACTTTGGGGATGGTTGTCTCACGCAAAAGGTCGTACGCGAGGATGTGGATGGGCTGCGAGTCGTTCTTGGCCTGGTTTACTGCTGTCAGCACTCTCAGCAGAATCCTATTAGCCAGGTAATGGTAGCAAAGGTAAAGATGGCAAAAGATACGCAATTAGTCGTTGGTGTAGCCATAAGTAGTTCCTTGAGCGTATCTGTTGCAATGTAATATAGCGCTAAAATTACTTACGATGTGGTTTCCACTCGATCTTCCTTGGTTGCTTCATGCAATATCGACTCATAAGCGAACGTGTAAAATTTTGAAGGGATGCCTATCTATCAGATCAAGAACGAAGAGTAAGGGCTGTTAGTTTCTTTTGGCGTATATTTATACCTCATTACAAAAAGGCTCTGTTTGTAATCCTCTTGAAGCTTACCTCTGGGAACCGTGCGTCCAAAAGACAGATCAGGAGGGCAATGTTGGTCTCTGGGTCCGAAAAGCTCTTGGAAATCGTAATGTCGTCGAATCCGTCAAGCGACCATGCTTGGACTTTGTCGCTGTAATGAATGAACTTTTTCCTGTGTGCTTTAACGGTAGAGACGATATCGGGAATTTTCTTTTGTACAGCCTCAAACAATGCATCCAGTTTGGCCGGCAAAATGGTCGCAATGATGTCCAGTTTGGTGTGTGCTTGGCTGTCGTCGACAATGGGCGAGTTCATCAACGACGAGAAGTCTAGAATAATAAGGACAATGGTTTGTTGAGTTGGTCAGTAATGATGAAGCAGCAACACGTTAGTATCCACGATAACCGACAAAAAAAACACTTACAGGCGAGGGGGTTCGTGATAGAAGGTGTAAGCGGGTTGACCGAAATATTCCTGATCTCAAGCTGCGAAAAGTCCGTTGTGCTGACACTGGCCTTCGTCTCTCGCTTGGTGTACTTTCGCTTCTGCTTGGGCGGCTCTGGAACGGCCTCGGGATTCTTCTTTGGTCGGCCAGGCTTGCGTCGTATTGGTGTTTCTGGTACTTCTGACGCTGTCGTTCCCGACGGTGCTGCTGGTTTTGCCGAAGATGCTGAGAGCGTTATTGCCCCGCTATGTCGTACAGGTTCCTTAACATAAGCAATGATGTCTTCATGGTGATCGAGTCCTGTGACGACGCCGTGGTCAAGATCCATCTCCAGATCCTCCACCTCTTCCTCGATTCGTCTTCTCTTGCCCTTCCTTGCCGGCGGTTCGACTCGTGCAATAGTGTCGTCTGCAGTCGGGGCAGTCACCGCTGACATGCTGGTTGGGATATGTGGTGATGGTGGGGTGAATGGTCGTGGCATCGTGAGTTGGCGCGTGAGCGTCTCCTGAAGGGCACTCCTCTCCTTGGTTAGAGTCACGACCTGTTCCTCCAGAATCGCAATCCTCTGCTTGTCATCCGTGCTGCCACTGACCCATCGAAGCATCGAGAACTGAGTTTTTAGTTGTTCCAGAGTGTCCAAGGCCGAATCCAACTGCAGCTTTGAAAGGTCGCCTGCATTGAGCTGAACAGGCGCCATTGGTGGCGACATTGGTCCCGTTGGTTTTGATATCCTGCTCATAACTGGGGATTTGGCAGTCATTACTGGAGACTTGATCATGATGGGCGACTTGGCAGCCAGAACAGGTGACTTGATGGTCATGATGGGTGACTTGACGGTCATGATGGGCGACTTGACGGTCATGATGGGTGACTTGACGGTCATGATGGGTGACTTGGTGTGCTCAACAGTGCTGATCAATGCTGTCTGCTGAGAGCCTCCTGCTTCTCCTGCCCCTCCTTGTTCTGGGATAATCTCTTCGAAAAAGTCGTCCGCGCCCCCCATCTCCATAAACTCCTCAGTGTCCTGGTGGTTCTCTAGTCGACGCTCAAGTTCCGAGTTCTCGTTCCGAAGGTCAATGATGATCGTGTTCAGCGCCTTTTGTTTCTCGTGCAGCTCCTCGACCTTCTTGGCCAACCTCTGATGTTTCTCTTCGGCAGTTTTGACCTCCTCCTTGGCAAGCTCCATGTCGAGGTACCGTTCTGTTGCCACATCATCCAAACGACCAGTGAGCTCCTCGACCTTGCTCTCTAGTTCTGTTTCGCGCTTGGATTTCCGGGTCTCTTCCTCCTGTTGCCACTTTTTCCGGTTCTCTGCTATCCATGCGGCTCTGTCGGAGTTCTCCGCAGTTGCCTTCATCAACTTTTCTCGCAGTGCTGTCACTTCAGTACTCCTACGTTTTAAGAACCAATCTAGTGTTAGTATGTGACAACTAGCTCATCCTGTATCCAAATGTTAGATAGCCATGGCTCCTGTGGAAGCCTTACCGCTTGCGATTTGCCTGCTCGAGATTTTTGTTGGTAAGGCTGAGCTTCTTTTGAAGATCCAAGACCTCGGCGGTGAGGCGCTCCTGTCCGTGCGTCTTCTCCTCGAGTTGGTGATTCAACATCTGCTGGGACTTGAGCGACTGCGCGAGCTTGCTGATCTGGGCCTCAGACTCCTTCAGCTTTGTCTTTGTCACTTCCGCCTCTGCCTTGAGCTCGTCGACTTCGTTGTTATTTACGACAGGTGTGTTCGCCACGGCTTGTTGGAGAGTACCGATCTGTGCTTTGGCGGCCTCCAGTTCCTTCTTGACCGCGTCCATCTCTATTCCATGTCATAATAATGAATAAGCATGTATGAGGTTTCTGCTGCATCACTGATATGTTCATGTCGATAATTGCTTTGAAGGCTTCCTTCCAGGGTTGTTCAAAGTACGCACCAGACTCTTTGTTCTTGAAGATCTCCATGAGTTTAGAGACGCTGATGACTTTGCGCTTGATGTTCTTGACATTCTCGCTGACGGCATCGTTGAGGACGGCGGATGAGATTGTGTTTGGTGTTGAAACGTCGATGCCTGGGGTTGTCGCGTCCATGGTCGGTTGTGCAGTTGTTGCTGAGCTGCCCTCCATGGTGGCGTCCTTTTTCTCCTTTCTGTCTTTGACAACTTCGACAAGGAGAATGAAAGACTGCGACCACAATTTCCTCTACAGTCCCCTTAACTAAAGCCAGTGATTGTGACGTTCAAGAAAGACACACATGAAGATGTGGCTTGTACGAATGCAAAATTTTGTACCTTACTGTCGCAAGTGCTGCTGTCCACTAGAAGTGAGTTTGCTCGGGAGGGAGAAGGAGAGGGAATAAAAGTATCGGAAGTGCTGGTTTTCGTTTGTTCCTCCCTTTCCCCCTCCCTACTCTCTCATAACCATGTCTACCCAGACCAAGCCTAAGAAGGACGCCAAGGCTTTCGCCGCCGATTTCCTCATGGTAGGCATACGCTTCTATCTTTTCTTTACTCTTGACTATGTCTATCATCATTGTATCTCTTTTTTCTTTGCATATTCCAGAGAAGGACGAACGAACGACGGCCAACGAGAAAAAAAAAACGAGATCGAGGATGAAAAACCAAAGTCGTTGATCTCGGATCATACGAAACAACACCCAAGGAAGATGATGACGGCAACACAGAGAGAGGGAGAGAAGCAGATGGAAGCAAGCAAGTTGGCTTACTCGGTGTATGCCAACAGAGCTATTCTTATCGTATTTCGTTCGTTTGTTCGTTCGTTCGCTCGTTCTCTGTCCCTTTTTCTACGACGTGCCCCTGCTTTTTTTTCCAACCCTTCCTCGACCCTTCCCTTTTCCGTCCTCATCCTTTTTTTCATATGGCCTTGTGATCTCGATCATCAACACCCGACCCTCTCAACTCCAACGACTTCCGTCTCCCCTGATCACTTTTTTTCCTTCCATCTACCCCGGCCTCGACTTTCCCCTGGCTCGGTTTTACTTTCAATATCTCGCTCAAACAGACCCTCTCATCCGATTGGTTCCAACTTGCTAACGTATATATGCTTTATCTTTATCATTTATAGGGAGGTGTTTCCGCCGCCGTCTCCAAGACCGCCGCTGCCCCCATTGAGCGTATCAAGCTTCTCCTCCAGAACCAGGATGAGATGCTCAAGACCGGCCGTCTCTCCCACCCCTACAAGGGCATCTCTGACTGCTTCAAGCGTGTCATTGCCGATGAGGGTATCAAGCCCCTCTGGAGAGGTAACACTGCCAACGTCATCCGTTACTTCCCCACCCAGGCTTTGAACTTCGCCTTCAAGGATTACTTCAAGGCTATGTTCAACTTCAAGAAGGAGCGTGACGGTTACGGAAAGTGGTTCGCCGGTAACATCGCCTCCGGTGGTGCCGCTGGTGCCTGCTCCCTCCTCTTCGTCTACTCTTTGGATTACGCCCGTACCCGTCTTGCCAACGATGCCAAGGGCAAGAACGGTGGTTCCCGCCAGTTCAACGGTCTCATTGATGTCTACCGCAAGACCATCGCCACCGATGGTGTTGCCGGTCTTTACCGCGGTTTCCCTCTCTCTGCTTTCGGTATTATCATTTACCGTGGTTTGTACTTCGGTCTTTACGATTCCGTCAAGCCCTTGTTGCCCGAGAAGCTCCAGGGATCTTTCCTCGCCTCCTTCATTCTCGGATTCGGTGTCACCAACTTGGCTGGTCTCGCTTCCTACCCCGTCGATACCGTTCGCAGAAGAATGATGATGACCTCTGGTGAGGCCGTCAAGTACTCTTCCTCGTTCGATGCCTTCAAGCAGATCGTCAACAAGGAGGGTTACAAGTCCCTCTTCAAGGGTGCTGGTGCCAACGTCCTCCGTGCCATCGCCGGTGCCGGTGTCTTGTCCGGATACGATCAGCTCCAGGTCATCTTCTTCGGCAAGGCCTACTCTGGCGGTTCCGGATAAGCGCGCTCCGTGTTTCCTTTTCTCTATCAAGAATAACAACACCCCTCGCCCTTGTCTGGTCCTACTTAGACGTCTATTTGAACATTACAAACAGACAAATGATTATGAAAGACATAATAAATGCATTGAAAAAAATCATACCCTCATTTTCTTCTCCCTTTCCATGGCTCTAGTTTTTTTTGTTGGGTGGTAGTTTGTTTGTGCCTGGCCACTTTTCGCCTTTCAACTCAGCTCGTCGTTCCCGACGAACGTTCCGTTCGACTTGTGGCTTGTGTTTTGTTGTTGCGAAAATTAGGTGGACACGTTCAGGAAAAGAGCACACAGACGTCGTGATGTTCGTATCACATGCGCACAGAACTATGGAATTACAAGCGTTTCTAAACCCATTCCAACATGTCGTTATGTGTGGGTGCACGGTAATCACACGATGGATAAAAAAAAAAGTGTCCACGCGCACGACCTCCTCCTCCTCCTCCCCCCCCCTTTTTCTGTTCTTTGATTACCACATTCGTACATTATCATGTGTGTTTGTGTGTCAGTGTATAGATCAAGTATATCTGAAACTGTATCCATGTTCCGCAAAGACGCGAGACACGCTTTTTGTTTTGTTTATTACTGCGAGTCATTGCACCCTTCCAAGGAGAGTACTCATGTTTTATAAAAAAAAATATGAAAAAAGGGCCAGCGTTCTCCATACATAGCAGCTAGCGTCTGGTACGCTTCTTGAAACGCTCCATGACAAGATCATCCGTCGCCATACCACGTCCAGCACCCCTGTTCCCTTGGTTATTGTTGTTGCCATAGTTCTGGAAACGATGGTTGGGTACTCCTCCTCCTCCTCCTGACTGGTTGCTGTTGTTGTTATTGTAGTTGTTATTCCTGTTATTGCTGTTATTGTTATTGTTACGGTTGTTTTGGCGGTGGTGTGAGATGCGTTCGCTGTCGGAGGGGATGTATGCCGGTTGTGAGAACTATGATGGCGGAGGGGTGAAAGTTGCGGAGCATATTGTTAGTTGATTCGGATGTTGAGAGACGTGCAAAAGATATCATTGGAGCTATGTTGGAGGTGAGGAGTGTGATACTTACTCTTTCGTTGGCGGCGATATTTGTCGTTGTCCGCTCCTCATACAACTTGCGTTTTGCTTTCTCGGTTTCCTCGATATTCCTCAGCCTTGCACTATGAAAGGCGATGGCGCAGATGATTGAAGACACGATATATCCGTTAGTAACAATGGCTTTTCTCTGTGTTGAGTGGACTAGATCGGATCAGAAATAAATCACTTTGATACTTACTCCATGCCAAGGTCTACTTCTGGAATGGCTGTCAGCATGGTTGTCGAAAGCTGGACGTTTCCTTCCTGTTCAGGTCTTGGTGCCGTTTTCTATTACCAACAGTACCCAATAATGTCCATCGTTAGTCAAATATCGCTCACTGGAAAAGATCCCACTGCAACAACAATGCTCAAAAAGGTCCTCATGAACCCAAGGATCTCCAAAACATACCCTGATTCCGAGCTCATCCAAGATATCAGTGTCCCCGTTATAATTTCCAGGCTGCTCATTCGCATCCTCGGCATCTCCAGCCTCGCCTCGACGCTTCTTCATCTCGTCCTCGATATACTTCATCATGTGCTTGTCGACATCCAGCGCATTCGTCTGTTTCGTGAACGTATTCATCATTCCTGACTTTGTCGATGATTCACTACATGTTCGAAAAGTTTGGGTTAGAACATCGCAAGGCATCAGACGCCGTACGCCATTGACTCGCCCGTGTTGAGAAAAAAAAGGAGAAGATCGCATACCATTCTTCGTTGCGACGGACTTCATCCATATCGACGAGACCTCCTCCTGAGAGCAGCTTGTACGGATCGGCAGCGACGATCTTGTCCTTCTTCTTTTTCTTTCCTGTAGTGTCTCCGACCAATAGATCGACGGCTGCGATTCCTGCAGGCCGCTGTCTATACTTTCGAAGTTCAATCAACTCGTCCAGACTATTTGTTTTCAAATTTGTAAGAGTTGAACGATAACACCAATTAGCCAAGCTTTCAAGCGTTGTGGCTAGGGTCTCCTGTGAAATCCCTTTGTAGTATGGTGAGTGGGAGTAAAGGTATTTTACCTGAGTCCCTCTGGTTCGTCGTCCTGGGCGGCTGCACCCTCAGCTGCTGTTGCTCCTGTCTCGGACAAGGAAGTGCCTGCAGCAGGCGAGTCTTCAGGGGTGTCCTCACGCTTCTTGCGGTAATTGCGTTTCTTGATGTTTGCGCTCATGTTTCTTCTTTGTCCTGTGATTGTCCTGTGTGTGTTTGTGTTCTTGGCTGATTGGGTGGTCTGTAATGTGTGTCTGTCTGAGGGATGAAGCAAGCTGATGGGAGGAGCAGCCTTTATCAAAGGTCGAAGGAGTGTGGCTTTGTTCCATTTATTTGAACCAAAAGAAAAGGGACCGCCCTTGATTTCGTTCCCACAGCATTTTTTTTTCCCTTCTCTCTTTTACCCTTCTTTCCTTCACTCCACGAACTCCATCCGGTCGTACCCCCTTCCTGACTCACACATCGCGGGTAGGAGTCAAGCAATAACCAACCAACCAACCAACCAACAACCCCTGTGACGATAATGGACCCACCACAGAACCAACCCCATGGCGGTAGTAGCAGCAGCAGTGGACGTACCGGAGCCAACAACTCCAACTCCAACCCCACCACCTACACCAACAACGGAGGTGGTGATGGTGTAAACAGGCGGCAACCAAAAGTCGATGTCTACATCCCGCGTCACCGTCGAGGACCCAGCGACGATGCCTCCAACTCTCTCCTCCCTTCGGAATCAACCGACTCTCGACAGAGCTCGACTGCCTCATCACCTCGGAATACTTTGACGACTACTCGCAGCAATAGCAACTATAGTCAAAACGATGGGTTTGAGGACTCGTCTTCGTCTTCCAGGTCGGGCAACAATTCGTCGAGTAGTGGTGATGTCCAGCGGCGTGGTCGAGGAAAGTTTATGGGACCTGGAGCAAGCGGCGGTAGCTCTAGTGGTTCAAAGACGAACGGCGGAAATGGTGGCTCTAGGGGCAACGGCGGTCGGGACCGGGACTACAGAAGCAGCGGACTTAATGGCAATAACGGGCCAAGCAGGAACAACAACAGCAGCAACAAGACCAGTGGATACGGCTCTGCATCAACCTCCTCACCATCACCACAACAGCCATCCCCGACAGCAACAGCACAGGCACCACCAGCAGCGCGGCATCCACCGCGAGGTCGTGATTTCGATGCAACCGTCCTCAGACGCTACAGCGATGATGAGAACAGACCCAATTCGTCCTTTTCACGATCAAGCAGTTACACATCCATTCGATCTAGCAACAACAACAATCAGTTATCTTCTACGTCAACATATTCGAGATCAACTGGACGCACGCAGGACTCTAATGCCGCAGCACCAAAGAGACCTGACCGTTCGGATGAAGGATCCTGGAGGAGAGAAGTGCCCAAGTCAATCGAAACCACTGCAACGACTGTAACTTCAGGAACAGCCGAAGGCAAGGATGAGGAATCGGACCTGGCTGCTCAATTTGAGCGCGTCCGTCTGTCGACATCAGCCTCGGCCTCGAGATCTGGATCACCCGACGGCACCGAAGGTACGGATGAGCCTGAGGAATGGGAATTGGCCCTTGAGAATTCGGATGATGATGGTATCCCTGCCGCACCTAAGGATACCCGCAGACACCCAGCAGAGGCTTTGCTCGCCTCCCCAAGCTCTACTCCATCCAAGATTGGGAACTGGTCTGAAGGTAGGCTTTTGTCTCCTTTTTATTGGCTTTTGATGGACGTAACATGGAGTGTATTATCTAATTGCCTCGTCGCTGACATTTCTTATTCTGTTCTTCTTTACAAAAAGCAGTATCGAGTGACGACATGTACATTTTGGAGCTGTACGACTTTTCAGCGTCGATTAAGACTGCACATTTGACGGACATGTTTGCTGCATACGAGAACCGATCGGGAGGCTTCAGGATCAAATGGGTCGATGAAACCAAAGCCCTAGTCATCTTTGAATCTGCCGCCGTCGGTACGTTAACATTCTTCCCTATGAACCTTTGGTACCATTACCCCACGCTTCTGTCGTTTCGCAATCTCTGACATATCCCACCTTCCCCTTGTGATAATAGCGAAACAAGCACATATCGCCAATTTGACGAACCAGATTGCAAAGATCAAGCCATACAATGGACCGGACAGGGACAGTATTCGGAATGCTGGAAACCCTTCAAGTGGCGCATACAATGGAGTTCGACCCGCCAAGACTGACTCTGTTGCGCGACGACTTGTCCAGGGTGCATTGGGTTTGAGAGTCAGACGAACACCTGAGCAGATCGCTGAAGAGAAGGCCCAGATCCAGGCCGCCAAAGGTACTTGTCACACAACTCTCAGGGATATATACTTCTTTGCGATGACAAAAGTTATGTCTTGCTGACCCATTCTGCTTTTATGATCTTCATATATAGATGCTCGTGAGGCACAGCGTCAGGAAGAACGACGACAGCGCGAGGAAGACGAGCGGCAACGTCAGGCGATGGATGACGTCTTCAACTCTTGATCTAAATCGTCAATCACGCTTCTTTTTTTTTTCTTTTGCCTTTGCCCCCCCCCCCCTTTTGCTTTCAAACTTGCATTCTTTTTTACCACATTGTCATAGGGTTCATACCCACACACACACTTGCATTGCACATTTTCTCCATTTTCTTGCAGTATCACGCGATACTCATAAATAAACTCGTCAGTTCGATTCTCTGGGCAAAATTCGATACTTTTATTCAAGTGGCGATGGTTGGAGTCGTTGTTCCTGAAGTAGTCGAAGGCGGATTGAGGCGATTCCGTAGTTCTGTGGACGGAGACTCCTCTAACTTTGTCCCCTACCCAAATTCGTGAAATCCAAACAACAACAAAAAAAAATTAATTAGCAAATTTGTTTCGAAAAGAAATCAGACAAAAAGAAAATGTGAAGGTTTTGCTTACTGTTGCGGGATGAAAGAACCCATAGCTCAGTTCCTTCCGACTCCAAACAACTGTCCAATGGTCATCCGGCGGGGCAATCTTCTCGACGGTGTGCATAAACTCGATCATCTCGCCTACAACGCCACTATACCGTGGTAATGGCGATCCCGCTTGAAGGTCCACCTCATCGTCAATACCACTCTCTCCGGACCTTTCCTCGTCCCTACGACGAGACTCTAGTTCCCTGGTAGCCCGTTCCTCGCCCAAGAAATAAACCGGTTTAAGCCCTCCTTGCTCCCAATCCAAAAGCCGGATCGCAAACTCAATCAGCCGGTTCTCGACTTCCTTTGGATTAAACCTGTCTGTCTGGGGAAGTGTCGAAAGTTGATGGATCCTGCTGTAGATTGTTTGTGGGGTTTGTGCCTGGATCCAGTGGTCGTCGCCGTCCAGTAGTGCTGTTGAGGTTAATGATAATGATCCTGTTGAGATTGATGGTGATACCCCAGGAGGAAGAGGAGGGAGAGGTGGTTGATTGGTGGATGGTAAAGGGAGGAGAGGGATGGCGTTGATTTCTTGGAGGAAGGTATCGAATATGATTTGCTGATCTGTCGTTAACTCGATGGGCGATGGTGGCTGAGGAGGCACCGTGGTCGCCGTGGTTGCTGCTGCTGTTGCTGTTGGTATTGCCGTGCCAGCTTGATCGACATCCATGTCTGTCGCATCGGGCTGATTTAAATCTTGTGAAGGTTGGGTACCAGAGACTGTGGTGATAGTAGTGTCCGAAGGCGATCCCTCTACTTGCGCTGGGGATACCGGCATTGCTGTATCATCATCCTGTCGCGGGGTAGTTGTAGAGTCATCGACAGAGGCCGCAAAGGACTGGAGATCCTTCAAAGCCGCCGATACGAAATCATCATCATCCTCCTCGCCGCCTGGCTGCTCCTGCTGTTCCCGAATCTCTTGCTGGATATCAATTCCTTCTTGGAGATCGGGCGTCTGAATTCCCGGGGTACCCTCGGGCGTATGGTGTTTCGACGGTGCTGCTGACGACGAGGCTGTTGCTGCTGTAGGTGTGGACACAGTGGTCGAAGGAGCTGTCTTTTGTACATCGGTAGCGGTGATGGTGGCGGTGGTAGGGTGCAGGTCTCCCGAGTCAGAGTCCGAGTCCGAGTCGCTCGCGTAGCTGACCAGCGCGTTCATTCCTTCCTTGTTTGCTTCCTGTGCGTGTGGTTGTTTGAATGTAAAAAGAAGATCGTTTTTTTGTTCAGGAACAGGCGAAGCTTGAAAAAGGGAGCGAATGGTTGATTACACGTGACCATTGGGCTCAGCGCTGAAGGAAAGTGAAAAAGTGATGTGAAGGACCGAAATAACCATTCAGCCATCTCGACACACACACTCCACCTCCCATCACTCACATTCAACGACCTCGTTAGCAGCAACACACTCGCATTCGCCCTCCAACTTTTATCTCCGCTAGCCCCCACTCCACATACATCAACCACCCACAGACAGCAAAACAAGCGCAACAAAGCCCACCACAACAACACCAACAAACACCAGCAAAAGAATGGCAAAGCCAATTGAAAAGATGAAGCCGGAGGAGATCCTCACAGCGTCCAAGAAGCTGTTCTTTGGCGGTTTCGCCCTCCTGCCCATGCTCTGGGTCTACAACATCTTCTACGTCTGGCCTGTCAGGAATCGTGCTGATCTCAGTCCACAAGTTCGCCATTGTAAGGTTTACTCTTCATTTTTCGTCCGACAATGCAAAGGACTGTGGCAGGACACAACTTTTCTTGTCGGGACTAGTTGGGACGAGACGACCGATCTGGATAGCGTGAACTTTCAACGGAACAGTGGATCAACTTCAGTAGCAAGGATACACTATGTCTACCTGGAGACGAACAAAGGAAGCAAACAAGAAAGGCACAGTAAGGAAATAGCAAATTCCTAATGACTATTGTCTGCCTGCTCTTATTGAATAACACAAAATAGATATGCTACTGTCTGGAATACTGTCGGTGGTGCTGTTTGTAGTGTTCTCTGCATGGTTTGGAATCTTTGTCAACCAGCGTCTGAACTGGGGTACCACCGGTGACACCCTTACTGTCGTCCTTGTCAAGGGTGTTTAACTCTGCTTAACCCTCCTTTTATCCGCGTTTGCTACTGCTCTCCCGTTCATCTTGTACCATTACGACTCTTCAACAAATAAACCAACCCCCGATACCCTTCTTGAAATGATTCTCGATGCCTTGCGGAATAATTCTGTAAGAGAAAATGGCAGGATGAACAACAGGACAAAGACGAGAAAGGCTTTGAAGACACGGTGGCGTTGCAGTTAGGTTGTCGTTTCTCTCAAGGAAGGGTGAGTGCAAAACAAGGTCGAAACTGCAAGGGACGGACGAGCTGGCAGCAAAAGTGGGTCCGGTTGGATTGGAGATGGACATGGGCTGTGATTGGCCCCTTGTTTCTGTGGGGTGGACACTTTGTGCGCCTCAATCCCAGGGGCGCCTCTTTTTATTGTCTTTGTTTTTCCGCTCCTTCTTTTCTTTTCTTTTCTTTTCTTTCTCCTTCTCTTCTTCCTTTCTCCACTCTTCTCGACTTCTCCTTCATCACCCTCTCCCTCTTCCATATACCCCAACACATACTCGCACACCTTATCCTTCCCATACACATACATACATCCATCCAACAACATGCTCAAGAACACTATCCTCCCCTTCTCGAAAAACACCCCCGCCCTCCTCCGGGCAACAGCAATGGTAAACAAAAGGTTCCCACGGTTCACAAATGGTCAACTCTCCATCTTTTTCCTTTCTCTTCGCTGTCCTCGCTTCACTAAAACTCAGCCAACAAATCAACCCCTTCATCAACCTCGTCCCTGCGTACAAACGATACTCCGCTAAAATAACCAACGTCCATTCGTTTCTGTCCCTTATTATGATTAGGCAACGTCGCACCGCCAACCAACAAACACCGCCCTCGCTTCATCCGCTGCTCTTCGGTCCCTCTTGCCCGCGATTGCAGCGACAACAACATCTACTCCTATCCGGCAGGTCCACACAACTTCAGGATCGGTGTCTACCTTCTCTTCCTCCTCCAACCTCGAAGACCAGTTCCTGCAACAGCAACGACGCGAACTCGCCACTCGAGCCAGCCGCCCCGTCCACATCCACGAACACACTTTCTCTGCTGAAACCATCGCCAACAACATTGACGTCGACAGTGATTACTTGGCACCCTTTTCCACACCAGAGCAGGAACTACTCCCCACGGTCCAAATCAACCGCGACTCAACCTCCCTCATCATCACCCGACCCCTTTCCTCCCAACCCCACCACCCTAATCAATCTACTCCAACAAGTTTCACACTCGACAACGTCTGGCTCCGCGATAACTGCCCCTGCCCGAAATGCGTCAATACCTCGACCCGCCAAAAGTTACATTTAACAGAACAAGTACCAAAGGATATAAGCGTATCGTCGATTCAGGTGTGCCAGCAGGGTTTGAAAGTGACTTGGTCTCGGGGGTTGCAGGTTCTGACGGGAGATGAAGGAGGGGAGGAAGAGAGGTTGAAGGCTCAACCGGGTCATCCGAGTTTCTACCCCTGGGAGATGCTTCTTACTCGGTAGAGGAGACATGTCTTGGTGTGTTTCAGAGACATGCCCTGTTTTGAATAATGAATAATGAATAATAATAATAAAAAACGTCGAGGACTTTGTTATGAGCTTCGAAAGAACAAAGATGACAAATGCGATGAAAAAAGTGGCTACAGTAGAAGTAAACGGATTGAGTGCAAAAAAAAGAAACCTAAAAGGAAAGCAAAGAGAAGAAAGAGTGGGGTACCATAACATATTCTTTGACTCCCAAAAAAAAAAAAAAAAAAAAAAAAAAAAAAAGAGGGGGATCGCCTCTTATGCACAGACATGCAAAACCGAGCTGACTGGGGCCACCATTCCGAGGTACTGCAACCATCACTTAGTAACATTGTTGCTGTGCCCCTTCCTATCCAGTCTATTTTCTTGACCGTTTAAGGAAAAATTGAAATGATCGATGTAATTTTTTTGTAGAGCACTGGGGACGTTTCGGAAGAACTGCGAGAAGGTGAAGTAGAGTTAATGTGGTGGTGGTGGTAGTTTGGACGTTATCCATTCCAGCCTTTGTTTTCTGTATCAAGGATGAAAAGTAGAAGAAAGCCGTGAAACAGAACGATGAAGCATAACGACGAAGCAAAGTCTATCACGATATTTAAGGTTAACAAAACAAAAAAAATTAACGAAAAGATGCCACAGGTGGGATGGACCATGGCGCTCCAGAAAAACATGGCATGTTGAACGTAAGGTTAAGAAAAAAACAAAGTGGTATTGCACTTCCATGGGGATGGATGTGTCGCTTGTACTTTGTTGGCAGGCGTCAAAACAAAGAAGCAAGAAGAAAACGATGAAATGAAAAAATAGAAGAGGGAGGCTATGTGGGTGTGGACAAGAAAAAAAGGCAAAGCGATCATTAGCACCAAAACGAGAAGAAAAAGGATGGAAATCTCATTCTTTCTTCCCTGGTGGACAAATGGGGGTATCTAAAGGATGCAAAGGATGCAAGGGATAGAAAGAGAGAGCAAGCAAGCGAATCAAACGAATCAAAGGCGAAAAGAAGGCTGCACATGACCCAAGAAGGTTCATTTGGGCACAGCACTTTTGCTGTCTTTCATTTTGTCAGCGCCACTAAAAATTCAGTATAAAAAGACAGGGTCTCCCCTGTTTTTTTCTTTCTTTTCTTTCTTCTTCATCTCAGTTCTCTCATCAACGTCAGTCTTCACTCATAACTGAAAATCTCTCTCTCTCTCTCTCCCCTTCTTTCCCTCTTTCCCACACACACATATACACAACGGTCTACCCTTACCTCTCCACTAGCTTCCACTCTCCCGCCACTTACACACAAACTCTCCTTCTTACCCTCACCAAACCTAACCGCAAGAACAACCTATCCCTACAAGAACAAGCAAACACACAAGCAAAAAATGGCGAAACCATCTCTGTTCCCCAAACGTCGCGCCCTCCAACGACGTAATACCTCCAAGCGCGAACCCAAGCTCGACAAGGTCTTTGACTGTCTCCTCTGCCATCATACCAAATCCGTCATCTGCAAACTGTAAGTCCCCCTTTCTCCGAGCTTCTTTTGTTTCTTCTCTCTCTTCCTGTTGTGATCATATGCGTGCTATCTCATTGTCGTTGTGGGGGTTGTTGTCTTTGTATTTGTTTGTGCTACCGATCGATGGGCGCTCTTGACATTGTCTTGTTTGTTTGATCTCTAACTAACAACTCCCGTTTTCTCTGTGTGTTTTCACAGTGACTTTGATAGCAGAGCTGGCACCCTCATCTGCACGATTTGTCCAGCACGATACTGTTGCCACATCAACCGTAAGTCCGATTTGCCTTCCACTTTGATCGTGACCGAATCCTAAAGCACGCGATCCACGCCGTTTCTTTTATCTAACAACCTCTTTCTCTCTATCTCTCCCCCTCATGACATAAACGGTCCCATCATTAGACCTCAGCAAGGAAGTCGACGTCTACGGCGAGTGGGTGGATCACATCGAAACATCCAAGCAGCCGACACTGCCAAAGCAACGCCATCAAGCCACCGCCACCACTATCGTCGCATCTGTACCAGCAGCAGCTACCCAGGCACAGCCACAGGAACCATGGGTCCGCACCAAGACCTCCAGTCTCTTGAAGGCTACCCCTCGAGCCCTGACTCAAGATCGCCCCAGTCGTGATCAGAGCTGTTCCCCAATCCCGAGAGATGAAGCCATGGCCCAAGCCCTGGCTCCTGTCCATAACCATCCCAGCCGTGAACAGAGTCATTCCCCGCTGCTTTCTCCGGGCCCTCAAGCTCAAAGTTCTGTTCATACCCCGGTCCAAGTCCACGCCCCGGTCCGAGTCCAAGCCCAGCCCCAGCCCCAGTCCCAGGCTCTGACTTTGACTCAACCTCAAGTCAAGAAACTTGTCGCCGTCTGCGTGAGCCCTTACCATGACCAGAACGAAGACAACGCGCCCCAGATGTTCCAAGAAGGAGGCATGGCCCCAGCGCTCGCTGCCCGTACCGCTACTGGTCAACCCTGGGTCCAAGGAAACAACCCTCAGCTTGGCTGCAGCGGCGACCAGCAAGACCATGCTTTCAACAACCAGATGCACGATCACCAGCAGCAGCGGCAGGGCTATGGCAACAAGAACGCCAGCAACCAGCGGGATTTTGGCAATAACAACCACAACTACCACCATAACAATGACCAGAGTTTTGGTAGCAACCAAGGCTATGACTTCCAGATTCATGGCTACGGTTTCATCAACCGCGGCGGTTTTCGTGGCACCCACCAGGGATATGGAAACAAGCACGGTTTTGCCGGCAATCAAGGTTATGGCAACAACTACCAGGGCTTTAACAACAACAACAACAACACCAACCAAGGTTACGGCGACAACCAGGGAAGCTACGGAGCTCAGTCAAACTACAACCACGCCAACCACAACGATATGTTCTCCTCCTCGTCGACCTCGTCGGGATACTACAACAACAGCAACGGAGGTGGTGGACACTTTAACGAATACGACGAATCGCCCTACGACGACTTGACCGGAAGCAGTGGTCTCCAGTACAACACCACTGGCGGCTACTCTGACCACTAGTCGTGTCTGAAAAAGCAGCATTCTCACGTCCTCAGGAAAAATACATGCCTCTTAGTTCTCGTATTTTCTTCCACTCCGTGGTTTTTTTCATCCCTCTGTATCAACGCCTGTACTTCATATATCACAGCCTTGTCATTGCATCACTTGCTTGTAAAACAAAAAACAATTCATTCAAAAAATAAATCTTTTCAAGAAACAAAAAACATGCTTTTCAACTTTTTATAGGGCGCCATGTTACTACATGCAAGAAAAAAAACGATTAAGAGAAGAGGAAACTTCACTAAACAGGACGATTATAAGTCGTAGGCTGGGGTGGGCCCCCATGCTGCTGCTGCTGCTGTTGTTGCTGCTGCTGCTGTGAGGATTGTTGAGGACGCTGGTGAGGATAGTGAATGCTGGTACCAAAAGTAGACACCTTCATCGGGCCAGCAATACTATCACTCAAATACATCTCCTTTTGACTATGTGGACCGTTATTGTTGTGCTTGTCTCCCGGCTGTTGCGGTGGTGGTGGACCATCCCGCACCACCGTTGAGTTCAACCGCCGGGCATGATGCATCGAATAGCTCGGATTCGAATATTCAAAAGGTCCAGATATCGTGCCTCTGGTTAACAGTCCGTGGTCGTTGTTGTTGTTGTTGTTACTGTTGTTGTTATTGTTGGTGTTGTTGGTGTTGTTGTTGTTGCTGTTACCGTCACCCCAGTACTTATCGCCATTGTTGTTTGAGAACTGCTGTTGTTGCTGTTGCTGCTGCTGTTGCTGTTGCTGAGGAGGAGGATACGCGACGTGGTGATGGTGGGGCTGTCCAGCAGGAGACATATGGTGCGACGGTGGATGGCTGTTGTTGTGGAAAGGGGAAGGTCCTGGTGGGTACATAGGAGAAGAGTTCCTAGCGTCGTTACTGGGATAGGAGTGACCTCCTTGCGGCTGATGAGTTTGAGTGTAATATCCTGCTGGAGGAGGTGGAGGAGGAGGAGTGGGTGCGTGCTGTCCTGATGGTTGCTGGGGTTGCTGGGGTTGTTCTACTCGGACCACCTCCTTGAAACTAGCCATCGTCAATGCTGCCTCCCGCCTTTGACGCATCTCGTCTGTCTCCTCCTCATCATTCAGATCATCAGGCTTTTGTTCATTCTCCTGGCGAACCTCGCGAACTCCGTCATATCCACCGCCACCAACCATGCTCCGCGAAGATTCGTCCGAGTGGTAGCCTGTGGAAGACGCAGGTCGTGGAGCTCCATTCGTCGAGCCATTGTTGTTTCCAGAAGCAGTAGCGTGAGGCGTGGGAGAGGCGGTATGCGACCGCTGTTGTTCGACCATTGGCCGTTTGGAAGGGGGAATCGTCTGTTGGGGAGCAGACGTAGGGGTCCGAGCAACAGCGGCTGCCCCCTTCTCTTTAGACCGCGCCCTGTCCTTGTCCTTGTCTTTGTCCTCGACAGCTGTTTCAGCAGAGTTCTTCCTCGACCCGTTCATGTTCACAGGCGTACTGGGCTGCGGGGTCGAATTGTTGCTCTCCAAAGAAATTCCTGCCGCCGAGACTGGCACCAGAGTCGATTCGTATCCAGAGGGAACAGGTGTCTGTAATGGTGAATTGGGAAAGGGGTCATCGGGCGTGTTTCCAGAGGGAGTCGTAGTGGCTGATGCTCCTTGGGACTGGGATTGAGGTGAAGAATTTGACGAAGAGGATTCCTGAGGGATAAAGAGGATCATGCCACTGTGAGTCGTACGTTGGTGGGTGATCAATCTTGCCAGCTGAGTATAGGTCGCCCCACAGCGGTTGTGACGACAGACATATGGCCGTAACCCTTGGTCGGTATGGACAACTCGATGGTGTGACAAGGAGGAAGACTGAAAGGGAAGGAGAGCGCACGGGAAAACCAAAAAAAGAAAAAAATAATGCGTGAGACGGCATACACATTGGGTAATGGACATAGCCCCCATGCCGTCCTGTTTTGTTTTGTTTGTTTTGTTTTGTTTTGATTTGTTTTGTTAATTATCGCTTCAAAAAAATATATGGAATGAAGCGCGCTTACCGTGTGAAAGGCCTTTTGGCAGTCCTTGTAACCACACAAGTACGGCGGCTTCCCGGAATGGATACGAAAGTGAGTCGTCAGACGAGAGGCAACCGTAAACTCCTTTCCACATCTTGGCCAACTGCACCGGAATCTAGAAAGCGAACCCAAACAAAGATTGAGAAAGATGGGCTTAAGTATACCGTGCATCTGGAAAGGGGAAGAAAAGAATAGAGGAAATGACGCGAATTGACATAAATGAAAAAGGATGTCTCTCCGCTTTGTCTCTACCCCCTTTGGTCGTGACTGGACCAAACCAAGAAAAGGGATGAAAAGTAGCAAATGACAATGCAATTCGAACGTACTTTCCGTCCGCGTTCCGCTCAAAGTCTGGAGTGGGGCTAGACTCTGGTGCATCCTGATCCATAGACTCGTCCCCTAGCGTGTCCTGAGACGGGGATTGGGCCTGGGCTGGCGATTTGACCTGAAATGGTGGTAGGACCTCGAACGCCACTGGCTTTGTTGTTTTTGCCTTGTCCTGACCTTCCACGACAAACTTGAAATCCCGTTGTTGCTGCTGCTGCTGCGTGTCACCCTCGATTGCCCGTGAGGGTGAAGACCCGGTTGTCTTTTTGGTCGCAGTCTTTCGCGGTCCAGGTTTCGCATCGGATGGGTCCGTGACTATGGTTTGAAATGAGTCCTGATACCCCGCCGCTTCTCCTGTTGTCGACCCTATGATGAGAAAAAATAAGTGATTGTCTGTGGTCAATGATTGAACTTGGGTTTCCTCTTCCAACAGCCGAGTAAGTGTTGCTGGTCAATAGACGGCCTCGTGCGCTTTGCGTACCGCCGCCTCATTACCAACATTACGCAGCAATACCAATATAAAAACAACAAACAACAAACATAGCGAAGCGCAAACAAGAATAGCTAGTGCCCATTGATTGTCGTCGGAAATGCGCGAAAGAAAAAATAGAAAGAAGCGAGTGACTGAGACACTACTACCACACCTACTAACCTTGGTTGCGCGGCTTTTTCTTGGCATTCGACGTGGACATATCTAGGGGTGTGCTGTGGTTCATGTGAAGTGGGGGTGGGCCAGGGGTTGCTGTTGTTGATGCTACTTTGGTACAGGGTAATAATGCAGAAGAGGCTGTGGTGGGTGAGTCGAGGCTTCCTTTTGGCCGGTAGGGTGAAGGCAACCGATGATTTATTGTTAGCCAAGAAGACATGTATTTTTGTACTGCTATGCAAAAGACTTCCTTCTTTCTTTCATTTTTTTCTTTTTACCTGACGGAGTCGGTGAAGAAGAGGCTAAGGCAACAACATCCTTGAACTGGTTCTGAGGGTCATATGCGCGGAATGTGAGCGGGGTGGGATTGAGACCATTGGCATTACTATTATTGTTGCTGCTGATCTCGTTGTTGTTGGCTTTTGACTTTGCAACTGGGCCATTGCTTGTCGGTGTGTTGGACGAGTTAGATTTCCGCTGTGGGGCAATTGGCGGATGAGGGTGGGTGTGGGCGACCGTGCTGTTATTGGTGATCGTTGATTCTTCGAGTTGAGCGACCGAGATTGAGTTTGCGTGTTTCCTTGATGAGCCGCTGTTGCTTGTTGACGTTGCTGTCGACTGCTGTGGTGACCCATTGTTAATGTTGTTGGTAGAGGGGCTATCGGCCCAACGCAGACTTCCTAGTGCTGCGGGTGTAGAGGATGTTGTAGGAATTGTCGAAGAAGATTGAGGAGTTGGTGAGGAGGAAGAGGAAGAGGAGGAGGAGGATGTGCGACCATGACCATGGACTTGTCGATGGTGAGAGGTAGTATTATTGATATTATTAGGGGGAGGTAACAAGGGGGTCGTGGTGGAGGTAGAGGCAGAGGCAGAGGAGGATCCTGGAGGGTTCAATATCTGCGACAGATTCATTTTGCTGTTGTTGTTGTTGATTGTGAAAGTCGAGGTGGATGTGTGTGTACAATGGTTGCTGTGGAGGTGGATGCAAAGAGAGTGAGAGAAGAGAAGGAGATCAAAGGGTTGGGATGAATCAAACAACAAGTAGAAGCAAGCGGAGTGAAGGGAATAGAGCAATGGTGAAGAGTGGAGAGGGAGAGCATATAAAAGGAAAAGAGAGAGAGTGGGGAGGGTGAAGAAGAAAGGTAGAGGGATGAATGGAAAAAAGTGGTGGCAAAAGAGACAAAAGGGGAAGAGGAAGGAAGAGTGAAGAAGAAGAAGAAGGAGCGCAGAGAAAGGCAATAAAAAAAGAGGACGGGTCGGGAAGGAAGAGGGGCAAGGAGAAGGGGGTGCGTGGACAAGTGGACAAAGTGGACGGAAGAGGCAGACAATCCTCATCTACTCTTGCAAGTCTGTCTTTGAAATATCATCCACACAACCTCGATGATGGCAATAATTTGCTCGCCTGTTTCGCTGAGACTGGCAGCGTGCAAGCAATTGGACTATTGTAGAGCAGACAAAAGAGGGGGGCACAAGGAGCACCTGCCGAGAAAGAAGGGGGCTGGAGTAATAGATGATCGAAGGGTAGGCTCGAGGAAGAAGAAAAGGAAATGGTTCAGATGGTTCATTCGGGGTGGGGGTGGGGGGAACAGGTTCAAGATGGCTCGCTAGTAAAGTAGCGATTGAACAAACAATGACCATATGCCAGCTGTATGCAAGATGCAAGAGCGAAAGGGCGCAACAAAAAGAAAAAAAACTTTATGTCCATTCCGGACTGTGGGAAGGGATGGTAAGGAAAGGGGGGACGTGTGCCGTGCTACCGATGATCCCTTTTCTCGTTTGTTCTTTTTTTTTCGCACCTTCTAGTGTATTACCACAATTTGCTTGGCCAACAAATGCATTGTATTGCACAAACAACAATCCTGCAAAACCATCTTTTTTTCTTATTCATCTTATCAAAGAATTCTTTGACCCCTTTTCCTTCACTTCAGTTTTTATTTTCAGAAGGTGCACCCATCCCAATATGGTACACAACTATGACAGGGGTGTGAGACACCTTCCCTTTGACTTGGCCAACCTTTTTTTTTTTTTTTCTCTTTCCCTTGGAGTCGACAGAGAGAGCAATTTCTTCCTGTTTTGTTTTGCCTTGTGCCTTGTCCTTGTCTTTTTGAGGAGCATCCGAACAAAAGTGAAGAAAATGGCAACGATCCACTAAAGAAAAGAAGGGAGGAGAAAAGAGCGCTTGAAGCGTTGAATGACAAGACCATGTCCCTTCCTCTTCCCTTTCTTCCCATCCCGTCACCCTCCTATGGTCTAAGGACAGGGAAAAAAAAGGCAAACAAGCTAAACGAGCAAACCGAAATCATGGGAGTGGGCGGAGAGTGTTATTTCACCCAATTGATTTCCTGTTTGGGCAAACAAATGCACGTGACTCCATTGATTAATTGACATATTATCATAAACCTTTTTTTTTTCGCGGTGGCTGGCGGCGCGCGGTTATCTCTCACGGAGGAGGATCGCTTTGAGGAGGCGAAAGTATGTTGTTTGATTGCTCTGCATCCTCTCTTCTTTCTCTGTTGGGTACCCCTCGAGTAAGGAAGCCACATTCTCACAATTGCCACGGCATCAAGTTTCTCTCGAAATGTCGCTTTATTTGATTCTATTGTTCTACCCTAGCCTACTGTATTAAGCACCATGTTGACAATGCAAGAGCACTCTGTGTCCACGTTTCCACCAAAACGAAGACCTCTAAGCAGTACAAGAGATAGGAAGAAAATGAAGTCATCGCAACTGTCTACTCAACTACCGCACATGTACGTCCTCACCTATTCCTCCATACACGAAAAAGCACAAGCCAAAAAAAAAAAAAAAAAAAGAACACCCAGCCAAAACCACAAGCCGCTTCCTGAAATCCCCAAGGTTACACAGGCTATCGGCCAGTTGCAGTCACCCCCAACAAGAGCACACTTATCCTTCTGTGTTGGGGGGGACAGGCATGTGCGCTCAAGGGAGGGGATGAAAACAATATGATGACGACAGCGATATTACAAACAATATTTTCCCAGACGTGCCCTTAGCCTTGAGCCGGAAAGCTCTCCTTCCTCCGGGGCTTACACACACTTTTTTTTTTGGTTGATTGATTGATGGGGAGCAATTCAGCATAGCGAAGTGATTGTGGCCATATCATCGTCTACTTTTCTTGTATTTTCCCTTGTGTTCGTGTGTCTTATGTCTTTGGGAAGATAATAGGGTTGTCGCGAGGCAAGACGGGTTGTAGACAACGAGAACACATGGTTCCAAGTCATCGAGAAAAAAATGGATGCATGGTGGCGAAAGTAGGGGATGATTTGATAGTCGACGCGTGGGAGTCTGGGGGTGCAGAGAACGAGGACAAAGAGTGAAATTTTGCAAGAATAAAAAAAAAAAAAAAAAAAGGTGGCAGCGGTGGAGGGGGAAGGAGGGAAAAGAAGCGAGAGAAGAAAGAGAGTGAAGGTTGTGTTTCTGTGAGCATACCTAGCGCGTCAGAAAAGCGCATCAGACCGCCGACATGGCTCTCCCCCCTCTCTGTTTTTTTTCTACCCTCAAACACCTTTGGTCTTGAACCCAGCCCTTACACTACTCCAAGCAAGAATATGTTAAAGGTCTTGAATAAAAAACAATTTACTTCGCGAGTTACTCCAAAGAGTTACTCATAATCATCCACAGCTCCTGCAAGGGTATCAATCTCAACATCATCCGTCGTCGTCGTCAGCGCCGACAGCGCACCACTACCAACGCCTCCAAAAGACTGCGACCGAGGCCTGGGCGAAGCGATCCCAGAGCAAGACCACCCACCATGCCCATCGAGCGCAATTCGTTGTTGATGGTACTTTTCTAGACTGGCCTGGTGACAGACTGTGATGCAGGTAATATTGAGCAATCGACATTGTCTGAACATTTCTTTTTCGGATATTATGTCCATTGAACACGTCGCCTCGTCCAGCACTTTTGTTTCAAGGGAGCAAAGCAAGAAAGTAAGTTGTCAGTTTCCTGTCCGTGTTACAAGGCTGCAACATTTACAGCTTCATTACTGAAAAGAAACCATTGCAAAAAAAAAAAGACTTACCGGCAAAGATAGGCTTGACATAAAACAACCGCGCAAACGCCAACTTTTGCTGCTCGCCTGGCGAAAGCATCTTGTTCCAGTCCAACGTATAAACCTGGTCAAAGTCCTCCACAGTCTCTACTAAATGCTCCAGACGGACCAACTTGAGCACCCTCAGGATATCAGCATCCGTTACTGAAGAGGCCATCTCTTTGTGCGGATACACCAATTGCTCCCGAAGCGTGCCGTATGTCATGTAAGGCATCTGGGGAAGGAAGATCACATCCTTGCGGTACTGGTGTGGCAATATGACTTGCCCTGTTGTAGTCATCGAAGGGAGCAAAAAAATACAAAAAAAAGCGTCGTGTTAAAACTCGTTCAATCTTGTTCACGGACAGAGTTGACCATGTCTTGTTTTCCTGAATGAGAAACTTACCCTTGCTGACCGGCCACAAGCCTCCCATAACACGCAGAATCGAAGTCTTGCCAGAACCTATGAGCGATCAAACGAACATGATTTTTTTACTACATGAGTATCGACGGTTGCGCAACGTTACATCCTGTTGCATGAAAAAAATGCATTCCTGTTATTACCGTTTGGTCCAACAATGACAGTGTTGACGCCAGCCTCAAAACGATGCGTGAATCCTACAGTAGAAAAAAAAATAGCGAAGAGTGAGTTTGCATTCCAAAAAATCCACTACCTTCAATATTCAACGCGCCGTGAGCTCAATTGCTTACCAGAAACAATAACTTCTCCTGCAGGGGTGCTGAAAGTAACGTTCTCGAGCCGGATCGAAGAATCCATCGACAAGGACTCCTCATGAGGGTAATCGATCGCAATGTTCTCCATCTCTGTGCTCAGCATATCCAGCGCCTCCATGAGCTGACCCAATCGAGATGTGTATCCGGCCAAATCCGAGAACTCTGTGCCGCACTTGATGATCTGCGAGAACTGGTATGTCAGATACATTGAGACGAACGAAGTCTAGAAGAGAAAAGAAAGTAGTATCGTTAAGCGGTGCGCTTCTTGATCAGCTTTGTTGTGTATGACATCTGGACAGAGATACTCCAAGAAAATAATACCTTGCTGATGATGGCTGAAAGGTCGGAGGCTGGTAAGTCATCGTAGATGCCGAGAAAGATGGGAATCGCAATGATCACATAGCTCAAAATCGATCCAAAGTAAGAGACGCTCTGCTGCAAGACTATTCATAAGAAAAATGAAACAGGCGTCAATGCTTACCACTTCCAGAGACAGGACACAAAAGAAAAGGCCATTATGCTCAGGACTTACATTTGAGTGGGACCTCCTTGTAGATAACGTTGAGCTGGGAGCACAGCAACTTTTCCAGAGAATCATCCGCCGCCGTCTTCGCCTCGCCTTCTCCACGGCTGAACGTAATCGACTCTGTAAACTGGCGGAAGCGGACATGCAGGAATCGGAAGTAGCCCTCAGCCGACTCCTTGAAAAAGATTGCATCAATAATTGGGTTGATCAACAGTCGACTGGTGATGGCGCTGAAGATAAAGTAGCCATAGATACACAACGGTCCAATGTATCCCGTCATCTGCCAGCACTGCCAGGTGTAGAATGCAATCGAGAGCGGGCTGATGATCAAATCCTCGACCATCTTCCGGAGCGCCTCTGCCAACTTGTCGATATCCTGAGTGATTCGCTGGTCGCTAAAAGATGCGACAGAAAATTACGGTATGAATGTCAATGCGCAATGTAGACAATCAGTCTTCTACTTTGGCGGCGCATAACTCCGACTCAGACGAGGTGCAAGGGTCCAGAAAAACTTACGGGTTGTCGATTTCTTCGTCGTGCATAGTGAGGATCCGGTAAAAGAGCTTTGGCTGAATATAGATCCGGTGAAAGTAAAGCGTCAACGTCCGTCTTGCCTCCAGTGACAACAAACTGCCCATCAAAAAGATCACACTCTTTCCCTAGCAGGCATTGAAGAAAAAAGAGGAGCAGCGTTAAAGACAGTTCAATTGAACAACCAGGGTGGTGAAAATGGGACTCAATTGCAGCAGCCAAAAAAAAAAGAACAACTTACGAATCCAGCAAGGAAAACAGTGAATAGAGAAATCATCAGTAAACGGAAGAAGGCTGCCGAATCCTTGTCGCCTAAGACCTTGTAGTACCTCGAGGGGATCGTCCCGACAAAGTACACAATGCCTTCATTCAGACAGCAGAACAAAGTCATACCAATGTACAACCATGTCACCTTTGACTGCTTCGAGAACAGGATCTCAAACAGCCGGGAAATCCTCTTCAGAAACAGACGATCCAACTTGTACTCGACTTTTTTCTTTACCGGCAGCTGGTATCCGAGCCCGCCGTGGTTGTAGCGCTGTTGCTGCTGGTGCTGGCTCCTGTTGGTATGGCCACTGGTGTTGCTGGTGTTGCGCTGCCGGTTCCTTGAGGTGTTGTTGTTTCCTGCTCTTGAGGGTGTTGACCATGGTCGCCATGAGGGAGTAGAAGAAGAGGAGCCATTGTCACCACCTGGGTAGAGGAATGAGGGAGCAATGGACTTGAACATTTGAGCCATGGACTGGAGGGGTCGTCTGGGAGTTGATGTTTCTGGGTCAAAGGTCGATCCGGATGCTGTGTGGTCCTCCTCCCTGGCGTCCTCTTCAGTCGGGAGCAAACGATACATCGATGTAAAGTTGTGGTGAGTGGAGGTGAAAAAGGGAGGGAAAAAGTGAGCAAAGGGAAGGAGTGACGGAGCACAGTGAGAAAAGGCGGGGTGGTGGGGAAAAGTTCACACAAGTGCAATTGAAGGAATAAGTCACGTGAGACCTTACACATCTTTGTAGGGTTGGGCGGAGGACTCGATACTCCAAATCCCGATAGTTGAGAATTCATCATAGATCTATTCATCTGTATCTCACCCATGTCATCAGGTATGAAAAATGAACGAAAAGATCTTGAACTGCGGATGGGTCCTTCCCGCCACCTTTTTTTCCACCAAAAAAAACAAGTCAGATGAGATGAATCTTCCATTTGTTGACACTCCACTTGCCAAGGGTCCAAGCTCAACATGTCACCCTACTCTTCATGTCTCCTTAACAACTGCTTCTCTCTCTCTTTTTTCGCAACAAAACAAACAAACGCCGACAAGCAAAATCAAATGACCAGCTACTTTGCACCCTTGTGGCGAACACCTCCACAAGCCAGCCCACACAACAACTACAGCGCACAGTACAAGTTATTCACAAGAGATGGTGACCTCGGCGAGCAAGTGAAGGCGACCCATCGATCAGAAGTATGATGGTACCTGATGAAAACCTTATTTCTTGCACGTGTACTCCATTCTCCCTGAATTGAACTGCGATCAATCAAAACAAAGGCCAGTGCTTTTCAACCACTGCCAAGTCATGAGCAAAGAGGTAAACAAGAGGATAATGGTTGAGATGACTGAATATTTTTTGATGAATTATGAAGGTAAACATGAAAGAATGATGATCGTGCAAATGAAATGAGAAGAGTTATGGAAAATGCAAAACTAAGATACAAGGGGAAAAAACAAAAACTGAAAAGCAATTTTTTTTTTGTGATGTGGAAGGCAGAGGAAAAGGAATGAGAAAATGAGAAAACGACAGGACGGCAACGTAGCCCGATTACAGCTCGCTAGGGATCTTCTTGCCACCGTTCTTCTTGTTCTTGTTGAACTTGGGCTATAAGTACATGAAAACAGAAAGTATAGGTATCAGTAAAGAACCGATTTGACTGCTGCATCAAAAACACATTCAAGTGGCAAAACAAAATTATAGACAAATTACCTTCACGAGGTTGCGGACGTCCTGTTCCTTCTGGAACTTGTTGCCGATCTTGGCTCCGACAGCTGGACCATCCGTGACGTTCTTGGTCTTGACCTTCTTGATCTTGCCACGATCGTAATCAACATCATAGGCATCAGGACGGTGATGCTTGGGCTTCAAAGTCCGCAAAACTTCCTCACGGGCCTTGGTCAACGCATAGCTTGGCTCCTCCCATGTCGAAACCTTGCTGCCTAGCATGTGCTTCTGCTCTCCCAAAATGGCCTCCTTGACCTCGGCACTCTTGAACTCGGACTCGCGTTCAATCAATGACTGCAGCTTCTCACGCTTGGAGGTCGAAGCCTCGTTGTGCGCCACAATGATAGGCTGGGTGGTTGGTTTGGGTTTGATAGTCCATCCGTCCTGCTCAGCTTCCTCCTTGGCAGACTCGGCATCCTGCTCATCCTCCCGATCCTTGTACTCCTTCTTTGGCTTTTGCTCCATCAACATGAGCTGACGGTCATCGGCAGAAGGAGACTTCATAGCACCCTCAATCACCTTCCAGTCATTGTGTCTCGCGGTGGGGATCGTGATTGCGGCGGGGATTGTGATCGATGTGGGCTTGGCGACAACAGACTTGGGGGTGGGGATGAGATCCAGATCGGCCAGAGGACTCTTGTTCTTGGAAGCAACCGCACCGGTATTGGGCACGGGCACGCCAAAGATGGCCTTTGTTGGCACAGCAGCGGAGGAGGAGGATGCCGGTGAGATGGCAAGCTCGTAGTCGTTCAAAGAAGCGGTTTGGTTTGACCCGTTCAGCTTCGCCAACTTCTTAGCTCTCTTCCTCTCCTTCTTCAACCGGATTCTCTCCTCCTTGGACAATTCCTGCATGTTGACAGGGGCAGCAGACTCATCAATCTTGACACGCTTCTTGACGTCGGCCTCATCATCATCAGCCAGCAGTGGCCGCTTGGCGAGGTTGGGTGTGATCTTGATTCCGTTTGCTGTACCATTGACCTTGACTCCGTTGGTATCGACCTTGGGACGCTTGAGACCCAAGGCCGAACGATCTACCTTGGCTCCAACCTCATCGCCATCCAATCTTGGTCGCTTGATCTGAGCGGACACCGCCTTGGCTCCGTTCACCATACCATTGACCTTGACTCCGTTGGCTGATGGCGACTTCATAGATCCCTTCTTGTCCAGGGTATAGAAGAGCATGTATGCGTTTTGGCTGAGAACGGTGTTCAGACTGACAACACCTACCTATTGTTTGGCAAAATAATGTCGCTAATTAATGAACAAGTTCCACGTCTGTAAAAACATAATAACAACGCTCCTGAAAACAAGACTTACGTGGGAGTCGTTCATAGAGTACCAAAGTCCGTTGGAACTCTTGACGTAACAGTAGTAGTGTCCGCTGTGGCATGATCCACCGGCGTGGACAAGGACGGCGTACAGGCTGTAGTTCAGGTCGCCATGATCTTTGTTCTTGCTCATGAATGAGTTGAGCGACAGTGTTGGCTCAAATCGGACGTGTCTGTTGATTTTTTGGCCAGTGAAGGTGAATCTCTTGAGGTGGATACTGAGAATGTTGGGGGCATCGTAGATGGTCATCTGCTTCTTGGCATCGACAAGGATCTTGCACCTAAGTTATACGTAGTTAAAGTACTATTTGGTCAGAACCGGTCATCTTGGTCACCCTATCCATAATAATGCCAGCCCTCAGATCCATATCAAAAGGTTCCTGAACTTACTTCTCGCACTTGTACTGGTTGCCCTTGCTGAGAATTTCTGGGGAGGTATAATCGCGGAATGCTTTCTGCACGCTGTCGGCGCCCTTGATGTCCAAGCTGACGTCCAAATATGTCTCAAAGGTATTAGATTCGTGGCCGCACCGCATGCACTTGACCTGACTCTGGAAGTACCCTCCAAAGATCTGGTGAACCACTGTTGTCTCCTTGATCCGATCGTCCAATTTGCTAGTGTTTATAAGATTAGAGAATGTGAGTGAGAAAGGTCATGCCGGAAGAAGGAATGAGAGTAAAGATATAGACGTAATACTTTCAGTCATGGCAATTAAGTCATACCTGTCATATCCAAGGAGACAGCTCCTTTGCAGACCATCGACCAGGTATCTCGCAAACTCGTGGGAATCTTCTTGACGACCAATCCTGAACTGCTTTGCAATATCTAGATAAGTGACCCCAGGCGCAAAATGTTTGATGAGTATCGAGTACACTTCCTCATGCCTTTAGTATCCGGTTTACGCAAAACATAAATCTTGTTGATTCGCACTTACTCCTGAGACGTCCTACGATGGCTTTTGGAGAGATAGCTTCGCTCATTTGACGTGTGAAGCAGCGGCCGACGTGGGTTTCAAGTAGACACATCATACAGAAGTTTGTTGTTTTGCCTATCGTTTTTCAAGAAAAAGTCTAAAGTTAGTTTCTGGCGGTCAATTTGACATGGACAAATTAGCCCACAATTAATGAAAAGCGACAGAAAACAGTAAATTTTTTAAGAAAAATAACTTACAAGAGTTGCTGTGGTGGCCGGAGAGGAGGTAGTTGGCGAGGGGTGCGGTGTAGGTGAGGCACTGGAGGACAGAGTTCAGGAAGCAGGTGTTGCCGAGGTTGTTGAGTCCGGGGCCGATGGGGCGAGGCTGTGGCCAGTTCACGTGGACCTTCTCCTTGCTGAAGAGGATAGTTGCAGGCAAGCGGAATCCATTGCGATCCTCGGTGGCCTTTGACGCCGAAGTAGAGTTTCCGGAATAAGGAACCATAGCAGCAGAAGGGGCAAATTTGGTTGGTCCGTCATTGGCCAACGGTGCGTTGACGGGTCTGTACTTCTTCTTGAGTCGCTCCTGCTTGAGGTCGAGGCGGGTGGACTCTTTGAATTGGATTCTGCGGGCGTGGAATGCAGAGTTACTCTTTTTCAAGAGCTGTGAGTCGACGGTAACGGAAACCATTGTCAACGGTTAGAGAAAGGAGATTAGCAAAGTTGAGGAGATGTTAAAAAAGTGATTCAGTAAAGAAAGGAATGGAATGTGAAGGGGAGAAGAATGAGTGCTGGCTGATGAGAGGAAGAATTGAGTGCTGGCTGAGTAATAGTAATATACAAGAGAACGACAGAGAGGAGGAAGAGAAAGGAAGAAAGCCAGCACTTGAGCAGTAAAGAAGAGATGCCAGCAAAAGGGAGAGAGCCAAGTGTGGATGGGTTAGAGAACAAAGAACGAACGAAGGAGCAGCCCCTCTTCCTCTTTTTCTTTCTTTCTCCCTCAAAAAAAAAAATGCCTCTCAATTGATTGAAAAATAAAAATATGTGACTGGGTATTCCTCGGACCCTTAATGTACAGCCTCCGTCCCTGAGCGCCACTAAAACAACAATCTCCAAGACCGAGTGCAGGGGTCAACAATCACTGACATTGCACCCTGCACACTGATTTGCTCAAATCAATCGAGAAAGTAGTGTACCTGGATCGGTCGACGAACGGAAGAGTCGGATGTTGATCAAAGCAATCGGATAACTGATAATAGGCAGGCACAGCAAAATGAAAGCAGCGAGTGGAACAGCGTCCTGGCTGGACACCTCTTTGGCAACAAAGACATATCTGACAATGGCAAGGTCGCACAATGGCAGCAATGTTGCATCAACATAAAAAACCCCACAAGGCGCACACAAACATGAAGAAGCGACGCAATCGGGCGCATTTTTTTTTGGCGCATCTCATTCTGCCTCCATTTCTTAGATATTTTTGCGCCCGAGCCTAGAGTCGATGGGTTTGGCTTCATTGCCTTTGACTGCAGCTTGATGTAAGATGGACCCTTAGAACTACAACATAAACCTCTCCTCTATTGTCAAACGGAGCTTTCTCCTAGCCCGCAACAGCGTTCTGGTGCTCGCAAAACAAGTGACAATGACGTACACAGGCTCAGAAGCGCTCAAAAAAAAGGTGCAGTAGATAACCCCTGTTTTTTTCGAAATCGAGGGTCGATTTCCACAAAGGGGGTGCTAAAGTTTCAACGACAATAACGTGCTCATGTCTTGCAGCGAACAGCGTTTTTTGACCTTGCAGCATGAATCCAGTCTTGTAACTTCTCAAGGCACTTCTCCTTCTTTATTTTATTTTTGCCCTCTCCCCAACATTTGAGATCTCATTCGTCCTTTACTCTGTCCCCTATTCTGTCAGGAATTTCAAGAAGCGACAAAAGGAATGACTGAGGGTTGACAAAGAAGGTTCGAAGGATGACAAGAAGCGAAAAGTAAAAAAAAGCGAGGGAAAGAGAAAAATGGAGGGTGGTGATCGAATGAGTGGGAAGGAAGGGTTACAAAAGTGAGGAAAGTAGGAAAGCAGGAGGAGGGATAGTAGGAAGGTGATGAGTGGTGCGCTTGTGCGACCATGAATAGCCGTTGCGAGTGATCGCTGAGGAGGATTAAAGGATTGAAATAAGAGAGGACTCATTCACTCCCTTATTCACTATGAGCGAGTGGAGTGGAGTTGAATGGGCGAAGAAAGGAAGAAAAGGGCAGGAAAGAAAAGGGAGGGAAGAGAGGAAAAGGTGAAAGGCAGCGAGAGCGAAAAGAGGGGGCATGACTCCGATGGCTACCTTGGACCTTGTGATCATTTTTTATTTATTTACGCTTTTCCCTCCAAAACTGAAGTGGCGCAGGTGTGTGGACATGCTCCGTTCCTCTCTCCACCTCTCTTGTAATAAACAAAGGCCCGCCCATCCTGTGCTCTCTCTTAATCGCCTTCCCTCCATTTATTGGTACAGTGAACAATGCATTCTAATTGTGCCAAGTCTTGATGCATGCTCCTCCTCCTCCTTTCTCCTCGACCCTTTTCTGTCTCTGAATCTGCATCTCCTTACAACATTGCATAAGCCCTCACGACGACGGAAGATGGAAGGGCGCGCCAACTAGACCACACCTAAAGTACACGACTTTTGCAGAGAAGGAGGAATAGAATACTGGAACATGATCCCGGCCATCATTTTTTTCTCCTCGGGAGCACCCAAGGGCAACCACAGATAGGAGTATCGTACCACTCTTTGTCCTTTTTAATTCTTCCGCTCTTTGTCCTCTCCTTTCTTTGCCCATGCGCAATGCATGCTATGTTAGATAGCGCCATTAGAGTATAGTGATACAGAAGACACACAGGCATTCACAAACATCAGATCCCATGTAGCAACAACATCAACAACAGCATGGCACATTTATAGGAAAGAGCCGATAGCAAATTAAACCAACAACAACAGTAAAGAGAAAACAAAAAACGAGCGACATATTGGCGGTGAGGATCTGAAAAGCCAAGCAGAGATGCTGTTGTTAGTAGTGTTTGGCTTTATTAGCGATGAGGATCACACGCTCTCCTCTTCATGATGTTGACAATGTTGTTTTGTTTGTGCATGTTCAGTCCAATCGAATTGATATGAATGTGAAAAAGAAGGGCAAACAAGCAAGCAAACAAACAAAGAACAAGCAAGCAGCGACATGGCATAACAGAGTTTCTTTTGCCCCTGAATAAGAAAAATCAAAACAACTATTCACATATCATCCCCATGTGCCCTAACAGAAGAAGAAGAAGAAGAAGAAGAAGAAGAAGAGTCAAAGAGAGAGAGAGAGAGAGAGAGAGAGAACGAGCCAGTGAGGTAAGGCCAAGGCCCTGTTAATCCAACGCCATCGACCATGGTATTGTAATATATCGATTGGCATGAGTGAATGAGTGTCCATCATGTTTGCATCGACACGACAGCGTCAATTTTCCGTGCCTGTGGATGTAAAGAGTGCATTGTACCATGTGCCTGGCTTCGGCTGTTGCGACTGAAAGGACTGTAAGGCTATGAGTAGCCCTTGTTCATTTCATGAGCGCATAGAGTAGGTGGTGGTGTTGGTTGCTTGCCCTCCTCTCCCTCGCTTCTTCGTTCATATCCAATGGCCAATGCTTATATAACAACGATTGAATAGAGGGCGATATACATGTTATGTACGATGCCCCTTTCCCTTTCTCTCCTGTCTTGTCTCCTTCGCCCATGTCTGTCTGCCCTTCCATTGCCACGCACACGCGGCTCGGTGCAGTATTGTTTGCATCGCTCAGTCCACCACTCACATAACACACATACACTAGCAGTAGTATCCCCTTCCCTTTCTTTTCTTCTCTTCTTTTCTTGTTCTTCTGCCTTTCTTCTTCTTCCCCCTTTTTCCGTTTTTCTTCCTTTCCCTTTCCCTTTCCCTTTCCCTTTCCCTTTCCCTTTCCCTTTCCCTTTCCCTTTCTTCCTTCTTGACTTTCTCCCCACTCCCTTCCTTCTTTTTCCTTCTCTTTGTCTACACACCCAACGATTATAATCATTTCTCGCTCTTCTTTTTCTTTCTTTGTTTTTGTTCTTGCGCATACGCCTTCTCCCTTGTTATCCTTTGTAATCTCACCCTGCTCCTCTTTCTGTCGCACCTCGTACATAATCCTCGCCTTCTCATTACCTACACTTGTTCTGCACTCGCACTCTCTCACTCCTAATCGCATTCTCTCCTTTTTACTCATTGTACTTTTACTCCGTTCTTCTTCGCTCCTTGCCATTCACTCTCAGTACCCCCCCCCCCTCTATTGTACATTCACTCCACTTTCTCATACCATACCTCCCACAGGGTGCCCCATTGTCGACCTTAGTCCCCTCTCCGATAAACTCATTCTTCCAGACGTGACTTTTTTGTTCGCTGTGCCTGGCTCTCACTTTTTTTTTTGGCCAACCCTATCAGAGGACCCTACTCGCCCCACACACATTCACACGTATACACACGCACGCACACACACACACACCAACTCACTTCCTCCATACCTCGGCGCCAAACTGCACACACCAACCCATCGAGCATGATGTCGTCTACATCCACACGAGTGGGCAATATTGTACAGTACCTCACCCTTCGCACAATTTTTTACACTGCAAAGCGTACTTCAACATAAGCGTACTTCAACATAAGCCCACCCAACAACAAAACCATAAGAAAAGAGCCCTGACCCCATGGCTCTTGCTCTCTTTTTCTGTCTGTCGCACTTTTAAAATACGTGAACTAGATGCTCGGAAACTGCATAGGCAAAGGTGCCTTTGGATCTGTGTGGCGTGGACTGCAAGACACAGGGACCACTGTCGCAGTCAAACAAATCAATCTCTCAGACATCCCTTCCGCCGAGCTGGATAATATCATGGTGCGTGCGTGTGCCAAGTTAAAAGATAACATCAACAACCAACAAAAGGGACTCCTTTGCAATTGATATCCTTTCTACGTTTCTTGCTACGCCTCTGATGATGATAAATGAAATCCTGTCTCCCTCCGTACTAACCCATGGCTGTGTATTGCATTGCCTACCTGGCAACCAAATTGTTTCTTTTCCTTTTTTTGCCCGATGTGGTTGTTGCGCTGGCTGCCTTACAGATGGAGATTGACTTGCTCAAGAAGCTGAACGTGAGTGGAATGAAAACGCGCAACTTTTTTTTTTGGATGTTCAACGACAAACAAAATGCCGAGGATGATATTCGACAGTAGTCACTTTTTTTTTCTTTTCGGCTGACCCTTTTTTTTCCATTTGAACATTTGCATGTGGTTCTAATAGCACGCCAACATTGTCAAGTACTACGGCTTTGAGAAGACGACAGAATACCTCAACATCATCCTCGAGTATGTGTTCTCCCCTCATCTCCCCCTCTTCCCAGCCCATTTCCATGTTCAATCCAGGAACCAGACTGGCCATGATCATGTTTGCCTAAATTTTGTTTCGCCACCAAACTGTCGCTGAACCAAACACCCAGATCGAAACCCAAGGAATGAAACACCGCCACTCATTCTCACTCACTCAACTCGCGTTCTCCCATCACTCCACTCTTGCCCTGATCACAATTTTGTAGGTTTTGCGAAAACGGGTCTTTGAGCAGTTTATGCAAGAACTTTGGAAAGCTGCCAGAGCACCTTGGAGCAACATACATCACCCAGGTTCTCGATGGACTCATCTACCTGCATGACCAAGGTGTGATCCATCGGGACATCAAGGGTGCCAATATCCTCGCCACCAAGGAGGGTATCGTTAAACTTGCCGACTTTGGAGTCGCGACCCTCTCGAACGATGTTGGCGACATGTCCGTTGCAGGGACACCTTACTGGAGTAAAATATCTCTTGCTTTCCGCGTTGCTCATTTCATTTGTTGGACCCCGTTCTCGCTGCAATGCCCAAACTGCAAGAAAGTAGCCAGCGACTAACCTGAAGCACGGCCGCATTCGCTGTCCCTTTTCTTGTGCTATCTCAATAGTGGCGCCCGAAATCATTGAACTCTCAGGGGCCACGACTGCTTCAGATATATGGTACGGAAACCATACAGCTACAGTTTTTCCTTCTCTGTTTGGATGTTGCTTTATTTCACCCTTCAAACCTTCAGTAATATCTGAGCATCCTCCAAGAATTGAATATAAGAGCAAACCGTCTTGGATATGCCCCACATCTACGATGGTGAATACTATTGTTGCTGTTGACATGCCGAAACTTAATTATCGTCACCGAACAACTCAAACCATCTTTGCATCTGCAACTTTCTTAATATGTCATAGGAGTGTCGGATGCACAGTTATAGAGCTCCTGGATGGCAAACCACCCTACCATGATTTGCCTCCAATGGGAGCCCTCTACCGCATTGTGCAAGACGACCATCCACCAATCCCCGAGAGTGTCTCAGCAGTAAGAACAAGCAATATACACAGAAGGGAGTGGTTTGCATATCGGAGGAAGTGACAAGGGTCCCTGAGAGTTCATGAGTGGTAAAAAAATGGGGAAGAGGGGCAACACCATGGAGGTGTTCATTACAGTAACACGGATTTTTATATGGTTCCTAATCCATAATAGATTGTGCGGGACTTTTTGATGCAGTGCTTCCAGAAGGACTGCAACCTTCGAGTTTCGGCCAAGAAGCTATCCAAACATCCATGGATCCAGATGTCGAGGAAAAAGGCAACAGGAAGTCAACGAAGCCGAGAGAAGGCGGTTCCAGCCTATGAGGAGGCTATCGAGAGTGTTCGGCAGTGGAATGAGGCACTCAAAGGATCTTCAAATCGCAACTCGGGCAGGATGCGCAGGATGACAAACGAGAAAGGTAAGTTGACGGCATTTTGACCGTTTTTCCTTCTTCCCGCGCTGGTTTACATCACCTGGTCCTTCTTGTTCATGCGGGACTAATTATTCCCGCTCCCCTTTTTTCTCTATCGTTTATTCACCTGCTTGCGCACAAACGCAACCGATTGTCTTTCTACTTTTTATCAACTCTTACTTAGCAGGCCGGTCATGGGAGCATGGAGTTCCAGCAATCACGGATATTTATCATGCACCAAGACCCCAGGTCAGGGATATCTTTTCAGCATCAGCGGCCGCAGCGGGTGCAGCGGCTATCGCCAGTGGTGGGTTTCGCCCATTTCTAGAACGCCCGCCTGCTGCCATCTCACCGCCTCATTTTCACCTCCCCTCAAACAACAATGCTCTCAACAGCAAAGTAATTGCCCACAACAACGTTTCCACTAACAAGAATGTGCAAAACTACGAGGAGAGCAGCTTTGACAACAATTGGGATGACGATTTTGCAGATGGAGCTCTGTCGTTTCAAATAGCCGCCCAAGGGTGGTTTCGTGATCAGGAGGACGAGGTGTCAAAGACTATTCGAGCAATACCGCCAACTGCCGCTGGTCGTCAACAGCCGTACGTTGTTCAGCCGGAATCGCCTGGCGGGAGCGATATGTATGACGAAGACTTTGAGGATAATTCGCAAGACCTCCGTCTCAAGATCAAGATGAAGGCTATGGAGGTACAAACTCTGGCCCTGTGAATATCTATGATGCCCAATTAGTGACTTTCAAGAACGCTTAGCTGACCTTTGCTCTCACATTATTTTTGGCAAATCCACTAGAAAAAGAGACGGCAAGCAGGGTCAAGGCAAGCTGACGGCTCGCTAAAGCCCAGTGGCTCACTTGCTGCGAGATCCAAAGCCACCGGACCTCATGTTCCTATTGACCTTGTCCGTTCAAGGTCTGCTCCTGGTCAACTTGTTCTGGCCCCACCTATGCGAACAAGCAACATCCAGAACTATCGTGAGGAGGAAGACGAGGACTTTTCTGATTTTTTCGAGGGTCCTGGTAAGTTTTGCTTCTGCTGAGCTGTTCCTATGCAGAAACAAAATAACTGAGCTTAATAACTTTGGGCCATATCACTTACTTGTCGATTGTAGAGAGCCAGGGTGATGCGTATCAGGATGAGGGTCTTACGCTCCAGTCGAGGTTGTCAAACCACAGCTGGGTAAGATATTTTCGGCCTAGTAATGCATATACAGACGAGTCAGACAACGATAGCTGACATGTTATTCTGTTGTCTTATCCATCTTAGTTCGGGGATGACGCTGGATCTGACGAGGAAGATCCATTCGCCGAGGTGGACGAAAGTTTTGATGAGATTGGTGAGTGCATCGTCTATTCAACTTTGGTATATTCAGGACATAACGACCCCGACGTCTGCACCATTGGGCTCACACGGCATTCTTTCTTTTTTTTCACACTAGACATGGAGGCAAACATTGCGCGTGAAAAATACACACGAATATGCGCAAATATTGCGGAGCAGTTCCGACTTCTCGAGAACCAAAAGAACAAGCGTTCAGAGAGGGAGCTGGAAGTCATCTGTGATCGTCTGGTAAAGCAATGTCGCCGTGGAATCTTGAATTTGGTCCGCAATATAACTTTTCGATCTGAATATGCATACTAACATATGAACCCTTTTCTCGCGATAGATGGTCTTGCTGGCTGAGAACCCGGATGCGCGAGGACCTATGATGGCTAACCATGGAGCGATCCCTCTGTTGGATCTGATCGAGAACAGCAAGCAGCCAAACCTTGTCCTCAAGCTTCTCAATATCCTCAACATGGTACGCTAGCTTGGAGTAATTAGCGGCGTTGGGATACAGCAATAACTTGCATTTGCGACCCATCTAACTAACGTCTGCTCTCTCTTATATGACCTAGGTGATTCGAAATGACTTTGCGCTGCAGGAGAATTTGTGCTTAGTCGGCGCGATCCCAGTTCTGATCAAGTACACGTCCAAGCGATACGTCAAGGAGATCCAACTCGCCGCCGCCCTCTTTATCCAACAAATCTGCCACACCAACTCCCTCACCCTCCAAATGTTCATTTCGTGCCGAGGTCTGAGCGTCTTGATCGAGTTTCTACAGGGCAACTACATGACGCAGAGGGAGCTCGTCGGGATCGCGATCAACGGTATCCACAGTGTCTTTAAGCTGCAGAGTTTGACACCCCGAAACGATTTCTGTCGACTGCTAGCGAAACAGGGGTTGCTAGATCCCTTGTCAGCGACGTTGTATAATACTCTGAGGGACCCTCAAGGGGCAGCATACACAGATAAGATTGTTCAGGTCTTGTTGATCTTTTCTCAGGGCGATTCGCCGGTCAAGGAACTTTTGGCCACCAGACAGATTGTGCATCGTAAGTTGCCATGGCTTTTGGATCGTCCTTATTGAATATATTTTTTTCGCAGTATTCTGAGCTCGTGACTGATGATACGACCTTTGCACTGACAATAGGCATGCTGAGTTCCTTGCAAAACTTGACTCCGAGTCTGTGCGTGATGATGCTAAAGTGCATCAAAAACATCTCTATGAACTCCAATACGCTGGACGTGTTGCAGAACGCGAGTGCCATCAACACCCTGGTCCAAGTCCTTGGAGAGCGCACCGGCACTTTTGACACCGTAAGTCCCATTTTCTTTGATTTAACGGCAAAAAAAGCTTTTCAACTTGAGATCCAACTTAATCACATTGCAACCTTTCTTTCACTTCACTTCATTAGAGAGAATACCAGGATGTATGTAACCATGTCTTAACGACATTGTTTAACCTTTGCAGGATCAACAAGACTCGCCAGGAAGAAGCAGCACAGGCAGGATTGATCCCTCACCTTCAACAAATTGCCGAGTCGAGCTCACCCCTCAAACAGTTTGCGCTCCCCATCCTATGTGACATGGCCCATGCAGGTCGCGCTTGCCGAAACAGTCTCTGGCACAATGACTGTCTGCCTGTTTATCTTCGCCTGTTCAAGGATCCCCATTGGCAAGTCAATGCCATGGATGCCGTTCTTGTCTGGTAAGTAACGAAACTTGTGAGCTCATTCGGTGGTTGTCATTCTTGGGTAGAAGATATACGACCCCTAACACAGCTTTATTATTTGGAATACGAAATATCGTGTAGGCTTCAGGATGAGACGGCGGACGTTGAGCAAATTCTCCTCCAACCATCCTCGCTCAACCTCTTTGTCCAGGCCTTCCTCACTGCCAAAGCCAACTCGTTCGAAAATATCCTGGAACCCCTCTACAAAATCGTTCGTTTCTCTCCCTCGATCGCCCGCGGGATCGCAGTCCCACCACTTTTCAACAGACTGTTGGACAGACTTGCTCACCCCAAGGCTGTTGTCCGGTCGAACTTGTTGCGTATCCTGAGGGCTATCTTTGAAGTCCATCCTGAACGGCTTCAGATTGTAGCCAAGTACGGAATCGCTCAACAGGTTGCTAGAATTGCGGCGGAGGATAATGCCGTGCTGGTTAAGGAGTTGGCCAAGGAGATTTTGGATGTCTTTGAGGAAAGTGATTCGGAGGGGACTTTGAGTAGTAAGGGCGATGGAGATGATGAGGGCGATGATGAGGATGATGAGGTGTTCACTGTGAGCTTTTCACGAAACCAGGGTCCCAATCATTCCTACGACTCGACTGGTGGGCTCTTTGCAGCCGGGAAAGGTTTCAAGGCTGGAGCGGTTTCTAGAGCTCTGGCGTCGACAGCAGCGGCGACAACGGCGACACCACGAAGGCTGAAGGATATTACGACTTCGGAGTTGATGCCGGATGACCTGGATCCCAACAAACGGACACCGTCACAGCGGTACCCTCAGGACGGACGGTTCAAGAGTCGGCCACCAGTCTTCCAGTATGATGTTGAGGATCTGTTCCAGAAGGATGTCGATAATCTCAATATCAAGGAGACAAGTGGGCTAGTTCTCCGTGGCAGTGGCGGCAACGATGGTGGCGCATCTGCGAGCACGCCCAAGGCGGTTGTTTGGTCTCTTCCACAACTTGTTCGGGATAGCGATGACGATTTGCGGGCGAGCAGCCCCGGATCTGAAGATGACCATTTCTTCACGACTCGCCTAATGCCCGACAGTGGCCCTTCTTCCTTGGGAAAGACCAAAATCACCGCAGCGACCTCAATACCACCAACCACAACAACCACAGTCCGCATGGCTGCATCGACAACTTTCCCACCCGACACCAACCAACACGCCCACCAAAAGCTCCGGGCGGCATTGGCCAAGGAACCAACCAAGACCGTCCGAACCGGATCACGACGTCAATACGGTCACCAGAAGAGCCGGAGTTTGGGCGAGATTTTGGAGTCGTATGTGGCTGAGTCCAAGGAGCAGAGCCATCGGTTGTTGGATGGGTTGAGGACTGAAGATCTTTCGGAGAGTATGATTTTGAGACGGGAGATGCCCAAGATTCGATTGGATCTGTTAGATCTGGATCATGTTCCGTTCAGGGGTCAGCTGGGTCTTGTTCAGTATGAGAGTCAAGAGGAGGATGGGCTGGATAAGGAAGATGAGGAGGATTCTGGAAGTGACGAAAATCAGGACGACGAGGGGGAGATGAGTGAGAGTGAAAGTGGCAGCGAGGAGGATGAAGAAAGTGAGGACGGCAGTGGGGAAGAGGAAGACGGCGAGGAAGAAGACCGATTAGTGGCTGGAGCTCTGTCGACAACGTCTCTGCAACGGATGTCCCCAAGTCCCGACCCAGTCGTCTACAGCGCAGTAACTACTTCTTCCACCAAAGAACTCGCCAAGATCCTAAAGGACCACCAACAAGGAGCCTCCACCCCCAGACGACGATTCTCCCTTGACGCTCCTTCCTCCTACCTGCAACAGCAACAACAGCGGAGTGGCCAATCTAGTCACAGCGGCAGTGGCACCAATTCGAGTGACCCCACGATCCGTATTCGGGGACCCGTCTTTGCACCTGGTGGCGCTTTGCCAGCAGGAGGGTGGCGGGCGAATCAGGACTCTTTGGTGAACATTCCATCGGTGCCTTCGTTCTCGGCGGTCGCCTCGTCTGCTACTTATGCTGGAGGGTGGAATCAACTGCTCCTTGATAGAATCGGGACTGTGGAGCCGGATGAGGACGATGCTGAGGATGAGGATGAGGATGTGAATCTGATGACTGTGAGTCGGCCTCCACCTTCTCTTCCTCAAACGGCGGCACCTGTAGTCCCCGTCGCCGCATCGTCTGGTTCACCTGGTCTACAACTTGCCGCGCGTCAGAGCTATGACGACGAGCTCGATTTCAGCGACAGTGATGATGACGATGAGGACCAAGATGAGGATGCTGAAGCCGGGGTCAGCCACAGGAACGAAAACGGCAACGGCAACGGCTACCTTATCAACGACAACGACGACGAATACGAGCATGGCCATTGGAGCGGTCAAGACAGCGAGAGCAAGTTCGCTACGTCTTCTCTCGTCGGCAAAAACACCTATAATCAAAACACCAAAAACAAGGGCAAAGTCTTGCAATCCAGGACGCCTAACGATAACGAAGATGATGATCGACATGATGACGATAACGACGAGTTGGAGGATATCAACCTGAGCGACGATGATAATGATTATGATGATGGCGATGCAGACGTTGCTCGACAGTGGGGACTCCACTCCCACCACGACATGACGGCGATAACTACGGAAACGACCATGATTGCTGAGGAAGATGAGGACACGGATGGAGGACTAGGAGGTCAACAATCGGAGGCGGAAGAAATTGATTGGGCCAAGGAAGAGCGACGCCGTTCCTCGTCGCTCACCTATACCCAGCAGCAGCAGCAGCAGCAACTATCTCCTACAACAGCCACAACAACAACCTCGGATTCACGCAACGGCACACTCCGCCGTCGCGCCAACCGTGGCCGCAGGCACCATCAGCTCTCCCTCTCAACCGCCTCCCTCTCAGCCTCAGCCTCCGCAACATCCCTCCTCTCCTCCGCCTCCTCAGCTTACTCCTCCGCCGAGGAGCCAGAATGACAATCAGAGCGGATACGGATGGAGCGGTTAGAACTTTTGGACCTAGATGTGGATGAGGACGAGAAGCGTCGAAGGATTCGACAGGGCGGTGGTCGACGGCGGCAAAGGCAGAGGACGACTAGTAGTAGTGGCAGCGGTGGGGGCCATGGTAGTGGAGGGAGTAGTAGCTCTGTAGCCCGCAACTCCACTAGTTTCCATACTCTTGCCAAGGAGATTGATCGTTGTAGTAACTGCATCATCTCTTGAGTCGAAGGGCGGCGTCTGTTGATTGAGGTGGAAGGTCCAAGGTTCTGGTTGTTCAGTTCGTATTTCGCGCATAAAACAAAAGGGCATAGTTCGTTCGTTCATAATTAAAGATACACAGCATAGAACAAGCAATATCTATATCGTTGACGCGCTTTAGTTGGCATTTTTCGCATTGCACATGTCACAAAACGAATAGCATACTATTTTTTTTGTTGTTTTTAGTTTCAATCAACAAGCTACCATTTTTTCTTTTCTTTTTTCTTTTTTCTCTTCTCTAGGACCGGATTTGTGGTCTTTTTTTATGGGATAATAGTCATAATACATCAAAGTGCAAATAAAAAAAAACAATGTCGTTCAAGCTAAGGGTCGGTCGCGATGTCTGGCGCACTAGACATTTTCTGGCCTGGGAAGAAAGCCGATCATGCCGCATTTGGCCAAGCATGAACAGGCGCGTCAGTTTCAGCACTAGATGGACTCTAGGCTAGGTCGCAGTTGAATATCACAGAAATAATAGAGCCATTCTTTTCGACCAAAACACGAAGCTTGACATGTTTTAGTTTAGGAAGAACATGGGGACTGAGTTAGATCCTCCAGCTCCGATCGGCTCTGTACACTCCATCTTTTTTTCGTTCTTGGGCCATCGTAACAACGTTTTGATACAAAAGAAATGAACATCTAGTAAAAAGTGTATCTTTTTTATTCTATCTCCAAAGAGAAACAATCTACTAGCGAAAGTCAGATGCCTGATCCAGCTTCCGAGTTTGTCGAAGCGACTTTGATAACCGACATTAAGTAAAATAAACGAACATCCCATAAAACGCGCTGCGCCCATATCCACCTTTTCTTCCTTTCCTTAAAACGATCCGCTGTTGACCTGTGAAGTCAGAAAAGAAAGAAAAAAGACGCGTTAACTACAGATTCAGGAAGAAAGTTGGCACACTCATGTCGCTCACACTTAAAAAATATTGGATGGTTGCGTATATTACCTTGTCCTTGAGGTGGCCAAGGTATTGGTGGTAGCTCATGACAGGCTCGGCACGGTCCTCAATCAAGTGGCTCAGGAACCAGAGACGGAGCGCTGGGTCGCCATCCTCCTTGATCACATACAACTGTGGGTAATACGACGATCTACGCATCTCCCGGGTCTTTGCCACAATCAAGTTCACACGCTGGTTGAAATCCGTCTCCAGTGAAGGCAGCGTCGTCTACAGTATCGAAAATGGAATAGAAAAATAGGTCAGCAATGAGCAGCGTCGTCAATAACCTTTCATAGTCGCGTGCGCTACCATATTTACCTTGCCGCCGCGAATGCTCTCGTAATTGGGGACACCAAAGAGATCGAGGCACAACTGAGGAACGGCATCACGACCGATCCACAAGAAAATGTTCTGCGAGTCTTCCAGCAGGAACAGTCCTCCGCGCTCGAGACGTTCGCTGCTCAAGTTCATTGCCATGGGCATCTCAATGCCGTTCTGGCCAATCGTGCCGCAGTTTTCAGGCATGTTATGAAGTGAGTAGAACTTGGGATGGATATAGGGGATCAAGCATTGCGAGGGCAAAGTTGAGAACAGATGCATAGCGTACGACCGAAGATCTGAAGGAATCTGAGAGCCTCCACGAAGAGCGACCTAATCAAGTGGAAATGAAAACGCGCATGTGAGAACGTCGTCCACATACACTCGAGAAACGATTTAGGTAGATAGAGATATCGAACGTACATGCTTCAGCATTCCCAAGGTCAAGAGGGGCAAGAGCTTGAGGTTGTCGCAGATCTGAAGGTTGGGCGTGGCTCCAGAAGACGAGGCAGTCATATGGGTCTTGTACACGCCCAAGATATCCACGCACTTGTTGGTCAATGCGTCGCGGGCATCGTCCAGCTTGGAATTCATACCGCGCTCGACAGCCTTGTTCGCCAACAATGTCGCAATAGCAACCTGATCTGCCGACAAATACACATCCGACAAGCTGGTGGTAACAGGGATAGCCAACGTCAACACACGAATACGGCGCTCGCCTATAGATAGAGGGTAGAGGTAACAAAAAATTGTGGATACGCGTTAGTATGAGTGCTCAAGCTCAATGTTCAAACAAGGAAAACATAGCCTGCGATTGATGACGAAAGGGTCTCACCAGAAGACGAAGTGTGCAAAAGAGCGGTCTGAAAGCAGACGATGGGGATGTGAATGTTGTCCTCGTAGCTGACCTCAATGGAGTAGGATTGGTCGCGAGGGACGTTGGGCAACGACAGTAAATCGGTCGAGCGAACGAAAAAGTTTCCGTAAAAGGCCGACATCCTGAGTCCCTTTGATGCACGAACTCTCATTACAGCCTCCAACGCAATCCTCTGCGAAACAAACTCTGCCAGTTCGTGAGCAAACTTGAGTGCATCCTCCGACTTTGCTGCTGTGAATGCTGGGTAGAAAAATGTATTTCCTCCGGTGAAACGAGGAAGACAGCCTATGATGGATGTATGAAAGCAGCAAGGTTAGATTAAAACATCGATATGAGCTGTATGAAAACGGATGAAAATAACAATACTTACTGAGGGTGGCAACGTCCGAGTACTGGGATCCAAAGAGGAACATATCCACACAGACTTGGGACTTTGAACAGTCGATGGCCAGAGTTTTGTAGAAAGAGTTTGAAGACTGTAACAACGTCGACTCCTTGGATGTACCAAGCAACTTGGGGTCCTCTCTCATCTTGAGAGCTCCAGCCTCAAGGTTGGGTAAGCTGGCCTGCAAGCACAAGATCTTGCCTCCAATGGGCGAAACAAGCTTGTAGGCCGACTGCAGAGCTGGCCCCAATGCATTGCCGACGTTCTGGGTGTCCTTGAACATCTCGTTCATTCTGTTCAAAAGTGCCTCCAGAGTAGGGCGGCACTCGCTCAAGTTGCACAACAAATCCTCGGGCTGGGGCAAGAAGGGGTCCTCCAGATCCGAAACTACCAACATCTTGGGCTCGCCCGACTCGTTCTACAAACGTAAACGAAATACTTGCTATTAATGTTTGTTCTTGAGGTACGGCAGTGGAAAATAATAAAACGCCATGACAGTATCAATTCTTACGTTGAGGTTGTAAAAGTGGATGGAGCTGTCGACAGTAATGATACCAATCTTAGTACGGCCCTCATCGTTGGGGATGCGGTCCAACGATTCCAGTATAGTGGTGGCAGCTGTTGCAACCATACCGCACTGAATAGCAGGGTACGAGACGTCAATGACGAACAAGTAGACGAGGGGTTGAGGGGGTCGGACCATGTACTCTGTAGGCGCTATGTACTCCACGACTGCATGGTTCAATTCCTTGCGCTGCCATCTGTCAACAGGTTGCTGAGTCTGAGAGTCGTAATCGAATGATGAGGGAACTATAGTCATCCAAAGATATCGAATTAGGACACAAATAGATCGCTCGGACGTCATGCACGGTCTTTTCACAAAGGCAAGTCCGATACGCAATTAATTAAATTCAGTGTTCCACTTGCCTTCGTTCAGGGTAAAGCACATATTACACTTCCAGCGCTGTCCGCCCTCAACAAACTTGACAAAAGGGTTGATGTAGGTTCTGCAACGACGGCAGCGCGCAATGATGGCGTCGGTCACAACAGGCACAGGTTCCTATAAGCGAAAATGAAAATTAATTAGAAAGGTGATTGACACAAGTAAGGAAAGACCGCAGTGGGTTTTGGTGGTAAAAGTCTAACTTACATCGCCTTCCTTGACACTGCGGTAGGGAGTGATGACAAGACCGAATGGAAGACGCGACTTCTTCAAAAGGTTGGAGTCGTTGGGAATGGCGTTCAATGTTGATCGCTTGTACGATGGATCACAGTTGGCGTGAGGAGACTGAGTGATCGACGACTAAGAATGATAAAAGGGCGTAACCACAGATATTAGCTATTGATCCCGAACTATTACTACACATACGTTGTCCCTGTATTGCTTGCCGTATCCTGTTAGATCCACTTACGTTGGCGGGGAGGTTGATAGTGGGAGGAGGGGCTTCAAGGTCGAGAATCTTGGGAGCGACACCCATCAAGGCAACAGTCGAAAGCTATCATATGCAATTGGATCAGAAGTAGAATAAGTCAGCCCTGGTATCATTGCGAGATCCTCCAATGCAAGTCAGTGAGCATTCGTCCCTTAATGATGCTCTCCCACTTACCGAGGCGCCACCCTGAGCGTTGTTAAATCCATAGCCAGATCCGACATTCATGCCTCCCATCTGGTTGGTGAGCTGGTTCACGTTGGGCTGGAGAGGCTGTCCTGCAAGAGGCTGGAGTCCTTGCTGGTAGGCTGGCACGGACTGGCCAAAGGTGGGACCTGGCTTCTCTCCAGGCACAAAGAACTGAGATCCTTGCTGACCGCCTGGTGGCATCTGGTTTCCGCCAAAACCTTGAGCAGCAGGAACTCCAGAAACAGGAGCAGGCTGAAATCCTCCATTGAGTCCGTTGTCGTATGCTGGGGCTGCGGCTTCCTGGAAAGAGTCAGACTGGGCTGTTGGGTACATGCGCTTTGGCTTGTGAGATCCTCCGCCAACAGGTGTAGGTTGGCCAAGTGCTGGAACTCCGGGATCCTGGGACTGAAGAGGCTGCTGCTGCTGTTGCTGTTGCTGATGCTGAAGTGGTGGTTGAGATGGGTGCTGTTGCTGTTGCTGGAATGGCATCTTTGGTGTAGGAGGCTGGCTCTGGTTCTGTCCAGGATGGCCCATTGATCCGATGGGTGGTGGTCCACCGGCGTTGTATCCCATTGGGTTCATGGCAGGAGAGCCTGGAGCAGTGTTCTGTCCCTGACCCATGAACTGCTGTGGAGGAGGTCTTGCCTGGATCTGGGGCGACTGGAAAGGCCTAGGCATACCAGGCGATCCGGGCTGGACCATGGCAGGACGCATCATGGGTGAAGGAGCGCGTTGAACGCCTCCAAGAGGAGGAGGTCTCTGAAGTGGCGAACCGTTCTGCATCTGGCCTCCCATGGGCATGGGTGGACGCTGGATCGAGGGTGATGGTGGTAAGGACGCGCCGCCAGCAGAAGGTCTTCTGATTTGTTGCTGGTTCATAGGGTGGTTGGGATCCTGAGGATGAGGAGGACGAGGTCCAGGTCCATTCATGCCGGGTCTGGGAACAAAGTTCTGTCCGGGATGGCCTCCATTGGCCGGGGGTCTGTAGCCCATGGGTGGGACACCTCCTGGGGGTCCGCCCTGCTGTCCTGGGGTTCCTGGCCTTGAAGGGTACTGCTGCTGCTGCTGGCCTGGGTGTTGTTGCTGGGGTCTGAATCCTTGTCCTGGATGGGGCGCCTGAGCGGGGGCAGGTCGCATGGTGGGAGTTGGGGGTTGAGAGTATGCCATTGTCGTGTATCTCTAGAACGGTCTACTGGGTGATGATGAGACGACGACGACGATGACGAAGGGAGATGATGACGATGTTGTGTCGGTGAGAAAAGTGAGAAGAAAAGAGGAAGAAAACGAGAAAAAGAAAAAAAAAGAATGGAAGAGGAGGGAGGGAAGATGAGATGGGAAGAAAGGGTGAGGCAAGGGATCAAAAGGGGCAAGAACGAGGAAGAAAAAGAAGAGAAAGAAAGGAGGGAACAAAAGGTACGAAGTATGTAAAGTAGAAAGTAGTCAGAAAGGATCAGGATTGCGTTAAAAAAAAGGATGTCGCCTTTTCCTTGGATTGTTACTTATCGTACGAGACACTTATTTCCTGTATCCTCACACAAAAGACAAGTAAGCTAGTGTGCATCATCCTCAAGGTCATCCTTCATCCATCATTCTTACTCACATGGGTAGGGTGTGAAAGCGTGTTAACTGATCCGAGGCAAGCACAGACTCAGTGTGGGTGGCAGCACAGAATAAAAGGAAGAGTGTGGAAAAAGAAAAAGGTTTGGAGAATAAGGAGGCGTCCTGGTGCTGGCTCTTGCCTGTCGTCGGGTTGCTGTTTCCTCTGAAAATATGAAGGTATGAGATGAAAGTGTCGAAGGATTGATCAGAGTGAAGGCGACAGTGGAAGGAGAGGTTCAAGACGAAAAGAAAGAAGAGAGAAAAGGGATATGGAGAACAGGACGAGGTGAATGAGTGTGAGAGAGCAAGGGGAGCAAACGCAAGAATGAAGACACCAAAAATGTGGCCTTCTAATGATTGGACAACAGACGCGTTAGCGCCACGTAGTATTATCTACACGTGACTCGGCCCTGTGGACGATATTTCTGGATCACACAGGCTCGACACGATTATCGACGTTTCTTCAAGAGAAGGACATGTCGATGGATGACCTCGTTGGAGGACTTGTAGCAGAAAGGTCCAGGGCGAGACGTGACAAGGACTTGAACTTGGTGGTTGCCCTCCTTCACTCTCTCTTTGTCCGTGTCTTCCTCCTTGCCCTTGCCCTTGACCTTGTTCTCGCTGCTGTTACCGTCGCCTTTTGCAAAGTCTGTGACGAGCTTCCCTTCACTCCTCTTGCCCACGATGAGTCGGATACGTGGTGGTCTGGGAAGTCTTGGACCTACTGCAACTGCTTTCACTCCCCTGCGCTTGGCCAGTCTGCCTCTGCCTGCCTTTGTAGCAGCCTCGTTCTTGCCTGTGCCCAATAAGCCTCCTTCCTTCTCCACGGCTTGTTCAATCTTCACCAGGGACATGCTGGGACCCATTGACTCCGAATTCTGGGTACAATCTTTGACGACCTGCTCGCGGTCGTCATGACGCTGTTCCTCTTGTTTAACCAGTAACAATGACTTGTCGGATGTGGTGGCGTCGTCCGCTATAGTAACCTTGCAACCTTGGTGTTGGCTTATATGTCGACAAATAAAACCCCCCGACAACAGCAGGAAATGCAGTTAAGAGTGTCTCCTATGTATATGCGGGCAAGTGGACGAGAGCCGAAGGAGTGAGCGCAGGCATTATCCCCATTGGAGAATATTACTGAAAATTGGTGGCAAAACCCCTCTGCACACCTCAATCAAGGTGCAATAGGACGGCTTGCCTCGCACAGAGTCTTGTTCACGACAACCCTAGAGCTCATGCGGGGGGGAGGAAGCAAGGTAGTTGCCTTTCTTGACCGAGCCTTCTTCGTGGTGAAGGTTGCCTCGAGGGACGATCTTGGTGGTTGAGATGTTGGCGATGAGTCCTTTAATGAAGAGTTGATTGCAACTAAGGTTTCGAGCTTGAGGAGCGTATCTAACTGTGAAGCCGTTATTGATATATCTTGATCTGTAGCCTCAAGAGTCTCCTGCGTCAACTGTAAGGGAGAACTCGAGGGCGAAGCGCATGCAGCAGAGGCTGCAGCAGCATGTCCCGACCCCGATCCTGCGCCTTCTTCCTGTCCGTGTAGATTTGTCCGAGACTTGAACCGGTCATCCGAGATTTTTTTGTTCCTGCAGCTGCAGTTGGAGACCTATGGGTCGTAACATTAGAGTGTATCATAATCATAATGCATGCAGAAGAAGAGAAGAGAAAATATCATAATAAGATATTCGGACGGCCTGCTCACTCTGCTCACTACTCTACGGGCAGTAATAGTGTACATTACCATGAGCTGTTGTCGTTGACGCCTTCTTGCCCAATCTTGAACTTGGCGCCGGACTCGTTTCCATAAGCGACGTTGGTGGGTCTTGGAAGGGGTATTATCTGTCTAGCCATCTGGATGTCGGGTTGTTGAGCGAAAAGGAAGGAAGGAGGCAAAGGTTGCTGGCTGTTCTAACCAAAGAAAAAGTTGAGAAAAGCCAAATTTTGGTGGCAAAGAAAAGTGTTTTTTGTGATGAGATGATTTTCGCTGTTGTTGGGCTCACCGTTTTGATTTGTTGCACGGTCAATTATCCACACAACCTAGCAAGGAGGTCTACAGCGCAGGGAGAAGGTCGTGATTGCAAAGAACAAGAACGCACAAGCCCATGGGGTACTCGGGGGCATGGTGTTTTAATTATGCTGACTGTTGCCTGCCATGCCCTGCGCAATCCTCTCTCTCTCTCTCGCTTGGGCTTTAATTCTTTTTGTTATTTTATTTTTGCACAGACAGAGAGAAAATGGGAGAAGCAAAGCACCATCCATGTAGAAATACCTAATTGCATTTGAACCACGAGGTGTGCCCTGTTTACAATGTCTACAATATCTCAGTCCCGTGTTCCCTTCCTTGCTTGTCTCTTCATTTTCATAAGCCTGTTTGTCATCTCTTTGGTTTTGCAAGGGGGATGCTATTCTTGTCAATATCCCATCGTTTTTTGTATTCGCGTGGGGGTGGCTGGGATGGAAGACGAGAGCAAAACAAGAAAAAAAGAGAGAGAGAGAGAGAGAGATCTACCAGGTGACCATCGTGTCTTTCTCTCTCCCTTTTGCAAATTAGCTAGCATGCTCTTATGTCAACCTCCCCTTTCGCTACTCCCCAAAAAGTTTCGATCTCTTTCCACAGACGCCGATGAGTAAGTGTGCATACTGATGTAAGGTAAGGGTAAGGGAAGAGCAAACGAGTTAATAACAACTAAAACCAAAAAGAGCTGAGGGGGAGGATGAATGTCTTGTGGTAGACAGAGATATGTATAACGGCAGTATACAGTGGGCGGAAAAATAAGGGGACGGTAGCTAGAAACGAAGATGAGGGTGAAGTTGTTGAAGGAGAGAGGGAGAGAGAGGAAGAAGGAGACAATGGGCTTGTACCAACGGGTACTTTTCACTCGATACATCCACCTTTAGAGAGGATTGCGCCATGTGCAAGCAAGACAGCGACAGAGACAGAGACAGAGACAGAGAGATATATCGTTGTGAGTGTACAAGCTCCAGCGTCAAAGGAACAAACAAACAGCAGGATGTGACCCCATGGCCACTCCTCTGCATACATACCCTCTCTTCTCTTCTTTATCGCCATCAATCACCGCACTTATTCTCCTCGGCGCATTTTCTCGTCTTGTCCGCCTTTTTCTTCTCTCTCTCCCCCTCTCTTTTTTCTTTTCTTTTCTTCTCTTCTTCACGTTTCCCTTTTCCTTCACTCCTCCTTCCCTCTCCTTCCTACCTCTCCCTCCTTCCTTCTTTCCTCTCTTCTTCTTTTCTTTTATTCATTCCTTTCCTTTCCTTTCTTCAGTCCCTTTTTTTTCCTGCTCATTCATTTCCCACACGCTTGCCTTCTTTCACTCTCACACTCTCTGTCTCTCTCTCTCTGTACATTACTCCTTCTCAACGAATAAAACGACATACCATACAATAACGACACCGACAGAACACAATGGGACAGAACAACTCAACCCAGTCAAGGTCAAGCAGGCGCCAAACCTCGGCTGCTGCCACTTCCTCCTCAAGGACAAGGAACCTTCGCTCTTCCTCTACTACTGCAACGACCACCCCAGGCTCACACCTCCCGTCGCCTCCTTCTTCCTCTTCCTCTTCTGCTTCTCCCTCGCCTCCTTTGCCTCCCGCCACACCTTTCACCAACAACAACAACAATAACGGCAGTTCTGCCCGTTCTGTTGCTGCTGCTGCTGCTGGTGTCCTTGCTCACTCTTCGTCCTCACCTCTTCCACCTACAACCACAACGAGTTCAACCTCAGGGATAATGACCTCAACGATACCTCACGGCTATTCTCATTCACTCCTCCACCAATACCCTCCTCGTGCGAATACCAACCACATTCATTCGAATTCACCTCATTCACACCACCACCAAAACTACAACTCAGCCCAACAACAACAACAACAACAACAACAACAACAGCAACAAAGACCCGGCACAAGTAACACTCTGCCAGCTAACTCCTCCTGTCCTATCTGGCACGATCACCATTCAACCGTGCCCGGGTCTGTTTCAGCAACATCTACTACTGTTGCTGTCACTGGGGCTTCTCCTTCCTCTTCCTCTTCCTCTGCTACAGCGCCCTCGCGTGTCCTTCGCTCAACCACCCGACGACGACGACTTCTTTCGGCGTTCTACCCTCTCCTCTCTCGAAACAGTAGCCGCCGAGGGGATACAACTGCTCCTTCTTCCCCTGTTTCCGCTGAGCCAAGCACGAGTCATACCCAGAGCCAAAGCCATGGTCAGAACAATCGTTTGACAAGCAACAGCAACCCAACTCCCAACACCACCCCTGAAACTCGCCAACCCCGTCATCGCCAACCAGACCGCCCTCTCTCCCGAAACGGCCTCCAACCCACTCAGTCCACCAGCCGCTCGTCCCGTGGACGCAGTCGAGTCCAACGAAGGTATGACGAGCAGTCCATACGAAGTCTGCGATCGACCTCCAGCCGTTCTTCCAGCGTCTTGACTTCACCCCCTTCTGCAGCACATGCAACGGGTGCAGCTGCAGCTGCATCCATGGTACCACCGACATCCATGCATTCTCCGATATATTACCATCACCCCTTGACCCCACAGACTGAGCCCATGGAGCTCGATCACGGAGTACACACCTCAATACCTTTTCCCCATCATTACCAGCAGCCTCAGCATTACCACCAATATCAGCAACACATACATCTGCAGCAGCCACAACTGCAGCAGGAGCAACACATGTCTCTCGATCCTCACGGCGCGCCTGCGCACCTTATGCCTGCCGATCACGCCACGCCCACTCGAATGACTGTGGCACGATCCAGAACAGAGGACTCGGTCTTCAGTGGGCGTTCAGCTGGCGTCCCCACAGAGGCCAGTCTGGGCTCTCGTTCAGAAGCCAGTCACGCCTCTAATTCGTCAAGACCTGATCCCAGCAGCCATATTCGTTTTGGGGGACTCTTTGTCGGGCTGTCCAACTCACGGGGCGGTACCTCAATTTCGTCTAGTCTCATGCCTCTCCAGCCCAACTCTGAGGACGAGGACGATTACGGTCATACTGCAGAGGACGACCGGAGTCAACGAAGAGCAAGTAGTCTCTATCACCATCTCGACCTTGGATCCACAGCCACGGACACCGAACAGCAACATCAGGGAGCAGGACCAAGGGCTTCAGCAGGAGAGAGTCGGCGACCACGTCCACCACGGGCCAGTCGATACCCACCTCCCGACCTAGTTGCAGAACTGATTCAAGGACAGTTTGAACAAGCATTGACCGAATCTGGCGCGACAGCATCATCTACCCCTACCATTCCTTCAGGTGTACCGCTCGCCATTTCAGCTACTACGCCATCAATACCAACTGAGGCCAGCCCGTCATGGACAGAGTCTATACAACAACAACAACAACAACAACAACAACAACATCAACATCAACATCAACAACAACAACAACACCAACGGGCAGCTCCTTCAGATCACCTGACAACTCTGCCGCGACCCAACTCTTCCAGCACCTCACTGGAGACAGTCAACAATAGCACTGCCGCTGGCGAAAGTCACAGGGATGGCTCTACAAGCGCAGGAAGCAGTACGAGCGAAACCCCGTCGGATTCAGCCTTGGGCGAGGACCTCTTTGGTCGCAGGAGTACGAGGATACACAGGAGACGCCTTCGATCATCTAGCTTGCGAGGTCTCTTGGGATTCCAGCCGATGAGCAGTGTCGTGACTGAGGAGCGCTTGGCAGGAACTTCTACCGTTGAAGGCGAATCTTTACCAGAACAGCGCAACAGAGGCACTCAAGGACCCAATGGAAACTTGGATAGGCCACGACTGGTTGAGACGCGATTTTTTGCTCGTCTGATTGCAGAGCTTGGGCGTGGATTACGTGGTCATAGCGCGCAGACTTTGGAGAGTAGTGGTGATCGCGTTTCAAGTGGATCCACAGCTGTGGCCACTGCTCCCACAGAGTTTGCCACGGAGCCATCATTGTCGTCGAACAGCGCCACCAATGAGATTGCTGACTCGACAGGAACAGAAAGCGGGACAACACCCGCAATGCCACTTTCAACGGCAATGGAAACCACTCCTGCGACGGATGCAACATCATCATCAATGGACGGGTTGACCACAGAACCTAGCCCGCCTGTCCGTCCTCGAAGACATACGACCATCCGGTTTATTCAGATTGGAGAAAGTGGGCGATTTGACCTTGGAGGAGGAAGACGATCGAGGAACCGTTCCACCGGGACAGGACTGGGATCTCTTCGAAGCGATTCTCCGGAAGGTACAACTGGACTAGCACGGGAGGACCTTGCAGACGCGATCATCATGTTGTTGAGCAATGCGAGCACTACTACCGGTCTAGAAGGCGAGTCCTCTGATAATGCCCCGGATGGACCCGAAGGTTCAAGGCCAGGAAGGTCTCGACGATCCCCCTGGCTTGTCCTCACCTTATCAGGAGCATGTAAGACACAAGTGTCTCTTTTTTTTTTTTTTTTTTTGCCAATGTTTTAACGATGTTTGATTATGTTTCTCATGCGATTTTTTCATGCTTGGTAACTGAAAACAAAATAGTCCTCGGCAGCCTGCTGGCAGGCTCTGGAGGAGAAGAAGAGGAAGGTGGAATGAGCTATGATGATCTGTGGGCGTTGTCAAACTTGATCGGACCTGCGAGACCGACGACGACGACGCAGGAGGCGATTGACAACGCGGGTTTCCATGTGGGCCAGTTTGACGATGCATCCAAGGGGATGCGCGGGTTTCATACGCTAGGTGATGGTTCCAAGTGTCTTGTCTGTATGAGTGACTATGAGGAAGGCGAGGACATGAGGGCGTTGAGCTGCAAGCATGGTTTCCATCAGGAATGCATCGACAAGGTATATTTCTTAATTCTGGATGCGAAAATGTAGTGTTGTTGTGTTATGCATGCAGACTAGTGGGGTATTGATGCTTACCAACTCCCTTTTTTTCTGTTGACATGCACCTAAACAAAAAACAGTGGCTCACAACGGGAGCGAACAAGTGTCCGGTGTGTCGAGCAGCAGCTGTGGTCTCGTCTGAACCTGTGGCGACGGCAGCTGGGCCACTGGCCAGTGAGGAGTGAGGAGTGAGCGAACCAAGCAAGGCCGAATATATATCCCATCGATTGTAGCTGGCCCCTCTCCTTTGTACAGTAACAACAACTACAAAAAATAACGAACACTGAAAGAATGAATCGTGTTCTCCCTCCACTGTCGTTGTCCTTGTGATGTGTTTGAATGCTCAATTGAAGAAGAGTACTGTACGAAAGAGAGAGAAAATGAGCGTCGGATACGATCGTGGTACAAACAAATGATAGCGGTAATGCGTTTCCGTCTTTCTTCTCACTCTTGTTTATGTGTCCACACGCCCTTATTGCATGGCGCTGAGCAATTGGGGAAGAATCCATTTCATTAGAACGAAGGCCGCCCATTGGGTGTCCACGCCAATTGTCAACTTTGGCGGGGTGCAGTACCTTTTTTTCACTCTCCAGCCCTTCCCTTGGTTGGGCGTTGTGCCCTGTAGTAATTTCAATCCCCGTCTGTCTGTCAATGTTGTTATCGCTTATTTCTTCATTTTTTCTCTTCCTCTTCCTAAGTGCACTATCTTCCTTAGCCTCACTTTTCTCTCCCTCACACCCTCTGTCTTATTTTCCCCTGATCATCCATCCACTCTCTCATCACCCTTTTCACCTTTCATAATCTTACTTCACCTTCACCCAACCTCATCACACCGACGACCTCCTCCTTCGTCATCCTCAAAAAAAAAGAGCGCCGAGGCTCATCAACAATCTCAACATGAGTTTACCCCGATTCCTTCGAGGCCTCCAAAAGAAGCCAGCAATACCTGTTCACCCTGACCCCAATCTCTCCGACTCCAGTTCATCGTCCTCTTCCAGTGAACCCAAAGATGCACTCGGGTTCCCCATCCCTGTCTACACCGTCATCACCCCTACTACAACATCTACAACGACTTCTGGAAACGACAACAATAGCAGCAATCCAGGACCGATGGATATTGTCACCCCTAATTATCGACTCTCGGCAGCCTCAGTGGTTTCCTCGGCAAGTTCCTTGGTAGCAGCAGACGCAGACTCGAGCTTCTTTACCCCGACCATTTCTGTCGTCCCTTCTGGGAGTCAATTGGTGACCAACGACAATAACAAAAAAAACACTAACAACAATAAGGCCTGGAGCAGATCTTCTCGGTCTTCGTCCGTCTCCTCAGTCAACTCTTCCTCCTTCCACCACCGACCCGCTGGTTCCACAACAACCACGACGACCGTCGCGGCCAAGGACAACGCTCAGTTGATGTCTAAATCTTTCCCCTCAACCTCCCCCCTATTCCTGTCTCCTCCTCCTTCTACGACTCTCCCCTCTATCCCTGTCCTTACTTCAACAGCAACAGTGTCGACACCGACGGTCAACCTGACGTCGCCTAGCCAAACCCGCCCACCTCAGATCATATACCCACCCAGCACCTCCTCCTCAGTCACCAATACCACTACCGCAGTTACCACAGAAACCGCAACAACAGAAACCGCAACAACAGAAACCGCAACAGCCAAGCCGACAAAGACAACGATGGGGTTTGATATTGTGGTCTCGTATGTTGAGGACCAGACGGATAGTGGTAGTAGCAGTGGTGCATCGAGCAAGAGAAATTCTCGTTCGATGACGATTGCAAGCGACATAGGTGGGTTTGGTGGCGTCAATCAAATGCAGCAATTTACAGGAGCAGGAGGGTCTGAAGCAGAAGCAGGGGGAGTTGGAGATGGCGTCAAAAAAGGCGGTAAAACCGGGCGAATCCGATCCAATGCGATTGCCCAGCAGCAACCACACCAACAGCAGTTGCAGCCACTACCACAACAACAACAACAACAACAACAACAACAGCCTCTTGAAGGTGACGACTACCATGCGAAACGAACTTCTGCGACTTCTTCAACTTCTTCGTCTTCCTCTTCCTTGTCCTCCTTCTCGAACAACACGGGCCCAGACGGAGACTCGGCGGCGGAGGCAGGAGCAGCGGTGATTCAACGTGGACCCCACTGGGGTAATAACTCTGATCTGGAACAGCCACCTGAGACCTTGCCTCGCGATCTGGTTGGTGCATCCGTTGTCGTCCAGGAACGTACAGCCAGGAAGCCGAAGCACAACAGCGACAACGGCAATAGCAAATCGACGACGATATCTTCTACACGCTCAAGATCATCATCGACTCCTGCTGCCGGTGAGCCTGTGTCATCTTCCTCTTCCTCCTCCTCCGTTTCGGCAACAGGATCTGGTTCAAATTCAATGGCAGCATCTCGACCCGTCTCTATCCTGAAGCATACTCAGCCACTCCCGCCACAAGCGCAGCAGCGACCCAAGTCGATCCTACGTATGCGATCAGGAAGTCACCCGTTGCTCCCAGCCACTTCGCGTCCTGTGTCAATGTCATTCTCTGAACCAACCAGCCCACAACACTCGCCGACCAAGAGCACGTTCCCTCCGACAGCGCGTCTTTCAATCACATCGGACACTTCGTCCTTGTCTCGATCTTCTTCTTTCCTTCAACAGGATCCTATGGAGCAGCAGCCTTCGCCAATCATTGGGGCTGTGAATACGACGACAACATCATCAGCGACAGCTGCTAAGAATGGTAGCAGGAGGGGTAGTGCTCAGTCGTCGCATCGTCGACTCTCTTCCAAGGATCTGGAGGGCACTCGTTCAGGTACAGTACTTGCTATTTGTGCAGTCAATTATTGTTGGGAATCTTTTTTTTTTTTTTTTTTTTTTTTTTTTTTACCACGGTGTCTGTATGTGAAGCGGGGTGTGGAGGTTCAGGGAATGAAGAGCGGGGGTTTAAATGATAAGCATCTTTTTTTTTTTTTTTCCTTTTCCTTCCCGCTCTCTTCTTTCTCGGAGGAATATTGTCTTCATTGCCACCACCGACTCTGTCTGTCTTTCTTTGTTGTATCTTTTACTTCCTCTCTCCCTCTCTTTTGTTTTTTTACTGTGACAAATAACAGTAATATACCCCGGTTTAGAGGAAGAGAAAGGCCGAGCCATAAAGGAGGAGGAATGAAAATAATGAAAGAGAACAGATATTGATCATCCTCGGCCTTTCGAAAAAAAAAAAAAAAAGTGGAGTTGTGAAGGAAGTGAACTTGGATAAAGCAAGGCCAGGTACTAGATTATTGTGCCTTCAAACAGTAACAGAGATGATTGACCAACAGCAGCTAGCAGTAGTAGCATCTTGGGTACTGCAGCAGGCACCTGGGAAGCCATGTTGTCGTTGACGCCCTGAATGCGAGGGGGTGGGAGAGAAAGGTAAAAGGGAGAAGGGGGAGGGAGAGGGAGCACGACAATGATCAAGGAGAGGGTGAAGAAGGTGAGAGCGAGCGGACAGGAGGGGGAAATGAGGAAAGAAGGAGAGAGGGAAGGGGTGATATTTTGAGCTAGGCACGGACGGGGTGACTTGGTTGACAAAGAGGCAAAGGAAAGAATGAAAAGAAAAAAAGAAGGGATTTCAGGAGACAATTGCTTGTCCGAGTAGAGTTGGGCATTCAAACCTTTATTGTGTTTTTTTCGACGGTCATGACTGATTGGGATGAGAGTAAAAATCGGGCCATGGAGTGGGGCCATAGGTTGTTTCTTTTTTCGATTTACATTGTGCTGAAGCATCCTTGGCTTGAAAAAAAGGAGCAGAGGAGGGGTAAGCGAATGAGTAGAGTGTCGTGTTTGGTGTAGAATGAAGAATGAAGTGGATAGTGTGGCATGAAATCGGTGCAGGAAAGATGACAAAAGCAGGAAAAACAAACAAACACAACAACGGTCTGGGCGAGGGATGTGGGTTGAGGGATGTGGGCTGGGACGAGTTGGGTTGGGGGGGCTCCAGCGAGCGCATGATCGAGTTCACGATGCAAACAAACGAGATAAAAAAAAAAGAAATGCTTCTTTATATATTTATTTGCATATATGATGGATCGGATGCTTATTTGCATTAATGGTTTTTTTTCACATCGTGTCTTTGTCGTTCCTTGTTGTCGCTGTTGTTGCGTCGTTATCCTTTTTATTATGTTTTGTTTTTCTCGTTCTATCTCTTTTCCGCTCTTCTACCCTCGTTATTCCCTCGTCGTTGCACCTTCTCCTTTCCTTGTCTCTCTCTCTCTTTTTTTTCCCCCCTTCTTCCCTCTCTCTCTCTTCCTTCTCTTCCTCTCTTCCTTTGCTTCGTTGGCGAATCCCCTCCAAGAACAATTCGCTCCCCCTCACTTGTCACCTTGCTCTCGACCAAAGCACGACACCACTTTCTTTTACCCTTACAATCCTCATCCCTACCGCGACTCTTCCCCATCACTTTTGCTATCCTGCTATCACGTCATCATCCTCATCGTCCTCATCATCATCATCACACACAGCAAACACAGATATCTATCTCTCGACCCCATTTTCACGTTTTGACGACCTTTTTTTCACGACCAATCCTTCTCGACACGACGCTCACCACCACCACACGCATTACACGCGCCTTTTTTCGTTTTAGTTGGTCTCGGTAAATACTTTGAAAGGGAGCAGAGAGCAGATACAGAGAGGAATGGAGACTTTCTGAGACACTGTCAAAAAAAAGTGTCAATCGCAAACATGGAACGTTATGGTTCGCCTTTTTTTGCTCTTTCGTTGTTGTTGTTACACACATAGATCGATCTACTGTTGCTTGTTGCTTGATGCTCAAACAAGTGGTGTTTCCCATTGGCTTGGCTGTGTGTATATGTGTGTATTTATCACAGTTCAATCTCTTTGGGTGGTCCGGGTGCTGCTTTTTGTGTCTCGTACCTGAATATCAGTGTGTGTGGGAGAGAGAGGGCAGCATCGAAGTGAGGTGATGCTGGGAGGCGAGGGACCGGAAAGGAAGGGTCGAGGAGATGCGATGCAGATGGGTGGTTCGTTGCTGTTTGTCAGGGACAAAATATAGCAACAACAATAGCGAAGGGATAAACGGACGGACGGACTAAACAGGGACAGGGACAAGCAAAAGTGAGGATATGAAAGAAAAGACAGGGCAGGGAGACATCTCATACACATACACACAGGGAATGGAGGGTTAATGACAAGAGAGTGAGAGAGAGTTACGAGGATAACAAGAATGAGAAGGACAGCGGTGGTTCCTTGGAAGTGCAAAGGAAAGAACATTGGATGTGGTTCACAAGGGAAAGAACAGAAGGAACATCAACAACGAATGAAAATGGGTTAAAATGCATATCAGTCTCACTTTTCCCTTCTTTTCTTTGTGAAATTGTCTCATACTTTTATGTCTCTTCCTCGTCGCCATCAGACAAACAATCTAACAAACCAATCAATCTCTTCTTTCCTTTTCTTCTTCCTCACCTTTTCCTTCCTTTCACTCTCTTTTTTTATGCTTGTCCCCATTTCACTTGCATCCTCTTCACCTCGTTTCTTTCTGCTCACCACTCACCCTTCCTCTCTCTCTCTCCTCTCGCACTCTATTTACAATTTACCCGCCCTTTTTTGTACCTTTCAATTGTTGTGCTCATAATATCATACATTCACGTACATACCCAACCCCACTTTGGGCTTCTGCTCTTATTCCTCTTCACCTATTCTTGTCACTCCTTATTTCTTCTTCTCGCTTGCTCTCTGCTCTTTACCTTACTTTTTTTATTCTCTGCATTACACACACACTTTCTCGCTCTCACTCTTTATTCTTTTTCTCTCCTTCTCCCTTTTTCTCTCTTTCCTCCCTTCTCTTTCTCTATCTCTCTCTCTCTCTTTATATCTTCTTCCCCCTTCACAGCCAACTTGTCCCCAAGCAGCTTGCCGTCAGAACACTCTCGACCACGAAACCCCTCCTCAACCACACAACATATGAGGGCAGATCACGACGAAGACGACAACAACAACATTGACAACAACAATAACACCTCAAAACGGCGGCAAACCCCACAGGATACCCTCGCTTCAGGAGCCTCTCCTGTTTCCAATCGTCTTTCCTTCCCTTCCCTCAACGACTACAATCCTTTGGGTACCTCTGCTTGTACCTCAACCGCCTCGTCAACCACTACAACAACGACAGCCATGGCCACCCCACTTGTCGCCACGGTCCCTCCTGAAAATTACATCCCTCTCACCCTCAAGAGCGTCCGCGCAGCAAAGTCCAGGAACAAACTTCGACAAGAGTCCCAGATCGGAGTGGCGACTGGTATCCGACGAAACTCACTGCCAAAATCAGCTCTTACGACGACGACGAGTTCAGGGGGAAATGAAGGATCAATAGCTGGATTTTCGTCAATACCACCTCCTGTCAATCACCTCCCGCCTCTGCCCACCACACCGTCCACCTCCAACAACAACTACGTCTCTGACAATTTAGAAATGCCAACGCTGCTGAATGCAAGTCCAGGCAGGCGAAGGGCGACCTCCCCGTCGATATTGTCGCCCCTTCATTCCCTTCCGACCGACCCTTCCCCTTCCTTGTCCTTGTTCTCCTCCCCCTCTGCCGCTGTTGCCTCTTCATCACGCAGGCGTGAGAGTTCCACAGCGTCGACGTCTGGACTTGCTCATATGCCCGTCATCATGCCACGACCCATCCTCAAGGACACTTCTTCCAGGGATAAAGTGCGCGAGAGCTGGATGTCAGATGTGCCTGGAATCACGATATCAGGAACATCGACTACTGGTGGTAGCAATCGATCAGTTGTCGGCAGTGGAGGAGTTCCATACTCTCAAGGGCCAGTCTCGCCGTCGCCCGTGGCGCCACCCAAGAGTCTGGCTAGAGCCAACAGTGCCGGCGCAAAGCGACCGTCCAGGCTGAACCGACACTCTGAAACAGATCACGACCAGGATGCGCTGACACCCAGGCCGCGGCAAGGAAGCTCAGGATACGGGCCCGATTACCGACCTCGGAGGCAGAGTGGTGGGCCAGGCCATTTGTTGTTCACGTTTGATGTGTCGGCGTCTTCGAGTGCCGACTTTGAGAGTGAGGAGTACGAGGACAGTGAGATCGACGATCGGGAGGAGTTGTATTCCAAGCATTTGCAGGCGCAGTACACCCGGCTTCAGCAATCGCAACTTCGCCAATCGTCCACGGATGGTGGTAGTGCTCTTTCGGCGGCAGTTATGGCGGCAGGATCAAGATTGCCGAGCAATGGCGGCGAGCACAATATCCCATATTTGGCGAAGCGTGGACAGCGCAAGTCGCTGGGAGATGAATTGGATTTGCCACCTGTGCCCGAGAAGAGCATGCAGAGGAAACGAGTGTCGACCATGGGCTCGACGACCTTGCCGGCCATGTCGACTTCATTGGCTTCAGCCCTCTCTGTTGCCAACAACTCCTCCAACTCCGGGGCGTCGGAGGCTCTGTCATCCATTACCCGTTCCAACACGACTGGTCACCAGAAGCTCAAGGGACCGTATGGAGGTGGGGCGATTGGTGGAGGAGGAGCCATTGGAGGAGGTGGTGGCAGTATTGGCGGCAATTCATTGTCGTTTGAGCCGCTCTTTGCTCTCAAAGATTCAGGATCAGACAGTAGCAGCAAACGAGTAGGAGGAAGCGATTCGAAAGTACTGTTGCAGGGAGGTGGAGATGGTGGAGCTTTGGGGAGCCGACTCTCGGAAGTCTCGGATGCTGATTGGTCCACGGCTCTCTTGACCATCGACCCTAACCAGCAGGGCGTGTCTATCATGGATCTGAGTAAGAGGGGACTGACTGAAGTTCCCTCGGGTCTGCCGTCCAGTAAGTGTTTGTTGATCTCTTGGAGTCTTGTTGCTCAGTTATTTGGTTGAACGGGAAGGATTATGAAAACGGAGCGAGATAACTGTGCTGTCACCACCCACTAACAAAACGAAACTGGAAACCATGCTCTGCTTGGCCTTTGTTACCCTTGTTTTTTTGTCTCTGCTAGCCATCACTCATCTGCGCCTCGCCTACAACTTGGTCCAGATCCTGACGCCCATCACCAGTCTGACGGTTCTTCACCATCTCCAAGTGCTGGACTTGTGCGACAACCAATTGGAGATCCTCCCTCCCGAGTTGGGTCTGTTGACTCGTCTGAAGGAGCTCTATCTGTCGAACAACAAGCTGTACAAGCTGCCCGATACCATCCAGCGAATGGCTCGCCTGGAAGTTCTCGATGTGCGGAATAACCAGTTCTATCTTCTGAGTAAGTGCTTTTTTTCTTACCCTTGTTACTCACTTTCTTGCCCCTCCTTTCCTCCCTTCTTTTGTTGATCCTTGTACTTTTGTACTCCTCATTACCTCGTGGTTCTTGTTCGTCCCGCCAAATTTTTTTCTTGCCTTTTGTCTTTTTCTTGCTTTTTTGACCCCTTGATTTCGTACATTTGATGCTGTTTTATAACTCGCATATTATCAAAAAATAATAATTTCGCGCTGACCAATGGTTCACTTTTTGTAATCTACATAGATCCCATTGTTGGACGACTCAAAGCCCTTCGTCAACTGGATGTAAGGCATAACCAGCTCAAGTCCCTCCCTCCATCGCTCTACATGCTCTCGTCAACCCTCACACTCCTCTTGGTCGACGGAAACCAGTTTGTCCAGCCCTTCTCAGACCTGCTTCAACCCCTCATGTCGGACGACACCGATTCCCAGGCCTCGACGTCTGCACGCCAGTCCTACCTCGGCGATGACCCTTATGGCGATTCTGGAAACAGTTCTGGCGTCAGGAAGATGTCTACAGGAGGAGGAATGTATGAACCATGGAGGAGGTCGGTCGCTCCTCTGCAGCCTAGACGTGGCAACAATGGCGGTGTCCCTGTTCTGGCCAAGCGTCGATCTCATGGCGATTTGATGACCCTCATTGGTCTTCAGAAGCGGGACAGTAATGCCTCGACGGACGACCTACTGAACTCTGCTGCCTTGGATTACAACAACAACAAGTCCAACACCATCTCGACTTCTTCTGGAGCGTACATCGCAGCCTCTATGGGTACCGACGGTGCAGCTGCAGCGGCTACTAGACGGGAACGGTCAGTCTCGACCTCGACCCTGACGCCCCTGACAGAGATACATTCTTCGTCGCCCCACCCCTTGTCGTTCAGCAAAATGTTCAAGTCGATTCGCAAGAACAGCAAGGCATCGTTAAAGGACAACAACAACTCTTCAGCTACGGTCTCGGCCAGGATCAACGACCCCAAGCGCTACTCCTTCAGCAGTGATGTCGACCTTTCAGCGGGAGATCTCGAGTCGGAGGCATCTCACCCTCAGGAGCCAACAGAGTCCAAGCCCAACTCTCGTGGATCCAACCATGGTGTCAGCAGGAGAGCTACCTCGGGAGGCATCAACAGGTGGGTCAAGGACCGGTTCCATAAGCGGACCAACTCTAACGAGCTCGGCAACCTTCAGGCCAACAACGCGTCCATGACTTCCCTTCACTCCAGCAACGGCGGTGCTTTGGACCTGTTGGATGGACAGCAACCTATCCGGGATTCTGGATATGGAGTTGTCGGCGGTAGTTCGACCCCGACCCCTGAGCTTGGTGCTTCGACAAGGATCATTGGAAACCGTCATCAGAACAAGAGCACAGGACATTTGCCCTTGGGAAACCCCTTTGCCTCTCGCGACGGTACCCACCAGCTCTCGTCTTCTTTTGACCCTTCCCAGAGGAAAGAACGCGACTACCGGTATAGCTACATGAGTATGGAGAGCCAGGTCACCCAGGGAACCGAGATTGACTCTGAGGCGATGGATCTGGATGCATTTTCTCAACAGCAGCACCGGCTGTCGTCCGTTCATTCGCCTACGACTCCTCTCCCTTCGTCGCCTATCATGGGACTTTCGAGCAACCAGTCCGCAGGACCAGGTAACAACTGGAATGCGGCGACTCCTCGGTATGGCCAGAGTGCAGCCCACATCAAGCCTCTGATGCAATACCTCAAGGACCTTCACGACCTTGACCCTGATTCTTCCGAGTGGGAAGAGGTTTACGCCTGGCGTCGTGTCTGGAACGCTGAGCGCGCGGCGCCTGCAGGATTGGGCGGCGGCAATGCCAACACCCCTGCTTCTTCCCAGGCCAACAAGGACTCTGACGAACCTACGGATGATGCGATTCTGGAGCAGGAGAAGCAGGATCAATTGGCCAAGAGCGAGGAGGTTCGTCTGGCCAAATTGCGGGCTCAGGCTTCAAGACGTCGCAGGATTGTTGAGGAGATTATGACGACTGAGAGGACCTACGTTGAGGGGCTCAAGGGGTTGGTTGAGATCTATCTTACCCCGGCCTTGCAAATCATGCCCCCCGGTGATCACAAGGCGGTCTTTTCGAACGCCCAGGCAATCTATACCTTCCACGCGAACCATTTCTTGCCCGAGCTGGAGAAGGCGTACAAGATCTCGCAGTTTGAAGCTGCAGCTGCTTCTGCTTCCCAGCAGGGTAAGGACACCTTGGCGGCGCAGATGATGAGTCCCGTCAGCCCTGTGCCGACTTCATCTTCCCAGTTCTTGTCGGACCCCTCCGCCCCTTCTTCGGCTGCTTCTTCGTCCACAGCTTTGGTCCCCGACAGTGGATCCAAGCAGGCCTCTGACATCTCTGCCATCAGCAGCAGCCAGGAGCAGCAGGATGAGACAACCAACCGGGACTCCCAGGCCCTCTCCGAGTCATCTGCCACCGCGCCGACCACACCTGCCACTTCCGCGACAACAGCGATCAAGGTTGAGGACAGGATCGGTCGAGTTTTTGCCGAGCACGTGGCTTATATGAAGATGTACAGCTTCTACATCAACAACTTTGACAATGCCCTCCGGGTCCTCCAGACCCAGTTGACACAGGCTAAGCACAAGAAGAAGATGAAGGAGTTCCTGAGAAGATGTGCGAAGCACCCGAACCACACCCAGCTCGCCCTCCAGGGTTACTTGCTCCTCCCTGTCCAGCGTATCCCTCGTTACAAGCTCTTGCTCCAGGATCTGCTCGAGAACACCTGGGTCGACCATGTAGATTACCAGGACATTGCGACGGCGCTGGAAGAGATCTCGACCCGTGCGGATGAGATGAACGAGCGGAAGCGACAGTATGAGAACCATGAGAAGGTCTTGCTCGTCCAGAACCGCATCATTGGACAGTACAAGACCCCGCTTGTTCAGCCTCATCGCAAGGTTGTGAGGGAGGGTATGTTGCATTTGATCCGTGTGGTTACCAGGAATGTGTCGATGATGGGACTGGATAACAAGTCTTCGTCATCCCTCCTCGCCGCCGCTGGTACTCCTGCTGCAGCTGCTGCCCCATCGGCTCCTACGGGAGACATGACGGTCCATCACCTGTCGGAGGAGACGGTCGAAAAGTCGTTCCTGTTCATCTTGTTCAACGATATCATGATCCAGTGTAACCCCATCACTGGCAAGCCGGTCTCTGGAGGTCTGGCCGGAAGTTTGGCCGCCATGAACGGAAGCAGTGTTACACTGGGTTCGTCCGCTGGTGCCTCAAACGGTGGAGGCTCGGCCAGCGGTACTGGTGGTGCGAGTGGTGGAGTGGGAGGTGCTGGAGGGGATGCTGCGAATGCTGTGGCCAAGAACTTGGAGCTCCAGCGTGTTCTTCAACTCGAGTCGCGTCTCCACCCCGCCCAAGTCATTGGCAACGATGGTAAGAACTTTTGCTCCATGCTTGGATGTATTTGAAGATGAACTGATGTATGTTGAGATCTGAGCGCTGACATGGTATCTTTCTTTTCTTCCCTCTTCTTGAAATAGTTCTTCGTGTGGTGGATGATGCAATGGTTCTGTACCTGACGGGCGACAAGGATGTGATCCAGGCCTGGAAGGAGGACATCAACTCGCGTTGGTAGACATCTGTTTGCCACCCTCCCCCCGACCTTCCTTCCATTTCCTCTTCCCTTCTGCCATATCCGTATTTCGCTCTTGTTTTTTAGGCCATTATCCCTACTTCACTCAATTTTACCCTAATGCTGTTGATACCACTTATTATGTATGTCCCCCATTCCATTGCCCCGCATTTGCATTTATTTTTTCATTTCCCTTCACCATCTACCCTCATCATGCCCCTCCCCTCCCTTCTGTTCCTTTTCCTTCCCTTCCCTTCACTTCCCCTCTTTCGAAAACAAACAAACAAACATGGGCGCCGACTCCCATTTCCCTTTCACACTAGCAGAGTTCTTCACATCTTAACCATCTATGAACAAAAAACAAACAGAAAAGAAAAATAAAACAAAGAGATTACCCCGTTTCCATGATTTTCAGGTGCGACCCCTAGAAAAAAAAAAAAAAAAAAGTATGGTCACTGCTCCCCACAATACCCCCACCAACATTCAGGGGCCTCTTCCTTTTTTTTTCTCTTGCATCTAATTCATGCTGTCCTCTTATCCTCTCTTCCATGCAGGAACGGACGGGAAGACCTGGGAGGCGCGGCTTACGGGACCGAAAAAAAAAAAAAAAAACGTTTAAAAGGAACCTTCACCTTCCCCCCTCCCCCCAACTTCTAACCACACCACCAAAAACTGTAGATACGCCGGAAAGTGGGATGGTGGATCAGTCGCCATCATCAAAAGAAGTAAATGTCATCGCCATAGGGAAAAACAATTACTCGTGCGCGCGTTCGGACCTCACGTTTTTCTTTTCTCAAGGAAAGCATTGGTGGCAAAAGGTAAAACATGGCTACTCATATCCATTTTTTTCACCTTTTTAGCTTCATTTCACCTTTACGGCCTCTTCCTCTTCACAGAATCTCATACTCACTCACTCTTAGATGCCCATACCATTTGCCCATCAAAATACCCTCTAGATGTCTCGTAATCCGTCTTCAACTGAATATCCCCTCGACACCGACTTTGTCGTCCCTCACAACCGGCACCAACACCATTGTTCCTCCTAAGGAATCAAACCCCTTGGCGGATGAGTTCATATTCCTAGACATGAACCCTCCACAGCAAATAATCAAATTGTCCACCTCACCTCCTACCCCCCTCACAGTCGTTTCCTGAGCAAGTGAGTCCTTTTATCGACTTTTCGCTTCTTGGGCCGGACGCCCTCGCCGACTTGTCTCCAATTTTCGCCTTTGTGCACCTCTTCCTCCTTATGATATCAATTCTTTTGTGCTTCACCTTTTCTGCTAAAAAAAAAAAAAAAAAAAAACACAAAAGGAACCATACCTTCAAAGTATAGTTCTGATGAATACCAATATCCTCTGGCATTGGACAAAAGGGTCTTGGACTGCACTCCAGTCGTTTCTCTCTTTATCTCTTTGTCTTTGCCTTCTGTTTACGTTTTGGCTCTCCTCGACGCGAATTGGAGTCCGCACAGATCAGTGCTGCCGTATTTTTTCATGCTCACAACACAGCACAGCATTTTCTGTGTTGATCATCCCAACAAGGATGACAACCCCGAGCTGCGCGTCGATCAAAAAAAAAAAAAAAAAAAAAAAAAAAAAAGAAATAATACAACTTGGGATTTTTTAATAATGACAACAATGAAGAAAAATGGGGTTTAGGGGAAGAGAGATACGTCCTGGAGAGAGTCGGCTACGGACGACGACCCATCCGAGTCCTGACGAGTCATCATAACGAACATGGGGCCATCGCCTATTCCTCCTCCCTCCATCTGAACGGCCGCCGTCGCCGCATTGGCACAATCGTTAGCACTCGAATTCTCATCCTCGCCAGAACCGTCCATCATCCGCATCGACAACACAGGCGACATCAACGACCGCTCCTCCCTCTCGTTAGATCCAAAGCAGTCATAAGAGTCCAACCCCATCTGGCGAGCAAACCCTCCCTGTTCTTCAATTTCCGCAATCTGTGACGCGTCGAGGGATACGGACGCCGTCGCAGAAGCCGACGCGAGGACGGAGGAAAGAGACGGCAGACTCTGGTGGCTCATCGACCCATTGATACTGCCCCCCACAATATGGAACCCGCCGTGTTGACTGCCGCCGTCGTCGCCACCGCTGGTAATCGAAGAGGTAGTATCACCATGCCAAGGGTACGATGATGCTTGCGCGGGTATAGGCGACGATTGCAGCGAGGACTGTCGAGACGTCTCCTCCCGCTCACGAACAGCACTCAGCATAAGCTCCACCTCTGAGCCGACCTCAGACTGATTGTCCGAGACGTTCGAGTCTGCGGCGCTCACAGGACTCAAGGCTCCAGACCGACTGGGCACCTCAATCCGATCACTATCAATGGCCACGACCACTGTAGTCTCGTTGGCAACAACACCTTCAGTCATTTGCGACGGCTCGACAACAATATCCGGTGACTTGAACTTGGGATGACCAGAACCAGAACCAGATCCGACCCCGTTGGGCAGATCGTCGCCCAAGTCATCCTCTGGCCGGTTAGCAACCAAAGCGACATTTGAGGACGCAGAATAAGCCGCCGAGAACTCATCATGATCGCCATAATGACTACCAGGCGTCGTCGCAACCGTACTGGTCTCCCCATCGCTGATATTGCTAAGCAGCTCAACCGCAGCGGACTCGTCATACCCCTCATACCTGTCCCGGTTCTCGTCCGTATCCACACCCCGGAGCCACTCATCACGCAGCAGCTCAACCGCCGAAGGACGATCATGCGCACTGCGAGTAAAACACCTCTTCAAGAATGAGATCCCCCTGGCACTCATCTGCGACGGATCCGGCAGGGGAGGATGAGAAGTCGCGACGTGGTACATGACTGCCCACTCGTTGTCCAGATGTGCCCAGGGTCGCCGTCCAGTAGCCATTTCCAGAACACAACATCCGAGCGACCAGATATCCATGCTTCCTTTGCGGCCCTTTTCGCCGTTCTTGATCACCTCGGGCGCCATGTACATGGGTGTTCCGTTCAGCGAGTTGGCTCCGACTCCGACACTCATTGTAACTGCGCCTCCACGAGTCCGCGTCCTCTGGTTCTTGGCAAGGATCTTGGCCGCTCCAAAGTCCACAAACTTGATGTTCCCATTATGGTCGAGCAACACGTCTACAAGAAAAAAAAATACGAAGGACATCAGTGGTTAATGTAAACCGTCGTCGATATTTAACATATTTCAACAACGCCGTAAATCAAGATGCGCATAAACTTACTATCAGGCTTGACGTCGCGATGAACGACGTTCTCGCCATGAAGATATGCTAACCCCTTCAGCATCTGGTGCGTATAGAACTTGATGACCTTCTCGTCCTCGATCCTGCCGTGCTCCAACAGATCAGCCAAACTGCCCCCCTGACAGAACTCCATGAAAATGAAGACCTTGTGTCGATGGACCTCAATGTTGTCGTACCGCACAATGTTGGGGTGGTGCAACATCTTCATCACCTTCATCTCGTCGTGGATCGAATTGACAAGCGACATGGACGCGTTCTGGAACCGAATCTCCTTGACTGCAATCAGCTCTCCTGTATCCGAATTGGTGCCCAGGTAGACAGTACCGAACGTTCCTGATCCAATGTACTTGTGCATCTGCCAGCGAATCGCTACAGAGTCCGAGAGTGCCGCCAGGAACACCAGCGACCGATCCTCGGGTTTTTGATCATCCAGAACCTTGCCAACCACCTTGATTTCCTGCTCGCGCTCTGTCCTGACCTTCTCCAGTGTGCACAGCTTCTCGATTTGTGCGCGATGATTCTTTGCCGCGTCGTCCGAAAGAACAGGCTCGTTGGCGGTAGCAAGCTTGAAGATGCTGGCAATCTCCTCGAGGAGCCGTGTCTGGTCTTTGGGTTTTTGCTTCTGTCGTCCATCACTCAAGGACTCGCTCTGCGATCGGGCCCCGTGGATATCAAAGTGAGAAATCAGCAACGTCATGCAGCCAGCGATTTTGTTCCTCAGCCAAGAGAATTCAGAATCATTCAAGGCCAGGATGTTGTTGCCTTTGGTCATCTTCATCGCGAAATTAAGAGCCGACATTGCCCATCGGAAGGTCTGACGGTCCGTTTGGTCACAGTCATCGCAGACAAAGCTGACCCAGTCGATAGAAAGGCGGAGCAGCTTCAAGTTAAACTGGGATCGTGGCAGTCCCTCCATGGAACTGAGCGAGGTGAGTCCGTAATCAGAGGCGAAACGGAAGAAGGGCTGAACGAGATCCTGGCAGTTTGGAACCTTCATGGTGATCTTGCGGAGGACCGTCACCGACTGGACAATGGTATCCGCCAACTTGTAAGCCGCCTTCTTGGTCTTGTTCAATTCCTTGTTCAATGCTGCCACGTTGGCACGACTCTCTGTGATGATCTCCAGTCCATAGGGATCTGCAAACTTGCTGAAGCGCTTTTTACAAGAATCGAGCAAGCTACCGCGCTCAGAGATCAGTCGGACACGACCTGGCTTGAGGTCGAGGTCGTCGATTCCTGGAAAGCTGTCAAGGTGAAGGATCTGGCCGCCCCAAAAGAACTTGTCGCGCGGAGTAAAGAGGAGAATGTACCCTGATCCTGCCTGTTCGAAGCATGAGCGGAGGGTGTGTGACAGGTACATCGCGCTCTCAGCGACCTTGTGCTCGACAATGATGTAGGTGCCCTGATTCTCGACATTGTTGGTGTAGATCATGACATGGTTGGTCTCCGCCAGTCTGGTCATCAACGCTGCCAAAGTGTCGCCCTTCTTCTTGTCCAACAAGTACTCTGCCGTATTCTCGAACGTGTCAGTCAAAGTTCTAAAGTAGACACAGTCAAGAGTCGCAGTGAGTCAAATGTGACAAACAAACTATGCTGGTCCTACAATAGAGCGGTCAATTAATTGACAGCTGTAAAGAGTGCCATACCTGGTAAATCGCCTCAGCCTGTTGGCTCTGAATCGCACATTCTCCAGAACCTTGCCGTAGACCTTGGTCACTTCTCCTGCAGTCTGAGGTAATTCTGGTCGCTCCTTCATCTGGTCCAGCAAGTGCTTGAACAAGAATGTTGTCGACTTGCTCGTAAGGAAGCTATGATAAACAATTATCAAAAGGGCGACGAGCTGTCGATCAGGAAAGGCAATTGGATGTACCTTGCCGCAGTAAAGACGGCAGATAATAAATGCACAAACATACCAGAGTTGTTCCGCTGTGTCCAGGCCGATTCCATCGATCTGCTGGCCAAGAGAGCTAAGACTCTCCCACTCCAGATCCAGCACTGAATCCGTGTACTTCCTGGACTGTCCCCAGTACTCGACCTTCCACGACAAGAGCTTGAAGTAGAACTGGAGAGACAGCTTCAAGACTTTCTCGTACGCTGAATCGATACAGGGTTCCAGATACCAGCCATCCTCAGCGCTCTCGAGAACCTCATAGTCGTACTTGATCTGACAGGCGAGGAACAGCGAAGTCTTGAAATCATCCAACATCTGATCAACGTTGGGCAAGGTCGGCACAGTAACACGATCAGCATACTCCAAGCGCAGTCGCAGACATTCCTGCATCAGCGTCGACGGAAATCGAACTAGCCTTTGAAGCTCGCTCATCGTTGGCACAAGACCCATGCTCGCAAATGCCACTGCGTTCTCGATCATCGTTGCTTTGATTTGAATCATAGCCTTGCGAAGTGAGCTCAGCGTGCTCTTCTTAAAGGTCCTCTCCAACCCGTTCTCCTTGAGCAAGCGATCCACAAAGGAGACCTCCTGACTCGAGTCCTTGGTGCGCGTGACTTCGAGCGTATCGCTTCCTGTCCAGTTCCTGAGAATCTTGGTTTGGATCTTCATCTTCTTCATGACGCTGGCGTACGCATTCAGCGCACTCAAACGGTACTGGAATTTGGCCGAGTTATAGAGTGGCTTGTCCACACCGATTGCGGCGTTCTTGGGATAGAGCCCCTCGACCATGTCGACTTTAAGCAAGACTTTGAGGACCTGTTCGAGTGGCGAAGCTTCGCTGTTGGGGTCGACTCTGAAATCCATGACTTCCTGAAGATAGGAGTCCGCCTGGGCCCTGGCCGTCTCGACAAAGCGTTCTTCGTCACCAGCAGGCCGAGCGTGAAGGTTTGCCCGAAGCCCGAGCCAGATCTGGTGCTTGATGGCGGGTTGGATCTCAAAGTTGGGATCCTCGAGTCGCTTGTTCTCGATACTGAAGACCTCTCCTGTCAAGACGGACTGCAACATACTCTGCCAATCGATACGCTCTCGGTTCAATTCTAGAACGCCCTCATCCGAGTTCGAGGTTGGTTGCATGAATCGGTCTAGTCGCTCTTGGTCTTTCTTGCTTTCGCTCTGTGTGGTGTCCTTTACACCGTCGTTGTCGTAGTACTCCTCGACAGGGTCGTCCTCTGTATCTGAGTGTGCTTCTGGTTGGTCCAGGTTATCGAATCCGAGTTGAAAGTTATCTGCAGTGCGTACCACCTCATAATCTGCCTCTGCCTCAACCTCGGCATCAATGGCAGCCCTCGCCTCGCCATCATCATAACCATCCTCGTCGACCTCGTCGTCTGCAGCGTCGTCTTCTGCAGTGAAAAAACTGACGACCTTTTTCCGTGGTGCTACCACGACCTCTGGTTCGGTTTGATGTTGCCCTTCAGGTAGCTGTGGTGATGGCTGCTGTAGTGATGACTTTGTCGGGTATGCTGTTCCTGCGCCAACTGTGGCGATGGGTACAATTGTCTGATTTACGCTGCCAAGACCACATGCCAAATGTGCAAAAAAAAAAATTGCGTTAAAAAACTTGACATCAATACCACCATCATCCACAACATACAAAAACGAAGTTGCCCCCCTCCCTTACCTGTGTGCAGATGTGCTGGTGGTGTTGCCGGTCGGGTGGTCATCCAGACTTGATCTGAGGGGCCATGTCATGTTGAGTGAGTTTCTGGCGGAGGAGCGACCGCTTCCACGTCGGATACTGGAGGGGCGTGCGACGGAGATCGCGTCTTCCTCCTCGCCTTCCTGTACGCGGAGATGCGACATTGATGATGGCGTGGGTTTTTGTATTTCCGTAGGTTATATGTGAGATGATGAAGGGAAGGTATATAGGAATTGAGTTTGGAGGTGAAGAAGGGAAGGTGCAGGCAGGTGGCGTAGCGTGAGTCGAGAGAGAGAGAGAGAGTGTGAGAGAGAGAAAGAAAAGGAGAAGAGAGAGGTGAAGGTGCAGCAGGTGCAGAAGGTGGTGTGACTTTAGTGACCGTTTTGTACTTTTCTATCGTCGTATTCATTTCTAGGATCTAAGAAGAGCTGGACTTGAGGCCTCCCCACTCGAGCACCTTGCCCCAACTGCGTCGCTTGGTCTTCTCCTGCGTCGTCGCTGCAGCCGCTACTGGAGCTGTCATAAGTCTATATAGGAAAGGAATAAGATATGAACGAAAAACATATCAGTAATTGGAAAGACTCAATTGGGGTTCGTGTCAGTCCATGATACAATCCTCCCTTCGTAGTTTCTTACTTTTCGAGCATCCTCGTCACATCCTCAGGCTTGACTTGAGCATAGTGCTGGCTGCGGATCTGAGGGTCCATGTACTCCTCCGTGTTCTCCGATAAAAGAAGGGTAATCAACTACAGCGAGAAAGCATTTGGAAACATATGTTAACTCAATGACATGGCTAGTGGACGTGGCTCGATATTGAACATGAAAGAGTCATGTAATATATGGTACCTGTCTCAGAGGGAGGAATGTCATAGCGACGTTGGCATTATCAAATGTGGCAACAAACTTCTCCAAGAAACTGACATCCATGTTGAACGTCGCCACGAAGTTTTGGTTGATATGCTTCACGTTGGGATCCGTAAAGATGCTCTAGTAGTCCGCAAAAATTGAAGTGTACTGTCAGTGGCCTGCGAAAGAGTGAGCTACCAGGCTGTAACAATCCAATTGAGAGAGCAAGACTTACATGCAGCATGTTGGCCAAGTGCTCCAGCACATCATAATAGACAAAGGCCTTGATCGACTCGGGCAGGTTTAGTAGCGTGGCACTCATGACAACTTCAAGGAACGAGACCAACTCTGTGTTTAAAGAAAATAAAAATAAAAAAAAAATATAGTAAACCAGTCAGTGAACAAACTTGACTACAGCCGTATCAAAAATTCATCTCAACTCTTTGGCCAACGCTTTTTTTACCTTGAAGGTACATGCTGTGCATTTCTTGAACACTGGAGGGGAGCCTGTTTGAGATAATAGTGAGTCGCGGTTAGATAAGTTCCGGTTAAGATACAACAAGGAGACATTCATGAGGATGAACGACATACCACTCATATTCTGCCAACTCAAGAATGTCATCGATCTTGGAGTTGACGAGTTCCGAAATACGGTTCTCTGCACTTCGTCTGGTCTCTCTGAACAATCCTGTAGCCTGGAGCGAGATCTTTGTCGTATCAGATGTCGACCTATTGCAATTCATATCAGCCGTTAGACGTGCTCTCACAAGATAGATCGTATGTCCTCAGAAACACCAACCGCTAAATATCAAGCCCTTACCTCAACTCGGTCATCATCTGCTCAAAGTCAGTACAGGCGCCTTGGAAGTACTCCAAGTTGATGATGATTTGCGCGATCTGAGAAAGGTTCCTTGACTCAAGCTTTTTCAACCACACCGAGTGAACGTGCTGGATCAGGAGGGTATCCAAGCTCTATTGAGAACAAATTCGACGCGAAATAGCTTCCGTGAGTGCAAAGTTGCTTTCAATGAAACGGCATGTTTGAACATGCAAAAGAATTTTCTGCAAGCTCGCAGTGGCAGACTTACTTCCTTAACGAGCTCGTCCATTTCGCTCTGCTCTTGATTGAAGCCTTCAACAAAGCGATAGAACTGTGTGACAAACTGCTTAATGTCCTCGCAACAGTATGGCACCACCTTTGAGAAGGGCAGAGTTCTCGGAAAACTAGGTCGTTTCAAAGAAAAAAATGGCATAAGTCAGCCACGCCAAACGTTGCCTCCGATTCGTGCTTAGGCGGCTGAAATAACGCAAGCAACGTACCCTTGTCTTGCGGCGCTGCGCTCTTCTCTGAAACGGAAGGACATCTGCAGCAGGTTGTACTCGTCCTGATTTTCAACCAACATTGGTGTGTAGTCATCCTCATCCACAAGCTATTTTTTCCATTGTTGAAACGAGAGTCGTTAGTACCGAGATTGACATGCTCATAAATGTATTCATACCTGCAAACGCGGTCAAAATGTTACCTTGTGGAAGTTGGCACTGAACTTTGTCTCCAATTGATCGGCGTAGGTGCGGAACAGCGTGAGAAGAAGATCGTTCAGCTTGCTAACAGGGTAGCTGTACGACTAATCGGTAAAAAATCCCCCAAAAAAAAAAATTGTAAGGCAGTGACTGGATCCATCCTAAGAAGTCCATAATGAACGTTTGATCCTGTCAAAAACCCTACCTCCATGGTTTGGATATAGATCATCAACAACAGTTTCACGTTCAAGAACATGTCGGGGTCGTTGCACTTTTCCAGGCCCTCCGAAAGCATGCGGAGCAAAAGTCCTGTAACAAGATCGCAAAGCTCGTCCAACTATGTACATTGAACAAAAAAAAATGAGAGACTATCAGCATGAAGTTATTGTACTTGACAAACGATGTTGCCTCCACAGCGTGCGAAGTTTTACCTGAGCTTGGGTTCTAAAGTTGGTTGTAGAGTGCAGAATGATGTATTCGACAATGAAGAAGCCGACAATATCCTGAAGTAATGACTCAAAGTTGTCGGTGTTGCGGTCCTTGAGGTTGAAGGACGATGTCATTGATGACAGCGTCAATTTCGCCTGGGCACGTCGGTCTTCGGCGTAGTTTGACCTGAACTCTGCGCGCTGTCCAAGCTCATCGTAGATGTGAAGACACTGGTATAAGGGTTTAAAGTCAATCTTGACTTGATCTGCATCGAGGATGTCGACTATTGTCAAAGAAAAAAACGTTGTTCAAATTAATACCAAATCTTTCTCATAAAGACGTGAATGAAAGCAATTGCGAGTATACTCACTTTCGCTCTCCTCGTTGACAGCTGCCTCGACGGCAGAGTTGACGTTGTGCGATGTCTTTAGTTTGAAACCCTTGCTGGATCTATCGCGCCACCGCTGTTGTCTGGCCGACATTCTGTCCATAGCAAGCTTTCCCATCGCCTTTTGACTTGTTCGGATGCTATGTGAGAGTTAGATGTGACAATGTTAGCCAATTGTGGATCTTCCTTCCAGTGACTTATAGCGGTTCTTTTTCAAACGTGAAGGTCATACCTGAAGAGCCACTCCTTCATCTCTGTCGTAACTGCATCTTTGATAGCGTGCTGCAGGATTGGCACACAGTCCTCTATTGAATCGAATGTAGAGGGAGAACCAGAGTTAGAGGTGCAACTCAACTCCCGCTTCACATATATGATGACGCCCTTGGAGACTTACGCATATGCCTTGCAAACTCGAACTGGATGACACTACGAAGGTGGACAACCTGAATCTCGTCAACAATCTACAAGAGTAAGGGTAAGAACTTCTGTCAGCTGAATAGTCCTTGTTCAATCGTTCAATTGGCGATCACAGGCAATGTCGCGTCGCCTATACTTACGCGCAAGGCGGAGTAGTATTTCTTCGCCTCGACCTGGACATTGACACGGTTGGCGAGATCCAAAAAGTGAATACAGGTCTTTAACGTCTCCGTCGCCGTGGCGATGTTCTCCTGAATGCGTTTCGACTCTACCAGCTCACGTTTCTATATGGACAAAGAGAGCAATGCTTTGCAGTTAGAACTCAGGTACGACATAGGCGGTCTTCACTTTTGCTTCAGGCAATTGAGGGTGGTTACCTTGGCAGTCAACTCCTTTCCAGCCAGCTGGACGTCTGTGTTGAGGGTATGAATCTTGTCTTTTAGGTCAACGGTGCCCTGTCTGACCTTGAGCAGTCGGTCGACAGACTGGACGAACTCTTGGTAGTTGGAGTTGCACATCTTTTCGATTTCCATCTCCTTGCGGCGAATGAACATGCCGAGCTGGTCGAGAAAGGGCTTCATCTTGTTGTTGCGGTAGACGTCCTTCATGGTAGGGCCCAGGTGCTCCAGGTTCTCTGCATCGTTGGTTGCATCCGAGACCAGGACGAGCTGTTGAATGTCGAACTCGGCCATGGCTGTGTCTGTTGTGTTTTCGTGTCGTGTAGAGAGAGTCCTGAGGGTAGAAGGTGCAGTGAAGGAGGAGGGATGATGGACAGACAGTGTGAGGTTGCAATGCACTTCACCCCGCCCGCCCGTTTGGACTGCAAAAACGTGGTGCATTGGCGATTGTATCACGTGATGATTATCAGGTCGCGACCTCAAGTCGTAAGGATCCAATTGTGTCGACAACTCCTAGGAGTCATTATCGACGCCCCTGGTATCTTTCGCAGCGGCAATGAGCTAGCAAAGTCGCTTTGCCACCTGAAGGCGACTAGAGGAATGGATTTTGTACATCTCCTTCGTTTTGACACCACTGAAAAACAATAAGGGTCCAATTTGACACGACAGGAACATGCGTCTGTCGTATTCCACAAGGGGACGGATGAAAAGACACCTTATGATAGTGGCTATGCTCAATTGCTGCCGATGTCATCGCCAGGGTGGTTGTTTTGCCACAATTGCTCTCTTATTTTTGTATGCTTTGGAGTGTCGGTGTGAGTGACGCGAGGTCCGACTGACACAACGAGCCTGAATAAGGGAAATAGGAAACATTCCTGACTTGATTTTTTGCCACCACACACTCACTCACTATCAAAACAGAACAAGATACGGGCTCTTGAAAATGGTGGCAAATGAAAGTGTCTTCCCGTCCAGACTCACTCTGAAATAAAAAGGGCCGGCAAGGTCATCAACTCTTCTTTTCTTTTCATCACTCTCACTCGACACTCCCCCACTCCACTCTCTTCTCCCTCCTTTCCTCACCACTCTTTCCTCTCCACGCTTTTTTCTTTCTTTCTGATTTACACCTTCTTTCTCTCTCCCCCTCATTCCCTCATTCAAAAAAAAACAAAACAATAACAATGCCCCCAAAACGCGCTGCTTCTAAGAAGGCTGCCCCTGCCACGCCCTACATCGAGGGTTGTGTTATCGCTATCGCCGGCACCTCGAACAACCTCAACCAAGCCCAGATCGAAGCCATCGTCACTGCCCCAGAGTTCGGCGCCACCGTCGCCAGCACCGTCACCAAGAAGGTCACCCACCTCATCACAAACACCACTGAGGTCGCAAAGGGCACTACAAAGGTCACCAAGGCCACCACCCTCGGATCCGTCCAACTCGTCACCCTCGACTGGATCCTCGACATGCAGCAACAAAAGAAGCGTCTCGATGAGACTCACTATAAGGTCGGCTCCTCTACTGCAGCTGCTGCACCCATCACCCCTGTCTCCCCCGTCTCTGCTGCCTCTCCTGCCGCTGCCGATCCCCCCAAAAGGACAGCTGCCAAGCGCAAGGCTGCCGCTATCGACACCGATGGCGACGATGACGAGAAGGTCACTGTCGAGAAAAAGATCAAGACGTTGAAGGACAAGGTTGCCAAGTCTATATCCAAGGTCAAGCAGCCCCCCGTCGACCCCGCCTGCAATCTGAGAAACTCACACAAGGTCTACACTGACGACGAGGTTGCCTGGGACGCTCGCTTGAACCAGACCAACATTGGCCACAACAACAACAAGTTCTATCGCATCCAGTTACTCGTCTCGCCTGGAGGACAGTATGCCGTCTATTGTCACTGGGGAAGAGTTGGTGCCTCCGGCATGTCCTCGACCGATAACTGCCACAGCTTGGACGCTGGCAAGTCTCTTTTTATGAGAAAGTACAAGGACAAGACCAGAAACAACTGGGCCGACCGCGATAACTTTGTCAAGGTTCCTGGTAAGTCATTGCTGAGTTTTTGGGTCGATTGGTGATGATTACTTGAATATGATCGTAGTCCACGGAGTCAATCTAACCTCTCGTTCCCTCTCTGCATGCCGTTTACGATATTAGGCAAGTACCACTTGCTTCCTCCAGATGAGGGTGATTCGGATGAGGAGGGCGATGAAGAGTCCGAAGAAAAGAAGGCCGCCAAGAAGGAGAAGAAGGAGGCCCAGCCCATCCCAGAGTCCAAGCTCCACCCCAAGGTTCAAGATCTCGTCTCCATGATCTTCAACACTAAGATGATGGATCAACAGATGATGGAGCTCGACTACGACGCCAAGAAGATGCCTCTCGGAAAGCTCGCCAAAGCAACCATCCTTGGCGGATACGAGGTTCTCAAGAAGATTGCCGAGATCATCGACAAGCCCCGCACTGCTGCCATCACATACCAGCTGCAAGAGCTCTCGAGCGACTTTTACACAGTCATCCCTCACAGTTTTGGCATGAAGGTCCCACCCGTCATCAACACCGCACCTATGGTCAAGACCAAGTTGGAGATGTTGGAGGCTCTCGGAGAGATTGAGATTGCCCAGAAGTTGATCAAGGATAATAAGAAGCTGGAGGAGGCCCTGGCAGTCAACCCATTGGACCAGCAGTACGCTTCTCTCAGACTCAACAAACTTGAACCCATGGACAAGGAATCCGAGCGCTTCAAGCTTATCGACCAATTTGTCCGCAACTCTCATGGAAAGACTCACTCGTACTACAACCTTGTCATTGACGAGGTCTTTGATCTTGACCGTGAGGGCGAGCAGGAGCGCTTCAAGGATGCTGGCTTTGACAAACTTCACAACCGCCGCTTGCTCTGGCACGGAAGCCGTCTTACCAACTATGTTGGTATTCTCAGCCAAGGTCTTCGTATTGGTAAGCACAATTATTCCTTCTGCAATTATTGCTCGCTTTGGCGTTGACCGTGTTTTTCTTTCATTGCTGCTCTGCTAACCGCTCTCTCTTCTACTTTATTCTCTTCCTCGAAACAGCACCTCCTGAGGCTCCTGTCACTGGTTACATGTTCGACAAAGGAGCCTACTTTGCTGACTGCGTTTCAAAGTCTGCCAACTACTGCTTCACTGGACCTTCGAACAACACGGGTGTGATGCTTCTGTGCGAGGTTGCCCTGGGAGACATGCATGAGCTTGAGCAGTCGGACTACAACGCCAAGATCAACTCAGAGAAGGCAGGCAAGCACAGTACCAAGGGATGTGGACAGTCGTACCCCAAGGCATCGGGCGATGTGATTATCGAGGACAACCTGCGTGTCCAGGCCGGAGAGTTGGAGACTGAGCCAGCCAAGACCAATGGTTACAGACTCCAGTACAACGAGTACATTGTCTACAACACCAGCCAGATCAAGATGCGATACCTCATCAAGATGAAGTTTGACTATGGCAGCCGCCGCTGGTAAACCGTCCAACCTCAAGCAATGGCCGTCGCCACCTCCTGTACCTATCAATGTATTTTTACAAATAAACTATAAATAATCGAATTATCGTCGCAGTCACCCTTTAATTGCCTCTTCGAACAACGTGTTCTCTCTCTTGCCGCCACCAAGCACTCTCTTCACCTTTGGCAACCTCTGCAACCTCAGGACGACCATCACTCACTCGCTCACCCACCAACAGGACATCATCAACGACAGACAACCCTCTCTCTTCACCAATATGCTTACCGGAAAAGGATGGTCCGGCAAAGTGGTCAAGTCGCTCGCACTTGTCGCCGCCCTCGCTGTCGCCATCGTCCACGCTGATGAACATTCACACAAAGTACATCACGCCTCTCACTTGAAAGGAACTGCACAACTTTTTGCCACCATACTCAACCGTAAACAGGTGCACTAACTGACGGATACCTTTCTTACCGTTATAGTATGAAGACTCAGAAGCGGTCGTTGTTTGGGCCAACTCAGTAGGACCTCTGAGGTGAGTCATGTGTGCTTCTGGAGACAAGGAGGCAAGGTAGAAAGACATTCGAGAGAAGATACGGCGTCATGTTCGCGTGCACTTGCTGACAGTGTCCCAATTTCATCCAATGCAATAGTAATCGACAGGAGACATACGAATACTTTCAACTGCCATACTGCAAGGGTGAAGGTCAAGTCGAGCACCGACATGAGACCTTGGGCGAGGCCTTGCTCGGAATGGAGCTCGTCAACTCTGGAATCTCCATTCGTTTTGGAAGTACGTCCCACCTCGCAGTTGTCACCGTCTACTTTTTGTTTCTCACCAAGCAGCATGCTTTGATTATTTGTCGGTACAATTGGGACTCGAAGGCACTGCTCAATTGACCCTGTGCTTTATGTACTCACGCATACGTTTCTTTTGTAGAGAGCCAGGATTCTACGTCGATCTGCCCTAGACGCCTCTTGACCGCGCAGGACGTCACGACGTTCCAATATGCCATTTCTCACGACTACTGGTTCCAATACTTTATCGATGATCTTCCTGCCTGGGGTAAATATCACTTATGGATTCCTTCCCTTTTGGCAGCAGACCGCGAAAATGCTTGGGATACCATGTTCCGAAATGCAGTGTATTTATTATCGCTTTCTCTTCTCTTGCTTAATGTTTAGGAATGGTTGGCAAAAAGGACAAGGAGACCGGCAAAGTCTCGCTGTTCACTCACCAGAACTTTGAATTCGAATACAATGGCGACCAGATCATCTCAGCAAAGGTGACACCCGAGAATCTCGTGTTGTTGACCAACTCGCAGGCGGGTGTTCACGTCGACTTTACGTATTCTGTCCAGTGGAAAGCGACGACCAAGGAGTTCAAAACACGATTTGAGCGTTACCTAGATTCCGACTTTTTCGAGAACAAGGTATTGTGGATGAAATTCATCCGCTGCGTCCTGCGATGTGTACAGATACACATACACTGACATATGGGATCCTCTTTCGTGCTTAGATCCATTGGTTCTCGATTTTCAACTCGTTGATGATGGTGCTGTTCTTGACAGGATTTGTCAGTGCGATGTGGATCCGCTATCTCCGCCGCGACTTTGCTCGTTACGACAAAGAGGCTGGCCTGACCGATTTTGTAAGTCGCCTAGATGTCTTTGCATTGTGGCCGCCAGCATATAATTGCAAATGTAATTTTTGCACGCTGACACCTTTACACCATTGATTTGTATTGTAGGACCATGACCTGGGTGACGACTATGGATGGAAGCAGATTCATGGCGACGTGTTCAGACCCCCAGCCAGCCCCATGACCTTTGCAGCGTTTCTCGGAACAGGACACCAGCTCGCCTGGACTTCGTTTTTTGTGATCCTATACACCATCTTTGGACAAGAGTGGACCGAACGCGCCAGCATCATGACTGCCACCATTTTCACCTACGCCTTCGCGTCAATGATTTCGGGATACTCGAGCGCTAGTCAGTACTCGCAGTACGGCGGCAAGGAATGGGTTCGTTGCATGTTTTTGACGGCTGGATTCTGGCCTGCCGCAGTTGTGATTGTCACCAGCTTGAACAATACCATCGCCATCTACTATACCAGTTCCCGCGCCATTCCCTTTGGCACCATGGTACGCAACCTTTGGATATTGCTCGTGCATGAGGTTGCTTTTGCTCACAGTACAAGTGAACCGGGTGGTAACTAATGTCGGCATGCAATCCTTCTGGAATTAGATGGCGCTACTTGTGATCTGGATGTTTATTGTCCTTCCACTGACACTTGTGGGAAGCATTATGGGCAAGAACTGGGCCGGAAAAGCCGACTTCCCCTGCAGAGTCCATGCCATCCCTCGTCAGATCCCCGAAAAGATCTGGTACGCCGAACCCATCGTCGTCATTGCGCTGGGAGGCATCTTGCCGTTCGCGTCGATTTTTATCGAGATTTATTTCCTGTTCACGTCGTTCTGGTCCTACAAGGTCTACTATGTCTATGGATTCGGACTGCTGGTCTTTGGAATTGTTATGCTTGTCACTGCATCGGTGACCGTGGTGAGCACGTACTTTGTGATCAATACTGAAGACTATAGGTGGCATTGGATGAGTCTTGCGACTTGTGGGTCTACCGCGGCGTATGTGTACATTTATTCTGTCTACTATTACATGCAGAAAACCAAGTAAGTCTCCTTTATCTCTCGTTGTTGTTTTTTTTTTTAATATTTGATGTCGTTGAAAGTAGGGTTTGAGAGAGAAGACAAATTTTATGCTGATCGATTTTTGTTTGTAACTAATAGGATGTATGGCTTGTTCCAGACGAGCTTTTACTTTGGCAACACGGCATTGGCATGCATGGCGATCTTTTTGATCCTCGGATCTGTGGGACATTTTGCTGCCAACAAGTTTATCATGAGGATATATCGCAACGTTAAACTTGATTAGAAACGTAAAGGAGGAGGAGAAAGGGGGAGGGGGATTGATAACGAAGGCGAGGACTTTACACAGATTGCAATAATTGAATACATATTACAGAAACCAACACACTGCGCTTTTTTGTGAAGGGAGAGGGTTGTTCCTTCGGTTTGTCAAAATCTTTTTATCCATTTCTTCGCCCCTATGACCTTGCAGGTAGCCAGAAAAAAAAAGGGGGGGGGGGGGGGGGGGAGACAATCCAGAGACCGACTCAACTATCTGTCAGGACCAAGGTCAGTGGACATGATCACCTGCATAGAGAAAAAAAAACGCTAAAAGATGCACTGGGCGGAACAACCCTGAATTTTAGGCCGACTTTGTTCCGGAGTAACAGAGTTGAACAGTGAGAAAAGGGGTTGTAAATGTGGGATGTTGTTGAAGAGCGGTTCATCCACCACTCTCTACCACCGCTACGCTGCCCTTTAGACCAGAAAAAAAATAAAGGGGTTGAAGAAGAAAGGGAAGGCGAAAAGATGGCGAAAGGCGAAAAAAAAAGAAAAAAAAAAGGCCAACATCAAGTGCGCATAGAAGGTAGAGGTAGTAGAGTTTGTGGAGTTGACTTGACAGGGTTGCCTGACATATTTTTTTGGCGCTAAGAAAATGACAGACCTCTGCCGAAACTGGCGTGAGACAAACAAAGTTGAGTGATATGCAGGTTGAGCCAGTTTGGATGAGAGAGAGACAGACAAAAATGTACGCGTTCCTGAAAAGCGATCAGGAACAACGCGCTTTCTCCACAACTAATCCCATTTCTTTTCTTTTTTATCTTGCTTTCTTTGTGCTTTGTGCTTTGTGGTCAAAAGAGAGAGATTGAAGAGCGAAAAGGTTTATCCGTACGCACAAACACAACCGGAGAATACCTGTGCAAATCAGCAAAAAGAGGCTGACGATGTTGTTTGCCGCGTGCTGAAAACAGGGCCAGGGGTGATAACTTTTTTTTCGCTTGGGAAATGGAAAAAAAGTAACGAGCAAAGCAAAAAGGAGAGAGAGACAGGGAAGAGGTGCTGTTGTCTTTGCTGGACTATCTCGATGTTCGTTGTGTTCAGGGGTTGTCTGCAAAAAAAGAGGGGGTGGAGCAGGAGCGGAAGAGTGGACAGAAGACGAAATGTCAACAACAAGAGAGGTGGAGGGTGCGCGCGAACAAAGGGTCCAGTGCATTGTTGCACTTTAGAGTTTTTATTTTCCCTTTGCGATGAATGCCGTGGTGTCCATCAGGTGAGAGACAGAACGATATACCGTACCTCCGCCTTCTCTTTCTGTTGGCACATCGTTCGTTTCTCGTTACTGATACCGCAATTCGCTTCTCTCTTTTACTTTTCTTTTCCATCCTCCCTCCCTCCCTCCCCTTTCTTCCCTCATCCTCTACGCTTTTCTTCCCGCTGCCGCTCCCATCTCCCTACCCTGTTTGCCATCGCTTTTTTTCTAATTCCCTCCATTTTGTTTATCTTTTTTTCTTTTCACCCCTTTCACTTTTTTTTTCTCTCTTTTTCCTTCATCTCTCCTCCCCACCTCCCCTGGCCTCCTCACAGCTCGCTCACTATCCTCGCCACATACCTGCCCTTTCTATTTTTCTCAATTACTTCTTGAAGCAGTTGTAACTACCTTTTGACCCCAATTTTCTCAATTCTGCCTTTCTCTCACATCTCACACCTTACACTCGTGAGATCAAGGGAGAATTTCGCACATCTCCCAACCTTGGATGCACCCATACAAGACGACAACAGGATCAAGGACAGACAGCAGTAGTAGCAGAGGCTGCTGTATAGGCCCAGTACGGATACCAGATCAAATAGACGATACTTTGCCGCCATCTCTCTCCGACCAGAGGAGGATACCTTCAACAAACCACTCAATGTCACCCTCACATTCACCAAAGAGGCGTCAGCAAAGGAATACCAAGCTCCGTTCAACAGCACCATTCTCTCTTTTGTTCGCCTTCACAGCGGTGGTGGTGCTACTCTGTGGACATGCCTCGGCATCATCGGAGAGCGGCTATCGAGGAGCGCTGCCACAAGAACTAGAAGGGCCCCTTCGTGTCCCCACTCCCAGACACAATAGACGACAGGAATCGATGGAGGAGCAGAACTACTATGGTCATCAGCGGCTGTCGGACTTTCAGGAACCGGCCCGCTGGAACAACGATTGCTTGATGCAGCTACAACAGAACCGTCAACAACAACAGCAACAACGGCTACCCTCTTCCTCAGGAAACTGGAACCAACAGCATTCGTCCTTTCAGAAGCGAGGCGACAACCAGGAGCCAAGGATAAGGGGCCGTTCAGCAGCAGCGGATGTGGCCACTGCTCCTGTTGTCCCTCCTGTTGTGGGTAGTGGGGGTGCTCTCCCGTTTTACAATCTAGCTGTTGTTAATAGTACGGATATGCTTTGTAACGGACGGGCAGATATATGTGATTTGCGATATAATCAAGTGGTAAGCATAAGCAAACCTTTTTTTGTTTATTTGGGAAAGCAGAAGCATGGACCTGGTATTGGACCCTACCGACATGCTTATTCTCTATACCATGCATGTTACGATCAGGGGGAAAATTGCACTCAAACTGAAATGTTTGCTAATACTTTTCGATCACCCCCTTTGCTTTGTACCCGATCCCATGCATGAAAAATAGACATACCCAGGAACTCACAACAGTGCTGCCTACGATCTCAAGTACGACTGTCAGCTCGCAACTCAGACCTGCTTGCAAACAGAAACCGTCTGCCAGGCCCAGTCCCAGAACTGTACCGCCGGTTGGGAAGTCCGATGTAGCAAAATCTCCAACACTTGTATGGATCGACTACCCAATTGGTTGCATTGGCTCTGTGGCGCGTTCACGTCAGCGTGTCAGTCGACTGAGACTGTCTGTCTAGGGTGGGAGCAAATCTGTACGAGTAGCTTGGACGTTTGTCTGTTGTGGGGTTCGGCTTGTTTGGAGGTCATTCCTGCGGCGGCGTTGCCTTGTCTTTGGGAGAATCAGCCTGGTCATACCATCACCCAGCAATTGACCGACGGTAAGCAACATAGCCATCTGTGATAATATCGTAAAAAACTAGGCTGTGCAATCAAGACACTAACTATAGTTTCCATTCTATAGGGATACGGTTTTTGGATCTAGGAACATGTCTGTCAAACAACAACACGGACTTAGTAATGTGCCACGGCAACGGCATCACTCGCGCAATCGGTATCCCACTCGACTCGGTCCTCTCCCAAATCCTCCAATTCATGCTCGCAAACCCCTACGAAGTTCTGACCATAGAATTCAACGAAAACGACGGCGATGTAACCACCATCTCCAAACTCATTGTCGCCAAGGTCATCCAATATTTCACCCTCCCCTCAGGCGAACTCCTACTCTGGCCTCGAAGCAGCTTATCCGAGGAATGGCCCACCTTGCGAGAGATGATCCTGGCGAATAAGAGGATCATGGTGTTTATGAGTGACACGTACTACCCGATACCGGACCCAAAGCCGACATGGGCAAACCAGAAGGATACGTGGAAGAAGGATGGGTTCCAGTATACGTATGATGATACGATGCCGGTGCAGTTGAATGCCAGTTATTATGAATGGTGTGGCCAGGGCGCCCCTACGGATGGGTCTTTTATCCAGTGGCAGCAAATCGATATCAAGTAAGTGCCTCCACTTTTGTTTTGCTTGCATGCCTTTGAAAAGGTTTCCTTTTGATCGACCGAACGTTCATCTCTCCATTATTGCCGATTGTCAAACACGCAAGCAAACATGCAAGCGACGAAACTCATTATTAACAAATACCCCTACCCCTGTTTCTAATCTCTCCTCAAAAAAATAGCATGGGCATCCTAGCCCCAGACATTATCGACCAGCTCAAGAAAGGCAAGATCCCTCAGGTCTGCATCGGCCCTCTGGCAACGGAGACCAACTATGGATTCCTGGATGCGATTGCCGATTACTGCTACCCTCGGTGGCCATACTGGTTCCGAGTGCGAGTGAACAACTACTGGGACAGTGATGTCTTCAAGGTTGCGAGTCGGTTCAACGATTTGAACGTTGCTCGTGTCCAGGCAGGGAAGGGCAATCTGATTACTCCTTATTAGTTTTATTTCATTTTCTTTCCCTTGATCAAACAGTCAGCCGCTTAACCAAGCATCCATCATACCATCTACAAGTAATTTTATATATATTCATTCATGTACGATTACATTAATCTATGTCTGCATGAATGTTCGTGTAACGCGTGGTCGGCAAGGCTTGTCATGCAAATCAGGTGTCCAGGGGACTCAGCCCAGCCTTTCTTTTGTATGTTCAGCCTTGCCAAGTACCAAGGTACCCAAGGCACTTTCGGCGATTTATATTTCATGCTAAGAAAACCTTGTCCCTTTGCAGCTTTGCCCCTGCTCCCCTTGCCCAACGAACAACAACTGTTTGTTTGCTTATGTTGACAACACAATCTCTGTTCATCCTCTTCCTTCCTTGTTGTATCCTGCATCCTGCTCCATCCTAACTCGCCTTTCTTTGCAATTGCCCCACCCTACTCTCTCACCCTTTACTTCTTCCTTCTTCCTTCTTCTTTCTTCCACTTTTCTCTCTTTCCATCCCCGCCCCTCTTCCCGCTCTTTCTTTAGACTACTCAATCACATTCCTCGGACAACTCTCGCTCCCCCACCTTCAGCCCCTTGGCTCATTATTGGCATTTTCCACTCGCTCTTGCTCTTCTTCCTTCTCGTACAGTCACCTTTCTCTCCTTTTCCTTCTTCACAGCTGAAGCAACTATACCTTCACTCCCTCATTCCTTCCACTACTTTAATTCACATACTCCTTCCACCATTCTCATTCTCATTCTCATTCTCATTCTCTCTTGACCCCACAACCAACTCCATTGGTCCTATTCACATTCACTCCACACCTCATCACTTCAACAACCAACAGCACACACAATGAACCAGGAACGGAGACCCAGCCAAGATCACCAGTACCAAAGCTACCCCATGCAGGACATCCACACCCCGCAAAGCAACAACGACAAAGACGACCACCACTCAGTAACCTCCATCAAAGCCCCCAGAGAACGATCGAAATGTCTCCCCTGTTTTAGCTGCATCCGGTCCACCTGCGGCCGAGTAACCTGCTGTGTCTGTCTGGTTCTCTTGTTGGCCATCATTATCCTAGTGATTGTGATCTTTACGGTCCTCAAGCTTCCTGTGGTCGATTACATGGGCACTGTCGGTGACCCGGTGTTTACGTTCAATAATGGCAATACGACGTTTGGAGTTGATATGGTGGCGAACATCCAAGTCCAGAACCCTAACCCAATCGGGTTTAACTTTGAGTTTCTTGACATCAAGGTAAGGTGTCTTGTGCTTTTTGTAAAATACATGCTAAGGAAAAAAAATGACGCTTTGTTTTGATTCCTTGGGCGAAATGATGACAATGACATGGCTGTCTCCTTCGTTCCAAAGAAAACACTGCATACATGCATAGCGACAAAGCGCTTACTTCCATCCTTCTCCTCTCTATCTTTAGGCGAGATTTCCAGGGTACGAACCAACATTGGGAGGAGGCAATCTGACAAACACAAACTTCCCTAGCAAGTCAACTACCAACGCCACCCTCCCAATTTCGATTACCTATGACCGGAACCAGGACAAGGGCTTCACCATTATTCGACAGATTCTTTCAAAGTGTGGAGTCCTTGGCGGATCGGATGGCGAGATCACGATCCTTTATGACCTCAAGGCCAAAGTCAAGATTCTGGGTATCAACCTTTCTCCGGATATCAAGGACCAGTCCTACAACCTCAAATGCCCTGTTAACGTAAGATTTACACTCCCTTTGTTCTTCGATCTGGTTTGATAATATTTTCTTTCTTCCTGAGCCGATGTTTCTGGTACTGACGTACTTCGATGGCCATTTCTACTTCAACGTTTAGATCATGGAAATCGTCAAGGGAATTCCTGGAGGCATTGCATCGTTCATCGGAGACCTCGTTGGATGACCACCTACAACGTTCAAACAGCGGTTCTTCAGACGCAAATAAACTACTTTTTTTTAAGATGAGTTATTCATATTACGAAGGGTATTTAAAATATTTTCATTTACAAAGGCTTCATTTTACAAAGACAGAATTCCCGCTGCAAGAACATAGTTGCTAGAGAAAACTGACTTCCATCAAGCAACAAAGCGTGGTTGGTTTAGTGGTATAATTACCGCCTGCCACGCGGTAGACCCGGGTTCGATTCCCGGACCACGCATTAATCTTTTGCCTTTTCTAACTTTTGGTTTGGTTCCTCGCCCAATGAATGGATGCATTGGAAAATGAGCCTTGTGCCTTTTTGAGTTTCCTGTGGAGCTTTTCTTTAATCTTTTTCGCATTTCCTCATCTCACCTTTTTCTTTTCAACATTTCGCCTTTGCATCCGCACATACTTTCTCTTCTTTCTTCTTTCTTCTTAACAACTCGCATACCTTCATCAACACCAACCAGTAAAACCACACACATTCACAAACATGCCTTCGTCAACGCCAACACGAAGGACACCTGTCTATTGCAACGTCTACGACATGGTAAAACAACAACCAACCATCCATCCCAACTTCAACAACAAGCACAGCAGTTTTGCCATCAGTAAAAATAATAGACGCTGTCGATGTCGATGAAGCACAGCACTTGAAACACAACATGCTCACACAGGAACACACCTTCGCCGCTTCTTTTTTGTTTCTGTAGATCCCCTCCAACGCCTTGACATCGATCGGCTACTTCATGGGCATAGGTAAGTGTGCACCCGCTAGACCTTTGCTTATCTAACTAACGCTCAATCGTTTTTCCGTCCGTCACACACAATAGGATACTAACACTCATCTTCCCTTTCGACCACCTTATCACCAATTGAATGACGTATTAGGCGTATTCCACTCTGGCGTAGAGATCCTGGACAAAGGTGCGGCATCAATTCAGGGCCGAACCGCTTTTTTCTTTTTTGTGTGGTGCTTGTTCTTGGGCTGCAGGTTGCTTTCAACTCAAGACAAGATAAAACAACGAAGAGAAACGATGATACTGGTGGCGGAGTCGTATAGACCTTCAATTGATTAACGCTGGAAGAAACATCTCTCCTTTTGACACGTAGAATTCAACTTTGGAGGACACGAATACAACTTTACAGGAGTCTTTTGTGTCGAGCCCAAGGTTGGCCCACCTGGCGTCGTCTTCAAGTAAGCAAAAGCACAAAGATATTCAAAGCAAGAGATTTCCATTTTGAGGAGAAGGATTGTGGCGGGAAAGAGGCAAAGCACAAGGGTGCAGGTTCAGGAGCCAGCAGCATAGTTTTATTTTATGATCTATCATTGACAAACAAGGGATCGCCTTTTTTCTTTTTTTTTTGCATTGTAGGGAGACCGTACTCGTGGGATTTACGACAAAGACGGATCAGGAGATCAACCAAGTCATTCAGACACTTTCCAAGGAGTTCACAGGTACGACCGACCGCTCAACTCTTTCATGCACTCTATTCGCCGATAACATAAAACGATTCGTACTACAGGCATCCTCGTTTTCGACCATAGGGTGGATGTACAGCTAGGGCTATAGAATCCGTTGAAGGATGAAGGAAGGCTTGCTCACAGCTGACCCAAGGTTGTTTTTTTTTTGCTTTGCTCTTCCTTCGTTTGAATGGCTCTAACAATAGGCGACTCTTACACTTTGTTGACGAGGTAAAGTGCATTAACTAAAAAATGAGTCCCCGCTCTGCTCATACCTGGCAATTGCGAGTGAAAACAAAAGAGAAGCTCAATTAACGCCACTCCTTTTGCCCTGGCTTGCCTGTACCATAAAAAATCATTTTCATAGGAATTGCAACCACTTTTCGTCGGAAATGGCGTACAGGTTGACGGGTTCGAGGCCTCCCGGTAAGTTGTTTGCTCTTTTTACTTCCTTTAAGCAAAAGGTCAGGATTGAGTTGATTGCATGAGAAAAAGTCTGACAGCAAGTCTATGATCGATTGCCCTTATATCTGAATAGCCTGGATCAATCGTGCGGCCAAGTTGGGGACCATGTTCCCTTGTGTTGTCCCCCAGGGCTGGGTTGAGCCTCCGAGTGCAGAGGATGAGGATATGGTCCGCGATCGTGAGACGCTCCTGCCTCCTCGGCAATGACCCTTTTTCGCCCTGCCTGTGAACTGAATATGTCCACAAGACCTGGTCATCATCCCTCTCACTACCTCTCTCTCTCTCTCTCTCCTCATGCTCCCATTTTCCCTCGCTTTTATTATTTTCTTTTGCACTATCTCCTCTCTCTCCTTTCACCCCCTGCTTGTACAATACCATTTCGTCGCGATGCATAAACGCGCATTTATTTGTCTGAAATAAAATCTTAAAAAACGGTCACCTCGACTCGAACAGAGCTTCTTTTGATGCTTCGACCATTTTTCAACGAAACAACTAACAACGAACAACTCACGACAACCCACGACAATCAGATGGCATCAGCGCGATGAGTGTTCCACCTCGTCAGCGAAGACCCAACCAGCCTTCAACCACCTCTAGCACAGGTTCAAGTATGTGACCTCTTCCCCTTTCCTAGGCATTCATTAACAAGGAATTGCGAATGGCATTGCTGTCACGACATCGCAACTTAATCAACTCGCCTTTTATTTATTTAGGCGCAGGAGTAAGCCGAAACGCCACCACCACTGACCCTACTGCTACAGTGTCAGGTCCAGACACAAATCCGCGGAGGGCACTTGTGTTTCAGCAGGACCAGGATTCTAGAGCAGGAACAAGAACAGTAGCTGGTGCTCTTGATACCACCAGCAACAGCAACAGTCGTACGAGTAGGAGCGACAATCCGTTCACGGCGCGCAGACGAGAGAGTCGACTTGACCATCAACACAGGCGTCATGGTGCTTCCACCTCCATGAGAAACAATAACAACAACAACAATAACAACACCACACCTAATCAAATGAGAACCCCAGCAACATCAAGATTGCCGAGGAGACCACCCCCAGCGCCACGACCATCTCGTATTACTTCAAGAATACCAGGGCCAATACTACCTCCACTTGCTCCACAACCAGGACGTGCAGTAGCGGTACCTCCTACCGAGATTGCATTTGAGCCGGTGGATGACCCTTTTACGAGTCAGCGGCCGATAGCTACGCCGAGACATCAGCGAAGAGCCGTGTTAGGAGGAGGAGGAGGAGGAAGAGGAGGAGGAGAACGAGAACAGGCTGGTGTTGGGCTTAATTCATCGGAATTCGGTGCCTCGCCTATTACGCCGTGGGATATGATGTTTACGCCGAATACGCAGGCTATTGAGACAACTGCGGTGGTGGGGACGCCTGTGACCGTACGACTGACGGAGTCCTTTTTGTCAATGGCTGTGACACCTGAGCAGGAGGACGCACAGGAAGGATCTTCATCAGCGGCGGGAGTATCGACAGCATCATTCATCAAACGACCCTCCTGGACTGCATTCGAGCAGGAAGAGGAGAAAGAGGGTGAAGAAGGTGATGTCGGCGATAACGATGGTATTCACCCCGGAGACAAAGTACTTGATGACGATGATGTCGAGAGTTTTCTGTCCAAGCGAGAGAGTCTGATCAGGGGCCGTCGAGCGATTGAGAAGCAGCCGAGGCGATTGTCTAGTCATACGGGACCACATGACATGTACTATTCCTCCTCGTCTGTGGGCATGGCTACACCTGAGAGCTTTACGACTCCACAGTTCCGCGAACTACCACCGCTGTCGACACAATTACCAACGCGGACACCTGGAGTTGGCCAAGGTCGATTCAATCCGTCGCTGATGAGTCGTGAGGATCCGGATACACCGATTGGCAGAAACAACAGAGACCAGGATAATGATGAGCCGCCGAGCCTTTGGACGAATGCTGCGCGGCGTGCGATGCTGGACTTGAAGAAGCATGTGTACCAGGGCGAGAGTGATGAAGCACAAGGTAATGCACGCGGAGAAATGTCTCGAAGCAGCACTGTTGTTGTTGCTGATTCATGGGCGGAGGAGGAGACACCAATGGGAACGAGTCGGATATTGCCGTCGAGTTTGATTAGACGATCTGAGCCGGAACGAGATCCCTTTCTGCAGACCCCTCGACCTGAACGTGACCCGTACAACGGGGAGTCTGTGCGCGATAAAGAGGTTCTTGACGAACGCGAATTTCTCAGGAATGTTGTCCTTGACGAGGCGGATCAGGACCAGGGTTTACGGAATGTAGCACCGGACACTGCCTTTATCTCCGAGGAACATGACAGCATTGCGGAGCTAATCTATGAGTCCGGAGATTTAGAGGAGGAGCGGAGGAGACGTAACGAGATCAGGGAAGTCATTCGTGCGAACAGGTCGTTCGAGTTGGGGTTGAAGGCCGCGCGAGAGGAGAAGGAAGCTGAGACTGCAGCCCGAGCAGCAGCAGAAGCAACAATCGCACAGGAGCTGATGGATGCAAGCGCTAAAACTGCTGAGGCCGAGGTGGAGGTAGAGGTTGAAGAAGAGTCAGAGGACAAGATTCTTAGACGAAAACTGGATGCTGAGGTTGAGAGAGCTATGTCGATGTTTGATGGTAAGCGATTTACTGAGGGGTTCTTTGCCGACAGCGTGGCATGAACGAGGGGAGTTAAGCTGGCCTGATTTCTCACACATTTTCATTTCTTTTGGTTTTGTGGAGTAGAAGATACATTCGATGAGCCCTCGGACATGGCTCGCCTTCTTCCGCCAACCTCTGTTCTCCTCACTGGTAAGGATACTTGTTGGACACTGAGTTGATGACTTCAAAACGTCACATTTAACAGCAGTGAACTGACTCTTTTATTCGTCCGTGGGGAAACAAATAATAGAAGTGGTGCAGGAGCGCAATGGTCAACAGTTGACGACACCGGAGGAATTGGAGTGTCGGTCTTGGATGTATGAAGGTGGACGGGTGGGTAAACCCCAGAGGGTGGGGGTCTGGGCGCGGGCGTAGCAACCGAAAGACCGACCCACTCCAGCCTGTGAGAAGTGCAATTTATTTTTACCATCGCAGGCGATGATGAGAACAACAATGACAACAACTGGATTAGGCCCTTGTTCAATTATTATTTTTCGAACCTTGTTGTTTGCCCTCTCTTCTTATTGCCTTACATCACCCTCTCGCTTCAGGCAAGCAAGCATCATAATTAGCGTCGATTTTTTTTTCGGTCATTTGGCAGTGCACGAAAAGGTGGGCGAATGACGCCTCGTTTGTGTCGGTCGATAATTGAGGGGTGCGATGCACGCTCCACCATTCGTGTGCGTCCATTTTTTTCATTCATGCTGATGCTAAGCTTGATTTGGTGCTCATTGGAGACATGCCCCTCATTCTATGCCAATTGAAAATCAAATAAAAGCAACGTTCCTTGACAGAGGAGTCACCTCTTTTACTTTCTCTTCTCTCTATCCACTCAACACCACACTTTTTTTTTTCTTTTCTCACCAGCTTTCCCTTTCTCTTTTCATCACTTCTCAACACCTAGTCCACACAAAATCATGGAAGGCACACAACAGCAACAACCAATTGTCTCGTTCGACGCAGGAAACGAAATCCAACCAGGCGTCCAGGCGCTCTCTTTCGAACAGCCCTCCCACCCCATCGAGGGCGTGTCCTCCCTGGCCATTCAGCACCCCAAACCCGATTATCCACGCCCAGAGGGTGGTCAAATCAGTGACAATACTAGTCCCGGTCCCCACGTCACTCTAATAACCCCAGACGGCCACGTCGGACAGAATCCTTCCCCGTCCTCCGAACCTCCTCAGCCTCAACAACAGCAGAACCAGAAGGGGCAGAATAGGGAGACGGAGGAGGAATACAAGAGATCAGCAGAATTGGGACATCGCAGCAGTCAATCCTCCATCGCATCATCCATCAACAGCAACGTCAGCACCACTCCAACAGTTCCCCGATCCCGCATGCTATCCGAGATCCCTTCCGCATACGACCTCATGCCACCTACTCGCAATGCTCACAGCCGAGCATCCTCTGATACGGCGCATTCCTCGGGTGGGCATTCGTCGACCCACGAGAGTGTGCATCGGTTTGAGAGGCTGCCGGATGGTGGGCATAGGCATAACTTGTCTGCACCGAAGAGACACCGGTTCTTGTCAGAGCAGGCGCACAGGTTTCGCGATTTCTTGGAGGGCAAGCGGGATGGGCATGCACATGATAAGGATAAGAAGCACCATAATCATCACATTGATAAAGAGGTAATGGAACATCCGCTGTCGTTGATTGGGGAGAAGATGCGGGAGTATCAGAGGGAGGCAGCTCATGCTGAGGGGAAGGACTCGAGGAGTAAGAAGGAGGCGAAGAAGGAGGCGAAGGAGGAGTTTGTTCATAAGTATGGGGAGCTACAGCAGGTTGTTGGCAAAGGTAAAGGTGCACCTTTGGTTTGTTGAATGATGTTGTGATGTGGAATAGGGTTTGAGGAGAACGCGTCATTATTATTTTTGTGCGTTGGCTTGTGCGATGTAATTGACGTCTTCCTCTTTTTTTTTTGTAGGTGCATTCGGTACGGTCAGGCTATCGATCAAGAAGCATCCAGAGTCGGGTGTCGATGAAGTCTTTGCCATCAAGGTAATACAACAACAAATAACGAGATACTCGACCCGCTTTGTCCATTTACTGTCATGTACCTTCATAGACATTTTTCACTTGCGCACACTAACCAGCTCGCAAAAAAAACCCCCCCAATGCAGGAGTTCAAGCACCGCGATGACGAATCACAAAAGTCCTACATGCGCCGGCTTACCTCCGAATTCTGCATCGCCTCCTCGATAAAACACATTAACGTCATCCAAACCATGGACCTCCTCCAACTCCACGGCGCCTCCTACAGCGAAGTCATGGAATACTGTGCTGGCGGGGACATGCACACCCTCATCGCCTCTGCCACCACCCTCGGCGAGGCCGAATCAAGCTGTTTCTTTTCGCAGTTGGTTAACGGGGTTGGATTCTTGCATTCGATGGGGGTCGTGCATCGGGATCTGAAGCCCGAGAACTTGTTACTGACGGCCGATGGGTGTTTGAAGATTGCGGATTTTGGAAACAGTGAGGTGTTCCGGATGCCGTGGGAAAAGAAGGTCAGGTCTTCGGCGTCTATCTGTGGGAGTGGACCATTTATTGCGCCTGAGGAGTTTACCAAGAAGACCTTTGATGGCCGGTACGTTTTTGTGTTTTTAATTTTGTGTTTGTTGTCAAGGAGGTATGATATGGCACAGTTCGCTTACTTTTATCCTTTTTTTTTTTTTTTTTTGGTCTTGAATGTTTATAGCAAGGTGGACATGTGGGCATGTGGAGTAATTTACATGTGCATGCGCCTTGGGCGGTACAACTGGACCGAGGCCTCAAAGGACGATCCGAATTGGACGGCCTTTTCCAACAAGTTGCGATCGCTCCGCGAGATGCGCGACAAAAACTCAAGAACAGGTACCCCAGACCCCACCACCACCACCAATGGTCACCAGCACCACGACTCTGTCAGAAGAAGCACCGACACCTCAGTAATCAGTCGCAGGGCCAGAGAGAGGTTTTTAAACCTCCACGCAATCGAACTCGCAACCCACACAACCCTCGCCTGGCCAGACGCCATCTCTGAGGTTATTGACAATCTCCTTCAACCAGACCCCAAGAACCGTTGGCAGGCGACACAAGTGCTGGCGAGCAATTGGCTACAGGATGCACATAATTGTCATCCGGGAGAGGTGGTAGAGGTTCAGGAGTTGGACGAAAGCGATGTGGATCTGGAGGACCCTTCGCATCCAGTAGGATCGAAGGTTTTGCAGAGTGATGCCGAAAAGACCGGGTTTGGGGTTATGAAGGAGGTGAGGAAGGTGAGGACGCAGGCTATGGTTGAGGCTGCGGTTGGGACTGCATGCAAGGGAGTTCAGGCCTGAGTTCTTGGGGCATTTGTTCTGTTCGAGTGTAATAACTTACGATAAAAAAAATAAACGATCGAAACAAAACAAAGAAATGTGGAATGAAAGGAAATGTATTCGTTTTTGCTATGTACAATGGTTGTTGGTATCTGTGTGTGTGTAAACTATGATGATCCTGGCCATACAGGCTTTAGTATTCTAACTCGGAAAGAAGGAGCATCCGCTCCTCATCGCTATCCAGTCCATCATGCCCGCCATTGAGCTCACTCTGATCCAGCGACCAAATGATTCCGTCCATCAGCTCGCCCTGGACTCGCTTACAGCTCGCGGGAAAGTCTTCCTCGATGAATGTCGTCAACAGGGGCTCGATCAACTGTGTCAGCAAGTTCTCGAGGCGTAGGTCCGGGGTCAGGTTTGGGCGACGGATACTTCTCGTTGTCGTGGTTGAGGCAGTGGTGGGTTTGGGGTTGTCGACGATGATTTGGAGGGATGGTGCTTCAACATCTGCTACTATTGCTGGATTTTGAGGTTCTGTTTGTCTGGTAGTGTCGCGTTGAGAAGGAGGAGGGGCGAAGAGGCCGCGTTTCTGGAACCGGTTGAAGTACGACTGCTGTAGGTACCGTTCCCGTCCATAATCCTCACTTGTATCTGCCATCGGGTAGTCGCCGTCTTCATCATCCTCTGCGCCGTCGCCGTTGTCGTTATCGTTTCCAGTACCTTCATCACTGCCCCGGATCCCAATCGAGTACGGGTCCGAGGATTCGCCATCTTCCTCGCCTTCTCCATCGTCACCATCATCGTCTCCTAACGTGCCGGCTGCCATGTCCCAGTTCTCTTTGTCCTGCTCTGTGGAGCCTGCTGCCTTTGACGGTTTTGCCATGACGGTCTGGGATGATTCGTTATTGAGGAGATTATCGTCATCTTCAAAGTCATCGAACAACCGACCAGTCGAGTCCCACTGATGGGTCTCCATATCCTTGTCCCATATATCTTCATCCTGGCCTCGCGGGTCGTCATCCTCGTCTTCTTCATCTTCCTCGAGTAGGCTGCTGATAATTCTGGCGCCATCGCGGTTGTTGTCCTTGTCTCTGGAAGAAGGTCCAGACCAGACCCACCCATCGCTCAACAGATCCACACCATGTCGATCCGCAGTAGGTCGTCCTCCCCTCAAAGCCGCCTGACTACTCAGATCATCCAGGTCCAAATCCGCCTCGTTAACATCGTCCAGATACCCATCCTCATCGTCACCACCATCACTATGACGCTCCCTTCGGATCCGTTGAAGAGCCTTCCGCTGCTTGCTGATCTCAAACAAGGCGCCCTGGATGGCCTCGGTCAATTGATGGATGACCAGGCTCGGGGTGAGGATCTCGGCCATATAGTCAAGCACGGCTTCCATGGCGATATCGGTTATGACTGGGATCTGACTCTCGTCAATCATTCCTGTCGTCGTTGCTGTTTCGCCGTTGTTGTTGTTACTGTTACTGTTGTTGACGCCGCTAAAGTCGTCGACATCATCGTACTCCGAGATCTGGTCATTCCTACTATCATCCACCACAAACAGATCATCCTCCCTCCCTCCCCTCGGGCTGTTCCCGCCACCAAGACTTGACTCCTTCGTTGGTGGCGCCAATTGTAACAACTGCAGCCCACCAGCATCATCAAGAGCCGACCGAATAACCCTCTCAATAGCCTCATAATGCTTCAACCCGCCCACAACCGACCCCATCACCTCTCCAACCTTGGTCCGAATCACTGCTCGGGTCTCGACACCAATAACGGGTAACATCATGACGAGCCGTGAGAGTTGGGCCATGAGTCTGTCAGAGATCTCGGTATCGAGGAGGGCGAGGAAGTGAGTTGTGCATTGGTGGAGGATTTGGTCGTGTGGCAGGATGGGACCGTGGGACTTGAAGGTGTGGACTCGGAGGTCGTGTTGGTGGGGTGAGGGCCGTAATGGTATTGTTGTTGTAGGATCCTTTGAGAAGGAGGAGTGAGGGGGTGACAATGACGATGAGGAAGAGGAAGAGGACCAGGACGATGGCAGTGAGGAAGATGTAGATGAAGGACTTCCCAAGGCAGAGACTTGTTCTTGTCGGTGGTGTTGGGGTAAAGTGGTAGACGAAGGTCGTGTGAGTCGCAGGTTCTGGAATGCGTGGGTATCCCCTCCTAATCCATCACTGCCACTGTCACCATCGTGTTGCGGGTATGGTCTTGGTTGCTGCGGTTGTGGGGGCTGCTGCAGGTCGTCCTCGCTGCCCTCCGGCTCATTTGTTTGACTTGAATGGGAGTATGGGTCCTGCGCATAGAAATGTCCGTATGATCGTTGACTTGACGACGACGCAGAAGATGAGGACAGGGTGTCGTAGGGGTGGTGCCGTTGTGGGGGGTTGACGACTGGCAGGGCAGTTGTTGAGAGGAAGAAGAGGGACGTCGCTGCCGTGAGTCCTAACAGGACGGTTGCTGTACGTGCCGATACCATTTGTTTGTTGTTTAGTATCGAAGATGAAGGGTATGGGATTGGGCTTGGTACTGTTTGTTTTGGAGATTGGAATGATGGCGAAGGGACCAGGGTGAACTAGAAAAAAAGTATGGTTCTGAGTGAGAGAGTGAGTGTGAAAGTGTGTGTTGGCAAAGGGATTCTGTGGAGAACTGGGAACTGAGGAAATGGAAGAAGAAAGAAGAAGAAGAGGAATAGAAGGAAGGGTAAAAGGAATAAAGGGAAAACCGAAAGAAAAGAAGAAAGAGGCAGAAGCGACTAAAGGGTCGAAGAAGAAAAGTGAATCCGGAATCGGCGTTTGTGGACAGGTGCTCGCTCTCCATTTCGCCACCCACAAACAAAGCAATCGCACATGCCACACACATTGCTTAGAGACAAAATAAATGGCCGTGCCCCTCTCTTGTGTATTGTCAGAGTCTGCCTTGCACAAAAAAAGAGTGGGCGGGATAGTTGTTCAGTCAGTCAGTCAGTCAGTCAGTCGGCGTAATTAAGAATCAAGAGCAGAGTAAGAAAAAATGCTCAGTTCTCACAAGCGCAACAAAAATGTACCCCTGGATTTCGTTTCCTTTTGTCTTTGACCTTGCGGCGTACAGCAGTCGCAAACGCCGTATTCGCTAAAAAGCTGAATAAGGAAAACGAAGGCTTTTCGGTACTTTCGGTAGCGTAGTCTTTCGTTCAAAAGGGATATGGATGTGTAGAAGTAGAACCCAATGCCGGGCTCTGTTTGATCGCCTGACAAAACCTTTCCCATCTGCTGATTACTTTGCCAACCTTCGGGAACTCTCTTTTTGTAGAAAAAAGTTATGGCGCTCCATCCTCCTCCAAGTAGGATAGCGAGTGCTCAGATCCGGTTTTTAACAGGAGAGCTGACATCAGTTTAGGCGTAGATCCTTAGAAGAAAAAAAATTCAGGAGAGACTCTTCTTCACCTCCGTCAGGAAAAAGAAAGAAATGACGAAAAGGGAGTCTTGACTGAATCGAAAAGGTATGGGAGGAAGAAAATAACAGGAGCAAAAGAAGCAGAGCGAAAGGGGGAGGGAAAAAAAAGAGAGCACGAAAAGGATTTTTCTTGATTCCGAAATGGAGCAACCATGCAAAGTAGACAGAGAAAGAGGAGTGGGAGAGAAAGGAGACGAAGAACGATAGCCTAGTCTCTCCGTCTTTTGTTTTGACAGAGGTAAGAGATCGCCAAAGACGCGTCTTGGTTCCAAAGGATGCGTGCGTGCCACGGACCAATCAGAAGAACATGATCAGTGAAATCTATCATCATTGTTTTATTTCTATGGCTGTGCCAGGTTCCTGCGGATCGATGTTTTATTCGATGGGTGCATGGGGAATGAGGAATCGACGGGTAAGGATGACTGAGTGTCGCCACGATTCTCTTCCATTCTTTTTATTTCGTGGCAGGAGGAACATAGAATATGACTCCTGCTTTAAGTTGCACCCTAAAGGGACAGACAGACAGAGAGAAGTGACGGTAATGCTCTTGCCTGGTAACCGCAGCCGTGATGTATCAAACAACCGCCTCTTACTATCCGGTAACTGATCCACCGATCGCTCTTGTCGACACCGCCCTCGTTATTTGGTTTCTTTTTTGAGTTTTTTGTTCTCGTTTCCTGAAAGAACCCATTCCACCTTCTGACTCGATCTACTATATTCTCTATTCGTCGTTTGTACCCTCACTCTTTGTGTCAACCAGCACTCCAAGAAGACCTATCTAACTCCAGATACGCACAACCAACCTGGTGACATTTTTTTTCGATGACCATCGAAAATCTCCATAAATAAGCAACCATCTGTTCACCTTTTGTTTCTTCTTTATCCAAACAACCATCCAGCTCTACTACTCCTCTCTGCCCTCCAGTAAACACAGACCCAGTACTCACTACCACCACTGATATACCCAACCCAACCTAACCAACAATGAAGTTCACCGCCGCCACCCTTTTGATCTCTGCTGCTCTTGCTGCCGTCGCATCTGCCGCCCCCCTCGCCAACAGCGTCGACATCCTCCAAGGCACCGCCACTGCCTCTCATGCGATTGTTAAGCGCTGTAGCGACTGCACCCACAACGACGGTCTCGCTCTCAACATTATCGTCAAGGCCTCTGCCGATCACTATTCGACTATCGCCCATACTCGTCTCGACAACCTCATGGCCGAGATCCAGACCGCCAAGGTCACCTCTGGCGCCCAGGATCTCCCCCAAGAGAAGGCTGCTCTCAACGTCGCTGTTCAGTTAAAGATCGATGAGGCCAAGAAGGCTTGCTCGCCTGAGGTTCTTGCCCCCGCTATCATGGCCACCGTCACCTCTGATGCCAACCTTGATGTTGCCTGGTCCAAGAAGGAGGAGATTGAGAAGAATATGGCCGAGTTGGATATCAAGATTACTCAGTTGGTATTGGAGCGTATCCAGGCAAACATTAACGCTGAGCTCTTGTCTAAGGACTGCACCGAGAAGATGACCAACACCGAGATCGTCCCTGCCCCTGCTGAGGCCCCAGCGCCTGCACCAGCACCAGCCGAGGTCCCCGCTCCTGCTCCCGCACCAGCTGAGGTTCCTGCTCCTGCTCCCGCTCCTGCTGAGGCCCCTTCTCCCGCACCCACCGGTGCTCAGGCCGGTATCGATGTTGCCGCTAGTGTCGATTCTAAGTTTGTGTGCAAGACTGGATGCAGGGACTCGAACGATGCCAAGAACGTCCTCTCCCTCCGTGTCAGCCTTGAAAGCGAGTTGGCCCCCCGTCTCGATCATTTCTACCAACAGGAGGTTCCCACTGCCTGTACCGAGAACCGCGAGACCCTCTTGGGTGGTGTTCTCAACTTGATCGCCGACTTCAACGTCAACGTCCAGGCTGATGTCAAGAACTAGACATTGAACAAAAAAGAGAAGAACACAAGGACGGCAAACACGCTGGCATCTGAGCGACATATACCCTATACCCATAATAATGAATAAATAAACACTAATGCTATCCACACTTTGTCCTTGACTGTGTCGCTGTTTGACAACATTTGATTGTCTAAACGACAACCAAAGTAGCGGGGGAGGGGGGGTTTTTCTAAGCAATTTTTTCCTACACAATTTTATTTCTCGTACAAACCATACAAAGGTGTTACATACAAAGCTCTTCAGTGCGCCATCCACCAGTTTATCCACAGTTTAATCCGGGCGAAAACGGCCAATTATCGACCACCGGCGGTTTCATCTTACAGAGGTTAAAGACACTGCGCAAGAACCTAACGGTCAGAAATTCCGCACTTTCAAGCAATAAGGCGTGGTTGGTTTAGTGGTATAATTACCGCCTGCCACGCGGTAGACCCGGGTTCGATTCCCGGACCACGCATTAATCTTTTGCCTCCCCTTTCTCTTCCTTTTTGCGTCCGTGGGACTTTTTCGGTCAGTGGGTTTGTGTGTGTGAAAGCCACGGGGACGGCGGACGCCAGGACTTTGAAAAAACCTTTTTTATGTTTTCCTGTCTTGTGGAGATTCACAACGGTTTTTTTTACCTCTTTCACTTCTTTCTTTCTTTTCACATTCCACATTCACTTTGTATCGCACCACACTTTTGTCCCATCCGTAACACTTGATCAAAGCATGGATCGCATCATGGAGACCTGCAGGCTACCTGCACACCCGCCCACTTCCTCCTCCACTCCCAACACCTTTACCAAGGACGACGGACTGAAAGCGTTTCTGCCTTCAGGATTCTCAACCATGGAAGAATATCTCGTCTGCCTCAAATCCTTCCTCTCCGGCTGCGAGCCTGTCACAGATCTAATGATTGTCGACTACTTTACCACAAACTCCTGGGAGACCCGGATGCCTCAGAGTTGGCGGGAAGCCTTTGAGTGCCCACAGGGGAAACTGAGCTCGTTGGATCTGATGCGCCTTGTCAGTTTGGGACATTTGAGGGATTTCAAGGAACCTGCCGCAGGAACTTTGGGGGATCCATTGGCGTTTGATGGTAGCGGCATCCAGGACTGGCCAGAGTCGTTGAAGGATTTTGTGAAGATGGTTAAGGCCCTTTCGATTAACCGGACCCTGGATCCGGATTGTAAGTTTTCTCTCTGGAGAGTGCCATACCTTTTTTTTTTCCAGTCATTTCAATTGACAAGCAAAGAACCACTGTCAATTTGCCTTTCACCCCCCCCCCCCCCCCCCCATCCACCCTAACAATATCCTCCAATCTCTCCTCTCACAATTCTTATAGACGCAAAGTTCAAGGATACACTGGACATCCACCTAATCCCCGGCATGTCGCCCAAGAAACTGCACGAAGTCGAGATTCTGAGTGGACTGATGGCCTCGACTGCAAAGGAACACTCCATCGGATCAGTGATCGACCTCGGTGCAGGACAGGGGTATCTCAGTCGAGTCTTGGCTTTCCAACATCAGCTCTGTGTTCTGGGTGTCGATTCCAACACGATTCAGACATGTGGTGCTCAGACGACTCAGAAGCGGACTGAGAAGCTGTTTGTCAACAAGTCGAAACTCAAGAATTCCAGTGGGAAAGGCAGGAATAGTCGACCGACGACGAAGCAGCAAAACCGTCGGTCGGCAACGACGGATGCTGCCGCTTCTGCTACAGCCGCAGGAATGCCAGCTGAAACTGAGACAGGAACAGAGGCAGTTGCGGGAATTGAACCCGCAGCACCGGCGCAAACCACAACAGCAACAGCAGCAACAGAAACAACAGCATCAGCAGTAACACCTACTCTGGACGCTTCAACAGCAACAACTGAGGTATGTCCAAAGTCGAGGACGGCGGGCATGAGGTCAAGGAGCAGCAGCCCGACAGGATCCAGCGGGAGCACAGGCCTTTGCAAGAGATCTAGCAGGACCAAGAAACCCAAGGTCAAGAAGGACAAGACGGCGACAGCCGAGATTATTATACCCAGCTCAGGACTCACAGGATGCGGTTCGCCAGCTACAACGACAAGTGCCATGAACAGAGCACCAGACTGCAATAGGGACGGTGCCGCTAAACCTACGACTACTGCCGCAAACGACCCCAGCCTTGCGGCGACGCCCGGGAGCAACTTCCAATTGCAACATATCACCCACCACATCACCGCCGCCACTTTGCCCACACTCCTCAAGGAGCATTTCCCACGGAAACCAAAACCACAACCACACCAGGATGCGACTGCGGCCGAACACATCAATGGCGGCGAGGCGGCTGTTCAAGAGTGTCCGGACGAGGATGTCGAGGGTCGGTGGACGCTATGCGGTCTCCATGCATGCGGCGATCTGACCAGCAATATGATCAAGCTGTACCTCGAGAGCTCAGCGACCTGTCTGTTCAGCGTTGGGTGTTGTTATCATTGGATCACAGAGCGGTATGATAAAGCTGGCAACATTGCCATCTCTGACGGTAAGCATGTTTTCTCTCTCTTTTCCTTCCTCTGTTTTACTTGGATTGCATTTTTCCTGTGTGCCCTGAATACTAAGATATCCCGTGCATGTGTCTTACTGGAAAACAAATAACAGGATCGCATGGATTCCCGTTGAGTGCAGCTTTTAACCATCACAAGTGCCATCTGGGCGAACACGCCAAAATGATTGCTTGCCAGTCACCCGAACGGTGGCTCGAGTACCAGAAGGAAACCGAGGACGCCATTCACGGTCATTATTTCCGTGCTCTCCTCCATGTAAGAAAACTCCTCCTGCACATAGCTTCCCCCCCTCCCCCCTCCTCCCATCCTATCAATGTTTTTCTCTACAAAGAGCGAGATCGCTCACTTTCCACATCTTTTCACACAAAAATAGAAATTAATGGTTGAAAGAGGACTGTATCCAGGACCACCAGCGATCGCACCAGTGCTGGGCAGGATGGGAAAACATCGCCTGAAGGGGTTCCCACACTACCTCACCACTGCCGTCAACCGCCTACGTCTCCCCGCCGATAAAATCACCCCCGAAGATGCCCAAGCGGCCTATGACCAGTTCTTGGACCGCGACCTTTATAGGATTGGTATCCTTTGGGCTCTCAGGACCATGTTGGGTCCATTGTTTGAGGGAATGATTTTGCTTGATAGAGCAACGTTCTTGTATGAGAATATTATTGATGATGGTGTGGAGGGTGGGGATATGAAGAAGGCAGCAGTGGGAGGAGGAGGGAAGAAGGCGTCGGTACAGTTGATTGCTGGATTTGATGTTGTCGAGAGTCCAAGGAATATGATCCTTGTCGCCTTGAAGGATTGATAGTGGGGACGCAAAGTGTTTTTATTTTTTTATTTTAATAAAGACAAAGGAATGCTACGCTACAAGTCTATTGTTGGCAGAGGGAAAAAGGAAGAAATATTTTACAAAGAGCACTGGGAGCTGAGATCCTTTGGTGCCATAAAATGCTGCAACGAGAAGAAGGTGCTCAGGATCATGACGGCGATTCCAAATCCCAGACAAGCAATGTGAGGGATCTTTTTGGTTGACCACACAGGGCCTGAGGCTAATTTCAGATAACAAAGCGGTGGAAGGATGAAAGCCAGGGCTGTTGCCGAGAACCCGCCAGTGACTTCTAGTACGAAGCCGAGATCACAGGTCAGGAGTGCGATGACGAGTGCTACTCCGACAAGGCCAGTTGTGATGATGGTGTGGCGTTTCATCGAGAAGGCTGCTCCTGGGAAGTAGTACGTTTCAATGACCTAGAACGATTGAGTAGAAGAAAGTTGAGAGTTCAATGTCAGTACGCGGTTTTCTGAAGCAGGGAAAATGGTGTAACAAAGGCGGAGTCAATGACAAAATGAGAGACGAACCTCACGGCAGACGAATGCTTCCAGAGGCAAGGTGGTAAACATGTTGACTCCGAAGCAGAAACGCGCAATGTTGATAACAAAGTTTTCAGAAGGAAAATTGTTCAGAATGTTGCCTATTCGAAATCAATATTGGGCATGGTTAGACTCTACATTCAACAGTGACCTAGTCCACAAGCGCATGCTCCGCGATAGCAATCCTGTGCAATAATACGAACCTTGAGTCTTGTCCGAGAAGGTGAGGTATCCTGAGAGAGCCAAGACGAGACAAGCAAGAAGGGAGACCATCATGCTCATGTGGGTGACCAATTTGACTCGGTTCATCTAGATCCAATTGAGCCAGTGCAAGAACAGTACGCGTTAGAACTTCGTTGACATATCCCGAAACCCTGAAAGGAAATGGCAAAAGAGGCGATATATACCGTTGGCTTTTGCAGTGATCCAAAGATCAAGAATGAGTTGTGGTGACACACGAATGCTATTACAACAGAAGCAAAATATGTGATTAGTTGAAAGTCTTGCCACCTGACGCACCACCAAGCTGAAGTACTACGTCAAAACCCAAGGACTCACCGAAACTGATGACTCCAATGGACTGGAACACCTCTGGGCGAGCAAACGACCACACTGCGTCAGGGTCTCCTCGCATCTCCATGGGTGCCCGGGGTCCCTCAATGAGGACAGCAATAATGATGACGACCAGCGCCACCATAGCGACCGCACTCGTCTTGGCCAGTTTGGAGATATCCCGATAGAGCGACAAGGGGAAAGAGATCAAAATGGTGCAAAAGATAATGACAAAGCTACGCCTGGCCAAAAATCCGAGAACAGGCCAATCCTCGATTCCTGGAACAAGCGCTTGGAGTACATGAGGCAGGGTATCACCGACAATGACGGTATAGGCACACATTGCTATCGTGGGAAAAAGAAGTGAGCCCAAGATATAATCGATTAATGCCTGCCACGTAGAATCATTCTTGCAGAAAATGGACGTCCATGTATGCATCCCCGTCCTGCGTGTTCGAGCAAGTTACCTCCAAAGGCGAAAATGAACTGAAAGATGGAGATCATAATAAGGCCAGTCTTGCCAAAGCAAAACTCCAGGAGGTCCTGGTAGGTCGTTCTTCCAGAGAGTTTTCCACTGTGGACCAGCAACCCGACCGTCCAGTCTATTGAAATCGGACAATCAAAATGTGTTTAAAAACGAATGAATTTCTTCATTGCAGGAGCCAAAGAGAAATTGTACGCATGCATGCATGCATGCATGGCGCCGTCAGGAACAAAATTGAGTCCAAGATCCGTAGCGTTATTCTTACCGACAATCCATGTTAGGGCGCAAAGTAAAATGATACCCATTCCCAGACTAGAAGTTGAAGGCGAGTGACAAGAGGACTACGAGTTAGTCAACATTCAAGTATTTGGGACACCTTAGAACTGGTTGGTTCCTTTGATCGTCCAGATTCATTTCGATGATAGCAAACCTACCCAGCTTCCTGGAATGCGAATGGCAGCCCTATATGATTTCCGAAGGAGTAGTTGGAATGATAGTGGGTGAAAAAGAAAAAAGAGTTGAAGCGATAAGTCGCTCGTCCGTGCGTTCAAATGTCATTCCAGGACAAGGCTCGCGATACGTAATGGTGACTGGGGCGCCGTGTTCTCTTACCAATGATTCCTATTGTTCAGATTTATTTGATTGATGGAGAGAAGAAGCGCCAGATGAGCCGATATGTCAGTCAGTCTGTCAAAAGTGCCCCATGCTCTCTGTCAAACCCTCCTTGCATCTCGACCTCCGTGTTCTGTCTGTCTTCATTTCCATAGATACATGCCATTTAATACTTTGATCCATGAAACAACTCAAAGTGCAATTGAACCAATCGTACCTGCTCCAATAATACTGTTGGCCATGTTCAAGAAACTGTCAAAGAGACTGCCACCGTGGTCGGGAAGCTTGGCGTCCGACCCTTCATAGTCGCGCCCGTGGTTGCCAATGCCGCTGCGGTTTGACCGGGTTCCAGTCATCATCCCGACGCCTTCTTCCTCCTGGCCAAAGTTCAGATCATCCTCATCCTCGTCGCTCCCGCCGTGGTCCTGTGAGTAGCCCGAATGGAAAGAATCGTTCGAGATTCGACCGTATTCGCCTTGTCGTTGCGGCTGTGTTGATCTGTGTTTGGAGTGTTCGCCCGAGTGACGCTTTTTCTTGGGCACGTAGGGGACTAGTGGGACCGTGTTCGAGTCACGGTCTTGGTGAGGGTCATAGCTAAAGTCGTGGTCTCCTTCGCTCTCTTCTTGCAAGAGACGGTCAGGGTCGAAGCCTGATACTTTTGGTTGGTTTCCAGAGTCTGAGGATCGTCTGTTCTTGCCAAAGCTATTAGTTCTCTTGATGTGTTGGTTCGATTGCAAGGCTGTAGTATCACTCCCACTTCCGTTCCCGCTTTCGCCCATGCTGTAACGACGGTATCCGATGGTTGCTGTCGTTTCGCTGGGGCTAGTTGTCGATGGTCGTTTGGGTAGTCCGGGGTCTCTGTATCGGTCAGCCTCGTCTTTAGAAAGGGATGTGCTGCTGGTGTCCATGAGTGTTGTTGGTTGATGAGTGGGATGGAGTAGATGAGAGATGTAAAAAGGACGAGTAAGAAAGAAGAAAGGAAAGATTGAAAGGGAGAGAGAGAGAGGGGAGAGGAAAGGGAGGAAGGTAGAAGGAAGAGTAGAAGGAAGAGTAGAAGAAGACTAGAACAAAAAGAAAGAAAGCAAGAAAGAAAAAAGAAAGAAAAAGTGGGGGCCAATTGGCTGTCTCGCATCCAGGCACGTCAGAGCGTCAGAGCGGGAAACAATTCAAAGGAGAGAGGGAGGGAGGAAGGAAGCATACATACATACACAACACAAACTATTCTTAGCGTGGATTAGGATTATGAAGGATGAAGGGGGTGAAGAGAGATGTCAACGATCGATCTGTGCACCAGACTCTCTCAACGGACAGCAAGAAGAGAAGAAGAGAACGTCGTTGGATAACGAATTGACAGGGGAGAAGCAACTGGCGATACGAAAGGAAAAGGAGTCAAGGAGAGGACAGAGAAGAAGAAGAGACAAGGGAGGGGAGCAGAAGACGAGAATTGCTTGACTGATTGAAAAGAAAAAGAAAAAGACCGCGACGTGTTGTGTTCCCGTTTGAATTTCGCCCACTCAAAGGAAAGGCGACCTAGTGTTTGTTAGGGTCAAATTAGCTTGTGTGGTACTGTGGTACTGTGTCCAATTGACAGCCAACCATGCATGGTCTCTTTGCTAGTGCCCCTCATCTACTCAATCTCTGTACCCATCATACTAAGTTTTGCTAGTCTATCACAATCCACCCAACTAATACTATGACGACACATCACTTTCCGTCCCTTCTCTACTCAATTTCTTACGGTTCCTCGTCTTGCTGGCTGCTCCTTTTGTCACCTGCACGCTCCAGGCACCGATATGTGGCTTGTTCTTCAAGTAGACTTAATTTGCAGTCACAGTAAACATTTTGCTTTTTTTCTTTTTTTTTTCAAAGGCTCAAGCGTAGACCGTCAACACACTCCCACCTGTTCGTCCCATCAACCCTCCCATCCCCCTTCATCACCCCTTCACCCCCCCCCCCCCCCAACCCCTTCACACAATGGTTAAACCGGTCGCAAAGGCCGGCTCAAAGACCAGCTTCAAAAAGCCCGGCCCTAAATCCGCACCCGCCAAAAAGTCCCCCTCTACAACTTCTCCCTCTGCCGCCAAAAAGTCCTCAGGAGGAGCTCACTTCCGCAAGGGCAAGGGCAAGAAGGCTGCAGGCGAGGACGAGGATATTTCTGATTTCGAGGAGGTCGCGATGAGCGACTCGGATGTCGATATGGAAACCTCGCTCGTCCCTCGCAAGAAGCCTATGGCCAACTTGGACCTGGATGATCTCATGGGCGAGACTATTGAAGATGAAGAGGAGTTTATCGCCAGCGCCAACTTGGTAAGCATTGCTGGGCGAAAACACCGAGCATTGGTTTTCTACTTGACAGAGAGTCTTAAAGTAGTATCATGGTGTAACTGATCTATTTGACTTGTGTTCCTTATTTCTTCTAGGCTGCCAATAAGAAGCACAAAAAGTCGGGAGGATTTCAGTCCATGGGTAAGTCGACTATTCATCTACTTCACTCAGGATTCACACCTCACATTGGACAATGAAAGACTCACACACTTTTCACATATCACATTCAACCATAGGTCTGAGCTTCCCAGTGTACAAGGCGATTTTGCATAAGGGATTCAAGGTGCCAACACCAATTCAGCGCAAATGTATCCCCTTGATCATGGAAGGAGGCGATGTTGTCGGAATGGCCCGTACCGGTTCAGGAAAGACGGCTGCATTCTTGATCCCTATGTTGGAGAAGCTCAAGTCGCATTCGGCCAAGGTCGGAGCCCGTGCTGTTGTTATGTCGCCCTCGCGTGAGTTGGCGATGCAGACCCAGAAGGTCTGCAAGGAGTTGGGCAAGCACACCGATCTCAGGAGTTGTATCTTGGTCGGAGGTGACAGTCTTGAGGAGCAGTTCGCCATGTTGGCCGCCAACCCCGATATGTAAGCCTTCTCTCCTCGATGAGGTGAAGTATGGAAGCCTGCCGTTTATATTTTCGAAACTGACCTTCATTGTTACTCCCCACTTTCGTCTTATTAGTTTGATCGCCACCCCCGGTCGTCTGTTGCATTTGATTATCGAGATGGACTTGGATTTGAAGAGTGTTCAGTACATTGTCTTTGATGAGGCCGATCGGTAAGCATGGAATCCAAAAACGAATGAGCATTTTGGAAGTTGGAGGGCTATCAATATCGCAAAAACATATGATACTAACATGATGTTCTCTCCCTGTGTTATAATTAGTCTTTTCGAGATGGGTTTCGAGGTTCAGTTGCACGAGATTTTGCACCGCTTGCAGCCCAACCGCCAGACGCTTTTGTTCTCTGCTACGTTGCCCAAGCTTCTTGTCGATTTTGCCAAGGCCGGTCTTCAGGAGCCCACACTTGTTCGTCTGGATGTTGACACCAAGATCAGCAAAGATCTCGAGGTAATTTATTCACTGTCTTCATTTTTCAACAACAATAAGCAGTTGGAAGACATTCAGATCCATGCAGGTATTAACGGTTCAAATTGTCCATGGAAAATAGATGGCATTCTTCAGTATTAAACAGCAGGACAAGGAGGCAGCATTGTTGACAGTTCTCCGAAACGTAATCAAACTGCCATTGGACACAGGAGTCAAGTTTGAGCGGGACGAGGAGAACCCCAAGAAGCGCAAGCGTGTCGCCAAGGAAATTATCGGCGCCGCAACTGAGCACCAAACCATCGTCTTTGTCTCGACCAAACATCACGTCGAGTACGTCTCCAACATCTTGATCTACGCCGGATACCAGGTCTCGTACATCTATGGATCCCTGGACCAGGCGGCTCGTAAGATCCAGATTGATCGGTTCAGGAAGGGATATTCCAACATCTTGGTCGTCACGGATGTTGCTGCCCGTGGTATTGATATTCCGGTCCTGGAGAACGTTATCAACTATGATTTTGTCGACAACTCCAAGGTGTTTATCCATCGTGTCGGTCGTACGGCCAGAGCTGGAAAGAAGGGTTGGGCATTCTCTTTTGTCTCGCCCGAGGAGTTGCCGTATTTGATTGATCTGCAGTTGTTCTTGGCCAGGAAGATGGTTGTTGGTTCTTCGGCTGGGTCGGAGCCTGACTACACTTCGGATATTGTCCTTGGTGGGTTGCCATTGAACCAGTTGGAGGATGATAGTGAGTGGGTCAAGAACAATGTCTTTGATGACACCAACTTGCAGGCGCTCAAGGGTGTCTCTGTCAACGGTTATAAGCTCTACTGCAAGTCCAGACCCTCTGCAGCTGTTGAGAGTTATAAACGTGCCAAGGAGATTGTTGACATGAACGAGTATGCCGAGCTCAGCCCTCTCTTCGGTAAGTTTTTTTTTTTTTGGACTCTTTTTGATTCTGTCCACAGTTTTGGATGGGTCTCTATGATCATGTTTATTAATCAACTTTGCTTGTATACCTTTGTTGTGGGAATAGCTGATTCTGTGGATACCGAGGAGAAGCATCGAGTGAACTTGATTGCCTCAATATCCAACTTCCGTCCCGCAGAGACGATCTTTGAGTTTGGTCAGCGTGGAATCAAGGGTTCAACGGTCGCCTCGAATGTGATGAAGACCCGTCGCGGAGTCGTCGACAAGGTGATCTCGAAGGCTCGTCAGGTCAAGGCCGGTCTGACCGTCAACCTCTTCCCTACCGAGGCAGCAGCAGCTGCTGACGCCGAAGGTGAAAAGACGACAAACTTGGGACCCGAGGCTTCTGAGGCCGATCTTGAGGGTGTCTTTAAGCGGACGGTGGGTCTTTCAAAGAGACGTACTCCTGGGGAAGGATCGAGCTTCAAGGAGAAGCCTACGACTTTCAAGGACGAGAACTTTTACATGTCGCACACTCAACAGGATACCAACACTGAGCGCGGATACTCGATGGTGAACACTAGCAACTCCTTCCTTGAACAGGCCCAACATGCGACCATGGATATGAACGGTGACGAGCGCGAGACGATGAATCGGACCAGAAACACGATCAAATGGGACGCCAAGAAGAAGAAGTTTGTCCAGGGACTCGGTATTGGTGCTGACAACAAGAAGCTCATCACGACCGAGTCGGGTAACAAGATCTCGGCTTCTTTCAAGTCCGGTCGGTTCACGGATTGGCAGCACAAGACAAAGACGAATCTGCCCAGGGCTGGAGAGTTGGAGTTGCCGTCTTCCAAAGCTACGCTGGCGGCGAAGCGGTTCAGACATACCCGACAGGAGGAGGCCAAGCCTTTGGATCCTTTGGCCCACGATTATGAGCGCAAGATTAAGCGTGCCCGCTTTGAGGAGAAGGAGACTGCCGCTGCCGGTGGTGCTCCCTCTGGACGTGGTGGACGCGGTGGCGCTCGTGGTGGCAGCTCTCGTGGTGGTCGTGGTGGCCGTGGTGGATCTAGCGGCATCCGCTCAGAGCTCAAGTCGTCGACTGTTATCGCAAAGGAGAGATTGGCCTTAGAGGCCCGTCGCGAGAAGACTGGTCGTCATGCCGGTTCGAACGTCGTCCGTGGTAGTCGTGGTGGCCGCGGTGGTCGCGGTGGCGGACGTGGCGGTTCTTCAAGAGGCGGTGGTGGTGGCGGAGGACGTGGTGGCGGTGGTGGTGGACGTGGTGGCGGTGGCGGTGGACGTGGTGGTGGCGGTGGAGGACGTGGTGGCGGCGGCGGAGGACGTGGAGGTGGACGCGGTGGCGGACGTGGCGGCCGTGGCGGAAGACGCTAAATCACTACCTTTTTTTTTTTCAAGCATTTTCAACATCCATTTATTTTTTCATTCCCCACAATTTTCACATCGCATACACGAAATACATCTAGATCTCACATCAAAATGATCAAACACAGTTCACATGGTTGCGCATCGAATCATTGAAAAAAAAGGTTCAGAGACTTTATTTGGGATAACTTTTAGGAGATGGGTTCAACAGGGAAAGGGAGAGGGAGGGTGTTAAGAAAAGAGCAAGCAGCGAAAGAAAAGAGGGTTGATTTGGATGGTAAAAAGAGTCGAAAGGTGAAGAAGTTTAAGCAGACTCCTCCTTCTTCTCCTCCTTGGTCTCCTCCTCCTTCTCCTCCTTGGCCTCCTCCTTCTTCTCCTCGGCATCCTTCTCCTCCTCCTTGGCATCCTCCTTCTCCTCCTCCTTGTCCTCAGAAGCAGCCTTCAACTCGACATTGTTCTTCTGGGCCTTCTCGAACTCCTCCTTGAAGATGGCAGCGTTATCAGGGTTGGCGAGGCGAATAGCCAAAGTCTGAGGTCCTGAGCACTCATCCGAGCTGTCGGCAGTGACGTTCCAGACCCACGAGCGGTCAGATCCAACGTTGGGGGTCAAGGTCATATCAGCGGTGACTATTTTGTTGGTGATTCGTAAAGATAGGAAAGCAAGGGTTAGGGTTTGAGATCCGGTAGCTCGCCATTTTTTTCTTACTATGCAGCAGTTATTCCTTTGGCGATTGAAAAAAGTCCATGATCAAAATTACCGTAGTGGTTAGCGCAGATCTTGAGGGTCTGGTCGCGACGCATCAAGAGACGGATCTTCTTGGTCTCCTTGTGCTGCATCAAGCGGACATCTCCGGTACCGCGCTCCTTCCACTCGTTGGACTCCTTGACGAAGCGGAAAAGCTTGGCGCGCCTATTTCATAGTAAGAGGAAATGAAGTAAGTCAACAATGCCTGCAGAAAGGATCAAGCAAAGTGGTGATGGTGTCATGCGTACTATTGTCGGTTGTAGGCGAGAGTCCAACAACTTCGAATGAAGTAGAACAATGTGATGATAAGTGATATAGCCCTATCTCAACTTACATCTTGAAGATGGAGTCCTCCTCCTCCTCGTGGGTCTTGACCTGGACAGCCTCGAGCTTAACAATGGGCTCGAAGTGAACCTCGGTCTCCTCCTCCTATTTACCAAATCAAAACGAAAGATTGAAAAAAGGTCGTTGGTCAGCTGTTCCTTGAAAACAAAAGAGTGTGCGAGAGCCCAAAAAGCTAGAAAACGTAAACAGCGCCAAAACACGATAAAGGCAGAAGCAGAATGTCCAGCAGGTCGAAGGGAAACTGTCGATTTTGAGAAGTGCGCCTTTGCCATTCGGTTGACGAGCAATAAGAAAAAAGGGTAAAAAACTGAACACCATCCTCATCCTCCTTCCATTTTGCCTATGTGTCCACGCCAAACATGTCTACATCTCCCCCTCCCTGAGAAAAATACGAGTACTGGCTCTAAAATAAAAAGAGATCCAAGCAAAAACCACCTCTTCTGTTTATCTCTCCTGTGAACCCAAGGGGAAAATGTGGTAATAAGGAAGTAAAAAGAAAGGAATAGAACAAAAAGCAAGCCAAATCCTGGAGGCGCGGAGTTCCCTCTGCCCACAAAAAAAAGCTAAAAAAGATACGGCAAAGAGCGTCAATGCCTCCCAAAAAAAAAGCCTACTCCCCAGTCCGAGAAGACATAGTTCCCAGTGATCGCCTTCTTTCCTTAGGGTTCTTTCCAGCAAGAGAGAGTTGCCCTAGAAAGTCGTTCCTTTGTTTCCCAGAGTTGATGCAGACTGAAGTCACTGAGCCGATGCTTTCCAATTGAGAGAAGGGTGGTTGGCATGACTATCCTGTCCATTCGGGTCGAGTTTTTCGGTTGTTCTGAAAAAGGCGGCTGTCCAGCTGACTTCATGAGTTCCTGGATTGGTATGCTGCAGGCTGGCTCTGCGTTCCAAACTCGAGGCATGGCGGGGTGACCAAGGTGAAAGTAACAAAAAGCTCTAAAAAAAGGATAGCCCCTTTCCTTTCGCACGCGCGCAACAAACGAAAAATACAGGAGACGACAAAAAAAGTATGTGAGGGGATCATTACCACAGCGACGGTATCGTGGTTGTCAGACATGGTGTATAAAAATGAGTGTTGTGATGTAAAAGGAGGGTGTGATGGTAAAAAAGAAAAGAAATCCACGCTCTTCTTTTTCTTCTTCTCTCGTTGTGTTTGCACCGCAACAGCTACGATGCTAATAGCTTCGCTTACGTCACTCTGGCAGCCCTTAAGGGATCGCCGCATCGCGCAGAGCGCATTGACACAAGCTGGTATGCTGTACCTTAAGAAGGGTAGAGGGAGGATAGCCCAGTTTCTAGTCTTCTGGGAAAGAAAAGATTACCTAGGCTCAGTTCCTGTAGGACACGCAGCCATTGGGTGAATTGAACAATAAGCAGTGCCCGACAGTTTCAACAAGTGCGACAACATCATGGTAAAAGAGTATCGACAAAAGAAATAATTTAGGAGAGAAAATAAACAAAAATGCGCTTACTACTAATGTTACATGGGCTGGATACTGAAAACCTGGGAAAAAAAATACGACGTCGTTGTCCACCCTCTCTCAAAGTCTAAAGGTCCAGGACATGTCGGTTGGGTGCCAGACACTCGTCCTCCAGACCCGGGATATGAATCACCTCAATCCCTTTCTCAACCATATTCTCCACTCCAACCACCGTCTTCACAAAGTGGTCCGGTTCCCGTACACCCACATACACCTGTCGGATACCTGAGGCAATCAGGCGGTCGGAGCACGATCGGTTCCCGGACAGGCGTGTACTACATGGCTCCATCGTGCTATACATGATCCATTTCCTCCTCGACTTGAGCTTGCGGCCGCTCCTATTGCTGATCTGATTATTGTCGGTGCCGTTGCTGTTGTTGCATCGCTCACTACCACATCCACCATTACATGCTGCTGCTGCTCCTGTTGCTGCCGTTCCTGCTAACGGTGCTACTTCACCCTCTCCATCATCCTCATCATTGTCATCCTCAAAATAATCATCCCTCGATCCAGTATCGGCTCCCAAAGCAGCAAGCTTCAACAAACAACACTCCTCTGCATGAGTATTCCCCGGTAACTCTCGTGAATATCCTGTAACTACAACCCTAAACCGATCCGCATACCCCTCGTCCTTGTCCTCCTCAAATTCCTGCGATGATATATCATCGGTACTGTCATTATTGCTATGTCTGACGGTATTGGTTTCCCGCAAGGTTTCTTGAACAAGGACGGCGCCTACACAGTAGCCGGAGGGGACGGGTATGGACAAGTTTGCTTGCTCGATGGCCAGTTTCATAAAGTGAAAGTGCATGGCCGCATCTGATTAGGCCAAGGCAAGGAATGGAGGGAGACAGAGAGGAAGGCAGGTGGAGAGAGGGAAGAAAGGAGGGCGTTAGAGGAGAGGGACGAAGTCCTGTTCAGTTGAGCATGTGTATTCTGCTTGGTTGATCGGCTCAGGTGAAGAGACAGGTTTGTTGTGGAGCGAGGGAGTGTTGTTGGAAGTGAATGGCGCTAAGAAGAGCGAGAGGAGAGAGAAGACTAGAAGAAAGAGAGAGAGAGAGAGAGAGTGGTGTGTTGATGAGGGAGGTGTAGATGAATAAGCGAAGTTGTTGTTTTCTTCATACCCTTATCATGCTTGGTGAGGACGCTCATGGCCTTTGGTGGTGTCGCCATATGTTGTGCTTGGTGGGCAATTTTGTGTTATGTGTGTATGTGTGTTGTGTGTGAAAATGTTGTTCTTGTTGGTATGTGCTTGAGTATGGGTCGATCCTGTTGTTCTTATGTATGATTGTATCGCTGTTTTTTTTATAGGAGAGAATCCTGTGTTGGTGGCTGCTCTCTTTTCAACACCCGTCATTTCAAATCACACGTTGAGGGCTTGGGCGGATGACAGAAAAATAAGAATTTCGGGCAAAACGTTGTGCGCCCAATGGACTATCGCGTGGCTTGATATCGTTGTATTATTCATCTTGATGTGTAAAAACTAAAAAGGCCATCGAATGATTATCCAGACACAGAGCCAACAATCTCGTCAGCCTTCTGCAGCGCCTCAATCATCCTCTTGCACTCCTTACGACGGTTCTGTGTAAACTCGCTCTCCTTCAACAGCTCATCCAGAACCTCCGTCTTGTACAACTCCTGAAGCAATTCCCGCTGCAACTCCTCTTTGGCCGCATTCACCAGGTTCAGCACAATCGCCTTGGGGACCGTGTCAACCACCGTGCGCTTCACAATGTTGAAGTACGACGAAATCAACAGCTCTACAAAAATCATTACAAAACACGAATTCAATTCGTATGTAAGTGTCATGGACAAAATGACTCAATTCAAACCTCAAGTAACCTCAAACAAGTGGAAGAGTAACTTACTAATGACCTCAGTCTCGATCTGCTCGCGCTCGGACAGGTTGCCAGAGGCCTTCAGAACAGCTGGTGGCTATAAAAAAAGGCAATTGATAACGTATGTTCACTTAGTACTGTGAAATAGTACGCGTGGTGAGCAAATTGGTTAAATCGGAAATAAACGACTTACGGGTTCCATGACACCAGAGCGCTTCTTTTTGCCAGCAAAGAAACTGCCAAAGAAGCCATTGTTTGTTGGCTCGGGCTCGAGACTGGGAGGCAAATTGGCCACATTGCGGTTCTTGGGGTCGACAGGCTGGGGGTTCTTGGCCTGGTTCACCCTGTCGTTGATCACAGCCATGGCCCTGTGTCCGTTCAAAAAGTCAGGGTGACCAGTGTTGATATAGCAGGACTCCATGGCGATCAAGTCCTGGACAAGCTTGTTGGTAGGGTTGAGCTGCTTGCGGAAAAAGTTGAGCACGACTTGGTAGAAGCGGTCCTTCAAGTCGGGGAAGCGCTTGAAGAGCTGCTTGGACAGCAGCTGAGTCAAGATACGGACCAACTCTTCAAACACAATGTTGACACATCTCAAACTGGGATCCTCCAGACGCTTGATCTGCTGCTTGATAATGACCTCGAATGCCGTCGTCCCAACAAACAGGGCGGGAGATGATCCAGACGAGTTGTAGAGAATCGTGCGAATGTCGACATCCTTGACCTGATCAAAGGGGTCCAAAGACTTGACTCCGTTGGCGAAGAGCTCGTGGAAGACAAAGCTGATACGCGCACCTCCAGACAACTCAAACGACGTCAGGTCGGTCGAGTTTCCGTCAATTATCGTCCTGAACTCGTTGCAAAACTCGGTGATGATGTTCAAAACAATGTTTGCTTGACCAGCGCTACCCTCACCCAGCATATCGCCCAATCCTGATAACTCGACCTGGTACTTTACCAATGCAGCCTGGATCTTGGCCTTAATCTCGGGTAACGTGTTCCGAATATGGTGCATCAGAATCTAAGTCAGGGGTCATTTAGATAATGATTGTGTGAGTTTTACATGATTGAAATAGAGGACATGTCAATGGCATTAACAGATAGGAGTGCTATTTACCATGTTTAGCCTGCGAGAGAGATAAGGAGTACCACAGTACTGTGCTTTGCTCTTGTATGCTGAGTGGTTCTCAAAGTACGATCTCTCGCCCTCCAGCGAACGAGTAATGGATTTCTTAGTGTCAATATCGCGCTGTCCACGGTTGACCACAGGGACGTAGCCTAAGGAATGCAGATGCAAGGAGGATGCGGTATGAGATTTAATCATCTGTGGCGTATCTTAGCTAATAACAGTCCTCGTTTGATGCAAAATAAACTTACCAAGACGAAGAGGAATGATGCGGCCAGCCAAAATATCGACCACATCAGTGCCAGCATCCCTAGGTGTTGAATAACGCAACAGAGCATATGTTAGCTTGCTGTTAAACCAAAAATCCGAATATTTCCTGTTGTTCAATTGAAGGTGTTGGGTGTGTGACTTACATCAAGTCGACCTTGGTCAGGACACCGATTGTTCTGGCTCCTTCAGGGTCGACTTCTCTTGCAAGTTTGAGTCCATCCGAGTTGGCGAGATCTGTGTTAGCGCCAGTGACAGCCAGAATGATTGCGTTTGGCTTGGTAATATACTTGACAATCATATCCTTGATTTGCCTCTCAATATCCTTTGGCTGGTCTCCAACAGGCAGCTAATATGCAGGATTGAGCGTAAACATGCATAATAGTCAGTCCCTGGACCCTGGACCCTAGAGTTGCATCATGCGCGTTGAAATTTGCAATTAAAAAGAGCTCCAGTGTAGTACCTTAGTCAATCCAGGCAAGTCGACGAGTGTCAGGGTAAGAACGTTCGGGGAGTAGATACGGAGGTTGATGGGTAAGGGCGAAATTCCTAAGAGAAAAAGAGCATGAGTTTCGTAAGCAACAATGTTCAGCAGTTCTATGCACACCAAAGGGCGAAGCATTCGCGAATAAAAGACAGGTGAGATGCGTTTACCTGCGTTCTTTCCAGTCTTTAACTCGGTATCGCGCACGATCTCCTCGCGGATCAGGTTAAAGTCGGTGTACTTGACGCCGGGCTGGTGCAGGAACTCTCCCCATTCCTCTGGTTCCTTCTTATCGCCATTGGGTTCTTTCTTGGCATCTATATTGGAATAATAAGAAAAAAAGGCGAGCGTGCGTATGTCAAGACAAGACAAGGACAATAGGATATGATTAGATTGGAAGGATGGATGTCATTTGCGTCAGTCTGGTAAAAAAAAGGTCTCTGTGAATTGTCCACGTAGGGGAAATGCGGCAGTAAACTCCGACTGTCAATGCGAAGGAATTAGTCGTCATGAGGTCTAGAGCCAAAAGAAATACACGAAATAAAAGAACACGGCGCAGACAAAACATAACATGCAGAAGACAGAAACACTGACAGACAGGAAAGTTTATCCCGAGGTGTGTTTGTGTATGCCTAAAAGCGGTATTTTCTTTCACCTTCATAGATGACCTTGTTCAAGCTTCAAAAAAAAAAGAACTTGCCTGTTTCGTCGTCGCTGTAGTTAGGAAGGGACTCATCCGATCCAGAGTTGGTCACAGAATGAGGGTCGCGACGTTGAGTAGAAGCTGTGGGCGAGGCCGTGGCCGTGGCCGAAGAAGTGCGATTGATCAGCTGCAAAACCTATTAGGGGAGAAAAAAAAGGAAAGAGTAGGAGAGACAAACGACCAAACAACGTGTCAATACCATCGGACAGGGATAAAAAAAAAAGGGGAGAGTGAGGCTGTTAGACCTGCCTGGTCGACAGTATGTCCTCTCTGTCTCATTCGCATACTTTTAGCCATCTAACAAAAAGGGAAGAAAAGAAAACATACCAAGGGTCGACGAGTGACGATGCCAGAGCCTCGAGGGAGAAAGTCGCGACCGACGATGTTTTCGAGGACGGAACTCTTTCCTGAGGACTGTGAGCCGATGACAACAATCTGAGGAAGGTCGATGGGGTTGTGGACGCCGACGGTTGAGAAGGCATCCTGGAGCTTGTTGATTGTCTTGATGAGGGATGCATCCATTGCCATGGCTGAGGATATGTATGAACGATTGGTGGCGAGTGTGAGGGGGGAGTGAGAAAGAAGAGGGGAGAGAGAGAGAGAGAGAGAGAGAGAGAAGGGGGAGGTATGAGAAGGGAAAAGGAAGAAAAGAAAAGGGCGCGGGCACACTACTCAAGAGAAAAATGGACTTGGCGTTCCTGGCTGGTGGGTGTTGTCTCTCACACTTGCCACTCTCTCAACACGGACCAAGAGAGCAGAGGAGCTGAGAGAGAGAGGGAGAAGAAGCTGACTTCATCCAAACGCAGTCACTTTTCGTCTTTCTTTCTCTCTTTGTAAAAAGTGAACACTGCCAGGCGAAGCATTATTGCCTCCTTCCTTTCCTTCCTCCCTTCCTTCTTCCCTTCCTTCCTCCCTTCCTCCCCTCCTCCCCTTCCTCCTTCCCTTCCTCCACTCCTTCACCCGCCCTCCCTCCTCTCTCTCCCTCACCCTCCTCTTTCCTCACAACAAATACAACAAACACAACAAACACAACAATTTGCAACCGCAGCAGATAATACCAGTTCCTACCAAGCACAGGACGAGCCCGAGTCACCACCGAGCACAGGACGAGTCCGAGTCACCACCGAGCAATTCTTCGCTTCCCCTCCCACTCACACACACTTCGCCTTTCTTCTCACAGACGCACACTCGATAAAGAACAAACACAAATGACCATCCGCGAGATTGACCCAGCTCAAGAGCCGGCCGAGACCAAGCACAGACCAAACGCTGCAAGCAGGCACAGACCTAACGCTACAACAAACTCTGTCCTTCCTCCACTCAAACCTACAGCAACCGCTCCTCACTCTGACCACAACAACATTACACCCTTACCACTCAGAGCTAAACGCAAGTCTCTGTCGATCTCGAACCAAGGACACAATAACAACGGCGACGAAGGCCGTATTCCTGCTCCAGACCGAGACCAGGAAGCCTCTATGCAGGACTCGACTGCTCAGTCGTGGGAATACCGTAGGATGATGACGAAGCAGTTGCGGTTGACTGCTGTCGACTCGGGTCGTAGACGCAGGACGTCTACTTGCAATCAGTCACTTCCTTCTTACTCCAGCTCGTCTCCATCCAGTTCACCCAACTGTGCAACTCCCCAGTCGACCACCAGCAACAGTAAGTGAGCAACTCTTTTATGTTAATGACCCATATCGTTGTTCTTGTTTGCGTGTGAATAATATAGTATCGTTGAAAGAAAGGAGGTTAAACTTTTTTTTTTTTGGCATTCATCGCTTAATTTAGGCACAGAGCACAGTACCATCTCGCCTCCCTCGACTTACACCCCCGGTTCAAATGGAAGCCTTGTCGATGAAATGGACCTCGATGCACACTTGTCGTCACCGTCGACAGTCTCTGCTGACGTGGATGTGGCGTCGTTGAGCGACACTCTGGATGTCTCGATACTAGAGGAAGACCTGCTTGTCAGGCAGTTCCGGGACCTGTCTTCACCGCCACCACCTCTCTTGCAAGACTATCAACAACCCCCTTTGTCGGACTCATTCGATGACAACGATAACCAAACGCCAACATACCAACTGTTGCTCGAGGATGCAAGAGCAGGAAAACGGGTCGACAGGAAGGAGCAGCAGCTATTCACCAAACCAACCCCATCAGTCTTGCCCACAGAGTTGTTGATCAAGGTCTTTGAGTGGCTTGCTGGATATCAATCTGATCTCTGCAGTGCAGCATTGGTATCCATCGAGTGGAACCTCTGTGCGACGGGACAGCTGTACCGATACCCCGAATTCGCCAACACGATCCACTGGGCCATGTTCATCCAGACTCTATGCAAGAACAAGGAGGACGAGCTCGAGCGACCCACCAGCCGGCGATATCGACCACCGATCATTACACCAACATGTCTATCAACACCCGTCAGTGATCACCCGCCCATACTCTTTGCACCGGAACGGATGGCGAATTTCGGAGCAAGGACGCAGCAACCACGGAAACGGGACAGACTGGATCGCACTCTCGGGGAATATGTGCGAGGGATCGATCTTTCTCGCAGAGCTATCGGTGCGAGTCGTCTTTGTTCCTGTGGGCGGCCATATGGACCGCCTGTTGCCATGAAAGAGTGCAGCGTCTGTTCTCGACCAGGAAAGGGTTCTCATTCCAAGCCTGTCGTCGGCTCGACTATACGGGGCGCTTCAGGAAAGACCTCTACTACCCAAGACGACTACGACGATGGGTCGGAGATCGATGATGGCGACATGGGCGTCCTTAATAATCTCACTGTACGTCCCAGTTTAGCAGCCATGCGCGAAGGGTTTCAACTGGGATCGCAACAGACCCCTAATGTTCGTTTGGGACAATCAGGCCAATCGGGGTTCGACATCGCAGGATTCGATCCGGCGTCAAATGACACCTCGTCGATGTTGGAGTGGTCAGAATTACGGCTCTCTTCAACGACCGACTTTGGCTGCCTTATTCGACCTATTGCAACAACGAGGACAAACTCTGCAGCAGCCGCAGCAACATCTTCAACTGCAACGACATCACCTACAGCAGCAGCAACAGCAGCAGCAGCAGCAGCATCATCATCATCAACAACAACAGCAGGTCCTTCGCTGATCGCCTTGGCACGATCAAGACAACTGGCAGCCAACAGGTTTAGGGGTGAACAAAGGCTCGCCTCTCAGGACGCGGCCTCGACATCGACCGCCAACATAGCCTCTCCCTCGGAAGGAGGCGGATCCGGGAACAGAGGCAAGGTGGTTGTTGAGAAGGATGCCAGCTCGACCCGGAAGCCCATGATGATTACAGTGTCGTCGCTGATCCAAATGGCACGGCACTGTCCCAACCTCGAATGGCTCTGTTTGGCCTCAACTGCGCTCGCCGACGATACACTCTACCTCGAGACGGGCGATTACATGTCGACTCTGCAACCGGGTCCTCGGACAGGGCTGACCAACGTCCAGGTTACTGTAATGGAAGGGATCGGGGCTTTGGGTCAGTCTTGCCTCAACCTTAGACGAGTGTGGCTGGTTGGGTGTGATTGGGTGACACATAGGGAGGTCTTGGCGTTGACGACGTCTTGTCGGCGACTCCAGATGATGGATGTGCGACATTGTGCTCGACTTGAAGGACGACTCAGCCGGTTATATGCGATCATGGAGGGTCAAGACAACAACGACGACGAGTCTTTGGAACAGGCAGAGGAAACGGGTGCGGGGAACGACGTAATCCGGAACGAAAGGGTGGCAACTCCGCTCAACTTTGAGACGGCCCCGACGACAGTGCTTCTTGGAGCCAGCGTTTCGGGACGAAGGGTTCGCGATGGAGCAATGGACGATCTGTTCTACTGGGTGTACATCACCAGTGTTGTCAGCTCGTCTGGCACTTCTAGCACCGCCGCCGCCACAGCACTACCAACACCCAGTACTGCAACATCGATGACACCGCCAACATACAATCCACAGGCAGTCAATGAGATTCTTTCGCTGTTGTCATCGGTCGCATTGGCGAGAGAGGCACCGACGGACCCAGTGGCGTTCCGAGAGTGGTTCAAGGCTATTCAGGACTACGACTTGGTCTCGTATCAGCCGCTGAGGCGGTTAAAGTCTCGGTACCCGATGGGCTGCCGACCTGGTGAACAGAAGATCAACGGTGGTGGTATTGGAGGTGCAAGCAGTAGCAGCAGCAGCACCAACAGCAGTGGCTACAACACCACCGGTGTGTTCTTCGTCGCCAACAGTAGCAGTCGCAGAAACCGCCGAGAACAACGACAGCAACAAGGCCGCTCGGACTCTGACTCTGATTCGGAATATGACTCTGACTCTAGCAGTGGCAGTGGCACCATCAGCCAACGACAACAGCATCATGGTGCCTTTGGCTCGAGCACTGACTCTGACTCTCATGATGATGATTCTGAGGATAATGTTCCCGAAGAGAACCTTACAGAGTTGGATGATTAGGCATGTATGGCACACGACAATGCGTATGTAGAAGAGATGCGGGAGGGAAGGAAGGCGAATAGTTTCAGGAAGCTGGAACAATGCAATTAATTAGCTTAGACGTTTTTTTTATTTTATTTTATTTGTTCACCGGCCTTCCAATCGCATGCCCATGTGGCCCAAGCTACGCCCTCTGAGCTGCCATGTTTTGTCCTTTCTCTTTTGTCCATCTCGAATAAAAAAACAAGCCATTCAAAAGTCAATCACTGTTCCATGTCGCCATACAAAGCACTACTGAACTGTATGAGCAACAAGTTGGCGATGAAAAAAAAAGGAATAAACAAAATAAACAAAAAATAGAAATGAAAGATATGCTCAAAGTTTGTTCCTGGAAGACACATAATTGGTTTGGTCTGTTTTTTTTTTTTCCTTTTTGTTGGTTGAGAGCTTTGGGCAAACCAATGTTGGGAAGCACACTGATTGGCTGGAGGTGGTAAAACAAGAAAATGTGAGGTTGGGTTTGCTCTTTGGTCGTGTGTCGACTTTTCGATCGCCTGAATGAAGGGGGGGGGGATGGCGTTTTGTTCCCCTCGGGCAGTTGTTTAGATGTGGGGGGTGTGAGTTGGAGAGGGTGAAGAAGAAGAGAGTAGTAGGTGATCGTTTCCCTTGACGATTGGAGCCATCAGAAATTGGGCGTATGATAAAAGTGATTGATGAAATTAATGAACGGCGGTTCCAGGCGCGGCTTTAACGGGCGAAGGCATGGAAAAAGGATGAAGATTGGGAAGGTGGGAGATGAAAAGGAAGGAGAGAAGGAAAAGGTGGTCCAAGTGAGGAAGAGGGGGAAGGAAGGCGAGACAAGCATAGAAGAAAGTCTTGGTCAAAGTAAACAATGGTGGTTTTAAGCGAATATAGAAAAAAGAACGTCTGGAATGTGTCAACCCAATTATTGCAAGTAGAGATGTTTAGGGTTGGCCATGAAGAAGAAGAAAAAGGAAACAAGAAATAAAGATGAGAGCCGCCGTGATGGGAGAGATAGGGCGCAAGTTGTTTATGTGTGTCTGAGTGTTTGTTGGTCGTGTGTCTCTCTGCGAGGGCAGCCAGAAAACCGCGAGGCGGAGGCAGGGATTTTCAGAAACAGCACCAGACAACTGCGCGTTAGATAGCTATACTTCCAAGGAATCACACCCTGTTCTTTTCTCTCTCTTTCTCTCTCTGTTCACTTTCCTTTTTTTCTTCTTCTCGTCCCTACTCTCACTCTCTCCACCCCCACTCCCACCTTCCCTCCTCCTCGACCCAGCTCAGTCTCGGGTTCCCTTCCTCCGTCTCTCACAGACAATTCCATACTCACATCGATACACCCTTCTCCTTCATTCTCTCTCTCTCTCGCTCTCCTTCAACCTTCCTTCCTCTCCCTCATCTCTTCCTCGCCTTCTCCTCATTCACTCATTCACTCATTCACTCAACTCTCGTCTCTTGATCTGATCTCACGAAGAAAGAAAAGGAAACGCCACCACTACGAGAAAGAACACTTTAGTCCGAGACATTCTTCTCTCTTTTCCCTCTTATGCAACCACCCCACTGCTACCTTTGAACCCATTCTTTCTGCATATCCGAGTTAGTCAATCCCCCTTTTTTTGTTCCTTTTGTATCATTCAACAGCGATCTTCATACGCGACAAATACACTATCCTTCACTAGTCTCGTTCTTATTTTCTTCCTCTTTCCTTTTCCATCTTTCCTTTCATAAAACAACTCTTCCTCGACCTCATATAACGACAATCCTCTCTCTTGCCTCTTCTTCACTCTCAACCCTTACTCGACTCGACGCTCTTTCTATCGCCTCTTATACCCTCCTATCACCACCAAGCACTCAAACACAGCAACCGACAGAAAAGATGTTGCAAGCATTACATCGTTGGATAAAGTCGATGGGATTGACGTTTGTCCTCGGCTTCCTCCTCTGCATCTTCCAATCCTCAGAATCCATCCTCGTCAAACTCTCCAACAACCGACCCGACCCCCATCCCAGTTCAGCCAAACTCTTGCTCCTCTCCGAGTTTCTCAAGCTTCTCAGTAAGTCTTTTTTACTTCACTTTCTTCGTCTCCACTTTGCATTATATCCAATTGATTCTTTTGCTGGTCGTGTGAGATTTGCTGAGGGTGTCAATTTTTTGCTCGTGTGGGTTGTTGCAGTTGCCAGTCAGAAGGTTGGGTGCTTTCTTCCCCTTGGGCCTCACCCTTTGATTATTTCTTCTCCCAACCCCACCTCCACAGAGCACACAAACATTACACAAAGTTACGCCAACATACCAGCTCCACGCAATCCTCCTTCCTCTCGTTTTTTTAATTCAATCGCGGGCGTAAATGGAAAAGAGTACTACAGCCCAGAACGGGAAAAATACGCACACGACCTCTCAAGCAAAATGGCATGCGACAAGGAACCCAAAAAAAAAAAAAGAAGCTCAGTCGACAAAGTTTTCTTTAATATCGTCGGACTCCCTATCCCATCTATCCATCCCATCCCATCCATTCGCTCTGTTGTTCACTCTTTCTTTACACGCCACTCAACTCGCTCACACGACCGTCATTCCCGGCAGCAATGGCAGGCTCCCTGCAGGCACACGATAGGACAGGACAGGGCCTGTTGTTGCGTCTTTTTGTTAGTTGTTGATTTGTTAGTTGATGTTGAAAAATTGAGAGACAGTTCACACCGTTTTGGTAACATTGTGCAATCTATTATTACCCATTTTTGCTGGCTGTCCCTTCACGCATACACCTTTTACGCCCTGGAAGGAGAGGTCTGAGATATGACGAAACGAGCGGAACAACGGAAGAGAAAACACAGGGTACTGGAGAAGGGAGTGGAAGAAGCGCGCACTGCAGTTGACGGCGTCGGCAGTGACAGCCAGTAGGATAAGTTGTCTCGTCATGGGCTTTTCCTTCTCTCACACGACCAAGCCAGTTAACGGAGGAGAAATCGCCGAACCCAGCCTTTGCCTGGGCTTGACCTTCTCCAGTCTAGGCAAAAATAGACGAGGTCCTACAACATGGACAGTGGAGGAAGGAAAAAAGAACGGGCCACTATCTCATCTTTGCGTAGAATGGCATAGACAGTTGCACATCTTTACGCGGGTATAACTAACATACGTTTCATCTTTATTTGCAAATAGTTTCATACACTCTCTTGTCGGTTGAGAGGAAACAGTTGGTGGGCCTCGCCTCGGTGTTCAGGCGGAGGTGCTGTCGGTCTGGAAAGACTTGCTGCAGGTCCGGCAAGAACCCCGACCCTCTCCAGGACGATGAAGAGCAACAAATGCACCGCGGCAAGCGTCTCTTGGACAACCAAGATAATGACGACGATGAGGACTACGAAGATGATGTCGTCTCTCCTACCACCCCTTCCTCGACAACATCCTCCTCGTGCAACATCCCCCCAATCCTTTTCTTTGCAGTCCCGGGCGCCATCTACTTTTTCAACAACAACCTCTCCTTCATCCTTTTGGAACTGATGCCCGCACCCACATATGTCGTCCTCTCGAACCTCAAGATCCTTACCACAGGACTGTTCTCCTACCTCTTCTTGCACCGACTCTTGACAAAGATCCAGTGGATCTCACTCGGGGTCTTGTTCTTCTCGACGGCGGTCTCGCAGGTGGATTTGGAAAAGGGTCTCTCATTGTCGATCTCGATCCAGGCGTTCTTGTTGATGGTCCTCTTCTGCTCCCTCTCGGCTGCGGCTTCAGTCTTCTCCGAGTATGTGATGAAGGAGCGGTTTGCAAAGGAGTCGATCCATCTCCAGAACATGAAGCTCTACATGTTTGGAATCCTCTTCAACGGAATCACCTACATGCTAACCCCACCCGCCATGCCTTACGGCGCACCCCCTGTTGCTCCTGGACCTGGAGCACCCCCACCACCACCAGCAGGATTCTTCTCTGACATGACGTTCTTGCATTTCACGATCGTGCTCGCCTACGCGTCCTTGGGTCTGGTCACCTCGGCGATCATCAAGTTCTCGGGATCCATCACCAAAGTCTATGCATCGTCCATGTCAATGTTCTTTGCAGCCCTGGTCTCGTGGCTCTTCTTGAGCGACCAGTTGACAGTTCTGTTCTTTGTCGGTTGCTTCGGATGTTGCTACGCACTTCACCTCTACTACCGCGTTGCCCCCTCTTCTTCAGTCGAGCCGGCAACGGCGACCGCAACAGCAGAAGATGACTCTTCTGACAAGGCAATGGAGGATGTGCGTCGGGACTCTGCGAGTTCTTCGACCTCTTCGACGACTCTGGCAGTCTCGTCCTCCCCCGACTCCACCAAGGATCCCAAGGCTGCTGGCAGCCAACCCATGACGTCGGTGCGAGTTGTCGATCGCCATGAGTACCTCTCTTTGGATACGCTTGACCATGATGAGCAGACTGAGGATCGTCGCTCTTCTAGCGACAGGAGGTGACATTCTTTCTTGTTATGATCAAGTATCCCCCCCTTTTCCGCATCCATTCAACTATCAACCCCACCCATGTACAAAATAAATTATGCCCCTCCTCCTTTCAAATACATAATCTACGCGTTTTGCTCAACGTCGTCGTGGTCGTGATTATTATTGGATTCGAAAGAAAAAAAAACCTAGCGACGCGCACGATCCTTCAAGAAGTATATGCCATTTATGATTGTTTCCACTTTCCACATACACACACACACACACACACACACACACACACACACACACAACATTGCTAGAAAGCATCCATTTCACAAGGAAAAAAGTAATACAAGTTGCATTATGATTTATGAAAAAAAAACCACTCCTTCGCCTCCCATCCTCCTCTTCCTCCGCCCTCCAGAAACAAAAAAAAAAAAAAAAAAACCAGCCTCAACTACTCAGTTTGGACATTCCCATTTCGCTTCCAGCAATCCCGAAACGCCTCCATAGCATCCTTACAAGCCCGCCAATCATGCTTCTCGGCATAACACAACTGCAAGGCCTCGTTCTCGACAGCGCATCCTGTCCGTTCGATCCGTTTCTCGTACTCGTCTTCCTCTTCCTCCTCCTCTTCTTCTTCCTCTTTTTCGCCGGGTGCTGAGGAATCGGAGGTGGAGGGGGAGGAGGAGGAGGAGGGGCGGCGCTGGTATTGGGCGTGGGCGCGTGGTGTGGGTGCCCAGTTGGGGTCCTCTTGGTTGGTGGACTGATCAGGCTGCTGCGCTTTGTTGCTCATGGTTGTGAATGTGGAGGTTGCGAGAAGCGAGAATGGGTTGGGAATGAGAGAAAGAGGAAAGAACGTAGGAATGCTCAGTGGTTTGAAGAGAGAAAGAAGGAGTGGCGCCAGTTGCGAAAGTGTCGTGAATGAGTGTAAGAAAAACGAAAACCAAACGGAATGAATGCGAAGCCAAAAAAAAAAAAAAAAAAAAGAGAGAGAGATCGGCAAGGCCAAATGCAGGAAGGATTCCAAGGCGTATTTGATTTTTTTGACAGTCATTTTTTTTCCCCTTCTTTTTATTCTCCACGCGTGGTCGTAATGCAATTTGGATAATCATTTTCGCAGTGCCAGCTCTGTCAGTCCACCTTTAGCTGAGGATTGCGAGGACGACAATGCCGGCAACAAACGCCATAATCAGGAGCAGGTAACATGACTTTTTACGCGAGTTCCTCTGGTGGATCGCTGCTGTGGTTAGCTCCTCGGCCGCCGCATGTGTGCTCATACTAATGGACGTGACATTGTTCTCAATTGAGTCTAAATGGCAAACACGAAGGTGTAACAAATGGGTGAAATTGTTAGTCAGTAGTGAATACATGGCACAAGGGCGATACTATCATTCGATTGACCCCACTCGAACGAGACAAATAGAAAAAAGAACTTACCCAGCATGCTGCCTTGTTCGTGGACCATCGTGCCCAGATCCCGGAAAATCTCGTTCAATTCCGTGATACCAGACTCAATCTCCCGGATCTCCTCCTCGCGCTGCACAATCATCGACTCGTTGTACTCCAGTTCATTGTCCACCACAAGCAGCTGCATTCGTCTCTGTGAATCATCAATCAATGGTCGGTCTCCCGATTCACTCGCGTCTTCATCACTATCAGAGTCGAGATAAAGTGTTGCCATAGTCAGAATCGCGTTCACGAAGCAGTGACCCTGACCCTGCTCGTGCTAATCATCCATTCCTTGCAAGAAAATTGTAAGCAGCGTACCTGTAATCATTGCGAGCAGCGCCGAGTCGAGCGCGATCCACAAACTCGCGCTGTTTCTCAGCCGATATCCTCTGAACCTTCTGGAACTCGACCAACACTTTCTGGAAATCCTTTGACAGCTTGTTGTGCTCCAGTTTTTTCTACAGATCCAAAAGGTAAGCAGACGTTAGTACATCTGTTTGATTCCAATTGAGACCATAGGCGATTTTGCTCTGCTCTCATTAACGTCGTGACATTCGAACTAAAGAAAAACGAAACGGTCATGTTACTTACGCTGTGCGTATTGTCGAGTCGTGCAAGGTCCTTGATCTCCTGGCTGGTTTCCTTGACTTGTAGCCTTGTCTGCTCAGTTATATCATGTCTATCAGTGCATTTGAAAACGTTTTGTGAGTTCATGTCAACAGGGCCCTGGGGATATAAAAGGGCAACGAGTGGTATCACCTCCATATCAATGAAAAGATATGACATTGACGAGAAATGTGTCAACAAACGAAGAATAAGAGGAACAAAAGAACGAAAGAAGCACAACAGCAAAAACACAGAGTCAGACGACTGTGGGCGTTTGTCACCCCTTCATCCGACTTGTAAACAAAAGGCGCAAAAAAAAGCAATGAGCAAAAGAAAATAAAACAAGATTTCGATTCAAGGGAACTATGACGACGTACATCTCTGACAAAGAAATCCACTTACAGCTTGCTCCGCACATCCTCCGTGTCTTTGTTTGTGCCAAGAAATCCGACCAGGCGTTGTATAGATGACACGTTGGTGGAAATCCTAAAGATCTGCTGAGAGATTTCGTTTATCTTTACACTGAACGCCGCCTGTGCATCGCCTATGGTGGAAATAACGTCGAAACCAGATATTAGCTGTTGTGGAAAGGCGGTTGAGATATTAAAGGTGTAAGGCTTGAGTGAAAGGGGTGCATGGTGGTCGAGTGCAATGCAGAAAGCCATTGTCGTAGTGTATGAGTGGAAAGAGGGAGCGAAAAAGAAAATGAAAAAAAGCTACGCCCAAATGGTGTGTGAGAGCAATATTTTCTCTATTGTCTCTCGTTCTTTGACAATTGCTAACGTAGCTCGCTATTACGAGATGACCAAGGAGCGTACCTGGGTTGCCGCTAGAGTTCCATCGGTTGTTGCTTCCTCCGCCGTTTCTATTATTATTGTTGCCGCTGTTGCCGTTGTCATTGCCTCCTCCAAGTGGGCTTGGCCCGCTACCGCCAGTGCGTCTGAATCCGCCCTCGCCTCGCTCCAGGTCTGCGAATGACATTGCTGTGTGTTGTGTATGACTGTTCTGTGGAAGCCGAGTAAATAGGCGTTGAAAGTGTAAAGTGCTGGTCGTGAGAGTGAGAGTGAGAGTGAGAGAGAGGAAAAGGAAGCAATGGGTGAAAAGTGAAGAGGTGTGAAAGAGTTTTGTGTGAATTTAAAAGGCGGCACTTTGTTCCCTCGTCGCATTCAGCCTTGACCCGTGCGTACGTTAAGGGGCCTGTTCATTGCATCACAGGACCACTGCCACAACTGACCAAATAAAACAAGTTTATCTAAATGTGTTTTTACGCTCAAGGAATTACTGACTCTGTTTTTGAAGAACCTTGAGCTCAGCGTCGTTGTCCTCCTCCTCACCCTCCTTGGCCTCATCACTCTGGGGCGAGTAGAGGACCTCGAGGGCAGGCAAGAACTTTGCCAAGTGCTCAATCTCCCCAAACTTCACACTCATCAGGTCAAAGCAGATACCGATAATCGTCGACTTGTCGTCAGCGTCGAACCGGGGAATCTTGGGGTACCGCTGACTGAAATGTGTCAGCAGAGTATGCTTCGCCCCCATCCCCTCGCCTACCATGATCGCCTCCTTGGTCGTCGAGTGCCTCTTCTTCAATGCCTCCTCCTCCATATCATCCTCAAACGTCGCCTCATGCAGCAGCACCGTAGCCCCCTGGCCAGCCTCAACCAGGTTCTGACTAGGTCGAGTATCTCCCGAGTATACAATCTTCCAGCCGTCCTTGTGGGTCATGCTGATACCGTACGCCCACGGGCAATGGATTACATCGACTGTCTGAATGTCCTTGAACCCTGATGTTTCAAAGAGGCTCATCAAGGCAGAGCGAGCAGATCGGTACCGAGAATCGTGTTGCAATTGACGCCAATGAACGATATCTTCCGACTGAATGTAACGCACATTCTGATATCCAAAATCTTGTGTATCCGAAAGCTCCTGCAAAAATGAGTTGAACTTCAAAGGCGCGATCAAGTACAGTGGGTCTGTGTCTGCCGTTCGAAACTACCATTTGCAAATGAAATTGAAGTTAGAACAAGTACGAGTGGTAGAAATACAAAAAGTCATAAAGCGCACTCTTGTTAGTTACCTGGTTCCAGCGGTCAATGAGGGTAACGATGCCGAGATGGTGATCGGCGTGCAAGTGCGAGATAAAGATTCCTTTCAGGTTCTTGATCCGGTCGTCGACAGAGTTGGCTTGATCCGCTGACATCCTGTATCCTCCAAACTGACGGAACATCTGGCCGTAGGTACCCTCGCCGGTATCCAGTAAGAATGTGCCGTGTTTTGGTGTCTCCACAATCGTAGCGCTCACTAACGATATATGAAGAAAAACAAAGAAGTTAGTTGCGGCCCTAGTATGCTTGCATTAGTCCTTATGAATCGTGCTACATCTCAAACACGTACCGTTTCTGTACTTGGATGGATGCGATGATCCGGTTCCCAATGCGGTCAATACGACATCCTTGCCTGGGACCTCTGTAGGTCCAAACGCCTTCTCCTTTGCAATCTCTTCCTGTGCCTTCATAGCCAGACTGTAGTATTCACGAAGGTAATCCTTTGGACTGTTCTTCAATGAGCTATGGTCCTTGAAGAGTTCCAAAGGAGGGATCACCTCTGAGCGCTCCAGTCCAGTAGAGGGTTCGAGCAAGTATGTCATCATGTTCTCTGCCAAATCCGCCTTCACGCCCAATCCCTGGAGATCGGTTGAAAGAACGTGGGTAGGTGTGTTGTTGTAGTAAGGAAGGGGGAAGATGTTGGAGTCCAGTGCCGACAACTTGTAGCAACTCTGGGCTTGGCTTCTCCAGATTAACTTTTGAGAGCAGTATTCCTGGTTGGCAATGATATGTTGGGTCTCGGGTCCAAAACGCTGCATCCATGCCTTGTACTCGGGATGGCTCAAAACAGAGTGTCCACCCAAGTGAACAATACAAGCTGCTGTCAAATTGTCAGATCCTGCTCCTTGGAATCTCTCGAAATCCTTTGCATTGACCACGCCGGAGACGTAGTCCGTCGAAGGACAGTCAATCACCATAAAAACTCTTCCTGGGCGACCACCACTGATGACCTGGTGTGGATGGACCGTGTCCCCTGATTCTGTCTTGACCGACTTGCCGTTGACGAGTTCTCCAAAGAGCTTTCCTGGCTTGACACCGAGAGCGACAGCGGCCTGCTTGTTGAACTTTCCGACATAGTCTGCCGACTGACAAATGTAACTGATGGCGGAGGTGTTGGGGGTCGTCCTAGGCAAATCCATGAAACGCCCATTGACTAGTTTGACAGGTGCTCCGCCACAGGTGTGTGAGGTCTCTGCCGTTCGGGCGGCCTCAATCATGTCAACATCTGTTTGGGGTGCAGGCGCCCTTGGATCTCTCTTGACCTTCTTGTTGGCAAGAGGGTGAGCGTTGATGCCACTGCTCTTGGACAAGTTGAACATGCCCTCCAGAATCATCTTCCTGATCTCCATGTCACTTTTGGGTGACTGCTCATCCTCAGCGGCCGTGGCCGGGGTCGATGTCGATGGCGAAAGCTCATCCGAGCTCCTTTTGGATCCAGCAACGGGTGAGTCTCGATGTTTTGGAACAGGCGATGCGGCAGCTGAGTTCGAAGGGGACGAAGAGTTGGATCGGTTGGGAGGTGTAAGTGGAGCTGGCCATTCGTAAGGCGAACCGCGCTCAAAGTTGTCAGGATGCACCTGCACGGCGGTGACGCGCAAGTTCTCGTCCTTGTAGTTTCCAGAATCCTTTGTGAACTCGACTGTCTCGACTGCCATTGTGTTTCTGTAGACAAAGTGGCGCGTCGAAGTGATCGCGTGGGTCAAGTTCTCGCCTCCCAACAGCCTCATATTCCTGATGCCCACATCCGACAGCGTCAACAGCATTCCTAATTGATGTCAAGATGTACAGTTAGATAGCAGATCATACAAGATTGCACAAACGACAAAGGTATGTCGGTGCAGGGACAGTCGTCGGCGATGTTTATTCATGTTACCTGGTGCGCCTCCGATGCAGTCCCAGTGTGTACGAGTGAAGAGGATGGTCTTGAGCTTTGAGAAGCGGACCTTTTGCTGCATGCAGAGTCGTTGAGTTCCTTCTCCACAGTTGATCATGTATCGCTGCGAGTCAAAGTGGAGGATGACGGAAGGTGGACAGTCGGCGGTGCCGGTGCTGAGAACCTGGAGGTATGCCTTCATGTCGGATCGATTGGACGTCGAGAAGAGTCGGGTGGTAGGTGTTGTATGGAGTGTGGGAAGAAAAGAGCGAGAGGGGAAAGGCCGAGCTGTCGATGGTTTTAAATCAAATGTTCGAGTGACTCTGAGGAGTGAGACTGTTGTGGGCCGCAGCAGAGGGAGGGGCGTGTATGGCGATGGAGTGGTGGAGGTGGGTGGCGAAGCAGCGACGGGAGCAGTGGAGTGGAGCGGACGACGGGAAAGAAGACACGCGTTTGACTGAGAAGGAGGGAAGCGAGAGAAGTAAGAGAGGAGGAAAGGTCTTTGCGACCAATGAGCCGATCGGAGGGACTGAATATTGGTGGGCGAAGGGAGGGGTGAAGGAGGGTAATGGAATGGAAAAGGAAGAAGGGAAGAGAAAGAGAGAGACGGGAAGGAGAGAAAAAAAGAGTCGGTCAAAGGAATGTGATCACCTCCTTTGTTCTTTGTTGTCAATGGCGTTTCTTTTTTCTCCTTTTGTGTGCATTCCCTGACAAAGGGTGACTGTGGTCCTATGCTTAAGGGGGTCCAGTCACCCTCTTCACTCGCGCGGTTCCTGGTGAAGCGAGTCCTTTGGGACCGCGACTGCCACGATGTCTTTTTGAGTTCTACTCTTGCTCTCCTTCTTCCTCCACACTACCTCCTCGACTCGTTCGCAACACTTCCTCACACTTGACACATACAACACAACATACATCACTCTTGAAAACCATACTCTCACCAAATAAACAGCTCGTCATCATCCAGGCCACTTCCACTACCAATCAACACACAGCCAACAGCAACACATCATGGCCACCCGCTCAAGGACACTGCTCTTCCTGCAGTTCCGCAACTCTTACTCTGGCTCCCATGCAGCCGCCATCCGCCAACAATACAACCAGCAACAGCAACAACACCAGCAGTCATCCCTCCTTGCCACGTCTGATGGATACGGCGACACTGAGCGTGTAGGGCTTATGGACAGTGCAGAGACCACCATCGAACTCATGATGCTCCCTCCCAAGTGGTACGCCCAACAGCGATTTCATCTTGAGTTTAGAAGTGCGGGCCGAGAAGGACCGAAAGTGATAACGCATTCCCAACACTGCCACGATGGAATTGGCCATTTCCTTATCGCCACCAAACTAACGTTTTTCCCCCTTTCTATTCGATTGACCGTCGTTTGCATAGGGTGGATATTGTTGACGAGGTGGACGACGAACTGGAAAAGATCAAAGCCAATGGTATGTGCCGTGAAAGTGCGCATGAGCAAACCCAAGATGCCATGATGATGAAGCCTTCAGTCACAAATGTCATTGACTAACGATTGCATCTTCGTTTATCTTTCACTTTTAGTTCAGAAGCTGGATGCTATGCACAAGAAGCATCTCTTGCCAGGATTTGACGATCGCATTCAGGAAGAGCGGGATATTGAGCGACTCACGGACGAGATCACTCAGGTTAGAACCAACTTCTCACCTTTACATATCTGGATGACTTGAGGTAGCAAAAGGCCATGACACTGACTCGCCTGTACACCTTCGTTGTCATTATTTTTGTAGCAATTCCATGCGAGTCAAAGGAGGATAAAACGGATCAATGCAGAGAGCAGACATTCGAGTTCGAATCAGGAACAGATCATGTCCAGGAATGTACAAATGAGTCTTGCGCAAAAGGTCCAGGACGCCTCGACACTGTTTCGCCAAAAACAAAATGCCTACATGCAACGTATGTGTCATCAATGGCTTGCATGCCGTTTTGGCTCACGCTCTTTGAAGTAGCCAAGGAGATGTAGGAATGGGTTGCTAACGCTACTTTTGTTTCGTCACCGTAGGAATGCGTGGAGTTGAGCTCAGGAATAAGGACATTTTCTCAGCGGTGCAACCTATCAACTCTTCCATATCGGATGATCCAGAAGAAGGCGTAAGAGCTCTTCTTTATTGAATGCGACTGGCGATGGGCTCAATGCGACATTAAAAGTGCTTGGGATCGTATCTAACGTCTTCTTTCGCAACACTTGTTTATAGGGCTTTACAGGAGCTCAGCAGGCGTTTGCGGAACAGTCAAATGCGACGATTACACAGCGGGAACAGGAAATCAATCACATCTCTAAATCAATATTTCAGCTGGCGGATATCTTCAAGGACCTGCAGACGATGGTCATTGATCAAGGAACATTACTCGATCGTATCGACTTTAACGTTGAACAAGCCTCAGTTCACCTTCAGGATGCCGTCTACGAACTCGACGAGGTAACAATCACTTTGACAATCGGAATGACGTTTATTTTTCTGCGCACGGACATGTCACTCACCAAACCTATTTTTATATCTCCTCCGACAGGGTGAGAAATACCAGAAGAAGGCCAGGAACCGCAAGATCATTCTGCTTCTTATTCTGTTGATTGCGGGACTCTTTATTGTTCTCATTTTCAAGCCACGACACCGTAGTGTCCCAGCACCAGAGCCAGAGCCAGAATCTCCTCATGATCTCCCACCAGATCAACCGCCCGTCGTACCCCCTCAATAAGAGCTTTAATAGACGCGCGGCGTTTACGATAATAAAAAAAACTAGACAACAGAGCAGGAAAGGAATTTTGACGCGTTTTTACTGACCATCAGTGTGAAAGAAGAAAGGACGAGGTACCAAAACCTCTCCTTCAGAATGAATCAACTGATAAGGTAGCAAACTCTGGCACAGATGGGAGAGCCGTTTCTAGTTGGGGTGATGGACCCTGGTTCAACTCCTCGTCGACCAAAAGTCTCTTCCACAATGACCACAGGGCTGTCTTTCTGATCTCCCGTGAGTCATCTCCCTGCCAGACCATGCTCGCTTATCAACGCCCATTCATTTTTCTGGCTCTTCCCGATTCATTCTTCGCTTCATACATTTATCGCGTTTGTTCAAAAAGTACCTTCTTATTTTAACCATGGTTTTGAGAGTCACACCGAGGTAGCAATTAGCTCCCACATCGCGCGAGAATCAAGGGATTTAGATGAAAGACAGCGCGTCAAAAAATATCGCATGGCTGTGTCTTGCCTTTTTTTCTTTTCACCTCATCCTATGCTCTATTCATCAGGACATCCATTCATCCATCGTTCACCATGTCAACCGCAACTCGTTGCTTCAACACCCAAGAGCTCGTGCGGTGGTTGGTAGTCAAACTGGTTAAACCCGACACGTCGCGACTCCAGACGTCGCCTTCACCTCTAGGTCGAGTCCGGGTCTTTTTGTTACATGATGTCATGGTGAGCCTCTGAAGACCAAGCCACCCGTCAACTCAACTGTCCCCTCTTACGCCGCACCACCCTCCTCCCTCGTGATTTTTCTCTTTATCTTTCCTTCCCTCCTCCTGATTTTCCTTTTTCATTCTCTTTCTCTTTTTCTCTCCTTCCTGTTTTTTTTCTTTTTCTTTCTCTTTCTCTTTCTCTTTCCCTCCGTCCTGTTTCTTCTTTCTCTTCTCTTTCTCTTTCTCTTTACCTCCGTCCTGTTTCTTCTTTCTCTTCTCTTTCTCTTTCCCTCACCCCTCGTCCACATTCACCACTCCTCGTCCACATTCTCTACTCTCAACCAGCTCCCCTCTGTCCCCATCGTCCTCGCCACCCACCTTCACCTCTCTTTACTTTCGGCATCTTCATTCGCCCTCGAACCCTTTGCTCACCTCCTTTATTGTTCGATATTGGACTCACCCGCACCCGCGTAGTCCGCAAGCATACTAACAAGGAAACATACTAACAAGGAAACATACCAACAAGGAAGCAAGGTAAATGGGTCAGTCTTGGGTGGCAATAGGGATGACGTGTGTACGGGTGTTGAGAAATGATGGTGAGCTGGATCCACCTTGGGTACAGAAGAGCCAAAGACTATGCCGTGCCCTGGGCTGCTCTTCATATGACCTGACCGTCAGCCTCGGCTGGCGGTGGCGCTGGATTTAAGCGGGCTACTCGAACCACACTGTAGGTACAGAAGGGCTATAGAACATGCCATGCGCTGGGCTGCTCTTCATATGACCTCCGCCATCGGCGGTGTTGCTGGTCCTTGTAGCTTTGCTCTCCGTCAGACTCGTGGGTACTCGAGGGTGCAGCGGCCCTCACAACGACCTCTCTCATTTCTTGACATCCACTTCTCGCTGAGGGTACTAAGGTTTCGTGTGCATTGATGATTGTTCAACTCCGTGGGTACCGAGGGCTATAGGACAAGCCGCACGCTGGACTGCCCATCATAATGACCTCACCGCTACCTGCCTGGGGTAGGTTTTGGGTAACGGTGGTGATGCTTGGACCAAGATCTAGTGCCGTCGCCTGTAATGTCCATGAGGTCTTTTGAGACCTCGCTCGGCTCGGCTGTTTTCACCGCTGGGTGACTGGGGCCACCACCCTGCTTTGTGGGCGTGGTTTAATAGGACACAAAGGAGTTGTACGGTTGTGTTTTGTTGTTGCTTGAGGCTGACCCATTACCTTTTCTTTCCAGTCTTTCTCTGTCCTTAATAGGTTTTTACGAGTTTTGTTAGGATTGTTCGAGCAAGAATATGCGATAGAGTCGAGCAAGAGGGTAGCAATAGGAACAACGACAAGATAGGATTAGATGTATTCGAGTTGCTCAATAAAACAATAAAACATGGAGTAAAAGGCGCAGAAAGACAATGTTCATCATGACAAATATAACAAACTCGCACGGGCATTGCAGTTATTTGTTTACATCGGAAACATGTCTGTATTAATATACGAGTAGATTGTCTTTTGCTGCCATAAAAGACACATCCCTCCATCTAACCATTTTCAACTTCTTCCTCCATCTCTCTCTACAACACCTTCTCACGGACATTCATCATTGGCATCCACGGCCTCTGAGCTTGACTGCGAAAGAAAGACATATACCCAATCTCCCGCATGGGCACAGCGTTCTGTCCCACATGCAGCCTCAGCTCCTGTTCTCAACACTCCATCCATGTCGATTTACAGGGTGTTCTCTACCCTACAATTCAATATGCGTGTAGCTGCAACAGTATCCAAAATCGCATGGCTCACATAAAAACGTGTTGTGGAGAAAGAGGCTCAAGGCAATCAATTCTGGCCAATCAGTTTTTTTTTGAAAAGCTCTCCTGTCGATTGGAAATGCAAGCATAGGCATACAAAGTGTCAGCGGTTTTGAGGATATTGAAACCGTGTTGGAGTCATCAGGCAGATCCGGCCGTGGAAGGAGTCATATTATATTTGTTCTATTGTTTATGTGCTATTGTCCTATTTTCGTTGTTGCTTTGGGGATGGTGTTAGAAGGCTTTTCGTCGTCATACAGAATCACAGACACATGCTAAATCCAAGAAGGTGGTGCAATTGGAGAGTCTTCGTGAAAGTATTCGTTTAGTTGATGTGCCACTTGTGTCTGCGATATGATTTTGATGAAATAAAAAATAAAAATAATCGCCTCACTTCCTCAGCCCATCCTTTCTTTTGTCACCATCTCCTCAGTCACTTACTCCTTCTTTGTCATTATCACCTCCGGTCTTTTTGCATGTCGTCGTTCCTGCTCCAAGCTCGAGTCCCGCTCCGTCCCCGGTTCTTTCGCCTATCGTCATACCCGTTTCAGTCTCCAGTCCTGCTCCTACTGCCTCATTGAGTCGACTACACCTCACTTCCTCCCGAAAGATACTCCACCCAACACTGCAGCCCCTATCACTACAGCGTTTTCACCCACTCTAGCTACTCTCACCACTCCTTCACCTCTCCTGTCTGACGCAACCGATTCTATCTTTGAGCGGGCAGTCGACACCTTGGGCAAGGCTTGCAGAGAGTGTCCCCTCCGTTCCACGGCCGAATACAATGCCGAGGTCCTTCGCATCGCCAGTGAAACTAAGAAACAACAAACGGCTGATAACACAAAGTATGCCATGCTCAGAGTCCGATACTGAAAAAAAAACTTGCCAAGAGGCCTCAAGACTCGGATGTCATACTTTCCACATTCGATACTCAGGTCGCCAACGCAAAACCGCCCGCATCACGACTCTATCCAGTCGCTGCAAGACTGCTGTCCTTGGGATACGTCGCCGGGCCACCGAGGCCATCAACATCACCAACACCACCAATACCACCGATACCACCAACGCCACCAACGCCACCAATACCACCAGCACCGAGATCCTTAGTGAAGTCGAGTAGAGACTTCTCAACATTCTTTGCCCTGCCTTCTCCAACAAGGATTTAGTCGAATGCAGCAAGGAGGGAACAGACCAAGAGCCTGACAAACCCGAGGGGTTCCAGGAACACGACGACATTTATGACAAGAAAAACAGGGCGCTATCGTTTCCCATGTCGCTCCTTACAGCCATACATTTTCTACCAAACTTCCCAAAAATAAGCGGGATGGGTGTTTTGCACGTTCGGAAATTCAACAAACAAGAGCAGGACTTCTTGCCCAAATTTACGGAGGGTAGAACTGAGGAGTATTCTGTGTCTTCGTTTCTGAGGTCTGCTGCCTTGCAGTTATCCGTCGAGCTAAAAAAATCACTACAGGAATGAAGCGATCGATCTCCGCATTAAGGTAAAAAGAGTTGAAAGCTGTAACTTCTATTTAGTCATACGTGTTTGACATTGATCAATGTTAACACAATTATTTCCCCCCAAAAACAATAGATCGAAGTCCACAAACACAAGAAACTTCTACCTTCAGAGATTACATTAGGTCGAAAATCCGCAATAGATAATTTCATACTATTGAACAAGGCCTGCGGAGGTCGTCGCTCGTTGGTGCCAATGTCGTCTTTCGATGTCAAGTTTATTACTTTGTGGGATCTGGATCTAACCAAGACCTTTTGGCAGGACCTACCATTGAGGCGCGTGCCTCAGCCGTATGGCTTCCCAGAATATCCGAGTATGGAGCATTCCGATCAAGGCGCACAGTGCAGATGTCGGTCTTTGGTTGCCAACAAAAACGCCTGGGTTCCTCATCACCAGGCTACTCACCAACGTTGGCCGATACTCAGCGGATCAATGGAAAAGGCATTGAAAATATTCCAAGTCGACCATCCTGATGGCTTTGGCGAAGATAAGGAGTCATCCCAGAATATCCGGGACGACAACTTTTGAACCTACCTCCCTACACCGAGAAAGGCTACGATCTGGGTGGATCGATTCAGGACAGACGGGTTCCGGCTCCAGGTGCCCGCTTTTAATTTGAATGAGCTCCACTCGGTCAAGTACAGACGACTACCCCTGGAGAGGCTGCCTTATCGACTAACATCCACTGTTGGCGGCACGGATTATTTTTTTGACGGAGATCAGGAATATCGTTTCAACCAAGTAAGATGCCACCCAGCTCTGGACTTGCGATCCCAAGAGAATCAAAATCCTTAGAATTGACTTGGGTCAAGCATTTGTCGTTAGAGCGAGTGCGATTCTACCCATTCGCGAGTAGCGGAATGTCTAACAAGGACAAGAGTCTGGTGTTACTACCATAGAATCGTCGCTGTTGAGTGTTGAGGCAGAGGAAGATGAAGAGGCCCTGCACCTGCTCTTCGATGCCATTGCATACAAGTGCTTGGAGTTTCCAGCATTCTCGCCCTGTGCAAGTGATCTTGTTTTGTGTCACTTGTCCTTGACCTTGTCGTTGTCGTTGTCGTTGTCGTTGTCCTTGTCCTTGTCCTTGTCCTTGTCCTTGTCCTTGTCCTTGTCCCTCCTTGCATGTTCGTCCCTGTGCTGTTACTCAGTACACAAATGTTAGTCAACTGTCCCAGACACCGATCCAGTGGGTTGGAAAGCAGTGCTGAGCGAAGACAAGGCGAAGGCGCACAAGGTGGAGATCAGGGAAAGACGTATGGAAATGACCAAGTTATCATACACACAATCCTTCACGAATGACAAATGCGACCCAATAGGAAAGATGCTCAGCATTGACAAATGAGAGAAGACAACTTCCAACAAAGAGCTGCACAATTGTTGCTGTATCCCATGCAATCATGGAGAAACATCTCATTGACCCCTTTTTCCAACTCTCTACATATCGTCTCTCTTGGTCGTCTTTCTCACTGGCAGCTACCAGAGACACGTTTGTACCCGTAGCGCAGAAGAAAAAGAGAAGACGTCGAAGAAAGAAGTGTGCCCAGTGTAAGGAGAAGGAAGTCAAAAACAAACGTGCCATGGTGGAGGAGAAGACCAAGGAACAAAAAAGATGACGACTTTGACCTTTGAACAAGAGGAAAGAATACAAGAGATGGCGTCCACCCGATGGAACAGATGATTGACGACATCGGGTGTCGCTCGTCACAATGCATCCCTGGATGATGCGTCTGGCCCTCCCCAGTTTCTGAATGGCATGTATTGTCATCAAACTCTTCAGCGGTTTCGTACCTTGTGGTAAGTATGGGAAGGGAGAGAAAGAAAATGGGGCGAGGGAAACTTTTCAAAAAAAATGATTGGTCAGAATTGATTGTTTACCTTGAGCCTCCTTCTCCACAAAACGTTTTTATGTGAGCCATGCGATTTTGGATACTGTTGCAGCTACACGCATATTGAATTGTAGGGTAGAGAACACCCTGTAAATCGACATGGATGGAGTGTTGAGAACAGGAGCTGAGGCTGCATGTGGGACAGAACGCTGTGCCCATGCGGGAGATTGGGTATATGTCTTTCTTTCGCAGTCAAGCTCAGAGGCCGTGGATGCCAATGATGAATGTCCGTGAGAAGGTGTTGTAGAGAGAGATGGAGGAAGAAGTTGAAAATGGTTAGATGGAGGGATGTGTCTTTTATGGCAGCAAAAGACAATCTACTCGTATATTAATACAGACATGTTTCCGATGTAAACAAATAACTGCAATGCCCGTGCGAGTTTGTTATATTTGTCATGATGAACATTGTCTTTCTGCGCCTTTTACTCCATGTTTTATTGTTTTATTGAGCAACTCGAATACATCTAATCCTATCTTGTCGTTGTTCCTATTGCTACCCTCTTGCTCGACTCTATCGCATATTCTTGCTCGAACAATCCTAACAAAACTCGTAAAAACCTATTAAGGACAGAGAAAGACTGGAAAGAAAAGGTAATGGGTCAGCCTCAAGCAACAACAAAACACAACCGTACAACTCCTTTGTGTCCTATTAAACCACGCCCACAAAGCAGGGTGGTGGCCCCAGTCACCCAGCGGTGAAAACAGCCGAGCCGAGCGAGGTCTCAAAAGACCTCATGGACATTACAGGCGACGGCACTAGATCTTGGTCCAAGCATCACCACCGTTACCCAAAACCTACCCCAGGCAGGTAGCGGTGAGGTCATTATGATGGGCAGTCCAGCGTGCGGCTTGTCCTATAGCCCTCGGTACCCACGGAGTTGAACAATCATCAATGCACACGAAACCTTAGTACCCTCAGCGAGAAGTGGATGTCAAGAAATGAGAGAGGTCGTTGTGAGGGCCGCTGCACCCTCGAGTACCCACGAGTCTGACGGAGAGCAAAGCTACAAGGACCAGCAACACCGCCGATGGCGGAGGTCATATGAAGAGCAGCCCAGCGCATGGCATGTTCTATAGCCCTTCTGTACCTACAGTGTGGTTCGAGTAGCCCGCTTAAATCCAGCGCCACCGCCAGCCGAGGCTGACGGTCAGGTCATATGAAGAGCAGCCCAGGGCACGGCATAGTCTTTGGCTCTTCTGTACCCAAGGTGGATCCAGCTCACCATCATTTCTCAACACCCGTACACACGTCATCCCTATTGCCACCCAAGACTGACCCATTTACCTTGCTTCCTTGTTGGTATGTTTCCTTGTTAGTATGTTTCCTTGTTAGTATGCTTGCGGACTACGCGGGTGCGGGTGAGTCCAATATCGAACAATAAAGGAGGTGAGCAAAGGGTTCGAGGGCGAATGAAGATGCCGAAAGTAAAGAGAGGTGAAGGTGGGTGGCGAGGACGATGGGGACAGAGGGGAGCTGGTTGAGAGTAGAGAATGTGGACGAGGAGTGGTGAATGTGGACGAGGGGTGAGGGAAAGAGAAAGAGAAGAGAAAGAAGAAACAGGACGGAGGTAAAGAGAAAGAGAAAGAGAAGAGAAAGAAGAAACAGGACGGAGGGAAAGAGAAAGAGAAAGAGAAAGAAAAAGAAAAAAAACAGGAAGGAGAGAAAAAGAGAAAGAGAATGAAAAAGGAAAATCAGGAGGAGGGAAGGAAAGATAAAGAGAAAAATCACGAGGGAGGAGGGTGGTGCGGCGTAAGAGGGGACAGTTGAGTTGACGGGTGGCTTGGTCTTCAGAGGCTCACCATGACATCATGTAACAAAAAGACCTCCGACTTTGACGCCAGCCGTCAGAGAAGCAAACGCCCTATGACCAAAGTCGGGAATAAGAATTGCAGGCGCCTATCGACAGATGGAGTCGAGCCTACATCAACTCAAGTCCTTGGTCGACCGCCAATGGTACTATTAAAGGAAAAGTCGGGTACTTGCACTTGTTGGGTGGGTTGACCAAGCTGACAGAGCTTCGAGGATCCGTCTCGGCCGCCACGGAGGAAACCAGGGAGAGGGGGAGGGGGGGTGATGGGTTGGCCCGAAGTAAGGTGGATGGCGGATCATTGGCCGAATCTGGAAGTTGCATAGTTCTTTGAGACGGACGAGGTGCCGAGGAAGGAGTTTTTGTGGTTGCAGAGTCAGAGTAAAAAGAGCCAAGTTGGAATTGTCCGCTCCTCCAGTCTAACTCAGCAGATTAGCCTCCTCCCCATTCACATGAACATTAGGCAGCTTGGGTTTGGGTGTGCGTGAATGTGTCTTTATGTCTGCTTCTGTGTTTGTATGCTGGTGGGACAAGGTTCACAGACACAATCCCGAATAGAAAAATGAACCTAAAGAGATGCCCCGTTCTCCTGGTTGTAAGATCAGTCCGACGTCCCAAGATAAAAACGTTAACATTCATGTTGGACACTTTGGGATGGATTCTTTTTGTGGGCTCTCTTTACTCGCTCAACCTGGCATACACTATCATACTCTCTGAGCTAACTTTTGTTGTGCCTGGAAATCTGACAACCAGCTTTTTTTTCTTTTCTTGGGATTTTGTCCAGACAAAAAACGATTTATTGCATTTTGGCGACACATGTATTTACAGGGCGTCAAAGTTGATGATATGAAGCGCCTTTTTCCTCTCCCTCTCATCCTCACGCTTCTCCATCCAGTTGAGTGAAACGACCACACCGGCCAGGATAGCAGTCGCCGTAACGAGCGTAACAAACACCCATGGGACATAGTCTCCTGGACGAACATACAGCTCCAAAGTCCACTCGCTTGGTCCACCCTTTTTCTCAGCCCATGCTGCCGCTGCCGCTGCTGCTGCCGCCACGGCATCAGGATCAACCTCAGCTCCTGGAGTGGCATTCAGTCCTCCAACAGGAGGTCGAGACTCATCCTCTGACTGGTAAGGAATGATGATCAACTGCGAGTTGGGGATCACTCCGGAATACGTCGTATAGTGCTCAGGCTGGTTCCTCGTCACGCCCACAAACAACTCCTCAACATAGTTATTCGTCCGTCCCAATCCAAACAACGAGTATGGCAAGGACAGACCCATGTAAGACGATGAAGGGTACTGAGCAACCTGGTTGGCGCGCTTCTTGCCCGAGGTGTCCAGAACAGTAAACTTGAAAGTCGCTCCCGGATAGTTGACTCCAAATGGCTTGGCGCCGGCCTTGGCAGGTTTAGTATCGTGAGGTCCACTCCATGTGGGGCTAACACCGTTCGAGGCAAGGGTCTTGAGGAAGAAGGCGTCGTTGAAGTAGTTGTTGTGGATCATGGTGATCGCCCTTCCTGCAGCCTGTTGACCATTCGTGTTCCTGAGCAGCATTATATCCACCGTGCCCTATTAGAATGGGAAATAAAAGTGGTTAATAAATTTTGTCAATCAATACATCGTCAACATCAAAACAACCAAAAAGTCAATGTTCAAACTTACATCCTCGTCGAGGTCCAAGAAGGCCGCTGCGCGGACATCCTGTGCAAGGTTCAGAGCCTCGGCACCATCAGTCACTTTGACAAAGCTGCGTCTCTTCTTGGTCACTGCAGAGGGCACACAGGTCTCATCTGCGCAAAGGACAGACTGGAAGAGGGTTGCGCTTGACGGCTTGCTGTTGTCGCCGGGTGTGCTGCTAACGACCAGCAGATCCGGGTATCCATCCAAGTTGTAATCGCCGACATGAACCGACACAGGCAGTTTGCCCTTGAAACCGGGGTCGATCAGCAACAAGCGCTGTCCTTCCGGGAATACATTCGCTAACGGGAACCGTACAAGGCCCTATCAACATCCATATGCCGTTTTTCAGTTAGTACAAACGCTCAAGCTAAATTATAATAACACCAAGCTCGAGATTCTTACCCCTGGGACAGTGTTGTGGTCTGGGTCGACGCTGAACGAGAATCCTGGATCTACGACGCACAGGTTGGTCACCTGTCGACAATCCTTCTGATCCTTGGACGTGCAAAGAGGGATCTGCTGGTTGTAGTAGACATAGATCGAGCACTGGCCATGGGTATCACACCCAGGGACGACCATATCAACCGCTCCGTCGCCATCGATATCCGCGAACGTGACCTGTCCAGAGCCTTCTGGCAAAAGCCCACTCACTCCAAAACTGAATCCTTCATCTTTGTTGTTCACGTAGACCACATAGCTGTATTGTTGCGTTCCAGCATCGTAGCAAGTCAGGAAGAGGTCTATTTTTTAATTGTATAATATTTAAATTCGTTAGTTTTGAAATGTTCACTTTTGATGCCCATTTGCTTATTACGAAAAAAAGAGTAGCACTCACCCGCAAGACAGTCTCCGTTGAGATCGACAAACGCGCTTGAATGAGGGTCCGAAAGAGTGCAGGCTGGTCCAGCTTCTCCCGTAAAGTTCATAGGCACACTAGCAAAAGGATAAGTCAGGCGCTCCACGTTAGTTTCAACTCATAGAAACATCACTGTGGTACTTATGCTCCCCATATTCCTTGACATCCTGATCCACCAAGACGCTTACACTTCAAAAATGGGTCCATCGGGGTTGGCAGGGGAGTAAATGTTTCTCCATACCGACAATGGACTGACTCCTGCCTGGTATCCTTCAAACTGGTATCCAAGAAGATCCGTGAGCATATCTCCGTTGTAGTCAAAAGTGATCGGTTGTTGGGCTGTCGATGATGGCACGGTAATGAAATTTTCGTCTATTTCGAATACAACAAAAATGGCATAACAAACAACAAACAAAAGGTATATTAGTTTTGAAATGCATCTACAACGGCTGCATTGTTGAACTCCATAAATACAATATGAAGTTCATCCTGTTGAAAACGTACTCCATCCGCTGTCAATGTTTCCGAGGTACACCCGCATCATGAGCTCGCCTTGGGGGTTCCGTACTGGGTCCGCCTGACCCATGACCAAAACATCCAGCTTGCCGTCGTGGTTAAAGTCTCCCGGGACAATGTTGGTGATAATGAAGGGAGGTGTCTGAGCAATCGTCACCGTTGCGTTAGGAAGTATACTAAACGCCCACTCCGCTAGGAATAATGGAGCAGAGGCACGTCCGGTGTTAGCATTGATGCCCATAGACCGTTGATTGTATCTTCTTCAGGCTTGGCATTCTGTCATTCCTTGTGGGTGACAATTGGGTGCAAAGTACCATGGTCCCAGAGATATACGCTGAACGATGTCTGGTCATCACTTAGCGTGATAATGTCGGTACTAGGAAGCACAAAAAAAAACGTCGCCAGAAAGAGAAGGCATAGTAGGTAAGCAAAGTATACCAGGCAGCGCAACGGATATCCAGAAACGAAGGGACAATTCACTTCTGTAGCAAATATGATTGCAACTTGGAGTAAGCTGGACTTACTATTTGTCTCCATTAAAGTCTCCAAAGGCAGCGGCGGTTCCCTTGACGTCGCCGAGATGGATGTTGGCGTCAACGTTGTAGAGTCCGCTGGTGGGGTACTTTCTTGCAAGGGCCGATCCGACAGCGCATGAGAGCGCGAGGAGAGCTGTAAGAATCGTTCTCATTGCCTTGTGTCGAGTTGTATGTGCCGTGTGCGTATATATATATGCCCTCCTCTCGGTGTCCTGTGAGTCTGTGTGCGGAGAGTTGTTTTGCTGGTTTGATGGGTGGTTGACAATCCCTTTTGTGTCTGGTGAGTGAGTGTGAGTGTCGAGGCGATGAGCAGAAAAAGGTGTGAAGAAAGGTGAAAGGTCTCAGGGTTGCAGGTCGCTCTGCCACGACCTTTTTGAACTTGTGACTGATTTTTGGTCGGACACACAAAATCTCAGTCGACACTGGAATCGACCACATTCACATTTTGACCTTGAACATCAACACCCTGCAAAAGGCACATATTTATGTCCACACAATACAATTGATATTGGTAGCACCACATAACAGGCGTTGGGAAAGCATAAAAAAAAAGAGACCAGGGTTTATTTACAATTGATCCGTGTGGTAAAAGAAGCAATGGGCGAGGCAGAAGTATGTACAAGTTGCTGTGTTCTGCAGCTAAAGAGGGGAGTGAGACAGGAGTAGAGCTTGTCCCTAGACAATGATGACAAGTCCAGGCCGTTGTTGCGCCAACACCCACTCCTTGCCTCTCTTCAACGCATCCATCTTCTTGCTCAACTCTCCACCAGCCTGCGACCCATTGCGCCGTGTAGCGAGCGACCCACAAGAACCCATGTTGCCGGGCTCAGGGCTGGTGCTCTCCAATGGAGCGATTTCCTGGGGTGCCACTGCCTCCACCATGATGACCTCTGGTGCCTGAGGAGCGACAGGGGCAGCTGGCTGAACCTCGGGTTGAGGTGGCGACTCGATCACAGCACTGTCCAGAGGATGCAATGCCGCCGCAACTGCTCCTGCTCCGGCCAGTCCTTGATCCTGCGGAGTTAGAGCTTGTGGCGCCGGGACCTGTTGCTCCAAAGGTGCAGGTGCAGGTGCTGGTGGTGAAACGGCCTGGATTGGCGCCTCGTCACTCAAATCACCAGACCCAATCCCCGAGCAACAGCTAACGTTCAGCCTCTTGAGACTCGAACATCCGTTCAAAATCTCGCGAACACCCTGCTCCGTCACACGAACACAGCCTCGGATCTCCAAATCCTCCAACATATGGCGACCAGGGTTCAGGGCATCAAACTGCGCCAACTGGTAAAGACTGGCATCCGAGACTGCCGACCCACAGAAGGACAGGTCGATCTTCTTCAGGATCATACAGCTGTCCGACAAGGCCTCCAAAGCGATATCGGTCAATGCGCAACAGAACGAGAGCGAGATGGACTCGAGTCGGGGCATGTTGGGTGACAAGGCGACAATGGCCTCGTCCGTCAGGAACGTGCAGTCCGAAAGGTACAGCTCCTTTAACTTGGGGAAGCAAGCCTCCTTTCCAGGAATGGGTACTGGCTCGGGAAAATGTCCGTTAACCATGTCTGGTGATGGATCTGGATCGAACGCATCCAGGCTAAGCGAGATGAAGGCCTCGGGCGAGATAGTCGTGCATCGCTGGAGGTTCAGGTACTCCAGTTGGCGTGAACCAGAGGAGCAAAGGTGGATAAAACTCCTGTCCGTGACGTTCTTGCAGTAGGAAAGGTTTAAGTGTGAGATCAGAGGACAGCCCGGGAGGTCGGGGGAGATGACAGGGGATGATCGTGACTTGGTCGCTGGCTGAGGTGCAACAACTTCTTGGGGTACCCCATTGGCGATCAGAGCAGACCTGGGGTAAAGCCCGTAGATGGTCTCATCACCGAGTTTCCTGCAGTTGGAAAAGTCGATCGACCGAAGCTTTGGACAGTGCATGCCCAGAGAGCGGAATCCTGCATCTGTCACGTTCCAGCAGCTGTGCAAGTCAAGATCCTGCACGGCGGGCATATGGGAAGCTAACATCGATAGCCCCTTATCCGAGATCAAGAAGCAATCTCTCAAGGAGACACGGGTCGTTCTTGCCGGGTTGCGGCTCAGGATGGAGTTACACAGGTCTCCCAACACGGCATCGGTCACGATCTTCTTGTGCATTGACAAATCCAGATCCCGGACGAGGTCGTTGTGTTCCATGATCTTGTGATCCCAGTCCTTGCAGACGCGTCTTGCCCTCAAAAGCGCCGTTATTGGGAGACCCTTCAGAATTGTAAGGACAGTCGACTCGTCCAGATCCTGGAAGGTTGCTGGCCCTGTGCGCAACTTGATGGGCTCTGTCAGGGTGACGGAGGCAATGCCGGCAGTCATATCCTGTTCGTCCTGGTCGGGGAGAGATGGTTCCACAGTTGCCATGGCGCTGGAGGTAGCAGGTGCGAATGTAGTGTCAACCATCGTCTTTGCCTGAGTTGTTTCTGCCAATTTCATCAAGTCCTGTTGGGTCCACACAGCTACACTGGCTCGTCTCCGCTTCGGATTACTCTCCACCAAGCCACGGATGGTAGGGTTTCGGCTCATGGGTGGCTCGAGACCACTTTCGTGAGCAGGGGGAATAGCGTTTTGCTCAAAGTAGGGCTGCTCTTGGGGTGCGACTGGTGGCATAGGAGTTAACATGGGGGCTTCGTCGAATGGGCTCCACTGTGCAATTGAAAGAGGGGCCAATGACTGCGCGACCGATGGACGACGACCTCTTGGGATCCCTCCATTGATTGTCATAGGCAGCACTGAGATGGCTATTTCGCAATATACAGACGAAACTGTTAGATCGGACCAAGTAACATAATGTGCAAGCAAAGTTAAGTTGTTCGTCTGTTACCTGTTGGATGGCCGGCTTCGATGGGGTGGAGTGGGTCCTGGGATGGACGTCTGGTGGGGGGATTCGAAAGGTCAGCGGTGAAGCCTGTTTGCCCCGGAACGGAGGTATCCTGTGGTTGAATGGTTTGGATTGGTGTCTTTTGGACGGGCGACTGGGCAGCATCCCGTGGCACGTTCAGAGATCGATGGTTCATCTCTCCGTCAATATCCATGAGTCCTGCCGAGTCATCCTGCATTCCTTGGTCTGCGTTGGTGCGATTGTTGTGGATAAGCCAGTTGTTGTAGAGTCGGTTTCCCTCTGCCGTGATGGTCTCTGCTGCGCCAGGCACTGCCTCAAAGACAGCCTCGAGATTCTCCTTTGTCAAAACAAACACTTCGACCTGTGAGACTGCCTTGACATTGGCGATACGAGGCACATCCAACAAGACGGCAATTTCGCCAAAGAATTGCCCGTCTCTGAATCGAGCCAGGACGCGAAGGTTGTCGTCGGAGAGAATTTCGACCATGCCTGAGGTGACAAAGAACATCTCGCGACCGATCTCTCCGCGACGGATGATGGACTGGCCGAGGTTGTAGGTGCGTGGCTCGACCTTGAGGGAGAGCATATGGATGATTTCGGATGGGCAGCTTTGGAAGAGTGGGACCTATGTATTAAATCCAAGAAAGGGAACATGATAATGATGGATGGATGATGGGATGATGGAAAGAAAAGGTTAGCTCCAATTTTTGGTTTTTTTTCATCAGTGTTTCTGCCTGTGATTTGACCATGACGACTGTCATCAGCACCTAATTGGAGAATAGTAACCCACCTTGCGAATGGCGCTATGGATGTCGCTTCTGGCAAAGCTATCCGAATTGGTATCATCCCGTCCTTGATCCGGTCCTCCAGAACCGCCATCCAGAGTACGTCGTGCAGAAATCGACTGTCGCCGTTTGAGATACATCTGGTACCGCTCCTGTGTCTGATACCCAATCGCCTTGGCCGTCTCAGGGCAGGACTCCATGACTTTGACGAGGTCGTCTCCCGAGAGGATGGCGATCGTGCAGCGGTTCTTTGCGAGGACATCCATGGATCGGGGAACCCTGTAAAGGACCCCGATATCGCCGAAAAAGTTGTTCTCCTTGATCTCGTAGTAGGTCGCCTCGTTATCGTGAGACACGACCTTGACTGTCCCACGGAGGACGTAAAACATAGCGCTAGACTGCTCCGACCGGCGAATGATGTGGTCCTGGGGATGATAATGACGAATGTGCATACTCGATGCTAGCTGTTGGATTCCCTCGGGTGTAGAGTTCTTGAAGAGAGGGTGTTCTGCAAGTGATTGCCAGAGTTTTGGTGGGAGGTTGGTGACGGGCGAATAGCCTGTTGGTGAGGTCGGTGGCGAAGAGAGCGAGGCAAGTCCCTGCCCTAGTTCTGTTTCGAAAGGGTGTTGCAGAAGTGGCGGGAGCGTGGGTCGCTTGAAGGACGTGCGTCGAAGGCCCTTGACGGGGGATTCTGGCGGAGTCCTGAGAGATGGCAGTATTGGGTTCTCGCCCGAGTGGAAGAGGTCGAGGTTGATCTTTGGAGATTGGACTCTGGCTGGTGAGCTGGGGAGAGGTGACTGGACGACGGGCGGTGCAGGTGAAGAAGGGCGGCTGTTGTCAAAGGTGTTGAGGAAAGGCGATGCTGCCTGGTCGGTGTTGGAGGAGTTGACGTCGGGGTCGAGGGGGTCGAGAGGGTCGCGTCTGTCGACGGCAGCGGCCTTATTGGTTAAGGTGGACGAGGGGTCTGTTGGCCACAACATCAAATCTGAATCGGCCGGGGGACGTCGTCGTTTGGAGGAAGGCGCCGGGATGGAAAGGGAACGTCCTGATCGTTTATGACACACCACTTTTAATCCTTCAGAGTGACTCTTCTGTGGTTTAAAGAGAAAGGGGGTGGGCAGCAGCAGTTAGAGCTGGTTTGGTGGGTAAATAAATAAAGATACAGTAGTTACGTGGATCAATTCCGAATGCCGTCGAGAGGAGGAAGGGGGTGGGAGTAATATTATGAAAGATGCAAGAGTGGGAAGAAGATAAGTGGTGTTGTTGTAAGAGTGTGAGAGAGAAGAGGAGTGCAGGCAGGGAGGGAGAGAAGGTGTAAGGAGGAGGGAAGAGAAACAGAGAGAAGAAAAGAAGAAGGACGAGTGGTTAGAAAGAAGTAAAGTTTGTCAATGCAAACGCATGATGCGTCTTTGTTTATACCGCTTATTGCTTTTTGTATTGGTTTGTTTGTGTCCACAAAAGGGAGAGGGGTGGAGGGAGGAGACTGAGTGCAACGGTCCAAGCAAACGAAACGAAGAGATGACTCTTGGTCAGCAAGAAGGAGCGAGAAGGAGCGAGAAGAGACGAGAAGGAAGGAGAGAGAGAGAGAGAGAGAGAGAGAGAGAGAGTGTGTGTGTGTGTGTGTGTGTGTGTGTGTGTGTGTGTGTGTGTGTGTGTGTGTGTGCGAGGGGCCAGACTGGGCCCTGGCGGATGAATAATAATAACAGGCGTATGAGGGTGCGAGGAGAGCAGGTGAGCAAGAAGGGCCAAAGAGTAGTTGTTGGTATGTACCCGTTCGTTGTTTCTGTTTGTGGACGAACAGAACAGTCGGCTGATGTCGATATGGAAAGAGAGAGAGGGCGGGTGAAGGAAAGGATAGAAGGATTGTTTTTTTGAGTGCTTCAAAAGGGAAAGAGTGAAGTCGCGACAGGGTGTCAGAAGAGAAGCATATGCACAGAGAAGTGGCGGGAACAAGGACGATGGGGGAGGGTGAGGAAGAAAAAAGAGAAGAGAGGAAAAGAGAAAGAAGAAGAAAGAAGAAGAAAGAAGAAAAAAGAGATGAAGACAGAGAGAAGGAAAAAGTGAAAAAAAAAAAAAGGTCTCACTCCATCATCGGTCTCTTGCTATACAAACACACTCTGACTTACAGACAGATAAGCTTTCGTATGCGCACAATGGGCGTTACTCATGCCAATGCCATCGTCTCCCCTTCTATCTTTTCACAAGTGCCAAGGAAATGAATGAAAACAAGGGTTCTCATCATAGAAACACTCGCTAAAAGTACAAGGACAATTGACAATACCCTTCTCTTTCCCTTCTTCGCTTCTTCGCTCCTTCGCTTCTTCGCTTCTTCGTCGCCAACACCTACAACCGTCTTTTTTTATCTTTCGATCCTTGTGCCACAAACAAAAAATATTCATGCAACCTTCTTTCTTCGTGCCAACTTGTAATCACGTGCGCTATTGATACCCTTCGCTCGCCAGGTGCACAACCCCCCCGGCTCTCTTTTGTTGCTGCATATCCGTCATACGCCCTTTCCCTTGTTGTTTTTCTGCCTTGTTCATTGATTTCATTTCTTGCATTGATGGTCATCTCGCTTTCGCCTGATTTCTCTTTGCATGGCCTTTTCAAGGGGGTGTGTTCGTGTACAGTTGGCACATACACACGTTTGTTTGCTTAGGGTAAGCTCCCTGATCTGCACTGTTGATGAAAAATACAAGGATAGGTCGAGGCGAGGGTAACGGAGATGGGGGAGACGAGAATAGAGGGAGGCAGAGGGGACTCCATACTGGCGAAGAGTGGGAACGTTAATCAAGAGATGAAAAGCGTAATGAACGAGGGTCTTTAAGTAGAAGGTGCAAAACATGAAGAAGGAAAACGAGGACGTGAAAACACAATCAGATGAAAGCGCGCAAAAGGACGACCACGGACCTCAATTTGGATTTATTCTCGTGGTTGTCCTGTGCGGCTGGTCTGCATTGCTCTTGAACCACAATCATGCATAGCTTTTGGCGATGATGCTGTGCCCATCTCTCCTCTTTAATTAGCACATATCCCTCTTTCTCTTTCCGGCCTTGTCACTCGTTCATTCTCGATAAGCGCTTGTTGGTTGTCGACACCTTATCCAAGCAGCCGAGGAAAATTATTCACCACATCATTGACAATCTCATTCATCATACGAACACCCCCACCTCTTTCCCTGTCACTTCCTCCGCTTTCTTCTCATCATTCTTTCGTGTCTCCTCCTCTTATTGCGTACATTGTCGGCATCACCTCAATTCTCAGCACTGCTGCGACCAAGGGCGCAGGACAGGGTCAGAAACTTATTACACTCTTTTCAGTCTCTCGTTCACTTGCGGCAGAGGACCACTTCGTACTGCTGAGTTTTGCTGGTTGGTTTTTTATATCCTACGCACAGACAGTTGTAACTCAATTCAAACCGTCCCCATGTTTTCTCAGCTCAGATTACAACCATAAAAGAGCTTATGACGCGTCGCGCCTTGCGTCCAAAAAAATGAAATAAAGAAACAAACACGAGACGCGTGTACGTTTAATGCAATGGTGGACGTATTTATTTTCAGTTTAAACATCGATTAGATTGTTATGCATAACTGCATCTCGAATGGGGAACAGGTATAAATGACAGGAGTCTACAACTGTCAACTGTGTTATGTTCGCGAAAAAAAAAAATAGTGATGGGTGCAAAGCGAGATGGTGTTTCTTGAGGCGGACAAGAGTGTCCTGCCTGCACAGAATAATATCTGGTTTTTTTTGCGACTGGGGCGTTTGTTCACGTGGCACATATGGGACGATCTCTGTTAAGGGCTGTCTGGTCGAAACACAAGACCACTCTTGCTGTGCCTTTCCTTTTATTTCTACAAATCATCTCTCCAAGCTCACCATTCCCGATTATTTTTTTACTGGCAGAGAACAATTGACATGTATGTCGGATAGAGAGTTCGTTGTCTTTGAGAAGGAGAGAAGGGGCGAGGCTGGAAGTGAAAGAAAAGAGAGGAGAATCAATGTGTTGAGATTCGGTGCACGGTTGAGCTGTGAGAAGAAAAGGGTTATGTGAAGGATGTGAAGGATATGAAGGATAAAGTTGAAAGGACGAAGCAAGGGTTTTGTTCAAATGAAGATGTCAAAGAAACAAAAGAGAAGAAAGAGCGACGAGAAGAAAAAGAGCAAGGTCTACAGTGGTGGCTTTCCATTCGTCCAGCCGTCCAGTGGCTTGCGGAATAAACGGTATAGCGCCCACAGCTGAAAGAGTACATCGGAGCGCGTCGATAAGGTTGTTCCATGTCCAATGCAACAAATGGGAGGGACGGATCAAATTTCAGTCAGCTTGTGAGAGCACTGTTTGTCTAGAGATTCCACAAGCTACGCTCTTCTCTTCCAGGCTAGGCAATAGGGCCAAACAACAACTGGCAGACCTCCTGTTCAGACAGTGGGAAACACTAATTCTGTTAAGCAACACTCCAAGATGCATGTTGCATGTTCCTTGTTCATGCGAACAAAATCAACAAACAAAGAAAACCACCATCGATGGGACTAGCAGCAGCAAGTAATAAAATAAAACTAATGGCGATGAAAACACCTATGAAATAGTGAAATAGAACTGGCACCATTGAACTGTGGGAAGAGGAGCCATTCACTCAAACCTTGCAATCCTAATGAGGAAGAATAAAACACAAATGACGACTTTCTCCTCGTGTCCTTTTTCCCACCAAAAACAACAAACTCACGCCAACTGACGAAGTAAGCCCCCCAAGTGGGCGTTGCATGCCAAGGTGGAATTCCAAAAATATAAGCACTTTTTACTTCTCCCAACGCCCAAACTGCACGGAGACAAAGAGGCAAGGATAACCTGGCTAGACCCATCATCTGGCCAATTTGAAAATCATGGGCGGTGAGGTCTCCCCCCTCTTTATGTTGGTCCCCGGTACTACGTTCCGGTTTAGGTCTGTTTTGGACAACCTGGAACAATGCAACCAACAAAAGAATAGGTCCTCCCTTTTACCTTTTCGCCCTTTTTCCGCTTTCACTTTTCACTTTTTCGTTAACATCCCTGGTAGCCGCCCCTTTAACCACTTCTTACCCTATGATCTATCTCCTTCTTAGTTTGCCCAATGGTCCAATCATACACACAGTTTCAATTCAATTAGTGAAGTAGTGAGTGAGAAGCCCTTGAATGAAAAAGAAGGAGGAGATATTCTCGACTTCATTCAGTTCCACTTGACTTTCTCAACTGAAAATAAATGAACGAGACAGTGAACCCTCTCATTCACGCACTTCTTTCCTTGAGCCCTTTCTCGGAGGAGGGATGAGATTGACGTTTTGTGATAAGCCTGACCGACAGATCAAGACTCTACTGCTTTGCTTCCTTTCCCTCCCTCATCTCGTCTCTTTTCTCTACTCTCATGTGTCTCATTATTCATAAAATAGCGACGCCCTTGTCCTTCGTTACCCGGTATCTAAAAAAACCATATATGGAATAAAGTCAACCATCCGCCCTTTTGACACTCCGTCGCCTTTGTTTTTCTTTTTTTTCTTGGCTTTTTGTATTCTCCTTGGTTTTCCATTTCACCAATAACCCACCTCGATCGATCCTACTTTACGTTCTTCCAAGTACACTCTCTTTTCTGCTTCTTTTCACTACCCTATCTATACTCACATTGGCACCCATCTCAGTCGCGGTCGTTTCTTTTTTCCATGGGCGCACTAACTCGGGAGTAGGATAACATAAAAGTGTACCGAACAAACGCAAGAAACAAAAAGGAGAAACTCGTAGAAACAAAACAAAAAACAAAAAAAACTTGAAATAAATGAGAAAGTTACCGAGAGAGAGCAATTGAGAAAGACAAGAGGAGGAGCAGCAAAGGAACCAAGATGTGAATCCTTCATATCGCTTCTCAGTGGGGAGCGAGTGAGACGAAGAAGAAAAAGAAAAAGAAAAAGAAAGACTTGATGTTTGTTTGCTTTTGAGTTGAAACCCATCCAACACACGAAATGCGAGTGGGAGAGATAGAACCAAAAGGCACGCGACTTTCAGAATTGAAAGACCCAATTGTGTAGGAGCAGGAGTTGTGCTGGATGGGGGATGGATGCGGGTACTCTTTTGCCTGTGGTGCTCTTTGGTCGTCCTGTCCGCTTAAGCAGGTTTTACACCTAGATCCAAAAGAAAAGAGAGAGCAAGGAGGGAGGAAGATCCGCCTATCATCAGCCTGCGATCACCTCAGACCTACAACACATGCCTGTAGGCAAGCGTTTGGCCGTTTGGCTCCCTCTGGAGAAACCAGAACGAATCAATTTCTATTCTTTCCTTCTATCTAAGGTAGGGAAAGATAGAGGAACTCCGGATGACTTTGCATCCTGCCTCTCTTGTCCATGTTTATATTGGAAAATGGGGATAATGGGGCGAAACGACGTCTTTTTTGTGTAGTAGAGTGCACTAAGCGAGAGTAGTGCATTTGTATGTGTGTGTGTGTGTGTGTGTGTGTGTGTGAGAGAGTATGTTTCGATGGAAACGGTGGTACTACCATTACAATAGCGTGTGACGCCTCGAATGGGTACACACGGAAAATGCGTCCAAGAGCTCTCGAAGGGGCAAAGGCACACAAACAACAACACAACGCAAAACTTTAAGCCTCGTCCCTTTTTTATCATTTTTGTCGTTGCCCCGGTAAGGTCGAGAGAGTGCTCTTGTCTTATTCGCCAATCAGCGCAATAACATCAACAATCGTTATTCGGAGAGTTCATTCTATTCCACTTGACCTGTAATACAACTCGACCAACCAACCAAAAGAGAACGAACAAACGGCCAATTTACTATTCCGGCCACAACATAACCAACAACAACAACAAACACGAGAAGCACCGTTCCTTGGTCAAAAGTAATATGTACCCACCCACTACACGAGTGAATCGAACTCTAACAACGAACGAACGGCATACCCTGGCGACACCAAGGGGACTAGAACATCGTGTTTAGCAGCTTGTCATTTGTAGTAGTTTCCTCGTCCCCCCTTGGTCGCTCAGTTCTCCTTTAGTTACTCTCATGATTGTTTACTCTCAACCAACAACTTGAACTGCTCTTGTCTGGCCATTCTTCTACTTCATCCTTCATCAGGCATAACTCAACCCACACCTTCAAAGTACACAGTAACAACCCTTCACTCCCAAGAAGAACAAAATAAAAAAAAAAGTGATAAAAGGACCCTCATTCCCCTTCTTCTTTTTATTCCCTCGAGTCCCTCTCCATTAAGAAACAACCCCATCATCCTCTACCTCTTTCATCACTCGTTTGTACATAACTCTTTCCTTCTCTCACGCTTACTCCGACCCCTCCACCACAATCCATCCTCCTACACCCTCTCTTGTAATACTTGCTACTTCTCATAACAACCTCTCTCAAACATGACTGTCCCAGATATTCCAACGGACAACGCGTTCCAGGACCACGGTGACGGAACCCGCCACCTTCGCCGGGTCGGCGAGTCCTTCATCTCATGGCAGGGTCGCCGTCTGACCAACACTCGTACTTTTGCCTCGCTCGACCAAGAATCCGCAAACTCCCAGATGAAGCGTGTCCTCACCGCCAAGGATCTTTCTGCCATGGGTATCGGTGCTATTATTGGTACCGGTATCTTCGTTCTCACAGGTAAGAACAAGAAAATACGCCAAGCCAAGTAGTAGAGGATGATGCTTTTTTTGTTCCCGTCTATTTTCCACCCTTCATTGACTACAGGGCGTCGCAGCGTCTTGTTCTTGGTTATCATGTGTATTTTGTTGGTCCGACCAAAAAAAAAAAAGAAAAAAAAAAGGGTTTTCCTCCCACTCCGACAAAGAACGTTCACAGCAACAAAAGACAAGCGCCACTCTTGTCTTCACGCCTTCTTTATTGCCCTGACCGCCCTCTGGCTGTAATCAAACAAAAACAACCTTATTTACTCCGCATTTACCCCTTCATTGTCTCCCATATTACAGGTATCGTCGCCAACGAAAAGGCCGGTCCAGCTGTCGTCCTCTCGTTCGTCATTGCCTCGATTGTCGCCGGTCTTGCTGCCCTCTCCTACGCCGAGATGGCCTGCTTGGTCCCCATTGCCGGATCTGCCTATACCTACACTTATGCCACCTGCGGAGAACTCATGGCCTGGATCATCGGTTGGGATCTGTAAGTTTTTTTTTTTTTTGGGCAACCCTCATGTCCACTCTCCCCCCTGCATATGTACATTTTTTTTTCATGCTAAATTGGGCAAAATGCTAACCCAACCACCCCCATTCATGCTCGTGAATCCCTTTTGTACTCTTTGTACACAATAGCATTCTTGAATACTTGGTTGGAGCAGCTACGGTCTCGGTTGGTTTCGCACATTATCTCGAAGCGTTCTTGGAGGACGCATTTAATTACCATGGCGAAAAGAGACTGATGGAAGCACCCTTCTCTTACAAGGACGACGTTTTCGAATTGACCGGTTCCTGGTTCTCGATTCCATCGTTCGTGATTGTCCTCCTCTTGACTGTCCTCCTCTGCAGAGGTGTCAAGTCCTCAGCTCGTGTCAACAACGTCCTGGTCGTCGTCAAAGTCATTGTCATCTTTGTCTTTATCTTTGGCGCCTGCAGTTTTGTCAAGAAGGAGAACTTCGACCCTTTCATTCCCCCAAACCAGGGTGCCTTTGGTCAGTTTGGTGGATCGGGTGTCCTTCGTGGAGCGACGGTTGTCTTCTTTGCCTTTATCGGATTCGACGCCATCTCGACTGCAGCCCAGGAGGCCCGTAACCCCCAGCGTGATCTTCCCATCGGTATCGGCTTCAGTTTGATCTTCTGCACGATCCTCTACCTCGCCACCTCAGTCGTCATGTTGGGCGTCGTCAACTACACCGTCATTGCAGGTACCGGTATCAGTGACGCTCCCTTCAAGGTCGTCGCCTCTGCCACGGGCCAACGCTGGCTCGCCATCTTCTGTGAGGTCGGTATCTTGGCCGGTTTGATCTCGGTCATGTTGGTTCTCTTGCTCGGACAGCCCCGTATCTTCTTCGCCATGGCCGTCGACGGTCTCTTCCCCCAGTTCGCCTCCAAGCTCCACCCCAAGTACAAGACCCCCGTCGTCACCACCGCCCTCTCTGGTTTCCTCGTCGCCACCGCTGGAGGACTCTTGCCTGTCTCTCTCCTTGCCGACCTGACGTCTGTCGGTACCCTCTTTGCATTCTTCCTGGTCCACACCTCAGTCTTGCTCCTCCGCTGGCGTGAACCCCATCGCGAGCGTCGCTTCAAGGTGCCCTTTGGACCCGTCCTTCCCATCCTCGGTGCGCTCTCCTGCATTGGTTTGATTATTGTCGACTCTGTCTCGGCCATCATTCGTTTGGTCATCTGGCTGTCTATCGGACTCGTTGTGTACTTTTTCTATGGTAGACGCAACTCTCGCCTCAACAACCCGGAGAAGTATGCGACCCCTGACCACATGCAGGTCGTCAACGAGGGACACAGCCATCACGCCCAAGTCGAGGTCAAGGAGGGCGAGCAGCAGCTCTACCGTCTTGACCCTGCTCAAACCGAGCACAAGGTCTAAAGAAAAAGGTCTAATACACCTATACACCACACCATTGTACTTTTTACTCTAATAAAAACAAAAACTTCTTTGCTTCCAAATCAAGTATGCATGCTAGTTGAAAGAAAAAAAAATATGCTGGAAAAAGTGTGTCGTTTAGTCAATGTGAGCGAGTCGTTCTCTCTGATGGATTTTGCTTTGACGCTCGATACGAGCCTTGATGGCGGTACGGGTGTCAAAGAAGGCACTGTCCTCGCTCAGCTTCATCTCGAGCGACATGTATCCGAGCTCACGTCTCAGCTGCGTAATACACTCGTCCTGTCCCACCAGCGTATCCATCCACGATTTGACCTGCACCGCCGTCTCTGCCGCTACTCGGATATTACATGCAAAAGTAAAAAAAGAAATGAAAGAGAGGTCAAGTTTTGGAGGTTGGGTCTCCCACACTCAAACATAGAGGTATGAATGTATATGAAAGGGACAGTCATGGGACATCATTTTCACCATGTCCTTACCAGCGATCTCAGTGAGGGTCAGAAGCCGCTTGATGAGCTCAGAAGAAGGCTCCTGTTTGTCCTTACCCTCCGGGAAAAGAAGAGGCCCAACCTGCGAAACCGCGACCGACGCCGAGATATACAACTGATGCAACACCGCAATCTGCTCAAACGGCACCAGACCTGGCATCAACCTCTCCATCCACCTTCCTCCTCCTCCATTCCCAGCAGTCAACACCAACGACATTTCAATCGCACCCATCCCTGCCAACATAATAAACCTCCAGTACCGTCCATAGTTTCCCTTTCCCACAAGGTTCACGAGGAAGAAGACGATCCCGGCGACGGCGTAGAAGGTGTAAATAGCTTTGAGACCCTCTTGGAGGTAGTCCTTGTTGGTTTTGCAGGCTGTGCATTTCAGGACTGTGGAGCCGAAGCGGTCGTAGTTGAGACGGAGGGTTGGGTCGACGAGGATTTCGTGTGCTGTCCTTATTCCCACAAACTTGTCTATTAGCCAGGATGAGAGAGCCAAAGGGGAGAGAAAACATGTTGGGAATGTTAGTAGAAGCGAACAAGATAGGTAAAAAGATAAATAGAGATATTTTCGATCATGTCTTGGAAGTGAAGATGAAAGCACAGTGCTACTCATGGACTTCTTCCTCGTCTCACCAACACATACCTGCGCCAGCTTGTCCAGCCTTATCAGGATGATACTGCAGACTCGCCTTCCTGAAATTCGTCTTGAGCTGCTTCTGTGTGAACGTCCCAAACTTGAGCCCTAGAGTATCATAATGATTCTTCTCCATCGTCCGGATACTGTCATATACCAACGACGACAGATACAAGCCCACAATGATAGTGAGAATCCAGTTGAAATCCCGTTGGTACCGTGCGGATCCTTTGTGGGGGAGCTTGGGGGAATTGGGCCCGTATCGGCGGGAGTAGTAGACTGCTTGGAGGAGGCGGGCGGCCATGGTTGGGATGAAGGCCCATCCCATCCATGAGAAGAGCTGGGATGTTTGACTCATATTCTGATTTTTCTTGTCCTGTAGGTTGGATTTCTTTTGTTAATTTTTTTTTTTTGGGTTGTTGTCCGGAGAGTCGAATAAAGAGTCGACTGCTGCTCGTTGTGTCTGTCGAGTGTGTTGGTGGGTGGTGAATGAGTGAAAGACGGAATGATTCCTCATCCTTTTTTTCTCTCTTCTCACCCTTTGCATTCGAGTTCATTCATAACTCGAAAAGACAAAGGGGGCGGGAAAAGGGAGGAGAAGTTTAGGGGCATGAATGTGAAATGGTCAATATCGAAAAAAAAAGAGGGTGGTGGGAGTGTCGATTCATTCGCTATTGATCAACGCGAAAAATTGGTGGCAACTCCATTACCTTTCGTCTATCTTATTCCCAATCACCAATTGACACGTTCAAGCTACGACTACGAGTCTATGAAAAGGGAACGCGAGGTACCACCAAGAGAGAAACAGCCTCATTCCCCTCCCTTACTTTTCAGACCAGGGCTGCTTTTCTGAGAAAGAGTACTCTCCTAAAGAATACGAGATGGCAATTCTTACGGCCAAAGCATTATTCACCTTTTGTTACTATCCAAGAAAAGGGGTCATCATTGCTATCCAGGGACCCTACATTTTCCCATTTCAACAGTTACCTGTTTCTTCCCTTCGATGCCTCTCTCTCTCTCGATCCCAAGCTTTGCCCTTACCTTTTTTTATGCGATATCTCTTGTCTTTTCTCTCTCTAACTCTCATTCTCATTCTCTCTCCTTCTTCGAACATCATCCCCTCACTGGAGCACTGGAGACCACCCCAAGCGTGTGCCACATTGGGCGCCTCTTTCTCTCCCTAACACAAGAAGACGCTCACATCTTACACTACACCACACCACACCGGCCCCGTGCCCGTCCTTCGAGACAACCCTCATAATATCCTAACCCTATCGTCTCACATTCGAACACCTTTTTTTTCCTCAACTTTTCTCACGACCCTCTTGTTACTACCCTTTTCCCTTCCTGTTTGTGCACATGAATATCTCACGCTAAATGCTACGCATGCTCCTCAAAGTGATGGGTAAGTGATCTCTCTTCAATTAAGGCTCCGGCTCAACAGGGTTTAGTGCGCAAAAGGAAAAAATATATATGTCCATTGACACATGGCCCGTAGACTCGGAGGTGGGGGGAGGCTGCAGGAGTTATTTTGGGTGGTCCATTTTCAAAGAGAAGAGGCGAGCGCAGCCAGAAATAGGGGAACTGGGTACTGGTGTGAGTAGGGAGGAGTTAGAGGGGGGGAAAGGAGTAAGGATAAAAATTGACGCATAGCCCAAAGATGGAGATCCTGAGTCAACGGACTCTTTCCTACTGGACACAAGAAGACGAATGAAGCAATCGTATCGGGCAACCGACATACACTTGCAAATAAAAAACAGAACAAAGGTTGCCTGGAAGATAAGCAAGCACGGTATCGAAGGGATTGCTATCAATCGCTGAAGCAGAGGATAAAAGAGGGCCACGAGGGAAAGATGAAATAACAAAAAAGAAACAAGGGCTTAAGAACAAACCTGATTTTGTAGTGGTGGTTGTAGCCAAAGTAGGGTTCAGACCAATGGTACTTGTTGCTTGCCTGTCGTATGAGCCAAGATCGCGAGAGTAGCACGCCATGTTCTGATTGTTTGCCCTCCACCTGTCTGGTTATCACCCTCTGAACCTTGAATTCGTAAACGCCGAGGGAAAGGGAGGGTGTGTCTGCTCACTTGCACATTTTGACTCTGTTTGTATGAACTGCACCACACGCACACAACCCTTCGCAATCCGGCTGTTCCTAGAGTGAGTAAATCCGATGCACCTTCATCTCGTACTTTTTATTTAAGCGAACTCTATGAATACGCCATCGTTTGCTTATTGGGAATAACCTTCGGTCAAAACACAACAACGGAGAAAGAAAATGAGAAGAAAAACAAGATCCGACGACATGGTTGGATACAGCACGTTGTCATGAAATGTCTTTTATGAGCAAACCACAAACAAACTAAAAAAAAAGCAAAGTAAAGAGCTTATGATCGAAGAGGGGACAAGGAGTGGCGATCCGATTGGGGTTGGAGGATGGATCGATGTCAGAGAACGATTTGAACAGCATCGATGAACGAAGATAACGACGAGATAAAGCTCGGATATGACAAAACGTCGAAGAGTAAGATAGCGTTCTTCATGTTCAACTGCTAAGAGTGCACGCGGATCTCTGACAGAGAAATGCTTATTTCTCCTAGGTGGTAGTAACGAGAACGGGGTAGAAAGACGGAAAAGCAGGTGGCAAAAAAAGGCGGGTACACGCACGAGCAAAAAACAACAAAGGACGATGATGATGACAGGGATGACCCGACTGTTGGTGCTGAGAGAAGGAAGGAAGAGAGAAGTGGCAAGACCGATACACAAGAAAGACAGACACCGGGTACAGGGTACAAGCACCAATGGCATCATCCATGCCTTCTTGCTGAAATTCCTATTGCTCGTTTTGTTCCTTGCCACCTATTCTCACCGCTTCCGCTCTTTAGTGTACACATGGTGCCCGAAGAGTCAACATTGACGCATTGACATCCACTCGTGAACTGACGCCCGTTCTCTGTCATCATCATCCGTCAAATCCCTTGCGTTGACTGTGCAGTAACTTATAGGACATCGGATGAGCAGGGAACTCGACATGAATGCTGACCCGATATGGCAATGGCGACCTGTGCCAGGGAACCTTGTTCACCCGTTGTGACCCACCTCAGTGATGTATTCCGCCCACTCGCACCCGCTGCTAATAATCAGCCTTGACGAGCCCTACCCGTCCCCCCTTCTCTCTTTTCTAACTCAGCTCCTTCCTTCATTTTTATCCATCCTCTCTTTTATTTGTTGTTGTCCATCCACCTTTTCTCATTCCTTTTTTTCTTTTCATTCTCATTCTCTTCTTTCTTCTTTACCTCTTCTCTTCCTCCCTCCTTCCTCTCTCCCTTCATTCCTGTCCATAGTCCGTCTCCTCCCTATCCCCTCCCTCCTTTCCTTCCCTTTCTACTTTCCCTCCCTTCTTCCTCCTTCTCTGCACAGTCAGCTTAACACACATACTCATGGCTGTTGCACATAACCCCGTTGCCTCAACAGCAACAACACAACAGCACCCGTCCGAATCAGAACGTCAATCCTCCCACTCGCCCTCCGACTCTGCAGCAACCATCGGTTCTTCTCCTCTGCAACAACTGCAACATACCTTCAATCCTGCCACTGCCATCACTACCTCGTCTGAGAAGGAGGAGTTATACCCCCAAGAGAAAGCAACAGGCGGCAACCTGCAGCCTAATGCAGCTGGAACTGTAACCACTTCATTAGCCCCTTCCTCCAAATCCAACTCCGAATCAGTCTCTGTCCCAATAGACCTGCAAGATGCAGCATCATCTCCATCCCCTATTCCAACACCTGCAACACCTGCAACACCAGCGAAACCCTCATGGAAGACCAAGGCATGGGATATCTGGATGAAGAATTGGTTTCTCCTTGGACTCGTCATTGTCATCATCCTCGCCCGCTATTTCCCAGGCTGGGGTCGCACCGGGGGCCCGATCCGGCCCGAATACTCGGTCAAGTACGGCATCACCTCCTGTATCTTCTTGCTCTCGGGTTTGTCCCTCAAGACCCGCGACCTGTTGATCTCCGCCATGAATTACCGTGCCCATCTTATGGTCCAAATCACGTCCTTTATCATCATCCCGCTCATTGTCAAGGCTATCACGTCGCTCTTGGGGCTTACATCCATGAATGCGAAGCTTCTGGCTGGTATGGCTGTCACCTCTGCAACGCCCACGACCATCTCGTCGAACGTTGTCATGACCGCCAACTCAAACGGAAGCGAATCCTTGGCCTTGTTCAATGCGGCATTCGGTAACCTGCTCGGAGTCTTTATCTCGCCCCTCATCGTCTTGATCCTCCTCCACTCGACCCCGGAGACCCCCTCGGGCCAACATGGAATGGATTACGCAACCATCCTCCGGGATCTGGGCACCACCATCCTGATTCCCATTGTCGTCGGTCAGATCTATCTCTACTATTTTCCCCGCTCGATTGCCTGGGCCAAATCCAAGGTGCACTTCCCAACCCTCAACAGCACCTGTCTTTTGATCCTTGTCTGGACCGTCTTCTGTGATGCCTTCAACAACAACACCTTCTCGGCGGTCTCTGCGGGCGAGATTATTGCGATCGGTGCTCTACAGGGAGTCATCTTTTGGGTCATGACGTTCTTTCTCGCATTCTTGGCCCGTTCACGTCCCGCTAAACTCAGGATTCTCAAGATCATGGATCAGCAGCATCAGGAGTCCCTCCGTCAGGAAGCCCACCTCGAGGACCAAACCGTCTCCAACCTTCAGACCTCTGGATCCTCCGCCGATAACGAACACCCCAACGTCACCAGAGGCCTCTCCCTCCCTCGAAACAAGGTCCAGGCGTTCTTTGAACCGATGTCAAAGGAAGACACGGTCGCCATTTTGTTCTGTGGAGGCACAAAGTCGGTCGCCATGGGAATCCCCATGATCAAGATCTTGTACTCTTCCAACTCCGGATCGCAATTGGCCGGTCTTTTGGCTACACCATTGTTGATCTACCATGTCGAGCAGTTGTTTTCGGGCGCTTTTATGGTTGGTTGGTTGAAGAAGTGGGTTGGTCGTGGCGAGGAGACACTCGAGTCGTTTGAGAAGAAGCCAAAGGGCTCCAAGATGCAGGATCAGGATGAAGAGGTCGTTGGCGCTGAAGATGGTAGTGTGGAAGTGAAGGGTGAGGGTGTCAACATCAACGAGACTTCTACCTCCTTGTCGTCCAAGTCTACTGCCCGCCCATAGAACACACGAACAGCATTTTTTTTTTTACTTTAGACCTTTGGGGGGAAGGAATGTCACTCCTCTTCCCCGTATTTTAATCAATTCGCATTTTTTTGGATTCCCCATTTTTCCTAAGATATCCACTTCCTCTCTCCTCTCCTCTCCATTTTTTTTCCCTATCTTACCCTTTATCTACTTTTTCCTCACAACAATAATAATCGCGCGCTTTATCAGTTTGTCAATTGTTCAGTTTACTTGTCGTTTGCCAATGGTATGAAAGTAATAAAAGATACAATTTATGTATAGTGTAAAAAAGGGTGTATGTGTAGATAACAAAAAATAAAAATAAAGTGTGAATATGTACGACTATGTAAAACAACTTCTCCTCTCTCTCTTTTCCCCTTCAATCTGCCTCCTCCTCCTGATGCTTAGTGCTTCTGATCCAAGAACTTCCGTCTCCGGCTCGCAGGCACACAAAGCGTCCAGTACTTGAACACCAAGACCTTGATGACATCCAACACGACGCACGATACAAACGAGATCCCAAACACCGCCAAAGCCTCGCCCACCGGCACCTTGGGCGTCAACCATCCAAAAATAACCATCAACAACGCAACAACCTGGGTTCCAACAATAACGATCGTAAACATGAGCGACGGCATGGACTGCCAAAAGTATCCCTTCAAGCGCGTCGAGAAGATGAGGAAGTGGGGCGCGGACGAAATGTGGAGGTACATGATCGAGTCCAATTTGCGGTCGACAACGGTCATGTCGCCGTCCGCTTCTGGGTGGGGGAAGTATCCGAGGACTTTCCAAAAGTAGAAGAAGTGGCCGAAGGAGAGGCCTGTCAGGAGGATGCCCAACAGGCAGGAGAGGAAAATCAATTGGCCTACTCTCCACTTGTCTGGCTTCGACGAGATCTAATATCAATCAATGAAATAAATAAGAGTCAGCTTCTGTGCAAAGATAAACACGAATATATCGTCCAAAGTGTGAATTATGACAAAGAAAGAAAGAAAGAAAAGGTACCTGGGCGTTGTCGACGGCGATGACGAGGGAGGCAAGGTCGTTGAGGATACAGATGAGAACCAGCAGCTTGGCAGGGAGGGTCCAATCATAGGCAAGGATGACCACGAAAAAGAAAAGCAAGAAATGCACCGTTGAAGTGATTCTGTACAGCGCATACGACCGCATCCTTTGGAAGATAGCCCTCGAAGTCAACAGTCCATCGACAATCGTCGATAACCCAGGCGCCAACAACACAATATCGGCCGCAGACCGAGCCGCATCTGTACATCCATGGACCGCAATTCCGACATTGGCCTTCTTGAGCGCGGGAGCATCGTTGACTCCATCACCCGTCATACCGACCAACTGTCCCTGACGTTGAAGAGCCTCCACGATCCTGAACTTGTGCTCGGGTGTGACTTCTGCAAAGCCGTCGGCATTGTTGAACTTTTCAGATCCAATATCATCCCGCATCGAGGCATCCGAGATATGCGAAGCGTCCAAAATGATCTCACCCAGTCCAAGGCGACGCGACACCTCCTTGGCAATAATCTGCTGGTCTCCCGTCACCATCTTGATCGACAATCCCATATGCTGGCAACGCTTGATCGTCTCTGCAGAGTCCGGGCGAGGGGGATCCAACATGGCAGCCAATCCGACCAGAGTCCACTTGTCCGATCCAGCAATCGTCTTAGCAACACCCAACGACCGCAGACCACGCTGAGCCATGACAACCGAAGCCCTGAGCGCCATCTCATCTCCACCGACCAACTGTAGAATCACCTGCGGGGCTCCCTTGGCGACCTTGAAGGTGACATCGTTCTCCAAATCCCGAACCGTCGCCTGAGTATACTTGTCGGAGGGGTTGAAGGGCACAAAGCTGCTGATCTCATATCCGGGCACGGTGGTGTTCGACAACCGGTTCCTCAACAATGGAACCTGGCGCTCTGCTGCTTGACGAATCGCAAGCTCGATCGGGTCATTGGCTCCATACTCCGAGGCCAAGTAGGAGTACAACATCAGGTCCTGGGGGGCGAATCCTTCAGAAAGGTAGGGCTCATCAAAGGTCAACTCGTTCAGCGTCAGAGTTCCAGTCTTGTCCGAGCAGAGCACATTGAGCGAGGCCATCTCCTCTACCGCAGCGAGTCGCTTCACAATCACCTGCTTGGCCGCCAGACTCCTAGCACCGACCGCCATCGTGACCGCCATGACCGAGGGAAGACCGACTGGGATAGAGGCCACCGAGAGAATCAAGACTGGGTTCAAGATCTTGAGGACCTCTCCACGGACGGTGCCCTTGAACATGATAAACTGGACAATGATGATAATGGTCACCAAGACCAGTGTGAACAGGATCAAAAAGTTGCCAATCTTGCCAATGACCTTCTGGAAATGCCCCTCGTCCTGAGTCGTCGCTATGAGATGAGCCGCCTTGCCGATAAAGGTGTTCTTGCCAGTCTTGGTAACAATAGCACGCTGTTGGCCCTGCTTGACGACCGTGGAAGAATAGACCTCCTCGCCCTTGGACTTGTTCACCGCAAAAGACTCGCCCGTCAACGACGACTGGTCGATCAACAGATCTCCCTGTGCAGGGGCTCCCGAAGCATCAATCCCCAAAAGCTTGCCGTCTGCTGGAATAATATCGCCTAACCGAAGAACTACAATATCGCCGGGCACCAATTGAGTCGTGTCGAGTTCCTGAAGTTGACCGTCTCTCCAGCATCGGGTCTTGAGGGCCAAGGTCAGTCGCAAGGCGTCAACCGCCGATTCTGCGCGCGCCTCCTCGACATATCCGATGATCGCGTTCAGAAACAGTAGGCCCAGAATCGTCGCAAAGTTGAACCAATCCTATTTACAGCGTGTTCATCGTGTTAGGCTTTTGCATTGTTTGGCTGTATACTGTATATCTTGCGCCGCATCGTCTTCTTGTCAAGCAAGCACTGCCCCTATTCCTCTTCAGCCCCTCCCACCATTCTCCCTCTTTTTCTCCCGCCGGATCGATGTCTGTGTACACACAAAACAACAAAGAGCCACAAAACCTTGAGGTAAAGAAAAAAAAAAAAAACAAGACGCCGAAAAAAAAAAAGGCTGCACAACTGCAGTCGCCCAGACCCCGCCCTTGCCACCGCCACCACCACTGCCTCCTTCTCCAACTCCCTTCCTCGATTACCCACTCTCCTTCTCCACTTCAAGGACAACAAAACAAATGACAAGAAGAAAAGCAAAAAGGGGCTTACCTGAACAATAGCAGAGATGATACACGAAAGCTCAATCAAGAACGCAATCGGCCCCACAAAATACCCCAGAAACTTCAACACCGGATTCCGCTTCACCTCTGTCAGTTCGTTTGGTCCAAACGTATTCATCCTTTGCGCCGCCTGCTGACTCGTCAGCCCCGTCTGTGGGTTCGTCAATAACAGTTCCTCCAACTCGACATCGTTTTTGTGATCATGTTGGGAACTCGAGTGGCGGTCGGATTGGGGGAGGAGAGTGTGGGTGTGAGGTTTGATGGCGGCTGGGAGGGGGATTCCGCGGGATTGGGCGAATGACTGGTGGACGGCGTCGTCTTGGCGGAGAGGGGAGGCCTCGGAGTCGTCAGTGAGTTCTTTGTACCCCTTGAACATCGTGGTTTCACTCGTTCAAGTCGTGGTAGTAGAAGGGTAGAAGATAAGATAAAGAAGAGTGGAGAGGCGTGTGTGTGTGTGTGTGTGTGTGTGTGGATGAGTTCTGTGCTTTTCCCTGGTGAGGTAAGAAGAGTAAGAGAACGAGGCAGGGTAGCAGCAGGGGTGAAGAACGTAAAAGAGTAAGCGAGTGGCGGAGAGAGAAGAGGATGGTTTGTGAGGAGGAAGAAAGAAGAAGGAGAAGACGCAAAAGTCCAAAGCAGAAAACGTAAAAGAGTGCAAAAACAAGGGAAGAGTGGGACAGGGGTGGGCTGTGTGTGCAGGGTGATCCAAGCATGTAGGGTCGGCCATGTTTATTTCTGGAAGCAAAAGGACAAGGCAAGGGGATGGAGGGAAGAATGACGAACTCAGATTCTAAAAAACAATTGCCGCATTGCCACACACAGCCTGGACACTCCCTCCCTACCTCGTTGTTGCCACTTGTGCCTTCAAAACACACACAGAGATCGCAGACAGACTCAAGGCTCCGTTGCGTGCGTTACAAACACTGTTCTGTCCGCGCCTACAAGTGAAAAGCATTTAACCAGCTATATTTCTACAGATAATAATAATAAAAAAGTGTAAAAACGTGTAAAACTCTCTTTCTCTGCTTCTAACCGAGGATCTTCATATCGTTGGCATCCTCGGCGGCCTTCTCCTCAGCAGCAACCTCCAAACCAACACGGTGGACAGTCTTCAAGAACAGCTCCATGGCCTCCACTGGGACAGTGGGCAAGATACCGTGTCCCAAGTTGGCAATGTACCGTCTCGTCGAGCCAAATCCACGGACCATTCTCGTTGCAGCAGCAACAATGGCCTCATCACCACCGTACAACACGTTGGGATCCATGTTGCCCTGAAGAGTCACACGTCCCTGAGTGATTGCCTTGGCAGACTCGGGGGTGTGGGTCCAGTCCAAGGAGACGGTCTCGTATCCAATGAGAGACAGCTTCTCGAGAGCGTACCATGATCCCTTGGCAAAGATTGCCATGGGAACCGCCTTCTCGCCCAACTCGAGCTTCACGCGCTTGACAATCTGTGCCAAGTAAGGGAGCGAAAAGTGCTCAAAGTCGTGAGGTCCCAACTCTCCTCCCCAAGACTCGAACACTTGCAGCATCTACAAGCCGATCCAAACGAACGTGGCATATTATATTAGTAAATAAACGCCAACGTCTCGTCACGGTCGATTAAGCTAGTTCATCCTGATCATAGTAAACATAACATAGGAACGAACCTGGGCACCGGCGAGGACCTGGCCGATCAAAAAGTCAACGCAGACATCGGTAATGCGACTCAAAAGCTCGTGACTCTCCTTGGGGTGCTTGAAGATCCACTCCTTAGCCTTCGAGAGCGTCTTGCTTCCACCTCCCTCAATCATGTATGCCTAATCAAGACGATAACGACAAACAGGTGTCAATTCAGGTAGTTGTCCCTTGAAGTGAACCTCCATTGAAAAAGATGACAACCTTGGCTGCTACTTACCATAAGAGTCCAGGGAGCGCCAACGAAACCGATCAAGGGAACACGTCCGTTGAGGGCATGGCGGGTCATGGTAATGGCGTCAAAGACGTACTGGAGCTCCTGGTTAACATCAACCTTCTCCTTCAACTGAACAGCCATATCTGCGGGGACAACCAAGGGGGTAGGGAAGTGGGGGCCCTTTCCGGGGACCATCTCGACAGTCATGCCCATGGCCTGGGGGATGACCAAAATATCGGAGAAGATGATCGAAGCATCCAATAATCCGTCGTAACGATCAATGGGCTGGAGGGTCACCTTGGTGGCCAACTCGGGAGTGCGGCAGATCTTGAAGAAGTCATTCTCCACACGCTCAGCACGAAACTCTAACGGAAGGAAGAAGATTATGAAGTGCGATGGATGATAAGCACGAGTTGAACGAACAATTGACGACCAGTGCAGTTTCGTAGGCCTTCCTGGTATTGCTGTGTTACAGTTTTTTGTCGACTCAAGAGTGACAGAGGAAGAGTGCTTCGCGAGTCGCACGATATTTGGTGTTGGGAAGTGTCCGTTTTCTTCCCGCATGCACTGTGCGCCACTCCTGATCGCACGCTCTTTTGCTCTCGCTGTCTTGATCCAGATCCCGAGTTGTTATGTCTGAAACGCAACAGGGTCTCTCTCCAGTTTCGATCCCTGGTCAGCATGTTGTTCCTCTGACGATCATTCTCCTTCTGCTCTCATTGCATTCCAATAGCTCATGCGGGGGATGATGTGGGTTTCTCGTTCCTCCGTTGATGCCAAAACGGAAGAGAGACAGAAATGTCGATTACCGGGCAAATAGCGGCCGGCTTGACGCATGACCCAGACGGGGGCACGCTCAGTCTTTTCACCGCGGGCGGCGCGGATGATAAGATCGTTCTTGAGAGGAGGGAAGGAAGTGGTGTCGGTCATGGTGGAGGGGTTGTGTGAGGTGGTGATTGTGAGAAAGAGAAGAAAAAAGAGAAAAGTAAAAGTCGGGACGGTGGTTGAAATATGCCAAGGAGACGTTTTGCGCCACGAGAACGAAGAGAGCGCGGATCAGGATCCGAGGGCATTATTTTAGCTCACACACACACACACATCATTCAGCACACGCGAAATATCACCTTACTTTTTTTTTCATACATGAGATGGCGTTTTTGTTTTTATTATTATTATTACAGGTATGCACGAGCGGCGGGTGTGAAAAAGATATACTGGGAGGCAATGCAAACATAAAGAAATGTTGGTGTGGGGAGGCGAAAGAGCAAGATACGAAAACAACGAACAAAAAAGGGCAAAAGAAGCAAAAAAAGTATAAACAGAAAAGAGTCAAGTCTGTCGACTAGATAAGTCGAGCACGGGCTCGAGCCTCAGACAATCGGTCGACATCCTCAGCAGTAGGGTGCACTCCATCCTTACGGGCCGTCTTGACAGCATAGTGTCGGAGCAACGCATCGCGACGGACAAAGGGACGGTGACAAAAGTCGCAGGGCCAGGTCCGCTCGTTGTGCTTCGAGATCTGATGTCTCTTCAGATCATGCACGCGTCCAAACCGCTCCTTTGGACAAAACTCGCACAGGTACCCGTCCTTGTCCAACGGCAACTTGAATCCTCCAGGAAGCAAGATACCCTGATCCTTCGCGAGCTCGTTCTTGATCTCGACATCGTTCTCGTCAAGCTCCTCCTGCTTGATGAGGGACTTGGGCCGACGTTGGGGGTATACTTTGAGGCTGCGCTTGTAGGTTCCTTTTCTGGCACGAGGAGCCTTGCCGGTTGTGGAGGCACCACCGCGAGGAGTCTTCTTGGTCACCGCAACCGATCGGTTCATTTTCTGCTTGACACGAGTAGACTCGCGGTAGTCCGGGTCTGAGTGATCGCCACAATCCGATTCGAGTTGTCCATGTTCAGCACGCGCCATCGCTTCAAACTCGTCATCTTCGTCGCTTTCCGGTGCAGAGAGGGATCCTGACGTCAAAGTGTCCTCCACCATATCAGATTCCTCCTGTGACAAGTTTCCTTGTTGTTGCTTATCACCCCCTTCCTCCTCTTGGGAACTCGTAAAAGCTCCTTCGATGGCTGACAACAAAAGCTGCTGAGTTTCCATCGAAAGATTCAAAGGTTCTGCGGAGAGGATCTGGTCGAGCGAGACATTAAAGAGGTCCGAAGGTGCGGCAGTCTGGCTGACTTGGCCGGAGTTTGATCTGAGCTGAGCACTCTTGACCGCCAGCGGCAGAGAGACTCTTTTAATGGGCTGGATAAACAACGACTGCGGGTGGACACTGCCTGTGCCCTGATGGTCTTGACCATGAAGACTGCGATAGAAGGGGTTGCGGAAGAAGTCGACCTCCTCGTCAGCAGGAGCGGCAGCATCATTATCGGAGGTCTGGGTATGGTCCTTGGAGGCAGCATCGGTCGACGATGGGAGCGAGGGAAACCAGGGGGAGGAAGGGGGACTGAGGGAGTCGAGGAGGAGAGAGTCGTCGGAATATTGGGAGGAAGGAGCAGGCGAAGGGTATTCGGCAGCGGAAGGTGGGTCAAGTGGAGAGGAAGAAGAGGATGACTTTGACGCATTGACGGCAAGGGAGATTGAGAGGGAGAGGGCGATGTCGATGGACGATGCGAGGGTAGGGTTGACATCGTCGTAAAAGATGTTTGTAAACTGGTCGCAGAGGTTTCTTGTGGAGTCCCTCTTGAGGGTTGGGATGGTGTGTGACATTTTGTTGTTAGTTGAAGTGAGAGTGGGGAGTGAAGAGGAGTGAACAGAGAAGAAGTAAGTTTGATGAAAAGAGAGAAGAAAGAGAGAGAAAGAAAGAAAGAAAAGGAAGAAGGAAGAAGACAAAAGAAATAGCAGTAAAAAAAAAAAAAAAAAAGAGGCTCTCGGATCATACCCGGACACCGTCGATTGACTTGACAACGATTGCCATTTATGGATCTCAAGCCACATCTAACGCCGCCCTCTTCTCTTGCCCACATCCATCCAAATGATCCAAACAAAAACAAACAAACATAATTAGTTCACACACACTCTTGATTGACGTGACAAACGTAATCATTTGAATTGACGAATCAGAGTCACATTACACTATTAAAAAAAGAAAGACAGGGGTCAAAGCAAACAAGCTTCTTTTTTTTTGTTACTGTCCCGGTGTGAGCCCAACGGGAAAACAGCAAAAGTCAAACCACGTTGTCCCACACACGCATTTTCATGCATCAATCCATCGAAAACAGTGTATCGTGTCCTTTACCTTTGCCTGGTGCTGCAGTAGGGCATTTGACCGGGTCTCCAGGGTAACGCCGGAATTCCATATGAGAGTTCCCACAACCGCATACTCGTACGCGACCTAGGGGGGCTACATACAGCATCCTCCAGCTTAATGGCGGCGCGAAATCGAACAATCGAACACGAGGATGCGAAAATGATGTTCAATTGAACCCTCAGTTCTTCCAAAAACGACCTTCCGGAGAGTACTCGGGTGCCTGGAAAACATCCAGATCGCCTCTGGACATAAAAAGTTACGGTAGCCGAGGAGGGGGGGTCTAGACATCCACCGCAAAGGACCGAATCGAAGGGGCTGACAGACGCACAAGAGATCGGACTATGCAATAAAAGGCTCTCGAAAGGGGATAAAAGTTCTTGTTCAGACCACATACTCTCAGATTGACCTCGAGAGTCCGACGATGAGGACCAGGGTGTTGAAACCCTGACGGTGTCGTCGAACAGGGATGCCATCGGTATCAATCCTAACCTGGAACTCGCTCTGCTGCAAGTCTCCTCGAATCCCCCTGTAGTTGTTGTCGGCGTTAAGCGGGCGGTATGGGCAAGATGCGCCATACGCCGTGGGTCCACGAAACAGAGTAACTCGGTCAACCTGCTCATAGGCGGTAGGGGCACCATGACGGAGGTGGGCGGGATGACTGCCGGGTATGTTGTGTGAAATCCAGTTCTAATCCACGGAAGCATTGGTGAAAGAACATGGGTTTCGACTAAATCGATGTTGAGTGAGCGAACGGCGGTGGGGGTGTTCCTGGATAGAGGTCGCAAAGAGTCAGCAATAATGTTGAGGTGGTGTGGGCAAAACCTGACATTGCATACTTAAAGAGCTGGGGCCCGATGAAGAAATGAGGCCGACGACTGGTTCTTGATAGTCGAGAGATGTCGGTCCTTTTGAGGCATCCTGCTATCAAGTAGATGAGCTCTTGTGAGCTGAGAACCTGACATGGTGGCTGGTGTGCCGTGGCGCTGAAGTGAACGCAAAAAAAAATGTAGGCACCAAGTGGCAAATGTGACTTGCTTCTCTGCAAGGGTGAAGAAGGCGGCCACAGCATCAGCTCATTCACAAAGTATTACAGCAACCCCTTCCTTGAGATCATCACCATAATATGCATTGCGATCCTCTTTTTTATTATTATCAACTACTCGTTGTTGTTGTTGTCTACTCAACGAGGCTTGAGCGGTAATGGGAAGAATGGATGGGGTGATTAGAATCATGGCTCCTATACGACTTCATACTCTCGAGCCCACAATCACTATTGACCCGCCGGACAGACGACCGAGCCGAGGATGACGACACAACACTAGATGTCGTCCGCTCATGCCGTCGATACCGTCTATCTGCCGCCCGCGAAGTAGACTGCGAGCCCACCACTGCTGCCACTGCTGCCGCGGCGGTTGTTCCTGCTACCCTAGTGGCCGCACCAACATCACCCGTTGACCATTCGATTCCCAAATCGCCATCGGGTCCTAAGGTCCTTGACAGATGCTGTGACCGCTCGTCATCGCCGTAAAACTCGGAAAACATAAAGTTGGACTGGACATGGTCCCGGAACCGGCGAAGGGTCGAAAGGACGACTACCAACAGGTTGGTATCGTGCGCTGTCGATGTCGATGTCGATGTTCCTGTTGATCGGGAGAGCACGCGGCGGTTCCTGCGGTATGTGTCTGCATCCACAGCGACAGTTGGTGCGAAATCGATTTGCATGGGGTCGCGATGGTGAGGGTTCGCCCGTTTTCTGGTCTGGAGTCGCTTCAAGGTCGCCAATGAGGCAGCCGCCATGTTCTGCTGGACTTGATCTAAACGCGCCTGACTCTCTGCCGTATTCACAGCCTCGTCGGATGGTGAAGCAACGGCCTGCTGCTGATCAACTGTTGTAGGTGTCGATGCCCTTGACTCTACCGACATGGGCTCATCGTGTGAGAGGTGCTGCGCCCAGGCTTTGATCGGACTCTGATTTTTTTTAAAAAACAAGTTGTGCAGAAAATGAGGATACGAAATATAATAATCGTGTCAGAAAGACACAGTGAAGCAACTCAAATAGACATTATTTTCACACACACACACACACACACACACACACACACACAGTTAAAAATAAAAAATGAAGTAGCACAATTTCATCGTTGCGCTGCATGGCATGTTATGAACAACGTACCACGGCATTATCATCGGCATGTAATTCATACTCTTGTGGCTTCAAAGTGCGCAGGGCTTGCTCAAACGCTTGGAGCCAGCCCATCTTGACCGGCACCTCAATCATCTCTGATAGGTCCTCCATCTCAGACTCGTATATATTGAAAATGGGCCTCTTGGAGACGACGTGTGGATAGGTGAACGTGGGCCGTGAGCTCGTAGATGATGATGCATATCCTTCCAGACTCTTCTGTCGAGATGATTGCACAAGAGGCGAGCGTGTGCTTGTGCGCTGCAGGCCAGCGATATTTTGGATCACAGCCTTGAATTCCGAAGAAGAGATGGGACGGCGGACAGGGGTCTCCTTTGTACGACGGTATGCCCGGAAAACAGACGAGGTTCTTGACGAGGAGCTCTCCCAGCCCCGCTCGGACTCTACGTCAGACTCACGGACAGAGGGTGCACGCTCAACAAAATTGCCAGATCCATCGTGAAAGGGCATCTGGTTCTGGAACTTGAGCTCGGCCACACCAGAGCCGCCGATGCTGCGAGGACTGTTGTCGGCAAAGGATGGACGAGGGATATGACTCAATGAAGTTGTGGATGCGATAAGGGGCGATGACGATGAGGTGAACGAGCGACGAAGAGCAGGGGTTGACAGTACATCGTCATCATCCTCGTGCGACCAGACCCCCAAATCCTCTGATTCGCCAAGACTCTCCAGACCATCGCTTGTCAAGTCAGAGAACCCAAGAACACTCGCATGCTCGCCGGTAGGAGCTCTGGCGGGTGCAGCGGTAGGGTGGTCGACGACGCAGGGGCTAGCGACGATTGAAGAGAGTTCAGCAGCTGAACAGACCTCGTCGTACTCGTCCGAGGAGATGCCCCTGCTGGTGGTGGTAGTGTTTGAGAAGGAGTTGTGCCTGTGCTGACTGAGGACGAATTGCCATTCACGCGTACGTTGTTGTTGCTGATCGAGGTATTGCTGTTGTCTCGCTCTGGCGCGAGCGCTGGCAGAGTTACGAATAGAGGTCCATTCACGATCTAAGGTGTTGTCTAGGATGCCGTCCTCTGCTTGATGGTGATGGTGGTTGCTGTGGCTATGATGGTGCTGTGTATGATGGTTGCTGGTCGATGTCTGGACAGTATGGGTGTCTTCCTCATCAGAGTAGACGGCGGTGTGTCTCTGGTAGGGTGTGCGTTGCTTGTATGTGGCCATTGTAGGAGTGGATGATGCCTTTTGCGTTTTGAGATTTCAGGAGAAGGAGGCGAGATAAAGTAAAGGAACAGTGAAGGTATGTGAGACTGTGCGAATGACTAAAATGACTGAAGGGACGGAAGACAGCGGAGGAGGGTGGATGGGATATGAGTTGAATGACAGAGGGAAAAGGGTATATTAAAGAAAGGGAGGATGAGAGGTCGAAAGGAAAGGATAGGGAGGGAGAGATGAAGGAAGATAAAGAGTAACAAAAGGGAGGAGAAGAGGTAAAGAAAAGAGAAAGATAGAAACGTGGTTAGAACAAAAGGAACGATTTTGTCCTTGATAACGATGATCGTACGAAAGAACCGCGATAACAAGCAGCAGGAAGCAAGTGATTGGGGTCTATACCCGCATGTCACCATAGCTCACTTGAAAGTTCTCATCCCACTTCTCCCAGTGTCCAGTCGTCGTACCTCTCCTCTCCTACTCCCTCTCGCACTCATTGCGGCGGGTACTCCAGAAATAACCTTTGCTGACTCGTAAGGATATGAGGTGAGCTGAATCTGAGTTGTATTTCTGCTGCACTCTTTCATATCAAATTGCAATCACATCTTTTTGGACAGACGGGAGGAGCGAAAAGGGAAAGAAAGGTGGTGCTACCCCAGTAGACAAAATGGTGCGATTCCCTAGTAATAGGCTGCTGCTGCTGCATCATCCCCAGATCATATCTCGTTCTCTCTTTTCTCTTTCTTCTCTCTCTTTTCTCAAGCTTCAAATTACTCTGTGTGTGTGCCTTGATTATCAATACGGCGGAGAAGGATCATGGCGAAAAGGAGGGATGGATACGAGAATGAGGGGGAGAATGGGAGTTAAAGGGAGTGGGTACTTTTGTGTTTATGTGTTTATGTGTGGTGCCCATTCCCGTACGACACCTGCTCTCGTCCCCTCCTTCCCATTCCGCCGCATGACCCTTTGACATACCCTGTGTCTTGTACTTCCTAAATTGTTTCCTTTCTTTTCGTGTCAGCGCTCTTTGCTGGGTTTGACTTGGGCACAGTAACCTTTTCTCTTCTGTCTGCAACCCAACAATAATGTGTTTGTTGCAATCAAAAAAAGGGTGTGCGATTGTTCTCCCATTTGAGCGCCCGCCTCCTCTTTTTCCCAAGCAATGTACGAACGACGAAGATACCCAGTCAGCAGCTGAGACAAGAACACCTTTAAAGGGATGTCGTGTGAGTGAGATATTCAGATGATGACACCATTTTGTGAGTCTACGTGTGTCTGTTGTTCCATGAAACAGATATATGGAGATCGACCGATCCTGCCATTTCAGAATGCATACCAACTGTTTGGACAACGGACAGAGGACACTCTTGGCAGAGAGAAAGAGAGAGAGAAAAAACGACGAGGAAAGTGCGAGTCACGCACTGTAAGAACGAGAGCAAAAAAGTTTAAATAACGATGAATGAAGGGAGAAAACAGAAAGGAAAGGAAGGAGAGATGGCGAGCTTCGATGGGGCGAGTAAGCTGGGGGAGATGTGTTAGGACGAGGAGAAAAGGGGAACAATGCGAAAAAAGATGGAGTTGAAGAAGTTTGGAGGGGTCTGCTGAAGCAATGAAAAGAAATAGGCGAGTCACACCTTCCTCTTTGTTTCACACTCGTTCAGCGCTATTGCTCGGTTGCGCAAGACATCAGCGCACGCACACAGAGTCGTCATTCATCTTCTTTTAGGCAATTCCGTCCGCCTGCCTCCTTTCCCTTCAAAAAGCTCCTTCTCCTGGTATAAAAGAACACAATCTCCGTGGGCCAGCTTGCTTGATTGTTTATTGGATCCATGCTGCTGGTAACAAAATACGCAATATACATTAAAGTGTCGAGTAACCAACGCTTAAGCCCTGGGGCTCTCCTCGGCCTCAGGCTCGATCAAACCCTCCTTCAACAACAACTTCTCGAGATCGCCAGACTGGTGCATGTTCAACATGATGTCGCAGCCTCCAACAAACTCGCCGTTAATGTACACCTGGGGGATAGTGGGCCACGATCTATTTACCGTTCGTTGTAATGAAGACAAGGTGGTCAATTGGGAATGAACGAAGGTACTTGTAAGAACAAGACACAAGTCGATTGTATAGGAAAAACACTTACGAGTACTCCTTGATTCCGTTGCGGAGGTCCTCGTCAGCCAAGATGTTGAAGCTCTTCAAAGCACCATCCATATCGACACCTACGATTAGATTGAGAGTCAATAAGGCATGTCAATAACGACGTCCACTATTGACGAATGCATCCTGTGGTGTATTCTTGGTCAGAACCAAGCTTGCACTGATCCTGATGTACAGGAGTCCATAATGATCAAGATCCAGAGTAGTCAATGTCCAGCGCGATAAATGTCCATTTCCATTCAAGCCCATCCTCCTTTCGCTGCTGCTGATGGCAATATATCTCTGTCGTCTCGTTACTAACTCCCAATGTCGTGTCTTTAGTGCGTACCCTGAACAGTAAGGATCTGCATGACGGCACGACTGAATCCGCACTATTTTCCATTCAAACGCAAAAGATACGCAATCGTTAGCTATGGCTGTATGATCCATCCTCATAGGAACAAGTAGTTGTACAAGATATCCCGATCCTTTACCTGGGGGGCTTGAGGAGTTCCCTTCATGAAGACAACGAGCTTGTTCTGGGTAATGGCCTACACAAACAAAAAAACGCGAGACACATATAAAGAAAAGGGTTAGACGGAGAGTTGCGGGATCAACACGCACACCCACGGTGAACCAAAATTCTCTGTAGATTAGTCATCTATGTTAAAATCCGCAATGAAATTAATACTGCGCGGCAAACAACGAAAGCAACAAGGACGTAAAATGATTGATCTGGTATGGTTGGTGGTGGTGGATAACATACATCCTCGATAGTCTTCTTGGTCGAGTCGGACAAATGGCGGACGGCGAAGGAGGTGGCGGGGAGGGCAGCGCGGCGAGTCAGGATGTGGCTGCTGGGTCTCAGGGCCTGTAAAGATATGTTGTTCGGAGGTACAACGGGCAAAAAAGACAAATAAAGGGGAAATGGTCGTCAGTCAGAGTGCGTTTCTAAAAAAAAAAGAAGAGCATTGCCAAGGTGCGTTCTTGTGTTTGCTGCATGGAAAGTGTTGTGTACCAAGGAAGAAGCAGAGCGGAGAAAGTTCATTGTGAAAGAAAGAAGTGTGCTGATGGAAAGGCAGAAGAGTGGGGCGGTCGGAAATGAATAAAAGTGAAGAATGTGGAAACTTGATCCCGAGCTGCAGACACTCAGCAGTTGTTCACACAGTCACTCACAGCTGTTTCGTGAGCCAAAATCTCACTGTTTCGCCCTGGACAACAACCCAAGCCACATTTCACCTCTGCTTTCTTTTTTTTCCCTTTCTGTCTTCCCATGCGACCACCTCTCAACAACAACCACACAGACATACCAAAACAACAAGACAACAGCCATGCCCAGCCTAATCTCGCCCTCAGAGCGCGACTACATCCTCAAAGGAATCGAATGCAACATCCGAGCCGACGGACGCCAAAGACCAGACTACCGTGAGGTCATCCTCGAGACCGGCGTTATCTCCCAGACCAGCGGCTCTGCTCGTGTCCGCCTTGCAGGAGGCACTGATGTCCTCGTCAGTGTCAAGGCTGATATTGGACCCGTCCTGGTCGACCCCGAGACTGGAGAGGGCGCTGACAAAGGACAAATCATCTGCAACGTGGAATGGTACATTAAGCGCTTCTTCTTATGGATTCAGAGAAGTTCACTTTTCGCGCGTTTTTGTTGCGTCTGTTTGGAAACCGTGGATCATGTCCTACATTTGGATCTAACAAACGTATTCAAATCATCTTGGGCCAAAAATAGTGCTCCAAGCGCGTCGCAGCAGTTCGAAGGACGAGGCGCTGACGAACTCAACAACGAACTCACACAAATGATGACCCGCTTCCTCTCCCACAACACCACCACATTATCCACACCATCATCCACAACACCGTCATCAACAGGAGCACCAAATAACAACGGAGCAGGAGGAATCAACCTGTCGAAACTCTGCATCATCCCTGGCGAACAGTGCTGGATCCTTTACGTCGATGCACTGGTTCTGGATTACGGTGGAAACTTGGTCGATGCCGTCTTTATGGGCACCCGTGCCGCTATTTTTGATACCAGGATTCCCAAGACCGAGGTCCAGGATTTGGGCGATGGAAACTTTGACTTTGAGGTTCTGGATGATGCCGAGGATACTGAGGTTGTTGAGGGGCGGGAAGATATGCCCATTTGCATCACTTTGAACAAGGTATCACGTCGTCTCTAGGAATTCATTTTGGCCATTATTTTTTCTTTCATGGCGTTCGACGCTCTTGCAAGAATACTAACTTTAATCCACGTAATATTGCTTAAACGTATGGAAAACAGATTGGGGCTCGTCATATTGTGGATGCTTCGCCATTGGAAGAACTGTGTACAGAGGCCAAGCTGGTGGTGGCTGTCAACCGTTCAGGAGAGCTCTGTGGATTGCAAAAGGGTCAGGATGGCGGAATCGAGCCCAGTCTGTTGTTGGAGATGATCCAGTTCGGAAAGACTCTTGGACAAACCTTGATCAAGCAATTGGACGCAAAGATCAAGGCAGAGGCAGAGGCAGATACTATCAAGAGACAGAATGGCCAACCTGTGGTCAAGTTGGGTTTCTTTGCTCAGTAGATGCAAAGTCTCTCGTTTCTTTGTGCACAGAGATCATAATAATAAAATATCATCAAAGAGAATTGCGTGACATTGAGGGATGGCGTGTTTCTGGTGTTCTCCAATTATGAAGGTCCGTTGGAGATGATTCTTATTATGCTAGAACTAAGCGGTGTTCAAGGATCGTAAACACTGGCTGGCAACAGAAAATGAAAGAAAAAAAAGAAAAAAGAAAGAGGTCTTTTGAAAAAGAAAAAAAGAAGAAAAAAAGAAAAGAAATGAAAAAAAAAAGAAAAAAAAAAGCCAGGTTAGATGCTCCTGGCAGGCCTCGTTCCCCGATTTACCCTCGTCAAGTGTCGTCGTTCACTTGCGTACCCTCCAACTAATGTACCCAGAAAAGAAAAAGAACCCCGTGTCGTTTTGAAAATCGATGTTGTACAGAGAAAGCAAACTTCCCGCGTAAAAGTAGATTAAAAAAACGTAGTAATTTGTACAAGAAACCATAAAAAAGAAAAGAAAGGAAAAGAAAAGAAAAGAAAAGAAAGAGAGTGGAAACTGAGAAAAGAAAAGGAAAAAGAGAAAGGGAGTCATTGATATGAAGTGACAGCAACAAAATGAAAAAGAGAAAGAAAGACAAAGCTGGCCCGGCACGGATGATCGTGCTTTAACGGCGCTGGTATTGTTGGGGTCGCTGTTGGTGATGCTGCTGGATCTGTTGGTGGTTGGGGTGGATCTGTTGCTGAGGATAGTGTTGCTGAGGCATCATTTGCTGCTGATACTGCGGCTGGTGCTGTTGGTGCATCTGCTGCTGTAATTGCTGCTTCTGGTGTATCAGTCGCTGTTGCTCCTGATGATCAATCTGCTGCCTCTGCTGTTGATCGTCCAGGGAAGAGGGGGCGACGTAGAGACGCGTGTCAATCACAGGAGGGATAGCCTGGATCTCTGTACCGAGTTCCTGCTCGATCTTGTACAGGTTGAAGCGATCCTCGTAGGTGATCAGGTTGATAGCAAGACCCAAGTGACCAAAACGACCACTACGACCGATACGATGAAGATAGGTCTCGGCGTTCTTAGGGAAATCAAAGTTGATGACGACGTTGACGGCCTGGATATCAATACCACGAGTCAGAAGATCTGAGCAGACCAAGTTGCGGCAGACACCATTCCTGAAATCGTGGAAAACGCGGTTACGGTGTGACTGGAGCATCTTTGCGTGGGAGTAGAAGCAAGAGTATCCGAGCTCGGTGATCTTTTTGGCCAACAGTTCCACGCGGTTAGTCGAGTTGCAGAAAATAATAGACTGGTTGATTTGAAGCTGTTCGCATCAAGAAAAGTATGGAGGCGGAATGGTTAGTCAAATGTGTAGACTCATGTGTCTATAGCTTCAATAGTTTGGGTCAATCGTGGATGTAGTTATATCGAAGCGCTTTTCATACCTTGGAGAAAAGTGTGTTAAGGCAGTGCACTTTCTGGCGCTCCTCGACGAAGGCGTAGTACTGCGTCACACCGCGAAGGGTCAGCTCGTCCATCAAGTTGATCTCGTAAGGCTTGACCATGTGCTTGTCCTAGTGTAAAACATTTCGAAACCAAAAAAGTTAGGCCTCTGTTCCCACCACATGAGGTGGTGCCTCGCTTCCACAACTCGCTGAACTCCAGCGAAAAAAAAATTGACATACCTTAAAGGTCTTGACGATCATGGGGAAGGTTGCACTGTACAACATAACCTGTCGTTCCTTGGGGAAATAGGTGAGCAACTGCTCGACAATGGGTGTGAACTCGGGGCTGAGAAGCTTATCGGCCTCATCCATGACAAAGGTCGTGCATGCGCTAAAGTTGGCAACGCCTTTTCCTGCAAGGTCGAGGATACGTCCGGGGGTTCCGACAATGATGTGAACAGTTTCGCTGAGACGCATGATATCGTCCTTGAGTGTGGTGCCTCCGGTTGTGACCATGACCTGGACGCCCATATGTTTACCGAGAGTCTTGCAGACCTGAGCTGTTTGGAGAGCCAACTCACGAGTTGGTACGAGGAGGAGAGCTTGGACGGTGTTCTTTTTGACATTGACCTTTTCGAGGGTGGGGATAAGGAAGGCGGCGGTCTTTCCTGTGCCGTTTTTGGCTCTGGCAAGGATATCTCGGCCTGCGAGGGCAATGGGTATGGACTCTTCCTGGATAGGGGATGGACGTTCAAATCCAGCCTCAAAGATGCCCATCAAGAGCTCGCGCTTGAGAAAGTAGTCCTCGAACTCGTTGCCCTTGGTGGCTGTGACATCCTACAAGTCCCATTTGAAAAGTGCACTCATGTTAGTCTTGTTATCTCTTTGTGTGATATATATTGCATTGCAATCTTATTGCTGTTTACCTCGGTCTGGGGGCGAGTATCCTTTGTTGGGAGGTTCAGCTGCTTCTTCCAGCTGTCATTGTCGTGCCTATATTGAGGGGCGGAGAGAGAGCGAGAGAGAGCGAGAGAGAGAGAAAGAGAGAGAGTGTGTGTGTATGTGTGAGAAGTGTGTGTATGTGTGAGAAGTGTGGTCCTCATCGGTGCAATTTTACATGGACGATTATAAGCAAAAGAGAGGACACTTACGCCAGTTGCTGTTGCTGGTTGGCGGCCATGGGATGAGTGTTGGTTTGAGGGGTTAGTGATGGAGTAGAAAAGAGAAAGAAGGGAGAGTGAAATAAAAGGGGTGTGTTGGATCAACAGATGGTTGTTTTGATGGTGTAGATGGATGAGTGGAGTTCTTGATCTGGTTTGGCTTGGTTTGTTGTTATTGAGTGTTGGTTGAGTGTTGTTGATGTTGTTATCAGTTGGCTTGTTTTGAGTTGCTTAGAAGAAAGTTGATGGCTGTAATAAAAAGAGTGTGTGCGAAGGGGGAAGTGAGAGAGAGGGAAAGAGAGAGAGTGACAGAGTGAGAAGAGAGAGAGAAGAGGCGAGAAGGAGCAAGAAAGAATCGTATGTGGAGAGTATATGTACCAGCCAAGCAACGCGTCACTCATATCATGCCTGATGTGTGGGCTGTCATATCCAATCTCTCTCTTTGCGACCCTTAATGATCATGCGCCACCATTTTCTCATCAGAAGGCATGAAGCTCTGAACCAACCACCTCGTCAGCTATTCACTCCGGTGCGTTATTTAAGGGTAGCGCAACAGATGTGATTACTAAACTACTACTTTGTGGTACTTCTTTGCGATCGCACACAGGGGAAGAGAGGGGTGGTATTGACGGACCAGAAAAGAACCAGCCAAATAAATCAGTCTTTAAACCGAAGAATCTTCAAGGTATTCTTCAGGAGGGAAAAGTTTATTTTTTTATCACGACAAAGGGTGAAGAGAGATAATCGTTCTGGGCGATGACAGTAGTTACTTCCTTGGTGATGTGTCGGAAGTGTCGTTCCAGGATTGAGATAGTTGGTGGTGGAACTGCTGGCGTGCTGCCTTTTGGGTGTGCAAACAGCTAACAACCTTCTCTTGAGGAAGGGAGATGTATCTAGGGTGAATACAGAATTTGGGGGGTGTAAAGGACAGGAGAGAGCATAGATCTTGGTCAGACCAGAGGGGCTTGTCCGTGTGCTTCTCGAGGATGAATTGCCATGTCCAATACTTGCTGTCGCAGAGAATGATATAGTGATACCTGTCCGCCGTCGGCTCTGTGCAACCATCCATATCACATTTCGGATCTTGGCCCCACCTGCGCGCACGCAATGTGCCGCAAGGGAGGATGTCCTGCTTGTAACGCCGCCAAAAGGTTCAGGCGCGGTGAGGAAACTTGGCGCGCCAGAACTTACGCCAGCAGGACTTGGAGCCGATCTCGGGGCAAAAAGACGACGTGAGCGGTGGGGGTTCAGGGCCTACGGAGAGAGAGACAAAGTGACGAAGGTGTTTGGTTGTCGCCGTCGAAAAGGTCACAGTGGTCTTGCCGGAAGTAAAGAGGACAAGTGACAGAACCCTCTTGGCCACACTGTCCCCACTTGTACTCATAGGTGGAGACTGAGCCGCCGTCACGTAGGCCGACGACATCCGCCGGGACTTGGTGTGAGAAAGCTGTGTGAATAGGTCATCTCTTGCGCGTTGTAGCTTGGCTGCCAGCTTGGGTTTGTGAGTCGCCCGGTACTTGTCTTGGTCGTCAACTTCCAGAGAAAATAAATCACCAATCTTGGGCAAGAGAGGGGTGCTGGTACTGTTGGTAGAAGGAAACCACCAGTCAAGAGGAGAGGCCAAAAAAAGGTGGACGAGTCCGGCAATCCTGCTTGTGTAATGGTGGTCTTGAGAGATGGTGGTCGAGGGATGGGAGCCGAGAGGCTGTGAAGAAAGGAATAAGAGTTCATGGGTCAGTCAAAAGAGAGAGAAAAGGGTAAGGGAATGAGGAGTCCGCTCAGAGATTTCTGGAGATCACAATCAACGCACTTGTTTTGACCCGGTTCATATGGTAGAATGGTAGGCCAGTCCTACAGTGAATGCTCAATTGAGCAACTCAAAGTAAGTGTTTGTTAGAATCCACTGTTGCATTCACAAGTCCCGTCCACAATACCCTTGAGAATAACACCCCGACACAGATGAGCATTGATGCCCAATGGCTGACCCAATACACCATCTAATGTCGCGCACGATCCACCATCCATTGGCGCCCAATGGCTGTCCCATAGAGCGTAGACAAGACAAAGCAAGTTCTACAGCGCTGGCAGAAATATGAATAAACAGAAAAGAGAAAATACCACCCCAACACGCTGACGGTAAGACAAAACACATACCTTGTTTCCTGTGAGACATGAAGGCTGTGAGTACAGAGCAAGTCGAAAATCTCATCAATCTCAGCTGTGGTATTAAGAGCGTGTTGTACTTGTTCAGCTAACAAGTTCCGGAACTGTTTGGCATCCAACTCAATAAGTTCAGGCACACGAGTGTAGCACATTGGAATATAGCACATTGTTTGTAGATTTGATAGTCGCGGTTAGAGGGATACATTCACACGAATGCGTAGGAGACCTAGAGTATGGATGGTACCGTCACGCCTTTCACATCAAATGTTCTACGCATCCACACTTCATCTGTCCTGACGCGCTTACCCTCCTTGAGAAGATTGTATGAAGAGGTCGCCGTCGCCTAAGTCATCATAAGAAAGGTGAGAGTAAGTTTCGGTTCTGTCCAAGTGCATCTTTTTTCATTTTGGTCCATTTGATTGATTACCTGCGCAGAAATGAGAGGCCCCAACCCAAGCAATAGTCCAAACTCGTATGGGCTCGACACTAGCCTAAACTTCCCCAGACTTGTCAGCGGGTAAAATGCCTCCGAGCATAGACTGATGCTGTAGACATCAATTTCCATGCCTTGTCCGTGAATCAGAATGACAGGGGTAGATAACCCATCTTGAAAGAGACCGTCGACGACCTTCTTGCCCATGACGACCAGCTTCTTGTAGTCTTTTCTCATATCCTCTGATGTGGAAACTCCAGAATGGAGTCAAGGTTCATCTTGCCATGACACGGAGGATCACGTGATCTATAAAAATGACACATTCACAATGATCATGAGTGTCATTAGTGTATAAACCTATTAAACCGATACTTACCATCGAAACGTAGAACCAGCAAACATGCCGAATGCCGCGGCAAGAATGGGTTCCAAGAGGGCGCTTGTGAATGTATCCTCGTTATTGCCTCCCCCTAGCTGATACCAGTTTGTGTGAGCCCATAGGCTAGCCTCGCTGAAGAAATTGGACACAGCACGGTGTACCATCGAGTTCCTGATCGCCTGGTCCTCTTTAAACCATTCCTGAGTGGTCACAAAGTCGCACGTTGCTGACTGTGCACACAACTGCGCCCCAAAATTCTGTTCCGAGGGCGAGATGCATGATGGCTTCGCATCCGGAAAGATGTATTTGACAACATCACTTGAAATATCTTCAGGCAACACGGATACCAGCAAGGCCTTGGTAATCACAAAGTTGACTAGACCGTAATAAAGCAAACCAAAAGGTGTAGGGTTAGAGCTTGGAGTGACATTGTTGTAAAATGTCTCGAGATCCGTCTCCACAACCCTGGGCTGGTTGACATATTCGGCGATCGACGCTTCTGGTCCATGGAGCGACGGCAAGTTGGTCTCCTTGTGAGCAATTAATTCCGTGCCCTCGACTGCACGTCCCTTCCTCTGTTCGAGCCATCGTCTGTGCTTAAACGTTGGCTGGTAGACGGCCTTCTGAGGTTGTGGAACTGAGTTGGCAAGGGTAGATCGATCTCGGTGATGGCTCCTTGCTCCTTTTCATCAGTTGGAGTGGCCGATGCGGACGAGGGTAAGAAGGCACTGGCGCCAACGACAAATGCCTGCCCTAAGTCAATCGCGAGAATCTTGATTTCCTTCGGGTCACAATCTCAGATCCGCTTGACGTCCTCCGTTGTCTTGACCACGTTACGAATCTCCGTGAGGTAGTGGTCGGTGCCTCCAAGCGTCGATATTAGTGGGTCTGGTAGCTTGTCCTCACTCAATCGTCGGTACTTGACACAACTGAGTTCATTCAATTTGAAGGCGAGCAACTGGATCCGATACCCGTCCGTTTTGATCGATCCTCGGAGAGCATAGCCCTTACTCGAATACGAAGCCTTGAGATTAAAATCTTTGTCCTGAATGTTGGAGATGTGAACAGTCATATCACCGACCGACATACGGTGCGCGGATCGTGACCAGTCCTTCCGTTTCCTCCTCTCATCCTCTGTAAATCTTCCAATATCGGTCAAAAGCCTGTTGATCAGCTCACCTGGGTCGAGGTTTTTGAGCCAACCAACAACATCCTTCTGAGGAATACGGGTGGGGTCGGTGAAAGATGGGAGAGTTGGATGGGCGTAACTCTGTAGTTGTTTCCGTAGGGTCACGTCCGGCCAGAAGATCCTGACCAGCTCATCCTCTGAGAGATTGATGAACTTTCTTCCACGGGTGACATTGGTGATAATCGCCAGCTTCTTCCGATCGTCCTGTTCAGAATGATGAAGTTCTCCGTTGGGGCCTTGTCTGGATTGAAATGATCTGGAGCGCTCTCGGGCAAGAGTCCCTTCTTCTTCTGCTGCTGAATCTGTAGCGGAAAAGAACAGATAAAAAACAAAATAATGTCAGGCGCGTTTCTTGTAAACAGGGGTTTGAACCATTCCAATTGTTATTACCTTTTTGCAAAGATCAAACGAGCCATTCTTGAAATGATTTTGGTACTCAGTTGCGAGTTGTATCGCTGTGGACGGGAGAAAGACTGAGGAGTTGTTGTAAGGTTCTGCAAGCAGTGCATGTAAATAAGAAATGGAGAGGAGAATGGTTAAAGAGTTGGTCTTACAACAGGTCACATTGCTGCCACAATTACAAGAGAGTCAAACCTACCACTGCCAGTTTTCGGTGGCAAATAGTCTTTGGCTTTGTGTAAGAACAAGCCCACAGCCGCAGATGCACACGCATTCTTTGTTTTCTGAGGAGCGCTAGCCTTGTAGATGGCAACCAGAAGCGATAAGAAAAATGCTTCTGGAGAGTTCTTGTTGTCGATGCTTGCCTGAGGGTTGTTCTTGTTGTCAGATGGCTTCTCTTCTGGGTTCGGGGTGATGCCGTTTTTGGCCTCCTCGATCTCCTGGACCGAGAAGTAAGGGGTTAAGTAGCTGAAAATGGTTCTGTCGACCTCGTCAAGGTGATCGACAGAGAGGTTTTCGAGGTATTGACCGACTGCCTGTTGACAACGACGTTTCGTTCTCGAAGCGAGTTTAGAGATGTCCGAGAGACATGTGGTGATCGCATGCTGGAGCTTTTGCTGTAATTCCGCGTCGTAAGGAATCTCCTTCTTTAGTGCTCGAGATGTATTCGCCTTCAGGGTTCCAATGTCCAAGGTTCGAAGAGGGTGTTCACGTTGCATGGCTTTGACGAGCTGAAACTTGGTCATCTTATCCGCTGCAGGTTGATCTTTTTTGGGGGTAGACTTTTGTTTCTTTCTCGGTCGGGGGCTGGTGGCGCCGACGTTGGTGCTGGGGCCTGCCTCGGTATTGGGTCCTGCCTCGGTACTGGTGCCGGTACTGGTGGTGCTGTTGGGGTTTTTGGCTGACTCGGCATTCTCTTTTGGAAGCTTCCAGACGTACTGCTTGAATATATCGGGCTTCTCGTGTGAGATGAGACGTGATCTCGTCTTGACCGCGTAGCGCTCCTGATACCTGTATGGCCGTCCCGAGGTGTGAGGTTGAGGTAGCTGACTTGGAGGACAGTTGACAGTAGAGTATCGAATGAAATTTGTAGTTCATTCTCCTTCTTGACCACCAGTGGCCGATCTAAGAATGATGGGTATCCATCAACCGAGCTGTTAAAAAAGAGCCTATTTTTGCCATGAAGACATCTAGCTTTGTTCATTATCATTTCAGCCTATACTTTGATGTTTTTCGGCTGATTTTGAGGCGCAAGCGAATTGTCTGCCAGCCTTTGGGTCATCTCCTGTAGCTCGTTAATGGGATTCTGAATGTGGGGTAGGGTCAGAGGCGTGAATTGTTGGAGAGTGAATATCTGAAGAGCCGAGTCGAAGATTCTCTCAATAGGGTGCTTGCTAGACACGGTAGTGTTCTCCAAATAGGCATCAACAAGCTCTTGGACACTCGCATTTTTTAACGTGTCTAAGCAAAAAAGCAAAAAAAAGGCAAGGAAATGTGAGTTGAAAATGAACAAGGAACTAAAACAAAAGAGTATATATATTTCGCCTTACCTTCTGTCTCCAGAGCCCGAATGACCTTGAAGTTTCCCTTGACTCCCATCTTGTGGACACCCTTGCCGTAATCGTTCTGAGTGACAATTCCAAGAGTGGTCAGTCCTGTTCTTGAAAGCTCAAGTTGGCGTAACAGGTCAGAGACATGGTAGACAAGGTATCGGTCACGACCGAAAGGTCTCCAGATGGTGTTGATGTTGCTGTAAACTAGCGCGTCACTGTCACGGGTGATGACGACGTCGTCCTGTTTGTAACTGGATCCGATGCAGGTGTCGGCTTCTGAGCGGCAACCACAGACGATCCAGCCACTTGCGCGAAGGTGTTGGACAAGAGCTTGTCGAAGCTCATGGGTAAGATAGAAGGAATCGACAATGGCCTTGTTGAGGGTCTTGAACTGTTGCTTCCTTAATTTTCCGTGGTTGTTGAGAGTCTCCTCTATTATGGTCAAAAGTTGGTTGCCTTTGGTGAGAGCTTTGTCGCGTTTTGATTGTCGGTTTATGTTGGTGGCGTTCTTTTCAACAGGAGAAGGTCCGTCCATGTGAAGGATTGTTGTTGACTTGGGGAATAGACGGGAGATCAAATGCTGTTCAAACTTGACACATGCGACTGTCGTATTTGGGTGGAGGAAACAGCGGCGAATGACTGAAAAGAAAGAGCCAAGAATGTCAATGTGATACTGAGTGTTTGGTGGAGGGATGGTAGGAAATGCTCTGATGGGCGCAATGTATCCTTGTTCTTTGGTAAACGGCCAAAGCTTAAGGACCCCCATTGCGAGGGGCGAGAGGAGTGGAAAAACGGATGGTAAGGAAACAACAGCAGAAACAGAGATGACGAACAAGGCAGTGAACTGAGAGAGGGAAGGGTGGAAGGGAATGAAAGAGAGGTGATATTGAAGGGGCCAAGTCTAGAAATTCACCCGCTGTAACTAAGGGGTTAGGAGGGTTCTGTGCGGTTGTTTTTTTTTGGCTCTGTGCATTGATAGTATAATGGTGGTGATGAAAGGAAAGACGGAGAGAAAGGAGGAAAGAGGTAGGAGAGGAGGAAGGAAGGAGTAAGTAAAGAAAGAAAAAATAGAAATAGAGGAAAGAGGGGCCTTATTTATATGTGTCTGTCCTTACGGGTGACAATGTGTTGCCGTCATGTCCTTGATCGTTGATCATTGATAGACTCGCGGCTCCCTACGTGGGTTGGAGGACGAGGGTCATGCGAGGGGTTCAGTTGATCCCTTGATACAATCATTGATTGTGACACATATGTCATTTCCTGTGAGAAGGCCATTTGCATGGCCGTAGTACACCCTCCTTTTTAGCTTTACGACTCAATAACTCTCAGATCCCCACTGGCCGCGAGGGAGGCATTGTGCCGTTCTCGGAAAACAATGATCCTCCTCGACAAATACCGCGCGAGCTCCAACTGTCCATAGATGTGTGGATGGGCCACCTGACGCTCAACCATGTTTGTTGTCCTCTTCCCGTATGTCGTCTGCTGCTTGTTCCTGGCTTCCTCGATGGCATCCCGGTCCCCGATGAATAGTTCCTTGATCACCTCTCCGTACGAAGAACGCTGTTTGGCGGCTGCCCAGTTGTGAGTGTAGCGGGTGTCCTTCTATACGTTGTCTAGCTGAACTGTCTTCTTCCCCAGAGAAGCGCAACCAACTCTTTGTCGTTGATGTCGATGAAAGAATCGCTCATTTTGGCCTGAATGCAGAACTGGAGTCGCTTGGATGATGCTAAGCGGACGAAGTATCACCAGCAGAGTTGAATATGACCCGGTTTGAAAATGATCTTCTTGGGTCGCTTGAGGGCGGCATCGTCGTCCACATCCTCGTCAACATCAGTAGCACCGGCATCGCCACCAGCGCCTGTGTCATCTTCATCCATTTCAGGAAAACCATCGCAACAATGGACAACTTGGAGAGCTGGCATCTTTCTTTTATTTAATAGTAGCAGTAACACGCGATGCAAGGTGGAGAGGGCACAGGACCTTAAAATTCTAACTTCACTTTGAGATAATCTATTCTAAAACCCATGGCGCGTATGATACTCCTCAATCATTTTTGGTGCAAAGAGGAACCTTGCAGAGAGAGCAGATTCGCTGGGCGGTTGAGGATATGCTTGTGTTATGTCTTCTCGTTTCTTTTATCTGCACAGGATGCAGTAGGGGCGGTCCTTGACTCGGACGGGGAAATGGGAGCCAGTCATGAGTAATCAGTAGTTCATCGTTTGGTCCCTTGAATTTTTTCGAGACATAAGGGGATACTTGGGTAGGGGTGTCGCGACATTTGGCGGACACTATCAGATCCTTAGCTTGGAACTGTCGGAACCCCCTGTGATGCATGAAAGAGCCGAAGAGTTTGTTGATGAGGTACGCGTTGATGATTGTTGTATCCAGTAACCAGAAGAAGATCGGAGCCCATGCGCGATAAGTCCTGAGCTGAGTCGAATAGTAGCTGCGTAACTGGTCGGCGATGTCGAGTCCGTTCATGTGGTGGTTGTAGTCATCGACGATTTTTGGGATGGGGAGTAACGCCCTGGAATGTCCTTTATAAGCATCCCGCACTGACTTTGCGTTGGCGCTTTCTCTCGAGGGCGTCTGGATCTTAGACAGCGGATCAGTCGTTGTCGCCGAAGCTGAGGGCATGGACGGTGAAGAGCATGGAGACAGGTCTATTGTCCATCCAGAACACGGTAAGAGCCTGAGGTGGATCGGGCGATTGTCCGCAGCTAGCTGTTATAGGCTAGCAGAGGGCAAGAGTGGTGACTCTCTTCGTTAAGTAAAAGAAAAGGAAGCGAGCTCATAGAGAGAAATGCACCCATCTATCACAGGCTCTACCTTTGAGAACCAATGTTGCTCAGGTTCGTTGGGGTTGGAGACATGAAAAAAAATGCCTCAGTTGTTCGAAGCGGACGAGGGAGATGAAGTTAGTGATGTTGTGTTGAGGACATTCAGGGAAGGTTGAACAATACTCAGAGACAGAATTCTGCCTGAATACGCCCATGTAGACAATGATGCCGAGGAATATGCGCAGTTCGTCAGGTATGGTCTTTACCCATTGGCGCAATCCCCCTCCTGTGCCGGCTCCTTTTGATGCTGCATATGCGTTAGTGAAGGTGGCCATATCCGAAAATACTTTGCCGCTGAAGAATAGGCTGAATATGTTTATTGGTGCCAGTTCTTGGTCGAGTTGAAGAGCACGGGGAAGGTTGGATTGTGCTGGGTGTCCATCCTTGTAGTGGCGAAAGATATTGTCGAAATCTGGTACAGGCGGGAGTTCTCTAGTCTCACGAACGGGCTTCTTAGCAGCCTTCTTGGCAGCCTTCATTTTCTTTGTCGGTGGAGCTGGAGCATCTATCACCCCTTCATCTCCTGCCTTCCCCTCCTCCTCGTCCCCAGAGCTATCTGTACCAGGCGTTGGTCGAGTACGACAACGGACCGAAAACAACAACTCCTCCTCCTGTGCCTCGTCAACCTCCTCCGCAGATGCTACTACGGTGCCTTGAGAGTCAGAAACGTCAAAGGAACCGAGGAACTCGAGACTGGAGTCCATGAGTGAGTAGGGTGAAGTCGATGTGTGAGAAAAAAAAGGTAATGGGTTGCGGGATGATGATGAGAAAAAAAGAGCTGAATTCGAGAGTGATGAATGTAATGTGACGAAGACGACAATGACACTCCCACGATGTAGTCTTCTAACCCGTTTTATTGGAAACCTGGATAAATCGAAAAAATGTGGTGCAAATTTGCACCACAAACAAACTAGGGGATAGGGTTATTCGTTATTACCGACAATGATATTCATTTATATCCATGCATCAGAATTGCAGGGAGATTGTGTGCCAGCCTCTCGTTAGCAAAATGTGCATTTTCAGAAGGCATCCATTCCAAGGCATTGGTCCCCTCTCTTTTTCCTTCTTTCGTTTCCCTTTCATCTCCCTTTCTCTTCCTTCCCGTCCACCCACTTGCCCTGTGCAGAAAATCATGCGGCTGTCCTTGCTCCCCATCCTTGCTCTCCTACTCTCTCAACAGGCTGTCAATGCCCAGTCCCCCCTGCAAGGCCAGTCTCGGTTCGCCGCTCAGCACTGCTTGCCCGTCAGAATCAAGTCCCTGGTCGTCTTTGGTGACTCCTTCAGCGACACCGGAAACGTCCTTGAGATGTCCAAGCACACCTGGCCACTGCCTGCTTTCTACCCTGGAGGTCGTTTCTCTGGCGGTCCCATCTGGGCAGACTATGTATGCCCAACACGCAGTTTCCAGAGAGTTTGATGGGATTACAAGAGAGAGTAGCAGCATTATGAGACGAAAGCAACAATGTGAATACTTTACTAATTGCCATGTCCCTCCGTTCCTTTGTTAATGACATCTTGTACAGGTCGCCAAGGATCGCAGACTGAACTTGACCAACTTTGCCTATGGTGGAGCGACGACGGATTCAGATATCGTCCAGGGTTACACGGGTAGCAAGGGTGACTTGCCCGTTCCTGGGTTCATTCAACAAATCAACGAAAACTATCTGCCCAATCGATCGCTGGAGGATATTGCCGGGATGGAATCGACCTTGTTTGCCGTCAGCTTCCAAGGAAACGACTTTTTGTTCGACACGTCCATCACCACCGAGACCGTGCTCGCCAACATCGAGAGGGGTATCCACCAATTGATCGGTCACGGCGCACGACACATTGTCGTGTTTGAGAACTTTGACATTGGCACCATCCCTTACTTCCAGAGCAACCAGACGTCTGCCCACGAGATGACTGCCATGGCGGAAAAATGGCACCGAGGTTATCAAGATATGATGCGGCGACTCAGACGAGAGTATGGCCATCCAAGAAGGACTAGAGGAGCCGATGGCGAGTCGCACGTCTTTTTCAACTGCAAGGGCAACCGGCCCGAGATCAAGCCGAACATTGCCTTTTTCGACCTCTTTATCCTCCTCCGCCGATTGAACAGTCCTCGACATCTCCGAGAACTGGGGATCACAGATGTGGTTCATGGTTGCATAGATCCGGGTGCTCAGACAGGATGCGCTGACCCCAAGAGCCATTTCTATTACGATCTGTACCATTCGTCAACCAAGGTCCACCGAGAGATTGCCAACGGCTTTCTCGAGATCTTTTAGGTGACAGGAGGTGGACAAGCCAAGAGCATTGGCTAGGTGCATATGTGTGTCGTGGTCCGTGTTCTAGAGCGAATGGCAGAGGATGGGGACAAGGAACAACAATAAATAACCGATTTGGCTCGGACCTTTTTGCGCTCATGAAGCAATGAAGCAATGAAGCAATGAAGCAAGCAAGAGTTGTGCGACCACAATTGTCGACCAAGGACCCCCGTTGAACTTTGCGAGGCTATTGATATTTGTTGACACCGTCCTATTGTCGATGAAAGCACAAACATGGCGAGGGCTATGAAGACCAGAAACAAAAGGCAGAATGCTGTCGTGATGACAATGGCGCCCTTTCTTTCTTGCTATCCCTCCCCTTTTTTAAAATAGCCAACAATTGAGCTGCTGTTTAAACGAGCGATTCCCCTCCTCTGTTTCTGTCCCCCTCCCTTCTCTCCCGACCCATGCCCATGCCTGCTGCCATTTTTTGTTATCGTATGCAGTATGTTTGATGAGAGCCTCTTTTTTTTTCAACTGTTGTTTTGATTTTTTTTATCTTCTCTCTCTCCTTCACCTCATTCTCCTTCTGTCTCTTTCTTTCCACCGCTGATCCTTTGCTCCATTCCTCCCTTGGTGGTCATCCTCCCATTTTACAACCAACCACCTTCCCCGCATCTCCTCTCAACCTCTTCAATACTCCCTTTGTCGTTACCCCTACGGCAAAGTCAACCAACCAACACACACACACAGCAACAGAAGTAGCAACAATAACGGAAAGCACCAACTACAACTGGACAAAGTCGAACTCGGCAATCATGCTTGGCCAGGAACGTCCTCCAGTACCAAGGACCACCGCCACCAACGCCCGCTTCAGCTACCACGCCGACAGCTTTGACTCGGTCTCAAGCTCAAGCGGAGCAAAGACCACCTCCACTACCACCGCACGAAAGAGAGTCACCCAGCACTCGTTTCCTTCTTCAGGAACCCAACCCCAACAACAGCAGACATACTCAAAACCACAAAAGCAGCCAACAGGTGGAGATCACACGCGACATCGATCAGCATCAGTCGCTTCGACAGCAACAACGTCAAGGATCCTGCCCTCGCCCGAGGCTGTCCTTGCCAAAGAGAAAGAGTTCATGGCCAACACTCGTATCTTGGCCATGTCCAGCCTCATCGACTCGTTCGCTTTGTCTTCACAATCCAAGCAAGGATTTTACGGCAAACAGCTAAAGATCATTGGCACAGTCAACCCTTGGTCGTCTTCATCTATAACGACCACATCCTCCACGGGATCAGAACTTGATGTCACAGTAAAGGTAATAAGGATGATGCCTCGATTGCTGATATCTAACGCCAGAAAAAAAAGCTCGATATAGACATTCTTGGTTTGGTGTGGAATGTGCTCGACTGACCATGTGTGCACTTTCAATGTTTGAAAACTGCTATAGGTTCACATTATCGACAACACATGGACGACCTGCCCATTGCTACCACCATCAACCATCCTTCACCGTTGGAACGTCACCTACTTGAGCCCATCTGCTACGGGAGAGAACGAGTATACTCAGGAAGACTTTGGGGGTCTTGACCTCGGTATGCAAACCAACCGCCATCTGGGAAAAAAAAAATATTCAGCAAGGGAAAATAAATGTCACCATACAGAAGAAAAACGTGTCTCTGTTCTGTCTAACGCTAAAATTGGAACATGCGTCCATTTTACTCGCATAATAGGCGCTTCCAAGGACGAAAAGGATGTTTCATCGTCATGGATGCAGGCAACCGCGGACAGGATAGAGACTCTCTCGCCAGCCTCATCACCAACATTCGACTCCCGCCCAAAGAGACCGTTCTCTGTTGCGTCTGCATCATCCTTTACAGCACAAGCAAGGGCGCCAGTAACTCACGTTGCCGTCATTTCGAATGCTTTATGCTTTGTTGCGAACAAAGCTGGAGACTACTTGGTTCATTTGTCGATCCATGTGCCGTTTGTTGTCGGTTCTGACAATGTCATCCACCTCTCGCATATCCCCAAATGCAGGAGTAACTTTCTGAAGCTCGAAGTACTCCAACCCTCTTCGACTGAACAGGACAATACTACTCTGGCATCAGAGATGACAGGCAGTGGCACCAAGTCTCCTAATCTACACAGACGCGAGTCGGAGAACGCAGCAGATGGATTCGACTTTAATGTCCACCCGCCGATCATGTCCTTGGATGAGACCCACTTAAACCCAGAGTCAGACGAGGATGCTCAGTTCTGGCTTGAGGTTCAGGAACAACTGGTTGGACGCGACGAGTTTGTGGGCAAGTTGGTCTCGGTAGATGGAAAGCAGGACCCCTCTGGGGCTGAATCAGGAGACAATGAAGACAATCAACTTTCGGGAGAACGAGATCGTCCATTTGAGGTTGCAGGATGTTTTGCCCCGAGCTCCTCGCTACATGTCTCGTGGATGTCCCGGTCGGCTACCGATTTCGTTCGGGATGTCGAACAGGATATGACCGTCCGCATAATGGGAATGCCCGACCAAAAGCAGCCTTCATCTCTTCTTCAAGATCGCAAGAGGAAGGACCCAGCCGAGATTCATGCACAGGACACCGTCGCTACGTCCGAGGATCCAGCAGAGGAGGAATACGATCATCTGGAGATGGACGATAGCGACTTGATCATTGCCGTGGAGGACGCCATCACGGTGAAAATCCAAAAGCTGGGGTGGAAGCAGCCATACATGGACGTGACCATTAGTTTCAAGGATTCTAGCTCGGAGCACGGCCTGTCAAGCGACATCACGTTGTTGGATCTTACCGGCGACGCAGTTCAGGATTGGGAAGCGCTACCGACAACAGCTCACGATGCAATGGTAGATCATGGCATTGAAAAGGATGCTACAGATGACTCTTCCAAGGAGCCAACCCAGACGTTCCGAGTGTGGTTCTTTGCCGGCACAGAAGGCACTACTGCCGTGAACATGCGATTCCAGGCATGCCAGGCTGTCAATGTAGGCTACGGAAAGAACATCGTCTGTCACACACCAAAAGTCCGCATTGCTGGGGCAAGCACAGACAAAGGACAGATTCACATATACACCAACAACGACCTGATGATCCGAGGAGTCAGCCCACACCTTGTTGACGAGACCTTTGTCGACTGCCATTCACCACTGGAGGACAGTGCTTCATTGGTCCGATATCCAAACGAACGCCACTTCCAGTACCAGACCATTGACTACTGTCTCGCCGTCACGGCACAACGCTACCAAGCCCTGGCGCGCATTGCAAGGATCGAGCGGGTCCGCGTCGAGATTGGGCTGAGTGCACAACAGCAACCAGGATTTGCCCGCGTCATTCTGTCGAACGTTGTTCTGCCTCAGCAGGACGATCCCTATCTTCGACTCTATCAACTGGACGGTGCCGAAATCTGGAGTGTGCTGGTGGACGGATACCCTTGCTCAAAGTCGATTCAACTTCAAGACCAGAAATCGTCCGGTCGACGAACTGTCCTCGTTCCTATCCCTGAGGAATCAACACTCGACAATGAGGGGCTGCACCAAGTCGAGGTTAGCTACGGATTCAACTCGTTCGACCTATTGGAGGAGGCGTCACGCGAAGAGTCGGCTTCCTCCGCTATGAGGCTTGTTGTCCCTGGGTTCAGTCTCCCTGTCGGCGAGTACATTGTTGTCGCCAGTCTTCCCAAACTCCCACAAGGTACATTGAAGCTTTCTCGCTTTGGTGAACATATACGAGCTTATTGAGAGGTACAAGATCTAACATGTCCCCGCTATGTTCACTATTTAGACATGGATTATGAGGAGCCGACGGGCGACTTTGAGGTGCTGTCCACGCAAGGTCAGCCAGGACAGAGGAGGACGATCACATATGGGGCGTACATGACTCTTGGAAGGCCAAAGCTTTCTTTCCGGATCATCAAACTCACATCAAACCCCCCGCCCACCGACAGCACACCTACCGATGCCGCGGGGCCTGCTCAACCAGAGCCAACTGTGGACCCAACTGAGCAACAACAAGGAGCGACTATCGTGCATGATCCTCAGCAACCGCCACCTGTTGCAGGGAGCGTTATTGTCCAACAAGTACACCAACGACACCCACAACAACCACCAGAGCCTCAGAATCCGCACGCCGAGCAGGGATTGGATGGTGAGATTCTCCCAGTGCAGGATGGTGCTCCATGCACTGCGTCAGGACACGGATCCAACTCGGCACCGCAGATCGGAGCTCCTGCTCTTCAATCCGGCACACCTACTGGTAAAGGAGGCTACTCCTTGGAATTTCTCACAGCGCAACAAGTGTTTGACCTGGTTCGCGGTTGGTGGAAGCATGTGATGGTCGTGATTGGAGCAGTCATGCTGGTCATCATGATCATCAATGTGGCTGCGTTCCAGGAGACGGGATCAACATCGCTGGATTTGGTGACCATGCCTGCTTGGGTCCGCCCGTTTGTGATTATGAAGCGGTTCTGGACATCGGACTCTAGGACATCGCCATCATCAGCGTCGTCTTCGTCGAGTTCACAGGACAACTGGGACAACTGGGACCGAGGATTCGAGGATACGGAGGAGGAGGAGTTTGTTGTTCCGGAGAAGATTGTTACCGTGACGACGACGATCGAGCAGGCAGGCCCTCAAACGACTGTGGAGGCCAGTCATACTCGCGACTTGGAGATATTGCCTCGACCTAAACCGAAGAATCCGGATGGCGATGGCGACGCCGAGGATGGATCTCGAAGGCCCAAGGGACTGATGAAGTTTATTCAGACCCTGAAGGACATTGTTCAAGGGTTGAAGGGATAACAGGTCTGAGCTGTTGTTGGCCATGTTGACCGATACGACATTGATGGCCATTGCCACTCTTTTGCAACCATAACAAACCAAAAATTATAAAAAAAAAGAAATAACAACATGCGTTGACATTACAACGGCAAAGAAAGCTCATCGTGCATAGAAACAGGTCGAGTTTCAATTATGTCCCTACAAATTCGACGCCACCAAAAATTCCAAGGTGGAAAACAGTCGATCGTCTCATGTCTTTGTCGGATTACTTTGGTCCCTTCTATTCATCAACAACATTCATTGTAGGCATGTCGAGTGCCGCAACTCGCTTCTTCAGCATTATCGAGCCGATTTACTTGTTGGCAGGACACTTGAGCAACACTGACATTTTGAACTTGGTCTTGACTGTTTGCTCGTTCAACTCAACTCCGCCAGCTTCTCTTGTACCAGACTCTGAGCCTCAAGTACGATGCCAAGCGTGTCAACCTGATCACGTCCCCCACTAGCAGACGAGGGATGGTCAAGAACATGCACTTTACGCGATCTCTGCAGATGATTCTACTTGAGTTTCACATACCTCTCGAACTGCTCTCTAGAGTTCCTAAGCTCGACCTCCTCGCCCCCTCTACATCTGCGAACAAATCAAGGTATCACCAACGCTGATGTCACTGCTGGCGCCGACATGGAAGCTTTCAAGATGAAGTTTTATCAACTTGAGCGCCTCTATCGACAGATTTGGAGGTGTTGACTGAGCTGTCGTATCCCCACCTCTGCGTACAACCGGCTCGACGAAACAGGGTTCCCTGGAACGTTGAACCTGCGAGATCACAGCGTCCAGCAAGCCTGGATTCCTGGATGTAACTGCATGGTCTGGAGAAATTGGCGGGTGTTGCGCGGGGTCAGTGCCGGGGCCACCACGAATGAAACCCAAGACGACGATGGTGGGGGATGGCCCAAGGCGCGGTAGATGGCGAAGCACTGGCCGAACTTTTGAAGGTGAAGATTTTCTTTGACGCCAACGAGCAGCCGACCGAGCCGTTCCTGTGGTTGCAGAACTCGGAGGCGAAGTAGTAACGGAAGGCAAAAGTTGGACTTGTGTACTTCTGGAGCTTGAGCTGGCGTTTGAGGTCTGTGGGACTCGCACTTTGATAGATTAACGGCCGCCTAAAGCAAACACTTATAGCAGGAGTGCCCTTCATTTGCGATACTCTTTAAACTTGTCTTTTTAGCTTCTACTGTAGTAAACTTACATACCTCAGTCTCAGCGTACCCCCCTAGCTAAGTAATGAAAAGAGACAAAGGAATGTATATGATGTTAATCAAAATAAATGACGTTTCAATGCCTGGTAACATGGCCTTGGTTCCATGATCTCGATCAAAACGCGTTGAACGAAAAAAAAAAAAAAAAGAGTGAGACAGGGTTTCACTTAGTCCAATTCAAACGAAATCGCAACGTTCGTCAGTCAAAGCGTCCATGACGGCCGCCTTTATTATTTTTTTTTGCTTTGTCGCTACTTTTTAGCGTTCTTCTTGCGTCACTAAAATCCAAAGTCATACCAAAATCGCAACGAAAAGACGGCCTGGATCTGGGGGGGGGGGGGGGGGGGGGCGAGATCGACCAAGAAGACATTCCCGACCTGGAAAAGCATCCCATCCACAACTACAGGGACAGTCGCGATCGCGTGTATTTTCAAGGGGTTTCCCTTGTAGTAATTCTTGATGACGACGTTGTCAACTTGGGGACGGTAAGGGTTCGTAAGGTAACCTGTAAGGAAAAGTTCTGTGGAGCTTGCTCCGCTTGAAGGTCTCAAAGTCGAAAACATAGCAGATGGAGGCGTGGGTGATCATGAGGCGCGTTGGTTCCTGGGTGTTGCCGTACACGGAGAGGTGGGTGGGTTCCCCGCTCAGCGTTCAGTTCTCGGATTTCGGATATCCACGAGGCTGGTCATGATTACGTGTAAGAAAAAAAGAGGTCGAAAGGGGAGGAGTTTGTACAGGGAGAAGGAATGAAAGATAGAAAGGTTGGTGAAGGCGCGTGCAAGAATGCTAAGATAAATTGGAGGCGCCAGTCACATGACTGATTCTGAGTATTTAAAGGAAGGGTCCCCCTGAACGTGTTGTTCTCCTTGACTTCTATTCCCCTCAGACCGAATCTCGCAGCACATCAACGAAACACCCAAGGAATACTACATCTCTGACAGCAACAATTAGCATAAGAGCAACCCTGCAATGGAACCCCCCAGCTCAGATTACATGTCCGTTCAGGACCTCTCTCTTCCTAGGCGGACACCTCTGCAGACTCAATTGGAAAAGGTGTGACATCACCTCGAGACAAAAAAATGACCTTCTGGTCGATCGAAACCGCAACCTAACCACTGGTAACTGGACAATCTAAACCCATATAGATCGATCCCTCTATCATCAGGAACGGCTTTCCTTCTACGAGGATTAACCGCCGAGTTACAGGACGCCTTAAAGTTGACACAGAGACTGCACTGTTTGAGGTCAGTGTGCTTGCCTTTCGGGAAATCATCCTCAACCGCCTGTGGAAAAACGACAAGAAATTTCAGAACGAGAGCGACTTTTGCAAGCACCAGTGGGATATTCTCAAGCCAAGGAAGACTCTTTTGGTATGTACTAAACTCCTGGTAGTGTGCGAAAAAAATATGCATATGGCATCATCGAATCAATATTGACTGAATATTCCGTCGTAAATATTCATAATAGATCGAGTGTGCTGAAGTTTTGAAGGTACGTCAAACAATACAGTCAAGGTGCAGGGTAGGAATAACGCAAGGAATACTGGAGGAGGTCTAACGCGACTAATCTCGCTATTTAATAACATTTAGGAGTTATCAGGCATACCAGTTCGACCTTGCTCTGAGCAAGTCTGCAAGGCACTCAGTCAAGCCTCGGTACAACTTCAACCATCTGCGCTTCAGAGGACCTCTATTACTCAGGAGTTATGGCAGCGGGTCCTTTCGGCATGGAGGTACCAATACAGGATACAACCCGATGAACGAGTAGATGTTGAAAACATCTCGGCCGACTTTGTCAACAACGTTCTCTTTCCACCGGTTGCACACGTGCAGCAACCGCAGCCACCACAGCAGCAACCACAGATATCACAGCAACAACCACATATACCACATTCACCACACATGCATCATGCCCAACATCCATTGCAACCACCACATACACCACACGCACCGACACCACATCAACCACAGGCCACGCCACGCGTCTTCAACCAACATCCCAACCATGGACAAGCTGTCCCTACAATCGCTGTTCGACCTCCCTTTACGCCTTCTTTTACCCAACCTCAACCTAATCAACAAGCTGTAGCCCATCAACAGCATCCACAACACCAACACCCAATGGTGCAGACCTCCGCTCATACGACGCCTAATAACGCGGCGGCTGCCACCCTTCATGTGTCGGTAGCAGGAGTTCTTCCAGGCAACAGCTCTAATTCTTCAGCAACACACCATGGTTCAAACTCCAACTCGAGCTCAACTTCATCAGCATCCAACGTCAAGGACAATGTTTTGTTCAGGGACCGGTTTGGTCACATGTTGACGGACCCCAGAAGATTTCATGCGCCCACTTCAATTCTGGAGCGTGTCCATCATTTTTTCAAAGGACCACCACACCTCGACCCAGCATCCTTTGAAGGCACCTTCCTCGACTGCCCGATCTCGGTACCTTTTCCAGATATCATGGACAGCGAGGCGTGGCTTGTGCCTGTTCCTGAGAGCAGCGCCCATCCAGGGTCGATGCCGCAGTTTGCGCCCGTACAGTCGTGCTTTTTACATGTGCCCGTCTTACCCTCCAAGCGGCGATTTGAGACAGAGAATGAGGTCATTCTTTTGGACGATGTTCGTCTCGCCGGGCAATTGAACGCCAAGCTCTGGGAAGAGTTTTCTGGAGGTACGCTCTCTCACGTTACATTGTATATGTGGGTCATCACAGTTAAGAAACTGGGCAACTAATTGCTTATGTTTTTGCGAACATAGGAAACGTCGTGGAGGCCATTACTTTGGTGCCAACATCAGCCACATGGTTTGTAAAGACGGAGTTGGCCGACTGGCCCTGCGTTGTCATGTCTGGCCTCAAATTCGAACAGGCGAACGGAGTTGAACCTTCTGGGAAGGTAATACATCGTGCCCCTTTGTTCGTGATTCGCCGTGATCTGCTATGCGGGACTAACTTGTTCTCGTTCTCCTTCTTGCTTTCAGAAATATTCCGAGATGCATAGTTACATAGCGGTGTACCTTGGAAGAGATCCCCTGCGCCAGGCGCAGTTTGTGCAAACATTTCAGGATCTCGGCATCTCTCCACCTCAGGTCCCCGAGAACACTTTGACAGGTGCAAGCTCCCGCAGCGCGCGTCCAGGTGCACAAGATGGCCAGCATCGGTGGATTGCAGGGTTCAGGAGGCTGTTCAGAACACAGGGACATGGATCGAGTGCCAGTGGACAAAAGGGCGCAGGTGGAAGTGGGTCTGGACACTCGCGTGATGGTGGTCACTGGACTCCGCAGGATGATGACGATGGGGATGACATTGATCCAAGATTCGACGATATCTACAGTATCCTGCCACCACACAAGAAGGCTCGGTTGGAGAGAACAGGTCGACCCTCGGATGGACAGGCTGCCTGGCACCACAGCAAACGGCGGAAGATGGATGAGGAGGGGTTCTCCAAGATCAAGGATCCTTCACAGCATAACCAAACGTATGGCAGCGATGCTGAGATGTCAGAGTAGTTTTTCGTCGAGAAAGGCGCGTTGTGTAGATACGAAAGTGGTGTCCAAAGGGCTGAATAAAAATAAAAATTCTACACTAAGAATACTAAGAATTCTAAAAACGACGCTAGTGAATCCAGGCAAGTCGCCCGAGGAGCATGGCGTGACTTAAAAGGCCTTCTCACTCTCTTTTCTTTCTACTCGATACTCATTCGACCAAACACATCTTCTCGACCCATTTACTCTAGTACATCCTCCCCCTTCTTCACACTCGAACTCGAACTTTGTTTTTACATTCAGCCTTCTTTCACAAGTCCTCTTACCTCTTCTCGTATTCTACACATCCATAACCACTCTTAAACACACGACATAACCAGCCTCGAGGCGAATGCTCAGGCCACAGAACGGAGTATGAACACAACAACGATGACCGAACAGACCTGCCAACATTCCAACTTGGCAATCACCATCGACCACGACGCCTCACAGTCGCACTTGTCAGGGTCTGGGACCCCCACCCGCCAGGAAAAACCAGGGCTCCATGGACGAGCTCGTATCTGGGGGCCAACCAAGACTGTGCGGATGATCCTCTTGACCACAGCCCTCATGGGGTGAGTATTTTTTGGTTATCAAGTATTCTTTGGGAGAGATGATAGAGTGGTTTTTCTCTATCGCCTTCTCCCCCTTCTTTGTCGTTCTATCCGCTGTATTCCTCTCCCGACGCACTAACCGAGTAGTTTTCATTTGTTCATTTTGTCCATCCTCAACCGCTCCCTTCTCTCTTCTGTAGACTTCAATTCACTTGTAAGTGAAGAACTGCTAACACAGCTACGCTGATGGATTGTTATGTGTATTTGAGTTCAGTGCCAGTGCCCTTCTTCGTTTCTGTTATCTCTGCGAAAAGGAAATGCTCTCTTTTCGACGATGATATCATGACCGGATCTTACACAGTCTCAAACTTCGCCGAAGAAAATCTTTCGCCGCAGCGATATGTGGCGAATTTCGAAGCCAAAGAACAGCCAACAGCTCACTGTTCTATATCACATCACATTGACGATATTCGCATAGGGTCGGTAGAGATGGCTTATGGAACCCCATTCTTGCTACAACTCGGACTATCGAAATCGCTCATGTCGCTTGTCTGGCTGGCTGGACCCCTTTCTGGTAATGACGACAGACATCACTTCGCTCTTTCACGAATGATCTTCTCCTCTTGCTTCTAAACAGCTGATCAACTTTTTACATCTTTTTGCATTGGACACATAGGCTTGGTAATGCAGCCGGTAGTCGGCGTACTCTCGGATCGATGCACCTCAAAATTTGGCCGGCGGCGTCCATTTCTCATAGTAGGGGTCACTGCAGTAGTAGTGTCGTTCCTTTGTCTAGGCTGGTGTAAAGATATCATGACTGGAGTCTTTGGCGCCGATTATGGCAACGTAAGTTGTTATCTTATCTACAGCCCTTTCATTTTGTCCAACAGCTGTAGCCATTGACTACGGTAGCTAAGCAGTTCACCTCTTTCACTTCACCATAGCTTGACAACGCGACAATTCTGATGGCTGTGGGTTCCATCTATATCCTTGACTTTGCGATTAATTGTGGTAAGAACAGGAGTTCACATTGCATTGTTGGACTCATTTGCCCTTGCGTCCAGTATTAATCAACCCATATTATTATGTTCGACTGTGGTTCTAGTACAAGCAAGCTGCAGGACGCTGATTGTCGATAGTTTGCCATCTTCACAACAGGAGGCAGCGGCAGCATGGGCGAGTCGGCTTATGGGACTGGGAGGCATTTTTGGCTACTTTATGGGCAACGTCAACTTGCCAGAGTTGATACCAGCCTTTGGCGATACACAGATTAAAGGACTGTGCGTAGTTGCTTGCATCTTTTTGATTCTCACCGTTGGGCTGACCTGCATCACTGTCACTGAGCGGGTTATGGTTCGAGCTGCAAAGTAAGTTACATTTGCGTCAATTAATGACACGAGCGCCTCGAAGAGAAACATATATAGTATCTAACGCACAATTGCGTTACCTCGTAGGGTGTCAACGTCGTCAATGGATGAGTTCTCGCAGGGATTCAAATCGATTTTCCGCGCCATTCGATACCTGCCAACACGAATCCAGCACCTTTGTAATGTTCAGTTCTTTGCGTGGATGGGCTGGTTCCCGTTCTTGTTCTACTCATCCACATACATCGCTGAAATATACACCCAGGAGACGAGTCAGATCGATCCCAATGACCCAATGGCACAGGATCCCGGAGTGGGTGTTCAGGATGCCGCTGTCAGAGCAGGCTCGTACAGTCTTCTGATTTACTCGATTGTCTCATTGATCGCCTCGATCATGCTTCCGTTATTTGTTGTACCGGCAGAGTCGTCCGGGACAGGATCAAAGGGGCCTTTTTCGGGTACCAGGACAGAAAGTGGGTTTGGCGGAAGCAAACGCTCATCGAAGTGGTGGAGGCGATGGCCAAGGTGGTTGCAACTTCCGATCCGTGGACTGACATTGCCAAGGATGTACACGCTTTCACTTGCCTTGGTGTCGTTCTCTCTTGTGAGCACGTGGTATGTTCAGGACCTGAGAGGGTCGACCATCCTGTTTGCAGGATGTGGTATCGCGTGGGCTGTCTCGATGTGGGCGCCATTCTCGATTCTGGGCGAAGTCATTTCTCAACAGATGCAGGAGGAACTGCACCAAGGACGACTCCGAGGCAGCGTCAATGGAACCACAGGTGCTGGATCGGCAGAGGTGCTTTATTCCAAGGGTGAGCTGGACGATGACGAAGCTGACGGAGAAGAAATTGGAATGACTGAGGGGCGGTCAGGGCGACAATATCAGCCTGTGCGACTACGAGAGAGCATGGAGGAGACGTTCGGGTCCATGAGGGGTCGTACTACCACACCTTCACCCACGACGGTGGATGTACCATTTGGACCGGGGACGGAATCATCCACATGGAGCACACCGATTGAATATGACGTGGGTCTCTCCAAGCTAGAATCTGAATCGGAGGACTCTGAGAACAGCGAGGCAGATGGCGAGTACAAGAAGTCGTGCAAGCAGAAGAAGTGCCGTTCTTCTGAGGAAGGAGGAAGGTGAGTTTAACTTTTACAGTCTTCTTGGTATTTCAAAGTGGTGACTTTGTGTGATATATCCGACTAATGAGAAATATCGCCTTTTGGTTCACTCTCTTTAGCAGTAGTCCACATCCAGGAACGGGGTCAGGATCGACGGCAACAACAGCACCTCCTTCGGGGTCTTCCGAAGCTTCGTCAGCTGGCGCGCTCCTTGGAATCCACAACATCTACATTGTGCTACCACAGTTCCTGGTCAGCTTCCTGAGCAGTCTTGTCTTTGCAGCGATCGAGCCAAGGACATCCACGCCCGGTGATTCAACTACTGAATTGCCAGTAAAAGAATCCGCGGGCAACCCAGATACAATTGGTGTGATGTTGCGGTTCGGAGGGGTGATGGCCGGGATCGCTGCACTTTTGAGTATAAGGCTGTGGAAGCAGCCTCGATCTATTATTGCTCCTTCAAATACCTGAAAACACTTCAGCAGCAAAAAAAACAACAAAAAAAACAGCGTGTAATAAAAAAACAACTTCGCCCAATGTCTTTTTTGTGAAACAAATACCAATGCAGTCAAGGGAGATATTCGAGTCATCATCCAAACAAAACAAGACCAAGCTGGATCTCAGTTTATTTGTATCCTGTCATCCCGGGATGTATGTGTGTTTTTTAAAGTAAATCTCTGGTCGTCAAGACACCCAAAGTCTTTTTGATTTAGAAAAAGGCTAGAGGAATAAAAATTTACATAGCACGGAGGGTCTTCTGGAAGTACTTGGCGAGGGGACCCTTCTCGTTCAAGTACTTGACGTAGCAGCCATCGGGCTGGAGACGGCCAGCAGCACGCTCAACGGCATAGTCCTCGCGAGAGAGCTTGGTGAAACCCCACTTCTTGGAGACGATGATCTTCTGGCGACCAGCGAACTTGAACTTGGCACGACGGAGAGCCTCGATGACGATAGCCTTGTTGTTGTCCTTGCAACGGATCGAGAAGATGACCTGTCCAATGTTGACACGGGCAGCGGTACCGTTGGGCTTACCATAGGCACCACGCATACCGGTCTGAAGACGATCAGCACCGGCACAGGACAACATCTTGTTGATACGGAGAACGTGGAAGGGGTGGAGACGGACACGCATGTGGAACGAATCCTTTCCAGAGGTCTTGGAGATGTACTTGTTGGCGCAAATGCGACCAGCCTCGAGAGCCTCGGACGAGATCTGCTGCTTCTCGTCGCAGAGCAAGTGGACGCAGAGGGGGAACTCGTCAACACCGGCCTTCTTACGACCAAGATCGTAGATACGGATCTTGGGATCTGTGAGTTGCGGGAAAAAAAAATTGATTGATAATGGTATTAGCAAAACAGGTTCTTTCTCGAGCGGTCCGACTAGTTTCTTCCTTTCTGCCTATAGGTGGTCTCCTGTATGCTCTTCAGTTCGTTCCGGCGGTCGAATATGTCCAACAGTAAAAGTCCAATTGAAAAAAAGAATTCCTCTAGTCCCGAAAAGCTGAAAATGATGAAAAAAGGGACTCACCAGGGACACCACGGCAGAAACGCGACTTGGGGTAAGCCTTGTTCTTCTGGTATCTGTAGCAACGAGCTGGACGACGACCCATTTTGACTAATAGAGGCGGAAAAATGAAGGTAGAGACGATTCGTGGTTAGGATGCAATCTCCAAATCGATCCGGGTGGGGGAGAGGGTATTGCTTTTGAGGGAGGATTCCAGATGCTTAGTCATTCCTCCTGACTGGTGTAAAAAGAGCTGATCCAGGTGTTTGCTGAGAGTTGGTTGAGGAGAAGTGTGCTGACAAAAAGGCAGCTGGGTAGGGTGGTTGAATGGTTGTTGTTCGAAGCCGATGTCTTGTTCATGGTAACTGGTGCTGGGTCTCCCTAGAACGAGCTAAATCGATCAGAGGTTCGCCATGCCGACAAGTCGCACCACTCTGAACGTTTGCTGCCTTCGGAGGGAGTTGGATTGTCGATAGGGTTGTTCTCCTGCTCCTTTCTGTAAGAGTGTACAGCATCGATGCCATCGCCGGAGCTGGCTGTAAGTTGACAGCGGACGAAAAGGGTGTTGGTCGAGTATGCGCTGCCGGGGTTCCGATTGCTGTGCGCCATACTCCTTCCACCTCTAACCTGACCGAACTGATGATGAGTGTTGGGGGGGTGAACATCAACGATGAGTTTGCCGGAGTGACCCTCCTGAACCTCCTGAATTTCCTGCACGCCGCTCTCCGTCAACTCGTTCAATGAAAAGCAACCATGCTGCCGATCGATTGATGGGATGCTTTGAACGATGCAACTGATCCATCGACCGATGGATGCTTGTCTGTCCGATAAAAACGATCCGTCGTCTCGTTCAATTACATTTTTTTTGGGATGGTTTGAGAAGGAACAAATCAAAGTCCTCGGCAGCCGACATATAAATTTCATTTGGATGTTAAGGGGATCGGTACTGGCCTCATTCTTGACAGACCGACACGATTTTCATTAGCCCATTGTGAGAAAAAAGTATCATTGTTCGCTACGTTAAAAAGGGCAGTTAGCTACAAGAGTATGTACAAAACAGCGAAAGAAAGATATGGATATAATGGCGCTGCGCGGGGGGTGACCCCGCCAAGGAGGTTAATTGCCAAAGCAGGAAACAACACAAACAGAACTAGTCCTCATGCTCGCTCTCGTTTGTGTCAAGCTTGAACAGTTGATCCTTCTTGGCACCCTTCCCTGGCACTTCCACCTCCGCCTCCAATTCCTCGTCGTCGTCGACCACAAACGGAGCATCATCATCCACATCGTCAGCTCCTGATGTCATCCTGTACGGCTCTCCATCGTCCTGACTACCATCTTCATCGTCATCGTCCAGATACCGAGCCTGCCTCGTCATCGGCTTCAACAACCTTCCCCCACCTCCTCCAGCCACCAACTCCTCACTATCTTCATCGCCCAAATCCTCAAACTGAGCATCCAATTCATCCCAATCAATCCTTGTAGCGCCTTCAAGATCATCATCTGACAACGCAATGGGTCCTCGTGTAGCACTATTACTACTGCTCTGTCCTCCAAACATCTGTAAGGGGATGGTCAGGTTCCGTGGCATGAGCGATGATGCCTTTCGAAAACAGAATAGGAGTCCTGCTAGCGAGCATATTGTGATGATTATCGACTACATTGAACATTGGATATTTATCGAGAGTGTGGGAAAGAAAAAGTTAGAGATGCTTGTCAATTGAACGGCGACTGTAGGCACTGATAAAAGGGCCAAAAAAAACTTACGAAGCCCATGCCGATGGTAGTCTCATCGTCGCCAAAACCAGCTATGCGTGCCAAGGAATGAAAGGAGGAAAAGTACAACCGTTAAGTATTTTTTTGAACTATGACAAAGAGGCTCATCAGAACCACTGCTCCGAAAAGAGGTGGTTTTCAGGGTTCCATGAACGAGTCATGAACACCTACTTGGCATGGCATCCGAGTCTGAGCGTATGTATGGCATTGTGTGAATGGTGCGAAGAAGAGAAGCGAGTGAGAAACAAAAGTCGAAGGGGTCGAGGGTGCAAAGACCAAGAGTTCAGAACGGGGTTAGGTGTGGAAGGGAAAACGGTCCTGTACTTCCCTTGAATGCTTCACCACATAAATGAACTTGCCCCTTAAAATTCATCTCAAACGATCCCTTGGCCACATGCTCGTCAATCGTTAATACAGTTTATTCATACAGGCAAATAGTTCTGTTCTCAACGGCCCCACTTCTTCTACCGTCGTCTCCTTCACCACCATGCTCACCATCCTCCGGCAACCCTCTGATCAAACGAGACTGGCACGCATTAGTTCACATCAGCCATAGCGCCAGACTCTGTTGCAACGGGAGTTCCGTCAGCCACCCTGTTCTTATTGTTCTGTTGTCCAGACGAAGAGCCCTGTGCGGCCGTTGTGGGGAGTCCCTCGATGCCTGCCATGATCCTTGCATGGCTCTCCTCGCGGATCATATCCTGGTATCGTTGCTGCTTGGCGACATCGTGCAACTTGAATCCGAAAATACGGGGGATATAGCGGTCCGTGCTCTTTGGTGGCACCAATTGGGGGTAGACCTGAAAGAGCATGTGAGGGAAACTGCAGCCAAAGTAAGCGCCGTCGATCGAGGCATGTCGGCTCGATTTAGGGTTGTAAATGTCCTCGCAGCGGCAGCAGAACAACTTGACAGATTTGGTGTAGGGGACGTCAGAGAGCGCAACAGGGAGCAGAGGGTGGTTGTGGCAGAGAACTCTGGGGCAACGTCCGAAATCGCACTTCTTGAACTTTTCCAACTGGTTTTTTTTGGGTCCAAAATGGTTGAGAAAATCCCGATGGTTGAATTGGTGCCGTAGATGAACGAGTTGAGGTAAACGAAAAAAAGTAACGGTCAGTTAGTGGACGTTCCGTGTTGCTTTAGCATCCGTTATTTAACAAGCATGTGCGGGAAGCAAAGAGTACCATCTTTGTGAGTCCGTGGGTAGTTATGATAAATCTGGCGTGGATCAAGCCATACAAGTGGCGAGCCGACTTTTCGACGATTTCACGCATCTCATCGTCCAAGTTCTCATCTATAAAAGTAATATTTCCAAAAAAATAAATAAAGGCGACAACGTCATCTCGAGTTAGCGATACCACCTCTGTAGTTTTCTCCGCATGTCGTTGGTCCTTTGTTGCTATTTCTACATCCCCAAAGCTGCAAAATAAAAATAAACATCCACTATCGCTTATGCCTTTTGGCTTGATGTTGATGTCGTGTTTTTCGGAACATACCAAGGTTGTCGGTGATCAAGTCCAAAGCCTGAGAGTAGTACTGGACCTCCGTGTTCAATCCAGTCAAGTTGAAGCGGTCCAGGATGTACTCCTCGTCGACCTCGCAAAAGTATTCGTTGCCCTTGGTGCCCAAGAACCAGTCGATCCAGTACTTGGTGTAGTCAGAGTCCGATCCGCTTGTGTAATCGTCCACTATTGAACAGAAATCAGAAAGAAGGAAGGAAGGAAGGAAGGAGAGAACTTTGTTAGGAAGGGCATCCTGCAGAGTGCTAAATCCTTGAAAGTTCCACAAGGAGCGTGTATGATGACATCTTTCATATATCATTTTGCACAAAATAATTGTTCATGAATAAAGAGAGGCTCAGTCAGATATGAAGTATTTACTTACTGGTGGTTCTAATCGAGAAGAAATCCGTGCAACGAACACCGGGTGCAAAAAAAGGAAGAAAAAAACGATGGAGTAAGAGTGAGAGGATCAAAAATGGTTAGTAAACTGCGCCAAGCCAAGTGTGAGTTGTTCCTTTTGCTGCCCTCCTCAGTCGGCGTCAAAACAGACTTCTCATTGATTCTGACGTTGGCCAGTTGTCGTTAGTTGGAGAGGGGGTCCAGGGAGACTGTCGATTGTCAGTCGGAGGAAATCTCTCCCAATGTGAAAAGGCAGTTTGCTATCCTGAGATGGGTTCTCATAGCAAGTTGATGAGCGCAGGTTTGTCTGCATAATTGACGCCGCACAATCATCTGGTCGAGTTTCACATGGAAAGTCCTGCAAGCCCGAGTTTATTGCATCCAGCGGTGTTTGTTTGCTGTTGTGTCCAAAGCTTGTAATCCTGCATATACATACGTTTTTGTTTTGCTTTGGTGTTGAAGGAAGGAGGGGGTGAGTGGGTAGTGTGGGCGAAGGGATGGAAGAGATGGAAGGGTGGATTGAGCAGCCAAGGAAGGGCAGGATAAAAAAATAAAAAAATAAAGACTTATTCTCCAAGCGTTGACTCTGCACCTGGCTGCCCACTGTCAGCACACAACAAAAACCCTCTCCGCGACAAGCCACAAATTAGATTTTCATATCCATGTTACATGTACTGTAGGTACTTTTGCCTCCCTGTCTTCTTGCCAGTGCTGAGCCCATGGCAAACACCCAATGCTCAATATGATACGCGATCGACTATGGCTTTTAATTATGTGCTCGATCCATGCAACGACCGTTTTTATGGTGCCGATCCTCGGACATGCCCTCCTCCTGCAAGGACCATAAGCTCCTCCAAACCTGTAGGCATCCAGATTCCAGTATCCTCCGCCTTGACAAACGCCACCTCTTCTGTCATATGCACCAGAATACCTCCTGCCGTACCCGTCGAGTTGCCGCCCAAACGGTATAACGGCCGGCCAGACCGTTCGTGCGACAACTTGGTCATGACGAACAAGAGCGAGTTTTGAGTCGCATAGTCTTGAACAAGCTCCTTGAATGAGACCGACTGGACCAAATGTTTCTTGGTCTGAAGACGGCCAAAAGAATCCAGCGAGGCGCCATTGGTCCCCGCTCCAGCCTTGCCCTTGCCCTGCGCCTGCGCTTGGGCCTGGGCCACATCTGCAGGTGCCATAATATTCAGTCCTGCCATGAACTGGTTGATCATATCCAGGCCCTGCCTGAAGCCTGTCGCGACGCCTGTCTCCTGAAGCAGCTCGGCCGGGAACAATGACTTCCACCACTGATACCACTGGGAGACTTGATCGAGGTCCGTGGTCGTAGGATGTGTGAGCCATAGATAGAGGACTTGGTGCCACTTCGGGAAGAACTCGTTGACCAGCAAAGAACTGAACGTAGTGCTGGGGAAGAACGGGTACCAGGGCAGGGTGGCCTGGAGGATCTCGATCTTTTGATCTCGAGGGTTCACCTCAAATGCGCCAAGTCCCTCCACCAACTTTGGTAATACCGACCGCAGCAGCAACAGCTCCATATCGGCGGCCTCGAAAACGCCCTTCCATGGTGAAAGTACGGTAAGTGCACTTGGGTCCAAAACTTGCCATGCAGCCAACGCAGACGACAATTTCCTGCGAACATCCCCAAACAGCTCCTGGTCCATACGGGCCTGGCCCAAGATTGGCAGCCAGGGGTGAATCCATGTGTGGAGCATGAGCGAGTCGCGCGGGCTCCACTTCTCAATCTCCTTGTGGAGTTTGGGCAGAACCAGCTGAGTGATGATGTTGTCCTGCATAAACAGTGGTAACACGGGTGGTGCCCAGGCTTCCAGTAGCTCGATCACTGGGTCAGAGTCGCGAGGATCCCAAGCGTTGTTCAGAGCTGAGCGGACCTTGGGCAGCCAATGATGGTGAAGGAGGCTCTCGTAGGCAGTCATAGAATTCTGTGGCGCTGGTTTCCCTCCGTAGTATCCGTTTCCGTCACCGTCGGCATTCGCGCCCGACCAGTTCTGACTGTAACTGACTTTGCTGGTCTTGAAGAGCTTCTGCCATTTGCGGAACAGTCCTGCGCCTCGCGTCGGATTCGTGAGAACGTCCCAGCCCTTGAACAGGTTCTTGAACGCGTCCTGAATAGCAGCAACAACTACCTGGTCCAGCTGATACATCTCGTACTCGTCGTAATAAAGCCCCGAAAAGAGGTCGAAGGGCTCCTGAAATGCCTTGGCAATAAAATCCTCCTGCATCTCGACAACCGTTACTCCTGTGGTATCGCTTGTTGAGAGGCGAATTTCGTCCGCGATCCGCGAGCATTGGTCCGTGATAGCCATGGCCTTGGTGAGTCGCTCGAGATCCAGCTCGTCCTTGTCCACCTGCTGCTGGATGCGAACACTCTCTTTCGCCAAAACCTGAATTCGGATATGATCAACCTTTTGCGACCGGGCCACCTGCTCCAGATCCGTCGTGGAAATGTCGGCCATCAACTCCATGTTATGCCGCAACTCTGGGAATCGTTCATGCGACATGGCCACCGCCGTCCTAATCTGGCTCGCCGAGGTCAGTTCCCGTACCTAGATAAACAACGTGAGATGAGTGCACTAGTTAGTAACGGCATTCCTTACTCGTTATCGCTGCAATACAAAATATGCGAAAATACGAGCTTTCGTTGTGATATTACATACCGTCTTTCCAGTCATATCCAAAATCTTTTGGGTCTGGGCTTGGGCCATGGGGAGATCCCCCGACTCGATCTCCTCCTGGATCTCTGCGGCTGTCTTGTACTCGATCTTCGGTCCCTTCCTCGAACTGCGACTGTTCGTCTTTTTCCATCCATCCGACTTGACTTCGTACTCTGATTCCTTCTTCAAAATGCCCTTGGCTTTCCGTTTGTCCGGTTGCTCTTCCTCATCCGAGCTGACGACAAGTCCGCGTCGTTTTTCCTCTGCGCGATCCTGCTCAGTCTTCTCCTTGAATCCCTTGAAACCGATACCCATCTTGACAGGTCGCAACTTAGTCTGAATGGGCTCCACGATACCTGATCCACCGGCGCCGAGACCATATCCTTTTTTCCATCCCATCTTCTCCAGCATCTTCAGACCAAATCCACTGCCCTTGGCAGAGAAGGCGCCATAGTCCTTGTCGACTTTGACAGGAGCGACAGCGGCAACATCTGGCTTCGGACTGGACGCAGCAGCTGGTGAACCTGGTCGAGGTGATGGACTGTTGTCGTTTGAATCCGTGCCTTGGAAGCCAACTCTGTTCTTGAAAAAGCTCATGCTGCCACCGCTGCTGTTCTTGGAACGCTGGTGAATTCTGGGGCTGCTGTCGCGTGATGATGCGGACGATCCCGCGTCATTCGAGAGTCCGAGTCCCGCCTTGATGGATGCTGCCATAGCCTTGTTTTTGGTTTGAGTACTGTCAGGAGAGACGGCTGTAGGAGTTGAAGCGACTTGTCCGATGACGGGTTTTGAGCCCATTTGAGGCCGCAGGACTTTGTCCTCGTAAGAGTCGATCTCTTCCTGATCCTTCAACCGCTGTGCTCTGAATGTGGCCTCTCTCTCCTCTCTTGCTAGTCTGTCTTCCTCATCCTCCTCGTCGACATCCATGTCGTCACGGCCATCGCTATCTTGATCGGATCCGTCAGCTGAATCCTCTCCACGGCCAGGGCCGCGAACACCACCATCGCTGTCATCGCCCATGGAGTCGTCGCTGTCAGAGTAGGAGGGACTGCGATCCTGACCCTGTGTCTCTGACTCTGGTTCCGGTTCAGGCTCTGCAAAACGCACCTTACGGGACCGATTCTCGTCTGCCGTGGCAGTCGCCGTCAGATGTGCAGTAGAGGTGGCGGCGACAAACTCGAATGGTTCCCGCTTGCGCCCCTTGGAGCTGGATCCTCTTGACCGTGAGCCTGCGCCATCATCGCCGTCTGACTCCCAAAATGTGCCGTAGATCGCTTCGTTTTTGTTTCGTTTGCGCCGTCCGCTGTGCGTAGGGTCTATTGTTAGTGGGGGGGGGGAAGGGAGTAGGTGGAGGTGAAGGATTTGTCGGTTAATGATTCGATGCTATTCTTGAGAGAGGCAATAGATAGAATATCACAAAGAGCTCTTCAGTTGGCTGTGACGATGGAAGGAAAGGCATGTCAGGTTTATTGTGAGCAAGAGCAATTGCGATGCAATGTGCCGAGAGGAATGCAGTGAAATAGCTTACCTCTGAACTGTTCAGCCTCGTCTTCGAGATCTCTTTGGGAGACGCCTCTGTCGATGGGTTGGTCGTCGTCGGATGAGTACGTGTCCTCGAGGGTGTGCTTCTTCCGTCCCATTTGGAATTGTCGTTTTGAATATAGGTGTGTGAGAGTGGTTGCGAGGGTGAGGGTGTGATGTGAGAAGAAGGGAAGAGACGTGTGTTTGGTTTTAGTGGAGGAACAGAGTGAAGGAGTGCTGTGGTGCGTGTGTGAAGCAGGGTGGAGGGAAGAAGCACTGTGCCTTCTAACCTTTTATCCAGCCCAAGCCACAAGCCATGAAAAATGGAGCAACCCAGGAGAAGCCCAGCCCCAGACATGAGGAGCGAGTCTCAAATAGGAAGATTGGATTCAGAGACAGAGAGAGAGAGAGAGCAGGCACCGCTTTTTTCCCCTTCGGTCTCTGTTTGCTTCTTCTCCCTTTCTTTTTACTTTTTTACTCTCTCTTTCTTTTCACACTATCTCCTTAAAACACACTCCACACTCACAGCTACTACTTTTATTACTACTCCCACCTCACCGTCTCATTCACACCGTCAGCTGGACTGGATACTCTTCTGCTGCTCATTCCAACAACAACAACAACAACAACACCACCTCGCTTCTACGATAGCAACCCAACAAAACAACTAATACACTACTAATACTGGCTGGACATTATGCTCCGTAATACCGGTTACCAAAAGTCCTCAGGAGGCTCCACTGTCGGCACTCCCTCCATGAAACGCACCGCCGTCGCCTCGCCTTCAAACATCCCCACACCCGGCACCGGTGACGGCGTTTCCGCTTCAGAGATGGCTCGCAAACGACAGGTCAGGAAAGACGATGCTATCCGCAAAAAGCTTGACCAAGAACTGGGCAGAAAGAAGCCTTCTACCAGAGCCCATGGCTCAACCCGTCCTGTCCAGGGTACCGTCGGATCTCTTCGGTATGTCCATCTATAACCTTTTCTCAACAAACATGCATACAGAAGGGAGAACGGGGAGAATGACGACTTTGTCTGTCTGTCGAGATAATCAAGTTCCGTCTGTTTATCGTTTCGGGAGGATTCTGGCTGACTTTTTTTTTTACCTTCCCCTTCGGTTTGTGTTTGTGACCTTTTAGGCCATCCCCAGCATTGACCCTTCATGATACAGCGATGGTGATTGATGCAGCAAGGTAATAAATGTGTATCCTGTAATATGACGTCCAGATGGATCTTTGATTTGAGGAAAAGTAAAGGGAAAAGAGAAAGCTTCCTCACTCACACATGTTACTGCGTCTCTGTTCTCTTATGCTCCTTCTTCCTTTACCTAGAATCATGGCCGCTAAGAGGTAAGCACACATGTCGCACAACACATGACGTCCATTATTCTTTTCAAGCCAGCTTATTTCTGACAGCTAAAGTGAGGCATGCGCCAACATGATCAAAAAAAAAAAGAAGTCAATTGCTCACCTATCCGATATCCTCTTTGTCTCATAATCCACCCCCGCCCTTGTGCCGGAATGTAGAGCCGATGCCGTTCTTGTCATCGATTCACAGGACCAGACCCTTGTTGGTAAGTTCCTCAATACCATCACCCAAGTGACCATCGAAACGAACCAAACGCAGGATCATTTTATTCGTGCTTCCCCTAGAAAACGAAAAACAAGGATCAGAGAAGGAACAACAGGAGCAAAAGGAACAAAAGGGACAAAAGGGACAAAAGGGATGAAAAAGAAAGAGACTGGTTGGACTAACCGGAGAAATCGATATCATTGGCTAGGTATCATGACTGACAAGGATCTCGCCTTCCGTGTCGTTGCCGAGGGACTCGATGTCCGCAACACCCTCATCGCCCATGTCATGACCAAGGTACGATATACTTGTTGTTACTCCGCTTTGTTTGTTTTCTTTGTTCTCTGTCAGTTTATAATGAATGGTCAAAATCGCATTGGGTTATGTTTTAACTTTTTGTTGTTTTCTGGCGTATCTTTAGAACCCCTTCTGCGTGACAACCGATACCAATGCCACAGATGCACTCAACAAGATGGTCAGCGGTGGATTCCGTCATTTGCCTTGCTTGAATGCGGATGGTAAGAAACATGCGAACATTGCACTGTTGCTGCGAGAACTATGATAAGAATTGGTATTAACGTCGCTCTGGGAAACTTTTTCTCACGCTTACTCATAGGCGATGTTGTTGGTTTACTGGATATCACAAAGTGCCTGTACGAGGCATTGGAGAAACTGGAAAAGGCCAACAAGTCATCCAAGCAGCTTGTCGATGCTCTGCAGGGAATGCAGTCGGAATGGTCCCAGTCTGCCAACCCCGATTTGCAAAACTATGTCGATCTTGTAAGTGCCAGCCATGTTCAATTGCCATGTGCGTTTTTAACTGTTCAAGGTGCAGTCATACTAACAAGATCTCCCGGATACTTTTTCCTTGATAAATCGCTACCCTGATGATAGATGAGAGACAAGATGGCGTCACCCGACTTGAACACGATTCTGGATGAGCATCATGGTGTTGCGGAGATTGGCACCAAGACATCGGTCCGTGAGTCTGCTCGTATCATGAAGCAGTACCATACCACCGCCAGCTTGGTCATGGAAGATGGTCGCATTGCAGGAATCTTTACCACCAAGGTATGCTGGATTTTAAACACTCTGCATGCCTGTAGTGCATATTTTTATACACCCTGAGACCAAAGCAACTAACGATTTAATGGCGACTCTTTCTATTCTACCTTTTAGGATATTGTTGTCAGAGTGATGGCTGCAGGATTGGAGCCCGAGAGGACCTCAGTGATCCGTGTCATGACACCTCATCCTGACACTGTCCCATCCAACATGACTATTCTGGACGCTTTGAAGAAGATGCACGATAACCACTACCTCCATTTGCCTGTCGTGGATGGTCACGGCCAGATGGCTGGTCTGGTAGATGTTCTTCAGGTCTCCTTTGCAATGTTGAACCAGATGAACACTATTCAGGGCGAGAGCGCATCTACGGAGGGTCAGGGTCCTGTCTGGAACAAGTTCTGGGAATCGACCTTTGCTAGAGAGGAGACTGGCTCAGAGATTTCGGCATCAGATGTCCGGTCAGGATATGTTGTAGCACAATCGGATATTCATTATGGCAGCGGCAGCGTGATGGATTCTTCACTTCGCCTTGACTCACCGGGGATGGCCCCTCTCTCTGGAACAGACGATGTCGGAAACGAGTTCACATTCAAGTTCCAGGAGAGCGGTGGGCAGGCTCACCGGTTCTCTTCGAGTACGCGGTCGCTTGCCGAGTTGCGCAGCAAGATTATTGAAAAGATTGGCGGACTAGAGGCAGGCACCGATGTTGTGCTGAGCTACTGCGACGAGGAGGGTGATAATGTTATGATCCTTCACGACAGCGATATTGTGGACGCAGTCCAGATGGCATACCGGAGCCAGTCGTCATTGGTTCGTCTCTCTGTGACAATCTCTTCAAAAGACGCCAAGAAGGCACCTACGGCGGTTGAGGAAGCAGCACCTCGCGCTCCTAGTGTTGAGGCTAGCCCTAGCGGATTGAACCCAGTCATTATCTCTGGAGCAGTCGGACTTGGTGTTGGACTTGTCCTCGCCCTTGCATTCACATTCATGAAAAGGAACTAGAGCTACTCCCTTTTTGTCGCCTTTCGTTTCCCTTCCTTGATTTTTTTTGCACATCTTTCTCTCTTACGACTCATGCATTATTAAACGAAAATGAACGAGCGTTATTTTACGCGTCTCGCTTTTATCTGACCATGTTAAAAATGACTTGCAAAAAATGTCCAAGTGCAACGGGGTGCTGAAAATCAAGCACAGATATCTTGACGCGGGGGACCAGCTCCTTTGTCTTTTGTCATGACAAAACCAACAAACATCCTTGGCCGTGTTCGCCATATCGATTGATATATCGATCAACTCAATCGGTCTACCCGCAACGAGTGATAAATCGCGGCTATCAATCAGGCTGATATTTGTCCGACTTTTTTTTCATGCTAGCGGTGCCTGATTTTTGTCTCAAGCCGAAACAACTCCACAAGGAAAGAGGATGTCAGGAAGGGCCTAGAGCAGCGTCGAAACAGCAGGTAAAAGAGTCCCGATGATGGGGGGGGGGGGTGTCTTATCCTCGCTCGCTCGAGAGTCCAGAAGCTGATCGCGATGTTCTCTAGGCAACCCGGAAAACTCTTTGGAAGATTTGTCCTGGGTTCACAGATCATTGTTTCGAGCAAAAGTCTTACGATCTGTCCTGGTGGAGGAAGGGGGGTATTGTTCTGCCCTTGGAAGAGCTCAGTTTGCAAAAATGTGATGGATTGAATTCCGTCGTCGTCAGATCCATGCGAATTTTATTAGCCTTGAGCGGTGGAGGATCCCTTGAGTGTATACGCGGATATAGCGTTTGGATCTTGCAATCACTATTCTTCCGTTACCTCCTAGGACTCGATAATAGGTCGAGGCGCGGTGGATGGCGAGCCATTGGCCCGATTTGGGGGGCTGCAGAGTTCTTTGAGAATGATGAGGAGATGAGAGAGGAGTTCGTGTAGTTGCAGGGTCAGAGCAAAAGGGGCCAAGTTGGACTTGTCGGCTTCTCGTGTTTAATATGGACAGTATGCAAAAAAAACCCCCTTTGTGAAAAACAAAAATAAATACAAAAAAAGCTCTTCATGATTTAATTCGTGATGTACAAGTTGTTTTATTTCGTTTTGTTGTCTTTTTCGTTTCAAGAGACTCACTTCTTAACGTTTTTCAGCCGCAAGCATTCTCCTTTTTTTTTTTAGAGCTTGGAAACCGTAAGGTTGACATTCCGGTCCAAAAGACGACGAATAAAGATCTGTCCAAAAGCATGAGCAGGCGTCAAAACACCTCCCTTGACCTTATTCTCCGACCGGACCAAATCCTCACTCTTGACAAGACACATCGCGCCCTCGACCAGGTAACGGCAAGTCTCGGCGTATCCTGGGTCACCGCCTTGAATGACTGCCAAGGCACGGAAGGGTTTGGCATCTGCAGCGCCCTCGGTGTTCTCGGGGAGGGTGGATTCTCCGATAACGTGGACTGTGAATTTGCCCTTGGCGATGGATTCGTCAGAGGGACCTTCGCCTTGGGCGGGCATAAAGCGGTTCTGGATGAACCTGCGCAGGGGGCCGACTGACAAGGCGGCGCCTCCTAGACCCATGCCGATGGCTGCAATCACTGCTGAAGCAAATCCAGGAGCGCTCATCGACTCACTACCATCCAATACCAAATCCATTCAAAACATATCATTAGTATACAGTAACCAATGCGTAGCCTTCGAGTGAATATCACACACCTCAAAAGAAAATAGGCTTACTGATAAGTGAACTGAGGTCCATAACCATCGCCGTTGGCCTCCAAGGCTAATCCATGACTACGCTTGACAATCTTCTCGTTCGAGGACGACATGATAAAGTACGTCTGCCACTTTTGGAAGTCGTAATCGTAGTGGACGGTTGGCATTGAGATCTTGGTAGGAACGAGCTTGTCTTGGACTGACTCGGGGACCAATTGGTTCTGGTCGACCATTGAGCCGACGCCTCCTTGCTTATCGGCGATAATGTTGCAGACTGATGCCAAGGTACCCCCCGAAGCTAATTGTCGAAAAAATGAAAGGAAGTAGTGTTAAAGCGCGATTCATAGATGCAGTCGGTCATTAGGTTGGCAAATAAAATGGTAAATGAGAATACCTTCTCCACGGAAGGACAACAAGGACGCCTTGACAGACTTGGTGGGGAGGCCGTACTCTTTGCGGATGAAATCAACAACCCTAGCGACAGCAGGAAATAAATAATTGGACGACAGTATTAGCAACCTTTCCTTTCGACGATTCTTAGTCCTGATGCATTCAAAGCACTGTAAAAAAAAAGGGTGATCGCATTTACATTTTGGTTCCGATGTCCGAAGGAACAGAGTCGAAACCACACTGAGGGACCAGGATGACGTTCTTGTCAAGGGCATCCTTGTGGTACTTGTTAATGATGTTCTATGTAGTTGAAGTTAAAAGGATAACCTGTTTAGCCTCCAACCTAGTTGATAGCATCGCAAGGTGAACGATCTTTAAAATGAAGCTTACGTTGACGAAGGGGGTCTCTCCGGTCGAGTCGACGTAGTGGGTACCCTGCTTGACACAGGCGGCAACAAGGGGTTCTCCATACTGCATAAAGGGTCCAACGGTGCTGATGACAACCTTGGTCTGGGCGGTCATGGCCTCCAATGACTCTGGGTTAGAAGCATCGGCTTTGATGATGGGGAGAGACTAGTTGTTGAAAACAGGAAAAAAGATGACGTTATGGACGTGTAATAAAAAAGGCCTGTGCTTGTTGCACTATTATCCTAACCATTGTCCCGAACCGCTGTTCAGTAATGACAAAACAGTGACCGAACTTACGGAAAGGGCGGGGTTGATAGCGACGAGCTTCTCGCGGACCTCCTCCAGCTTTGGGATGCTGCGACCGGCAATTGCCCAGCGGACACCCTCAGTGTAGTTGCGTGCGAGGTACTATAGGTATTTTTATTTTCAAGAGAAGTAAAGGCAGATGTTGTTTGTTAACAAGGTGCTGGATACACGAAATAAAAGAAAATCATACAAAGTTTGACTCCACATGTTAATATTAACGTTATTTGCGTATCTCATTAATGCGTGCAGGGAGTGTTGGGGCTGATAGTTCGGTTGGATGGTGTTCGGTATTTTTTATTACCTGGCAGGTTCTCAGACCGGTGAAGCCAGTGGCACCATAAATGACCAAGTCGTACTCTCTGGCGACCATTGTTGAAGATGAAGATATGTAGTTGCGAGGGAAAGGTAATAGAGGTATTTGTTGAATGGGAGTGACGTGCAAAAAGAATAAGAAATGGAATGAGTTGAGAAAGGTGAATGAAGAAACGTTTTTACCTCACTGCTGCCGTCCTTTAAAGATTTTTTTTTTTTTTTTTTCGATCGGTCCGACCCGATCGCATAAACGCACATGAAATACATTTTCGCAGCCCGCACATCCCACCGACGCAATCAGCGCTCGCTCCACTTTCAGCTCACTAATCAACCATCTTAACCTCGACAATTACGTGGATACAACTGCCCGTTCGGCAACTAAAGACGCCGTTCATTGAATCCTTGGTACTGCTATCTCTCTTTCATTTTTAATTGTCCACGGGTGAGACCATCTAACAACGTTGTAATTTTACTGAGAAAAGCGCGCTGGCTGAAATGCTGGTCGCGAAGGGGATTGTTGCTGTTGATGTTGTTGTTGTTGTTGTTGTTGTTGAAACTGTGGTTGATGTGGATGCTGGAAATGCTGTTGTGGAGGCGCAAACTGCTGTTGCTGCTGTTGTGGATTAGATCCAAGGCCAAATTTCCGTGTGGGAAAGGCTTCCTCCGTCACTCGATGCCTTGGCCCTGCATCTCGACTCCTGCTTCGACCCCTTCCTAGACTCACACCCCTACTCCTACTTCTACTCTTGCTCCCGCTCCTACTACGACTGCGACTCATGCTCCTTCCTCGATTCCTGCTCCTGCCCCGACTTCCGCTTCGATCTCGGCCTCCCTTCCTACCCTGACGACGATACTGAGGTGAGCTGCTCCTGGATCGACTTCTTGAATACGACCGGGACCTTGATCGAGATTTCCGTCTTCTTGATGGTGACAGTGATCGCGATCGACTCCGTGAAGGTGTTCCAGAAAAAGAACGTCTCCTTAACCCCATCTCTCTCTTGCGGACAGAGGTATTAGACCGTTGGCGACTGCGACGTCGGCGTGGGTTCTCAGAGAATGCCTCTTTCCGCTTGTCGCCGTGGTTCCTGTAAAACTCGTTCAATTTGCCCTCATGCCACCCCTCGTCGCCCTTCGCGAGCTCTTCCGCCTTGATTGCATTTGTCTCCTGCACAAACTGAGCGACACTATCCAGTAAATCCTTGTCCTGATGCACCTTCTTCTTGAAGGGGACCGACATGTATGCTGGCAAAGGCTCGTAATAGTCTGCTTCAGCCTCGATCTTGGAGATCATCTGTCCTGCATGCAGCTCGCGTGTGAGAACATCACGGTGAGACGGCTCTGGAGGAGGCGGGGCTAGAGCTGGCACTGGTGCCATTACTGCGATATTCCGTGGGGGATGCGAGAATTGCGGTTGTTGGAACGGAGGTGGTTGAAATGTAGGTGCCTGAGGGTAAGGATTGGGTTGGTGGTGGAATGGTGGTGGTGGGACTCCTTGAGGTGGATGTTGAGGTACGGGAGGATTCCCATGAAAAGGAGGAAAGCCTGGGTTTGGTCCTGGAGCTTGCGACATCCATGGCTCAGAGTGGTGAGGCATCTGCTGAGGATGAGGGTGAGGATGATGCGGAAACGGGTGCTGGTTCTGCATCTGTTGCTGTTGCTGTTGCTGTTGTGGGTGGTGCGGGAAACCGGGGTACTGGTGTGAAAATGGTTGCTGAAACTGCGGCTGTAGTAAGAAATGTTGCTGTTGAGGGTGATGTTGAAACTGGTGAGGCGGTGGAGGGTGTGGATGTAGGTGAGGAGGCGGATGGAAGGGCTGTCCCTGCGGTGGCTGCCACTGCTCCTGTGTAGGCGGTGATGTCGGTCCTTGTCCGTTGCTTGGCAGTAGCGGTGGACGCTTGACATTCATTTCCATAGAGTCGATCATGGCTGGCGGGAAAAACTCTCTGTTCCTCCAAATGTCCAAAACCTATCGAGAGAATTGGCGACGATCGTTAGATGAAACGGTGTTCAACATTTGACTCGGCAATTTCTGATATTTATTTCATTGTTAGCTCCAAGTCGGTACCTTGATGACGCGTTGCCTTTGACCATCGTCGACTCCCGGGAAAAAGTACGCGGCGCGTAACATTGGGACAAGATTGGGGTGGATCGCTTCCTTGATCCACTGCTGTTGCTTCCGTTCGCAATGCGATAGAATGTCGTTGGTGAGATACACGATATGCAGCTTCTCGTCGAATGTTTGCCGCGAGATGGCAATCGAAACCAGGGCGCGTACAAGGAGGTCGTATTGTTGTGGGTTCTGACAAATGTGAACAACCCAGTTCTTTCCTGCCTTTGATAGTCCAGACATGTGGAAACAAAAAGATATTAGCCAAATGCTCTTGCTATGCGGTTGCCTACGTAACAAGATGGGTGAAGATACTGGTTTTTAGTTCACTTCATGCGAGTTGTACCTGAATATTGGCCTGGGAACAGTCTTTCATGAGCAACTCCAGGTGGTTAATCAGGGTAGTAATGTCGACGACGGAGATCCCTTGGCTTTGCTGAACAAAAGCTGCAAGGGCAAGCTGGATGGCTGTGTACTGTGCTTCGCTGTTGTGTCCTGCATTATCAACTGTTTGCTGCTGCTGTTGTTGTGATGGCGGTGGAGGTTGCTGTAATGGCATTCCGTAGCCTCCGAGCGAGAAGGCAGGCTTGTCCATGCTGATCCTTGAGCAAAAGTTAACAAAAAAAAAAGCTTGTTCGAGCCAACTTTTGGCGCTAATAAGGGTAATAATCATGTGACGCATATGGCTCAGTGCGGGTGTCCCCCTTTCCCCGCACACTAGTCTTCATTACTCTTGACACCTCTGTCCCTGGCATCGTCATCATCATCATCCTTCTCTCGTACCCCACCTGGTATCATCACCCTTCCTGTCCATCCACACTTTTTTCCCTTCCTTGCCCTTCCTTGCCCTTCCTATTTCCATTAAACACAACTCCTGTATCCTTTTTCAACAAGAACTTGGGATCGACTACAACCGCGTCTTTCTCCGCTTCTTACTTATTTCTTTCTCCAAGTCCCCAAGTGTGGAGACTGCCTGCCTGTCTGCCTGCATTGGTTGGTACCCTTTTCCCTTCCCCAACCAACCCACAGACGAGCACCTGTTTCTTTCGATTCTCCGCCCCTCACCCTCTTCCTCTTTCTTCCTTCTCCACTCTTTCTTTCCCTTTTCCTCTTCTCTCTCACAACCCATCAACCTCGGTACTCCCATCCACCTCCACTCCGCCAGCCTCCGCTGTTACTCTCTCTCTTCGGTACATACACAACTGGCAATCGACAATCATCCCTCCTTCAACAGCTGGAGTTGACCAACATACAGTTCTATTATTCGTAACTAACATCACACTCTCTTTCCCCCTTTTTCACTTTTCAATAGTCGTCGACAGTAATAACCACCTCATCAATGACCTTCCCATCGTTGCTCTCCGATCATGAGCAGAGGGCCTTCTCAGAGTTTCTCAACCAGCTGGCGCAGGAAGACAATACCGGACAACCAAAAGTCGATGGACTCAGCGGCCCCGGTGGTGTTGATCCCACTTTGACACAACAGCAGCAGCAACAACTTCAACTCCAGCTTCAGCACCACCTCCACCTCCGTCAACTCCAACAACAGCACCAGCAGCAACAACAGCAGCAAAACGGACTCCCTGGGCTGCCAAGGATGCAGAGTGCTCCTTCCCTCCTTCCCCCACCCATGGCGCTGGACCCCTCAGCTGCCCAGGCTCAGCAGCAACGCGACTGGATTCAACAAATCAGCTCCAACCCTCTTCTGGCTCCCGGTGGCGTTATCAACCCCCATGCTATGAGTCAAGCCATGCTGCAGAACCCGCTTCTTATGGCCCAGGCTAACGCCATCTCTCAAGCCATGGTACTCGCTCAGCAGCAGCAGCAGCTCCAGCTCCAGCAGCTCCAGCAACATCAGCAACAGCAGGCGCAACATCAACAACAACATCATTTCCAACAGCAGCACCTTCAACAGCAACAACAGCATGACAACCATGGACACAATCTTCACCACTCTATGCAACAACAACAACCTCAACATTCACACCCTTTCCAGCAACAGTCTCACCCTATGGCAGCACCTCCTCCACCCCACAACCAGCAACAGCAACCTTACCCTAGTCAACAACAGTACCAACAACAGCAACAATACCAACAAGACCATCACTCCAACAATGACCCTATGTCACCCACTAGTGAATCCGGAGCGCCTCAGCAAATGGCATCGAAACCGGCTGCGAAGCGGAAATCAAAGTCAGAGGCTCCTTCCAATGAACCTACTGGACTGGAGAACGGCTCTGCCTCTCCTCGGCCTTCAAGCCCGCTCCCTCCATCCACCCCTCTTCGTGGGCAGCCTTCTCCAGTAGAGTCTATGGGAATGAACGGTAATTCGACACAACTTTCCAGGCAGGAGAGCGATACCGACAACACCCCAGCGCCACCCACCAAAAAGGCAGCTCGTCGCAAGGGATCAATGGCAAAGTCTATGTCCATGGATTCTTCATCAGGCCTTGTGGTCAAATCGCCTCATCGCTCCAGTCGGGATGGGTTTGATCCTATGCAGGGAACTCCTAGAAAGAAGGGCAAGAGCGACTCTATCAGCAAACTCGGTCTCTCACCATCTCAACAGAATGCCCTTGTCAACGGAAACTCGAGCGACATTAACCAATTCAAGGAAGAAAGCGTCGAGGCGGAATCGAAGCAGGAAGCTGGCAGCCCATCGCCATCAATACAGCAACAACACGACTCGGTGTCGCCCGCTCCCTCACAGTCGACACCAGCATCGTCAAAACCCGGCACCAAAAAGCTTCCCCATGAGCTTCTGACCGAGGCTGAGAAGAAGGCCAACCATATCGCCTCTGAGCAGAAGCGGCGACAAAACATTCGTGTCGGATTCGACTCTTTAGTGGAGATCGTTCCTACCCTGAGCGACTGTCATCGAAGTGAGGCTGTCATTTTGCAAAAATGTAAGTTGCACATGCATGTGGCATGTTTTTCGTTGTATTCCCTCCTGTCTTTTCTTGTGTCGTGCATGTGCCATAAGGAGCCCGTTGGCAAATGGACTAATTGATACTTTCATGTTACTATCATTTTAGCTGTCGATTACATCCATCGATTGCTGAACCAGAAGAATGAATTGAAGAGCAGAGTCCGAGAATTGCAAACGCACTTGGGTGATCCTTTGGACGATGTTGACTCAGTACGTTTGAATTGTGCACTGTCGAATATTTTTTTTGTTTTTTTTTTGTTTTGTTTTTACGGTCTTTCACATGGGTCTTCATGGCTTGTGCTTTGAATGAAGTCGTGGAAAAGCAGTACTCATGTCAGCCATGGTGGCACGAACAAATTTTCTGTGTGTTTTGTTTATTTCGCAATACAACAAAAAGCACGAGCACCAAGCCATTCTTCATTTATATTCCTGCACTAACCTTGTGATCATTCTTCACTTATCTCATAGGGATCTGACATGGAAGTTGAGCAATACGAATAACAACAATGTGACACCTCAATTGTCGCACTCGTTGTGCTCGTTTATGAACTCACATACCCAAGGTCGTCATGATGGAGGGATTCGCAACCATGTAGAGCTAAGGTAGTGCAAACCTTTCCTCCACTCCCCTACTCTCCTTCTCTCCCCTTCACCTTCCTTCCCTCACACTTCAACCCACTTTTAGACAGTCCAGCAATCTCGCCTTTTTGCTTCATTTTTTGTAAATAATACCCCCCCAACCTAGCACACGTTAATACATGTCGCACGTCCATGACACCTCTCTGTTCCTCATTGTGCATGGTGATTATGACTTGCTAGCGGAGTTGAAGTGGGAAGGAATGGCGTAGTTCGGACCCGCAAGTGAATATGAATGACAGCGACTCCGATGCATATACGCGGGTCCAAAAGGGTTAAAATGCGCAGTAGAGTCATGGCTTTGAGTGTGGAGACCTGGGAAGGAGTACATTATTGCTCCACATTTCATTATGTCCCTGAACGGCTGCTTCGCTTCATGGCACGCCAGCAAAAACAAAGGTACGCTCACTTCTTCCTTCTTGGAATGTCACTGCACTGGTATGAGTAGTTATGACGAACTGGGATGGAATCAGGCTTTTTTGTATGGGGGGATCGTTCCTGAATCGCTTCCGTGGAGAGAAACACCACTAAAAAGATCGCATTTTGTCTTACGTATCTGTGCCATTGTCCTCAAGGTTCGAGGAGGAGGGGGGGGGGGGTGTAGGCACCTCACTGCTTTTACGACCGTCGCGTTTGAAGAGAAGGGGGTGCCATAGTTGAATAAGACAAAAGAAGAAGCGCGCAAAAAGACTTTGTTCGTTATACAATTAAGCGCCATCGTGGCTGTTGGGATTCTCTTACCTATTGATTTGACAATGAGGATGCTCTCGTTTCCCTCGCCATTGAGGGCATTGTTGACTAATGACGCTTTTTCGTAGGCCACTTACTTTTACTTTCTTTCGTAAGAAAAAAGCCGAAAGGGGCAGTACGGCGGGAGCGAGAATGAGTGAGCCTTCAAGCCACAAGGCCCAATAGAAGGAAAAATGGTCAGTGGGACAGAAAGAAAAAAAGGAAGAGAGGGGGTGGTGTCATGCAGCAACAATTTGGGCCTTGAATGCGTTAGACTCATAGCCTCCTTCCTTCGTTTCCCCTCCCTGTTTGTCCCACAGCCTTTTATTTCAGGTCCAGTTGGACAAAAATCTTTTTTCTTGGCTTCCGGCAAGAAAATCTACCGTCGTCTATGAAAATCAAAAAAGATCCAACCACCACCACAGCCCCATCCCTTGGAAAATGGAAATCGCCCATCAAAACCTTTTTTCTTTTTTTTTGTTTGTTGACGACGACTTGCCCTTGACCCTGGATAAACATCAAACTTCGATCTTGCGCTTAAACAAAAAAAAAGCTTACCTGCTTAGTTGCTTGCCTGGTTTAGTTGCTCAACCCCTCCCCCCCTCCATTGCTCTCCGTGGCTTCAGCCTACATATAGAGGAATGTTCTTTTTTTTCTGGCTTGAACATGTTAGGAGGTTGCTGAGTGTTAGGAAATTGGATTATTGGGACTGGGCTGTTCTTCTCAGCCTCGGAGATCTGGCCCCTCTCGTTCTCATTGAAAAAAAGGGTAAGAGTTGACTGAAGAGATATTCATGATATCGAAAACAGGTTCAATTGCGACCTTGCAATTGTAATAGACGACAAAGAAGAAGAAGAAATATAGAGTTTGAGATATATGAACGCCAGGAGAGAGAGAGAGAGTCGTAGTGAGGATGACACAATGACTACATCGAGGTGTGGAACAATGAGCAAAGGAAGATAGATCGGATGCAATTGCGTCCATCCATGGGAGAGAAGAGGGGAGGATAGAGTGCTATAAACAATGTGTTCCATCGTATGTACCTTGAAGGGTGATTCGCGTGTGTGATTTTCTTGGCTGCCTCACATTGCTCCCACCCCCCACAGCCCCATCCAATGTCGACGCTGCGGCCAAAGGAGGGGATGGAGTAAACAACTTAAATGGATTTTATCCGTCAATTGAAGCACCGCCTTGCTTGTTCAAAAAGCAAATCTGGGTTTGGCTGTACCAAGGCTCAAATGTAGTTTATCCCTGACATCGTTTCCTCTCCCTGGCGGAATAGAATCATTCTTTCTTCGACATGAAAAAAAATAATGTATAAAAGGGACCTCAATTGCTCCTTCAAATGGATCATCAACCAGCTCTTCAATCCTATTCTTCTCTCAACTCGTCTTCTCAACTAACTGACGCGGTTTTACTCTTCCACACATCACATTCACATCGTTTTCTTTCTTCATTCACATCGCTTTCTTTCTCCACACTCGCCCAACTCCCTCACTCTCCACCCAACCAGACACCTCTCCAAGATGGCGTCCACAGATATGATCCTTTCGGTTGTGGCCCTCATCTTCTTCGCCATAATGCTCGTCCAATTCACATACCGCTTCCTCCAATCCCGCTGGTCAGTCTACGCCTACATCATGCTCTTCACCCTCATCCGCATCGCCGCCTTTGGAATCCGCGCCTACCTCGACTCCAACCCCACCAACCTCTCCGTCAGCACGTACACCAACCTCGTGGTCATTGAGTTGATCCTTCTCTCCATCGGTGTCGTATTCATCATGAAACTCCTCGTACAGCTTTATGGATCTCTGCTGCCAAAGCTTCGTGCTCAAGAATCCAACGCGGGGCCAGACTTGTTTGAGAGGATCGTCATTGAAAAGACTCGATTCGTCCTCCTCCCACTCGTCATCCTCGTCATCGTCGGAGCCGTCGACTCGACACCAGGTCACTCCCAATCCGACCTAGACACGGGTCTCATCCTCCGTAAAGTCGGAATCTGTCTGTTGTGCATCCTCGGATTCTGGTACCTCTTTGCCGCATACACCTACCGCCAACGTTTCCACTCCCACAGTCGTCAAGCCTTTACGATCGGCTTCATCGCTACAGCCCTGTTCCAGGTCTCGTTGATCTACAAGGTTATTTACACGTTTTACCCTGCCGCGCAGAACTCAACGGTGGTCTATTTCTTGTTGATCCCAGTCTTGGAGATTACTGCCCTAGGCTTTTTGTGTACTGACCTTCAAGCCCACTTCCGTGGTGGAGAATCGGCGTACCACCACAACAACGATATCGAGATTGTTGCGCCTGCTGCTTCCAACGGTGCTGCTGCTCAGCCTACTGGTTATTACCCTATCCACCAGCAACAGCAACAGCAACAGCACCAGTACTAGCCCACCTTTTTTTTTTTGGTAGCTAGAACATCGGCATTTCTTCATATCTTTTCCCAGTCTTTTTCTTTTTCCTTTACTTTCTTTGTAATTTACAAATAAATACCCGCCTATATCATTTCTTATTCTTCGCGTATACTTCTCCTGGGTGCTTGAACTAAAAATGATCCTTCAAAACGCGTTCTTATCTCATTTCTCCTTCGTCTTTTTCCTCTTTATGTGCAAAGTATGTACAAGATAACTATAAACAACAACCCCTCTTCAGTCAGCTCATCTATATCAACAACAAAACATCTAAAGCTCATCATCATCATCCACAGGTCCCTTCGAACCACCACCACCACCACTGCCACCACATGAACCACCGCGCCACGAAAGATCCTTCTCATACTCCAAAGCCTGAATCCGATCCAACAACGCCTTCTGCTCAGCTCGCATCGCCTCCAACGACATTTCCAACCGCTTTGACCGTTCTGTCTCCTCCGTCAGTTTATGTTCCAGCTCGGAGCGGCTAAGTTTCTGGGACATCGAGGTTGATTTCGAGGAACGATGGCCACGGCCGTGGCTAGAAGACGAGAAGCGTTTGGTCGTGTCCTTGGACTTTGGTTTTGGAGTAATAGACTCTGCCTCGATGCTAACGCTGGTTCCAGGCATGGATAGATCGACAAGTCCACTGGGGTCCGAGCTGGGAACAACAGATGCCGAAGAAGGCCGAGAAGAGTTGGACGGGGAGGAGCATCGACAGCGGGCCTGACAAGCTTCACAGATCGACTTTTCCTTCAACGACGAAACCTTTGGCTTGGACACACCCGTCTCAGTCAACAATCCCAATCCATACAGCTCCTCCTTTTGTCTCCCCTCCGCCCCTTGTCCAGATCCACGATGAGAAGACGCTGAACTGCCATCATTCTCCGTCGGCGTACCACTTTGAGAGACATTCATAGCCTCCTCCTTGGCCTTCCGAATCATATCAAACTCCAAGATCTCACGCGCTGAAGGCCGCATACGCGGATCCTCCGCCATCAACCAGAGCACAAACGCTGCCTCCTTTGGCCACCGACTCACAAACTCTGGCGGCAACTCGCCATTGCGCAGCGTCCTCAGAACCGCGTGCCGTTCCATAAGGGTCGAGAACGGGTGGTAAAGTTCGAAAAAGATGATACCGAGGGAGTAGATGTCGGCTTTTTGGTCATAGCCGAGGTTTGGTCTTGCAAGTTGTTCTGGAGAGGCGTACTGTTGATATTGGGTAGAAAATAAAAGTTAGGTAAAAGGGAGGAGGAGGGGGTCATATATATTTGGCTTTTCGGCAACTAAGGACCAAGCAAACGTTTACTTACGGTTACGGTTCCAACAGCGGTTGTTCTGGTGCGCGAGGAACGAGACCCAGATGTGGCTATAACCAATTGAAATGGTACATTGGATTGTCAACAAAACAAAGTCAATTCCAAATCATCAAATATGGCGCTTCAGACTCACAAGTGTCACGAGGACCTTACCTGCAGAGCTTTGGCGGCGCATGAGAGGTCTGTCAGAAGACGATGCTTGGGACGAAGAAGTGACAGACGAAGAGTCCTGAGACTCCTCTTTGCCCATGGTAGCCCCACCTTCCTGGTCAGTCACAAGACCAAAATCACCAATCTTGGGCACCATGGTCTCAATGTTCATAAAGAGTTCCTCCTGTTCCTGCTCCTTCGTCAGACGGCATTGCGATGAAGTGTCGCTCGGCTCCGAGATGCCACCACTTACATCTGCGAAGTTTGTCAAAAGACCGGCCGAGGTGACACCCGCCAATTGCGCCAGATCCGAATCCAGACTACATTGGTCCTGTCGGGCTTGTTGCTGCTGTTGCTGTGCGCGCATATGCTCCGCGCCAGGAGGCATGCCAAGGAAAATGTTGCTGGGTTTCAAGTCTCGATGGATCATGTCCTGGTCGTGGATATAAGCAACTCCTTCGACGATAGCTCGGAAGATGTGTTGGTTAGCAGCCTGATCGACGAGTTCCTTGTGGCATGTCTGTTGAAGAGGCGACCCCGGTGTGCTGTGTGTAGTTTGATCCGTAGGGTCGGATGCAGTTGCAAGGATACCAAAGCGGTCCTTCTTGCTGAGCTTCCTGGTCAACTGGTCAATCGGCTTCTTGGTGATGGGTACTGGTCGCTCGTTCCTGTAAACCAAGTAATCTTGGAGCGTTGTCTGGCAAAGCTGCATCTGGATGAACAGGGTCAGGTCGCGGGTGATGAGCTGTCCTGTACTGTTACGCAGGCCTCGCTGAGAATGATCACTCCTTGACGACCCCACGCCGTGCAGTCCTCCGATTCCACCACCAACAAAGTCCTTCCCGCTCGGTCCCCTCCGATGAGGATATGAGAAAGGGCGCAGGCCGAGCTCGTCCTCCCTAGGGTCCAGTTCATGACCTCCCGACTGAGATTGGCCATAGCGCGAACCCAAACCCGAGCTAGAGTACGAATTAGGCAGCGACCTTTGGATCTCTTCAATAGATGATGAAAGGGCCGAGTAAGAGTTGGACAGACCACTCCTCGAGTTCCTTGAGTCGCCCTCGGTGTACTCCCAAGTCGGTGTCCTGCCCTGCATCTCCTGCGACACTGTCGGTGACTTGTGCTTCCGCTGCTGAGGCGGTTTTTTGGCGGCTCCTGGAATGCTCCGGCTGGTAAGAGTGGACGAAGCAGAGTGGGTGCGCTCCATATCCTCGCCCTCATAAGACTCACTAGCGCCTCCAAAGTTCAAGATCCGACCCGGCTCGTGCAAGTTGATCTCGCCCTCGACAGAGTCGTTCAGCCCTGCCGCAGACTCAAAGTCAATCTCGCAGCCATCACTGCCATCACCATCGTCGCCAAAGACGATACCCATGGACAGATCCTCGGGGTCGGTAGAGTGCTGCTCGGCGTGCGGTCCAAAATAATCGACACTTGGCCTCCTGTTCCGGACTGGGTTGGTCATCTCATCCTCGCGAACGCTAACACTCATACTCATGGTGTTAGTGTACTCGTCCTCATCTCCATAGTCGTCATCGTACTCGTCCACGTCGCCATTGGTATCAAGGTCGCCGTTGCCGTACATTTCCCGCCGTGAGACCGGATAGTCAGCATGCTCCAGCCAGGACGAATAGTACCGAATGACGTTCTTGTGGTCCAGCCGCGCCAGAAACTTGATCTCCCGGAAAATCTTCTCGTACCGCACCTTGGCACCACCACGGAGTCGAATCTTCTTAATCGCATATTCGATCCCGTCCAGCTTATTCCTTGCCTTGAAGACACTCGCAAACCCTCCTTTTCCGAGCTTGCCAATCTCCACAAAGTCGTGCTTGTAGCGCGTCGGGTCGTTGTCAAACATGTCTCCGAACGATAGAGTCCTCATCATGGCCGTCGTGGGGAAGGTTGCGTTGTCGACTGGTGGCGTGTGAAGATGGTTGGAGGCTGAAATGATGCCGCGGGACGAGAATGAATCGGAGAAACTGCCTCTAGAGTTTACATCGCTGCTGCGAGAGCCTCTACTGTTTTGCTGACTGCCCTCCGTAGGTGTCGAAGGTGGCGCCATAATGCTCCGACTCTCCAGAATCATCTGTTCCTTCTTGATAGATGTGAGTGCCGACAGGACAAGGGATCGAAAGGCGCGTTGGTAGGACGAACGCACAGCACTCATCTCCTCCAGGTACTCCTCGTCAATGATTCCCATGTTGCTCAAAGTTTTGCAGATCACTATTGGAGAGAGGCGGCATTATTTGGTTAGGGTAATTCTTTTCCAACGCCATTCTTTTTGATCCACGCGTCAGTGCAAATAAGTAGCGCAATATCCACTCACCATAGAACAGTTTCCTGTTTCTCTCTGGACTCTGATCGTACAGCAAGCAAAAGTTATCGAGGAGCGAGACCAACAACAGTTTTCCTTGACGTCGTTTGTTCTCCATAATGCGTTCCTGATCTCTCCTTTTGCTCTTGGGAATGACCTCATACGCGCGATCCTCCAGTCCAATTTGGTCCGACTCTATCATGTGTAACAGTGAAACACAACATGTTAGTGCCATCCCTAACTGCAGGCGAGTGCATGTGTCATTTACGTTTGTGAACACATTCAACGCGCTATTACCATCAAACTCCTTGACTCCGGCAAAGATTTGAAACCGCTCGGCAGCTTCAACATAGCCACTGACAGCAGGGGAGGTCCCTGGGTCATCATCGTCGTCAAAACCCATTGGTGCTAGTAAGTAGCTCCCAAGGGCATTGTTGTTCAGTCCGAATCGCTGGGCACCGTCCTCATTGTCGTTCTCTACGCCCTGATCTTCGTCACTGCCGCCTTGATCCATATCGCTGTCCTGATTGAACATGTCGACCGGATCCATGGTAGTGTCCTCGTCTGTCGTTGTTTGATCGTCACCAGACGTCTCGATACCTCGCCAAACAAAGCGACGTGTTCGTGTCGTTGGTCCAGTGTCGGTTGCATCACTGCTCTGGGATTGTCGACTGGAGTTTATTTCGGCACGATCGAATGCATTGATACTAGATAGTCCATTGTCGAAGATGATGGTTTCGTCCATGAACGCTGAATCCTGTTGGCGTCGACCAAAGTCCTGCATGTCTTCATAGTCCGATTCCGAGTCTGAGTGAAGCGTCATGACTGTGGTGTTGCGCATCATTCTCCGTTCCCGTCTCGGCGGGTTGAAGACAGGCGACTGGAAGGGACTGTAGCTAAGGTCCTGGATCTGGCTGATACTGCCAATACGTGTCGGGCTACGAACAGTCGATGGCACAGGCCCAGGTCCAGGTCCAGGTCCGGATCGGCCGATGGGTGATCTTGGCGAAAGCGATTCCGAACGCCGTGGCGGCCAAGGTGATCCCTTTTCGGTCGGCGAGCGGGTATTGAATGTCTCATCTCGGTCCATCTCTGTTCCCTGGAGCATAGTTTTTGCTCAACCCGGTCCTAGAGAAAGCCTTGAAGGTCTGGGAGGTAAAGAAGAGAAATACGGCAAACGGAAAATATTAATCACACAAATCGATGACGACAAGAACTTTGGAATGAATAGAGCAAAGACCCCTGCAAATCGATGACATGGAGCCAGCTTTTGCATATTTGCGTTCGTCACGATGATCGCCGTGTGATCTAGTGGTTTTCCCATGGCGTCGTGCCGACAAAACAAAATCAAGCCCTCGAAAAAAGTAGGCGTAAATACATTCAGCCTAATTGATAGTTTCTCATGAATTCCTACAACCTCCCCCCTCTTTTATTCGCTCTTAACATGGTATGGTTCTCTGCATGCATTCATCGTGGGATTGAAACGTGCGCGCGTTTTATCTAAACGGCAGAGGGAGGAAGTAGGAGAAGGGAAGATGAGGGCGGACTCAAAAAAAAAAACTCACCTTTAGGACAGTAACACAGAAATGAATTGGGGGTGAGGGGATTCTTCGGTGCTTGAATACAACGCGTGCGGGCGATCACGACAATAGACGCGCCAGGGGCTCAAGGGGATACCTTGTGTTGGGTATGAAGTGGGAGGAAGGGGTGAAGTGTCTTGGATAGTGAGCCTGTAGCTTCTTGATGCGATGTAGGGAAACGGTATGAAGCTGGGGGGACCAATTGACAGAGAAGCAGAAGAAGGGTGAAGGTGGGTGTTGTCCAACAGCGAATAAGAAGAAAAGGAGAGGAAAAACAGAGGTCAAGAGTCTTCTACAGGTGAGGAAGAGGGAATGCGTAGTGCGGAATGGACTACGCCTGACTAGGCCATCGAAAACAATTGAAGAAAAGGAGGAGGTGGTGACGGCAATAGGGAAAGAAAAAGAGAGCAGCAGCGAATGGGAAGTGGCCACGGACGAGAAAGTGAAAGAATGGAAGACAAAGAGATGCCAATGGAAGGTTTGGTGAGAGCGGGCGTTTGTGTGTGGCTCCCTTTTGTCTTGAAAGGGACACAGAGCAGTCACCTGGTGCTCAGGCTGAAGGCTGCACGCCCCACCGAAATGACGGATGTTGCAAAAGGGCGACAAATGGGGACAACAAAGGATAATTGAAGGGAGGGCTAACAGATCACAAAGAGGAGGAAACACACACACACGTTCATTGCTTGCACCGACAGGATACATCTACTTTACTATACAAGTACAGTCACCAATCAATCGCTCTTCTCTGGCCGGGGCTTCTTCTCAAAACGTAAAAAGTCAACTGCAATATCCATCGATTGTTTCTTATGAAACTTGTAGCTCTTGTCCAGGTTGTACTACGCAACGTCGAAAATAAAATAAAAAAAAAGAGTTCAGGGAGAACAAAAATTTTGGACTCATGGTTAGTCATGTCGCTCGTTTTGCTATGTTTTCTCTCATTTTAAGCCCTGACGATTATCTTTATGTTGTTCATTTATGCTCCAGTCGGTCCAGTTGAAGGAAAATGAGTTCGACTCAAATGAGTAAATGTTTTCGCGTTTGCATATGCACACCTGAACATGACAAAAGGAATCAAATGGCCGTAGTGGTGGTCTTACCCTCAACTCTGCAACGACTTCGCATTCCACACCCCATTCCTTGGCCTTCTTCAGAATATGATCCCGCGTTGAAGTCTTATGTAATGAGTAGACAGCATGATTGGCGAGCTATGGGTCGGGCAGCAAAAGATGTGGTAAAAAGCGTCAGCATAGGTTGATCAAAAGATCTATAGCGTGCAATATCTTTTAACCTGACAATGCCTGCCTCACACAACACGCTGCCATGATTTCTTACATCGATTCCTTTCTTCAGAAAGACCATGTCGATGCCCTTGAGCTTGGTCCCGAAAGGTGGGTTCATAAGAATGGTATCCAGCTTCCCCTTCATCATCTCGTATGGTCCTCGCGCATTCTCTTCTCCGTTGGCCATGGTAGAAGGTGCTGGGGCGGCCGAGAGGTCGGTCAGAATAAAGTCCATCTCGATCTCAAACTCCTCGCAGTTCTCCTGTGCAATGGCAATTGCATCTGGGTCAATGTCAAATCCAACGTTGTATCTATACGATCGATTGAACGGGTGAGAAAAAGGGCGAACGCAATTGAGTTTCCTCTAACGGTCGATTCTCACTCTCTGTTTTCAATTGGTCCTTCAGAACTCATGATAGGCCCTTTGTCGTAGGACTTACGATGATCCAAGCATAGCTGCTGCGATACTGAGAATCCCGCATCCACATCCCATATCTCCGACGGCCTTGTTTTCAATGTCGTCGTATGTGGTGTGGGCAGTGTAAAGCATACGAGCGGCCAAATGAGGGGTTGTTGGGTACTGTTCCAGTTTGATCTTTGGGTCGGTGAAGACGGCGACATCCTGGAGGTAGCCCTCGAGTTCCTTCAACTTCATTGTGTGTTGTTAATGTAAATGTGAGGGATGAGAGATGATTCCTGTTCCTGAGTTCAAAGTCGATGAGGTGGCGACTTGGCGGTGCTTTCCTGGTGGTGTGTGTCGATGTTAACAAGAGTAGAAGTAAAGCTCCCTCTTGCGCATGACTTCTGTTTTTTTGCTTCTTGCAGTCCAAGCGGCACATTTTTTTCGAATTTAGCGGCGCTCAGCCACGGTCAAACAGAACCAAACGAGCTCATTCCTTTTCATTCTCTTTCTCTCCTTCGTCCCTTTTTGTTCTTCTCTTTCGATTCACACTTCTCCTTCACCAACAAGGAACCGCCAAGACAAGACAAAACAACATGACAGAACTGTTTATCCCAGTACCGACAGGAAAAGCTACTGCCGCAGGACAAATGCCCCCGCCAAAACGACGCAAGCCAGACAAGGCACCAGCAACACCCATGCGATCAAACTCAGGGAAGTCATTATCCTCAAGGAACAATGGCTCCATCTCGGCTGCTCCTGTATATCACAAGCAGTGCAGGAAGGGCAGGACCAGTCGACTCAGGACAGCGAAGAAGAACAAGGTCCTCAATGGCGATTCTCAAACAGTCGAGTCAGGCAAGACCCCACTCCATGTTTCCTTTTTTACATGAAGAAATCGAAGCGGGACTGATACGCTATTATCAAGAGCAAGGATGAGACTAACGCCTAACATTCTACTTATCCATCTCATCAACAGCGATTATCAAGGACCAGGAGTATCTCGACTTCTTGGAGTGGCTCAAGAACATGGGTTGTCCAAGGACCAAATTGACACTGGCAGAATTTTCCAGTAAGTTCCGCTGCTTTACGCCCTCACGAGACAAGCTCGATCCCCCTTAGGAGATGGGCTTTGTTCGATACCACCAGATGGAATCGACGCTCGAACCCTTTGGACCTTTTTTTTCTGACTCTTCTATTTCTTTATTTCTTTCCTCAATTGCATAGACACTGGTCGTGGTATGATGGCAACCAAGGACATCAAAGTAAGCATCAAGAGGATAAACACAAGCTGCGCATCGGAATCTGTTCAGGTCCAGAAAGGGGACAGTTGAGATGTCATCAACAGCGCCCTTCTGCTCCTTGTCTGGGAATGCCTAGAGAGGCTAGACGCTGCAATTATGAATCATCGTCTCCCTGGCCGTCCTGTCTGCGCTTTTTATACTTTCTCACGGATACATCTCGCTCTTTACTGCCCTGTTGCGTTACACACACTTGTTCATTGGACTCACTGGTCGTCTTCCAAATCTGCCGTTACTTTCCTCACTTAGGCTGGAGAAGTTATCGTCCAAGTTCCTGAACAGAACCTCGTGACCATGAAGTCCCTTCAATCGACGTATGGCGCAAGAATCGCTCGGTAAGGAACCATATCTCATGCCGATTGGTCAGAGTCACTCTGGGAGGAAAGACTATGATTCACAAGAGCTGAAACTGGAGATATTTACCTTTCGTGATGTCAACAACTTGAATTAGATTCGGAAAGAAGGTCAACTCGCATATGATCATCGCGTTGCACATTGCGCTGTTGGTCCAGGCACCAGAGAGGTCAGGATGGCTGCCCTACCTGCGGTTGTTGCCGAAAAAGTTTGATACCATGCCCGTCCGATACCCACCAGACCTTCTCGAGCTCCTACCTCAAAACGCACAAGGTACGATACAGAGGTCAATTGTTTTCAGATCAGCAAGTAACTGTCGTGAGCACTGCAGAATAATGACTAACGGGATCCTTATCATCAATGTACGCCAATAGTCCATGTCAAGAAACAAAAGGCCAAGATTGAGGCCGATTACAACATCACCCTCGACTTTTTGCAGGTGAGAATTACGCGAGGGTGGCGTGCTTTATCATGCATAGTGTTTTGCTTCAATGTCTCATCGGCATTCCTTCTCTCGTCTTTGATGAATACTAGTCCAATGCCGACCTTCTCACTCGACCTCTTCAATATGAGGAATACGAATGGGCCTGGCTCGTCGGTAAGCTTTCTCTCCCAGTCTTTGAGATACTTATCATTACTGACGCTTGAACTGTTCTTATTTACTGACACTGTTTTAACTATTTTGAACTTCACAGTCAATACCCGTTGCATCTACCTCGATGCGAAAAACCAGAGCGCGGCCGACAATATCGCATTGGCGCCAATGCTCGACTTCCTCAACCATACACACGACGCCAAGGTAACCCCTTATACTCATATACACAGAGAGATAGACTATGAACGATATTTGACGAACAATTAATTGACCCGTTTGTTTGACATTGTTAGACCGAAGGAGCGTTCTGCACAAAAACAAAGTCGTATCAGATCAAGACGTTGCTTCCATACAAGAAAGGCGAGCAGGTCTTTATCAACTATGGCCCTCACGACAACTGCTTCATCCTGGTGGTAAGGAAGCCGTGTCTGTCCATGAGGAGACGAGCTAACTTGGAGGTGAACGTGAACAGGGTGCTAACTTCTTCTGATGTATTCACTTTTTGAATGGCTCCTAGGAGTACGGTTTCGTGACACCGAACAATCCGTACAACTACGTCACGGTTGACAACGACTTTATGCAGCTTTCGATCCCAGGAGAATCGACAGCAGCCAAGAAGGACAAGCTCGAGCTGTTGGACATGGCCGGCTACCACGGGTAAGTTACATATCTTTCATGGTTTTGGATCAAGCGATTTTGATAACATCTCAATCCAACTGACACTCTTTCTATCATCACATAATATTCGTTATGCAGCGACTATGTGCTTCACAGGAATGATGTATCATTCAGACTGTTAGCAGGAATGCGCCTCCGTCTCGTGAACCCATTCAACAAATCCTCCGTCGCCACCCAGCTCGCAATAGCCCAATGGCACAATGTGGTCAATGGAGAACTGGATCAGATCAGTCCCGAGAACGAGCGTCTTGTACCGATTCATATCGAGAGACTGTGTGATGAGATCTTGATGCAGGCCAAGAAGAACCTGGGAATCCTTGCGAGGAAGAAGACCACATTTATGGTGATGCATCTGCAGCAGGTTTGGATTGAGGCAAGGGATATTGTCTTGTCGATTATCGATAAGATTCATCGAAAGGAGGAGCTTTGATCACGTCTCTTTCTCTCTGAAGAAAGCAAGTCTATCACATAATGGACGCATTCGACCATTGTTGAATAAATCACATGACGGTTGGATTGAACATGGGCATCTTTTCTCTCTCTCTCTCTCTCTCTCTCTGACTATGGACCATCATCAAAGAGTGGTGCACGTGGCAAGTGTCAAGAATAGACCATCAATCCTTGCGCCCATCAAAAACATGTATTTTTCTCATGTGCTGAGATAAAACAAAGGCGCTCTGTTCCATCTTACGCCTTGGGCAACAGTAATACAAAAGCAGGAAAAAAAAAAAAAACAAGGAGGCAGAACTACGCAGCTGCAATTCTCCACACATTACGATAAACGCACGCACACGCACAATCAAAACGAACTCACGCTCGCTCATGCCGGGCGAGTGAGGTAAGGACGGTAAGGAGAGTGTCCTCTTGACCAAAAAACGAAAAGTCTAATAAAAGAGTGTTTTAGGCACAAAGAATCCAGTAAAACAGACCAAAGACGAAAAAAAAAAAAAAAAAAAAAAAAACATGAACACAAGACAAGACAAGACAAGGAAGATGGGGCAGTAATGATCAACAGTGGGGGTGAGGTGGTAGTATCGCTAGTTTCGTTGCTATACAAACGGCGCTTTTGCCACCATGACACTTTGACCCCCCCCCCCCTCCCTTTTGTACCAAATACTTTTGGAACTGAGGAAACTGAAAGCGGCGGAAGAAGTGTTGGCAAAATGAATGAAGCGTGAATGTGAGTGTGAGTGGATTGCTCACAGCGTTTGATTGACTGGCTTCCAGATACAAATTCGTTGTACTTTTGCGGCCCCTGAACAAGGAATGGCCAGCAGGGCGAGAGCGTGAGCCATGAACACAAAAAGAAAAATATCAACAGAAAAGACAAAAATATCGAACATGAACATCCACAAAAGGGGATCCATATTGGCACGACTTTACTCGAGGGTATATGTAATTGAGAGCCTTTTTTTTGTTGTTGTGTGCAATGTCTCGATTGGCTCCCTTGGTCAGATATGGATAGGGATAGGGGAGGATAGAGCATGGACAGGGATGTATGTGATGTTGCTCATGGGCGATGAAAAGGTACCCAGGGAATGAGGAAAAAGGTGAGATAGAGATCGAGAGGAGGATATGAGACAGAGAGGAGGACGGTGCTCGGAAGCATGTCCGGGTCAAAAAGAAATGGAGTGTGGCGTGGGACACGATAATCTTGAAGAAGGGCGCACAAGTGGATAAAGAAAGAACAAGGATGAGAGTGTCATTGTCTATCTGTCTTCTACAGCCAAAGTCGCCATTCTATCCATTGCTAATTCACACACCCTTCTCTCTCTCTTCTCTCTCTCTCTCTCTGCTCTTCTTCAGGCACCCTTCTTTTCTTTTGAGTTCATAATACATCAACAAGTATCAAGCGGGCATTCTCTCCTCTTCTTCTCCGCCCAACCTTCTCTCACTTCCCTCACTTTTTTTTGCTCTCTTTTCCCCATCTCTTCTCTCTTCTTCTCTTCTCTTCTCTTCTCTTTTTCTCTCTCTCTTCCTCCTTGTTGCACCCCCCTCCTCCACCCGCAACCCCCTTCCACTCACTCTTCCCTTCTTCTTCTTCCTCGCTTTCCCCTTCCTCTACTTCCTCTTCCTCCTTACTCCTTCTACTTCTTCCACTTCCTCAATTATCCTTCCTCTCCTCCCCTCTCTCCTCTCCTCTTTCCTTCGTCTATTTTGCCCTCTTCGTCAACTGCCGACGCCTGTCTTTGCAACCGCCAAAAGATTCCACCCAATAACAACCACAGCGACAACAGCCCAACCTGTTGTCTTCCCTCTCTTTCGACTTTTGTGTTGTGGTCTTCGATTGGACTGGTCAACAACAATAACAATACAGTTATGATGACCTCCTTTATCTCCGGCAAAAAGACCCGAGTGTGGACCACCTCCATCTCGCTCATGGCTGCCATCGGTCTTGCTCATGGACAAATTGTTGTTGTACGTCGTCTATCGTCTCTCTCTCTTCCTCTCTCACTGTCAAAGAATAGAATATCAACTGATGTTTTAGTCACTCCTGATGATGTGTCTCACGTCTAACGGTCTCTCCCCTTCTCCTTGACCCACACTCACACTCCGATCGTTCATATTTCATTCATCGATGTATATAGGAACCAACTATCCCAACAGGCGAACCAACTCAAGGACCATCGTCGACTATTTCAGCGTCAACGACAACATCAACGTCAAGCACAACCACGACAACAACACCAACAACAACCATATCACCAACAGTCTCGTTTACCCCCTCTCCTACCCTCCCATCCAGCAGCACTTCCGCCACACTGAGCCCTTCCCTCTCTCCTCCTCCTCCAGTCACAAGTACTGCCCCATCGTCAACAATTAACACCAACACCAGTACGGGCACCTCAATCTCCACCGCTATTGTTGTCCCCACTCCCTCTGGTACCTCTAACTCGTCCTCGTCCAACCTCCCCGTCATTGTCGGCTCTGTTGCCGGTGCTGCAGCCCTGATCATCATCATTGCCACCGCCATCATCTGTCTACGACGCAAGAAACGCAACAACCGCGATCTGACCTTTGATGTCCTCGAGGGCATGAACGCAGGTGGCGCCGGCGCCGCCACCTCTTCGCGCGCTCGTCAGAGCCAGCAACATTACCGCGCCAATGCCCTCCCCACACCCGCTCTCCCTCCCACCAACATCAACACCTACGACGACGACGGATACGACTATGATAACCAAGTCGGAGCGCAGGGGTATGGTGGTCACCAGGGCTACGATGACACTGGATATGACGCCTATGGAAACCCTCACCACGCCTATCAGAACCCTTCCATCTTCCAGGAGGATTCTATGGCCTACTCGACCGCCAATTCAATGTCGGCCCGGAACAGACAGGGATATGACCAGAACCTGCCCGAGATTGTCTACAGGAATGGCAATGACTTGATTCATCCCTCCGGTGGCGCTACGGGTTATTATGAGGACGACTTGTACAGCCAACAGATTGCTGGAGCCAATAATGGATGGGATCATCAGAACGCTGCTCCAGGTGGATACATTGGACCCAAGGGTCTCTGGATTGCCAACCCGACTAATGAGAAGCAATACCAACAACAGCAACAGCCGTACCAGGACGAGATGGAGTTGCAGCCACCATTATCGTCGAGCGGCATGACCTACGAGAAGAACTCGATCACCCAGTACGACTCGGACACCGCCGTCGACTCTTCCAGCCCCCCTAGCAAGTTCCGTGGCCACAACCCTCAGGCCCTGCCTGAATCCCCTCGTCTGCAGCAGTTGAGAGGCGGCGATCTCTTTGGACAGGATGGCGGTTCTCCCTCCACCCCTACCTCGCCTCGCCCCGCCGATGCCAATGTGACGGTCGCAGCAGAACCTACACGCGCCGCAAGCCCTCCTCTTACCTCTGTGGGCGCAAGCGGAAGCCCTAGATTGATGAGCAGGGCCGAAATGCGAAGCTTTGAAATGACCAGACATTCTCCTGGTCGGTCTTCTAGTGAGGGTGCACAGAGTTATGCGGATGATTTGCCTAGCCCAGGACGACCTTCGGTTTCGGATCGTCCCTCGATGGAAGGCGGTGGAGGATCCAACTTGAACCCTAACAAGAGTTTGCGGACTTTGCGCCGTGAGGACTGGTCATAGTTCTTTTACAACCCTCTTTTTTTTTTCTTCTCTAAAATAATATTCTTGATGTCCTTAATGACCAACAACAAAAAACAACAAAAAAAAATCTCCACTTTTCTCCGGCACATTCATCCTAAGTTTTTTTTTATTACTTTACCTAATTTTCCAGCGATGAATGATCATTCCCCCCCCTCTCTCTCTCTCTCTCTCTCTCCAACGGTCAAAAATGCCCGACCATACGAACCAACGATCCCATAGCATACAACGATATAAATGAATACAATGCGCAATGCATCAACTATTTCCGATCGCTTTCATGACCTCCTTACCTCGTTACAACTGCATTCGCATTTGCATACCTGTCTCTCTCCTCCCCTTCGCTCTCTCATTTTTTGACCGTTTTTTTGCTCAGTTCCTACGAGAGCAATAATAAAACATGGACAAGCAAGATGGGAAGGCTCATGTGCATTGTGCATCGAAAATGCCCATTTTTTTTTGATGTTCCTGAATTTCTGTTGAGATGTTTTTAATGGTAGATGCAAGAGTGTAGGTTGTGCTAGGTGAATGGGTTGTAGGTTGGTGTTGTTTACTCGTCTGATGAAGACGACTTCTTCTTCTTCTTCTTTGGTGCGTCCTCGACAGGTGGCACGTATGCCAGTTCGCGCTCTGCCTGTCTCTTGAGACTGTTCTCCTTTTGTTCCTCCTATTTTCGTACATGGTCATCAAAAGAATATATGTTAGTGAATCAAATCGCTGTAAAAAAGAACGAAAAATATACAAAACACAGCAAGTGCCCCCGAAACAAAAGAAATTCCAAAAAGTACCTTCTTCCGCTCCATGGCACGAGCCTCCTTCTCCTTGGGCTTCATAAAGTACTCTCCCGACTCCAACTGCATATCGATCTTGCTGGGTGTCTGTGCTGGTGGGAAAGGCGTGTAATCCTTCTTGTCCTTCTTCGAGATCTTCTTCTTCAGAGGCTTGGTATTCTTCTTCTTGAAGTGAGGCAAGAACCGCTCCCAGTTCTCCTCTGCCAACTTGGGATCCTTGGCCAGCTCACGCTTGATCATCAGTTCCTTGATATGGTAGATGGGGTGAACGTTGTTCATGCAGTCGATGATGATTCGGCGGACTTCCTTGAGACCCTTGTAGGGTCCCATGGCCGAGACAGTGTTTCCTTGGACCATGACGTAGCACTGTGTCAACAACTCCATAGCCTTCAATGTTGAACCGTTAGGTCCTAACAGACGCTGACGACGCTTCACGAACCGCTCCTTGTTGCGCACAATGTTTCCGATCTTCACAATGTCCGATGCAATCCCGTCCTCGAGAATCTTCAACGCCTGTTTTGTTGTATCCATGTTGGTGGGTCGTAACAGCCGAGTTTGTTGTCCATATGGTGGTAGGATGGTTAAGAAATTAGGTCGTGGTTGTAAAGGGGTGATGCAAAAAAGATAAAGTAAAACAGTATCTGGTTAGCGTCCTAGTACTTGTTGTTGTTCTCGTTGAACACAGTGAAGGAGAAGGAAAATACAGGCCATAACGTACCTGAGGCAAGGGAACACTGCGGGCAAGGAGCTTGATAAGATCTCTAGCCTTGAGAATCATATAAGGATCATAGGTCTTGCGGGTAGTCTTGACGGTCATGGAACCCTCGACCAAATCCAGAACACAGGCGACGCCGACCTTGTCAAGGGCACGGGTGACATGTCCCCAGACCTCCTTGAGATAGTTCTCTCTGTATTTGGGGAAGAGTGTTGCAAAGGACGACTCTTCTGTGAATGGTGCAGGGTTGTACTCGGGCTTGAACTCTTCCACCTTCCAGTGGTCAATATCGTCGGTGTCCCAGGCTGTAGAAAATACCGAGTTAAAAAATGGAGTAGCTTAGTTAGAACAGACAAGTTGATGAGCGATGCATGGGGTGAGGCCAACTCCAGTAACGAAGCAGTCATCAAACAAGGAAAGTAGGCGCAAGGTGAATGCGCAACATGCAAAAGGACAAAAAGGATGGGCTTACGTTTGTCACGACGGTATTTTCCCTGCTTGCCCTTCTTCTGGGGGACCTCAACGGGTGCCTCGTCCTGGATGGTGTTTGCCTCTTCAGCAGACATGGTATGTTGTTGTGTGTTAGGAAGTAGAAAGTGGTGGCAACTAAACAAAGTCAACGACGGAGATGGGCGAAGGGTCACGAACACACTGCCAGGACAAGGCAAAAAAAAAGAAAAAAATTGTTGTTTGTTTGAATGATCTGTGGCTTAGCATTCACACCGTTCAAGCAGTCACTTTCGAATGTATTTGCAAAAGCATGGCGCATACGCCACGCCGAAAATTCCTTGGCGCGTCTACCGCATCGAAAAAGGAGAGGGTTGCATCCATGGGTTGGTCCAGACCGACCCTCGGACCCCTTCTCTCTCTTCTGCACTCAACTACGCAAGCGTACTTCGTGGGAGGGGGTGAATGTGGATTAGATGACAGCCACCTCCACCACCACACTTCGTCCTTTTTTTCTTTTCCTTGTTGGTCATCGTGTACTACCATCGATGGTCCAAAATGAACAGAGGAAATAAATGGTCAGGCAAAGAGTACATGGAAAGTGACAAGAGAGGAGGCGAGAGAAAGGAAAAATAAAGAAGAGAGCAGAGTGGCATCAGTGACAAGAAAAAAAATGAGCCCTTCTTCTTCCTCTCCACCTCTGTACTATGTTTCCCTCTCTCTTTTGCCTCGTTTACCACTGCAAGACTACTTCTATTCTCAACCACCTGCCATGCCATTGTGCGGATAATTATTCGCTGGTTATCTTTTTTTCTTTTATTGAAAAGAGATGGCGATCATCGGAGCATTTGAATGTTTTTTTTTTGGCTTTAGCAAATGAAGTCGGACAGTTTGCGGCACTCTGTCATCGCTTCTTTCATTTTCAATGACTGATACTTTATCGGCCTTGCAATCAAAGCCCAACTTTTAAAACACCATCGCCATCGATTTTTCATCAGCCTTACCCTCGTTTTCTTCTCGCCCTCCCTTCTCTCCCCCCTATTGACGAGTTTATGGTCATTTCTTTTTTCTCATGGTCCAACTTTGTTTCTCGTGTAACCAAAGTAAAAGAGAAAAAAAAAAGGAGACGAGCCCTCTCTCCTTCGCTCGCCCTTCCCATCTAAAAGGGGTGTCCGAGAAGCTTGGTCTCGTCCCCACTTGCTCTCCACAGTGAAAAACGAGGTCCTTGGTCGATAAAGAAAATAAAACGCGGGCACTCTGAGATCGAAAGAAGCACGATTAGGAAAGCGAAGGTGTTTACTCCTTTTTTTTTTCGTCTTCCCCACACTACCTATCATCCCAATTGGAAATAAGGCTCTGTAGGAAGAAGCAAAATAAAGTAGAAAGAAGGAAGAAATAAAAACATGGTTGAATGTGCGCGCTTTTAAAGTACTTGCGTGGAAGTGGTTGCTGCGAAGGCAAATGAGTGGGAAGAGGCTATGTTGTTTTTGAATGGGGTCTTATTCGTCGACGAGTATTATTCCTCCGAGCAAGCCAAAGAAAAAAGCAGGGCGAAAGGTGGAGTGAGAGAGCATAAACAAGAACAAAAACAACAACAACAAGGGACGAAAAAAAGGTAAACGAAGAGGGACGGAATAGAAAGTTAACAGTGCAAAGTAATGTGAATGAAAAACAGTTCTTCATACTTCCTTTTCCTTCTTTCCCTTTTTTGCCTCTTCCCCTGGCTCTTCCTCCCCTTCCCTTTCTCCCTCCTCCCATCGTCAGTTGCCCACACCTATACCTCTCACTTTCCTTCATCCTCCTTCCTCCTTGCCCCTTCCCTTCGTCCCTCTCCACCTCGCCGCCGTCTCCCCTCTTCGACCCAGAACCGCACCTTCTTTCCCTGGCCCCAAAGGTCCGTCCCTCTGGTGAATTCAGTCCGAGTATCAGATTCCAACACATCAGCTTTGAAACGTCAGCCTTTTTTTTCCCTTTCTTGACGACTCCCTTCTCTTTACGTCCCTGTGGTATTATTTCACTCTGTCCACTCGTCCTTCATCTTTTTTTACGCATTCTCATTCCGATGGAGCTCATTCCCCTCATCTGAATCATCCTCCTGTAACTCATTCCCTCAACCTCAACCACCTCTCTTAGTCGTTCCTTTCCTTCCTTTCTCCTTGTCCTGTACCTTCTGTAAGGATAGGCAAACCAAAACAAAAAAAAAGTACGCGAGCAAGGGTAGGTTGAGTCTCTTATTTTTATGGCCAATAACCCCACACTTTTACACCAATTGTGCTCTCCCTATCCTTGTCGCCTGTGCTCTTGTTGTTTCTCCTTGCTTCTCCACTCATTCCTTCTCTCGGCTACAAGAAATATTTTCTTCCTATTCACGGGTTTCCATTATCCCTAACGCCTCTTCCCTTTCCCTTCATGCGTAATCCAGTCAGCATATCACTTTTTTATGCTTTCAGCTTGGAGGCAACACACAGCGCACATACACAATAACGGTCAAAAGTGCGAAAAAATCGACGAGGTGAATGATCGTCATATTGTTGTTGCCATGGATGGGAGGAATCCTTAGTGTATGCTGATGATTTTGTCGTTGATTTGTTGTTCACATCGTGAATTGTATTAAGTGGGCTGCGTGTTTGTTTGTTGTCAGTGGTGATTTTGTTTGTGTAGGTTGTAATATTTGTTGTTTTGTTGTCCTTTGGCTTGACTCTTCCCTCTATCGGACAAACACAATGATAAGGGTGTTACGAGCACACACATACATAAGCATACACACACTCCTCTGTTGTTGTTTGGAGGTAGAGCACATACACAGCATGGCATCTCAGTTGAGGCTCAGTCGTACTTTTTTTGTTGTTGTTGTTTTCACCGCATCAAGAAAAGTATCCTGGCATGTGTACTGTGACAGTAACAACGACAAAACAATATCAAGCATTAAGCGAAGACATAAAAAAAACAAAAACAAAGAGGACCCTTGTCGTTGGGTGTACCGACACGCGACAGAACGTAACCTTCTCACTTTCCCCTTTTTTGTTTCTCACAGCTCTAACTTCGTTCGGGCCAGCAATACTCCTCTTTCTACTACTATTACTGCGAGGAGCTGTGCAGCTTTCACCTCCCCCCTTTAAACATTTGGGGTAGCTGTTTAACGATAAGACCGTTGCAGAAGTTGTGAAAAAAATATGTAAAACTCTATGGAGGAACAAAAGGAACAAGGAGAAAGAGATCAAAACAGCTGCAGATGCTGTTGTTTCATGGTGACAATGAGGGGTATCGGTCATGCACAGCGTTGTCACTCATAATTTTTTCTTGCATATACTCCGCCTTGGCTCTTTGCACTCTCTCTTTTCTATTCCTATCCACACTACAACCCTCTTCGCCCCTTCGCCCCCGTTTGATCAGAGATACCAGTCCGTTGCTACTGCAGAGATATCAGCGGAGATCCTGGGACGCGTCGCGTTCTCTATTGATGCGACATATTTGGGTATTTTGTCTCACTACGACTGGCTCCACTCGTTGGCACTGTCGGAACTTTTTTTTCTTCATTTCCAGACAGTTACGCCCAAAAAAAAAAAAAAAAAAAAAAAAAAAAAGCGGATCTCGAATCTACTTTTGTGGTTGTGGTCATGTATATCTTTATGATGCCTATCGCTGATAGCATTTTGCGTGGCTGTATTGTGGAGTCAGTGGATCATTACCATTGGTTGTTATTACTGCGACTTAAAAGTTATTGGCTGTAATCGGGCAATGATCGACGTACCATTTCCAACGTGTGTGTGTGCGTGTTCTCTTTTTCCATCCATCTAACCAAAACGCATCTGTTTTTACTTTGTTCTCTGCAGGCATATCTTTCATCACGACATTTTAACTCAAAGGCAGACAGCACCATAATCAAACCCAGCCTTCGATATCCTCGATAATCTCCCTCCAGCCCCTCTCTCCAAGCAAGAAAATCAAAGGTGTGTGCCACAAAGACGATAGAACTATCCATGTCACAAGACGGCCAACCGACCGTCCCTTTCTAATACCCCGCCCATGCTGCTGTTTGTGTGTGCTCAACTTTTCCGGTTTGGAAGTGACAAACAACCATTGCTGTTGTTGTTGTTTTTTTACTTCCTGGCCGTTCCTCTTCCCCACTCACCATCCCCAGGTTAACATTTTTTGGATGGGGTTGATATATATCGAGCGCCGCCTTTTCCTGTGTCTTACCCCCACTTTCTTTTGATTGCGTTGGTACTGGACCTTCAAGGACAATTATTCAAGTGCTCTTCTTTTCTTTTTAGTACAGTTCTTTACCCCTTCAATTTTTTCATGCATCAGCTGCAGCTGGTAGGGTCAACTGCTGGTTTACCGCACCCTTTTTTTTTTTTTTTTTTTTTTTTTCCTGACAGGCGACTTTAGAAACCTTTACATACCAGGTTATCCATGTTGCTCTTGCCAAGCACGAATTCATCCGCCCCTCTAACTCAGTGTGCCATTTGTAACTTTAGCCGTCCCCACCCGCCAATCGACTTTTTTTCCCTTCCCGCAATTTTTTTCTTCTTTCTCCCCTCCATCCATCTCCATCTCTCCCTTCTTTTTTCATACTTTCCGTCCTCCTATAACACTCTGCTCTGACCAGTGTACCTTCCAACCCGCGGTAAGTTTCCCAAGTCGTTTGCTAGTCTAGTCGATCTCATAGAGTTGGTTCCCAGGGCACTTGCACATATTTTTTTTGTGTTGATGTTCATTCTCTCTTCCGTCCCTTCCTCTTTACCCCCTTTTTGATCAATTTTGGGTTATTATTTTTCTTCCCGCCCTCTCCCCGGAGCTCCATACTTCATTTGCCCTGTTCTCGGCCCTACATTTCGGCTCAAATGGCGTACTCAATTGCTGGTGTCTGGCGACGTCGGCATATTTTTTTGTTCGCTACAAAGCTATGTACCTCTCCTTCTCTTACCCAATGAGCCTGAGCATCTATGCAGCATTACTTTTGCAGGTGTACCTCTTGTTGCGGTGGATGATTATCTCAGCAAAATAATTGCGAGGGATGGATATTGATCGTGCGTTTTGGGTTGATACGCCAGATCCTCGCTGTGAATTGGTTGGCTTTGTAAGAGAAATGTTTATTTGTTTCGGTGCATTCAATCGTTATTCAAAGGGCATCTGAAGAAAAACAAGGCGTGAATGAAGGTTGTGTGTTGCTGCAGGTTGTCTCATCTCGCGATGCTCCCTCCATCAACATGGAGGAAAAGGAAGAAAAAAAAAAAAAGAAAAAAAAAGAAGCAACCCCTGAACATGACTGATGTTTCCATGCACCCCTTTCCCATTTGGTTCTTTTTTTTTCTTCCCTCTTGTCCTCCATTCTTTTTTGTCCCCTTCCCTGCCTTGCACTCGCATCCCACTCGACTCCCTTTGGCATCCCACCACACTTTTTTGTTTGTCTTTTCTCCCTCCCCTTTTTTGTCCATGTTGCGTGTCATCGCATCGATCGATGGGTCAGAACGTGTGGTCTGTTCACTCCAAGACAGAGACAAGACGATATGAGACAGAGACAGGGGAAGATGAAAAAAGAACACTTTGGGTCAGAACAGGAATTCCCTATCTCCTTTCAGGTACAGGAGGATCGATTGAAAGGAGGGCCAATCTCTACTCTAAAAAACCCCTTATTTTATCCGCGTTTATATTCATTCCTTGATCTTTGGCGTGCTCCCTCGTTTTATGATCCCCTTTTTCCTTCTTTTACCTCCGCTAGACTCGTGCACCATCTTATTTCCAGCAGGCGCTGTTATGTATGGTCCGTGTGAGCGAGAGCGAAGAAAGAATAAGACAAAGAAGAGGACAAAAAGGAATGAGAGGACAGGATGTGTGAACAAGTTGGCGATTGACTGGTGGCTATTGTAAAAGGTTCACGCTTTGGGACCGCATCTTGTCATTTGTTTGTTTTTTATTATTGTGCTCACTTGTCAATTTCCACGGACGAGCGAGCGAACGAACGAACGAACAATCGACCTTCCCCACTCATTGCCTCCCTTTAGAGAGAGAGAGTGAGTGAGTGAGTGAGAGTGAATGAGAATAGCAATGAAATGCTAATAGCGTACAGGGGCAGGATAATTGTCACCATCTGTAAAATATATCGGGGAGTGGCCATTGAATCTGGCTTTAATGATCGGGGCGAGCCAAGATGGATGGGCAGTAATGAAAAGCACGGTGGGCTTCTGTTGTTATTGTAGAATGACAGAGAGGCGCGACCATGCATGGATGACTGTATCCATATGCGAATGAATAATAATATGAGCGATGTACCCACTCGAGTGTATGTACGGCATTACTCTTTATTTCCTTATTTCTTTATTTCTTTATTTCTTTATTTCACCTTTTTGGCTTCCTTCGTATTCCCTTCTATCCTTCTGGCATTTTGCTAGCCTCGTCATCTCTTTTTCTCATCCTTCGCTGCTTGCCTTCTTCGCTCGTTACTCTTCTTCCACACCCTCGATCAACAGTTGTCGCCCATCTTTTACCACAACTTCGCCACTTTCGGACGAATTTTTAAAGACCATCGTCGAAAGAGAGTGCTAACAGGACAGGACTGACAAAACCTTCGTTGTGCTCTCTGCTCATTTTTTGTTGTTGTTTGTTTTCTCCTCTTCTCCTCTTTTCTTTTCTCTTTTCTCTTTCCCTTTCTTCTTCTTCTCTCTCTTTTCTCTTTTCATTGCTCGTTCCCGTTCCTTTGCCTCTCGTTCCTTTCTCATCTCTTCTTCTCTCTCTCTCGTCCGTGTTTTCATTACTTTTTGTACTTTGTCGTGTTTCGCCTGTTTTTCTTCTTCCTCATTTTTCTCCGCCTCTTTTTCTTTTGTTCTCACTTTGCTCCTCCTGCCCACCGACTCCCACTCTCACTCTCAAACCCTCGTTGGGTGCTCACTAAGCAGCCCTTCTTTCCTTCTACCTCGAAGTAATCGCTCAAACAACAATCCATCGCATCCCACAATTGTCACCTTCCCAGACTCTCCTCACTCTCTCTCTCTCTTCACTCGCCGCTCTATTCTGACTGATAACTTACCCTAATCCCTTGCCTTTCCTTCCCCCTCTCAGGGCGCACGTCAATATACCCTATCCCATTTCATGACCAAACTCGAGCCCAGTCATCCGATGCCCAACTCAAAGGGCGCCAGCAACAACCCCAATAACGGCCAATGGTCGCAGCCCCTTCAGGATCCCTCGGCGACTTCGCTGAATTATCCTCCCTACTCCTCAAGCTTCCCTAGCGCAACTTCGCAAGGCGTTGCGCGGCCAACAGTTGCCAGCCATGGTGCGGCAACGTCGGTCATGGCAGGTAAAGACAAATGATCATGGCACAAGCTGTATTTTGCTTGTCTTATTGTCTTATTGGCGTTTCATTGTCGCCTGCAGGCTGGAGAGCAGAGTGGACCTTCAATCTGCTCAAAAAAAAAGAGGAAAACGATCGTTTTTTTTGGGCGATATCAAGCCCATGATCTAACATCTTTGCCCGTCTGTCCGCCTTCATTTTTTGTGATAACCATCTTTTTTTGCCGCCTTACTCATCTTTTTGTCGGTCCCTCTCTCTTTCCCGCCTTCACGTTTCCTCCCTATTCAATTGACCTCGAACTACAATCATCAGGGGCGCCGGCCTTTTCGTCTTCACTCCCGCCTCCACAGAGCTACAACCAACATGACCCATCCTCACATTACAACCAGTACCAGCAACCCTACCAGCACTATTCGCAGCAACCCTCCTCCTATCCATATCATTATAGTTTCTCATCAGGTGGACCCGCCATGACCCCGTCCTCGTCCTCTTATTCTTCTCCAACCCACATCCACACCAGCCTTTCCTCGTCCCCTTCCCCTTCCTCCTCCACGAGCCAAAGTCTGGGCTCAATGGGTGCCCTTCTCTCGCCAAAGTCCACGGACTTCGCCGGACAGGACAACCACTACCACTTTAATGGCAGCCACAGTAACCACTACCATCATTCCGCCAATCCCATGGGCAGCGTCAAGGAAAGTCCACGAGGTAAAGGTGCTTCGTCCAAAAAATCACGACCGTCTGCGACCGCGTCCGCGCCTTCCACTGGAATGAACCTGACGACCGCTCCTTCCACCTCTATTCATGCCATCGCCTCTGCTACAGCGACAGGCACTCGGGGAGGCATTACCGCCGTCACTGCGAATATGTCCCCTCCAAGTGCCAACCTGTCCCCAGTCTCGGTGACTTCTCCCACCTCGTCAGTAACATCGCCTACATCCCCTTCATCGACGTCCTCGAAAAAGAAGAGTGGCCAGGCGAGCAAGAAGGCCGGAGCTGGAGTGCCAGCTGGAGCGGACAATGTCTCGTCCAAGTTCCCCAAGCCCACGCAGTCGTATTCGTTCCTCATCACGACGGCCATCCTGGAGAGCTCCAACAGCCAATTGACCCTGAATGAGATCTACGAGTGGGTCATGCTCCACTATCCTTGGTATCGTACTGCCATCAATGGCTGGAAGGTAAACAACAACAGCAAATGGTTGAGAAGAGTTTTTTTAGGTTGGGGATTCCTGTCTTTATTTCTTTTTATTTGTTTGTTTACTTTCCTGAACTTCAAGGCTTCAGACCGACGGATGGTGGTGTTTTTTTTTGGTTGAATTTATGCTCTGTTGGACCAAACCCTACTCGACAAGAGCGAATTCACCTTGAGCGTGACCTTATTGAGCACCATGGAATGAGCTTTTTCAAAGGATCAAAACAGACTGGGCCGGGCTGCAGAGGACGTGAGAGTGGGGGGATAGAGAGGGTAGACAGAGAGAGGGGAAAGGAGGCTCTCAACCGCAAATAAGACAACAAATAACAACAACAACCAACAACAACAACGATAAACAGGAAATATACACTCATATACATTTGGGCTTCCTCGACAAGCACTCTGCCCATTTGGTTAAAGTTTTTTATCTGACTCCAAGTACATGTTAACTATCCCTTTATTTGTTCTCTGCGGACTCCTTTTGGTATCTCGGATCTAACCTTTTTGCCTTCTACTCATTCGTTTTCTCTCCACGGGTGCGCCCTAGAACTCCATTCGCCACAATTTATCGCTGAACAAGGCTTTCATGCGCGTCCCACGGCCTCCAAGCGAGCCAGGCAAGGGTTCTTATTGGAAGTTGGACCCCAACTATCAGCCCAATGCAGATGGCCACAGTGGAACTGGACACTCGGCAGGTGGATTGGTGGGTGCCAGTGGAGGAACGGCTCGCCCAACTAAGACTTCCAGACGGGCAAGCGCCGCCAGAGGAGCCGGCGGCAGCAGCGGTCGGCGACCAACCAGTGACCCCAATTCGGCGCCGGTCTCCCCAACTGGACCCAGCGCCCAGCCAGGCATCCTCGAGATTCCTCTGACCAACATGCCGCTCTTTGGCAAACGCGGAGGAGGCGGTGCCGATACAGACTCGAGTCTGTTCAAGATTGGAGCCCACTCTACAACCGCCTCTATGATACCCGGATCTTCCAACTCTTCCTCAGCCGCGGCCTCGATGAACAGGCGACACTCACATCTATTGAGCCACGACCACGACTATACCACTCCAGGTCAGCAACCCAATTATGGAGCTGCCCATATGTCTCCATCCTTTAATCTCGGCGGCTTGAGTTCACAGCAGCAGCATCAGCAGCAGCAACAACAACAACAGCCGCACCATAATTCGTTCTTTTCGTCCGTTTCAGGATCAGGTCAGGCAGGCGATTTTGGGCAGTCGGCATCGTTTTATGCGAACGGCACAGGACAGTCGGCAGCAGGACTGAGCGATTCGAGCATGATGGACGCTGACTCGGACTCGGCATCTCTCTCGCGGTTCTCTGGTCAGGGCATTTACCTCTCACAGGGCGCTGGAGGAGCTTCGACCCTGTCACGACCGCTTTCGATGGGGAGTCATGGGATGCAAAGTAACTTTGTCTCGGCGTACGGCGGTAATGGAGGAGGAGGAGGTGGAGGAGGAAATAATAGCCATTCGGGACACCACGGTGGAGCTGGAGGCGGCGGGGGCGGCAGTGGTAGTTATAACGGCAACTATGGCACAGGTGCATCGCACGCGTATGGCGGCATGGGTGGAGGTGCAGGCGCCGCTTTTCATGCCGGCTCAGCCAACTATGGGTTCCCGCCTGTAAACAGAACGAGCGGAGGAGGTGGTGGTAGCAGTGGCGGCGGCGCAGGAGGCGGAAGCGGAGGAAATGGGTACAGAGCATCCGTCGACGGTGGTGCCGGCAGTCGTTCAAGCACTTCGATTGCCGGTCTTTCGTTGCAGCTGTCGCAGTCGCTTGTGTCGACCCCTGCCGGAATGGGTAGCGGAGGAAGCGAGACGATGTCGCCCCCACCTCCACCGCCCCAGTCGTTGGCAAGCCACCATCATTCTGGGTCGAACCCAGCTCCAGGAGCCTCCTCGACTTCTTCAGCGACGGCGGCCAACAGCAGTGTTGGCTCGGCCTCAAGACCGGCATCCAGCTCGATCACGATACCCCAGGAATCCCGCAACTCGAGCACTGGTGCAGGAGGCGGTGGCCATGGTTGGTGAGCGAACGTTGAAGATATGAGCGAGACACCCCCACCCACGATTTCTGTGTTTTGTCTGGATGGACTGAGCGAGCGAGCAAACACTTGACAAAACACACAACCACGCGCCCACACGCCCACACACCAACACTCCCACATTCACACACACAAAAAAATGATACAAGAGAGAGAGAGAGCATTACGTTGAGCGATATTTTGAACGACGAATGAAACGACCTAGCAATGATAAAAAGTTTATGAAAACCGTGCTAAACGTAGAACTACGTTGTCCTAATTGATGTTTTCTGGAGACGTTTGCGTATATGTTCGTGAGGGAGAAAATCTGCGGGGGGAGTCTATTGCTATGCTGTGGATTACGGATGGAAGAGAGTTTTGTCCGCACTGTCCAAGGAAGCCAAAGGAGAAAGAAAGGAGATAACAAAAACGCCATGATAAAGTTTGTAAGCATGGTCGACCCGACTCGAAACTAAATGGTAAATGGGTTTATTCGATTACCCTGTGTAAATGTCAATGCTGTCAACCCTCCACAATTGATACCAGTTTTCTTCGGTTCGGTGGCCCCCGCAACAGCATTGTTGGCCCTTCTTTCTTTCTCTCTTCTCACACACTGTTCCTTTCTCATTCTTTTTTTTTGTCTGCATCTGTCTCTTACCTTTCCACTCTCCTTCCTTTCCTTACGTTTGTTTGCAACCACTTCTTTCTACCTTTGCCCTTTGCAACTACTGTCACCTCTACCCTTTCTCTCTCCCTACTCAGCTGCCCCCTCTTCATTCCTTCTCACACTCTCCCTCTTAACCCCAGCTGCGGAACTAGATTGACAACGACCCTTGGACTGATTCCAGCAACACTAAACAAACAAGACGAACAACAAACAACAGACAAGCCCATTCCAACTACGCCCACATTACTCCCTTTTCACACAACACACCTACTCTCTCCTTTTCTCTCTCTCTCTCTCCCCCACCCTGCTTCCTCTTCTCTCTCCCACCCTATCTCTTCACCCCTTTATCTCATAACAACAGCAAACATCTAACAGCCCATCAACAAACGGCAAGCTACAGCAAACACACAACAGCCTCAACACCATGCGGCTCAAGGACTCGTCCAAGTACTTGTGCTTGAGCATCCTGCTCTACAGGATATCGCTTCTCGCCTTCCTTATTGCCACCCTCTCGACCTTCTCCGAAGCCTCACCCCGGATGCTTGTCTCCTCTTCCTCTGATATCCGTCATATCCCTTCACTCAACGACCACCTTGCCGCCGCCCCACCTCCACCACCAGCCCATATCCCTCCACCACCACCGTCCAACTCTGGAGGAGGTGGAGGAAACGCAGGTGATAACAGACGCAAACCCATCGTTATCTCCTCTTCCAATGGTGCCCACCACCATAAACATACTAGCGGTGGGAGTTCTTTGGAGATCGACTTGTTGAGCAACAGGAACTTCAACAACAACAACAACAATCGACCACATCCTACACCTGCCAAAGGAAACCCGGTGCCAAAGTCTCATCACCAAAAGCGAGCACCTATCCCGTTCGCCGAATACCGGTTGACACCCCTGGCTCTCCTGACGACCGTTGATGGCGATTTGCATTGTATCGATACCAAGAACGGCGAGGTTGTCTGGACTCGGTCACCCAAGGGCGTTGGTGCGGTGGTGTCGAGTAACGTCACAAAGGTGATTAATCGAGACTCGCCCATGACTGGCGGTGTCGATACTGGTACGACCTCTGGGCTAGGAACTGATGCTGGACATGAAATCCTTGGAGGCCGCACTGGTATTAACGACGAGGCAGATGGTCCCTTGGCCTCCGACAACAGTGGTGCGACCGGCGGTGCGGCTGGTGCAAGTGGTCCAAAGTACATCAAGGATGACTGGACGTTTATTGTTGAACCCTCGGAGAAACCGAGCTTGTATGTCTATACAAAGGCTACAGGACTACAGGTAAGATAAAAAATACAACCTCGCTTGGGTAGATGATCAGTTTGGGTCCATTGGATAGAATGGGCACTGGACACAAGAGGGAGAGGGAGCCAGGAATGACCAATTGGATGGTTTGGCAAGAGGCGATTTATTTTTATTTTTTTGTTTGTAATGATCTGGGGACTCAGGACGCTAAGAACTCGGGACTCAGGACGCTATGAACTCGGGACTCAGACCCAGGACTCCGCCAACAAAAGGCTTTCTGTTTTCGGGAGTCAATTGGGTCGATAACAAACGGAAACGGACACAAAATTAGAACAATGGACAGCGACCTTTCAAAAATGAACAGGAGCTTTGTGTTTGCTCAATTTACATTTACATGAGGAACTCCACATTGTGCCTCCACGTAGCAGCAAATATATCCCTTAGTGTGGCGGTGGTGATATTGTTTGTGTTTGTTATTACAATGCAATTGCTGACATAGACACAGTTGCAATGCGCTACAGGAGGACCGAACCCTAATAGAATGTCATTTTCTAATATTTTGTTTTTTTTGTTGGTGGTGTTTCTCCTATTTCTGCAGCGTGTAGGGTCGCTGATGAATCTTGTGACAAAGGCTCAGATCCTGTCAGACGGGATGAGGATTACTGGAAGCCGCAAGACAAGTCTACTGGAGCTCGACATCTCTACAGGAGAAGAAGTCAACGCCTTCATGGCCGAAGGTGGGTGCACGGCCCCAGAAGGAATCAAAGGATCAGAGCGCACCGTCGTGCTTGAGCAAGCAGGTAAACACGCAAACAAACCTCCTCGGAGGAATATCAATCGACTGTACTGCGGCCCAATGACATATTGCATGGGAAGGCGCAATAAGCTAAGCATGTCTCTTCCGCTATATAATGAATGAAATTAGAATACACGCTATTGATTCTGGATCCCCTTTCTGGCATGAAGTGGGAAATCTCATACAGAGAGCTCAACCCAACATCCAACGAACGTACGGATCTGGAACGGAAGGATCTAAGGATTGTCATTGGAAGCAACAAGGAGGGTGTTGTCGCGTTGCTGAACCAAGCTGCTGGAGTGGTTCTCTGGAGGACGGCACTCAAATCGCCAACAACGGCTGTCTTTGACGTCTACATGAGCACTCGGACCAAAGAAATCTCTCTTGCTCGCCAACCCACGGAACTTGGACAGCGCTCGTTCGACGCTAATATCGGCATCTACGAGGACCAACTCTACGTCCTCTCTCACAACAACTACCCCCTTCTGCAGAAGGATGACTTGAGCTCGGGACCTTTACCTCGTCTGACAATTGGAGGTTCTGGCGAAGACGGCGATGAATACGAGTCAGGAGACGATACCACTGATGATCAGTGTAAACCCGGGACGTCACAGTACCAACGGTGCCTAGTTGGCAAATACACGATTGTGCGGCAACTGCCACCGGGTGGACAGCCTACACTGGATGCACCAATACTCAATGGCCCGACGGATGACTTGTTTCCAAAGGAGCGCAAGATCTCGACAATGACGACGGTGGTCGGCTGGGCTGTTATCTTGATCGGCATCTTCACCGTGATTGTGTATGCCAAGGGTACTCAGTACTTGACCAAGCCGGTCGACACGTTTTTGGAGGAGCACAGTGTCCCGTTCAGGGTCGATACCCTCGCCAGGGCCGTGACGAATGGTGTGGTGGCGATGAATTCAGCAGCCCATGCTGCTGGGTCTGCGTTGGGCATCACTTCTGGACATGGGGCTGGCGGAGGGGCCTCTCAGGAAGTCCTGCCTGAGTACAACGACAAATCGACTTTTAACATGACCCAGACTTCGATGGAGCGACTTGCGGATGGACTTGTGATCCAGGACCGGGCGCTGGACGAGAAGCCAGACAAGAGTGGCAAGAAGGGACCTCGCAACAACAAAGCGACTGATCAGGATGGCGTGGACAGCAAGACCAAGGAAGCCAACGGTGGTGGAGGTGGTGGTGGACGCAAGAAGAAGAGAGGTGGAGGAGGCAAAAAGGCGGCTGCTGCTGCTGCTGCTGCTGCTGCGGCAACCGCGACTACACCAGGAACTGAGGGTGAAGGAGCAACACCATCAACAGATGCCAACAAATCGACAATCGCAGACGCGGAAAAGATGGATGGCTCAAATTCGAGACCATTATCAACATCAACGGCCGGAAGTGCAACCGCAGTGGAGAGTTCGCAGGAGTTGAGTCCAGTCGGCCTCACCGATTTGACGCGCTCCCCCCGAGTCACATCTACGCCACTGTTGAAGTCGATTTCGGTCACGGATACGATTCTGGGATATGGAAGCCATGGAACAGTGGTGTACAGGGGTCAATATGATGGACGGCCTGTCGCTGTGAAGCGGTTGCTGATCGACTTTTATGATGTTGCGTTTCATGAAGTCAGGCTCCTCCAGGAGAGCGACGATCACCCGAATGTCGTGCGATACTTCCGAAGTGTAAGTGATAAAGCCTTTGGCTGTACAAAATGTCTTCGCCTAATATTTTTTGCTTGGCGCTGATCCTCATATGACTTAACGAAAATAGGAACAATGCGATCGGTTCTTGTATATTGCGCTGGAACTGTGTTCGGCATCATTGGACGACATTATCGAACGTGGACACATGCAGCCGTTCAGGGATCTGTCGGCCACATTGGAGCCTCAAAAGATCCTTTACCAGATCGTCTCTGGTGTTCACCACCTCCACAGTCTCAAGATTGTTCATCGGGATATCAAGCCTCAAAACATTCTGATTGGCGAGCCCAAACAACGACCCAAGCCCTCCAAGACCAGCGGCTCTTCGTCCTTCTCAAGTACAGGAATCATCACCACCCCTCCACCACCCAAACCTTCTCTCGGATCCAGCGGAATGATCACCAGCATAGTCCGGGCGAATGCCTCACCAGCGGTCGAGATGTATCCCGGCAGGGTGCTGATCTCTGATTTCGGACTGTGTAGGAAGCTTGAGAATGACCAGTCTAGTTTCCATAACACAACAATGCATGGAGGTCGGGGCGCTGGCGGTGGAGGAACGATTGGATGGAGAGCACCCGAATGCTTCTCGGGTGCTGAACAGCAGGACGCGGACGATTCTCATTCCTCGTCGAGCCTTGGCGCAGGCGTCGGGGGCGGCAACGGGAATGGCAACGTGATTGGACGGGCCAACAGGATGACGAGGGCGATCGATATCTTCTCAACGGGCTGTGTGTTCTACTATGTCTTGACGAATGGTGACCATCCCTTTGGAGACCGGTACTCCCGAGAGCGCAACATCCTGATGGACCAACCGGACCTGAGCGGACTGGATTCGATGGGTCAGGAGGGCGTTGAGGCCAAGGATCTGATCTCGAAGATGATTGCACACAACCCTGCGGAGCGGCCGGACGCGTTCATGGTGATGCATCACCCGTTCTTTTGGTCGGCCAATAAGCGGTTGATGTTTATGCAGGATTGCTCGGATCGGTTTGAGATTGAGGATCGGGGCGATGCTGCGACTGCTGCTGCTGCTGCGGGTGCCGAGTATGTGAGTCCGTTGCTGGCCAAGCTGGAACATAATGCGATGGATGTGTTGGGGAAGGACTGGTATAAGGTGCTTGATCGGCATTTCATTGAGAATTTGGGAAAGTACCGCAAATACCAAGGAAACAGCGTCCGCGATCTCTTGCGCGCCCTCCGCAACAAGGTACGGTTGATGTTTTGCTGTCGATTGACATTTTGAAGATTTTCGATCCTAATAACTCACATGTCTCTTTCTTTTTTTTTTTTTTGCAAATAATAGAAACATCATTACCAAGATCTGCCGCCGCATGTGAAGCGGGCTCTGGGAGACCTGCCACACGGGTTCTTGAACTATTTCACGTCACGGTTCCCAAAACTCATGCTACATCTGTACTATATTGTGGCGGACGATCCTAACCTAAGGAACGAGAGCATGTTCAAGCATTATTTCGTAGACTGATTTTCCTTTACCAACGTCACTTTTCACTTTTTGTTTCTTCTGTTGTGTATTAAAAGTTCAAGTTAATTTTTTTTTTGAAAGTGTTTTTCTTTATGAAAAAAATAATGCGAAAATGCAAGGGGGGGGGTTCTATGAAAAAAAAAGTGAATGGGGGGGAATGTGGGGTACTTGTTGTTCAAGCAAAAAACCACAGAAAAGAAAGTTTATGCGGAGGGGTAGTGATTGAGACGGTAGAGCAAGACTTTACCCTTATCGTTACCAATCGCAAAGTAACCACTCCTTGGGGAGAAGGCCAAACAGGTAACATAAGACAAAGGAGTACCCTTTGTGGGCCAGTTGGGGAAGACCTTGAGGGAGGGGATATGAATGAGACGCAACTGGTCCTTGCGGGCTTTGGAGGAAATGGCCAGGATCTGGGAGTCGTGGTTGAAGCGCATGGTGTGGATGGAGGTAGTCAGGTTTCCGATCGCGCGCAGGGCCTTGGGTGTGCGGGTCTCTAGGCATGTCCTGTCGTACACGTTCACCACTCCACTCTTTGATCTATTTAAGAAAAAATGGTTGCCATTTGTTAGTTCGTTCACGGCAACTCTTACTTTTTCATTTCTCCACAATGAATACGCAAAAAAAAAGAGAAAAGAAAAACCACGAAGAACAAAAAAAGGACAAGACGTACCCGACGGCGAAGAACTGATCATTAGGCGAGACGGCAAGACACGTCGGCTTGAACCCGCCCTCGTCCGCAAACCGATGCACACACTTCCCACTCGAAACCTGCCACTGATAAATCTCGGCATCGCCACCCACAGAATACAAGAACTCCGAATCCGACGACCAAGCAACCGCCCGGACATTTCCCGACATCTTGAAGTTCTTTGCCCAAAGACGTGTCCTGGTCGTGACAAGAATAATGTATCCGTCTCTGCCAAGGAAGGCAATCCAGGTACCACAGGGGGAGAGGACAAACTTCTCGAGCGACTTCTCGTTACGACCGTAGATCCCCTGGGACTTGTCGACCTTTCCGGCTTCAATATCGTACGAGTAAAAGTACTTGCGACGTCCTGACACCACCACTGTATTGTTTCCTGCTCCCGATCCAGAAGTCGGTGCTGGCGAAAAGGCTGCCTTGTAGATCGGCAAATCCTTATAAAACACACTCTGCATCAACTGGTTCAATTTGCCATCGACCTGGAAGAGCCTCAACGTCCTATCAAACCCAGCCGTCAACAGCATCTGCGAATTAGGATGGAACTCGACCGACTGAATAACAGACTTGGAAGGTGCCATCTGGTTGGCGTTCTTGACACGTGTGACAGTGATGGATTCCGATGAGAGAACACGAAGACGATTGGACTTTTCAAGAAAACCCTTGCTGGATGTGAGGAGGATACTGCTGTCTTCCTGTTCCTGCTCCTCGTCCGAGTAGTCTGAATCAGAGTCGATTGCGTTTACACCGCCGCGGCGACGTTTCCGTGAGTCCTCGGGTTGTGCCCAGTTCGGGACCGGGTACACCTTCTCAAACCTGTCAGTCAGATGAAAAAAAAGAAGTAAGTAAAAACGTCTTTGCATTGCGTTGTTCTGTCGCAAACAGAATAATCCATAATTCTTCACAAAGCAAAAAAGGTACTTACTGTCGTCGCAAACGCTGCTCGTAATCGACTCCATTGACAACATCCTCAGCCTCCTGCTTACGGAGCTTCTTCAACCGGTTGGCCGTCTTTAACGAGACCTTCAGCGTCTTGTCATCCTCGTCCACCCAAGCCGGCTTTCCTCCATAGATCGCTAATATAATTGAGTTGTTCAAAGCATTGGGTTAGGTTTTCCCTTCATACGCTTCTGTCTACTCGTTTTCCGGATCAATCTTCGTGAAGTATATAGAATAAGAACTCACCTGTAAGTCGAGAGACCTCTTCATCCTCAGAAGCACCCTCCTCCTCCTCAACATCCTCACCCTCTCCAATCTCCTCATCCACAGGCTCCTCCTCCTCAGCATCCTCATCAATCTCCTCCCTCATCACCGGCGTAGGACCAGCATCCATGAAGAACATATCACCACCATCCTCACCCCCTCCACCTTCCTCATCGTCCCCAAACCCAACCTCCAAATCATAATCAAAACCATCATCTCCACCATCCTCCTCATCACTAGAAAGCTCATGCCCAATCCTCGAGAACGCCTCTCCAAGAAGCTCCTGGTTATCAGCTCCAAAGATCAAGTTCTCGAGCTCAACCTCCGTCTTCTCCTTGGGCTTCAGTTTCTCGGACTGGTCCTTGTTATCGAATTTGGCGAGGCTTCCGTGCTGGCCGCGGCGGTTCTGCGAGATGTGCGTGATGGGTGCGACGTCGGCTTTGGCACGGGCTTCGGCTATGGCTTTGGTTTTGGTGGCCTTGTTGGCTGCCTTGGCTCCTCCTTGTGCTGGTGCTGGTGGTGCTCCTCCTCCTCCTGAAGTCTTGGACTTTTTGTGTTTTGGTGCCATGGTGTTATTGTTGTTTTGTAGCTCCTTGTGTGTGTCAGTCGAAAAGAGGGTGCGGGGAGGGGTAAGGGGGATGAAGACAAAAAGTTGATGAAAGGGGTGGGGGAAAGAAGAGTAATGTCGAGTGGGCGACTGAGGTGAACAGGTGTATGAATGGACAACGCTGAGGATACAAGGTTATGCTTGCTTCAGGGATAATAAATAAACAGAGAAGGCACATAACAAAAAAAAAGAAAAAAAGAAAATGTAAACACTCAAAATAGAGCCAAGCCACATCAATCATCTTCAGTTCAGTTCATTTGGGAAATTCTTTTCTTTAAAAATCACAAGTCATTACAAGGGAATGCTAGGGGGGAAAGACTACCATGACCAGCACGGCAGCTGAAAAATGGGGTATGTGTGTATGTGCATGTATATAAACAACAACAGAACTGAGCCTCCCCCCTGTCCAGCAGTGAAAAGGACTCAATCTGGCATCACTGTTGTTGCTTTTCGTTCAGTCGTCCAAAATTGTATATAAAAAGTCTCGCCCTCATTCTTCTCAAGATTCGGTCTTGAGGCGGGGGAAATCTATACCCGTAGGTTGAAAGGGCAGAGTTCAAGTGGCGAGGGCTGTATTCATGTTAGGCATGCATCTTCAAAGATAGAAAAGGTACAATTCATACGTACTATACATCCTCTTTAAAAGCATCGACATCAAATACATACCTCCAACTTCGGAGGGTCGCTCAGCACGGGACCGATCCATGTTGTACCTTGACCGCCTCTCATCCTCCGCGTATGACATGGACTCGAGTCGCGCTCGCTCCCTCTCAGAAGGTCCCAATAGTGGCTCATTCCTACTCTGGCGGTGCTCTTGGCGATGGTACTGACGCTGATAATCGTACTTGCCAGACTCCATCTGAGGAGACGAAGAGTTGGAGCGAGAAGCTGAACTGGGTGGCGACATGGACGCAGGTGGCGATCGCGTAATGGGATGCGGGCTCAACAAGGTTTCGTCGGCCTCTTCTTGCTTGATGACCCGGTGGCCATGACTTTGGGCAAAACCGTCCTTCTTAGATGGGCTAGGCCTGTCAATTGGCGACGTGGAGGAGGTGGCATCGTTGTCCCTAGGGGACGCGACGCGCTCTGATGTTGAGGGAATGTTCTCCGCCGCGGTTACTGTCGACGTTGTTGCTGGCCTCTTGGATCGGTCAGGAGAACTACTGGCATCGTTGCTGTTGATACTGCTGTTGAGAGGGTGGGGCTTGCGACGTCCGGCCAAGTCTCCACTAGTCTTACGGTGGGGTTTCTCTCGCTGCTCCTTCTGTTGCTGCTGTCCTGTTGCAGCGTTGCGAAGGACCTTGGCACGGATAGCATCCATGACTTCATCATGGTTGATCGACTTTCGCTTCAAACCAGAACCCGAGGGGGTTGCAGAGGTAGGCGAAGCGTACTCGTCCGGGCTCAGGGGCTGTGGGATCTGAGACTGCATATCGACGTTTGTTACAGGCGAGGATTGAGCGGATGATGAGCGGAAAGGGTGCAAGATGTGATGACGGCCCGACGTCGATGCCGATGGCTTGCCTGAGACTGGACTCTGTGTCGAGGGCGAAGGGGGTATACGCTGAGAGTTTGTTGCCGACTGTTGTTGTTGCTGAAGGTGTCTCTGGACCTGTTGCTGCTGTTGTTGCCTTTTCAGTTGTTGATGCTGTCCCTGTCGTGCGGTATCGATCCTGGGTGGGGCTGGTCTACTGGGAGGTGTCGATGGGAGATTTGCCTGATCGTGAGAAGTTTTCTGTTGTTGTTGTGGCGCTTGTTCCTGTGCATCCTGATGTCCAGTCCCGCTGCTGTAGTGCGAGCGGGTGTTGTCGACCTGCATCGAGGGCTGAGCAGGGGTAGTGTATGCCGAGTATCCGTGGTGCATGGGAACGCTTGAATCGGCGGTGCTGCTGGCATACGATCGGGCTAAATAAGGACACACAAACAAAAAAAAACCAGCTCAGGAACAGAGAACAAAGGGTGGGAGAAATCTAAAATCATCTCCTTGGTACAAAACAGGGTGTGCACTCTCTTGATATCCATCCTGTAACCACGATTCCCTTTCTATTCTCGTTGATTCTTTCTATCTTCTTTTCTTTCCCTCCCTCCTCTTTCTCCCGGCTCAATGCCACTCGGGAAGTTATTAATAACGTAGAAACGGTGTTCTTTCAAGAAATGATGGGCTGTGGGTGTAGGACCTAGTACGATATTCTTTCACAGCCGAGAAATAGAAACGAAACCCTGTGATGTTTTTTGTTTGCCCATTTGACTATTTTTGACGAGTGTGCGCCTCACTCAGCCTTTTCACCATAAAAAAAAAGAGCAGAAACAGTCGAGAGATGCGAGAAGCGGTGAACGTACCAGCAGGAGGGGATGTCTGACGTTTTTCGATGGCGAGGGAGATGTCGAGCTTTCTTGACTCCAACTTGAGCGCTTCGGTCTTGTATCGTTCTTCCTCTGCCTTGAGCTGTGGTGAAGGATGGTAAAAATGAACACTCGTATTGTCAGTAAACCATTAACACTGTGCACTTATCTCCAGTCACCCGTGCGAATGTTGATTTACTACAACAGCTTCGTGGCTAATTGTCATATCATTATCCCATGGCAACCAACCAATGAGTGGTCACAGTCATTAACTAATATGTAATATCCAGTCCCAGTCCCCATCCCAAAAGTCCATGAGATGGGTCGATCTCGCCATTTTAATTTTCCACCCCTCCAGTCGGGGTCAGTCAGTCAGTCGTCTCGGTCAAGGCTCGTCAATCGGTCCGTCGTCGTTTCAATGCTGGCTCCTGTGAATCACAATAATAAAACCTTCTTTTTGGTTTTTGGGTGTAAATGTTGCACGCATATGATCACCCATCCATTCTTTTTTTGGCGTTCTTTACCTCGTCTTCCTTGGCCTTGGCGTTCAGCACCGTCATCACAAACTCCTCCGGTGCAGCACTGAACCGTTCCAGGATGTCAGAGATCGTCAGCGTCCGTGACTTTGTCGATGATGATCCACGCGAAGTGAATGACGAGGATGGGTGAGCAAAGGTGCGCCCACCGTTGCTGTTACTATTGCCGTTGGTCGTGTTGTTGCTGCTGCTGCTGCTACCGCTGCCTCGGAACATGGGGAAAGCTCGGCGGTCCTCAATCACTCCGGCAGAATAAGGGCCTTGGCGGTTGTTCTGGTGATGGATCCTCTGAGTTTGAGGGACTTGAAGGTGTTGAGGTTGCTGGTGGTGGTGGTGCTGCTGTCGGAATTGAGTGTGGAGTTGTGATGGCCTCTGGACAGAGTATGACTGTGAGGAGTGGTCAGGATGGTGGTCCGCCATGGCTTCTAATCGAAGTACACAAACTCTACACATCCCGAGTATCAGTGGAGTGGAAGTCGAAGATGAAGGGAGAGAAGAAGAAAGCAGAAGAAGAAACAAGCAGCAAGAAAAAGAGAGAGAAGGATGGCCGAGGTTAAAACGAGGTGCAAAGCAATTGAGTAACGATAGGCGATGCTACCAATTCAAGGGGGGGTATAGGAGGGTGGTGGTGGTGGTGGTGGTGGTGGTGACAATGGTTCTCCTCTTTTTCTCGTATCCTATCTTCGCCTCCTTTTCTCTTGGACACGAACACCCTCGGGCACTCCTCGGGCGCAGTGGCGAAATAGAAAAGCAGAGACGACGTTCAGACATAAACAATACAACAAAACAGCAGAGTGTACAGGTATGCTGCATGATAATATGCTGAGACCGTGTCTGGCTTACAAGTGGACGTTATTGTGTGAGTGTGTCGGGTAAAAGGTGGTTGTTTGCTGGAAGGGTGTTTGCGATGGTTTTTTGAATGTTTAACGTACGAAGCCAGAAAGACGAGAGAAAGGTTTGTGTTCCTGAAGTGAAGAAAGAGTCAAAGAATGAGCGTGTGTGTGACAGAGTGACAGAATGACAGGAAGGACAAAAGGGGGTTATGAGAGTGATGAGTGGTGTGCGAGTGTGAATGAGAAGAGAGGTGAGGCTGATCGAGAGAGAGAGTGAGAGAAAGAGAGAGGAGACAAGGCGGGTGAAGGGAGAGAGGAAGAGTGTGAATGTGGTCGAGGTGAAGGAATGAGGATAGGGTTGAGGGAAAGAGGAAGAGGAAGAGGAAGAGAAAGAGGAATGGAAGGAAGGTTGAAAAAGGGAAGAGGAAAAGGGAAAAGGAATAAGGTGTGGATGAGAGCTTAACAAAGGAAGAACAAGAAGGAGAGATATGGACCGAAAAAAAAAGTGAGCTGAGGGGATGGGGGTCAATCTAATATCTGTAATGACTGTGAAGTAGTGAAGTACGAGGGTAAAGAAGAGAGCGACACGCATGAGAGTATTTATTTCAGTGGATCACTGTGAACTACTACCAGTCAAACCATGCAACCAATATCGCTTGCCTTAATGATGGCCATACCCATCCAAGACGCCTCATTCCCCTCCATCTCGATTACCTTTTCCCTCTGTACCCCTTATTTTTTCCTATTGTCATCTCTGTCCTTTGTGTCCAACATACCATTGCCAACCATGTCGTCCATACCATCATGTCCAAGGGTGTAAAAATGCCATGCACATAATCATCCGTCCCTTTTTACTTAATTTTTTATTTTCCACCATCACTTTGCATGTCGCCTCCTTGCTTGTGATTACTTTGCTTAGTTGCTTTGTTTGATACTTCTCTTTGTCCTACCTTACCATACCTTACCTTACCCACCATGCACTTTGCAACATAACTCTCCCTTTTGTCTCCTGTCCGTTGCCTCTTCTCCCTCCTTCTCCCTTGACTCAAAGTGCGTCCTATTACCCTGACCAACTTCGACGCGTCCCTGTCCTTTTCCTCGCTCGCCTCCCTTCCAGGGCTATTGTTTTCCGAGTCATCCTGAATGCTTAGTATCAAACTCTTTTCCGCAGATGCCCAGCCTCCTTTTTCACCATTGTTTTCATTGCAGACAAGCCTTTTTCTGTTCCTTGACGTCGAATACCCTTCCTCCAATGATTTCTCTTCTTCCTCCTCGGGGATCCGAGCATCATTGCCACCGTCTCTCTCGCTCTCTTTTTTTTCGACATATCTCTGCTCTATCCTCTATCCGTCATTTCAGCCTCAGCCAAGAACTGAGCCTTCTCCTACTACTACTCCTCCTCCTCCTCCTCCCCTCATCCTTTTCTTCCACCTTGCGCCCTGGTGTCAAACTCGCCTGAAGTCTATTCCATTTGTCAATTGGAGCGCTCTCCTCCTTTTCTCTTTTTGTGTTTCATCTACAGACATGCACAAACGTAACAAACAGTAACCATAATTTCCAACGCTCATCATACTCTATTTGTTTGTTTCTTTGGTGCCGCCTCATCTTATTCATCCATCTACCCGACACGTTTTCTAATCCCGTTTGTCATTGTTATGGCCATTGTTGACATCGGATCGGGGTTGTTGTAGTAGATGCTCGCAACCGCAACGATGATGATGGCTCTTTACCTCTCTCTACCGCTCACACTTGCGCGCTCTCTCCCCCCCCCCCCCCCCCCTGTTAAAGACGCCCTTTCTTTAACTGACGGGAATTGTGCGATTGGGTTGATGCCAAACAATAAAACATGATAGGCACTCTCTTAATTGCATTAGTTTTATGAGCCCTCTACGAATTATTGCGCTTCCCGCTGGATCTCTCTCTCTCTCTCTCTCTTTCTGCAGTCTGCACCCCACCAGCAACTACGATCGACTGCACTAGACATCGGTATTGTTTCCGCCCTTTCCCTCCCATTTCCATGGCTTTTTTAGTGTGAAGAAACTCGTTGAAAGCCATATCTCTTGAAACCTTCAATTAACAGCAACACAGAGCGCCAGTAGAGTACATGTACCAAGGGATCTGGAGTAGGAAGGCGCGTGTGCATAGTAAGACAATACCAGGGGAAGTGGGAGAGGGGGAAACGCCACATTCACACCCACCCTCACTCGACACAAGGAAACAGAACAATAAGACTAATGTCGACTCATCAAGCACAGACTGCGAAATGCATTCATACATACTCCTAAACCATTCCTTCCAGATCCCCTTATTTCTCGATCGATAAAAAGAAAACCACGATTAAACACGTCCTTTAATCATTATGCAAGAAAGAGAATGAGAAGACAAAAGAAGGGGAACATTAGGGATTAAGATTAGAGGGGCATGGTGAAAGTTGTCATAGTGGTCATATGGTATATGGTAAATATGGTAAATATGGTAAATATGGTAACATGGGAAGAGGCGGTAAAAGGCGGGCGCATGCTATGCTACCACAATTACAAAACTACGTTAATTTAGTACTGCTTCCTGCTTCTCCTCATCTCCCGCTACAGTCGCAACACTTCCACCTTCCTCCACAAGCTCACTCTCCTCACTCTTTGACAAGATCAGTATTGGCAGCAATAAAAACCGCGAAAACCAAATGAGCACCTGCGATTCCCGTGACAGCATAGAAGGAGGCATGCTAACCAGGGAGGAGCTCTCCGCCGATGCATGTGAGGGAGTTCTTGCAGTTGGCTGCAATGTTGGCGATGGCGATTCCTATGGGAGTTCCAAGCTGTTGGGCGACAATGTATGTAGTAGACTAATTTGTTTTTGAAGATGAGAGCCGTTGTAACAAATATGAGCGAAGATGAGGATAGGGAAATGAAAAAAAAGGAATGGGCTTTGATGGGTCACACAAATGCAATGAAGAAAAAATCACCGACTGCCTTTGCTTGGAGTGAGGGTAAGGATGAGAGACACACATGAACACAACCAAACAAGCAAACAAATGATGATCTTGTAACTTTGATTGAAATTGACAGGGGTGAGAGTGGTGGAAGACCCTGAAGTAATTCAGAGGAATGACAGTGGAGAGTAAATTGAAAGAGGGAAGAGGGGCGAAGGAAGAATTGAAAGGAGGACCCTGAACGAAATAATTTGGAAGGAAAGAACACATCAACGATAGTCAACAAACAAACAACAAACAAAAACAAATGGAACCTTACCTGCACCAACAACCCCCCGATCCTCGTCATTCGCATCGGCGACACTGTTAAATTTGACAACACACCCAAACAGGAGTCATCCTCATACAATTCAACTGCAAAGGACCAAGCGGATACGACCAGTACGAGGAATCGGCCTTGACCCGTGCAAACACAATGCCAGAAGCAATAAAGAACAGTCATTCGTTCACCATCGCAATCTTGGACTTGACTTTGGTCAACACTTTTGTGAAAAGGATGTTTGCAAACACCCCTCCGAGTCCATGGACAGTGTAGTTGAGGGAGGTGCGGAAGGGGGTGTAGCCGTGAACGTTCTGGAAGAGCATCGAGGAAAAATAGACCATGGCGGGGGACACGGTCAAGTCGAGGATGACGCAGACGATACCGACCCAGAACGAAAAGATGCCCAGGTAATCAAAGCGGCGGTCGGAAATCGTGGATTCGTCCTTGGAGGTGGGGATGATGATGAAGCCGAGGACGACTAGAAGTGCGCCAAACATGGTCGTAATATAGAACATCCATCTCCTGCCTTCGAAAAAGAAGTGAAGAAAAATGAATGATATCATATCAAGCATCTGATAAGACAGAAAGTACATGATATCTAGGTCAGACATGATGATACATCTAGTAAAAGTATATGGAGAGAAGAAAATGGGTACACACAGTACCAAGGTGGTCGAGGGTGTTGCGGCGGCAATAGTTGTCTTCATTTGTGAAAAGGATACGCGTGGAATGAAATGAACGACACGAGTGGTAGAAAAGCGACAATGTTTTTTATTTTATGGCTTTTGTTTGATTGTTGTTTACGTGTCGTGCCCAAGAATTGGATGGAGAACAAAAGGTAGGGAAACCAAAGTGTTTTTATAATGCTTTGTTTTTGTATCTTCTTGGTCTGTCTTTGAACGAAGTTGTCAGACGCGAACATGCATTAGACAGAAAATAATCGCACCACAGGTTTCCCGATCTGTTTCTAATTTTCGCATCTCACATTTCACTCACTTGTTCTGAGATTGGTCGTTCGTTTTTGCCTTGAAACCATTTGACGTTCATTTCTAGGAGACCAATGGAATTGACCAGTCTCAGACCAAACAAAAAAAAAGGTTTTAATATAGCACAGGACAAGGACAGGGACAGGATGAGAGAAAACCCGAGTTGTACGATGTCTGGCACCGCTCTCCCGGCTCGTCCCTTCCATCCCCTGTTGGGGTCCATTGGAGTTGAGCAAAAACGGCAAGAAAAAGGGCTTCCAAGCCATCAATGGAGCAATTGATCTAAATCCGGGGTTTTATTTTCTTCAAAGTCAATCAAGTTAGAGACGTTCAACAGGCCCTATGGCGGAGAATAGAACGGAATTATCTTGCCTGTCTTTGCCATTGGACGTCCAAAAGAAGCCTGTACCGAGGTCGCTTCATGTCTTGCATGCCTAAAATGCAGCAGGGCAGGTCGTTGAGAGGGTTCGACAGTTTTCATCCCCCAAATAAGGACATTTGTTTTACGCATCTCTTCTTTTTTTCTATGAACGAGCTAGGCATAGTTTGAGCAAAGAAAAACTATGGTCGTAACTCGGCAGGGCTTTCCCTGAACCTTGTTCTGCACAGACCAATTCACTGGATCGAAACAACACCCTTTCCTTGAATCCACCCCCTCAGATGTATAATGATGAATGAAATGTGCAAAAAGTATTATCTATGGTTATTTGTTTCAGTCCTTCAGCTCGGTCTTCTCACCAGGCTGAACACTACTCTCCTCCATTTCACTCTTCTCACCAGGCTGAACACTAACATCCCCCAGAGACATCAAAGAGCCTCCTTTCAAGACCTCGCTCGTCTCCTTCTCACGTCCAGCCTCATCATCCCCAGCACAAACCTCTCCTGCAGGTGGTGAATGCATCCGGACAGGATCGCTATTTGCCGCAAAGAGAATCGTCACCACAAGTCCAACACCCGCCATGACGGCATACGAGTAAAACGCGGCGCGATATCCCGGCAAGAGTTCTGCGCCTTTTGCGGTGGGGGAGTTGACATTGTTGGCGACGATGTTTGCGATTGCGATCCCGATTGGTGTTCCGATCTGTTGTGCTACATTGTACACTAACAAATACAAATGACACGAATGAAAGGTTAGGTACGGATCGAGATAAGTCTCCTTACCGATGCGAAGAATGATCATACTGCTGTTGAAAACATGTGGCGAAAAAAGAAAAAAAAAACTTACCGGCTCCAACGACGCCTTGGTCTTCATCATCAGCATCCGCAACACTATTAATCTGACAACACAACCAAACAGGCGCCATTCCCATGAAATTCAAAATCAAAGCCGGGAACGGGATCTCCCAATACGTCGTGTTCTCATTCGCCTGTGCGAACACCACCCCAGACCCTACGAACAATACCCACCCGACCAGCATGATCAGCTTTGTCCGGACTTTTGATAACAGTTTGTTGACGACAATATTCGCCACCACGGCTCCGACGCCGTGGACGATATAGGTCAGGGAGGTTTTCAGGGGCGTGTAGCCTAGGACGTTCTGGAAGAGGAGAGATGAGAAATAGACCATGGCGTTCGTCGCGGCCGAGACGCAGATGATGGCAAGGCTGGACGCCACGAGGCGCCGAGATTTCCAGATGTAGAGCGGCATGATAGGGTAGTCAATCTTGTATTCGATGAATACGAATGAAATGAGAAGGGCAAGGCCGATAAGGAAAGGGGTGAGGGTTTTCGCGGACGCCCAGCCGCTTGTGGGGGATTCGGAGAGGTAAAAGATGACACAGACGATTCCGATGGTGAAGGTCGAGACGCCGAGAAAGTCGATTCGGCGGTCGGTGATTTTGGATTCGCCCTTTGAGGCTGGGATGACAACGAAACCTAGAAAGGACATGATAAAGCCCAGCATTGCTGTGAAATAAAAGATCCATCGCCATCCTGTTTGAACATTGGCAAATATAATATTATGTGAGGTAAGAATCAGCAAGTGGAATGTCCTTCTTCCCTTGCACAAAATAAAAAACGAAGATCACATCCATGCACATCATTTACCAATGGTAGACCCCAAGATCCCACCCAACAAAACGCCAATCACCGACCCCGCAGCACCAGTGCCTCCAAACACAGCCAGTGCAAACGTCCGTTCCGGACCCACCGGATAAGTAGTCGTCAGTATGGCCAGCGCACTAGGAACCGTGAACCCCGCACCCATCCCCTGCAACGCTCTCCCGACCGACATGATGATTGGATCTTTTGCGAATCCGTTAACGATCGCCCAGATGGAGAACCAGGTGACTCCAAAGATGTAGGTTCGACGGTGGCCGAAGAGGTCACCGAATCTGCCGCCGATGAGGAGGAATGCTCCGTAAGCTAGCGCGTACGCTGAAGTTACCCTATTGAGCAGGTGATAAATGTGCAAGGTGATGTGGCGTGGGGAGAGCAAAAGGCAGCCGGATTAATTTTCCAGACCCCCTTTTTTTTGGGTTGTTTTGTTGTTTTTGGCTTTTACGGTTGGATAGCACAAGAGTGAGAATAGACACAAAAAAACTTTGGAAGATGAGGAGACGTACCACTGCAACTGGTCGGTGGAGTATCCGATCTCTTCTTGGATGTTGGGGAGGGCAATGGTCACACTGGCAACATTGATAATATCAAGCATCTATGCAAAAAACGTTGTGTTGGAAGAAGTTAAACAATCGCGTTAATGGGTGCGTGAGTAAAGTGGTATTGAGTGGTGGTGAAAATCAACGCGGTTACAAAAAAAAATGAGGCGGTGCTATGGTTCATGGAGAACAAATGAAGGAGTATGAGTGGGAGAAAGACAAGGGGGGTGTTTATGCACCTGGGCCATTGAGACGAGGGCTAGGAGGAGGCCCTTCATCTGGTTTAACCGACGGTACCATGGAAGTTGAGACTTTTCAGGTGGTGGTGCTGTTGTTGATATGGTTGTATCCTCCATGGTTTGTGTGAGTGGGAGGATGTGAGTTTGTGTGGTGGACAGAGAGAGAATGAATTTAGGGAGGGATAGGGTTAACCAAGGAATAAGGAAGAAAGGAGAGAAAAGATGCACCAGGAAGCGTTGAATGATATGTGAAATAACAGATGGATTAAGAACCAGAGTTAGGTTGATGGCCTCTCTCTCGCTGCCTTTATATGTTTTTTTTCTCACCTTCTTCCTTCCTGTTGATGGTTATTTTGTCCGCTCTTTCTCAAAGGACGAAGCACAAATAAACACGAAGGTGCAAATAAAACAACATCGATCTGGACCATCTCGACTGGTGGTTGCATAAAAGGGGACCTCACGATGCGCTTGGGTCTCCAAAATCCATGAAACCTAAAAACTGCGGGTAGCGGTGCACATCTACTTAAATTCTGCTTGTCTCCCTCCTCCTCTCCCACCAATAAAACATATACTTAGTCCCAACACCTCTGTTCCTCCTCCTCAGTTCGTCACAGGAGCACTCTACTATCAATAACCCAAATATGCAACAATTTTGGTCCTTAGATATTCAAACGTAAATAGCTTGGTAGCCAGCGTCTTGAGTATCGGGAATAAAACGGGAACTTCATGTCGAGGCGTATCTTTTCAAGTATACTTACAAGTATGAGATGTGAAAATGAAGTCTCGCACAGGTTGTCCTCCACAGTGGTTTGATATTGTCTTTTGTCGTTTTCTGCAACAAGTAAGGGTGTAGAGGAGAATGCCGCGTATAGAACTAGAGAAGTGAGGAAAGGATTTATATAGTGGTTGGGGAAGGCAAAGCAGTAAGGAGCAAGGTCGTTGAAGAGGGCAAGGTAGCTAAGGAGGACGGACAGCACTTAAGAAGAAGTACAGCGCATAAGAACAGCATAGCGGTTAAGAAGAGGCAGAGTAATTAAAAGAATGCGAGGCAGTGATGTTCTGTTGCTCCATTCAACCTCTCATTTTTTATAAAGGCTGGCCGTAGATATCCAATCTTACTTAAAATTACTGCTTCTATAATTTTCATTTAGACGACACCCGTAATAGAGGGCTCTCAAAGGCACTTTACTTAGAAGAAACTGCCCAGGACGACCTCGATGGTCCCGACTATGGAAGTGGGACAATACCATTGGCCAAAGCGATTTCTACGTACCAATTCGCCACCAATATTGAAAATCAAATGTGGTGGACTTTTATTTTGATTGAGATTGGGGCGATCTGAGGGGACTCAACTCAAAAATACAACGGGAGGATTAGCTTTTTGGTTCTTTGCGAAATAAATTCTTGTACAATGACCGCTTAGAGCGAGGATAAAGAGTGAAAGGCGGAAAGAAAGAGATGAGAGGTTCTGTTGACTATATACATGTTGAATCGAGACATAACCATTGACCTTTGGTTGATGATAAGTTTGGCCGACGGGTAGTTTTGATCGCTACTGTTGGTTCAATGGTGGTGAGTTTTGCTGGTTGTCGTTGCTGTTTGTCCTTGTGCGATTCATTTTTGTGTCGGCGCATTCTCATATCCTTTACAACTTCTCTTGGGCCAATGGGCGAACAGATTTCGCCACCCGAATGGAGGGAGAGCTTGGGTGCTCAGCCACGACCCCTATCCTGTCAACCTTTTGTGGCGTTCGAAAACTGACTCTGGTCCAGTCACATGGTGTGTTCAACTTGGTGCGTTTCAGTTTCTGGATCGTCGCCTCGATTTCCAAGGCAAGGTTCTGCAAGGTGTTGACTGTTTGTCCGAGAAGACCGAGATGCATGTTTGAACGAGGCGCACACAGAACCCCGTACTGCTTCATCACGTAGACCCCGCTCGCCATCAATTCCATGGAGTAAACGGTTGCTTCATATCCTACAAATCAATAAAAAAAAAAGAAAGAGTGAGAATGAAAGTACATGCGTGAGAGAGGGAAACGGAGCGACAAAGAGATATCAAATATAAATATCGTCAAGAAAAAAGAAATATACGGTACTTACCGACAACGACAGCACCATAGACTTTTACGCCTGAAATGTCCACACGGTTACGTGCCAGATAATCGATCGAGTCCTTGAGTTGGTTACCGACTTTTTCCAAATCCGTTTGAACTGGAGAGGTGTGTCGATTTTTTTTAGCCTCGAGAACAAACAGAAAACACTTGAGTCCAAGGAGATCAACTTTTAAAAAGTAATCAGGTCTGCGACCTTTGGAATCTGGAGTATCAGTCCGTCTCCGTTCCTTTGAAGGTTGGAATTCCTTCTCCCTGAAGATGGAAAAAAAATGAGCCGATAGGTCAGCTGGGGAGCGGTTCCTTGTTCTCTTTTGCATGAATGCTCTCTTCCCTCCCTCTAAAAGTAGCGCCTCCACACTTACCAACGACTTTTACAGCCAGCGATAGGTCCCAGGTAAGTTTTCAAGAAGGGATCCCACAAATTCTTGATAAGCTCGGCTTCATTGTAGTCTTGATCGCCCCAGAGAAATCCACTTGAGAATAAGGCGACGAGCAGTTTCCGGACCTCTTTATTGCCTCCAACGGTATCAAGCACAGAATCTTCCGCCTCTTGATGGGACATCAGACTGAATTGGATCGCTTTTTCAGCGAGATCAAGCACAACGTCCTTTGCCAAAAGCAACTGCAAACCGTTGGTCGTAATATCATCCCACAGTTCGGAACCAATAGCCGCGTACAAACTGCTCGTCGAATCTTTCATTTCGAAAAGGTAGATGTGGTTAATTGCACTATTCAATTGGAAAGGGAAAAATACATGAGTTAATCAATCCTTGACGATCATTATTGAGCTCTCGATTAAAACACAGGTCACTTACAGCCTTTCGACGGACCCGACCAATCCTTCCAAGCGTTTGGCTTTTTCACAAACCGTAGAGCGATAGTCCCATAGGACACCCGCCAAATCAGCACCTTGCATCATCCAAGGGGACCGGACTGCTTCTGAGCAATCCATATCTCCATCACCGGCCAAGAAGTACACAGTCGAGGTCGGTTTGGAGGTTGTTTGTCTAGGACGAGCGTCCTCGGTGTTCTCCTCCGCAAAGGTGTCGCTGTCAGAGTCTTCATAGATTCCATCATTCGGATCCGATCGTCCTCCCTGATCAACAGAAACAGGCTCCGGATAGGATGGGTTATCATCATCGTCCGTGAGGTTATCCAGTCTCCCGCTTGCCTCTTCAGAAGTGAATCGCCGTCGCTTCCGTTCAGGATTTCCGTGTCCGCTGTTGTCCAAACTTGCCCCGATTTCTATTTTTGTCGTATAGAGATAGAAAAACTCGATTCTTGAGTCTTGGATAATGACGATAAGAAAAAGGAAGAGAAGCAAAGTGTTTAAGAGAGAAATACTCAAAAAAAATTCCTTACCATCATTAAGGGCATGGCCTGCCTTGATGTATGTTCTCGAAGCGAGCATGACAAATTTTTTTTCAATTTTGGAAGCCTCGGTACGGACAGTTGTGGACGGAGACTCAGATTGCTCGATTGCGCGCCAAAAGTCTTTCAGGCCCTTGTCGGGTAAATCCCAGATTGACAGGAGATGTCGTCCTTGGCATTGGAAGGCTCTGACATTGCTTTCTGCCATGATAGTGAGTGCTTTTCTCCAAAAACCGTGAAGAAGTCCCTTGTTCGAGGCATTGAGGTTGTTGAACGTTTGAAAGTAATCTGGCGCATTGTAGTTTTCCGGTTTCTTGTTAAGGAAATAAAATCGGTTTGGGATGTCCGCGTTCTGAAAGGGGTGAGGCTTTGTTGGTGATTTCCCCATCTTGTTCCTAATAACAAGAGATCTTGGTGAGCTTGTTGGAATATGAGGGACTCACAGCATCAGAAATAACAGCACAATCAAACGACTCCGAAATAATCAATATACGATACTCTCAATCTTGTGTTTTAGTCTGAATGTTGAGGGGACAAAAACGGACTGATTGGGAATGTACGAGACGAACGCGTCCGCAAAAGAGATGAATCAACAGATGATTTAACAGACGGGAGGGAATGTGTAAAGTGCGGTTGATGCGATGAAGAAACCCTACTGAGTAAAGAGCACAAAGGATATAATGGCAGATCGTTGAGGGAAACAGAACTGCGCGACATCATTTTATGAAAGACAGTCACAGATTCTGAATCTGAAGTGTGAATAATGGGGTGCATTGGACTTAGAATGTTTACTTTATAAGCACCGCGATCGTTGCCTCCGAACACCTTGATTGTTTTGATTGTTAGGCTGTTTACACTGGAATAATTTTATTATTTGTCTCGCGAAAGAAATAAAAAGAGTGGGGAGGATAATTGATATCGGCTTAAGGCTGTGCCATAAACGCCGATTGTTGCTTGAAGGTAGCCGTTCAGTGAGGACTGCGAGATTGCTCGTGTGTACAGTGTCTACAGTAGAGATTCAAAGAGCAATTGAGCAAATCAGGTTTTTGTTGTCTTGTTGTGTCCTTTTTGAGGACAACCTCCATTACCAAGATAAAGCAAGCAAAATCACAGCCGGTACTTACCCTCATTGGAAAATAAGACAAGAGATTGAAAATGGACCGCGTGACTCGACAAAGGGAACTCTAAATGGTACTAGAACGACGATAGGAATGTGAGTGTTCCGAGGAATCAAGAAATTGAAGACCAAAGACAAGAACAGAAACAACAACAACCCTCTCCCTGATGGGACTACGATCGAGAACAAGACCCCCACTGGTTCGGTGGGCCCTCATTGTTCAAACGTGATTAATGCTCAACCATCTAGCGCGCCGATCGCAACCCTCTCACCAAAACGAGGTAATCGCGGCGAACATAAGAGTCGAAACAACAGTTCAAAAGAACCATCGTTCTATCCGTACGGTAGGGGCTTTCCCAGATGCAGCGGTACACTCTATCGAGGAGGACTCGCTGTCCGAGCTGGCACAATCACTCCAACGCATCGACATCATCGCCTTTTTTGGAACAATGCGTCAAAAACCGAATTGCTTCATAGGACCAAGGTCGCCCCCGGTTGGGAGGCGCCCGCTGGATTTGGGATGTGTATACAACTCAACCATCTAGCGCGCCGATCGCAACCCTCTCACCAAAACGAGGTAATCGCGGCGAACATAAGAGTCGAAACAACAGTTCAAAAGAACCATCGTTCTATCCGTACGGTAGGGGCTTTCCCAGATGCAGCGGTACACTCTATCGAGGAGGACTCGCTGTCCGAGCTGGTCGATATACTCCAGAACAATGTCGATACGTCTCAAATCACAAACTTCCCATCAGAAGAAATGAAACGATACTTAGTCGGATAAAGATCGATCGGGCAAAGAGTAACGGGGAATCTATGTTGGTGTAGCAGATGGTGATGGTCGAAGGAAATAGGACAATAAGCGCTCGGAAACAGGACAATGGGCGCGAGAATAGCGTCACCGAAGATAGTAAATCGCCCGCCCTCCAAACTATAAAGGGTCTAAATCTCAAATAGGAAAATCAATGTTTCATGAAATGTCGCTCTGTTTCACTGACGGGCATCTTAACCTTGAAAAACAGACAAGAACAGGAAATAGCGGTGCCCAGGCGAGCAAAGCGATACTCGAGTGGCTGATCGGGAAGTCATCGACACCTTGCTGGGCCTGAGGCGCATTGACATTATGGAAAGGAGAGGCAACATGGTCATCAAAGAGTTGGGGGAGGAGCACACCTAGATGTCTTGAACGCGCTCCACAAAGCAAGGGTAATCTTTACCTTGAAAAATAAAATAAATTAAAATCAAGCATCACAGAAAAGAGGATATGTCGATCTTCTCCGACGCTAGGTTGAACAATAGTGGCTCATCGCTAGGGTGGGCCATAGTAGCATGAAAAAAGGGCGAGCAAGAAGCATGAATTAGTTTCTTGTTCCCAGTGTCTATCACTCTTGATAAAGTAGCATGTCCGCCACGCATCTGATCGTTTCATCTCTCAAAAGATGACTATCAGGTTCAAAAAAGTCATCGTTTTCAATCGCACTCAGAAAATTCAACTCACGCCACCCTCTTTCCTGCCACAATGGCGTACTTTCACTTTGGTCTGTGTGCAAGCGCGTAAAAAAATAATGCACAGGCCTCTGCCTCAGCTTAAAAGACAGGTAAACTGACATGATGTGATACGGATCGATATGTCTTTTATGGTACAGAATAATAAGAATGTAAGAACTAGATAAGAACTATATAAAATGTAGGGTATTAGAATGATGATGAAAAATGCAAAGAAAAAAAGAAGGGAAGCAAAATAATACAACTATATCTACATCTTCAACTCCTCCTTCTCACCGCCCACCACAGACGTCGAAGACGAGCCCGGGAAGATCGTTGCGCCCGCACTTACAACACCTGATGACTCCTTCATCTCCGTCGTGATCTGGTCAATGCTCTCCGCATGTCCAATCTCTTCATCTCCAGCGCCGGCAGCAGTGGCAGCAACACCTTCAGCAGTGGTCTCGTGCATCTTGGCGGGATCGCTGTTGGTTGCAACGATGATGGTGACGACCAGACCGACACCGGCCATGATGGCATAGGTGTAGAACGCGGCTTGGTATCCGGGGAGGAGCTCGGCGCCCACGGCCAGTTGGCCGTTCTTGCCGTTCGCGACGATGTTTGCGATTGCGATTCCGATTGGTGCACCGATTTGAAGGGCCACGTTGTATACTAGCAACGACGGCAGAAAGAAAGAAAGAATGGTAAGTCATCAAAATTTGTAAGATACAATTGAGAACAATCCTTTTTCTGAAGATGCATCAACAGGACAGTTTAGAGTAACGTACCAGCACCGACGACACCTTGATCCTCGTCATCAGCATCAGCAACGCAGTTGATCTGACAGCACAACCAGACGGGGGCCATGCCCATAAAGTTCAAGATCAATGAAGGGAAGGGGATCGACCAGTACGACGAGTCGGCCTTGACCTGAGCAAGTAAGATACCCGAGGCGATAAAGAAAAACCAACCGACAATGGTAATAATCTTGGTGCGGACCTTGGCCACAATCTGGGTGATGATCACAATTGCGACGATAGCCCCCACACCATGAACAATATATGCCAAAGAAGTCTTTAGAGGAGTGTAACCCAGGACGTTTTGGAAAAGGAGCGAGGAGAAGTAGATCATGGCGTTCATGGCGGCCGAGACGCAGACAATAATCAAGCAGGACGCGACAAGACGCTGCGACTTCCAGATGTGGAGGGGCATGATCGGGTAGTCGATCTTGTACTCGATCACGACAAAGGAGACAAGAAGGGCCAGACCGACAATCAGAGGAGCCAAGGTCTTTGCAGAGGTCCAACCGCTGGCGGGAGACTCGCTAAGGTAAAAGATGACACAGACAATACCGCCGCAGAAGGCACCGACTCCAAAAATGTCGATGCGACGGTCTTCGATCTTGGACACACCCTTCTCGGCGGGGATGACCACGACACCGAGGATGGCCATGACGAAACCGAGCATGGCAGTGAAGTAGAAAATCCATCTCCAGCCTGTAGGGGGGAAAAGTTGCAATGCGCCACAAAGGATTAGCATATGAACGTTCCTCAACTCTAAAAAAAACAAAGCGCGATCAGATGCTAGTCGTAAAAATATTGTGTTCTTTACCAATGGTAGATCCAAGAATACCACCGAGCAAGACACCAATAACAGACCCAACGGCACCAGTGCCTCCAAACACAGCCAGCGCGAAAGTGCGCTCAGGACCAACAGGATATGTAGTAGTCAAGATGGCCAAGGCACTAGGAACCGTGAACCCAGCACCCATTCCTTGGAGGGCACGACCGACGGACATGATGATGGGGTCCTTGGCGAAACCATTGACGACAGCCCAGATCGAGAACCAAGTGACTCCGAGGATGTAGATACGACGATGGCCAAACAAGTCACCAAATCGACCACCAACCAAGAGGAAGGCGCCATACGCCAAGGCATAGGCTGAGGTGACCCTGGAAACGAAAAAAAAAAAAGAGATAGAACACAAAAAAAACGGATAATGCATAAGAGTATTAGAGTTGTGTTGCGTTGTGTCTGTGTGTGTTTTTTAGTGCGATTCGAAGCTCCGCCTGTCTGCATTCGCTTCTTTTAGTCCACTTCTGCGAACAGAGAAAAAACCAGCCATCTCCTACGTGGCTGAAGATTGGGTGAGAAGAGGGGGTCACCATTTTAAATGGAGAGGAAGAGTGTGTTTGCTTACCACTGCAACTGGTCAATCGAGTAGCCGACCTCCACTAGGATGTCAGGAAGAGTAATCGTCACACTGGCGACGTTGATAATATCCAGCATCTACACGGACAAGGAATGAAATGGATCGAGGATGTCAAAAAAAAATGGTTTGCTGAATTGAACAACAGATCGTCAGTTCCATGAACATACGTCGTGAGACATGTGTGGGGAAGGATGATGGTGAGTATAATAAGGAAGGGATCAAGTACCTGAGCCATGGAAACGAGGGCGAGGAGGAGTCCCTTCATCTGGTTTAGCCGGCGGTACCAGGGGAGCAGGGGTTTTGTGGGTGTTGTTATCGTTGTAGCTTCCATTGTTGTGTGAATTTGAGTGTTGAGAGTGCGAGGGTTGGGTTGGGTGTAGAGAGGTGAGTGTAAAGGGATAAATGAACTCGAGGATGAACAGTGGGATTAAAAAGTCGAACGAAGAAAAGAACGCGAAAGGGAGAACAGTAGTGGGATGATGTGGTCGGTTGTATGAAAACCAAGAAGTGCTGAATGAAGAATGAAGAGAAGAGAGAAATAAGCGATGGGGGTTGAGGGTTATATATGTTTTTCTGGCGGCTCATTCTTTTTTGACATTACTTTTTTTTTCTGTGCAGTGGGAACCGCAGGCAAACCGCTATAAAAAAACGAGAGTATGTAAACAAACACCTGAGTGACCACACTGGTAAGAACAAGCGGTGACGACGATTGGATCAATTGGATAGTAGAGTTACGCAGGGCAGAGGAAGAAAGAAAGCTGGGTGATCGGCGGGTTTTCCACTTTTGAATAAAATGCGTAGTTTTGTTTTCGTTTTTTCTACATCTGCTCATACGCAAGGAAGACGGGACTTTTGACAAATCAATTCTAATCTCAAATAAACAATTCACTTTTGTCTTCTTTTGATTGTGTTGTGTCCATCTGTCCTTGCCAGTGCGCTCCTTTTAGAACTATCTGAATTCAGTAATCATCATGGTTCCCTGCTATGTTTTACTCAGTCGCACCAACAGAATGTGCAATTGCTCTTTTCTCTTCCCCCTGTTCTGCAAAACACACACGCACGTATGACAATGCGTCTTTGCAGCACCCCACTCTTAGACAGAAGAAACTCCAAGGGTCCCATTATCCCCTATATACTTGCATTCAAATCCAGCTTGAATCCACTCCCTACTCACCTCCCCCCCCCCCCCCCCCCCTTCTCCTCTTTTCCTTTCGGTGGGCATTCGTCTTGGAACTTGGCACAGGATTCTGGTGAAGGGAAAAAAAGAAAGCTGCGCACAATACCTTCCAGGTACAATTGCCCTCCGTCCCTTTCCCTTCCTCAATCCTAATGCCACGCTACTTGACTACACGCCTTCACTCCAATTATCGCCACTCGGTTCAATTCTTTGGAATCGAGCGAAAAGCATGCAAAGCGCAGGCAGGGACTTGACTAGGCTGAGCTGGGGAAGGTTTTTGGGTCTTTTTTTGGTTCTTTTTTGGGTAAGGGAAGTAAAGATAGGAGCCAAGGATGAGAAAGGAGGGGGTACGCAACTTCTTTCACCGCAACTTTTTTCGATCGGAGAGAGACAATGTTCCTGCTCCCTCACTGGTCAAACAAGATCAAAGAAGAAAGACATATCTCCTGTCATTCATTCAGTTACAATCAAGTCAATCGCTCAATCCCTAAAACGCCCATATGCTTCTTATTTGGGTGGTCGACTCCGCAGCTTAAGTCAATTGAGAAAAGAAAATTCCCCCTTACTCCCTCAAGCCAGAGGGAAATGGAAATCGCCCCCTGTGAATGACGGAATCTCAAACAAGCAGGTGGTGCTGACGCGTACATTACTTTTTGACTTTTAGAAATGAAAACCTCACCTTCATCTTGATAAAAACGAAAAGAAAAAAAAAGCACCATCGCACACTACTATCACATCAAGGAATGAATGGTAAGGGGCTACGTTAGCTTGTAGAAGAATAAGGAACAGTTCAGCTCCCTTTTATAAATCAAGTTAAGCTTGTTTCGAACTAACGGCTTTGTTGTTTGGACACCTTGGTTGGTCACACAAAGGAATTTGTCAGGCTCATAACCGTAGCCGGTTAACTCTCTCAACTAACCATGTTCAATTGACTGCTCTCTTTTCGTTTTCCTCACTTCCTTCTATGCGCATATACCGAAACATGGACATCTTCATACTGGCTTGGCTGTATGAACGCACAAGACCCGCCTCCCTCTTTCGGTGCACAGGCAGAACATAAACGCCGTTCAAAACAACGAAATCGATTGTGAAAAACGATAAGTGCAAAGTTATAACGCTTTCGATGAACGGTTGATTTTTCTGCCAGCACCGCCTGGTTGCCCAAGACCGCGATGACCATGCTGTAATATTAACGATTTGACCAAGAAAAAAAAAAAAAAAAAAGGGACTTGGCAATGCCAAGGGTGTATGCATGTACCAACTTGACGTCAAGTTACCTTGTGAGAAATCGATGAAGCTGAGAGTTAGCTAACCTTTTGGCGCCAGAGAAAGAAAGCCAAGCACAAAAATTCTAACTGTTCCAAACCTTGTTTTCCTTGCATTCGAATAGGCCGTGGGCGTGGCTTTTTGTTAGCTGTTGGACCACATTCTTTTCCTTACTGTATTCGTCCTTCCCTTTCACCTTTTCATGCCGCAGGTAAAGAAAGACACATATGCGCATTCACCCTCAATACGTCCCTTCTCCCCACCACTTTCCGATCTTTCCGCTAACTCTTATTTTTTTCTACACATTGACGACCCTAGTTGCGTCCAGCGCAATTGCCTTTTTGAGCGCAACATTTGTCCCGCCTGCGCAGACCGATCCAACTGAAAACAAAACTCAGAACTCGGTCATTCTTTTTCTGTCTTCTTCCTCGTTCCTGACACATTTTTTGTACCTCATCACTGTGTTTTCTTCAATAGAACTACAGTAGTAGACGATCAACCCACAAACGAAATGAAAATCTTATTTTTTTTTTTGGTGTACGTGGCCTAGCTCTTTACCAATACAATTACTCAGATCCACGCGTCTATGACTGAGCAGTAAAATGCTCCGATCTCCTGTCAAACTTACACCCTGCCCCTGGACGGTCCGGCTTTTCTATTCTACCTATCACAACCAATCACAGACTGACCCAACTCTGTCTTTCCCTGGTGTTATCGCAGCACCCTTATTTTTTTACACATTAATTTGCGCATGTAAGTTGGTGCAAATTGACGCGTTTGGTCGAAACGTCCAGTCTCACTCCTTCTCCTCTCCCTTGTTCTGAGAATTCTATATAGTCCTCTTTCTTTTCTTTTTTGCGTTATGGAAAGGGAGGGGTAAAGGTAAAACAACACTACGCCACCCTTACATCTGACCCGTATCTCTTTTACTGTTTATTATGCATGTTACCCGTCGATTCTCTTGATCCCCGCTCCCCCTTTTTATCTTTCAATCGCCTTTTATTGTATTGTTACCTACTGTTTTGTTTGTTTTCATTGGTTGCATGTTTTTGCATCTCTCCTGCATTTTCATCCGATGCGAACCGGGGAATAAAAGGCAACAAGAACGATGTGGTTTTTGTGACCTTTAGAAAGAAGGGCGCAAGGATGGGGGGCCAGCCCATGGTACTGATGGTATAATAGGGGGTTTCAAACCTTGACATTTGACGGTGTGTAACCAAATGCGCCGTCAAGGAAATCCTCTAAGGAAATACGTTTCCGAGAACTGATGCATTTCGAAATGCGCTTCGATTTGAAACTCCCTATTAGGGCGCAAGGTAGGGCGAGGTATAGCGGGTGATGTCGAGAAATGACTCTGACATGAAGAAGAAAAATAGCAATAGGAAGCTTCGCGTGTGTGTGTGTTTTTTGCGACCTGCGCGTCTATTTTGGACTTCTATTTCATTGCCACCAACTTCGTCACTCCTACGAGCGAATAAAAGCGTTTACATATGCGCTCATTGTGCGTCAACCTCTCTTGATCCCTTCATCACTCCCGTCGACCCACCATGTTGTCTGCGTTTCGGGTCCTCCACATCCCCGAGCTTTTCCACGCGGTCCTCGACTCGAGCACTCGACGACTGTGGACATTGCAAGACTGAGCAAGACAAGCATTCGACTGAACACTCTCTGCACGCCTGTTTTCTACCGCTTGATCGATCTCGCTTGCAGCTGTAGGTACTCCAGCTTGCTGCAGTTGCCGGATGCACGTCAAGGTCTTGCCAGGAGCGTTCATCGTATCCGAAAGCTCATTATGTCTTGGTTCGAGTTTGAATATCTCGTCAGCTGCTTCTTGGTCCACCAGAGCTGGTCGGTCTTGTACTCCACTTGTCGATATATCGAGTGCGTCCCGCTCTGCCATCCCCAATAACATCGACTGACTGTAGAGCGGCGGAAGGTGTGGACATGGGTGTCGCTCTTAGCCACTGTGTTGGTCTAGAGGTGCTGACGTTTGGTGCATGTGGTGATTCGCGGTACCCCATTTGTCTACCTGGAGAACGTGGTCGAGGTAAGTCCTTGGACATACATAGGACTGCGCCACTCGAGATCAGACTGGCCGGGACCAGAATGCTTCAACCCTACCACCAACGCCATGGACGTATGGAGTTGAAATGAGTTGAAAAAAGCGTCTATATTTATACCTGAACGACAGACACCCACCCCTACCTCCCACTTATTCTTTTGCGAGAACTCATCAAGAAACAAAGACGCCCTACAAAAAACGTGTAAAGAGAGTAAGTCGCCTCATTCTGTTCCTCTGGTTGACTATCACAACCCGTCCAAGTCGTCCCTTGCAACCCTCGCATACCATTCACGTTCACTTCCCTCTTATTCCAACCATTACCATAGCTCTCTCCTTTCCTCATCCAAGCAACAGAAAACGGTCCAACCACACATCCACTCCGCCTAAGCACAGATATGTACAATAATTTAGCCTCGGAAAAAAATATGAACAAGACAGACAGCGTCCGCTGCAATGAAATGAACCACCCATCTCCTCCGTCGACCTGAATGGATCTGAGCTTAGGCTATAGGTATGCAAACGGACGCGCCATTTGGAGATTGCGTTTGCTACTCCGATGCTATCTCGGACACCCGACCAAAGGCCCTATTGCGACAGGACGTCAGCGACTACAATGACAGGGATCTTATCAAACCAGGAGCATCAACACTTCAGGATGCTTGAGTGTGTATCGCCTGATCGGCTCACTGACGCAACTCACCGTTCTCATGTTGAGAGTGTTTGAGTTGAATGAACAAGGCGAGCTTCCTATCGGGCCTTACTTTCACAACATTTTGCCTGCCATACTGAGTCAGGGAGTTGACGAGTGATCGGGTTCGGGTTCGGGATTGGAAGGATAACAACGACGACCTGCGTTTTTGAATCTGCTGGGTGGATTGACCAAATTGATCGAGCTACGAGGGTCCTTCAATGCGAACACAGATGAGACCAAGGTGACGATGGGTTGGGCCGAAGCGCGGTGGTGGCGAACTATTGACTGAATTTGAAGGTTACAGAGTTCTTTCGCCGAGACGAGGAGCTGACGGGACCGTTTCTGTAGCTGACGGAGCAATACAAAGATAGGCTATTGGACCTGACGGGTCAACCCATGTCATTCGTTTAGAGAGCTACAACAATAATGTCAAAATAAAGGTTCAGTTACAAGAAGAAAAAGAAGTGGGTGCTTCACGTGTCGTAACTGTCCCCAGATGAGAAAGAAACACCTTGCACCTTGTGCAGTACATTTGTATCCACTCACTCAACCCCGGTACCGGCAAAAAAAATAGAAAACGCCGCCAGAAAAGCCTAAAATGCAAAAGAAAAAAAAAGGATGTGGAGGGACAGGTTTGATCCTGTGTACCCTCATTTTGAAAGGTTGATAACAATACAGTAATCTTTTGGAGTTACTGTAATGTTGCTGTTGTGGTTTGCTGGCACATCCTTGAAAAATGAAAGTTGTGGGTGGGTCTTTCTACCTCACGCCTCCAGCTGTCACAGCGAGAGGGAAAGTGTTTGTGATGGGCTGAAAACCCTGGAGGCGCTGATCTGGAGACTTCGGTGCTCCGCGACGATCGCGTGGGAGCAGACCCAGGGTATCTCTGCCAAGAACAAGACATCCAAGTACACAGGCCCCCGAGGTGACTGGAGTCAAGGATACGGTTACATCACGCACGATGGTTTCTGTCCGTGTGGCCCTTCGCTAGCCACACATGATGAAGGAAGGTGCCCTGGAGCGACCAAGGACCCACGCGCTGCTGACGAGCGGTTGTTGGAGAATTTGTTAGGAAGGATGGGAAGAATCCCCTTCATTCGTATCTAGTTTTATTTTCTTCCGTTTAAGCTGTGAAGAGCAGCGACAATTGTTGCGCAGAGCCAGGTTCTGGACCGGACTGCGACTGGTGGATGGTGCACTGAAGAGTTTGGTCTGTAGTCCCCTTTTACTTCCAAATAACTTCTCTATGCTGTTTGTTAGAGAAATAAAATTGTGTACAAAAAAAACCCCCCCTGGAGGCGCGGTTATCGCGTCAAAGGGAACAAGGGCTAATTTTTTTAAATACCTTTTGCAATAAAAAAAGAAAAAAAAGGATAGCGTCATCTAAATCGGGTCGAGCTCCAGGGTAATGATATGTGTGCAACTTGTCGATCAAGATTCCGACTGTCGATGGCTCTCCTCAGTGAAGTGTTCAATTGAACATTCAGTCAAAAAACAGCTGATCTTATGTCTGACTCTAGACATGTCCAGTCGCACACCATCTTTCTGTATTTAGATGAGAGACTCAGTTAATTTCCCCAATGCCACAAGGGAAATTAAAAAATGGGAATAGCATACGAAGAGGTGCAAGCACTAGCATCGACAAATCAACGAAAAGAACTTACCATGGCTGTATTTTCTGCCTGTTGTCTGTCGAGCATCATTCTTCTTACTTGTTTGTGCCTGCAACGTCCGCTTTTTTTTTAAGCAGGATCAGTTGATCAACTCAATTTGTCTCATTCAGCTTCTTAAACGTGTACTGATGGCGTTGAGAGGAAGATTTGTTTGGGTGCAACCAATGGTCCAATGGTCTAATCACAATGTACTTTTGCTCGTTCGCCCATGCCAGCCCTACAGCACAGCTTCAAGAAAACACCGACAAGGCTCAAATCTTCCCATGTTGCAATTTGCTCCGCACTGGATAGATAGCGTGTACGATAATCGTAGATTGCCTTCACGTACAACATTGCCAGTCATCAATGGCCTCATGAAAGTCCCTCGTACCACACTGTCTCTCTATCCTTCAGCTCAAGTTCCAAGTTCGATGGTGAATTTTAATGACACGAATCTGCTATCCTGTCTGCATGACTCTCCATGCGCTGATTCTCCTGTTGTCCTGCAACGAATTCAAAGGCAGTATCGACGAACTGCTGGCGAAAAAAAGAGGATAGGAAATCGATGGCATTCCATTAGACGACTCGCTTGACCTCAAAGAAGCGTTTGAGGTAGGTGATCTGGAAGGCGCAGACCACAAAGAGAAGTCCTGACTGGAACAATGACCACCACATCACGCGCCAGTTTGTGCTCTCGGCAGCTATCATATACAAAGATTGAAGGAAGTCGATTTAGCGACACTCATACTTCAACAAGCGAGAAACTGAAAAGCAAGAGGGTCTAAAGCAATGGGCGAGACTTACTGTTGCGATGTGTCCGCTCGCGGGCAATGGTATATTCCTGCTCGTTAACGATCTCCTCAATTCCTGCGGCCAACTCACGGAGCTCGTTCGCCAAAGGGTCCGCTTTATGAGCTATTCGTGGCAGAAGCAAACAATAATAATCATGTCAGTATGCTAAAGACGTTCTCAACGCGACGTACTACGGGCATATGCTGCAATCCAACGACTTCTATTGACGCTCTTACTGGTATCCTCCACATAGGCCTTGACAACTATGACATTGAAGCTGAGGGTCTTGTCGGTGACGGTCGAGAAGGCGTTGCTGAAGCAGTACTCGTATCTTCCCTTGGTCAATGCTACGTGGTTGAATGTCTCCGAGGGTGACCTGCGAGCATCCTCCACCAACTCTCCACTTGGGTTTGTAATCTATTCCCGTGAACATAATAAGGATAAAGATATTTAGACACGCGTACTTTGCTGCCACCTAAACCTTTTGACACACTTTCCCATCCTCTTGTGCGAGAACATGTTCAAAACGTCAATGAAGCTGTTGTGGTCGGTGCCGGAAAGCGAGCTTACCCAGAAGTCGATGTCGAGATTGCCTCCATCGCCGACCTGAAAGGAGACGTGGAGGTTGTCATCCTTGTCGAGCATCTCGACGAAGCATCGTTGTTCCTGGGGAGGCACGTCGATGCTGAATGCGGCGACGGACTGGATTGTCACCAAAGTGGCGACGACGAGGAAGGCGAGTTTCTTGAGCATGGTGGTGTAATTGATGATGTTGAGCAAAGAGTAAAAATTGAAAATGGAAGCGTTGGCAGAGAGCTGTTGGCTGGAAAAGGATAGCGATAGGAGAGAGGGAAGAAATCAGAATCGTAATTGCTACAGAGGTGGTCTGTGTGCTGCTGGATTTTTTTCACGTCCTGGTCGCGTCCTCAAGCCTCCGTCCAGGCACCGACCTGATCATTCGATTGAATCGATTCTACGTCCCCCTTTCGTAGATAGACAACGTGACCGTATCTGGGTAAACTGTCTCATGATGGGTGGTCATGACATGGTTCGACTCCTCCTTCCCTACTCCCTCTCTATCCAGCCCTTTTCCTTCTATTTTAAATGACGATGATTATTGCCCCTATTCTCGCGTGTGGCTGACATGAATGACCTCTGACCTTGCCCTGACCTCGGTCTGCCTGACCCTCCACAGATGGATCCTTTTTTTTCTTCCTTCCTTTGGAGTACTCACCTCTTTCTTCTTCTTTCTACTTTTTACCTTGACTTCATTCCCATTCCAGAACCGCCATTCAGCCACATTCCTTCATTCCTTTTCTCTTTCGTTCCTCGCCTCCATACAACCACACATCAACTACAGCGGCGTTGCTCCTTCCTTCGCATACCACCACTTTTTCAACCCTCCCCTTTCCCTCCTCAACACCCTTGCCAGTCCACTAGGCCATGGCATACATAACAAAGGACCAACTTAGTATGTCGTCCACCAATCCTTTCGCCGCCTATCTTGTTTCCATAGCTCTATTACTCAGCAAACAACCCGCGTCTCTGACCACCAATCCCCTCCCCTTATTATATTCTTCCTTACACCACCACTTCGATAGATATGTACCTTCAAAAGGTGAACGGTCAGTCTGCAGGGGGAGGACCAGGAGCCACCGGCACAGCAAGGTCTCGCTCAACCCTGAACGGTCCCCGTCCCCCCAACTTTGGATCCAAAGTCAGCAGCCGAAAGATCTTTCAGGATGGTAATGGCGCCTCCCCTTCGATGTCACCGTCTTCGCCCATTACCCCAACAACCACTGCCCATATCGAGAGTGCAGTCAAGACCTTGGGTCTTTCCTCGGCACCCAGTCATCCTTCGAACCACCAGGCTGCTGCTGCTCGTGTCCCAAGTCCGATCTTGGAATCGATGGGGGAATCTGGACCACCACCTGCTCCGGTGATCATGGAATCCATGGGTTCGGATGACTATGGTCCGCCAGATAACCATATGCTTCAGCAGCAGTTTGGAGGAATGGCGAATGGTCCTTCGTCGCAGCATTATGCAACTATCACGGGGTTTGTGGGAGGGGCTGGACAAAATTGGCCGGGCAATGGATATGGACCTGGACCACATCCACATTCTCATACTCATCCACAACACCACACAGTCGGATATGGTTCACAGACCATCGGCCCAGGAGGGTACTATCCCAACGGCAACCATAGCCACAACAGTAATTATTACGACCCTAATCTCCAGCATCAACCACAACAGCAACAGCAGCAACCTCAGTACCCTGTCCACTTCAGTCAAGAACAATACTTGCAGCTTCAACAACAGCAATATCAGCAGCAGCAGGAGTATCTTCGACAGAAGCACAGCCAGAATGCTGCAGTCCTTGGATACTACCCTACCAATGCAACAGCCTCAGGGCACATGCAAATTCCAGGGACTACTCCTGTCCTTGCTCAGCCTGTGCCAACACCTGCGACTATTTCAAAGACAATCACCCCTCGAATCGTTCCTATTGTTGACATCCCCAAGTACACGACCGTCAATCCGCCCAAGACCGAGATCGAGACTCTGAACGACGAACAGGACAACGGCGATTGGGCTCCTGAACCTCCACCTCGGGATCCTCCCAAGAAGTCTCCTATCGTCGCCGTTGCTGCTGCTGTGGACAAGCCAATGCCCAAGCCGCCCTCTCCACCACGCACTCCTATTGATACTATCTTCTTGCCCGATCGATCTCCTACCCCAAAGATCTCGATTCCTCCAAAGTCGGTCAATTCCGAGATCTATCCTACTTCTGCTTCTGCCTCGAGTGCTGCTGCCGATTCACCTCGATCCAAGCTATCCTCCCATCCAACCACACATATCGTGTCGGATACACCAGGCTTTGGGGATGAGGTCTCGCAGGAGGACAGGATACCGATGCCGCCTCCACGCGAGTTCCGGCGGAAGAGCACTGCTTCACCCACCATTACCCCGCCTTTGGCCATGAGCGATCGAACGACTTCAAGTGGGATCTTCAGTCTGGGACCCACTTCCAGCACTACCTCAGTGAGCTCGTCCACTTTTGCTCGACCAGACAGTGCGTCTTCGACTACCGGTAGTAGCTTCAGGGCCAAGGCCACCACTCCTACCCCAGGAACTGTGCGCGCCAACTCTGCAAAGTTCAATGCTATGGCTGCCTCAGGAAACAGCAATTCTAATCCAGCGGCAGTTTTTTCCAAGGGTGCTGGTTCGATTATCGGGTCTTCCGACGCGACCGCAAAGGGCACTGGTTCATCGAGCCCTACGACCAGGAGATCGCTCGACCTCCCTGCATCTTCATCGTCATCGTTCTCATCGAATTCTTCTTCTTCCACCAAGACTCATTCGATCGTTATTCCACCAGAGGTGTATGCCGACAAGGAGCTCCCACCCATCCGATCAGCAACACCGCAGTCTCGATCATCAACGCCCAGAGTCCAGGAGCCCGTCCCAGTCGACTATGACAGCAAGTGTATCCTAACAGAGGAGGACAAGCTGGCAATGATCCCGAGGGCAGATGACGAGTCCAAGGAGATATTAGTCGAGCATGAGGAGGAGCCTACACCAGTACCTGTGGTCGCAGCACCCAAACCAGTCACTCCTCCGACCAAACCAGCTCGTAATGGCGGAGATCACCTTGGCGGTGGATCCAGTCTGTTTGTCTGCGCAAGCTGCGAAGAGCCGATCTCGGGTACCATGATCACGGCAATGGGCAAACGATGGCACTCGGACCACTTTGTCTGCTCAGTATGTGATCTCAACCTGGAGCACGTCCAATTCTTCCATAAGGATGGCCAGCCCTATTGCCATTTCGATTACCATGACAAGTTCAGCCCCAAGTGCGGCCACTGCAACACCCCGATCGAGAACGTAAGTACCTTCTCTAATTTCTTCCGCTGCTGAAACGAGCTAAACCCACTCTCCCAAAATTTGATCTGCTAACTAACGCACCCGCGCCTATTTGCTTATATGTGTGTTCTACAGGAATGTCTGACGGCATTGGGCAAGAGCTGGCATCCAGGCCACTTTTTCTGTCGAGACTGCGGCGACCCATTTGAGGAGGACGGATACATGGTCCATGACGGGTTCCCATACTGCGAAAAGGACTATCTCCGTCTTTTCGCTCCAAAGTGCACAGGGTGTCAGGACCCAATCCAGGGTGACTTTATCAGCGCATTGAAGGGGAAATGGCATCGCGATTGCTTTGGCTGCTCCGTAAGTTCAGAAGAAAGTGCAAATTTCCATTATTTACAGTATTCTTTTCTTTGTACGATTCCACTTTTTTGCAAAGGTATCACATCTGACTCTTACTGACACACTGTTCCCTTATGCTTTACGTCTTCTTTACATCCTGTTTTCTTGTTAACGTTTGTTGGATGATAGGTGTGCCATATTGGGTTCGACGCAACTTCATATTATGTCGAGAACGGCAAACCATATTGCAAGGCCCATTACAAGAATGGCTCCCGAACGACTTCCACTCCAACCGCCTGATCTCTTTCTCAAGCTTTTACAACAACACATGTATGATTGCAAACAAACCGATTTCGCTGTTCTCCAAGCCTCTTCCCTCCACAAGTAATCATAATCGTAGTAGTAACTGTTGACACCATTCGTTCTAGACTTTCTCTCCCACAAACCGAATGGATGTTCAATGACTTAAAACAATGCGCAAACAATAAGACAAAAACTGGTTGAGTTATTATGTAGACGCCTAATATTTTGGTGAAAGAAAGTAGTACATTGTGGTAAACAAGGAAGTGACATTCAACTGGAACGTGTAACCGTGCGGTGTGTTCAATTAGGCCTTGTTGGGGCGGTCAATGACAGGGAAGCGAAGCTGGGAAACAATCTTGCCCTTGGAGGCCAACTCGCAGGTGACAGTCTCGCCGGGGAGGACACGGCCAACACCGGCGGGGGTACCGGTCAAGATAACGTCGCCCTCTTGCAACTTCATGATGGTTGAGACGTACTCGATCAATGAAGGGATCCTAATTGTTGTTTGGGTAAGTGGTAAGCAATCAAGCGATGTATTGGGAAATAATATCATTAGTTTGCGAAGGGGTTCGGGAATCGACAGCCAGAAAAAATAATGATAAGGTACGAGTACGATGGAATGGGTACATGGTGGATCTTGACAACCCATGTTGACTAACAGTAGATCAGACAAACGGCTTTTTTTTTCGTCCTCCACACTGCGCATAACAAACAATTAAGCGTTTTTTTGAACATTTTACCCCGGAATGGACGTAAAAGGAAAGCAAATTCCCCATCGCTCCAAGCCTCACTATCTCTTGCTCGGCCGCCACCAATTGACCCAATTGAACCAACTGAAAGTCAAAGTAACCAAACAAAAAAATGAGAAGGGGACTTACTTGAAGATCATATCGCGGGTGTTTCCATTCTGCTTCGTAACGCCATCAATCTTCAACGACAGATCGACATCATTAGTGTCCTGAATAGCATCCTTCGCAATAAACTCCCCCACAGGTGTGAAGGTATCATAGCCCTTGGCCGCACTCCAAGGCAAGCCGGCCTTCTTGGCCTGATCCTGCAAGTTCCTAGCCGTCATATCCAAGGCCAAGGTATACCCCGCAATGTGGTGATGAGCATCCTTGGCCGAGATGTCACGACCGTCCTTTCCGATAACGACACCCAGCTCAACCTCGTGGTGGACTTCACAACCCTTGGGGACCTCGATGGCTTGACCGTTGGAGATGAATGAGGATGTGGGCTTGAGAAAAAAGAAGGGCGATTTGGGGACGGCGTTTCCGAGCTCTTTTGCGTGCTCGCTAAAGTTGCGGCCGATGGCGATGATCTTGCGACCAGAGTGGATAAAGTTGCGGGAAGCCATGGTGTAAGGAAGGGAAGGGAAAGTTGGAGTAGGGAGTAGGAGTAAATGTGTTTGTCTGTAAGAGTGTTTGAATGCGTGTGGGAAAAAGAGAGCGAGGACGAGACGCGCACTTTTATCATTCATCGAGCGCTTCGAAGAACAGTCACATTCACAATGGATCAATTGGTCGCCTTCAGCTTCAGGTACAAAACTATCAGACTCACACCACAATCGACAATCGACTATCATTCACCACTTTCAGGTACGGGAGGCGACGGTTTTTTATTCATCACTCAGCTGTCAAGAAAAAAAAAAAGAAAAAGGGGCGATAAACTTCTTCACGCTAAAGAGGCTATAGATCCAATAGTCCTCTTCTTTACGAGTAGTCACCACCAAGGACGCGAACACATCCATGGGTAGACTTGTTGACAGGGCAGTCAGCCTTGGTCGTGCAGGCACGGATACAGTAGATCTCCGCATCAGGCTCAGTCAACTGCACAAACGCATTGTACCCACTGAAGGAAGCACCAACAGGGGCTCGCATATCGTACTGTCCACCACCGTCCTCGGGTGAGAGGCTATACTTGCTACGGTCGATACGACCAGTGATCTGGACCCAACCAGCAGCAGTGTTACGAGAGAAGTGAGCAGACTTGATGAATCCCTTGGGGAGGACCTTGGCTCCGGGGGCGCCGGGCATGTTGGCCTTGGTACAGAAGGCAACGGCACGGTCCTCGTTGGCGGCAATGTCGCCTCCAACGGTGGGGGGCAAGAAGATACAGAAATCGTTCTGGTCAACAATGGTTCCAGTCTGACCATACTTGCCGGGCTTGGGCTTGGGTGAGGTTGTGGGCGTAGGGGTGACCGTAGTGGTGGGAGGAGCAGTGGTAGTAGGCACAATGGTGGTGGTGGCCGGCTTGTGCGCCTTGGTGGTAGTCTTGGGCTTGAGAGGCTTCGTAGTAGACTTGTGCGCCTTGGCGGTAGTCTTGGGCTTGTGGGGCTTCGTGGTCTTCTTGGGCTTGGCGTGGTGATGGGTAGATGTGGTGTGGTGGTGGGGCTTGGTGGTGGTATGGTGCTTGGTGGTGGTATGGTGCTTTGCGACCGAAGTGGTATGAGGGTTCTCGACGGGAGCAGGGGGAGCAGCGACGGCCATGGTGGCGATCAACGCCACGATCATGGCAGCCAAGACCATTTTGAGCTGAGATTGCTTCATTATAGAGTAGGGTGTGTGTGTGGTGGGTCGTTAACAAGAGGGGAGGGTGGAGGTAGAAGTAAGAGGCGAAAGGGTGGAAGGAAGGAGAAAAAAAGGCGTGAGAGAAGAAGAGAAAAAGGAAAGAAGAGTGTCCAGCTGCGTTCTTTGTACCTTTTATATCTTTCTTGAGGGTGTCTCTCCGACAAAAGAATAAGGGCACTCACCATCTACCCTTGTTCTCATCGCCATACAACCCTGTTTTCTTTTAGCGCATTTGAGTATTAGCTGGAGTCCATTTCGGGCCACATTTGAGAGTTGGACACTTGAGTCGGGCTCTGAGAATTGGACTTTTGACAAATGGGGATAACTGCACTCATGGGCGTCGAACCCAGTTGGACATTTCATTTCGTTGAGTTTACCCATTTGGAACCACAACTGACTTGAAATACGTATCCGATATGGGTGCGGCTTGTCATCTCCTTCTCTTATCCTTCCTTGCTCTTGCACGCTGCAGAAGACTTACACCGGAGCACCGCATTGAACACCGACGAACCCTCACTCTTTTACTTGACGCCCTCTCATCGCCCGTGCTTATGGAACCTGTTTACGACCCAGAATGTTTTCACGGCGGACCCCTTCATCTCTCTATTATCGTTCGCCTTGGTAGCCAAAAAAAATACCTCGCTTCTAGCGTCTGCCTTAATATACACTTGTCGTACCTTCAAGTTATTATTGGTATGGGTTATCATCAATTGTTCGTCATAGATGTAAAGCTATGCCAATGTGTACGACTTGCTTCGTAAGAGAATGCCGCGTCTGTCTCAGATGAATACTGTATGCACAACAACCAACAAAAAACAATGGTATGTGCTCAAAATACACAACGAGATGGACACAAAGACATCAGCTTGCCACGACAAACAAACAAAAAATGTTGTACAGGGTTCTGCTCTGGTCACACCAAAATCAAGTGGGAAATGCATAGACTGAGACATCCCACACTGAACATACCTTCTCTAACTTCTCTAGTAAACGCATCGTCTAGTCACCCTCTTGACGCTGCCAGGAATGGAGGTCGCGGTCGGGTACCTTTGAGAACCTCTTCCTCTACATTTAGAAACGAGATAAGGGTCAAAAGCGCATGCACGTCTGTCTGCTCAGAAAAATAAACGACCCCAACAAAAATAGGGTCATCCTTTCCATCTATTCCGCTCAAAAGAGAAGAAAAACGAGGTTGTCCATTCCCTTATACTGATGGCCCCCGGCACGAGAACAGTTCACATGTACTGTACACTAACCATGCTGCCACATTCGTTCCTTTTTCCACCTGTTTTCTGCCTAAATGCCCACTGCTCTTGAATGAGAGATGGGTGCAAATTATCTTAGCAGATTGAAAAGGTTAGATCGAAGCCTTTAGTTTAATGAAGAAAGAAAAAATACGAAGGAGACGTACACTTGGGTCGAGTTGACAGAACCCTTATTCCTGGACTCCTTTCAGACCAGTAGCAAGTACTCGAGGGAACGGGGATGATAAAAATAGCAGCTGAGAATTACAGTTCATTCGTCTCTCATAATTGCATTCCCTGGTGCCCACTTTCCCTTATTCGATCGAGCGTCCAATGGGGATCCAGCTGATAGCGACAGAATAATGAGCCCCAAAATTATCCTTCTGACAAAAAAGGGTCTAAGAAAGAACGAAAAGATACATACTCTCGAATGCACAGGGTTGAAAGACAAGAAGATAGGGCTGGCATTAATGCGGCCTTTGGCTACAGCCAAGCCAACCTGCACCCTTTCTCTCCATTCCTTTGCTATCTTTATCTCTTTCTATTTCAGTCCCCCATGCGTAGTCACCGAACGTACCCACATGCTCCAACCTGGCGCCAAAAATGATGTATACCTGTCTAAGAAAAAAACTGGCGCCCATACCGTTTCAGTGTGCCAAAAACAGATGTGAAGAAATGGGCGTAGACCGGCAGTAGGCTAGTGTTGGGGCAGAAGGGTAATGAAGGACAGACTAAGGACTGTTCTTCTCTGCACAAACAGAAAGGTAGCTGAAGTACACTCATTCAATTCCTGGACACAACTCCATTACCAGAAAATATTGGTGCGATAAGGAGAAGGTGGCGCTGGAGGGAAGAGGCGGGCAGACGAGCAAGGAAAAACATGAGTCGGGGGAATCATTCTTCCTGCGCAAACAAAACCTCCCCAGAGGGCTATTATTACTGGAGAAAGAAGAGAGAGTTGCTCTCGATAACCAGGCTGAAGTCCTTGTGCGTCCTTTTCTGCTGGTCACCTCCTCCTCCTCCTCCGCTTCTTCCACTTTCACTACAGGTTGAGTTGATGGTCGAGTTGTGGGGAAGAGTGGGACAATGTCATGCTAAGTTATTCTTTCTTATTTGCTATTTCTGCAGGAGTTGATAATGGTTCAGAGTTTTTTGCTCAATTGATGAAGGGGAATGAGGGTGGTACCCATCACCACCCCAAAGGATTCCTTGTCCCCTACCTGACCCCCTTGCTCTACCTCTCAAAAGAAAGGCTAATAAGCCAACAAAAAGGCAAAACAAATGAAAGCAGGAATGCTCATTACGAGCCAGCATTCTACGTTTTTCGTAGATGAACAGAGTGAGAAAATATGGAAATTGATTAGCAGGGCCAATGTCTATCTAAAAGATGTCGCAAGGGGTGTAAGTGAGCTAGGCCTGGACCATTTCGCAATTGGACTCTTCGTGTGGTCGCCAGGTACGACTATTCCATCTATTCTTTTCGGCGTCGAAGGGTTTGTGCTCTTTGTTTTTTATAAACCTCCTTCCTCTTTTTACCCAGGTTGCTAATTTCATTACTAGACCAAAAACAGACCACACGCTAAGTTGACCTTGTCACTTTGAAAAAGAGAAAAAGTGGGCTGCTGTCAGCCTGTTGTTGTCGCCTGTTCGCCTTTTTTGTGCGCTCTCTTTTCTTTCTCGGACTTTTGAATGTCCTTCTGCCAGCTTGCCTGTCTGCCAAGTAATAAAAATAGGGTCGAGAAGCCCAATTTGATAACAGTGAACCATAACCTCACCCAATAAAGTAAAGGGAGTGGTACTTTCCTCTCTCCTCTCGGTGCGCCTTCTTACCGGGATTCGTTGCGGTGCAAAGTCCAGACTCTCAATAAAAAACCGTGAGAGCCCTCCTCCTACTTCTTCGTGTTCTTGTCCATTCAATCGATGAAAAGAATCCACTGTATAGGCGTGCACCAACAGGGTAGCAACAACTGTGTCTTTTTTTGGGAGATGGTTTGGGCGCTAGCAACTGAACGGACGAACGGGGTTGCAGGAATGGAAGATAGACAACAAACAAACAGATCGACCGGCTGCAGACAACCCATCAGAGAAAACATGTATATAAAGAATCCGTTCCCCGGCAATTTCTACTCTCCATCAAACCAACTCTCTTACACACTCACACACCCCTCTCCACTCTCCCAACAACAAACAACACCATGCTCTTCTCCAAGTCCTTCTTCGTCTCCACCGCCCTCTTCGCCGTCCTCTCCGTCGCCTCTGCTGCCCCCAAGGCCAAGGCCTCCAAGATCGGCCAGGTCGGTGCCATCCACAACGCCAAGGACTTCTGCTTGTTCCTCCCCCCCATGTACGGAGGTGACATTGCCGCCAACGAGGACCGCGCCGTTGCCTTCTGCACCAAGGCCAACATGACCGGTGCCCCCAAGGCTGGTGTCCTCCCCAAGGGCTTCATCAAGTCTGCCCACATCACTCGTAACACTGCTGCCGGCTGGGTCCAGATCACCGGTCGCATGGACGGCAAGAAGTACGGCCTCAACCCCAAGGATGGCGGTGGACAGTACGACATCAAGGCCCCCGTCGGTTCCTCCTACACCGGCTACAAGTACTTTGTCGAGTTGGTCGAGCCCGACTCCAACATCTACTGCCTCCGCGCCTGCAAGACCAAGGCTGACTGCCCCGTCAACAAGTCCACCTACGGATGCAGGAAGGTCCTCGGCGGCAACTACGCTTAAATGCCTTCTCCGCCTATCACCATTCACAACATACCCACTGTATACCACATTAAAAACCATAGACTTTTTTTTTGTATCTGGTTCTTCTCTCCTCGTGCTTGTGCTGTGGTCGATGAGTGTGAACAAAAGGGAAACTGTTCGATGTGATATTTCATACGTGTATTATCTGCTTTTTGATTCTGGCTTTGAGCACTGTCTAATATTTGAAAATGCAACCTAGGATGTGTTGTAATATTTTGGTGGCGCCGCTTTTACTTTTGTTATCATCCCCCATCAGTATGCCTGCTGCCCCTGACAATGTTCATAGCAGAAGAACAAAAGGTAATGAGCAACAACCAATCTCTCTTGCAACCTGAATGGACTCCAGTGGAAGCCATTGCAACATACAAGGAAACGGTCCTCCGAGGTGCAAATAGGCCACAAAGGAGTAAAGAATTGAGAGGGGAGGGATAGCTCAAAGCGTGAAATACTTGAGTTTGTAGTACTGTACAATAGATTTTTTCACTTTCATGCACGTTCACGAACATCAACGACAACAACGACAACCATGGCAGCATCACAGGACAACCCCACAACAACCACAACGATCAGTGAGGGGATGCGACGACAATTCCACCGAGATGGCTTTTTGGTCGTGACCAATGGTACCCTCAAGCACATTCTCATTTGCACACATCTCGAACAGAATCAACCGCGTGTGAATCTCATCAACTTCGTGTCTAACTCTCCACTAATCAGCTCCACTTTTGCTAAAACTATGAACCAACCGACTTGCAAATAGCATTGGAGACAGAGGACGTGGAGATACTTCGGCGCGAGGCGGACTGTCTCATCAACTATCTCATATCGGAAAACATCAACATCATGACGGACTACGGCGGTATCATCGGTATGCAATTGGCACCTGCAGAGAACAAACATGGTGGCACCGTTTGCTGGCAAACACAACCTTAACATGGGGTTCTATTATATATATCTCTCTCTACTCTTCTCGTGTTTATACTTGATAGAACCGATTACATGTGGCTACATCGACCCCCCGGTCTCACAGATGTTCATCTTGTCGAAAAAGTCGTACTCGCACGTCAGGGACCAGGTCCCCGAGGAACCTGACTCGGTACTTCACATACTCTTCGAGAAAGTACCCGCAATGGTCAACAACTTCTTGCCACTGGAATCTGAGGACGATCCTACATGTCTGGTACGCATCTGCTTCCTTCGATTGTTGCCTCGTTTCTTTCCATTGTTTGCTGTTGACGTCTAATTAATAAAGGGGGCGGCTTTATCCTACTTTTGGGGAAATGGATAGTTCAACGAGCAGTACATTGTCAAGACGCCCGACTCTGCAGATGTATCATCCTTCGAGTGGCACCAAGTAAGTAATTTATGTCCTGGTCTGGTACTTTATTCTCTCATCATCGCGCGTGTGTGCGGAGGAAATTGTACTCACAGTTCCAACGCTACATTGCTACCATTTCACTTTAGGATTCGCAGTACATGGACACAAGTGCTCAGGAAACCTTCCCCATCGTATCATGCTGGATTGCTTTGGACAATGTGAACCTGGTAAGAAACTACTAGCCTTGACTTGCTTCCGTGTTCACAGAGTAACGTTCCTCCAACGCAGCACTGACCAAACGCGACAACATTCATGATATGACATGATAGAAAAATGGAACTCTGTTGGTTGAACCATTCCCGAGGCCAAAGGACGCAGCAACGGGAGGTTATATCGACCCACCAACCCAGTTTCATGGACGCGACACGTACGTCCGGTACCACAAACACCTCGCCTCTAACTACGTGAACCCTCCCTCCAACAAAATGACTGCCATCATGAAAGCCCAGCACCGCCAACCTCTCCAACCACCACCACCATCATCACCATCAGCAGTAGGAGCAGGAGGCACTGCTGTTGACACATTGCCAAACGATCCAAAGGAATGGATATACGAGAGTCAGCCTCCTGTGCTGGTGGAAGTTCCTGCAGGATCGATCGTGTTTCTGTCTGGGTGGGTGCGGCACTGCAGTCTGGGCAACTCGTCGTCAAAGTTTCGACGAGCGTTCATGCCTCAATACTCGGCAGGCAAGGTTGTCACGGCGACAGGTGGAATGGTATCGTTGGCGGTGCCGTGTAATGAATACGATGAGCGTGAGCGTGAGTGGGTGGATCCTCTGGGCCGAAAGCAGAGCCAGGGAGATGAGCTGATCGACGATGATGATGAGTTTGGACGGACTGATGACTTGGACTTTGGAGACGATGTCGACATGGAGGATTGAGCCTGACTTGAGAGGAAGATATGGAGAGATAGGAGTCTCCAGTAAGGTTCACTGCAACTGCCACTGTTGTATGTTTTAGCATTACTGTATTAGGTTCAGTACTGATTGTTCGTTCACGTAGACATCTTTTGCTAGGATAGGATCTGCAATAAAGCGGTAGTCAGCATCCCTCCGTCCTCACCGGATAAATGTACCGAGGACAGGGACCGACAAAGGCAGGGAACTGCCGATGGCGGTTTTTTGATTATATCACAAGTCATCATACTTTTTCGAGGCTAATGCACATCATAACACGGCGAAAAGGTACATTCCGCTTTAGCCTTGCGTAACAGTCGCCAATGGCATGGTTGGTGACAAGTCGCTAAAAACGGCTTTCGTTGGAGATTGGCATATGTCGGCGCCCACATCTGACAAGCGCCTGTGGTTTTTTTTCTGGAGAGCAAAAAAACAACGACAGCAGCTCTGGAAAGAATTTGTTTTGGTAGTGTAATATGTGTGTGAGGGGACAGAGGTTCTAGCCCATCCTTGTAGTCAATCTTCTCGTGGCCATCCATGAGCTACTCCATTTCCTGCCAGGGAAGACGTGGGGTAAAGGAAAGAGGGGAACGAGCGGACCCAGGAAAAAAAGCTCTTCTCCTTTCATTCTCTCTCCTCCTGTATTTCTCTCCTTCCTCTCCACACCTCAAGAGTTGTTTACGAACTTTGTTTTGATTGGCATTCCGAACCTGAAGAAAAATGTATCCCTGTGCTCATACCTCTCGCAACAGCAGGTTTTCACTGTGTATTGCGTATTACATGCATGCATGTGTGTTAATGCTCTCAAAGAGCTATCCGTATTAGTATTTTGCGATGACTAAAAGTAACCTTCCTAACCCGGATGGTATTCCTAGAGAAGGAGAACTACTGCTTGCTGGTGGGAACATGCGAGAGAGGCATGTGTCTGTCGTTCCTGAAAGAAGTATATTTTTGGTGGCAAAAATTCAGGAGCAACCAGTGAACAAACCATTATAAAAAAAAACGTCCCAAGAATAATACTGCTCGAGAGTGATCTGAATGAAGAAAAGAGAAGAGAAAGGAATGTACCTCTCGTATGAATGTAATAAGGTCACTTTTTTTTTATTGATTGAACATGTTTGGTTTTTTTTGGTGCAACGTATAGTGTGAAAAGTAACGGCCTCCAGCGCTTTTTCTCTTCTCGCCTGTCCAACTCACCTCCCCTGGGGAGAAAGTAATTAACCAAACGCGTCTATTTCGCGCCTTCTTTCTGTCAATCTTCATTGTTATATGGATGTAACATTACCGTTTTCAGACTAAGGGTGCCAAAAGAAGAAGGGGACCCCTCTTGTACATGGCGGGGTGTACCAGGGCTGTAGTGAAAGAAAGGGAGAAAGAAAGAACGACAGAAGAATATTGGCAAGACTGCGAGCATTAATGTTCATGCATGGTTACCCCTTCTCGCTCTCTCCACTTCTCCTCCCTTTTCTTCCCCCTCTTTTCTGGCACTTCTATGCTCAGTTGTCCACAAGAATAAACAATTGAAGGGATCCAATTCTCCTCCTCTTCTTCCGCTATAGTTTGTAGACTGATGATACTGTGCCAGTACACAAATGCTCCTTGTTTGTTCCCATTCTTAATCTTTTCTGGTAACCCAAAGTGAATGATTTGCTGATGCCATAATCGAGTATTATATGCGCACCGCCCTGGATTTCTCTTTCAGCTGAAGGGCAGAAGTAAGAAAGAACAGAGTGTTTGTGGTAGGGCCATTCCTCACGACATGTGTATCGCTCTCTCAAAGATTATATTTTTGCGTTTTTTTCGAGTGCTCAGAGAGGAGGCGCGTTCTTTCTCCACTGGTAGGGCCCGTTCGAAGAGGAGTCAAGAATTCTGATGACTACAAATCGGCACTTTCCTTCCGAGAATCATCTCTTTGTTGTGGGTGCATGAGGATTGAGGTCGCTAGTGTCATTACTCGCCCGTTCGCTTGTTGCTCATGTGTCCAATCTCTATGTGTGTTTACTTTCTCATTCGCTTTTCTCGTTAGCGGCTCAATTGTTTGTGGACGAACCAAAAAAGGGGATCGAAAAAAAAGGTTCGGCGTACAAATGTTCGTTCAATTGTCAGCCCTCCATTTTTTCATTCCTGACGATGTACGCCTCTTCATTATTCTATCAGCATCCTTGTCTTTGAAAAATAAAAGAACGAGAAGCAACTCAAGTGCGTTGACAGGTGCAGCATTGCCTTCATGCAGGGAGAGAACGAGCAATAAAAAAGGTGCCCTTGGCAGATCAGGGCTGCATCATTGAAGAGAAGAGAAAGACAACAGAGTTGAATAGAACCGAAACTTTGCCCAACCTGTTCCTTGCACACCGGTTAGATTATTGTGTTATTTAGTCGCTCGGTTTTATTGACACGGGATGGGAAGAAGAGGGAGGCTCTCAAGCTACATTCCGGTGGAGACAAGCGCCGAACTTTGTGTCGTGAGGGGTTGTGTTCGAACATGTGTCCACTCTAATGAACCGACAAGGGACAAGAATACCTCTCCAGCTCAAGTACAAAGGGAAAAGGCATCGAAATGGTTCTATTTTTTTTTTTGCTTTCTTCTTTTGGTTTTGACAGTTGACAAAGTAGCTGAGCCGGTGTCTGACTGAACTTTTTATTTTACTTTGTGTTTTCTTCTTTCAATCGAAAGCTTACCACTCCACAATCCACTCAAACCGGGGGTGGGTGCTGCTCTGGCTCAATGCAGCTGTTATATTATAGTAAGTTGGATGGTCATTAAGAAAGCCTTAACCGATGGATAATAGGTTTTATCAGAGCCGCAATGTATGGAACATACATGACAGAACAAGAGAGGGAGAAAACTAAGGATGCTCACTTCCTTCAGGCATGGAATGCCGGATGTTTTTTTGTATATAACGGTCCTTACCCCCGGTCCTTGGCTTTGGTTTCTTCGTCCCCATTGCTCCCTGCCTCTCTGACCCCCACCCTCCCCTTTTCGATCTCCCTCCTTGTTCGTTGATCTTCAACTATCCCTTATCATCTTCGGATCGAAACACCATCACTCCCTTGTATACTCCAACAAATCGTCACATTCACATACCAAGATGCGTATATCTGCTTCCACTGTCATCCTGTCGCTGATGGCTGCCGCCTCCATCACTGCAGCTCCCACCCCCGTCCATATCGAAAAGCGCGGAGTCATCCTCGACAAACTCAAAGATGCCTTCGCCAAGGCCTTGACCTCTCTTGAATGCGGGGCTTGTGTTTCTGCTCTCGTTGTTGCGAAAGACGTCTCTTACCTCAACCGCAACTGGGTTCTCGATGCAGGTAAATAGCACTCATACACTGGAACAACATTTCAACCATTCTAAAGTTTTCTTACCATGTAACTCACTCACTCACCTTCTCCTCGGCACTCTGATAACCTAATAGCCAACTCCTTGTGCTCAACATTCAAGATCATGGATCAAGATGTCTGCAAGGGCTTAGTGTACAGCCATGGCCCCGTCCTGATCGAATCTGTCATGCGCGCCAAGCTATTGTCCGGCGACGGCAAAATGATCTGCTTCCAGATCCTCGGAGCATGCCCAGCCCCTGCCATCACCTCGGGTACTCTGACATTCCCTAAGCCAAAGCCTACAAACATCACCGTCAAGGCCGCCTCTGGTAACCGCGTCGATGTCCTCCACCTCTCGGACTGGCACGTCGATGATCAATACGTTGTCGGATCAAACGCCGCCTGCAACAAGCCCCTCTGCTGTCGCAAGTATGCCGACTCACCCCTTGTCCCTGGCCGCGCTGCTTCCAGCTGGGGTGATTATAACTGCGATGCCCCCGTCAAGTTGGGCCAGGATTTGTTGAAGTTTGTCCCCACCATTGCCAACCCCAGCTTCTCGATCATGACCGGTGATATCCCCCCTCACAATGTCTGGGCCGAGACCCGCGAGATTGTCATGGCTGAGGAGAAGGCTGCCTACTCTGTTATGGCCGCCGGCATCACCAACATGTACCCTGCCGTCGGTAACCACGAGGCTGCTCCTGCCAAGTATGAAACCTCATTTTATTTCATTGGTATTCTTTACGGACGTACATGCATATACACATTGAACCGTTACCCTGACTTTGTAATTAACCCGACTCTAATTTTTTTTGGGTGTCTCTTAGCTTGTTGCCCACCCCCAACACTGGTGGCGACTACAAGTGGCTGTACAGCCATTTGGCGGACGAATGGGCCAGATGGTTGCCCGCCGACGCTGTCAATTCAGTCAGGAACTATGGTGCATACACTGCCAGCCCCGCTCCCGGTTTCCGCATCATCTCGCTCAACACCAACTTCTGCTACACCATGAACTTTTACCTTTACGGTGCATTGAAAGACTATGATCCTTTTGGTGAGTTGAAGTGGTTCATCTCCCAGCTCCAGGCTGCCGAGGATGCCGGTGAGCGTGTTTGGGTTATTGGACACGTTTCGCCCTCCCAGACCGACTGCATTCAGAACTGGTCTGCCCTCTACTACCAGGTCGTCCAGCGCTACTCGCCCCACGTCATCGCTGAGCAGTTCTTTGGACACTCCCATTACGACGAGTTTGCCATCTCCTACGGATCCGGCGCCAAGAACGCTCAGAACGCCATCTTGACCTCGTGGATCGCACCCTCGGTTACGCCTTATACCGACTTGAACCCTGGTTTCCGTGTGTACAAGGTTGACATTGGCAACTGGAACGTTTACGACTCCAACACTTACGTTGCTGATCTGAGCAAGGCCGCTACATGGGATTCTACAGGCGCAACCCCTGACTGGCACTTGGAGTACAGTGCTCGTGAAGCATATGGAGCCCACGTCCCCATCGCTGCCGACCAGCCTCTCTCCCCCGCATGGTGGCACAATGTGACCAACGCCTTCGAGTCCAACGACGCCGCCTTCCAAAAGTACTGGACCTACCGCGGCAAGTCTGCCAACCGCATGGCCGCCTGCACCACCAACACTTCCTGCCCCAAGGAGATGATCTGCGATATGCGCGCCGGCAAGAGCACTGACACTTGCTCCCAACCCGCGTTCGGTCTCCAGAAGCGTGAAGATGGCACCGAGTACGAAGATGGTTTCGTTGCTCAGGATGTCTCGGGCCTGCGTAGCGTCTTTGGGTCTGCCAAGAAGCCATGGAACCGCAAGCTCTGTGGACTTCCTTCCATCTAACCCATGCACATGAAATAATATCACATCCTAATAGAAAAATAGCAAGTACACTCCTCTCTATTTTTTCCACGTCAAACCATTGGACGACACACGATCATGAACGTCGTCCGCCCTCACCCATATACCACAATAAAACCTCTCGCCTCTTTTCTTTGTACATACATAACTGCTCCAATGATCTTGCTTCTATGGGAAAACGTTGTCTCGGTCTTGGGAGTGTAAGGGTTGGGGCACCTGCTCTGCTAACGAGGTTCTGTTAGCACATGGTAAGAAGGGCCAGTCATCCGTTTAGGTTATTCCAGAAAGTACGACAAGAAGAATTCAAGTGCTGGCCACCGATGTATTTGTATCATGTAATGAAGTATGTACTCTACTTTTTCATCCCTCAACCTCATCCTATCCATCCATGTGTTTGCATTAAAGTGGCACCGACAACGAAAAAAAACGTAAGAGAACAATAACTGAGAGCCGAGTCGGTGCTTGAAGGGAAATAATTTCATTGAGCACTTTTTTTTTTCGCCGGAATGGATGTCGAGGGTGGAAGAGGGGCCAAAGGATGTTGCGCATTGAGTATACGGACGAGATTATTGGCTGGAGGGCGGGTCCGCCAATCATCCCTGCAAGATCCTCAGCATGCATGCAAGGCGGAACGTGGGGGCCGTCCATCGTGGCAAAGTGTCATCGTAAAACCCCGACTCGGCATTTTTGTTCCGCTGCTCGCCTGCATTTTCATTATTAATATATCTTTTAGATATGGCTTTGTTAGGAGGACACATGAGAAGAACTAATGTCTAGATATACGCGTGCTTTCTTGTACATGCGTGTACGAAGGTGTGCGTATCAAAAATTCAAAAGGTAAAAATATTGCGACGGATCTCAGTTTGACTGAACAATCAATGTACTTTCGGGGAGAGACGCGTCCTCCACTTCAACTGCCCCTAGGTTGGCTGCTGTTGTTGTTGTTTTTTTCTTCTCTCCTTCACTCAACTCACTCAGTCTAGTAAGCTCTACTTTTGCAATTGGCACATGTCAAGTCAAGCCCTTTCCTCCATCTCTCATGGCTTCCATTTCCACTTTCTTTGTTGACGACATCCTCAACAACAAGTATCCATTTTTTTTTGTTGTGTAAGTTCGCCGCTTATTATGTTCCCACAGCGGCGAAATTCTTGTTCAGAGCAGCTGCTCCCAAACAAGATTCAAACGATGATGCACAACAGAAATGTGATCGAAAGAAAAATTGCTCTCGTGTTTACCTCATTCCATCCCCCTTGCACCCTTGGCAGGGTCCCCTCCTTCTTCACTCGCCTTGCATTCTCAGCCTGTCGTTTCCATTGACCAATGCAAACAGCGGAAACTAACGCGCTTATGACTCTATTGGTTAGTGCTATGTCCACTCGCTTTCCTCTTATCTCTTTAAGTTCGTTCTTCTTGACAGCTGCTGTAAACAAGGAAACGAGTCAGGTAGCGCCAACAGAAGAAAGGGAAGAAGGGTATGTGCGCCTTGGGCTGAATCCTATTGGAAGAAACGACATGGTCTCTGTTGTTTTGTTTTTTCTCTTGATGCGCATTCCGAGATGGGAAGGTCGATGACAAACAAAAGAGCCATTCTAGACGAGGAGGCAAGGGAGGTTGGACATGGATAAGGGAAAAGAATCCCAAAACGGATGCGGGACGGTGTCCGTTCGACCTCATTTCGCACGTTTGCCGTCAAAAGGACGGTGCAGGATGGGTCTCGACCATAACTGAATTTGTTATGGTTGTCCGGCTATTCTGCCCCCTGAAGAACCGTTGAATCGAAGGCAATGGGACGAAACATTGCCTGTCTATTTCGCCTAATGACTTCCATCGTCTATTGCTGACCAAACAATGAGGCGCACCTACAAGGAGAAGTACCCCATGGGTCACTGATTGCAGTGACAAGCCGGCTTTTAACTTTGAAATTGACAGAGTAGAGTTTCCATCCCCTCCCCTCTCCTCGTCACTCACCATCCTTCTTTCCTTGGTGGCCGCACTAGTTCTTTTTCTCTTTTGATTCCCACTCCGGACAACCCGCGAAAGGTAAAAGACAGATACATACGAAAAGGAAATACTTTTCCCTTCGACTTCCTTCTCACGTTTGTCACTGACCCCTCCTTTCCCATTCATGGATACACGCGCCCCTTGACAACATGCCAAGGAGCTAATTCATTGCGATCAAATAAATAAACAAACAATCAAACCAGAAGCAACAACACATGTCCGTTGTTTGTTCCTGCAGGAGCCACAACAAAAACCCAAACAAACAAATAATCAAACAATTTAATTCGAGCTATTCCAACATGCCAACGAGGCGCTAGGGAAAGAAAATGGAGAGGGATACTTCAAAGAGCATACCACACTCATTTCGTATTCAATCGTTTTTTTTTTGTGTATGCTAATGCAGGATATCACTTAGACCTGGATGCATCTCACATCTAGGAACGAAGATGGAAGAATCAGGGTCAATGGACTCCTTTTTCTAATTACCCACTGCCTTCCTCCACAACCATTTAGCACTCGGACTCGTCATCGGACAACGGGTGATTCTGATGAACATGTGGATTCTTCCGAACCCCTGAAGCTATTTAAAACCAAAGCCGTTGGCCTGTCCATTTCCACTTTTTTTTCTTTGTCCCTTGTCCTTGACCTTGTCCACGTTACCCCTCCCTCTCTCCCTCCCTAACTCCTTCAAACCCGTCCCCTCTCCCTGTCTCTCAATCCACACTCTTCACGACCCACTTTCAACCAAAGATGCGTATCAAAATCTCCGCCGTGATCCTGTCATTGGCACTCGCCACGACCACCGTCCTCGCCGCACCGGCCCCCATCCAACCTTCCACTCCAGACATTCTGGCCGCAGCCCCCTCGCACTTGAGTCACCTCCAGAAGCGCAACTTGGTGACTGACAAGTTGAAGGGGCTGTTGCAAAAGGCTCTGACCTCCCTTGAATGTTCAGCATGTGTCGCAGCATTGGTCGGCGTCAAGGATGTCGCGTACCTGAACAAAAATTGGGTTTTGGATGTCGTGAATGATCTCTGTCCTTCCCTTGCCAAGGAGCCCGCCGATGTTGTAAGTTATCTCTTTTTTTTCCTTGCGTTCTTTTCTTTGTTGGATATATAATACATGTACAAGGCTCTGACCCTCCTCGTACATTTCCCGCTTTTTTTTCCTTCCCTTCTTCATGCATCGTTGCATGATATAAATAACAGTGCGCTGGACTGGTCAACTCGCAGGGTCCAGTCCTCATCAACTCGCTCCTCAAGGCTGATCTCACAGGCGGTGATGGCAAGGAGATCTGCTTCCAAGGTAAAACAATTATCCATTTTACCACCCTCCTGACACAACTTTTCTTTTTCATTTTCTTTTCTCTTTTGCACAATTACCTAACTGAAACACCTTGCTACACTATCCTTTTTATTTACCCTCTCACCCTTCATCAGTCCTCGGAGTGTGCCCAGCCCCTGCCGTCTCTTCAGGAACCCTCACCTTCCCAAAACCCCGCCCCGCAAACCCCACAATTCACGCCCCCTCCGGAGTCCTCTCCGACGTCCTCCACCTCTCCGACTGGCACGTCGACGAACAATACACCCCTAACTCTGAGGCCCAATGCAACCGCCCCCTCTGCTGCCGTAAATACCCCGACTCCCCCGCCTCTGGTTCCAACAATCGCTCGGCCTCCAGCTGGGGAGACTACAACTGCGACTCCCCTGTGAAATTAGGTCAGGATCTGTTGAAGTATGTGCCCACGGTTGCTAAGCCGGCTTTTGCGATCTTGACGGGTGATGTGCCGCCGCATGATGTTTGGGCAGAAACTCCGAGCACTGTTGTGGGCGAGGAGGCGAATGCGTATGGGATTTTGGCGTCCTTGGGTGCAACCGTGTACCCAACTATTGGTAACCATGAGAGTGGACCACCCAAGTAAGTTCTTTTTCTATTATTATCTTGCGTTGCTGACATAGCCAGCATGCAGGTACAAATTTTTTCCCTTCTACATGGAAGCACTAAGCTCACCCCTGTCTCTCGTTATATTATTTTAACCACCCTTGCTAGCCTGTTCCCCACGACAGCATCGGGCGGAGACGCTTCATGGCTCTACAACAGCCTCGCAACCGCCTGGTCGCGCTGGCTCCCCGCATCTGCAACAAACTCTGTGAAAGCCAACAACGGCGCCTACACCGTCTCGCCCACCCCCGGATTCCGAATCATCTCCCTCAACACCAACTTTTGCTACACCATGAACTTTTATCTCTACGCGAAGGTAAGAGCGCTTAACTGCTCCTGAACTTGATTACGAGTTTTCTTATTTCATGTCGTTCTGGCTTTTGTAGGGTACAGTAACACTAATACGACCATATTTTTTGTTTCGTGTGTTTTTTTTCCAACAGACAACCGACTACGACCCCAACGGAGAACTCAAATGGCTCATCACCCAACTCCAAGCCGCCGAAGATGCCGGCGAGCGGGTCTGGATCATCGGCCATGTAGGACCGTCACAGACCGATTGTCTCCAGAACTGGTCCGCCCTCTACTACCAAGTCGTCCAACGCTACTCCCCCCACGTCATTGCCGAACAGTTCTTTGGTCATACCCATTACGACGAATTCGCACTCTTCTACAATTCCCCTTCCAAAAATGCGGCTAGCGCGATCTCGACGGCTTGGGTTGGACCCTCCGTCACTCCTTACACTAACCTGAACCCCGGCTTCAGAGTCTACAAGGTCGATACAGGCAATTGGAACATTTACGATGCAGAGACTTATGTCGCAGACTTGACCCAAGCCTCGACCTGGGACGCCAAGGGTACAACTCCAAACTGGCACCTCGAATACTCGGCTCGCGCAGCCTACACCCCTTACCTCTCCTCTCCCTCCGCCGCCACACAACCCCTCTCCCCCGCCTGGTGGCACAATGTCACCGTCGCCTTTGAATCCAACCCAGCAGCCTTCCAGAAGTACTGGACCTACCGCGGAAAATCCGCCAACAAGATGCCCGCCTGTACGAATGGATCCGCATGCCCCAAGGAAATGATCTGTGACCTCCGAGCGGGCAAGAGTTCTGATTCCTGTTCACCCATTTCTATCTCGTTGAAGGCAAGGTCTGACCAGCGGGCTGAGGCTATGGAGGCTATGGCGGGAGAGGCGATGATGGACCCCTCGGGGTTGCGTAGCCTGTACAAGCGTGCTCCTCTCAAGCCCTGGAACAAGAAGTTGTGCGGAACTATCAACAAGCACTAATGTGCATAACGACTGGACTCACTCCAGCCTTCTTTTACCCAATACCCTACTATTTATTTTATCTTTTTTCCCCCACCCCTCTTCAAACCATCACGCGTTGTTCTGATAAACGCGATGAAAATAGTGCATACATTTCAAATAAAAAAAATCTCGAAATACCAAACTTCATTCCAAGTTGGCTGTATGGGTAAAAAAAAAAGTATCGTTGAAATATTGCTATTGTGTCTGTTTGGTATCTGGTAATGGGTAAATAGTAAAAAGTAACAAAAACGAAAATATTGTACAAGCGCGACTAGCTACGGCTGATATTTGCGTAGGCATTAGTTTGTCTGCCCCATTTGTGTTTTCCCCGCTTTTTTTTTTCGAAGGAGACACAAATAAACAAACAAAAACAAGAGGACAAGCAGAAAAAAAAACAGCCTAGCAAACACGCATCTCTTTCATCGATACATCTGCCGCTCGAGCAGATCGTCATCCACAGGCGCAAACTGGAGCAAGCGTACTCCTCCTTGCACAAGACCCACCTAAAATAATAATATTCGATCCAGAAGAAGATTATCAATCTTTTCATTAATGTCGATGATCACAACCATATAATACCCACTCCCCATCCAAGCCATGGTCCTCCAAAAAAAAAATGTGAACCCTAAAACACTCAAAGAAAACTTACGACGATGTACTCGGGATCGCAGTCGATACGCGAAGGTCGGAGTCCTTGGATAATCTTCTCCAGCCCAGGGTTGAGGCTATGGGCAGTCACATATTCTCCATGCTGCATCCCATATCCTTCTTCTCTTCTACCGTCATCGTCCATCCGGATCGCCGCCTCCCCACTTTCGTCCACAGGAAGAGCAGACGCCGGCGTAGTAGTCGTCGCTCCAATAGGACGCGGACTAGGAGGCGCAGGGTACACTCCAATCTCGGCTGCCGGACGACTGTGCCTCAAAGAATGCACACGGATCGGGACATGGTCCTTCAAGTTCTCAAAGATCTGCACATACAGCAGCTGGAACCGTCCTCCTCCCATAGCCGCAAAGTTGCACGTATGCGTCAATTGGTGGCGCCAGTACACCTCTGCGCCTTGGTTGTCCCACTCTTCCTGAGAGATGTGACGCTCAAGATTAACCGTGCTCTTGATGCCCGACGAGGACTTTCTTTGGAGGAGAGGCAGGCGGATATGGGCCATAGTGTTGCTTGACTCCCAGACAACCATCGAAAAGTCATTATGGAGCCAGCAGAATGAGACTTGGTGGTTAGGGAGGATCGAGTCAAGAGTGAACCGACCGTAACACTCTCCATGGAGTGAGAACAGTCTGATCAAACCGTCGTAGTGAAGTTCGAGGATAGTGTTCTGCACAAAGTACAGAGCCTCTGTAATCGACGTCTATGTATTTTTCAAAAACGCGGTACGAATATGGTTAGAGTTGGTCTCAAAAAATACAAACGCGGTTCGCACCATTAGCCATTCATTGGGGCAAGATAAACAGGAAAAAAAGGTGGGAGGGTGTTCACCTCGTCTTCAACCTTGAATTGGCTGACTTTGACACCAGTCTTCCAGTTCCAGGTACTATAGCGGCCCTCTCCATCAGAAGCAGCGAGGTAGGTATCGTTGATGGCACAGATAGCCAGATCCCAAAAGTCCTCCTCATAGAGACCGATTTGCTGACCCGTCTCTGTCGAGAACAACCGGATCTCAGACCGGAGGTTGTCGATATCATAACCGAGACCCGCAACAATCTTTTGCTCCTGGAGATGCTCGACCCAGGTAATCTCCCCGCGGATCTGGAACCGGTGAAGCAGCGTTCTCGTGTTAATGTTCCACAGATGGACCCGACCATCGTCACAGCCTGTCAGGACATAGGGCGCCATGATCTGGAGGGTTGTCAACTTTTGGTAGTTGTCATCGAGCGAGATCACGTCTTGGACATGGCCCCGTCGCCAGTTCTTTTGCCGGAGGAGATGGCGCTTGCAGAAGAACTTCCAATTCGGAATATTGGGTGGGAGCGTCTTTGGGATATCAAAATAGAACTCGCCCTGGATGACGTTCAGAGCGAGCCTCTTCCAGATGAACTGGTCAGACGTTGCCCCATAGAGCAGTCTACATGCCTTTGGGATCAGAGAGGTAATTGAGAAAGACGAAAATTAGAAAAGAGTAAAAGAGAAGCGACAACAGAGTTAGCGTCCGTCAATCAACAACGGTCCGACTTTCAATTGAACCCAAATAGCAATGGGAAAAGGACGGGGAATATTTTGTCGGTAAGGTTGTTGTCGACAATGATCATTGCCATAGTTTGGTTGCCGCACGATTGCACTTGCTGCCGTTCTTGTTGTTGTTGGTTGTCGTTGGAACGTGAGCTGGAGAAGAGAGTGGTGAAAGAGGTGCGATGATAAACCAACCAAGCCCTGTAAGCAACCTTGCCTTGTTGTTGTCCATAATCCTTCAAAAGTTGCAAAGAGAGAAGAGTGACACGAGATGAATGATTTCAAAAGGCAAAATGCGGGGTAGTTGGTCCCTCTCCTCCTGTTTCCCAGGCTGTAAACAAAAACAAAAAATCCGCGCGCCGCTTCCATTCGCATATGGCACAGTCAGCTTCCCCGCCTTTTTTGAGTTCCCCTTTCATTCCCTCCTTCTCTTCTTTTGACCACCACGACCCTGTTTATGCCTTCAGTCAGCCTGTACAGTACAAACAGAGATTTTTTTTCTTATTATTAAGTCTGTCTCAATTGCACACAACACACACACACATAAAAGACCACAAGGGCAACTCTCTTTTTGTTATCCCTCACGGGTACATTGGGGACATGTATGGAACAATGGGGAAATAAAGGCAGACACATCTCGGCGCATGAAAAAAAACACACACACACACACACAAAAAAGGGGAATCACACAATGCGGGCACACAGCGGGTACAACTAAAAGAAGAACAAAAAAAAAAAAAAACGTGGGCACTCTGATTGTTTAGGAAACGAAGAGAATACTTACCAATTGGCAGTTGTAAATATCTTGGAGGGACAAGCGACCAAAGATCGAGTAACGGATGTCATACGGCATTAACAATCTCTCCAGTCGGTCTCGTCCGTCTGTCCGGACACCCAAAGACGAGGACGATGCTTCTGCGGTGGCGGGCACCACGGACACTATTGTCGATTTCGATGTTGACCGAGAGACGGCGGGCAAAGGGGAAGTGGAAGAGAGTAAAGTAGGCTCGAGCTTGATTGTCTTCCTCCACAAAGATGACGATGACGACAGCAATAACACGGACGAGTCGATAATGTTTGAGGGATTGAGCAAGGATGGAAGGACGAAGGAGGAATCACGGGTGTCCGACTGATCTTCCTGCGTCTGCTGCTGTTGGTGGCGGAAATCAGACCACAAGGCCCCAGGGGAAGCGGCTGCTGCTTCGGTGGAAGGGAAGAAGGAGGAAGTCGATGTCGATGACAATGACAATGACGATGATGACGACAAGGACAACGAGGGCTCAACATCCTTGGTATCGATTGAAGTCGCTGGTGGGGTGGATTCATAGACAGTGAAAGCCGAACTGTCGTTATGCTGGTGATAGTGCTGGTGGGGATGATAAGGGTCCAATGACGATGTCGGGTATTGTTGCTCCGTGCAGTGCTGTTGTTGTTGCTGTGCTGCTGTAGCAATGGTAGTGGACGAGGAAGAGGCGGAAGAGGAGGAAGAGGAGGCGTGAGTGATGGCGGTGGAGTGGAAGGAATGGGAGAGGAGGCGAAGTGGGGCCGAGGCCAAGCTGTAGGATCTCGACACCTTTCCATCGCCCTCGGGCTCTTGGCGAGTCGTCATGGCAACGATGGGAGTGTGTGTGTGGTGAGACAAGGAGAGAGCTGAATGTGAGAGGGAAGGTGGAGGTGTGAAGAAGAAAAGAAAGAATGAAAGGGAATGAATGCAAGCGGATAAAAAAAGAAATGGGGAGGAGTGAACAATAGTATTCTAGCTCCTTGTGAGGATGCGGGTACGGGGAGGATTGCTCCGGGGCAAAGGAAGGAGGGGTATATGTATGTCAGAAGAGTATGTGCAGAGGGGAAGGGAGTAAGCAAGTAAAGTAAAAGGTATAGAATAAACAGACTAGGACAGAGATAAAAGGGCTTTTGTATTTTGTTATTCAACTGGGATCAACAATCAGTGAAAGAAAGGGTTCGAATGTGGAGATGGTAGAGTGAATCGTGGAGATGGAAGGAGGGGAGAGACCAACATATGAGTTCCTATGGTGCACCTCTAGTCGTGGAGAGGTCAACACATGAAGGTCTAACGACTAACAACAACAAAAAGAGAGGGTAGGTCGTATGAGAGGGTGGTGGATGGCAAGAGGGGAGGAGTGATGAAGGACGAGGAAAGGATAAATAAAGAACAAAGAAAAGGGTGTTGAGAGAGTGAAAGAGTGCGAGGGGGTGGGATGGAATTAAAGTGAGTGAGAGATTGGAGGAAGGAAGAGTTGATGGGAGAGAGAGAGAGAGAGAGAGAGAAAGAAGGAGAAATAATCCGAAAAAATATAATAGAGGTCGTTCGCGACATTTTATTTGTTGTTGCGTGAGAGTGCCTTTGTGCCCTGACAAAGAACAAAGAGGAAAATGCGGGGTAAGAACAATTCTCTTTCTTTTATATTACAATAATGGGGAAGAGATGATGTGGTCTATCGATAACAGCTCAAAGGACTAAGACACTCTCGTCAGCTCATATAGACGCGAGAAAAAAAAATGAGTGAGAAGCTTGAATGTCTATTGAGACGTTTGTTCATGGATACAATGATATGACCTTGCAATACCAAATTACAATCCTCCTCTTTGAAGCAACGAATACAAGAAAAAGACAAGCACATGCTTAGCCATGAATGTATCCATGCAACAGTAAATGAAGGGAAAACAGAGCAACAAACAAACCAAGTCAAAAAGGAAAAGGATCATGAAAGAAAAGACCGTAGAAAAGTTATTCAAGGTCATCACTTGTGCGGGTGAGTTTGAGTTCGGGAGGGACCCATGGATACGGAAACATCCTCAGCCAACCAGCGTCGATTTACCGTCGCACAAACCACCCCTCCTCCTCCGAACCCATCCGACACTGAGCCAAAAAAAAACGATGATGATGATGAATGGTCCATAAAAACAAGCCTCAAAAATATACCGACTCAATTGACAGACGCATCATGAACCCAGTACAGGTGCCCTCTTTTCATTTTTGAGTTGAATTGAAAGCTCTATCCCTCATGGCATGGCGGGAAACTCTACAAGAAGAAAGAGGGTGTTGTCATGATCGCCCGCTCCTAGGAAGGAAGAACCCAGCTGGATCGATATTCGTTCGCCGCTCCATCCATCGTCCGCATTGGCATAATAAATTAGCAGGATCTCCACAAAACAAGAACAAAGAATACCGAAAAACAAAAAAAAACTAGCAACACACATAAAAACAAGAGACCCCACTTTTTGTGGGACCATACTCCTTAGAATTGAACGTTCAACCTATTCACGCGCCTCGGCCTAAGAAGTCCAGAACTCAAACAAACCATCATCAACAACAATAGTGGTGTCAAAAAAACATGGATCATTCACCGAGTCAAGTTAAGACACTCAATTCATGAAAATGGGTCTCCCTTCTTCAACAAATGTCTTTTTGTTGGGCTTTGCTTGTGCAGCTGTTGGTGTCTGTACTTGTAGGGTTTTAATTGTTATTCTACATGAGGGTTGGAAAAGGAGAAAACAAAAACATGGAGGAAGAGTGGGGAATAAAGTGTAATTGCTTTTCTAGAGACCCTTGGAGAGAACGTACTCTTTGTACTCCTTGATACCATCTCCCTGGAACTTCTTGAGACTGCCTCCCTCGCAGACCCACAGCTCGCTGCAGACAGCCTTGATGAATCGCTCGTCGTGGGAGACAATAACAACTCCTCCTTGGAACTGGCTCAATGCACTCGTCAACGCATCAATCGAGTCCATATCCAAATGGTTAGTAGGCTGTGTCAAATTAAAGAGGATGATAGTTTGTCAGTTATGTATCCGCTATCAACTTTGCATAAATGCTCAGCAGTAACAAAACAAGCAAAACAACAAAGGCAAAAGGCATACCTCATCAAGAATCAAGAAGTGAGGGTTCTGGAGTCCGAGACAGGCAAAAGCGACTCTTGACTTTTGTCCTCCAGAAAGTGTGGCAATTTGCTGAAGACCGACCATACCAGTGATACCAAATGATCCCAACTGACGACGGTACTCCTCCTCGCTCTTTCCTGGCCAGTTCTTGGCCATAAACTCGACCGAGGTCAGGTTCACATCCAGTTGGTCCACGTGATGCTGACTGAACAGGGCGAAACGAAGACGTCCGTGACGATGGACAAGACCCTTCTGAGGCTCGAGCTTGCCTGTCAACAACTTTAACATCGTAGTCTTACCAGCTCCGTTGGGACCAACCACAGCAATACGCGAATCCATTTGCATGTCCAGGTAAATGTGCTCCAGAATGTTCTTCTCGGCGTTATATCCGAACGTGCAGTCTGTCATCTGCAAAATTGGTGGTCCAAGCTTCTCGGGATCTGGGAACTTGAAGAAGATCGAGTTCTCGACCTCTGGTGGCTCCAACTCTGGCAACTTTTCCAGAATCTTGATCTTACTCTGCGCCTGGGCGGCCCTGTTGGCGTTGTATCTCCAGCGGTCGATGAAAGCCTGCAAGTGAGCGCGGTACTGAACCTGGTTCTCATACTCGCGAAGCTGGGCCTTGTGACGCTCAGCCTTGGTCGTATGGAACTGCGTAAAGTTGCCTTTGTAGTAATCCAATTGCTCAGAGTGCTGGTACAAAATATCCGTAGCGACCTCATCCAAGAATTCTATTTATCATAGAGCGAAAATGGACGTGGTTAACATCATATAGCCATCCTTCTACAATCATTCCAATCGGACAGAAAAAATCGTATCGTGCTTACCTCGGTCGTGAGAAACGACAAGTAGGGTATTGGGCCAAGTTTTCAAATAGTTCTCCAGCCAGATAACGGCAGGGATATCCAACATGTTTGTAGGCTCATCAAGAAGCAGCAGATCGGGCTTGTTGAAAAGGGCGCGGGCAAGAGCGAGACGCATACGCCATCCTCCGGAGAAACTCTTTGTAGGGTTATGGTGCTTGTCGGGAGTGAATCCAAGACCGGCAAGAATCGATGCAGCACTAGTGTTCGTCAAAAAGAAAAGGACGCCGGTCGTCGCGCGATGTTAGTCCATGTCCAACGAATCCTTGTAATTCTCCCGAACCGTCGTAAAACGTAAAGTAGAGTTGAACGTTACCGAGCTTCAGCCTTGTCGGACTCAATGGCCTCCAACTTGGAGTAAACATCCTTGAGATCTACCATGGCCTTCTCACGATCCTGCTCAAACTCCTCCTTGGAGCGGGTGTCGCCCTCCTGCAAGCCCTTCTCCATATCCATGTTCAAAGTGTTCAAGCGCTTCTCCTCGCCCAACAAATGCTCGCGCCACTGATCAGCCGCTAACACAGCCTGAAGAGCCTCGGTATCGCTACCAGCCATCTACATGGGCAAAGTAATAATTACTTGGTTAGATATCAAACACACAAACATTGGAACATGATTAAGCGATGACCCTCAAAAGAAAAGTCAAGATGATTTACCTCCTGCTCGACGTGAAGAATACTGATGTGGGTGGGGACGTTGAGCTCACGGCGGGAGAGGGTGCGAAGCAAGGTCGACTTTCCGATACCGTTACGACCGACAAGACCATAACGACGTCCAAAGGCGAGGGTGAGGTTGGCGTTGGTCAAGATACGCTTTCCAGCAAATGAGATATCAAAGTTCTCCAGCTTGACGTCCTTGAGCTTGCCCTTGGTGGAGGTGTAATCCAGAATGGGGTTGACGGCCAACATGTCGACGTCTTCCTTCTTGTCCAGCAACTTACTGGCTGCGTAGTCGACACGGGCCGTGCGCTTGGCCATCTTGGCCGCAATCTTGGCCTCGGCCTTCTCCAGCTTCTTGGTATCGACCTGCGAGAGGATCTTGCGTCCAGAGAGGGCCTCGAGATCGACGGTGCGGGCTCCGATCTTGCCGGTAGCCGAGACGCTGTCCTGGCTCAACATGTGCACGGGCTTCTCCAGCAACTTTGCCAAGCCGTCGGATCCGACACTCTTGCTGGTGTGGCGCTCCTGGGAATCGAACATGGATTGGAAGCGGTTGCAAAGGGCGTCAATGGCGTCGGGCTCACCACCGGCGTCTTCCAGAAGAGGGCGGACAAACTCTGCGATGGCGTCCTCGTCGTCGCCGAGGGTCGAGTTTTCGTCGAGGTAGCCGACGATGTAGTCGATGATGGCGTCGTCTGCGTCGGGTACGCACTCGCGGACCATCTTTGACATCTCTGCTTTACTGAGAACGGTGGCAACCATGATTTGCTGATGGGGGACCGTAACGAAAAAGGGAAGAGAGGGGGGGGTAAAGAGAGAGGTTGGTTGGTGAGGTTGGTGAAAGAGATGTCTGTCAAAGCTCACTGTGCAGAAAAAAAGGGCGTGGGCAAACTGTGTTGTTGTTGACCGAAAAAATAGTCACGTGCTCATTTCCTAAAGTCCAACCTCTCCAACCGATCCATCGTGCTATGGCGCTGCAACTCTAACCCGCTGGGCTGCTGCCTCGTTCTGCTCGACCTGTTGGTCCGCTGTCGCTTTCTTATACTTCCATCGGTGACATCGTCGTGCATCCAAGGCATATCTTATTAAAATGAATTGGTCTGCGTGCACTCTTCCTGCCACTATCCGAAGCCTTCTGTCCAAGTCATGAATAAAGAAAACGATAAATGTTATTGTACAAAAAAAAGCTACTTGATACTGTAAATGAATTGTACGCGTCACCCATCTTCTCTACAACTTTACGGGCGGTAGCGCATGTTCCTGAACTGAGAAGTAGGAGTGCCCCGATTGGGGTATTTGAACTGACCAGCCCACTTAATGTTGATCTCAGGATTAACCTGCGTCCACGAATTGACTACCAGACGGTAGTTGGTCTCGTCCGGGGGAGTGGTCGCAATATCAGACCGGTTCAAAACCACATTTCCGTCGACAGACCAAGTAACAAAGTTCTTGCGCCACTCGAACGAGTATGTGTGCCAGTCATCGGCAGCGTCAAAGGGCAGATTGATTGAGATCGGGTTCTGTTTATGGTCGTGCCAGATGTTCATCCAGGCGATCTTGGTATTGAGTCCTGTGAGTTCAATATCGATCTCGGTATCCTCGTTTGCGATCACGAAGAAGGAAGTGACTTGGCCGACTACGCTAGAAGGGATCATTTCGATTGAGTAGATGCCGTAGCCGAAGTCTTCTTGACGGTGGATCAGTTCTCCGCAGGAAAAGGGCTTCAAGTCGGAGTCCTTGCCGATCGTGATCTGGGTGCCAGCGCCGCTCTCGTGGACCTGCGAATCCCTGAACGAACATCCCCATCTGTTTGCGAAAGGCAGAGGAGATGGAAAGTGTAAGTACGTAGGATTAGCATAAAAAGATCACAAATCGTATCAGCCTTTGATCTTTGACCGCGGTGTCTCACCTGTCGGGGCCGTAACCATCGGCAATGATAAAGTCGTCGTGAGACGACATGGACTCTGTGATAGCTCCGCTGGCTTGAACTGAGGACAGGAAAGCCGGGGCCAGGAGCGCAATCGAAGGAAAAATGTAAGAGACGCGCATGTTTGATGTGTTTTTTTTGTTTGTGTCCGTTGACGAAGAAGAGCCGCTTGAGTAATTAATAGTTGAAGAAGAGAGAGAAGACGACGAGGAGATGAGCGAAATGGGGGCCAATTGAGAGGAACATCATTGTCCTTTATACGTTGACGCATGATGTGTCCAAGGTTGTGGTAACTGCCGTGGAGTGAAGTGAGAAGATCAAGCAAGAAAATCGATCGACACGATACTCGGCCAAGACTCGGACGCGTCCAAGTCACGATTGTTTTGTCATATGTTTCAATCGCCCATGGCGCAGAGAGGGAGAGGATTTTTCTTTGGTGTGAGTTAGAACGGTGTATTTGTCGTGGGATAGCTGGTTTTTGAGCGTGAATCAGGACATAGAGTAAAAATACAATCCTGGGGATTCAAGTTGGAATAGTCATACCCTACAATCCACTCTGTCGTTGATTTGGTGGTTTGGTAATAGCGAACGCGTACTTTCAGCTTTCGCACGAGTTTTTCGATGAGTGCGAGACCAAGGGTCAAAAAAGATATTACAAAGAAAAGGGAGAGTCGATCGTGCTAAAGAGAGACAAAGCCTCCAGCTTAAAGGAAAAGAAGAGCCTCCAGCCCAAAGGAAAGGTAAAGCCTGCACTGCAGCTCAAAGGAAAACAACGGTAACAACCCAACACAATCAACATTAAGAAAGAGTCCGACACAACAGGAAAGCCCTAGGAATTGACAGAAAACAGGCCAAGGCCTCGACCGAGCGTCTTGCCTTCTAAGTTGATTGCACTCAGGTGAATACGAAAGGTATATGTATGTGTTCCTCTTCTAGAAGACATGGTATTAAAAATCGTACGTTCTTTTTTTCTCGTTAAACTAGAAGGCTGTAAAAGGGCTGTTTGCTTGGCTTCTGCCTGTTGTTTCATCAGATGTTGCATGGAAACCAGGCGACGCGATCAAGAAAGAAGAAAAAAAAGAGCGCAAATCATTACGAGAGCACAACAACAAAAGACAACAAACAACAGCACAAAAGTACAATGTCGCTCAACCTCTAGAGCGCGGAATAATGATAGCCCCTTCTTGGCTTTGTCAACAGGAGTATCTCAAATAAGAGGGTGAATAGTGAGCGCGGTCAAAATTGCCTTTCTCGTCAACTCAATGCGTTACCGACGCACTTACCTGTAATTAGGATTTTTTTTTTTTTGTTCACCTCCTGTTTGGCCGTGAACAAGTGGGCCGCAATGGTTGTCTATGCTCTCCACTTCTGTGCCGTTGCCCTCGTTTGTCCTAATATTAAATCATTCTTATCCGGTGCTGAATGCCGATTGGGTGCTGATCAAACCTGTTGAAGGTTAGCCACTTTGCCGTCCACAGCAGTCAAAAAGTTTTTCTTTGCCCTTTTCGTCCCTCTTGACTTCTTGTCTTTGCTTTCTTCACCCCCTTCTTCCCTCTTTCCTTCCTTCCTTCCTTCCTCCTTCTTCTCCTGATCCTCTCTCTCTTCTCCTCCCCCATCCCTCATTCCTTCCTTCACTCTCTCGTTCACACCGCCCTCATTCCAAGCCACTCACTCATCACCCTCCTCACTCGCTTACCCATTCCATACCCCAACTACGCCAACACCTACACAGCACAACACACCCCATAACCCCAAAACCTCACTCTTCAGTCACACTCACAACTCCGTATCAAATTTATATATTATTCTTCCTCGTCGCCTCCTTCCCCTGCAAACCCTGAACAGCAACTTCAAACACTCTCGTCGCTATGACTTCACAAGAACAACTCGACGCAAAGCGACGACGAGTCTCTCGTGCATGGTAAGCAATAAGCACAAGCTCGAAATAAAATATACAGAAAGAGACAAAAGCACGAATGAACGGCCCGCAGACTCCCTTTCCTGGCAAGAATAGTTCTCCCGGGGGAATACAATTACCAAATCTGACTTTGTTGTGTTGTTTGTGATATTAACTCTTGTCTTCGTTTTCTTTTCTCTTTCAACCTCCTCTTCCTCCTCCTCCTTACCAAACAAACCACACTGCGCTTCTGCTCTTGCGATGAATATTTTCCTATCTTATTTCTAACAGCGATACCTGTAGAAGGAAAAAGGTGCGCTGTGACGGCATCCAGCCCGCTTGTACCAATTGCATTACCTTTGGCTTCCAATGCACGTAAGTATATAACAGTGATACCTTTCTTGCTGTCGTCAAATATCTCTCCTTCCCTATCCAAAAGAAAGCGACAGTGGTTGTTGACCTAATTGTTTGTTACGTTGTACGACTCAATACTGCGTCTCATACGAAAAATAAGAAAGAATAACATTGTTTATTGTACGCATTAGGTTCAATGACTCTGCAAAGAAACGTGGTCCGCCCAAAGGATACATCGAGGCACTGGAGAACAGATTGCACAGGATGGAGAGTCTTTTGGGAGGACTTGTTCACACCGGAGACCGACCTCGAACAGATATCGAGAGCTGGACGAGTGGTCATGGTGGAAGCAATGCAAGTGGACTGGGAGGCGACGATCACGATGACGACCTCGACTCGCTCGATGCCTGGGCTCCAACGGATCCCCCACATAACGCTCACCCCTCGAGCAGTAGCAACAACAGTAATGGCACAACAAGCTCAGCTCACCCGCCTGGACACCCGTCTCATAGAGCAGAGTCTCCCCTCGCCTTCAGTCACTCGCCAGAACCGGAGGACGACATCTCGACATACAACGAAAGGGCCCGCAGAAAAATCAACGCTCTTTCGGACAGCATGGACAGCATGACACTCGACGAGGGCGTATTCAGTCGGTACCTCGGCAACAGTTCAGGAATTGATCTCATCCAAAAGAACCAGCTCCTTAAGAACGGATATCTGATGGTTCCTCTCAAGCAGAAGGATCATTACGAGTGGCAATTGGAGACCGAGGCGGCATTGGCACAGCTGACTTCGCAGATGACAATGCCTCCGCAGGATCTGGCAGACCACTTGATCGACACTTACTGGACCTACATCCACCCACACATGCCCGTTCTCCACAAACCGCTCTTCATGCGTCAGTACAAGAATGCCGATCCAGAGAAGCGTCCGCCTGCGGTGCTACTGAACGCCATGTTCTCTATCGCCTCTCGCTTCTCTGATCACCCCGAGATTGTCGGACTGTCGGATCCAGAGGACTTTGGAGTCGAGTACTTTTCCAGGGCCAAACGGCTGGTCGACTTGGACATGGACATGCCTCGACAGGCCTCGATCCAGGCGCTGCTTTTGATGACACTCTACCGGTTTACGAGTACCAAGTGCGGCGGTCGTGGTGTCTGGGTGATGTTGGGACAGGCGACCAGAATGGCTCAGGATTTGGGGATGCATCGCAACTCGGCCCGCTGGTCTCTGCCACCTTTGGAGACTGAGATCCGGAAACGACTTTGGTGGGCCTGTTATGTCATGGATCGCTGGGTGTGTGCCTCGCTTGGACGACCGATCGCCATTGACGATGCCGACTGTGATGTAGATTATCCCTCGGCGGTGGAACAGGACTATGTGGACGCGGACGGAAACGCAGCATCGCCTCATGAGAACAGCGACAAGATCAACGAAGAGTCTTCGTTCTTCCTGCGGTACTTTGTGGAGCACATCAAGTTGGCAAAGCTGGTTGGGTTAATCTTGAGGCGCATCTATGCGGCGGCTACGAGGACTCATGGACCGGCTCAGGTGTCGTCTACGGTGGCAGAATTGGATACGTTACTGACAAAGTGGCTCCTGGACCTGCCTCAGGATCTGAGATACGACCACCAGGCCACCACCTTTAACCGCTGGGTTGCCATCATCCATTCCTCCTACTGTAAGTTTTTTACTTTTTTTTTCTACTAGGCCAGCTATTACGTTGCATTCCGTGATGCTCACCACTAACACTATTTTTGCTCATGAAATAGACACGGCGCTGATCCTGTTACACCGACCCTACATGATCCCAACCTTGCTGACAAAGTCCAACCTATCCGACTCGATGCCATCCCTCAACATATGTGTCTCTGCCGCAAACTCGATCACCCACCTGGCGAAACGACTCCACGAGACCGACAACCTCAAGTACCTCTGGGCCTTCTCCTGCTACGAGCTCTTCACCGCCTCCTTGATCCACTTAACCAACTCTGCGTCCATCGATATGCGGCTCCAGACACAGTCCAGGAACAACCTGGTCACCAGTATCCTTGTCCTCAAGCGGGAGAGTGGTCTTTGGTTTAACGCTTCCAGGGTGTCGAAGTTTCTGGAGGATCTGATGTGTGCGCATTTGAACTTTGAGGAGTACAATTCGGAAGGCAGGAGTATGCATCCGGTTGTGGTTAGTGATCTTACGGACAATAATAATGTAAACTTGCCGATTGTCCTGAGAGATGGGCACCCTTCCGGAGGATCGCTACTTGTGGCGCCCAAGGAGTCTACACCTACGTCGTCCCAGACGCCGCCCTCTGCAGTGTCGACTCCTAATTCTTCGCCCTCAACGCCGACGACGGGCGCACCTATGGATACTTCTCCAGATGGTGGCAGTCCGGGTAGTCGTGGCCCTATGCTGATCCCTATGCGCGATGTGCCACCATCATCGTCACCATCAACAACAGCCCCACCCACTTCTGGAGCCTCAACAACGCATCCGGCAGTGACTCCTCGGCCCATGAAGAAGAGTCGCAAGCCAGTATCCAACTCTCAAAGGAACTCGCTCCTTTTCAACAGCTCTACTCCTTCTCCTTCTCCTGCGGCTCCTCCTGCGGCTCCTCCTGCTTTCGTATCTTCAACACCTGATCATCCCACGTTCTCATTCTCGTCGCTCTCGATTCCGGGGATGTTTACTCAAGGTCAGGCTTTTCCCTTTGGCGGCGCCAACTGCCCTGCTCCTGGTGCTCCTCAGCAGCAGCAGCAGCAGCCTCAACAGCAACAGCAACAGCCGCAATATCAACAACAACAACCTCAGCAGTTCCAACCACAACAACCTCAGCAACAGCAGCAGTCGTCTTTCCAGTATTCGGCAACACCCCTGTTCTCGTCCCCATTGGCCCTGCAGCAACAGACAGCGACCGGCTCCTCCATCCGGAAATTTCCCACCCAACAGCAAGGACCACCAGGATCGCAACCTCCACAACACCCTCAAGTCCAACAGTTGCAGCAAGGAGGGGGAGGAAACAGCGGGCTCATGCAGTACCAGCAACAGATGCAATCAAGTCAAGGATACTCCTCGCAAGGTGGGTTTATTCCACCCACCTCTTCGGCAGCACAAGGCTACGTGAACGGGATGACAGGAGGCGGGCCTCCCATGCGCGACAACAACGACTACTCCAACTTTTCGCTCTTCCCTCAACAGGACGCCTCTGCCCCTGCCTTTGCCACTTCTACTACTGGAGCTGGGTCTCCAGCAACAGCGGTGACAGCAGCAGGAACAGGAGCATCACCCATGCCTCCATCAACCACAGCAGGAGGTGGAGGCAGTCCAGGTCTGTTCCAGGACCCGAATGTCATGGCCGCAGTACCGAACCCGTTCTTTGGCGTGCCCAATACCATTGACTGGGACGAGTGGCAGCAGTACATCGCCAATGCTGGCCTGCAAAAGTTTTAGAACCCATAGTCCCCACCCCCCGCTCCATGAATTTTCAAAGCACATAAAAAAAGTAAACAAAAGAAACAATGTGCACTTCCTTTTTCCTTTCTACAAGCTACTTTTGGTTGCATGAGGTGTTTTCGCGTTGTTTTTGTCTTTTATCTAGTTAGCTTATCAGATCTTTCGTGGGAGAGGAGCAGTGAGTAGATGGGTGAACATGTGTTCGTCTATGTCGGGGGGTGTTGGTGGTGCAAACTGCTCTCTCGTTACGTGTATCTGTCCTCTTCTTCTTTTCTGTAATAATTTTCATCTCTTGCCTTGTTCTCTATCTCATTTCTCAAGTCTCCTGGACATGATACACGTTCGAAGACGAGCCCGAAACCCCGACGCCAGGAACACTACCAGAACCAGCACCAGGCGCAGGAATAGGGTGATGGGCAAAGGTCGTAGGCGTAGACGGCGAAGGCGGTTCATTCAAGACCTCATCCAGACTGCGATGGCGCGAGAGCTCTGTCAACACAGTCTCATCAACAGGGATAATTGATTTCCGACGGAACTGGTGAAAGACCGGTCCGCTGTTCTCAAACGTTTGAAGGTCCCCGCCGTACATGTCTTGGTCTGCGCCTCCCGATACCGAACCGTCCAACTCACTGCCGTCCTTGTCAATCATATCGACCTCTCCTCCTTGATCGGACGCCACTACAAAAACGAACGCGATAATAAAGAGAAACGCGTTAGTCACTGAAAATAAGAAATGAAAATATTCATACTGCCCTTAGTGTATGTTTACCTAGTGGAGGCGGGACGGAGTCAACGGGGGTGAACGGCATTAGTGGGGGCGGCGCCACAACGTCTCCTTGCGCTGCCAAGTTTGCATAATTGTCTGCAGCCTGCTGTTCGAGTCGCAGCCAGAGCTCTTCTCTATCCTGCAACCTCTTTCGATCGCTACACAAAACAACATAAGCAAAGAAATAGAGTTAATGCGGCTGCGATCACCAAATAACAATAACAACAAAAATGCAGGCTCTGCGTTTTTTGGGTTCCATCTCCTTCAGAAAAAAATGAAAATTGACATACTTTTGTCGCGCCTGTCGATAATGGTTGGTACACTCGTCAAACAGCTGCGGGGTCACATCCATGAACAACTTGAGCGCATTGAAAACAAGTCCATGAATCGTCCTAAGAAAAACAAAATGAAAGTGAAGGTTGGTCTCACGCTAAAGTCAAAGAAACGTAGAAGAAACAAGTATAACCACAAAACAATACACGAAACAAATACTCTACCTATTCCAATGAGTCTTCGAGTTCTTGTAGAGAGATTGAAACATAATGGGCAGGATTTCATTGGCATTGTCGTGGATCAAGTTGACAATATACTCGTTGTTCCAGTAATACAACGCCCTCTCAGCAACCTAACATAATAAAATGCACGAGTAGTGGCGAATGAGTATACATATCACCTTTGCGAACAAATTCCATCGCCGACATGAGAAATAGAACATACCTGAAAGTGCGGACTAGAGACGCAGCGGGCGATCTGCGTAAAGAGTGGGCCTTCGATTTTGACAAACTCCAATGGCTCAATGACATCGAGGATCTCCTCGATTTCATTCAAGAACATCACTTCCTTGGGACTGTTCACTTTAGGCCAGAATCGCAAGAGTCCATGAATCACCTATGTTCCAGTAAAAGTGCATGTAAGTAATCCGTGCCTCCCTTATACATTTGAACGCCGACGACTGCTTGACAAACAAAGTTATGGTTCATACCTCCTCGGTCAAGGCTGGATCCTTTTCCAGAAACTGGACAACGCAGTAGGCCAGCTGGGGGTGATAAAGTGTCAGAGATTTGACCTTGTGAAGCGGCAGGAGGACTTTGGTCAGGAATGTCTTGTGTTCCTCCTTCAGTGGCAATGCGAATCCGTTGATAATACTACAGAAATTGATGGTCGTACAAAGTGTCATAATAAAATTAATTAATTAAATTGCCATCAAACATCGTCGGAGTCAACCCCACGGAGCTGGACTTTTGGCTGGGCGCGCTGTGGCGTTACGCGAACTAATACCCCCAAAATAGCGCCTACCTTCCAAGAATCTCCAGCAACTCGGCAATCCCGTTATGTCTTTCCTTCTCATAAATGAATTGGAAGAATACATTGTTGATTGACCGCCGAATGAATGCCCTGAGGTTGAGGAATTTTCCATAGATCCGATGAAGTGTCGTCTTTAAAAAATCTCGCTCGCGGGGATCCTCGCTGTCAAACAGTTCCAGCAACTAGCAAGCAAAGAAAGCAAAGAAAGCAAAGAAAGCAAGCAAAATAGAGTGGAACTCAATTATGTTAGCGCGTGCAATCGAGGAATAAATACCAGAAGCGACGAAAATAAATGAAATTGAGACTCCAATGCTTGGTCCAAAGTAATGTTTCGGGTTGCTCGTGCGCACTCACCTGCAGAATGAAGTGGTGATCGATATACTTTTTAGCGATATTGGTGCCAAAGTCGGGCGACTCAATGAAGCGAAGGAAGAACTCGTACACGATCTGGAGATGAGGCCATGCCAGTTCGAGAACAGGTTCATCTTCTTCCGGATCAAATGCGTCGCCTGTTGGATTGACCTGAGGAGGAATCGTTCTAAAGAGGTTTGTTGCAAACTAGAAGTATCATAAAGGAATACAATTGTGATTAGGCGAATCAGATAGATGTCCATTCTTTCCTGGCCTGCAAGACTCGAACTGAAGGGCACCATTGGTCATTAGCTTTATCCCGATCCAATTCCCTGTTTATTACCATGTTGATGACCTCTGGATAGACAGGTTCCGTGATAACGCCGCGGTTGTTGGTGACGTATTCCAGGATCTCTGACAGCGTCTGACGTTTGATCTCCTTGCCCTTGAGCTCTGACGAGGCATCGTTAAAGTCGAACAGGACCGCACATTGACCAATCTTTCTCAAAAACAGGTCTTGTCGATCATTATGCGCCACCTCTAAGTATCAAAAACATTGTATCAATGGTCATAAGAGTAAAAAGAAAGACAGAGGGACAGGTTAGTGCATTTGACAGGATGACAGACATACCCTATACCGCCATTATCCCGTTTCTCCTGCCTGTCTCCCTTTTCTTTCCCTTGGATCCAAATATTGCAAAAAGAACCAATCACCCGCGCGGTTGTTTCATGTCTTGTTTTCCGTACCGTCCAATGCCTGCAACCTTTCTAGCGAAACGCGCTCTGTGACATGGAATCGAGACGACCGTTGTCGACGGGGAGTTTTGCTGATAGGGATCGCATCCTTGGGCGAGTTTTTCATCCTGTTGATTGGTCCGCTTTTCGGCATCTCTTTTTCTCCTTTGCCGGTGGGAGTTCCTGGACTGAGTGGAGACTGAACGCCGTGCGGGGACTCTCCATAGAGTTGCGGTTGTTGATCGCGCTAGATCGTGGACAGGGCGTACAGGAATAGACAGGAGTACCGAAGGGAAAGGTTAGTTCTTACACAGGCTACAACAACTCCTACTCTTTCACTTGCATTTTTTTTCTTCCATTGTATTTTAGTCTTTGATAACGAGGCAGAGCCAAGGGCAAGGGATATGCGGTGTTGATAATGATGATGAGGGTTTAAAAAAAAGGGGGACGCCAAGAAAGACGTGGTGGAATAGGCAGACAAGCAAAGTATGCAGAGTAACCAAAAGGAAAGAGAGAGCGAATGGCTGCAGTTGGCGGAGAGGGACAGACAACGGGAGAGTGAAGAGCAAAAGGCGCGGACGATTAAAAATGGCAGGGCGGACAGAGAGAGAGAGAGAGAGAAACGGAGCGTGCAGGTGGGCATAATTTGGGCGAGGCGGAAGGTATACGCAAGTGTGTCGCCAAGAGCATGTGCAATGAAATGCATATTGACTTACGGTGTCCAGTGGGTTCATTATGACAATGGAAGGCGGAATGGCACCGTGGCTGTTAATGTTGCTATTGTTGCTATTGTTGGCAGAAGACAAAGAGAGAGGCTGCTGCTGTTGTTGTTGTTGCTGATCTCTTTGACTCTGTTGCTGAGTCTGGTTGTGGGCCTGCGCCTGAATTTGAGCAAGAGTGTGAGCCTGTGCCAGACTAGGGTCTTGGGCAGTGGCGTTGTTGGTGTTGACGGTCGGAGCAGGGTTGGGGGCGGAGGACTTGAAGGGATTCGCGATGGCGTAGAGGGACTGAGCAATACCACTTGCACTTGTTGCTGAAGTAGTTGTTGGGTGGGTATCGAAGGGATGATGTGATTGCTGCTGTTGCTGTTGCTGTTGTTGTCCGTTGGTCAAGGTGGTGGAGGAGGATAAAATGGAAGAGGAGAAGGAGGAGGAGGAAGAGAGGTCAGAGGTGTTGATGGTGGGGTTGTTGGGGGTGCTGTTGGCGGAGGTCTTGTTCTTTTTGGCGCTGTCTGAGGAGGAGGCTGACTTTGACCTTGTTAGGACACCCTTCAGTCCCTTCATTGTCTGCGAGAGTGTTGTTGTGAGCGTGATATTGGAGGGAAGGATGAGGAGGATAGTAATAAAAAAAAGGACGGAGTAACGAACGGCACGAAGGAACTCAAGAAGGAGAAGAGCTAATGAAAAAAAGGGAGAGAGGTGTGAATCAACGAAGAGAAGAATGAAGAAAGTAATGAGAGTGTTGAGAATGCGAAGAAGTGTCTATGAGGATTCGGTGAAGAAAGGGATGGGAGGAGTTGGTTGTAATGCAAAATAAGAAGAAGGAAAGAAGAAAGGAAAAAAAAGAAAAAAAAAAAAGGAGGTTGGAGTTGTGGAAGAGAACGAATGCAAGAAAAAAAAGTAGGAAGGGGAGAGAGTGAAAGAGAGAGGAGTAAAGAGAGGGGACGCTGAAGACACAAATTTTAATTCGAAAGAGAACTTCCTGTACAACTCACTTATTCCCCACTCACTTTACTTCACTCTCACTGCCCTTCCTTATTTCTCTTTCTTCCTTTCTCACTTGCAGTTTTAGTATTTAACCTAAGACTGTAATGATAATAACCTTTCTCACTTGCACACTCATTCCCACCAATACTGTCAAACAACCAGCGCCAGCAGTCATGCCACTCGCGTCATTATCCTCAACGAACTCAATTGCTTCCACTCGATGCCTGCGCCCAAAAAAAAAATGCTGCCGTCTCCTTGCCACCAAAACTCTGGCTTCCCCATGTCCTTGCCAGCCTTCTCACCATTCATTCACTGTTGCATGCAACCCTCACTTCGCACTCAATCTTTATGTCCAACAGACACAGACATACAAAGACAAAAGGTTCACTCTGGTTCCGATCGTTACTACCCCCAACACGCCCGTAGTCTTTCTCTTTCTTATGTCTTTTCATTCACAAGGTCTATTCATCGCTCTTTTTTTTTTCGTCCACAATTTTATTCCATTCATCGGTCTGACATTCGCAAGTAGTAACCCTTAATAGATCAACAAAAACCATAAAGCTCATCCTTTTCGAAGAAAGGAGCCAAACCGGCACCTAAATATCATATCGGTATATCCACCCTGGCATCAAGGTGCCCAGATCGGCACCTAGTACGGCCCAAAACTATGCAATTGAGACAAAGTATTCTCAGAAGTCATTCTTGGAGCATAATTTAAATTCGCTAACACAGTTCAAATTGGGGTTGTAGCTCAGTGGTAGAGCGCTCGCTTTGCATGCGAGAGGCCTAGGGTTCAATCCCCTACTGCTCCAATCTTTTGCCTCTCTCACATACAGAGGTTGCTTCACTTTTTGTCAAAACTGAATGTGGTCTTTTGACTTGACAACCTGGGTTGTTCGTTTTTATTTGACAATCTTCTCTGTCCATTGATGGCGACACCAAAATACAAGGAAGGCATTCTTTTCGTCTTTGCCAGAATGATGTGTGAGAGACTCTGGAGAGAAATGCTACATTTTAGGTTGCCTCCACGATGAAGGCAGGGTTTCAAGAAACAATCAGTTCCAATGGAATAGACAGAAATATAACTGACAGGATGCTAGTTGACTTCTGCTATTTAAATTTTCATTTCTGAAAAATAAGTTGCATGAACTTGGCCTAGGGCACCCAGAGAGGATTGTCAAATAAAAACCTTTTTTTTTTTTTTTCATACACAATTTTATTTCTCTTTTTTTTTTTTTTTTTTCGTACACAATTTTATTTCTCTAACAAACAGCATAGAGAAGTTATTTGGAAGTAAAAGGGAACTACAGACCAAACTCTTCAGTGCACCATCCACCAGTCGCAGTCCGGTCCAGAACCTGGCTCTGCGCAACAATTGTCGCTGCTCTTCACAGCTTAAACGGAAGAAAATAAAACTAGATACGACTGAAGGGGATTCTTCCCATCCTCTCCATCATTAACAGCCTCCTCCTTCCTAACAAATTCTCCACCAACCGCTCGTCAGCAGCGCGTGGGTCCTTGGTCGCTCCAGGGCACCTTCCTTCATCATGTGTGGCTAGCGAAGCGCCACACGGGCAGAGATACCCTGGGTCTGCTCCCACGCGATCGTCGCGGAGCACCGAGGCCTGCGCCTCCAGGCAGCCAACAAACTTGTGAAGGACTGTCTTGGCGATTGTCAAATAAAAACGAACAACCCAGGTTGCCAAGTCAAAAGACCACATTCAGTTTTGACAAAAAGTGAAGCAACCTCTGTATGTGAGAGAGGCAAAAGATTGGAGCAGTAGGGGATTGAACCCTAGGCCTCTCGCATGCAAAGCGAGCGCTCTACCACTGAGCTACAACCCCAACATCGCCATGAGCAACCAACTTCAGCAATCGATACCTGAATCTTACAGTGCCTCTATCTAACCTTCATATTAAATTGCTGTTGTTTACATTTATAGAGGTCAGATTGTGCATGGAAAGTTAAGCTCAAAGAAGAGCGGAGAAGAGAATGTTTATCAAGTAAATAGCGACCTTAGCTCAGTTGGGAGAGCGTCAGACTGAAGATCTGAAGGTCGTGTGTTCAATCCACACAGGTCGCATTTCTTTTTTGTTCTTGACATTGGTTAGCATTTTTTGTGAGTTGCTTTGTAGTCGCCGCTGTGAAGTAAATGACTATTCTAATTATTTTTTTTATGCACTCGCCATGTATTCTTGCGCAATTGCACCCCCTCCTCTGGCTGTGCCGCGGGAGTTTTTTTTATCCATTGCGAAGCCGAGGAATGAATACATCCTCTGAAGTTAAGATAAGCCCAGCTGTCAATTGCGAAGCTTTTCCTTTTTGTTATTTTTACATCACCTCCCCCTTTTTGCTTTAAAAACATATAACCATTCGCTTTCTACAAACCGCATCTACGTCTCATCGCATTCTCTTCTACTCTAAGGAGACCATGTACGATGCGCGCATGAATGAACCTGGTGCGAAAGTGATATTTATCCTACAGCGATCTCTCTGTTCACCTCCACCAGCTAGCCTGTTTTTTTTTTCTTGATCGGGCTAGTTTCTGTCTTGCTCTTACACACAGAGACTCTCTCCCGTCTTCGTTACATTGCTTGCAATGTTTTTTACTTTGATGAAAAGGTAGCGCTGAACAGCGCGGGTTGAAGTTGAAGGAGAGGGCGAACAGGACAATGACAAAAAAAAACGAGGGGGTTAAAGTGAAAAAAGCCCTGGCTCATTCGTCAATATTGCTTTTATTGTTATTGTTTATTGTCTTGTCAAAAGGGTGCAGTCTCATTAGAAGCAGGAACCAACGAGAAAAGGGGAGGCAAAAAGACGGAAAAAAGAAAGATGGAAAAAGAAACCAAAAAAAAAAAACCAGGGGAGAGGAATACTTTCTACTCTCATTCTACTCCCTGTGCTGGATGTTCCTGTTGTCATCGTTGCGTTAGTTTTCTTGGTTGTGTTTTGTTGATGTTGTTTGGCATTGTATGGGGTGTATTCGCCGAGAGGTCTGTTCCTGCCTTTTTTTTCGTGGCACGAACGTTTCAAAAGGAGTGCATGTATGTAAGTGTGCAGCCCGTTAGAAAAGAGGAGGAGGGGGAACGAACCGTCTGGAGATGGCACAAACTGAGGCAGTTTTAGGTATTACTACGGTACTATTGAATGTGTTCAGATTCGCTGTCAATGCGAGTGCGTGGGAAGTTTGAGTGGAGGAAGTGGTATGAAATATGTCAGAGAGAGAGCGAGAGAGAGAGAGAGGTTTGTTCTTGCATTGTTTTTGTTTACGTTTTATTTTTGTTGACAGAGAGAAGAGATGGATTGAGGGATGAGGGTCTAGGCAAGGGTTGGGCGAAAGGGGGTGGGGGTTGGATCTCTCTTTCCCTCTGTCATTGCTCTCGTCAAGAGATGTGGAGAAAGAAGGAAAAAGGTTCAACAATCACTGGCGGAGATTTTTCATCGGGCGGACACACAGAATGAGCAGGATGGTGAAGGGTGTGGGTGATTCGTGTAAGGTTGTCGATCATCTTCGTACTCACCCCTGTTCCTGTCTTCTCCGTATACTCTGACCTTTTTATTTTTCCCCACCAAACTTTCTCCTTTGGTTGATGGTAACAAACAAAGGACGAGAGTAGAAGCAAGGACACAAAGATGGCGCAACCACAGTGCGAGCAATGTTGTGTTCGTGTGTGCTTACTTCTGTCCAGACTGGTCCATTTTTCTTCTTCAAGCCCTTTGTTCGTTACTGCTTGTGAGGAAGGGAAAAACAGCGAAAGGCAGAATGAGGGCCACTCCAAACTCCAAAATGACAAAGAAAAGAAGAATGGCTTGGGAGTGAAGAAAGAGCGCTGAAGGACTCATTGAACAGTTATGACTGACTCGATAAGAATAACACAATTGTCCACCATGTCTGCGGAAGCACGAGGGATGAGAAAGGAGACGGGGGGTGAATTGGGCGAGTAACACAAGCAAACGGCGGGCTACTCTTAGCGGCGAGAGTAGTATCGCGGAGTTGCGGAAGGAGCATGATGATGCGATGGCTGATGACTGAGGGTCGTGTCAAAGTTCAGGGACGGTCGCTAGTCAACTAACATTTGTCTCCGTGCTCATTCCTCCTTTTTGTTATCGTCTACTGCTTTCTCCACCCTTCGTTTTGTGCTCTTACAAGACAAACTAAAAACGGTGTATGCACACAATCGTCGACGATGTCGAATATGGATGGCAACGGCGGCAAAAACAAAGGAGAAAGCCGATCAAGGGGTGAAGTAGAAGACGTACGTTTCGACTGTTGCAAAAAAAGAGAGAAAGAAGAAGTCATTCCCGAAGGAGAGGAGGAAGAAGAGGAAGAAGAGGAGAGAGAGGAAGAAGGGAGCCGAAGGGAGGAGAGATATAGGGGTAGATGTTGATGACAAAAAGACTACTTCAGGATTGGGAGGAGGGACCAATCCTCGGTCCGAAGAAGTGCCCACCTGGCCATTCACACTGCTTATGAGCCATCTCTCAATATCGTTTTGCTTTCTGGCCATGTCAATTGTTTCTGAGTAATGCACCGTTGACACAGGGGGCGAATGCATGTCTTGTTGTTGCTGCTCAATACCCTTTTGTAACAACAACGCACTCGCATAAATACCAGTATTCCTTTTGACTTTTCTCATTCCTCTGCTTCATTCACTTTCTCTTTGTTCCCCACTGCTTCTCATTCACTCATTCACTCATCAACAACCCACCTACGCCTCCTTTTCTCTTTCGTCCTCATACCTTGCAAACACGACCACTCCTACTACTACTACTACTGCTTCCTGTTACTGTTACAGCTCCAGCCTCTGTTCCTGACTGTTCTCTCTTCGCCCTTGTCTCCCTTTGTCCGACCCCTCGGGCTGCTTCTTTTTTCTTTCTCGCTCAAAAGCAACCAAAGAAACTCTCTTTCTATCTCCACCGTCATACCCTTGCAGCCTCCTGGACAAACATACAAGGTAACAAGTACGCCCTTGCCTTGCCTCTTTGAACCAACAGACTTTTTTTCTTTTTCTCTCTGTGTGCGTGTGTGCCGTTCGCCCCTATCCAACATCAAACCCCCTCTCTCCACTTCTTGTCCCCCTTACTGCCCTGAAGGAAGAAGGGTGTATCGTTCACCTCCAGTCGCACTTTTTTTCCCTCCCTTTTTTCGTTGTCTCCTTTCGCCGAAAAAAAAACATTGCCACTTCCTCCTACTCTTTCCTCCCCAACCTCGAGTATCGAGAGTATCGAACGAACACAGCACCAACAGCTTGCTTCAAACAAACGAGCTACGAGCAACCAGCGAGACTCACTTGTCAACACTAGCACTTAAAAGGAAGAACTCTCCTCTCTCCCCCACCCTTTTCTTTTTCTTCTTTTCCTCTTTGTATGCCCCTCCTCTCCCCATCCTCATCCCCATCCCCCATCCCTTCTCTTTTGCTCTTTTTATCTCTATCTCCCTTACTCTCTTGCTCTGCCTCCCTCCCTGCTTCTCAACTCAGCTCAATTTTCACGTCAACCTACTCCCCCCTTCTGAATTCCTTCCACGTACTTACTTTTCTTGTCCTCATTCTTCCTCTTCCCTTTTTCTCTCCTTTCTTCTTCTTCTTCTTTTCCTTTCTTCTCTCTTTTTCGTTTTCTAAAGAAATGTTTACCGTTCCGCAGTCTTCCCAACCCATGCGCTTGCAATTCCCCACAAACTACCACCTCCAACAACAACAACAGCAACAACAGCAGCACCAACAACAGCATACCATGGCCATGCCAATGTCCTTCCTTAACCATCATGGCCACCACCCCCACAGCCACCCCAACGGGGCCGGAAACAACCCCAACACTGGCACCCCCAACAACTCGTTCGCAGGCACCATCGATCCTGGTCTGCTCCAGATGACCATGAACCAGAACATGTCCTCGCTATTCCCTTCCTCCTCGGCCTCGTCTATCAACTCCCTCACTAATGCTCCTACTGCCACTCACACAGGCGGTCTCGGTCGCAGCGGTCTTGGTAGCAAGCGCAACAGCAGCAACTCCAACAGCAACCAGAATAACGTCAAGCAAGAGACCGGGTCGCCCGACTTTATGGCGGCCGAGATGGACTTTGGCGAGCACCGCAACATGCTCTCCCCTGGCTCGAGCTCTCCGCTGAACTCGCCCAGGAACGATTTTGACAGTCCAGACGATTTCAATCACCCTGGCACAGGCACTCTGTCCCACGCAAAGCCCTTACCCATGAACATCCAAAACCAGCACTCCTACGGCGATTCGCCAGGAAACGGGTCTTTGTATTCACCCGTCGAGTCCGACTTCTTCCCCGAGGGCGACTTTAGTCTGCCTAGCGGTTCCCGCGCCCTCGACATGAAGTTTGGCCGCCACATGTCCCTCCCCTCGGCTAACCCCTTCCATTCCATGTCCATGCCCGTCCCCCGATCCGACTGGTTCGGCGCCACCGATGGTGGCCACATCGTGGGATCGTTCGAGAACCAAACAGGCCTCCAATTCCCACAGGGAGAGATGACTGGCATGATGAGCAGCCTCTTTGAGGAAGATGGCGAGCAAAAGTAAGTTTTATTGCGTATCTATCTCCATCATGTCCTTGTACACTTGTTCAATTCAGTTCAATTGAGTTGAGTTCAATTCCAACAAGGACCCCTCCAGGCCCCACGTTCAAGACAGGTTGGAGGGAGGATACGCATAAAATGGAAGACAAATCTTAAAAGGAAGGGGCGAGAGAGTGTGTGTATGCAGTGGGAAGTACGGACTGGCTGACTGACAGACAGGCGAACAGATAGACAAACAGACAGACAGACAGATGGACGGATGGACTTTGCAGCGTGGGGCCTGCAGATGTCTTGCATCGCCCCTGGTATTGTTCTTGTTCATGTTTACATTTTGGGTAAAGGAAGGGTGTCTGCTAAGTCTGGTTCGCATATAGGAAACGGAGAAGGGGAAGAGCGGAAGTTCAGATGCGAAGCATCCAAGAATACGCGCCAATTTTTTTCAGTTGTTGTTGTATCCCATGCATGGGCGATATACGTATGCATACTGTCTTTTCTGACGGATATTGTATTCCATGAAGAGGAGATGGGATGTCAAGGCTAGGGGGGCCATCCACCATCCGTTCATGCAAAAAAAAAACACAAGAAAAAACAAACAAACCATGCTTTTTGTCTCTCCTACTACACCCCCTTTCGAACACACACCCCTACTCTCTTTTTCTTTGTTGACATTCACTGCTCCCTCTTTGAGTTGGATGAACAGGCACAGGAACATGGCATGTTATGCCTTACCAACAGTTGCTGTTGTTATTTGTCTATGTGTTCTTTGTGCCTGTCGACCAGATGTAAAGTAAAAAAAAAGGGGTGAAAACAACAACAGAGAGAGAGAGAGGGCGGAGGCGAGAATCGGTGAGCAAAGCGACAAGGAGAGGGATTGACCAGTTTGTAGACGATGACGCAAGGTTGCATAATAGGCCCACAGACAGAGGGGGTATCATTCGCCCACAGCAGTAACGCAGCAGCAAACCAAAGGGCTGCTGCCTTGCTTGTTGCCTACATTGTCATTGTCCGAGGAAAAGAAGCAAAGGCACAAGGAAAAAACAAACCAAAACACAACTGACCAACTCCCGCCTCTTTTTTTGTTTATTTGTTTGATTGGTTTGCCATCCGCTGCTTTTCTAGGGGAAACAACCGCGCTCTGCTGATGAACGAGAAGAGGAGAAGACGCCGAGAGAGCCACAACGCAGGTATGTCATCATGATAATCGAACTGGCTCATTTTCTTTTTCCTTGTTTCTCCTTTGCTTGTCCTGCTCACTCCTTGAATATTACCATGCAATGCCTGGTGATCATGGTCTAGACTTTTTTTGTTTCTATTATTGCTAACAAAGGATCTCCTACCTTCTACCCTTGGCTTTCATCATAGTTGAACGTCGTCGCCGTGATAACATCAATGAAAAGATCCAAGAGCTCTCAACATTGCTCCCCGAGATCTATGTCGACAGCGCCAACAAGCCCAACAAGGGAGTCATCCTTCGAAAGTCGGTCGACTACATTCGTCACTTGCAGCAGTTGGTCACGTCTCAGAACAACCGGAACCAGGAGTTGGAGGCACAGCTCCGAGCAAGAAACGGTGCCGGGTCCACTGGTGACGAGAACAACGCCAATGGCGTGAACGGAGCAGGACCAGGGCCTCAGCTCCAACAAGACTTTGGCATGATGCGGATCGTCTCGGGTGGTGGCAATGGCGGCCAGAACTAAAGACGAGACCATGATAGAAGAGAAGAAGCGGCGTTGACGCGTCAAGCTTGACGACTCAACCTAGCGGACAAAATTTGCGACGGCCTGGTTGTCTTTCATCACCTTGAGCCAGACGACGACGACGAATGTACATACAACAACCGACACCAAATCAACCAAGGAGGCCCCAGGAGGTGGGATCTGGGCCAACTTCTGGCAGTTCTTCTCTCTCTCTCTCTCCATTCTTCACATTGAGGAAGGAAGGGATTGGGTGACACTGGCATGTCAGCTCTTTTCCAAGGGGTTCTTGGAGAATGACCAACACCATAGACAGGAACGCGCCGAACTCATACCCCGATACACACCACAACAACATATCTCGCCTTGTAAATTTTTCTCAGCCTTTCGACACTCTTCATATGCCAACTTATACATAGCTCTTTTTGCACCCTCCTTCATTGGCACTTTATCACCATGCGACCTACCAAGCAACTACGACACATGACAAACGACAGCAACGACAACGACAGCCATACAACAACAGCATCAACACCAAAAAAACCCAAAAAAAAGCACCCGCTCCACAAGTCCTTTGACTCTTCCCCCTCACTTCCCCCTTCCCCCTTCCCCTTTTTTGCTTCTTCCCCTTTTGTTGTTTTATCACATCTTTTCTTCTCCCTTTTTTCTTTTTCCGAATTGACAATTATGCAAATTCGGGCGATATGAACGTAACGACAGTTGTTCCTTTCTTGTTCACATTTCTTTTTTTTTGTCTCTTCCTTTCGTACCGACATGGAGAGAAAGAGAATGAAATCTGAACGGAGGAGGAATTACACACCAATCCCTCCTTGCTTGGTAGCGCCCGCTCTTTGTACAAAATACTTTTTTTCCTCCCTTCGTTTTTTGTTTTCTTTGCCCTTTTCCTTCTTTCTATTCATTTGTGATTCCCCAAATAAAAAAAAAATGATATTCAAACAATTGAGGTGGACCTGGACCACCTTGTCTGTGTTTGTAGTTGGTATCTGAATGATGACATAAACAAGGGTCAGTGTTGTCCCCTTATTCATTCTTTCTTGCCTCTTTTGTTGTGAGCTCCGAGCTCGTTCACCCACTCTCCTCGAATTCGCCGAATGGTCCGGGTCTTTTGTTGTAAGACACTTGACACCCACCCTTTTGACAGGGAACCCTTGTTTAGGATTCATGGTCTGTTCTTCAATTATATGTTTATTCTAGTATGTTGTAGGTGTTATGAAAACAAAACAAAAAAAAAAGCCTCCCTAGTTCTTGGGGGCAACAATAGTAGTTCTCTGTCGAGTGGTGGTAGAGGTGATCGTAGTTGTGGTAGTAGCTCCTGTAGGCGAACCCTGAACGACCTTCTCAGTCTTAGTCGTTGTAGTCGACGAAGCAGCGGCCATCTTTTGCAGCTTCTCCGACCGCTTGACATATGCCTCGAGTCCGATTCCCGAGAAGACGACGGCGACCATAGACCACTGCTGAAGCGTAAGCTGATGTCCATATGCAACAACAGACAAGAGGATGGTGAAGAGTTTCCGGGTGACGGTGACGGTGACAAGCGAGAGAGAGCCGTACTGCTCGAGGGTATAAAAGATGAAGCACTGGCCAAGGGCACCGCAGATCGAGAACATGGCGATATCCTTGATAATAGCAGGATGGGTCTGACAGAAGGCGAGAGCCTGGCCGAGTTCTGGGTTGAAGGGGTTCAAGAGCCAGGTCGCCATGTAAGCGGACATAGAGAGGTTCATGAAAAACATCATCTGCTGTCCTGTGACCTTGTAGGCATGGAAGATCTGGTCCTGGGTCGAGTTGGTGACACCGTCGAGGGTCAAGTTGATCGCCACCAAGAAGAGTCCATACAATGATGAGGCCGCAGCGCCCTTCTTTCCCTTGTGGTCGTCCATGGGTGCGAAAAGCATGAATCCCGAAACCCCAATGGTGACAAGTGCGACGCAGATATACTTGTAGGTCGGGAACTTGCGACGGTAGAGCAAGATGTTCATCAACATGACGGGGACGAGTTTACAGGATTTGGTCAAGATCATGGTTGGGTAGTCGATGTGCTTCAGAGCGGCATAGGAGAAGGGTGAGGCGATGACTCCGATGAGGGCCACTTGGAGGTATTTGAAGGTGAGGGAGGAAGAGGGGCGAGAGAGGGATTTGCCCTGGAGGGTGAGGTAGAGGAATGCGACGGTTGCGGCACAGAGGGATTGGGCGAGGTTGAGGATGATGAAGAACTTGAACTTTTGTGCGTCTTGTCCGTAGGGGGTTGTTGAGACCTTTTCTTGGTAGTAGCCCCATGTCAAGAAGCAGGAGTAGATGCTATCATTGTTTTGTGCAGGAAGGTTTTATGTTTGGTTAGGCTTGAGTTGCATTGGAATCCGAGTTGCTCGATGGTGGTAATGAAAGGCCAATGAGAATTGAGAAGAGAGCGAGTAGAGAGAATGAAAGGAGAGTGAGTTCTTACCCAGCTACGCAACCAGCCAGGCGGAGCATGCTGTGTATATGTGTTGTGTCGGCGAAGGGGGAAGGTGAAGGGGGAAGGGTAATGAATAAGAGAAGAGAAGGAGAGATGTGGAGGATGACGAAGGGGATGAAGGACTAAGTGATCCTCTGCTGTAACAAATGAAAAGCGATCAGCCAGTCACATCTGATTGGGGCGAATCATGCGCTGGCAAGGTCTGACTGGGCGGAACCCTGAAAATAGCAACAAACCAGAAAAGGCGAGGCTCTCGGCTGTTGTTTGTTGTTCACGATCAATTGGCTTGAGGATGGATCCAAAAGCAATTAGAGACTGGAGGCTATGCTGAGCCCAAGTGGTTATTATATATCAAAGAAAAGCAATAACAAACAATATCGATATCGATGGCATTAGTTTTCCTGTCGTGGACCATGGGCAAAGCAAAGTATATCCTTTGCTCTGTCCCTTAAGTCGTCACCTGGACCTTCATACACATCACTCGGAGAATCAGTGGCGTTTTCTCTTTTCCTGCCAATTAGACGGCAGCACCCTTGATTTTTTCTTCATGCTATTGTTTTCACGGGTTCAGACTGCGTGAAGGAAATGCGTCAATTGGATCTCCCCTCCCTCCTTTTCCTCAGTTCACAGAGATTATTGTCCCTTTTCTTTTGACGACTCCAACTGGACTGGTTGCCCTTGCCCTTTCCACACCTTCTTCACATACGCCCTTTTTTCCCATCTCTTTTTCTCCCCCCACCCCATCAACTCTTTTCACTTTCTCGCATTAACCTTCTTGCACAACAATACACGACCGTTCTTTACCCATTCCTTTTTATCGTCCTTTTTCACGCACGTATTCAGGTACATACTCACACCACACACTGTCTCCTGTCCACCCACCCTATCACTCCGTTCTTCACATGCAGCACTATCAACAACAACGACAACACCACAACGCGCAGGACACCATACAGACAGACAGACAGACAGACAGACAGACAGACAGACAGACAGACAGACAGACAGACAGACAGGCCCCCTTTTGCGCGCAGTGCTCTCCGACTCTCTGCCACTCGTCTTTTCGTTCCTTCCCTCCCACAAGTCGGTGTAGCAGGCTCATTTTTTTTCTTATGAGACTAAGCGAGAACAAAAGAACAAAAACATTCAGTTGGGAAGGAGGAGGAGGAAGAGGGTGGGGTGGTTCACAGCTCGCAAGCGAGGAGGTCCTTTTTGTTTTCCCAGGAACGAGATAGCGAGAGCAGTAATCTGGATCAAAAAAATATGGTCCAATCCTATTTCTTTTTTTCTTGGCTTGACCTCTCGCTGTGTTTGTTTTGTGAGTTGTTGTGTGAGAATTAGCAACAAGTGTGTCTTTTGAACAAGGAAACCGACAAACAAAAAAAGAGTAAGCGGAGCCAATGTGCGCGCGGATGCGGGGGATGTGATATGATGATCAAGAATGAAAATAATGAGGCAATATACGAGAACCGGGGTTTGGTGCAATAGTCCATCTACCAAGTATTCTCAAGGAAGACTGCATGATCCTTGGTTCTTTATCCTTGCTCGATGATAGGTTCAATAGACGCGATATGGAAGGGAAAAGGCAAATGGAAAGGGAAAGAGGGGCTAATTGAACAAAGGAAAGGATCGAAGGGAAGGGGCAGCTGGACAATTCTTGTTGGTATCTTGACTGGTTCACTTTTTCCTTTTGTTTGGTTGTGCATGGACGTATGTGTGGACGTATGTGCCCGTGGTTGAGCGACTTTGTTGGTTTATCATGCTTAGTGGTGTCGATGGGATGGGGATGCGAGAGACGGACTGACAGACAAGTGAAAGGCGGGATGCGAGGTGCACCAAAACCAACAAAGGACGACAACAACGACACAAGATGTGTGTCGGTTTCCCCCCCTTTTTATTTGAGTTGGTTGACTCTTGGCTTTGTTTACGCGAATTGCCTGCCTGCTGCTTGCCTGCAGAGCGCATATATACTCCCACACGGACACACAAGGACAAGAACAAGGACAAGGACAGGAAAGGGGAACCAGAAAGGCAGCGAAGCAGGAAGAGAAGCAAAGAGAAGAGAGCATTGTCAACAGACGGAGGGGCTACGTGCCTGTACCTTGCTGCCTAACGTTCCCTTTTTTCTTATGTCTGTCTTCTTGGAGCAGGAGCAGCTGCTGTGTGGTTCATGCAACCGGACCTTCCTTTATCCCCTTGTACACCAACAAAAGGAAAACCTTGTCGCTCTCCTGGAACGAATCGGCATTATCGTTTGCAACAACAACAGCAACTCCTGACTCCTAACGCAACTGTCTTCTTGTTTTCTTTCCCTCTTAGTGAAAACGACATTTTTGTTCCTTCCTTCCTTATCCTCCGCCTGCTTCCTTTCACCTTTCCTACATTCAACTCTTTTCCTCTTTTTTCCCACAAGACAATCAAGATGCCAACTCATTCATTCCCAGTCCTGAATCAGCAGTTCATCGTTGACACAAAGTACCAGTTCATCCGCGAGATCGGTCAAGGTGCCTACGGTGTCGTCTGGTACGTTTATCTTCCCTTCCCAGTGCGCACAGGACATACTTTGTTTTAAAGCCAGTCCATGTCCATTCCCTCATCCCTGTCCAAATATATGCTTCCATGCTTCTCTGCTTCCATACTTCCATGCTTTCATGCTTCCATACCCTGCACGTTTGGTGTATCTTGGTGCAATGTAAGGCTCTCAGCTCACATTTGCACTCTTTTCTTTTTTCTATCAATTGGGTCTTTACTGTGTGAAATAACTTTATTAGTGCTGCCAAGAACACTCAGACTGGAGAGGACGTTGCCATCAAGAAGGTTACCAAGGTCTTTGAGAAGGCCATCCTCGCCAAGCGTGCCTTGCGCGAGGTCAAGCTGTTGCGCCACTTTGCAGGACACGAGAACGTAAGGAGTAACACCAATTCACTGAGGACAGCTCCATTATATTGGCGTTCAATTGTTCTTGCCATGGCATTCTATGCTGGCCGTTCTTCCCGATTGGACCATTACTGAACGTCTGATATGCAAACAATATTCTTTTTTTTTCTTTGTGGGTGATGTATAGATCACATCAATTCTCGATATGGATATCATCAACGTCATGGACTTTAACGAGATGTAAGAACGCACGCAAGCTATTTTCAATCTGGACTAGCAGGCAAGGCCTCATTCCTCGCAAAATCGGTGTTACCTCTATTCACTATTCGTTATATCTCTTTCCACTGGCAATAGTTACCTTGTGCAAGAATTGATGGAAGCGGATCTTCACCAGATCATTCGCTCGGAACAGCCTTTGACGGACGCCCACTTTCAGTACTTTGTCTACCAGATCTGCCGTGGACTCAAATACATTCACTCGGCCAACGTCTTGCATCGTGATTTGAAGCCCGGCAACTTGCTGGTCAATGCCGACTGCGAGCTCAAGATTTGCGATTTTGGATTGGCCCGTGGATTCAGTGATGATGCCGAATCAAACGTCGGTTTCATGACCGAATACGTCGCCACCCGTTGGTACCGCGCTCCTGAGATCATGCTAAGCTTCCAGAGCTACACCAAGGCCAGTAAGTTGCAGACAACCGATTGTGCCAATGGTGATGTGGATTGAAGCATCAACATGTTCTGACAAGTATACACTTTTTTTTGATTGCTTTAATAGTTGATATGTGGTCAGTTGGATGCATTTTCGCTGAGATGTTGGGAGGCAAGCCTCTGTTCAAGGGACGCGATTATGTCGACCAGTTGAACCAAATTCTTCAAATTCTCGGAACGCCCGATGAGGCGACCTTGAGACGCGTCGGCAGTGAGAGAGTAAGGATAGCTTTTCAGGACACTTCACACATTCAGCACATGGGGTTTATTCACAGTATCAAACGGGGACCTCAATTCTAACCACGCTTGGTTTCGTTCTATGTTGACGACTATATAGGCCCAGGCGTACATCCGCAGTTTGCCAAGGATGCCAACTATCCACTTCCAGCAGTTATACCCTCGCGCCAGCCCTTTGGCCATCGACCTGTTGGAGAAGCTGTTGAACTTTGACCCTGCTGCCCGTATCACAGTCGAGCAGGCTCTGGCCCATCCTTACTTGGCTGCCTACCACGAGGAGGACGATGAGCCCATCCATGAGAAGACTTTTGATTTCCAGTTTGAGGTCACCGACCGTATCGACGAGATGAAGAGTGAGTCATCGTGCTGGTAGTTTGAGTTGATGACGCTCGTGGACGAATATCCATCCACGTATAGCCTTTTAACGATTCTTTCAAATTGCGTTTTTGTCGTTCCAATAGGACTGATTGCACAGGAGGTCATGTCGTTCAAGGCGAGCAAGGAGCAGGCATTGGGATCACATGGAGGACTTCGTAGGGCGGCCAGTCTATCGGCAGCAGACCGTAACGCAACCACTTCGGCAGCTAAGGAAATTCCCCGAAATGCCAGTCAAAGGGAGCCTGCCATCGCAGAGGAGGCTGTTCCTAGCCACCAACAGCAACATGCTAGCTCATCTGCTATGGACGTCGATGAGGATCTGGAACGTGAGTTGAGCGGTCAGCAGGCAGTCCGCGCATAGAGTAAGAGGAAGCTGAGTGAGGGGTGTTTGAAGAAGCGCGTGTCTCCGAACAGGGGCGAGACGGTTTGCCGATAGAACAGCAAATAATATAATTGCACCTTTGACTCGTCCTTTTGAAGTGCCGAGTTGTTGGGATTGAAACCATACACTTGCTTGTGTCCTGCGTTGATTGATTCATGGTCTTCAATCATTTTGTTTCATATGCGCATGCAATGACTGAAAATTCAGGCACGGTTAGGTACGAAGATAACAACGAAGGTCACAAACGACGCGCGCTATTACAGCCTGGAGCTCTTCCTTGTGGACTCATAAGACAGCTTCTATGCCCACAACTTTTGTTTCTGTCATTTTGCGCTCACTTTTACTATCCGGTTTTCGTTAGAGAAGGTGAAGCCAGTGTTTCTGGAGGTGTTTGTTTTCATTTCATGGAGCGCGCACTGAAAAAAACTTGTGACTAAACCGCGCGCCTCCGATCTCCCTCTCTCTCTTTTTTTTTACCCTTCGTTACACTGGTCACAAAGACGTTCGCCCATCCACAGCTATTGATGTCGTCTGTTTCTGGAACAAAAATGTTTAAGATTTTTTGATAAATATTCTCTCGACAACGGTTAATGAGACACCCTTAAACAATGCGAAAAATGGATTCCTCGCACAAAGTGATAAAACAACGTCAGGGTCGATTGGCAGTTGGTCCCACCGTTGTATGTTTTTTCTTTTTGCAAAAAAAACGATTCTAATGAATCCCAACGACCTGGATCTGTGGGTTCTGCAAGATGCCCCCTGTGTCTTACAAAGACCCGCAACTGTTACAAAGAATATTACGGTTTTTTAAATCGCGCACAACACAAAAGCCCACATGCCTCATACTTATGAACCACCAAACAAAAAAAAAAAGGTTGCAAACCAGTGCCTGGTTCCTGGTACCCTCTTAAAGTAACCCTCCTTCTCGCATTGTTAACGTATGGTCCTACAAAAAAGTTCTAGAATCCTTGACGGTCAAGGGGATACAGGTGAAGTAAGGCGAATGTTCGTTCCTTATTTTCGCTTTGGAAATCGTAGGATTGATGCAACGCGCTGTGGGTCAGTGGCGAGTCTGCTGATGAGACGTGAAATTTACATGAGAAGGGGTATAGTGATTTGACCATGGGCGAAGAGACTGACGAAAATGATACCCAGGCTGTGCCTGACGATTCGACGAAGCACAGAAGCATGTTGTGAGATGTTATAGGACCTGGGTTTTTGTCGCTGTCTGTCTTTGCATTCGTTCCATCCTCTTACCTCCTATTTCATTCGCCGCAAGGCGAAGTTCCTCTTGCGTCCTCACCATCACATATATCCTATTTTTCCGAAAGAGAACATGATCTTGGCGGACTTTACACTGCGTATTCTTCTTTTATTGTCTTCTCCATCGGCACAGTTAGACGCAATAAACAAACATGCACAAACACAGCGAAGAAAAAGAAATTAGACTGCTGGATCCCACAACAACATGAAAAGCGGATAAGAAAGAAAAAAAAAGTAAGAGAACGTGTTGAATATTTTCTGCATTTGGATATTTATTATTTGCATTTGGCTTCATGTTCACCCTTCTTTTTTCTCTGCTCGGCGCTCCGAGATCCATCCGTTACTCATCTCCAGACCCATCGTCAGATCAAAGAGTTATGTCAACAATCTACCCTGAGCGAAGGAAATGCGCTGGGCCAACAACTTTCGGTGTATCGGGCTCAGACCAATCGCCTCATCGAGAACCACACCTGGAGTGCAAAGCCTCTTAAGGTTGGTGCCCCAAAGCATCTTGACGACCATGGTTCCATTGTCGCTCGACACTCGCCATACTCGGACAGACCCGTCTTCGCTGGCTGTGATGAACTCCGCAGGGACAACTGGATTCCAAGACAGGCCTATGATATACGCAGAAAACACACGAAGCGCAACTACATAAGACCAGCTCTCGACGTTCCCTTTGGTCAGATGTCGGTGCCAGAGATGCACAATGAAGCTCTCGTGGGCGGACGCCAGAAACTGACCGCATGGCGAGTAGGCGACGGCCACGGTGCTAGAAAAGGCATCCTCCGAACTGCCAGCCGCGCTCAATTCCAAACTGGGTTCATCCGACTGCAGGTCCCACAAGGCAATCGAATTCTTTGTGCCTAAAGCAAGTTGCTGACCATTTGGCGAATACTCCAATACTAGGAGCCGCCCCTCCCTCAGCTTCCTGGACGTCAAGAGGACTCTTGTTTGTGGATCGAAAAGCCTGACTATTCCGTCCTTTGAGCAGACCGCAAGTTGATGTCCATTTGGTGAGAACTTCAAGCCTTCAATCCTGCTGTCATCGCCTGCACCCGTGCCATCAAGAACGTACCGCTGCTCCGTATCATGGATGTCCCACAATCGTAGAGTGCTATCTACGTCGGAAGAGGCCATCCAGCAACCACAGGGTGAACAAGCAACAATCCTCACCGCGCTCGAATGTCCCTCCAAGACCGGTCCTGCTGCGCCGGTGATGCGATCCCACGATTGCACTGAACCATCCGCGAATCCGGTTGCTATCCGATTGCCGTCCGTTGAAAACTCCAGGATGGAGAACGACTCCAAGTTCTGAAACTCAAACGACACTGATCCGCGAGCTCCAGTCGTAGCATCCCCTTGTCGGACAGCACCTAGGCCATCGATAGAGAGGAAAGATAGGCCATCGGAAGAATATGCCATCTTAACATCACCGATCTGATTTTGTGTCGCAATTCTGGAGGGACCAGAGCTCGCCTCCCATAGTCGCAACGTCTGGTCGTTAGATCCCGATGCAATGATAAGATCGTCCGGAGAGAAAGTGACGCCCGTTACAGATTTCGAATGACCGTCAAATGTGGAAATAAGGTCTCCTGTCGATGCGTCCCACAACATCACCCTGCGGTCCATGGCAGTAGCGATGAATTGGCCGTTCGGAGAGAATGCGATTCCCCCAACACACTCGGCGCGGCCTTGCAGGACAAGACCTGGGCTACCGGAGACCATATCCCACAACCGCACATTGCCGCCATCGTGACCGGAAGCGATCCATCGGCCGCCTGGAGAAATGGCAAGGCATTCCACTCTCCCACACGTAAGACTCAAGACGGACACCGGTTCTCCTGTCCCTGAGTTCCAAAACCGAATCGTCCCATCCCAGCTACCTGATACAAGCTGCTGGCCATCTGGGGAAAATCTGACGCTCCTAACGCTGTCAGTATGGCCTTCCAAAACAAAGACGCACTCTCCGGTCAACGAATCCCACAGTCGTATCGTGCAGCCGCTGACCGCGGCGATACGATTGCCGCAAGGTGAGTACTCCAATGAGTATACAGGAATAGCGTGCCCCTCCATAGCTAACAACTCCTCGCCGCTTGTACAATCCCACAACCGAACCATTCCCTTCAAGTCTCCAGATACGATTCGTCGGCTGTCAGGCGAGAACGCAACAGATAGAATGTTCTCGGTGCCTGTGATTCGATGAATTCGCTGCCATGTAGAGGTGTCGTAAATCACGATACCAACGTTTTTAGCAAAAAATAACGCCGCTCCAAACAACCTTCCGTCCGGCGAGTAGGCACAAGCATATACAGAACCCTCCTCCATGAGGTATGGCAGCTCTCCGAACCGAACGCCCTCCAGCTCCGCATGGCTCAAATCCGCTTGCCGCAACCAACTCCTTGAAAGATCGACGCCCTTCAGGTTGGCTCCTTGGAACTGTGCAGAATCGAACTGTCCGTCGGAAAGGTCGGCGCCAGGGATCTTGACGCCGCGAAGATCTGCACTGTGGAAGGCAACACCGGCACTGACCAGGATCGTGATGGCGTTGGTGGCAGCGGTGGTGACACTGGAATCGGTTTTGGATTGGTCGATGATAGCGCGGAGTTGTTGTCCGAAGGTAGGATCCTGATTGACGCGGTCGCACAGGAACTGGATAATCGACGGCTCCTCAAGCAAGTTTCTCTGGTACAAAGGGCCGTTGGTGTCGCGGGCGAGAGAGACTGGGTATGCAGTCTCCGTTGGCGAGTCAAAGTCCTGCTCGCCAACCTTGGCCCGGTTGTAGATGACGCGTGAGAGAAAATACTCTAGCATGGAACGATGGAGAAAGCGGTATTGGTTGCCGGTGCGCATCAATGGGCTGGCATCACGCAGCAGCGTGACTTCAGGGTCGGTACCAAAGAACGCCGCCTTCCAGGAGTCTCTGTCGTGTCGATGAACGTATTGGATGACCGGGTTTCCACCTTGCTCCTGAAAGATTGCCTCAGACAGACGCAGCAGGTAGTTGATCCCACATCCAATAAAGTCGTCGTCCACCAGCGAGTTGAATGCCGTCTGTTCTTCCTTGCTCAGTGTGTTCGAGTGTAGGCGGAGTCGATTCGACTCCAACCACTGGTCGACAAACATGTCATAGAGTACGACTCGGGTGACACGAATGTTTGACAGGTCTTCATTCGAGGCAACCAGGCGAGGCAGAGCCTTGAGAGCAAGGGTGAGGAGGAACGGGTTCTTGACGAGGTCCTTGACATTGGGGATCATTGTCAACTTGTCCATGTACTCTTTTACCGACCATATAGCCTGATTCCTGAATAACAGTGCCGTTTGTGGACCATGCGCATATAGCTCGACATAGTTCTTGATCTGATCCTTGGAGAAGGGGGCAATGACGGCCTCCTGGAATAGATCCTCTGAGCCAGAGGCGTAGCGATCTGTCGGCTGCGGTTTGAAGCGGTCGAGGTAGGTGGGCCCGAGGAACTGGGTGCGGCAGCTGATGACCATCTTGGTGTTCCATTGGCCTGGCCGGTTCAACATGTTGGTCCGGTGCAGATTGACCAACTGCTGACTCTCATCGTAACCGTCGCAGATGAGGATGATCTGGTGGTGCAACTTCATCTCTTGGATCTGATCTTCGCTAAAGTTGTTGACTTTCAACTGCTTGGCGATTAGGTCCTGGTCGGGGCGGTCGATGGCGGGAAGGTTGATGAACAATGGGATGGGTCCACCCTGCTTATAGTCGGTCCAGAGTCGATGCTCGAGATGGCGATTGAATATCGATTTCCCGGACCCAGAATCACCTAGTATCAACATCACTTGACGCTCGCTTGCTAGGAACTCTAGTACTTTCTCCAGGAGAGGAAAGGTATCGTTGTCCTTGGCCCTCAGGCTGGCTTTGGCAAATGGCTGGATGTAAAGTGACAGACGACTCTGTTCCAATCTGACGACTTTGTGCTTGTGGAGATCATATTCGATAGGAGGGATCTTTTGAATGCGAGCGAGTGTCGGAGACGATGTAGGCAGAGGAAGACGGCTCCTGAGCGGGTAAGGAAGACGTGTGGAGGTGTCTTGGTCCTGGGTGAGGTGATTCAACAGAGCGAGAGCACTGGTACTGACGGCCTGGTCAGCAGTAGCTCCGAGTTGGCGGATGATGTTCAGCATCCAGGTACTGACGCTCACATCCTGGCCCCACTTTGAGTCGTTCCTGTACAGCTCTCCAAGAAGATCGACGGCGTGCAGGCGGACGTTGGTATCCCAGATAGTGTCGGATGCGATCTCGCCCAGCAGCTGGCAGACACCCCATTGGAACAAAGGGTCACGGCGACAGGGTGCCTCATAGATGAGCACGTTGAGATCCTTGAGTTGACCAGCTTGAGCAAAGGCGTAGGCGGCGCGGATGGCAGTGTACCAAGGACGCTTCTGACCAGACCCGAGTCCCTCTTTCAGACTCTCAAGAACGCCTCGGCCACTATCCATCAGCGAACAAGCACCATTGTAGACACTACTAGCAACCTCAACGACGCCACCAAGGGCGTCCTGCAGCTTGCCGAGTCCCTCGAGAACTGCTCCCAGATCCAGCTTAAACACGGCCGAGACCTTGACGAGCCCATCCACAACCCCAGTAGAATGTCGGAGAACAGCTTGCAGCGGCGACTCGTTATTGGGAACATACTGGAGCGCTTGGAACGCATAGCATGCCTGGTACATCAAGTAGGGATCTGAGCTGGCCCTCAAACCCGACAACACCCCAGACAGAGGTTCGTGCTCCTCGACTCGATTCAAGTCCTTGACCTTGTGCTCCGCCATTATATCGAGCAACCTCGAGACAGCCAACGTGAGATGGAAAGGATGCACTGACGATTGCTGGTGGGTGTCCTGCAGACGAACTCTGAGGACTCGGAGAATCTTTACCAGGTCGTCAGGGAGCAGAGCCTCGGAGGGAGCAGACTGAACCAGTTGCACCAGACCTTGAAGCAAATCGACATCCAAAAGCACAGCCTGGTCGAATGCCGTGATGGCGCACGACAGCAACCTGCGAAAATGCTCGTTGTCGAGCACTGGTCCAATAAGCACCATCTCCGCAATCTCGGTCGAGTCCTTGGAAGCGTCCTTTGCGAACTCATCCACCATGCTAGCTCCTAGCCAGCGGAGACGTTCCTGCTCAACGGGGTCCTGCTTCATGGACTTGATCCAGGCAAGTTCGGCAGCAGTGTCAGAAGACAAGACCTGAGAGGAATTCTCTTCCTGTTGGATGGGATCATTGCCCTTTGGTAGCAAGCCAATGCACAAGGAAAGTTGGGGAGTAGTATTGATGCGAGAACCAAACTCGGGCAGGGTGATGAGAACCATAGGTGGGCTCACATTCTGCGAAAAGACGGCCACGTGAGGTTCGACTGGCAGAGTTGATGGCTGGACATAGGAGACAGGACTCTTAACCGCGGTGGTGGAGACTGCATGTTCGATGCCAGAACTGCTGGAGACTGCATCCTCGGTGTTGGCAGTGCTGGAGATCTTATGGTCGATGTCGGCACTGTACTCGGCGCTGACAGTTGAGAGGTGAGGAAGAGTCGCCTTGGTGCTTTGGGACTGCTTGACCTTGGACCCTGACCTGGACGACCTAAAAAAGTTGAAGATCTTGTCCCGTTTGCGAGGTGAGGTTGGATGCGATTCCTTGGACATGGTGTGTGCACTAATATTAAACAGAGTAGTAATCGTGACATTGAACATTAGGAAGTGTTGCAAAGATACACAAAGGTCAGAAAGCGCAATGTCATTGTTATCTGTCTTACCTTGGAGGAAATCAAAGTCCTTTGTTGAGCGTGTTGGAGACTGGACAGGGTTGAAACGAAAAAAGGAAAACAAGGCGCGATGAGACAGTGTAAAACGGGTAGTGCATTGCTTATCCGCGGAGCTGAGTAACAAAAAACTCACATTGGGAAAAAACACAGAGCTGATATTGTTGCTTGGTCTGTTTGGTGCTTGGGAAGAAATCTATTTGCATGCAGAGTGTTGGTCACCAATTATCGGCGTAAACGGAGTCATGAAATGACAATGCACTGGCGAGTGGTCAAGGAAGGCCTCACCTGAGTGGCAGTGAAAGGGATATTCTCTTGGTTGTTTTTTGTTATAGCTCTTGGTCCGTTGTGGGCTGATGCTTGGAAGACTAGAAACGAAGTTACCCATGTTATTATCGAATGGAGGGAGTTAGCACGCGCTAGCAGAATATGTTAAGTCTATTCTTGTAGGCAAGCACAACTGTCCATGCATTAGCAAAGCATGTCGAACCTGGTGAAAACGAGAGGGCTTTTCTTGGTTTCTCTTTGGATGTTGGCTGGCTTGGGGAACGACAAGGAGAGAGACAGGCAATTGTTTTTAGGCGGAAAAGGTAACGACTGTGAAAAATTGAGGTTAGGACGTGTCCGGCAGCGATAATTGCAGTATGTGAGCTGGGCTATCGGACGTGAGGGTCCTACCTCTCTAAGCTTGAGGTCCTCGGTACTGTTAGGTATAAGACGGACAGGCACGCAGGAGGGCGATAGACTGAGCGCGGAGAAGGTGCAGAGGAGTGAGAATGAGAAAGTTGGACAATGGAAGGATGTTGGAATGACCAACAGGTACTAATGTAGGTAAGACGCAATGAAGGAGAAGGAGACTGGCAGTGAAGAAGACGAATGAAGGAGATGGAGAATAGTTATGAGGGGAGCAAAGTGAGTGTTGCAAAGTGGAAAGAGAGAGAGAGGAAGGAACATTATAAAGAAAGTAAGCATGCTTTGTTGTTTTTGTTTTTTTGCTCTCTGACAGGGTGCGCCTTTCCTTTCCTTGTCTCTGGCAGACAATGCAATCGCGCATGGCGCTTCCAGTCTTGTTTTCAATGATGAACACTAACTGAAAATGAGCATGGAGAGGCGGTGATTGGCAAGACACTTACCAGTTCAACGCGAAAATAAAATGAGTACTTGTCGAAGTGATCATCAAATTGGTCCTCGCCAGTTAAACCGGGATGTCTTAGTTAAGAATATCACTCAGAAACCGCACACCCGCCAATCTGCCAACGGAAATTCAGGAGAAGAGGCACAAGACGCCTTTCTGCCTGATAGTGTTTTTTCTTTGGTCACTCTAAATTCGCATGCCTGTGCCTTTTTTTGATATTTCGTCTACTGTGTCAGGCATGATTCCTGTGCCCGGAAGGTGTGTCTTTATTGAGATAGCTATTCAATCCTCATCTATATACCCACGTCCTTCGTTTTCTTTGCCTCATTTTTTCCTGTATAGTTCCTGTTGTCCTGATGTCACCTGCGTTGCCTCTAGACATGAAAAAGTACATATTTGTCAGATCAAGGACGCGAATGCAATTATAGGAGTTACGGGCAAGAAGCGGTGGGCAAGGGAAATGAAGGAGGATGGTTACCCTTCTGACAAGGCAGCAGCAGTTTTTGTTGTACAGCCTTTTGGGAGTCTTCGCCAATGGAGGACTACGACAGGTGAAGATATTATAAACGGAAAGAGGAAGATGGTGCGGCGATAGCTGACGTAACGGGGAGGAAAGAAAAAAAAAGTGAGTGTGTATGTAAATATGGATGGGTATTCTGTTATGAGAAGGACGGACTAGGCAGGACAAGGTGGGTGACAATGTGTCATACAGGAAAACAACACCATGGTTGGTGAATGAAAAAGAGAGGGGCCATGTCATAAGAATTTTATACCTACTCGAAATGATGGAGTCCCTGCACAACCTTGTTTCGCATACACATTCTATGACCCAGATCCCTATTTTTGTCGGTTGGCGAACCCCTTCCTTGAGTTTCTTTCGATCATTCACGCAACTAATGGTCTAATACAGGTAGGATGCTCGGAGGACATAGTGTCGGTATGTTGCTTTACTCAAGCAGAGCAAAAAAAAAGTTGTTTTTGTTTTCGTACTGCAAGTACTCCACTTTTCTAGACGCGCGAACGCGATACATTTCATTTGTTCGATATCGAAGCGTTCATTCTACAACAAACCCTCAATTCCTGAACACGTCGTGTCCCAATCAGATGATATCTGCGAGGTACCATGTTCGGGAGGGGAAAGGAGAAAATAATATGTCATTCTTTCAAGAATGGGTCTTTTTTGTTCACACGCGCATCCGAACGGCGTGCTTCTTCCTCATCGCCCTCAGATGACATGTACTTTGTATGACCATAGACCAACTCAACATTCTTATCCAAATGCGAAGTAGTAAAAAAAAACGTGCATTGGTGCTGTTTGCACACCATTACACAACTGTAACAGCCAGTATGCAGGCATGCACGCAATGGACCAACAGTGTTTGAAAAAAGTATTTTTTGTGTATTTGACAGAGGTGGAGAAGAAGAAAAGAACTAAATCAAGCAAGGGTTTTGATGAGCTCGCCAACCAAGGTAATGTACTGCTGCTCGGCTTCCTCCTTGGTGGTGCCGCTCTTCTTGGTCCAGGCATCCCACTTGGCCTTGCCCTTGAAGTCAAGGGTACCCTATTATGTTGAGAATACAAACAGGACAATAAACACTGTGGTGAGTAAACGCACGCCTCATCGATTCTATTTGTTCATGATGTTTGTCGAAGTCGCAGGTGGTGGGTTTTGAAGGATGACATGTTGCATGGTCGATAGGTTCTGTTGAGAAGGGAAGGGAAGGGACTTACAGGGCGGGCTAGAGAGGTGAGAAAAGACGAAAAAGGAAGTGTCAGAACACCATAGATACCAAAAAATTGACGACACGAAATGTAGGTTCAATTGACAGCCCGGAGAAAATAATAATGAAGGAAAGGAGGACTTACTGGTGTTGTTATCACCGACGGTTGCCTGCTTGAAGAGAGCATACAACTTGAGGAGATCATCGTTGGAGGGGGAGGTTTTAAGCTCCTTGACCTGAACGGCAGCGGCGTCGAATTCGGCGGAAGGCTATTTATTTTTCATTCAGGACATTGTGAAGAGGGGGGATAAAGTTAGTTATGGATGTTCAGTTGAAGCCTCGGAGGAAGAATATAGCCCTTCACTCTATGGTGTTATGTATTCCGTTGTTCTGTTGTTCGGCGACTCTCCTGTGAGAAGACTTTGAATATCGTGACGCGAGGAGTGTGTGCTTGGTGTGTCCTGAAGCTGTGTGAATGGTTGTCAGATACGCCTAGCTTGTGTCAAGGTAAATCCTTGCTTGTTTGTCTATCTGTCGTCCTGTAAGTGTGAGAGTGCGAGGGAGTGAATGAGTGAGCGGGGATGACTTACCATGATGATTTGTTTTTTGGGTTGTTGGGTGGAGGAAGGGAAAGATGGGGAAACAAGATGAAAGGAGGGGGCCTGCTCTTTTTATGTCATCTCGACACAAGAATGTGGTGGATGGATTACACGTGATAATAATAAGGCGACTTGGCGTCACCGGAATAATTTAGCGAGAGGACGTGAAGGACGCGAAGGTCTTGTTGGGTGCTGGTGGACAAGAGGGGAGTGATATTCCTTTTTCAAGTGACAAAGAGATGACCAAGCAGCAATGGAGCATTGAAGACGTATTTTTCTTTACAAATATTTAATTGACTCTGTCTCTACTACTCATCAAAAGAGATGCTTTCTAAAGGTATTACCGGTCATTATCATTAGGAAAGAAAAAAAAAGGTGGGAAAAAAATCGTAAAAAGCTGCACAAACAATTCCGATCGGAGGTGAATGTGTATGTGATCGGATGCTTGGCAGATGCAAAAAAATGTTAACCCCGGGTGTTGGTAACTCGAGGTTGAAGAGACCCAAGGCACACAGACACACGCGCCACGAAGTGTCCTTTGTCCCATCTCTTCTCTATCCATCTCGCCCCGCCATTGTTGGTATCTAATGTAGTGTTGGTGTTGGTGTGTGTCTCTACTGTCACTCATGTCTATGTTCTTCAGCTCTGCTTAAGTTCTGCAATGAGCACTTTAACGCAAGAGACGCATGGCCATCTCGAAACCAAGGAAGGTGACGGCGTTGGCGGGGGCGGCACGGAGGATGCAGGGAGCAACGCCCTTGAAGAATCCAGCAACACCTTCCTTGGCCAAGGTCTGGCGAGCACAGTCAATGGCAGACGAGTACTGGCGGGTGGAAGACGAGAAGCCATCGGTCTGCAACTTGGACTTGATCACATCAATGGGGTACACGGTAGCCCTGAAAGGAGAAAAACATATATAGTTTCATATGATTAGTATCTCATCCAAATTGACACATGGTATTATTGACATTGACGAGTGAACTCTCAATAAAACATACCACATGGCGTAACCGGCGCAGGCACCATAGGAGACGAAGTTGAGGGTGCTCAACTCGTTACGCTTCTTGTTCTCAAGACGCATGGCGCGCTGGACGAGGTACTCGTAGGCAGCAAAGTAGGCACCATATCCCTGGAACTCACGGACCATGGTGACAGCTTGACCCTTGTAGATACCACGGAGACCGTGCTGGGCGTAGATCTTCTGGACAGCATCGACGGGGCCAGTGAAGAACAAGGTGTTCTTGGAAGCATTGGCAGCAGAAGTCTCGGCGGCGACCTTGACAGAGTTCTGGGCAGCAGCAGTGGTGGCAACAGCACCAGTTTCGACTGACTTGGCAGCAATAGTAGCAACAGACTCGGCAGCACCCGAGGTAATAGCTGGGGGAGCTCCGGTCTGGACCTGGAGACGGGTACGGATGTGCTCAACGGGGCCCGAGATGACCGAGTTGGTGATACCACTGGCAGCTCCGGCAAGGTAGAGCTGAGAGTTGGTGAGGAATCCGTTGGCGCTGGGTCCGTTCAAGTCGTTGTAGTAGCGCTTCATGGCCTCGAGGGTGACAAACTGGATCGAGACACAGGCTCCGACACCGATCAAGGGAGTGGTGGTGCCTTTATAGAATCCCTTGAGGCCCTCCTTGGAGAGAGTCTTCTTCACGCAGTCCAATGTTCCGTTGTACAGGGGTGCCTGACCTGGCAAAGGGGTAGGCATGGTTTGAAGGCGCTATTTTTATGCGTTGGATCCAATTTGCGAAGTTAGAACCCTGCATTGGTAGTTGGAGAAAGCAAGGCGTTGCCGAATGTATTATTTTGTTCCAGATGCCAGTTTCATCCAGCACTGTCTGCTCCTGTTCCTGTTGTTGATGCTATGCACCTCCTGTTGGTTTAATATTGCCACGATAGTGGTTGATGTGTCAGCAATAGCTCTCAGGAGTAAAACGGGGGTGCAACCAATAGAGCAAATGGTATCGGATCTGGCTTCAGCCGAGAGCGTTACGATTCAGCTGGTCATAGCTGTCCAAAGAAAAAAAAAGGGGCGGGCTGGAGACGGTGTGGGAACAAGAGAGGAACGATGCTCTCTAGTTCGAAGTTCCATTTTTTGTTGCTGTTTCGTCCGTCTGCCGTCCATTGTCCATTGTCCAGTTGGGTGGAGTAGTATGGCAGCTGTCGAATTGAGAATTGAGCTGCTCCTGGCTCTCTGCTGTCCCTCCCTGTCCCCTTCGACATTTTTTCTCTCTCTTTCGCTCACGCGCTCTTTTTCTCCCGCTCTCTTGTTCCTTTTGTCTGGTTTGTGAAAAGTAAAGCCTGACTTTCATAATCCATGGACTCTCTTGTCCTGCCGATTTCTTTTGCCAAAGGGCGGGCACAAATGATTTGACTGTCTCGCCTTGATCAAAATAATACTGCTGTTGGTTCCTGAAATAAACAAGGGTTGTGTCCTGTGTCCTGTCTGTGTATTCAGTCAGGTGGTTGAACCAGAGTGAGTCGAAGCGAAGTCCAGAAGGACAAAGAAATTAACAGCGGAGGCACAGAAGGAAAGCCACATATCCTGAACTCGACCGTTTGTTCCCTTTTTTTTCTTTGCCTATACGTGAACATCGTTCATCCTTACCACTTTAACGGTGTCAAAGGGCTAGATCACACGATGCACAATGAGTCAAGCATAGAAAGAATACGATGAGGATTAGAATACGATGCAGATGCATATCATTATCAGGATTGAGATATGGATGTCAGTTTACTCAGAGAACAAGAATATGGTGTACCTGTCCGACAAAGACCTGGAGGAAACCTCCGATGGTACCGCTGACGCAGTCCTTGGCAGATTGCTTAGCATCGCTCATGATGTATATGTGTGAGTATGAAAAGAGTGGGAGAAGGAATTAAGGTTGTTTCTGAAGGAACGACTCTGGAGTGAAGGGAAGAGGAGGATAGATCAAGCAAGTAAGGAGTGGAGAGAGAGTGGAGTGAAGGAAAGAGTAGAGAGTGAAGAGAAGAGGAAAAGAGAGAGAGAATGAAGAGAGAAGAAGAGAATGAAGAGAGAGGAGAAGAAAAAAGATGGATAACAACAGCAACAGGTAATGACAAAGAAAAAAGGAGCTGTCGATCGGAAGGGCAATCAAAAAAAAAAGAGGAGCACAGAAAGATTTTTTTTTTTGAATCTGGCACGGTGGAATGAAATCCATGCACTCTGCACTCAGTCTGAACCAACCGTTCTCCGAGCTGGCACTAAAAAAAAATCGAAAAAGAAAACTTGTTCGGACTTCGTAGTAAAGGGAGGCTAAATGGACTAAAGTGAAGAACAAGGCGGGCGAAATGCCCTTGTCTCTCCATGAGTAATGGCTGCCTCACTCAGTCTCACTCGACAACATCCACCTTCCTCTCTTCCATGCCCCACATTTCGTGGCCAGAAGGCAAAGTAGAATCCGGGCCCATCGAATGACGGCCGTTGTCAACTATTGGACATTCAAGCCTTCCTTGTTTGATGACATGATGTTGTTGCTAAATGCACACAGCTCCCCAACTTTCAATTAGAGGAAGACTGGCACACGAACGCAGTGGCAGACACCAGAATATATCGTACATGTTTGCTCGTAGCCAAGCAATGAGAAGGGCACAGGCATAAGCAATTGAGCCTGCACAGTCTTGCTTCATCTGTCTCTGAAGAAAACAAACAATAGCCCTGCCTCGCCTCCCTGTGTGAACTGCCTTCGTCGTCTTCTTGGTCCCTGTCCATTGCACATGCGCATGTTCAATATCGGCCCAGTATGTGTGGCTTGTCACTTTGTCTCTTTTCAATCGTGCATGCGCACACCTCACACTGACACATTGACACACCGACAGCCGAACGTGTTTTCCGCTGCTGTACGAGTACTCCTGCTGTACTCTTTTCTCGGCCATTTTTTTCCTTTTTCTTCTTTCTGTTTCTACTTCTACTTCCTTCATCCTTTTCACGCCCATTCATCCATCCACAACCAAAACATTCAACATGTCCAGCATCTTCACCTCCAACGAACTCGCCAAGCACGACGGAACCGACGCCAGCATCCCCATCTACGTCGCCATCAAGGGCTCCGTCTTTGACGTCTCTACCAAGAAGGAGATGTACGGTCCCGGCGCCGGATACCACTGCTTCGCCGGCAAGGACGCCTCCAAGGTACTCACTACACATTCACCTACTACGATGTTGACAAAAGCAACCAGGACCGGGCAACTTTGTTTCCCTTTTCTTGTTTTGTCTGTCCCCCTTTGTTCAAACACCGGATAATACCGGCGCGGACAAGTACATGCTCGCGTTGTGTCCCATCCTCTCCTCTCTCTCCCAACCCTTCGGTAATTAACTAACTGTCCATGTTTTTTAACTATAATAGGCCCTTGGAAAGAGCTCATTGAAGCCCGAGGACTGCATTGCTGACTACAGCGATTTGGACGAGAAGGAGGTACCTTTTTCATCTTTTCTCTTCTTTTGTTCACATGAAGATCAATTAGACACAAGAAAGGGATGTGAATGCTCTTGTATCTTTCTTTGTTACTCACCCATAAGCTCACTTTTGTGTCAATGTGTGTTACTAATTAGCTCAAGACCTTGGACGACTGGTTCATCTTTTTTGAGAAGAGATACCCCATCGTTGGCAAGACCGCTTAAAAGAACGAAGAGAGGACAACTCCAGCATGCAGCTTGTACATACTAATAAAATAAAAAGGATCGAAGGTGTTTTTCCGCACAAAGACGAGTAGAATACTGTCCTTCCTTTTGTTCTCCATGCTCAAAGGGAAAAGAAAGAAAGAAGGAAAAAAAGGAGAGATCGATAGCGGATGGACGGAAGGACGGATGCAATCGAGAACACTCAATGTTATTTTTGGGCGTACTGACACTTCGTTGTGTTCGAAATATGTTTTTCCATCATTGATTGACGCACACATCCACTCCTCCGCCCTCCACTCTACTCCAGTCCTTCCTCCGCTTTAACTGGACCCTCCTCTCCCCATAGGCCCACTCTTTCTTAGCTCCTTCTCTTTACACTTTCTTTTCTCCACCCTAACTCAACTCTTTTCTTCATTCTTTCACACTCTTCAAGTTACTCACTCCTTCAAGTCAACCCACCCAACTTCACTTCACTTCACCTTCACTTCACTTCGCTTCTTCTCCCCCTTTCAACTTCTCTACACACTCAAACTCGCTTGGCCGCGACACGTCGTACCACGGTTGTCACAATGGAAGTCGCACAACCCTTACCAGGACAACAGCATACACCAACACAAACCAATGCCGACACTTTAACTCATTCAGTGTTGCTCTTGCCCACCCATGACACCACCATGGCACCAACAACACAAGACAGCAATGTAACCGCAACAGCAACTCCAACTCTTACCAAGCAAGCGACGTTAATGAGCGAGGCCAACTCGGAGAACAACGATAGCTTGCGAGGCCTCTCTCAAGAATCCAACTCGAGCATGGGTGGTGGAGTAAGTAGCGGACTCTCGGACGAGTCTGGTCACTCTGCAGACGACTATCAAGGAGACGATACCGCTGCTAGACGTTCGCTTCGTCAACAGAGCAAGGAGCGGGCTATTGAGCATGTTCTCCAGCAGGGCAAGATCCTTAAGGTACTTTTGGACACTTTTTCTCCTGTCAAGCGACACCTCTTCTGCCCTATTATACAGACAGACTTCTACAAGACTTCTGGATACATTGCTCCTGTTGCTTTCGCCCAAGTCTTGGCCGTTGTGGTGCTCTCAATTGGCCGCTTACGCGCTTTTTTTTTTTTTTTTTTTTTTTTTTTTTTCTTGAACAACCTTCTTTATTTCAATGTGACTTGCTTGCAGTGGCCTCATCCGAATTTCATCTTGGACTGACTGGGGACATGAGTATGACACCTCTTTTACCTTTTATCTTAATTACAGATATCAAGGCGACTGCGGACACGACTAGAGTATGCGATCCTGAAGATCCGTCGAGGGTGGTCCAAATACACCCTGCAGGAGGTAGAGTCCCTCATGCAGCCAGGAATGTCGCCCCGCATTACCTCCAAGCGACCGCTCGCCGTCCCTACGTCGCCCCGGCACAGCAGCAGGAGACGCCTCCGCAAGGAGTACCCCGAATACGAGCAACCCTCCGACCTCATCTCCTCTAGAAGAAACCACCAACAGCAAGATGCTATGGAGGATATCCTCTCCTCGAGCGACCTTCAAACCAATCCAACCGACCCTACGACTACAGCAGCAGCAGGAGGAGGAAGACGGTACAAGTCAAGACCATCATTCTCACAGTTCAAGGACTCGGAGCTTTTCTTGCCCGCGAAATCATTGATGGACATTGCGACCTCATCACCCTCACAATCTCCCCGACTCAACTCTGGTAGCGGATTCTCGACATTTCCCAACCAGTACGGTATCCAGAGTCCTTATAGTTCACCAGGAAGTCCTCTCTACCGTGATTCGACACCCGTGAGCAACTGGCCGTCATTATCGCAACCAACATCGCCTGTGATCACCTCGAGCTCGACGATCCTGTCGACGGCGGTGGTGGCGTCTTTGGTTCAGCAGTACGATGATGAGATCAAGGAAGACGGGTCAGAGGCACCTTCAGAAACTCAAGCGGCCAGGACGATATTGCTGCTGGCTTCCAGTCCTACCAGATCCCCATCCAGGACATTGGACCAGGGGTACCTTAACAGACAGGCTGCTGCTGCTGCAACTCTAGCCGCAGTGAGGAGCCCATCTGCTTCGCCGTTGTTAAAGCATGCAGAGTTGACGGCATCACTGAGCTCCTTGCCCGGTTTGACGAGCAGCATCACCTCGTATTCACCCATGACCTCGTCTCCATTGGTGCAGTTCCAGACCACCGCGGCATCGACACCATCTCCCGACAGATCACCCACACTTGCAGACGACAGCCCGTTCTTGGTCAAGCGAAAACAAGGATCAAGCAGCCCACTGAGCGCCTCGGCGACCAAGCATGAACAGACATTTCCTTCGCCATTGTCGAGTTCATCCCTCCCCATCCTTGCATCTTCGCCATCTGTCCCTCAGGAAACAACTGTTCGATCCATAACTCCACCTCCAGCCAAGGACAATGTTGCTGACTCTTTAGCACCTGGAGAGATCTCGTCGGCGTCACCTCCTCGATCCTCTATAACCACCAGATCGTCGAAGTCTGTTGTTCCTCCTCGCACCCCGTCGCCGCGGAGACGAACACAGGCCGACGCGACTCTTGGAGTGAGGACTCCGCCACCCAGTGAAGGCAAGGAAGAGATGTCTTTGCGACACTATAACAACATTGCTACAGCAACAGCAGCAGCGGCACCGGCAAGTGGAGGTTCAATTGCACAATCGATTGCGGCGAGGAGACGCAACAGTGGACTGACGGGTGGATCTGGTATGGACATGGTGTTTCCCACATCTGAAGGCAGTTCGAAGAAGTGAGCTGTTGTTCCTTGTTTGCCTTGTTATTATGTTGTTTCCATAGTTTTGTAAGACCCACTTGTATTATGTTGTTCTTGTTTTTGACATTCGTATTCTTTCTTGAATCTGTACCATGTTCTGTAGTTCTATCATAGAAGAAAAAAATGGAAATAAATATGCCATTCACTGTAAATGCTTCATCGCCCGAGCACGCTACGCCTATGAAGTAGACTTGGTTCGCAGGCGGACTCTCACATCGAACAAGAAGAGAACAAATCGTGTGGCTCTCACGCCCTTTTTTTGCCTTTGTTTGGCGCCATTTGATTGGACCATTCAGGCAGACTCAAGGGAGTGAGAACGAAGAGAGCCACGAGAACTTTGTTCATACCACTTTATTCTCATCCGTCATTCTTCTTTTCTCTCTTTTTCTTTTCTTCTCCATCCTCATCCATCGACCCTCCCTCTCCCCCGTCAACTCTTACACTATGGTAAAAACATACTCGCCGCAAAAAAACAACAACCCTTCTTCAAGAACCCGGCAAATAACAGTTGAGGAAGAACCCCATAGGCAGTTACACTACAGGACCCGCCAGCAACAAACCCATCAAGAGTTCGCCTACCGAGAAAAACGCGGATAAAGCAAGGCGACCAGGAGGAAAACATCGACGGAAGGATGAAGGGGAAGAACGCTAATCAGTATGAACCAAGAAAGTCAAGGTCTAACTCAGCATCAACCTGTCCTTTTTTTTATTCTCAATAGTCTGACTCCCCCGCTGCCTCCCCCAACCCCGCCGGTGCCTCCCCCCGTGGAGCTGTCAGGTAAACGCTTCGGGATCAGATGAACCAAAAAAAAAAAAAAAAAAAAAAAAGCTGATGAAGGCAAAACTAGCTGATCAGCTTCGACATATGCAATTCAACTCGTCTAACCACAATCCATATTCTTTTCTTGTTCTGTTTGTAGGAGACGTACCACCGCCGCAAAGGAAAAGACTTCCCGCGCCCCTGGACCTAGCACCGCAGGCATGATGCGCATCTACACCGACGACTCTCCCGGCCTCCGCGTGTAAGTCCTCCCTCTTTCTTCCCTGCTTGCTGCGAACTCTCTCAGAAACACAGATCAACAATTCGACAGGCAGCAGCAGCAGCAGCCTACGATGTGAACAAGATGAAAAAAGCTTCCAAACCCGAGACTGATCATTTTCTAATACTTTCATGGATAATAGTGACCCTGTTGTCGTCTTGGTCTTGTCGTTGGCTTTCATCGCCTCTGTCTTTGCCCTCCACATCTACGGAAAGTTGACCAAGGCCTAAATAGCAACACACGCAGGAACTCTGTCAAACAATCCAACAACCCATCTAGACACTTCTTTTTTTTCCTTGTCGCAACTGTACTGTACTATAAAACTTCCCATATAGCCTCCTTGAACGCTCACCATGAAAATATTTACTTGTCGTTTGTTTTATTTTCCAATTCGTCATCTTTTGCGTTCAAGCAAACACCTCAGGAGAAAGACCAGTATTCTTACTTGTCGGTTCCAAAGTAACGGCAGCCAAAGTCACCGAGACCAGGGTCAATATACAACTTCTCGTCGAGACCAGCATCGATCTCGGCAGTGACAATCTTCATGGCGGGGAACTTGGCCACAACCGCAGCAATACCCTCGGGACACGAGATCAAGTTCAGGAAGAGGATCCTCTCCTCTGCAACTCCATAGTCGATCAATGTCTCGATAGCCTTGATTGCCGAACCTCCAGTAGCTATTTGTATATATGAGTTTTTCAGAAAGGTAGAATGTAGAGTGCGTAAGTGACTGAAGGACAAGAGACGGAGAAGTAAGGGAACAATTGATCAATGGGCGCTTATCAGTGCTAATGAAGAAAACGTACCGAGCATGGGGTCGAGGAGGAGGCAGAAGCGGGAGGCGATATCTGGAGGGAACTTGGCGTAGTAGAGCTTTGGCAGGGCAGTCTCCTCATCTCTCTGGATCAGGATCTTGCCGATACGGACACTTCTGCACACATCACGAAGACCCTGTTCCACTGGTTGTTTTTTTTTGTTTTTCATTCAAACACAAAGAAATCAGTACAAGAGTATGTCAATCAACGTGTTTAAGTTATCAGCAAAAGCGGCTGCACGTTCCTTATCGTTTTCAATAATGAATTTGACAAAAAGAAACTTACTGGACTCTCCGGCGCGCATGATGGAGACACCGCAGATACGTCCCTGGAAGTCAATACCATGGAACTCCTTGCCTATTAAAATGTCATGACGATAAAGGAAAACCCCCCCAAAAAAAAGAGTTTAGTCCGGAGACAGAATGAACAGCGTTGGCGGGAGTTTCATAAACAAGGCGGTCCCTGGTTTGCCTCATTGGCAGGCCGAATCCTCGGATATTCCCAAATCAGGTTCCTCAGGTGTGTGTTATCAGACGCCAGCTTTCCAGGGTCTGGTTTTCTGGTTTTTCTGTCCATGCCTAATATCCAATTCCATAACGTTGCTGCTCTGTGCTGTGGGAGAGTGTGCGATGATTTATGTCCTTACCGGTGGGGGTAACAACAGTCTTCTCCACAACGGGCAAGTGGTTCAATCCTAACAAACAGTTGCAAAAGTAAGGTGAAAAGTCGTCAACAAGGCTTTCTTTGTATTGTTACCTTCACCGTCGTGATCACCGTCACCATTGTCGTCCATACATAATCTAATTTTGCAATCGTCAGCATCCCACTTTTTCTATCAAAGCACGAACATACACATGCACTATGCAACTTGCATAAAGACGTCCAACAAGGTGAGCAAAAAATTGACGTGTCGGACAAAGGTTTTGGGTTGCTTACCTTCCTCGACAAGGATACGGATGATACGATCCGAGTAAAAGATAAAGTCGGCACGCTGGGTGTTCTTGTCACGGATAATGGTCGTGCAAGCCTTCAGCTGCTGGGTCTGGGGGAGGACGATCACTTGCTTGGGGGGTTGGTAAGCCTATTTTCATTGGTGCCATTGGAAAGTTGAGAGACAGGTGAACGAAGGGGTGTATATGTGAGTAGGAGGTGCGTGGCGGAGTGGCGTCAATTAGGCTACTTTCCCAATTGTTTCTGTGCTTCTGCTCTGTGTGTCTACTGGTCTATTGTCCTTCCAGTCCTTTTCGTCTTTTTTTTTTGAATGGGTCCCATGGTTGTGTGGGTCATGAATGTCGAGGTGTTGCTTTGCTCTCAAGGAAGGGGCTTTCTTATCGCTTTCTTTCTGTCGCGACGTTGCTTGGCGTGTTTACTATCAACTCCTGTTGCTGCTGTTGAAAGCTTCTCCTGAGCAGTGTTTCGTTGTTGACGTGTTCTTACCATTGTGCTATGTGTGTATGGTTGTGGTATGGTTTGAATGAACAAACAGAAAAAGAAAAAGAAAAGAAAAACAAAAACACCAGAAAAGTTGCCCCCGTGGGACACCTCTTTTTTTTTTACCACCGTCCCCTTTTGCCTGGACCCTCACACGTGACTTGTGCATTTGTCTCGTTTCGGGAAGCGAAAAAAAAACCTGGGTCCATATGCTGGCATACACACTACGATGTACCTTGCGGGCAAACCAAATGAAGCTAGGAGAACCTTTGTAGGAATGCTCCGCTCCACATTAGTCGTCGTTTAGTTCTTGCTGTCTTGTTGAGGGTGTTTGTTGTTTGTTGTTTGTTGTCTGTCTAAACTTTTACGATTTTTTATTTACAGTGTTGTATTTTACAATGGTATTGCAAGGGCTTAGGTCTTGGTGAAAAGAATAAAGAGGTAGAGAACAGAGGAAGAGGAAAATAGATGAAGAAAAAAAAAAAGAGAACTAGAGCACATTAATGGGGTTATTACAACAGATCGTACAACAAAAGAAGTGAGAGAAGGAAAGAAAACGAAAAAGAAAGAGAGAATAAAAGAAGAGAAGAGTAATAAAAAAAAGCGATGGCCAAGGGTGCTAAGACCAAGTGGGTCGCTGTCGTCAGATAGCGTCAACAGTGTCACAAGGAATGGGGGGTGAACTTGAAGAGTGCTGAGGTTGGTGCAGTCATGGTGTCTGTTTTGGCTGGAGGACCTTATCGCCGCCACCAAAAAGTCTCACTTATCAGTGCCATCATTATCATCACTCACTCGTCCATCTCGTCCGAGACTTCGCTTCCGTCCTCCAGCTCCAGAACTCGCTGTTGGTGGTGGATCATCGCGCGAATCTTCCTCAGCAGCCTTTCCTCCTCCGATTGTTGGGGCTGGATTGGACGGCGCTGGTAAGGGTTAAAATGCGCAATCACTTGCACAACCCCTGGTTCCTTACTAGGGATCAAACGAGCACCGCCGCCACCACCGCCGCCGCCGTTGACTGACAGCGACATATCTCCATGGCCATGCTGCTGCTGCTGAAGGTGATGATGGTACTCGCCTCCTGCCGTTGCTGGCGTTGTCCTGACTGACAGCTCATCATCGCTGATTGTCACATCCGGGTGCATCTTTGCCGTGTGCGTCTATGTAGCATTGAACATAGCATCGAAAAGGATTGTTAGATTATGGCGCTAAAAAAAACTTATGTAGGTGTTACCTGGTTGAATACGCATGGTTGAAAAGAAACGTACCTTCAGGTTGCCAAGTTGGCTGAAGGTCTTTCCGCACCCAGGAAGCCTGCACATGAATGGCTTGACCTCGTCATGGATACGTTCGTGGGTCTTTAGGTTGCCGAGCTGGGTAAATGTCTTGTCGCAGTCGGGGTGTGGACACTTGTACGGACGTTCGCCCGTGTGCTTGCGCTCGTGGGTCTAATTCCAAAAGGTTGACAGTGAACAGAGTGAGCATGGGGTGGTACATGCTTGTTTAGTACAACAGGCTATCTCTTCGAGACAATGGACAATGGTAACAAGAATGCATAGACGTCATATTCAAAGTAAGGTGGTTGCTTACCTTGAGGTTTCCGAGTTGAGTGAAGGCGCGATCGCATCCATCAAAGCGGCAAATCTGTTGTCGATTTTAACCCACCGAGGCGAAAACAACAAAAGAACAATAACGCACCACACAAAACAAAAACAGAAAAAAAACCAAGCCGAAGCCGAAATCACAATGGTAGTTGATATGTTGTTGATTGGTCGAAAGGAAGATCCAAAAGTGTCCACAATGCCCATGCAAGTCCAATAATGGTGTCCACAGGGAAACAATCCAAAAGGCCAAACAACAAAGCCGAAGCAAACAGAAAAAAAATGAAGAGCGTAAAGATGAAGTCAAGGAACGAGAGAGAAGGATTAAGATAGAGAGAGGATAGACCGTGAGTCGTCAAAATCTTAGTTACGTTCGTCAAACATTTCATAGGAGGAATCAAAAAAGCAACTTGAGTAACAAACGAAGATGTTGACAAAGAAGATGGACAGACAGACAGCGACGACAGGAAAAGGAGAGATGGATGGAGGAGAGATGAAAGGAGAGGAGATGAGGATAGAGAAGGTGGAGTAGGTGCATGTCGGCTGCCTGTCTGTCTGGATCATTTTCATTGCGTATCTTGTCATTCTCATTCATCACTGCTTTTTCTTTCTGGCTCTCCCACTGGGGTAAAAAAAATGCTGCTGCTTGCGCTGACGTTGTACCATCTTTTTCATCACGGTCAACAAAGCGTCGAGGACATTGAGGCGGCCAGGGGAAAAAAAAAGAAACCGCCTCAACTCCAGACCAGTTAGATGGGGGAGTGGTATGAAAGTATAGGAAAGGGATAAAAGGTAAAAGAAATAAAGGAATAACGGGCGTTCATGTACAAATACCAATTAGTCCGCCAAGAAATACGGTTGCGGACACAGTATTAGATGAATGACACGAACAAAAAAATAAAGCTATCGGACGAGGAAAGTGACCATCTACCACTGACAAATCCAAAATGAACAAAGAAGCCCAAAAAAAAAGGTGGGTGATAGAAAGCAAAAAAAAAAAGAAAGAACAGAAGAAATAACAACGCTCATGGAGAAAAGAAACAAAGGCTGCCGTATCCGTCAAATCTTGGAGCCGTGGCTTCTTTGACTATTGTGCGCGTGCGTGTTTTCCGTCAAGATGAGAAACTCTCGCGAGCTGAAATATCTCCAGAATCAGGGTGATGCGGTCAAGCATTCATGCAACAAGCAACGGGGCCACAGGCAACAGGCGCGGGAGCATGGGCTTGGGATGGCACCATATGAAAGGGGACAACAAAATGGTCAATGGCATCGAGTACGAGTGCGAAATTGCTGAACGGCCTTCTACCCGCCTAGGGAAGAAGGATCAAGACGCGCTTGACATGACTTGATAGTTGAATATCCAGCCATCTGTTCCTGACCATTTGACCATTTTCGTTGCGTAGATCCCCTTTCTATCGAGGGCGCGTTTCCTGCAGACAAGCCGAACTCCCGTTATTCAGCGAGGATAGAGTGTGATTCGGTTATTTCGCAAGACGATCATTTCATATGTTCAGCACAAGAAGCGGCCCCACTCTGGCATCTCTTTTCAGCATCCATGGTTGTTGTCTCTGTTCTTTTTGTCCTTTTTCTTTTCTTTTTCTTTTTGTTTGCGCTTTCAACGGCTCTGATCCATCCCTGGGCAGTGCAATGCGTAGGGTGGGAAAACAAGAAGGTAAAAGAAGAAGAAAAAAGAATACAAATCAACGGGAAGGGCACAGATGTGGTAAAGAGAAGGAAGGAGGGAGGGATGGGATGGGATGGGATGGGAGGGAGGAGCGTTGCGCATGGTTGCGTGTTGACCAAGGGGTGGGGGGTTGTTAACTTACGTATGGTCTTGTTCCTGAGTGGCACCTACTTTGACAGCGGAAAGGCAAGATGTAGGAAGCGAGAAAAAAATAAAGAGCGTTAGTTTTAGTTGGACAAGGCACATCGTGTCGTGTCGAATCGTGTTTGTGTAAGTAATCGATATATGCTCCCGAGGAGATTAGCTCTTGTGTCATTGTCAATGGCAATATCACGCGTTCCGATTGCTGGCCGTCATTCGCCATCGTGGGCAAGCAAGACGCACGAATTGGCGTGTGCTCACTGGGCAAACTAAACAAACAAAACGCCCAGTTCAGATGGAAGGCCAAAGAAGGAAAATAAATAGGAAAAACGCCTCTGGAAAAAGAAAAGGTGACTCGTTGATTTCAAGAAGTCGACATTTGGGGCTGCTGGGGTAAAACGAAATGCACATAGGAAATGAACGGGACTTGTCGTTCTTCCCACTTTGCAACTTCCAACTGCTGCTGCTGCTGCTGTCATGGGAATTGTTGTCGCTGCCGTTTCCCTTTTGGTAGCGGGATGTGGATTGATAGGCGGGTGTGATGTTCTCCCGTTCCCTTCACTCCCCGGTTCGTCTTTGTCGCCTGGTCGTGGCCGCTGCTCGTTGGTTGTTCGTCGATTGGTCTGAAATTGTCGGTAGACCGCAACGAAAGTGTGAGAGTTCAACTCTATCCTGAGGAATGTGGAAACAATGTCTGGTCGTCGGTCGTCTGGTCGTCCTTAAACTCGTCATATCTTCGTCCACTGTCCAGAATTGTATCCCGATACAAGTAAGCCAGCACAATATGTGGCATGGGCCATATCTTTGGAACAAAAAAACATAGGTCATAGAAAACAGAACAAGAAGGGAAGGAAAAGAAGTATGGACAATGGATAAAGGGAGTCTTACCGCTCGTGCGATCGAAGATGGGCCACTTGGTAGAACTTCTTTTCACAATTGCCGATGGTGCAACCGTACTCCTTGGTGCGTTCGCCCCCACTGCCGTTCGACTGGGCTGACGAGGAAGAGCCCTGGCTGCTGATAGACATCTTGCGGTAAGCGTTGCTGTTCCTTCCGTGTTGGCCCGAGGACGACGACGACGACGCAGCGGGGAGGGTGCTGGGAGTAAGACCTGAAGCCTTGTGTCCTTGCACGGAGGCAGAGACGGCGGACTCGGGCAGGTACATCGTAGGCAGGTGATGCATCGAGGACGAGTCGGTGGCGGGTCGCTTCATGAACAGGGTGGGAGATGAGGGGATAGTGGCGTCGGGGTCCTCCTCGTCCTCGACGGGAGCAGCTTCCTCCATGGCAACTTCCTGGTCAAGGCGGTCGTCGCCTTGATGTTCGTCTTCTTCCTCGACGGTTGCCTCGAGGGCCATGACGAGGGCGTCGAGGGGTGAGGCAGGGGGGTTGGCAGACTTGAGGAGGGCCTTGACTGAAGACCTGCGACGGTTGAAGATGGAAGGAGCGGATTGTTGCATGCTGGGGTGGTAGGTGGTTGCGGGAGAGTGTGAGGGTGAAGGGTAGGCGAGGGCGTCGTTTGGGCCGAAGGTGGTGGTGGTGGCATTGTCCTTGGTTGCGGACTGAAGGAGGGGAGATGAGGCTGAGGACATGTTGGCTGGTTGGGTTGACTTGAGAGGGATGAACGAGTTCAGCTGGGATGGTAATAGTTGTTACTTGGTTGTGTTATGCGGGTGGCGAGGAAAAGTGTGAGAGTAGTGGTTGAAGGTGTGGGTGGGTCAGGGGCAGTGGAAGGGGAAAGAGAAGGGAAGGAAGGGAAGGGAAGGGAAGGAGAGGAGAAAAGGGTGAACTTGATAAACAAACAGACAGTCATCGCGTCGTATTGAGAGAGTGTGGAACAGAGGCTGGTTTGCACGTCTCTCTTGCTCTCTCAGCTAGGGACGCATGGCCCAATTCACACAGTCATACAAAGATGGCTAGAAAACCTGAAAGGCTGCTATTCGTTTATCTTTCAATTGAAGCAATAACCTGTCGGGGTTGTGTTTGAACCAAAAACCCCCCTTCTGTTGTTTTCTTTCCTATCGATCGTCTTTTTGTTGGTTTGAAAGAAACAGTTTCTATGGAAATATAGCGGTTTAGTAGGTTTTTGAAAGTCATGAATCCAACAAACCGGCCGTAAAACAACAAAAGAGTTGAGAATACTCTACCGGACTCTCAACCTTCCTCTCCCAGTGTACCCTGTCTGGTTAGCTAGAGTTGCGAGTGGGGGAGAGAAGGCTGAAAGTTTTGGCGCAACTTCACCACTTTGTTGTCCCATATAAGCGGGGATCTGAAATTTGACAAGCTTATTCAGTGCCGCTGCTGAAAAACGATACGCTCATAGCCTACCTTTCCTCTCTCGCAACTCACTCCATTCCAGGTGAAAAGAGGATCTATAGTCTTCACGCAAGAACAGGAACAGGAACATGATTCAGGAAAAGGTTGCTCGCACCAACTGCAGACCCAACCCTTACGAGACCACTAGACGGGTGTAGTGATTGTAGGCGTGTGTGTGTACGTACGTTTCCGCTTATTATGCAAACAAGCAACCCTCTCTCTGCCCTTGCCCTTTCTCTTGCCCTTTCTCTTGTCCCTTCTACTTGTCACCATCTTCTTTTTTTTGTCCCTGCATTTTCCTGTGGTCGCTAATCCCCGATCATCTGTGCGCCAGATCCCTTTTGGCAAAGATATAAAAATCCCTGTAGACTTTAGCAGTGGGCCATGGACCTGCAGTGATATTTACTACGTTTAACGCCATCTCTATTTTCTTCTGCTGGTTGCAAAGGGCAAGGACGGATTAAAACACAGAGTTGTCAACCAATTGGATATCCCTCGTTTTTCATTACTTTGCGCATTGACCATCGACCACCACCTCTGTTGTCGTTGTGTTAATCTTGAACAGCTGTTGACACGTTTTGACACGTACCATTATTGATCCCTTTGAGATCATAAAATATAACGATTGCTCGGCCCAACCCTCCTTCCCTCCCTCCTTCCTTCTCCCTCTCTCCGTCCACCCATTCATCCTCCGGAGTCTCTCCCTTGTGGACTGCATGCTGCATCACGTTATGGATCCAAGGAGAGATGTGTTCACATCAACAATAAAAAAACAAGACTCTTCTCTGTCTCCTTTGAAAGAGGGGTTAAAAAATACACACAAAAACAAAGACACAAAGGGCGAACGGCGGACCTAAAAAATAAACGCGATGTGGTTGCGCGCCGCTCGTCAATGTGGCGTGAACGAATGCAGTAGCGTCTTCTTTCCGTTCTCTCTCGTTGATGCATCTGGTGCGAATCTTCACACCTGTCGCGTTCTTTTCTCTTTCACGCGCGCCGATGGAGTCATCAGATCGATAATGAAATAACAACGTCAAAAGTGAAAAAGATAGAAAACAGACGGAGGAGAGAGAAAGGAGAGAGAAAGGAGAGGCGAAATAAAAGTGAGATAGAAAGGGTTGGTGAAGGTAGGAGTCAAAGGAAGGTGAGTGACGAAGCGAGAGAAAAGAGGGAGAAAGAGAGGATTCGGGGTCCCAGTGCCCCGTTTTCTGTGCCTGTCTCCTGCTTTCATCGTTGGCATCAGGATGGGCTTGCGCAATACAAATAATAGCAATAACGCCCAGTCTACTACGTGGTCGAAGAACGCATTAAGGAGGTCATTATCCTTTTAATGATACAGAAGGGCTAGACGACAACGATGACAATAACAACAGCAACAACCATACCACAACAACAACAATAACGGAACGAGATGGGGACCGTGAGTGATCGACCTCCACAGAACCTCATCTTCCCTTTCCGAGTTTACCTTTTCATACATCCCTTCCTTTTCCCTCCTTCCTTTCCTATGTCCCTTTCACATCTCTTCCTCCTTCGTATCTCACTGTGAGTGTATTCATTCGCTCCTGGATGGTTGTCTGACTAACTGACTTGTTGAGGGGTCTGTTCCCTTCTCCTTTTTTTATATTATTCTCTCCCATGTCCAGATGGACAATTGTTCTTTCCTCTTTTACCTTTTGCACATCTTTGCCCTTGGGCTCATATCATTTTGTTTACCATTGGCCATCATTGTAAGAGCGTGTCTGTTCATTTTTGTTTTCTTCTTCATCAAAAAGTGCAATGCACTCGTGAGTGCGTATCCCTTACTCGTTTTTTTTTGCACTCACTCGTTTGTCTCTTCCTCCGCTTCTCCGAACTTTGTGTAGCCCTCATTTTTTTTTTTTTTTTTTTTTTTTTTGGCTTTTTCTCTCTCACATGTCCTTTTTTTCCCTCCATTAATATCCCTCCGTTGGGGCATGCCAGTAAAGCACGAAGAGTAATTTCGTCCTTTGGGTTGGCCCCACTGCGTGCAGCTTGCATCACTTCTCAGGTGCCTCCGCCCTTCATTAATGGCAAACCTGCGATCTCGCCCCCTTCTCCTGTTTTCTTCTCGTCCCACCTCACTTCACATCTTTGTCGTCTCCCTTCGCTCTCATCCAGCAATCCCATCCTCCTGCACCTTATTGATTTTTTTTCTTTGTCTCCTTCTTCCAACTACCCCTCTTCCTTCAATCGTTACCCGATATCTGTTGGCATGTACAAAAGCAAAACAGGCGGACAAATGAGATTGATAGAGAGACTCAAACTCAGACCGAGTGACACTGGACGTCCAACCACATCTCTGCATACATCTCCATCACACATTGTTTATCTTATATCTCTGTTCCTTTCCGCTTTCACTCGCTCTGTCTCCTCTCCTTAACTCAGTCTCTTCATTCAGCCTCTGTCTCTCTTGCTGTCTCTCATTCTTGATCACTCGCTTTGTTTACTCCTCTTTCAAAGGACACCCCGGTCTTCCTTTTACTATTTTGCTAGTTCGCATCTAAACTTCACATCCATTATATATAGTCCACACCTTCCCTGGGTTTCTTCTTTTCCCTCTTTTTTTCTTTCTTTTTCTCCTCTTCAACTGGTTCTCAACCACCTTCCTTCTTTGCTTCCCTCCTAAATCCATAAAATAGTACCCATCCATAATCCACTTCGCTCATTGTTCATAATAATTAGGCAAGCAAGGCATTGCATACCATCATCACCTTCCTTTTTCAGCATCTACAACAAAAAAGAGCACGTCTCCTTCCTCCTCTTCTCCATTCTTCCTTCCTTTACAATTCCTCTCACGCGTTTTTTTTCTTATTACTCAGCCTTAATTTTTTCACGCGTTTTTGATCAACCACTCATTTCCTGTCCACCTCGCCCTCTTCGCCATCAACACACACGCTAAAAAGCGACACACTCAAGAAAACAAAAAGATGCCGGTCACCATGCCTAGAGGAGACCGGGGCAACCAACACTGGACCCCACGCGCCAGCCTTGAAAGTTTCGCCACTCCCTTCCCACTCTACAGCGGATACCTCATGAAACTCGGCTCCAACGATCGCTGGCAATCAAGACTCTTCACATTCGACGGTTCCGGTACGTGAAGAAATTCAACCCTGCTGTGTTTGTGTTTGTTTTTTGTATGCAGGGATAGCCTATGTTGTCCCCACCCCTCTTCCTCTTCCTTCTCCTACTCCCTTTTCCTCCCTCGTTATCGTTTTTTGTGTAATTGAGCCCCTTGTTTCTTCGGACGTGAAAAAAGGGATTTGAGAACAACATACAAACGAACGAACGTCTTCAGGCTGCATTAACTTCGTTTTGATCCATTTTTTTGACGTCGAGTGGGACACTCGTTTTGGGCGGGGGACAATTTGTTGCTGTCCATCTCAGGCCGTGTCATGTGTATTTGCTAACATAACGCGTCCTTTTTCTTTCTATCAATTTTCCTCTTCTTTTCTCCCTCTCCCTATTCTCGTGTGTGCCAATGTTAATGTCTTGCATAACAAAATAGTGCTAACTTGCGTAGGAAAGAGAAGAAGGACACCCCCCATCGCGACTTACGACCCTCATGTCTCCTCACCATTTGTCTCAGCACCCTGCAGAACCCAACCCTACAACCCAAACACCAAATGGTTTCTCCACATCGCCTCCATCACTGACATCCGTCTCCTCCCTTCATCCAAATCCTATTACCGCTGTTTCCCGACCTTGGACTTGCCACGGGCGTTGTTTATTCAGACCGCTGATGGACGGTCGGTGACGTTGAGGTCCAAGAAGAATATTGAGTTGGAGAGATGGTTTTTTGTGTTGACAAAGATGTGGGCTTTTCAGCAGCTTTTGCAGAGGTCTGAGGAGGATGTTGCTGCGACTGCTGCCAATGCCGCTGCTAATGCGAATGTGAGTGCTGCAGCGGCTACTGCATCTGCGCGTGTGTCTGGTGCGACCAACGCGGAGGAGTGCAGTGGCCGACGACGTGAAAGCGGCGGTGCAGGAGTAGGAGGGGAGACAGATCCGCACCATCAGTTAGTTCTCAGCAACGACAACAACCATCCACAGCAAAAACGCAACAGCAACAGCAACGGCCACCTCCAACAACAACAACACCGTAACAACAACAGCAACAACAACTATCAGCATCATTCCTCTTCCGCCCCCTTGCCGCCTCCTTCTTCTTCTCGCGCTGCTGCACCCCCTTGTACTAGCCATCTCCCAGCCCATCAGCAGTCGTTCCATCTCTTCAACAACTACCTGCAACGGCAGCAGATGTACCTCCAACATCAACAACAACAAGATCAAGGAGGGGACTACCATGCATGGCACTACCAACAACCACAATCGCAATCGCAACATATTGGCAATAACAAGTCATGGCGCCCTCAAAGACACACAGCGCCTCCCGTCACGACTATTGTACAGGAGAGCCTGATGCGGTACCAGATCCCTTTGCCAAGGCTCTCGGCTTTCTTTCCTGGTGGTTTGGACTGGCCTGTCCAGCAGCAGCAACAACAACAGTATGGTAGTGAGAAGGAAGTCTCCGAAGATCAAGGGGTTACGACTATTGTTGCTGTTAGTGGAGGTGGTGCTCTTATGGTTTCAATCGACGAGGAGGATAAGCAGGCCGAACACCGAGAGTTGGGGGAGAATGTCCGTAATGCCTACCTGAGAAAGAACTCGCTTGCTGACCAGTTCTCGTCCCCACCTATACCTTCGTCCAACATCAACAACATCAATGCTAGTACGACAACGATGAATGGCGGTGCTGGCGGCGGTAGAGGTAATGGAGTCGTATGTGACGGCGAGCTGATGAACGTCGGTGGGTCCTTGGAGCGCCAAGGAGGTGGTCGTGGGGGTTCCTGGCATCAAGATCCTATCAGCTCGATCCCGATGACAGAGGAGGCCCATGCAGGTTCGTCGACGCCTGGTCTGGGAATCCACCAGCAGGCCACGATCGTCTGGCCTGCTGCCGGTACCATGGAGCCCACCAAGGCTGCTGCGATCGATATGTGGCGTCGTAGTCTGATGTCCCCTCTTGCTCGCGCCAACACTGCAAGTTCCTTCCATTCTGACGATCCCGACAACCAAGCCCTCGTCCCTACCTCTGCAGCAAAGTTGTTCATGAGCAGGAACAACAGTCGTCGTCCCTCTGCCTCTGCTGGCAATGAACTCCTCCTTGGCCCTGGGTTAACCTATTGCTGTGAGGCCGATGCAGATGAAGAGGATGAGGAGGATTACGGTAACGACCACCTTGAACACCAGAGTCGGCCCAAGTGGTTCCAGCAGCAACAAAAACGCGAGACTTACCAACAGCCCCGTATGGCTATCGACACCGCCTCCGAGACCGATGATATCCCCCTTGCGTTTGTGCGGGCCATCCGACAGAACAGCATCGGAGGAGCCATGCCGTTGCTATTGCCGCCAATGGATATCCAAATGATGGGACCGTCTCCTATCGAGGTCCGTCATTACGTCCATGACGAAGATGAAGAAGACGATGATGACGACGACGAAACCAGTTCTCACGACCACCCTGCCAACAAGCACCACAATTTGTTCATCCGACCCCGTCGCCGTCGTCGTCAACACCATCATCAACACCGTCATAATCATCAGGACAAGGCCACTGAGCCTGCACTCCTGCATGTCCAGCGCTGTTCGCGCTGGCAAAAGACTCAACTCTCGTCCGAGGACGAGACGGGCACCAACCGAAACTCCTTGGAGGCCTTGACCAACACCCCCGATATGAGCTGTAACTCTTACCCGACCTTCTTGGCCACCAACTATAACAATAATCGCGAGTCGTACCTCAACAACTTGAACAACTGCGCAGGTCGTGATCGTGATCCTTACCCCATCAACGGTGGCTATGAGGCCAACAAGGAGTCGTTGTCAGACCCCACTCTGAACCAGCATCATCTTCAATCCTCGGCTGAGCCCAACCTCCCCCGGCCTTCCATCAGTCCCTTCATGAGCGCCGAAGAGTTTGCATCAGTTACTGGTGAGTTGCCAACAGCAAGACAGTCGATGGCAGCAGCGCGGTCCAAGCCCGTCGTCCCCACCGTTGGTATTCTCAAGCGCCCCTCCTTGCCTGCAATGGACACTGCTACTCTCCAGGCTGCGGTCGAAGCCAGCAAGGCGATGCAACAATGCGAAAAGACCATTTCCTTCCAGTCGTTCCCTTCGCCTCTTGAGAGGGACATGACTTACAACAACCTTGCTCATTATGGTAACAACAATTACAGCAATACGCCGGTCCACCCTTTCGCCCACCTCCCTACACCACACACTCCACCAACCATGTCTGCGCCGTCCATGGCCACCACCGGTGGTCCCTTCCGTGCGCCTGTGAACGGGTTCTTACCTCCACCCCCAATCCGCCCTCCAAGACGCCACCCTCTTCGCACCCCCGTCGGCTCTGATATCAAGTTCTCCCCCTCGCGCCGCAACAGCCAAGATGAGTCCATTATTTCTGGCTTTGGCGGCCGTAGTCTTGTAAACAGTTTCGGTGGTGGTGGTGGTGGCCAAGGCGATGCTTTCAACAACAACACCACTGGCACCGGTTCCGGCAAGGTCGAAAAGTCTCGCAGCCTGCTCTCATTCCTGGCCCTCAACAAGTCTACCTCTTCGTCATCGACTGCTGCTTCGCCCAAGTCGCGCACTATCGACTTTTCATCCCCATCTGCACATTCAGGCCCCTTCCGTCGCAACTCTCTCCCTGCAGTCCACTTCCTGGGTCTCAATCTAAGCAAGACTCCTCCATCCTCTGCGGCTGCAACCCCCGATATCAAGAAACAACGCCGCTCTTCCATCCTGGGTCTTAGCCGTCTCGACCGCTCCGAAAAGAAAGAAGAAAAAGAAGCAGCCGCCGCCGCAGCAGCAGCATTAGAAGCCCTCAAAACCTTCCAAGCAGAAGTCCTCCTCATCCGTGACCCCTCCCCTCCCCAAACCCCAGCTCCAGCCAGTGTCTCCAAGTTTGCCACTTTTAACCGTCGTTTCTCCCTCCCCGTCGCTGCCTTGTCTTCAGTCACCTTGACCTCACCCTCGGCTTCAAACTCACCTCCTTCGCTGTTATCATCTTTCCCCCCAACAGGGACCAAATCCACATCAGGCTCCTCGCGCCCTTCCTCCCGGGGTTCATCCCGCCCTTCATCGGAGTACATCGCCAACCCCAACCCCAACAACAACAGCACAATCAAACGCCTCTCCTCTGGATCCCTCTCCCGCCCACTTTCCCGCGCCAACAGCAACAGCAACCTCGCCGGCAACTCTACTTCCACCGACCACCACCATCAGTCACAATACAAACAACACCAACTCCAACAATTCTACCAACTCAAACTCCAAGCGCCTCTCATCCAAGTCGACGCCCCCGCGCCAACACCCGTCTCTGGAAAAGAAAAAGAAAAAGAAAAGGAAAAGGAGAAAGAAAAGGAGCAACACCAGCACAAGGGGTACTGCCGGAGGAAGAGCTTGGAAGTTGACGGATGTGGGAGTAGTGTTAGTGGAGGAGGTGGGAATGGGTATAAGGGTAGACCGTTGACGTGTTGCAGTGAGAGTGAACTGATCGAGGTGCTCAATAACAATAGCGAGGAAGACGATGATTTCTGCTATTTTTAACAAAGGAGGGCAAGCCAGCCAACAAAAGGTCAGCATCTGCGTCCAAAAATCTAAAAAGAAAAATAAAAATACATGAAAATGATATGAAAGCGATGAAGCGCGCCGGATGTGAAGGTTCAAGTATTTTTTTTTTTTTTTTTTTTTTTTTGATCTGGGTGTATGGTGTGGCATGTTGAACATGGCATGATTTTGGTTTGAAGTAAGATATGAACTGTGGACTGGGTGCATGGGTTTACTTTGGGCGGGAGATGTTGTTCTCTTAATTGCATTTATGTCGCACAAAAAAAATATATGAGAGCACCCATTGTTCAAAAAGAAGATCCCACGCATGTTCATGTTCATTTCCCAGTTGAACGGGCATGTGAGCCGCTTCTTAACTTTGCTTTCTTTCTTATTCTATGCTTGCCCTTGTGGTTGCTTCTGACCTCCTTTTTCACAAGGCAGTAAAAGATGGATCAAAAGCGACACCATTGAGGAAAGTGATGTGAACCAATAGAAAAACAGGAGCAATGGATCGAAAAAGGCATTCAGCAACCATATTACCTCTTTGCTCGCCAGCCGAGAGGCTGAGAGCACTGCACTTTTCTTCTTTTTTTTTCTTCCTATTGATATCAAATTTGCCATGCATGAAGAATGGGAAGAAAGAAAAAAGGGTCACAAAGAAAAAGGTAAAAGATAACGCATATAGGAAAAAAAAAAGTAAGAGCATTTGCATTGGGCAAGCCAATGGTTGTGCTGGACGTTTCATATTCACATATAAATATGTATACTCTCGAAAAAAATAGACATCGTACGTGACTTCTTTACTTTCCTCCGGCTCGAGGGACTCGTACTTTTTTTTTTTTCAGGAACAGGACGAGGACGAGAGCACTCTTTCAAGGAGGATAAGTAGCATGGGATCGTTGCTCGATTTCTTACTTTTTTCTCTTTTCTTTTCTTTTTCTCATCTTTTGATACTTTTCATTTCCTCTCTCAAACACACACACACACACACACCTCACCACCTCAAAAACAACATATCAACCATGGACAAATTCAAGGAGGTATGTCCCACTCACACTACACACTCTCACTTTCAGAACACGCAACCAGGACCAGCAACAGCTACAAGGACACGAGTCACTTTCTACTCTTATCCTCCCCTTCACCTCTTTGGACCCGTCCTTTCCCCACCCACTATGTTACACAACACTACCTCGCACAAACCCAACTAACATCACCCCTCACCCCTCCTCTCCCTTCTACCCACATCCTCATAGAAAATGGCACTGGTCCGCGGAGAGTTGGACGCCAAGCTCGCAAAAGCCGAAGCCGCCGAGATGGAAGTCAAACGCCTGACGGACGAAAACACCGCCCGCGAGATCGAAATCACCTCCCTCAACGCAAAAGTCGAATACGCCGAGACCAAGATTACCGAATGCGAGACCCGTATCGAAGACGCAAAGTCTGGTCTGGATGCCGGGGAGACTGCCAAGGTCACCGGGGAGGGGTTGTCGAGGAAGATTGCGTTGTTGGAGGCAGAGTTGGAGCTAGTGGAACGGAACTTGGCTGAGGCTAACGTGAAGTATGTTTTTTTTTTTTTTTTTTTTTTTTTGCTTTTCTGATGTTTTCTTTGTTTGGTGATTGATCAAATCCCCTTCTGAGACTAACAACCTTTTTTTTCCTCCTCCATCAATCGAATCGAATCACAATAGGCTGCGCGAGATGGACACCAAGGCAGACCTGTTTGAGCGCAAGTCCCAACAGCTTGAGGCCGAGAACAGCTCCTCAGAGTCCAAAGTCGATGAACTCGTCATCCAGTACAACACCGCCAAGGCCGACCTCGAGGCCACGTACATGGGCATCCAGGACCTCTAAAGGAAGGTCTTCTTTCCCCCGTTCTCCCCCTGCTGTGTGCAGATCCCCATTCTCCTTTTTTGTGTGTTTTCCCACACACCATATCATACCCCTATTTTGTTCGTTCCCGTTTTCCCCATTGCAGTTTGTTTTTTTTCCCTCCCCTTTTGCGTTCTTCCGTTTGATATCCCATACAACCCATATGCACCTATTAGATAACTATTTTATTTTAAACATAAAGCTCTCCCAAAATCGAAAAAAAGTAACTAGTCAAATGCAAAATGGCTTCCTTAAAATGCAGTATACAACGCTCGCTCTCGCAGCTGCTCCTCCGTAAGAGGTGGAGAACTACTACGGTACGAGTCACTACTAAAACTCTGACGTTCTTGACGACTCGTCCTTGTACTTCTCGTACTTTTACGACGACGGTGGTCCATAGAAGAAACAACGGCCATGCGGAATTGATCCCGGAGTCGGCATATCTCGTCCTGGGTAATGAACGAGAAATCCCGGAATGCCATCTCTAGCAGATGGTCCATCAACAGTTTTCCGTGAAGGGGTGCGTGGGCGGAAGAGAGTCCCATTTGGCGACGGATTTCTGAACTGACTTGGTCTTTTGTTTTGAACCGGGATTTTGTGTTGATTGGGTGGTCGATCACTCCTCCTCCTCCTCCTGTTGTTGTTGGTCCAATTGGGGATGAGGGTGATCCTGTTGCTGGAGTGGTAGCTGTCGCAGGGGATGTGGCGGCTCTGGCGGAAGGAGGTGGTGATGAGGACGAAGGCGAAGGACAGTCATGGTTGAGTTTCTTGAAGAAAGCCTGGATGGTTAAAACAACACCCTCATCATTCTTGCACTGCAAAAGCGACAGCCGGCAGCTCTTCAGAATCGCAAGTCCCAACATGAACAAGAACACGGGGCCCTGATAAAAAAAGCAATCCAACACCCTGGTGGACTCAGGCCGTGGCAAGACGCTCTGGAACAAGCACAAGAACCAAGGGATCGTAATCGTCGCCAGATTCAAATCAATCTCTTGGAAATGTAACGCGATCGCCGGGAGCGTGGTCTTGACGAGATGCGAAAACACTTTTTGGTCGAGTTGGACTCCGACGAGGAAGGATTTAGAGTAGTAGTCTGGGAGGAGCTGTTCGCAGATGGTGGTGAGGACCCAGAAGGCGTCTTCTTCCTTGAGGTAGAGGAGGAGGACGGAAGTGACAATGTTCATCGACTGGGCGTAGCCGATTGAGGGGTTCCGGAAGGAGTAGCTGTTGAGGACTCGGCGGAGGGCTCCGAGACCAATGGTGGATTGGTAGGCTGGGTGGTCTGGCATGCTCCGCTTCACATCCCTCTCGATCTCGCCTAGCGTCACCATCGTCATCCGCGACAAACTTCCATCCTCACTGCTGGTATTGCGAGCGATTCGGTCCCGTTGTTGGAGTTGGGTTAGATTACGGCGATAGGACTCGTCTCCCGAACGAAAGTAGGATGCGCCCGAGAGGACTGTCCAGAGCTGCGGGCGGAAGGACTCAGGAACGCCGTTGAGGACCAGTCGGCGGAGCTGTGCAGTCTTGATCATACACATATCGCGACCGTACTGGGCAAAGTAATCCACCCAAGCGCATTCCTGTTCCATATCCGTGTCTTGCTCCCGACTGGCTGCTACCGAAGAGACCTGACCACCACCGTCTCCGCGCTGATAGTGTCCTCCAACCGAACTTGGATGCGCCACAGAGAACAGGTGCTGCAGCCCATATGGCAAAGGAACCGTCAACTCCAGATGGTCTTGGGCATCATCCGGTGCCAAATCCGTCAATCCAGTCTCATCCACCAACGTCAGATCCTCCGATCCCTCTGACGCGTTCCTCACAGAAGATGCTGTCGACCACCGAGTAGTTTGAGGAGTAGTAGGTACTTGGACATCCAAGGTCTTTAGCAGGGCTGTGGAGACGTCCACTGAATGCAGCGCCTTGTCAATCATCTCGTAGAGCTCCAGGTTCCCGCCCTGACTGCATGTGAACCAGAGCGATGTCCTTGACCGAAGAGTGACCCTCACGCCGACCTGTTGACGCACAGATGCTCCTAAGGCCATGATACTAGAGATGGCACTGTTGGATGCCAAAGAGTTGAGGACTGACTGTGACTGAGTTGTTGAGGATAAGGGTGTTGAAGACGATGCTGTGGATTGGTGACCTGGTTTGTGGATCGTGTTGGATGGACTCGCCTCCCGTTTCGCCTCCAATATCTCCAACAACGGAATGACCAGTGTCAGCGATGGAGTCGTCAACGGTACTTCTGAGAGCAATGTGCTAGCAGCATTTCCTGTTCCTGTAATGCCGGTTGCTGCCGACTCTCTAGATGGCGACGTTGTTGGCGGTGGTGGCGGCGCAAGAGACCCCGAGGTGTAGCAGATAAAGTTCTGAGAAATGTAGAGAGTCCCCGTCTGAGCGTCCGTAACCGACTTGGTCTCCAGAGTTGTCTCGATCTCCTCAAGGATCGTTTCCGTCTGTGGCAGTCGGAACACGGAATGATAACGTCGGTTCTGTTTGAACTTTGCTAGATCGGCCATAGAGTTGATCGAAAACTCGGGCGATTCCTTTATAGCTGCTGAGTGGTCGTGCTCGTCCTCTTCATCGTCCGTGAGAGATCCTGTCGTCGAGTCACTGAACTGTCGAAAGTGTGGATTATCCTCTGCTTCAATCATCAGCTCGGAGACCATGAGTCGCATGTGTGAATTGCAGAAGTGAGAAAGAACATCAAACAGTTCCTGGCGCTGGAATGTTGGCAAGAACACAAACTATTACAGTACGGAAAGCATACAGGGAAAAGATAATAAATAGCCTGTTAATTTTGTGATAATAACCCACGCGGCGATAAGATTTATCAAGACTGAGTACACCGCATTTACCTTGGATGTGCGAGATGTGATGACAATGTATCCAGTTTGACCCTCGTACTCATCATCAAGCTCCAGAACATCCCTATAGGCGACTTTTTTAAAGACGGTGGCATCGTTGGAGTTGTTGTTGCTACTGCCGTAGAACATCATTGCCGAGTCGAGAGCCTTCTCGGTCATGGTCGAATTGTGCCAACAGACATAATTCTTTGTCACTGCTAGGTATCCTGCCAACACCGCGCCATCGTCCTGAACATATGTCGACTTGTAGACTATATTGATCCGCCATTAAGAGTGAGTTGAGTTAGCTTTGATACGCGCCATTCGTTCCGAGCAAGAAAGACATGCGAGTGGACATACAGCAGATGAGGTCTTCGTCCTCGAAGCGAAAGATGCGGTGGATCTCTGCACGCATGATGGCCTTGTCCTGGTCATGGTCCAACGACACTATATCAATCGATCAATCATCAGTGAGACAAAGAAAGGAGCTTGAGATTAATGATCAGTCGGCGTGAAAAACGACAGTCCAAAGATCATATTTTGTCCATGCTTCCTCAAGGTGTACTGTACATGCTTCACTCAGGCGGTCCAGTTCCTCGACCCATCGCTTGTCCGACTCTGTCTCGTCCCCTCGACTGGGTGCCAGACCAAGCTCAAGCTCAGAGTTCTATTTGGTGCAGCACAAAAGATAATACAAGCGATAAATATTCATGCAAAATCTCTCACGCATCAAAGGTACTCTGCGCATTCGACAAGCCCTATTGCTGCATACCAACTACACGCACATGTTTACCTTTGGAAAGACGGTCTTGTGGATACAATCCCAATCAGCTCGGATTGTCACCTCATCCACCGCGATCGCAACAACTTGGTTTTCCTGTGAGCACTGCAACACAATCCGGAAAGTAGCATCCTCCATCGAGACCTTGTTGCTTTCTAGGATCGCAGAGTCCAGTATCTTTCCAAGTGTAGTCGAAGCGGGGACCTTGGCAGAGATGGATGGTAACGAGAGGGACGACCCAAGCGATGACATCGACATGTTCAGAGAGGGGAGCTGTCGAATCGTCCGTTGAGTTGACGCGGTTCCCTTTTGGACACTGTCGACGAGGTTCCCAAAGAGATCGCTTGCAGATGAGAAGCTGGGACTCACTCGATGACCTGTCGACGCTCTCCGTTCAGCTCTTGTTGTTGCTGGCGATGACGCAATTGTCGTCGATGTTGGTGAGGTCACAGAGGGGGAAGAGAAGGATGCCGTCCTTGGGAAGAACTTGCTGAACGGCGATGTGATACCGCTAGTCAAAGACTTTGAAGGCTCAACGGCTGCTGGTTCATTATCGTCTGGTTGTCCATGTTCCTGAAGCGAAGGAAGAGCAGTTGAAGAAAGTGTAGATCCGAGCGAGGGCCGTGAGCTGTTGTCATTATTGGAGTTGTTACTGGATCCGATGCTGGTGACGAGGCTGAGGGAGAGTCGTCGCAATTTCTTGATCTGGTGAGTGGAGATCAAGGGAACTGAGCGTGCTTGGAGGATGAACCTGTGGTTGGCCTCTTCGTCCTGCCATACGACTGTCTGGTCTGTTGCCGAGATTGGGATAGGCTTGATAATCATCCTTTGTTGAATGGTATTGTCGTTAAACCAAGATTGGAGAGGTAAGGATAAAGAAAGGAGGGACAAATTTTGTCAAGAGGGAAACGAAGGAAAGAGGAGTTGATGGGAGGACAAGGAATGGAGGGTGGGTGGCAGACCGATGAATGAAAGAGAGTGCAACGATGACGAAAGACACAACAAACAGAGAATAGACGCGTTTAGCATAAGGGGAGTGAGGCATGTTTGTTGTTGTTGTTGTTGTTGCTGTGGATAAGGAAAAAGAAAGAAGAGACAAGAGGGTGACCCTCTTGGATGCCCCTATTTTCACGGTGAAAAAAAAGGTCAGGCACACGGATCACACCCTCGCTGCATCAAACTAAAAAATTATGCGATCAATGACCGGTGTCTGTCTATTCCAGGTACAAGGTATAGTACAACACAGGTCAACAGGCGTTTGGACCATGTCAGAGCTTAGTTTTCTTCTGCTGCTTCAACCAACCTCCTCTTCTACTACTACCACGCGGGGATGCTACTTTTGTTCTATTCTTGACCCCCTCGAATATCCCTCTTTGAAATGACTATGAAAGACAGTGAGTAAGAATGGGTAGGGGAGCCATTGTCACTCGGACCCCTTCTAGCCCCTAGTTTTAAAGCGTTGTTCCTGCTTCAAGCACTCTCTCTATGCAGAGATACATGCATTGAAGCATGTCATGTCGTTGTAGAGGGGGGCAGACGGAAGTGGGGGCATGACACCACCCCCAACAACAAACAACATAAAGAAGAAAAAAAAGGCGCATCTTCACCATCAGGCGGTTGAGCGTCTTCTTATTCGTATCCTTCTTTTCCCTCATCGACTTTTTGGTTCCCTTCTTTTCCTTTTTCTCCTCTTTTCTCTCTTGAACTATCAGCACTCCTACCTTCTTCTCCTCTTCTACTCATATCCTCTTCGTTGTCTACTTTCTGCGCCTCCTCCTCTCTCTCCTTTGCACTCTCATTTTATTCATCACAATATCCAATTACTAATGCCTCCTCGCTATATCGCCAACACACCTGTAAAGGTGAACACGGCCTTCTCCTCCCCGACTTCCGTGGCAGTTGCGCCCCTAACAACATCTATCGCTGGCCTATCGTCCGTCAGGAACATCTTTGGCACGGCTCCTGCAAGAAGACATACCGTCGGTCAAATGCCATCCACACACTTCTCACCGCGTCTCCCTATCAACCCACCACCAGCCTCTGCAGGCCACCACCACCACCATCATCGAAACCAGTCCAGCGTATCCTCCTTTATCTCCGCAGGAGGTGCCATGATCGGTATCGATTCTGGTCCTAGAAAGACCGCCGCCGAGAAAGCCGCTGAACGAGATTGGCAAGAACAGGCCAGGCAGATCTTCCAGTTGAGCACCGTGTCGGCCAAGGGCCATTTTCTCCCGCCTTCGCCTTCACCTCTGGAGTTGGGAAAGCAAGGGTCGAACGATCGTTTCAAGGACAATGATACCGACTACTTTACGACCATTATTATCAGCACCTCGCCCGAGCGGGTTCGAACCTTTTTGTCGACCGAGTCAAGCATTAGCCCGGGTATGTTTTCCTTGCCTGCGAACAAGACCAAGAGGAACGCTATCCCTTCTTTTAGCACCCCTCCTTCCTCTTCGTCCTTGTTGTCGTCATCTGCCTCGCTGTCTTCGCCATCGTCTTCTGAACCTTCGTCGACTCGACCTTCGTCACCTGCATCGATGAGCCAACAAAGGCACCTTCCTCAACAACAACAAACTTCAGCCGTGGTTGTCGGTCAAGACAAAGAGAACAGTAAAGTCGCTGCTACTCCCCCGAACCTGCCTCCTCCCTATGTTAGCGCTGTTGCAATCCCAGTAGTTGCAGCAATCCCTGCTGCGATTCCTAAACGTCGAGTCGTCGCCCCTGCTGATACCCTGTCGACGCCTCCATCAAGTCCGCCTGCCATTTCAGCCAAGGACATGTACTTTCCCACTTCCGATCCCACAGCTACACCAACATCAGCAACACAATCTATTACCGTAACACCTCCAAACAGCACACCGAAGTCGATGCCAAGTACACCATCCTCGCAGTCGTACAGCTCCAACTCCAGCAACAATCCACGACAGCGCCTTCGTCGCCCCCACCAAGAATCCCCGATGCACAGAAATAGCAGGGTGGCTGAGGAGGAACATGACGAGGACGAAGTCGACGGAGGAGGAGGAGGAGAAGGAGGAGAAGGAAGAGGGGGAAGAGGCAGTAACAGGAACAAGGTCATGAGCAAGAGACAAGCACAAATCTCGTTTTTGACGGGGGTGACTCCAGAGGATGAAGAAGACCTGTCGGATATTTTTGCCCATACGGTCTACAACACCAACAGCAATAATAGCAGCAGCAGGAGGAGACACTATGGTTCGTCGTCGTTTTTGACGAGTTCTCCGCCTGCTTGATCTGGTGGTGGGGGATCAAAACAAGAAATGAGCGTTACCTTGATACCTGCTTCGCCCAGGTCGTCGATGTTGTCACTGATTGACTGATGTCGATCCATGACGACGGGAGCGGGAGTCCCCCCCCCCAAAATGCGAGTCTCTTTCCTTCATTTTTTTTGCCTTTCCTCGTATACCATTCATATACTGTAGCTACTGCAATTCTTTTAATACATAATAATATATCATAATTGACGGTGATGATGGGATGTGAAGAAAGAAAGGTGGCCTGTGTTGTCAATGTTTGTATGATTTCATGGGTCAAGTTGTTGCCAGCAAGAGAGCAAATAACATATGGCTGTGTGTTCAATGCAAGCAGGGAGGAGATTAGATGCCCAACTCGGTTTTCCCCCAACATGGACCTCCCAATTCGGCCAAGGTTTGAGTTTTGGTGCCTTGATATCACATGAGATTGGATCACAGCCAACGTGTTTATGTCAACAAAAGTGGCGGCATCCATCCACACACAAATACACCCACAGACACACCCCCTAATGTCATTCCCCCTGATGGGTAACCAGGGAATCTAGAGGGGGTGAGGTGAGGACTAATTAGATCCTGCCTCCCTCTCCACATTCCTCCGTCTGTCCCCACACACCATTCCCACACTGTCCATATTAAACACAGCGGAAAGCTGTTATCAATCGAAGGAGAAAGACGGAGTCTTGAGACAACAAGCTCCAAGGCAGAGACAAGATGGAGTCGATAAGTAAAGATCAAGGACATTTTACGACTCGTGTGAGCTGCAGTCGGCACACGATCGCCTGTCACTCGTTTGTGCCCATGAAGATCGGACACTTACCTCCCTTTAGGGCTCTTTACGTTCCTGTTGTTACCCCAACCGTTTTTGATAAAACCGCAACCTTCTTTTTCGTCTTTGTCTTCTTTCTCCTTTCTCTTCTTCTTCGCTCTTCCCCCCTTCTCTTCATCATCAACAACAAACAATAAAACCAGATCCCTCCCCTCCCTACATTCCCTTGCTCATCATACATTCATCCCATTTCACACATCCTTCATTCCCATGACCTCCATCACTGCTGCAGGTGCACCAGCACTCCGTCTCGACACCGCCCTCCAACCAGAGCCCGCTGCTACCCAAGAGTCCTCAAGCCAGAGTCCCGAGGACGCAAACTCCACAGCACTCGAGGTGGACGCCTCCTGGCAGGACCAGCCCGTGCGCCTTCCTACCTACGTCCCCTCTGACGCTGACAAGGACAGCATCCGTGGCGACTCCCCTCCTACAACCCCCGTTGACGACCCTATCTACCTCTCTGGATCCAAGAAGCACTTTGGTTTCTCCGCCCGCCAGAGTGTGGCTTCCTCAATCTTCCCCTGGCAAAAGCACAAGCCTGCGGTCTGCCACCAGTATGCCCCTCACCGCCCTCCACTGAGCAAGAGGTCCAGTCTTGCGGGTCTTAAGGTCCTTCCGGCGATGCGTCCTGAGGCTGTCAAGTCCCTGGATGACGAGGAAATCGATCTCTTGTAAGTTGTTGTTATTGCTGTTGTTGTTGTTCTTTCTGTTGTCAGTGCCTGTTTTCGTTATCGCATTGTGTTTACCAAGACCGAGGGGAGCTTTATTTTGAGTTATCTATTGGCAAAGCAACAAGTGGGTGATCGATCAATCGTTCGTGTGCCTTTTTTTTTTTTTGGCATGATATGGCCCTGATTTTATTTTTATGCGTTTTGCGTTACGCGATGTGCGGTATGCAATGCCTGTGTGTTTAGCCATGACCGCACTCTTTGTTTTTGGTCCATGATTACACTATTTTTTTTGTTTGTCAGCCATAATTAACCTCAATGGATCTGAATTGGATCGATTGCCTTTCGTTCACCGTCGTCATTATTTTTCTGTGTGTGTGTTTCCGAGGCTTATTTGTCCTTTCAAACCTTGACTTTTGGGCTGTTTAGTTAACCAAGAAAAAGACATCGTGGGTGAAAGAACGAATGAAGGGATGCTTTTCTATCAAAGCAAACGATGGACGAATGAATGGGCTTCCTTTATTACTGTCTCCTGAGGTGGTCGCGTGACAGATAACGAAACCTAACGACGCGATGGTTTTTTTCATTTCTGTCGACTCTCGACCCTCGAGTATTACCATTAATCTTGCATAATCTACTTTCATTTCATTAGGACATTGAAGGATGATCAGCTGGCAAAGCGCACACTGGAGCTCCTTCATCTTCTGGAAGTACACGACTGGGCAGAGGTCACCGATCATCGTTCCTTGACCCTCTTCCGTATCAGCGGAGCTATGACCAACTGTATCTTCCTAGTCTCAGGACCCCCTAGCACCATCCCCGCCAACACAGTCGACAACCCCACCGACGAGCCTATCCTCAATGCCCAGCCCCGCAAGGTCTTGCTCAGAGTCTATGGTATCGGCCTCGAGTCGCTCATTTCCCGTAACGACGAGCTCAAATGGCTGCAGAACCTGTCAACAATGCAGATTGGACCCTCGCTGCTGGGAATCTTTAAGAACGGACGCTTTGAGGAGTATGTTGAGTCGACCACATTGACCAAGGATGATATTCGCCACCCAAGGACCTCTCGCCATATTGCTCACCGTATGTGCGAGCTCCACAACATTGTCAACGTCTTTCCTCCACCCGAGAACTGCATCCCCCAAACTCAGGAGAACATTGCTCGCTGGATTCCATTGGCCAAGGATGCTATCGAGAAGATCTGCGCCAAGGACCCCTCCAAGCGTGCTGTCGTTGACGAGTTTGACTTCGAAAAGTTCCTTGTCGAGGTCGACGAGGTCCACCGCGACTTGACTTCTGTCCACTCCCCCGTTGTCTTTGCACACAATGATGTATGTATAACATGGATTTTATCTCGTTCTTTTCGAAATGAATTGAATCATGGCCTCATCTAACCTATTATGATTGTCATTTCCTTCAACAAAATAGACGCAATACGGAAACATTCTGAAGACGCTGGATGATAGCGGAGAGTTGGTGGTCATTGATTTCGAGTACGCAGGATACAACACTCGTGGATTTGATATCGGAAACCACTTCTGTGAGTGGACTGCCGACTACCACTCGGACATCCCCTCGGTCCTCCACCCCGACAAGTACCCCACCAAGGAGGAGCAGCTCAACTTTTTGGAGGCGTACATGGAGGCCGAGATTGCGCTCTGCGGATACCATCTGACGGCGATCAACTTGAGCAAGTATGCCAAGAAGCGGAGAAGCTTTACCAGCGCCCTTGCCAGCGGATTGTCCAAGGCTACCCTCTCGGCCCTCCAGGCCACCTCTGCCGTTCTCAAAAAGCGGTCGTCCTCTGAGGCTGCACGTGAGGAGGCACCCAAGGACAACAACACGACCTTTGTTACGACCAATGGAGCAGGGTCAGTGGTACCTGTCCAACAACAGAAGGGCAATAGTGCAGCTGAGAACGCAAAGCCTCATCCCAGGAAGACGCATAAGGATGGTGACGATGGCAGTGGAGGAGTTTCCAAGGCTGAGATTCTGGACAGCATGTACAAGGAGGTCAACAAGTTTGCATTGACGTCCCATATCATGTGGGGTCTCTGGGGACTGATCCAGGCGTCGCAGAGTGAGATTGATTTCGATTACTTTGAATACTCGTTCCAGCGTCTGAACGAGTTCAGGCGGCGTCGTCCTGAGTTCATGTCCTTGTGAGATGTCACCCTGTGTATGACTCCCGTAGAACAGGCACCTCTCGCAACACACATATCCAAATATCACCTTTCTTAACATTTTTTTTTTCACCTATTACCCGATAATAAAACAATCAAAAAAGGAAAAAACGCTAAGATCGGGATGGACGGGAGGGTATTGACGATGCAAGTCGGTCTTCTCTCGACAGGGAAACAATCTCTTTTGCCAAAAAGCAAATGTAGATCGCGCCGCGCGCGGAAGATCATACAAAAACGGCGCGACAGGTTTTAGGGTTTGCGTCGGAAAGCTCATCAATGGAGGGAGAATTGAAGTCAACATATCGTTCCATAAATGCCACGAGAGATGAATGGTACGATCGAAAGATACTTTTTTCAGAACATCCGAAAAAGATTTCATGCGTCAAAAATAAAATAAAATCGCGGCGCGTCCGTTGCAGCCTAAAACATGACGCACATTGCGCATGCGCAGGCGCGATCTCGGAAATTATTTTGTGGTGTGTAGGTGTGTAGAAAGAAAATATTGCAAATGAGGGAGACTATTGGATGACAAAATCACGCCAATGGCTTTCTTCCGTTACTCCCCGCGTCTTTCGTGATTGTTTTATGGAGTGTATGGATAGCTGTCATATCATGGTCCAAGCGGCTTTCAATGGGTATATAAAGAGGCGAACCTCGCTCAACCCACACCTCCATCAACAACACCAACAACACCAACAAACAAAAGCAGAACAAAAAAGGCACTTCGAAGTCAACACTTCAACACTCCCCACTCTACCACTACCAGACAACAACAGCCAAGCCAAAACCAAACATGTCCCCCATCGCCACCTCCGCTGCTCTCATGGTCCGTGCCTCTGCCACCCCCCTTCGCGCCGCCGCCATTCGCCAGTACTCTGCCGCCGCAGGCGAGCCATCTGCCGCCCCTGCTGCCTTGCACTCAACCAAGAAGCTTGCCATTGCTTCGGGAGTCGCGTTTGTCGCTGGTGTCGACCTCACCTACGCCTACTTCACCCTTGGCCAGAAGAGTAAGTTCTCGCAAAAGTATATCGGTTTATTCCTTTGAGTAAACAAACACTGCAAAGAAAGCGACACCACTGACATTGTTCCTTTTCACTCTCTTTGCCAATTGTGTAGAGGAGGCCACGGTCTAAAAGAACGATCCGAGTTCTTCAAGCATAGCCCATTTGAAATACGATCTTCTAATTGTATTTTCAGTGACAGCAGCTGTTCTTCTGCAAAATAAACAAAAGGGCAATTGACATAACTACATCCCGAGTTTTTTTTTGAAATGGTATACCCTGCCTTTGTTTATTTTCGTGTTATATCTTTCTCGTTTTCCATGTGGTCACAGGAACAACAAAGACTGAAGGAGCAAGTGAAGAAGCTATGCAAAAAGAAAAATAAGGTCTTCTTTGCCGAAAAATCGACAGAGAGCAACCTTGCGTCATAGATGGATTGGTCGATCCATGGTTCGGTACAAGTGTTCGGCATGGCGAAGATTTAAAAATTCCACAACGTAGTGCGGCTGTGCGGCGCTGACTGTAAACGTGAGAGGGTTTCTTTTGGTTCCAGCGCCCGTGTTTTGTCTGTCGATCACCTTTATTATTTCTATTTCCCCATTCCTTTATCCCTTCACTATTCGCCAACTCCTCCAACTCTCAATCCCATCCCTCCGCTCACGCAATCATAACATATTCCTCCTTTAAACCCCTTCCTATCAACATTTCGAATCTGAATGGCACAGCAATACGACAACAACAGTCTACCCACCCTCCTCGCGTCACAGCCCCCTCTAGTGCTAGGTCGTTCTCGACATCTTTTCGCAGTAGGCAGACCCCACCAGCAGCAGCAGCAGCATCATCATCATCATCATCATCATCATCATCATCATCATCATCATCAACTTCATCCTCGACTACCTGCGATTGACCAGAATACCAAACAAGCAATAACTAGGCCCGTTGTTGAAAGTACCTCATGCCTCCCTAAGCCTAACGACAATCGACTGAAACCTCCACCGTCGCCATCACCGTCGTTATCGACGCCGATTGAGGGCCGCCCGGTACCTAGACCCGACAATGGAGGCTCCAGTCTCACCGAGTTACCAACCCCTCGCATGCCTCAGGATTGGGGTCCAGCAAACGTACAATCAACAGCAACAGGACGAGGAGGATCCGCTAAAGTAAATGGCGATTGTGCAGGCAAAATATGACCAACATCTTGAGCAGTTGCATCTGGAGCATGGCGCGGTTCCGGCAGCCACAGAAGGAAGAGATTCGGAGGTTGAAGGCGAGGTTGAAGGCGAGGTTGGCGAAGCAGAGCCAAAAAAAAAATAGAAAAATAAAATGTCGAGTAGACAGAGCGGAGGTTGAATGGTATGAATGCGAACCATGTCGAAGGAGAAAATAAACAATGACGCACAAAAAAGGGAATGTGCAGGACTAAGGTCCATGCGCAAGAGTGGGATGGTAATTCGGTAATAGACACTGTGTACGACAAGTCGACCAAAAAGGAGCAGGGGATGACAAACTAGCCATGAGCGAATGCTCCGTGATTTTCCGCGCGCCGCGTCTAAGCAAAGGAAAGGTATTTGTCAAATAGTGTTGTTGTTTTCGCTTGACGCAATGTCAATCGATCGTCAGGAGAAACCAAACAAAAGTCGACCGGACAAGTGTCAAATAAGGTAATTCTTGACCAAACAAAGGGGTTGATGAAAAGAAGAAAAAGGTATAAAAGTATCGAGAACATCCTCATCAACCATCATTCTCAACAACAACAGCAACACACAAAAGAAAAGAACTCCTCTCCACTCTTCCCAAAGAACAACAACAGAAACCCAAACCAACATGTCTGCTATCACTTCCTCCTCTGCTCGTATGGTCCGTGCCACCGCTCCCCTTCGCACCGCAGCCGTCCGCCACTACTCTGCTGCCACTACCGAGTCCACTGTTGCTGCTGCTGCTGCTCCAGCCCTGCACTCGACCAAGAAGCTGGCCATCGCCTCGGGAGTTGCCTTTGTCGCCGGCGTCGATGTCACATATGCTTACTTTACCCTTGGTCAGAAGAGTGAGTTTTCATTCTTGGTTGTCGATGAAGATAAACTAGTACAAAAATTGTGATTGACGAGGAGCATGGCACTAATATCTCTGCTTGAACCTCTCCTCTGCTCTTTTCGGATCAACTATAGAGGAAGCCACCGCCTAATGAATTGACTGTGTTTTTTGCCGAACATTGCCTCATTGCCACATAAACCATCTTAGAAATAAAAAAAAAGTTCAGCTTTCTTAGGCGGCAGTCGTGAAATCTAATTTGAAAATGAAGCTCCCAAGGAAACAAGTTTTAACCTCACTACCTACACTCTTTTCCTCTTTTCACCTGAATGTGGGGATTTTTCCTATGAAAAGTCCAGTTTTCTACTGAATTAAAAATATATGCCTGAGGTATTCAATCAGATTCCTTTATTTCATCATATGCGTATCACCATTGTTCCGTTCTCTCGTCTCTTTCTCATACTCCATCTCACCGTCTTCATTTTATGCCAAAGAACATTACAACCAGCTCCCGCACCAGCTTCCACACACGACGCTCGCCCCTCAGCGACATCACCTCCGACAGCAACAGAACCAATGCCTCTTCTAATGCAAGTGAGAACGCGCAAACTCTTTGGCACCGCGCACTACTTGCAGAAGCACGGGGTGACACATCTCAAGAAATTCAACCTTCACAGTTCGCTGGATCCCATAAACATCGAGGGAAAGGCTTTCCTCTCCGATATCGGATAGAGCTCGTGGAGATTTATCGCCATTTTCGCCAGAAAAAGGACGTCAAGGTCAACCCCAATAACTTTCACAAATTTGTGAAAGCGGATTTCCATCCAGAGTCCATCAAGCAATGGGACAAGAATTACGACAAGATCAAGTACGACGTGTTTCATGGTCGAGGAAACAAGTGTACGCTTTCCAAGGATCCGTCCACGCTGGTACGATACTTGGTCGATCGGGCTGCTCATAACTGGCTGGTTGAGATGCGAAAGGAAAATGGCATCGTCAGTGGTCGTCAGCTCCAGGCTACAGATGAGACCATTTTCCATGTGCTTGTCGATGACATTGCTCCTGGAGGCATCTCATTTGGTCGTCCAATCTCCTTCACGGCATCTTGGCGCACTCGGATGAGGGAGGAATACTGTATTGCAAATCTCGATCTCAAAGGAGAGGCGGAAGGTGTTGATATGCAAGCAATCGAGCCAAGGATGGCTGAGATCCGGACGATCTGCTCCGAATACGACCCGGACGATATCTACAATTGCGACGAGACAGGGATGTATCTGTTGGAGGTGCCTGCCCGCTCCTACAGCACCCCAGAGTTCAGCAGAGGTGCCAAGGTTACAAGGGGAACTGGCTCTCGTGTATCAATTCTCCTTTGTATCAATGCCACCGGATCTTCACTCACACGAAAAAAGAACATACCAGCGTTGAGGCCTCTTGTCATCAGTATATATATATATATATATGATCTCAATGCGCCATTCCACAAACATGATCGTAAAACAAATTTCTAACCCTCGCTCGCTTTGGTTCTTTAGGCGAGCACCTTGCTCGGAGCATCAAGCCATGCAAAAACGTCCCCATCACCTCGATAAGGCATGGAAACGGATACATGACCCACGATCTCTTTATGGACTGGCTTCACGCCCTTGACGACAGCCTTTCAAAACTGAGTCTTCTGCTCTTCGACTCCTGTGGATCACATAAAGGCATTGACGATGTCGACCGGTTGATAGGAAATGGGTGGACACACCTTCGCCTTGAGCGCCTTCCAGCAAACTCGACGTCTGTCACACAACCATTGGATGCTGGATTGATCAGTGTCTTCAAACGACGATACGTTGAGATGCTCACCAACCAGGCGATTGTGAACAGGTATACCAGCGGAAAGAAGGTCACCAATGGCGAGGCATGGAGTTTGATCCCATATGCATGGTCACAGGTCAAGGCTTCGACACTACGACATTGTTTTCGCACCATAAAGGTTCTTCCAAAGGCGATGGCCGACAGCCTGGAGGAGAGATAGGCAGATATGCAGGAGCGGCAACCAGAGTATCCACCAGAGGTAGAGACAACAGCCAATCAACAAAGGAAACGACATTTTCTTCGACTCATCGCACCAACTTTAGACGGACACAAGTTCAACTTTACCCTTGCAAAGAATCAAAAGGATGCGTAGGATCTGGCAGAGGAGATAAGAAAGGCGGTATGCGAGAGGTTGGCCGAAAGGGGAGCTCTGTTTGCGCCGCGAGAACGGAGGTCCTCCACCGAGCCCGACGATCTCAACTCGTTCGAGGCCTTAGATGGCGTGACGAACAAAGTGAAGGACCTGCTTGCAAGCAATGACCCAAAGATTCGACAAGCAGCGCGAGTGATTGTTCGTACTTTAATTCCAAGCAAAAATAAAAATCTAACTGAATACCTCAGGCATATATTTTTATTTCAGTAGAACACTGGACTTTTCATAGGAAAAATCCCCACATTCAGATGAAAAGAGTGTACGCCTTTTGGTCTTGGGATAATGCAGATGATGGCAACGGGTATGTGGTATAGAGTGATGATGATGATAAAGAGACACGAAGTAGTGATGGCAGGTGGCAAGGGTGATAATAGCGCCTAGGCATAGGGTTGGTCACCACTCACATGCCCAAGCGAGAGCTCTTGGTTGATAAACAGTGATGACATTTGTCCAAGGTGAAGGTAACTTCAAGAGCAGAATAGCCCGACAGAGAGTTTTTGCTCAAGACACGAGGGAGCTAGTGGTGTGCTGGGACACAACAGCGCAAGACACGGATGAAACATAGTGGTCCCATGGTTGATTGCCATTAGATTTGGATGACGCGCTCGACCTTACGGGGATTATGATGGAGAGGTGCCGAAAAACGAGCGAAAAGAAGGCGACGCATGTCATGGAGAAAGGATTTTTCTTAAGAGCTCGTTATTCAGGGATTTGTTCAGGGATTTTTAGTCAGCAATGTTTTCGAGCAACGAGAAGCGTGTATGGGGGCAAAGTACATTTTATTATTGCCATGTCGAGAAGCGGGCAATGTAACTTAGAAGCCGACCTTGATGTCGTAGCCGGTGGAGCGCTTTTTAACCGCGTATCCAGCCTTGCCGATGCAATCACCGTACTCGTAGACCTTGGTGACCTTGCCTCCCTTGGCGCCCTTGGTCTTGGAAGTGGGGTGGTTGAAAACAGCCTGGGTATATGGGAGCGAATCGCAGGTGTGGGAGGGCTGTCCGTTCCAGGTGTAGTACTCGACGAAACCGACCTGGCCGTTGACAATCTTGCCGGCACCATTGGGCAGCGTCCATTCACCAATCACAGTCGCCTTCTTGTTAACGGTATCGATGAGCGTGCCGCGCCAAGTGGTGTCACGGATGTTCTCGACAGTGATGTTGTAGGTGTGGCGGTAGTTGCCCTTAATGTCGACCGCGCAGCTGACGCCAGGTCCTCCATCCGCGCCAGCGTAGCAGTTGCGGTGCTTTGTTGTGGCGCCGGCCTGGAACGACGAGAATGCAGCGTGGACAATGCTCTTGCCGTTCTTATCTTCGCGAGGTTGGAGGCCCGTGTATCCGACGTCCTGAATGCCGTGGAAGTTGAACTGCTGGGCGAAATAGAAGCCGCTCTTGTGGGGGGCCTTGGCCATGTTGAAGGGGAAGGTGATGTCCTTCAAGCCGTCCTGGGGGGCCTTGGCGAAGCTCCAGTCGTTGCCAACGAGCGCAAAGCCCAAAGATGGCATGAAGGACACAATAATGGCGGCGGCAGCGGTAATCTTCATCTAGTGAGTAATGTGGAGGGGGTTTGGTGGTGCTGGTGCTAGTGTTGGCTGGTGGAGAATGTTGTTTGTTTTGGTGGAGAAAATAATGGGGACGTAGGGTTTATATATATTTCGACGCTGTGCGAGTGAGCGAAGAATGATGACTACGTGGGTTGGAATCCAATCCCTTCCCACATAGGGAGGGAATGGCCACGAGACTAGGTAACAACACCAACCTGGTCTTCTCCCGTTGTGAAGCGAACGCTCTCAAGTATTGCGTGCAATGAAACAAACGATTAACAATCTTGATGGATGGTGGTATATGTATCCCTCGTACCTTGTGTACAGTACCTTCATTCATTGGCTGCAACTAGACCTATAGAACAAGAGTGCCTACTGCGCTTGTGAACGAGCGACACTTACCACTATCTTGGTGAGTTCCCTGGTATTCGTCTATGTTGCTAAAGTCAAGGGTGCAGGGGCTGAACATCTATGCCCGCAACAGGGTAGCAGAGAGGAGAGGACGGCCGTTTGTCTTTGTCAACACAAACAAGAAGTTAACGGGAAAAAGTCTTTGCGACTTGTACGGCAGGTAAACGAAGCACATTTGAAGAGGACAATAAAACAAGGGAATATGACCAGTAAAGTCGAAAAAAAGGGTTCAACAGAAGCAGAGAATACTTGAATGTTGTGTCCGTTGGAGAGATACAACACACACACACATCGAGAGTTGTTGTGGGGTGAGAGCTTTGTCACTCAGCAAATTGAGGCTAATTCCTGATAATGTACAATCAGTACCTGAGCCCATCTCCCCTTTCTCTCTCGTTGTTTCTGTGCTAATTAAATATGGCAGGTTTGCGACATTTGTACATGTACATTAGGGAGGTTTAAACTCAGGCCTTTTGGTAGCTTTGGAGGAAGGAAGAGAGGGGTCTCCGGCATTGTCCGCTTTCTGGGTACAATACATACCGCGATGGTGATGATGTTTATCCAGGGCATGGTATATTGCACTCCATGATTAGCGACATACATGTCTCTTGAATAGTACGCATTTTAAAAAATAGTTACGTCTAAATGGAATCGCATTTGCCCCAAGGTGTAGTACGAAAAATGCCTTACATAGCTGACTAAACATGACACGCATGGTCTGGCCCTATCTTGTCCCTTACCATGTTGCGTGTGAGATACCAACAGGGATTTTGGAGACGTGGCAAAAAATACAGAGCTAGGGCGCCATGCTCCGATATCTTTCATCTCTTGAAGAAGTACAGGGTATTAAGCGTCACGGCAGCGCTGTTGCGCTTACTATAGCCATGATGTCGCGTCTCGATAGAGTGGCTTGTCAATAACCTTGATGGGAGGGAGGCTTGTATCTGCAACCTCCGTACATATTCGGCTGACAAAGGAGCCGCCGCTCCGTCCAGAATCATGTATGTATCCCCATAGGATGGGCTGTGATGCGGAACCTGAATGCCATTGCACACTCGGTGTACCCATGTTACTGCCTGCCCAATCTCCTGCGACCAGTGACGCGCGATGCCGTACCCCCCACGAGTATTTTCAGTCAGGGCCCGGGTAAACATTGTTTTCGTTCTCGGTGTATGTCCTCCTCTCTCTCTCTTGTACCGACTCTGTATTTCCTTTCTCTTCTATCTCTCTCCCCTTTTCCATCCATCCATCTAACTTTCTCGCTCTCTCTCTCTGCCTTGCCTTTGTCTGTCGCTTGCAAACGTTCCTGTCAAGTGGGAGTTTTTTACCCAAAGAGCACCGCGCGAGTGAAAGAAAGAAAGAGAAAGATATTATCATTACGAATCTGTAGAGCAATGAGTCTACAATACCCCGTTCAATTAAAGTCGGCTGGATTTATCTCTTCCATTGTTTGAAATTGCCACCCATGCGACCCTGACTAGTAGGGTTCTAGCACGAATTCTAACTTTGAGGCGTTCAACCATAATCCAACGGCTGATAGCTTCGGGCCATTAGCTCGGTAGCACAAATACCAAATATCCCAATGAGAGGTTTTTCTCGTACTAAGTTCATGTACTATTGCAACAACACTTCATCAGTAGGACAAAACTATCGTGTCTCACGACGGTCTAGACTCCAGATCTTGTTCCTTATTAGTGTGCGAACAATCTAACGCTTACTGAATTCTGCTTCAGTATGGTCGGGAGACAGCGACAGCCTCGTCTATACCTCTATTGAAACTATCTGGAGGCCCTTGGAGCGAGGCCGTTACGTCGTGTTCGATGTACCCAAGTTGCTGAAATACTTGAAGATATCTAGGACCGCCCTTACGGTCCTTGGTGTAGTATGTCGCTGACCTACTTTCTGGCCCCTTGCCGCCTGCAGTGATAATAATACGGTGTTGGCGTTCACGGGTGCGGGGTGATCTCGACTTAATTTATCTCCACGCAATTGCGGTCGCCGTTGGCGATGACTTTATCTGGAGGACTGTACACGATTGATACAGACCAAGGATTGTGCCGGTTAAGGATCCGAGAACAGGGTTCATTTATGTAGCAGGAGAGTATGCGAATGGAACCCAAGTACCTGCTGGAGAATAATAACCGGGGTTGTGATAGTAAAGGTTATGATGGGAATAGGAATAACGAAACAAAGAGAGGGATCTGTTTAATTCAGGGACGAAGAGTCCTTATGTACTCTTCGTCCTAATGATACACGTGATTATAGCACACCTGCATATGATGAAGCAACGCGGAGCGCAACGTTACTTCAAGGATCAGGAGCACCGTGGAGCTACATGGTTTGGAGTGCACACCTAAATGGACTGGTCCAATTACAGGTCGCCGCAGCAGCCATGACCTTGCGGATATTGAGTTCCACTGACAATCAGTAGAACATCTTGGTGAGATGAAGGATGAATGACCTGGCTACAAGCTGGCAATAAGTGGATGATCTTATGAACTCATGACCAGTTTCGACTGCTCTGACGTTTTTTCTTGTTTGGGATTGGAATGGGACAGGCCCCGTCGAGAATGCGGCGTCTAATGCTACTGGGCGCATGGTACCAAGTATAGAGCTCGAATCCCATCGGAGCAGCAAAAGAGAAATAACGAACGAATAGCAGTAATAACTACTGTTTGCTATCCCGGCTAATTTTCCGTCAAACGCTGTACAGTTGACAATGGCAAGAAGTTTGTTGTACTCAGTGACTCTAGTATTACGTCCCAAAATGCGACAGTCGCTATAATCGACACCGCGACCATGATATGGACGACCGGCTCTGCAGTGGGTAATATTCAGGGGAAGACAACAGCATGCGCTCCTGCTGGGGCTCGTGTCGCTGTTTATGGAGGCAAGTCAAAGAAGACGAGGAAATGCTAATCGAAATACCCTCTCATGCGCTTTTTTCGTGCTTTCAAAAAACGTATCGAAACCGCCTTGGATTTTCCTTCTAATCAAAAAAAAAAGTTGCGCCCTCCACAGAGCGAAGGATCGCCGTCGATACTTTTTTAGAAACTTTCTTCGTACGCTCGATCTCGGCATGCCTGTATTTAATTAGGGTGATTTGGATCTGTATAAAGTTCGCATACTACTGGGATGATTTTGTAGACTGGCGATCAATGAGTTCCACCACGGCGGCGACAGCTGCAAGCGTCGATGCAGTAAAAGAGGAGTTATCAACACTAAAGATGACTTACCATCGTCACCACGTCAGGCGACTCTACCGCCAAGAAGAACATGCAGTACAGTCAGTCAGGCGAACTATCGAATCCTCGAAGCCCTTAAATCGTTAATATACTGATATCGTATTCGCCATCACCCGTTCTTGCCGCTGCTGCAGGTCGCCCGCAGCAATATGGCCTTGCCCACAGAAGGCGCATCTCCCTCCGAAAGAGCTCCAGTATGGTTATGAGGGTCAAGAGGAGCAGGCGGCCGACACATACATGGTCGATACGGAGACCTCGTCGTCGCCACCTCCACCACTAATGCAAGACCGTCTGCTGTCCGGAAATGACGCCGTTCAAGTCTCCAATCTCATTGAGGTACCAAGGATCCGAGCACCTCAGAATTGTCCGGAGTACACATCACAACAGCCGCAGCGAGACCCTCTGGAGCTACTCACGATTGTGCAGACACAGTGCGACCGTGTTGGAGAGCCTCCAACTTGAACAGGCGCGTATTCATCAGGCACAGCAGGAAGCGGTTCGGAAGTTGAAGGAGCTCTATCAAGCTGAACACACATAACCTATGTGGAATAAAAAATAGACATTTGTTCAGAAAATGCGGAAAAGAAAATGCGCAGGCGCGGAGAGGTCCCTGCGCAGAAATTTGTGTACCATTCGGCAATTGACACTGTTTAGACCAGTCTAGGGGATGATAAACTAGCCATGAGCGAATGCTCCGTGATTTCCCGCGCGCCGCGTCTAAGCAAAGGAAAGGTATTTGTCAAATAGTGTTGTTGTTTTCGCTTGACGCAATGTCAATCGATCGTCAGGAGAAACCAAACAAAAGTCGACCGGACAAGTGTCAAATAAGGTAATTCTTGACCAAACAAGGAGGAAGATGAAAAGAAGAAAAGAGTATAAAAGTATCGAGAACATCCTCGTCAACCCATCATTCTCAACAACAACTGCAACAAACAAAAGACAAGGACTCCTCTCCACTCTTCCCAAAGAACAACAACAGAAACCCAAACCAACATGTCTGCTATCACTTCCTCCACTGCTCGTATGGTCCGTGCCACCGCTCCCCTTCGCACCGCAGCCGTCCGCCACTACTCTGCTGCCACTACCGAGTCCACTGTTGCTGCTGCTGCTGCTCCAGCCCTGCACTCGACCAAGAAGCTGGCCATCGCTTCGGGAGTTGCCTTTGTCGCCGGCGTCGATGTCACATATGCTTACTTTATCATTGGACAAAAGAGTAAGTCTCAAACCTTTCTTCCTTGTCGTTTAAGGCACGCTCTTAGAAAGACATGGTTTAAAAGGAAAACAATACTAATCTTGCTTCTTCTTCCGTTTTTCTTGTTGTCCAATTGTAGAGGAGGCCACTGCCTAAAGAGAAGGATTTTTTAGTCTTCAGACAAAGCTTTAGAGTAACTACGTCTCCAGCAACCACAGCAAAGATGAGATACGCAAGTCGATAAAAGAACGGAAGGCGAATAGACACATACGAATACAATAAAAAGACTATGAGACGTACATGCCTCTTGTTTTCAAATTTGAAAAACTCAAAAAAAAATTACAGAACTGTAGTACAAACATGGCATTTTGACGCGTCGGCAACAAAAGATGGAGTTCGCAAGAAATTATCGATTTCTTTTAATGCTACTTCGCTTTTGTAAAAAAAAAAGGGCAAGTTAGTAGATATTAGCAGTTCGTTCGAGCTGGTCCTCCTCGCACAGATCCTTCATCCACACAAACGGCTCTGTCAACTTTTCGTCCCGCCCAAAGAACTTTGCAATCTCCAGCTCTGGCCAAAAGGTCGCCATCGACCGCACCTCGGCCCAACCCATCGTCACCTTGGTATCTTCTGTGGTGGCATAGACAGAACCCTTCAACTATTTCAGCTTGGACATTCCAGCAAGACAATCCAAATATCTAGGTCGATCCGATTCGCCCGTCGTGTCTTCCAGACTCAACATGCCAGCGAAGGTGTTTTTCATGGTATGATCTATTCAGAAGGTCTCCTTCTTCGTCCATCACAAACGCTTTCAATTTGAAGTACGTGAGCTGGGTTTGAGAACCGATCTGGCGATATAAATGCTCGAGTATCCTGAAATGTTGTCATTCCTCGTCCGATAATTCATCCTTCGCCAGCGTTCTGTTGTAGTAGGGTTTCTGTCCAGGCCCCTGAGGTAGCTGTGAAATCCTGGACGAGATAAAGTCCTGGCGATATCGCATGACGAGTCCATGCACTTGCGCAAATTCCGGATGCTCGATCATCTGAAACATCCAACAAGTCTGCGGGAGCCAAAGGGGGTGGTGGCGGCGGCGGCAATGGTGGATGGTTCGGCAATGGTTGTTGCGAGCTCCTCCTGCGTCTCTAGCTTGAATGCCCGAAAGCACTTGTTAGTCCGAGAAATAAAGACCATACAAATAGAGCGTTCCTGGAGAGAGCTAGCATATCGTCTAGAGAAAGGAAGACATTGGTGGGGATGACTCGAAATAACGCCGAAATATGAGCGTACAAGAGGGGTTCGGCTCAAAGGTGAAGGAGTTGACTGGCGCGTAGCAGACAAGTAAGGTCGCTCTTGTCCATGTGTCCTGCTGTCGCGTGTACGAGTTCTGGGATGTTGAGAACGCGATGGGTGGCGGTTGGTGGTGACATGATGTAGTTGATGGATGTGTTAATATCACCCCTTCTTTCTTTTCTTACCACCCACCAACTCCCTTCCTCTCAATACACCAAAGTCTCCTCCACAGTGGCAAATCGAGAAAAACATAAGGCAATATTCTTTAACACACGCAAATCCTCTCTCTCTTTCTTTTTCTTTCTTCCTCTTTCTTCCTCTTTCTTCTTTCTTTACTTAGGCCCAAATGCACAAGAACAACAGCAACACAATGTCAGCCTATGATCAGGTTCCTGTCGGACATTTATCCTTTTGCATCGCCTCAACAGGGGGCCCTATCCAACGAATTTCAAATGACGTAGTGGACCATGCGAGAAAAATGCGCAAAGACAAAAAAAAATTGACAACCATTGTCGTCCAAGAATGGTTGCTGCTCCGCGATGTCCCACACGCCGCGTCCGAGCAACGGAAAGCCCATTTGTCAAACAGAGAGTTCCTTTTTTTCTTTTCTTTTTACTTGACACTATGACGATCAATTGTCGAGAGGGAGAGAAACAAAAAAAAGTCGACCGGAGACCTGTCGAATATGGCAATTGCCGACCAAAGACCATTCCAAGAAGAAAAAGAAGACGACGATGATGAAGAAGGTATAAAAGGATCGACAGTCTCCTCGTCAGCCCATCATTCTCAACAACAAAGTCAACAAACATTCCACAACTCCTCCGCTCTTCCTCCAAGGACACCAACAAAAAAAAATCCGAACATGTCTGCCATCGCATCCTCCGCTGCTCGCATGGCCCATACCACTGCTCCCCTTCGCGCCGCTGCTGTCCGCCAGTTCTCCGCTTCTGCTGCTGCTGCTGAGTCCTCAGCACCCGCTATCGCGGTCGCTGTGGCCCAACATTCGACCAAGAAGCTGACCATTGTTTCAAGTCTCGCTTTTATCGCTGGTGTCGATGTCACCTACGCCTACTTTACCCTTGGACAAAAGAGTAAGTGAATCTTGAAATGACATTCTGATCTCAATGTTCTCATTACGCCATGCCATATAGATGAATTGTATCTAATAGCTTCCTTCCTTTAATTACACCCTAGAGGATTCAACAGCGTAACTGCAGAGCTGACAATGCAGTCGTCTACACCTTGCATTTCCCCTCCACTCCCTTTTCTTTACCTACCAGCCATTTGAATAGACAACAATCATACCCTTGTAATAAATACCCGAAAGACGCGCCTTTTTTTGTTCTAAATGATTATTTACTCGTATTTTTTATGTTTCTACGCGTTGGGTCTCAAAATTACAGTACCCCCTCAAGAGACCTGCCTCTATCGAGTAGAAGGAGCTGGCCTGTAGAGCAACGCCGTATGCAAAATATCCTTCAAATGCTTGGAAACCACATCCGATGTTGTCCTGATAGTTAAACGGTACATCTATATTGGAAAAGATGAGAAAGTTGTCGTTAGGAAAAAGAAAACAAGGAAGAAAACAAAGAGAACAAAAAAAACCCGAAAACAAAGATGACGACTTACATTTGTTTCGTGGTTGGGCTCGAGACGCAAGAGACAGCCGACCTTGCCGCTCAAGGAGGTGTTAAAGACACCAGTAGCGACAAAGTTGCCAGGCTTGGGATCCACATTCTCGCAGATGCCCAAACGATGGTTGACAAGGATCGTGCGTGCCCTCTCCAACTCAATCTTGCCCGGCACCTTGATAATCTCTTGAACCTCCCGAGGAGCACCTCCAATCTGCTTCCAGCGACCGAAAAAGTCCGCGCTTGACAGCTGGATGGGTTCAATGAACCGTGACATCAGGACGGGCAGCTTGAGGTAGATACTCTGGGTCGATCCTGCTTGGTAAGAGATACGGATCAAGGGCACCTCCGTCACGATCTGCTGGCACTCCAGACTGTACAGCTGCTGAATTTGGGTCGAAGGTCCAATGGATGTCGCCAGGGTGTGAGAGTTGGCGACGACAAGACCCTCCGGCGACTCAACAGACACCGCAAACGAGTTGAGCTGAGTATGAGTCTTGTTGCCAAAGTAGATCGCGAGGCGTCCCAAGTGGCCGTGGTATTCGGACTTGATACCGATCTGCAAAATGCTGTCCTCGTACAAGATACCGTCGGTGCCATCCCGCAGGCGGTTGTACCAGCTCTCGTATCCTGGCGCCAGCTGGTCCTTCCATGTCAATCCGACCTTGGCTGCTGGGGTAGCAGGAGTAGGAGGGGCCGCCGATCCGTTCGCAGGTGCAGCAGCTCCATTCTCGCCGCCAGCAGCGCTGATACTCGTGTTGCTGACACTGTTGACCAAATCATCGACGCTTCCGTTCTCGTTGCGCTCCTTGGTGGCCGCCAACAGGTTCGCTGGCGTCTTTTCGTTCGAATCCTTGCCACCAATGTTCCATGTCCGCTTGTCTTCGGTCTGGCCAGTCTTCTCGTTCAACCGTGAGAGCAAGGCAGACTCGCGCTCAGGGAACTGAGGCATCTCCTCGCAAACAGTCTGCAAAAGGTCGTCCGTGGGCATGGTGGCGATGGCCATGTACTCGCAAGCACGCTGCTGCAACTCGGCATCCAGAACATGGCGATATTGGTTGAAAACAGCGAGAATGGCGCCTTTGATCTCGGGGAACAAGTTGATGAACTTGATGTAGGTCGAGAGCAACAATGCACGGGTGGCGAGCGAGCAGAGGCCAAAGCGAGCGTGAAGGGTGTTGAACTGCTCGATAGGTGAGGCTCCTGGAAGGTTAGCGATCAAGTGTCCGTACTCTCCGAGAATGTATCCTCCGACCTTGAGCATGTTCTCGTGACAGTGAGGCGACCGCATGTAGTGAAGAACCATCTTGGCCGAGTATTCCTGAAGGTTTTCGTGGTTGGTGACAATCTGAACGATTCTGTACCAGACCTCCTCTCCGACATGATCTCCTGCCGAGCTGATGAGCTGCAAGATGACGTCGACGTACCACGAATGCTCCGTGGCATACTTTTCGGTCATAATGGCAATCTTGAGCACCATCTCCTCACGAAGAGCATAGTCGGCAATGTGGAGGTACCGAATGAGCTCAGAGACAATAGTTTTGGCATTGGAGACATCGCACATACTGTACAGAAGATCCAGTCCACGACGACGAACACTGATATCCTTGTCCCGCAACGATAAAATGATGGTCTCCTCGTGTTTCTTGATCTCGTCCAGTTCGTCGGTCACAGCAGCCAAATGGGCCATGGTCTCCAGGCCGAGATAGCGCACATTGGTCTCCTTGGAGAGGATGAATCGCGCGAGAATGTTGGTAGCCTGTCGTACAATGTCCGACTCGCAGTCCAGATGGATGGCCAAGTTGATGGCCTCAAAGAGGATGGCGTTCTGGGCGTTGTTGTGTTGCACATTCCTGGGGGTCTCCTGCGAGTTGTTGATGATGGTCTGGAGGACGTTGTGCAGCATTTCAGACATGTTGGGATCCTCTAATAGAGAGCAATTAACGTTATTACTGCATTAGTTCTCCGATGGTTATGATCGTATGGTGCGACTGCCAATTACATTCCACAAATCAAAAAGCCATGTAACAAACATACCAGTTGGAGGGAAGTACTGCAACAAGCGGAGAAGCTTGACCTGGAGCCATGGGATCGGGATCTTATAGTACACATAGTCTGCAGAAAAGTCGCGTTCCACGATCACCTATATGCCCATTGAGAAAAAAAAAAGTATCGTTTAACAAAACAGGTCGCGATAGATCCACTTTCCCTTCTTTCTCCCCTGGTTCCTTTTTGGCTGAAGTGATTCAGTCTCCGATGCTGTACCTTGTGGAGTCGCATGATCGCCTTGGGGATGGCCAGCATAAAGGCCTCTGGGTATTGTTGGGCGAGGGCGGTGATCAGACTGGTGACAGAGAGACAGACGCCAAGATCGTAGTCGTCTATGATGTTGGTGATACGTTCAGCCCAGTCGGGAGCAGGGATGACGTCCGGATGTTTCCTGAAGAGTCGCAGCATTGTCAATGCAGCCTTTTTCTTGACAAAACTCTTTGAGTTTCTAGTAAGGTCAGAACCAAATGTTTCCCAGAGCGAACATAATTTTTTAGTCAGAGACAGGCACACAAAGGACGGGTGAATTTGATTATTAAAAATAGGAAACACAAAAAGCGAAATGAATGTGAGAGCACTCTCTCGTTGGTACACTCCACTCTCTGCTTTTGCAGACAATCAGAGCAGACACAACAGCAATCAGGCAACTTCAACAAAACGCACATATCACAATCACACAAAAGTAAAGCCCAAAGTATTATGCAAAACAGCAGGAAGTGAAGACAGAAAAAGGCACGCAGTTTTGACACTTACGGAGAGACAAGAAGACGATGAACATCACTTGCCAGGGACTCGGCCATTTCCCTGCCTCCAATGTTGGCAATGGCGTGCAGGGCTAGACAGTTGTGGATCTCGTTGTTGTCGTCCAGATCCTTGCGAATCGAGTTGACGACCAGGCGCACCAGGTCGCTGTTCTCGTGCATCAACAGCGTAATCCCGAGATAACCCTGGTTTGTGCGATATGATAGAGGAGATACCAGCAAGTTAGTTTTTCCCGAGAGCAGACCAAAAAGAACAACAGCAACGAAATGAACAAGGGCATCCAGACAATCCAGCGCAACCAACGACCAATTAGCCTCGTCTTCCTGCAAAAAGCAAATACTCTGCTGCAACTGAACCAGACTTACAATCTGCTTTTCGCTGTACTTTGGACTGGAGATGAGGTTGACGGCCTCCATGTGTCCAAAGTCGATATCCCATCCGAGAATGTACATGTACAGCAGCTTGCACACGTATTTCTTTTTGTCGTATCCACTCAAGCTTCCGTCTATTAGTAGTTTGAAAAGCAAAGACGTAGACATAGCGTTAATAACAGTTGTTCAAGGGTGGCTACTGTAAACAAACACACACAAAGAATGCTTATTGTCCTGTAGTAGAGATGATTTGCTTGAGGATCGAACCTTTAAACTTGGTGCGGATGTTGGCCATCTCCTTGTTGATTCGCTTCTCCTCGAGTTCGCGGACACGACCTATTCAGTAAAGCGAAGTGGTTGCATTTTTAGAAGTGTGTTGATTTCCAGTGTGAAAAAAGTGCCTGTACAGTGAGTTCCTGATAAGTTGTGATGATATTGTTGCTGCTGCTGCTGACGTACAGTTACGAATGTCCGCGATGAACACGGTCAAACCGCGCATAGCCATGTTGGATCAGATGTTGTGTGGGGGTGAAGGGTACAGGGGTTGTAGAGTGGAGTGGGATGAGCGTGTATGAGTGAGAGTGAGAGTGAGTGTGAGTGAGAGTGAGTGTGAGAGTGAGTGTGATGAGAGTAGATGAGGAAGACGGAGGGTGTTGGAGAAAGACAAGAGACAAGGGACGAGAACGTGGGTTGGATGAAGAAAGAAAGGAAGGGAAAGAGGGAATAAAATGAACGGGATGAGAGCCAAAAGAGAGTGACCGTTGGTGCCTCAACTGGAGACGATGATGACAGAGAGAGAAACAGGTGGGTGGAGAAGTACAGGCAGTGAGTGTCCTTTGAACCTGAAGACCGACTGGCTGACTTGAGAAGGGAGGAGACAAGGTGGTCAGCAAGGGACGAATCACGACGTGTGTTGTGTGTGGGGCTGTGGGTTAATCAAAATATCAGGTTCAGCCAGGCACACCCGCCCACCATACCCAATCTCAGGAACAACAGCAAAAAAGCATACTCTCCTGGAGGTATCGCCGATGGTGCCTTCGACAGAGAGAGCATGTTGATGGGAACCGGCCAAATTGATTCGATATATATGCACCGTGACCATCCACAGTGGCGATCACTCGCCCATCTTTCAACAGCACAGCCACTGATAACATCCAACCTGGCTTCAACTGTCATGATCACCTTGATCAAAAAATTAATGGAAGGTTCTGTGGAGAACCTGCATTAAGGGTCTACAGATGCTAGGCCTGAAGCGAAAGGGTGGAAGGTTAAGTGTGTGTCAACTGTCAAGGCACGAAAAGGGTCTTGCTTAAATTGAATGTAGACGGCCCAGATGGCTTTGCCAGAGGCATTCTTGTCCTGTCATCATCAAGCTTGTTTATCTATTACATATCCTCTTCCACATATCACCCATAACTATGCTCTAGTACCTTTGTGTAGCCTTCGGCTCGCTCACGACAAGTGTAAAATCCCGTCCCTAACGGCCGTTCATAAATCTTGTTTTCTGAGCCGTATCCTTTGATCAGAAACTCGGGTCGGTGGTTGACCCCATACGCCTTGGGCATTGTAGTTATTCTCCCGTCCATTCCTATTTAAATGCCATTCGGGATGACAACTCAATCTCTGTCCATCGGCAACTTGACGATTAAGACATCGTTTATTGACCATAATCCTTGGCATTGTGGTATCACTTGTCGCCCATCAAACCGAACGTCTTTCATATTTCTCCACAAAGAGTAAACGACAGGGGGAGCACATGTGCTGTTGTGCCTGTGCACGGCTCATCTTTTACCTTCAGTTTTTTTAATGCGTGCCAGAACGACATCCCTATTCTTGAGTGAGCGACCGCACAACCCAAAGTGAACATCTTCATCCCCACCGTATAAAAAGGCGGCTCGTTCCTCTTCCAGCTATTTTTCTCTCTTTACCCTTGTTTTTTTATCACGAGTCAACTTCCCTTTCTTCCACCTTCCACCTTTTCATTTCACTCCCTCATCAACTTGTACATTCACCCTCCTCCTCTTTCTCCTTCTCATTCAACATACTGTCATTCCTCACTTCACATAACGCAACATGACCCTCACCAACTCAGCCAACCTCGTCGTTGTTATCACAGGTAGAGAAATACGAGTCAGTTCCAAGGACTGTTCTAGTTGCATAAAAATCTTCATCCATAGCTCATTAGTAGCGCGTCTGCCTATGCACCAATGACCTGCATATCTTTTTATTAACACCCAGCCTACATGCTCTTCTTTCGGGAAACAACCATAGGCTGCGACACTGGATTCGGATCAGAGATCGTTCAGGAGCTCTACCAGCGTGGCGGTTACACTGTCTACGCAACCTGCCTGACCGACAAGGCTGTCGAGACTTACAAGGCCAAGCAGTCATCCCGCATCAGAGCCGTCCAGGTCGATGTCACCAACCAGAGCGACGTCAACCGCCTCCGTGCCCAGATCGAGGCCGAGTGCCCCCAGGGTGTCTACTGTGTCCTCAACAACGCCGGTATGTTCCTTTTCTTTTTCTTTGTTTTGTTAGCGCACTGGTTTTCAGAACAATTGAACAATTAGCGTGATTCTTGTTTCCTTTTGACTAACTTGCATTCAACCTGTTGTATCGTTATATTTTGGACGAATAGGTATCTATGCTGGTGGATTCTTTGACTTCGCGTCTGAGGACAGCTTCCAGGTAAAGGCATCACCAGTAACTCTTCTTCAGGACGAATTGGTTGTTACTTATACCCATGACCAACAACAATCGATGGATTGGAGTTTGAACACCAACAGATGAATGACCAACTCGACTTTGACAATTTTTGTTGGGGAGAAGGCAAAGAGGGCACAGCTTGCAATTGGAGACCAATCCTCTACAAAGGAAAAAACACATGGACCCTACACACCTACTATATTACATAAAGGGGAGAAAGAAGTCCACAACTAACCTCGTCCATTTCTACCGCAAAACCATTGCCAGCCTCATATCTCTCGACAGCATCGTCTCTTCAAGGCAACATGTGTATTAACAACCCCTCTCTCTAACATGAACAAAATAGAAAATCATGGATGTGAACTATATGGGAATCATCCGCATCACCAAGGCAATGCTCCCCAGTTTGCGTATCTATGCTAAATCCCGACACAGCCCCCAGGGCAAGCGCCTCCCCCGCGCCCGTCTCCTCAGCATCACCTCCATCGCCGGTCGCGCCAACCCCCCCGCCCACGGCGGCTACAACGCCTCCAAGCACGCCGCCGAGTCAATCCTTGACACCCTCCGTGTCGAGTTGTCGCCCTGGGAGATTGACGTCTCCATGCTCGAGCCTTTCTATGCCAAGACTCCTCTCGTGGCCTCGGCCCACACTGTCCTCGAACGCGTCTGGAAGGAGTCGAGTGTTGAAACCCAGAAGATGTATGGCCCCGACTTCATTCAGGGTGTCCGTAACCACTCTAAACAGCTTTATGATCAATCTATGCCATCCAAGTGGGTTGTGGATGCGGCTGTTAATGCGATCAGGAAACAGAACGGCGCGGCCAAGGCGAGGTACTTGATTGGATTCTGGTGGGTTGGTACGATGATCCGGCTCCAGGAGACCCTCCCTTCCTGGATTATTGACTTTTTTATAAAGCGTATTATGAAGAGCGTTGGCGCTTGGCCCTCGGATCCTTTCCTCATCAAGGATTCCCAGCGCAAGTAGAGACAAACGAGAAAGACTTTTTTTACTATAAATCCCATTAAAACGAACATACATTTTGCCCCAAGACTGCAAGCTGGAACTTGTGTGCCTTGAAATCTACTGAAATGTCCAAGCCACACAACCTTCCAAACAACCGATCCCTTGACCTTCATTCATCAAGGACCTGATTTCGTTCGCATCACTCATTCACTTCACCCCCTCCCGCCCTCACTTTCATTTATATCCGACCATGGTCTTCTACGAGCTCTTCTGCATCTCCAGGACTCGCCTTGTCGAGGTACAATCCTACTTCTCCTCAGCTTACAGGACGGAAGTGATCGACACACTAAAACAGGATTATGCGGATCAGCAATCAGCCACGCTCGGAAGAAAGATCAGGAAGAAGGGGGTGGGGTGTGTCTCGTCTCGGACTGGGTCCGTCAGGAGTAGAGCAAGTTTGCCGTGAGCTAAACCGACAAGTGCTCCTCAAGGGGGGAGGAAGGAACAGCGGCAAGCGAATGCTTTTGTTTCCGAAGGGGCAATGCAGGAGCAAAGGCACTTTTGGACGGCAGCCAAAGTGACTTTGGATCAATTATCCAACAAAACCCGAAGAGAGAGGGGTCAGGACCAGGGGGTCGTCAACAAGACTTTTACCACTGTTACCGGAAAACATAGTCAATTGGCGGCGCTTCACATTACATACGAAAAACACTCAGGACAATCAGCCAAAAAAAAAAAAAAAAACGTACACCCTCCCCGGAAGTCTCCAAGAATCTTGGACAACTGAACTTACTCCCGGCGTCTTTCTTTGAATGATCCAAATAGGCCAACTTGAAGGATCTGGTCAAGCAGACCTCATTGATCGTCATGAACAAGGGCGGTGTCGTCAGGAATCTGAAGCCCCTGGGCGAGAAGCAACTCCCATACCGTATCCGGAAACATCAAGAACACCATGTGCAAGGATAGTAAGTCACTTCCTCCTTTATCTCTCTCGCTCTTTCTCATTTATCACTCCCTCCGGCCTGTCTCCTACTCCTCGTCAGATACGCTACTCAGTTACTCGGGAACATATCGCTGACCATCGACCTTACGCTTTTGTTTCCACCTTATTATAGCCAATGGCTAATGCAATTTGATGCAAACCCGACTGTGGTCAACGAGCTCAACAAGCGTCTTAAGGTTGATCCTCGTGTGCTCCGTCACGCCGTCATTCGTCTCGGCTCCAAGCTCGAAGACATTGTCGCCTCGGCCGAGAAGACTGGCACCCGCGTTTAAACACTTCCATAAAGAAGTTTCCAGAATATGTAACAACAATCGAATCAATCACATCCAATAAACAATCATACAGAATAACATGGACGAGGAAGGCAAATGGGTTTCGATTTGGTCTTTATTCAAAGGGGGGTTACAGCTGTGTTTGGTGCTTGTTCGAGAGGAAACACCTCAACTACCACTCTTCATCATCGACCCTCCTTAGTCGTGGTATTTTTTTATGTTTTGGTGTTTAACCCCACATCTCGACCATTGTTGATTTTTTGTGCATTCAATTCCACTCCCTCATCAACCTACGACAACTTGGAAGCCTTCTCGTAGAGAGATTCGACCACGTTGGCCATGTTCTTCATCGTGTCCAAAGCGCTCTCGTAAGTCTTGTCAACAGGCGTCTCCTCAAACACAACAAGGCATCCGGCGCCCTGGTCTAGTACTCCGTGGAAGGTCTTGTCCAAGATCATCTGCGACAACTTGACCTCGACCTGTTGTGCGGGCAACTTGATGATCTCGGCGATATGTGAAATCTCCACCCGCGAGAAGGGCTCGATCACACGGACCAAGTTTTGTTCAAGCAACTTGTCATACAACGACGCAAGGTGATTCCTGATAATAGGGTCGTTTCCGAGCTCTATTTGCACATAGAATGAAATGAAGAAACTTGTTTAGCATCTGGGCCATCGCAATTCTTCATATCTTCCCCTTGGAGTGACAGTGATATTGATCGGCCAAAACAAGATAACGTACCATCACGGTATGCGGCCAAGGCCTGTTCAAACTCCTGGAGAGAGCGGTTGTTGTGAGCTGATGCAATGGCCTTCATGGCCTCGACCTCCACACCTCGGTACTTGAGCGCAACCTTACTGTTCAAGATCGACTGAATATCATCGGACTATTTAAACAAATATCAAATTAGAACACTGGTTAGCACTCAAGAAAACAAGTGACATAATATCGCAATATAAATAATAGATTGGCTGAAAAAGGATGCTTACCAGGTTCAACATGACTTTGCAGAGCAACATGTACTTCAATGCAGAGATGGCGCGAGGATCGTCCAAGGAGGAGTAACCTTCCAAGGTCTCGTAAAAGTACGAGAATCCAGTCTTGTAGTCCTTCTCCTCTGCGTGCAAGATTCCAGATTGCATGTCGAGAGCGGCCTGCAAAAGAGGTGGGCAGTAGATGGCGTTGGCTGATGTACGGGCAGAAGTCAAAGCAGCCTAAGAAAAGATATCCCATTGAATGTCAAACACAAGCACAAGCATTTGTCAGTACCATGTTCTTTGCTCATGTCCCAGTAACAGGGGGTACTGAAGTCCTTCCCAAACGCTAGATCGCGATGCTAACCTTGGCCTTGGGCAGGTTGCGCAGTGCATGGCAGACACGACTCTCCAACAACTGGACCTCGACGAGAACCATCTTATCATCCAACTTCTTGAGCTCCTTGAGTAATGTGCCGACCAATGCCAAAGAATCGCTGTACATCTTGTTGTCGAGGTACAACGCGATCAATCGCGTCTCCAATGCCTGCTTCAAAAAGATGCGCTTCTCCTGAACTGTCCACTGGATTGTCTCCTTGCAGACCTCGATCTGGAGAGGGAGGGTGTTGGGGATCTCTGAAAAGTAGTCGATCAAAGTTCTAACTGTTGAAGAGGCAAAGAGTGTCGAAAGACAATGGCCAATATTAGCTCCAGTCATCGGAAACGCAAATTGCAACGACAAAGACGTCCTTATCTGCATTGCTGATGTCCAATCCATGCTGCTTGACTACGTACTGATCTTGGCCGTCTTGGCTTTAGGAATAGATGTGATCAGCGTGCGGGAATCGTGGATAAGAGCAGCAAGCTCATTGGGGCGGCTATTGAGTGAGAAGGCACAGCGAAGGAAGCACAAATGTGTTAGAAGATTCATGGACATATTGACGCGTAATCAGAGCAGATTGATCGAACAAATATACGCGAGAAAGTGACCTACTGGAGATCGCGGTAGCACTGTGCAAGCTTCAAGAGAGCGGTTTCCTGGTCGTTCCTGGCGCTCACGTCTACATTGTCCCACGAAAAAGTACAAAGTGAAGCAAATGAGGTCAGTTTCGCGTCCTGCATTAGCCAATTGAACAAGACCCTGGCATTAAGCCCACGGCAAGAGGATTCGCAAGGCAAGTTGAGGGTGGGACATGGACATGCCTGTTCCTACGGCGGCGAGGATGCTCTGGTAGAGAGGGATGGCCTGCTCAGGGGAAGTCTTGCGGACCTCCTCGGCCTGGGCGATGGTCGAGACGGAAGGCATATCTGGCTGTTTTATGTGTTCCTGGATATTTGGTTGGAGTTGCGGGTCGTTTGTCGTTGTCGTTGTTGGTTGAGGAGAGGGAATGAATGAGGCGAGGGTTGAATGGTTTGGCAGACAAAAAGAAAAGACGAAAGTAAAAAAAAGCGAAACGCAAGACAGGAGCGAAGGAGAGTGACTGTACACGTCAAATTGAAAGGAGTGCGAGATATGATTTGCATGGCCGTGGCATGCAAAATTATCACCTCTGCCAGACGTAAGCCGACTTGCGAGAAGGTGACGTCACGCATAGTCGCCCTGGGAGGCGACGCGCCTTTGGGTCTTTCTTTGACTTGGTTACTTGCGTTGCTCGCTGTCGTTACATTTCTTTCACTTTTCCATTTTTCACTTCTCAAACTCACTCGCCCATCAACCACTACCGCTCCTTACTTCTACTCACTCGTCAGGAACCGACCTCATAAAACAGCACACGACCCTAGCCCAACCATCATACAACACCATGTCTTCGGAAGAGGTCCCCAAGATCCCCAGCATTGAGCTGTCACAGAACAGGTTCCTGTTGACCAGTGGGCCAAAGGAGACCCATGCAGAGGCACAAGAGGCTATCTTGAAGAAAATCAAAGAGGACCGTACGTAACTCTCTTTCTCTCGCTGCTGCTTGCATCAAAATGGGATATTACACTCCTTGCAGTCAATGAAAACGCGAAAGAACGTCGAGAAACCAACGCGAACATTTATTTGATTAAACGACTATAGATATGGCACCATTCTATGAACTCATTTGCGAGGAACAAGGATGGCCCGTCGATGCCGCACTCTTGGAGAGCATGAAGAAGGAGAACGAGGAGGCATTGAAAAAGCTAGACGAACGACTGAAGGATGCAGAGGAGAACTTGGGAGAGACCGAGATCTCGGATACCTTGCTCGCCAGAGCCGAGCACTTTGCAAAGATCGGTGACAAGGTAACGCCCTTGTTGTCATGATTCGCGGCTTATTCGTGGACGAGGATGGATTTTTGAAAGCTCCGATTTTGGTTGATAACGTTACTCTTGACTGATCCAACGTTTGCCTTTGTGGAACTCACGTAATTAGGAGAAGAGCTTGACCGCATACAGGGTGGCCTTTGAGAAGACTGTGGCTGTTGGAAGCAGACTGGATATTTTGTTTGCCAACATTCGCACAGGATTCTTTTACCGCGATAACGACATTGTCAGCAGAAACATTGAGAAGGCCAGAAGGTACCGTCAGATCAAACCCGACCCATTCGTTGGTGCTCTTTTCAGACTGTGTGCTATAGGCAGTGGAAACATCATGGTTAACCTTCATCATCTGGATATTTCCTAACGACAATTAGCATGATTGAGGAGGGCGGAGACTGGGACCGCAGGAATCGCCTCAAGGTCTACGAGGGCGCCTACTTGATGACGATCCGCGACTTTAAGGGCGCTGCCGATCTCTTTATCGCCACCCTGTCAACATTCACATCGACCGAACTGATGGAGTACAAGGAGTTTGTCACCTACGCTGTCCTCTCCAGTGTACTGGCTCTCAAGCGTGTCGACATCAAGAACAAGGTCATTGACTCGCCCGAGGTCCTGGAGGTCCTTCACGAGATCCCTCACTTGGAGGACTACCTCCGCTCGCTCTACGCCGGAGACTACAGCAAGTTCTTTGTCTCGCTTGCTGCCTTGGAGACTTCGGCCATGAAGCGCTCTTGGGTTTTGTTCCCCCACTACCGTTACTATGTCCGGGAGATGCGTATCCGTGGATACGCCCAGCTGTTGGAATCCTACCGTTCCTTGACCATGCAAAGCATGGCACACTCTTTCGGCGTCAGCGAAGAATTCATCGACAGGTAAATGCATACTCTATTTGTTGTTATCTAGCCACGTTATCATAATCCTACCTTTTTGCCCTATTCCTAACAACTATGCTCTGTTACTTTGTAAAACAATAGGGACTTGTCCAAGTTCATCTCTGCCGGTCGTCTGAACTGCGTTATTGACAAGGTGAACGGCATTGTCGAGACCAACAGACCCGACGCAAAGAACGCTCAGTACCAACAGGCCATCAAGCAGGGCGACATCCTGTTGAACCGTGTCCAGAAGTTGAGCCGTGTCATCAACGTGTAAAAAAATATTCAAAAACATGAAAACCCCGACAAAGAAATGATTAAAGAGATCTCAACTCTTGTGTTTTCCAACCATCCCCTTTGTGCATGCGTTTCATTATAATTTTTCTCTGGACGCCTATTTCTTCTCGCGTCAACACGACGAAAAAAAGAAAGAAAAAAAACCCCCAATCGATCGGGTTTCGTTGTGTTCCCCGCTTTGATGGAAATATAGAACAACAAACTTTTGCTTACGCAGCGAACTGATGACAAATGTGGGGTTTATTTTTCTGGCAAAAAGTGCGTTCAACGGGATATGCTGAGAGGAGGGGTGTGGGGGGGGGGGATAAAGAGGTATTCTACAAGGTGTGAGGAGAGAGACAGCATATGGAGAAAGAAGAGTCTGCTATTGTGGTAGTTGTTGATTTCATCGGTTTTTTACTGCTGTGCGCACTGCACGCCAGATCCCTGTCCACCTTCTTCGTCATCGTCGCCGCCCATATGGCCCTGCTCAGCCCTTGCCTTCTGGCGGGGGTCCATTTCTGTGAGGCTGACCTCTTCGATATGAGCGCCCTTGGGCAGAGCTGGAGGTGCGGGAGCGGGAGGCAAGATGGCCCGGAGCTGCTCGATCTGGGCAAGGTCGGTCCAGTTGGCAGCAGGGAACTCGATCTCGAACTGGATGTAGAGGTTGCCAAAGTCGTGGTGTCTTTCCGTGGGCATTCCCTGTCCCATCACTGCCTTTAACTCGCCTATAGTTATAAGATAGTCCAAATGGATGGTGGAAAATTTTCAGGGGGTTAGTGCATTGTCTCATGTCTCTTTTATTCTCTGTCGTTCTTTCTCTTATCTGCAAAGTATGATTATGGGGCAGGGGACAAAGAAAAAAGTGAAGCAAGGAGACCAACAAAACGAGAGAACGAAAAGAAAAAGAAAAAGAAAAATAACAAGGCATGCACGGGATTGCTGCCTGAAATAAATCACAACAGTGTAATAACTTACCAGGCTTAATGACCTCGCCAGGAAGGATATCGACGACAAGGATCCGATCGTCCAAGTGTGGGATGTGGATCTTGCCTCCTGCAAGGGCTGTGACCAAGTCGACCTTGGCATTATAGAACAAATCGTCGTCGCTCCGACGGAACCGCTCGTGCTCACGCTGATCAAGGACAATGACGACGTCTCCAGGGATGGTGCCCGGTGCCTGGTCTCCCTCGCCATTAAAGACAATCCTGCGACCATGCTTCATGCCCCGATCGATATGGACCTCCAAAACCTTGCGGACCTGGGTGACCTTCTTGGCGTTACAGAACTTGCACTTGTCCTTGGCATTGATGATCTCGCCCTCGCCACGACAGTCGCCGCAGGGCTGTTGGATCTGCTGCATCATGGGTCCCATCTGGCGCAGCATGACTCGATAACCCTGGCCGTTACAGGTGGCACAGGTCTTGACAGCGCCCTCTTTACCACCTTTGCCCTCGCACTTTTCGCAGATGACGTTCTTTTGGAGGGCTAGCTTGGTGGTCTTGCCCTTGTAAAGATCCTCCAGAGTTACCTTCAATCCGTGAGTGACGTCCTTGCCGCGGCGAGGTCCAGAGGGACGACCGCCCCGTCCGCCGCCGCCGCCGCCAAAGAAGTGTGAGAAGAGATCCTCCGGTGAGAGGCCACCCATACCGCCAGGTCCGCCCTCGCCTGAGAGGCCAGACTCGCCGTATTGGTCATAGGCCTGACGCTTTGCGGGGTCTGAGAGGACGTCGTATGCATGACTGATTTCCTGGAATCTCTCTGAAGTGGCGCCTCCGGTCTATTAACAGAAAGCAAGCGAAAGGGTGGGAGTGTAAGAGTTGGTGTGTGGTTGCTTTTTGTTCTTTTCCACTACCATAGCTATTTTACAAGGAGTGGTGGCAAAAGGCAGACAAAAAAGAGTTTAAGAGAGAGAGGTACCTTATCGGGGTGGAACTTGAGGGCGAGTTTGCGGTAGGCCTTCTTGAGCTCGGCGTCGGAGCAGTTGGGGTCGACTTCAAGAGCCTCGTAGAGCTTAGTTTCCTTTGGCATGGTGTATGTTATTAAGTGCTGATAAGAAGAGAAGGATAAAGGGACCAGAAGGAAGCAAAGAAGGGTAGAATGGGGCGAGAAAGAAAGAGAGTGAAGGCTGTTGGTGAAAAGTGAAAGAGGGGAGGACAGAGTATGAAAGAGTGGAGAGAAAAAAAAGAACGCCCTTTTGTACTCACTGACCCTCAGAAGGCTCTAGAACTCAGAATGCAGTCACGGTTACTCTTTACTCCGCCAGAAGGCAAGTCGACTAGTTTCAGCCTCTCGGCGAAGTCCCTGACGACGAGGAAGGAAGAGGATCGAACAAGCTGAGTAATGTCCAATGGCCAGCTGTGATTGGACTGGAGAGTAAGATAGTCTTGCGGGGATCGAGGGATGATGGGTAGTAGAATGAGTGCGTGTACTATCAGTAACAGAATAGAAGGGTGCCAGGAGGGGAAGCGAGACAACGCTGAATGTGTGTGTAGATTTGTGCGTGTGCCAGCTGCGTGTGCGTGTGCATGTGCGTTGCGTGTGTACTGCCATAGCAAAGGCAAAAAGGAAATCTGGGTCGATGTCTGTGCTGGAAGAAAAAAAAAGTGACTGATTTCTTCTCAGGTCATCAAAAAGCAAATCTCCGTTAGTCGTTTTGACTCGACCGTTCTCGCGTGCACTTACTTTTTTTTTGTTCACTTGTACTTCTTTTAATTCTTTTCTTCTTGTCTTTGCCCTCTTCACTCCTCTTCACTCTATACTCTCTACTTTTTACACTCTCACCTTCCTACCCTCAACCACTTTCCCTCCCACTCCCCACTCATTCATTCACATTCTCCATCATGGCAGCAATCAAGGTACATTTGCATTCAAAACAAAGGTGCACTGTTCGCTAGCCCATTCAATGTCCTGGTAAGCAAGGAACCACACTAAAATCTTCCCTTTCCCACCTACTCTAATACACATCAATTAGAGAAAAGACCCAGCACTATACACCTTGACCGCAGGTTCAATTGCAGGCGCTATCGAGGCTATGATCACATATCCAACCGAGTTTGTCAAGACACAGCTTCAGTTGCAGGATGGCACCAAAGGCGCTGCTCGCAAGGGGGTTCCTGTAGGTAGCTTAGCTTTATTCACGATGCGCCTGATGATGCTTTCCTCCTAGTTCTTTTCTTTGTGCTGGCCGTCCGCCCGCTCTCGTTTGTTGCCTTCCCCTATGTGTCCAATTGATGGGTCGATCTGATATGATCAGGGGGGGATAGAAAATGATTCGATAAGATTTTAAAGGTGTCAAAATGAAAGATGACTGTTCTTTGATCACTAACTCCGGGTATCGCATAACTGATCTACGAAAATGCTGCACTGGAAATAGGCACCCAAGGGTCCCATCGACATCCTCGTCACCACAGTCAGGACACAGGGTGTCTCCGCCGTCTATAGGGGGCTGTCCGCGATGGTCATTGGAAATACCGCCAAGGCTGGCGTTCGCTTCTTTGCTTTCGACCAGTTCAAGGACCTCCTCAAGGACTCTGAGGGCAAGACCACCGGCGCACGATCTGTCCTCGGTAAAATTCCACTCATCCTTACGTTTTTCCTGTCAGCTGGTGAGGGCGAATGATCAATTGGAAAATGATTACTTACATACATTGTCTTCATTCATACTTTCTCATAGCGGGACTGGGAGCAGGAATGACAGAGGCGGTATTGGTAGTTACGCCCTCAGAAACCATCAAGTAAGTTGCTGATGATGAGAGGCTAGATCGAACCAGGAGGAGATCTCATTTTTATTTTCAGACATTGTACTCACACAGAAATAATCGATAATCTATTTTGTTGAACCTGTGTAGGACTAAACTCATCCATGACGGCAACTTGGCGAAACCACAGTACAAGGGCCTCGTTCATGGTATGTACAGCGAGGATCTAGTTACATCTTCCCTCGGACATTGGACATAAACAAAGGACATATGAAACTAACATATGTCGCTCGCTCTTCCACACATAAAACAGGTGTGCAATCGATTATCAAGGCGGAGGGATTGGGAGGAATCTATCGTGGCGTGGTCCCAGTGATGGCCCGTCAGGGAGCCAACAGTGCAGTTCGCTTTGGAGTCTACTCTACATTGAATGACTTGGTCAAGTCAAAACTGGAACCCGGATCCAAGATGCCTGCCACTTACACATTCGGAATTGGAGCCATTGCCGGAATTATTACGGTGTATACAACCATGCCTCTGGATGTGGTCAAGACTAAGATGCAGGGACTCAATGCTCGTCAGCTCTACAGTGGAGTCTTCGACTGCGGGTGGAAGGTGTTCAAGAACGAAGGAGTGTTGAGTTTCTGGAGTGGAGCCACCCCAAGACTTGCGCGTCTTTCTGTAAGTTGTCTTTCGTGCGAGATATTTGCTAATTTGATCGGTGGCAAGGACGTTTGCCTTCGTATTCATCTCATCTAATTGCACTGCTGCGTCTCCTTTTCTTGTTTCCCTCTTGGTACCTATGCCCTTTCTCATTCGTGTAGATGTCTGGTGGAATCGTATTCAGTATCTACGAAAGCACAATGACCGTCCTCCGTCGAATCGACGACGACTCCAGTCCCATCCGTACATGAAGACGATCCTCATGGTATGTAATTCCCTACATCCTCTGGTCCAATGAGTGGCCATCCAGCATTGCCAAGAACTGTTCTTTCCATGCTGACTTTTTTATTTGTTATCCAAATGGAAGAGTTGTTGTCGAAGAATTGAAGAACGAAAACATGTTTCGGCTAATCCCCTCTCTCTTTTTATTTTCTAATGCCCATTAGATCAAAAGTCGACAAGCATTTACCTCGTTAGAACGCCCTAGAAAAATCCATTAGAAAATGTACCATAAAGAAAATCATTTTGCCCGATTCCTTTCTTTTCAGGAACTGTCTCTTGGGAAAGCAGTGAGCAAGTGTGTTAATTCATGATGTTTCTTTCAGATGTTTCCCCCACACAAACTCATCAATTGAATAGAGGGGCGACTAAAACACTTCACGACAACAGAAGTTAGGCCCAGGTGTGTGTGTGTTAGAGCGGGACTCGATCAATTCGGACCCCACGCTAAAAACGTTAATATTTTTTTCCGTTCCTTTTTTGTTGACAGGGGCTGAGTCCGAAAAATCTTCAATGGCCAAGTTCACTTTGGTCCCTTTAGTGTAAGCCTATGGCTCAAACACCGCTGTTGTATTGTTCTCTGACCTCATTCTGTGTACTTACTTTTAGTGCCTGGGACAGGGAGGGGGTTGTTGTTTGGCTTATCTTTTCAGGCACTCACTCACTCGACCTTTTTTCATCCACCCGGGTCAGATTTTTTCAGCGGATTATAAAAAGAGGGACTTTGAGATCGCAACTCGGCCTCTTTTTCTCTTTTTTCTTCATTATTCTTTTTCTTTTCCTTCACCATCACTCCTTCCTTTCATCCTTCACTCGCCACTACCTCCTTCCACTCCTACACATTGCACCAAATTCCCCCTTGGCTTGCTTCTAAAGTCGTTTAACAGACAGGTAATAATCTCCCTCACACTCTGTTCCGATACCCCTGTTCATTATTTTTTCTTTTTTCGATCTGTTCCTCCTACGATTCGCAGGAATCAGGGACCACCAAGACCACCACACACAGAAACCCTCTCCCCTCTTCAGCTCAGATCTAACACTTGTTCTTCCCCCTTCTACTCTTACTCCCCCTTTCTGCCACCACAACAATCACGATCGAAACAGACTTTACAACAACCCCTAGGCATACCTCCAAGAGTTCGCCCACCATTCCGTCAGAAACCAGGAACACGTCCGTCGTCGTCGCCGCGCTTCTGTACACCCACCACCAGAAGCCTCCATAAAACCGCCTGTCAACACCCCTGACGCCTTTTTTCAACTACTCTATTATCACTAAAACCAACGCTTCTACAACTACGTCGATGGTCGTTCCTATCACCGTCCCTATCCCTCCGGCTACCGCTGCCAACATCCACGACCTCAAGGCTGCCCTTGCCGCCTCCGCTCCCTCTGTCCACGATGGAGGCGAGATGAGCGACAACGACGATATCGCCCCCTCCACCGCCGCAGTCCACATTCCCTGGTCCTCAGACTCCTTCCTCGACACCTCAGACGACCAACCCATGGAGCCCGGTTCCTTCGAAGGGCCCGAGAAGCTTCTCGAGATCCATTTCGCTCCCCACATGCAGGATGTTCAACATATCCGTGCTCCCCTCAACGACAATACCCCATTCACCAACGTGGAGGGAGAGGAGGAGAGGTATGGGTTGAGGATTATCCCAAAGGCCGTGTGGGAGGAGATGCTGGATATTGTCCAGTGCAAGGTCTTGCATTCGATCCATCACCCGACTGTCGACGCTTATGTTTTGAGTGAGTCGTCGTTCTTTGTTTTCCCGCACAAGTTGATCCTGAAGACCTGTGGCACTACGACTCTTCTTATGGCGCTTCCCAAGATTCTGGAATTCGCTCAGGACTGGTGCGGGCTTCTCCACTCCCCTTCTTCTGATGCCGAGATGAAGGAGGGGGAGGAGGAGCAGCAGCAGCAGCAGCAGCAGCAGCCGTACAGAGTCTTCTACTCGCGCAAGAAGTTTCTCTTCCCCGAGAAGCAAGTCCACGTTCACCGGGAGTGGAAGGACGAGGTCGAATTCCTGGATCGTCACTTTAACAACGGATCTGCATACACGGTCGGAAAGGTCAATGGGGATCACTGGTGTCTCTATGTCACCGCTCCCTTCCTCGGTTACCCTTGCAACAGCAATAAGGAGCTGAAGGGTAATGAGACGGCGATGGAGAACTTCCAGGAGGAGGATGACACGACTCAGGGCGGACTCTTTGGTCTCCCACCTACTCGCCCTCTTTCCCGCGCTTCGTCTTCTCGATCCTCATCCGCATCCACAACCGACGAATCCGAATCAGACGACACCCCTACCACCACCACCCAGGAAGTCGACAACGAGGAATACGACCAAACAATCGAGATCTTAATGACAGACTTGAACCCCAAGGCCATGAGAAAGTTCTACCACCACGCCGACAAGAACCAGCCCTCAGGTTCTGAAGGCGGTCAATTGGTCGATCAGCAAACAGGACTTGCGACCTTGTTCCCCGAGGCCGAGATCGATCCATTTTTGTTCACCCCCTGTGGATACTCTGCCAACGCCCTCCTTAAGCAGTCGTCGACGGCGTCTGGTGCTGGTGCAGGAAAATACTTTACGATCCATGTAACACCCGAGCCCGTGTGCTCCTACGCATCCTTCGAGACCAACATCCCCGTCCGCCTCTCTTCTTCCAAGACCCCCCGCCGCTCCGCAAAGGGAGCCGCCGCCCCCGAAACAGTCCAGGAGTTGATCCAGCGCGTGGTCGACATCTTCCAGCCCGGAAACCTGACCGTCACCATCTTTACCTCCACAAAGCCCAGTGCCTCACAGCACCAGATCGAGAAGCAACAATTCAAGATGTTGCACAGCTTGCGGTCCCTCCCTGGATTCCGTCGTACGGACAGGATCCTGTATGGGTTGGATGGGTATGATGTCATCTATGGACATTACCTTGCCGTTTGAGTAAAAAGGGTGGGGGGGTTTTTTTTTGCTGGATGGAACCTAGGATCGCTCAAATAAAAAGAAATGATTGTATAGAAACACTTGTGAGGCGATGAGGAAAAATAATGTATTTTTTTTTGAAATGGGCTATCTAGGAGACGCGATGAAATGTAGGAAGGGGCAGGAAGTGAAATGCAATGATGAGTTGAAAAGTGAACTGGAAGGGGGGGGGGGGGGGGGGGGGGGGGGGGGGGTATAAAAAGGTAAAGGAATGGGGTCATTATTTAAACTACAATTGGAGTGATGTTGTAACAAGGTATTAAAGCAAAACGGAAAAAGTAAAAACAAAATACATATAGAAAAAGATAACGAAATGGTGGATGTGAAGGTGCGAAGGTGTGGATGTTTGCGTGTGATGATGGTCTGTGGTTGCATGTGGGTATGGGTCATTAGGTGTCGGTGGGGTGTGATGTAAAGGCGCCAGTAGTGGCAGCACCAACATCCTGCATAGTACTGCCGCTACTGTTACCAACACCAGCCATGAAAGCCGAAGACGACGACGAAGAAGAATAAGGACGTCCGGAGGAAGTCTCGTTAAGGTTACCACTGTTGGTGGCTGGTGCACTGGCTGGTGGTGGTGGTGGGGTTGAAGAATAGTTCTTGGCAAAGGGACTAGGTCGCAACAAGAACTGCTTCAGCCTCGACAAGAACTTTGCCCGTTGCTGTTGAGGATTCCCGTCCGGGGAAGGAGACTGAAGTTGCTGCCGCTGCCGTCCATTCGACGAGGGAGTGCCAAACTCTTCCTCGTATTCATCATAGAACTCCATATGCTGTAGCTGACGACGACGCTGCTTGTCATCATTGTCGTCAACGAACTGATCCGTGAGGCCCAGATTGGCAAGGGAGACGCGTCGACGTTGATTGGGCTTCACACGCATAGTCGCGAATGAAGAGGCTCCGTAGCCGCCGCTTCTGCGTCCATCAGACTTTTCGAATCCCATGGTCAAGATTGGTGAGATTTGGTGGCGTTGTGTACCGTGGACTTGTTGCTGGCCTCTGTCGTAAAAGTCGTAGTCGTAATTGTTGCCCGACGGCGGACCAATGGGGGATTGCTGTTGTTGCTTCTGTTCCTGATTCTGCTCCGCAAAGAACCGTCGGCGCATCGAAGAAGTCATCGTCATCGTCCCAAGAAAACTCCTCACCTTGTTCTTCTTGACAGCAGCAGCAGCGGTCGTCACAGTCGGATCCTCCAAAGGCGACCCAATCGGCGCAAACCCCTGTCGTTCGAAATCAATCGGACTCATACAGAGCTCTGCACCGAAACCATTTTCAGCACCACTGCGTCGGATAGGTCGTGCTGCAGCTGCAGCGTCTGCAACCGTCCCCTCCGAATGCCGGAGCATTTGAGCCGGCGGCACCCGATCGCCATAGCAATCCTCCATCTCGCCAATTCCATCCAGATTCGATTGACTCAGCGGTGGACAATGCTGGCAATAGTAGTGGTAGTGGATATGATGCTCATGAAGGTGTAGTGGCGGTGATGCTCCTCCTGCTCCTGCTCCTGCTCCGTCCGAGTTGGTTAAGTTGTCAGTGATCGGCTCCGAATATGTGGTCTTCACCAGTTTGAATCCTTGCTCTCGGTCAAGGAACCGTTCTACGTCTTTGCCTTTCCCCGCCATAGAACGCCTCCTACCATCCCCTCCGATACCACCTCCTGCGGCAGGACTAGCCATACTCGCCTCTGCTGGGGTTCCAAACGATGTCAACAACGGGTGAGATCCGGAGCCTATCATCTGGGAGCGCAACGATTCATGCTCCTGCCCATTACTGTGCGATGTGATGGGGACCGAGCTCTGTCGATGCTGTTGGTGATGATGGAGACCGATACCGCCGTTACTGTGGATATGGTGGTGATGGGTATGGTGACGATCGTTTGCTAACATCTCCAGGCGGTCTGGAGATGCATCTCCGTTTTGCTTCTCCTGTCGCGATGACTCTTGCGTGAGACCACCACCGCGAGCAGGGGCTGTCTGACTGTTTGAGGACATCAGTTTCTCCATAGTCGCCACCGAGAACGGTCTCGGTTTTCCGTTTCCTCGCAAGGGTCGCAAATTGCTGGATTTGTTGGCAGGAGAGGTCCGTGCAAAATCAGAAGACATCAAAAGTGAGCTGTTGTTGTAGGGGAAACCCAGGTTGGTATCTGCTGGGGATGGCGAAGTGGAACTGGCGGTTAGTGTAGAGTACTCCATACGTCCTGTTCGACTCAACGAAGGTGACCCTTGGCGGCGATGATGTGTCTGGGCCAGAATCGGAGACCGGTCGTCTGCACTGTCTCGACGTCCTCCTCCACCTCCCTTCAGTGGTGAGCTCCCATCCATACCGTTACCGCCATGAGCATCCTTGGAGTTTTGAACAGGGGTCGAAGCTCCGTTACTCCGAGTGACCAGAGCTACAAAGCGTTCCTTGGCCGTCGCCATGCGGTTCGCGCTTCCTGTCGCACTGCCATTCCCTGTCTGGCTAGCTCTCTGTTCATGATCCTGTCGTGACTTTGAATCTGCCGAGAACCCCCTGGTCAAGATACTTGGGCGGGTCATGGCCGAGGGGAAGGACGAAGGTTGTTGGTGAAAATGATTATGTTCCTTGCGGATCAAAGACTCGGACATAGTGCGAGACCATGCGCCAGAAGCAGTGGACCTAGACCTTGAACGCGATCGAGAGGAGGTGTGGCTTTTACGTGTCACAGATCTCGACCTCGACCCAGATCTCGACCTTGTCCTGGACCGTGAGCGTGACCTTGAACGTGGGCGAGACTTGTCTTCGTTGTTGGTGGCGGCGGCGATTTGCAGAGGCTGGACCGCTGATTGGCTAAGAGCAGAGTGCATGGCATCAGGCTGCTGCGACTCCTTGACTTGGCCATCGGTGTTCACTTTGCTGCTACTGACAACAGTCGTCGTGGCTGCCACAGGCAGGGCAGCAGTGGTCGTGGTGGCATGAACGTTGTTACCATTGGCCTTGCTCTTGTTGCTGTTAAGAGGCTCCTGTGAATGAATAGTCGCGGTAGCAGTTCCTGGAGAAGCACGCATGCTGGTTCCAGCCATCCCCTCGCTCATAGTGTCGCCCTTGAGTCGGTCTGGATAAAGCTTGGCGTGCATCAGATTGTTGCCGTCGTAGAAAAAAATCTGCTCACCACTCCCTCCAAGCGTCCTCTCCCGTCTTCGCTGGTGTTTGGTCACAGAGGCAGTAGCAGCGGCACTCGTGTCGACCTCGTTCTTGTCTGAGAGGAGGTCAAGTTGACAGGACGTTGACTCAATTGCAGAATGGTGGTCGCTGTCAGGATGGTTGTTGTTGCTGTAGTCTTGTTCTGGACCCTGCAAGAACTCTTGTGAATAATGCCCATGGTCATGCTGGTGGTGGTTGAAATTAATGGCATCACCTGCCATTGTTGTCGTCGTTGTCTGCTGCTGTAGTGTTTGTTGTTGCTTAGACGACTGATGTGGTTTTGTGAGCGGGAAAAAAGTTGCCTCGTCCATGTCCCTGTTGTCCTTGTCCCTGCCATCCCTGTCGTCGAGGAAAAACGAGTCGTTATCGTCATTGTCTGTCTCGACGGGTAGGTGATCGTCCATGCCCTCATAGAACGTGGGGGGCTCTTCGATCTGACATAGCGGTATAAGCGAGGCGTGATAGCGGGTCATGGTGTAGTTCCATTGGTCAGGAGGGGGGTAATGATCAATGCTACTGTCTCCTATTTTTTGTTTGTTGTTTTGTTGTTTTGTTGTTTAAAGTATTGGTCAATAATGAGAGAGAGAGAAAGGGAAAAGGGAAAAGCGGGTGAGTTGGTGCGTGTGATGATAGGACATGCCATGTTGTGGGACGATTACAATATAAAATAACGACAAAAAAAGGGGAAAGGGGAGAGGGAGAGAAGGCCCAACGAGAAGAGAAAAAAAGGTTGAGGTTGTGCAGAGCGGAGTAGGCAACAGAATGAAAGAAAGAAAGACATAGAAGTATGTAAAAAGAAACCCAATTGAGGGACAACAAGCTAGGGTCAACATAACACACAAAACAGCCATCCATCCTTCTCTTTCTCACTCACCCACAGCACCCATTATTTGTTGTTGCTGTTACTGTTACTGTTGTTGCTGTTGCTGTTTGTTGCTGTTTGTAAGTCGGATGAACAGCGAGTATGTGAACGAAACAGGCATTGTGGATAATGATGAACAGAAACAACATGTCAACCTTATTATCCTTGTCCCTGAATCCAGCAAAATGGTGCCTGGACGAAGACGAGCCCCTGATGGTGGTGGTGATGATGGTTGCTGATGACGATATTACTCATAGCCACAAACTCCTCTCATAAAAAGAAATCTTTCGCGTTTAAGGATAAAGAGTATGAAGAGGATAAAGAGAGGTAACTTACCACCAAGAGCAAGTCCAGAGGCAGAGAACGTGCCTGGGATGGGCGAGGTAACTCGGGTCGTCGATAAAGAAGCCGACTGCGAGGGTGATATCGCTGCCGCGCTGTCATGTCCACTCCCACCACCAGCACCCTTGGAACCATCCCGTTCACCCTCTCCAACCGTCTCCTCGGAAAGAGCGCTGGGCGAGCAATCCTCCATCGACAGTCCGGGTTGTGAAGCATGCTGCTGCTGTTGGTGTTGGTGCTGCTGCTGCGTGAGCTGCTGCTGCTGTTTTTGTTGTTGTTGCTGCTGCTGCTGTTTCTTGAGGGCTGTGTTGAGCTGAGCATGGTGCAATTGCTGTAACTGTTGTTGCTGTTGCAAAAGTTGTTGTTTTGTTGAGAGCAAGGAGGTGTGAATGGTCAGGTTCTTGAACGTCAATGGAGGAGGAGGTAAGAGAACAAGTCCCGAGGCTGCAATCGTCGACGACAACGACGCCACCGAATTGCTGGTGGATCCGTGGAGCTGTTGAGCCTGTTGTTGCTGCTGCAGCATTTGTGTAAGCTGCCCTTGCCCTGATCCTACTGCCGTAGGTACTCCTGACAATCCTCCTCCTCCAGTTGCTGTTGAAGTTGACGTTGGTGGTCCGCCGAAAGGTCCTTGTCCCTGTGGTAGTGCCCCACCTCCTCCTGGGCTCTTGGGTCCTGAGAAGAGGCCTGTACTGGCTCCTGAAATTGCTGCTGCTACCGTTTCTTCGTGTTCGACTCCAGGCCCTTGTCCTGAAGAAGAGATGGGTATGGCCGTTATCGTCGACGGTGTCAGAGTTGTCGCGGGATATGCCATCGAGTGTGCTGTGTGAATTGCCTGCGGGTATATGGTTTTTTGGGTAAGGTTTGGCGAGGAAAAGTAATAGCTTGAGTGAGGAGGGAAAGGGAGGGAAAAGAACAAGTTGTGAGGTAGACGAAGGTGAGAAAGTACGAGAAGAAAGGCAAGGCAAACGGAAAAAGGGAGAAAAGGTGAACTGAGAGAGTGAGGAGAGGAGACGAGAGAGCGAAAAGAGAGAGAAGCAGGGGTGATGGTGGATTGCGGAAAGGTAAACGATGGGGAACCGAAGGAGAGGAGACAGAAGGGGGTGAAAGAGTAAGAGAAAGAGAAGAGAAAGAGGAAGAGGAAGAGAAAGAGAAAGAGGAAGAGAAAAGGAAAAAGGACGGACAGAGGAGGAAAGGAACGAATTAGAGAAGAGAAACGAGAAGGAGAGGGAGAGAGGAGAAGAAATGAAGCAAAGGAGGAAGAGAGAGGGCGATGAGAGTCGAAGTTGAAAAAAGGAGTTGATGTTCCATGTGTGTGGACATGCTTGCTACTTGCGAATACATTCTCGCTCACTCTCACATTCACTGACGCTGCTGCGTGAGCATGCTCTAGCTGTGTAGAAGAGAGGATGCCATACATCCCGCTCGAAGAAAAAAAGGGTCTCTGACAGTCTTGGGTTGCTTGTTTCTGCTTGATCCCGCTTCAGTCGTGTGAATCAGGACAACACGCACCCATAGCCGTTTTAAAGGTCAACAAAAAGTAAGGGACTTCTCAATGGTCATGCTTCCCCCCACCCCCACCCCCACCCCCCTTCCTTCCTCTCCTCACCGTCCACCTTCCCGTTACTCAGTTTTTCTTCTTTACGTTCTTTTTTTCTATCCCACGTTCGCTATGTATCTGCCCCATGTGTCAGCATACCTCTCCCCTTCCTCATCTCTGTCAGCAAAGCCGCTCTTTTCTCGGGTCCTGCATCAAAACACACAAAAAAGATGATCGCGTTGCCACAAGCAGAGCGATCTGCACAATCGAAGCATATCGCCATCCCATCCCCTTCCCAGCCTATTCTTCCCATACTCTTTACTGAGCGGCATATCAGAAAACCACAATCACAACAAACAAAACAACAAAAACAGCAACAAAGAAGCACCATGCTATTCTTTTCCACCTTCCTCCTATTTCAAGTACGTCCTGATGCTTTGCGTGCATGTTACAGCATTCTCGACCCGATACAAAACTCAATGGAAAAAACATCACTTGTCCCTATTTTTGACGCCCTGCCTCCGAGACAAAGTGCGTTAACGTGCAAACCGTTGCTGTTGCCTTCCATTATGCATTCTGCGAACATTTCATCATCGTTCAAGGAGAGGTCGCCAACAGTGTAAGAAAAAACGACCCAAGCGCGCGCCTATGGCAGGAAAGGATAGGCGTATTCGGATACTGGCGTTTCTCATGCTGCTAGGCTGATATATCACATCCACTTTACAACCATTCTCTCTCGCTCCCTGCCCTTTGCCCTTTGCACTTTGCCTTTTGCCCTTTACCCTTTGCTCTTTGCCCTTGCCTCCTTTCGCCCCCTTCGGAGATTGGCACGAACGCGTTTCTCGTTTTGCTCGTTCGATACTCCCACAAAAACCTATTTTTAACGGCCCTTCAACTATCCTACAAGACCCTCAAGGAACGCACAGAAAAGCAAGAGAATAAGAACGCTTCTTTTTTAGTTCGCGTAGGAACAATGAGAGCCATGACATAATAGTATATCATCCCTTTCTTTTGTCCCTTCTCCTGTCTCCCCTTTTATCTATCCCCATCGGAGGAAAAAGAACGATCTGCCTCCTTTTCTCATCAACGACAACAACAGATCCGACCCTGCGCACTGTACAGGTTTCTAATGTGCTTACCTACTGGACATAGCTCTGTGTCTCATCTCTAAACGTACTCCCTAGTACACACACCAAACACCACCTTCTTCTCCGTGTTCATCGTCGTCTGAGATCTTCCATCTGCTGCTACTACAACCTCCTCTTCATCCAACACGACGATGAATCCTTCCACTCCCTCGAACGATTTTGGCCTGAGGCCAAACAACAACAACTCGAGATACAACACCTACATTCAATATTTGGAGCGCAATGTAGCTCCGCCAGTCATGCTTTTCCTCAAGAATGCTCTGACACGCTTCACTTTTCTTTTTTCGTCTTTTCTATTCTTCTCCTTTTTCTAAACCTCTCAATGGAATTCGTTGTCACCTTCTCTCTCCCTTGTCCCCTGTGTCGTCTATAAAAAAGTGCTCTTCTTCTTGCAGTCAATTACAAAAAGGGGAGGAAACCACTCTGTGTTTGCAATACCATCGAAACTCGATTCTCTTGGCCCCCTCCTTCCTTTTTTTACGTGATTAAATGAGCTTGACAAAAGTTGCCCTTTTTTTTTTACAAGGACAAAAAGAGCTTTTCTTTTTCAACAAGCTCCCTTTCCCCAGTTCAGAGCCATCTGCTACGTACACTTTTTTTTTTTTTTTTTTTACCTTTTTTTCGTTGTCACAGGTAAAACAATTGAAAGGTTTGGCAAAGGTCTATGTGAGCCAGAGCTTAGAGCCAGAACCAGAAACGAGACCTTAAGTTAGAACCAAAAAAACTAGAGCCTAAGCAACTGTCCCATAGTAGCTTCGCCGTTTCTCTCTTTGAAAATCGATACGAGTGGGGGGCTTTGCTCTCTAAACGTCTTTTTATTTTGGGGTAGCTGTTTTCGCATGGCCTAGGCGCTACATATCTGGGACGCTTGTTATTTTTTCTTTTTTTCCTCTCCCGCCAAGCCAAAGCCAAAGCCAAGCCAAGTGGAAAAAAAAAGCCCACACATGAGTGGATCTTAATATTTTTCCCATTTTTTTTTCCCGCCATCAATCCCATTCCACCATGAGGTGCGCAAGGGCTTGACTGGCGGCGCGGGGAAAGGATTTGTAACATGTCCGCAGTCAAACCAAAAAAATAGAGGCATTTTTTTTTTTTCTCTTTTGGTTGACCAGCTGGACAGATGCTTACATATACCTTTCCATACATGACTCACATAACAACAACAAGGATACACGATGATTGTCAATAGTGAAAAATGAAAGAAAATATTTACATTCTGTGAATAAACGAAGCGGAAGAAGAGAAAAAAGGGAGCTGAGAAAGAACAAAGGAGCGTTGACAGCACAAAAAAGGGAAAGAAATAGAAGAAAAGGAATAAAGGCGAAGAAAAAGTAAGGGTGTCGAGAATGACAACAAAGGGGTGGAAGGGGAAAGAGGAAAGGGATGCTACTTGCTATGGAGATGAGGAGTGTTGTGGTTGAAATATTAAAACGCGAACTTGCTTGGATATAGAAGCCATTATTCTTTTTTTTGGTGGGTTACTTCATTCTTTTGTCTGTGGCGATGAAAAGGGGTGGAGGAGGAGAGTGTCGAGTTGATGTTGTGGTTGTGGTTGTTCGATTGGTGTGTATTTTTTTTCCTTCGAACAAAGAGTGAATAGGTGGTTATTGTTGTTGTTGTTGTACAGAGGCCGTCTCTTCTCAGAAGAAAAACGATAAAATGCTACAGGTAACATCTTTTTAAGCACGCCAGTGATCGCCACCCATGTCACCGCCAGGTCCTGGGGGTCCATTGCCGATGGCGCCATTGGGTGCGTGCCCATTGTCGTTGGCAGCTGCTGCGTTCGCTCCTCCGTTGGCGTCGTAGGCCTCCATCTCGGACTGATATCTCTTCTTGTCGTCCTCTGCCATCGATCCATATGACTCTTTCTCGGCCTCCGACAACTTTTGCCACTCCTCTCCCAGCATCTTGGTGATTTCTGTAGGCTTGAACTCGGGGTGCTTCTTCTTGATGTCGTCCCTACAATGACGTAATTTGTGCAAACGAGGGAGAACATTTTGGTTAGAGGAAAGCAATTTGAGTTCAAGAAAAAAAGGGGGGCAGAAAAAACCAAAGAGGAAAAGAGGAAGCTGGGAGAATGGGGATGCGGGTTGGTTGGGAGTAAAAAGAGAAAAAAATGTGGAGACCCTTACCTCTTCATGAGAGTGAAAAAGATGTACGAATTCCTTGGCCGCTTGGGGCAGTTCTTGTCCTTGACCACTGGAGTGACCACCTTCTTCATCTTCTTCTTGGAGATTCCACCGCCAGCCACTGGTCCCAAGTTCCCAGGACGACCATGCATGCCCACGTGTTGCTGCATGCCGCCGGGCTGATGTTGGAGAAGGTGTGATTGCTGATAAGGGTTCTGTTGAAGGTTATGGAAGGGCTGCTGGTGCTGTAGTGCGTGCTGGGGATGGGAGGGATGGCCATAGGGGTTTTGGGGTGCACCCACCATACCGCCTGTCCATCCTCCCATGCGATCGCCTCCTCTGGCGTTCATGTTGGGCATACCGGGCATACCGCCGAGAGCACCCATGCCTCCCATACCGTTCATGTTGTTCATGCCCATGCCTGCCATGCCGTTCAATCCTGCCATGTTCTGCTTTACTGGTGCACGCCCTTGTGGTCCAGACGCGTTGCGAACAGCACCACCGGGGTGGTTGCCGCCCAAGAGATCTGGCATCATTCCGCCGGGCTGGTTCCAGGACATGTCGCCCGAGTGAGGTCCGTTGCGGCCCATCATTGGCTGCATATTAGGGTCCATGTAGCGGGTCTGCTGAAGGCGGGAATCGTAGCGGGGCTCTCCAGGGTATATCGGGTGTCCATGCATCAAGGTGTTCATGTTGGGGTGGTGCGCCTGAGGGGATTGCTGGTAGGGAGACTGGGCAGCGTTGACGGCCTGGTGGGCTTGGCGCTGAGGCTGCTGTTGTTGCTGCTGTTGTGGCTGCTGTTGCTGCGGCGTCTGGGGGTGCTGCTGGGGAGGCGTCAGTTGATGGGATTGCTGGGCGTGAGGCGAGTGCTGGGCATCTGATGGCTGGGTTCCGGTAGGTGTGCTCAAAGGAGCCGATGAGGCAGCAGAAGCGGGGGCACCGGTGCTTGTAGGAGGCGCCGATCCGTTGTCTGTATGGTAGGAGAACTGGAAGTTGCCGTTGGGTGCGTAAGCGCCGTTGTTGTGGACTGGTGGTAATGAAGGTGGGGTTGAGGGACTGGCGACGGGGTAGGAGCTGGAGTGGTTGAAGTTCATGTTGCCGTAGAGGTTCTGGTATCCACCGTAGCTGTTTCCTTGGGCGGGGTTGCCAGCCATGAGGGAGGGGTCGGAATCAAAGTGTATGGGAGGGCTGGCCATATCTGAGGACATTGACTATGAGCGAAGGGGTTTGTCAGATAGTAAGTAAGGTTGATCTTGCAGGGTAAGATACTAATAAAGAGTCAGATCGTTGAGGATGTGGATTGGCTTTTTTTTTGTTGTCTAAGTCTGTGGGTTTTCGAACACAGAGACGACAGAGAGAGAGAGAAGGGACGAAGAGAGACGAGTGTGCAAAGAGAGAACCGAAAAAAGCGAGGGAAAAAGAATAACAATAAGAGTGAACAGAGAAAGACAAGGGGTAATGCAAGGTCTGACGGAAAAGGGACACAGAGAGAGAGAGAAAAGGAGGGAGTGATAATAAAAAGGGAAGTCGGGAAGGAAGGAAGAAGAAAAAAAGCACAACAGATAAACAATACTTTATGGGTCAGCAGTCGTGCCTGGTTCTCACGGGTAAAACGAAAGAGAAGGAAAAGAAGGAAAGTCTAGTCCCTCGTTTTGCACATCTCCCCTCCCAGATAGACTTTTTGGACAGTGTCCATTGCTCCCAGCCAAGTAGAACGACGCTTCCCACCCAAACATGCAAACAGAGCACACAAACATACACGCAACAGCGAACTAAACAGAGCTGGTCGGATAAAGACTGCCGACACTTGTTCACCCTCTCTGACCCCGTTCATTCTTGTCCATCCTGGGCAACCTCAAATTTGAGAGATATAAAAAGGGGTGCGTGTGTATCTTGTTTTTCTTGTTATCCTTTTGAGAGGGAGTCAATTAATGCCACGATGCAGTTACCGACCTGGTAACGGAATTGGTAGGGCTAGATGGTTGGTTGGTTGGTTGGACCTTCTTTTTCTTTGTTTGTCAGACAAGGTCAAAGGGGAGTAAAGGCACAGAGAGAGAACAGAAGAGAGTTTGAAAGGGGTGATGGGGGAGATTGGGGAGAAGAGGGACGGGGGAGGGGAGATACCAGTGAGGGAAACAGCGCCTTTTTTTTTGTGCTGTTGTCTCTTCTTTTTCGGTTCCCGTGAGTTTTTCTTTTTGAAAATGTGCCGCCTTGTGGTCACAAAAAAAATCTTTTTTTTCAGCCCTAAACAGGCGTGCAAATCCAAGCGCAGTTTCCTCGTTGTCGATTTTTTTACTTTGCGCTCTTTTCATTGGGCGCAATACAATTGTAAACAAAACAGAGTAAAGAAAGAAAAAAAATAGTGGCAAATAAAAAACGCAAAGAGTGTCATCGACAGCAGACCAACCAGAACAAGCAGGAGGATCTCGACCGGGGGAACCTTCGCCGGGTCTTTTCAGAGCTGAGGGTGGCAATTCTCTTTGATGTTGTTGTAGATGGTATCGATGATACTCATACTTATACAACTGATCATCATCATCATCATCATCATCATCATCAATATGAATGCCGGCACCCCTCTTATTGATGTTATTCATTATTCATACCCTTATATATCCATAAATCTGGCATGAAAGAAACCATTGTCGATGGCACCACACAAGAAATAAAGACACAAACAAAAACAAAAACAAACGAAGAAAAAGAGAATCAAAGCGGGGGACGAGAGAGAGAGTAGGAAGAGAAGAAGCAGGACGGTGAAGGAACACCGAGTGGTTGATCCAAAGACAGGTCCGAAGAAAGAAAGAAAAAAAAGATGGGGGAGAACAGGATGCACCACTGCTGTTTGACAAGTAGTAATAAGAAGAACGACGACCGAAGGAAAGGATGAAGTGAGAATAGATAAAAAAATGCATCAGGGTACTCTCGAATGCCATCTAGCAGAAGAATAGATATGGAAAGAAGGAACATAGCGAGGACGACGGAAGTAACATGTATTCACACGTCCCACTCTTGTTGAGAGTGTCAGAGGCATAGACATCGTTCATTCTTTTCCCTCAGAACGCCTGCCTGATCTGTGCTTGCATTTTCTCTCCTCGCATGGAACACATCCACCTATGCTTATTTTCCGTCCCCTGCTGCCGTTGATTTTCCTTCCGTGGGTTCCTTCTTCATTTTTGTCAAGTCACTTGCCTTGTTGGTGCTGGAAGTAGGGATAAGAAAAAAAAAAGGACGGGAGCGATGTTGAATCGAGTCGGGCTTTTGGGACGGATAGAGTTGATGATGACAGGTGCTCTCGATTTTCTTCTTTTTGTCTGTCCGGTTTATGCGTGGTTAATCAGCGGGCGTTACTCTAACGGGAAAGAATAGACAAAACAGCAAGCCGAAGTTGGGTTAGTAAAATGGTTATGAAAGGGTGCGTGGATCCACATGTGGGTGACCACACTCGTTTGTCGTTGCTGCTGTTGATGATAACGAGCGAGAAAAGAACCATCGGTATGTTTATGGGCATATGAGAAAGAAGGGAAAAGTGGTGGCAAAATAGGACAGGAGATAAAAGACAGGCTCATACGATAAACATCCAAAGGGAGAAAGTCAAAGAGAGAGAAAGGTGATTCAGGAACAAACAGTGCTGAACACACAAGAAAAAGAAGCTCACTGATGGACAATGAGATAAGATCGGTTTTATATCAACAGGGAAAGAGGGAAGGTGGCACACGGGGAAGGGAGGAGGAGGAGGGAGAGGAGGAGGGAGAGGAGGAGGGAGATGAACGAGGCGAGGCTGAGACTGACAGGTGGGAGAAGGCAGAGGAACAGAGAATGACGGAGAAAAGAGAGGGCGATCGATCGTGTTGGTGGTGGCGGGTATGCGAACAGACGTATAGAGAGAAAGAGGGGGATGGATAGTTTCGTTTCTATTGCACTCAGGAGACAGGAACGACCCGAAAGAGGACGATCGTTCGACACAGAGAGGTGGAGATAGAGAGCATATCGACACACACAGACAATAGACAGAGGGAGGGAGGGATGAATCCTTGTGCGCAATTGAGTTGTATGTACACACGCACCTGTCTGCAGGGCCAAATAAATAACGGGCGATGATGATACAAGGTCCGAGGTTGTATGGAAGTAAGGGTGAGAGAGAGAGAGAGAGAGAGAGAGAGAGAGGAGAAGGGTGATGATGATGATGAGAAAAGAAGGGAGGACCGAGAGATTGAGAGAAGAGGAGGAGAAGAGAGAGAGGCAGGGAGAGGAAGAAAGGATAAGAGATTAACAGATGATGGGACAGAGAGATACAGACGGCGTGCAAGTTGAGAGTACAGTGAGGTGAGGTGAACGTTGGACGGTGCGTTGAGTTCTGTTATGTATATTCTGTTACTGTAATGCTTATGTGTGTTGTTGTCAGTTGTTTGTTTAAGCGTGCGTGCGTATGCGTATGTGTATGTGTATGTGTATGTGTATGTGTATGCAAAAAGAGAGCTTGTTTGATGATGGCGTTGTTGGGGTTGTTGGCAGCGGATTCGGGGTTTATACGCGGGCTAGAGCCGAAAAGAGTCAACAAAAAAAAAGACAGAAGAGAGACGAGAACAAAGGAAAAAGAGAGCCGAGCGAGTCCGGGACATACAGAACCGAGAGGATGCTTGTGCGTGTGCGTATGTATGCCTATGTCTGCGTCTACGGAGATGGGTGGAGAAGAGTGAGAGCAAGGACGGAGGAGGAGAGAAGGGGAAGAGAGAGAGAGAGGTGGATGAGGATCTGCAGGAATACAGGGTGGATGTGCGTGTGGCGATGTGCCTGCGATTGTGTGGATATGTGGGTTGTTTGTAAGCAGGATAGAGAGGCGTGGATAATGCAAAAGGGGGGACAACAGACGAGGGAGTGGAGAGAAGGAGACGGACTGATCAAAGAGAAAGAGTACGAAGAAGGAAGGAAGGGAGAGAGAGAGAGAGAGAGAGAATGGTGGCGACGAATGGTGAAGAGAAGGGGATCAATGCAGCAAGGGTGACAATCGTGTGCGGGACATCAGAGACAGACAAGGGCAATGGTAGTGTGGACATGGACAGACGGGGGATGGCTAACGAATAAAGAGACACGAGAGCGAATCTAAAAGACTATTTACCGGTAGAGATGGGATGAACGACAGGTATTAGACGGGGGTGATGTATGAATGGGGTAGAGAAAGAGACGGGGAGAGAAGAAAGAGAGAGAGAGGGAGAGAGGAGAGAGGTAGAGAGAAGAGAGAAGAGAGAAGAGGTGAGAAGAGAAAGGAAGAGACACAAAGAGAAGAGAGAGAGAGAGAAGAAGGAAACGAAGGAACCACGAATAATAAAAGAATGAGCAATGAGAGAAAGAATGATGAACATCAAAGGAAACTCACTTCGCAAGGGGGTGCAAACACCAAGAAGGAAGGAGGAAAAGACGGATCACAAGGGAGAGAAAAGAGAGTGAGAATAAGAGTGACGAAGAGAACGAGTGCACCATTAACCATGTTCATATCTCCGCTATGGATCATGTACAGTACGCGTATATCTTTAAAAGAAAAAGACCATGCCAATGCAGCGAATGACTCTCCATCTCGGGTTCTCTCCGATCCGGGCCCAGCCCATTCTCAGAACAGTCTCGACTGTGTGTCAATCAATCGCTCATGATCGCCATCATCAAGAGGCGCCTTTTATTTTTTTTAGTCAACAAACGATCCATACAGATCTATCAACGCTACATCTTGTATGGGGATTAAGTTTGGGATACCAGCATCATTGGCGTGGTCATGGATTACAAGGAACACTTCTGCATCGATTATGGCAGTGCGGGCTAACTTATTACATCCGTCCGCTCTAAATGCGTGTACATTTTGCACTGCAGTGAATGAGATGGGGTGTATACAAGACAGACGCAACAAAAAAATGTGGAGGTGCGGCCTTTTTATAATTTTTTTCTGTATGTGTGCTGCCTTGTTGTCACCCCGGAATAATATGGATCGTACATAGTTCGATACTTCTGTGAACGGACCAGGGATAGACAATGTCTGTCCCGTTCTGCTTTTGCTCTCTTCCCTTTCCCCCGATCGACGATACGCCCTGTGTGTCTGTCTGTCCGTCTGTCTCTGTTGATCGGCCGCATCAAACAGACCCACAGACACAACAAAAGGGAGAGAGAGAGGGGGAGATCGACAGAGAGCAAAGGTTAACATACAGAGAGAGGGAGAAAGGAAGGGAAGGGAAGGGACGGAGTGAAAAGAGACAGAGAGGGTAGTTGAGAGTAGAGAGAGAGAGACAGAGAGAGCAAACACAGAGGGACAGAGGGAGAGAGGGACAGAGGGACAGAGGGACGGACACAGCCTTAATTAAACCACCCAAAGCTAATTCGGCCGCTCTTATTTTTTTCTTTCTTCTCCCGTCCGTCCCTTCGCTTGTCTCCCTCGTCGTCCTTTGTCTGATATCTCTGTGCTCACCGTCTGTGCCTGTGCCTGTGCCTGTGCCTGTGTCTGTGTCTGTGTCGGTGGTGGGTGTGTGTGTATCTTTTGGTTTGTGTTTGTGCATGTATTCGTGGAAAGAGGAACCTTGCTTCGCCAGTGTGCTGCAACCAATGACATGCAAGATGTACCTGACACACACGGACAGACATACACACTCAGCTGCAGCAACAGCAGCAACAAATCTGCCTCCATACCAGCTGCACCGAACCATGTGCCCAGAACCCTGCCCCTATGTGTACCTCTTGGCTGTCCATATCCTTTTAGAAGAAGAGTAGATTGATCCCCAGCAAACAAAGAAAAAGGCAGTTCCTACTTTTACGCCATATGTAAGAGACCCATGATGGCTTTGCCCTTTCGCCATTCAACAAGGGCCGGTGCTAGCCAATGTATGCTGGGTATGAAAATAGCTGAACAACATGCCCCTTGACTTTTGTTGTCCAATGTCGCATCCAAGGCAGGAGTTTGTTTAGCTCCTAATTCGTTTACATTCCTTCACTCTCCTGACTCCCTTCCCCTCATTCCCTCCTTTCTTTTTCCTTTTTTTCGCTTGCTTTCCCTTTTGAACTCCTAGAGTTTTTGCAACTACAACCCCTTCCTTCTCAAGGTCCCGTCTCCCTTTTCTTTTTTCTTTTCTCTGCTTTCTTTTTCTTCTTCTTCTTCATGTTACCGTTTCCGTTCTTTGTTTTCAAAAATAGCTTCTTGTTACGTGCTTCCTGCATTTCGATGTTACAAAGATGGCCTACCACTTACAACCATGGCCTATAGTCAGTTCAGACACGATGGGACTGTACAAGTTACCCGTACGTGTTAAAAGAATAACAGCAACACCCCGGCCTCGAAATGGACTCTGCATTCACCCCTCTCTCACACGCCTCAAGGAAAAGCGATGCCCAACTCGGCAGCCTATCATTTTGTTCTACACGGCCATGCCTCTTCTATCCCTTCTAACTTTCTCATCTCTTTCCTTCTCGTTCTCTTTTATATCCTCATGTTTGCGACATTCTAAGTACCTAACCACACACATACTTTCTTACACTTTTCCATCCTAGCTGGTGTGCTTGCTCAATGGTGCTTGCAAGATCCCTTATTTCATGCAAAAACGAAAGCAAATAGCAGTAGGTACGGGGAATGGGTGTCCTGGTTGTGCCCCCAACAACAACCCTGGTGTCTTTTTTGGTCGATCAAATAGCAAGATGGATCATCGACAAAAAAACAAGAGAATAAAAACATCGACACTTTGAACCCTTTCCTTCCCTTTCCTTTTCTCGTCTTTTTTTCGCCCATCCACACCTCCTTCTCTTTACCTCCATAGTATCCCATATTATCGCACATATCACGCATATCATCACCCTTTCTGTGTCAGTCTCCGCAAAATTTCATATCCTTCCGCACTCCTTCTTTGTACGTCCCTTTTCCCGGTTCCTCCATTTTTCTCTCTCTCCCTCTCCCTGTTCTTATTGATGCACATGTATTAGCTGAAGAGTTCGTTGCCAGTTTATTTTGCTGCTGGGTGTCGGTGTTGGTGATATTATTTTTGTTATTTCTCTTCAACCGCTCACTTTATTGACCCCACCTTCCCCCCAGCGTGTTTTTTTTTCTTCTTTCTTTCTCGCCCCTTTGTATTGTTCCATCCTTTGTCAGTTCTTGTCTTCATCTCTTTTCCCCACTACCGTTCCCATCCTCTTCTTCGTACCTCCCCCTCCCCCCATCCCTTAATAACACACTATAACAATGTCGACGTCAAATGGAGGGACGGGCACAGGCACAGACGCAAGCACAACCATCCCCGGATCTATCTTCCCCGACGACATCCCTTCCACCCCATCCCCCTCCAACAACACAGACTATACCCCACCCCCAACATCCTCAGTCTCCAATAACAACGGAGGAGGGGCACCGACCCAGATTGATGTTAACTCGACGACGCAGATTGTGTTGATCACGCTTGGGATTGCGGTTGGGGTGTTGTTCCTTCTGGGCATTGCAGCGGCGTATTATATCTCGCATAAGAATAAGCGGGCTTGTTTGAAGAAGGAGGAGGAGGAGGATGCAGCAGCAGCTGCTGCTGCAGGTACCGCAGTGAGTAAAGGTGGGGATCTTGAGAAAGGTAGTGGTAATGTGGGCGCTGCTAGAGAGGGAGGTGGTAGAGGCGGCGGTGAATGGGAGGAAGGGGAGGAAGAGGAGGAAGGAGAGGATTTAACGACGTTGACGATGCCAGTTGTTATCGGACGCGATTTGAAGGACAAGGGGCCCTTTTCCAGTGGAGGTTTCAATAATGGTAACAAAATGAATCGATATGCTTTTTTTGCCCGTGCACATGTACGCGCTTCTGTGGGGACGCGCAGACACTGACTGGTCGTTCCTTTTTATGTTTTGTTCATAGAAAAAGGACATGCAGCCAACGGAAACAGATACTATTCGGCGTCAGATGACGAGAGTGCAGGATTCGGTCAGTCGCGTGGAAGTACACCCGGACCCCTCGAAGCCCTTGGCAACCACAACAATATCAACGATTCACCCAGGACTGCGACAGGGGCATCAGCACTTGCCGCAAGATCTCAGAACACTCGCAACTCGTTCATCGATGTCGCACAGGTGTATGCTCATCGGCAGAGTCTTTATTACCCCGTCGATCCTGCTATTGCGATGCAGCAGCGGAGGTCGATGATTATGGTGGACAACTCTGGACCTGGAATGTATCAGCAGCCGCAGGGAGAATATCCGGTTACTCATCAACAACAACAACAGCAGTTCTCGCAGTATGAAGGAAATGGATATTTGGGAGAGACAGCAGGGAGCAGTAGTCATAGTGGCCAATGGGTTCCCTCGACCCCGACAGACAATAATAGCCTGTTGTTGGATCCCTTCAAGACCAACAACAATAGTATGGCGAGTCTTAACCAGATGCAGGAACAGGAACCAACTCAACCTCCGGCAGTGCCTGCGATGACGATGAGGACAGTCTCACCGCCACCCGTTGCGCAACAACAGCAACAACCACTGGTAATCTCGTACCAACCACCTTTGAAACCCTCGGACCCGTCTCGAATTACCTCGCGCAGGGGCAGTGCGGTCTACCATCAGGGGGTGGTCTCGGATAGGCGGTCTGTTGCCGGATGGCCGACCGACCCCACAGGTGGATCAGGAGCAGATGGAGAGAACTCTTGGCATCGTAAACGTGCGAGTGTGGTGATCCCCGAAGGCACGATTCCAGTTCGCCTCTGGAAAGAAGACGCTGCCGCCATGGCCACCACAGGAACACCGTCAGATGACATGCAACTCCCACGGTCACCGTTGACATCTGGACCTATCCCGAGGATAGGTGTCGTCTCAGATGACGACGGGTTTTCAAGAGAGGGCAACATTGGGTACAGACCGTCGGTCAGGAATGGGGCTGCGGTGTTTGAAGGGTCCATGCCTCGAAAGCCAACTTCCCGATCCACTTCGCGTTCTCGACTCGATGACAGCTCCATCGACGCATTGGCCATCTCAGAAGCACCCACAGTTCCTGCACGGACGACGACACATCCGGCGACTTACCGTCGGAAATGGGCTACAGGTCAGATCGCAGTCGACTCCAACATCAACACTGCACAGGGCGACAACGACGATACGGAACATGTGGTCGTGAGTCTGCCCAGCCCACGTGGATGTCTCCTCGAGAACGAATACCCCCACCATCAGGCTCTCGGCAGTGTCAATAGTTACAATCAACAACAATCAGATCAGGACAGGTACGAGTTCGGGATGCGGCCTCTCCCGACCGTCCTCACACACCAACGTGGCGGATCAACCGTGACTAAGGGTTCCTCCATTGGAGGAGGCCGACGGAGCACTGAGCTGACGACTGCCAGTTCCGGCACCACTGGAGGAGCCCGGTTCACGTATCTCGACGATTACCGTGAGCAGAAGCAGCAGAAAAAACTCCAACAACAGCAGCAACAGCAAGGAGGAGGAGGAGAAAGTGGTGGTGGTGGTGGTGAAGGAGGGTCAGGTGATTCGGCGATCAAGGGTGTTCGAAGACGGTCGGCACAATTCTTGCAGAATGCGCTCAAACGCACCAGCTTGTACCAGAACAACACCTCCGAGTCGTCGTCGTCTTCTCCTATAATGGGGACATCTTTGAATTCTGCTGCAAAGTAGGACTGAAGATATGTTATTGACATTCACAAGGAGGGGAAGAGATGACTCCAAAAAAAAGGGCACAAGCCAAGAGAATGATAGTAATCGTAGTATTAATATTATATACCAATTAATTGTTGTAGAATAATACCATTGAATGTTTATTCTCGTGGGGAGTGTAGTGGGGTGAGTATTCAAGCATATCAATGTGCCTGCACAAAAAACGAGAAAGAAATCAAAGCAAAAAAAAAAAAAAAGTGGAGGTGGAAGTGGAAGTGTGCACGATGAGGATGGTGAAGGTAAAAATACAAAGATAAAGAAAGCAAAAGGTAACAAATGGTAAAAACGATTTCTAAATAACAAAAGAACGGACAGAGTGCTTAGGCACCGCTGCCAGTAGGAACAGGTGTAGTGACACCAGTTGCCGTAGCAGGAGTTCCACTAACGCCAGTAGAAGCAGCACCTCCACCAACGCTAGGGGTTCCAGAGGCAGTCGAATTACCGGTTGGAGCAGGCCCAGATGTACTAGCAGGTGGCGGTTGAACAACAACAGGTGGGGTAGTCGAAGGATCCTTGGCGTTGGCAGGACAGTAGATATTCCCCACATTGAGTCCAAACTGCGGCTTCCAGATCCAGCTCAATCCCCAGAGGTTGATCTTTCCTCCAAAGGTCAGACTGATATCGCTCGGGTTGACGGAGGAGCCACAGGCTTTGATGAGATTTTGGTAGGTCCCGTCGGCGTTGGTGTCCACCATGAGGGAGGTGTAGTCAAAGACCATGGGGATAGAGATGGTCTGGATGGTTTTGGGTTTGATTGTGTATGAGGACGGGAGGCCATCGTTTTGGCCGATTTTATTATGGTCGACCATGAGCCACACCTTGATCGAAGTAGTTCGAAAGAGTAGCAGGCGTTAGTATCCGTTATTAATCCCTTGATAGCGTACAATGCATTAACCATGGCGCATGAAAAAGAGTAAAAGAAAAGAGACTTACTGTCATCTCGATAGAGTTGATCTTGAGTGGCAAGTAGTTATCTGAACTATCAACCCGCAACTGCAGCCCAAAGTTCTCTTGGAACTCATACTTTGTAATCACAGGCTCCCCCATCGACGAGACAGACAAGAAACTGAACCCGGGCGCACGAGGGATCAAAAAGTACAGGGCTACAGCCAGGCAGATGAGCGACAGAAAGGTCATGTAGACACAGAGTCGGCGTGAACAGCAGAAGCATCGTTTCCTGTCCCGGTATCGGTCCTCGCCTCGTTCTTGGGGTTCTTCGTCTGATTCCTCCGAGAGCCCCTTTTGGTGCGTCTTCTTGGACTTTTTGTCGGCTTTTTTCTGGCTGCTGCTGCGAGAGATGGCAGCGGCCCCGGTCCTGTCTCCTGATTGAGAACTCCGGGCCAGGATCTCTGTGTTCTCGTCCTGTTCGTCCTCATCACCCTTTGCTCGCTGGCCGATACCAGAATCCCCCTTGGAGCTGGCTGCCGCCGATCGCTGCTTTCGAGTTCGCTCCGCAACATCTGCCTCACTTTGACCTCCATACTCGCTGGCCGACGATCCAGGCCCTACGCTTCCTGCGTGATGCCGGTTCTGCTGTTGAGAGAACGCAGTCAATGCCTGAGTCGATCCATGGCCCTGCAGGACATGCATAGGGTACCGTTGACTGGCTCCACTGACACTGCTACTAGTCAACGAGAGTCGAGAGTGGTGCGTCCCCTGGCTCATGTCCTCAAACGGCGGTACAGCCATAGATCCTTGATAGGGTGAAAAGGACCCCGGGTGCTGCTGTTGCTGGAGTTGATGCTGTTGTTGCGCATAAGCAGAACGGTAAGGATCCTGTCGATATTCCATAGGTTCCATATGCGGGCTGTTCTGGTAGGACTGGTAGCTGGCGGGTTGGTTGTACTGGAGGTGAGGAGAGCTGTATCCGACGTCTGATCCAGGTCCTCCTGGATGGGCTGCAGACAACGTAGGCGATTGATATTGATAAGGGTTGTTGAGATTGTGGGCTGGGTCAATGGGGTTGTTAGAGTATGGGTCGTGCGATGAGTTATAGGGCTGAGAGTGGGATGCTGCTTGTTGTGCTTGTGCCTGGGCTTGAGCGTGGGCCAGGTACTCTTTGTTATGAGCCGCCAGGAAGGAGTCGTGTTCCATGGTAGTTGAGAGTAGATCGATATATGAATTGAGTTGATAAGAATGGAGTAAAGAGGAGTAAGTCAAAGGTGAGGAAACGGATGAGTAAAGAGGGGAAGGAAGGATGGATGAGTGAGGAGGAGGAGGAGGAGAAGAGAGAAGAAGAAGGAAGTGAGGAAGAGAGAAAAAGAAATAAGGATAAAGGAAGGGAAAAGACAACAACAACGCCAATTGTCTGAACTCAGAACATAATGACAGGCACCTTCATCCAGAGACATCCGCAATTTAAAAATAAAAACTAAATTTACCCATTCTACGCTTGAATAGGCTTGAATGGATGCACCGTGCTATAAGTACTTGCCCATGGGCAGGCACATGGTCTGTCGTGGATAAATCCCCCACCCCTGGACAACCACACTTGTCCTTGAGTACAACTGCTGCTGCCACACCGACTCTGTCTTCTTCTTCGGTCTCGATTGAGCAAACAGACTGCCCAGCGTGAACTCACTCGAGTAAAGTAAGATCCTTGTCAGGGCAGGATACCTCGATATTTTCCTCTCTCTCTTCTCATTCTTTTCATCAATGTCCCTTGCTGTTCCCCGTCTCTTTGACGAAGCAAAGCTGACCAGCCTGCCAGTCAGGCATTCTTCGCGTTCATATCCCACTCATCTTACTCTAATTCTTACTCCAGGATCCCTTCCCCTCTCCCCCTTCCACCTCCGTGAATCTCTTTCGTTTCCTTTCTCCTTTTTTGTCAGTTTGGTGCAAAAGAAAAGAGTCGGGTTATAAAATGGAGGCGGGAGGAGGCCAAGGGAGTGGAGTTTGTTCGTTTCTTCACAGTAACTACAAGGCAAAATGTAATAGAGATGGCGAAGGAGGCGACGGCGGCAACGGGCGCGCGCGTTGTACGAAGAGAGAATGCGAAAGAATAGTAACAAAATATCAAGAACAACTGTGTCTTTTTTGTCCCAATTTCCTCTTCGAGCAAGAGTCGCGCGAAAAGACCACTCGATTATTTTTTGTATTGTCCATCTATCTATCCTTGACCTTCCCTATTTTTTTTTATTTTTTTGCACTGCTCACCCACTTTTTTTATCTCCTGTCCTTCACTTCCCCCTTCCCTTCCTTCTCAAGTCCACAGCCCTGGCCGGTGCATTCTTTTTTAAGCATTTTTTTTTTCCACTACTGGGCGAACGAACGAGCATACAAAAGCTCGAATAAAGGGAAGGGGACGTTTGAAGGCGTGTGACGAACAGTCTGGACTCGGATGACATCCGGTCTTACTCCCTTTTTCTTTGCCCTCTTGTCTCTTTGCTGCTGTGTTTTTTTTCCCGCGATTTCAACGGCGTACAAAGAATTGTTTGTTGTTGCCGCTCCCTTTCATCCCTCCCACACACAAGAGATACACACGCCCATTTGATGGAGTACACCCATGGGCACACCAACATGTAGAAGAGGAAGAAAGAAAAAAAAAAAAGTGCAGCGCACGCACCCAAGACAACAAAAAAGGCGAAATGGATTTTTCTTTTGTTTACAGAAAAAAAAAAAAAAAAAAGAACAGCAAGAAGTACGAAGGGGAAGGAGAGGAGGGGAAGGGAAGAACAAAGGGAAGGGAAGATGTTGTGTTTTGGTGTTTTGTATGATGTCCCGCATCAACCTTGATTGCAGTCGATCGTGAGAAGACAGACACAGGGGAACATCAAGACATGAAAATCGGGATAAACAACTCATGGATAAGGAGAGATGGATGATAAGGCAATAATGGACAGGGACAGGGGTACGGGGGACAGGAACAGGAGGCACCGCCAAGGTCCACTTGCACAAAAAGAGATAAGAAATGAACGGCCTTGCGACAATTCAGGGCAAAGGTCTCTCCCTCCGTTCATTATCCTCATTGGAACGATAGTAAAAACACAAGTATGAATGCAAACAGATGGCATGCTGCAATTGAGATTGCTTGACATGACGGATATTCTCAATCCCCTTTTCTTTATCATACACTGCTTCAATGCACGTACGGAACAAAGTAATCGGTGAAGGCGCAAAAGTGAAAAGAGAGAAAAGGAACGCACCATTTTTGACACCTTTGGCGGAGAGGCTGGTGAGGCCTCGGGATCGGTAAGGGTCGCGGACGGGAGAGTCCAAACTCGGAGTGGCCGTCCGCCGAGGCGAGGCAGCAGGAGAAGAGGAGAGTGAATTGGTTGAGATGCGCCTCAGATCTTTGGCTTGACTTCTCTTCCCGCCAAGAGATGACATCAAGGTGGGTAGGAGTGTTGGCGATGATATTTTTTCTTCAACTGCCTCCAATCGAGGGGAAGTGTTGGTGTGGCTCAGGCCGAGAGAGCTCAAGATCAATGGTGGGCTCGGCGAACGTTGTTGTTGATTTTGTTGTTGCTGCTGCCGTTGTTCGTAAGCAGGACTGTGGCCGAATGTGCGGCTAGAGTAACTGGTATGAGGGCTACCGGTGCTTGCCAAGCTGCCACTGCTGCTTGATACGGTGTCGAACCGATCATCAGAGTACTGTCGTCGAGGGATCTGGAGTTGTCCCACTGACATTGTCGGTGATGTTGTTCCTATCGTCGTTGTTGTCGCTGCTGGAGAAGGGATGGCAATACCGCCAGGACCTGTTGTGGTTGGAGATGAAGGCGCAGGAATTGGAGGAGGTTTCCGTTTGGTCGGCGAGAGTGGAGGTGATCGCGGTTTCCTGTATGTTGAAGGAGGAGGAGTCCTCTTCTGTTGTGAGATAGTGAAGGTGTTCGAAGGCATCTTGTAGTCGAGTGAGTGGATGGAAGATGGAGAAGGAGGAGCGACGGCAGTGTTGAGGCGGAGGCCTTTACGAGAGGAAAGAGGAGGAGTTGACTCCATAATGATGGAGATGAAGACGACGATGCACAGTCGATAATGAACACAACTGTAACAGCCTCGTGGATGTCATTTACAGGGCTTCTTCAATCCCAAAGTTTCCCCCTTTTGATGCTGGTGTTGTTTCTGGTGTTGTATATGTTTAGTGGCGAGAAGGAGAAGAGGGAAAAGGTGGCGAGGAGGACGAACGAAAGGGTGACGAGATGACAAAAGGTATGGAGGAACAGGGAAAGAAGGAGAGAAGGTACGGATGACGAGTAGAGTAGAGTAAAAAGAAAGGAAGGAAGGACAATTGTCGTTTTCTGTTTACTCTTCTCAGGAACACCCCTTGTTCTATGGAAAAAGGGCCCAGGTGTACGTGGCTGTGTCAAACCCGTCCAGGTGCAGGAGGCAGGGGAAACGGGAAAGGAACGATGACGAATGGCGATGAGTGATAGCAAAGACAGAGAGAGGGAAGTGAGTACCAAAGGGAGGAAGGAAGGGAGGAGGAAAGAGTAGAAAAGGTGGGGAAGAAGAGGGATGAAAGAAGCAGAAGTGGGCGAAAGGCGGGAAGTAAGGAAAGAGAAGAGGTGAAGGGCTTTGTCTTCTGTGTGTCTGCTCTCATCGTTTGTCGGTCGGCTTAGGGCCAATGCTCTCCCTCTCTCCCCCTGCTCTTTTCTTTTTCTTTTTCTTTTTCTTTTGTTCGGCCCATGATGTAGACAGTTATCCACCCTCGCTTTCAACAAAAAAGATAGATGGGCGATCGAACCATGTGCGCGTGTGTGTGTGTTAAAGAGATGGTAGGGAGAAGGAAAAATGAGGAGAAACTCCACCTCGACACACAACACACAACGCACCTAGCCACCGCATCTCAAATAGATATTAATGGGTGTGCGGGATGAACACCCTGTATCATCCATGTCATTCCGACCACCAACCCCCACCGCATCCTCTTTTTTTTTCGTTTTTGTTCTCTGACGAACGCGCAGTGCTTTTTATTATTATTTGCTTTCGTTCGTATTTGTCAGTGAAGTCAGACAGATACACCAGGCCTCATTAGTTGACCTGACTGTTGTTGACTGCGGGAGCGCGATGCAAAAATATAATACAAACGGCCCTTGCCTCTTTGTGCCCGTGTGCTTTGCGCATGCACAGGGCGCGCATCTAGCATTGACTGCATTGTCATAGGGTTGTTGCTGTGGACGTGGACGATACCTGGAGAACTACGCAAGATGGACGAATTGTGCCAGTGCCGCCAGTGGTGCACGTCCACGTCCTGCATGATGCAAATTGCTTTGATACAAGGATAAGGATCCACAGTGCATACATATCCTGGGCAGGGTTGTGTTAACACAGAGGAAAGACAAGTGAATCTCCTGGGAAAATAAAACAGCGATGCCTTTGCGAACTGACACATGGTTCACAAATACAAAAGCAGTGCAAAATCAATTATTTATTTCTTTTTTGGGACAAGGGTTGCTTACTCTTGGACTTCTTAGAGCCGCTGATTCCCGACTTGGCAGTCTTGGTGGTCATGTCGATGCCGCGATGCCGCTGCTGCTGCTTTGTAAAAGTTGATGAAGAGCAAGAGATAGCTCGAGGAGGAGGGTATGTCAGTTGTTGTTGGCTCCTAGTTGTTTGTGTTGACCATGATATCTTGGTGTCGCATGATATTCCTTGAGGAGCATGTTTGTCGACAGTTCCCCCAATCCATGAAATGTGCACATTTGATACTAGAGCATAATGCGCCTGGATGTCCTTATCCCCACAGAAAAAAAAAAGTCGATTCGGATCTGACGCGTACGGTTTGTATTCTTTGCGTCCGCCTTCCTCCTTGCCCACCGGAAATGCATTTCGAAACGTTGTCGCGTGGGATTGATCCATTGACCCAACAGCAATTTAGAACTGAAGTTGACCTTCTCCAGGAGTTGTTGAACGGCCATGGTTGGGGTCTGCTTGTTGAATGCATAAGGGAAAGAGAGAAAGAGAGATGAAAGAATGAACGAAATGAGAGAAAAGACAAAGGGAAGGAGAACAAAGGAAGAGAAAGAAAAAAAGGTAAGACGGTGGCAGCGGTAGTGGTGGTCGTGTGTCTATCGTGTGTGCCACCCTTCCTTATACCTTGGAGCAGGGCTGAGTGGATCAAAGCAGAGAGTAGCGATGGAGACTGACTGAGTGAGTGAGTGGCTGATGGCAGTGTGACTGATATCTTTTGACTTTGCCTTCCTTTGTTCCTTTGTCAGAGTCGCCACTAATTCACTCAGTGGTCGATGGCAGGTGCATTCCGGCGGAAAGGCACCGGCTAGAGTCGATGGCGAAGCAGGAGAGGACAAAGAGGGAAAGAGAGGGGGGACAGAGAGGGAGAAAAGAAAGGGACAACAGAAGTATAGATGTAATTGAATGTGCTCACACCCACAGCATTACTGTCGTCGTCATAACAGAAGGGTCAGTGGAAGGTCGAGAAGCGTCTGTCGGTTGTGTGTGTGTGAGTGTGTGTGTGAGACACGCGCGAAAAAAAAAAGAAAATCGACCAGTCGTCCTTCTTGCTCTTTGTCTTTTTTTATCTTTCGTCTTCTTTTCTCTTTTTCTCTTCTCTACTTCTCCCTTTCTTTTATTTACTCCTCTCCACCCATACCTCTTCCCCACACTTCAACCGGCAATCCTTACTTATTCATACCACCCCTCCCAAACACTCCCTTTTGACCCCAACGTTTTCGACTTCTACTTTCTCCCTACACAGCAACTCTCCACTCCTTCAACCCTTTCCTCCAAACACTCTGCAACAAACAACTCACGACAACCAACTGTGATGTATCAGCAGCCAGTTATCCCTTTGGCGGTTCCCGCGGCACCCAAACTCGAGCTGAAGGTAAAACTGCAAGGACAGACCATCCGTCTTGTATTTGTTAGCGTGCGTGCATGCTTGTTTGTTTGACCAGAAAAACTAACGGTCTGTTTTATACGTTTCTTCGCGCCTTGTTGTTTCCCAATAGATCAAATGCAAGTATGTACCTCCCATCCGCTGCATACCTTTCTCTCTTGCATAAAAACAAAACACAACAATGGTCGCGACTCGTCCACCGGTCAGGCTGAGCAAACAGCATACTGACCCATTCACTCTTCTCTATTCAAACGATTTTAGGGGTCTCGCCGATTTGGATGTCCTCTCAAAGTCTGACCCTCAGTGCTTCGTGTTTTTGATGGACCCCAAGACAAGGACATGGTGTAAGGAGCCTATTGGCAAGACAGAGATGGTCCTCAACAAGCTGGATTGCGAGTTCGTCCAGAGCATCATTATCGACTATCGCTTCGAGTCAATTCAGCCCATCCGTTTCACTGTCGTTGATGTCGACAACCGTAACAACCCATCATGGACCGCCCAGGAGCTCATCGGTCATTTTGACACTGAAGTCGGCAAGATCGGTAAGGAATATTATGAATTACTGTTCCTTCGCATAACTGCTTTGGCGACCGTCGTTCCATCTCCGTATTCTAATCTAACGTCCATCTTCTCTTAACCGTAATAGTGGGTAGCAGAGGACGCACACTTGCAGGAAGACTCGAGCACCCTACACGCCGAAGCTCCAACAGAGGAACGGTTATTATTACAGCAGAGGAACAGTCGCAATCCAAGAGACTCATCAAGTAAGAGACGGCGGCTGAAGGAAACATTGTTTTGTGTGCGTGTGTTTTGATGCTCACTGGGGGCGGCGGATACTTACCCTAAACTTTATCTTTTTTTTCGACTCTTGTGTTTGTGATGGCCTTGCGTGTGTGTGTGAGCAGATTCAACATTGAGGCCACAAAGCTCACTAAGAAGGGATTCTTCAGCTCGGATCCAAACTCGTTCTTCATCATCCACCGTGCGGGCACGAACGGCGTCTTTTCACCAATATATCAGTCACCCGTCATCAAATCCAAGAGTAATCCCCTCTGGCCAGAGTTTTCGATGAAGGAAATCCAGCTCTGCAATGGTGACCCAGAAAGACAGCTTAAAATCGAAGTCAAGAAGTTCAAGGATAATGGACGTAAGTATCCGTTCCATGCATCTCGTTCCTTAGTCGCTCATGCTGATTTTCACGGATACCTGGATTGAATGTTTAACGTGTTCTTTACTTATATTTGCCACCTTTGAATGAAAAGCAGAACACGTTACGATAGGAGTTACCCCCGTCTTCACTTTCCAGGAGCTGTTAAACACTCAGATGCCCCAGTACTTCCCCTTGTCGCCCATGCCTGCAGGAACCAATTTGATGATCCGAAAGATGGTTGTGACCGAGCCCCCTTCTTTCCTCGATTACTTGGCTGGTGGTATTCCTCTGAACCTTGTGGTGGCGATCGATTTCACGCAGAGTAACGGCGACCCCCGCCACCCCCAGTCCCTCCACTACAGGAACCCTTCAGGCGAGAACGACTACACGAGAGCCATCCGCAGTGTCGGAAACATCCTCCAGTGCTACGACACCGACAAAAGGTTCCCCGTCTATGGCTTTGGAGGAAAAGTCAACGGTCAAGTGAGCCACTGCTTTGCCCTCAATGGAAACCCGCAATACGTATGTGATATCATGTCCTCACCGATTATTTATTTATTTACTACCCGCTTCTTACATCTGCCAAGCCTTCGATATCTAACCTAAATGATGATTTCTGTATTCAAAAATGTTCTAGCCTGAGGTCGATGGTGTGGACGGTATCCTTGCCGCATACTGGCACGCTCTTCAGTTCTCCGAACTCTGGGGACCCACCAACTTCTCACCCGTCATCAACCAGACTGCAGCCATCTGTAACCAGCATCGCTCGGGTGCAGTCGAAGAGTACTATGTTCTCTTGATCTTGACTGACGGTGTAATCACAGATATGGACAACACCATCAACGCCATCATCTCAGCTTCGCGCCTGCCCCTCTCGATCATTATCGTCGGAGTCGGCTCAGCCAACTTTGACAACATGAATGTTCTCGATGCCGACGATGAGCCTCTTCGGGCGAACGGAAAGACGATGGCCCGCGACATTGTCCAGTTTGTCCCCTTCCGCGACTTCCAGAACAGCGCCTTTGGAGGTGAGGCCCTGGCAGAGGCGGTCTTGGCAGAGGTTCCCGATCAGTTTGTCAGCTACATGACCCAGCACAATGTCCGTGCCAGGACGATGCCTCGCGCAGACACAATGCAAGCCATGAACAATGGCGGCGTCTCGTATGCCCCATTAATCCCACCAGGATCTCCTATTGCAGCACATATCCAGAATGGTTACTCATTACACTCGCCACCTCATTCACCCTCCTTGCATGGCAGCCCCTCTATGAGCCGGGGTCCTCAAGGCATCAACAACCGCATATCTTACCAACAGGGCAAGAACTAATCCCAACCATGATATATCCCTATTGCAAATTTCCTTACTTAATAAAACTACGTTGACCGCAGCACGCCACCAAATGTTATGCAATAGACTTGTATTTTGGGATGTGGTGGCGTCATGAGAGTGGCGATGACTTGGGCTTGCGCAAGCTGTGGTAATGGAGGAGTCGACTGGGAAGTTTGCTCCTCAAGTCTATTAGGGGAATGAACCCCAAACCAACTGTCGTGGAATCTAAAGGGGCAAATGAATACGGTGGCGTTGCGAAATGATGTTGTATGAGCCTGTTGACAGACCATAGCAAGAAGATACCCTTGGCCGTCAAAACCGATAGATAGAGTAACGAAGTTTCTTTTGAATGAGGATGCTAGTCGCAGTAAAATGACCACGCATGGTTCTGTTACTAGCGGACAAGCAAGGATGGTGCTGTGGTAAGTTGAGCAAGAAAGAGAGAGGGAGAGAGGGAGAGACCTTGGTTGGCAAGGGCACTCACCCGTCACTTTTCTTTTGATGCTTCGACAGCTTTTTGACTGTCTGTCCCCTCAGTCCCTCGAGTCGACTTCCCCCTCTCCCTTTTTCCCTTTTATTTCGCCTTCCTTTGTCTCTTCCTTCCACCTCTCTTACACTCCTCCTTCCCCCCACTTCCCTCTTCTCTTTCCCTTCCCCCTTCTTGAGACTCTCTCTTACTCATTCACTCACTCTCTCTCTTACTCATTCCTCCTTTCTCCTTCTTCTTCTTCTTCTCTGCCTCTCTTGTCGTCCTCGATCGTCGCTCCATAAAAAAGACACAAAAAAAGAGTGAAAACGTGCTCGACTCCGCTCAGGATATACATAACAAAAACAGCACAAGTCTACAAGAAGGTTTGACCCCACGCTCATGCTCCTCGCGAAACAAACCGCCATGACAATCAACCCCCCTTGTCCCGGGAAAGCAAAAGGAAACAAACAATAACAGCAGCAATGTACACGCAAGAAACTACTACCACTCAACGCTCGGGAGGAAAGGATGGTGTTCCATCATATATAACAACACCCCTTCTTCATTTACCTTTCTGCCGCAGGCGACAAAAAGTCGCGAATGTTCAAAGGAAAAAAGGAGACTCTTCTTCTTTTGTTCTTTCTGTTCCAGTGTGGTTGCACGTTGACTCTACTCCCCCCGCCTTTTAAGACACGACGCTCTCTTCTACAACCGCCAACTACAGCGCCAACACGAACAGCATCAGCAACAACAACAATAATAACAAAGGGCTTGCATACGGACCACCGCAAATGTGAGCCAACAGGGGCTGTGGGTCATGGACACCCTGATTTCGAAAGAAAAAAGAGACCTGCTGGGAATGGCATAAGCTGCCTTGGGTTGTTTTATTTTTTTCTTACAAGGACATTCGTTTCTTGGAGTCGGGAGTTGTGTGTGTTTTTTTCTTCGCCATTTTCAAGTGTGGTTTGACCAACTTCCTGACCGCGCCTCTCTCCCTTTCTCCCACCTTTCGCCTTCTTGACTTCTGTATTATTTTCCCGACTACGCCATAGCGCACAAGCATTTCAGAGCCACTGTCAATCGACTACCTAGAACGTGCCAAAAAGGACATAAAAAAGCGTAGAGATAAGGACATTTTCGACCAGCATACAACGAACGACACACGACACAACCAACCATCATGACCGCTTCAGAGAATGCCAGTGTCGGCTTACCTGGGCCTCAGTCGCAGCAGCACCAACACGCCGAACACCAGGCAGAGCCGTCGCAAATGATCATAGACATGGACCAGCCTCCAGGATCCATCGTCCTCACACGCCAGACGTCAGAACAGTCTCAAGATCCTCCGCCCTATCAGCCTGTCGACTTTGCTGCGGATGGAATACCTGCCAACGTAGCCGATGCCGAACTCGTTGACGATCAATGGAACATCGCCAAGGAGGAAGGGTCTATCGAGGAATACTATGTCGACGACAGCTCGTCTGAGGACGCTCAAACCAAACGGAAGCCATGGGGGAACTCTGGAATCATCGGCGACCCCGTTGGCCAGAGCTCGGATGAGTATGATGACGATCTGGATGAAATTGCGGACGACGATGAGGACGAGGCAGACGAGGAGGATGAACTGGAGGATGACCTCGAGGACGAGGACCTTGATGATGTCGCGTTTTCGGATGGGGATGCCGATGATATAGATGACCCAGCTGCCCTTGTCTACAATCGATCTATGCTTCATGGTCCCTACCTTCAGCCACCCAGACAGGATGTCCAGGCGAGGAAGCGTCACGCTCGGAACGGCGGTTTGAGAAAACGACCTCAGAAGTTCAAGGCCATCGCAAGCACAGGACGACGTTTCAACCAAGGACCAACCTCTGGTTCGGGCTCTGAGAATGATCCGAGCACACATACCGGTACCCAGTCGCCTGGGCAAGTCTTCATGCAAACTTGCCGCGATGTCACCCGTTTCTTGGAGCACGGTAAGCTTAATTTTAAGCGACGTCAGCATTCATCAAGGAGAAGCAAGGACGGTTTGATCAAGAAACATACGGATATCTAACTTCTCTGGCTATTTTAACGCTTTATAGGTTCATTACAACAAGCTCTGGAGATGGCAAGCGAGCTTCTCGAGTATGCCGTGCAGTCGAGAAAGAGCGGTGAGGTGCTCCCCGAGGGCATGTGTTCAGCAGAGCAGCTGGTGATCCTCGAAAAGTCCTTTTTCGGAACCTGGGCAAAACTCATGATTGAGAAGCGGTAAGAACCACAACAACAGTCTACAATATGCAACGCGTTATCTTGTCGAGCTAAACAATGCCAAGAAGTTGAGTAGTTTTACTTACATAATTCGAATTCTTTGCGTCTTGTCTACTTAGACCCAATGCTCACACGAAAACCATTGTGAGCTGTCTTGAGGAGTTTGTAGAACTAGGGTGCTTGATTTTGCAGCAGGACAAAGCGTTGCCCGAGTTGTTTGGTGAGGTCATGGGCGTCATGTTCGAACAAAGTGATCTCGAGATTTACAGGAGGAACCCGAAGCGACCTTCGAGAATCCAGCATGGGGTAAATAACTGAAAGTGGATGATGGTTGCATGCATTATGTGAATGGAGGGTCGAGAGGAAGCCATTAACACTGCTCGTTCGTGTGTCTGTTTCACGTGGTTAGATGTCGCGGTACCAGGAGTATCCATCGGAATACACAACAGAGGTAATTGTCATCGACACATGGTCAATACTGTTGAAAGTAGTTCTCGTGCTAAGTAATTTGGACTCTAATTTTGTTTGCCTTGAATATCTCAATCGATGTATTAGGATGAAGACGTGCCACATCTACAGCAGCAATTCATTGCGCTGTTTTCGAACCTCGGTGGTCTGGAAATATGCCTGGATGCTATTGAAGGTGGAGTCGAGAGCGCCGAATATCCTGATACCAAGCTGAAGAACCTGCAGATGCTGCTAAATCTCATGTCACGGGTAGGGTTTTGGGAAGTTCCTCATGCTCCAATGTGCGGTTGTAGTATCGTTCGATGCGGATGGTTGACATGTCTTTTTCTCGTTATGCCTCTCGGTATAGCTCCATGTACAGGGAGATTCAGAACCACATCAGGCGATTCGAGTAGCCGAGACAGCAAAGCGCCTCACAACTGCTGTCCTCGGATACTTCCCCGACCACACCGACAGTTTCAAATCTGTCAGCAAGGCGACAGTGAACGATATCATTCACGATGTTGGCTACTTCTTGCTGGAGAATTATCGACTCGTCTCCGACTTCATTCAAGAGCCCGACACAGTCTTTGAGGAGTTTGACATTCACGATTCCGCTTCCCGATCCAGCATAGGCGAAGTCAAGTTTGCCGATTTCAGGATCGAGATGGCGGTTCGTCTGATAAAGGCCAGTCGCTTGGACTTGCGACTCGCTGGGCTCGTCGAGTTGAAGGAGGTGCTTGTCAGAATTCAGCGGCTTCAACAAACTCGGTCCCGCATGCGTCGTAGATCGGAGGCCGACATGGACCTGCAGCTTGACCAGGATCGTAAGCCCATCGAATATCTGTGCACAAAACTGCAGGGCTTACATATTGTCGGGTACATTTTTGGACCAAACATCCATCTGGAGATTGTTCAGCGGAGCACAGACTTGCTGGCATTTTTGGTTCAAGCAAAGGTGTTGACAATGGACGACATCGACTTGATCTGGGCGGCAGTTGGGGTGAGTTCTTTGTGCGTCATTAATTTGCTCCGCATAGGATAATGCTGTTGAACTTTATGCCATTGTGGCAATAACTGAAACTGGAAACCTTTTCATTACAATATAGGGCAATCAACATCGATCGATTGTGTACGGAGTGTACCAAGTATTGGGCGATCTCTCCAACAAATTCCCCCAGGAAGTTTTGCGGAATCTATTCGTCAAGTTACAGGCAGTTCCGTTGTCGAACTGGGACTTGCAATTGGTCGAGCTGACCCGGTCACTTTTCCAACCCATGGTGCAGCGGTCAAGCAACTCTGTAAGTTTTTATTACGGCCGCATTCTCCATTTGCAAAACGATGCCCCTACTTGCCAATAACGCGTCAATTTCATTTTTTTTTGCCTATTGTAGGAGGACGGATCCTACTCTTTGATACCCTATGAGACCCTCTTGAACGTTTTGAGAAACTCGTCACTGTCCTTGAGCTCGCGAGACGACTTGACGTATGGATCTGCTACGCCGCCTGTCAGTCGCGATGTCCTTGCTGGGATTATGCAGCTTCTCTCAGAAGGGTTGGGTATTGGTCCTCCACCACAAGATAGGACTACTCTGATCGAGTACTGCCTGAGAGATCTCAAGGCCGACCACCCAGGAGCAGTTTGGGGTCTTTTTGTGGTCCGACACATCTTGGGTAAGGATATCGGTAAACACATTTCTACACCCATGCCGTAGCTCTATCCGGAACAAATGTCTAATCGCGAGTTTGTATTACTTACAACTATAGATCAGTATTTCCAGAACAATGACCAAGAACAGGCCTACCAATACTACCGAAAGGTGTGTGCGCCCTTGTCCGAGCTTTTCATCTTGAACTTGAAGACGTACGCCGCTGCTGTCAAGGCGCAGCCTCCTACGCCAAGTCCCACGGTATCCTGTAAGTGTTAACTGTTGAGCCTCATAATCAATGTTCCGTGTTGTAAACGTTTTCAGTCCACGTATCTAACCCAACCGACTCACCTCCTCTGAATGATATGTAGCCTTTGCAACTTTGTCAAACCAGTCCCAGGTTTATGAGTACTGGAGAACGATGCAGCTCAATGTCAGACTGGATTTCCTGAAGTTTGTGACAAGGCTCTATCCACCTTATTGGAATTCTACCACCCTCGCCGATACATTGTGGAACAGCCTCGTCATGGATCCCATCGGTCCCCAGGAGCAAGATGAGACGTTCAGCTGTCTCGAGGCGATGAACGACCTGGACTTTGTCCTGCATATCTACGACAGGCTCTTGCCTACGTTGGACATTGCCAGCATGACTCCGAGGGCATGGCACTGTGTTCGGCAATACTTCATGGTCATCAATTGGCATCGACAAAATATCCTAGTGGTGTGTACAATTGGAAGCTTGATGCCATACTGCAACATTTTTGTTCCCAATTGTCGTGCAGATTCTAACTACCTGTTGTCATTGTTTACTTGTAGACCGATCCAACGATTGATGGCTCACAGAACATTATCGTCCTCGCGCCTCTTTACGGAATGGATCTGATCTGGAACATTGCTCTCCATGCGCGACTCCCTGCAGTGGGAATGCATGCGACCGAGACATTGTCGAGTCTGATCAAGGCATGCTACTGCTTCACGGATAATTCTGTATGATTTGGTTTTCTTATCGCTTTGGTAAAACCCTAACTGATGCTCTCGTGCCGTTTATTCTCACTTAGATTCATCCTGGCCAGGACGAGAACGCGTCTAATGCAGCTTTGGATGCCTTCCGTGAGGGTCTTGTCGAGTCTTGCGTGGGATATCTTGTGGAGTCGTCTGAGCATCTGAATAGCGAGAGCGAAATGGATACTCCAGACATTCCCCTCCAGTTTGAACGCTGTATCGGAATTTTGAAGGCCTTCTTAGGCTCTTGTAAGACACGAGGCGTAGGAGGCGAGCGACAGGAGATACACGGCACTCTGGATGAAGAAGCCATGCTAGACGTCAAGATCAGTTCAACTGTAAGAAGCACTCCCTGGGAAGATTTATTTCATAGGTGATTCCTGCTGCCGCTAACGACATTGCTTTCTTCTTGTTGTTCATAGATGCCAATGTTCCACCTGTCGATTCATCCGTCAAGCAGCTTGGGAGCTTTGCGAAAGGCAGTTGCAGTCAAATTTGGTTGCAGGGAGCCCGAGGAAATGCGCCTGTTTTTGCTGGGCAAGGACCTTCCATTAAACCTGGACAACAAAACGCTGGAGGAGTTACACGTCGAGAATGAGGCTGCGTTTCTGGCAACAAGACGCCCACAGTCTAATGTTCCTGTGCGCCTTTCTAACGAGCTCATGGTATGTTCGCACAGACAGACTGTATTTGCGTACATGCGCATCTGTTATATTAGGCGTATCTTTGCTAACATTAGTTTTCGTGCTCGACTGAAAATAGAAACGCGCACCTACGGACTTGCTCTTGAAACCAGAGTTTTTCGAGCGGATTCGAACCATTTTCTTGCTGGACGAAAAGTATGCTTCGCAGGCATGGGAGGTTGTGACACGTCTTCCAACAAGTCCCGGACTGCTTCGTCAGCTGGAGGAACTGGAAGAGGGTGTCGACTGGACAAACCTACTGGATGCGCGCTCGCCTTTTTTGCTGCTCTATTCCTTGCAGATTATCGATTCGCTGATTAAGCGCGACCAAAGCAAAGAGGTATATATTCCGAAGAGCATTGCTGAACACCTATGCTTTTATACCATTGTGCATCGTGAATAACACTTGCATTTTTTCCTTCGTATCCTAGGATGAAATGGATCAAGAATGGATCAAGAGGTTCTTGGAGCTCGGCGGTCAGCAAAAGATCACTGCACTGCTGGTGTCGGATTCAGGACTCGGCGCGGCGAACTCAAGTCGGACAGCACGGAAAGCATTGGGCCTGATGCTCAAGATTTTGGTCCGCCTTACCAGCTCATCCAACATCGAGAACAATTTGACAGCGGAGTCAGGTGGACTCACCGTGTCAGTGTTCCTGAACAAGCTTGTCTCCGAGATCCTCACTTCTGCTTCGCGAGAAGGGGGATACAGCACCTGTATGTATTATGCACTGTGTATTTCAAATGTTATTGATTTAGCTGTCTCTAGTTGACGGCGTGGAGTTGTGAGCTGACCACCTAATTCGTTTCTTCTTCATGTTTTTTTTTTTTGTAGATGACCAAAGCATCGTTCTCAACGCCACCAGTTTGATCTCGTACTTGTGCGCAGGTCCGCTCGGTTGGGAGTACTTCCACAAGGGATCGGACATCCGCTCACTGATCTTTATCTCTATGGTGAAGAGCGAGTCGATGCAAATCCGCGAGACTGTCCTCCGCATGGGTACCAAGTTTTGCGAGCAGAGGTATGCATTGGGTTACTCAGATGCGTGCTTATTTCGTTTTTGTGATGTCATTCCAGGCAATCGAAAAGCCATTGAAGTACGGCGACTGAACTGTAAATTTTCCTGCCTTTATGACTATAGCCATGACGCGCAATCGGAGGTGTCGCCTGCAATGTTCTTCCTTAATATTCTGCAGTCGTTCCTCCCTATCTCTAAGGAATATGCATGCAATTGCTCTGAGCTGCTAAAGTTCTTCGAGATTGTTGTCAGGTAACGCAATGTCCAAACCAGAAAGAGCGATATCCTATTACAACATACGTTGCGAGTCTCTAACACGCGATTGAACTTATCGTGCCGTAGGGAATCGATCTATTACTGCACCCCAGAATACTACGCATCACTGTACACAAGACTCATGGAGACCATTATCAACCACCAGTCGTCAGAGGTAAGACCAATATAACTTTGTTTGTGCCTTGTTCGCGTCTCCTACACATGTGTCGTGTTTGAAATCTGTTTAACAATACACGTTGCTAATGTTGCCAATATTCGAAAATACTAGGATCCCTCTTATCAGAGAGAAGACACAGTGCTCGTCGGTATGCTGAAGGTGGCCACAGCCATGATTGGAACTGACCCGCGACTCAAGACTCTGGACCAGGGGTTCCAAATCATTGACTACGTCTTTGATGAGTGTCTCTTCCCCCAGCCATACGCGACGGATGAAACAGGCGCATCGGTAACCCCTAGTGCCGCAAAATGCCAGAGCGAGGGCTCGAGATCAGCAGCTTTTGGATATCTCGAGGAGTCTTCCAGGGACAACCTAGAGACGCTGCGATATGTCATCACAAAGATCCGCAAGCATTTCGATCGAGGTGAGGGCCGACATAATCGTTTTCCGTTTTCGCGTCATGTCTCACTTGTTAACCATGCAGTGTACTCATTTTTGCGCCTTTTGTATTGTCACTAGACTCTGATATTGGAGATCAATGGGGCTATGATCCTCAAATGGTGAAGAGAGCTAGTTGCGGCTTCGTCGGATTGCAGAACCTCGGCGCAACTTGCTATGTGAACTCGATTGTCCAGCAGTTTTACATGAACAAGGGGTTCCGTCAAGGGATCCTTCAAGCTCCTTCCGACGCAGAAGACCCTTCCAACCATGACACTCTTCTCTATCAACTGCAGGTCCTTTTCAGCAACCTTCAAGAGAGCAAAAGGCGAGCGTACAACGCACAAGGCTTCTGTTACTCGTACAAGGACTGGGATGGTAACCCGATGAATGTCGCGGTTCAGATGGACGTTGATGAGTTTTTCAGCATTCTTTTTGACCGCCTGGAGAACAGTGTGAAGGGTACGCCACAGGAAGAGCTGTTCAAGAAGCAGTACGGCCTCAAGTTGGTCCAACAGATCAAGTCCAAGGACTGTGAGCACATCTCCGAACGCGAGGACAACTCGTTTTCTATTCAGTGCGAGGTCAAGAATAAGAAGACCCTAGAGGAGAGCTTGCAGCTCTATGTTCAGGGCGAAATCTTGGATGGAGGTAATATTCTAATTGTTTAGATTTTCGTGCATTGTGAACCCGCTCAAAGGTGTGTGTTCGCGAAGCTAATGTCCTGCTTGGTCCTTATTCAACTCTTAGACAACAAGTACAAGTGCTCAACCTGCGACAACCATGTCGACGCCATCAAACGGTAAGCGAAATGATCCACTGCAAGTATTAACTTACGGAGGCTTGAGGCTGCTAGGCGATTATTAACTCCTCCAATTTGTTTTCTTCTTGCATGGCCGAAACAGAGCTTGCATCAAGGAGTTGCCACGGAACCTGATTTTGCATCTGAAGCGTTTTGATTACGATATGGACACCATGCGACGTATCAAGATTAACGACCGCTTCGAGTTTCCTTCGAGACTGGACATGGAGCCCTACACGATTGACTACCTGACTCGGAAAGAGCAAGCACAGGATGGCGCTGCCTCCTCGCCCACGACCGCTCAGATGCCGGAGCAGGACAAGTCGGCCGCATTCCAGTACAACCTCGTGGGTGTCCTCGTCCATACAGGCACAGCGGATTCGGGACACTACTACTCTTACATCAAGGATCGGACCGGTTCGAGTTCAGGATCTCCCGATGACAACACGCGCTGGTACCATTTCAACGACTCCAGAGTGGACGAGTTTGACGTCAGTGAGCTCCCTTCGAAGGCATTCGGAGGATCCGAGTTCATTCCTCAGGACTCTTCTCCATACATGAAGTCCCCGCCCCGATCGACCTCCAAGCCATACAGTGCCTATATGCTGTTCTACGAGCGCGCTGATGCGGCCATCAACGACTCACCTGCAGGTTTGGTCGAAGCTCCCGGGAACATCAAGGACGTAGTTGTCAAGGAAAACACTTCCCTCCTGAAGGATCTGGCTCTGTTTGATCGTCTCTATTACCACTTCGTGTGGGACCTCTTCACCATGCCGCAGGGGGTCCATCATTCTACTCACGACGGGGATGCCGTTATCAAACAGGAGGAGTCTCTTGAGTACCTCTCGATGCAGTACGGACTGGAGTTCTTCTTTTCCGTTCTCATCCATGCGAGAGACGTCGATCAGGAACTATTGCAGTGGACGCGCTTCTTGTCGTCTCTGTTTGCCAAATACCCTCAAGGCTGCGTGGATCTTCTGCGCAATCTGACCAACAGCCCGGCGCATTTGACGAACATTCTCCTGATGTGCCCCATCACACAGGTTCGAGAGGCAGTGATTGAGCTGATATTCGAGGCTCTCCGTCACCTCCGCCAGAAGGATAGAGTCGCTTACGGATTGGTGAACACTGCTCGGCCTCGCGTGTTTGCTTCGAGCTCGGACCCCACCGTTGATGACGAAGACGAGGAGGAGACGGCCATCTGCGCTCAGGGCTCAATCATTCAAGAATTCGTTCATGCCCTTCTCGGCCTACTTCCGGAAGCGCGTACCAACTGGCGCAACTTTGACGAGTACTTCAAGTTGATGTACGAGATTACCCAACTCGGACGCGCGGAAAAGGCCTTGATGATTCGCGAAGGATTCATTGCAGAACTCACCGAGTTTTACCTTGCGGACGAAAAGAACGACTTCAAGAAGAAAAAGATGGGCGACAAGTTTACAAAGCCTTCTTTCCGGTACCTGTTACTGGCGCTGCAGGAAGTCATCTCTTGCTGTGACGTCCTTCGGTCCTATGAGATCCTCCAGTCCGGCAACTCTGCGAGGAGATCTTCAGGAAACAGCAACCATAGAAACTCGGTATCGGTCTCTTCATCCTCCTCGTTGCCGTCGTCGCCCACATCCAGCACTAACTCGGACGATGCTGCGGTGGATCAGGATACGCATCTGCCCAGTGCATCACCAGAGCTTGACCAGACAGCGATTCTGTCGCGTGCAGACTTTGGTGCCCTGTTCTACTGCCAAGGATCTGCAGGCCCGTCGTCGGAGAAGTCTATTGTTTTTCTCTCCAAGATGCTCATGGATCGTATCGACAGCCACATTATCTCTGCCATTGTCATGCACCTCTCCGTGCAGCCGTTAATTGGGACTCGCTTTTTGGATTCGCTCAACACGTACATCGAGTTTGCCAACGACGAGCAGTTTTCCACCATTCTGCAGATCTACAAGGAGTTTGTGCAATTGGCCGATGAAGGCCTGGAGGGCAGGGTTGAGCACATTCTTGGGCAGTTAACTAGGGTAAGTTCAATATTTTTCAAGCGTTGTATACTTTTGCTGGTTGAAACAACCGTGAAGTGCTAGGGGACTAAGCGATTCATATATGTTGAATAATATTTGCCGCTTAGGTTCTCGACCGGTCGCCACAGTCAAATGTTGCGTACGAGTGCCTCGACTTTTTCCGTACCATTTCTGACTTTGGACAGTGTGGTCGATTTGCACAAGCTTGGCTTCTGAGGAACTGTAAGGTGTGGCTCCAGGAGTTGATGTTGTCCCAGAGTGAATCTGACACACGAATGCGCGCACGCCAATTCTACATGGAGCTGCTAAGTTCTGAGCGGGCTTTCAACGGGTGGGATGATGAGCAGGCTGCCGCCGCCTCAGCTCAGCACTTTGGCAGACTCTTGGAACTGATGAAGTTGTTGCCTGACCTCCTCGCCTACTATCCTATGCACTCACGACGAGGTAACGCTTTTTTAAATGTATCGAGGACATTTTTCTACCTTTGAGCGCGGCAACTTGAGCTAAGCTTTGCACTAACAATAAGTTGTTACTACACGAAAATCACAATTTAGATGAAGACGATAACGGCTGGAAGCTGGTGGAGTATTTTACTGCTTTAACTGAGCTTGTGAAAAGCGACACGGAGCGCAACATGGTAATTCCTTGGCGCTGTTGTTTTTGATTGTCGTGCAGAGCATTCACTGTTGAACTATGATATTCACGCTCATCTCTCCCATCTCTCTGTTTAACAGTTTTTCCATAGCTGGTCTGGCTTCCTCGAGATTCTTACAAAGATCGATAACCAGCAGATCAATCTTGACTATGACAAGAAGGTACAGTGAATTTGTTACTTAGCCTTGCACCGGTTTGACCTCAATTGGCTGCCACTGCAATGCTGACATTTTACTGTTGTTGTGCTTAGGAAATGATGATGTTCTGGGGCAAGGTCATGAACGAGGATCAGGACCGAAACAAGCTTCTGGCGGACTTCAAGCCAGTCGGTGCTCTGTTGCGAAAGTTCTATGTGTGCCTTCAGAACAACCCCCAGAACATCCAGTTCCACAAGGAGATCCTCCCAATCTACTTTGGACTAGTTCTGCGCTTCAGCCAGCTCTCTCACACATTCCTACTCGAGTGGGTTCATTGCCACAACTACACATGGGCAATTGGAGCCATGAAGTGGGGCGCGTTCAGTATCCATGTAAGTGAATTGATTCGAAAACAACTGAATTAGCATGTTGCTATTTTGATTATGAAGAGTCGCATTTAACATGAGGACGAATGATTCTATTTATTGACGACCAATAGTGTCCACCTGAGCTTGACCAACTGCTTCAGTACACGTTAACCAAGGTCCCCTTATTCCGACAGGAATGCTGGCGCACCGTGCCAAGTCCTGAACGCGGTCTGCTCCCATTCACTCAGTTAGCGCGCGCAATGTTTGAACCTGAAAATGCGGATGCCGGAGCATTGTTCTATCAACACCGCGGCCTGGTTTATCTAACTGATGTAGGTTGCATCGGAAAGGCTTGTTAAAACTGCATAGAGCTTGATGTGCCATGAGCAAGTGAGTGCTGACAGTACACTTTGATGAAATATTTCGACCTAGGCTATCCACAATGCAAGCATGGCAGGCACTGTCACTAGCGAGCCCGATTTTTTCGCGGTGGATATTCTTCGACTCCTCTGCGACTACCTCTGTCAAATGACAGTTTGCCGTAACACACCAGGTGAGTTTATTAGACATTAACGGCTTGACAAAGGTTCCCTTTATGTGGCATCTCACGAACAACGGCGAATTAGACATGTTACTAACATTTGTAAAACGTTATCGCTTGTCAAACTAGCTTTTGCAGAGGCGATGGATCACTGGAGCAACATTGATACGGCGATCTCGTTTTTGACAGGAAACTTGATGTGGGCAGCGCCTGCGCAAGTGTACACTGACTCGATCAAGATTCTAGAAGTAATTGCGCAGGAGGCAACATACACACAGGCAGCTCCTATTCTCACTGCCCTGGACAGAGCACACTGTGAATGGAGGGATGTGGTTGAGTCTGGAGTAGTAACTGAGAACCAAGGTATGTTGATCCTCTCGTTCCACGTAGCTGAGATGTCGCCCTGCAATTCAAAATCGGCGCATCAACTGACTTGTTTATGTTTTCTATCCAATTAATAGTGAAAAACGTCTTCAGTGGAGCGAACTCACCTTTCTACCGACTGGGAGCAATCGAGTTTCAACAGAGTGGCGCAGGTGTGAGTTCACCCCCGATCCGACTGGGGCCAGTTATGTTTTTCCACCCCGAGCTTTTCGAACGATTGGACCATGTGGATGCGGAAAATGTGATGCAGAATTGGTATGAGCCTTACTGGACTTTGGCTTGTACGGTGTGCAAAATGGATGGCGGAGAGGGTCAGAAGCACAAGCCCATCGAACTTGGTAAGAAAACGCAAATCGGATCAACATATGTTTCTACTCTGTTATGCGACCAACTTGTGCTTCGTTTTTGTCTAACGAGAACTTTTCTTGTACTTGACGTAACTTTAGCGGCGCTCATGGGATTGGAGCAAATCGAGGTGGGGTCATTGGTTCATTTAGGCATACTTTGCGACACAGCGGAGGAAAGCCTTGGAGATGATGATGCGGCACTCGCACTGCAAAACCCGTATGTTGCCCTGTTCGTGCAGCGGTTCTTGGAACGCAATCGATGCATTGAAGAATTGACGGAAAGTCAGCTGAACGGATGTGCCACGTTGGTCCAGAGTGTTGCTGGCAACTTGGAGAAGGGTTTTTTGGATTTGGCTATCGAGGGTAACTTCACGCGTGCAGAGGAAGTCATTGAACGACGACGACCAGCTGGGCCAACCACCATGGAAGGTCTTCATCCCAGTGATCCGACTGATCAGTCGTTGACCCTTGAAAAAGATGCTCAGACCTTGCTTACAGTAAGCGTTCAATCATTGTGTGGATGATTCTCCGCTCTGAATATTAAGGCGCTGTACTCACTCATCTACTACTTTTTTTTTGATCATTGACAATCATTGTAGGCCCTGCAAAATCTCAGGATCTTGGGTGTTGGCAAGCTCAGTGGTGAGAAGGTGGAGGCGATTCGGTTGAAGCAACTGCAGGAGAGCTTGGCTGAGGTTAAGCCTCAGTTGTCGGGAGCACATGCATCGGCACTGTCAACAGTTTTTCCTGTGGAGGCGATTAACATAGAGCCAGCAAGTCATATTGCGGCGGCAGAGCCCCCAGTAGGCGATGACCCTGGAGTTGTCGCAGTTACAGCTCAGGAGCCTAGCTTGACTCCTGTGACTGAAGGCGGAGCTGATGTTGATAGCAGTGATGGATCGATGGAGGAGGACGATGGTACGATGATGTCTGGAGTGATCCAGCACCAGCCGAAGTCGGCGGAAGAAGTTGTGAAAGGAGGAGAGGTCATTGTCGGAGAGAAGGAGGGCGAAGTGACAGCAGAATGAGTACTGCCCGAAAGAGTTTCTTGGAAGCGCGGAAGCGCCGAAGACGGTATAGATAGACAATTATTTCATTATATTGCCTTTCAAACCATGTATGAATATATTCGCTGAAAGAAGGTAGAGAAAACGTACCACGCCCATGATATATGTCAAGATGCACGCGAGGCGCCATTATTGCATGTGTTGTCGCCGAAATAACGCATGTAGCATCATTTATGAATTATGAGCAGAGTATCAATGAGTTGGCGAAGAAAGAAGAGCGATGGGAGGTTGGCTTTCAGGAAATCATCTTTGAACAGCGACGTGTCGAAAGGCTGTTTTTTTTTTTTTTTTTTTTTTGAGATTTTGATCGATATTCCGATGGAGCACCCTCGCCATTCTTTTGTGCTCTTATCCTCCCTTCCTCCTCTTTTTCCCTACGTTCTGTCTCCTCTTCGCTTGTTATTTGATCCACCAATGCGAGGTGCCTTGGATTCCCAGGGAAGAAGGGAGGGAAGGAAAGGGTAACGAGGGATGGGAAGAAGGGAAGAAAGGGAGACAGAGTGAATCGAAAAAGCTTATTTTTTTTCCGTTCGGGACTGAACGAATGGCGTGATAAGTACTTCAAGTATGTCATTTTTTGTGTGGTTGTTGTGTGTTTTTTGCTATTTTATGCCCTTGGATTTAGGGGTAAATGAAGCTCTCTGTTCAGCCGAGGGGTGCGTGGGTTGGGTGGTGGGCAAGTCGGCGTATGGTGAGAAGAGAAGAGAAGAGAAATGGAATAAGAATAGTGATGGACAGCCCTTTTTGAAGTATCTCGGCATTCAAGCAACCAAAGCAACCAAGCAAGCAAAAGCGAGAGCGAAAGAAAAAAAGCTTCTGTTATTGTTGATATTTTTTTTTTGTCTTTATTCGCGAAAAAGTGCGTGTTGTGTCGATTGTTTTTTGTTTTTGTTGTTCTTTGATGATGCTGGAAAAAAAAGGGCGAGTTGTATGAGTTGCTTTATTCTTCGCGAGAAGACCGTCCAGAGGATGAGCGGGTATTATTGTTACTCCTGTGGTTGATGGGATTGGTAGCAGAGATGGACTCGAGTGCCCGTTCCAATGCCGGCCTCAGGGTGTCAATGGGCGATCCAACGTATTGCACAATGCCGTCGACCAGGAGGCATGCCATGGGGATTCCCCTGTATCCTGCTGTCTTGTACACAGCTGTCAACGTTTCAGAAAAGTCAGCGGGTCCATGAGAGGGAGTGATTTTGTTTAAACATGTGTGTGCATTTTTGGTTAGTTTCTCTTGAAAGAACAACATGAGCAGAAAAATGTTATCATGGCGACCGATAACGGCGAACATAAACAAAACAACATGAAAACACAACACGCACGCGCACACAAACAACCCCGACACCGTTACAGCAAGTGATGATGACCCCTACACCCTTTTTTCTCGCTCTTCTTTCCCGTCGCCGCATTGTTGCAAGCGACTGTTCCTGAAATAAATAAATAAAAAAAAGTTACCTTCTTTTGCGAATCCTTCGGCGTTGTCGATGAGGATAGTGTATCTGAATAAGTCCTGGTGTTCTTCCACAAAGGCAATGACACGATCCAGGTTGGGTGGTTGGATGACGGTGTCCTTTTGAAACATGCTCTCATTGTTGATCCCTAGGAAGGCGACCTGTCCGGCAAACTCCTCCGCCAACTGTGACACCTCCGGTCCTGCCTGCAGACATGGATCGCACCTACAAGGACAAGAAGAGGAGGTTATTTCAGTAAATGGTGTTTGTGCTTCGCTTTTCCTTCTCTCGATCTCCTTCATTTCATGTCTCTCTCTGTCACCGCTGTTTTTTACTTGTTCCTCTGACTCCGTTATAACGTGTTGTCGTTTCTCCTTCCTTTCCTGTCCATTGTTTGTCTGACAAGCTTAATCAGCAAAAAGAAAGAAGTAGAAAGATGTCAAGAGAACAAAAAAAAAAGACCAATAAGAACAACCTCTCTACTCATTTGCTTCGCAATGGTCGGGACTCTTTTTCCATTTCTCTACTTTTCAATTTTGCCTGAATTACGGCTTTGGAGGAGACCTAGGCTGGCCGGACGGACAAAAGTCAGGGCCGAGTCCGTGTTGATCAAAATACTTCATGCAAACTGACCAGACCACATCACACACACACACACACCACCAGCATGCAGCACGCAGCAACGGGCAGTTTCAAAGGACAAAATAAATGTATCCGTTTTGGCCACGCCGTTTAGTTGAGTCAACATGAACACCGCCTCCTTTGATCTTCTTGATGGTTTCCATTTGCCCTTGTGCCCAAACACCAAAGCCAACTTTAATAATTCGCATTTCGCTGAAAGAAGGTAATAAAAAAAAAACAAAGCCATCCCCTCACCCCCCTCATTTATGTTTGCATTTTTTGTGTTTATGTCGAAGTAAAACAACAAGACACTGACAACATAAACAAAAGAGTAATCAACATAGAGAGCCCTCCAGGGAAAAGAAAGTGTGAGAGGGAAGGGAAGAGAGCGAGAAAAGTAGAGATGTGGGAATGAGGAGGGGGGAGGGGAAACGAAAGGGACAAAAATGAACTTACCAGGAGGCCCAAAAGTCAAGCACGACAATACGTTCCTGTCCAGTGAACTCGGGACCGGCCAGGTGTTCACATTTGGAGGCAATGACGAGGGGGTCGACGCGGGTTCCGAGGATGGGACTCTTCCAACCTTCACGGAAACAAAGAGCGGGACCTTTCTTATGTTGAGCCCTGACGGTTTCGTAGGATTCAATCTTGAATTTGGAGAGGAGTTCAAAGGGGTCTGCAAAGCCGATTTCCTGTGCTCGGGACTTGAAGAGGTCGATGGCGCGGTCAAATGGTTCGTCCTCCCATCGATCCTCGTACTTGTCGACAAAAGGCTTCTCGAGGATTGTGTTGTAGGCGTCGATCAATTGCTTTTCTGTGTCGGTCAGCGGTTGGCTCGGCATGTTTGTTGTATATATGTCTGTAAGAGAGGTATTAGTCGTCGCTGCTGCTGCTGTTGTTTGTTGGGGTAGCGTGTTGTGCTGTGTTCAATGGTTTTGGGAGGGATGGATGGGTGGGTGGTGATTTCCTTCCTTTGTTGGTGGTACTTGTTGGCGCAGGCTTTATTTGTTGGTTCCACTGAGGCTGGCAATGTCCAAGTGAGGCGAGGGTGAGTGTTGTGTAGTATTGATGTCTTGTGGGAAAGTGAAGAAAGAAAGAAAAGAAAGGAAAAAACAAAAGAAGAGATGAAGAAGATAGAAGATAATCTTGTTGGAAGGTTATGCTTGTGAAATAAGGTCAGAACAAGACGTCGTCTGAGGCACGGTTGGTTGGCTGGTTGGTTAGCTGGTTGGTTGGAGTGTGGTTGGTTGGTCGAGTTGTGTTGAGGGGGGTGGGCCAAAGAACACGAAAATTCACTCGAAGCTGAGGTTGAAAAAAGGAGGAACACTTTTGTGTGTTTGTGAGTCAATTGGTGTAAGTTATTATTCCTCCTGTGTTCCTGTAGGGTTGATGAGAGAAAAGCTGATGGGAAAATAAATGCAAAAGAATGGAAAAAGTGCGAATGGGGTGCGGACACAGAACGAAAAGACAAGAAGAATGAGAAGGGCTTGGGTCAGTTGAAGAACGCGACGTGGAGGAGTAGGAAGGTTGAGCGAAAGGGAAAAGGTTAGGTGTGAAAAGAAAAGAAGGAAGCAATCAAGGGAACTTTTATACGTGAGCGTCGATTTAGTGGGACCGAGACAACAAACCGAAAAAAAGGGTGGGAAACAAAAAACAACAACAAATGCGTGTGTGCCCTGGATGACAAACAGGCAGCAAACAACAAAACACCAAAAAGGTATACACTTTCTGACAAATGGCAATGAAACGAAAGCTACAAACGAAGAGAAGCAAAGGTGGATAAACCATCGCCATATATTTCCTATCTACTGACTTATGAATCATCTTCTTCCCCCAGGGTCAACAAACAGCCCAGAAGGAGGTACTGTACAGTACATACCTGCGCGCCCATACTGTATCCGGAACCACACATACTGTACAAAGAAAACTCACGCGCCGAATGTGGAATTTTCAATCCGCTGTCGGTCGATTGGTCCGAACTTGGGATGGGAACTCACCTCACAAACGCCTCTCTGTCAATTTGCATTCAGAGCCACGACGCATTGGCTATTGGCTCTCGCTTCTGTCGTCTGTCCTTACCCTAAAACACACACACACCTTATTGTTATTGCATAGAAAAATGCATGGAGTTCGAAGTTGGGCGCATGCCCATGGTCAAACCAAAAGGTCTGGGCCTTTGATATTTTTTTTGTTATGTTCACAACACATCCTCTCGGTTCTCATTTCCGACTAGGGACCAATGGTCCATCAACAAACTATAATACACACCTTGGAACACAAGGTTACACTTTGACCCTTTTGTTTTCTGAACTACCATCCCGCAATGACTCTTCATCTCATTTTTTTTCGCTCCTTCAACGCCTTTTTTTTTTTTTTTTTTTTTTTTTGGGCTATCACTCACACTCTTTCACTTCCTTTCATGTTTTATCTCTGACGCATACACCACAACTCGTATTTCCAGTACCACGGGCAATATGATAAACTCGACCCTAAGAACATTTTTTTTGGTGCTGGCGAGCCTGATGGGAATCCACAATTGCACTGCCCCTACCATCGATGGATGAACAACCCACCCTTTGTATCAACACGAGGGTACAAATAAAAGCAAAAACTCAGTCTAACGATTTCGAGACGTTTGTTTTTGTTGCTTGACGCCTGAGCAATGTGACAAAAGATGATAAACATCAGGGCAGTCGGATGGCTGTTGCGGCGAGAGCAGAAGCAATTGAGAAGGAGCACGTTTCTTGAGGTGGCTCTAGAGACAAGGAGTCTAGGTATGTTCTAGGGATTGTCTATTGGTGGTTTGCCAGGTGCTTGCTATTCTTGAACGTCCATGATTGAGCTTGAAAGAGCTAAAAAAAACGACGCGACTGGCAGTACAGCAGTATCAGGCGCGTCCAACCCCTCGCCTGTTCAATGTCAGCAGTCACAGGACTTGTTGAACAACAAAACGTTGCCACCATTTTTATCGTTTTCTCTTTTGTCATCCCTTCATTTTCATTTGCCTCCCACGCCTCCAACAAAAACAGACTCCCATCACCATTCTCTCGGTGACATCTACTTGATCGCCCTCCTCTCCTGCCCTCCTTCTCTTCACTCTTCCCACATTCCCCTACTTTCACATTTCACGACCGTCAACAGCTGACATCTACAACATGGCAAAACAAGGCAAGCCAGCAAGTCATTCCAGGTACCTACCAAGCGACAAGACTTGCCCCGACTTTGTTATAGATAATTGTTGAATGGAACAAAAGAAAGAGAAACGAGATACAGGAGCTCGTTGTGTAACTGTTGTTGTTGTTGTTGTTGTTGTCGTTGTTTGGATCAAAAGGTTAACCGTTGTTCCGTTTGTCCAATCGTGCAGGCCTTTCACGAAGAAGAAACCATACATGGTCTCTACCCAATCGCCATCGGCCACAAGCTCTCCTTCGTCCTCTTCGTTCTCAAACCAGCCCACAAAACTCCCTCACCCTGCAAGAACCCCCAATATAACGCCACCCTCACGACCCTCTGCACCCACAACTCATCGCACTAAACTCGTTACTTCCTCAGTCTTCTCGATAAGGCTCCCTGCTCCTACAACCCCTCCTACACGACCTACTGTCGCGACTCATGCAACGAAACTCCCCCCACCCACCAAAAACCACGAGCTCTACCTTTCGACCCTATCTCCCCCAACCTCGAAGCAACAGCGCCCGGTTCCTGGTTCCTCACTTGTACAAACCCGAACGGCTCCATCCCGTATCAGCCCAAACCCCAAGCGTTCAACGTCGGCATTTGCGCCAGGTACATCACCTCGAAGACCAAATCAGACATCCCGGAAGATATCGCTAAGCGATCTTCGCATTGACACCATGTCAGTGTCCTCAACAGTCTCTCTAGATTCAACATCTTCTGCCGAATCTAATCGTCCTGAAGCGAGAGCTTCTCAGATGAAAATCACCCCTGTTGATCAGTCTATCAAGGTGCGTCGTACCTCTCATCGAACGATGCGATATGGCCTGACGTTAAAACTGCCGAGCTAATGTGACCCTTTCGTTTGGAACGAAATAGACTTTCTTGCGAATCCGCCCCTCGGACAAATCTTCCTCGATGTCAAATGACAGTAGCTATCTTGGAGTCTTGAACGATACCGATGTACTCATGGTACCACCACCAAGCGTAAGTTCCACTGGTGTCTAAATAATAATTTAATCCACCGTTTTTCCTCACACTAACCTCTCACGAAACTCAATTTCTTCCATAGCCAAAGCAACGAAAAACGTCCGAGTACAAGTTCACCAGAGTGTTTGACGAGTCAGCGACACAGTCAAGGATCTTCGAGGAGACCTGTTTACCATTGTTGACGCCCCTCTTTCGTCAAGACAACTACAAGGCACTTATTTTCTCACATGGCGTCACCAAGTCTGGAAAAACACACTCAACCATCGGATCACCGGAACAAGCTGGAATTATCCCAAGGACTTTGAAAGTTCTTTTCGACTCGATTGCCGAGAGTTCACAGGACGTCAACACACCCACACAATATCGGCCTTTCCGTGTTCATGATGTCGAGATCAATGTCGACGAGCGGAGGGACAACGAAGCCATGAAATCCATTCGTGCATTGGACAGCAATCTAGCAACATGGTTCCAATATCTCGCCATCGACCCATTAGACTTCAATATTAGAGATCTTTTGGTCGAGAACCCAAGCAACAGAAACTCGCAAGGTATGCCCTGCATTTTAATGACGAGCTGCATGTGGACTTTAAGTATTTCGTGCTTTTGCTTGCCTACTGACATACTGCGTCGTTGTAATATTAATCTTTGTAGTGGTGTCCTTGCCAGAAGGAATGAATTATTCGATCTGGATTTCGTGCGCAGAGATCTCCTCGGAAAGGATTTACGACCTCTTGGCAACGCCATCTGCGCCACCCGTACGATCGATCAAGTCGACCGATCCGAAACGCCCACAACTGTTCCTTACTACCGACAACGCCACTCATCAAAAATACATTCAAGACTTGCGAGAGGTCAACGTCAGGACACTGGAGGAGGCAATAATGGTTCTTCGAGCAGGATATCGCCAAAGACGGTTGTATACCGTTCTCACCAATAGACCGTCTCCAAGGAGCCACTGCATCGTCACAATCAAAGTCCTTAAGACACCTCAGTTTGGAGAAAGTGCACTGAAGGATGCAGCCAAAGGAAAGACGTCTATTTCGAGATTGTCAATTGTCGATCTCGCTGGATCTGAGATGCTTCGCACCATGACCAGCAGTGCGGGTCATGGAATCAAGGATCCAGGAAACGGTGACACAAGTTTGATTGTACTTGGTCATTGCCTGAAAGTTCTACGTTCAAATCGTACGACGAACTCAAAGGTAAATAATACCGGACTATTTTTTATCGGAATAGTTTCATCTCGGCGAACAGCGATACATATCCTAATCTTTCCCGTGTCGCTTTTCTTCTATTCTCTCGCATAGAACCCACAGGAAGTTCCATTTCGGCAGAGCAAGCTGACGCAGCTTTTTCAAGGATCATTGGAGGCCGGCCCTGCCAACTCTCAGGTGTGCTTGATTGCTAACATCAGCCCCTATCGATCCAAGTTCGACGAAACGACACGGACCCTGGAGTTTGCTACTTCACCCATAGAGTCTTCTCGGACACGAATAATGGACATCCACGTAGATTCCGAAACCTCGCTCAGCAATATCAAGCGCCTCTCAACTAGCCCTGGCTCAGTTTCGCACCAGCAGCCGACAACTGGCCAAACGATCGACGACTCCTCTTCCAAGCAGCGCCACACCGGAGATGTTACCATGCTATCCCAGGGTCAAAACGAAACTTCCGACATGGACTTTGACGAGGACAAGAGTTGTGACAAACCTATCGAGATTGAGTCGGAGGAGGCGGTCATGGTCGAGAAGGAACGCCCGTTGGCAGAACAAAGCGACGCCACGACTGTCTCGGGATCGATTCACTGTGTTTCTGTCAGATGCCTTGAGACGATTACCAGCCTGCAGGAGAAATTTGACAGGCACCGGGAGGCGTTCGAGATGCAGATTAGCACTCGCGATCAGGGATTGGAGACTCTGAAGAATCAGCTGGCTGAAAATTCGAGAAAGATGGAGAAGCAGGAGAAGAGTTGTCAGATCCAGGACAAGGAGATACAAGAATTGAGGGTGGCGCTGGTTAAGAACGATGACGACCGAGCAGCTCAAGACAGCCTCCAGGCGGTCTTAAAGCAGGAGATCAAAGCCTTGAGGGACCAGCTGGCAGAGACTGAGAGGGATAAAATGGAGCGGGAGAAGGAAATTCTATCCCGGAACGAGCAAGTCCAGGAATTGAAGGTAGCCTTGGCCGAGACTATCGCCAACCGAGTCACGCCGGAAACGGCCCACTCGCTACACCAGGACATCAAGTCCTTGACAACTCAGCTACTGGAGAGTGCAAGGAAGAAGGAAGAGTTGGAAGAAAGAGTTCGGTCCCGCGACGAGGAAGTCCGAGAGTTGAAGCAAGAGGTCGTCGACGCCGAAGCCACTCGAGCCTCACAGGAAACCCATCACAACTCAGTAGTGCGGTCCTTAGAGGTGAAAATCGAGGGCCTGAGAGCCGATTTGAAACACGCAGCGTTCGAGCGACGAGAGCATGATGAAGCGATGGATGTACGGTTTCAAGAGCAGGAGGACAAACTTTTGGGACAGATGCAGGCACTGGCGGATAGCTTGAACGTTAACCATGAGCTGGAATTGACTCAGCTGAGAGAAGCACTGGTCACGAGCGACAAGAAGTGTCTTGCGATGACAGAACGGTTCCAGTCGGGCGATCGCGATCAGAGCATGGTCGTACTTGTGAGAGACTTGGAAGCGGCCGATGAGACCCGATCGGTGTTGGAGAGAAAGTTGGCAAAGGCGAACGAGACTATCGACGCATGGAATACTTGGTTCGCAGACTCTCCGGTCACGAAACTGGCCCGAGGCGCTGCTCATGCTTCTGTTCCAGACTTGACAACCGTTGCTGCCAGTGATCGCTCTGCTCCAGATGACTCATTGCTCGCCTTGGACCAAATTAATACCAATTCGGTGGCCGCGGAAGTGTTGGCGACGATTAAGGACGCAGGAGACATGGCTGTGGAACAGGCTACTCTGGAGGAGGACTTTGTGGAGCATGTCGACGAGGCCATAGCCTTTAGGGACGTACTACACGACGACCCTCTGAACGATCCTCAGAACAACCCTCAAGGCGACCCTCAGGGTGACACTCAAGACTACATTCAGGTCGAACCTCAAGATCATCTTCAGGACGATCCTCAAGACGACCCTCAGAACGAGCCTCAAGGCGAACCTCAGTTCAACCCTCAGGACGCCGATGAGACCACGACAGGGGATCGAACAGAGACCGTTGTAACTGAGCAGACCGGGTCGGCACACATCAAGCATGGAAACCAGTCATCGGATCCCTCACTTGACGTTAAGACAGTATCCCGTCCTGCTGTATCTGCTGCCATCGCTCATCCAGACTTCGTGAACATTATTGAAATCGAATCTGACTCGGAAGGTAATGGAGACACACGGCTTGCTTTCGGATCGTCCATTTATATATGCAAATAAGTGGCCAGGCTTTTTAACGCTTTTATTTATTTCATTTGCCTTAGATGAGTACCATGCCACGCTCAAGTGGACGAAAATAAGCGATCGATTTGCGCGGGTTCAGCAGTTCGCCGAGTCAAGTGCCGAATCGAGTCGACAGTCATCGCAGGACACAAGTGATAAGGCATCGTTCAAGGCCAAAGATTCCAAGCTGTCGACCAATAAGCGCACAAGTACTCGATCGAGATCGTTGCCAGGCCATCAGGAAACGCTGACGACTATCACATCTCGATCCTCGCCAGCCAGAGTGACACGCTCTCGCTACTCGCTTCCCAACAACCCGACCGTGAGCTCCCAAACTAGGTCTTCGGCGATCCAGCCTCCAATCAAGAAGACGAGACTGTCGACCGGCACCAAGTCGTCTCTGCTGTTCAAGGATAGTGACATCGATGAGGATCAAGAGCGTTCCCAGGTGGAGGACAGCGTGGGTCCGTCATTGCCGCAGACGTCAAAGACATCCAACATCCAGACTGAAGAGGGCGTGGAGTCGGGTCTTGACACCACTGTGGTCCACCCCGTAGCTGGTAGCTTTGAGACGACTTATGCGATTACAGCCCAGGAGCCCTCCAACCTGCAAGTTCCCGTGACCCCTCAAGAATCGAAGAGAGTGGCCGCCCAAGGATCTCCAAGGGATGAGGACGACGCCATGCTGCTTGCACCCGGTCTTGTTGCTAGCGAGGACGATCAAGAAGGGGGCCGGTCGCCAGACTTTACTCCTGAGAACGTCATCCAACCGGACCTTTCGCTAAACTTTGGAGTTGAAGACATGCAGGCGGAACCTTCCCCAGACTTTGAACCCGAGGACGACTTGCCAGCGCGTCCTGTGCAGAACGCTGGACCTGAGGATTACCTACAAGCAGACGAGTACGAGATGGCACAGGAAGGTTCGCATGATGGTAGCGAGGATACGTTGGCGAGGAGTGCCCCTGGCGACCGAATGGAGTTGCCGCGCGCGATTGACGACCATATCGGCACCCCTGCGGCAAAAATATCTCCGGTCCGACCTATTTACCCAAAGCTTGAGTTAATGACCCCTTCTCCACGGCGAACATCTCCATCGCGTCCACCTGTCCTCTCAAAGTATGGGGCTGCGGACGACAAGTGGACTAATCCTACGTGGGAGTCCTTTGACGCCAGACTGGGGGAGCATGAGGCTCCTTTGGAGACTCCTGACCGATTACGTTCATCATGGCCCCGTCCTGCTCTTGATGTACCTATGACCAAGCTGGATCCGTCGTTGACTACAGAGAGAGACCCGGAGTACCCTCTGATATCCCATGTTGACGATGATTTGGATTATGACGGTGAGAGGTATCACAGCCGCCAGGTCGGAGATATGGATGGTGACGATGAGTCCGATGGGGATAAGGATTTGAATGGGGCGATATCGGAGTACGACAGCGCGCAGGAATCGCTTGATACCGAAGATTCGAACGAGTTCCCGCTTGAGACGAAGGCGAAGATTGATGCAGGGGACAAGGAGAACGATGACCCAAAAAGTAATAAGAAGGTAGAGCCGCAGTCAGCCAAGGCCATGGGAAAGGGCAAGGGCAAGGGCGAGATGAAGGCGATTGATGATGATGAGCTGACGGTCAAGGACGAGGATGAGGACAGCGAATCGATGAAGAAGGATGTGATGATGTGTGGACTGAGGCCGAAGTTGAAGAAGAGGAAGCTGCGACAGGCGCCGACGGTGTTTTCGGATGAGATGGACGAGAAGGTTGACATGTATGTTCAGCCAGCCAAGAATAACGCGTCCAAGCAGCTCCATCGCAAGCTGAAGAGCAAGAGCAAGAGCAGGATGCACTAAAAGCATCTGCTGCTGCATGCTACCTACCACCAACACCACCTCGTCGGTTTGCACACCCCCACCCCTCCACCCACCCATTGCAACCCCCTTGTACATATTTCACATACAAACACATACACATACACTTTCGCACTCCAACAATAGCTTTCGATAGCAGACAAGTGACAAACATTAACACATTGTTAAATGAAGTGGGCTCAAATAACCACAGGGAGAAAATGAAAGAAAAAATGTAGTGAAAGAGGGGACGAAGACGCCTTTTTTGGACGAAATTCGCCCAGCCTGACTGCCTGTGCGTGCCTGCCCAGCCTCATGTGTGATTGATGATTGAATGATGCAGAGCGCCATGGTGTGAGTCTGACAATGAAGTGGCAATGGATGTATGGCTGTATTGCAGGAGGAAAATCACACCACACGACGACAACAACAACAGCAACAACAGCTGCTCGCAGTTTAATCTTAGTCACATTCACCTCTTCACATATTATTTTCATTCTCTTCTTCTCTTCTTCTCTTCTTCTCTTCTTCTCTCTGTTCATTCGTACCTCTTCTACTTTTACTTCATCATCATATTTCTACCCCCTACCTTCTCCTCGTCATTTACACACATAGATACCATCTACAAACCTGCCCTCTCTCATCTTCCACACTCGCAAAAATCTCTCCTCTCACACACTCACTCGACCCCAAAGGAAACAACCCAAACAAAAGAAACAAATTCTCGTTACCCTGTCCTCACTCACTCACTCATTCACTCACTCATCACTCACTCATTCACTTATTCACACACTGGACATCCCAACTGCTCCGCGATTCAACACCCCGCCCATGTGTCGAATGCTCCTGTACAAGGGCAGGCAGCCCATCCAGCTTGCCCATGTAAATACACAGACTGCAAACTTCCAACACACATTACCCCTTCTCTGCACACTGCACAGACACATTATTCCTCGTCTTTCTTTTCTCCGTCAATGCTGCAATGAACAATGGTGAAAGAAACACTCATTCACATTCCATTCTTCTTGAACCCTCTTTTTTCTTTCCTCATACAACTCTCAACCTTTTTTTTTGTGTTCCGAATACCCCTTGCTGCCGACGAAAACCTCAGCTATTGACCAAGCCGGCACACTCCATCATCAACCAGTCCTTTGACTCGAGGTTGCGACTTGACCACAGACGACCTATCAACGGTAAGTGCCTTCTTACCCTTGAGTGAAAAAGGCATAGAGCCAATATTAAAAGGTTGACCCCTTTTTTAGGTCATTGTGGATCTCCTGCTGGAATGACACAATGGAACCATGTGTTCGCATCCCCCCTATTGAATTGAATTTGACTCAACTAATCCCTCATTCAATCGCCTTTATTGACTTTTGTCCGTCCTCTTGATCTTTGCCTCCCATGGTCGAATGTCAATTTTCTTCTCTTCTTCCTTTTCACCTTACTCGCCTCGTCCCTTTTCTCTGGAATCTAGGTGATGGTTTCGGTGTCGGTAAGTTTGTAGCTGTTTCTTACTGTCCATGAATGAGTTTTTCGCGGTATTCCATTACCTGTCACGAATGAGCGGCGGTTGAGTCGGGTCTCACAATTGGAGAGTCGAGCCTGCGTCAGCAACAAAGGAACAGAAGGGAGAAAGAAAAAAGGCCATTTCTTTGTTTGCACTTTGACGCACTTTTACTATGCTTTGTGGAAAAGAACGCCATTCAGGGGTGTCTGGACCTTTCTGTTCTGTTCTTTGGAGGAGGCTCGAAATGGAAGGGGATAGAAGGGAGAAGGAGGAACTAAGGAGATGAACAGTACCGTTTGGTCTCCCACTCCTCAGTCCATTGGAGGCGATAAAAACGAAACGGACTCTCCCTCCCCCTCTCTCCCTCTCCCATGTATGCAGTATGAGTCGTGCGTACCCTGAAAAGATGATCGGAAAACGTCAATTTTACGCTCGATACTGAATCGATATCATTGTTATTTTTTCCCTCCCTCTCGTGCTCTACCCATTGGTGCCTGACAACTGCCACATTAACAACGACAAAAAACACAATAGGATGGTATGAATCCGCGCCAGATTCTGAACTAGGCAGCTCTCCTTGCATCTTCACTTCGGTCACGCCTGCATGGAACAACATGAACTTGATCCGACTGGCCGACAAAATAAAGAGCCCTCTTGTCTTTGCCCATGTACGTGCCTCGACGGCAGGTTCAGTCTCGGAAAGCAATTGTAAGTTTGTCCAGCCTCAAATGCCTTTCTCAAAATCATACACACACGCGCGCACTCGACGGGAACACAATTGGCTTGACCTTGACTTGACAAAGGAGAACAATACAACGCAATACAATACAAAACAAACACATGAAGAAAAAAGGAAGCGCCTTCGGAGAATGGTGGAAGGGCGAATGGATAATGATCAATTGAATTCGGCCTCGTAATATTACTATCAGCGATTGCTCTCTCCTCCTAATCACCCCACTCTTTTCTTCCTCCATTCCTCTTACCATTTGCTCCTTCGGATAGGCCATCCCTGGCAGTACGGGCGTCTGATGTTTATGCACAATGGCAACATTGCCAATTTCCACTTGGTAAGGAGCGAGACTATGGGCCCAAATGACGCGACTCTGACGGCCATTGACACCATCTATGCACCTCTCTCGTCTTTTTTGTTTCGGTCTTCCTCATTGGCGTGTTGTCGTTTGTTGTTGTTGGTGTTTGTTTCCCTTTTTTTCCTTTTGTTGGTTGCTCTGATTGTTGTGTTTGTCTTTTCGTGACATCTCCTTGGTGTGTTAGTGGAATGTCTCTGATGAAAGTCGATGGTGTGGTCCACCTCAGCAAGAAAGACGCGGCTGTTTATTCTTGGTGGAAGATGTGAATCATCGCCGCGTCTTCTCTGTTTACAATTTGGGAGCAGCAACAAGACTCATGTACTCGCTCATCAGTAAAGGACGAACATCTGAACTGTTTTTATATTTTCAACTGTGATGATTTCTTTAGATCAAGAGAAAGGTTCAAGAGTCCTTGCCAGACGAGATCTATTTCAACGTGAACGGTAACACAGACTCTGAATGGGCATTCGCGGTCTTTCTTAGTCAGCTCAAAACCCCACTCCAGGCTGAACCGTTTTGCCATCAGGAGCTCCAGGAGGCCGTGGTCAAGACGATAGCCAAGCTGAATGCCTGGATCAAGGACGCTGCCAATGCAACGACTCCTACGACGCCCGGCAGTCTCGGGATTGCCCACGACGATGGAGCCTCGATGATGAACTTTGCTGTCACGGACGGTGTCACGGCGGTCTGCTCGCGGTACATCAGCTCGAGGCATTTGGAAGCCGCAAGTCTTTACTACTCCTCGGGGAACCGATTTGAGAAATGCAACTCGTCGCATTACCGGATGGTGAAGGATAATAGGCGGCAGGACATGGTGGTGATTGCATCGGAGCCTTTGACGTTTGAGAAGGCCGACTGGTTGACGATTCCGACCAACTCGGTCATAGTGGTGACCAGCAAGATGAATGTGTTGATCTACCCCGTCGTCGACGAATACCATAACCCGATATCTCGGGGACGTGGTAACGTGGAGCAAGATATCCCTGTTGTCGTTGCTGAATTGAAGGGCGAGAACCGAGCGGATGGAGCGAGAGACACCGAAAATCGAGAGATTGTCTTTGTTGAGGGTCAAGTACAGAAGCCAACTGCGCTGAGTATTGAGATTAACATCCGAAACGGTGACCTTACTGGGTTTGATAGTGGAAGCAGTGCGCCTTCGACACCTACCTCATCCTCACAGCCGTCATCCTATATACCCTCTTCACCCTCGGCCTCCTCCATGTCCTTGTCGACTGAATCTCTTCGATTGCCTGCAGTACCCGGATACACCAAACCCTCTGGTGAGGACTCTGTGGATGAAGAGTGCAATGGTAGTGATCCCGATTATGGCCATGAGGCTGACAACGACGACGATGATGATTCGGACAACGAAATTGAGGCAGACTATCGGATCTTCCCTAGTAAGAGACGCGCTTTGTCTGGCTTAAAATCCTCCTCCCTTACCGCAAGGTTTGGTACTCCTAGAGCTTCTCCTGTGGCCCCGGTTACGAAAGTAGCGACGTCGATTGAGCGGAACGCAGGTCGAGACCGCTCCTCCTCGTCTTCGGTGTTTCTTCCACTGTAGGCTTTTTTTGTTCTTTTGGCGGAGAGCGTTTTTGTGATTGGGGACGAATGTTTCAAATAAATTAATTTCTACGCCGCCACCAAAATAAAGTGAGGGGGAGTTTTTTTTTTTTATTTCCGCGTCGATCAGTTCTTTGCGATTGGATGAGAGAGAGAGAGAGGGAGAGGGGGAAAGGAGGGACAACGCGTTGAGCATCGAACACGCCGCTTCTTTTTTCATTTAGACATTACACAGGATAACAACGACTACGCAGTTGCAGAGAAAAATTAGGAGGATACATTATTATGTGGTACAGTACATTGGTGGTATTAGAGATAAGTAAATACAAAATGAAGCGCTCATTTGAAGTAGCCAGTGGCCTGCTGTTGTCCCTGACGACACCTCTCCTTCTTCTCCCTCGCAAACTCCCTCGCCTGGTCCTTACCCAAATCTACATCAACCCTCAACAGCACAATAACCCCCAACACAATCAATCCCAACGGGAACCAGAACGCCTTGCGGTAATCGTGGACATACGTATAAATCGCACCTGTCACAAAGGGACCCAACCACGACGATCCCTTATCCGCCAACAGGTATAATGAGAACCACTCATTCTCATCCCCTACGGGACACAGTTCCGAAAGCATGACCCTCATGGAGGAGTAAAAGGTGCTGATGATGAGGCCAATGTAGACCGTACAAGCCCACCCTTCCCCAACAGTGCGGAGTCCAGCCTTGTCGGAGAAGTATGGGGCGATGACGAGGTAAGCCATGAGGAGGGAGTAGAAGCCGAGACACAGGAGGATCATGAATTTTGTGGTGAGGGACCAGTATTTGCGGATGACCATGAATAGGTAAGCGCCGAGGGAGGCCATGAGGGCAAGGAGGACGGAGATGATGATGGAGTGGGTGTGAGTGAAGGCTAGTTCGCGGTAAAGGATGATGAAGAGGATTGCGGGGATGGTGTTGATCCCGTCCGAGAGGATGAACCAGGCGATCATGAACTTGAAGATCTCGGGCAGTTTCCGGAACGATGTCAACGTTTTGTACGCTATTATCAATGAGGTCGATGAGTATGGTTGATTAGAAATAGGAGGTTATGACTTTGAGGCAAAGCATTACCATAGAGACAAGAGGGAGGAAGGGACTTACTTTTGGACCAGGAATAAACAACCCAATTAGTCCCCTCGGGCAACGGTTCATTAGGCCTCGCATCCAACCAAGGGGCAATAACAACCATCCACACCAACCACCAAACTCCCGAAAACGCAATCGCAATCTCCAAACTCAACGAACTCTCCTTCATACTCCACGAGATCCCAATGCAGAACCCATGGATCAACACCGAGCCGATATTCGCAACCACGACCGACATTGCCGAGAGATCATTAATCTTTTGTTCCTGAATCTTGCGGATGATGGCCAGGGACTCGCCTCGGGATTCGGCAGAGAGGACTTCGGGGTGGGCTCGACCGTAGAGGGGTAGGAAGGAGTGGGAGAAAACGCCAGCGATGTTGAAGAATGTCCATCCGAGGGGGGAGAGGATGGCTCCGACCCAGAAGAGGGAGGGTTTGTAGATGATGAAGAAGGCGCAGGCGTTGATGCAGCCTAGGACGGAGAAGGCGATCAACAGGGTCTTCCTGTACGCTATTAATATATCCATCCCACATGAAGGAAAAGAGATGACCATCGGAAGAAAAAAAAGAAGGGTCAATTGTTAGATGCATGGAGTGGCAGGGTTGATGTTGCAAACTCCTTGTTTATTACCCTTTGTTCATTACCCAGTATCGCTTGGCCCCTTCCCTCCAACTGCGCACGCACAAAGGGAGCTTCGACTGATTGCATTTTGCAACACTTTGTCAGCTGGCAACAGCCTTCGTCTTACAGCTAGATCCCATTTCACTTCTTGTCTTCAGTCCCCTCCTTTTGAATGCTGGTTTCCACGGCTCTCTTTCTATTATATCTGGAGTAAATGTAAGAGTCCCTGGCTCCCATTACCACCCCTTGACGCTCGTTTCGCCCTTCCTCTTTCTGCGCTTCCTCTCTCTTTCTCGCTCTCTTTTCTTTCCACGGAGATGTCCCTCCTTTCCTTCTTTTTTCATGTCAAAACATAATGAAGCTCACATCGATAAATCAAAAAAAAAAAAGCCTTCCAAGGAAGAACTTACATCCGTGGTCAGCAACAGCAGAGATAGACAACGACATGAAGAAACTCAGAATCGACGACAGCGAAGAAATATACAAGGAAATCGTGCCCGGTTCGAGGTAATGCCCCAAAACGGGGGTGACACATTTATAACCGGGCACGGTGGTGTTGCAAGGGATGGCGTGGTTGGATGCCTCGAAGCCGGCCTTGGAGGCCATATCTTGGATTAGCAGCGGCACAAGGAGTGCGGAGGCTACCCAGCCATATCCACAGTATCTATATGTGTTGGTTGGTGGATGTAAAGGAGAGGGATGAGGAGATGTGAGAATGTAGAAAAGTGTTCAACGTGGCCCTTGAACGTTGAAAGAGAAGAAAAAAAACTTACGTTGCATTTTGGATGTACTAGAATGGAACAAAGAAAGAGAGGAAGGAAACAAACATGAAAAAAGGTTAGTTCTTAGGCCTGGTTCAAGATCCTTTTGTTTTTCTCACCTAATCTCAACAACCAGACTTGATAAATGACTAATGAGAAGAGATCATACCCAAGCCCATTCTTCAGATTTCTTCAGGGGTGGGACAGAAGGTTGATGGTTCTGCTTCTCTTCATAGTCGGTCAGATCCAAGTCTGTGAGCGTCGTAGTGCTGTCCGAAAGGAACCTGGAGGGTGGCATTTCTTCTCAACGAAAGATGCCAAAGAAAAGGAAGAAGAAGGAGTTGGCAAGTGGTAAGAAGGTAAGGGTTGGGGAAAGTGTGAAAGAAGAGTCGAATAGACTGGGCAAGGAAGAGCGGACGCAAAATATTTCGTTTTTGGGGAAGAGCGATGATTGGGTAGACGGTTGTTGTGGGTATCAATTTATGTGAGAGAGAGAAAAGAAGAGCGATGGTTCACAAGGCAAGTATTGGGTGCAGGGGGGATGGGGTATTGACAAAAACAAAGAAGATTGTGAAGGAAAGAAGAAAAAGATAGATGCCGACTCCGTTTTATGTTCTTCCAAGACTTTGAAGGTAAAAGGGGAGAAGGAGAGAGCGTATGCAATCAGCGTTACCGACTGAATGTTACTACAACCCTTCTTTTTTCTTCTTTCTTGACGTCCTCAAAGTAAAGAGGTGGATAACAGGCAATGCATAAGTAGTCTTGAAGGGCAGTAAACCTCTTTGTCAGATAGCCAAAAAAAAAGGTGTGGTTCTATTGAATGGTATGATCGGCTTGGATCCTTTGTCTGTTTTCTGTGGTTGTTGCTGGTTAAGACGAAGTAGTGATAATGATGACTGTAGTGATGGTGGTTACTTGACGGATGCATACTGCCAACTGAAAGGGCTGAGTGTGAGGGAGAGAGACTTTCAAGTGTGGCATGGCAATAATAGCGTTGGTCTACCAGAATTCTCTCTGACAACAAAACTGCTATTCCATTGTACGCCAAGTGAATGGTCGTATGAGGGTCTCGTCCTTTCAACCGTTCGTTCCTTTTGTTCATTTTTCATCCGATGACTGTTGTCCGAATGAACTAAGAAGTACATAGCCGCGACGAGATCATTGTCTCCGGGGGCCGAAGAGTCAGTAATCGTATCAATTGAAGAGAGGGTCATGATCGACATCGTTCGTAATCACAGTAAAAGAAGCAAGATTTGTTCTTTTTAACCGTTGCAAACACAGAGTGAAATCTAAGGTGGTATTATTTGGTGTGAAAATTTAGTACTGAGGAAGTTTGACGACCATGCCCTCTAGTTCTGGCTGAATCTTGATCTGGCAACCGAGTCGAGAGATATCATCCTTGCGTCCAACGGCATACTCTAACATATCCTCCTCCCCATCTGTGACAGCGGTCAACCGTGCGTTGAATGGAGGCTCAATGTATACATGGCAGGTGGCACATTCTAAATAAGATCCAGACACGAGTTAAAGGATTAGTGTGACGTCCCCTCCCCACTCCTATGACATCAATTCTCCACAAAAGGATGATTTTCCCGTTCACCCAAATAAAAACTTACCCAGCTGGCCACCGCAGGTACACTCCAGTGCTTGGTAGACGCCCTGGCGACTGGGATCCTTGTCCTTGACAATATCCAGAATGCGTTCGCCGACCTTGGCATCAATCTCTGTCCTGACCTTTTGGAACGTCTCAAAAATGATCTTGACCCTCTGGGGCTCCTCAGTAACCCCACTACTGCCAGTCTTTGGGGTGGAGGGCTTGTTGGACTCGACCGAGACAGCATTGACCTGCTCCTTCAGCCCGTCATCTTCGTAGAGCTCCTCGCCAGGGGCAGAGAACAATCCACGTGGCTGCTCATCTTGCTGCTGGTTCTTTGGTGAAGGCCAAACCATCCTTGACTTTTGCTTCTCCAGAACCTCCTCGTACAACTTCAGTTGCTCCTGTTTGTTCATTCCGATCCGCCCTCTCCACTTATCAATCATAACGGGATCCGCCGCTCTCTCTCTGACACCTCCCGCAATCCCACCATTCGCAAGTGCATCAAACAAGATCTGCTGAGCATCGTTCGAGTCCAGTTCCGAGAGGTTGCCGTGCCAATCTCCCGAGGGGTACATGATGGTGTTGGGAGCGAACTTGTGTCCTCCAATATGACTGATTCCATAGATCTTGACAGAATTGGTCAACCCAGTCATCTCGACCATATCCTTCAGGATCTTGAACATGTCTCCTCCACGCTCACCACACTTGCAATCACGCGATCCATGAATGCAGACCATGACCGCACTGGGCTCCTTGACCAATTGGATCGTCACAGGCTCGCCGCTTCCGGGGACTAACTCTGTCGTCCATTTGTCGTCGTCACTGTTAGCTTCCTGAATCTGTTTCTCCAATGCGGGGCGAAGGGTGCCGATAGGGTGTTGCTCCAGGTACCGAGTGAGATCCTGGAACGCCTCTGTGCGGACATTGAGGAACTTCACATTGTCGGGGAAGAGGATCAGATCGTGTCGAGGACCCTTTGTGGGGAGCGCATTATCTTGTGGGGGTTCGGACCCATCCTCGACCCAATTGACCTTGACTTCCTGGCCACGGACAGCGGTCATGAGGAGGTTGTGGTAAATATCTGCGAGCTCGGGTTTCTTGATCCAGTTCATGGACTCGACGCCCGTACAGATCACGAGGTGGCGCTTGTAGGCTGGTGCTGAGCCCTGGATCGGCTCTTCCTCTTGCTGTTGTGCCTCTCCTGCTGCCACTGGTGTGCTGTTGTAACGATTAGTTGTTGTGGAAAAGGTGCGAGACGACGGCGAGTACGAGTGGGCGTAAGAAGACAGAGCTCTGAGGGTGAATGTCGAAGTTGCTCTAGGAAGCTGGATCCCATTGCGGACGGAGGATCTGAATGTAGGAGGTTGAATGAGTGATCGAGTGTGGGTGACATGAGCATGACTTGACTGTGAGACTCGAGCGATCAGTCCGGTGTGTCCTGTCCTTGGGAGAGCTGCTATCCGGTATGCGATCGACATGGCTTGTAGTTGTTGGATCTAGTGGTCGAGTAAGGTGAAAGTGGAATCTCGGAAAAAAGGATTTCGGGAGGAAAAGTGAAGAGGGCGGGAGGAAGCCCTCTACCCCCACTATTTGTAGTTTTTTGCAAGCAACGAATCTGATAAGGTTTTTTCCTTTCTGGGATTCCCTCCAGTGTCCAATTGCCACGGCATTTCTTTTAGGCATTGAGTGGCTCCTCTGGACCACTAAGACTAGAGGGATAATACTTTGTTTACAATGACAGCGGGTATCAGAGTGAGGGTACAGAGGAGAAGAGGAGAGGAGAGGAGGAGAGGAGGAGAGGAGGAGAGGAGGGGAGGAGGGGAGGAGGAGAGGATTGGATCGTCATGGTGTTATGTACTAGTATCCCATGGTGGCACACGCCAAGAAGACCACTGAGGAAAATACAATTGGCGTCTTTTGGGCCTGTCGGCATCTTCCGCCATTGGGAAAATTCTTTTATTATTTGACATCTAGTATCGTACAAGACAACGAGGGTATATAGGAGTGGAGCTGAAAAAAAAGAGGGAGATCTAAAAGTTCATGAATGTACTCTTGCGCCAGAACGGATAAACAACCAACGCCGACAAAAACACGCCAAGAGTAATAGCAACCGAAACATTAATCATCGTCAACACAAACGTAAACCCCTGCGAGGGATCACTCCCAATGATCGCTAGAATCCCACGCACACCCACACTCCCTGGAACAAGCAATAACACTCCACTCAGCAAGGGGACATAACTCAATTGGCCTGTGACGCGACCATAGAGTTGGCCTGTGACGCCGACTGCAAATGCAGCAATGGCTGCTGTGATCTGGGGTCCACTCTTGAGGAATAAAGTGAGGACGAAACCGACGGATGTGACGAGGGTCATGCCGAACCATTGGCGGAGATGGGCGTTGAAGACAATGTTGATCGATGCTGAGACGGCGGGGTAGATGAGAAAGTACCACCAACGGTTGATTGAGTGTTTGCATGCGTCGGGCGAAGCAAGTTCTGTATGTCCTGAAACCTATTTTGTCATAGGAGAAAAAGGAGCGAGTGTGTTAATTTGATTGAAAACGAAGACCACAACATTTACATAAAACAGACGAGAAATGCCAAAACTTACATAACCCCAGAGCTCAGCGCCAATGGTGAGCCCAAACCCGAGAAAGAAAGCATACATGAGGGCATAGAACATCCTCACAGCACCTGAAACAATGTTCCTGCTGGACAATTCCATGATGGCCTGGGTCAGCAACAAACCAGGCAGTAACACCACTACACCAGCCAAGGCAACCGCCTCAAAACAGACCCGATCTCCAAACGACTTTGCCAAGAACCCGACCAAGATACTCGCTGTAATCTCAAACACATTTCCGTACACCGGGAACCTAGACGCAACCACACCAAGGACACCGACCATCAGCCCACAGAATCCTGCCAGCGCCATGTCGTACCACCCACCACCAAATGCCAGTGGTGTAACAAAGGCAGACGATCCCAACCATCCCAGTAGTGTCAGCCACAATGGGTAAATGGGTGGCTCCAGGGTGACCCTCTCCAAATCCCTGTTGGCATCCTCAACACTCTCACCTCGGAGAACTGCCAGTGCAATCTTGTGGACCTGTGCCAGCTTGTTCATGTCCATGCCTTGAGAGCAGCGAAGGTGGCGAGTATCACTCGTATGCGTTTCTGGATCGCTAAAGGAGATGGTCATCAGACCGGGCAGCAGTGCAAACGAGGCATCGACGTCCATCTTCCTGGCCAACTGAGCGCATGTCTCCTCGATTCGGTGTGCTGGGGCTCCATAGAGGACCAACGACTTTGCCATCATGATCAGAAACGACTGTCGGGTCAGGATCTCGGCGATGTCGCGGTGAATGCTCCTGTGGTCCGTCGCCGCTCCTTTGACGCTGCGTCCTGACTTGCGTTTCCGCTGTTGTTGCTGTGGATCCCGCTCAAAGACTGTCGAGTTACGTGGAGAGACCCTGGGTGTGGTGGTGACGGAAGGCGGAGCACTGTCCTTCAGGCTGGTCGTGGAGTTGTTTCGGGAGGTAGCGCGGTAGTAAAAGCCCTTCTTCGTCTTTTTGAGCGTTGAAGAGTTCTTGTTAGTCGTTGATGAGGTCTGGGAGGGTGGAGGAGAGCCAGAGGTAGAAGCAGCAGCAACGGCGGCGGCTTCGCTCCGTTGGAGTTTAAGAAGTTGACTGAGGATACCGCCCTTGGGCTTACGGCGGCGGAAACCTTCTGAGGGATCGATCTTGTCAAGTTCGACTGGGTCAAAACGGGCATGCTTCTCGTCTGGGTACTTTTCGCCACCCGGGGCATCCTGATCCATTTTGGCGTCGTATTCGTTATCGCTGATATTCCCCTGCGCTAATTGACCCATGTTTGACTCCAGGTCCAGGACGACAGCATCCTGATGATGAACTCGACCCGTGATGGCTCTCTTCAGTGAACCCAAGGATATATTATTGTTCGACAGGTCGGTAGGCGTAGCACCAACGACAGCAGCGGAAGAGGAAGAGGCACCATTGGCATCGTTATGGCCGTGATGGTGATGGGGGTGACTCGAGAGGTCCTCCATGAGAATCTTGGAGGGTCGACGCTTGGCAGCAGCATGGACCTGAGAGAGCGTGGGTAAGGGTACAGTTCCGGAAAAGGATCCGACAAGTCCAGGGTCTTCGATGGCTCTGGCAAATCGTTCGACTCCCAGGCTTAGCTTTTGCAACTCAGCTGTGGGGGTCCCCAGAGGAGTATCCTCGGGGGTTGAGGAGGAAGACCCTGCAGGATTGAATGGATTGATCGGTTCTAGCGGGCCTGGAAATCTCTTGGACGACGTTGACGGGAGAGCGAAGCCTGAGGATGCACCCCCTGCATGCATCTGCTGTTGGAACTGATGTTGTTGCTGCTGCTGCTGCTGAGGTGAGGTGATATGGGATGAGTGTGCTTGAGGGACAACCGGGCTGGTAGTGGTGGTGGCAACTTGGGGTGGATCTTGTGTGACGAGAGGATGAGGAGGAGGTGTGGCTGCGGCCTGGCTGTGATAACTTCCAATCGAGCTCGTGGATTGATCTGCCATGGTTCTTCTTGTAAGGGTGATATGATGCGATTTGTAAGGAAGATGTAAAGGTGAAGGGGGAGGGTTGAAGGAGTGAGGAGAAAAAAAAAGAAAAAAAGAAAAGGAATCGACGAATGGCGAGCGAAACGGCTCTTTTTTGTTCTTGTGATGGCCCCTACAACTTAAGAGGTAGTCTTATCTGGGTGTATGCGTCAACCACCACGGACAAGGATTGTTAAAGAGAAGGTCCAGAGACCAATAGACTTTTCTTCGTACTCTCGATCTGAGAGCAGCAAAGGTGAAGAGGTGAAGAGTAGAAGAACAAGAAAAAAAAGAAAAAAAAAAAGAGGTTGTTTCTCAAACGGCCATTGGTCACACATCCGATTTGCCTCCTGCAGAAGCACGCTGTCGCCAGGGCAGAAGAGACGGAGTATCAACAGAATCGGATGCCAAAAAAGAAGAGGGAAATGAGCCTTCTGGACGTTGTGTGGTGTGAGGGCAGTGTTCGCCTGAATCGATCGCAAGGGGTTTGCTCGATATGAAGGCATCATTACACCTTATCGACAAACAACTTCTGAACCCTCGTGCGCTTCACGACGCCTTATCGTAAATAAACACAACAATCCTAACAAAGAACAAACCTTCCAGCTCATCAACCTTCATTGCTATTGTGAATGATGTCTTGAACCCAGCGATGTCGCGAAGAAGGGGAATCTCATCACTTTACTCGAATGGAATTCTCGCCTGTGGCTTTTTCTTCCTCGTCATGACTTCATGGAATGATTCTTGACACCAAAGTCGTCTCTCCCCTCTATTGCTTTTCTCTGCTTTGCACTCTCCAACCCCGAACCCCGCTTTCTTCTCTTCAAATAACAACCCCAGACGCAAAATATGTTTTCCAACGCGTTTCGATCGACAGTGCAGTTGCGTGCAGGTGTCTGTTCCTTCTCCACCACGAGGTACGCACAACTCTTGCACCCTCGTATCAATTTTCCCACGCACTGCGCATAATGTTTCCAAGTAGCAATTGATTGACCCCTCATCACAACGGGCGATAGACTACTCCTAGCGGGAAGACCCAAGATCTACACTAAGACTGGTGACAAGGGAACATCGGCTCTGTTCACAGGCGAACGTAGACCAAAAGACGATGTCGTCTTTGATGCACTTGGTAACTATTACCGATACTGCTGTTCCTCACGCTTTACTGCTTATTGATGTTGACAATTGCATTCCAACTGTCGTGTTTACTATCTGTCTGCCTACGATATTCAATTGCATGTTTTCTTCTATAGGTACTAATGACGAACTGTCGTCCTCAATTGGGTACGTTACCACACCTCTACTTGCACCGGTCGAGATGGCAAACTCGTATCCCTGCGCCAAACTATTTACTGAGCGACTAATTTTGTAACAACCATGCCTTGATATCTGATCACCATCATACATAACAGCCTGGCTCGCGAGTTCTGTCTGGACCAAGGGGACAGCGTCCAAGGAATCGTAGGCCAATTGGAACAGATTCAGTGCCTTTTACAGGATGTGGGATCAAACATTGCTACGCCTCGCGACTCTGCAACTGCACCTCGGTTGGCCCGTACAGAATTCGATGCTGACGGTCAACATGTTGAGGACCTCGAAACCTGGATTGATTCTATGGACCAGGAATTACCTCCGCTGACTAGTTTCATCCTGCCCGTAAGATACCGTTTGCCCATTCATGCGTTTTGCACTTGCAATACGTATGTGAAATGAACATTCCCACGAGGAGGTGATCAGACTGATTAATTAATTTGAAACCGTTTCCGCCTTTTTGTTCAATAGTCGGGAGGAAAGGCGGCGGCTGCGTTGCATGTGGCAAGGTCTGTGAGTCGTCGCACAGAGAGGATGGTCGTGCCTCTGGCTCAGGAGCAACGAGTCGACAGGAGTGTTGCAATCTACCTGAACCGACTCAGTGATTATCTGTTCACATGTGGTCGATATGCTGCCATGAAGGCTGGTCGTCAGGAAGTCGTGTACAAGAAGCCTAGAGCGCCACGTGTCAAGAAGACCTCTCCTGTTCCTGAAGAATAAAACTTGTAACTAATTATTCTTGTAATATTCGTTTATTCAAGTCAACGACTCAGAAAGACACATCCTCATCTAGGCCTTGGGCTCGGCAGGGATGGTCTCCTTCAAAAAGTTCAATAAGTCTCTAATTTCCTGTGGGGAAGATCCATGTCCCAAGTTGCGGTAGGTGTTGAACCGGACGTCAAACTTATTCTTCTTCAACAACTCGACCGACTGCACACCATAGGCGTAACGGACCACCTGGTCGGCATCTCCATGTCCCCAGAAGATGGGTGTCTTGCGGTTAGCATCTGAAGCCATGTTCATGATCTTCTTGTGCAGGGGCATGTATCCACTCAACGAGACGATTCCGGCAAACTTGTATTCGGCAGTCAGTCCAGTCAACAAGCCCATAACGGATCCCTGTGAGAAGCCTCCAATGATAATGCGGTTGGCGGGGATGTTGTTCTCCTCAACCTCCTCACGAATAATCTGCATTACTATTTGTGTTTAGAGTGCAAATAACTTGTCAACATACATTCCTGAAAAGAACTTGGTATTGATTAGGCGATAAGGTGTTCCTGCTTGAATGAAAGGACTGATGTGGTACCTCGCTGGCGCGACTTGAGCATGCCGGCCTCGTCCTGATCGGTGTCGATGGTCGACAAAGCCTTGATGTCGTACCAGGAGGGCATGGCCATGCCGTTGTTTAAGGTCACTGGCATATCAGGAGCGTTGGGGAAGATGAACTTGACATGGGGCAGATGTCTTCCAAGCTATTTCAGAAACAGACATTGACACTGTGAGATAGGGTCGAAGGCATATTCCCGCATCAATTGACTCGCAAATTCTCCTCCGTTTGTTCATACCTCCTCTCCGACGGGAGCCCTATTAGTTCCATGGAATTTTATGAGGGAAAAACAGGGAGGGTCAGTTGCCCTGGTTCAGTTTGAACGTAATGTCTCGGACGGTTACAGGTACACAAGTTGTGAAATGTGGAAAGGATGACTTGCCAGCCGTGACCAGAGTCTCCAAGTCCGTGGATGAAGATGACGGTGGCGGAGTGCTTGGCAGTTGCCTGGTGGACGACCGAGGTTAGCTTCTGGAGAGTGGATGCCATTGCTTGGTGGATGTAGGGTTTTGATTAAGGAGGAAAGAGAATGAGGTACCAACTCTAGGGTTGTGGGTTGCTAAACTAGCCAGAGAATAGCAGTCATGATTTCCTATGCAGGACATGCGATAAGAGGAAGCTACATCTTACGATCGCGTCCAACCCATCAAGCTAGTTTCTGACCAGCTCCTCAGAGCAAGCGCATAAAGAAAAATGTCTCATCCACACCAGCAAACAAATACGATCCCGGCCCTTCTTTTGTCTTTCTTTTTCTTGTCGCTTTTTTTTCTTATTCTTTCAAACTCACCCACATTCCTCACCCCACTCTACAACTCTACCTTTCACACAACCACCCCACTCCCACTTCAACAAACAAACTGTTCACACACCCAAAATGAATAATGTCACCCCCCTTCTCATGAGCTTCCTCGACCAGCAGGCTCGCCCTCATGTCCAGGGAAAGGTCACCGAGCAACTCAACACCACCAAGGGTGATCTCAAGAACGACCTCCCCAACACCATTCTCAACTACCTTTCCGGCAAGGACTCCCACGACGGTGCCGGCGGCAACCCCATGATCTCCGAGTTGGTCTCGACCCTTGGCCCCAACGTCCTCAAATCCGTCTCGTCCGTCACGAACTCTACCGTCGATACTGCCTCCGAGGGTATGGATACCCTCCTTACTAATGGTATCATGAATATTGCTAAGTCTGTCCTCGCCCAAAGAGCTACCAACGCCGACGGTGGACCCGCCGAGACTGGTGGAATCAACTTTGATTTCTTGAGGAGTGGAAGGGAGGGCATGGTCAACACGACCATGTCCGCCTCTGAGCCCGTCATCAAGCAGGTCAGCGAGAACATGTCGGCCAAGCTCTCCTCAGCCATCCCCGGCGCTATTGGAAACGCCCTCCAAAGCATGATGAACCAACAGGCTGGCGGTGCTGGTGGTGCCATGGGTATGACTGCTGGTTTAATGTCGTCCTTTATGAACCATGGGAACACAACGACTCCTGCCAACCCCGCTGATGGTGCTGCCACTGTTGCTGGTGGTAACGAACCCATTCAGCAGCTCTGCCAGAGCATGTTGGGACCCAAGATTGCCACGCTCCTCAAGCCCTACTTGGCCAACTTTGAGACCCAGATGGTAAAGCAGCATAAGTTTTTCTCTCGATTCTGAAAATTGTTTTTCTTTTCAGCTTCTTCATCAAGATTTGCAAAAAACAAAGGGGCGGCCTTTTCTAACACAGCTTTGTACCCTCTTTTTTCCATATTAAAATAGACCCAGACCTTGGAGAACGAGCTCCGCGAGAAGGTCTTCTCGTCCGATTATATCAAGTTGACCGTCATGGGCATGCTCACTGGAAGTGGGAAGGATGGTGCTGGAAATGTTCTTGGAGGCGTCATGAATGCCATGATGGGCAACCACAGCGGTGCCAACAACGCCAACGACGGTCAACAGAGCGGTCAACCTTCAACCCTGAATGCCTTAGGCAGTCTTGCCAGTTCCTTCATGAAAAAGTAGTTCTCATCTCTAGTATATTTCTTTCTTGTACATAAATCACATCAATTAAATGATCCTTTTCCTATCATCGTCAAAGAGGGAGCCATTAACAAGCACAACTTCAACTTCGTTACTCTGTTGAGCAAGCTGCTCTTTGGATGAAAACTGGGGTTGAATAGAAACTTAGAATTTGGGCCATTGCGTGCTTGTCAACGCTATGAGCGATCGTAGACGTATGCCACCTGTTGGCAATAATAAAACGTCATCATTTCGTCAGCACAGCCTTGTCGCATTGCAAAACTCCAACTTCCCAACTTCCAAGTATTGTATGTGAATGTGAGTGTGGTACTTGGTTTTTGGTGGCAAACATTGATCAACCGCACATTGTCCTAGCACAAAAGATTGCAAGGCAAGTGCCCCTTAAAGATTTCGTGCCAATTTAGTGAATCGCCTAGATCAGGCCATGAGCTTCCTCCCTTCTCTCAATTTTAGCAACAATGAGTCGGTATGTGCTTGCATAAGACATCCACCCATGGGTGTAGAAATCCAAGCACAATCCATCGATCAATCCATCGAGTACTACACCAACAACCAGGACGGGATCACCTACGACAATGTCATCAGCATCTATGCTGCGCCTATATCCATCATCGACACTCTTCAAAAATAATACTCATCTGCAGGAGATGGGTTCGAGGCTACTTTTGGCTGAGGAGGAAGAACCATCATCGACTAGCCTGCCAGACCAGTGGCACTTTGCTTTACGGGATCGACAAAACTGAACCGGCAACGATCAGGAAGAAGAAGAAACATCCGTCGACAGCTTTTTTTCGACACAGAAACCAGGCTTGAACAAGCAGGAATTCATGGCGAAACTATGATTCAAAACCCGATCACACTCAGTCAAACGCCACACCTTCAATGGACGATCCAGCAACCTGCCAACTGTCTAAAGGCAACAACACCAGTCAAAATACTCCTTACAAGACTCAACAGCGACACTCCAGCGAAAAGCAGCAGTGATGGAAGGCTTGAGCAACCTGGGACAGAGTAGACATCTATTTCTGTTGCGGCTGCGATGGTCGGAGCGATCACCCACGCCAGCAACAGACAACCCGTTTACCTCACACAGGACAGGAGTAATACGACCAACCACTTTTCAGGAAACACCACCACTTCCCTTTCCTTTCGCCTCCTCGACTTCTACTTGTGCCCAGGAACTTTCCGCTAACCTATCCTCAACATATCTCTTCCCCGTTCGTTCACTTTTAGTCTTTACGCTAAAGGTCGTGTTCTTGGATTCAAGCGCGCTAAGCGCAACCAGCGCCCCGACATCTCCCTCGTCCAGATCGAGGGTGTGAAGACTCTTGCCGATACCGAGTTCTACCTCGGCAAGCGTGTCGCTTTCGTCTACCGCGCCAAGCGTGAGGTCAACGGCTCCAAGATCCGCTGCATCTGGGGCCGCATCACCCGCGCCCACGGTGGTTCCGGTGCCGTTAAGGCCCGCTTCCGCAACAACTTGCCCGCCAAGTCGTTCGGTGCCTCCGTCCGCGTCGTACGTTTATTGTTTTGTTTTTTTTTGTTTGCTTCAAGAGATAGGAGTTATGATTTGCTTCAGGACGTCAGATACTTACCAAACAATTCGCTTTCTTTTCACTTCTATGTCGATCGGCTTTTTTCATGGATATTGACAGATGATGTACCCTTCCAGGTATGTTAATAACACCAACTGTTTTCGACTCGTTTGGAAATAATGCACCTGTTGTCAATGATCATCGATTAACGTCTTTCTTTTCTTTTTTTTGTGTTCTTCCTGTCTCTAGAGTTTAAGTTTCCTGTCCGTAAATAAACCCGTGGAGCAATTATCGACTCTGACAATTAAAAAATACACAAAGGCGCAACTCAACTGGAAGAACCGTCCTCAAAAAAACCAACTCTCGGATCACTCTATTGTCTTCAGCAAGCGTTTTGACGTGTGTGTGTGGGATATGTTATGGAGAGGGCAGCACAGGAGCTGGTGGTGATCGTCAGAAAATGGGCGAAGATGTTTTCTGTCAGGGTGGGGCCTTTGATCAAACAAAAAAAAAATGAAGGAAGACAAAGGCACCACTTTACGGCATGGGGGAATGGTTTATCGGTCGAAAGTGTGTCATGAAAGAAAGAGTAGTGCAGCCAACGGACAGATCGCACAGCTTCAAAACTAAGAGCACCCTGGAAAAAATTACAATGTGGTGATTTATTGACTCGACGTTGACCTTGGTGGTGTTGCCTCTGCTGCTATCGTCGTTGTGGTGTTCTGAGCAAGTGCTTTCTCTTTATCGGCCTGGAGTCGACTCCGAACCTCCGCAATGAGTTCAGCATACTCGTCCGCATACTTGGCAGCGTGCGCGAACGCTGACGCTGACGCAACAGCCACATTGACCGCATTGCTGTTGGCCTGGTTCGGGACAAAGGCCGTAGAACTCGAACGCCCATTACTTGATTGAGACGAAGGCGGGGTCGCTCCTGGAGAGTCCATTGCCGCTTCTCTGGCAGCAGCAGTAGCAGCATCCTCCTTGGCCTGTCGTTTTGCCTCTTTGGCAGCATGGATCTGTCGCTGGGCTTGTTGCTGTTGGTCGAGGATCCTGCGTTGTGTCTCCCTGACCTCCAGATCCTTTTCATAGGCTCGCTCCCACACCTGCATCGCCTTCATCAACTCGGACAATGGCTTGGGTCGTGTGGAATCGCAGTTGGCGTTGAAGATAGTCGCGAACTCGGCGTGTCTCTTTGCCATCATTGTCTTGTCTCCATTCGTTTGTAATCCCAATTCCTATATTACCGGAACAAAGCATTAGTCTATATTGATATCAAAACGACGAACGAAGAGTAAAATGAAGGATTAATTAATTACCTGCAACTTTTTCCTGAGCTGCTTGTCGTTGAGAAGACTGTATGTGAGCTTTGGTATCCTTTTTGGCTCAGGCGCCGCTGGTTTCGGTGTAAACATAGGTTGCCTGGGCGCCGTTCCGTTCGATGACATTTGCGGTTGCCACTGCATAGTCGACTGTCGCGCTGGAGAGTTTGGTGTGCTTGAATTAGAACCGACTGACCGTCCTGGTGTTCCTGGTTTTGTCAATGAGCTGTTGGTTTCCGGAACAACATCTCGGGTTGATGTTCCTTGTTTCGTGTACAAGGCAATGACCGAGGCTGGCTGCTTTGAGATCAAGCTATAGGGAACCGTGTAGTCTGGGTCTGTTCGGCCTGCCAGACAAAACTTGTCCAGGTGTGTGTTGGTGTATGGTTCCGGGATACCCTTCTCGCAGATGGGGCATGCAACAAGGTCTGGACCAATGACAGGTGATGAAGCAATTGATGCGACCGAGGTTGTTATTGTTGAGGAGGTGATGTTTGTGCTGGAGTTGAGTGATGCTTGTACTTCTGCTGCTGCTGGTGCTGAGTTGTGAAAATGGTCAGAGACAGTGGCTAATGATGGTTCCTGCTTTGTTAAGTTGCTTGGCTCGTGGCGCTCGTCTGCCTGCGACGACTGCGACGACTGTGATAGTGTTTGTTCCGCACGTCCACCTCTTGCCCGAAGAACCGGGCCTAATTTTCAGGTGTGAAATCGTCATTGTGAGTTTTTGCGAGTATCGATATTGCCATCACATAGCCTCGTTGCTAGCAACATGAACCAGGACTCCACTGCGAGCACATACCCGTAGAGCGATGGATATTCTTTCCCTTGTGCCTCAATGGAGACGAATCGCGATGGTTCAAGACAAAGTCGTCATCCTTGTCATCATCCAGTGAGACCTGACCCATGGCAATGTCGGCGTGATCCTGGCTACTCGACACATTCCTATTGGTGATCCGGGTGGATGTCCGCCGCCGCTTTTGTTGAGGACTGTCATAGTCAATGTCCATGCTCTCTTCCTTGACAAACTGAGGGGATGGCACTGGCTTTACTACTGGTTTGGGCCGCACAGCTTCCATTAGTGTGTTGAGTAATAGTGATCTATGAATCAATGAACCGAAAAATGTCCGAGTACACAACGAGCAGCGTTAAGCTATGCCGTTATTTTTTGCCACCAATTGCCACCAATTTTCAATAGTGCTCGATTGTATCAATTAAGAAAGCTTCTTGAGTTAAAGAAACGACAGGCGCTCACCTGCAGTCTCCAAAGTTGTTTGCAATCTCGTCCAAGGCAACGTTACGGCGCATTTGAGAGGTGGAGGTGGCGACCCTGCAAGCCGGACAGGAGGACTCCTTGTCGAGATGTCGACGAATACATTCTGAACAAAAGTTGTGAGAGCACTGGAGCACAACAGCAGCTCGGAGGAGTTCTTTGCAGATGGGACAACGAAGGTGCGAGTCGATTTCCCGGAGAGATTTGAATTCGATGGGCCAATCGGAGGGATCGGTTATACTCTCGCTCATGGTGGGTAATAGGATGGTTGCGTCGAAGAAAGTGGCAACAGCGTTGAGTGAAAGGCGAAGGAGAAGTCAACAAACACAAACTTACGTGTACGTGAAAACGGAGACAGAACGCGCCCTGAGATGTAAACCGTACGCAGAAATGAATTGTGTGGCTTGACGTGAATCTGACTGTTGATGTGCGCTGATCGACAATAATAAATAGTTGCCCAGCGAAAATTTTTCCCTTCAACCCTTCCCTCTCCTCCCACAACACACCCACTCCCTCATTCCTTCGTCCTTGAAAGAAAGGCGCCTTCGCTTTGAAAAGAGCTTCTGGCGTTCTCACTCTCAAGGACATGGAGTATTCAATTGGTAAGCACCCCTTCCGACACAATATTTTTTCACACCCTTCGACGATCGACATGAGCTGAAATGATGATTCTGGCATTTGGCTGTATATACATTCTGTATACTGACGAAAAAAAACTAGCTACCTAAATTAAACTGCTGACAACTCATATCGATACTCTACATCGCCATGATACATCAATTGATACCAAGACAAAGAAAACTAACCAATGTTTCCTCATCTTGGTTGCCATTGCAGTTCTTCACTAGAAGTCAATTGAATATTTCCAGACCACCTCAGGCGATGACTTTTCGACTCTCCAATTGGTATGTAATCTCAATCCACGCGTCGATCCTCCTTTCACACTTTTTTCGGAATGGTTCGTTATGATGAACCTGGCATTTGGCTGTATATACATTCTGTATACTGACGAAAAAACACTAGCTACCTAAATTACACTACTGAACACCAACCATTTCGAAAAAATCCTTTCTCGACTTGGATCAACAGCTGAAATGAAGTCTTTGAATTGTCATTCTAACTTCAATTCTTTTTCTTAACGATGTTGTAGATTTGCACCGATGTCTCTTTCAAAGGATAAACGCGTTTATTCAAGGAAAAATATTTCGAGAACGATTAATTGGGGTTTCGAGGAGTCGGGCGGCAGAGTCTCGCAAGGAACAATGTCTGCGTTTTCGCTATTCATTTTCATTGCGAGGCTCGACATGTTGAATGGTAAGCAAGCACACTTGAATATATCCCCTATTCAATTCTCCCATCACCCTTTTCTCTTTCTTTTTCTCTGTTCTTTTTGGTATCTTTTGATGATGATTCTGGCATTTGGCTGTATATACATTCTGTATACTGACGAAAAAAAACTAGCTACCTAAATTAAACTGCTGACAATCGATACCAAAAAGAACACTTTTTCGAGGCTGGCAATTTTGACACCGAGGGCATTGGGATACACCTGAGGGATAAACGCGCACAATGCAAAGCGAAGCAATCTGGGGTCACTGAGGGCTTTTTTTTTTCTTTCCTTTCCTTCCAACTTCTCCCCTCTCCTTTCCTCCGAAATGAACTCGTTGACTTGCCTGGATATGTTGAACTAATTTTGTAGGTTTATTTTTCTCGCTTCTCTTTGTAGATTCTCATTCAAGATGGCCGCTATGCTATATACCCTTTACCATGCAAGAAACAATAAAAGACTTTTTAAAAAACACCTTGAATCATTTTTTTTGGATTTGTGACGTAGAAACCCCTTACACGTGACTCAAGTCTGTTTTGCAACCGACTGTCTTTTTCTCCTTTTTCGCCTCACTGATCGGCATTCTTTCCGTTTCCTTTTCATTCTCCCACTCCTTTCCACCCCAAACAACAAATCACAATGGTCAAGAAGATTGCATCCAAGAGCAGCGGCAACGCCATCACCAACTTCATCCGCTCGGAAATTACTGCCCCCGAGAAGCGTGCCGGCAACACCTCGATCGCCATCTCTGTCACCGTCTTTGGCCTTGCCGTCACCTTCCTTCGCTCCCTCGGCGATATGTTGGGCGTTTAAAGGAGACTTTCTATCGACTCTCCTAACAACCCGACACATATGCACACACACACACACACACACACACCGCTATACATTCACTACACACACACCGCCCGGAAAAGAGCATCAAGGTGGAAGGGGAGGACTACAATTGAAGGGAGGAGTAACGAACAGGATTCACAACTAGGAGGAGAGCTAGGCGAGACGTAGCGAAAGAGTCGAAGGAGAAGGAGGTGGAGTAACCCAGAAACGGACGGATCCGGACCCGACAGGAGAAAATCTCCCAATTCACGACCTGTTGTTATCCTTGGAAAACTCTGTCATGGATCTGGACACCTGGACTCGACACGAGCAAGGAGCCGTACTTCCACCACCTTTTCCCTCTCTCTCTCTCTCTTTTTCTCTCTTGGACACAGACACTGACATCGATCTCCTCCCAACAACCACCCTCTCCGCACTATTTTTCATTCCTGTTCGAAACATCCAACTCCAGACTAGCCAATTCTTCTACCAAGTTCTCTTTTCTTCCTTTCCCGCTTTGTTCATCATCATATTACTTCTTTTCTCGCTTTTTTACTTGTACAAAATAAGACTTTTTCATCCTCGACTATTGTATTGGGGTTTTTTCTGTCAGTGCTATGTTCAGGTCTTTTCATCATCAGTCCAAAGGTGGACAAGAGGTCAACGACGGCGACTGCATTCCATGATGTGTGAGGATGCGGTTGGAGGTACAAGATATTGATATCGTAATGTGGACTCGTTTTTTTGATCCTGTGTATGCATCTTTTGCAGGCGGAAAACGGGATTAAGGAGCAACGGTGGGATTCCAGCCTATGTCATCCACGCACGCAACGTGTTGTTGGGGGAGGTTAGCTTGAAAAAGTGGTCATTTGCTCCTCTCCACACACCCCTTTTTTTCTGTATTGATGGCCAAATGTCAAAGCGCATGCACTAACCAGAGACATAGTCCGAATTAAAAGAGTCCAAGACACTCATGTCGCCGTCCGCGAGGTCAAAGTCGAACACATCGGCATTTTGTTCGATCCGGTCCTTGTGAGAGCTCTTGGGTATGACAATGTAGCCCTTCTGGAGACTCCAACGGATCAGAATCTGGGCTGGCAATTTGGAGTACTTTTCGCCAATCTTGATCAGCATGGGATCTTGAAGTTTGTGTCCGCGACTGAGCGGACTGTAGGCCTGCACCGCGATGTGCTGGGACTCGCAGAACGACACAATTTCCTGACGCGTCAACCATGGGTGGACCTATTATCCAAAAATGAACAACGTCGACAATGAGTAAGCGAGGGTTTGACTTCTTTGTTTTTCGCTCCTGTGAGAATAGTTTGCTCCTGACAATACTTGTTTGAGTTGCTTCTTTTCTGGACTCACCTCAATTTGATTGACAACTGGTCGGATGGTCGGATTAGAGCCAAGCAGCTCCTTCAGATGCTGCACGCCATAGTTCGATACACCTAAACCGAATAAAACATCCGTGGACGGAAATGAGTAAGGTGCAAAGCAAGAATGGGGTGGTATCGGTTAGAAAACACCGATAAGATAGCGACGGCACAGGCTCTTGGTGAAAAGCGATTCCGCATCAATTGTGTTCGCCAGTTCTAGAAACATTGGCGCTCTTTCCTTCTTGCCGAGCCGAAAAAAATATATAGACAGAAGCAACTTGCCTATGCTTTTGACCTTGCCCTGTGCAACTAGTTTCTGTAATGCCTTCCACGATTCGTTTCGACGTTCGGGACCCGGGTTTGGCGAATGAATTAGGTAAAGATCTACAATTGGATAAACGAACAAAACGACGAGATATAAGCGCAATGTTCTGGGGGGTGTGGGGGGAAGAGATCTTGCGTGAAATGTATCAAAGCGTTCATTTTTTCCTGCCTTCGTCATCTCAACTGTTTCATCTGCACAAGGACGCAATAAAACAAGCAAAAAGGGGAGGGAAGGGATGTGCCTGTCCCCATTATCCATTGATGAGTTCATACCAACATAATCCAGCCCGAGTTTCTCCAACGAGAGTTCACACGCCTCCAATGCAGAGTCATATCCCTGATCCTGATCAAAGAGTTTCGTTGTAACAAAGATCTGGTCCCTGGGAATACCACTATTCATATCAGATTCAATAATCGGTCCATGTAAAGACAACAGGATTGTTAGTTACTACTATCACTTTTCTTTTTTGGCTTATCCGTTTGACTTCGTCCATTGCCATTCCAGGATAAAGGGTGGTCTCATCTGATAAACATTCCTGCACTGGGAACCATATCAAATCAGCTCGCGACCCAAAAAAAAACAACGTCAAGTGCGAGTTGCAAGAACTTACCTCTTGCGGATAGCATTTCCGACACTCACTTCATTTCGATAACCCGCTGCCGTGTCGATATGACGATAACCAGCCTATTATACAGGGATCATCACCAACAAACAATGAGATGTCATTTTCAATGTCAGTTTTGTTTACTGCTGAAAGGTACTCTACTGGTGTAAACCTCAGGGGATTTGACATAAAAAGCATAAACCCTGCTCGTTGTGGTTTTTGCTAACGAAAGCGCATCATTATTATGCAGTCGTGAGCAAACAGCAACAGCAGCAGACAAGAGCAAGCCATTGGTAGGGTTGGTAAGGTTTGTACCTGAAGAGCCCAGAGGACAGCATCCTCAGTTGCTTTGCCAGGTTCTATCTTGTAGACGCCCAGGCCGAGGAGGGGGATCTGGCGTGCATTGTTGAGCGCGCAGAAGGATTGCAGTCCATCCAGGTTAACGCGTGTCATTGTTTGCGGGGTTGGTGGAAGGTGGTGAGAATGTAGGTTTGTTGTAATGGGGGGCGTTGAATGAGAAACAGGGAGTAGTGTTGGTTGGAAATGTGAATGAAATGGAAGGATAGTAGTGAAGAAAAGTAGGCTGGAGGGAAAAGTTACAGCGATGGGGAACGAGTGTGGGAGGAAAAAAGTAAAGAGAGAGCAGTTTTTTTACGTGGGTATGTGGGTGGAGAGGTGGAGTCAAAGAGTCAAAAGATAACGATTACAGCTCTATGTGTCTTTGTGTCTCCAAAAGGCGCATCGACCGCCAGTTCATTGGCAACAAACCACAAAGTGCACGTCGACTCTCTTTCTCTCTCTCTCTCTCTCATCACATCATAGGATTAGACACGACACACCCACTGCACTGTAGATAAATAGCCCTTTCCCCCTCAGAACGTTTCCTCGTCCTTCTCGTTTGCTTTATCACAATTGCTTTCACTTCAGAGTCCATTCAGGCTGCAAAGAGGAGTGACATAGAGTGCTTGTTTAGTTTCTACGAACGCTTTTCTATTTATGATCAATGAGACAGATAAGGTCGTGGATAGGGATCGACCTTCTACTGACAATCCATCACTTCTGAATGAAGATGGGGCACAGAACGAGACAAAAAAATGATCAATTATCAACCAACCTTCTTTTTACTTCAGCGGCCCGACGCCATCTTTTATATTTTTGGGGTCAGGATGTCGCTGCGCTCAATGTTCTCAAGATGATCGCGAATAGAGCGGGGAGATGATAAAGGATCATGGCAGAGAGTAAGAGGAGAAGGGAAACCAACACCTTTTTCACATGCTTCCCCTGAAATACCCATTTATTGTGTTGAATCTCTCGTACATCATGCACATGCACAGTCGTAAAGAAAGAGCAAGTGTAATAGTGGAGGGTATGTCGATGCAGGCGAACGTCCTTCTAACGTGCAATGAGATCCATGCAAGCAAGAAGAGACATCGGGCAACGCGAAATTACTCGTGTTATTATGTTTTCAATGAGAGGTGGGAGAAAAGGAGACAAGGAGAGGAGGAGAGGATATTTGATATTTCTACTACACTAGGAACGTTGGCAGTCAATCAATACTTAGCTTGATGCGTATGGTTCCCTTCTGCGTGTGTTCAAGTGTGAGGTGCCATGTAAGCGCGAGAAGGTAGTCGACATTGAAGGCTACACGCTACGTAGGCAATCGTCGTTACCCGTTTTTTTTCCTTTCGCAAATTCCTAAAAAACATTCCCGCCAAAGAGACACATGTAATACTTAGCCTGGTTGGTTTATTCCTTGCCTCGAGCATTGGAAGAAACGGTTAAGATTAGTTCAAAGAGATACAAGTAGCAAATGATGGGAAGCAATACAAATGAAGAGGACAGGAGTGGAAAGAAGCAAAATAAAGTACAGTGACCGCAATTGACGGATGAAAAAATAAGATAGCAGATACAAAAGAGGCGAATAATAAAAGGCAGATGCAATGCTGACCCTGCAACGGTATAAAGGTTAAAGGCAAGTGAGGAATTTCACAAGACGGTGTTCACGGAGGCTGGCTGAATCCAGGACTAAGCAATGGTGAAAAATGACTCCACGTCCTTGAGATGAACACGCCCCAGCCTTCGTCGTCGGTTTTTGGACCAGGATGATGTGTGGTGTCGGCTGTTGACTTGTTCGGATGTTGGATGAGAAGATCGCGAGATATCGGTTGTCGCCTTGGGTCCGTGTTTACCCTTGGAGAACGGCTTGAAGTTCCGCCGAGAATTCCTGATCAAAGGCGATTTCAAAGTCGTTGTCAAAAAGAAGGCTCTCAAGATTGGCTGCAGACATGTCTAGATTCTGCTTGGACGAGAGCGTGTCGATGGGTAATGGTTGGTTGGGAGGAGTGACAGGAGGTGTCCAAGGCTCGGTATCTAAGAAGTCCAGAGAGAGGCTGTGAAAGTCGTCCAGATTCGAGGAGCTGTTAGGAGGAAAGTTCGCCGTGGTAGTGGTGTCGAAATCCGGAATGGATGAAAGGAAATCGGAGAGCGCATGGGCGTCCGAATGAGACGTCGTGTCTGGTGGAGTTGCTGCAGGTGTACTCGTAAGCTCGGCTGTTGTCACCATGGCGGCGTCGACCGAAAAGAAATCGGATGCTGAAAGCAGTTCGGTAGGTGATGATAATGGAGTAGACGCGGGTGTTGCAAAGTTTGCTGTGGATGATGTCGATAACTTTGCTGGCTTTGCGGAGGTTCTAGTGGACGACGTGCCCAATGCGGTCGATAGTATCGTTGGGGAGGTAACTGTCGAGTCAACAACGTTTTCAAAATCCGGAATAGACGACAAAAGGTTGTTCGAGGTTGTCGCGTTTGTCTGGCCGCTAGCAGGTATAGCGCTCTGTCCAACCTTGGGCGCCAAAGAAGCGTCGACAGACCGCAGATCTGAAAGCGTAAGCTGATCGGCAGGCGTTGCAGGAACCCTTGCTGTCAAATGCGCTCTGACAGGGTTTGGTGGTACTGCCGTTAATGTTGATGGAGATTTGACGGGTGCTGCAGAAGTCAGTTTGGCGAGCGGCTTAACACTGCATGAGGAAGGCCCAGCAGATACGGCCGTTGGTGGCGTAGTCTTTCGTTGACCGTCCATTTTCGATTTTTTGGCTGTTGCCTTCGTGTCCGGTGACACCAACGACTGTGCCTTCCTTTTCCGAGCAACGGCAATAGCTTCTGGAGATCGTTTGTCGGTAACCGCGGCACGGATGACCTTGGCGTCTTCTTCAAATGGATATGTGCACTATTGAGATGTGAAAAAAGCGACAAAAACAAGTTAGGCACTGCACTTTTGTTATTTTCCGACATATTACACATGACTATGACTTACGTTTTCGTTCCCGCACATGACAAACTCGGCGTCAAGGGAGATTGCGAACGTGCTGATGCCGTAGCCGCAAAGTGGGCAAGACGACATGATGTAAGGTGGTATAGACGTTTGGTTGAATGCGATTTTTGAGGCGAGTCTGGTGGTTTTTAAGAGGCGAGGAGTTCGAAACAATAATGCTTCAGTGATGCTGGAGTTGGGAAGGTGATGCTGGAGTTGGGAAGGTTATTGTCGGTCCGTGAAGGAGCAGCTGAAATTGTTATTTGAAAAGTTGTTGAATTGTAAACTGGCAGCGCAGGTCGATTTCAGAGGAGTATGGTTGTCGTTTGAAGTTAAAAAGATGGGCAAAGGGGTTGGTGTGTGGATGGGGTTGATGTGTGTTCGAGGAGATGGCGTGTGCTTGTCTTACACTAGAAAAAAAAAAAAAAAGACGAGTGGCTTGGACAAGGATGCAGTCACTCTGTTATGATGATTTTTTTTTTTTTTTTTGTGTAAGGCATAGACATACCTTCAGTTGTTTTGCCTGCTTGTGTTCGAAATCATCCTTTTCTCTCCACACACTTACACATTCATCTACCATGTTGGGCTTCTGGGGTATGTCCCTCTCTCCTTCTTATCCTTGCTATCATATCGACTGCATTCGTACAGTATATTTTGCACGTTCAACCTTACTAACACACATTCTCGCATACTCCGTTCCGATACCAACAACAACTATTAGGTTTGACCGTTTTTCCTGAAAAGACCTACAGCCAGGTCGTCGAGAACTCTTTCAAGTTGTCGATGGTAAGCTTGGTCCCCCGATCCGTTATAGCCGCTTATTACTCCCAAAGAATCAATGAGCTAACTCTAACACCCTCCACGACAATTTTACCAATAGGCTGCTTTGGACGAGGAGACCAAGCCTGGTCGCTCCTCCATTCGCGTCACCGTCGACAAGAAGACCTTCATCCTCTGCTCCTTGACCGCCGGAAAGGCCGAGCAGCAGACCTTGGACTTGGTCTTCACCGAGGGCGAGGAGATCACCTTCTCCGTCTCTGGCGAGAAGTAAGCACCAACCCTCTTACATTCTCGTTCACGCTGGTTGTTTTTAACGTTTGTAGTGGCAGTTAGTCCGCTTCACGATCTAACTCGCTCCTCTCTTCTTATTCTTCACAATAGCTCCGTTCACTTGTCTGGAAACTACCTCCCCGACGACGAGGGCATGGACTTTGACTCTGATGAGGAGGACATGTACGGCGACGAGGATGAGGAGGATATTGATGAGGATGAGGATGAGGAGGACGATGAGGAGGAGACCGTCATTGTCACCAAGGGTGCCAAGCGCGTCGCCCAGTTCGAGGAGCCCAAGAAGGCTGCTGCTGCCGTCCCCGAGAAGAAGCAGAAGGTCACCGAGGCCAAGGCCGTCCCCGTCAAGAAGGAGGAGCCCAAGAAGAAGGAGGCTGCCCCCAAGAAGGAGGAGCCCAAGAAGAAGGAGGAGCCTAAGAAGAAGGAGGAGCCCAAGAAGAAGGAGGCTGCCCCCAAGAAGGAGGATAACAAGAAGGTCCTCGCCAACGGCTTGATCATTGAGGATGTCAAGGTCGGTACCGGTGCCGCTGCCAAGTCTGGCAAGAAGATCGGTATGCGTTACATCGGACGCCTTACCACCGGCAAGGTTTTTGACAAGAACACCAGCGGAAAGCCCTTCAACTTCAACCTCGGTCGCGGTGAGGTCATCAAGGGATGGGATCTCGGTATCCAGGGCATGATGTTGGGCGGTGAGCGTCGCTTGACCATCCCCCCTGCCCTCGCCTACGGTGCCCAGGGTGCTCCCCCAGATATTCCTCGCAACGCCACCTTGGTCTTTGAGGTGAAGTTGGTTACTTTGAAGTAAACCATCTAATTAGTCATAACCCCTTCATTTCATTACTTTTCATCGTTCGCAATTGATAAACTAGCATTTTCATTACCATCATTCGTGTTTGTCCCAATCGACTGTATTGTTGTTTTGTGTATGCTTTTATTGTTATTGGTGTCCTGAAATTATTATACTAGTTCTTGGGCTTAGTGGTAGAGAACGAGACAGTCTTGCACTCTAACGTCCTCAGGTTGACGAGGGCTATTGTGCCTGTAGATGAAAACGAAGGCAACATCACAATTCTTGTCCTCTGGCCATCAGCACCTACGAGAGAAAAGGACAACGGCATGATATTGTCAGAAATATGTTATATCTTGCATACCCATTGTTGAGAAGTCAATGATGTACAGCGGTGTTCTTACCTGTCACCATCTCAGTAGCAAACTTGTCTTGGTTGCCCAAAAAGTAAATGTGAGGTGCCTGGCTCATGATGAAAGGGTCTCTGTCCTTGAATGGGTAGCACCCTATGAAAAGAACAGACAAAGAAAAATGACGTGTCAGTACAAAACCACGCCATCACACATCCCAATGTTTAATGGCATTGGCACATCAACTTACAGAGAGTATCTGGTGCTGTGGGTGCCATGTGTCTCCATCCAACGGTCTTGGCTGCCATCTCCAACCGGTTGTCACTCTTCACGTATTTGTAAATGTCATCGATAGTCTGTCCAGAGCCGCCCAAAAGAGTGACATGATCTACGCTTCCCCAGTAAGGGTTGGTAACGCTGTGAAAAGTCGAGTATTGGCGTGTTGAAGGCAGTAATGCTGGATGGATGGGCTGCTGAGGAATCGTCACACTTGAGGGATCGCTCTCTCCCGGCATTAAGTCAACATCTATGCTCGAGCACACTTCCTGAAGAAAGCTGTCAAAGATCATCGTAGGCGCCGTGACGAACGTCGACCTATCGTATCCATATTTTTTCTATTGAAAACCAAAGGCAGGGCTGGTTAGCAGCGGTTCCTTCGAAGCAGATGAGTTCAACCTTGCTTTCAAGTTTACTCCTGGCAGCAGTTCAGACATACAGCTTTAGAGTCATCTTCGACCGGGGGTGGTGTAACAATAGAGTTTCCTGCAATCACGACGCGGACAATATTGGTACAGTTGGTTTGTTCCTAAGAGAGTTATATAAACGGCCCTGTTAGCAAGATGGACGAAATCGGGGTAATTTGCGTTGTCAATTACGAACGTCGAATTTGCTCCGCATCAGATGTTGTGAGTTGTACCTTGACGCCACCAATTTCTCCTGTCAAGTACTCAGAAAGCAGATCCAACTCCAAGGGCTTGAAGTCGTTTCCTCCAATGCCAAGTCCTGACACCAGAGCGATGTGCTTGTCCTCTTCGTCTATAGGTGAGAGCGAATGCGAGTAAGATGTCAGTTAAATCATTCTAATGATCATGTCGGACAATAGCAGCTTCGCCAAAAATATGACAGCGGTCGTACCAGTCTCCATGAGACTGTGCTGTTCCTGAGGTCCATGTCCAGCATAGCAAACGTCGACGACCTTGAAATCGCCACTGGGATCTTCGCTTCCGAGGACGCCCATCACGACACCTATAGACAAGTTAGTTGCGGTTAGTTTCCCGTTCAACATGCAATACCGTTCCGCGTCGTAAGGTCACCAGGAGGAGAAGAGTATACCAGTAACGAAAAAGTCGTTCGTGATCTTGACACCTGTCAGCTTGACACGACCAGACTCGTCCTCCAGGTAAATCGAGTCTGTATCGTCTATGTACTTTGGCCGGTCGGGTTGGGCAGCAATCCAGTGCTGCAATTTGAAATGGAGAGACGTGTACGAAAAGGGTCAGTTCTGGGTTCGACTCATGAAGAGATTGCGCACAGTCCGAATGGTTGACTCCCTTTACGTACATCTTTGGTAATATCGTCGAGAATGTTGGGCTTGAGCTTCATATCCATGTAGATTGTTCCAACTAAGTATGAGATCTCGCCCTGCTGGACATCCAGAATCTTTTCGACGTACTTCGCCTTGGGATCCAAGGAGGCTAAATGGATTGAGGAGAGAGACGTTAATATCACGAATCTGCAACACATTCCCAACAAAGTTCCTTTGCACCAGCAGCATACGTCCTGGTCATAGTGGTAGCTACATACCCCACTTGCGTTTGGCTTGAGCGAGAACCAAGGGTTGCATCAGCATGAGACGCATATAGTACAAATGAGCGTACTGCTGCTTGTAGTCACGCGTCTTAACAACAAAGTTCTCCTGCAGTTTTCCCAGGTCCTCGGTCGTTGCTGTGCGTCGATTCATAGTGGCAGGGTCTGTCTCCATGATGGCCATGTTGTGTGTGTGAAATAGGGGATCAAAAGAGAATTCGGTGGCAAAAAGAGGCGCAAAAAAAGAGCGCGCGAGTCTTTTATTTTGTTTGAAGCGCTAAATGAAATCGCCGTCACAACCTCGCGTCGTTTTAAGAAAATCTGTCCCCTTCGCACACACGCTACCAAACTGGAGTCAACGCGAGCGGTACAGTTTAGGACTCGAGGGGTCAACCATCATAGTCAGTTGAGGGACATCGCGGCCATTGGTCTTGCTTAGAGTCAAGCTTGAAAACGCCGCGACTGAGGAAGAACTTTTCGGCGGAAGCATCTGGGTAGCTATGCACAGGTCCAGCAGGGAGGTGCCGTCCTTGTATCCTCGGAGCCTGAAGTAGTTGGGGTTCAACTCTTGCTTGAACACATGGTCGTTGTTGCCGGCGATGAGGGCAAGCGACTGGATCTCCCAGATACCAAAGGAGTCAAAGAGGGTCTTGGAGTGGCTGTAACCCGAATGAAGGACTTGCCGTCAACCTTCCAAGTAAGGATTTCTTGCTTGCTGCAATCTTCTTGATCCAGCATGGTGCCTGAGAGGTAGCGGTGTCTGTGGGTGTCTGCGGGTGCAGTTGCAGCGAACGAGCGTTGGGTCGCCTTCCAGGTTCCATCGAAGACTCGCGACTTGACCACATCCCGGAAGGAGGCAGACTCTGCAGCAGCCATCGTAAGTAGCAGGCCGAGTGCGATGTGGAGAAGGTATGGTTCTTGGATATACATCGTTGAAAGGTCTGATTATGTAGAAGTGGACATGTCGGAGAGTGGGAAGGGAAGAAAGGAGGTGCAGGCGTCCTGCTAGGCTATCAAGTTGACTTTTGGAAGAGCACTATGTACAGTTTGGTGATTGCATGTCTGAGGTCTGGTGGTCTGACAGGAGAGATCAACAATAACCCACCCACGCCAATGAGAGCACCAAGTGCTCTTGCTAGACAAAGAGGGGCCGAGACTCATTTTGCATGCAACGGTAAATGCCGATACAACACAATAACCTGTACGCACTACAGGCAACACAAGCAACGGGCCAATGGTAAACAATCAACGGGGATGCCAATAGCCATAAGACCAGTATTATTATTGACAGGCAAAAAAGAGTGCGACCGTGCATTGAGAGAGCAGAGCACATGTGTCCGTAGACAACCCACAGGTGAGTAGTCTCGGCAGGCGTTGAGGCCCGAGAAAAGGAGTCTGAACCTTATTCTCCTCCACCTGCGTAACATATGAAAACGAGAGAGAGAGAGAGAGAGAGAGAAAGAAAACAAACATTAGAAGCGTTGTCTTTGTACGCACACGAGAACCAGGATAACAGGACACAAGGGAAGGAGGAATGTGCTGACAGGACGGAATTGCCTTTCAGGGACCGCTAGCCTTGCATTAGTGCTCAAACGCAAATTGTACTTTATATACCATTCGTTTTCCGCTCTCGTTTGCACTCTTTGCCCTTCTTTGCCCTCTCCCACCCACTCACACACACCACTTCATTCCTCATCCCCTCATCCCCTCATCCCCTCTCATTCAAAACTCCCCACTCTCACGCCCACTCCCCTTTCCTCTAACGTTACCATCACTTCACTCCTTCCACTTGTACGTCTCACGCGCTCTGTCGGAATCTCCACAGTTTTTCGTCATTCTCCAACTCTTATTTCCCTTATTTGTTGCTCATCAGTTCATACATCCTTTTGTACAGCTGAAGCAGTAATGGCCAACCAACTGCATCCACTATTGTTCTCCCCTCTGCACCCTTACTCTGACGCTGCCTCCGCCTCCTCTCCTTTTCGTTCTCTAATAGCCCTCTCTCTACTCTCACACACTTTTATACCATGGACGGAAAAAAGGTAACAGCGCAAATATCAGGGTTTCTAACCTGGCTGAAACCGTGCCTGGATTGTTTTACTGGTTTTATGTCAGCCCAACGGGGTCCTTTCTTCGTTCTAACCATTCTTCTTCTGTCAAATAGATTGGATTCATTGTCAACAGACGCGGTGGCGGCGGTAAAGGAGGCAGGACTTGGGATAAGGCAAGTGTTCGCCTGCTTCGGAGAAAATAGAACACATTGTCGTCAAAAAAACAGTTCTGCTGCTCCTATTGTCGTTGTGGACCAATTCAATTGTCCTTGTGACACCAAATTTGCGTTTCTTCATATTTTTCTAAACAGCTCTTTTTTCTCTCTCTCTCGTCTCTTTACTCGGACAAACATTATTGGTCAACAAAAACAGTTGGAACCTGCGGTCGCCACTCGTCTTGTAAGCACAAAATGGAAGGTTGAGTACACACAGCACTCTGGCCATGCCTCGGACCTCGCCCGGGAATTTGTCAACGAAGGCTACAACATCATCGTCGTCGTCGGAGGTAACGTAACTTTTATATACCCCACAACCATCATGACACTGGAGAGTGGAGGCTGACCTCTCGTTTCTCTTTATTGCTTCTACGTGCGTAGGTGACGGCACCATCAGTCAGGTCGTGAACGGATACATGCTCGCCGACGGTAAATCCAAGGGATGTGCTGTTGGCATCATTTCTTCAGGAACAGGGGGTGATTTCGTCCGCACCATCAAGACTCCCAAGGATCCTCTTGCAGCCCTTGTAAGTCAACCTCATCCTATCACTTAAAGCTTGAATGTTAGCCACATGAGAAACAATCACTTACCGTGTCGTGCCTTCCATGTTCGCTAGGAGTTGATTCTGAGCACTGAAAGTACGTTGGTGGACGTTGGACATGTCTCTGCCACCAAACCCAATTCGCCCTCTGTCACCAACGACCAGTATTTTATCAACATCTGCTCTGTCGGTATCAGGTAAACTTCAGGAATGCAACTCGGGATGCAGGTTGCGTACAGCAGCTTCAACGAAGTCAGACCGACTAATACAACACCATGCTGTTATCAACATGATTAATAGTGGATCGATTATCAAGAGAGTCGAGTCGTCATCCATTGCAAAGTACATCTCGGGCGGTTTGGTCTACTGGTTGTACACATACCTTACTGGACTCGTCTACAGACCCCCACCAGTCAAGTACACGCTCACAGGAGGATCCGCTGGCGCTGATGACGGAAAGGAGAAGCAGATGGGTCTCTATATCATGGCTGTTGCCAATGGACGTTACCTTGGCGGCAACATGCACATTGCCCCGAAAGCGCAGATTTCCGACGGGCAGGTACGCAGCGAAACTACTCACTCATTGTACACTGACCAAGACGCGTCCTATTCTTTTTCATCATACACTAACCAAGTTTTTATCTTCTTTCTTATTATGCATAGTTTGATGTTGTGTGCTTGCACGACTTGACGTTGATGGACGCCTTTTTCAAAGCCTCACCTGCGCTGAAGTCTGGAAACTTGATGAACGTGCCCGCGCACCAAGCCTTCACGCAGCGCAACACCAAGGTATCGATCTCACCTGTCAATGCCAAGGACAATATCTATGTCGAGGCTGATGGCGAAGTCGCCGGTGTGCTCCCCGCTAGATGGGAGATTATTTCCCAAGGTTGCCGCATGATTCTTCCTCTCTCTCAGGGCTCCACCCAGCCTGTGTGATAGCTCTTGGCTTTCAGATGCATGTAATAAAAAATGGATACGTGACAGTCAATTCATTTCGCTTGGACGCGCTTGAGTATGTGGACTGCGTTTTGTTTGTTTGGATTTGTGTAGAGTAAAGCCATTGCGACGCGCTTCTATTTCGTTTGCTCCCTTTTTCTTCTCTTGTCTTCCATCTCTCCTCTCCTTCATCCCTTCCCTTCCCTCCCATCCCATCACAAAAAAATGGCCCGTACCAAGCAGACCGCCCGCAAGTCGACCGGAGGAAAAGCCCCCCGCAAGCAGCTCGCCACCAAGGCCGCCCGCAAGTCCGCCCCCGCCACCGGCGGTGTCAAGAAGCCTCACCGTTACCGCCCTGGAACCGTCGCCCTCCGTGAGATCCGTCGTTACCAGAAATCGACCGAGCTCTTGATCCGCAAGCTCCCCTTCCAGCGTCTTGTCCGTGAGATTGCCCAGGATTTCAAGACCGATTTGAGGTTCCAGTCGAGCGCTATTGGTGCCCTCCAGGAGGCCTCTGAGGCTTACCTTGTCTCCCTCTTTGAGGACACTAACTTGGCTGCCATCCACGCCAAGCGTGTTACTATCCAGCCCAAGGATATCCACCTCGCTCGTCGTCTCCGTGGTGAGCGCACCTAAATCGCTAAGGCGCGATCTCGTCGACCCCACTCACCTCTTTTGACAAGGAAACAGACAATAACAACGACCTGACAGGATCCACTTTTGCAGTAGCAAAAGATTCCTCCTTTTCTTTGTATTATTTTTCTTTGCTTTTCGCTCCCCTTTTGCTTTTGTTATTTTCCCAATCCTCACCCAAGCCTCTCATTTCCACACATTAAAAAGCAGCAAAAAAAATTCAAAACAACCCCATCGATCATCGAAACTCAGAAGACAGAAAGGTGCTCTATGCAAACGCAGACCGGATTTTTTTTTATTATATGTTTCCTGGAACGAATGAAAAATGAAAATGAGACATGAGGGGGGTAATATGCAATGGTGGATGATGGTGTGAACAAAAGAAAAAGCAAAAGGGAATAATGAATGATAACGAGCAATGATGTTTTTTAACCAAAGATACGGAGACCATCATCAGGGATATCCTCTTGCTCTTCATCCTCCTTGGTCTCGTTCTCGTCCTCCTCATCATCATCCAAGTTGCCTCCTTTCCGGCCGAGCAAGGACGAGAACAGCTCCTCGACCATCTCCTCGTGCCAGGTACCCGCTGGGATAGGTGCCATAAAGCTCTGAAGTTTCTCGTGGACATGGTATCTATTAATAAGAGGAAGTTAATGACAAGGACGTTGTAAGTAACAAAGAACAAAGCAATCCATACGTCACAAACAGCTTCTGAACAGAAGAACAGAACCATTCAACACGATGCAGTAAAATGCCAAATAGAATTTACCTAAGACGACGACCCTTGCTTCCCTTGGTATCCACCTGCTTCTTGGTATGCTTAGTCTGACGAAGAGCCGCCCAGCGCATACCCATGGCTGTAGGATCATCGTTGTCGACCATACGGGATTCGATCAGCTCTCTCAACAACTGCTGGTAGAAGTCTCCATCGTCAAAGATCTCCTCGTCGTGGTTCGACAGGTGAGAGTCCAGCTTGCTGACCTCGGGTGTCTTCTCTGTCTTATCGTTCTCGTCCTCCTCCTTGATCTCGGGTGCTGTTCCCAAAATGTGATATTCCGAACGCTTCAACTGAGTTCTCTTCAACAGGCGCTCCTTGTCAGCCATCGTCTGTGAAATTTGAGTCATAATACCCTATTATCATTGAACCAGTCAAATATATAATATCGTCAGTATTGTACTACAAAGGCGACATTACCCTTCCTGTCCACAGAAGTAACATAATCAAAACATACCTGGTTCATGGCCTTGAACTTCTTGTTGAGGGGGATGCCGCTGGCGATTTGGACCTTGTTGCCCCATTTCTCGAGAGTGTTGTTGCGGTACGATCTCCAGCCCTCATCCAGACCCTCGATATCCTTCCATGCCTTCGTCTGCCATGCATCATCATCCAGATTCCGTGCCTCCTCATCTTCAAGGTCGCTCATGTGGCGCTTGTTGGACTTTTGCACCTTGACTTCGGGAATGTTGCGGAGCAAATCTGTGCGGACAGTGATCAGAGTGTCGATGAACGAGCGCAAGTTGTGCTTTGCCTCCTCCATGGGTTCGGCCGAATCGTTAGTCAAGAACTCGTCGTAGGTCGATGGCTGGGGGAAAGTGTTGATCAAGGACACGGACTTTTGAAGGCGAATGCGAGTATCCAGCAGAGTCTCCCAAAGCGTCTATAGTCGAAAGGAAAAGAGTTGACGCGTATTAGCACTTTCAGTTCAAAATATCGTTTTCACCATATGGCACTCTCCCAAGTCTTGATCAACTTCGCCTTACCATTTGTGCCTTGACGTGGATTCCCTTCTCGACATCATCGGTGACGCTCTTGGTCATGCTCTTGAGCAACTCGGATTCCTCCTTCTGAATCTTTTGAAGCTCCTCCTGCATCTCCTGGGAGGTCTCAGTGATTCCAGACGCGGTAAGATCACCATAGCCGTCCTCCTCATCCTCGCCATCATCACTATCTTCGTCCTCGTCCTGGCTGTTCTCCTCGCTATCCTCGTCCTCCTCGTCATCATCGTTCTCGTTCTCGTCGTCGCTTCCATCACCGTCAATGTGGCCCATAAGATCCTCACCATCATCGAGATCGTCGCTGTCAGAGACCATTTCCTCATCCTGATCCTCCTCGTCCTCATTCTCATCAAATTCCATCTCCTCCTCGTCGTCTTCCTCCTCATCCTCGTCACTTTCGAATCCAAGGGCGGCTTTCCTGCTGCTCCTCTTTCCCTTGTACTTTGGATCGTCCATGAGGAACTGCTTGTTTCTCAGCTGACTCTTTCTGTATGGGCATATCAAAAACGCAAATGAACATTAGTGATGGGAATATTGCAACAAGACCTTCACCTCAACCTGATCCGGGTGTGCAGGATCCTTACCCGACGTCGACGTAGTGCTCACGGCCAGCGTTCTCGTTGTCACCGTCATCGTCGCTTCCCATATCGCTGTCGGCATTGTGCTTGCTCTGGAGGGAATCGCCACCCATATCCTCGGGATCGTAATCTATGATCCAATGTTAAGAGATCCACGACAACAGGGTTAGTTCATAGGCTTGATATCAGATCGAAAGATCTTAAAGCCAGGGAGGGCCCTTTCAATGCTGCTGTGAGACGTAGTAAGTGTAAATTACCCTTTGGTGTGGTTGTGGACATCTCGGCGAGCTGCTCGGCGAGAGATTTCTTAGACTTGACTATTATCCGCAGGAACGGAAGTAAGGAGAATGAGTTAAGTCGTCGTGGTTCTAATATTTTTGTAGTAGCGGTTCTTGCAACCAGCGTCGGGGACGGCGAAGCATACCCATGTTGCAAAGTACGAGAGAGTGTCCTGGTGGTTAATGGAAAGGAGGAGGAGGGGGGGAATGAATGAAAAGAGGGTGATGCAAGCTGGCTTCTGTAGGGAGGGGCAATGAAGGTTCACAACTCTTGGGGCATACAGCAGACACAAAAACACCCGTCAAAAGTACAGACTGCACTTGACAAAAAAAAAAAAAAAAAATGTGTTTACTTCTCCACTCTAAGCCACAAACAGCAAAAAAAGAAAACTTTTAATTCACATACACACCTTCCACTTCCCATCCTTACCACAACTCCTCCTCCTTCAACCCTCACTCCATTACTCTTCAAGGTATGGATTACCTTGACAACCCTCATTGCCCCTATGGAGGCACATAACCCTTCCCGCTTCTTACGCATGGAGACTACCAGACTAGCTACGCCCTCCGTTGAATACAGGATCGTATTGGGATCGCAGGAGGCATCACCACCCGTCAACACACACCGACACAAGCACCATAGTCAAAGCCCAAACACAAAGCCAGCTCAAGCTTGCAATTGATACCAACAAAAGAATTGTCGCCAGTTCGCCGGCACCCACCGGCAAAAAGCAGCACACCCCGCTCAGAAGCATTGACCAGCTTGAGCAACAACACAAAAGCAGCAAATAGCCTTCGATCTGTCAGATAGGCTAACAAACCCCACCCAACTTTTGGCTATTCCTTTAGATGCATCTTATGTACACCATGTCGCCCGAGGGCAAGCGTATCTACACCCTCAAGGTACGACATCTTCATTGATCTGCCGCCTCTACAACTTCAATTCAGGTTTAGTGTGTCAAATGTCAGATCGCCTCTTTAACTTCACAAACCTAACAACATGAATCTCACTTCTTCCTTTGAACTAACAGAAGCTCACCCCCGCCGGCAAGGTCACAAAGTCTGCTCACCCCGCCCGCTTCTCTCCCGATGACAAGTACTCCCGTCACCGTGTCACCCTCAAGAAGCGCTTCGGTCTCTTGTTGACCCAGCTCCCCTCCAAGCAGCTTTAAATCATCTGTTTGTCAGTTGTAGCTGTGTGTTCCCTCTCTATCGTTTCTTCTCTCTGTTCTTCCAAACCAATGCATTGTACACTTTATTAAACACTCTTTCCAAAGCAATCAACACGGAACGTCGAGGCAGGAGTTATTTTTTTTATATCTGGAGTCTCTACAGTCGGATCGTAGGATAAGAGGGCACCATGAGTGGAGAAACCATCATTCACAGGATTAAAGGAGCTTTCATTCAGACTGCGGTGTATTGTTAGAGAACTGTCCCCATTTCGACCGTAGAGTAACAGACAAGTTCTCAAGCATAAATCGCTCACTTTCTTTGAAAACCGTGCACTGCACATAGCCGCGATGGTTGTTCTCTAACATCTTTGCCGATCTATCGTTTTTATTCCACCCACATCTAAGAGTGACTGAGCTTATTGAGGAACACCAGTTTTGCCCATGAAACCCAAAAGGATTCCGCCGACATTAAGGCCCAACTTCTCGATACAATAACCACCCTCCTGAACAAACAACGTGGGCACGCCGATCTTGCGGATCGAGTTTCCAATTCTGGGGTATCCCTCCGAGGTGACCAGGAACCCGGCGATGGGATCGTCCTTGTAGGTATCGACACCGAGCGAGACAAGGATGTAGTCTGGCTTGAAGGGGATAACATGATCTTGGATCAACTTGTCGAGGGTCTCGACATAGTCGTCGTTGGTGGTTGCTTGGGCCAGGGGGACGTTGATGTTGAAGCCGAGTCCTTCGCCTTCACCCTTTTCGAGATCTGAACCGGTAAAGTATGGGTAGTCGTCGACAGAGTGGAGGGATGTGTAGAGAGGGTTGGCAACCGTGTAAAAGATCTCCTGAGTGCCATTGCCACTAATTTTTTATTCGAGAGTCAAAAGAGATCAGTGATTAGAACTTTGTCTGACTCGGCTGTATTGCGCGCGCCTGCTACACATAACAAGCATCAAGGTCACTTACTGGTGAAAGTCAATGTCAAGAATAGCGATCCTCTTGGGACCGCCGTCAGCCTTGGACTTGAGGTCAGGCTGATCAATTAACCATTGGGCCGCAATAGCAAGGTTGTTGAGGTAACAATATCCGCCACAGATATCCGATTGCGCATGATGACCTGGTGGACGCACGAGGGCATAAAGTCCAGGAGGGCTCTCGCGAGTGACAGTACCAGCTTCAACGCTCTGTTCAAACTCGTCTGCTGCGCGAACCAAATCCTTTGTCGCCGTTAATGTCACCTGCGCGGCGTTCCATGCTGCCTTGAACGTGTCTTTTTTATGTTGTATTGGAAGAGAGTTAAAAAAGGAAACCAATTGCGCGTGAGAAAAAATAAATATAGTAACTAACGAAACGAGTCCTATTTGAGCATACAACAATGGACACAGAAAGACCAACGAGTCTGCAATAAACACAAAAAAAAAGCATACCTTTGGTAATAACAGCGGACATGTCAAAGCAGTACTCTCCAGACTTTGCCAAACAATTTGAAGCCTTGAGTTTGCCGAGACGGGCAACCTTGTAGTGAGGGATGGTGCCTGGCAAGACTCCGTTGGGGTGGCCACCTTCTTCAATCCACTCCTCGTAGGCAGTCTTGAGATAATCGATGAAATCCTGCTTGTGCACACGTTCAATGGGTCCTGCACCAAAGTCTTCGGTCCTCTCGGTGACTTCAAAGGCGTCGCCCTGTGACTCGAGGTACTTCAGAATCACATCACGGCGGTCAGGACTCTCTATATGCATAGCGTTGTATAACAAGTGGACGTGTTGGCTTAGTTCTTGCTCGTTTTGATGCATACGTTCGCGGTTGTTCAACAGTAAGAGGTATGTGGTTGTGTGTATGTGTCTAAGCGGGAACTTGTGAAAGGCATGTTATACCATAGTAGTGAGTTTCAGCTCCAGAGAGAAACTCGTAGGCAGGGGTGTGCATAGTGGTGCACAGGGTGGAGGTGAAGACCTTCATGCGCGTGGGTACCATCGTTTGAACAAAGGATGAGTGGAATGAGAGAGAGGGAGAAGTGGAGTGTGTCGGTAGTGATGAGAGGGAAAAGTGGACAAGAGAAGAGAGAAGAAAGAAAAGCAAACGAACAACCTCCCACTTTTTAGAACGACGGCGTTGGGCGTCGAGGCCATACTGCCTGGGCGCGTCTTGAACTACTGTCATTGGGACTGCTACTTTCATGTCGCCGGTATTTGTTGATCACTGTCAACCTCCAGGTCAACATCAACCTTCTTTCTTTTCTTCCCAGTCGATTCATTCAACAATTTCGCGTAGCCACCATGTCTAGGAAACCAGAGCGAGGCACAAAAGCAGGTACCCAGGCAACAGCCCCCACCACCTTACGTAACTGATCTCCCTCAATCCCACTCCAGCCATTGATCGACTGAACCCATACTCACCCATTCCTCCTTCCCCTTCCTCACAATAGCTCCCAAGGTGCTGGACCCAGAGGCCAGGAGACGCCAACTCAGACACCACCTAGACTCTCTAGAACGCGACAACTTTGTCGCCCTCAACGAATACGAAGCCATCATCGCCACCGCGGCAGCAGCAGCAACCGCACAAGGACCCATCAGTCTGACCCATACCAACCTTGACCCCCTCGGACTCCTCCCACCTCTCAACCCCGCCGTCGGTTCCATCGTTGGCGGTGTCGTCGGAACTGTGGGCCCAGGAGCCATTCTATCTCCCAATAACCCCGGAGTCATGTCCGGAGGTCGATATAAAAAGAACCAACAACACAACAGTGGTGCAGGAGGAGCCAACAGCAACAACAATAGCAACAGCGGCAGTAATTTCAACCAAAACGCGATCCCTACTTCTGCACTCGGACACAGGAAACCGGTTCTACCAAGGAAACCGCTGAACCAGTTGCTGGATGGTTCTGGACTGATGGCGCAGACGTTTTTTCAGGAGCAGCAACAACAGCATGTTGTGCCCAATTATTTGACTGCGAACATGGGTCCCAGTCGATACCCTCAACGGAATTTTTGTTCTGTCTGTGGATGGAAGGGTGTTTATCGATGTAATCGCTGTGGTATGAGATATTGCGATCTCAGATGTCAAAAAACTCATAACGACACAAGGTATGGTACCCGATTGTGTTCGCTTATTATTTTGGTTCCTGTCGATATGTTTGGATTCTAACCACCTCTTCGTGCTTTCACGATCCTGCCTCTAATAGATGCATGAAGTTCACTATTTAATAGAGTCGAGCAAACTTGTAACATAAAAACTGTACCATATCATACACACGCTCAAACACAAAGGATGGCATTAAGAGATTTATTCAGCGAAAGAAAAAAGAAAACAAGGTAGGATGGAATAAAAAAACTGCGTCTAGAATCGTCCGCCAGGGTGTCCAGGGGCCATGCCTGGTGGGAAGGGCTGCTGTGGGGGGTGTCCCACTGGCGGTGCTCCACCCTGCTGCTGCTGAGGAGGAGGCACGGGTTGAGGATGACCGCCCAAAAGCTCCTGCAGTTTCTTTTGGTTCTTGGCCGTCATGTAGTGGAAGACAGCCTCGTTGACCCATTGTTGGTTGTAGAAATCCGCCCGCCTCTGCTCCTCCAAGTTGACATGCGACTCTCCTAGAATCACCTCCAGATCTCTGCTCTGCGATGCCACCCAGCGGTCCAAGAAATCGGCAGGGTCATTGGCAAACCGCAACAAGAAATCCCGCTTGGTCTTGGAGTTTTGCATGCTCTGTATGTATTGCATGATCTGCTCGTCCTGCGCGTGAATTTGTTTTGGGAGGGTGCTATTGGCGGCGTTCAGGGATGTTGACGAAAGCAGGTTGTTGATCTTGCTCTTGAATGTAGGATCGTCCAGTTCCACGTCCAGATCGTAGCAGTGTGAAGAGAGGTGATAGGGCTTGTCCACCCGAACGGTATATTCCAGCACAATTGGGTCGGGAGGCGACAAGAACCGTCCGATCAATTCTGGCAGTGCTGGGAACGAGATCTTGGGTTGGCCGAAAAGCTAGAAGAGAGATGGAATATGGAGGTAATAATGATGAATGGACGTGTTGAAGCATAGGCGAATGAATACAAAATTGATCTCCTGGTACAGGGCGAATATAATATCTTACAGTGGCGAGCTTCTGATCGCAGTTAATGTTCCGCTTGTCCTCTGGATCCTGCAGTTGGTGGAACTTGATGTATTGCCACAACGCCATCATGATACCGGGTCTCGTCTCCACGTCGATCGCCAAGACATCAGCCAGCTCCGGGCTCAATTTGAAACGCTCGGGTGAGTTGTCGACGTGAAGAATGACCTTGACCTTCACATTCTCGTCGCCGTGTCGCTTGATCTCAAATCCATCGACATCTGCCTGGTTGGCAGACTTGTGCCATTCCACAAAGTTACCGTTGGGGTACAAATTCGAGTCGCGCTCCAGCTCAATCATCACCGATCGAAAGAAACTGGAAAACTTCCTGCTCGTCTGTCTGTTCTTGTACGCAGATGCATTTGCCTCCTATTACATCGAGAATAATCATATGAACACGGTGTCAGCGAGCAGTTTGGTGTGTGTTTCCAGTAAGGTGTTGCAATTCCTAATGGTGAACTGAAGGGTACGTACATCGACAAGGCGTCCCTCGACTTTGAGTGTCCATGAAGGTGTTGGTCCGCTATCCAGTCTAGGCTCGTCATCGTCCGATTCGGGCGTTTCCTGGTCGTGTGAAAGGTTGGAGATAAAGATGCGAAGAGTACGCTTGGTCTATTTGACAGTAAGTAAAAAAGAATTGTCCTTGTTAGATGCCAGCGAACAAAGCAGCGATTCTTCGACCGTTGACGCGTGCAGCAAATGCCTAAGTGTACGGTGCGACACAGGTTAAGTACCTTGACGGACTTGTTGAGAGTCTCCTGCAGGTCCAAACGCTTCCTCATGATAGTGGCATCCAGCTTCTTTTCAAACTCCAGGAGTTCCGTGTAAAGTTTCGACTCTGGGACAATCGCTTCAATCTGTTGAATACAACGATAAAGTGAGTGGTCAAGCATTAGAAAACAAGAACGCGCGAAGAAGAAGAGTGATCAGATCGAGTGGTTGATGACAACAATAAGAGTGTGTGTGCGTGGGTGAGGGGAGTAGAGGCGTGCCTTGGATGAGATTTGGTTGTCGTTTGGGCGTTTTCTCTTTGCCTTTGCGACGAGCAATGGCAGGTCTGGCGCCGAGGAGCGTTTCCTTGAGGGATCCATTGTGTCTGTCTTTTTGTCCTGTTGGGCGTTGTGGATGAGTTAGAAATGAAGAGAGGCAGACATACATTAAAAGGGACCGGTAGAGCAGTGGCATTATTTCCTTGCAACTCTCCAGTTGATTTCAAACGTCACTTTCACACATTCGAGCAGGGAAATAATGGTCCGAAGAAGCGGCTCCCATGGAGAACATAATTTCCGATCCTGCCTTTCATCCCGCACTCCCACCCTCCACTCCACTCCCTCCTCACTAAACACAGTAGTCATGGTCCTCCAGTACCTCGTAAGTCACCAAACCTCCAGGAAACGGACAACTTGGACACATACCGGACCAGTTGCCGTAAAGACAATACCTCCGACTCTCGCAACAACCAACAACAGAATTCGCTAGCTGATCTATCATCACACCGCACACACGAAAGGAACACATTTCGGAAAATCCGAACACGCATGCTCCATACCTGCAGAATCAACCACTGACAGCACCAACTTCCTACTTTACCCTTTTACTACTGTAGAGACGCAGCGCTCGGGATAGCCCATACATCTTCACCAGTTTCGTGGTTGCCGCTATCGGTAAGCAACAATGCAGGACTCTCTAATCATCAGTTGGATTCGTCTCCGGCACGTGTACCTGGAGAAAAAAACGATGCTTATTCCTCCGGATACTATTCCAATTTGAAATAGGCCCCGTTCTCGTTGTCGGCGTCCCAGCTGTCCGCAAGAGCCAAGGATACGTCAGCCCTGCTCGCATCCCCGACACCTACCCCTGTAAGCACAGCCAGCTATCGCGAAAAATCATATGATCATTCAGGTACACTCGATTGGTGATATCACGGATGAAAATCAACTAACCTAAACACCGGCTCATACAACCGTATCATTTACTGTCAATTAGTGCCCCAGCGCGCTCGCAACCCTCCTTCCGGATATGAGGATTAAACAACAAACCAACGCATTTCAAACGGGAACGCCAACGACGCAGCATCTCGGACAGGAGACCTCATGAACAGGAGAACGACTGAGCATAATGCTAACAGGCTGTGACGACAACCAACAACACACACACTCGCACCCACCAAATCACACACACTCCCCTCCAATAGAAGAAACACTCTCGCTAGGCATCAATGGGCGCCGATCAATAATAAACAGTTTCCACCCAAAAACTTGGACTGCACTCATTATCAATGGATCTCAACCCTTATCTAACACAGGAGGATGAAAGATTTCTAGCCTGTATATATACGCGACAGAAACCAATAAGTTTTCAATTGAGGCCACCTTTGAGCAAAAGTGCCTTTTCTGCTCTCTGCAAAATCAATTGGATGGTCAAAGCCACTCTCTTCGGGTCCGGTTCCTTGGGCGAACAAATACGTCCTTTTTTTCTCATCCCAATCAACTCAACCATCCACCATATCAGCCGCAACCCAACGCTCTCTCGACACACCAGAACTCGTTCAATTGATAGCACTTTTTTTTTCTAAGGCTCTGTTATCGCCTCTTAGTTCTTTCGAGATGGTTCTTGAGATACAGTAAGTATCCTTTTGATCAAACAACTCTATCAGACTTACGACCAACAATAGAGCTATCAGCTCGACTAGGCTTAGTAACCAATTCGTAAAAAGGAATATCTTTCAAGGGAACACTTTTTTTTTGGTTGTTGTTTTTGTATGTTCCACAACACGATTGATTGATCGTACAAAAGAAAAGGAGCCGCGTCTCTGAACTTCGAGTGTATGCCAAGGAAAGAATGATACCTAATCCCGAAGAAGAAGAAGAAGAAACTGCCCCTCTTTCGGCAAGCATGGCTATATATCCATCATCACTCTTTCGATCAACTCCTATAGGGTACGGGTGACCTGACTTTTTTTTTTTAACTCTTCCTCCATCCTCTCCTTCATCTCCAAAAACCTCTTCCTTCCCTCTACTTCCCGCGTGGACATTAAAAACCTCTCTTTGTCACCAAAAGTATCAAGGACAAGCAGTTGCACGACTTATCGCTCGTACTCAAAACAATTCCTCGTGTTGAACAAAAAAATGAGACAACCCCGGTCGTCTAAAAAAAAATAGAACAACGAAGCACAAAAGCTCAAAGATAAGCAATCACAGGAAAACAAATCGAGTAAAAGAGCACGCAACAATGGACACGCCCTCTTAATTGTCGTGAACCTCAAAGACGCAAATGATGAAAACGATGTCGGAGAGCTATCGCCTGTGTTTGTTAGTTCAAGAAGGCCAGATCTCACACTCAAAAGAAATTAAGACAGCCAGCACGAAAAAAAATGATGTAGTCAAAAGACATACAAAGTCAATCGCCTTGGTTCAAATAGACAGCATGTATCGGAAGTGCTGCTATCTATATTTTTTTCTAGTCTCAGATTCAAGAACAAAAAAATGATAATAAAGTCAAGCAATGCACATTAAAAACGAAGGTGTTAAAGGACGGGAAAGACATGATGCACCATCGTTCGTCCTCCAAGAAACAAGAAATAAAAAAAGGCAAAAAGGCGAAGGATGGAAGGGTCCAAGAAACACAAACTACCGCAATCCAAGGACCTGCCAATGTTCTATATCGCATGAGAAACTGATTATCAGGATCCCTGGTAATCCAACTACAATTGCATGCCAGGCAGCCTGAAACGGCGTGATCGTATGTGCGCGTCGTCTTTTTTGATTTCTTTTTGGTGGCGTCGAAATTATTTTGACGCGTCAAAACGCGTTGTATTTGTCTGATAATACTCGTTAGTTGAGAAAGGACCTACTGATTCTGTAGTACAGAATCGTACACGTAAATCGCGATTCTACCGTAAGGGTAAGGAGCGTACGCTGACCTATACTTTTGTGCTAATCATAAACAATTGCGACGGACTGTACCATCCTCACTTTTAGTTTGCCTCGGTGCGTCTTTCAGGTATCCTACTCTGAGGTGCGCAAAATGTAGAAGGAAGAGGATCATTTTGCGTTGAGGATCACACTCAATTCGGGTGTCTGGAGTATTCATCCCTCGTCAAGGCATACTGTCAGTTTTAATGGAAGCGTTATGTATACTCCATCTTGGGGCTAGATTGCTGCATAAGTACTAGCTGTGCTTGCTTTTTACTCTTCGCTACTCAATGAACATAAACGCAACTCGAGCGCTCATTTTCAAAATCAAACATGTGCTTCGGTATTAAACATTACATTGGTGGGTTGAGTCGTGTCGACGTGCAGATTGCACGTTTGATTTGTTCGACAAATTGGAGACGCTGTCAGGACCCTGCTGTGGACAACCTGTTCGTTATGTCGGTTGGGTGAAAGACAAAACCCAGTCGTCGAACTTTCGGACTTTGGCACAGCTCTGATATCCCAAGGTGTGGGCTACCAGCACGTATCGTGGCCTTCATTTTTTGTTATATTTAACGCCCTTGTTAGATTTCTCATCGATTTTCGACCCAAAAAAAAAAAAGGTGTCTGTGCTCATCCCTTTGTTTTGCATGGTCTTTCATGATCGTGGTTCGAGAGTGGGCCACTCAACACCACATTGTCCCAGTAGTCTGCAACAAGTTACTCAATGGGTCCAAAGCGGACATCTATTCATTCACATGCGTGATCCCACTTTCTCATTCTTGGATCGGAGGAATTTCAAAGCTATAAGTGTTACACGGATAGAGATGTGTCGTTTGTGTTTTCTGGGTTTTACTCAAGTTCTCAGGAACGGCTTTACCAGCATTGGAGGTTTGAGCTCCATTTTATTTTTTTATTTTGGGTACGATAGAGAACCTATTGACACCGAGGCCACATCACCTGGTATGTCAAATGTTGGAAGAACAATTTGAATATCGGCTGGCGATCGATGTTTGTCCTTCAACATGCTTTCTTCGCCTAAGCCAATCGACGATCTCCAACATGGCAGGAGCAACAGCAACGACAACAAAAACAACAACATTCGACAAGGATAAAAATATATAAATATATATATATACAGAGTTCCATCTGAACTCAAACCAGGCGTACCCTGAAGTAGATCTCTGTGGCATTTCTTCGAAACATAATACCATCAACAGCGTGAAAGATGCGAAAATAAATATGTATTAGTTTTTTAAGGTATTGGTAAAGTACCGCACGAAGCTGGCAGAGGAAAGGTAAATGGTGGAAGAAGGGGGGTCATGATAACATGTTTTTTGTGTTTTTCTATCTTATTTGTTTTTCTGGTTGTGTTTTGTATCGTATCACTGTACAGCGCGCATTTTTCATTCGCCGATACACGATCTCTTGTCCATGTGAAGGGGAGGAGGAAAGGGGGGGGGGGGGAAGCTAAAAAGACACGAGTTTATGCAGACTCGTTGCACTTCATGAACCCAGCAATCGCCAACTCCTTGTCCTTGGTAGCATCCGAAAAGAACAAGTGCGATTCGCCCGTATACAAGTCAATCCGGAACGAGTTGGGGATCAAGCAGTCCAACGAAGCATCCTCAATGTTGACCACCCTTCCACCCAGCCTCAACTCAGAAATCGCCGACTTGCGATCAAACTCATCCCTGTAGAACGAGATCGCCTGTCCGCGCATGACATAGAACCGACGTCTCCAGAAGGGCGATCCATGAATCTGGATGGTGATGTAACCCGACAGTCCCGAACCCCTGAGCTTCTCCATCTCGATCAATTGTTTCTTCATGGCTTCACGGGCAGCACGGTCGGATTCGTATTTGCGCTTTTGTTCCAGTTCCAGGGCTTGCTTATGGGCAAAGACTTCTTGTTCGCGGGCTTCGCGTTCCTGGGTCTCCTTTCGGCGTTTGAGGACCTCGGCTTTCTTTTGACGATCCATCTCCTCTCGCATCTTGCGCTCTGCGGACTCGATTTCCAACTGACGCTCGGTGCGAGGGGTTGTGGTGCCGCCGTTGGAAAGAGCAGGCGATGCGACACGGACGGGGCTCGAGACCTCGGAGGCGACGCTTTGAGGCGTAGGGATAGCAGTGTTGATGTTGTTAAAGGTTGCTGGAGGGGCCGGGGAGACGGGGGTCATGGGACGAGGGGCAGCGACGGGGGCTGGAGAATTGGGCATGACGGGCGATCCTGAGGGATCTGGGGTTGGGGGGCCTTCGAGCAGACCAAGACGGCTGCGGACTTTTTCGTCCGAGAGTTCTGCAAGGTTGGACGAGTTGATCTGGACATGCGTGTTCTTGAACAATGCGCCTACAGCCTTTCCGTGCACCAAGGCGCGCGCTATGTTCAAATGGGAATTTGATGAGATGAAGAGTTAGACCTTAAGTATTTTGATTGAAGTGCAACGGCATGTCATGTTGCGAAAGAAAGAGCAACTTACCACGACGGAGACCACTATAAAATACAAGTAACGGGTAAAAGGAATGGAAGAAAGGAGACAAGGAATGAGAAGGAGTGAGCAAATTGCGAACGTGGAGAAGAGGCACATACTTCAGGGCGGATAAATGATCCCAATTGAAATGCTGTCCAGCTGGTTTCCACAGAGATGTAAATCTTCCTTGTGCTCCTCCTCACATCTCCCGTCCATTCCACTCCATCTCCCGTTTGTAGTGGGGGAGGAAGGAGGGCTGTTATTATGTTGGCGGACAATGAATTGTCAAGATGGATAAAGTGCAATTAGACATTAGACATGTCTCCTTGTGTCCTTGTCTTTGTCGCAGAGTTTATCAGGTTTCAAACGAATGCTTCCTGCATACCTCTCTTAGTTACCGCTTTATCCATCGCCCAAACCACATCTATTGCTCTCTTTCTATCGTCCTTGTTCGCAGTGAATGATAAAAAGACGGTACCTGACTTGCTCGGAAACATAGGCGAGGAGTGCGAATCGGTCATCAATCCTCACAAAACCATATAGAACCTCCTCGGTCAGGTTGGAACGGAGCTCCTCCAGGCCACCGGTGCCCTTGGAGTACAGCGAGATCTTATCGCGGGTATCATGGTATCCGAGGATAAGCCTAATATTACCAAAGGAAGGGGAAGTGGTTGGATGGAGAAAAGGATATTAATATGAGGTTCAGGGGTAAAACAAATGTCAGGATTGCAATTGAACCATGAACAACACAAGGCATAAAAATAACGAGCAGGAAAAAGAGGGTAAGTTGTGCGACGATGAGGGGTGGTTCAACACGAGACACAAACCCCTCCTCCTCATTCCTCATTCCCATTCCCCGGCACGCTTTGACTTTTGTTCATTCGTGTTATGAATAGCGAAAGTTGCTTATTTTGTTGTTTACCAGTTGGTGGGAGTGCCACTGACGATAGCCTGGTAGGCCTCGAGGATAGCGGGGTCGGTCAAATCGCAGGACATGGTGTGTTAATAGTAAGTCTAGTTGTTGAAAAGGAAGAAGGCGTCGAAAAGTTTGTGCGAGGTGGGAAGAGAGGGGCGGACAGCGTCGAATAGTTGTTGTTGTTGTTATTTGGTGGTGGTGGTGATGGTGGTACGAGTTGTTGTACGAGGGAGAGGGTATAATTCCAATGAAAAGGAATTGTGTTGTCGTTTGTTGTTATTGTAAGTGTTGTGGAGAGAGAACAAGAAGTAGAGAAGAGAAGAGAAGAGAAGAAGAGAAGAAGAAACAAAAAAAAGAGAAGAGAGAGAGAGAGGAGATGGATATCCAAAGTTGTATTTGAAGTAAATTGGAGACACACAAAAAAAAAAGAGAGAGAGAAGGGTCAGGTCAGTGAACCATGCAACCATTGAACAGCATAAACAGCATGAAAAAACAGGGGGAGATGCATTTACACGCGAGACAGTGAACATGTACACACAGACAGAGACAAAGAGAAACACATACAAGGAAGCGGTGAAAAGAGAAGGAGCAGGGCGTTTTGTTGTTGATGTTGAGTTTTTGTTATGTAACGGTCGAGGAGAAAGGAGTGTCAGGGGTTATTTGAGAGAAGGGCGTGTTTTTTGGTCGGGGAACAGGACGGGGAGCGGGAAAGTGGAGAGAGACAGATGTGGATGTGGTGAGAGCTGGAAAAGAAAGGGGGTTGGTGCAGTTAGGACAGGATGGAAGAGGGACAAGACAGGGCAGGATAAAAAGAGGGGATATGGAAGTGTAGGGTGCGGATGTGGGAGGATTGGAGTGGACAACGAAGGAAGAAAGAAAGGAAGGAAGAAGAAAAGGTAGAAGAAAAGGAAGAAGAAAAGGAAAAAAAGAAGAGAAAAAGGCACAATCATCGTCGAATAACCAACTGACATTGGGGCATAGTTCTAGTTCAAGAAACGGAATGGACTCTAAAAAAACAACGAAGAGATGGGCCTTAAGAGGAACGAGGAAGTTGAGAGCACAAGTAATAAAATAATGATCCGGATGATATTTGTTGTTGTCGTTGAGCTGAACACACACTCTCTCTCTCACACACAAACAACGATAGCAACGATAAACAACCACAGACAGCAAGAACCGGAAGGGAAGGGCAAGGCAAGACTAGATACAAACTCACTCTGGCACTTTCATTCTCGAAACGATTGCAAAATATGAACAGAGAAAACAAACAACAGCGGCCATAAAACAAGAGGCTAACCCTCCCTCCACTGCCTCTTTCAGGTCACGTCAAATACATGACAGTAACAAGCTGAAAAAAAACCTCCCCCCTACAATGCCCTCCACCTTTCACTTCCTTTTCATCATATATCACTGTATGAACAACACTCGCAGACATTCACTTCTCACCTCCTTGAACAAAAAAAAAGGAATCGGCTCTGCTGCTGCAGGATCATATCCAACAAGGTTAGGTTAGCAACACCGCCTGCTTTCTTGCCTGCCTGCCTGCCTGCTTGGAGCTCGTGGAATTCAGCTCCTCTCTCCTTTCTTTTTTTTCACCGTCTACCTCGATCGAAAGTCGCCGTAAAACCAAACGTGAAAAGAGAGTTCACCCGTCCAGTCGACACGACAGAAAGAAAAATGGCCAAACACCCGGTCCAAGCCCAGGTCCAAGTTTTGTTTAAAGACTATTAATGGTCATAAACCACGTTGTGTTTCTTCGTGTTTTGGTCCGTCGTTTGTTGTTGTCGCTCCCGCTAACAATCGGCGGACCCGGACCCAGTTCCAACGGCACTAAAACACAACAACGAAAATGCAAGTGAGCCATGCAAAAACTAAAATGAACAAACCCGCCTTACTCGTCTCCTCAATAGCGCGGTAGCAAACTTCGCTGAAAGAAAAAACAGCTTACATCTCATATTTATTGTATGTTTTTGAGAGCCCATTTTTTTCTCCTCTTTGTATGATTACTGAACAGCCAGCCATGCGTTTGTTGCAATTCCCTGACTGGTAGAAGTTAAAGTGAAGGTTACACAAAGTAGATGAAGGAAAGAGAAGGAATTAAAATGGCGCCAAAGAATGACGAGCAGGGAAAAAGAATGATGGGGGACGTGAGGGGTCACCAAGCCAGGGTCTTCCAAAGGACATACAAAAACGGAAAGCAACTGTCAAAGGGACAACTTCCCAATTGCAGATCAAAGATGATATGGTATCGAGAAAAACTTATTTCGTTCCGGTGTACTTTATCAGTAGCATATCACAAACTAGTACTCTTCAACCTCCATTGTCTAGATAAGGTTCTCAAACGCGTCCTCCTCCTTGGCAGCATTCATCTCCTGCATCATCACACGGTCGTGGTCAGACGTCACCAGGCTCGACGTATCATCAAAGTCAAAGTCACCCTATCACACCACAAGTAAACGAACGAAAAAAAGGGTCAGTCAATGCTGAGTACATAGAGCGAACATGTCGTCATTAGCAAAGCATAATTAACGTACCCTGACAGAACCGGTGCCGGTGGTGTTGACTTCCAGGGACATGTAACTCATGTTATCGCTAATCGAGTCAAGACGCTCCTCTACCAAAGAAGGATAGGGTCTCGAAGGCAAGCCATCCCCATTGAGGCTACCATTAAGACCGCCGTTGTGAACAAGGGGGGACGAGGCTGAAATCTGTGACGAGTTGGTCTGGAGCGGGCTGCCATGAGACTCCAAGTAGACTTCTGGCTCAGCTGCAGTCAAATCGACCAGTCCATGACCAGACTTGAAATCCTCGAGAATGTCGCGGTGGGCATGCTCCTTCCATTGAGGATAGGCACTGGCGGGGACAGGTTGAGACTGAGCGGCCTTGATGGCCTCCTCAGCCTGAAGGGCAATCTGCAAATCGGGGAACATCTCCTCATAACCTGCAGGGTCAGCAAGGGCGTCGGCAGTCTTGCTCCTGCCGGCAGCAGCAAGCGACTCCTTCCACAGCTGAAGGACATGAGGAACAGCACTATACATATTGTGTCAAATCATATCAAGATCCTGTTAGTCATGTTTTTGAAATGTTTGTATGTATAACATTCGACATGCTCCACCGCAAACACAAAAGCGTACAAAATACATGTAGTTACCTGGGAAGATAAGTTCTGGCCATGAGTGCAGCCTCGGGAATACGCTCAGTCTCGATTAGGACCTGGATACAGTCATCAACTTGACCCAAGTTGAGATAGCAAGCAAAGGTAATGTTGCTCTTGCCAGCTTCCTTAGCCATCTCAGCGAGTCTCTTCAGACCTTGTGCGTTTCCGCTCGAGGTATAAATCAGCAACAGGCCGCTCAGGTCCTTGGCGTGGACAAAGCACTCCTCGGCCAAGTTGACGCGCCATTTCTCCATAGCAGTGTCACCCAAAGTCTTCCACTTGGACTCAGAGTCAACCTCCCTAGCGATTGCCACAGCCAAATCCAACTCGCCCAGTTGAAGGGCCAATTCGTACTTGTGATCCTGATCAGTGGAAATCTGGAGGGCGAGTTCCTTGTGCTCCTGAGCCTCCAAGAATCGAGCAATCTTGTTGCGCTGCTCGTGAGGAACACGCGGCAAGATCTCTTCTGCCATCTCCATGTCTCCTCGGAGAACCGCAGTTTGGTATTCGATGACCGACAGCGAAATGCCATAGCTGACAATGTTGACCTCCTTGTCGACAAGGTACAGGCGGTTGTCGCGGGGAATGTAGCCAAGAAGGTAGTGAGCAGAGTCAAAGTGAGCGATCGCTTGCGTCTGTCCACCAACCAAATAGTTCAACCGGTTGGCAGCGTTGGTGTAAATGAAGCAATCTCCGACCCAGCATCCTGTCTGTACACTAAATAATACAAAGTGCGTAATTAAGTACCGTGTTAGGAACCAATAGCCATCCGCAAGAGTCCAAGATTGGCGACATTATCCATGTGAAATGCCACTTACGTTTCGGGGATCTCAGAGACAAACTCCAGAGCCTCCTCGACACCCTCCTCGCCGACCTGACCACCAGCCTCAACAAATTGGGCGTACGCCTGGCGGTTGTAACGCAGGACGAAGAAGCTGTCATTGCAAGCAATTGTCATTAAATCACCAGTCTCGGACCAGTAAACCTATGATGGATCGATTGAGAAAATGACGGTATTAGTGTTTGCTGTTCACTTTGCACACAAGCTGCAAAGGTCACATTGAGCGGTCGATCGACAGAGACTTACATTCTGGGGCTCGCAGTCAATACGGCGGACAGTGGCTCCGGTATCCCAATCGTACAAGTTCAAAAAGCTGGCGCTCTTGACTCCCAGCAACGTGCCTCCAAAGATTCCTTCCGCAGAGTAGTTCAACCGGATCAAGTTGGGCTTCTCCTTGAAGTTCTTGAACAGCTTGACCTTGTTGGTCGACTCACGAACAGCGTACTCGTTAGAATCCAATGCCCAGACAAACTCCAGTCCGCTTCCAAAGCTCTTGTTTCTCCATGCAAGCGCCGTATAGATGATGTATTCGCCATCGCCGCAGACAACAACGAAACGTCCGTTAGGGCTGTGCTGGAGAGACTGAGGGTACACTTCACAGCTGCCGAGATCCTTGGCAGCGCAAGCAATACGCTCGCCATCCTTTGTTTCGTCACCTATCCCAATGAAAGTCGAATGAAGTGTTAGCCCATCATTGTTCCTTAATAGCAAAAGTCTCGGCATTTCATCGTCCATAGTAAAGACGGTGTCATAAAAGGCCCTTACCCATGCTGGCTTTAACGTTGGCAGTTTGGATATCATTGTGCTTGGCCCAAATGATCTTTCCACCGCTATCCATGCTCACGGTTGGCTCCTCGCGACCCAGCTGCAAATTAAACAAAAATTGATGTATCAAAAATTAGTGTCGTGAGTATTGGCAACGTTGGTGCACAGTATCCAATATCAAATGTGGCCTCCAGGTACCTTAATGACGACAGATCCAAGATCGAATCCCAATGCGACGTCGTTTGTTGAGCGACTGTACGCAATGGTCCAGGCGCGGTTGAGGCCGTAGTTCAATGTGTTTTCCAGGCGATAGGTGTTGGCATGCCAGATCTTGACCGACCCATCCTCGCTTCCAGAAATAATGATAGGAAGGTCTGGGTGGAAAATGGCAAAAGTAACGTTCTGAGCATGTCCCTCCAACGTCTGAACGCAAGTCTTATTCTGATAATCCCAGACCTTGACCAACCTGTGGATATGACAGCATGTAAATGGTCAGGTATGGTTCATAATCCGAGAATGGCGACACTTCGCGTAATGCAGATCAATTGTAATGTATACGTACGAATCATCTCCAGCTGTGATCATGTATGGCTTTTCGCCTCCGTAGTAGTAATCAACCCAGTTCACTCCCTTCTCGTGACCATCCAGAGTAAAGTTCGCGACGCTGGATCCGAGCGACCAGACCTTAACAGTTCCGTCAACACAAGCCGAGGCGAATGTGTTGGTGTCCTTGGGGTTGATTGTAATGCACATGACAAAGTAGGTATGTCCCTCGAAGGTCTATTTGTGCAAACAATGAAATCAAAATTCCGGGCTTAAGGTCAGACTTGGTCCATAATAATTGCGTCCTGACGCCATATTGTGATGGTATAAAAGCGATAGAGATCGTCGTTGTACCTGAAGGCACTTCCAGTTCTTCTCCCAGTCCCAGAGGCGAATCGTCATGTCATCAGATCCGGTCAAGACATAGGGTTGTGTCGGGTGAACAGCAATGCATCGGATATAGTCGCTATGTGCATCCCAGCTGTGAACTTTTTCGTGAGTGTTGTAGTTGAAGACGCGAAGCTGCATGTCGTCCGATCCTGTAATCACGTAGTTCTTCCGGGCGATAAACTTGGCAGCGCGGACTAGCATGAGTAAATATGGAAATCATACAAAGTGTTAATATGATTTGCTCAATTAATTATTCTTGACAGAAAGAAGGTGTAAACGTGGCGCGGTAAACGGATACGCACCAGGCTGATCCGACACCTCAAAGGTCTTGACAAGGGCCTAATTGACACGTAGTAGGGGGCAATGATGAGCAGGATTAGTGTCACTTTCTCGATCAGTTGTGAACAAGAGGCTCAAACAGTTCTTCGTCCACAATCCAAAAGATTGTCAGGAGATAACGTACCTGCGTCTCATGGTTCCAGATATAGGCATGGCCATCGTATAAACTGGCAAGCATCCATGGCTCCGTTGGGTGAAAGTCCATAGACTTGACACGCTCCGAGTGAGCCAGCAGCTTTTTCTAATAAGTAGGAAGTGTACGTTGGACGTTTGGAGATGAACCCGGGTTTCACGTGCGTGTTAGCCAGTTGTTGAATTACCTGTCAAACATCTCTTGATGAGTTATGTGAAGTCGCTTCCCAGTGTCAGTTTGGCGCGTTGCCGATGTGTACCTTGATCTCCAATTTCATAACCTATTGATGTCAGTGTTGAATACAAGACGATTCGGGGGTTAATATCTTTATGAGGAAGTGGCCATATACAGTGTGTGGCTGGTGTTGTCATGGAGAGAGGGTTGAGGTTGTACCATTGTGATGGTCGGTTTTGCGTGGGGTAAAAGGGAAAGTGTCGAGTTGGACGCGCAGGGACGATCGGTAGAACCCCTTGAAGAAGAAAAGGTAAGTGGAGTAAGAAGGTTGGGTAGGGTGGATGTGTGTGTTGAAGTGGATTCGTCGACTAGGGGGGAGTGGATGAAGGACGAAAGGACACGGAGGAAAGAGAGGATGGAGTGAAACAAGAAGGGCATAAAGGGAAGGCGAGCCTTTGTGCCCTACAGGTGAAGATGGTCACGTGAAATAAGTACTTTGCCCATGGGTCGTCATAAAAAAAAGTGCACGACGTGGAGAGGAACGCATAAAAAGAGCGTGGGAAGGGTCCATTGCAACCCTCTTACTTACTCCACTCTCTCCTCTCTTCTCTCCTCTCAACCACAACGCAACCAACATACCAGCAAACCAACAAACCAGCAGACGAACAAAAAGAAACAATGATCGACATCCATGCACACATCTACCCCCCGACAATCCCCCAAGAATCCATTCAACCCCTCATCCAACGCGCAAAAGCAGCAGGTTTAACTTCCATTCTCTCCGTCTCCGAGAACCTCCTCGACGCCCGCCACATCCTCCGCCTCGCCATCCAACACCCCGGATTCATCTTTGCATGTGCAGGACTCCACCCAGCCCAACCCATCCGCGATGCAGACGGTGCAACCATCTCTTACCGATCCGTTCTCGAATCCGACCTCGACGGCGTTTTTGAATTCATGACCGAAAACCTTTCTAAACTCGCCGGGATCGGAGAAGTCGGTTTGGACTTTACACTCCCTGTCCTCAACTCGACTGATAACCCAGAACGCCTCAGGAACCATGACGACGTCAAGACCGAACAGCGCAAAGTCTTTGCGCGTCAGATCCGATTCGCCAACCAGAACGACCTCGCGTTGAATGTTCACTCGAGGAACGCGGGGCATCATGCGATCACGCTGTTGGAGGAGCTGAATGCCAAGAAGGTGGTTCTGCATGCGTTTGATGGGCAGCTCAAGTATGTTCGGAGGGGGCTCGCGTTGGGGTATTACTTTTCGATCCCGACTAGTGTTGTCAGGACACCACAACAACAGGCATTGGCAGAAGAGGTGCCGCTAGAGTTGATGCTACTTGAATCGGACACGCCTTGCTTAGGACCTGAGAAGGGCGTGAGTAATGTGCCCTCAAATCTTTGTATTGCAGCCCAGGAGATTGCGAGGATCAAGAACGTGGACTTGGAAACTGTGGTACGTTCACTTTTTTTGTCGATTCAGTTGTATTTTTGCCAACCTCCAATCTGCGCACTGTTGTCTCATGATGTTTAACTCTTCTTTTTTTTCAATTGTTTTTGGAATGTTCTCCATTTTAAAGATCGCGTTAACGACAGAGAACGCGTACAAGCTGTTTCCTAAGACCCGTCCTCATCGGCCTGCCCTGTCAGCCTTATGAACAAAACATGTACTTTTATCATTCAATAAAAAGTGAAAGATCGTTCAGTACTTTATTACATAGCATGGGAAATATAATGCAGTGTTTGTCATATAGCGAAAAAAAAGGTTGCGCGTCATGGCTTAAATATATAGAGCAAAAAAAGAAAAAGTCAGAGAAGAGTAACCTTCAAAATCTTCTACTGGACCTGAACTTGTGCAGCTTCCAGTGACATGAGCTGCTGCTCCTTGGTCCACAGCTCCTGCTGCTTTTCCTTGAGCTCACGCTGGACACGGTCTTCAATTTCCTTCAGCTTGCCCTCCTCCTTCTTCATCTGCTCCTCCTTCAAACGAGAATGTTCATCCTCTTCGCCCGAATCATTACTATCAAATGAATAAAAACAGGAGTGTTAGCACACACTTTGGAAATGATACCTAGCAAATAAGGAATGGAGTCGAAATGACAAAAGAGTGAACTTACTCAGACGCGCTGTCAGTGCTACGCGACAACTTCTCGGTACGGTAGTTCTCATACAGGTAGTCGTGAGTGATTTCTTTGAGATCCTGAAAGTGCGAGCTGTTGCCAAAAGTGCACGGAAAAAAACGTACCAAGTTAATGTGAAAATCTATAACCGAATGTCACATCATCATCCACGGACTGTATAAAAAATATCGACCCCCTTACCTGAGCAGAGCATAGCGAAGCTTGACAAAATCGCAGTGCTGTGGATTATCGACCTCGACAACACCCCAGGGATACTGTCTACCTCGGACCTTGCGACCATCAACCGTCACCTCCTCCTCGCAGCCGATCAAAGCGAATGGGAGAAGAGAACGAAGTTCGCTGTTCTCCTCCACCGTCTCGTCATCATCCTCCTCAGGGTCATAGGGGAAGTTGTAGATTGGGATCTTGTGATGCGCAATATCTTCCATGACCTATAGGGGAAAAAGGAGTGAAAAATTGGATGTTGGGAACGACAAGAGCATGGTTAGTTGCAAGGATTGAATTGGTATTGTAATAAACTGTATCGCGAGGAGGAGAAATTGGAGGACTGATGCTTACGCGCTTCTTGAAGTCAGCGAGCTCTCCAGGAGTCAAGGAATCAGACTTGCCGATAACGGGGATGATGTTGATCCTTGGGCTCAGACGACTCATCAACTCGATGTCAATCTCTCTCAGGCTAGTGCAGGGAGGCTATGTTAGCCAATGGCTATTAAAACAAGTCATGTCAACAAACACATATATAGTTTGAGGTCATTGTTGTCACATACCTGTGGCCAGTTGGGGCAATAAAGTAGAGGAGTGCATGGACACGATTGTCTCGGAAACGGCGGTTTCGCTTAATCCTGGACTCCTCAGACAAAATGTCATCGTATTGCTGCTCAAGGTATCCCAAGATCTCTTGGAAGCTATTCGTTTGTTTTCAGATCGTACATGGGAAAAGGTGTGGAGTTAGCCGTTGTTTCTCCTTTTTTAGTTGCCCAATGTGTACGTGCGTGTACAACAAAAGAACAAAGAGACGATGAAAATGGAGCCCGTATGTCCGTGTATAATGCAAAAAAAGAAAGGAGCAGAGCGAATGCAAGAGAACCAACTTGAAAGGGTCAAGGGGGTCCTTCTTATTCGAGCCCAGTTTCATCACCCAAGTCCATGTCCCAAAAGACCCCGGAGTCGCTCGTTCACCTCGTCGCGATAATAAAAATAACAAGGTTGTCTGGAGAAGGTCAGTTTACACTTTGCTTTAGCAAGACGCATACGTCTACTTACCAATACTCGTTGTCAATCATGTCACCAAAGCCAGGAGTGTCGACAACCGTCAGCGAGATCTTGACACCGTCCTCGTCGAGTTCTATGAAAATAGTCATATCAGAAACATCCATTAGCATTCCTTGTTCTTATTAATAGAGTTGTTCACACCACAAAGGTCATCTTGAACAATGGAAAGCAAAGCAAAGAAAGGAGATACGTACCGACGGTGTATGGCTTGATCTTGATGCCTTCCTCAATGTGGGCCATTTCGGGTTCCTCGCACTCCCGCTTGGGGACGACCTCTGCATCGCACAGGGTGTTGATGAAGGTCGTGCGTCCCAGACCGGAGGCTCCTACAGAATGTATTGAACACCAGTGGAAAGGTTCCACATAAAGTTTACAGTGAACACGCTGTCAGATTCTGTTGATCCAGGAAACATCGACACTGATGGTGGCGTCAATAAAGCAGGAACAAGGTTTGATCAGTCCTTACCCACAACCATCAACGTGAACTGGAATCCCTTCTTGACGTTCTTGCGGTTGCCAGGGCGCTGTTTGGTGGCGTGTAATAAGTACCAATGATATGTCAGTTGGCGAGCTGCAGTATCTCGATACGGCAAGGCAATAGCGCACTGTTTGCCTTAGGTGAATGGCTCTCTTACTCTTGGGTGCGACATGGTGGTAGGTGTGTGCTTTTGTGTGAAAGGGTGGAAGTGAAATGGATGAGTGATGAATGTGCAAGCAGAATGAGAACGGAGATGGAAGAAAAAGAGAAAGAGGAAAAAGTCAAAGTGAGTTTTGGAGGTGTGAGTGAGAGACAAAGAGAAAAGAGGAGACAAGGGGGCCAGAAATGAAGACGAGCTAGGCAGGCAGGCAGGGAGCTTCTTGCTACAGTGCGCAAAGCGCGTCTTTTCATTTTCCTTCTTTTTCGGTCTCTACGAAAATAGTTCGAGGGAGTTCCGCCTCCTGCAAAATATTTCATTCATTATCTCCGCGTGCTCTTCTTTGGGAGGATATCCTATTCATTTTACTTGCAAGGTTTATACTTGAATGAACATTGCAGGCAATTAGAATGATAGTGCCTTCCTCTACATCATACACACAGCCATGGCGTCTTCAGCAGCGCCACTCACAACAACATCAAGGGACCCCTACGGTGTTGAACATAATGGCCAATTCACTGACTCCTGAAGGTCGCCGGTAGCCGTTTTTGTCACAAACTGAGAATTCAAGGCCAACAACGATAAGTGGACGCGACGCATACATTCGTCTGTTGATGTTTGTTTTGCTAGGAAAAGGGCAGTGAAGGATTGATGGCGGCAGTCATTGAGTTGTAATGTTACTTTCTCAACGGTCGGTGCAGATCCGAATCTTTGCTGATGTATTAACAAAAAGTTGTTATGGGTTGATAGCGTTGGCTAACGGACCAAGTAGGTAAACGACAAAGAAGAGGGAGGGATATTCCTTGTCCCGATGAGGACCAGGTCGAATTACACGCGAGACAAGATATACCAACGCTACGGCGCAGGGCTAATTGAACATGAGGTGATGACGACGTTGGACACAGAGGATGATCGATTCTTGCAAGTCCGTTGGTTGATATTTATGAGTCGCAGTGACAGATGAGGCCTGTCCACTGCCAACAGCGAACACAATTGTTCAGTCGATATGTATCGGAAAAGAACAAAGGAAGAGGGCAGTGATTTGTCAACAATAATGAGAGTGCAGAGGCACAGAGGCGATGAACGTCTGATACGAATGAGTCCAAAATGCGTAGTCGATGTCGATGGATCATCTCTTTTTTTCTTTTATTTCATTTCGTTTCCCTCTATTCGTCTTTTTTCCCTTCGTCTCTCTTCTCTTCTTCTTCCCTTCCTCTTCTTTCCTCTCCCCCCATCCCCATCTTCTCTCCTCCCCTTGCTCACTCTCTCCTCATAAGCACGCATATTCACACATCAATCCCAACGATTCCGCCTTTCCCCCTTCCTCTCCCTCGGTACCTCCCCCCCTTCCTCTCCGATGCCGACCCCCATCTTTCCAGCTGGTCCCAGCTTCATACACCTCGATACATGGGACACCACCGCAGCTGCTCCGCCCAAGAACAAACAATCCTCCTCCTCCTCCTCTCATAACAACAACAACAATACCAACAGTAGCATCAAAAACAACCAGGATTCAATCGAACATGCTACTCTCTTCTTGAAACGATTCACACTTTCTTCGGGCAACCACCGCTCGTCGTCGTCCTCCTCGTCCAACAACAGACGTCGAGGCCGTCCTAGTTCTTCTCGAATGCGAGGAAGACATGACTTTGTCAAGGCCTTTCATGCCAACTTTGGAGAAACACTCAACAACCACCCTGCCAGCAAGGAAGCCCGCTCGGCCCAATTCAAAACTTACGTGCAGAGTCATCGTCTTCGCCTCCGCCAACGTGGTATCAGCAGTCTCCATCCTCGCCATCAACATCATTATCGTCTTCAGGATAATTCCGACATGTCTCTGGACGAGAGCGAAGTCCACGACGACGAATACGACGACAACGGATACAGTGATAGTGAGGCGAGGGATCATGTGCTCGACCTCGACCCGGAACAATACCGCAACTACATGTGGGAGCTTGAGCAGCGCCTGTTGGAGAGGACCGAGTCTGCAGCCAAGAGCCGATCGTCGTTTTTGATGGAGCGTCGGTTGTCGGCGGGGGAGAGATTGCACCATGTCCAGAGGGTTGTCCAACAGCAGCGCGCAGAGCAAGAGTTGAGGCAGCACCGGGCCCGTGATAAGCTCGAGCAAAAGATGGTCCGCGCCATGGCCCGCAGGAACGCCTATCTGGAGGCCGCAATCGAAAATGATCCCTCCCGGAGATTCCGCCGCAGGGAGGCCCCCTCTCAAACATCTTCTTCGTCGTTGGCAGCGACCTCGTCCTCCAATAAGACCAAGGCTGCCAGGGCTGGATCGACTACTGCTCCTATTGCGACAACCTCAGGCGCTACGACAGTCTCTTCTGCTCCCTCGACTGGTAGTTTGACCACTGCTCCCAAAAGGGGCACACCTTCCTCCTCCTCCTTCCAGGGAGTGTCTTCATCGATGGACTCGGTCAAGTCATCCAAGGACAAGGAGAACAAGGACAAGGAGAACAACAGCAACAACAGCAACAACAACAACAATGACAACAATAACAAGTATACATCAGAGATACGAGGGGATGAAGACGGGCTACACAGACAAGGACAAGGACTAGGTTCTCCTAAAAATAGCCCCTTCAACATGACCCAAAGCATGAAGGCCCACTTGACCAACATGACCTATGTGTCGTCCATGTCTTCCTCGCCTTCCTTATCGTCGTCGTCGTCGCCTGTGACCATGTCGCCATCTTCTGTTGAAAATGTGGAGAGAGGCGGGGGAACAGGAGGAACAGGAGCAACACGAGCAAAATTTCAGGACATTAGCAAGGAGGTTAGAGTTTCTAGTGCGACAGATATCGGGGGAAAGGCAAGACTTGAGAGGATGACCCTATGGGCGCAACGGAGGATTCGTCAACGATTGGTGGAGAAGGCGTCGCGTGAGTACATGCGTGCTATCGGGGGATCACACCAACGCGTCCTCGGACTGAAGTTTGAGGAGTTGGCGCGGCTGTTGCATACGAACAAAGGGCTGATCCAGGCGACGGTCAAGCTATTGAGATACTCGTCCCAGTTGGCGCAGATGTACAAGTCTGTCGAGCAACAACAACAACAACAACAGCAACAACAGGAGGGGATCAAGAAGAACCCTGCGCGGGTGTTCCTAAGCATGTATATGGTCCTGGCGCACCCTTCCCAGATCCGGTCCCCGTCTGAGGTAATGTTCTAGCAGCGTGCTAAGCTAACAGTCACATAGCCAATTGAACTTTTTAATTGGTCGCACCATTTGTCATCCTTGGCTTTAAGAAAAAAAAAATTGTTCTTCATCCTTCTCTAAAACCATTGCTCATTTTTATATTCTTTTCTCTTCGGTTCTTCTCTTCTCTTCTCTTCTCTTCTCTCTTTCACTCACAAACACTTTCTCTTTCTCTCCACTCTCTCTCCACTCTCTCTCCACTCTCTCTCCACTCTCTCTCCACTCTCTCTCTCCATTCTCTCTCTCCCCACTCTCTCTCCACTCTCTCTCTCCATTCTCTCTCTCCCCACTCTCTCTCCACTCTACATTACAACATAATGGCGTCTATCCATTCCGAACGCGCTTCTCTCTCACCAACACAACAACAACAGCACGCATACCCAGCTCAAATAGAAGACGACAGCGCATTCGAGTCCCTCGTCGAATCCTCAAAGGCCCTCCTCGAAGCCCTCCAGACCTGGCTCACTGCCGACAGCAAACACCCCGATACCACCACTCCCGCATCAACAAAGGACTTTACCGAACCAACATCTTCCTCCACCACCGCCGCCCAAGAAGACGACACAACCTCCCTCCTCAACTTTGACGCAGCCTGGACAAGCTACTACAATTTCTTCGAAGCATGGAAGGACAAGGATGCCCAGCGATTGCTCAAAACTCTTTTGGACCACGCCCAACAGATCGACGCGCTTTGGAGGACCGTCCAGAGTGACCCTACTGCTAGAGCTGAATGGGGACTCCGGATCGAGGAGCAGAGGAGGGATCTGAGGGATAAGGCTCGGCAGCTTGCGGGACCTGATGGTGTTGCGAGGTTGGATGAGGTCTTTGCGGATTTCGTTAGTGCTACCACACCGCCAGCCCCCGCGCTTCCTTCGACGACGACTAGTGCTGGTGCTACTACTATTCCAGCCATTACCGCTACGTCCGATGTCGCCACCGAAGCTATCAGGCCAATGGAGACTGATACTAAGGCGGTGGCACCAGCATCTCAGTCAGCGACGACCCTGTCATCATCATCATCCTCTGCACCAGTGGAACCAACAACAACAACTACACTTGCGACAAAGAAGCGCCAGAGACTGGTCTCCATCTCCAACTCGGATTCTGCAATGGACGTGGATGGCCAGCCACCGACTGGAACTCACGTCGTACAGCCATCAACAGCGACTGCAGATGCACCATCGGCAAACACAGACGATCCTACCTCCACCGGAGAAGAACCCCAGCCAAAGAAGCCTTTCAAGGCCAGAGCTCCTCGACAGCCGATCATGCCCGCTGGATTCGAGAAGCAGGACAAGTGGAGTAATTTGCAGCTGATCCATGAGTTGGCGTTGGATCCCAACTTCAAAATCGAGTCAAAGAGAGTCGGAGGCGATTCGACACCTTTGGGAGACACCGAGGAAGGTACCAGCAGCAGTAGCAATGTCAAGAATATCGAAAGTCTCGAGTCCAGGATCCGAGCCATGGCGACTAAGGCCTACTTTGACAAGATCCGCGAGGACGCAGAGCAAGGACAGTTGGGCAAATGGATCCCTCCACTTCTCACCACAATCCGTGAACAACTGTTGGATATGGTCCCTCAGGAATCGTCGGTCGCACGCCAGATCCGGGACGGGTTTGATCTCGAGTTTGTGCAACAGCAGGTCGACCGGAAGGTGTACGACGTCAAGGGTGCATTAGAGGGTGTATTGGGATTGATGGCCAAGCTCTGTGCCCCCGTGCGCGACCCTGCGATCCGGCAAATTCAGCAGGATTTGAGCGTTATCACCGGGAACCCACTTCAACAAACCCCTCAGGTTGCTGCATCTGGAAATCGAACACCATCATCGGCGTCGTCGGCTACTCCCAAGAATTTCGTCACCGTGTTGAAGGATATTCTGGAACTGTTGGAGGAGATGCTGATGGATTTGGCCAACTACCGGTTGATGGTCGCTCGCCCCAGTCTGGAGAAGCAGGCGATCCCTTACGAACAGCATGCGTTCAAGACTGCGCTCGAGAATGGAGAGATCACCCTGGACGCTACGACGGCTTGGCTTGAGAAGTCGGCTGCCAGTCTTGCACGTGCATCCGCTGTCTCGACTACCACCTCTTCAGGATCAAAGGACCAGTCATCCTCAACCACGCCATCCTCCTCGTCCCCATCCTCCTCAGCAAAGACCAACCGCCACTACGAAGTCTACATCAACGCAGTCCTGGACCTCCTCTACTCCAAAACACCCCTCGAACTCTCCTCTAAAGAAGAATTCCCAGAAACATTCGTCCTCGACCAAGCCCGCCTAAGCCGGTACCAGAACGAACTCCAAGCCCTGGCACTGATCGCCGTCATGTGGAACATCTCCCTCAATGTCCATCCTCCACTCCGCGATGAAGGTCAACAGGAACTCAAAGAGACTCTCTTCCGCCTCATGGAGAGCGCCGACACTTCCAAAGAAACCTTAGCTGAGGCCATCATCGAGGCCAAAGAGAAAACCCTCCTCCTCACCTCTCGCCCCTCTTCTGCATCCTCCACAACATCGACCCGCTCAATCCCCTCAGCCGCCTCACCGACAGCTTCCCTCCTCCTCTCAGCCGACCAAAAATCTTACCTCCTCAACACCATCGAGCGCGCCATCTCCTTCGACAGCAGCCTTTACAGCGTCCTCTCGCAACGAATCCGTAAAGTCCTGGAATCTTACCTTCTCTCATCCCCTCCCGGTCTCGGCAGTAAACCGGGTGTTATGCCCGAACAGGCGGAGCTGAACAAGGTCGGGTTGGGTGCAATGGCCAAGGAGATTGAGACGTTTGCGGCCCAGATTGGGTTCTTGACCAAGTACAATGCCAAGGTCTATCAGGCCTGGTATGACCCGCTCTTGACAAAGATCTTGCCTAGCACCAGTCGCAAGCCAAGAACACCTGCTGCCAAGACTGCCGCCAAAACTCCTACTTCTGCGCCAGAGGAAGCCACTGCTACATCGACAACTGCCGACAAGCCCGCGACACCAGAGAAAGAGCCGGCAGAAGACGACAAGGCCAACGAGTCCGCATCCTCTCTGCCGGCCTAAAAAAAAAGAATAAACCATCTTGTTGAATAAAGTAAATCTGTCATACACGGACTTTTTATTGTCAAATATTAGGTTTTTTTGGTACAAGAAAAAACATATGATACAAGCATGAACGAAAGGGAAGAAGGGAAGATGAAAAAAAGTAGGAAAAAAGGAAATGAAATACAACGCAATAACAGCGAAAGCGAACAGGAACAAAAATAAATGAATGAAAAAGTAAATGAAAGAAATGAATCGGCCGGTCTAACAGTTGCAAATAACGACAGAAAAAAAAGTAAAACAGAAAGAAAAAAAAAAAGGGCCCCAATTAAAGGTAGATCTCCTTAACGTCCTTGGCTCCAAAGTTCTCGCGACAGGTAGGGCACTTGCGTTGGCGGTACTCCATCTGGTTATCCATGCAGTTCTTACAAAACACATGCATGCACCGCAGGATCACATGCGACTTGAAGTTGACGTCGCACGCAGGACATTTGAGCAGCTTGAGGTACCGCGCAGCCTGCTTGGCTGCCTCCGAGCTCTCGCCTGAGCTTGCCTCTGCCTTGGCCTGCTCATCCAACTTCCGCTTCATTCCATCCGTCTCCTCCAGAAGTCGTCGACGGGTATGGGCCTCGTTCTCATAGGCCTCTGTACGCTCCTTGAGCATAGCCTGAAGCTCAGCCAGCCGCTCCTCCTGGCGCGCGTACTTGTCCTTGAAGCTTGCGTTCTGTTGGGTGTACTCCACAAGCTTGCTCTTGTGAATCGCCACGCTGCTGCTCAGAAGCGACTGCTCCCTTTCCAAAGTTGCCTATACCATTCAATAAAAAATTCATCGGTGGTTAGCAAGATTGTTACATGGGCACATACGACGCGACAGTTGAAAATAATGACCGTCAAAGAAACATTGCAACTCACCAGTTGAATGTTCAGATTCTTTTCCCGGTCCTCCAGCTTGCGAATCTGATCCAATTGCATGTCCGACTGTCTCTTCATGACGGCAGTCATGTTGGCACTCGCATCCTTAGCGCGGATCAAAAGGTTGCACTTGGACTCCTGACGGTTCTTGTCCGAGAGTAACTTGATGATCATGTCTTCCTTCTGGGCCAGCTCAATCACCTTGCGTGAAGTAGCCTCCTCAAGCTGACCCCAGGCAGTTGCAACAGTATGGAGCTCGTTCAACAAGGGAGCCTGCACAGTCTCGTGCGCTTGAACCTTCATCTCGAGAACCTGGATCGCTTCCTCCTTCGACTTGATCGTCGCCGTAAGTGCTTTGACTGGGTCATCTGCACCAGATCCCACCAATCGCTCTAAACTGTTCAGCTTCGTCGTGAGCTTCTCAACTTGTGCCCTCAGTCGCTTCTCCGACAGTATAACACCCTCGATCTCCTGCAGCTGTGATGCTGCCTCTTTGCTGGCTTCTAGCTCCATGGAAAGTCCCCGAATGTGTTCCTCAGCGGCCTTCAGCTTGTTCTTCAGGTCATCGAGGAAAGGTTTGTCGTGCGATCCGGTGAGATAAAATCCGAATGCATCCTTATCGCCTGTATTGGCCGCCAGCATGATCTGGAGTCGCTGGATATCCGTCGCAAGTGTAGTAATACGGTCCTATTCTCCGAAAGAAGGGTGGGCAGATAGTATCACGTTAGCTGAAGAAGTTCTTTCACAATCTCATACGCTCATGGATAAAAGGATTGGAAGAAGTGAATTACGTACCTTTCGGGTGTTGGCAATTTTTCGGATCTCTTGGTTTTGTTGCATCTCATAGTCGTCCTTGGTGCATCTTGCCTCGTACATTTGTTGAAATCGATCTCGGCTATCCCGCAACCGAGAAATATCGCCTTCCAACTTCTTCAGCTCCTCCTCCAAGGCCTCCCGACGTGATTTTTCCTCGCTCTCAAGACTCTCCATGAATTTGCGCCGACTGAGGTGAAGATCCTCCAAGTCGGTCTTCAGCTTCATTGCCTCGTTTCGGTAATGCTCAGCATCGTTCCTTGCGTACTGCATCTGTGTGAGGATGGACTTGACGAGTTGCGAGTCTTGGACACGCTCGTCGGGGATGTGGTTAAGCTGGAGCTTGAGCTGGTCCAACTCAGTCTTCAGCTGAATCCTCTGTGCCTTCAAATCTACAAGTTCTGCCAGTCGATTTACTGCCATATCGCGATACTGAAGCAGCTCGTCCCGAGACGCGTCGTGAACCTCGGCCTTGGAATCCATAGGGCCAGCAGATGGGGTGGCAGCATCCGGCGATCCCGAGTAGTTTTCACCAAAGATCTCGCCCGAAGTAACGGCCGCAACAATGGCGCTCTTCTCCCGATCTACGTTCATTTCAATCCGACGTATTTTGTCCGTGGACTCGTCCAAACTCTCGTTCGCGGTCTCCAGTCGCTTCTTCGCCATCTCCAGCTCGCTCTTCAACCTGAGGACCTGGTCGGTGAATCCGTGGCACTGGGCTTGGAGGTGATCGACGTTGGCCTGACCCTTCCTGTACAGAGCTGTGATCTTGTTGTGTTCTGCGGTGAGTGTCTGGACAATGGCGCTTTCCTTTGCTGCGGGATCTATCGGATGAGATATGGTATATCAGCTTAGATCATTGTCCATATTGCGAAGTCCGCGGTTGCGTAATTAATTCAAGGCGAGAGTAAGGGATGTGTCCATATTTCCCCCGGCTTACCTTTGTCCTTGAGTGATGTCCAGAAAGAGTCGCGTTGGGCCGACCAGTTATCGATAAGTTGTATTAACGTGAGTACAATTTCCTTGGTGTACTCTGCGCGAGCCTCGACTGCTGGTCTGAGAGATTCCAAAGTCAGATCCTTGATCTCGCGATGCTGCGTGTCATCGCCAGGTCCGTTCAAGAGGAATGACGCGAAACTGGTGCCATCTAGATAACAACATTGACATGGACGTGGCCATGTTAGAAACAGTTTTAATCCAAACCATCCAGCAGCTGAATCATCTCGGGCACAAAGAAACATTACCATGCAGCACGAGATCCTTGAAATTAAAGTCAATGTTCACTCTTGACATGATCATCTTCAGATCTTGCAGCAACTAGATATTGGAGTGGTGTGGGATGTAGTAAGGTTCGTCAGCGTCGATATCCACAAAATGGATTGATCTATAAGTTTGACTCGAACGGCAAACTGAATATCCCAGCATACCTTGTTCCAGTAGAGGTCAACCGTACTCAGATGAGCTTCGTAGTCGATCTGCTTCTCGTTCAGTTGCGCGATTTGTTCCTGTGCTCGCGAGTACTCCCGCTTGTATTCCTGCATCTGCCGCCATATTGCCTCCTTTTGAAAGTTATGAAGTATCTCCTAATGCCACAAAGGCGAACAAATCAAAGTGGAAAGAAAGCAGTAGACTGGGTTAGCAAAGCAGAACTCACAGAATCGACTCTGTAACAGTGAACAAAAGAACAAAACTGGCGGCAAACAAAAAAAATAAAATAAACAAAAGAGCCTGGCCTATGGAATGGGCCATTGTAAATCCCTCCCTCCTTTTGTTGCCACTTTCTGCCTTCCTCTTGAAAACCCCCCGACAAAAATGGCCCGGTCCGTATATCGACATATGTCAAGAACAAACACTATACTCCCCAAAGAAAAACTAAAGGACCTAGTAGCATTCCCTGTAGGCATCGTAAGGAGACAATAATGTCAGGAGCAATGGCTGGGTTTCACCTCTCGTCATCCCCTGTGGTCACCTCCACCCCAAACGAACGATCCACAGAACACAGACAATCCCGAAGAAACTGCGCAGATGGCTCTTCCTTTACCTCAGCGGTCGACATGGGTTCTGACTCCTCCTTGGCGGTGTTATTGGGAAGGGCTGGGACTCTGTTACTGTCGGTTCCTGCAAGCTGCTTCCTTTTGGAGGAAGGAGTACCGACGCCGTGCCCTGAGCCGCTCAGAGTTGTTGCTGGTGTGGGCGTGACAGACTGAACCGACAGCCCAGTAGCGTCGTCGGTAAGCTTGCGCTTACGGATGCTTCTGTCATCCATAGAAGCGACTACTCGGAGATCCTTCGAAGGGCTTATGGTGGAAAGTGGGTGGTGGTGATTGTGAGTGGGAGTTGGATTGTTGAGAAAAACAAGGGAAGATGGTGGTGTTCGATCGACAATCAAAGATCCTGCGCCCAAAGAGTTCAAGGTGTTGTTTGGCAAAGGTCTATTCGCAAGAAAACGACGGACGAGAAGCGCACACAGAGGTGGTATTTAAAAAGGTTAGCACGATTGCGCAACAAATGGACGAGCGAGCGGTGAGTTTGTTCAAGAATGAAGGGCGGAAAAAACGTACGATCGAGAGGTGACAGGGACATATTGCTATCGTGAAGAAGGATTGGTATTGTGCATGGGATATATACATACCTTATGCTGTGTGGTTGACACTGTTGGTTCACCGTGAAGGGGTAATGTGGTAATGGAAGGGTCAGTGGACAAGGATCAAAGAGGCAACGAGAGAAAGGAACGAAGCGCTGCTTGCATAAAGTCTGTTTGTCAACCAGTCAACCAAGAGAAAGTCAGCTCTGCTGTCGGTGATTAAACTTGCGAGTCGAATCGAATTCTATTACATCATCAATTTTTTGGAAGGGTGGTATATAGGTTGCACAGGTCAAAAATATGATTGGGAGGTGCTATTTGGAGATACGAAGGCTAAGGGTTCTGGTCGGCGATCCTGAGGAACCGCAAGTGGTTCTCGTAGTAGCGGATCAACAACAGAGGAAACTTTTCATGAGCCACCTCAATATCATGTGTGGTCTCGCGGCCGTTCTTCCAGCGCAGGAAAACTGCAAGCCTGGTGTCGTTGGATTGCATGATCGCCCGGATGTAGTCGATATGGTTTCCCCACGAGGCCCAGTCCTCCGGAGGGCTCCAGCTGCCGCCCTCCTCGTCGTCGTACTCCTCGATCTCGTCAATTTCTGATATCTGTTGCTCGTTGCTCTCTGTACTCCGCCTGGTCCTCGTGACCTCAGTGTCCAGCTTGTTCTCGTCATCCTTGTCCTCCGTGTTTACCCTCTCGCTCGCGCCAGACCTGCTATCGCTGTCAGCCTTGTGCTCGCCATCTTCCTCAGGCTCATCAGCAGTATACTCATCAGAGGAGCGCGACCTGATTCGCCGCTTCTTTGCTGCCACAGCTTGTCCGCGGCTACTCTCCTGGTCACGATTACTAAGACGACTACTGCTTCCCACGGCCTTGCGCTTTGCTGGATTTGATTCATCTCCTTGAGTATCTGATTTCCTGCCTCCTGCCTGCTCGTACCTCTGCCAGTATTCGTCCACCAATTCAGGGCAGTTCACGTCTGAACCTTTCACCCAGCTGTTGGCATCCGAGTCGTATCCCTTCCATTTGATCATGTATGAGAGTGTCCCGTGTCGCCCTCTTCCTGCGCGCTTGTGACCGACAACACGCTCCACTTCATACTCTGCATCATCCACTGCCCCGTCCTCGTCTCCGTCCTCGTCATCCTCGTAGCTATTGTCCTTGTTGTTATTGTTATTGCTACTGTCGTCGACTTGGTTGAAGTCGTCGTCGCTCTGAGCCCTCTTTGTCCTTTTGCCTTTGTTGGGTGCGGAGCTGGCGTTTGCCTTGGCCATTGGTACCAGAGATGTCGTGTTTGGTGTTGATGAATGAAGAGTCAAAAAACGGTGGCGCCTTTCCTGCTAAGCTTTTATCACTGTAGATGCAGCATTTGCGATTTATGATAGGAGGGGATGCACACAGTCACTTGGCGGCATGGAAAAGTTTTTTTTCTGGTAGAGTGCGGGGAACTTGCCATTCTGGGAACGGAGCGGTGCCTTGGACGGACGGACAACGAAACGAAGGTACTCTTCCTAAAAGTACAACACAACTGATCTCTTTTTCACTCATTCATTCTGTTTATTTTCTCTTCTTTTCTTTTTCTTCTTCACTCATTCCTCACACCCTTCCCACTCTCTCCCCACTCTACACGTAAACGCCACACATAATGTCCTGCAAGGTTGTTCTCGCTCAGGGTATCTCGGCCTCCTACAGGTATACAAGCTCGCTTTCAGGTTTTCAAGGAGAGGAGGATCGGAAGTCTACACACGCTGCCGCCACAAGTCCGGTGTCCCTGTCGTTCTCACACATATACCCTTTTCACCTCCCCTGACGGATAATAGAGAGGAGCTGAAGAGCACGATTAAGACTCGCAACATCTGCCCCAAGCTGGTCGGCTTCCTTGCCAATGAGGACCCTGCTGCAGCCAAGTATGCCGAGTGGACTGCAAAGACCTGTGCCGAGACCGGCGTCGAGTTTGAGCTCAGAAAGTGCTCGAGAAACGATCTCGAGGACAAGATTATCGAGGCCAACCAGGATGCTGGTGTTAATGGAATCATGGTCTACTACCCTGTCTTTGGAGATCGTCAGGTATGAATGAACCCCATTGATCAATTGCCAGCGATTCGTGATCTTTATCAACAATAACAAAGAAGGAATCATGTCAGACCAATCAACCCAATCGACAATGAACACTCCCGGGATGAACAGCAGCTAATCGGAAACAATATTATCATACTATTCAACTCCTATCAGGATCAATACCTCCAGAATGTCGTCGATGTCAGCAAGGATGTCGAGGGTCTGCACCACAAGTACGTTTACAACATGTACCACAACATCCGCTTCCTCGACGAGGCTAAGACCAAGAAGTGTATCATTCCTTGCACCCCCCTCGGATTGGTCAAGGTCATGGAATATGTTGGAGTCTACAATGGAATTCTTCCCCACGGTAACCGCCTTCACGGAAGAGTTGTCACCATCATCAACCGCTCCGAAATCGTCGGGCGTCCCCTCGCCGCTCTTCTCGCCAACGACGGTGCCAAGGTCTACTCTGTCGATATCAATGGCATCCAAGAGTTTCACCGTGGTGTCGGTCTTCAATTGAAGAAGCACGAGGTAAGCAATCCTTTAAGTACAAGCGTTCCAATTGCCTGGGCTTAATACGCGAAACGGAATGTTATGGCTGCTGCTGTTATCGTTTGCAGCGAACGGGGAATCAAAAGGACTGTTAGAAGGAGGGGGGTTTTTTTTTGGTGTTCGCCTCTCTTGCCCTTTCTTTTCTCTGCCCGTGAGTCACGGACAACGCTGCAGCGAAAGAAAAAAAGAAATAAGCGACGATGGGAGAAGGGATTCGATTCAACGTCCGCCTCATTGCCTAATTTTTTGAGTCTCCTATCCCTATCATTTCCTCTCCTATCTCTAACAAACTCTCATTCTCATTATGAATAGGTTTCCGAGACGTCTTTGACCGTTGAGGAAGTCCTCCCCCTCTCGGACGTTGTCATCACCGGTGTCCCCTCGCCCTCCTACAAGGTCCCCTCGCACCTGATCCGCGACGGAGCCGTCTGCATCAACTTCTCGACCTTCAAGAACTTTGACGGCGAAGAGATCAAGAAGAAAGCCGCCATCTACGTCCCTGCCGTCGGCAAAGTCACCGTCGCCATGCTCGAGCGCAACCTCGTCCGTCTCTATGACTACCAGGCTCAAGATCGTGCCCCCTCTACCGCCTAATACCTCATATACATACACAACACATCCCCACTCATTATTACTCTTTCTTTTGCATATCATAAACATTCAACAAAAAAAACACACAAACAAAACAACGCATCCATCTGACCACTCTTGTTTGATGGTGATGGCAAGTAGGCTATGTATCTAGATACGTCCTTCCTATTCCTTCCTGGTGCACTGTTGCCTGGGTTTGTGTTTGTTTGCATGGGTACACTCCAAACGGAGCAGCCTGGAGGCCTTCATCCTACAGTCGACAGCCACACCACATCTTGCCCGCTCAGTGTGCTTGTTTGTTTTTAACGAAACAGTCGATGTTTATTTTGGGTGGAGGGTGTGTCCTTCGCCATCCTTGCCTAATAATGTCCAAAGAGCCGACAAAAGAGTGTGCTCTCAATCTCCAATTCTCCATTCACACACCCAAACTGAATTTGCCACCCTCACGAAAATTGGACGAAAGGAGGGTGCCTTGGTAGTGCTAGGGTGTGCGTGCCTGGCAGCAACAACAAACAAACCGCTTGCAGTCTCCACTTATTTCGTTCTTCCTTCTCTTTCCTTTCTCATCTCTCCTCATTCTCATCACGCCAGCAACACCATCTCCATCAAGTCGACTTGCAAGCACTATAACCAGTCCCTACCGCCATCCAACAACCACAGGCGCTGTTTCTCTCTGTCCTTTTTTTTTTTTTTTTTTCGGCCACCTGAGACTCTCCGACAGCCACACTAGTAGTAACTGTACCTGGTTCTTCGCCCACATACCTCACTCCACCACAACCGTTGACCGTTAGCCCAACTCAAAAGCCATATGGCCAGCCCGTACAGCACGTCTCAGAGCATCGTCGCCGACTTTGTCCCCACCCTACCCTCTCCCTCCAACCCACACAGCATCATCTCCTCTGAGAGTGAGAGCTCTCCAGCCATTAGCCAGCAGACGTATCTCAGTCCTCACAGTATCATCCCTTCTTCTGATGCTGGTCTATCGTCCCCCGCTTCGTCTTCCGCCACCGCCGCCACCACCACCAGGTCTCCCCAGACGGTGTCGATAGGACCCGATCATCCAGACTCCAAGTACCATTACCAGACGCCTGTCATTTATAACGCCTATGCAGCCAACAACAGCAACTCCAATCTTAACACCGTTGCTGGGCCTCCGGGTCTCTGGTCTCAGTCTACAGATGTGTATTACCCACCTCCTCCATTTCAGTGTGATGACCAAGGACAGTACGCAAAGGCGACCATTCAGCAACCGCAACTTCAGCAACCTCAGCAGCAACCTCAACAGCAACAGCAACAGCAGATATTCCAACCACAATACCAACAGCAGCAACAATACCAACAATACCATCAGCAACAGCAACCACCATCCGCACAATCATTCCCCATGTACCCTGTAGGACACCCCAACGTCGCCACTACCACCTCTCATAACATCAACGACCCAGACCACCACAAACCACCAACAGACACCACACACATGGAGATCCTTGGCAGCGGCCAACAACATCAGCCCGACAAGACTAAGAGCAAGAAGAAGAAGAGAAAGAAATGCATCTGCTTCTTTATCCTCTTCCCCGTCATCATCGGCATCGTCCTCGGGATCGTCTTTGGCGTCATCCTCAAGAAGAACAATAACGATGGCGACAAACCTCCCAACCCATCGACGTCAGGAAGCGGTGGCTCTTCTTCGACGACGGCGACAACGACTGCAACTGGGTACTACCCTTACCCGACGGGCATGCCTGATATGACTAATTGTATCTTAGCATGCCAAAAGGCTTTAACGGATTGTACTGGGAAATGTGGTACCAACTCTACGTGTTCAAGCGAATGCTTTACAATGATAACCTCTTGTTCTTTGGGGTGTGCGGGCCTGGGACAATAAACGTTGCTTCTTTTTTTCTGTGCGATCTCGTGGCAAGTAAAGAAGAAAAATGATGATAGAAGAAAGATAAGGAAACGAGGGAGTCGATTCTCCATGTCAACCAATTGTGTCCACAACTTTCTTTTTCCTAGGAGAAAAAGAGCAACCATCCCCATAGCGCCTAGCCTACTACGCGTGGCTAAAAGAGGACGTAACACACCACTTTTTTCTTCTTTGTGCCTCAAGTGCTCTTACAATGCACTTGGGCTGTGAGATTTTTTTTACTTGAAAAAGAAAAAAGCGGCAGAAGCTTTGAGCCGCCTCTAACTCCGTTTCTTAGACTTTCTTCCACTTCTTCAGCTTATGTTATTACAGAGTTACAGAATCAGACTGGAGTGGAAAGTGGAGAGTGAAGAGTGGAGAGGGGGTGGGAGAAGATGAAGAAGAAAAGTTGAGAGCCGGACACCGAAGCAGGTTTTGATCCCCCCTAGCCCTCACACCTCCAGGGAATTTTTAGAACGAAAAAGAAAACTCTCTTTTGCGTTTTCTTTCACTCGTGTGATGTTCTTTTCTCTCCATCAGGCGCACCAGGTCCGGTGCAACGGAACCAGAGAGGCATTTATGGGAAATCAACGAACGTGAGCACCTTGAGAGCATAGACAGGGGGGGTGATTGGATAGTGGCATGTTAGCCCAGACCTCAAGCAGGAGACATGTTGGTCAGCCTTCACATGTGCAAGGTGGTGTTTCCAGGGGTGAGCTTTGGCGCTGGCGCAGACACATTCACTTTTCTTTGTACCTGATTTGTTTTGGTGCAATGTGTTGTATCACTGATGAGTGTTGGATGAAAGGCATCGACGCGTTCATGGCGAAAGCATGCAAGGAATGCACCTCTGCACGCGACATCTGTGAGACGAAAGGATCATCGCTGCGTGTCTTAGACATGTAGAAGAATGTTCCACAGAAAACACCCACACGATCCCCTGCGCCATGCAGGAACGAGCAAATTAATGCGGAGGGAGAGGAGAGGGAGTTGTAAAGATGTATCTATCAAGATAAACAATAACAGGTGGACGACAGGAGGAAGTGGACTCATTTCTGCATTTGAACTCAAATGCCAGATTGCAGGGCATAGCATAGCCTTTCATTCAGTCGTTCACTTTCTACCTATTCATTCAGTTGTTCATTCAATTGCTTCAACTGTTGTCGTTGTTTACGTTTCTTAACCGCGCGGTTCAAGTACAGGCTGAGGGGTTTTGTTTTGTCTTGTGTTCGATCGTTCACTCCTCCCACTGGACCTAACCAAACGTCTGCGAAGTGCCTGAACCAGCAATTGGCACGTACAAAGCCAAGGTATAAAAAGAATGCCTGACCCGTTCATTCTTTTTTTCCTTATTCACAAAATCCCCTTCCACTCCCTCATATACCATCCCCTCCCCCCCCCACCACCTTCCACTCCTAATGAAGGTCTTCATCCTCTCCTGCCTGCTGGCAGTTGCCTCTGTGCAGTCCGTCGTCGCCCAGGTTCTGATCGCCCCCGAAGCCGCCAACGCCACTATTTCCGACTCTGCCCTTCTCAAATCCGCCAAACCCTCTATCACGACCCTCAGCAGCGTCCAGGTCCTTGCCGAGAACGATCTCGAAGTTGGTGGTGCCAAGTACCCCTTCATCCTCCTCCCCAATGGCCACACCGCTGCCCTCAGTGCCCGTGGCTGTCAAAAGTTGGGCGAGCAGCTTTACACAGTCCAGGATCATGCCCTCCCCTCGGTCCAGAAAATGCTCGCCAAGCACGCAGGAAAGTCAACTCGATTCTACATTGGCAGCGGTAGGAACACCACTACTTCCTGCAGTGTCCTGACCATGACCAAGGGTGTTGCATCCATCAACAACAAGGCTTCCTGCAAAGCCTCCCTCCCTGCTCTCTGCTCCAACACCAACACCAAGGGCAGCACTGTCACAGTTCAGGCTAGCCTCGGTCGTTTGACCGGTCTTCGCGACAAGCACGGTTTCCGCTTCAACGGTATCCGTTATGCTCAACCACCTACTGGTAAGCGTCGTTTCGCTGCCCCTGTTCCTATCACTACTCGTTGGAACAACAATGTTGATGCCACCAAGCTTGGAGGCATCTGCCCTCAGCCTGCTGGCGGTAGCGATGACTGTCTGTTCTTGAACGTCTTTACTCCCAAGTTGAATGCCGGCAAGTCCGGTCTCTTGCCCGTTATGTTCTAGTAAGTACAGTTGAGCATTATTATTTTCAGGCATGCAAAAGAAAATTATACTATCCGGCCGTTCTGGCTAATCGTTGTTCCCCTTGAGTAACAATTCCTAATTCATTTTTTTTTCGCGCGTGCGCAGTATTCATGGCGGTTCATTCATCAACGGAGCAGGAAGCGATCCCTCCTTCGACGGCGCCAACATGGCCTCCCGCGGGCAAGTAGTCATCGTCACCATCAACTATCGTCTCGGTATTTTTGGATTCTTTGAGCGCGTCGACGCCGGCATCTCCCGCAAGACCATCCCCGGAAACCAAGGTGTCCGCGACCAGCTCCTGGCCCTGAAATGGGTCCAGGATAACATTGCCAGCTTTGGAGGCGACCCCCGTCAGGTCACGGCCTTCGGAGAGTCTGCAGGCGGACACTCTATCCGTGCCTTGCTTTCCATGCCCGTCGCTGCCAAGGGTCTCTTCCGCGCCGCCATTGCCCAGTCTGACCCCCTCGATATCCCCTTCAACACTGCTAAATCTGCCTCCCAGGTCGTCTCGGGCGGGATTATGAAGATCCTCGGCTGTGCCGACAAGGACATCAACTGCATGCGCTCCAAGAACACCACCGAGATCATTCGTGCCCAGACCGCCGTTGTCAGCCAAGCCATCGCCTTGGCCCCTGAAGAATCCTTCATGGAGTTGATCAAACCCACCGTCGACGGGATCCTCATCCACAACCAATTCGACCAACTCATCGCCGGCAAGAACGGTGGTGTTGTCCGGGTCCCCTTCATGATCGGAACCATGAAGAACGAAGGCAACGGCTTCTTGCCCTCCCTAGGCCAAACCACACCCGTCAGAGACATCGTCTTTGGAATCACCGCCGACGCCTTCCTGGGCTACCAACGCGCCATGATCACCGCCGCCTACAATCTCTACCCCATCGACGACTCCATCCCAGACGCCACCCGGATTGTCGAGGGCCTCCTGGCCTCAGACTACCTCTGGATCTGCCCAACCCAGTTCATCACCAAGGCATGGGCCACCCAAGTCAAGACCCCTCTTTATCACTACCAGTTCCAGCGCGCCTACTCCCCAACCCGCCCTGTCTCAGATATCTGCCACGGCCTTGTCTGCCACGGTGACGATATCGGTATTGTCTTTGCCAGCCCTGCGGTGCTGAACAACCCTTCAGAGTACCCCTGGACCAGCGACGATGCTGCTCTGTCCAGACAGGTCATGGACCGCTGGATCGCCTTTGGTGTCACCGGCGGTAACCCTAACACTTCGGATGAGTACCCTGCTTGGCCTTTGTATGATGCTACCAAACAGAGCATTTATATGTTTGACCTCAAGCCCACCATCTCCACTGGCGGCCTCCGTCCTCAGTTCTGTGGCTTCATGGATCAGGCCCTCAAGTACGATTTCCAGCTTTACGTGTAAATCAACAAAAAGGGCGAATTGCCAGATTTTCTATATCCCTTCCCTCTCCGCATTCTACGACCTTATAAATAAAAGTGCTGAACTTTGAAAGTGCGCTGCTCTGCATCTTGCCTTTGTCTTTCCCTTATTGATGTAGTTCATCCAGACGACACTTGTCATGTAAGTGCTTTGCAAAGTTGATTTTTAATCCAGCTACGGTATATCTGTAGTATTACTCCTGTTGTTGTTGGGTTGGTTGTATCTGACATCAGAAGAAAATAAGAACTGCTGTATTCTCTTAGCTGTCAATTCGAGTGACCTCGCCTCCCCACTGCAAGGCTGTTGTCGTTCGGAAATTAGGTCTAGTTAAACTGTTTGACAGACAAGCGACACAATATGAAGGTGACGTTTAGTTTCCACACAAAATCTACACACATTGCTCTCAGTTCTCGATACCACAGACATGGACTCGAAAGACAAATCAATGGGGAAAACAGCCATACCTGGGACAGGTATGATTCCGAGACGATACGGGCACGAGCATTGAGACTGAGCTTCATCTCACTGATCTCCTTGTCGACCTCCTCCATGAACTGAATGATAAAGTCGACCAACTTGTGCTTGTACATCTGTTCCGTGTGTGCGTTGGTGATCAGGAACGAAATGTCATATCCCTGTTGTGTGACATGTTGTGCGAGTTGAGTGAGTGTAAGATATAGAGTCAGTCAATTGGGTTTCACACAATATGTGATCGCTGGGTCTTATCAAGAGACGAAGGGCGTTACCTCTATTGGCTTTCTGCGGAGGATGACAAAGCTCTCTGCGCGCTGGGTCAAGAAACGTGTAAACTTGTGGGCCAGAATCCTCTCGATCTCATCCGCCTGCTTGATGGCAATGCTGACGCGCAACGAGTTGACCGAGGTCTCGATCAAGACACGCTCCTTATCGTTTCGGCTGATGACCACAGGGTTGAGAAGAACTTCCTTGGATGCTCTATCATTGACGGAATATAAGGGGGAGTTAGCTTGTTATAACAAATAAAGAAGAAGGCTGATGGCTGTATCTCAATTGAGTCTTGAATGGTGGTTTTGGCGCGCGTAAATTGACTTAATGCATTCCCAAGTTCCGTTCCAAAAAAAAGTATCCAAAATAGTGTCGTTGTTGTGCTACTATATGTGTCCAAGTGTGCATACCTGACCTCGACCTCGGGCTTGTTGTGACGTTCTGCGACCTGGGAAGAAAAGTTCTCCAGACACATGGCGGCGGTGAGTGTCTGGCGCACCGCATTGAGGTATGGGCGGAGGGTGTTGGACTGGATGGGAAAAAGATGCACACGAGTGAAGGAAGAGAAGAAAGAGGACGAAGGCAGATGTTAGTCCTTGCTGCGGTTGTGAGGCGTATGGTTCATCGTTTGTCGTTAAGCTGAGTGTTGAGTGGGTGGGGTTGTCTTTTTGAAGGGGCAGCTGTAGCTTGAGCCCAGTCTATTACCATGGCGAAAAGGGAAGTGAGGTAAATGAGGTTGGAGTTGATGCAAAGGAGAAGACGAAGTAGAAGTAGAAAAGACAGGAACGACCTTCAGTCCAGAGCGGTTGGCTCGCTACTCCTCCACATCACGTCACGAATCACATGACTATTAGTGAGAGATCCATTCATTCACCCAAGGCATGTGGCTTTGCATTGCTCCCAAACACACTCTTTGAGAGTTCAAGTGTGTGTGCACTGTGTGCCCCTTCTCTCCTCCCTTTTTCCCTTCCTCCATCACTCACTTTATTAAACAACCATGGCTCTTTTCCTCGGTCGCCTTTCTGCTGACACCCGCTCGAGAGATCTCGAGGATCTCTTTGCCAAGTACGGCAGAGTCACCCGTCTCGACATCAAGCGAGGTACCCCTCCCTTCTCTTCTATTACACTCACATTCCCACTCACGCCACAATAACTCGCTCCATCGGACTCACAGTCTATCGTCATGGCAACCTTACTTCTCTACGGGCAGCTCTAACGTACACCTACATTTTTCTTCAACCAATCAACTAGGAACCAACTCTGGATATGGTTTCGTCGAGTACGAGGTATGTAGACCTGTTAATTATACAGTTCAAGTGCCAATTCAAAACAACATTTAACTATCGCTCGACCCGCCTTCTCATAACAGGTTTTCTAATTTTAAACCTTCGACCTGTTGCGCACTTTGACCACTATCTAGGATCCTCGTGATGCTGATGAGGCTGTCCACAAGCTCAATGGACACATGGTGAACGGAAACCCCATTGTCGTTGAGTTTGCCAAGAACAACGGTCGTCGCGCTGGTGATAACGAATGCTTCAAGGTACGGATTAAATTACCTATCATTTTCAGCCCAGCAGCATCAAATGGCAATTGGATGTGCGCTTACAAAATCACCTTTTACTCACTCATTGTAATATTTTCTCATCCTTTCAATAGTGCGGAAAGGAGGGTAATGCTCAAGTCTATCCAGGATAATGAACAGACGATGTCGACTATTTCAGGTGCCGTGTTAATCAGGATCACTCAGGACGATTAATTGACTTTCATATCACTTCTGATATTAGGACACTGGGCTAGAGATTGCCGCGGAGGCGGAGGCGGACGCGATGGTCGCGATCGCAGAAGGTATTGTCAACTGCCGATCGATGTTTTCCTGTCCATGTTCGGTCAAGAGGAGTACCCGACCCCATCAACAGAAGACTGGCGACAAAATTTCGATCGTTGCGCTGCCAGTGCAAGCGCAGCGTGAAAGAGGATTACCGACAACACAAACAACCAGTGCCGCATGGGGTCCAGTTCTATATTCCTCTCCCCCTTCCTTCTGCCATATTCCTGGGGTATTTCCGTTTCACTTTGTTTTTCAAGCAGCTGTGTGTTTGGACGTCTCGCTCTTCTCTGACGAAAAAAGGATCCGTGATAAATGGGGGACCGGTACAAGAGTGCGAAGATTTCTTGGATTTCCGAATTTGACGTACGACAAGGACTCCCTGCAAGGATGTCTCCCGCACTGTGATCTTTCGACAATTCTGTTCTGCCGACATGACCGCGCATGATCCCGACCCTGTGACCCAGACCGAACCAGGACCACCAAGAATAGCCGTTCTTCTTTCACTTCTGCTCCGCCCCACCAGATCATGATCAATGACGACCCAGCCTCTTCGCCACTTTGCACCGCCATGGATCCAGCATATCGCCATCCGGACCCGCAGGATATAGACATTACCGCCACCCTTGATCCTTTGACTCGACCAAAAGACCTTTTCGTTGCGGGATGTGTTTGCCAGAGATCTCTTTTCCGTTTTACCTTGGCGGCGAACTCGAAGGGTGTCAACGTCCTTTCTTCCACATTGCTTTTCATTCACCGAGCCGTGCAGCCAAGCTTGGCCGTCATGATCTTTGTATGTGGATAGCAAAAACAAAATGGAGTTGACACTACCAAAAATACGTGTGTGTGCGTTGTGTTTCAAGGCTTTCATTCAACCTTCCCTTCCCTCGCATCTGATCACCTACCTCGTTATGGCGATCAATGCCCTGAGGATGTTTGTTCTCATCTATTCACCCATGATACTAACCTAATCAAATATTATATCTTCAATTGACTATAAGATCTCGCTCCCCTCGCCGCCGTTCCCGTTCTCGCTCTCGCTCCCCTCGCCGCGATTATGACCGCGATCGTTACGAACGTCGTGACTATGATCGCCGCGACCGTTCCCCCCGCCGCGACTACCGTGATGACCGCCGTGACGACCGCCGTGACGATCGCCGCGATGACCGCGCTGGACGTGATGAGCGCGAGGAGCCCCACCGTGAGGAACGTGTAGGCCGTGAAGAGCCCCGTCGTGTTGATGAGGACCGTGGCCGCTCCCGTTCCCGCTCCCGCTCTCCCCGCCAGGACTAAACCTGATATTTTTCATCCACTCTCTCTCTCTCTCTCTCACACACAACTTATTTTTATATCAACACCACAAGGCCAACAAAAAAAAAGCCAACTCCTTTGAACTAGGGTAGATGACGCATTCGAACATGAAAAACAATTAAAGGAGCGCATTCATCATTCAATTCTATCGATTTGTTCTAAAGGCCTTTTTTTGGAGAAGATCGTTGTCTTCGTTTTTATTATGGTTGTTGGATAATAGAAGGAGTCACAATGAAAATGGGGAGGAGGAAATGAAATTGGAAGGGTAATGAAAAGATTGGGTAGAACATGCAAAGTAAGTGGAATGGTTGGGATTGTTATGATTGTAATGAAATGGATAAAGAAAACGCGAAGGGATGACACATAGTCCACCTATTGCTGCTTGCACTCGGGGGCTTTTTCATCCTTTGCAGGCAACTCGTTGTCGTCGTCCTCATCATCATCATCCTCATCATTGTCATCGCTGCCCTCCTCATCGTCGTACTCAAAGTCATCGTCGTACTGGTCACCCTGGTCCTGGTATTGGAGAGCCTTGCCAGTGAACCAGTCGACAGCACGGGGGATGACAGAGTCCTTGAGCTCCTCGCCCAAACCATAGTCAGCTTCGAGCTTCTCGTCCAAGTCTTCGTCCATCTCTTCCTCATCGTCCTCGTCCTCGGGGGCAACTGGGGGAGCGAAGAAGGAGAAGAAGGTCTCAGCGGGGACGGTCTTCTTGACCACACGGGTCTTGTTGGTTCCCTTGTGGCGCTGCTTCTTGGTCTCGATGGTGACTGACATGTCCTTGCCCTCCTTCCAGTCAATCTTGGTGCCCTCGGCGTGGTCGTACACAAAGTCGCCGCCATATCCGGGCTCATCCTGGTAGAAGTAGGTCTTTGTCAGGATGGTGTTGGTGAAGAACTCGTTGGGGGAGAACTCAAAGTCAAGGCGGAAGCCGGGCTTGTCAAAGTAGGACATGCGGATGTCGACCAAGTGCTTCAAAGCCTCCTCGTCCTTCTCGGTGATGATGTCGGCAAAGTGGGGGTGCGACTTCAAGGCAGTGAGCCAGAACTCGGGAATACCTATCATTTTGGTGAAACAACAGAAAATAGAATAGAGTGTGAGTGGGTAGATTCAGTTGAGCACTCTCTCCATCGCCAAGACTGTTGCAGGAATGCAAGAGAACATGTCTTTCTCCCGGGTAGGTTTCGTTGCAAAAAGTTTGATAGGGCATCCTGATGTGTGTATGGATATGTATGTACCTTCAACCTTCTCAATGTCCTTGTCCTCATCATCCTCTTCCTCATCCCCCTCTTCCTCGTCTTCGCTGACGCCATCCTCGACCTCAGCCTCGGTGGGCTCGGCCTTGCCGCTGATGAACTCAGCACGCTTCTCGTAGAGAGGAGTGTAGAGGGCGAGGTACTTCTTCTCCAAGGCAAGGATCTCTTTCTGGAAGTCAGCCTCCAAGACAGAGTGCTTGTTCTGGAGGGACTTCAAGCCCTTGACACGACGGCGGACATCGGGGCCCAAGGTCGAGAGGTAGTTGGAAGGGGCACCGACCAAGTTACCGAGACGGCCCTGCAACATCGACATGAGCTGAGCGTTGTTACCCAACAAGGAGGTGCCTATTTAATCAATCACCAAAGCGAGAATGAAGAAGTGAGAAAGTTGGACGACGAGGGAAAGTCAGTTATTATTGTCCTTTCTTGTTGGAATGACAAGAATAGATTGTTTAGGAAGCAAAAGGAAATAATTCCATTTTTTGTTGGGGGGTAGCCGTATATCCATCCTGGACTGGGATCGCCACCATATCCTTCTCCTTGGCATCCTAAGCGGGATCATCGTCATCCAGTCTCTTGTAAAAGAAGTCCCCTGAAAGATATCACACTGATGGATGCTGGGGTGGTGATGTGAGGTTGTTCCTGTTGTGTGACGACAGGACTTACCAGGGGTCTGGATGGTCTCCATATCGTCCTCAACAGTAGCAGCGGGGCGGCTGATAGGGGCAGAGAAGATGGGGGTGTTCTGAGGAGTAGGAGCTTCCTGCTGCTGCTTCTTCTTGATATCAACGTTGGCTACAGTTCAAAAGCAAAGTGAGGCAGTCATATGGTTAGTGTCTTTCTTCAATTCTTCCTCTTCAAGTAAACAAACAAAAGGTTGCTGCGAAGCTGCCCAAGGAAGCAAAAAAAAAGGCAAATAAAAAAATAAAAAAAGGCTGGCCAACAAGCCAGACCCCAACAAAAAAAAAAGAAAGTTGATCTCCAGGTGGCTACAGTGAGCCAAGAGAGGATAATTCTCCAAAGGCACGATGGCGTATTAAAGTACAGGTATGAGGGAAACAGCTGACTCGACAGATGGATATGAGAGGGGAGGCGACAGAAGGGGGAAGTGCGGACATTCAGTAGTGGACTGTGTCGCAGTAGTAGAACCTGATGGTCCGTTCATGGCAATAAGGGCCAGAGTGTCTGTGGGAGAGTGTGTGTGTGTGGCAAAAGAGAGATCTTTGCGGCATCAACTGCCAGGGAGTGATCAAAGAGGGATGATGGCAAGTGCTGTTGGAGTTGTTGACAAGGGATGGCCTGGCTGTCAATGCTGATTATTATTACCTGAGGAGGAATCCATCTTTTTGATGAGTTGTGTTGTGGTGGTTCAGTGGGTGTGGATTGAAGAGAGGAGAAAAACAGAAAAAAAATCAAAATACAATGCGAGATAGCGCACGCATGCCTCTTTTTAAGGGCTACTCTTAATGTCAGGTGATCAAATCCATTGCTTTTTAAACAGTGCTTTTTTTCGTGTGAAGGAATCACGAAACAAAACAAATTGCTTTTTGCTTCGTACTCATTCTCACCCTCAAACCCATCCGCGGCTCGACGTTCAACAGGACGCCTTCCATACACCGCCCTCTATTACTGCCGCAGCATGGCCAGGCTCTCTAGTGACAACCGTGGAGAACAAGGCGGTTCAAGGAAGAGCACAAAAACAACCGGGGGTACTCATCCTCCATCACGGCAAGGAGCTGCAGAAACTCAGCGAGGGGGGAAGACAAAAGCAGGGGCAGGAAACCCTGCCGCTGCTGCTGCTGCAAAAGGACGTCGCTACAAACCAGGATCAAAGGCACTACGCGAAATCCGTCAATATCAAAAGTCAACCGACCTCTTGATTCTCAGAACCCCTTTTGCACGCGTGGTATGCATTCTTTTTGCCTCTTGCGAATTAATTGTTTTTGCCACTTTTTTTATTTTTATTTTTATTTTTATTTTATTTTTATTTTTTTGGTTGCGCGTGGTAGTAATTGATAGCAGAATACTGAACAATGCTGCAATGTTTCATCTAGGTGCGAGAGATCTCTACAGACTTTGTGAGTCAGGTGTCATTATCTGATAATATTGGCCTACGCTGGCAAACCGCGGCCCTTATGGCACTGCAGGAGGCGACAGAGGCATTCATGGTCCATCTCTTTGAAGACGCGTAAGTCGAATACTATCGTGCAGTTCATGGAAGCTATCACTTTACCTCCAAGGTTTTGAATGAGATATTACCTGTATACTCGTCTCGTTTTCCATTCATGTCGACTAATTGACTTCCTCTCACCTTGAAACCATAGAAATCTCTGTGCGATTCACGCCAAGCGTGTGACCATCATGCAAAAGGATATTCAGCTTGCAAGAAGAATAAGAGGTCATCAGGGAGGTCTTGCTTAGAGAGAGGGTGGCGTCTGGAACGGCTTTGATCGAATTATCGCCTCGTTTTTCTGGATACCTGCGTCTTCTCCGCCCCGTCGCTGCGGTGGTCTCGCCAGCTTCCCCCTATTCCTCGGCGGTTGCATGTGGCGACAGAACATTTTCTTCAGACAGACTATTTAGAAGAACCAACCGCCGTTTGTACAACACTTGTCTTTAATACAATTACTACGACTCAACAAAACTGGCACCTTTTTGTTCGACCCCTGCCTCCACCTTTGCCTCCACCTTTGCCTACAGCTCCGCCTAGAAATGATCTTGGTGTTACATGTTAAGGGGCTAGTAATTCCGAGTGACGTCGATTTTTTTTTTCGGAAGGAGCAAAATAGCATCTCCCTTATGAGAGGGTATCGTTGTCAATCCGTCCTCCCTCCACCACCCTCACATCCTCCTCACCATGGCATCCCTCGCTACCAAGCTGGCTTCAGCCTCGCTGAACCGCTCCTTCGTCACCCTCCCCGCCACCGCCTCCGGCCTCCGCACCGTCCTCAACAGATCAGCTCTCTACCCCTCCGATGATCACCACGGACACGGACACCACGAATCTCCCGCCACCCCCTCCATCCCCGCCTTGAAGTCCACCTCTTCGAACAACAACCGCTCCTTTGTCACCGGTATGTTCCCTCTCCTCTTTCACTTCAACCATTCTCACCCTCTACCCCTGAGCCAACAAGGGAGCATATTCCTCAAGTCTGAGACAGGATCGACAACCAGCCCTGCAAAAGTACCGACAAAAAAAACAACAAAAAAAGAGCCAAAACACGGAAGATTCGGGATTTCAGGTTCGGATTTCCGAGCGGCCCTGCAGGATCAACTCTTGTACACCGGAATGGCGATTCTAGCACATGAACAAACATGAGAATGGATTTTCTTTAATGGTTTTGACTTGCTTGTTAAAAGGAAGCCATCTTCAAAGTGAAGGAGGGCCATGATCGTTAAGCCCTGGGCTATCCGATTAGGTGCGAGCAAGGCAAGGAACAGATCGGGAAGTGCCGAAAATACAAAGGGCAGATGAGGAGCATGGGGTAACTGCGCTTTGTTGCATAGCAGGATTATCGACTGCGTTCTGCTTCACGCTTTTGTCAGGAGCTTTGTGAAAAGTCCGGAGTATCGGATACCCCACACACCACACCAGCAGGGACGTCCTGGACGCGTTCGTTTGGACACGCAGAATGGACTGCACTCCGGATAGACAACTACACACGTTACCGTTGGACCCGACACTAATATCTTCCTTCCAATTGATACAACACCTTCATACTGGAATGAAAGCCCCCGCTGGTCTCTCTCAGCAGAAGCGTTTCAACCACACCTCCGCCCGCGAGACCACCAACATCCCCGACTTTAGCAAGTACAAGAGCGGATCGGGCGACGCCACCAACCGCGCCTTCTCCTACTTCATGGTCGGAACCACCGGTGCTGTCTCCTTCCTTGGAGCCAAGACCACCGTCGCCGACTTTTTGGCCAACATGTCTGCCTCCGCCGATGTTTTGGCCTTGGCCAAGGTCGAGGTCGACCTCAGCACCATCCCCGAGGGTCGTAACGTCACCATCAAGTGGCGTGGAAAGCCCGTCTTCATCCGTCACCGTACCGCTGATGAGATCGATGAGGCTAACGCCGTCAACATTACCGAGCTCCGTGACCCCCAGAATGATGCTGAGCGTGCCCAGAAGCCCGAGTGGTTGGTCATGTTGGGTATGTGATTTCGCTGGCATTTTGAATTTGCTCAGGATCATTCATGGAATGTATTGGTCACTGTCGTTCTAACCGTGTCTTCTATTATTGCACACAGGTGTCTGCACTCACTTGGGATGCGTCCCAATTGGTGAGGCTGGTGACTATGGTGGATGGTACTGCCCTTGCCACGGTTCTCACTACGATATCTCTGGACGTATCCGTAAGGGACCTGCACCATTGAACCTTGAGATCCCTGCCTACTCGTTCGAGGAGGGCAACAAGATTATCATTGGTTAAATAGATTAAGAAGCACAAGCACACACTCACTCACAACCCTCCAACAAACACGAAGAAAGCAACAATGTTGCGTTTAAAAAGTATCCCTCCTCCTCCTCACACTTATGATCATAAACTTGCAATAATTTAAACAAAAAACGACCTTGACCGAGAGTGTAGGTGTTGAGTTACGGCTAAGTAAGTGTTAGACGAGTAAAGAGGGCGTCTAGCCTGTTTCTGCCCTCCTCCTGCCATTTGATCAAACAGCATGTCTGCCTGTGTTCTTACCAAAGCCACGTTCTGAATATATTTTGCCACCGAAATTATTATGCTCTCCATGCTCCCTTTCTTTTCCTCCTCTTTACTTTCCCTTTGACCCTCATTGCCGCCGAAATCTGACCATTTTACAGGAGACAATGGACGAGCGAGCGATTCATGCAAACGAGCATGCTGCAAGGGCAAAGGCAACTAGACACCTCCCTCTGATCTCGGCCTCGCATCATCGTGCACTCTTGCTCCTGCTGTCCACTGAAGCAAATGACGTCCTCCTGACACCACAACAGCGCAGGAACGCCAGGACCCTGCAGGAACACTATCATCGACAGTACCTCGAGACTTGCGTCCACAGGGACCCTCTTGCTGCCCCGTCTTCGACAGTCTCCACTACGAGTACTACTGCAGCTGCTGCGAGTGGAGGTGTGAGTATGGCTGGCAGGAGAATTGTCGACCGTGTCAACCACAAAGTCAACTTGACGCTAAACAAGAAATTTGCCAATCGGCGATTTACCTCGGCCGTGGACCCAAACGATCGCAACATGTTTGATTATACCATGTGCCTTGAGGATCTTGCAGCTCTGGTATGCCTTTTTCTTCGTCCTTTTGCTGTATGTCTCCAAGGAGGTCTGTGGTATCATTGGAAACATGCTGACACTTTCATACGGCACGATGATAGACCTGTCAGCCAGAACTGGATATACCGCCAATGCCGGAGTCACTCAAATCCCTACAGGATCGGTCGAACCAGTACAAAGAGGAGGAGGTCAAGGCAGCAGCAGCGGCAGAGGAGTCAGCTAGGTTAGCAGCAGAGGCTGAGGCTGCCGCTTTGGCAAAGGAAACTAGAGCCAAAGAGGAAGCTGCAGCAGCAGCGGCGGCAACAGCGGCTCAGGAAGCGCTCCAACAGGAAGCCGCAGCCACCAAAAACGCAAGGACAGGATCAACTACCCCACCCGACGTCATCATGCGGCCTATTAACGATGGCAAGAATGGCTCCATCAAATCTCATCCGCACGATTCTGCTGTTACTCCCCTGTCAAGGACACAAAGGAATCAACCCGCTGCTCCAACGATACCAGTACCGAGTACATCCAGGGCAAAATATGCGGCTTACGGTGACGACGAAGATGACGACGACCGAAGCGATCCTGTCCCTGTTCCTGATTACCGACCTGTCGCGAATAGTTTTTCGAATGGGATCGATCGCCACAGCAAGAAACGGGTAAGTTTCCGATTCACATTCTGTTGACCTTCAAATTTCGTGGTTAATTGAGAGGTGTGCTCTTGACTTACAAGACTCTTCTCGCATTTTTTTTAGACATGGAATGATCGATCAGATGCAACAGAAAACGCCAGCAAGCCAGCACAGTTCATCACAGCGAAGGAGCAACTGGTACGTATCGATACAAGCGCTGCGATAATGATGGGTATTTTATTTCATTTATTTTCCTCTGCACATTGTTGCTAATTCTTATTATACCTTTCAAATAATTAGGCTATTGAAGAGCAGTTGCAGGAAGAAAAGAAGGCAAACCATTACATGAATCGCGGAGGATTCACCAGTCCGGCGAACAACCCTTATACGGTGTTAAATAACAACAACATGAACGGGAACAACTACTCGAACGGCAACACCAACTCCGGGAGCACCTCCAATGCGGCGACCTTGAAGTCCAAGATGCTGGGAACCAAGCGACCGAAATTCAAGTCGCCGATTAATAGGACCAACAGCGCCGAGAACAACGATGAGGGTACCAAAACGACCAAGCCTGCAGACGGGGCCGAGGAGCTTATAGACGACAGGCTGAAGAATATTGACCCCAAGATGATCGAGTCCATCAAGAACGAGGTATGTATTCTGTTCACGCTTTTTTTTTTTTTTTTTTTTAGCTTCTTGACACACGCACGATGCTAAAGCACGCGAGTACTCACCGTGATATATACCTTATGTGCGATGGATACATAGATCATGGAGTCGTATGCTGCTGTCACCTGGGAGGACATTTCCGGATTGGAACACGCCAAAAAGACCATCAAGGAGACTATCACATGGCCAATGCTCCGGCCCGAGATCTTTACTGGCCTCCGACGCCCTCCAAAGGGACTTTTGCTGTTTGGTCCGCCAGGTACAGGAAAGACGATGATTGGCAAGTGCATCGCCAGTCAGTCCAAGGCTACGTTCTTTAGCATCAGCTCGTCTTCATTGACCTCGAAATGGGTCGGTGATGGAGAGAAGATGGTGAGGGCGCTTTTTGCAGTTGCGCGGTGTCATCAACCTGCGGTTATCTTTATGGACGAGATTGACTCGCTTCTGACCCAGCGCACCGACGGTGAGGTCGAGGCTTCAAGGAGGATCAAGACAGAGTTTTTGGTGCAGTTTGATGGCGTCGGAGTAGGTGGAGAGGAGGATCGGATCTTGATTGTGGGTGCGACGAACCGACCGCAGGAGATTGACGAAGCGGCGCGACGTCGGTTCCAAAAACGATTGTACATCCCTCTTCCCGAGTACGAGGGCCGCATGGGGTTGATAAACAAGCTTTTGGAGTCCCAACCGCATGAGCTGAACGAGGATCACATTAAGGATATCTGCGAACGCACTGCAGGGTATTCGGGATCGGATATGACGGGTCTCTGTCGAGAAGCAGCTCTGGGACCTGTGCGGGCGATTCAAGGAGATATTTTGGATATTGGGCTTGATGATTTGAGGCCGATCAACCATGGCGATTTCTTGGAGGCGTTGTCGCAAGTGAGGGCTAGTGTCAGCGACCGCGATTTGGATCTTTATAAGGAGTGGGACCAGGAATATGGTTCTATGGCCAAAGGTTCCTAGGATTTCTCTTTGTCTTCGATAATTAATTGCCTTTTCTTTTTGTTCAAATACACCCTATTACCGCCTCTCTTCCCAGTTTCAATTGTTGCGATGCTTGCGCGATGTTATCTAATTGGATATATTTTTTATTCTATGAAAAACAATGCTAACATGTCCGAAACGAACATAAAAAATGGGGTTGGAGTGAGAGAGATAAATAAACACAGGGAGGAAGTGAGGAAGGAAGGGATAATACCAGGAGCTGGTTATGAAGGGAAAAGGTGTTGAGCAGGAAAGGAAGAGTAGTAGACTTTTCTCGCCGATTTTGGGGGTTTTTTTACAGAGCCTTCTTGGTAGGCTTAGGCTTGAAAGAGTCGTCTGAAGCGGCAGTAGGCTTTCCGTACTCATCAAAGTTATCGACCTCCTTGGCCTGCTTCTTCCAAGTCTCAGCCTTGGACTTCACCTCAAAGTGCTCCTCGTATTTAGGCTTGCGGTAGGAGCCTCCGATGCGGTCCCAGAAGGTGAAGTACTGGCCATAGTTGTAGTTGAAGTAAAGATGGTGGACGGCGTGATGGGCGGCCGAGTTGACGACGTTGGATTCGAGCTTATACTCGCCATCGTGGATCAGGACCGACCACAGGTTAACGGCGCCAAACATACCCAGATAGATGTACTTTTGCATGGGGATGATGAAGACATAGATGTGGTAGGGGACCGATTGGAGGTAGCCGTCCATGAAGTGGAAGGCGTGGGAGGAGTATGGTGAAGGGATGATCCACTTGTGGTGGGGCTAATTAACATAAAAACATAAGTTTAGAGCGTGAGTTATGTGGGAACAAAAAGTTGGTGACTCCTGCAAACTGCACAAACGCACTATCCTTATCTGAGTAACGATGGAACCCCTCTTTCTCTCTCCTTTTTTGTTGAGCCGTGTCTTCTTTGTTTATCAATTGCATCCTGAGTGTGGGTTTCCAGTTTTTTGTGTTTATCTCTTGTCAGATACTCGCATAGGTCTAACGAATCAAGAGAATTATACGTCTTGCCTGCGTGATGCGCACCCATTGAAATACACAGATGATGCATACCTTGTGTAGACGTTTGTAGACAAGAGGGTGATGCAAGAGGCGATGGACCCAGTAGATTCCACAGTCGGTAAAGAGCAAGAAGGCCACGCAGCTGATGAAGACATAACCCCAACCGTCCAAGAATGGGGAGACGATGGGTCCAAGGGGTCCAAACTTGGCGGCAAGGGCAGCGTGCTCCGCAGCAGCGGTAGCATGAGCAGCAGCGTTGAGGGCCGTGGCGTTAAGGCTTGGGGCGCCGGTAGCGATAGCAGCGGCAAAGGTCTCCTGAATCACTGACGAAGGCGGGTTGATGGCCGCAGCGGTCCTTTCGATAATGGCATCGACGTTGTGAATGTGCGAGTACAACAGACTGTACCCACGGACCTCGCCCAGGAACCAAGGGGTGGTGAGGACGGCGATGCCGGGGAGGGCCTTTACCGACATTTGGATCTCGAGTTTGACTTGGTTCTTGAGGAATTTAGGGTGCTTGGTATGTGCCTGGTCAAAGACAAGGAAGTAGGAGGTCGAGGCAAAGGTGAAATACATCAAAAAGGCGCCGAGGAGGGTGAGGTGGAAGAGCGAGATGATTTGGCGGAAGATGTTGTCGTTCTCGAGGGAGTTGAGCGTCAATCCTGCGGCGGTGCTTGCGGAGACGACATTGCTGGCGATAGTCTTCAAGGTATCGAGGGGTGGTGTTGTTGTATTTGAGAGGAGAGAGTATGAGTCTGCGAGGGAGGGGATGGCGGCGAGTCCAGCGATGAGATCAGGGACGGGGATGGCAGGGAGTGACCTGTAGAAGGAGTCGAGGACGTATTCGTCGGCCTTGTCTAGGATGAAGTCCATTGGTGAGGAATGGATTCTGGCTTGATGATGGTTTGTTGAATGAGAATGAGAGAAAGAAGGAAGGAGAGAGAGAAAGAAGGGAAGAAAAAGAAGAAGAGTGGTCTCTTTTTTTTCTTTTCATATCTCGTAGGGTGTCACAGAGCAGCAACGACAGAGAGGCAGGAATGGACCCCATCCAGGAACAAGATACAGGTGCACTGGGTAGATGGGAAAAAAAGAAGCTCTCAATCAAAACAAGCTTTCCCAGCGGCTGATGGTTTAACAGTCAGCGAACGGCAAAAAGAGAAGAAAAAGTCAGCCCACTTTTTGCATCGACCTGACGACCTTACGACCTTACGACATATACACTGTAGAGTACTGTAAATTGTGACTTCGCACTCACCACACGCACCCATCCAAACAAGACAATTGGCCTTGGGTCGGTTCGCTCGGGTACCTCTCTCTTCCCTTTTTACAATAGTCCATGTCCCTGCTTCTCCTTCTGTTCAAGCGCTCACGGACAGAAAGAACCACCGCACAAGGTGATTACGAGATACACCACCCACTGAAGCACAGCAAACCCACAATACAAACAATCCAGCACGCGATCGACAGATCCCCTCAGGACTCTCACCCTGGTGACAGATCGAGGTCCCAGTCTTCGTAGTACACACTGGGCATTAAATCCTCCTGCTCCCCTCCCTCCCTCTTTTCCCTCTTTTTGTATCCGCGTGGCGACCTTCCCTCTCACTCCTATGCCCTCTTCCTGTATCACCCAATTGATATAGTATTAAAACCAACATGGACACAAGAACTAGGATTCCCTTTGCTGCAGAGTATGAAAAAGTTTCCGCCGCCTGTATTTGGCCGTCCCGACCCAACACAGACCTGCCCTGGTAAAGTATCTCTCCTCTTCGTCTTCTTCCCGCCTATTGTGCTCTCATTGTGTACTCCTAGGTCGATCAGGTTATATTCACCCTTGCTTCAACTTCTCTTTCATTCCTCAGCACCGCGACATGCGTCTGTTTGTTTGTTTGTTTGTTTATTTATTTATTTATGTGATGGCTATTCTTTCCACGCTTCCATCGAACTCATATTTCGATGAGGCGTTCTTGTGTTCACGAGTGATGGACTGTTGGAACAAGGAGAAATCAAAAATCTGATAAGATTACTTGGACGTGTTGTTGTTGTTTTTCCTTTCCCTTTTTATCCTTCCCGCGAGCAAACCGCCAGTCAATATGAAACAACATGCATAGAGAGAGAGACTTCCTTAAGCCCATTAAACAGCTTAATGCACAAGAAAAACATCAGGTGAGTGTTATGGTTCGCCTATCAATTGATGCTCCTGTAGATCAGTGCCATTAAGCCGGACAAAGACATCAAGGAAGGAGAGGAGGAAGAGAATATGTGAAAAAGGAAACTGGAGTGCATGTCGCAGAGGAGTTGTGTGCTGCGGAGATTGCAATTGAGTTATCCCACAGCCAGCCTGCCTGTGCATTCATAATGATACAGATGGTGATAAGAGGAGCAGGAGGAGAGGACTCAGGCCACTCTTTTTTATGTTTTAGGCGGTGGCCCCACTCGATGGGCCGGTTATTCTTGGACTGGAAATGAGCTGATCCCGTGTAACAGCAGTTTTATTTGAGTGTGGTAGGCAGAATCAGACAAAAGGCGGACGTTGTGTTTTTATTTACTACCATTGTTGAGAAGACGCGATGGATATCATCCAGCAAAAACATAGTGCATCGAAAAATTGTAACGTGATCCTGAGAACTAATGGAAATGCCGTTGTTCTAACGACAGCGTTCTCACCGTGGGCTGGAGGACAACCATAGACATGGTCGATTCAAGGCTCACCCTGCACTGCAACGGGCGTTGGACGCACCAGGACCTTTGGCGCTGGAGGGCGACCTTGCCGAGCGAATCAACAAGACCGCCATCACCCAGTCAGGGAACGGATCCTTCGAACTGGCCAGCACAAGGACTTTTCGTCAGGCTGTGTTCTCTAAGGCCTACCAACCCCCAACACCACCACCCCATCACCCACCGATGATTGCACCCCCACCACCACTCACGCCGTTTTTTTGGACCATGTTTTGGAAGAATCCGATTCCCCACAATGCTCGCAATGTTTGGTAGCGTCTGTTGATCAACAAACTCCCATCTGGTGTCCATTTCCACTCCATTCTCCCAGACAAGGTCGGGATCCTCTGTCACGTTTACCTGACGCAGGTCGGGACGAATCAGTACCTCCTCTTCAGCTGTCCCAAGAAACTAGAGGCCTGGCAGAGTGCGATGACAAGATATGTGGAGGAGAGAGCCTGGTCAGCGGACTACATCTGCAGACTATTCTTTCCTAACTCGGACCCCCTCTGTTCCTGCTGATCGGTGTCATCCTGGCTACCATCTGGCGATATCACTTTGCTTTCGTCATGGAGGACCAAGCGTTTGACCCCTGCATCGTCCTTGCTGCTGTAGACCTGGCGATCACCCAAGCCCGTGCTCAGCTGGCAGAGAAGAAGCGCCAGAGCGAGGAACGCCAACCCCCTCCCCCGGTCGAGCCGCCCCCGACCGACACCAACCATCCTACCTAACATTTGTACTCTATTTTCTCTGTATTTTATTTGCCCTGCCTTTTTCCGATTCTCTGTTTATCTGTTTTTCTCAGTTTAGATGTAGTTTGTGTGCTTTCTTGGAAAGTATTTTCATTTGATTTGGCGGTGACTCGAAGTTGACGAGTATTAGTTATCTGCACGCACTCCCACGACGCAATAAACTTCTCACAAAACAAAACAAAAAAAGTTGTTCTAACGACAGATGATGATCGTTTAGACTCCATGTGTCTTTGTTCCTGCGACTGATCAATGATCAGTGGTGAGTAATTGATTGTGGCCAAAGCGACTTCTTGTACATGTTTTTATGATCAGAACTTGGCCCTAATTGCCCCTCCTAACTCCTACCCTGGCGAGTACTCTTTTCAAACCTTGCCTCTTACCTCCATCTCGTAGGGGTAGGTTCCCCCAGGGCGCAGTCTTTCGTCTACTCAACTGTTATCCGTGGCGCCTGCAGTCGGAGATAGGTCTCCGTAGAGCGAGAGATACGTTGTCAATGAATAATAAATGAACACAAGTGAGCGTTGAAGAGCAATGCGCGACGCGAACTTCTAAAGGATCATAGCTACACATGACGCTTGATCGAAGTTCGTATGCAAAGCAGTAGTTGGAAGAGCACCATCACGCGTTTGTCCGTGAGGATCAAGCCTTTGAACCTCGCATGGTACTTGCCGCGGTGGATTTGGCCATTACCCAAGTTCGCGCTCAGTTGGCTGAGAGGAAGCGCCAGAGCGACGAGCGTGAACCCCCACCTTTAGTCGAGCCCCCCCCCCCCCCCCACTTGTCGACAACAAGTTCCCCACCTAACCTGTGTATTTATTCTCTACCTTTCTGTACTTATTTTGCCTGGTCTTTCCTAATTTTCTCTGTTAACTGCTTTTTCCCAGTTTAGATGTAACCTGTGTGCTTTTTTCGAAAGTATTTATTTTTATATCTTTTGAATGGTGGTGACTTTACTGCACTCCCACGACGCAATAAATTTCTTACAAACAAAAAAGAAAAAAGTAACCCGCGTATTGGATCTGGAGGGACCCATGTCAACAAGGAGTCGGTGTCGAAACGCCACGAGTCAAAGCTCCTCGAGAGAAAAAAAATCCCCTGTCTGCACAAAAACAACGTTTTTCTCATTTACGCCGAGTAACAAAGCAAATGGTGACGACATTGACTGGCGGACTCGACATCACATAAGAAAAAAAGACGAAGATGGCCAAAATCGGGCTCATTTCATTTTTCTTTTCGTCTTTCCCAGATCTGGTCATCGAACAACTTCTTGAGCCAATGGGGGGACGATTGAAAATAAACATGGGATAATAACATAAGAGCAGGGGTAAGAAGAGAAAGCCAAAGTGCAATTGCTTGCTTGTTGGTTTTGGTGTCAGCTGTAACCGGAGGAGTTCAAGGAGAACTCTAGATATATATTTTTTTCTGGCGGGAATTGGCAAAGTTGAAGACAAGTTGAGAGGAAAGGAAAGCAAAGAACAACAAACCAGTTAGCAGTATTATTATTTGAATGATTTGCCTCTTTCGGCAATACAGGATTTTCCCGAAGATCTGTCATAGCGGGCTACAAGGATGTCATTCAAACTATCCACTGGGCATCAACCTTGTTTTTTCTTTGTTGTTTCATTGCATTGTTTGCAATATTAATGTTCCTCTTAAAAGTAGAGGATAGATGGCCTTGAACGTTCTCCTTCAACTCACGCTCGGCCCCGAGAGCCAAAGCACACAAAGGAAAGAAAGAAAACTCATCATGTGCTTTGACCCTACCCACCCACAGAGAAGCCATCCAAGATGTTTTCTTTTCATCTTTCTTCTTTTCCTCAATTGCCCTCTTTCTTTATACCCTCCACTCCCGTCCAGGACTCAGTTCTTCTACTCCATCTCTCCTCACCGCTGCATGATCTCGCCATTCTCTTCTCCTCTCTATTCACCATTCGCCTCGCCATTCGTTTTGCTCATTCCACTTTCGTACTTCTCCATTCATACTCCCCTCTTTCTTTTTACTTTCATTTTCTCAAACCACCAGCAGGGTCGTCTGAACTTTCTATTTGGTACAACAGATATCTCAAGAGCAGAGCAAACTTGTCCGCTTTTTTCTTTGGCAGAGAAGCATTTTTACCTTGCAGTCTTCTTTCACCTGAGGTTCGACAGACAAGGATTTATTCTCCATTGCTCTGTCTGCCTCATCTCCTCTTTTTTTCTCTCCATTTTTGTTCTCTCTCCTTGTATCTGCATCCAGCCGATACTCTTGCATCTAAACAAGAAACAAGATCTCTTCAATTCGGGTAAAATACACGCGCTTATTATTACGTGCAACGATAATATCCATGGTATCATAACTGCACCCTCATGACCATGAGCATTTTTTTCCTTCTTTCCCTACACCTTCCACTCCCTCCCTTTGACCCATATCTCGTTCAATAGAGCAACATGTGTGCAATTGCTATCAGAGCGCCAGTGGCGGCTGAACATCGTCCTTGCAATGATTTTTTGTCTTGAAAAAAAAGTCAACTAACAAGTATCTATTCTTCTTGACTCCCACGAAATAGTTGACAGGCACCACACTCAACTCCGTTATTATAACTTTCCTGCTTTTCTTGTTGCTGTTACAATGCTTCCAACTCCAACCTCCGAGTCATCCATCTCGCAAGATCAAGAGAGCACTCTTCGAGTGCCAACTTTTCCGCAGCGCCCGCGCATCATGCGAGCCATGACCTCGCCCACACCAGTGCTCGCTGCCTGTTCAACCCAGTCTAACAACAACCAGCCATTATGGAACTCACACACGCTCGCTAAAGGGACTGATGCACAGGATATCGAAGGTACCTCTCCAGTCGACAACTCACTAGGCCTTTCTAAGCCTGGCCCACAGCCCCTGCAAGCAGGCCATCAAGCTCCAACTCCTCGCACTTCGCTGAAACCGTGCGAGACGACACTTCTGCGGTCAGTTTCATATCCCCCCAGCATCCCTCTGTTGAGTTCTCCTAATATTCCTTCAAATCGCAAGAGCTCGATTACGGATTCGCTGAAGCGACAATGGTTAAAAGGCCAGGCCTTCCATTGGTTTCAGGACGTCCAGCATGTTGAACGGGTCACGCTGAACCCATCATCAAGGTAAAAACATTTCAATGTAGAGCGACGTTGCACAACATCTCCCTTTTCATTGTCTCCTTTACTTTCTCTTTCCATTTCTTTTTTCCAACTGGATCTTTCTCTCTACTGTATTAACAGCATAAGTGCATCACAATCTGTCCTTCATCTGCATTACCTTATCGCTGCTTCAATGCTAGGCATTCACCGTGCGGCCCACGTCAATCCGAAACCCTGGGGCTATCCATGCTCCCCTCTTCGTCCAGTCAGGTGCCCGATCAACGGAAAGGACATCTCAAATTGGGCATCGTATCTATCTCATTTCCCGCTGGCGATAGCAGCACCAGTCAGACAGGACAGGACTCCAAGGCCGGCCAGCCCAGGACGGGCGACACCAGGTCCAGGAGGACATCGTCTTCGGTATCCTCAACTTCCTCAACTCCTTCAGCACAAGAACAGCCCAGTATTGGGCTCACAGAGAGGCTCTTCAACTTGGCGAAACAAAAGCACGACAAATCCTCCTCTTCGACCGACATGAGAATTTCCAACGAAGGCTACCAAAAAGCAAAAAACCATGCTACTCAGCAGCAGCAGCCTTCGACACAGCAGAGAACAACATCAGAGTCCATCTACGAATGCTGGGATGACTTTTTGAAGGCGTATAGTCAGGGTCACTTTCCCGACGATGCCCAGATCCGTCCCAAACACCTTGGTCCTGACCTACCCCCGTTCCCGCCCTACGCATGTGCGCTCATGCAGTCTCAGCCGCCACCGTTCTTGGCGGCCCCACTTCCTCCCAATGAGGAACAGCGCCTTCGGGCGTTGTACAGCTTCCAAATCCTTGACACTGGCACCGATTTGAACTTTGACAGGATAGCTCAGCTGGTCGGGACGGTCTTGAGGGTCAGTGGGTGCATGATATGTCTTGTGGACCAGGACAACGTCGCTATCAAGGCTAGCTATCGCGCAGCCAACATGGAGTGTCGGAGAGAGGTCTCACTCAGCGCACATGCTATCCTCAGGGCACCCGATGATCCTTTGGTTATTTTGGATGCAACAAAGGACTGGAGATTCAATGGACTACCAGCTGTGAAAGGAGTACCTCTGGTGAGATTCTACGCCGGCGCTGCCCTCGCAACATCAGACGGGAACAACATTGGATCACTCTGCGTCATCGATCCTGAGCCAAGAGCGACGTTTACGGAGAAGGAGCGCTTATTGCTGGTCGACTTTGCTGCCGTCGTGATGAGGGAGATGACACTCTGGAACGACCAAGTGAATCTGTGCATCCGGACTCGTATGATGCGCGACATCACCTGCTGGGTACGTGCTTGTCTCGACATGACGGAGGGTGTATCGATACCAACACCTACGCTTAGTCCAGAGCCAAAGTATGTGCGAGGAATATCGTTTGATATCTCCCAACCACGCCTCACACCTTCGCCGGACGGAGTTCGAACTCCAAGATCAACATCGACTATTGCAGGACCTCCAGGCCGGCGCGTTCAGATCCCAACTCCCAGAGGCTCGCCCATGTTCCCTTCCAAGGAGTTGAGGGCGAATGGCAGGGCAACACAGTTGCAAGGCATCAATGGATCGGTACAGGAGAACTCATCCACCGGTGACCAACTCCGCGACAAGGCGTTCCCATCAGCATGTAACATGATCCAGGCTACATTGGGAGCTGATGCTGTCTACCTCGTCCAAGCGGGATCCAACAAATCGTTTCTTCCCCAGGCAGGATCAGGAGTTTCTTGGAATCTATGGAGCTCCAAGACGCCGACCAAAGGCGCAGTCAGCATTGTGAGTGGTGCAGAGTATTTCATGGATCCTGGCTTGACGTTAGAGTGTTTGGCTTCGAGCTTACGCCAGCATATCGACGAACCTGTTTGTAACGCCCGGCGACAGGGAACATCATGGGTTTGTGCGGAGGTAGGCTGTAGACCTCATCGAATCCGGGACTTTCAGCAGGAGATGGCGGAGCCAGTTTGGGAGCGAGATTTACCCATTATCTCAGAGGCGATGTGTTATGTCCGACAGCTTAAATCTGCACCTGAACGACAGCCTGGACAGTGTCCATTGTATATTTGTTGCCCTGGATCGGAAGAAAACAACTGGTTCGAGTCCACCCGCGCTTCTTCACGCTCGCCGGCTCGAGCGGATGACCCTCTTCGTCCCGACCTTCTCTGTCACACGTTCCAAGGAACCCTGCCAGAGTTTGAGGCAGGGTCTAGTTCTCCTTACAGATCTTGCGTGATTATGCCTATCCGCTGCGCCTCCTCTGCAGACTATACTCAAATCAGAGATGAGGAGCCTTGGGCCTACTTTGTCGTTTTGACTTCTTCCCCTACCAAGCAGTTCTTGCTACACGAGCGGATTTACCTCAAGAACTTTGGATCTTGTCTTGTTACTGAGGTCATGAAGCGCAGAATTGTGGCCGCGGATAAAACCAAAGGGATCTTTATCAAGAAGTAAGTCTTTTTTTTTTTTTTTTTTGCATTGGTCTTCCCTTGCGCCTTATTTCATATCGCGTTTTAATTTTCTTTTTTGTCTACGCTATAGTATCTCACATGAGCTCAGGACGCCACTGCACATCATCCTGGGAATACTGGAGCTCCTGCAGGCCAACACTGAAGAGACGCTGAGTGAGCAACAGCTCACGATGCTGAGGTCTGCCGAGGCTTCTGGCGACAGCCTCATTGACACTATCAACAATATCATCGACCTGACCGACCTGGACCCTAACAACCTGACCGATGTCGAGATCATTCGCAAGCAGTTGTCGGATTTGGTTGAGAGCGTATCCGAGATTGATATCCGAGAGCTGTGTGAGGAAGTCGCTGGAAGCATGGCCAAGCGTTGTGTCGACAAGGACCTGGTCATCAACCCTTCCTGGTCACCAGCACCCCATGCGAGTTTGTTTTCTTCGATAATCTCAATGCCTAGCCTCCACTCTGCTGCTGCTAGTATTTCTGGTTCTGGCGCTGGTTCTACGGCGAGAGCCTTCTCCAACCTAACTTTGCCTCGGGCTTATCTTGCGCCCGTGGGCGACTCTGTAGCCGATCCCTCAACGACCGATTCCAGGGCAGGTGTGGCAGGTTGCAATATATGGTCAGACGACCACACATCCTCGCTGGAGCTTCTTGTCGCGATGGACGAGCCTGAGGAGACACCCGAGGAGGATACCCACTGGAAATTTATGCTCAACCTTCCTATTGTCACGCGCATTCTTACCCAGGTAACGTTACCATCTCTTTGCTCTGATGGAAGATCAACACGCATTTTATTTGTGTGTGTGTGTGTGTACGTGCAACGAAACTAATTGGTTATTTTCTTTTTTTTTATGGCCTTCGCCTTCGATAACATTTGGTTTCTGCTATTCTTAGCTCTTGGAAAATGCGATCAAGTTCACAACAACGGGGTTTGTAGAGATCTCGGCAATGTCACCCCCCTTGGACATGTTCCCATTGAGACCCCCACGGCCCGATGCGCGACCTGTACTTTTCACGGTCCGGGACACCGGAAGTGGAATCTCGCCGGAATATGTCCAGGGACATTTGTTTGAGCGGTTCTCCCAAGAGGACCCAATCCATGCGGGAACTGGATTGGGTCTGGCGCTTGTTAAGCTGTTGGTTGAGAGTCTGGGTGGGTGGTTGGAGGTTTGGAGTGAGGGAGTTGAGGGTAAGGGGTGTGTTATTCGGGTTTTAATCTGGGCGACGCCTTCCGAGAAGAATAAGGGGGTACAGTCTTTGAAGGATGAGGTGGGGCCTTGGCGGGGGAAGGCGGTTCGGTTCTTTGTTGGTGATTCAGCTGTTGGTTCTGATAGACTTTGGAAGATTGTGGGTGAGCGGATGATGGGTGAGGACCTTGGGATGGCTGTTGAGCGGGGTCATGATCAGGATGTCGGTGCGGAGGAGATGCTGAAAGGTTTGAAGGATGGTTCTCCATGCGATCTGCTGGTTGTCAACGATGACCTTGGACGGTTGGAGGCTTATCTCACTCACTGGGGAGATCAGCATCAAAGAGAGTCAGGTGTTCAGGATGGCCAGGAGGCGGCACTCATTCCTATGGCGACACCACTACTGATGCTCACGACTGCTCACAAAGAGAAGAAGGCTCGAGCGATGGTAGATACGTACCTGAGGACCTGGATGGAGTCTACCACCCCTCTGGACAAGCCTGTTCGCGTGGTGATCATGTCCAAGCCGGCTGGCCCACTCAAGTTGATGCACTCCCTCCACGACTGCTTCTCAGACAGCATTCTCAGGATCAAGGGCGGCTGCTCTACCACCAGCAACAAAAGCGGACTCGACCATGGCCTTCAGGCACATGCAGGAACGACAACACTTTGCGAGAAGAACTGTGCCAATACTGGCCCATACAGGTTGATACGGTCAATCACGTCGCGTCATACGACGACACTCTCGACAATGGGCGGCGGCATCGGCAGCAATGGTCCAGAGTTCTGTTCTGCAGAGTCGGTCATCAAGTCGTCGTTCAAGTTCCCGCCTGCGGTCGAGACGCCAGGACCGACAGTCGGAGGGCACTTTGGAGTCGGGATTGGGTACTTTGATATGGCATACTCACCCGGAGGACTGGTTGTTCCGCACAGTAAGGAGGAGGATAACCGCGACGAGGGAGAGGTAGAGGAGGAGGAGGAGAAAGATGTATTTGCCGCGACGACGAAACCAGATGCTCAGAAACAGGAATTGGAATTGGGTTCATCTCTGGTGGATTATCGCCCTCCCCTTCCTCTTCCGACAATGCTTGCAAAGAGGAGTTCGGGCCATATTGGCGGAGATTTGCTTGACGAGAGCTTGCAGACGCCCCCACAGCCCACGCCACCACAGCCGCATCCGGATCAGCAGGTGCAGCAACAAGCACATGGTCATGGTCATGGACACGGACAAGGACAGGAGCAACCGGCTGTGAAGCAGAAGGCGCGGAGTTCCATTCGGAACTTTATGGGAAGTGGCCATTTGAATAGGTCTTCTCGGAAGATTGGCGCAGGAGCTTCTCCTGCTACCAGTACGGAATCCCCGTTCTTATCCTCACCGACTGCTGCCATGTCCGGTCATCAAGCACATGTCAGAGACTCTTCCACCGCTTTCGGTGCCCTTGCCAACAACCCCAGCAGCAGCACCTATAACAACGACTCATCCTTCCCCTGGTCAGATCTCCGAGTCCTAATCGTCGAGGACAATGTCACCAACCGAATGATCCTCCGAACATTCTTCAAAAAGAATGGCGTCATCACCGTCGTCGAGGCTGAGAATGGCCAGGTCGGCGTCGACCGGTTCGAGGAAGCATTGGAGCGCCAGGGCCCTGAAGGAAGACCGGCGTTCGATTTTGTGTTGATGGATTTGCAGATGCCGGTCATGGATGGCAATATGGCGACGAAGCGAATTCGCGAGGCGGAGGGGAGGGTGATCAAGACGTCGGAAGGAAAGTATTGTCCGTCGATGATCTTTGCGCTGACGGGTCTTGCGGGCGAGGAGGATAAGCGGTTGGCGTTTGAGTGTGGTGTTGATGGGTACATGACTAAACCTGTGAGCCTCAAGGGCCTTGCCAACCTCCTCACCACCTGCCGTCCACCACCACCACCACCACCCTCACCATCATGTTCATCATAATTTATTCACATATCCCATTTTCATTGTACAGTAGTCAACATCCTTCATAAAAAATATCCGTGTTTGTTTATTAGTTCATATCTCGACGTGGTATATATCGTGTTCATGAGTGAAGTGAGCTATCCTATCCTAATCAGAAGAAGTCCGATGATGGCGGTTGCCGGTATGCCAGATACTCCACCGATGATGCTTCTTCCTCCCATCCCCGTGGCCCTGCTGTCCATTGCCATTTGCGTCAGCGGAGAGAATAGGTCCAACAGTCGCGTGTGTCAACTGCTCAGCTTGCTTGATCCGGAGATCCAACTGACTGGACGAGATCAGATCACCCGCCAAGTTGTACCGTCCCTTCCTGGAAGGCTCTGCCTTGTCCATATTACCTGCAGTCGTACCAGAAGAAGCAGCACCAAGTCCACCCAAGGGTGCAGTAGCCGGCCCACCACCCGAGGGTGGTGTAGGAGTAGCTCCAAAGCTCTTCCTATGCAAATGCTTCTTGACCGAAGCCAACGAGCTCGAGAACCCTCCTCCATTGGTAGGCGAAAGTCCTCCCGTAGTAATAGGCGGCGGGACAATGGGCGGCACAGGCACAGCTGCACTTCCACCATTCTGAATGGCAGCTTTCCTGGCAGCAGACTCTGCAGCAGTGGCGGCTGCATGTTGTTCACAGTATTGATCGTATTTAGGTTTCCAGATCCAGGAGTTTCCCAGTTGAGAGGCTCCTTGGTCAGATGCGAGGCGGTAGTACCTTGCGGCCTCGAAGGCGTTCTTTTCTACGCCCACGCCCTCCATGAAACACAGCGCCGTCTCATTCTGCGAATCTGGGTCACCCTATTTATTTTTTTCAGTTAGACATAAAAAAAAAATTGTAAGTAAATTAATTCGAGCAACGCCACCAAAAATAGTTTGTCCAGGAACGTTTCAAACAAACAAACAAACAAACAAACAAACAACATACCAGGTCGGCAGCAAGCTTGAAGTAGTGAAAGGCAACAACCTTATCCTTGCTAACACCCCAGCCCTTCAAAAACGACATCCCAAGCTCATACAACGCCATGACCAACTCCTTGCGCGCCCCCAACATGGCCGACTTTCTTTCAATGGTTCCCATACGCTTCAATGGCTGTTGTTGCTGTTGTCGTTGTTCCGCACGTGCGGCGTATCCACGCATACTGGGATGAGACTGGATCGCACGAATGTTGGCCGAGCTGCTAGGGCTCAACTCCTTGAGTTCTCCCATTGCATACTCTGCTGCCCGCTGCAGGTAGAAAATAGCATCCTTTGGGTTTGGTTGACAGCCCTAATTATTTTAGTTTCAGGAACCAATGAGTAGACATTCCGTTAGACCTCTTTTTCTTGCATACACACTAAAGAGAGCCTTAACAATGACTGCTGAGGGCGGTGCAAAGTCGTCAAGAAAACAAACTTACCCATCCATGACGGAGAGAAAGACCATACATGAGCTGACCAACAGGGTTTTCGCTCTGAGCAGCAAGACGGAAATACTTGGTAGCTTCTTCCAACTGGTTGTTCTCATGCAGTTCAATGGCTTTTTGGATGTTGGCATCGGCCTCGGCCTCTCGATGTTGGGCTTGAGCCAAGACGTTTGGAGCCGCTGCTGCTGGGATCTGTGAGGTGCGCTTCCGGGCCATGTTACTATCCCACTGTTGTTGCTGCTGTTGTTGTGGCTGTGGTGATGGTGCAAGGTTTTGCTGTTGTTGCTGTTGTTGCCTTGCTTGACGAAGTTGAGAATCTGAGAATGCTACCGAGTGGGTTTGGTCGCCGTTGGCCGAGATAGTGGTGGTGGTGGTCGTCACAGGAAGAGACGCTCTAGTTACTCCACTGTCAGCCGACCTGCGACCTGAAACCTCCTGATATTCTTCCTTTTGATGAAACTCCTGCTTTTGATTATACTGCTGCTGCTGCTGCTGCTGAAACTGTTGTTGTTGATGTTGTTGCTGCTGCTGTTGTTGGTAGTATTGCTGCTGCTGAGGAGGCTGGAATGCCTGTTGTTGCTGGTATTGTTGGTACTGCTGCTGCTGTTGCTGCAATGATGGGTATTGTTGCTGATGCTGGCCATGGTACTGGTACTGAGGGATGGATGATGGTGGCGACTGCTGCTGCTGCTGATGGTACTGTTGGTATTGTTGGTATTGATGCTGTTGCGTCGGCTGCGGATTCGTTTGTGCTGGTGGCAGTGGTGGGTATGGGGCTGGTGAGCCTCGAGCTCCCTGGATAGACAGTCCTTCGAGGGTGGGTTCGTCGACGAAACTAAAAAGAAGAGGGAAAGGTAAAAGCGTAAGCGGTCTCGTCCTTAGTCACACTTGGTTCCATGCATATTGAGGCTGTTCTTACTTTATGCTGTTGTTGCTCGGGTGAGTTCCTGTTGGCGGCTTGGTAGGGTAGCCAGGGGTATCGTTAGGCCTGGCGGGGGTTGGTACGTAAGTCATGTCTTTTTTCCTGAGTGTGGAGTGTGTGTGAAAGTGAGGATGAAAGAAGGATAAGCAATGAAGAGAAGAAGTATGAGGGTGTGTGAGGGATGTGGAATGAGATCCAAATGATGAGCAGGAGTGAGAGACGAGAGAGAAATTAAAAGGGAGAGAAAGAGATGATGATGAAGCAAGCGAGAAAGTGAGGATGGAGAATAAATGAGATTGTTGAACAAGGATGTCTCAGCCTGATATATATGAGATAAAGGTCAGGGGAAGGGGAGACAAGGAAAGATGGAAATAGGGCGCGGGCTGTGTGTGTGAAAACGGTCGAATGGTCGGTAATGCATCATAGACCATCACACCAAAAATAGACGACTTTCTTTTGGTGCGTTCTCTTTGTCACTCCCTCATCTCTTTTCTCTCTTTCTTTTCCCTCCCTTTCTCTTTTCGTCTTTTGGGCTTCAGTACCTTTGGGTTTGAGGGTCTTGGCGCTCTCTCTTCTGTCTGTCTTTATGTTGATATGTCTGTTTGTGTTTGCTCACTTTGTGCCGTTGCACTCTCGCTGGCTGAAGTGCTCTCTTGATTTTCCCTTTTCTCCCTTAGCAATATTGCATGAGGGAACGAAGGAAAGATATGCGGACAGGTGTCATCAAACAGGTAATGCCAATTCCTGTTCCTTCGTTCGCGTACATGGCTGTTGGCTGTTGTCTCGTCCATGCTTCGCCTCTCCTTCAATTGGCTCGTTTTCCTGGCATATCCTCAAACCCACTTCTCCATACACCGTGGACACAACCTTTTCATTCAATGGATGATTATGGAGAGCGCCTTCTCGATGCAGCTCGCCATGAAAATAGGAAACAGCCTGACACTACGGGTTAAAGAGGATCCTTTCTTCACCTGCTGGAAGTAAAAACGAAGTTGCGCCTCACCCCCATTGACAGTTAGCTCTTCAGCTCAAAGACGATTGAAGAAAAAAAGGTATGCTCACCAGATTGAGCTTGTTTAGCAGCAAGAGACAGGGACAGAGTCTAATTCTCGTCATTACTTGCCCGCCACATAAAAAATGAATGGATGAATGGATGGACTAAATAACTGGACCTAACGGCACGATCGTCTATCTCATGCTTGTTCTCTTCTTCCTTTTATTCTACTCAAGGAGAGCAGTATGAATTCGCAGTTCAGAATAAAGAGCACCTGTCAACCAACAAGCACAACAAACAAGGCATGCTTGCATTGATGCTCATGGCCCTATTTTCTCCACTGCTCCCCTGAAGAACAGAAAATCAAAGGACAAAGCATGCATGCAAACATGCATAGATGATGTTCTTCAAAAGCGCCGATATATAAAAGATATAAAAGGATTGAAGGAGCACACATGGCTTGGTGAGATCGATCGACGGTGGACTAAAGGTCGCCTTGTGATTTTCACACTCAGCCTCTTTCCTCAGAGAAGAATAAAGCAATTGATAACGAAGCGAAAGGACGGCCCATGCAGACTGGACAACGGATTGGACTCGATTGTTTTTGTTGTTGTTGCTGTTGTTATCGTCGGCAAAGGAACAGACCTAATGCAGGAAAGACAGAGGTCATTCTTGAATCACACTTGTTGCTTCCTAATATCATCATCACGCTAATGAGAAGGAGCTTCTTTCCCTGAATCCCAAGAGGATATCTGTGACCTATTCCTTCCTTGCATGCGCCCCTTTCTTTTAGTCTTTCAATCCCCTGGTCGCCCTTGTCTTTTTCTTACCTCACCATGCCCCCCTGTCTCGCCCGAAGGTCTCTTTAATACATATGCGCGTGTGGTTGCTGTTGTGTGGTGTCGCTGTTCTGACACATTTGCTGGTTTTTTTCGAGCTTACCACATTAGCCCTAACGCACAGTTCTCAACTCAACCATCCGAGCGGAGAGTAGATGCGTTACATGTGTTCGAGTACCTGCGTGGGTCCTGCTCAATCAAATCGAACCTTGTCTGCGGACGGAGAGATGAAGGGTGTTTTGGATGTTCGCGGCTGATGCTGATGAAGAGTGAGAGTCGGCTTTGCATCCACGCAATGTCGTACACACACAAACGAACAAAAACCTGCAACATGCAACATGCATACGAACAAACAAACAGTGAGCAAACAAACAAACCAAACTAACAAAACAAATAAACAAAGCGATGTCCCCCACCCATGCCAGGAAAAGAAAAGAAAAGGATGCGCCTCGTGAGACCAGCCTTTTGGTTGTGTCCCCGATGACCGGATATATTCATGTATTCTTATGCAAGGTATCAAAAAAAAAGTAAAGCATGCATCGGGGGGATGGGATGAGGGGGAAACAGAAAGAGACGTAGGCATGGTCCAGGCTATTACAGCACGGCATGGCACGGCATGGCATGGCAGATGCATTACTCTCTTCTTTCCCCTTCTCCCTGTCCCTTGTGTTTTCCTCTTTTCCCTTTTCTTCCCATCTACCCCTTCTTTCCCAAAAACCCACCCATCGTCAACAGCTACGCGCACGCACACGCCCACAGACACATCGGGAAGGACACAAACTAAACGAACACCAATCCCTCCTCCCTTCTTCGTCAAGCTACGTTTCGATTGTCGCCGCCACCTTCTCTTCTTCCTCTTTACTTTCCTCTTTGTACTATTTCTCTTCGTTCGCTATCTTTTAGCATCCCTATTCTCCCATCCACTTAACATCCTCAACACCACCAACTTCTCTCGAACACTCACTCGCTCTAAGAATACACTGCATCATCCGTACATCCATCACCCACACGACCATTTTTTATTTATTTCATTTCACTTATCCTATCCTGGGGGTTCATCCTTCTCTCTCTTCTCTCTCATCCTTCTGGTTCGTTCCCGCCTGTCTCCCATCTCCACTTACCTTCCTTCCGCACTTACCCTTTGTGAAACTACATCTCATCCTCTTCCTCCCTCATTCACATTCACATTCCCCTAGTCCCTGTCCTTTTGTCGGGATGAATCACCATTTACCTTCAGCATTGCCTCATTCAACCTCATTCTCCTCCCTCTCCTCGTCTGACACTTCGACCTCCTCCATTCTGTCTTCCTCCTCTTCTTCCTCTTCCTCTGCTTCCTCTGTTATCTCGACCCCTCCCCTCTCGACTACGAACGCGACTACAACTTCGACGTCCCCTTTCCTTACCCCTTTCTCACTTCATGAACCGTGCCCATTGAAAAATCGCACTTATCAAGGGGAGGAACAGAAGCAGGAAAGGGAGGAACAGGAGAAGGGAAAGGAAGAGAACAACAGCATGCATTCGTCCATGTCCAGGACAGTCTCTGCCCTGACTGGAGACGGCTGCGATCACGATAGGAGGAGTGATCGTTGTTTCAGGGATAGGGGAATGATCACTGATGCCAGCAATGATGATGCCCCTGATCCAGACTCAAACTGTCAACAGCGTTCTCATCAGCAGCCAATAATACACCGTCATATCATCTCAAACCAGGATACCACCATAGCCACCATGGACATGGTAACGGTCAGTGGCAATGTCAACGAGAACAATGACAGGTGCGTATAGCAACAAAACAAAATGGCTCTCGTATCCCTTGGTCTCCCTTTTACCTCACTTACCCCAACCAATCAACCAACCGCCAATCAAACTTTCATCATGAACCCTTTTCTCCCGTCCAACCTTGTTCTTTTCCTCCTCCCTTACCCTGTCCATCCACCCTTACATCCGGACCCACTCCACTCGTTCAGAATATGTAATATGAGCCCTGTCATCATAGTGATCGTGCCCTCTTCCTCATTTTGTTTGTGTCCCCTTCCTTCATTCGTTCAATCTCCCCCCCCCCCCCCCTCCATTCTCTCTCTCCTCTACCCTGCTTCTGCCTAGTCCCTGATACCCATGCACCTCTAAAAACAAAAAGTGAGCGTGGCGTGGAACAAAATTCTAATCTTGTATGCAATAATAATCGTGACAATATCATTTATTGGGCGACAATGTGAGCGATGCATGGTTGCACAAGCACCCACCCTCCCCAGTACATCGCTCGTGCCATTCTACCCTACGTTTTATGTTGTACCATTTTGTCCCTGGTGCATTCATTACAGCAGCTTTTACTGCCATTGACTCAAGATCTCTTTGCTCTACTATTCCTCTCTTGTACGGGTTCTCATTCGGTACACTCGGTACCCTTTTTTTTTTTTGATGCGTGATTAACTGTGAAGAAGAAAGAATTACCACCACAACCACCATTGTCAATCACAAAAAAAATCGCACTAAAAAGTACAAACACGCACAACACCAGAAACAACGCAAAAAAAACGGGTTCAATGCACCATCATGATTGGGTTCACTCACAGCGGCATCTTCTTTGCATCTGCTTCAGCATTGAGTTAGGGGCGCATTGCAAAGTGGTGCTAGTCCTGCACTCATCATGCCCCTGCTGCCCTTACTCCTATCCTTTTTTTTATATTTCATATCACCCGACCGCTTCGTCTTTCTTCCCCTCCCTTATCTCTATTGCCTTTCCTTCCTCTCCTTCCTTTCCTTCGATGCCGCATCCCTTCTTGCCTTCTGTAGTTGTTGTTTTTCTACCTCTTTATTTCTGTCTTGTCTCTTCCGTCCACTCTCTGTCTCTCTCCCCTCAACTGTCGCCCGATGATTTCCATTTTGCTCTGTGCATCCATTCATTCGTGAGCCCATTATTTGCTGACGCTGACAACAATAGCCAATACAACAAAAACGCCCGTTGAATCGAAACAGATCCACCAACAACCCATCTGAGCATAACGCCTACACCAATTACTCCTTTTTTTGTCCTATCCCTGCAATAATCCTATTTTCCTTGCATCTGCAATGTCCTTCTCTCTCTCTCCTTGAGCATTTATACATGGCTCACGCAAACATCATAAAGAAACAACAACTGGCCAAGCATTGTGCTTGCACTTCCAGATGACAAATTGCTGATCCCAAAACTCTTTTACCCTTTCTCTCTCTCTCTCTTTCTCTCTCTCTCTTCTTCCTTCTTCATTTTTATCTTCTCCCTCCCACCTTTCCAATTCGTTGATATCCTTCAACTGCTTCATTTAAAAAACAGTAACAGATCCTCACTTGCTGACGATAACGACAACAACATAAACACAGCACCACGTTCGCTCAATCATCCCCACATCATCTATCCAGTCATGTCCTCCCGGTCGCAGGACGGCAACATCACCCACTATACCCACTATACCCACAACACTCATTCTCCTGCACAACCACGATCCAGCACCAAACGAGATTCCCTCCAACAGCGGTTTTCCTTTGACAGCATGGCCACAAGGATCGCTTCCTCCACAAGCGGCTCGTGCTCATCAACGGAGTGGGACTCGGATATGGATCGTACCGCAATGCGCGGCCTTGATTCGAGCTCATCAGACGAAGATTTGGATGACGACGACGACGATGTTACGAGTGAGGAGCAGAGTGAGTCGGACTCGGACAGGCGGAGGATCTCTTCACAGCATCTCCTCGTCTCTGTCAAGCGACGCAAGGTGAGCGTCGATGAGGACTATGAGCGCCTCCGACCGCTCCAGATGCCCGACGAGGTTGAGACGCGACCGACCAATATGGTTAGCTCCAACAAACAACGACAGTCGCGCCCCATTTCATCATCAGCAACGTCGTCATTCCTCAGCAACAACCATCGTCGTCATCAATCATCAGCAACTGCAACTACAACGTCTTCGATACGGCCATCAAGTTGGCCAGCAAAAAAACGGAAGAGTTTCATCGCCGAACCCGAATCCACCTCGACCTTCTCCTTTTCTGACCCTCTTTCAAACGAGCCTTCCTCTTCGGCTACGTTGTCGTCATCATCGCCGTTGTCGGCTACTGGGCTGGACACGTCGTCCTTGAGTTTGCTCTCTGAAACCTCAATGCTGGTCTCTGAGGGAACCATCTCGTCCCTGGATAGCGACAATGTATCCCTGCGGGCTCTCCTTGAGCCTTCTTCCTCTTCTCCCTCTCTACTTTCGTCTTCTCCTTCGCCATCATCCAATTCCTGCTTCTCATTAACTCCTTCTGCAGGTAACCCCTTTCCGTCTGCAGATCGGGCTCAATTTAATGCACAGGAGTTATTTGAAAGTGCATCTCCTCCCACATCATCATCATCATCTTCTTCTTCTTTCCCTTCCTCCTCCTCCCCCTCTTCCTCCTCGCCGTCCTTGCTCTCCCCAACCACAACCACAGCAACGGCAACAACTTCGCCGGCAACAAGGAGTCGATACCAACGATACCATCAACAACAACAATCTCTTCTGGGCGCATGTCGCAAACGGACGTTTGAGGATGCGATTGAATTGACAAGACCGCTTGGAAACGACCCCTCTGTCGAACATGCAGGATGGCTCGGATCAATCAAGCGACGTAAGATCCACCATTTCCCCACCCGATGGACCTCCAGTCTCTCGCCTTCGCCCTATATCAAACTGTTGGCGATGCGGGACTTTTGGGATGTCATGATGACAAGACTGGACCTTTCCTGGTTGAACCTCTGGACGGCTTCGGGATCCAAGTCGGAGACGTTGCGAGGATTTGATGGTGGCGTGAGCGATATGGAGGATGATGGAGATGGAGGGCTTGGGAGAATTCGTTCGCCTTTGGAGTCTGAGGCTGAGGCTGACGAGATGGATACAGAGCAGGTTAACGCCATTCGATCATCAGATTCGGAGGACAACACTGGCGACACCACTCAGGAACACCAATCTCGCGCTATTTTTGAGCAACCTCAAATGACGCGTATCTCGAGTCTCAAGAAGAGCGACGACAAGGATGGCATTTTGGCGGAGACCATCGACTCACCGTGGTCCATGTGTGTGATGTCGCGTCGTAAGAAGCGAACGGTTGTGCAACACCCGAGCGCGGCGTTGTTCTTGAGAGGCCTCTGGGAAGAGGAGGAGCATGGCCGACGACAGAAGCAAATGATACCCGAGGGTGTTCACAAGCCACTCAGGAGTAAAGTCTTGAACAGGAAGCCCCTTGTACGGACTGCTGCGGCTGCCTCGACCAAGGCTTTTTCGTCTTCAGGAAAGTCTCAGAGTCTTACTATAGGATCAGGATCGTCATCGACCTTGAAGGAGACTTTGCCTTCAGCGGCTCCATCCTCATCGACTAGTGAGAGTTTGACTTCTAGTTCCTCGACCGGATCTACATCTGATGAGAGTGACTCGACTGATAAGGAGAAGAGCAAGGAAGAGTCTGACTCCCAGGGCGCATCAAGCAGTAATGCAGGCGACCAGGATATGGTCTTGAGAAAGAAATACGGCCCCACCGCCGCCCTTCGATGTAAGTTGGCCATATATTATTGCGTAGATATTGCATCGTAAAGTGTAAGAGAAAAAAGTATTACACCGTGATAGTAATTAATAACCCCTCTGTACAATTAGCCAATGCAGTATCCGATGGATACGATCTGAATGAGTACAAGCCGTGGAAGGATGCCACGATTACACCTCATAGAGGCTGCATTCAGACCCTTCGACAGATGCGCTGTACAATGCTGGAGCCTTGGCCAGTAGAGGAGTCGCGCGCCAAAGACGAGTGCTCCAGGATTCTCCACGTGATGCGTGAACAGCTCAACGTTGTCATCAACCTCCAAAGTACGCCTCTTACTCTCCACGTGGGTCAATGCTTTTGTTCATATCCTCTGACAAGTATCAATATCTAACGTCTACTTTTTTCTTGAAAACAATAGTTCACCTGAGATCGATGATTAAAACGGCACCACAGCAGATGTCGTTCTTGCTATCGATCCGTCACCCGGGTCAGATCTCGATCGAACTGCTGAGTGCGTTGTATGGCCCACAGTTCATGCAGACGAACGCCTTTCGGTCGATTGAGCAGCTCCTCTGGGGCAAGAACCACTCTTGGAAGGCAGGAGAGTCGTCGCCTTCATTGTTGTCGTCTTCTCTCCAGCATCATCGACCCCCATCTCAGTTGACGCGCAATGCCTCTTCCCCTTCCTCATCGTCGTCTTCGTCTTACTCGCAGCAGCATCAATACCAGCAGCGACAACAACATGCCGAACATCCATACCACCACCACAGCGATCACCGTGATGTGGATGATGGGCACGACAGCATGTTTGATGGTGCCGATGATGCGCATCATTACCAGGAGCACCATTACCAGGACCATGGAGACCATGCCGAAAATTATGAGCCCCACCGCCACCACCAATACCCGCAGCACCACGACTATGATCATGATTTCGAGCATGAGCATGACCAGTCTGTATACCATGAGCATTCCGAGCACTCTTACTACGACCAGCATCATCACCACAACCATCAACAGCAGCAGCATCATTCGACTTCTCAAGACCGACACCGTTACGACAGTGAACAATCGTCGACTCTTCGGTATACCCGCACTTTGATGGAGGATGTGAGCGAGTGTGAGTTTGAGGATGAGTTTGACGAGCCACCATACCCGGATCCTCTGTTGGAGATTGATGGGATTGACGCTGCTACTCATAGTATTACTACTGGCTATTCTGCGGTTGAGAAGCAGACGGAGCGACTGCAAAGGAAAAATGCTGTGACGATGTCGATGGATGGCGGGTATGAGAGTGGCGGCGATGTGAGCGAGGGTGAGATCGAGGCTCTTGAAATCTCGTCTTCATCGACCTCGACCTCGACGTCGTCGTCCTCCTCCTCGTTGGCCGCACGCTCCTTCCAGCGATAATGAGCACTGTGTTGCGATGCATCTCTCTTGTTGTTTTTTTTTGTTTGCTGTCTTGGGGACGTGGACCTAGAACCATGGTCTAGGACCACAAGTAAGCTGTCGTCATTTTCTTTTTAGAGATCTCAATCCTTTTTTTTTTAATCTTTGGCCAGCATGCGGTTTTTTTTGTACCATGTTTTTTTTTCTCTTTCTGTTAGATTATCATCATTTTTCGTTACATTCCCATCTTCCATCGTCCCCATGTGTGTATTTGTAGCCCGATCTAGCCCCCCTTGTCCTTTTGCTCTTTGCTTTTTTTGTTTGTTGCCTTCTTTGCTTACTGAATAAAATCTTCGTTTCCTTCTTCACCCCTGCATTCGATGCTTTGGCACCTGGACTTTTTTTTTGCCATTGATATCGTTGATGCTTCAAAAATGCTGTGTAAATGGTTGATCTTGATTGGTGCTCTCTTTCTTTCTCTCTCCCTTTCCTCTCTCTCTCGCTTGCTCTCTTTCTTCCATCTTTCTCTTTCCATCTCTCCCCGATAACGAGCCACGCCTTTGCACTCACGGGAAGAGCAAACAAAAAAAAAGATGCAAGGCATTGGTTCAAGACAAAAAATGGTCCAGAGAGAATTCAGCAGACATTACCAGCGATCTGGGCCAGCTCAAACTGAAAACTCCTCGGTAAAAAATATTTCTACTTGAGCCGCGACTCCTTTTTTTGCAAAAAATTAGAGGAAGGGGGACCAGGGCTAGGGGTAGAGGAAATGGATGTCCGTTCCAGGCTTTAACGACTGTCTAATGAAGCCCGTCTCCTTCGACTCCCCTTTAATTGATCCTTTCTTCTTCTCTCGTCAGAACTACATCTGACTCTATGCATAAAATTCTATCCCTTTGGTGCATTAGCCTTGAACCTATGATGGTGTGCTGTTGAACAGTAATGTTCCTTCCTAAGTCTCTTTTCATTACTCAGCAAATTTCGGTATGCCGATCCGAATGAGAAATAAAAGTCAGCGGGATTGTAAGACATGGGTAGGGTTGTGAAAAGGTGGTGGTAGTGAATATGATGTCTTGTACAAAAGATCCCCAAAGTCAACAGTACATAGAGTATTCATGTGGACTTGTTTTATGAAGGGTGTGTGTGTGTGTGTGGGTGAGCCATAAACAGGTGTATAGGTTATCGTATTTTTGAGAGAAGAAATAGAGGCGAAACCGTAGTTGATGTGTGGTCTTGTGTACTGGCTTGTACCTCTTCGCTGGCGAGTGAGAGCTTGTTCGCTTATTACTTTTGTCGTTTATCCCCCAAGTCTGGTTCCAGCATTCTGTCCGGAGAATTTCGAAAATTAGGGCAAGGGAACTGGACTCGGGCGTTCAATGAAAAAAAAGAGGTTGCACTGCCTCCTAGGGTTGGGGAGGAGCCCATCATTCTTTTTAGGAAATGGGCGTAAAGCAACGCCTTCAACCCAAAGGAACGTGGATATTGCAAGAAAACCATTCCCTTGCAATGAAACAAGTAGAAAGAAAACAAGGAGAAAAGAAGTTTGCGACCCATCTGTGGGCGCTGGATGTCAAGAAAGCTACTGCAGGTTTCACAAACTGACAAAAAAAATGAAAACCCCCGGTATGCTATTATTAAGCCCTTGCTATGCTGGTCTCGAATGGTGGCAAAGAGAAACAATGGCAAAGTGAAACAACAGCAAAAAAAAAAAAAAAAAACTGGCGCATCTCCAAGCCTCCAAGCTCACAAAGAACGATCGGGACAGTATCTGTTTAGATCCTGTCGACTCTTTCCCCGTCGCCCTTTGCCTTTTTTTTTGTGAATACTTGGTAAAAAATGGGTCTACCTTCTTTCAAAGGAGTAAGAGGAGACATAGAAAACTAGTTTAGTATATTTTTTTGCCACCAACATACAGCCAATCACTCCACCCCTTGTCGCCTTAGTTTTGGGCCCCAGCTCGTCCAAGATAAAAAAAATGAGGAATGCTTGGAGAATGTCTGAACGCGTTTTTCTCTGATTAAAATTTTCTTTCTCCTTCCTCCAGCCTGGTTGGACGACCATGCAGTTCTCAGGCGTTTCTCTTTTTCGCGTTAATTCGAGAGAAAGAGAAAGAGTCTCAATCCCAATTCGACAAAACTCTACTCCGGCATAGAAGAGCAGAATCTGCCTCATTTCTCTTTCTTCCATGCTTTCTTTCTTTTCCAACAGACGGGGAATATCCTCTTCTCACCATTGCTGCAAATCGGACACTTCTCGAGACCAGTCGATTTGCCAAGAAACCCCTCCATTTATCCCATCGGCTTACTCATCGCCTTTTCCTGCGCTGCTCCCGCATCTCCATCCCACCGTTTTAATTCAGTTGTGGAATATTCGGGGGTCTTCATCGAATAACTCTACTTACGATTGCCACTAAGGTCTTTATTAATCATTAACTATTTTCTACCATGACATTTTTCTGTACCTCCGCGCGCATAGAGATAGACAGAAAATGGGTGCCGGTCGTGCAAGCACCCGTTACGGTCCACAAGTTCCAGGTCAACCATAAAAAGAGAGATGTAGATGGTGAACGAGATGCCCTGCCTGTGCATAATGTGGAAGTGATGGTTGTGGGTGGTGGTGGTGGTGGTGGTTGAGTCCCATAAAAGGGAATTCGATAATAGAAATGTCCAAGTGGACAACCCACTCTTGGTTCGATTCCACATCATACATCATACATCAAGGTTTACGCCCACTCTTTGAGGCAGCAGGGGTGAAAAGGAGAGCACGAGTCAGAGGGGACGAGAACTGTGTGTGGACTTTTTTTTTCGTGTGGCGTACAAAAACCACGGCGTGCGTGTGTGTGTGTGATTGTGAATGAGCAATCGCGGGATGAATTTTTGGGACAGAACAGAAGGCGAACACAAGCACAAGAAAAAAAAAAAAAGAAAGTGGTGAGCAAAAAAGAAACAATTATCAGACAAGCACTCATGCAGATACAGGTCATACACATCCGAAAAGACATCGGCATCAGACATCAGACATCAGACAATCGTCAAACACAAGAGGCAACGGTTTGGTTTGTTTACGTGAGTTCTAATTTTACACTTGCAGATCTGGTGCGTGGTAAGGTGGGGTAGGGGTAAGGTGTGGTGGTTGAAATCCTAAGTGAGAGAGAGAGAGAGAGAAGTGAGGAACGAGGAAATGTAGGGTCATTCAGAAACCATCATTCGCTGGAAAGAAAAGGTAAAAGAGAAAGGCGCAATCTCTCTCAAAACAAACATGTCCTGTGCCAATGTCCCAGCAGATGAGAACAAAGAGGTTATCGATCAAAAATTAAAGTACATCGATGACAAGAGAATGGACCATCACCACCAACCATCTGCCATACATCCACCAATTCAGGAACAGGGTCAGTCACCTTGATCCTAAATGAATGGAGCTGTCCTTAACGGAACTGGGTACATATATCGTTCATACCGTTCATATATTCTTTTCGCAATACATCCGTTGTCCTCTGTCTAACCCTTGACCATTATCACTCCTTGGGCTGTCCTGTTGTTGTTTTGATGCAAATTACTTGATTGTTTGTTTACTCGGTTGAGAGTATGCGTACTTCAATGTATATATTTCAGGCAGATGTGTGCGTGCTCGGGTGTGTCTCTCACAAATTACTTCTCCTCCTTTCCCTGACCCGTTTGTTGTCCTGTGTCCTCATCCTTTTGTTTTCCTGTCTGCTCGCTCTTCGTTTTTCTTTGTCTCTGTCCAGGGGGTAAATGACGCCTCAACAATGAGGAGGATATAAGCTACAATTGTTTTCAAAAGTAAGGCTACTGATTCTGCTGCTGACCACAGACATGCCATTTTCTGTTGGTTATTTTCGTTCAGGGACTAGTTGGTTTGATGAACCAGGTCTTCCATGCGTTTTAACATTGGACACACAAGAAATATGCGTTAACCAGAAGTAGCAATTCTTTCTTCCAGTTGGGACCCTTTTCTTAAGAATATAATTTCATTAAAAAGGACAGCCTGCTCACACCCTTTTTCTCTCCTCCGAACCCAACATGGTAGCGAACACTAATTAGGATTGGGTTCCAACATCCAACAGCTTTTCGCGTGTCTTTTTCGATCCAAACCATGCTTTCTTTCATTGTCGTCGTTGTCGTCTTCTCCTTTTCTCACTCCCTCTTCATATCCGATTATTTTATTTTTGTTGTATCGTTGAGTTACACCAATACTCATTTGGCTCACCACATCTCATGAAAAAAGCACCATCCCATGGATGGGGGGCGTATGGGCGTTCGAGTGCGAATTCAAGTGCTTAGTGAACGAGCATACAATACTACAAAGTATTATGGATTGAACTCGATCCGTTTGGGCAGTATTTCCTCTCATGTTCTCACTCTTCTCTCTCACTCGCTCTCTCCCTCAGCAGCGTGGCCCCTCTCAGCATCTTAATCCATGAGACGTGTGCCTACTTTTTTTTCTTCCTTCCCTCACTTCCATCGACCATTTCCTTCCAATCCATTCCTCACTCTTTTGATTCTTTTTGTTTTATTCTTCGCCCTTTGCCCTTTGTTATAATTCAACGACCGCTTTGTCTTGGGGTCAACATCTTCATCAAACCAACGAAAAAGGATCTGGCAACAACAAAAAAAAAAAGGCGCTCTGTCCACACACACTCTCTTCAGCTCAACTCCAACCAATCCCTGCCCTGTCCAGCTTACTTCCCTCCTTCCCTCCTTCTTTCTTTCCAAAGCGTAATAAACTACGGTGAAAAAAAGGTTGTCGGCTGCTGATAATCCAGATACAGTCCATCCATTCATTCATTCCCCTTCATTTTATTCTTTCCCCTTTTTTCCCTCTTTAACTCCCTCTTCCCCTTTTCTTTTCTCTTTCTTCCTCTTCTTCTCCTTTGCTTACCCTCCGTTCGCCCTCATCTTTACTACTCTCTTACTCCTCTCCTTCTTCCTACCTCCTACATCTTTGTATATCATACTTCTCTTCCGTTAACCGTCATCTCCTACATCCCTACTCCATCTTCACACATCTCACCCGATCCTTCACGAATCTTTCTCCCTACCCTGCCACATCCTTTACAACCCCCATATATACATCGCAATTTTTCAACCCTCGCCCCTCCTTTCTCCTCGCCCAATCTCCCTCACCCCACCGTCCCTTACGCCTCCCCCCTGTAACGTTTCGCTCCTCTCTCATATACACTTGAATATAGTCACCATAAAATGGCCAACGGCAATATCCAATACCACCCTCTGAAGACAAGGGAGGGCGGATCATCGCCACCTTCACGCTCACGCTCTCCGTCTCCGATCTCAACCTCCCGAATCCCCAACCGTTCAGGCAGTCGAATCTCAATCGCGAAAGCTATCCTCCTCGTTAGTGTCTCCTTCATGGTCCTGGCCCTTGTCCATGTCAGCTATTCGGCTCAATACGAGGACGACGCCACCGCTACTGGCGGCGCTGCCGAGACGCAACAGCAGCACCAACAACCTCCAGTACAACCAGTAACGTTAACACCACCAGCTGTGCCGGTTGTACCAAAACCAGTTCCAGTAACGCCTCAACCTCCAGTCGAACCAGCCAAACCACCAGTAACGCCACCACAACCAGTTGCCGCTGAAAATGGGTCTATTATCAGCGATACTGACCTGACAACCACCTTTCGGTACGAGAACGGGACCGAAAGCCGGGTTTTCAAGCCCAACTTTTTCAAGAACGGGCCAGCGGCCAAAAAGGAGCTTGGCTCCTTCCTACAGACCCTCGCCACTCGTGCCTGGGTGGTCCATCAACCCGAGCACAGGGACGAAGGTGGCACTGAAGAGGAGGAGGACCATGAAAACGATGACCAAGAGGATGATAACCATGACCAGATCGCGGTTCCTGGCCGGTATTTCTCTTATTTGCCGATGGGTGGTGGAAACAATCAGTTCATGTCCCTCCAGAAGGCGGCTCTTTTGGCCAAGGACCTCAAGCGGACACTTATCCTTCCTCCCATCAGTCCCAACTCGCACATTAGGGTAAGCATCATGCACCCACAAAAAAAACCATGCTCAAGTTCTATTATTGCTGTTGTTTATTTTATTGTTTTTGATTTACGCCAACCAACTTGGCTTTCCTCCAAAGTCCACGAAATGGCATATTTGTTTTTGTTTTCCTTTGCTTGGGTTATGCGTGTGGACCATTGTCGTTAAAATACTTGCTGAAAGCCGTAAGGCACCTTTGTTCAGCCTACGAGTGCTAAAGAAGAATGAAAAGGCGTAGAAAAAGCCGTGACCAAAAGGCGTAGAGAAAGTTGTAACCAAGAGGCAAAGAGAAAGCCACGGGCAAGAAAAAAAGAAAATCATATCATAGTAGCGATAAGAAAAGCCAACCATAACTAACAAACACCTTCCATATCTACCATTACCATCTAAACAATAGACATGGGCTGGTCCCCGCTATTCTCAGTTCTACGACCTGGAGTCGTTTACACAAAAGTCTGGCATCCCCGTCCTCGAGTGGCACGATATCAAGATGACTCCCGAGAACGTTCCCGACGGGTTTGGTCATCAATGGGAAGAGTTTTCCGAAGATTTTCCTTGCACCCCCAATGGTGGTATTGGTCTCGGCAACACGTCGTTGTATGACAAGTTCCGCCAGCAGTTCCTGTTGAAGTATGTCAAGACCATCGCTGCCGACGACAAGACCGAGGGCAAGTCGACCGATTACAAGTATGCACGCGATGTGCTCCTCAAGGACACGGCCACTACCGCTCCCGCAGCAGGGACCGCTCCTCCGCCCAATGGTGAGATTGCTATTGACCCCAACATGTGGAAGTGCCTCTCGTGCCCGTACTTCCTTGGTGGCCCTGACGTCGGTCCCCGAACTTGGGCTGAAGTTGGAGTATTCCTGAGATTCAATGAGAAGATCGAGGCAATGGTCGACGATATCTTGGATGTTCTCCTGGGACCTGCCATTGAGGGTGAACCTGCAACCACTGCTGGTCCGGTGGTCGATTCCACATCTACTACTCACAAGGCCTTCCGCCCTCACCCACAGTTCATCATCGTCCATCTCCGTCGTGGTGATATTGTCAACAAGTGCCCCGCAGGCATGGCCGAGAAGGACTGTATTGTCCAGATTGAGGCGATTGCCGACAAGATTGACGAGATTGAAAAAGTGAGGCGGACAGCGGCCCTGGCGGCGCTCAAGGAGATGATGACGGATGATGACCCAGCCTCGGATGGTCGGAACTATGTCCACAAGCGTCTCCCGGTCCTTGTGACGACCAACGAGCAACGTCGCGAGGAGCTCGACAAGATTGACCGACTGGGCTGGATCCTGTTGGACCATGGAGATGACGAGAAGGATGAGAAGGGTCAGATCAAGCCTTCGAAGACCAAAAAATTGGGAACCGAGTTGAGATTTGGACCCTGGTACCCTCCAATGTTGGATGCTGTCCTGTTGACCAGGGGAGACTATCTGATTGGGATGGCCAACTCGCGTATGAGTATCCTGGCGACCCAGCGTGGTGCCGCCTGGCACAACCATCACACCATGGTCATGTAACATCCTCTCTCTCCCCTCCACCTTTCTTTTTTCTTTCATCCATCTCTCTCATTCTTTTCTCTTCATACCTGTTGCTGTTTTTTTTATCTTTCAAGTCGTTCTCCTCTTCCTTTTTGCATACCACAAAAACTCATCCTTTTTATTGATTCTTGTTACGAACCCCTCACACTATTCCCATAGTAGACCCTTACATAGACTTTTCTTCTTATTACCCTAAACCACCTCCGTTTATTATTTAAAAAGGCTGCCGTCTTTCTATCTCTACCTCAAGCTTGCTATCTAGCAAGGTTGTAAAGTGTGGACCCTGTCTTCTACTAAGCCACCTAACCTTGCAGCAAGTAGACCCTTTTTTCTTCCCTTTCCTGCATCCGACTCTTTCTCCTCACACTTCAGCCCACCATCTGTCGGCGGTGAGGATTTCATCTCAGACAGGGACAGGGATGGAGAGGGACGTACATGGGCACACCACCAACGGGCTGTTGCTTTTTTTTTTCTTCGCTTTTCGTCTTACTGTACAGTACATATGGTATGTGAATGTGCGAAGAAGGAAGAAGGTGCCTTTTTTTTGACTGCCTGGCGGATATGTCGAGGAAGGTACAAAGTGTCCCCATCTAGAGAAATAAAAAGGGGAGGAGGAGGTAGAAACCCGATCACCATTGTCGTCATCTGAAGGACTGGCTGGCTGAAGAGAACGAGAAGGCTGGGAAACGAAAAGAAAGACAAGCCCTTCTGTTGCTGTATCACCATCACTCCCATCCCAACAAAAAAAAAAAGGAGAGCAATCGAATATTTCGGTCTGTCTAGTTGGTTGCGTGGCCAATTGAATGGCGAATGCGCTGGAGATACATGTTCGTTGGGAAGACGAACGAGCGAAAGCAAACTGCAAACACAAAACAAAACATGGACTAGAGGACAGGGCGGATGACAGGTCAAAGGGCAAATAATGCTCAGGGGTCAAGGGGTGGCTGGTAAGGGCAGGAAGGGAGAGGACAAGGTGCCTGCTGCAGCGTGGTGGTTGCGCACTCTCACACTCTGTGCTCACTTCTTCACCAAGGGATCTCTTCCTTCCTTCCTTCCTTCATCTCCATCACGCTTCTTCTTTCCGACTGGACAAGTGTGCACCTTTCGTCTTTCTCTTTTGCTTTTCCGCTCTCCCTGTCCCTCGCCTTCCGACATTCTTTTCATCCATTCTCACTCCCCTTGTAAATCTTAATCTCCTCAATCGCACTCCCATACTCTCCATTCCATTCTCACTCCTTCACTTTCACACACTTACACTCTCACACCTGCAACGCAACAATACACCTCTGACCGGCGGATTACTCTCTCCTCTTCCACTCCTACTACATCACAATGTCGACATTCAATCCTCCCCCAACTAACAACAAGGACAACTGCAGAGAGTGCGCCTCAACAGAAACCTGCTTCCTCTACTCCACAGGAAAACTCTGCCAACCCTTCACACCACCAGACACCTACCCCCCACCAGACACCAATAATACCCTTGCTAATCCCAACCCTCCAGGATGGTACTTTTCCAGCCAATACCCTTCCCTTCGCTACACAGGGTCCCTAACCAACCAGACTCAAGGGGCCAATTGCACCACCATACCCATCCCTGCCAACCCTCTCTTCACCAGCGTTGCTAATGATATCCTTCGCATTGACCAAGGCGGGGCACTCTTTACGACCTATATCGACGGGGGGTATCCAACCTCACTTATGCAGTACAGGGGCAACTGCGCCGAAAACTTTTACTGCCAACCTACCGCTCAATTGCCCGACCCTACGCCATACGGAGGTATCAAAGCGCCCCTCAATGCACAGGGATCTCTGCCAGGAACGTGTCAGCCTGTCAAGGCCATTAGTCAGCCCTGTGAAGCCTCCAGTCAGTGTCGATTATGGCATATTGCCTCCGATGGATCTTATGATAACGATCAGAACCGTTGTCAAGGAAACTTTCCATCTAAACAAGAACCTAATGGAACCTTCAGAGGCACCTGTGAGAGTGTTGGAGCTGGCAAGGGCAACATCTATAGCGATGGAACGTCGGGCTCGTATCTTCAACGGTCGGCAAGAGTTTATCTCCTAGCCAGTCTGTTCCTGATCTGCCTGATGTTTGTCTACATGTGGTATCGCCGCCAGAAGTTGAGACAACAACAGATGCAGTACTATGCTCAGACCGGTCTGCACCCGAGCGAGAATCCAGCTCTTTATAGCAGTCGAGGCGGTGTCAACCGACGACCAGGTAATTATCTCTAACTGCTCCTGTTTTTCAGGCCATGCTGGCTGGCTCTCAATTAACCATTTGTTCCTATCGCACTAATTTTTGATATATATCACAGATGAAACCGATGGAGAGCTGCCGTCGTATGGAATGCATCGTAGGGACGAGCGGGTTACAGGACCAGCAGCAGAGGAGATCGGGATGTATTCTTTCCGCAGCGAGCAACCTGGTGGACCACCAACGCCTGGAGCAGGACCTGTGTATCCATATCCAGTTGCTCATCCAGCTCTTACTCATTATCCTCCAGCACCTGCCGGCGCGCTCTATCCTCCACCTCAGGGCCCACCACCAACATCGTCCCCCGCCCTTACACCACAGCAGGTCGAGGCAGCTGCAATATCTGCCGCCGCCGCTGCTGCTCTGCCTGCACTTCCACCCGCCGCTACGTCGAATCTTCAGGATGGAGGGCTGTTGCCACCATCATACGATGCAACTGCTGTCCCCACGTCACAACCGTCAGCAGTGTCAGCCAACACTACAGGAAACAACGGGACGAATACAGCCTCGGCTACAGGAGCAGCAGGAGCAGATGGGGAAAAGCCAAGTTCATACAACCCATTCTTGGTCTCGAATGAGAATTCTCCAAGAGGATCGTTTGTTGGGGCAGAGAAGTCGGCGTTTGGAGATGAGCAGGATGCAGAGGATACAACGATCCCAGACCAGGCTTCGGCGTCTTCTGGATCTGGATCTGGCACTGGGCCTTTCTCGACAACGAATGCAACCAAGCCGCCTAGTGGCAACAAGGAAACGAAACAAGGATGATTTGGTGTTATTTATTTTCCGCCTCTCTGTCGTGGCTGGTTGTTTACACAGCCAAAGCAAAAGAGATAGGAGATACCTTTAGCTACTATATTTTCTTATCCACAAAACAACAACTTTCCAATAATACCCCACACTTTTGATTAGTGCAGTTCTTGCCTTGTACTGTGATGTTCGCTTTTAGTACGGTTTTGTCAGGTCTGTTCATTCTTTTCGCCTCGTTCTTGAATGGAAATTCCATGAATTAGAAACATATCTGTATTCTTGGAGGAAAAAAGGTTGAACAGAAACAACATTAGACGAGGAACTTGATGCACGATACAAATCGCGATATTTGGTGGCGTTATTATTTACTAATTATTTGGGGGATAGTATATCTTTTGCTCCTCCATTCATCCTCATCTCCTTTCCTTCTCCATCCCTTCCTCATCCACGACATACTCCGATGCTTCAGATCAGAGAGCAAGTGCCGACCGCACATTCCTCCCCAAGATAATATCATTCACAGAATTCATGACATTCCTCAACTGATCTGTATCTGTCGCATCCGAATAATGCACATACACCTCCTTATGCTCACTCCGGTTCAACCGAATAAACCGTTTCCTGAAAAACTCTGTCGCCTCCTCCACACCTGTATCTGGTCCCTCATAATCCGGGAAATAATCTTTTACGCGAGAGTAGTGGAGTTTTTCCCGGAAAATGTCGGTCTTGTTGAGGAAGAGGATGATGGATGTGTCCGTGAACCATTGCGAGTTGCAAACCTGGTCGAATAACATCATTGCCTCTTGCATTTGGTTCTATTATGTGGAGGTCGTGGTGACGGTAGGTAGGTAGGTTGGTAGGAAATTAGTATGTATGGTGAATGGGGTGAAGACGAAAAGGTGTGACGAGATATCTATCAAGTTTGAAAACAAAAAAAAAAGAGAGGAACTTACGGCGTCCTTGTCTTCGACAAGACATTGGTCGTATCCACTGATGGCCGCCATGAATAGCACCGCTGTGACACCCTCGAAGCAATGGATCCACTTCTTGCGTTCACTTCTTTGTCCACCCACATCAAACATCCTATGTCATACACAACAAAAATAAAGAAGCGACGAGTGTTAGTTCTGATGTTGCTGAGGCTGCATTTCACACTCTCATCGCATGTCATTCGTACGATCCAACGAGTATGTAGAAGTTCAATACCTGTAGGTGAGGCTGCCGATATGGAAGGTCGTCTCAGTAATACCCGTCGACTTGACACGACACCTCAGGATATCAGAATCGTCTGGCAAATATCCATGTTCATAGATCCGATCCACCGAATTGAAGAAGCTTTGTCCAAAATAAAGTCAACCAGCAAAAGAAGAAAAGGTGAGGAAAAGAGTTTGGATGATTAGCAAAATTTCTACAGAAATCGAAGCACCAAAAAGCCAAAAAAAAAAAAAAAAAAAAAAAAAAAAAGAGCAAAGGAGAACTTACTAGTGAACGTTATCGGCTAATGCATAGGTGTGGCCCAAGCGGTAGGCTTTTTGGATAGCACCGTCCATCCAGAGAGCCTTGAGAGCCGGCTGGTACTGTGGTGGGAATGGCGTTCCGTTGGCCACCCGTGGGTTTGTTGCGAATACTGGCAAATATCGCTACATCATCCAAAAACAATTCATAGAAGGAAAAAAGAGAAAGTGTCAGTCAGGGAGTCACGAGGGCTGTGGGACTTTGGGAGCATAAAACCAACACGACATGATCCAATTATTTAATCCCAAGTTCTTCTTTTTTACCTCGTTGTCAGGGTTGGAAAGTGGGATGCCGTGGTCGTCCATGGCAGAGAGGATCGACTGCATCGATCCAACCAAGTTGCTAAAGATAAAAGCGCGAAATACCTCCCGCTCAGGGATCGAGAACCCAGACGCGTGGAGCAACTTCATCTGCTTGATAACCGTCGTCTTTCCTGCCTCTCCAGCACCTATTCATTTGAAATTGAAAAGTAATGAGGGCTGCATTAGCGAATGCTCGCGCGAAGATATGTAAGCGTGAACTGCTTTTTTGTTTGTTTGTCCGTCAGAGTTGAAGAGACGTGTTGAGCCTTTCCGACGCCCTCGGTTTGTTTTTCGCTCGGTCTTTGTTGATGTTGATTCTCCTGCCGTTTGGCTCATCCTCGTGCATGCCACGAGAGTGAATAATCTATCAACACGCCTACTACGAAATTTAAAATAAGAGTCGACCGTTCGCCCATAAAAAATACACACACGCACACTTTGCAATTAGATACACGCCATCCACACGTGGGAGTATGGCAATTGTCGTTGTAGGTCAACAGCGAGAGAAAGCGGAATACACACATGAGTACCACCAAAAAAACAGCAAGCTTCCATTACACGAATTCGGCTTGGCAAAAAGAATACAAGGGCTCTCGTTATTTGTGTTGCTGTTCATGAAGAGTCGACATCCCATGCAAGCGCTCAAGTAGCGCAGATTCAAACTCTTCCTCGTAATAATGCTTATTGCCTGTTTGTTTGTGTTTGCATCTTGCATTCATCAAATGAAAAAAAAACCGGATCTCCCTGCCGTCCTCTCATCTTTTTCTCGACACCCCCACCCCCCCCCCCCCCAAAAAAAAAAAAAAAAAAATAACAACATTGGAATCGAACGCGGCGTCTTTCTCTGTTGCTGAGAAAATGCGACAAGAGCAAAAAAAAGTTTTCCTTTTTTGATTCTAGAATGGTGTGCATCGCCTCTTTTCCTCCTGTCTGCATGACCCTCCCCCCATTGCTGTGCTTAGCCATGCGCCTTGGTTTTCCTGTCATTGGATCATGGAGTCAAATAAAAAAAAAAAAGAACGCTCCATTCCTTCTTTTCAACCCCCGCGCCTCTCCCACAACAGCCCAGCCTTTTGCCATTCTCGCCCGCATAGTTTGAACAAGGAGCGTCTTGTTGGCAAACTGCTTTTCTGTCCTTTTTGGTTTTTTTTTCTCGGTTCTTAGTTCAACGAGATTACGCTTTTTGTGTGACAGAACAGAATTAAAAAAAAAACTCCAGCTCATTGTTGTTTTGTTGTGTGATTGTTCTCTTCCCGATGGTTTCCATGGTCATCACAATCAACAGCAACTCGAGCAGCATCTCATAGCCTCATTTCCATTTTCGAGATGTAACGTCCTACCCTCTTTCATCCCAAGGGAAATAATAATGAGCAATTTTTTCCTCCTTTCAAGTGGAGATGAAGACGCAAGGGAAGGAAAAAAGACAAACTGCTCCCAACCTGCAATAGCACTCAGCCAAATTGGTTCTATCCGCTGAGAGAAGTTGATTTGTTTGCGCGGATTCCCGCTTTAGCCTTCCTTTCCCGACAGCTTCTGTTTGTTTTTGTCCCCCCAAAATAAACGGAACAAACGGATCAAAGAAATAAAAATAATAGATGTGGAGCAGGAGCGACCTGCAGGAAAAAGCGGAGAGAGAGGAAATGAAGGGGGCAAAGATGAATAGACGACAGAAAAAATAGATGTCGACGAGAAGGAAGAAAAAAAGAGATCGAGGGAGTGAGGGATGTAAAAGTGGAAACAAAAAAAAATATGTGACAAGTGTACTCCTTGCTTAACTGCACCCCTGTTATATGTTTCGACTGATACATGTACACGATGCAATGCTTGTCTTGAGGAAATGTGTCCTTACCTAGTAAAAGCAGCTTGACCTCGAGTTTGCGCCTCCGCTCATCGGCCTTGAGGGCGAGGTCGATTTTCTTGCTTTGTGCCTCTCCAGAGGGTGATGAGACACAGGAACCCTACGTTCATTGATCAAAGACATTATTAGTTGAAGGACGAGATTTGGGTAAGGTGAGTGATAGGCTGGTGATGGAATAGGCCATTGGGTTTGATGGGGGCGAGGAGTGATCAAAAATCAACGCGATCGGCACGGCGTAGAAATGGAATTCTTTCTTTGCTGCTGGTCGTTAGAGATAGAACGTCGTTCTTCCCACAGCTGATCGTTTCTGTCCTCCTTCGCCACATCCTGTTCATCCTCGTCCACCAACCGCTTCCCCTTCTTGTTTGTCTTCTGGTATCCCATATGCTCTTCACTTCTCAAAGAGAGAGAGAGAGAGACAGAGAGAGAGAGGCAAGCACTCATTCTGGGCTACCGACAAACGAAATAGGCCATCATCCAAAAAGAGCAAACAACAACAAAAAAACAATACGCTTAGACTTGGCTGAGCAGACCAAGAAAGAAAGTACATTAAGCAAGAGGGATGTAGGCGCGCACACTCGTGAAGATGAACGCCAAGGGATTGATCCTTCCCTTCGCTCACCATTTGTTTGTACACTATCTTCCTTTTGGTATATGCACTCCATGAAGCACAATGAAGAAACAAAACACGGAAAGCTCTTTTTTTTCTTCTGAATCATCTGGCACCTTTAACAAGGTTTAGCATGTAAAACAAGAAACGACAACATGAGGGGCGAAAGGAGGAGAAAGAACGCGAGTGGGCAGTGGATATGGGAATGTGCAACAAAGGTTGGAGCGTGGGTGTGTGTGTTGTCTGGACAAGTTGGCTGTTGTTGAATACAGTAGTCGGATCAACCACCACTCCCCTTGCACATTTGCCCCTATTTCCTCTCTTTTTATATCCTCGACCGTTGTAGGTCTGTGATCGAATTGCGAAGTGGAGGTCATAGTCCTGAAGATCGAGATAGGTTGTTATGCGTGTGAGTGTGTGAGTGGTTGTTGGCGTAACTTACCATTGAGTATGTCGTCGTTTTGGGAGAGTATCAGTGGGGTGAGGGTGAGGTGTGTAAAGGAAGGAGCTTGGTGAGGATAGGTGGGAAGGGCTTGGGAAGTCGATGAGAGTAGGAAGACGAAGGAGTCTGTTGGGAACAGGAAAGAAAGGAGGAGCGAGAGTGTAAGTGAGGCAAGTGAGGGTGAGAATGGGAGAGTTAGGAGTGTAGCGTGGTTGGTTGAGACAAAGAAAGTTTGTTTGTGATTCACTGGTCAAGGACAAGAACAGGCTGAGGGAGTAGCGAAAGAGGAGTGATGGACGACGAAAGGTGATGTGAACAGGACGACGAGTGGTCGCAAAAAGAAAGTGGGTAATGGAGATGGTGTGTGTGTGTGAGTGTGGGCGTGTGGATGAGACAAGGTAGGGAAAGAGGAAGTCGGATGAGAAAGTGAGGGAAGGCAGGTGGCGATGGTAAGAAAAAAAGTTGTGAGTCGAGAGCAAGAAGGGAATGGAAGAGAAGAAGAGGGAAGAAGAGGGAGGGTGAGAGAGTGAGAGAGAGAAACAGAGTGGGAGGAAGTGAGAGACGAGAGAAGGAAGAGAGAGGATACAAAATAAATGAGAGCCGAGAGGAAAGAACAAAGAAAAAAACATACACAACAGAGGGCAGTGAGCATTGACAACAACAGCAATAAAAAAAACAACCAACGGATAAGGAGAGGAAGGACCATGGACCAATGACACACCATCCACCTTTCAATTGGAAATAGACCATTCATGGTGTCATCGCTATCCCTCGGACCATTATTACTTGGCTAATGCTTATGCGAGAACACTCGAAAAAGGGAGCGCGCTCGAACACAAGCCATGGCAAGACACATCATTGACACCAAGACATGGTAAAGTGTGACATATACATGCGCCTGTTCATACAATCATCATACGCCTAACAAACAAAAACACAAACGACACCATACAATTATTGAATCCACTGTTCATGCTCGCTGAGACTCTTCAAGGCTTGCTGCATCATCACCCCTTACCCTCATTGCCTTCATCCTCAATTGAAAAAAAGGAAATCTTCCCTTCCTTTCAACCACCTTTCTCATTTCCGTTGTAATGAACCATATGTTATGTTCTCCAACGACCTCCTAATTGACCAATTGGATGTGGTTTATTTCAAGGCAACACCTCACAAGATTCACCAAAACGCGTATGAATGGCACCAGCAACCCCTGCAGTGCGGTTTTCAATTGCCTAAAGGATCCACTCCTCCTCGATGTTTTATTTCCGCTTCACGTTTACCAGTTTACCCACTTGCTCGTGAAGTTAATTGACCCCCTTTCTCCCTTCATCTCGAAGATCTTCAGTCGTCCGTTTTTCAGGCTTGTTTGTCGCACATGCAACGGCTGCGTAATGAAAAGTCCAGTAAGAGGTTCTGAACATGTGTACAAACAAACCATTAATCTTTTCTCAAAAATCATCCAAGAGGAACATTGTTCAAACCCAAAGTCTCCAAAGCTAGTGAAGGTCCTTTGTATCTGCAATGTAGCCGAAACTTATTCGCGCAAAGGAGAGGAAGTACATGCACGCTTTTTTTTCCTTTGCGTGTTTGAAATTTCTTCGTTGCTTTTCGTTTCGTTCACAAACATTAAAACCTACTAAACAAGAGAGCCATCCATCCACCTTGCATACCCATCTCACGCGACGTCTGATTGGTCGTCTTCTTATGTTGACAGCCGTCCTTGTGTGAGGAGTAAAAGGTCCTCAGCCATTAAGGACAAAAAGAAAAAAATGCAGCAAGAGTGCCGTCGTTGGCAGCGAGATCAAGTTGGGGTTTCGAGATCAAATTGGAGTTTTGAGACCAAGGGAAAAATAACGTGCGACTTTGTTTATTTATTATCCTTGCTGGATACAAAACGTATGTCGTTCTCCTCTAGTAGGAAGACAAGGAACATTTGTACTGCAGCAACCAATTGGACAAGATGGCATATTCCCATCCTTACTTCAACTCCCCTTTAAGCCCTGCAAAACAACCACCTCATTTCATTTCCTTCCAGTCGTCAACGGTAGGCAATCGCTCGTCTCCGTTGTAAATCAGAAAAAAGAGCACACCATAAAAAGTCCACGCTGTCAGCTTTCTCTCTTGCGAAGCTTGCCCGGTGATACTTCCACTGTGGTAATGGCGTAATCCGCTTATCCGGCAGGCATGCTCTCAAAAAATGGAGCGAGTTGTACTCTTTCGGCTGGCTAACTGCCTAGATAGTTGGCTAGCTGGCACCCCTTCATACATATACACAACGACACATACCATAATGGCTGCTCACCAATAATGCTTACCATGCAATCTTATGTGATAATCGACAACAACACTAACACAACGACATCAACATCGACATCAACATCAACAACAACAACAATAACAACGACAACAACAACAACAACAACAACAACAACAACAACACAACAAAGCAGGGTCGCTTTTGGAGAATTGTTTACGAATGCACACAAGAGCGTTTTAATCGATCAAAAAACAAAGCAAAAAAAAAGAAATTGTACTTCAAAGACCAACGCCAACCAGAGGCATGTATGAAAGTAGACCTGAGCAATGTGAGGGGATAGGAATCGAAAGGGTCCAGAGAGTTTGGTTGGAATGTGCTTTTTTTAGCTGCAGGGCATAAGCGCATTGATCGATCATAGAAAAGGCCTCAAAAAGGTGATGTTAGGAGAATGGAGACGTGTAACGTTCAGTAAAGGTGTAAGAATGTCTAATCGTATGCGTGAGCGTAATCCGATAATGCGAGCTTGGATTATTTTTACTTGTGGTATGTCTGCATGGAAACAAGTCAGGTACCGAACGTTGCTGACAGAGGCATTGGGATGCATCAGTGAGCAACACTGAAAGGAAACAAGCGACAGTTGATAGAATGGCCCAAACAAAAAAATGTAAGACTGAGGATGAATGCTTAGCCAAACGAAAAAACGAGTTCTCTGCTGGAAAACGTTACCTCTAACAAATGATAGGTCGTGGGCTAGAGATGTGTCGTGTGATGATAAGTCTTTGATGCCCGCTCGCTTTTTTCTCTATCTGCTTCTTGAAGTCGAAAAAAGAACGGCGCGTATTGATGGTATTCATCTCTTTGCGTATCACGTTTTAACCCTAACTCTCGCCTCGCACTCAAGGAAGGAGTTAATGCAATGGGCAATAACTGGACCTGCATATCACATCGGTAATGAAGAAATGGTATATTTAGGAATATAGGCGCGTCGTGCTCGTGGACGTGATGCGAGCATAGTACATACTCTTCTATTTTTTTTTGGGGAGGGGGGAGGGGGACGAGCAGTGGTGTTCCGGACACATGTTCATGGCCATGCAATAATTGCGCTCAGATTCGAGTTGACAAAGCATCATTCGTCCAAATTTGTACATATGCATTATCTCTTTTGCCACTCACACCCGCCATCCCCCTCCCCAAGCTTCGTCTCACCTTGTCCCTGAAATATGCATCCATTCTTTTTCTCAACCCCAATTCTCCCACTCTGCTACATTACTCGCTTTGTTTAACTACTGGTGCCACTGTTGTCACTGTTGCGTATTTTGCCAAGGATGAAAGGGTACTAAGGGTGGCCGAGTGAGAGAACGAGGTTTGCCGCATTCCTCATCAGTTGTGTGTGAGGCACAGCAGATAAAGTATCTCTCTTGAGGGTTAGAAGGGTCTGATTTGATCAATGGCCAAAGACCAGTGAATGTGCCTGCTGATTGTGCCTGAGTTTGTGATTGAAATGTTTCTTTGTCAGCGGTCACCAAAAGGAGGTGAGACCTGGTCACATAGAGCAGGATCCAGATGGGATCCAAGTTGCAGTCCTAACATGTGTGAAGAACCCAATTATTACACATTGTCAAACTAGCAAACGAAGTTATTGAGAGCCTTTCTCTTTCTTTTCTGTTCTCTCTTTGTCTGCCCGCTTGCTTCCTTGAGATATAGCTAACAGACATTCGAGGTGTGGATGCACAGCGTTTAAGAACGATATGCTCTTCTTTTTATTTTTCGGACCTTTTTTTGGCTCGTTGGTTATTGTTGTTGCTTGCCGTTGCACATGTGAAGTTGGCAGAACGGACAGACGATCGGATGGGCTTTGCTCATTTTCCCTTTTGTTGTCAAAGACACATACTTCGGGGCCTGTTTTGGTACATGTACGCTGACTGATCAGTTTTCACACGAACCTGGTCCCTTCGTTCTCACAACAGGTATATAAGATGGTACTCACCCTTGTTGTTCACATTCCTTCTCCAATTGCACCTACCTCTTTCCTTCTTGATATCCTACCAATTCATCCCACTGCCTTCTGCACCACCAAAAAAAGCACCCTAACCAGCTAAAAGCGCACACACTCACAAGACACCCACACACAATTACACACAAGGTACATTAAGAAGACGAAATATTTTTTGTTTGTGTCGCCATCTACTTTGAACTGAATGACACCTAGAGGAATGGCGGAGTCCTAGCGAGAGAGTGAGACAAAAGATGATGGCAACCGAGCTCAACAAATATATCAAGAGTTTGGTGGTCAAGAGTTGCTTTAGGGATGAGCGTTGTTGTGCAAGTGTCTATGTGAGAGTTTGTTTAACGAAGAGTGAGAAAGGTTGAGATGACTGTGTTTGTCCATGACAAAGAATTGATTCGTCCCTGCCTGTGTGTTTGCACTCTTGTTGTTGTTGTGATGTTCCCCTTGTTTGTGGCCCGTGGTCTGTGTGTGTGGTGTGTGTCCTCTGTAACATACTCGGATTGCATACTTTGGGGCGGGTCAACCACCCCAAAAAAAAATAGTTGCGTGCTAGACCCGTGTCGAAAATCTTTTATGGTTTCGCGCTTACTACTTCCATTTCCCCTTCTAGTGACCTCGTCTTCTTCTTTGACACCTGCCAACACCATCGATCACCTACACTGGAACTGACACCTTTATCTTCTTCCGCTTTGCCTCTTTCTCTTCTTCTCCCTTTCTTCTCCTCTCCTCCCCTCATTCTCTCTTCTTCGCCCGTCTTTATCTTTCTCACTCTCTCTCTTCTCCTTCTCCTCTTCACCCTTTGTCTTCAACTCTACTCTCCCTTTTTCCTCTTCACAACTACCTCGCCTCTCCCTTCCACTCCACAATTCTCCTCCGCAACAGAACTCATCAGACATGTCCATAGGTAAACAACCAACAACAACAACAACAACAACAACAACCACAACTTACATTCCATTCAACAACGTCAACCTCACCTCTTCCTCCTCCTCATCTCAACTCAGCCCTGCATGCAACCACTCCCTCTCACCAACCAGTCAGCGACTCTGTGACAACAACAACTGACACCTTTCTCTCTTTCAACAACAACAAATAGTAACATACCTCCAGGCGGCGATCGGCATCCCGCTCTTCTACTTCCTCGTCCTCCCAAAGATCCTGGCTGTCCTCCCCCAAAAGGCCCAATTCCTCGCAAAATGCACTGTCGTCCTAATCTCCACCCTGATCATGTCCGTCGCAGGCTGCTTCATTTCCATCGCCTGTGCGCTCGTCAATAAGCGCTACATCATCAACTATGTCGTCTCGAGATTCTTCGGCATTCTTGCTGCCGGACCGTGCGGTGTCACCTACAAGATCGTGGGCGAGGAGAAGCTTGATAACTACCCTGCTATTGTTGTCTGTAACCACCAATCTTCGATGGATATGATGGTCCTCGGAGCTGTCTTCCCCAAGCACTGCGTCGTCATGGCCAAGAAGGAGCTCCTTTACTTTCCATTCCTCGGTATCTTTAGTAAGTTGTTCGTTTTTTTTTGTTATGCATTGCAATTATACCTTGGGACACACACACAGTATCTCGCGTGACAATGAATATGGTGGCGATGATAGTGTCTGTTGGGCAGATCTCAAAGAGAAAAAAATTGACAAGGACAAGGAAAAATTGACAAGGGCACAGGCAGACACGACCGTCGCACAGGACTAGCACATCTTTTCAGGAAGAATGTATTGCCATAGAATCTCCTAAAGCCTCCAGCAACAATTCGATAAACAGGCACAGAGTTACCCATCTACTGGACGAGTAAGAACAGCAATGGGAATTCGGACCCCTTGGTCGAAGTAGAGCAAGAGTCAGGAATACTACGATACTTTGCATAACAGGAGCCAGTTTTGTCCTTGCCGCAACGACAGCAGGACAGAATGAAACGGGATCTACAGCAATAGCATGTGAGCGATAAGGATTGAAATCCGTCGGGGTCACCAAGGTCCGACCCTCAGAGACAACAGCAACCGTAGTCGTGGATCAGGAATTGTCAACTGTCAACAACAACAACGGCAACATGTTTTCCGTAGGAGGCCGACAACAAATATCTGCATAGAACAACAGAAATCGACAATCAGCCCTGATCATTCTCATTCTCCATCTCTGATGAGTGTCTTGCAGAGTTCTCGCATTGACCAACCTCCCTCTATCTCTATCTCGCATCTTACGTTTTCGTGTTTATAGTGAAGCTGAGCAATGCCATCTTCATTGATCGCAAGAACCATAAGAAGGCTATCGAGTCCACCACCCATGCTATCGCCGACATGAAGAAGCACAACGTATGTATATCACCGCCCTCATCAGCATGAGCAACAACATCACGGGAAAAAAACCTGCTTTGATTTCTAACCCATACACTCTATATCTCCGTGATGGTACCTTTTTTTTTTTGTTCAACCCTTTAGTCTGGAATCTGGATCTTCCCTGAGGGAACTCGCTCTCGTCTGGACAAGGCTGACCTCCTCCCCTTCAAGAAGGGTGCCTTCCACCTCGCCATCCAAGCTCAGCTTCCCATCCTCCCCATCATTTCCGAGGGCTACTCTCACATCTACGACTCGTCCAAGCGCTCATTCCCTGGTGGAGAGCTCGAGATCCGTGTCCTGGACCCTATCCCCACCACAGGATTGACTGCTGATGATGTGAACGACCTCATGGAGAAGACCCGCGACTTGATGTTGAAGCACCTCAAGGAGATGGACCGCACATCACCTTCTTCTTCGCCAGCAACGAGTCCAGCGGCAGCAACTGTCGGCAAGACGACGGCGACAGCACCTCAGGACGAGGCTTCTGTCAAGAAGAGGAGGACACTCAAGGATTAAGAGAAAGAAACATAAGCAGGGACTGAAGAGATCAACAAAATAGACCTGGTGTCCCACTTTCTATCTCTGCCCCTCACTCCTTCATCTGCCATCACCCTCATCACACGACTACAACGGGACATTCTCTTCTTTCCCTTTGACATTCACAACCATCAACCACAACGTATCCCACTCAGCATAATATCCATTCAAATAAAAAAAAATCAATGAACAGCAAGAATAAGAAAGGTCCCATGGTTCATCAACACTTTCTTTTACGATCCACCTCTAGCCTGCCTCAGACGTTGACTTTGACCCTGACTGGCCATCTGCACGATTATGAGAGCCAGAGGACATGTGTGATCGGGAAGTTGTCCTTTTTTTTTTTTTTTTTTTTGCTCACAGTTCTGTTGCCACGATCAGATTCACACATGCTTTTCGATTTTAAGGCACCGCCTTGCTCCACGCCCAGTTGAACAAAAAAAAAGTCAGCCCACCAACTCGGCGAAAATATACCCGAACTACCATGGTTTTCATGGAAAGAAGTATTTGAACAAATGAACTACATTCGAAGGTTGCTATCAAAACAGAGGGAAGAAAGAAAAATGACTATTTACAGCTTGGAGGCGCCGTAGGCGTTATGGGCAGAGAAACCCTTGGTTTCGAGCTCGTTATGGGCCATCAACTCACCCTTGTTATCAATCTCGTTATAGACCTCCCATCCGCCAGAACCACCGGCAATGGGGGCAAAGATTATACGCTCGTCAACGCCCAAGATATCGGACATTGCCAAAGAGTTCTGACCAACGAGGGCAACGACATCACGGACGTGCTGGGGCACCTTGAGGGCCGTCTGCTGCGAGACCAAGCCGCGGGTCATGTACCAGGCCAAGTACTGGTCGACCGTCGACAATCCCCAGAGACGCAACAAAGTCTCCAAGATGGCCTTGGCACCGCCGGTGACGGAGGCGATTGCCTTGAGTGTCTGCTCGAAGCAGATGCGCTCACCGTAGGCCTTGGCAGCAGCCTGGATGGTGTCGGATTCCTCGCCCATCCAGACCTCGAACAAGGGCTTGCCGCCACCAATCTTGGTCTGCATAGCAGACGCAAGCTCCTTGAAGAGACCAGCCTCGCGGAGCTGGAAGAGCTTGTAGAGGGAGTCCAGAGAAGTAATATCCCAGGAGGCAGCATCCTTGGGGTTGGCGACATGGTTAAAGTTCAACTGACCCTTCTGGAGCATGGTAACCAACTCCTTGGCAACCTTCTGCATCAAGACACTGTTGTCTCCCTCAGCGGTCATACCGGCATGAGAGAAGGCAATGAACTGACCGAAACGGTTGACAGAGAGGTAACCCTGACCACCGCAACGCTCACGGCAGGTGGTGGCAACACGCTCGTTGTTCCAGGTAACCAAAGGCTTGATGACGCAGCAGAGACGGACAACTTCATCGGCATCCGAGGGGTTCTGCTTCAACGAGGCAGCAGCCCAACGCTCCTTGCAGTAGTTCAATCCAATGTTCAAGCAGACAGTTGAGGCGAACAAGGGCAACAATGCCTTCTGCTGAAGCTGGTAGACCATGATAGGAGTATCACTATAGTAGAGATAGGAAATGATGAACAATCAATCATTGAACAATGGAGGGGCAATATACATTGATGATTCTTGTGACAAGCTCAAAAGGTTGTCTTACCTCTTGCCACTGGGTCCGACGCAGAGACGGCTGTTGGCGTAGCGGAAGGCAATGGCCAAGCAGACCTTGGAACCACCCTGGCAAAGGGAGGCAATTGCCAAACGTCCCGACAACAACTGATCCGCGACCTTGAGGAAGCGACTATTATGCAATGCAAACGGGAAAGATAGTCGCATCAATACTTGGACACCTTTTGACAATGACGATGACAGAGTAACAAAAACATCCATGTCATTTTTCGCCACGTCTCTTTCTCACATACCCACGGCGGCTGTTGATGACGGAAGAGAACTTTCCATCTTTGGAGATGTCCGAGTACTTGTTGAGGATGTTCTCGGCGGGGACGCGGACCTTCTCGAAGAAGAGTTTGCCGTTGTCGACACCGTTGCAGCCGAACTTGACACCCATATCCTCGATGCGGACGCCCTTGGAGGGGGTCATGTCTTCCTCGCGGATGCGGACCAAGATGGCGTTGACACCTTCGTCCTTGCCTCCGACAAAGGTCTGGGCGAAAACAACGCACCACTTGGCGTGAACAGCCGACTACAATATTTATGAAAGAGAGAGGTTGACGTTTGTGTCGAGATGTTATTGACAGAGCGAATGAAAACTTAAAAAATCCAATCCAGACTCTCTCTCACATGTCCACGAGATCTGAGCACAAATAGCCCACGGGGGGATAGACATGCGGGGTCATGAAGGGGGAAGGTGCACTTACGTTGGTGATCCAGTACTTCTGGGCCTTGACAGAGGGGGTATGGACCTCCCACTCGTGTGTCTCGGGGATCTATTCATGAACAACAACAATATCGAGATGCAAGGCAAGAAATTGATCCGGTGAAAGGAATAATAAAAAATAAAGGGGTTACACAACCATGGTTAGCAACCTCTCGTCATCATCGCTCAAATAAAAAAGTACAAAAGTGTGGAGAGAGAAGGGAAGAAACCTTACATAGTAGGCAGTGGTCTCCATCTCGACGGCGTTGTTACCGTAGCCCAGCTCGGTCAGACCGAAGCATCCGATGGACGACATGTCGTCGATCTTGGGCAACAGGTTGCGGTGTCTCTCAGTTCCCAGCTTGATGACGGTGCCTCCGAACAGGTTCCATTGGACAGTCATCTGATCGATTGAGAATTGTCGTTGTTGATGTCCATAGCGTCAAATAAAGAAGAGTGTGAGTGAAAAACAATGCTTCATGTATTCATGACACATTGGCAAACAAAGACTTCCACTTGCAACAAAAGGTGTGAAGGGCTACCTTGGTACCCATGCTGCCGTCGATCATGCCGGCAATCTCATGGGCAGAGAAGACGCGGAGGGGGTTCTTCTCAAAGTCCATGACGGAGATGTAACCCTCGTGGGCGAGACGACGGAGACGCTGAAGGGCGAGCTCGCGCTTAGCCTCGAGGGAGATGTCGTAGCGGGGGATATAGATGGGGTCCTTGGCGACGAAGTCGAGCATCTGGCGACGGTGCTCGTGGTTATCGTTAGCGAGGACACGGGCGACCTTGCCGACGTCAGCAGCAGAGAAGTTGAGTCCGGTCATACTTGTGTGTGAGTGTGCAGAAAAAGAAAGGGAGAAAGGGATACTACAAACAAATTAAGTGAGATGGAAGGGGATGGAGGCGGAGAGAGTTTGTTTGAATGGAGGAATGAGGAATGAGGAGTGAAAGAAGAAGAAAAGAAAAAGAGGAGAGAGAACAAAGAAGGAGTATTTGAGAAAGAATGAAGCAAGGGCCGGGAAAGAATCTCTCACGCATGATTATTGTGGTATCTATGTTTGTTTTGATTTGCGTGCCAGAACCATGCAAATGAACCCATTCAACACTTACACGATAATCCGTGTGGGAACGTTCTTCATCTCTCTCATGCTCAAAAGAACAGTCCCTGCCAACGAACGACTAAACCAGGGACCCCTCCCACTTACACATGCACTCACTCACCCTCATCTCACTCTTCTGAGTCTCAGATATCAACAAAAGCACTCGCTCACCCCTTTCTTTCCTTTCCTCCTCGATCGAAAATCGACAGGCTTTCCGTGGGCATTTTTCTTCTCTGTGTCCTTTCTGCGCTTCTCCACAAATTTGTGTCAATTCTCATTGGGCTCCGTACCTCCATCGTCGTACATCTTCCTTCTCTTCTATCCCATGTGATTTTGTCTGTTGCCTGCTGGACTTGCTGTCCACCAGCCAAAATACAATTGGTGCCCCCGACCATGAAGAACCAAGATGGCCTCCCCTCCCCTCCCTCCCATATCGAATATTCCTGGCTTCACTTTCTCTTTCTCTTCGTCGAATGGCATCGATAATCATGCTCATGAATCAATGCAAGGGTGTGGTGCAAGATCAGGTCATCGTCAAACAACAAACATCGATGCCTTTTATCACTCTCTCTCTCTCTCTCTTGCTCCGGGTTTCATGCACGAGTGTCCATCAATGCCCATCTTTTTACCACTCGGATCTCATTTTATCCGCTCGAGGAGTATATGTGGTGATTTGGAGTGGCTTAGCTTCTGGTGGCCATTTCGCTGTTTTACGCGCTTGCCTGCGAGTGTCTGGAAAAGCACCTTTCTTCCACGATACGAGCTATGCCCTTTGACCATTGGTAGCAATAACACGTCATGTGACGAAAAACATTCGCTATCGACAGCTTTGGAAATGAAAAAATGGCTTGCAAGCTGACCGTCGCTTGAACGAAAGAGTGAGAGAGACCTTGCCCTTGGATGATCGACCACAGTGCAAGCCTGGTACACAGTTTCTTTTCTCATTGTTGCCATCAGGACAAAGAAAGAAAAGGGCTAATTAGCTCTGATGGAGTCAAATGCCACACATTGATTGTCAGGCTTGCTCCTGGTTGCCACCAAAATTGAAATAATGAAAAGACCAACGGTCAAATCCCTCTCATTCATTGATGCACCAACTTTCATTCGTTCTCCAGCCTTCATTCATGCATCATCACCTCTCAACATACTTCACCCACACTTCCATCGCGCAGCCAGCACACAAAAAGTCCTTTGGATAGCCCGAGCTGGTCATCATGCTCTAACCATACCTCACAGGTTCGACATCTTTCAACCCATGATGCCTTTCAACCTTTGCTGTTCTCACATTTGGGCCTCCGATACCATCCCCTGCGACACAAATTATTCAACTCAACCGACGCGACGCTGTTACTCTCTAGAAGCACTCAGGATGTCCGCCACTTACATATGACCTGGCCCGAACAGACCTTCTACCACAACTGTGTCCACCTTTCCTATGAACGACAGGCGTACGATTATTGGTGCGTCAGGACACCTCGATGGGTCTCACCCATGGAACGCAGTCTCTTACAGCCATTGATCCATTTGCAGCGTATGACCTTCTTGACCCGACTCAACAACTTTCTTCACCAGGATCTGTATCTAACATCATGCTCTACCCTCAGCATCCCGGCACGACCCTGTCTCAGATTTACTGGATCCTTCAGATCAATCCACAGTTGGGGGGTGTGACTCCGAGCCACGTGGCTATCAGGAACAAGCACCTCATTCACAACCTGGCACGTCTGACACAACTGGTCCTCCATCTTTTCATCGGTTCGACTGACCTAAAGTCAATGATATTTTTCTATCTGCCGCCGTCCCTCCAGAACCCCAAGCTCTTTGCCGTCCATTCTGCACTGGTCAAGTTCCGAACGTCATCAAGATATACCTGACAGGACCACTCGAGTCCCGGCGGTCATGGGACTATGATAGTGCCGGTACTTTGTTCAGAATATCCAAAGTGGAGGACATTCTTTGAAACCTGACGCCTCTTACTCATCTAACGGAGCTCTGGATATGGGACATGATGGAGGACGCTCTCATGTTGAACGAAATCTGCTGTCTCTTCAAGCAGTGTCCCCGCATTCGGCCTCAGAAACTTCCTCTGCTGCATTACGATCTGGACGCCTACGCCATCAGCAGGACTATCGCGACGACTTGCCAAGGATAAAAAAACTTGGCGTTCGATTCTTCGGAGTATCTAGGTATGTTCAACCTCAACAGCCCGCATTATCCGAACAATGGTGTTCTTGTTCCCACCATAAAGGTATTGCAAGAGAAGCATATGGAACAATTCTGCATCTTAAAGTCGACATAAGCAAAGGACAAGAGTGTTGTGAGTTCAATTCATCTGCGGCATTCCTCTACTCTGGCACAGCTTATCTTCCAGGATGCAGTTTTCTCGAAAGTAAAGCCATTCAATTGATATTAGTGACGTGCGGCGCGTTGTTTCAGCTTGAGGTCAGCCATCATCATATGGTGGACGATTTTATCAACGGCTCCACCTTGGTTTCCAATTGTCCGATGTAATCGAGTTTCCTTGGGTCTGCACTAGCATTCAATCTCTCGCACTCGCCATCGACGATATCACCCAGAGATTGTTTGATCTTGGTAACAACACTGTCCCATACCATCATCGGGAAGTATAAGTCGTTCATTCGGAGGTGTAGTGGACCATCTTTGCCCAGCTGGAGATGTTCAACGTGCGAATAGGCAAACTGACTGAGTTGCAGGAGTTGTATCGCACACGATAACGGGATAAGAGCATACTCCACCCACATTCAATCGATTGAAGTGCACTTTTGATCGATTTCCAGCGATGTTCAGTCTTGGCAACAGATTGATTGGACGACTGAGGTATCTTCGCCATCTGTGCGGATTGAGGAAGTTGAAAGTCCTGCGTGGTTCGGTGTATGCTGATACAGGTGAGATGAGTGTGACGATGGGTGCATGGGAGACGATTGGATGCTCACACATTGGCCGTCGTTGGAACAGACAGAGTTCTTTCCTGACGGAGTCGAGTCCTCGCCGCCTTTTCGCTGGTTATCGATCAGTTCAGGCATGGTACCCAATCGGCGCCTGTTGCTATATGGCCCTGATTTTTTAGTCGCTGGACATACATACCATCCTTGTCGTATCGCGTACTGTGTCACAGTCGTCAATATGCATTTTTCCATTTGATCAGTAGCAAGGACGGACGACGAGGGTGGTGAGCGTTCTGAGTGAGCACCTTTTCTAGTTGTCGTTCTACATCCTTCTTTTATTTTTCTCTTGTTACTGCACTCATCCGAACGCGTTGTCGATTGATGCGAGAGAAGCAAAGATAAATACATTATCGAGAGGATGACCTTTTGGATATGACAGGATTCGATTGCTAAACTGCGTTTGAGTTGAATTGATCGAGTGCAATCGGATATGAGAAGAAGAGAAAGAGAGCATGGCAGGCCATGCCATTTTTTTAATCGTACTTTACTTGAAATGGAGAAGCACACCACATGAATTGGCCAGAAAAAGGATATTCCTGCAAATTAGCAGCAAAAAGGGGTGGGACATCCATTAGTATTAAGGAAGAGGAGCGGAAAAAAGGCTGAATGGACTAGAACGTCATCTCATCCACCAACACCACCACCAGGGTCACCAACAAAGAGCATGATCATTATCCATGACATATCAACCTGTAGCATTTTGGGAGCACAGAAAAATGAACAGAAACATATCGTGGCCCATCTATCTATTTTCGCCCTCCACAACATTGCGAGAGCCTTTTAGTAGGCCAGCAACAGCGCTGATGATAGCACCTCACATACTCATGGATCGATTTTTTTTTGTTTAAACAGCACGCGACCGGAGTTGGACCCTTGTACCGCGGGGTTTAGACTCTCAACAAATGCACTCCTGATTTATTTTCTTTGTTGACATTGTCGATATGGTCGTACCAGAAAAAGGAAGAAAAGAAAACGACGCTAATTGGCTAACCACGCCATCTCAGCAGCCAATGAGAATGCGTTACCGACCCACGAGGAGCAATCGTTGGCTAGGGGTTTTCTTAGACATTCTCCGCCCACCAATCGTTTTGATTCTTTTGGGTTTGGGCCGAACCTTTCCTCATCTTGTTTTGGCCTTGGGGGTCGAAGGGGTGAGGGACAGTTGTATCCTTTTACTGCAACTGCACAGTCGATTTGTACAGCAGATCCTCAAAGGTCATCAATGTATCAATCCGGCAGAAATGGACACACTCAGCTAAACATACGGCATTTCTTCGCCCTTTGACCGGCCCGTTTACCTTCCTGGCCATTCAGCGAAAAATAGGATAAACTTGCCTCCTTGTCCTCATTCATTGCGACCAAACGGAGATAAAAAAAACCAAACTCAACAGATACCTTTCTCGTCATCAGAGAACTTGTTTAAAAGAAGACAACTTTCGGCATGGCCCCCATTTTTCTTCCTCTTCCTTTTTTTTCTAATCCAACCCTCGGTCGCATTCATCCCTACTACCTCTCTCTTTATCCTCTCCCCTGGTGCCAACGAGGACATCTCCCATCCTCACACTCTCTCAATTCATATCCATTCACCCACTTCATCCTCACCCGTATACCACTTTATCATTCATTCATTTCCATTCATCAATTCTGCATCAATTCTCTTCACCACCACCATATACCACTTATCCTCACTTTTATTTTCAACCGACAGTTCACTCATTCACACCTATCACACACACATACATACATACATACATATAACCGGCCATGGTCAAGTTCAGCCACAGTTTGCAGTTCAACACTGGTATGTCACCCCAACACATGCCCTCCCCTAAATTGCTTGTGTCCCTCTCTTTCATTCGCCTTGGAGAACTTTCACCCAACTCACAAATCGAGCTGTTTTTGGACGGAATGGAGGAGATGGACAGTGGAGTTTGGACGTTTTTGATTTTTTGATTTTTTTTCCTGGCCGGGGGGCTGCTGGACAGAGATCAGAGCTGATTTTTGTGCCTGAAATACATTTTCATCAGCAGCTCACACGACCTGCCTTTTTGGGAACTGATATCAGCAACCAATCAGCTTGTATTCATACTCATACTAATCCTTCGTCCTCCTTCTCTTCCTCCAACCCATCCATCCATCCAATAGTTCCTGACTGGGCAAACGAATACATTGCATACTCCAACCTCAAGAAGACCCTCTACGCCATCGAGAAATACAATGTCCAGGCCACCATCGGAGGCAGCACCCCCCGACGGAAACTTCACCCATCTGACATGGAGCAAGGTTTCGCCGGAGACGTTGACTCACTGTCCGAGAAACAGACTGCAGCTAATGTCAACAACAACTTTACCCGTTTCCTCGGACTGAAGGGCCAGGGCGCCAAGGATGCCGCTGTCGTCGCTGCCGCCGCCGCCGTCGCTGCTGGTCTGCATAATGGAAGTGATATCTTCCCACCTGAGAGTGCCGCCTTTGAACACGGACTCTCCAAGGAGCTCGCCAAGATTACTACTTTCTATATTCGCAAGGAGCGTGAGCTGTCGACTGAGCTCGAGGCCGTCGATCGTCAGTGGCAGTTGGAGGAGAAGAAGCAAAAGAAGGAGGGTGAGAGCGACGAGGCATACCAGCAGAACGAGGTTGACGAGTCCAATTTGACGGAGGCCGAGAAGGTACAGTTGAAGGAAAAGATGGGCTGGGACCGCGATGGTCTCGTCGACCAGGGCAGCAGTGTTGGAGGAGGAAATCGCGCCAAGACCAACGACAACCCCACCACTGTCAACGGTTCGACTGTCGATGATGGATCCGTCCAGGGCCAGAGCAGACGTAACCCACCTGGCCCCATGAGTGTTGGCGAGACTGCCATTGCCATGTCGGAGGTTGATGGCAGCGAGTACAACCCCAAGTCTCAAGGCAGGAGCTCGGTAGGCGACTTGACGGAGATTGTCTGGAGACGCGAGTGTCTGATCGAGTCGGACGACGAGGAGAAGAAGGGCAAGCAGTCCAAGTCGAGCATCGAACTCCCCCAGTCCCAGGTCCAGGTCCAAACCCAGCCCCAACAGGCCTCTACCTCTCAGTTGGCCCCCAAGAGCTCAATGAACGCCGGCCGGTCCCTTTCGGCCATGCGTGACTTTGTTACTGGTCACCACGCCAACCCTAACCTCAAGCCCTCGACCTACACTCCTTTGACCACCGAGGCTCTTCTTCGTCGTCGTCTCATTGACACCTACATGCTGCTTTCGGAGCTCAAGTCGTATGTCGCCCTTAACTATCTCGGCTTCCAAAAGATTGTCAAGAAGCACGACAAGCTTGCTCGCTGCACCACCCAAGGCCGCTATATGTCGACCGTCGTCGACCTTTCTGCCCCTTTCCAGGCCGAGTCTCGCCAGCAGTTGGATGCCCAGATCCTCCGTCTCCAGGCCATCTATGCCCGCACCTGCACCAACGGAAGCATGGCCCTTGCTGCCAAGGAGCTCCGCACCCACTTGCGCGAGTACATTGTCTGGGAGCGCAACACTGTCTGGAGAGATATGGTCGGTCAGGAACGCAAGGCCGAGGGAGCTCGTGCTGTCGAACTCCAGGAGCAAGAGCCCTGGATGTTTTTCAACACTCCCATCCGCTTTATCAGCGCTTCTGATGCCCGTCACATCCTGCTTGGACTCTTTGGCTGTGTCATCTTTGCTATTTTGATGTCGGTCTCGCTCTTTGACACTCAGGAGCAGAACCGCTGCTTTGCCATCTTGATCACAGTTGCCTTTTTGTGGGCGACTGAAGTCTTCCCTCTGTTCGCCACTGCTCTCTTGGTCCCCCTCTTGACGGTCCTCTGCCAGGTCATGCGCGATCCTACCACCAAGGAGACGCTTACTACGTCTGCTGCGACCAAGTTGGTCTTTTCCTCCATGTTCTCGCCCACCATCATGTTGTTGCTCGGTGGCTTCACCATTGCTTCTGCCCTCTCCAAGTATGGCATTGCCAAGGCCATTGCCTCGATTGTCCTCAGCAAGGCTGGTACCGATCCCAAGTGGGTCCTCCTCGCCAACATGTTTGTCGCCACCATCGCTTCCATGTTCATCAGTAACGTCGCCGCCCCCGTCCTCTGCTTCTCCCTCATTCAGGTACATTTTCATTCTCATTCTCATTCAATTGTTGTTTTATTGCTGAACGAATCATGTAATTAATTCTCCTGTTGCTTTCTCTTCCAACCAATTAGTCGATTTTGAGGACGTTGCCACACAAGTCATCGTTTGGTCCGTGCTTGATTATGGGCATTGCTCTCGCAGCCAACGTGGGCGGTATGGCCTCACCCATCTCGTCCCCCCAAAACATCATCACCGTCCAGAACATGTCCCCCGCCCCCTCCTGGGGCAACTGGTTCGCCGTTTCCTTGCCCCTTTGCCTGATCATTGATCTGATCATCTGGGCCTGGTTGATGCTCCTCTGGCGCCCTCAACGCGACACCCCCTCGGTCCCCTCGATCCGCGCCACTCAAGAACCCATCACCTTCCAAAAGGTCTTCATCTGCTTTGTCACCGTCGCAACAATCATCCTCTGGTGTATCGAAAACACATTCCAGGAGCAACTCGGTGACATGGGTATCATTGCCATCCTGCCCCTCATTGCCTTTTTCGGAACCGGACTCCTCACCAAGGAGGATTTCAACAACTTCCTCTGGACCGTCATCGTGTTGGCTATGGGTGGTGTCGCTCTTGGAAAGGCTGTCGATTCCTCGGGACTCTTGGACACAATTGCCCACAAGATCCAGGAGGCTGTTGCTGATCTGTCGATGTGGGTTGTGCTGGTCATCTTTTCCTGCCTCACCCTAGTCTTTGCCACCTTTGTCTCACATACCGTCGCCGCTGTTATTATTCTGCCAATCGTCCAGCAGGTCGGCATGTCCTTTGCTGACCCCCATCCCCGCGTCTTGGTTATGGGTACCGGTCTTATCTGCAGTGCCGCCATGGGCTTGCCCGTGTCAGGATTCCCCAATATCAATGCCATCGCTTTGACGGATTCCATGGGCAAACCCTATCTGACCACCATGGACTTCGTTAAAACCGGCGTTCCTCTGTCTGTCATAGCAGCTGTTTGCGTCGTGACCATTGGATACGGCATCATGCTTGCTATGGGCTACTAAGGAGAGCCAGAGTTAACGTATCATTGTATTATTACCGTGGACCGGTTGGTCCACCTACCCACCTGTACATTATTTCCCTTCTTTTTGCTTCCAGTAATAAACTAAATTCTTCAATATACATGCCGAAAAAAAAAACTGACGCCCAGGCGAGTGGATTCGCAAGTGAGGGTAATGATTCATGAAGAAGCGTCCTTACAGGCTAATCTTTAGTATATCAGCACATACTTTTCGTTATTTATCACTTGTCACTTCCTTCTTCACCATCGCACACAGTAACTCCAGCTATGTCTTTGCATGGACAACTGTTCGAGGGACGCTGAGCGCGTGCGAGAAATGGAGTAGAGAATGTCATGTAAGCCAATCAAACAAAACGATGTAGCGTTTGTATTTGGTACCACGGGTTCAAAAACATGAAATGTCCTGATCGGCAACGTTGATTGTTTTGAAGACTTGGAGTCTAGGAGTGCAGAGCTGGAGGCTAAGATTGGGGGTCTGAGGTATATCTAATTATAGGATATCGGCATTTGCATGTCACCAAACGGCAAAATGTTACGGAATCATATCCTGGCTGGCTTTCGAGGAGCTGGGATTCGGAGCTCAAAACTCTACAAGTTGATAACAGAACCGCCAAGTTCATCAACGGCCCCCAACGCTGAACCAACCACCTCTTGCCGCGGACTGGGTAGAGCAACGATGTGCGACGTGCCATAATTGAACTTTGGATTGTTCAAATCCTGCGCGTGAGGTTTTAGTTCTCGACAGAATCTGGCGCCGGTTATGCGGTTCACCCAATACTTCGCCAACGACCCTGTTGAAGGTAAGACTTTGGTGAGCTCATCGAGAGGTTGCGATCCGAGACGGACGAGGCGATTCGTGTCGATGATGACTGGTTCCCAACATAACCGCTCAAAGCCGACTTGCTCGATGACGCCTGCGACGTGGATCTGGATTATCAGGAACACATTCAAGGACTGCATGGGTTCAAGGGTTTCACTTGCTTGGAGATTAAGAAGCGCCGTCAAGCGATTCCCTGTCACTGTAACGGAGGATGATCTCATCGCCTTGTGGAGGTCGAGCGGAGGAAGTTTGTGCCAGCCGACAAAAGTTTATGAAAGTTGAAAGAAGCATCCCATATTCAAATTGTTCGTTGGCAAGATCATCCCGGAGCTAGGATACGTCCCCCCGGAATCTCTAGATTATGTTGATGAGGATGAATTTCGCCCAATATGATTTTCTGGACCCCTAGAAGCTTCTACATGTCTGGAGAATCCATCTCTTGGACCTTCCTCCCAGCGCTGACGAGTAGGGACTAGGCAGACTCCTCTCCATTCCTCCATTCAACAACTTCGCTAGATTAGCTGGATAAACATTGTTAGATCGCTTATAGAAGGGAGGGTATTTCAATTTGTTTGATCTGGTCCCAAACGCTTTCACATGCAGGTTTTTTCTTTCATTGGTCGTTCTTTTCGACCGCGAAGGTGGATATCTAGATGGCTGGTTTATTATGCACAACACATTTTTTTTTGGAAAAAGAGAGTGAGAGAGAGGGGGGTGATATGTAATATGATATGAGATTTTACTTGCGGTGATCCTCGCCGACAATGTCCATCCACTTGCGTCCGTTCAATCCCTTGACGATGCCGTCCTTGACCTCACGAGCGATACCGGGTCCCTCGTAGGTCATGCTACTGTACAACTGGACCATGCTGGCACCGGCCCTGGCAAAGTCCAAGGCATCCTGACCGGTCGAGATACCACCGCAGCCAACCAAGGGGATCTTGCCCTCGGTGTGCTTGTAGACGGCGCGGAGGGCTCTGAGAGCAAGGGGCTTGACAACGGGTCCAGAGAGACCGCCGACCTCATTGACGTTATCCTTGTTGAGCAGCGACTTGGGTCTAGAGATGGTGGTGTTGGAGATGATGATACCGTCGACCTTGGTGGCAAGAGCGGCCTCAGAGACATCCTCGAGCTCCTCGTCCGACAGATCGGGGGCAATCTTGACAAGCAATGGAGGCTTGTACGAGGACTGGAGGCGATCACGGGCCTGGATGACCTGACGCAACAGCTCCTCAAGCATTCCCTTACGCTGCAACGAGCGGAGTCCAGGGGTGTTGGGCGAAGAGACGTTGACGACGAGGACATCAGCATAGGGTCCGAGACGCTCGACACCAATAACATAGTCATCTACAGATTCGGGGGTCGAAGCCTTGTTCTTGCCCAAGTTGACGGCGAGGATACGGTCGTCACGGAGGGAGCGGTTGGTGGAGAGTTGTTCGACGAGCGATTCTGCAGGGGATTGCTTCAATTTGTCCTGAGTCTGATCCTTCTCCTCGCGGGCGTGCTTGTACAAGAAGCGCTTGATGCGCTGGCGGAGACGAGCCTCGACGACCTTGTGACCTTCCGAGTTGAATCCGTAGCGGTTGATCACGCACTTGTCCTCTGGCAAACGGAACATGCGAGGCTGGGGGTTTCCTGGCTACATTTTCAGGTCAACGATTGTGATTTGTCGGGTTAGTCTCTGTACTATCATCGTAGATCGCTGAAACCAGCCAACAAATACAAAAAAGGGGTACAACAAGGCTTTCTCGGAGACATACCTGGGGCTCGGGGGTGACACTGCCAATCTCGACATAGCCGAATCCAAGATCGAATAATCCGTCAATTGCCTCTGCATGCTTGTCGAATCCTGCTGCCATGCCCAATGGGTTCGAGAACGTCTTATTCCACAGCTATTTTGTTGTGAGTATAAAATGTACCATAACGTGTTAGTTGTTGAATCTTTGTTTTCCTGATGTGTTTGATCCCTCAATTGATTAAAGCTTCCGTGTCCTTGTTACTACGAGTTCTTTCCGCAAAAGTAATCAAAAAAGGCGCACCTTGACTTCGAGGGAGGCATCGTCTTCCTGGGTATCCGAGGGGCTCAATCCCATCTTGAGGCACTTGATAGCGACCTTGTGGGCAGTCTCAGGATCCATGGTCCAGTGGATCAAGGGAATGATGGCGTACTTGTGGATCGAGGCACGCGAGTCAAACCCATAGGAGAGACCGAAGACACCTCCAACGAGAAGACCGGTTCCAAGGACAAAGTTGATAGTCCTTGAGGTCGAGGTGTGCTCCTTGCGGACAGTAGCATAGTGGCGGATGGCGGCGGTGGGGCGAACACAGGTCGTTGTTGATGCGACACGGCTAGTAAGAGCCCTTGCGGACTGGTTACGGATGGCTGTGGTGAGGGAGTTCATTTCTGCGTTGTCGGTGTCAAAAGGCGATTTCCTGATCAAAGAAAAAAGAAACACAAAATCGATTTCGCTTGTGGCATGGCCGTTCGTTCGTCAAGGACGTCCCGGCCCCGTTCTGTTGTCCTCATCACGTGCAATAATTCGATCTCTGCACTTGATTTCTGGGCTTGGTTTCGGTTAAGTGGAGAGTGAGCGTTGAGAGATGGGTGGACCCTCTTTCCTCCGTTCTCACTTCCTTTTTCATTCACATCTTCGTCTTGTCATGGTCATGCCGCTGATCAGGCCTGCTTGTAGGGGGCTGATCGTACGGTCTCATGGCTTTCCCCAGCCAACTGCTTTCCCTCGCCATTCGACAATAGTCCGATTCAGCTCGACAACGTCAATCTCAGGAACAGCACAGACAACAGCTACGCCCAACCTCTCCTCTTGGAGACCCCCAGTCACTGTTCCTCGGCGATCCGTCTTCAAGTTTGCTGGTGGAGCAGCTGCATTGGGTGCAGGAGTCTACCTCTACAACATTAACGACACCTTCCGACACAATGTCCTTGCCGTCCAGCGAGTCATGGTTGCAGCAGAGGCGGCCGTCGTTGTTGGAGTCGATTACAAGTACACAATGGATATCACCAACCGTGGGCTTGTGGAGGGAAACTTCGAGGATGACGCTGAGCGAGCTCGCCGCATGAGTGCCCTTCACACACGGAGTGCCAATCGGCTGAGGGAGATGCTGAGCAAGAACGGCGGTATCTATATCAAGCTTGTAAGTTTTGGGAACTTTTGGGATCGGACAGCCTCGGAGTACTGTCACACAGTGCAGTCCTGCTCTCTCCTATCTATGCAGCTCAGGCCATCTAACTGAGGTACAACTATTATGTATTTTAGGGTCAACATCTTGCAAGTTTGAAATATCTACTGCCAGACGAATGGACCACAGCCATGGAGCCCCTTCAGGATCGTTGCACACCTTCACCCATCGAGTCGATCCAGGCACTGTTCATGTCTGATATCGGAAGACCCATCTCGTCCATCTTTTCGTCTTTTGATCTGGAGCCCATTGGAGTCGCTTCGCTGGCACAAGTTCACAAGGCAACACTGTTGGATGGTCGAGAGGTGGCGGTCAAAATTCAACACCCAGCATTACAAGAGTTCTCGACAGTCGACATCCGCACCGTTGCAGCATTGACACATGTGGTTTCCTATGTCTTTCCAGAGTTTGAGTTCACCTGGTTGAGCGACGAGATGCAGACCAGTCTGCCCAAGGAACTCAATTTTGACTTTGAGGCTGCCAACGCCGCCCGTGTCGCTGCCAACTTTGACAGTGCTCGCAAGGAAGGAAGCAAGTCGACCATCAAGATCCCCGATGTCATCTGGTCCCGCAAGCGAGTTCTCGTCATGGAATGTAAGAGTTTCTTGTAATTTCGAATGCATTAGCAATGGCACTACTAGTTCCCTATCTAACGATCGTTTGTGTTCTACTTGAATAGTCATGGAGGGATCAAGGATTGACAATCTTCAGTATTTGCGGGACCACAACATCAAAGTGTCAGAGGTCTCGAACGAGATGGCTCGTACCTTCTCCCAGATGATCTACAAGGATGGCTTTGTCCACTGTGACCCTCACCCTGGAAACTTGATGATCCGCCCTACACCTGCTGAATCTGCTTCGCCTCGCAACTTTGAGATTATTCTCCTGGACCACGGACTGTACCGCGAGCTCACACCCGAGTTCAGACTGGACTATGCTCACCTCTGGACCGCTATTATTGCCTCGGACGAGCAGGAGATCAAGTACAGGGCACTGAAACTGGGAGGCACAGATGCCTACCAGCTGTTCTCGTCGATCTTGACTGGTCGTGATTGGTCCGTTGTTCAGAACGCCGAGCTCAGCAAGAAGGCTCGCGCCAAGGATGAGCTGCTGAACTTGGCAGATGGTCCTGGAAGCATTGCTGATATCGCTAGCATCTTGGCCAAGGTCCCTCGCGACCTGCTTTTGCTCTTCAAGACCAACGACTTGCTTCGTGCGCTGGACGAGGATTTGGGCGCAGATGATGGCTCGCAGATGCGAACGTTTGCAGTGATGGGCCAGTACTGTGTCCAGGCAATCTACGAAGCCGAGAAGAGTGTTATCCAGTCCAGCTTGGCTGTGAGCAACAAGGCTACGACGGTGTCGTTCTTGGTCAAGACTCTTTCCTCTTGGTTCAAAGCGTACAGCTCGTACCTCCACACTATTATCTCACTGGACCTGTTTGTCTGGTGGATCGACGTTACCCAGTCCGACGCGCTCCTTTACAAGTTCCTCGTGCGCCTTGGATCCCTCCTTTTTTAATCACGTCTCATAGATTTCTTTCTTGCATACCACACCACATAGACTTAAAATATTAAAAAGCTCACTCTTTCCCTTCGTGTCCTTTTTTTCTGCAACGAACCACCACCACTCTCTCGACATGTCACAAACAACATCTAATGCAGGCCAGGGACTTGGCCAGGCAACAACCCTCGCATCCGGATTCCAGTTCCCTTCTATCCATAACTTTCCGCCATTCTACACGTAAGTGACAACTTTCAGTCGCCATTCAATGCACCCATGCTCAAAGTGATGCCTTTTAACCTCCCTCTTGACCTCCCTCTTGGCACTGTCGGTCTTTCCTTACCTTTCTTGACTTGCGCTGACCCCTTCCTTCTCTCAATGTTTCCATGTGCCCTAGGTTACAACCAACAGCTTCGACGTGGAAGAACCAGTCGGATCTCTGGGGCACAATTATTATGCGCTACTATAGACACCACCGACTCTATCAGTTGGATCTGGATGACTCTACCACCAACGACCAACTCTTCAACAACCAAAGGATAAACAGTAAAAACACGCTTACATGGAACCAGTTGGTGTATTGGTGGTTGCTTGGCGTACAGGACACTGACACAGTTACAACGGTTGTATCTTTCCACTTTTTTTTTCTAGGAGCGTTGAAGCCCGAGACGATCCAGGCCATCGTAGAGGAGATGGTCAAGAAAGGTAGCAAATGACTAAGGCCAATGCTACGCATTTACTTGCCCCATGGTATCCTTTGAACTTTTACTTACGCTCCTTATTGACACCCTTACCTGTCGTAATTAGGGGACGCGGAGTGGGATGCAACATCACGAAAGAGGAGAGCAATTATATACTGGCGGAAACCTGAAGACTGGGCCGCCATGATCTCGTCCTGGGTAAGGAAGCGCTGCCAACAGGAAACCAATGAAACTCTTAATGTGTTTAAAAGCCTTACTGACACCAAGCCCTCTTTCCTACACTAAACTAGGTGTTTGAGGCTGGCCTGAATAATTCGATCTTGACTTATTACGAGATTGCGCACGGTGAGAACTCGGAGGACCAAGAGTTTTACAACATTCACCCGACAGTGCTTCATAAGACCATGGATGTGCTTGTCAAGCGTGGTGTCGCTGCTACCTTCCAGGGCGACAACTTTGAAGACATGGGAGTCAAGTTCTTCAACGCCGGCGCATAGAAAAACAGATCTCGTTTTGAGATTTTTGAGGGACAGCAAAATAAAAACAAAAGAGGTTCTATAGATGTTTGGTAGCTTCTATTATTGTGTATTATTGTTTTGCCGGAAGCAAAGAAGAAGGATGCCTAGAGAGACAGTTCTGCGATCTGGGCGAGGAGATCATCCATTTTGTCAATCTTTTCGAGCTGTTCTGGCAACATGGTCTCGCCCTTGGCCTGACGCTCCTTCAATTGCTCGACCTGTCTCAGTTTCTTGTTCAGCGCTCGCAGTTTTTTCTCAGGGTCTACAGGGCCAGTCGCAGGGGCTTCCGTCGAGTCAGTAGCAGCAGCAGTGGTCGAGTCACTTGTTGTCGTTGAGGATTTAGGCGTATCGTTGTTGTTGGTGGCGGTTGCGGTAGGGTATCCTGCCAACTCTGCGGCAACGGCCTCCTCCTTGCGCTTGGCTTTCCTCTTGTCGTTCTTGAGCTGTGCCTTTGACTTTGGGGTGGTGTCGACAGGTGGAGGAGGGGGAGGAGGGGGAGTAGGGCGGACGGACTCTAGAACTCTGTTGGTGTATTTTGTAACGTCTTCTGGAGGGGTGTAACCTGGACGGACTTTGCGCTCTTTCCTGAATGTGCCGTCGGGACGGCGGGTCATTGGGATGACACGCTCGTCTTCCCGTTCTTGGATTCCGGAGATTGTCTTTGGTGTCAGGGCTGCCATTCGTCTTTATTTGTGTCTGTTTGATGGTGTCCTGTGTTTGAGAGAGAGGTTGTTCGAACGAAGGAAGAAAAGAAAATAAAGATAAATCAAATGCGTTTCTGTCCCAACAGTCACACACCTTGCGTCCTTCATAGAAAAAGGCGATGGGAGTGGAAATGGAACCATCACCTTTTTTTTTTTTTTTTTTTTTCTTCTTCAACCACGAACGGCCAACACGTAGACACATTCCTACAAAGTCAAAGATGGCAAGAGGACGTTTTATTTTACTTGAAGGATGCGACCGCGCCGGAAAATCGACCCAATGCGCTATGCTCGTCGCCGCCTTGAAAGAAAAAGGTCATTCCGTTGAGCTCTGCAAGTTTCCAGGTAAATAAAAAAACACCTTTGGTTCTAAGTCGCGTCTTGCTGTCCCTTTTACTCCGCATTATATGCACTGGATACCAAGCGGCTAATTGTCGAATATGCTGTGGTTCAGATAGGACTACGACGATTGGACAGATGATTCACGCTTACCTGACCAACGCCAAGGAGTTGGACGATAGAGCTATCCACCTACTCTTTTCAGCAAACCGCTGGGAGGCCATGTAAGTTGAGCCTCGTCAAGGAAGACATTTCATCAATAGAGGTAAACCATACAGTCAACATGCACATGAATGAAGGGTACTTATCAAATCAACATTTCATTTCTATCATATAGGCAATCTATGAAGCGTAAACTGAAGGGAGGGACGCACTTGGTTGTGGATCGCTACGCTTATTCAGGAGTTGCCTTTTCCACCGCCAAGGTACGCCTGTTCCTATCTTACATCACCTTTTCTTCCTGTCGTTTACATTTGCAACGCGGACGACTTATTTACAAGGCCAAGTCTATATCTTACTCTGACTCCTTCATAGGGCCTTGATTTGACTTGGTGCAAGAACCCTGATAAAGGATTGGTCCGACCAGATCTAACTTTCTTCTTGGATCTTCCTACAACCGAAGCCGAGAAACGCGGAGGGTTTGGCGAAGAGCGCTACGAGAACCGTGAGCTGCAGGAGCGAGTTCGGGAGGTGTTTTTACAGCTGAAGGGTAAAGAGTGGGTGATGATTGATGCTCGGGAAACGGTGCAGAGTATGCACCACAGGATCTTGAAGGAGGCCGAGGAAAACATCCGTGTTGGCGAGCTGGATGGCAGGTTTGCCGAGGAGGATGATGTCCTTTTTGAGGATATGTTCATGGACTGAGCTTGGAGCGAAGTGGAGGGATACTATAGTACGAAAGGTGGCCAAGGAAGAAAAGGTGGCGGAGTAGAGGACAAGAAGGTTTCAATTAGACATTATCAAACAGCAGTTGAGAAAAAAAAGAACATATTCTTGCAGACTTGCATCCCAGCGCACAGACCAAAGGAGTGATAAACCGGTCACATCAGTTGTGTCTTAGTGGCTTGGCGTGTTGTGCCTTTTTTTTTTTTTTTTTTTTTTTCTTGGAGCCTTAACCTCAAAGGCATTTTTTTATTTTTTTTAGCTACTCATCCCTTCCTTTCATCACCTCGCCCCCCCCTTCACTCATCCCTCCCCACTCTACATACATACATAATGCCTGCCCTCGAGACGATAACCGCCGATGTTGTTGACATCAAGAACGTGAAGGTACGCTCGCCTTCCCTTCTCCACACTTCGCTTCTACTACTCTTTCATCTACTTGACAACAACAAAGCTAACAACCTCTCTTTCACTTATTCACAATAGGAGGTTAAGGAGAAGAAGGAGAAGAAGGAGAAGAAGGAAAAGAAGGAGAAGAAGGAAAAGAAGGAGAAGAAGGAGAAGAAGACTCGCAAGGCCGAGTCTGACTCCGAGGAGGAGGTCAAGCCTGGTTTCAAGAAGGCCCGCATCGAGACCCCTTCCCCCGCCGAGACCCCCCGCGATACCACCCCTGAACTCGGTGCAGAGCAGGAGGCCCACGATGAGGTTCCCGAGAATTTGCGCTTGAGCACCTACAGAATCTCGCCTCCCACCGTCGCTGCCCTTGCTCTCCGTGGTATCAACGCCCTCTTCCCTATCCAGGCCGAGACCTTTGACTATATCTACAACGGAAACGATGTCCTCGGACGTGCCAGAACCGGTACCGGAAAGACCTTGGCTTTCGCTCTTCCCATGGTCGAGATCTTGCTCAAGGATAACGCCTCTCCCGGCCATGGCCGCTCCCCTCGTGTCCTCGTCCTCAGTACGTATCCCATCCTCAATTGCTCTTTTTCACTACCGGATTATTTTAAGATTGGAAAACTAACCGCTATTCTTTCCTCTGGTTCGAATCAACAGCCCCTACCCGTGATTTGGCTATTCAGGTCTCGAACGAGTTCACCAGCATTTCGCCCAACCTGAAGTCCATCTGCCTTTACGGTGGTACCCCCATCTACGAGCAGACCTCTGCCCTTCGTGGAGGTGTCGATGTCATCATTGGTACCCCTGGTCGTGTCTTGGATCACATCAACCGCGGCAACCTCCGTCTGGACTCCGTTCGCTTCGTCTGCTTGGATGAGGCTGATCAGATGTTGGACATTGGATTCGCCGATGACATGGAGCAGGTTCTTCAGCACGTTCAGACGCAGAAGGAGACCCGCGGTGCCTCGGCTCCCAAGCACCAGACCTTGCTCTTCTCCGCCACCGCCCCCGAGTGGATCAAGCGCACTGTCGAGAAGTACCTCGACCCCAAGTATGTCAACGTCGACTTGGTCGGAAACTCCCGTGTTAAGACGAACGAGAACATTCGCCATTACGCCATCCCCTCGACCTGGCAGTCGCGCAAGGACGTCATTGGAGATGTCGTCGCTGTCTATGGTGGTAACCGTGGTTTGACCGTCATTTTCGCCAACACCAAGGCCGAGGCCGATGAGCTTGCCTTGACCGACAAGCTCAGAGCCGATGCCAAGGTTCTTCACGGAGATATCCCCCAGGCCCAGCGTGAGCTCACCCTCCAGGGATTCCGTGAGGCCAAGGTCAAGTGCATCATTTGCACGGACGTCTTGGCTCGTGGTATCGATATTCCCATGGTCGATCTCGTTATCAACTGCCAGCCTCCCAAGGACGTCGAGACCTACGTCCATCGTTCCGGTCGTACTGGTCGTGCTGGCCGCAAGGGCGTCTGTGTCACCTTCTTCAAGGCCCAGGAGGAGTACATGATCCAGAACATCCAGCGTCGTGCCGGTATGGAGATGGTCAAGGCTGGTCCCCCCCAGCCCCAGGACATTATCGCTGCCACTGCCCAGGATGCTGCTGACATTGTTGGCAAGGTCGTCAAGAACGTCATCCCCATGTTCAGGCCCATCGCCGAGTCCATGATTGCCGAGACCTTCAACGGTGATGCTACCGAGGCCTTGGCTGCTGCTCTCGCCCACATCTCTGGATACGGTGCCGGTGTTCGTGCCCGTTCGCTCATGTCGGCTACCGAGGGTTACACTACCTTGATCTTCCGTCTCTCGCACGAGATCCAGCACTCTGGATATGTCCGCAACATTTTGACCCGCAACTTCCCCAAGCTGGGCTATGAGGATGTCAAGGGCATGAGAATGACCAAGGACATGACCTCTGTCGTTTTCGATGTCGTCTCTGAGAAGCTCGAGGTCGATGACAACAACAACATCCTCCTTGCCGGAACCAAGTGGGCCGATCTCGACAACATCAAGTTGGAGGTCGCCAAGACTCTTCCTGAGCTCGAGCAGCGCATGAACGACAACCGTGGAGGTAGCGGTGGCGGACGTGGCGGCTATGGCGGCGGACGTGGCGGTGGACGCGGTGGTTTCCGTGGTGGTCGCGGTGGCGGCGGTGGAGGATTCCGTGGAGGCCGCGGTGGTCGTCGCTAAAGACGATACGTTTTGGTTCCTTTCGTTGTTGTTCAGTTATTTTTATTTCCGCATTTCACACTATGTACCATAATCCTTCATCTCTACTACATTATTCCCTTTTCATCATCTGCATTAAAAACAAACAAGCATAGACTACTCTCATGATATCGCTCACAAGAATGCATGAATGGTGTTGGGATGTGCGCCAGTTTCAAAAAAGGCGATTTAGCGTGATTGTGACTTTTGGGAGTTTTCACCCTTAAGTGAATAGAGAAACTGCAAAACAATACGGCTCGAGTCGCAACGGTTGATCTTCTCATCCACACCCTGATCGACCTCGACATTGCCCTCGCATCATCTTCTCATTGTAGTGCCACGTCCTCACCTCCCCACTCTTCTTTAACGCCCCTTCTCAGTTCGCATCGCCTGCACCATATTTAAAGTCAGCAGGATCACCACTAAACACCTTTCATTCACGATGGCCTCACACAAGATCTGCACTCGCTTCCTCACTCAAGCACGGTCAAGACCCACCCTTGCAAGACGTCACCAGTCGACCTTCAGCTTCTTCTCACGCAGCCAGGACTCTATCCCTTCGCCCCTCTTGACCGATGCATCCACATCCAAGGCAGCAGCCGACAAGGACTCTGATGCCAAAATTCTCGCCTCTCAGTTCCCACAATATCCTCATGCCCTCAAGACATCCCCCTCTTACGCCAACGCCGCCCCACTTTTGACCGCCATTCAGGGCAAGGACCAGGATACCGCATGGATGGTCTACTCTGTGTTAAGCCGCGCCGGCCAGCTGTCGTCTCTTCTTCCCATTCACCACACACTCCTTCTCCAGAGCATTCGGCCCGAAACCCCTATCAGATTCACGAGGCGCGAGGCGGCCACATTGATAGAGCGATTCGAGCAAGTTTGGGCGGGGATGTTGCATTGTCATATTCAGCCCAACATGAACGACTACACAGCCCGTCTGGAACTCTTTGTTGGTACCAGACAGTACCACTTGGTCGACTCGACATGGACAGAGATGCGGGAAAAGGCGGTTCATGGCACCAATGCGGTTGCTGCTGCCGGCTCGAGCTCGGGCAACGGACCTGTGATCCAGCCAACACTACACACCTACAACTTGATCATGCAGTCGTGCGTTCCCAGGAAGAACATTGGACTGGCAATGGAGACGATCAATGACATGAGGAGGGCAGGTGTCAAACCCGACACCATGACCTGGGACTTTATCCTCCAGATCCATACCGCCATGAAGAACTGGCAGGCTGTCGAGTCGACTTTCCGCACCAACTTTATCGCAACATCGATGGGCGCTTCAGGATCTCAACACAACCAGAACAGCTTTTCGGAAGAGTCGATGGTCATTCCTCTCGGTCAACGCGCCAAGTCTTTGCATGGAGGAGCGCTCACACCAAAGTCCAACAAGTCTACCAAGGTCGGCCACAAGGAGAAGCTCGTCCCATCACTCCAGAATATCCACACCCTCTTTTCGTACTACGCCTATACCCAGGATCTGGAGGACCTTCGGGCCATGTTTGACAGCCACGTGCGACTCTTTGGTCTCGTCCCCACCACACGAACATACAACGAGATGATCAAGTTTGCCTTCCTTGCCAGGCGCGATGGCGATGCTATGGATCTCTTTAGAGAGCTGGTGCAGATCGGACAGAATTTGGAGAGGGTCAAGAGCAGTAATAGCAACGGACAAGTGCAGGAGAGCGTCGAGTTGAGTGGAGAGTCTGCACATACAGCAACACCCACAGCAGCAGGACAAGTCTGCGGACCAGACTTTGACACGTTCAAGATCCTGATCAACAACGAGTTTATTGCTTCGAGGAACCGGTGGGGTCGTGCAGTCAAGTGGATCAAGATTATGCAGGAGGGCTACAACATCGAGCCAAGCGATCCCATGTTCAAGAGAACTTTGGCGGCGATGAAGCGGAGACGAGTGGGTGAGGCGGAGATCCAGGCTCTCCAGGAGAATTGGGATCTCGTCCGTGCTCGTCGCAGTGACCGTGCATCACAGAGTGCTCGTAGCCAGGTCGAGGAAGACGAAGAGTTGGCAGTGTCGAGCCATTAATTGTATTATCAATAAAAATGAAAAAGAATGTCAATCACTTCGCCACTTTGTAGCATCAGATTTTAAACTCCGCTGACGGTGTGTATTTTAGCGGGCAGGGAACAAGACTTTGATCGACCTTTTTCTTACTCTTTCAGATCTTTCATGTAAGGGTCACGTGCTGGACCCATTCTCATTCAAGGATCCATCGACCAGCCCTATCCGTCAGAGGCATCCGTCAATGCATCTATCCATCCGAACGACCATCGACGATACTTCTGGACCCAGCCGTTATCGCCAATTGCCCGGAAACCATGTCGGGAGATAATCGTCATTTTTTCAACCACTCTGGGAGAGATGAACCTTTGATGGTGACTTGGACTCTATGGGAATAGCCCGCCAAAGACTATTGAAACGGGACAACACACAGGACGAGTCAATGATAAAAACCAACTGTGGAATCAACAGCTCACCAAGAACCAACTTCTATTCTCCAAAAAAAACACGAAATAATACAACAGCATGCCACCAAAGCTGGACCCCAACGAGATCAAGATCATCTACCTCCGTGCCACCGGAGGAGAGGTCGGAGCTTCCTCCGCTCTTGCCCCCAAGATCGGTCCTCTCGGTCTTTCGCCCAAGAAGGTCGGTGAAGATATCGCCAAGGCCACCCAGGACTGGAAGGGTCTCCGTGTCACTGTTCAGTTGACCATCCAGAACCGTCAGGCTGCCGTCTCGGTCGTCCCCTCGGCTTCGTCCCTTGTCATCAAGGCCCTTAAGGAGGCCCCCCGTGACCGCAAGAAGGAGAAGAACATCAAGCACAACGGCAACATCTCCCTCGATGATGTTATCGAGATTGCCCGCATCATGCGCCACAAGTCCTTGGCCCGTGAGCTCTCCGGAACCGTCAAGGAGATCCTCGGAACTGCCTTCTCGGTCGGATGCACCGTTGATGGTCAGAACCCCAAGGACCTCGGTGACTCCATCGATGCCGGTGAGGTCGAGATCCCTGTAAGTTTTCTTTGCTTCTTTTACGGCTTCAATTTGCAATGCTTTATTGTCTACCGCGTCTTTTTGTTCCTTGACACTAACTCGTCTCTCTGTTCTTTATTATTATTATAGGAGGCTTAAATACCTTGCGTTTGACTACCATCCGTAAAACAAATAAAGCTGTAAAGGCATTTACAAATAACTGCTGCGTGACAACGCGCTACCAATACTATCAGGAAGAACATCACGAAGTCTGGACGCGTTTTTCGTGAGCAACGCTTTAGCATAGATAGCACTGGAAGGCTTCGCTTTTGTGTCACTTGGAAGTTACTTGAACGCGGAGTGTTTTGACCTTTCATTATTATCAATTACCGATGTCCAGAAGGGTGCCACTGTATATGAAAGGGAGCATTCTAGTGTATTCGCCCTGGAGCCATTCAAAAGTCACGTGTGCAAGGCATTCGCGATGCGTACATATTTTTCTTGCATCAACTTTCAGCCTTTACTTCTCCCACACTTTCCCGATGTCGTTTCAAAGGAATCAGCGGCTCCTCCAGACCTTGACCAACGGTCTCTCCCATGAACAAACACACAGCTTCGCCTTTTTCCCGACCGGCGCCCTCAGGAACCTATTCTCGATCAGCAATGTAACGCGACGATTCTACACCCCATCCTTCACAACATCGCAACTTCAACACATCTCCACAGGCGACAGCAGCAGCAACGCCAGCCTCACCCAGAACGACTCTGCAAGGTTGGAGGATATCGAGAAGCGCATCAGACCATCAAGGCCTACCCGCGGACATTACCACCTGTTGAGTCTGAAGCGCCCCCGATGGACAGACGAGGAAAAGGATATGCTGCTGAAGTTTGTCCGCCAAGGATACTCTTCCTACGACGTCCACACCCATTTCCCCCTCCGATCGATCTGCTCTCTCGACACTCGAATCGCACAACTTCGCACGGAGGAACAGAAGAAGGGTACCATCGTCAAGAAGCCACGGCTCAGCACTCAAAAGTCGGCATGGGGCATCAAGGAGGATGAGTGGTTGTTAAAGCGACTGGAGGAATATGGATTCAAGAACCACGAAGAGATTGATGTGTCCTGGCCCGAGATTGCGAATGGGACTGTGAATGGCAAGAAGTTGGGACGGACTGCGACGTCGTGCAAGAGGCGGTGGGCTATCATCGATCCTTCAAGTGAGAGGCTGCACGGAGTTTGGTCCAAGGAGGAGCTCGGGAGACTGGAGAAGGCCGTTCGATCTCAATTGCCAGATCTAGCGAGCGTGGCTGCAGAGACGAAAGCCGATTCGACCGTGGCACTCAACAAGCTCGGACTGCCCCTCCATGGGGACGATATGATGACGATGGACTGGGACGAGGTATCAAAGGTTGTTGTGACACGATCTGGAGTGCAGTGTCGGAGTCACGCGTACAAGACCTTGGCGAGCGGCGTGGAGGGCAAATGGAACGAGTTTGAAACCGAGCGACTTGTGAAGGGCGTTGATGACTACGGCCATGACTGGCACAGGGTCGCGGCAGTTATTGGAACCCGGTCGGCTTTCCAGACCCGGCAAAAGTACTTTCTTATGGTGGCCAAGAGCAAGGCTAAGCAGGAGGAGCAACAGAAGCAGTAGCAGTAGTCATGTTTTGATTTGCTAATTTAACACAAGCAGTCACCACACTTCGTCTTTTTTTTTTTTTTTTTTCATGCCTGAGTTTTATACGCTCAACTCTCTCTCTCTGTCCTTTCTCCTTAACCACAACCAACCAACCACTCGCACTGAAACAATGGAAGGACAGACGCCTGCAAAGTTGTCACTCGACTCGCTCATGTCAACAGTGTTGCCATCACTCGACGCCAACACCCCCTCAGTGAATGCATCAAAAAAGTTCAAACGTGTTCGTCCAACAGCCTCTACTCAACCTGCACCTTCTTCCGCAGGAGCAGCCGCGGTGACGACGCCACACGTTCCAAAGAACGTGCTGTCAGATATCGCAGCAGCCGCACAAGCGGCCTTTACGGCGCCAACATCTTTTACGCCCGCACCAACAACAGCCGCCATCAACGAGAACCAGACCAACACCAACAATCTTAGTAATAGTGCTAAGAAGCGGAATAGGAAACTCAAGAGGAAAAACAACAGCAACAATCAAGGCGGCCCAACAGGCTCGATTCCCGCACCCTCAGAAACAAAAAAAAACCAAGCAGGGCCACCATCAAACCAGAAGCAAGGAGCAAAGAGAAAAAACAATGTCAACGCTAATCTGGGCAAGGTAAGAACGCCTTTTTTTTGGATCGCATACAAGGATGCCTAAAGTCCGTATTCATGATACTAATGGTATCGACAATGCTTATTTTGTAATTGAATAGAATTACAAAAGGTCGAAGTACGACCCACAGATGATTGCACGGAATCTGGATGCTCAACCTGAACTCGTCGGGGTGTCCAAGGACGACGATTTTTCGGAACTCCTGATTCAACATGTCACACATACCAACAAGATGCTTCAACGTGACCTCCAAGAACAAAGCAGGAACATGTTGGCGGAGCAAAAGCGGCAGGCGGAACTCTTGGCCGCCCAGGTAGCAGGACTGACTGCGCCTGCCGACACTGCCGCTGCACCTGCCGACACTGCCGCTGCACCCTCAACAACCCCCACCCCCAGGCAGGACCAGCAGCACAGGCATCAACATAATATCAACAATCAAAAATCAGCCCTTCAAAACAAAAACAACCAGGGCAACAACAGTAACAATGGACAACCTCATCAGAAGCGCCAGCAGACACCCTTTGTGCCCAAGAAGGATTGCATGTACTTTTTGCAAGGCGAATGTCGAAAGGTACGTCTTAGTTTCATGCTTGATCCGCATCATTGTGTTTTATTGTTGAAAGGTATTTATTTTTGGCGAGTCAGGAATCTAACTGTTCTTGCACGTTTGTCCATTCGCTTGTTTTAAACCTTGTTAGGCGGTTTGCACGTTCAAGCACGATATTGAAGCTCAACAGGCAGCTATGGCAGCCAAGGAAGCAGACTCGACGATCATGCGAGAAGCGAGCAGGAAGGCGCGTGGAGTATGTAACTTTGAGAAGGTTGGCTCCTGTGCCAAGGGAGACATGTGCCCGTTCTCCCACGATCTCAGCGAAGAACCCTGCACGTACTACCATCTTCGAGGCATTTGTGAGCGAGGAGATAACTGTCGATTCGGTCACACACCCATCGCGCCCGAGCGGTTGCGCAAACTGCGCGAAGACCTGGAGGTCAAGTTGAGGGAGAAGAACGAAATGCAGGCTATGGCTAATGCCAACTTTATACCGAATGCCAATGCTACCATTAACCCGCCAGGCGCAGTTGTTGCGCCGCCTGCGTTTCAGATGGGGGTTGTTAGCCATGGCACCCAAGGACTCGCGCAGATTAACCCCCAAGGATACACTCCAGGACACCCTCAGCTTGGCCCCCAAGGATACACCCCAGGACACCCTCAGCTTGGCCCTCAAGGATACATCCAGCACGGACCATGATCCACCCTTGCTGTCAAATAAAAACTCGCATTTGCATTCAGAAATTCATTTTAGTGGCGCCCTTTTTTTAATTTTCAGCCACAACATGGGTATTTCACATCATCCATTTCTGCATTTCGACGTCCATCCCATTTTGTTTGTTGTTCATCCTTCACTCTTTACACCTTTCCCTTTTGTAATCTCATAAGCGAAACTCAATGCATTGATGAAGTTTTCCTTAGACCTCCCATACTTCTGCCTCTTCATCCTCTCACTATGGCTTTCAGGGACGCTCTTCGAAGAACTCTTACGCTGTCGACTGGTCGGTGAACTCCTCATCGGACTCCTCTTTGGGAACCTAAGCCCTGGCACGCTCTTACCGACCGACAAGACTTTACTCATTCTTGCTGGAGAGGTCGGGGTTCTGGGATTAGTCTTTGAGGCCGGATTGGGGACTGATGTCCGGCGGGTTGTGAAGGCTGGACCGAGAGCGGCGCTTGTTGCTGGTGTGGGGATTGTAGTCCCGTTGGCGACTGGGTTTGGGTTCATGTATGGAGTTTCGAAGCTGAGGCATATCCAGGAGCTAGAGGGGGGTGTAGATTCGGGAAAGAGAGAGTTGTCTGATGTTGTGATTGAGGCTGTTGCGTCTGGTGCGTCGTTGGCCTCGACGTCGATTGCGATTGCGGTGACTATGATGAAGCAACAAGGGATTCTGGATACGGCGATCGGGACGCTTATTACGACGGCGGCGATGCTGGATGATGTTGTGAGTCTTATCCTGTTAGGTATTGTCTCGAGTATTGGCGGATCTGGATCGGGGATTCGGCCTATGACCGTGATTCAGCCGTTGCTTGCGAGTTTTGGGATCATTCTTGTGGGTGTTGGTGGATGTGCTGCTCTTTCGAGGGTCAAGTCCAGGAAGGCATCGTCTATGGATGGCGATACAGAGATAGTGGATGCTCAGAGTGTGGCCAAGAGGGTGGGTGACACCGGGATTCACTCTGAGAAAAGGTTGATGAGCCGCCGCCACCGCAACGACATCAGGACTCGAATCGCGGTCTTTTATACCCGGTTCGCATCTACAATCAAGCTAGCAGGGATGCTCATCGCCGGGTTTTCATACAGCATCCTGGCAGAATACCTGGGCAGCTCACGTCTTTTGGGTGCCTTTGTTGCCGGCGTCTTTTTCTCAGCTTTTGAAGACCTCAAGCAAATGTACGAGGAGCAGATTACTGACAAGGTCCAACCAGCGATGAGCGCCATCTTCTTTGCGACCATCGGGTTCGCGATCCCGTTGACCAAGATCTTGGAGCCGGCCTTGTTTGGGTGGGGGATTGTCTACGCTGTGATCGCGTCGCTTTCGAAACTGGTGACCGTGATTATCGTCCCCGCACGGGTATCTGAGGAGAAGGAGGAGGAGGAAGAGAGTGGCAATAGAGGAGGACGATATGGCGCTAGGTGGATGGTCGGTGCAGCGATGATTGCTCGAGGAGAACTTGGGCTGTTGATGGTGCAGCAGGCGCAGGCGCAGGGTGTTATGAGTCAGACGAGTATGGTTATCACGACCTGGTCCATCGTCCTTTCGACTCTTGTTGGCGTTGGTGCATTCAGCTTTGTCATGAAGTAGAAGTCCTAGTCAAATAACAAACACAGCTGGAAATACCATTATTGTTTATTGAATAAATCGAAAACTGGCACAAAGATACAAATGTAGAAGTGCATAGCAAACTCAGGGACAACCCATGGAACTTAGATAGCATCAATGGAAGAAAAAGGATGAAAGGCCTCAAACATGCCCTTCCACTCCTCCATCGCCATAACCGTCTTCTCGACCTTCTTGATCGGGCCCTCCTCATCCAATTTAAGCCCCAACCCTTCAAACAACCGAATCCAATGCAAAAGGGTCAAATCTGGGTAGGTCAACCTATCCCCCCAGTAATGACCATTGTTCCCATTCTTCATCAACCAGCGTTCTTGGGTTGCAATGAACAGAGGGAGGGTTTTGGTGTTGAAGACGGAGGAAGGGTCGGCGATAGATTCGTGGATGGGAGTTTTGGGGACGAAACAGTTGTTGTAGAGGGAGAAGTAGATGTTGAGGGATATTGATTTTAAGGTGGCGGATTCTTCGGGTGTGGTGCCGAGCCAGCCAAACTTCTCGGCCAGGTAGTGCTAAAAGGTGAGGGTTTGCGTTTGGGTGATTTTGTGCGAGGAGCCAGAAAAAAAAAGGGAGTTAACTATGCTGCTGCGCAGTGTGCTTTACGCGTTTGCAGGTTTCTTGTAAGGTGGACCTACTTCGATGGCAAGCGACTCGCCCAGTTCGAGGGTAGTCCCGTCGGCCTTGGTTTCGATCAAGACGGGGACTTGGCCAAAGGGGAGGGCGGGACGATCGGCGGCGACGTCTTCAGCTGTGATAACCTTGTTAATGTACTTGACGCCCTTCAAGTGAAGCATGATACGAATCGTGACTATTTCGGTGAAGAAGGAAAAATGGGTTACGAGGAAGCGGAGGGTAAGTTATAGTATGGAGGGGCCACTGGGTAATGACAGTTGTTGATGAAGGCGGGTGATAGGGAAGGAGGCTGTGGTTACCGGCGCGGCCCATGGCTTTCATGTAATGAAGGACAAACGTCGAGTCATTGTTAGTTAATTGCGCGGTCATGGTGGGATTGAGGAAGATGAGGGTGGTTGTTGTTGCTGCTGGTTGTTGTTTTCTTCTTGCTGCTTTGGTTGGCGATTGCAAAAGAAGAGGAACGTCGTTCGTCTTTTATAGTGAAATGGTGCAATGAAAGAAATATGAAGGCATAGCTGGAAAACCGTCCAAAATGGCGTGAAATGATCAACTGGAAAGGAGCAGAGCAATAGCATGAAAGATGCCGACTGGCGTTTCCAGTTTACGCGTGGTGGATTCAATCCAGGCCCAGGCACTATTGAACAGTCTGAACATACTCAAAGGTTAGTGGCGTCTCCTAAAATTGAATTATTAAGCAAACAAAGAACGACGATATGCCACGTTGATGCCAATAGAAACCAAGGCCCATGCAGCCTTCGACTCTTGGGTCTCTATAGTTATCGAAGAGGAGCCTTTAGCTCATCAATTAATCGGCAAGCAGGCATAACCCCTGGCATTGCAACCAAGGCCTTGCTGAAGTTGCTTAATGACAATGCTGGACCCAATGGAAATTGGCCAACGGAACGCGCGCCCTAGATTTTTTAGGCGTCTGCGCAGCACCCTTATTTTTCTATATATATATATATAGACATACGCGCGCTTGTACAACTATCGTTTTTATTCTGCTGCTCTATCTACCACCTGCTGCCCTATTTCAGATCTCCCGCTGTCCGTCATTTTAGCAGTTCGGGCACCAAATTGGACAGCGCGCTTCCAATGGGAGCTTGCGCGGTCAAAGCCTAGTTCACGGGCAACATGCCGCAGCAGAATTTTTTCGCCGACTCCGCGCGGGTACCTAAGATCGACTTTGAGATCCACTCGCAGTTTGCTCAGGAACTGGACTACGTTTGTGCTTAGGAATGGGTAGCGTGCCTCTTTGCCGTGGTCAGATATGATTCTATCATCTCGGCCTATGCAGATGTTGACAGATAAGTTAGGATGACATCTCAAAACGACGCTGACAGAGTTTTGGCTGCGCAGGAAGTGCTGAAGGGATGACTTACCGAGGTTACGGGTTGATATCCTGTTAAGGTCGAGTTGAAGTTCATGGATGAGTCCCTCCCAACCCGCTGCCGTGAACTGGTCCTTGTGACGAGAGTACCCGCCGAGTTGTTCATCCGCTCCAAGTCCTGACAAGAGTACTTTTGCTTGGCTCGTGTAAGCTTCCAGCTCACCCTGGTCATTCTTGATATATCCGATCCCACGCGAAGCGAACCAGAATGCCATAGCAATACTCTACAAATCAAATCGTGCGTAGTGTTAGACACCTTGGCGCAATACAGTATTGCCCATCAGATACACGAAAAAACGCATCTCATTACCAGGTCCATGACGGTTTCAAGAGGGGCTATCCGCTCTAAGATCTCGGATCGCTGCGCCATGGCCTCCTCAAATGGGACATTCACCTCGACAAAGTTCCAGTGTCTCCGGGGGGATATCTTTCTCAGTTCAGCAAGACTCTCATATCCTGTCGTCCGATCAGGTACATTGAATCGTGTGTCGGGCTTTGCTGGTTTTGCGTACTCATTATTGGCCCTTTCGCCGCCGACTGGTCCTGAGGATTCTACAGCACCTTGCTTCTTCTTGAGACGCTTTTGCGCTAGAGCTTCCTCTGCAGCCTTGGCCTTGACAGAACGAGGGTTTTCGAATCCGACATTCAGTAGATCAATCGCCTCGCCTTCGGGGAGAAATTTGTCTGCCAATGCTGCCAGACAGAGGCAGTCCAAACCACCCGAGAACAAAATGCCCACACGAGCATCATGTACCAGCCTAATGGGGTTGGAATATACGTGTAAATATCCTATACTTTCTATGAAGATCTTTAGTTCAATCATGACGATCTCGAGGAGTGCGCTTACCCAGTTCTGGGGATGTCCTGTACTCTTCTTCTGACAGAGTCGCCCAGGACTTCAATCATTCCAGTGATCGCCTCCTTCATGTCCTCTGTGATTGGAGGCACCACATTAGGGTGCGCCTGGTCAAACTTGACGCCGTCTGCAAATGGCGCTGAAAGTTCCGAATCCTGAGGAATGGCGCTGTTCACTCTCCCGAATGGCAATGTCTAAGCAATGTCGGTGGTACAGCGTTAGAAAAAGATCCTAAGTGCGCTATCAACTAGCACTACCATTGGTAAACCACGAGTGAGACGTACCATTGTGCCTGGTTCATTGGCGCTAGATGTCTGAGCCGGAACCCATGGATGCTTAGTGATGACCTTTGGGCTATTAGAGACAAGCGACAGGCTGTAGATTCCATCCGCAGGAACCTCTTCCAATCGCAATAGCTCGCTGCGGAAGGCGCTGTATCCAGTCGATGTGAGAATGAAGGGTAATTCGATTCTCGACTCTACCTGATCAGACTTGTGCCACAGAAGCGAGCGTCGACCCAGACAGTCGCGACCGAAGTACACTGATTGAGAATGCGCCTAAGAGATATATTAGATAATCAAAAACATTAGTCTGATGGTCCTGATTCTCGCATATGACAAGGCCAGTGGTTGTCGATGATATGCCACAGTCCTTACATGAAAGTAGACGAACGCGTAAGGTCCTTCAATCTTGGCCATGAGGTTCAAGAAATCATGTCTATGATCATGTGGTCCGTCACGGCACCTAGCAGAAATCGCCTCCAATTGATCCATGAGCACCCTGCCGTCGTTTTCGTGGTGATCCACAGCAATGCCGTCAAAGATCTCGCCGTTCCAGATGAGAACATTTCCTGTAGAGGACACATGGGGCTGACGAGTGACTTGATCTCCGCGCAGATGAAGAACGGCACCATAGAAAGTCATATCAATGTTGCTGCTCCATGTAGGGTCCAGGCTATCGTTTCTCGGCTGACTCAGGGCGACATTGTGAGAATCCTGCGCACTAGGTCCTAGGGTGAAATTGAAACCAAATTATTTAGGATACAGGGGATCTCCGGGATTGCAGGTTCTGATAAATGAAGGCTAAGAATGTGAGCTGGACGGGGGTGGTGGATACCTCGCCTGGAATTCAGCTCCTGGAGGGTGGACCAAGTAGGTGCAAAGTTCTCTGTGGGTTCGACATTCCTGTCCTGGATGCTGAAGAGGATGCCGCACATGTTGTCAGAGAGAGAGAGTACTTTCCAATAACAACGTGAGGTTAGTTAGGGAGAGGAATTTCACTGCGGGCACAAGCCACTCTCTCTCCCTTTCTTCTTTTCCAGGTCCATTGGGCTCCAAACTACAGTTGTTGAAAAATATGCAGCCGCTGTTCTGTCTGGACCCCCTCCTCTTCCTTCGTCAATACCCCCTCTCCACTCTTCCTCTTTTTTGCTGTCATCAGTCACCTCATCAACACCATCTGCAGTTATCCAAAAAAGTAATCATCCACCATCACAAGGAGAAGATGGCGACGTGGCTCTCGAACTACCTAGGCAGTCTCGGACTAGGCATGGACTTTGAGCCCTACATCACCGGCGTCCTCTACGACCAGAATCTCTCCGAGGAGGACAAGTCCGCCACCATCTACGGATGTCTCGAGGAGAGCTGCGATCTGGTGAGTAAACCTTGCTCGTTCATGGATTCCGCGATCGCGATAACTCATCGACTACTAGTTTACCAAAAAAGTACATCACACATATCCCACTGTACCATTAGTTCAAACTAACCATGGGCCTGATACGTTGTCTACTCTTTTTAAAACTTTCCCTTTACACAGAAAAACATGAACCTCCAGGACGCCGTAGCTGAGCTGTTTGCTCAGTATTCCCAAGGAGGTCTCTTCTGGTTAGAAGCTCCTCTGTATGCATACCCAAGTTCGGCCCTAGACATCCAATATCCAACAACATCATCAACAACAACAACAACAGCTGGCAGCTCGCGCCCTATCGCAATTGTACGACCTGCCGAAGATTTCGAGTCAAGCGAGTCATCTGCCAGCACAACCGGTGGTCAAGCGAGCCAAGTGGGACCAGAGGGCTGGGCAAGAATCGACGACGACGAGGATTCATCGGCACAGGGACCCATTACAGTCAGCGGCCAGTTCAATGGCGCTCCTCGGGATGCCCTCGACCCATTCGACGACGACGAGTTCAACCCATTTGCACCGCCCAGCGCTTCAGATGCAGAGGTTATCAACGAAGCACGCAATATCTCTTATCCCCCGCCCATTTTTTATTCCACCGAGGAAGACCCTACCGACGACGAGACTGCGTCTCAACTGGACCTGGACCAGGACATGTCGCCGCTGGAGATGCTTCAGCTCATTATCGGAGACCTCAGTCCTGAGAAGATCGAGATGGCGTTCTCGAAGTCAGCATACGACTTTGAAAACACTTTGGAGTTGCTAATGGCCGAAAAGACCAAACAACCTGCACCTCCCGTGCCTGTACCTATGGGCGACGTCCGTTCGACTCTGACCTGCCGGCATTTCTTGCAAGGAAACTGCTTCCGACGAGACTGCTGGTTCAGCCATGACCTCGACTCGATGATCTGCAAGTTCTGGTAAGCGAATAGATATCTTTTTGGGACGATCGACACAAAAGAACGCCCTGACAGTTGGTAATTTGGGCGCTAATAGCCTCCACTTGGCTTTGGTTATGTAGGCTGAAGGGTCAGTGCCTGAAAGGCGACACTTGCGAGTTCAACCACCATCTGGAGACAAGCAGAAGCTTTGATTCCCCTGCACCGGTGCCAAAGCAACTGCCACCTGTGATGGACGACTTTGATTTCCCATCGTTGGCTGCCAGCACCTCGACCAAGAGCAAAGCTTCAGCTTGGGGTCGCAAATCAAACGGATCAAAGGTCTCGCAGAAATCCTCCAAAGCCAGCAAGGACACCAATAACAAGGCCAAGAATGGCACGAATGGCGCACTCGGCGACAAGGACACTGTCGACGAATTGGCGACGGCTCTAGACGATAAGATCAAAGTGACATCCCCTCCGCTTTTGTCCAAACCCTTGATCTCTTATTCCGCTACAGCCGCCGCGGCAGCATCGAGACCGCTTACGCCCATGCATAAGTCTGCTACCCAGAGCAGGAGCGTAGGGGAAGAACGCAGGTCATTCGCTCTGCTGAAGGCGCCTGACACTCTCCCGTGGCTCGAGTCTGGATCACCCCTTCAGGAGACGTACCTCAAGGCGCGCGCTCAGGCGATCGAGTATGCAAAGGCCCGTAACAACTGCTTCGAGATGGCCAAGGCGGCGTATAATCGAAACGACGGCAAGGGAGCGGCCAAGTATTCGACCCAGGGACGTGATTACAACGACCTGATGATGGCGACACACCGGGAGGCCAGTCGCGAGATTTTCGAATCCAGGAACGGAGGCGTGGTCAAGAGCGTCACCCAGGGCGAGACATGGATCGATCTCCATGGACTGCATGTGGATGAGTCATTGGTCTTTTTGGATGAGTTTATGGAGAAGTTGGAGAAGGAGGTTTACACGGGCACGGTGTACATTGTCACAGGTACTGGCAATCATTCTGCCAACCTGCGCGCCAAGCTCAAACCGGCCATTATCGACTGGCTAGAGAGTTGGGGATATAACTGGAGGGAGATGACGATGGATAAAGTCCACGGCGGTCTCTTGGCTGTCCAGGTCATCAAAGGGAAGGCATAACCCTTGCTCACAATAAAAAAAAAATGGTAAAAATAACTAGGTGGTTAGTGGTGCTAATGATGGTGACAATTTTTTATTATTAATGGTATTATTGTTTTCACCATCCCCTGTCGTTGTTGCTGATATCGACGCCGTTTTCTGCAAACCAGCCCATTGTATTCTGGGAGGAGGTCCCTAATGATGATCCCTGGGTGTGGCGGGGTAAAGGATTTCGGACATTCATTTCTGTGCTGTTCTGTCCTGTAAACGATGCCCTCCTTGAGTTGCGGCCATGAGCATTGCTGTCGTCGTTATCGATTCCGCGCTCCATGTCACTCATATCATCATCGTCATAGTCGTCCTCGTCGTCCAAGAAGTCAGACTCGTCAGAATCCGATCCGTAATCTGCGCGTCCTGACCCTCCTCCTACTGCAAGATTGATCCCAGACCTGGAGAGCGAGTGAAGGTGATGCGATGATCGTTCTCCGCCATTTCCAACCAGCGCCTGATCTTCCAATCCATCATCCTCTTCATCCTGATACCCACTTATCGAGAACCCAACCGCCCCACCAACAAATTCAGATCCCGAAGAAGTCAAATCAATGGCCGGCACATTATCCTGTCCCAGTTCAGCAATCCCGCCCGAAGAGCCTGATCTGGCCAAGAGGTGTCGTTGAAGGTAGTTATCACGTCCAGAACCAAGTCCCTCGACAGATCTCATGGAAGCCCGACTCTGTCTCAGAGAAGCGCGTCTCTTTTTGCGTCTCTCGATCCGGATTCCTTCGCTGGCCGCAATCTCCCGCTTGGCAACTGTCCAGACATAGGCACCGACTGCGAATCCAATGATGATGCTGATCACCATAAAGACAATCTTCAAGTTGCGACCATGGGTATCGCCGTTGACTGGAGTGGTTGGTGGCAGAGATCCGTCAGGGTTGGTGGTTTCGCCTTCAGGTGTGGTAATAGGAGCCAGGGAGGATAGGGTCGATCCGATATAGACATGTAGCGCCAATTTTGTGAGCGAGAGGGCTGTGGCGAGGGCGAACGTTGAGAGGGGGATATGAGTCGCTGAAAGGAGCGCGTTCATGACGTTGAATGGGTATGGCGCCAATCGAATCAGGACCATCAACTAAGAAACAGGGGATAGAGAGAGAGAGACGTTAGGCAAATGGGCGTTTACAATTATGGTGCTGTATCCATCCCTAGTACATCCTTTCCTCTTACTCTCACCTAAAGGCTGTTCGTTGACTATTTAAAAGTGCCAGTACATGTGCATTTAATTCCTTACCTTGAACCCCCGCTTTTCAACAGCCTTGACGACAGATTTCATGCTTTGCTTCTTGGCCATGAGCGCCCTAACTTGGACCTTGAACCACCGACGGCAGAGGTAGAAGCAAGCAATGGATCCCAAGAGAGCAGATGTGTATGCGATAAAGAGGCCAAGTCCGAACCCATACACATACCCTATTGTTCATTCATCAAGAACCACATTTGTATCGACGCAAGGGGTGGCGACGAGAATTTGGACAGGTGGGTCGAGAAATGTTCGTCGCGTGAGAACGGGATCCCGAAAAAGAAGAAATAAGAAATAAGATATAAGAAATATGAGAGCCAAGGGACGATCAGGGTGCGCCGAATTGAAATGAGGAATGAGAGAAAGAAGGTTGTTGGTTGGAGAAAATACATTATTGGCGTTAGAAAGGCTGTAGGGAGTTTACGTTTTTTTGTTTTGTTTTTTGGATGCAGTTGTTGTCGTGGCTCCAATCAGGCTGCATAAGGAAACTCTAGAGACATGGTGTAGACATGGCGCAAAGTTCAAACAGCGACAGGTGTAACTTACCCGACATGGTGATCAGGGATGAGTAACCGAACACGGGCGGGAAGGCGGTCAGGAAGAGCGCCAGCATCATGATTGGCGGACCACTATTAACAAAGCACGTATTGAAATTGATCCATTTGAGTAAGAATAGGCATGCAGCTTTATGCTGTAGTTATATGAGGCATTATGAATGCAAAACAGCATTGAACATGATAGCAAATAAGTCAAGTAGATAACGGCTGCCGAGAAGAATGAAAGGGAGAGGAATGGGTCGATAGACCCCTTTTCATTGACATTTCGCAACACAAGGACAAGATAACTTACGCCCGTCCAAGGCCCTTGATAACGGTCGCCATGGCTTCAAGCAGCTGAAAGATTTTTGTATGGAACCCAACAAAGATCCCTACACCAATGGCAACAAACACCAGCCAGAGCCCAACCCAAAACCACGGCCGGATAGTGGCTGGCAGCGCAGCCCTAATCCTGAAGAGAATGGAAAGTCCCCACTGAATAATGCGAATTGGAATCGATGTGATCCCTGTCATATGTTGTTCCTGTCGCTGTTGATTTTGATGCTGGATACGACCAGACGATGACGAGGGTGACGCTGGTGGTGGCGACGAAGAATGGCCATGTTGGTGATGGTGTCTGTGCTGAGCACTGGTTGGGGAGGTGGGTGAGACAAGGAGTGGGGCTACTAGACTCTCGCCTCCTACACTGACGAGGTTTATATTCATTATCTTTGTTGACTTTTGCTGCTTCAGTTCTGATTGTGGGGGAGTGTGGGTTAATGTGTGCAAGTCCTTTGTCGTTGTCGTTGTTGTTGTTGTCGTTGTCGTTGTTCGCTCGTGTTAGAGGAGTGTGTGCAGTGCAAAAAATAAGGTGTTTGGTGAGCCGGGAGAAGACAAAAGGGTGAGTGTGTATGTGGAGGCTCTCTTTTTTTTGACAGAGGGGAGGACGGACGATGGAAGGAAGGAGAGAGGTTCCAGGAACGAGAAGTCAAAATGGTCGGACGATGAGTGATGCAGTTGAGGGAGAGGGATGAATGAAGAGACGAGGGCGAGGAAGATGAAGACACACAAAGGGGTGGAGTAAAAAAACAAGAAGGCGTGTAAGAAGAGGGGGAAAGGAAAAGATGAAATAGGAAAAATAGACAAAAAGGACGAAAAGAACAAGTAATGCGAACCTGTCAAGAAGCGAAGCGGACGAATAGCACTTCAAGACACGTCAAGACTGACGAACGAAAACTGTGTGCAACCTCAATCAATTGTGTCTGGTATTCTTTGCATGCTTGCTAATACAAGGCGGAGGTGAGCTTTTTTTCCCTTTTGTATTCGTCACTCACTCGCACTCGTCCGAGACAGCCTTTTACCGCTTGGCAGTAAGTGAATGTTTTTTACTGTCGTTAGGGCTTGTGGGCTGTGTGGGCTGAATGCAACAAATTTTGCTTGGACGTCAGAATGGGAAGGGCTGCGCGTATTGCTGTTGCTTTATGCTGATGTCCGTCGACACCGCAGCTGAGAGGGAAAGCGACAGCAATAACAATGACAGGATCTTGCCTTCTGCAGCTCCCGTTTTCTTTCTATATCTATGCCATGGGGCAATGGTCAGACCGATAAGCTACTTTGATCTACCTGATCGACAGACTGTATCACATCCATTGATCAGTACGCGGTTCCACTTTGGAAATAAAAACGCGTCCTTGTCTTCGATCTAATGCAAATGGTGGCTTAGTATGCCAAGCACACTCAAACGCGAAAGAAAAAAGGGTCCCTTTCTCCACACCTGCAAAAGATCTCTTTCTTTGCATTACTCCAAACAACTCCTCCTCTTTCACTCATTTCCGGCTTCTTCGCTCACAATGAGCCATCCCACCGAATTCAGACCTGTCGCGCACGAGTTCTTCAGCAAGGGCTTCCATGGAGCAGCATTCGTCGGAGCAAAGGCCTCCGACGCTTTCTGGTTCTACCGATTCGACTCATCCTCCATCGAGGTCCGCGACACCTTTACGTGTCACGACAAGGTCTTTGCCTCCCTCTCCATCACCGATATCAAACAACGCTTCAGACACTTGCTCAGGAGTGACCAGGTACCACTACTGCTCTTTATACCTGATATCAAACTTGTCACGAAAAGAAAACAATGACAGGACTCAAAACAATAAGGGAAAAGGGTTACGCGTCTAACAATGTATATGCCTGAACCTCAACTTTTTATTCTAGATCCAAATCGTTAATGTCCAGGATGCATATGTTGGAGAATCGCACACGATAGTGTTTGTGGTACGGGAAGGCGACGAGGATCGGGACCACGTCTTTATCTGGAACCTGCTGACACTTCAACTCCAATGGCTCGTCTCTCCACCGCGACTCTTGACCGCCGCAACAGTGACGCCACAGCAAGCAATCATGGTGAGGCATCGTTTAGTAAAGTCATGGGGCAAGCCGCAGTCGCGACCACATTCACTGCGCTTGTCAACATCGTCATTATCATCGTCATCCTTCTCCCTTACCTCCCCGTCATCTTCGGTCCCACCACTAATCTCACCTGGATCTGCTCGGTCTTCCCGATCATCATCGTCGTCCTCATTCCATCTGCAGAAAGGCTACCAAGGACCCGCTTCGCCGACATCGATCAACCAGGACGAGGAACAGGAAGAAGACAATGAGGAAGAGGATCATTCACAGTCCAAGGGGCGTATCCAGAACAACCGGAGACAGCTTCTGGTCCTCGGACACCGGAATGGATGGGTAACCATCTACAAGTTTACTGTCTCTGTCACCGGGCAAGTCTCCTGCAACAAGGTAGGCTTATAGTGTATGCAGTTAATTGCCAACCTTTTATCCCTTAAATGAGTATGAAACTGACATGTATCCATTGCTTTTCTTATCGACTATTAGGAACCAGAACACGAGAAATGGCTGGAAGATGGATCGGTAAGGCAGCTTTCACATCTCAACCAGGATCGACACATGGACACGTCAATGACGAATGCAAAAAGGGCTCATACGTTGACCGTTATTCTGTTTAGATTACTTGTCTTGCAACCCTTTCCAACAAGAACACAGGAGCCCGCCCCGTGATCGTGGCAGGAACATCAGAAGGAAAGGTCGTTGCCATTCGATACGACGACGCGCAGGAGGGCAACAAGCTGGATTCTCTCTTGACCATCAAGGATCTTCACTCGAAGACCCTCCCCATTACCAACCTCACCCTGGAGCCAACAAAGGATGATGGCCTGGATCTTTTGGTCGTCGGACAGGGCTCTTGGCCAGGTAGCAGCAAGAAGAGCAAGGAATCACCCGCCGTGTCAATGTATTACCTCCGCCTTCAGAAATCGGATTCTCGACTCTTGGGCTACGTGCGGCCACCGACAGTGGAAGGCGAGGTCTCGACAGGCGGAAGCACTTTGACGACTACAGTCTCTGAGGACACCAACGGTTGTCGCGTCCACTGCATCTTCTCGACAGACTTTGAGAACGTGCCATCACTTACCCACCTCGCCACGGTACAGATTAACCAAAACGACGTACCAGAGCCAGATGTCACGTCAATGGACGATATTGGAGGAGGTGCTCTTTTGGATATCAGCCCACAGACCAACTCGTACGAGTTGATGGTCCTGTACCTCAGCAAGCTCGTGACCTACGTCAAGGCAGCCGATATCGAATCTAACCGGTTGGAATCTGAATGGGCTGAGGGGATTGACGGGCCAGAATCTGCACGCAGGGACATGGCACCGCTCTACAACACATTTTTCCAGGAAAAGGCCAAGTTTACATATAGCGACTCGGAACTGGCCGAGATTGAACAGCGACGCAAGCAACTGGGCGGAAGGCTTTTCTATGACCGCCTCTTGGAGTTTGTCGAACTCGATGGTAAACCCGGGGGATTGTTACACTTGATGTTGAAGTATTGTCTTCCTGGGTATGCAATGCCAACGCGCAATATACTCATTCACGTTTGAATATTCTTAGTCGGCATGCTGTACCCTCCCAAGAACCACGCCCAACAACGCAACTTGTGGACCAACATTTACTTCAACGGCAACCTCGAGGCTGACAACAGGAACTGTCTGGCGTACTACCTCTTGAAGAACCAGCATGGAGATATCAGTGAGCAGTTCCTTCGGGAATACAGAATCCCATCCAAGTTTGTCGATCTCATCAACGGATTCTGGGCACTCGACCACTTTGACTTCAAGGTAAGAGCGGCATCCAAGTGAATCACGCGATTCTATGAGTACTAGTGAGGGAGCGGAAAAGCTAACGTAAATTTACACGTTGCGTTGTGTTTATAGACTGCGGTGTTATACTTGTCGAGGCCGGGACTGACGGTGGACTGGATCGAGGACGTGATTGATGCCATTGCAGAACATGGATCGCCTCAGTTGGCAAGACAATTTCTCGTTGCGGCTGACTTGGACTACACCTCGGAGCGGTTCATTGATATCAAGATGAAAATTATGGTTGAAACCGATTTTACAGAAGCTTTCTACTACCAGAGGTCACCTGTGGTCAGTCACCATCCTGCCATAGAAGGTCAACAGGTGGATGATCCAGCAGATAGGAAGGAGCGTTTGTTCACTGCTTTGTTGGACCATTGCTTCCTCGGTAAGTCCGTTCGTCGTACTGTCGCTTTGCGGTTTAGGTGTCATTTGCAATTGAGTGCGTTTTTACTGACTCAACGAATGTTTGAACGATGCACCGAAATAGACAAACCCAACAGGAAGGCTATACAGGTGCTCTCACAGTTGACAATGAACGAGACCGAAGAACGAATGTTCACTCAATACTGCGACGGCCATTCAGGACTGACGCGCGAGATCGGACAAGAGTTCTTGATCATGTACTATGTCAACCGCTCACGATACATGGAGGCGATCCGGATGCACCGCAAGCGATTGGCCGTTGAGCGTGAAATGGACGAAGCAGAGCAGTTCCATCGTGATGCGATTAATCGTCGCAACAGCCGGCAGTTAGGTGGTAATCAGAATGGAGAAAGCCCTTCCCAACTTACTTTGAGCAGGAGCCAGAAGCGACAGGTTTTGATTGATCAGTTGATGAAGGTGTTGCCGGCCCCTGAAAGACTCATCTTGAAACTCGAGAAGGAGCAATCAAGCCACACCACTGCTTCTGCCGGAGCACGGACAGCCTTGTCGAGCCACTTGTCGTTCAACACCGGTCGTGATGTGCAGGAAGATCGCCGCGAGGGTGATGTGAAGAAGCAGAAGCAGCAGAAGGGTGAGCTCGCATCTGGAAGCAAGGGGATTCTTCTGGCGCTTTTGGATGAGACGGACGCGCCTTCGACCAGTCTAAAGGGGTTGGATCTAGACTGGGCGACGAAGTCGTTGACTGGCGGGGAAAAGAGAGACGAGGCGGACGGTGGTGATCGTGGCTGTGCTGATGCGATGTCGGTGGACGATGATGAGCCTGAGATCGCCGCCAACGGTGCACTTTCCGATAGGCCCAAGGACTCGATTATGGACCTCGATTCTGATTAGATGGCGTCGCCGAACGGCTAATAATTAAAGAAAATGTGCGCTTTTTATTGTTCAAGTGAGTGCCAGTTGGTGTACATCAGTTATGGATACAGATAATTAGGTTGAATAGTAGAGAAGGAAATGGGAGAGAAGAAGAAAAAAAACATGATGTGCGTTCTGAGCAAAAGCTCCTGCAGAAAAAGGAGCGGCATCGTGACATGCAAGATGTGGATCCAAAGTGATAGTCTTGGGGCATGGCGCGTGTGCAAAGCATTCTTTTAAATGGTGATCATTGGCCATTGTTCTCACGATCAGTGCGCGACTTACGACAGCGCGTAATATCATCTAACCATGTCCAATTGTTAATGATATGATGAGTACAAAGACTATTATGTCGTCTCGGTCACTTAAGATGCCAGAACTCTTTTTTTTATTCTCGCTTTTGCAACCGTTCTATCGGTGAAAGGATACCTAGTCGCCATACACTCCAGATGACCACCCTTGCTGTGTTTCTGTCTACGCCGACCCAAAGTTGTCCTACTCCCAGGTCCCACCCCTGCATTCACCACAAGTTTTCACAAACTCACGCGACAGTTCCTCTCACAGCATGCTGTTCATATCCCAGATCATCATCCACTATATCGCAAACAACTTCCGCTGCCTCGCGGGTCGTAGGCACTGTGCCTGAAATATGTCCTGCAACCTGCAACGTCCCTGTGTGATACGCATTTTGAAGTAGGTGGTTATTTATTCAATGTTTTGTTTGTCGTAGCGTACTTGTGCAAGCCCGTTACAAGAGTCGTCCCTGAGAAGGCCATCCTTCTTCTCCATGAGTCATTTTTTGTTGTTGTATGCTGGTTTGTTTTTTTGGTTCGTAATGAGTGCACGTTTAGGGAGCAATCAAGCGGCATCCGTTGTGGTCAGGAAGAGCTCCGAGGATGATCAGGACAATATCGATGATGTACCAGATACCAAATCCACCAACTAAACAAACAGAAGTAGAAGGGACAAGATTGCTGTCAGTATTTACATGCTATTATTCTATCCATTCCCCGCGGTCAACACAACCAGGGGAGCGGGGAGGGCTGAAAGTGTTTGGCTGTTGACCTTCAAAAATAACCAGACTTTCTATTGCTCCCGTCGTGCTTGTTGAATATCCGTTCTATGTGCCCTGTCTGTTTTACTCCCGCGTCATCTGTCCTTTGTCCTTTGTGTTTCTTTCTTAGATTCCATGGTTTGACAGTATCAAGAGGGCGTAAAACAACCATAACAGAGAACAAGAAGTAAGACATTGAAGAGCGAAGGGAAAAGAAAAATAAATAAATAGAGAACGTACCGGTGGCAAGCTTGAGGAGGGCAGTGAAAATGTATCCAAGGTAGAAACGGTCAATGCTATTCATGGGAGAGTAAGAAAAAAAATAGGGGTTAGTTGGGATCGTTTCCTCTCACACAGCAAAAAAAAAAAAAAAAACTATGAAAAGCAAACAAAGCATGAGCACGACGCCTTCCACTTAAGCAATTGAGTATCCCCCTTCTCTTTGTCCATCTCCCCTGCAAGAAACGTACCCAAACTCGCCCAAAAAGAGGGACAAGATAATAGCCACAGGGTAGGAACGGTCAGACTCGCAAACGGAGGGAGGACGCAGGCTCGTCAAAAGTCCCTCGTCACCCGAAGGAGGAGTATGTTTCTTGTGCTTGTGCTCGTAAAAGTACAATCCAACGACGACCGAGACGGCAGTGACGGCAGCGAGGAGCCAGAGGAAGAAATAACGCTTGCGGTGGGTGTGGACGTGAACAAAGGTGCGACCGTAGAAGGTGTCGTTGGCCTCGGTGTTGTTGACCTGGTGGTTGTTGAGGAGGGCCTGTGACTCTTGGTCGCGAGCTCCGGCAGGGGCGGCATTGGTTGCTCCGTAATTCGACATTGCGATGGGTGTGGAAGGAGGAAAAGGTGTGTTGGAGAATGAATGAGAAAGAAAAAGGAAAAGAGAAGAGAGTGGGCGGAGGGGAGGTAGGGGCAAAACAACAGAAAACAATACGAGAGCCTTTGGGTTATGGTCAAGGCAGAAACACGCAGGAACACCGTCGAGACTGCGCTCAAGACCTGCTTGGCTGGTTCGAGGCCATATTTGTTCATGTCCGTGTTGGTGTGGGATGTGAGAACATTCATGCATGGATGCATGCTATCGTAACCTTCTGTCTTCTCGCCAAGAACTGCGTTTTCTTTATGCCACTTCTCCTTCTTTACCCAGTCTACCTTACTTCTTTTGTCACTCTCTCCCTTCTTTTGTCTCCAGTCTCCTCCTTGATCTCCACCTTGACCACTGTCAGGGTAGGTCGCCCTCCGTCTCGTCTCCATTGCTTTTTAGTCAGTTGCGTCTCTATCGACAACCGTTACATGAACAAGGCATAGCCTGGATATGTGTTCGTTCGCCTCGAACGCCATGGGTGATGAAATTGCACCAACATGCAAACCACGCGTCAGTATGTTACCTGCACGTGATTTAAAATACGACTGCAGGAAACTACGAGTTATGATTGGCCGACTATGGCGCCATCGTTTTCCTTGAGCGTAGGCGCAAAGAAAAAAGACCCTGAAGTTCAGGTTGCTGTCGACACTCTTTCTTCCTTCTTCCCCCCTTTTTCCTTTCTATTTCATTCCACATTCCATTCACCATACTTCGACGCTTACCTTGTGCCCTTGCACGATTATTATTTTTTTCTAACAAGTTTTCTTCTAGCGAACCGATAAAACTTATCAGGAGGACACCGGCTCACGAACAAGCACTTGAGTATCGAGCAGCACCCTCGACACTGGATCAACTTTGGACACACGGACCAACTGATCATGTCCTCTTCCTTCTCGCATGCACACCTACCTACCTCCACCCATCACCTTCACCCTCACCCTCCTGTCCTCTCAACACCTCCTTCCTCACCTTCTTCCTCCTCTTACCTGCCAACACTATATCCACACTAATTCATTATTTCCCTTCTCGTTTTGTACGTAAAGCCAACTCCTCCACGTATGGTTCAAACGACCAACGGCTTATTTTTGAGTCAGATAACAACAGGATTACGAACAGCAAAGGGCGATCGGTAAACAGCAGGAAGGTTTGGGGGGGGGACCAGAGTCAGGATTTTTTACGATATTGAAAAGTATTGAGAATACAGCCGTTGATTTTATTGAAGAATGTGCTTTTTTTACAAGTGGGATGATATACAAAGAGGAAGAGGCCGTTGGATCAGGACCCCGCAGGAAGGAGTCATAAGCAGGAGCAAAGGAAAGCGGACAGCTACCCCCCCTTCAACTTTAAAAAGAAAGAAGAAAAAAAGGAGCCGCAGCGCAAAAGGGCATTGATCACATCAGGAACAACCATCCTCCCAAGGAGTTGAACCTCTACGGGTTCTTGTCGTTCTCGGTCAAGGAACAAGCCGAATACGCCGCAGAAGGACAACTCTGCAACTTCTCACCCCTCTCCGAAAAGAAAACACACTTGCCGGACGCTCTAGCCATCGATGACTTTTCATTGAACGTCTTGCAGGTCTCGTAAGGAGGCGTATACAAATGCAAGGACAGGGATCCGGCACCAACGGACTTGAGAGGGTTCGAGACTCGATGGAGACCCAGTTGGTCGGACATGTAGGCACATTCGTCCCGGCCCAGAATCGTCTCCTTCTTGACCATCATCGGCGCAGATTTGGAGGACTTGGTGACACATGAGGAGTCGTCGCTATCGCTGTTATCGCTCCCGAGACCGGAATCGAAGTGGTGGTCGGAGGAGGATTCGAGCTGGACTCTGTCTGGCCATTCGTACAGGGTCTCTTGCAGCTTGCCATCAAGGACTTTCATCAGACAATGGGAGCCCGAGTGGTCATGGATAGCGCTGTATTGTTCAATGGAAAAAAAAAGGAAGCAAGGAAAAAAAGAAAAAAAGAGTATTAGCACAGTACACAAGATCAATAAACAACAAAAGAACCATTACTACGCACATTAGCACCATCAAAACATACCTTCCAACGTTCTCGGGCCAGGCGAGGATCATGAGGTTAAACTTGCCGTTGCCATCATCAACCAAGTTACGAGTATACCGTCCCTTATCGAAATGGGCGTATTTCTTCCAATCTTCCTCGTTGGAGACATAGTTGGTCATCAGGGCCTGGACTCTGTCCACATCTACGCCTTCGCTGTCCAGTCCGTTTGAACCCAACTCTGCATGCAGGAGTTTGACGAGCTCGTCGAGGGATGTTGGCACTGGGACGGGGGTTGTGGCTGTGGCTGTGGCTGTGGCCGTAGGAGTAGTAAAGGCGGAAGAAATAGAAGCAGACATCTTGTGGATTGTTGGGTGGTGAAAGGGATAAAAAGAGGGAGGATAGAATAACAAATGAGAGACGCCTGTGAATGTGAGAAGGGTTTCGCTATGTCTTGTTGGATTGAGAGTGAAAAAAAGGAACAAGGGAAGAGAAGAGAAGAATGAAAATCAAATATCAAGCTTCACTCCGATTTATCCACCAAATAACTGGGATTCTGGAACATAAGGGATCACACTCAACTCATGACGGGTAAGGTACTCTCACACTTTTTTTGAAGGTTGTCAATCACTGTTCATTGTACGGTTCCCCTGTCATGTCATCGCAAAACAGGTGCCCCTGCTGATGTATAAACCGCCAAAGGTAACGTGGAACAAGGGTATGCTTTTCCGATGCCTACTTGAAACATTGCAAAAGACTCGACCTACAACACTTTGATGACTCTTTCTTTGCTCACAAAACTGGGGACATTTGCGTAAAGTACAGGGTGGAAAAAAAAAAGATATGGTACGTGGTTTATTTTTTTTTGGTGTTGTATATGGTAGTAGACAAAAAAATGAACAAAAAACAAAAGGAAAAGCAAAAGAAATTGAAGGTGTGGTTTAGGATGATGAATAGGTGTCCAGCAGCGACATCATCTCTTCGGGAATAATGGGGACAAAGACTCGCTCGATCCCATGCTCGCGCTCCGCCAAGTTCTCAGGGATCAACAAGGCGAGCCATGCCTTGCTGTTGCGCGTCTCGTTCAACAGCGTGGCCTCCTCCTCCTGATCGCGCTGACGCTGTCGTGCCCTAGCCTTCTCCGCCTCGGTCAACAAGGCTGCTGGAGACTGCTGGGTCGCTGCAGGTGCGGACGCCGTCGTCGTCATGGTCGCTACCGTCTCTACCGATGACCGTGCCGTCGCTGGAGCAGTCGCCGTCGCGGGTGCAGGGGTCACATCGGTCATCGACATCATCGTCAAAGGACGCTCACGTTTTCGGTCCATCATCTGCCGGCGGACCATCCGCTCGGTATCTGCCGCGACCTGGAGGACATACTGTGTAATCTCCTCGCCCAGTCTAGGCTCGTTCACCTCAAACCGATAAGCGCTGACAACACGCTTGACCTGAGTAGGGTTCAACAGCTCCAGCTTCCTGAGGGTCTCGATCCAGGTAGGGAAATCTTCCTGGAGAGACAAAACCTGCAGCAACTGAAGCAGCTGGACCAAGGGCGCAAACTGTTCGTGCAGCGTGGGTGGCAAGTTGTTGAGGCGGATCCAGTCCTCAAGAATCGAAAGGTTGAGTCGGGTTTGGAGCGCCTTGCTGCGAGAGAGCAGCTTCTTGTTGGAGATCATCCGGTTGAACACCTCGGTCGAGACGTAGTAGAGCAACTGGGCGAGCACATAGTGAATAAAGTCGGGGTGGATGTCGTAGGTCTGCATCACAAACAACAACGACGACAACATGGTCGTGATGGTTCTGGGAGAGATGCGGCGCTGACGAGGCGATGGAGGGCGGTTGGCGAGAGGAACCATCGAAGAGGACGATGTCCTTGCCAATGGTCGTTGAGTGTTGGGTGTCGATGTGCCAGAGGTTGCGGATCCTGCAAAAGTCGATGTCGATGTCAGGTTGGGCGACAACGGAGAACTGGTCCGCTTGGCTGTGTTGTTCTTGGATGACGCCTTGCTCATACTGCCCCTCCAAAGAAAAGCCCAGTCAGACTGGAACTTGACCTCGTCCATTCCTGCAATCGTGTCGTGTTCGAGCATCGCCGATTCAAGAATCTTTTCAATCCTCCGCTCGGCATCGACAACAATCATCTGAACCATGTCCAGCAAGAGCGCCTCAATCCTCATCTGGTGAAAGTCGGTGGCCTGGTTGATACCGACATCCTTACGAAGGAAGTGGAGCAACACGCTGGTGTTGGAGATCCAGTAGGCTGTCAGAGTCATGTCCTCTGGCTTTGCCTAATTATCCCGATGTTAACAAAGACACACAAAAGCCTTGTTAGCTCATTGTCCCTTGAAAAATTATGCACAGACCGACAAGCGCCTTGGAACAAGTAGACCCTCGCTCTCCTTGACCCCCAACAATACCTTTGTCACGTTCTTGACGGCAAGAATAGTGGCCTCGAGCAGCTCTTCCAACAATTCCGGTGAACTGAAATAGTGGGCAAATCTTGCAGCCAAGAATAGAACGTAGGCAGGGATGGGCTTGTGAGATCTTGAGCGTGTAGGCTCCATAGTCGTGATGGTCGTCTCGATAATATGCTTGATGTCCTTGCTCGAGAAGACAAACATCTGATCCGGCAGACAGCGATCCCACTCAAACTCTCCTTCATCATCCAGTTGGGGCTAATTGGGAGTGCAGGGTCATTCCATTGAGGAGGGGTGCAAAATAACGATTGTTAGTTAACATGACAAATACCTCAATGATAAACAAACAAACAGTAATCCAAGAGAAATATAGGAGAGCAGTGCTCTGTTCACGGACGAGATCAAGAGACTTGCATGCGGCCCAAATAATATCATCCGCCCCTCTTCTCATACCTCATCCTTCATGCTCACTCCTGCTCACTCCCTTCACATCCTCTGATCTGACTTGAAAGCCCCTTTTTTAAATGTCTCTCTCACTTCGCAGCATTTGACAAAAATAGTTCTTGCGCCCAGCCATCTTGCAACCGTCTTTCTTGTTTCTCTTCCTCTCTCCTTTCTCACTGTGGCGTCATCTGTGAATCAAGACCACAACAGAGATCGCATCGCCAAGCACTGAAAAATGGAAAAGGGGAAAAAGGGAAAAGGGAAATGGAAGACAGGTTTCCGTCCCAACATGCACATGCCGCACAGGTAAAATAGAAATCGACAAGAAGGGGGGGGGGGGGAAAGACTTTCAAATGCAAAAAAAACAGGCCGACAGGGGCTAAGTAGGGAAAAGCCGACTGACACCGCCCATGGTAACACAGCTGCAAGAAGAGAGGGATGGGAAGGAAGAAAGTCTGAAAGGGGGAAAATAAACAAAAAAAAAATAGAGAACAAAGCACCTAGATACGCACCTGATCCGCTAAAGAGAGGTCGGCCATGTCGACATCGAATGCATTGGCACTGTCCATGGCCATCCGGTACCGCCGCTCGTTTTCGGCCATAATTTCCTCGAATCCCTCGATCCCGCTCTGGTAGAAAAAGTCGTCGCCAAGGGACGAGTTGTTGGTCCTGAAGAGAGATCCGTTACTTGAGACACTGTCGCGTCGGCCAGGTTCCTGAAAGATCTGCACAATCTTGGTGTTGTCGTTGGGGTCATGGCGCAAAAAGTCAACGATGGTGTGACCCTTGGCAGTCTGGGCAGAGGTAGAGGCGCCCTGTTCGAGCAAGAGTCGGACAATATTTTCGTGCTTGTTGTTGGTTGCCCAGACGAGGGCGGTCCAGCCGAACTTGTCGCGGGCATCGACCAGCGCTCCAGCCTCGAGCAACATGAATGCAATCTCTGTGTGCCCAAAGCATGCTGCGTAGATCAGCGGGGTGGTTCCGTCCTCGTCCTGGGCCTCGAGGTCGATCCAGTCCCGAAAGTTGTCGAGCATATCGGCGACTCTGTTCATGTCTCCGTTGGAGGAGGCTCTGGAGAACAGTTTAGACATTTTGATCTTTTTGTCCTTGTCGGTAATGGACCGCTCCATGATCCCGCGTGGATCATCCAACTGCTCTCTATCGAAGTCTAGCGCAAGGGGCGAGCTGGCAGCAGTAGTGGTAATCTGGATCGCTTGACCTTGGGTCAACATTTCGAATTCGCGGTCGAGCCTGGCGAGTGCATCGGTACCGGCGTTTCCGCCCAAGAAGGAGAGGGAAGAAGTAGAGGAGGTCACAGCCCTGGCTGCGGTGGGTGAGGTGGACGATGATGCCAAGCCTGTGACGGTATCGTGCATCTCGGCAGCTTCAGCGGCATCAAACTCGTTAACGTCGACATCATCCTTGCTCCTTTGGAAGCGCAGTGTTGTGGCGAGGTCCTCTTGGTCGTAAGGATTGGATCCCCAAGGGTCGAGCTGCTCTCCTCTCTGGATAGGCAACATGCTTGTGCTCGCTGGCGGTGTCGTTGTTGTTATTGTGAGGCTCTCTGGTGGGGTTTGTGACAGTGTTGAGGTTGCATTGGTGATAGGAGAGGAGACCTTGTCGGTATGTACGTTGGGTTCAGTGGTCTCGGTGACGACAGAGCAGAGCGAGTCTGATCCAGAGTGGCTGCGACGATGGAGGTCGCGGTGATGGTTGTCGTCATCGTCGTCGCCAAAGTCGGTTGTGGCTACAGAGTCGGCAGAGATGTGGGAGAAATGTTTTGATTTGATGTCTTCTGTGGATGAGGAGACGACGGTGTCGGCGTCGTTGTCGGCGTGCATGTTGTCGAAGGTGTCTTGTCTGATTGAGTCCATGCGAGTGCACGGCAGAAGAGAAGAGGGGAGCGGAGGTAGTGAGGGTGTGTAAGTGAGAGTGTGAGAGTTATGAGTGAGAGTGCGAGAGTGGGTAAGTGGAGTGGGGTTGGGTCGAGTTGAGTAGAGGTAAAGTGAAGAATGAATTGGAAAGGAAAAAAAAAAGAATGAGGCAAGAAAGAGGAGAGAGTGATGGGGATGATGAAAAGAGAAAAAAGAGAAGAGAAGTGAAGAGAAGTGAAGAGAAGAGAAGAGAGGGAAGACGAAGAGAAGGAAAGGAAGAAGAGAAGGAGAGAGGTGTGAAAAGGGTGCCTGAGATAGAGTGAGAGTGTTCAAAAATAACACTCAGTGACAGGATTCCACCACCGACAGACTTATTTTTGTAATGCTTATGCGGTGAGTGGTATGACTTGTCGTGAAACTTGCCACGAAGGAAGGGAAAGAAGGAACAGCGGAATCACGATGATATTAGGGGATGATGATGATGATAACGATGGCAAGTGAACAGGGTATAGGAGTTGTGGACAACGAAGACAAAGGAGAAGAAGAAGGACAAAGGGAAAGAAAGAGAAAACGAAGAGGGAGAGATAAGCTGAACGGAAATGAAAGAAAAGAAGGTTGGAAGGTGGAAGAGGAGAAGGAGCAGGAGGAAGAGGACGAGGATGAGGATGAGGAAGAGGAGGGCAAAAGGGAGGGGGAAAGGGTGAAAAGTGTGAAGGAAGGAAGGAAGTTGTTGAAGGTGAAGAGGTGAACAGGTAAAGGAAGAGAGTGGAGGTTGGGTGGAGTGACAACGAAGAGGACAAAGGAGTGTGCCCAAAGAAAATTGCTCACAGTCAAAAAGGGATTATTGTCATCGTTCGATGGGAATGGGGATACTGAATATTGCAATATAGAGATTCCTATGGATTCACCTTAGCGTTCTCTTCTCTGTGTCTTGGCTCTCTTTTTTTTTTCTCTCTCTCTCTCTCTCTTTATCATATTCACTTGTTGTCATGCCATCTCTCTCTCTCTCTCTCGTTCGTTCTCTTCTCTTCTGTTCTCTTCTCTTTCTTTGCCTGTCAAGAGAAACAAGAAGAATAAGAAGAAGAAGAAGACGAAGAAGGAGAAAATGAAGGGAGCACAAAACAAACGGAAGACCGAACAAACGAACAAACGAACGACACAACAAGTGAGGTATCCATTCCAACAGCCTTACACCAGACTATGGTAAACTCAAAGCAAGGAAATGAAGAGAGAGACGGCTCAGATTGGGCGCCACTCCCATGACGATACTCTCATGTTTATTGCTGTTGAATGAGACTGTGAGAGTGGAGGAGGAGGAGCAGGAGCAGGAGCAGGAGGGTTGAAAGAGGAGCATCCGACGAGACATGAATGGGAACACAAAGTCAACTGAGGATGTTTAACCCAACAAGGTGCGATAACAACAGCATAAAACAAGTATCGGCAGTGAATGAGTGAGTGGATGGATGACCCATAGGAATACATCCCCTACAATCAAGCAGCATGGGCCATGCAACATATTATCGGCTACTACACCCTAAGACAGTGCGCAATTACTAATTTTCCTTGCTTGTTTGTTTTGCTTGTTATCTTGCCGAGGTGTGTGTGGGCAGGGCAGCATAGACCTACTCTCACTATGCAAGATGCCATACGTACATACACAAACACATTCACATACGCATACAAACAGAGAGGACAGACAGCACACGGACACGGTTTGTTTGTTTGTTTGTTTGGTTGGCTGGTTGGCTGGGAGAGACTAATACCATGTGTTTGATTCATGGACGGTGTCCCGCACTCGGTTTCTGTTCTCCAACGTGTCTCCAGGGGAAGGAGCAACACACTTTCTCAGGCACACTATCACCGTCAAGGGAAAAAAGGCAAAAAGAAGGAGGTGACATCTTCATACAGATGATATATAATTTAAAAAGGCACGCAAGAGTCATACACACTCACTCACAACAGCAACAATGTTGCTGGGCCATGTCATTGTCCTCCTTTTCTCTCTCTCCTTCCTCGATCAACCACAACAATGTTAAGCACGTACAAACCTCCTTTTTTTGTTCCCGCTTCTCCACATCCACATTCACATTCACGTTCACGTATCAACACAGCAAACCACCAGCACAACAAAACAACGTGTGTGGTCCCTCACACATGTACAAACGGTAAAAGGTGGACGGGGGAACCGATCCAACTCAATTTTTTTTTTGCTTTGCGATCCTTTTCTTACTTTCGACTCCTTGCGTTTCGCCAACATCAATGGATGGCCCATGTCCCCACACCCAGTTCAGCTTTGAATTTTTGCTCCTTTCTGATTCTTGTCCCGTTCAGCTTTGCCCTTTTTTCATCCTCCGTCTTTTTTTTCTTTTTGATAAAATTGTGTCGCTTTATATCCTGGACTGGGTTCTCCAGGACAGGCATGCTTTGCCACCATGGCCATTGTTAATTTTTGCTCCCAAGGAGACAAATAAGAAACGAGGAGCAATGCCTGGCCTTCCAAAGTACCTGCTTCCTGCATTGCTTGCTCGTTTGACTTCTTACTCACTTGCTCGCTGGCCTGGCCTTGCCTTGCCTCGCTTTTTGCCTTTGCTTGCAAACAGAAGAAGCTTGTTCATTTTTGCATTAAAAAAGTCATCGAGCTTGTTCCTGGCTCAAGGAAAAGGACCCCGACATGAAGAGAAAAAGACCCGACAACAAATTCGATCAGAACAAGCCGGAAGAAATAGCTTTCCTTTAGGCCCGTTCTACAAGAAAGGGACCGTCGTGATAGATTTTGAAGGGAATAGGGAAGATTTGAGAACAAATGGAACTATCAATTGTCTGCGAAACACTCATAGATCGTGCCCAGTGTGTCTCTTTCTAATAATAATGCCACGCTTGTATTTTCACAGTCAGCGAAATGACGATGAGACTGAAGTGGGGTGCAGGCACACAAGAATTCAGGTACAAGGCGGCAATAGTCCGTTGGACACGGAAAGTTAGCAGCCATGTAAGACACGAACCTTTGGCAGTGAACAAGCACCACACCCAGCCGCCTCTTTGTAACCGTTTTGTCATTTGTTGCTTGGCATGGCCATTGGGCATGACTAAACGGGAACACACCCTTCACGTTCGGACGGAGAAAGAGAGAGTAAGAAGAGCACGATCGATCGACCCACCAGCATTGCAGAGCAAAATGAGTAAGGCTCCGAGCATCACGTGCTGTTCGCTTCAGCAGATACAATTCTAGGGAGACAATTGTCCAATCAGAGCACAGCATACATGGAGTAACACTCCGTCCCCTTGGCAAGCTTGTCAAAGTGAGCAGCTGCATTCATTTACTCATCTCCACGGACTGACTCCAACTCTCTGCCTGCCTGACTGACCTTCTACTACCTCTCCATCCCTTCGTCCTCTTTACCCAACTCTTTCTTTTTCTTCACCCAACCGCCCTTTTCCTTCATCCTCCCTTCTCATTCCCCATTCCCCCATTTCTAATTCTACCCAACAACTCTCTTTACTTTCCCCCAACCTTCCCTCCCGATCGCTCTCATCCGACAATGACCCGAGAGATCAACGCCCTCACATCCATAATCAACTCGCTCGGCCCCCCAAGAAAGACAAAGTCCAGGGGCCCCAAATACCGCAGAGCTGCAGTCGCCATTATCATCCGAGTCCGACCCGATCATCACCGCTACTCCCAATACAGTTCTACTCGTCAACAACAACAGGACCAGAACACAAGTGCAGGATCAAAGCAAGAACAACAGGGACAAGGACAACCAGGACAGCAGCAGCTCCGCCCAATTCAGGCAATCGAGAACCCTGAATCGCTGGATGAGTTCTTTGACCAGGATTGGGTCCAGACAGGAGTCCCCGAGATTCTCTTTATCGAGCGAGCGACCCGAAAGACAGATCGGTGGAGTGGCCATGTGGCTCTGCCGGGTGGTAAACGGGAGGAGGCCGATGAGGATGATCAGGAGACGGCTGCCCGAGAGACGTTGGAGGAGATCGGACTTGACTTGTCTGATCTGACTCAATTCCGGTGCCTTGGCGCCCTGGACGATCGGGAGCTCTGGACTTCGTTCGGTCAAGTCTTCTTGATGGTCCTCTCACCCTTTGGTATGTGTTGGTGTATTTTTGTAAAGATTGTAGGGGTGGTTTGATTCTTTATCCTCTAGTTGTACTCTACTTCCCCGCTTCCCTTTTTTTGTTCACAAACCCCTGTTGTCCCGAAAATCCCTGCAAAGTGAGCTGTGAAGGCATTTTTTTCTTCTCTCGCCCTAGTCAGCCGAGACCGGTTTTTCCTTAAAACCCAAAAAAAAAAAAAAGAAAAAAGATGAGCAGTTGTCATCCGTCGCCATCTTTCTCCCCGTCCCTGAGTGTGCACAAAACAAGAAGAGGATGAATTATTTGCCAGAGCAAATATGCGGAAAGGAATGGACACATCTTAACGTTTATTTCACATGTATCTTGCTTACTGACCCGGATCTTTTTTTTTTCTTTTCTCTTTTTTTTGTTCCTTGCGGGCTTGGCTTTTTTTGGCTTGACCTTATTTTCTAACTGTCGCTAATCAACCGACAATATCAACAACCATCCAACAACATCCACACAACCTCAACAAAAAACGACAATGACGATGAACAGTATACATCCAGTTATCTCCTTCGACACCTCCATTGAAGCCCCAGCCAGATGAAGTCGCATCGGTACACTGGCAACCCCTCTCTCTGTTCCTGGATCGTCTGGAGAAGCCCCAGTGGACGCCCATGACCATCAACCTCTCCTCCAAACTCACCCCTCGCCTCTCACGAACGTTCCTCAAAGGTCTCTTTGGAACAATGTCCCTCCATTCCGTCGAGATGCCCTATCGACCAGAATTCGTCCTTCGCACCACCACGTCCTCTGCACCCTCTCGTCTTCAACAATCCACAGTCGACATTTCTTCTTCAACGTTATCAGGATCAGGAGCCACAACAAAGGTGGTGATCGACTATGAGCCGGAATGGGACCCCGAGCACAGACCACTGAAGCTCTGGGGACTCACATTGCAGATGATGGCCGATCTGTTGGAGCTCAAGGATGGCCCGATTCAATTGGACATCCGGCAAAAGGTTTGGGATTCCAAGCGGATGCGTAGACGTCTGGATGCGGGTTACCTGCCGGGTTTCTCGCAGACTGATATGCATTTCTGGGTTCGCGCCTTGCTCAAGTTCCACTCCTGGCAGGGCACTGAGAAGTAAGTTTTGTCCCTCCTTTTTTTTTCCACGTCTTCGCGTTCATTTTTGTTAAACAAAGAGCTGAATCATGAGAAAAAAAAAAAAAAGGATTGACACTAAAAACTCTTACCTACACATGTATGGCTACTATTAGGAAAACAGTGCAGTCGAACAGGGTGGGGTCATGGGAGAACTACTACCGGTTGGTGAAACAGGCGTTCGTGTTTGTGATTCTGGGCCGTGTGGCGGTGTTTGCCTTGCTGGTCAAGCTCTTGAAGACGCCCGTCCTCCGCCTCCTCCAGGGCCAATCCCCTCTCCCTTCAAGGTCATAGTTACCCCTGTACTCGTTTTAGCAAGGGTGTATCTGTTAGAGTAGGACAATAGAGGCCAGGATGGAAGAAAGATGGAAGAAAAACGAGATAACATCCTTCTTCTTTTCCATGTCCCTGAATATCAAAAATAGCGCTGCATAATACAACATGTCTTTTTCTTTTTTCTCCGCCATGCTATTATCTTGTGTGTGTGTGTGTGAAAAAAAAGGGTTCCTTTTGAGTTGCTTTGTGCGTGTGGTCTGGTTTGTTTGATTTGTGAACAAAAAAAAGTCGTACTTTTTTTTTTTATTATGCTTTGTGTTTGTGCTGTTTTTCTCGTTGGTTGTTGGTTGATTGTTGTTTCTGTTATACAAAGGCAATGAAAAAAATATATATATGCAAGAAGCCTTGGTGGAAAAAAAGATGAATGATGAAAATGCAAAGTGAAAAGGAAGAAGGACTATGTACAAGGAGATGAAGTAACAGAAGGAAAAGGAAAAGCAAAAAACAAAATCCCACGCAGGGAAGAACAAGACCACCATCCGAGGGCGATCGCAGACTGGAAGGCTGTTTGTACAAGACGCAGCAACGCAGGAGAAGAGCCAGAGTCGATAGAAGAAGTGCCGAGTGGAGGTGAGGTAGATTGCTGTCTAGGGTTGACAGGAAGAGTCGCCCCACTGGTGTTGTTGGTATTCGTGTTGGGGTGTGGTGATGGGGTATTGTAACAACTCCGCCACTCTGTTACTGCTTCTCCTCCCTCTGTCAGTGTTGGACTTGTGGGCGATGGAGGCGTAATGACGATACGTGGCATCGGCAAGGGCAGTGGCAAGGAGAAGGAGACAGTCTTCTTCTTCCTGATCAAAGGCAGTGTCGTTGTCGTCAAGGGTGGCGATGAGTCAGTCAAGAGACCATGCTGCTGACTGCAGGTGGCTCGAGGGGGTAACGGCGATGACGTCGAAGAATAGGAGAAGGAAGGAGACATGACCACCATCGGGTCAGACGATTCTCCAGGTTCCGACTCCTTCTGTTGCAGCTGAGGGAGGAGGGAATGGTGGAATGGTGATCCCGTTACGAGAATGTGCGACTGTGCCAGTTGTCGAACATGACCATGCCCTTTTCTTCGCGCTCTGCCTCTTCCTGCTTCTTGCCGTTGCTGTGCCTGAGGAAGAGGAGGAGTGCTGGTAGCGGTTGGTGTGACAGCCTGCGGTGTATCCAATTGCGACTTTCCGAATGAAAAGGTAGAGAAGGCCGTGCCTGCGCCTGTGCTCGTACCCATGGAAGCCGATGACGACAAAGTGGAAGAAGGTTGTTGCGCCACAATGGAGGAAGCAGCGGTAGATGGCTCCTTCACGACTCCGCATTGGTCACGATGGTTGATCTTTCCCGCTGCTGTCGAAGAAGAGGGGGGAGACCGTCGGGAAGAAGTAAAGGAAGGGGAAGAAACAAAGGAAGAAGATGTTGTCTGGGCTGAAGTCGATGCGGTCTCGGTCTCTGCCACTCTCACTGCCTCCGCCTCTGTCTCTGCTTCCATTCCTAGCTCAGCCTCAGTTTGTTGTTCCGCCACTGCTTCAGCCTGATTGTCCATGGTGTTACTGTTGTTGATGTTGGTGTTGATGTTGGATGAGGGCAATTGTTGTTGCGGGACGACGGCAGTACTGGAAGTAGAAGTAGTGGTAGTAATAGTGGATGATCGACGGCTCAAGGACTCCTGGACGGCAGCGTTAAACCTCTCGGACGTGAAACTGAATCGGAAGGGGGTCGACTTGCTGTTAGTCAAAGTCGACGAGGCAGACGAGGGAGCAGAGTACGAAGTAGCAGGGACTTGCTCGACTGTAGGAGAGAAAGGAAGAGATGCAGGGCGTTCGGTGGCAATGGTGTCTCTGCGTTTGATGCAGAATCCGGGGGTACGACGAATGGTGGGGTCCATGATTTCCTCGGGGATCGAAAACGTCGAGGGGCAGGATGCAGATCGGCCGGGGCGCGATCGGATGACTGCTGACTGCTGCTGAGTCTGCTGTTCCTTCTTCTCATCCTGTTGTTGTTCCTGCTGGTAATGATGAGGTTGATGAGGTTGCTGTTGTTGTTGCTGTTGTTGGTGGTAGTATGGCGAAGAAGGCCAGGTGGCAGCAGACGCGACAGGAACAACGACCTGATCCAACCATTGCTGAACGCGCCTCTCTGCAACCTGATGTCTCAAAGATGCACCGCCGCGTTCATGCCAACTGCGCCCATCGACCTTCCTGTACGAAGATGAACCTCCTTCATCGCCACTGCAATATACTTCCTCGGCGTACCATTCGCCACAAACATAGCATGGCGCTAACCCCGAATGATCCTCGACACCCTCGGGCGAACAGAAACATCCCTGAACCAGGTCGCATTCACAGGGCTCCTGCTGGAAACTTTGGAGGAGGTTGATCAAGAAGCCCATTGCCTGTGCGCGTGTCGAGAACTGGAGCGTTGACATCTTGTTGGAGGGTGAAGAGTGTGACCGGCGGATGTGGCGTTGGATGAGGCGTTGTTGGTATTGTTGTTGATAGAATGAGGATATGGATGAGCAAGAGGAGGTGGAGGAAGAAGAGGATGTTGAAGATGTAGAGATGTTTGACCATGAAGGGTAAAATGATCCGGTGAACGTGGCGTATGGTGAACAGGGTGATCCAGGTGGTGAAGGGTATGGTGATTGAATATCGTTGGAGGAGGAGGATGTGGATGTGGATGTGAGGAGACGAGGGAGGGAGTCAAGGGCAAAGACCAGATCTTGTCTGTTGTGCCTAGTAGGCAGATGTGCGAAATATGGGTTCTTTGACATATTAAAGTATGGAGGGGTTTGCTATTAAGATTAACTGATGGAAAGAAGAAGAAAAGAAAAAGGAAAGAGAAAGGGAAAAAGAAGAAAAGAAAGGGAAAAGAGAGGCGAAGATATAGGGATTCGACGAAGAAAAAAAAGAAGAGACTCGAGGGTGGGTCATGCAACCAGGGCGAGTCTGAATTGAAAAGGGGGGACGAATTGTATCGAACGAATTGTATAACGAAACGAATGACTAGAAAGGTAGTATAAAATAGAGTACAATAAAATATAATGTCAATTGAAGAAAGAAGGAGATTGGAATGTTAAATAGGGCATGGCCCTTGCCTTGCCTGGCTGACTGACTGCGTGGCATACACAAACAAAGATACACCCAGGAACATAAACAGGGGGGACAATGGAAAAAAAAAAAGATGGCTGAGTAACATGCAAAGGAGAAAAGGGGAAAACATTCACACATGCTGCCGCTCTCACCTTACTTGGACAGCCCGAGGAGGACAAACAAACATCTAAGGTCTTAGCCCCATCCACACAAAGATACACACCGCGGTATTGTATACAGACATGTTTTCAAAACAACAACGGGAACTAGAAATAAAGCGAACAGAACCAGTGAATACAAACAAGCCAGCATAAATAACAAAACGGCGAAAATACACAGATACACAACGTAAATGCCCAAACAATAACAACAAAAGTTCGATCGCACAACAAATAACTTTTATGCTCGTTCAACAGATAGAGACGACGACAGCGCCAGATCTTCTTGTCTGGTATCCGTGTAGCATAGAGGCAGAGAGATGGAGAGAATTAACCTTTCATAGTTAGGTTGTCGCAGCCTGTCAGTCTGGGCTGGGCTTGTAGGCTGACTTGGACTTTGACCGACTGCGACTGGGCTGGCTCGTGTATCGTGTATGTGTCAGTTGGTTGGCCGCAGTGCGAAAGATAATAGCACTGCTATTGCTTTTGCTTTGAATGGTGAAAAATGAACGATATGGTGAACGTGCTCCGAAAGAGCGGAGGGCGAAAGGGACATGTCCAATCCCGCGGAGGACAATTTTATCTCGTTACAATGGAATTGACATGGGGGATTGACATGGGATGCCGCAGACAAAGTGAGGCTGGTGGAATGTGCACACCCTTCATCCTTCTCTCTTTATCTCCTCGTCGTCGTCTTTCCCCTTCTTTTTTGTGTTCATTGTTCGAATGCGATCATCGATGGCTGCATCTGGACAGCAAAAGGGCTTTTTTCATTGCTCCCTCGGTGTAACGGTATCAATTGAACGACAACAGACCTTCGCCCAGACACAGCTCTCTTCTTTTTTTTTCGTATTTTTGTTCAGCCACTGTGAAGCATAAGCATGTTCCTTGCCCTCTATGCTCAATGTTCTATGCTCACTATCCGATAGGCCGCTAAATGAAGGCGAGACAGGCACCGAGGAAAAGCATATCACCCCTTGGAAATAAGCTCAATCGGCAAGAAAAGACGAGTCCAGATCGCGTCTTTGAGTCGCTTTACAATGCGAGCCGTCCAATTGTTTACACCCTGTCGCCCTCCAATCCCGTACTTGACAACCAACGTGTTATGAGTCCTTTTCCTTTGCCACCTTTTTCTCTGTGGGTTTCTCTCGCGCGTGAGAAAAAAAAGACTCCAGAGCGCCCTCTTCTCTCTTTGCCAGTTCTTCGTCCGTTACTGTTGCTGTTATTTATGCTGGTTTCATGCGGGCAACCGACGCTTACACCTATTCCTTGCTGTCTATCTTACGTTTCCTCGCTTTTCGACCCCATCTCGCTAACCTACCCTTTTTTTCCCCCTTTTGTCCAGCATATACCCTCGAACATCGTGTTCTTTCCATTTCTGTCCCTGTGTTTGCATTGTGGCAATGCTTTCTGTATGCTTACCATCCCCCCCACCGCCCGCCTCCTTTTTGGTTAGTCACCTTTGTTGTTGTTGTTTTTCCTCCGTCCCTGCTCTCCCTTCGTCCCTGTATATGTCCCTGCGTATGTCTCTGTGTCCCTTTCTCTTTCCCTCTGTCCCTGTCTCCCCGCGTCCCTGCTCGATGTACCTTTCCTCTCTCCCCCCTTCCCTTCCATCTATCTTTTGCTCGGGATAAAAAAAGGAGGAAGAAGAACTGGGAAGAAGGAAAAATAGGTGAACTGCCACTTTTTTTAGAATGACGCCGAAAATAGAGGCAGTGCTTGGAATAGAATCGCACAAAAGAAGGGACAGGAAGGAAAAGAATAGCACATAGCCCATGCGTTGTTTCTCAATTTGTCACTCACTCTCTGTGGGTTTTTCTTTCTTCCCTCCTTTTTTGTTTCCTTAGCCTCGTACGCCTCGTTCAGTAAAGTGCTAGTACATTGGCGTGGCAGAGGGTGGGATAGAAAAAACTACAGTACCAATACCCAAAAGTGGCACTGCGAAAAAAAAACAGCCAGGCTACAAACAGAGGCTGAGTGAGTGGAAACGGTCAGTTGCAGGAATACGTTTTATGCGTCAGCTTCATGGAAAGACACGAGTACCTTCGTCCTCAAGGTACTCGGTTTATCGGCGGGAGGGCCCAGGCCAGATTAAACTTGTTTTGTCATCACCCCCTTCCCTAGCCCCCCTGTCGCACGACCCCGTCCCTGTCCAACCCTGGTCTGTTCGCTGAACGCTGTATATGCGCCAGTTTCCAACCTATCAAAAAATCGATTCAACCCTCCAGAGCTGGTTATACACTTGTGTGCGCGCGCGGATGTTGCTCGCGTGATAGAGGCATTTTCTTTTCTTTTTCATTCCTGCGCGAGACAGCCAACCAGAGCCTCATTGGACTGCAAAAGTTGGCGGCAACAAACGAAATGTTCTCGCTAACCAAACCTGAAAAGCGATTTCCCCAGGCCCCCCTCTCCTCTTCTTGACCTGCAAGAAACTTACTGGACGTCCCCCTAATCCTATCCAATCGGGAATTAAAAAACTCTCTAAAAACCGAAAAAAAGGAGACGGAGAAGGACCTGGCCACATTTTTTTGATCGGGTCCACCCAGAGTCCCCAGACCACCCACTGGTGCAATACCAACATCTCTGCAGCCAATCGATGCTACTGGCGAGTAAGACACCTGGCTTTGCCATCTACTAGTTTGTTCGTTTCAGACTTGCTTTCTTCTTTTGGTCTCTGAGAACTCTGCAAACAGGCGTTAGACCTATTGCGGATATTTCTGGTGCTGTCTCTCACTCTGGGATAACATAACACGGGCCAGCGGGCACGGCGAATATTTTGAGGTCGAATGAATGGGCCAATCCTTTTTCATTCTTATGCTTATCTATGTCCTCCCCTATGTGTTATGCTCATGCAAAGGGGATCATTCGATGCGATGCGCCTCACCACATACACACACCATACACAGCACAGACCATAGCATATTTTTTTTTTTTTTTTTTTTCGTCTTGGCATACATGTCAAAATAAGAGAGTCTCCCTTTTTTGTAGCGGTCTCTCTTGCAGAACCTCGGCCCAGCCACTTCCAAGTCCAACAACACGATGGAATGGCGGCGCGTCATAGGATTGGGGGGGTCGCGTTATTGCTAGGAGCAATACCTGTAGAAGAAAGATGATGGCATCTAGCCACAATGCTTTGCCACGGCCGCAGCAAGTGGGAAGATGTGAATGATTATGTAAATCATAGAGTCGGGAGGGAAATAGTGGCAAAGACAAAGAGGGATGAGGTTCGACTTGTTTTGACACTGCCCCATCTACCAAAAACACAACAAACAAAAACACAAGAAGGAAAAAAAAAAAAAAAAAAGAGCAACGCTCTTGTGTTTCTTATATGCGCGTTTGGGTCCTTTGTGCTCTTGTTTTTTTCCTTCTCTCTGTGTTCTTTGCATACCGTTTTTTCTACTTCTGTGTGCCCGTGCTCTTTACAAAACACCAACTCGTCTCTCCCAATTCAGTCGCGTCTCTTTAACTATCATAACTGTTCGAGTGCGTTTCAATATGTGCGCATGTGTACTTTAGTTTTATGTTTAGGACGAAAAACTCCAACTCCTCCTCCATATTCCTCACAAACCCTCCCTCTCCAACCCAACAACTACAGAATGCCGTTTGAATAGTACTGGAAGGTATCATAAAGTCTCGTAAAGACATTACAGCAACTGCTCATAATCAGCTTCTCGATAAACTCCTCCGCCTGCACCTCCGTCAAGTTGAGCGCCAACCGGTCCCGCACCGCCTGCGCCGCGTTCTCGTATTGGAAACAGGGCAGCTTCGAGTCCTTGGACATCATGTCGATCAACAACACAATGTTCTCAGTGTGTTTCCGGACCGCCATAAACGCCTTCTTCAATAGCACCTTGAACTCTGCAAACTTTTCGCTGTTCACTCCACCAAGCACATCCAGGTATTCCTGAGGCAACTTGAATGGTGCCAATTCGAAACCGACCGATCCAGGAGAATTTGACAACATGAATCCGAAATCAATGTGCACAATATGACCCTCCGTGTCCAACAAAATGTTGCCGTTGTGACGATCGCGGATCTGAAGGACATATGTGATCACAGAGTACGCCGCCAGCGAACGCATAAAGTTGTCCTGAGCCTTGATAAACTTTTCACTGGCAGGGTCACCGAATTTCTGTAGGTCATAGAGAACAATGGAACGTTAAATATTTGTATCAAAATATCTCAGACATTGTGGTCCGCAACACACTGAAAAAATTGCTGCGAGCTGGAAAAAGTTGTTACCTGCTGGAAGTAGTCGTAGAGGGTAAAGACAACGCCGACTTCGTTCAAGCGACGGGCATAGGCATCCTTCTTGATAGAGTGGATGGAGATGGTGTTGCGAACAGTCTCGATCAATCCAGAGTTGTCCGATGTCACCAAGATACGCATGCTACAAGTAAAAGGTTGGAATGGGTAAGACGTTAGAACTTTGCACTCATAGCTACACGAACGAAGACGCCATGTCACCAAACCAACAACAATGACCTACTAGGTGATCCAGACGTCAATCTTGGCGCGCTCCCAAATCCATCCCATCTCGCGAATCAGCTGGCAGGCCAGCTGCTCCTGACGCAGATCGGCGCCCTGCTTCACAATAACCGAAAGAAGTTGCCATGAGGGCAAATGTCCATAGGGCGATGTGGCACGAATACGGTTCATCTTGGCATCCCAATCCTCAGCAAACACGGCCGCTATTATTTTGAAAAATACGAACGAGAATAACTGTTAGAGTTTGTCGAGCAATTCGCTGAACATGAACAAAAGTGCTGCGATTGGCAAGATACAGGTGATATCTCTTACCGCTTGGGTCGTCGGTGGTGACGTTGGCCATGACCTTGCGCTCATCTTCCAGCATTTCACTGCCGGCACCTTCACCGCCACCGCCGCCAACACCGCTGCTCACACCCTCAAGCTTCATCCTCTGCATCCTCTGCTCTTCCAGGGCCATCATCTCCTTGATGATCTTGGCGCGAATGTCCTCGACTGAAGTAGCCTTGGCCTTGATGCTTGAGCGAGATTGAGAGCTGACTCTTGCGTTTCCGTTGGCACCAGCACCGGCCTGTTGGGCAGCCTGCTGTTGGCTCAGTTGAGCCAACATAACGGCAGCAGTTCGCATCTTCTCTGCAAAATCGTCGGCACTGTTGGAGGCGCGGCGCCTCAGCACTGTCTGCAAATAAGCCTCGTTCGAGCGAGATTGGGTCACAGGGCGGTTTCCAGGTGATGAGGGAGTAGGGCTACTCATGCGTCCTGAGGGGTCCACAGTGATCACGGGACTGGCAGGGAAAGGCGATCCAGGAGGCGAAATGCTGAGCTCGGCAAGAGATCCAACGGGTGGATTGGGAATAGTGTCGACTAATGCCTCTTCGCTCTCCTCCTTGTCTTTTGACTCTGATGCAGTAGTCGAAGAAGCCTCTGACGCGTCCCTCGAGGGCTCGGCACTGCCGCCGTTGGTGTCGATGGTGGCTTCCAACTGAATCGAGCCGTTCTCGTTCAACTCCACTCCTTGCGTGCGAGATGCGCTACGGTGATCCTCCTCCTCCTCATCGTCGCCAAGATCCCTGCGTTGCGCGCGAATCTCCTCGACACTCATGTCCGTCTCCAGCACCTCGACTTGCAACAAATAAGGTACCTATAAAATGTACATTCAACAATACAGGTATGAGTTCACCTTTCAAGTTAAACCACCAACCCAATAATTCTGCAGTATTTACCAAAAACTACTTACGCGATCGGCAGAGTTCAAGACGACGGCGTCTTGAGGTGGGATACGCACGACGCGGTGATGCGATGGGTTCTCGAGTGTGGCGTGGCACCAGAGCGGGACACAAATCTCGGCTGGCAGATTATGGTTCAACAATGTGAGCTCTGCACGAAGAGCACTCAAGCGGGCAGGCTTGGGGACAATCACGAGCCTGGTTGCGATATCAACAAGGGCCAAGAGGAACTGCATTTCCGAATGGAAGTATGAGCGGCGGGCAAGCTCCAGCGAGGCTGCAGAGGACTGTCCATCCATAGAGCCACGATCCGAGAACTTCAAGCTGATGGGGGACGATGGAGCAGTGTCGTGACTGTAACGAGGACTGGAGAATCGGTCCCGCTTGTGCTTGAAGGCCTGTCCTCCACGAAGATCTTCGAGCGAAGGCGAAGTAACGACATGGTTCCGTTGAATGGTTTGCGCAGTCGACACACTGATTCCCGGGATGGTCGCGTGGGGTGAGCCGGGCTCTGCTGAAGGTGACATGGGCGAAGTTGCTCCATCCTCATGTCGCGTTATGTTGATCCCCGCTGGTGTGGACCGGCCACTCTCCTGAGGAGACACATGGTTTGTTTCGATAACAGGTACTGGCTGCTGAGGCTGAACAGGCTGAGGTGGCTGATGGTGCTGGTGTGGTGGCTGATGCTGTTGCGTTGAGGGCTCCCCTACGACAGCATCTTCCAGAGTGTCTCCTGCGGTACTGAAGGCCCTGGGCCGGCGACCCTGAGCAAGAGCCAATTGACCAGGGCTCTTGGTCATCAATGGCTGACCAAAGGCAGCCAACATGACGCCCATGCCGACCATCGCCGAAAGTGCATTCTCCTTGACTTTTGGGACACCGTTCTTACCAAAAATATCTTCGTACTCTCCGGGTGCCTCGGTCGCAAACACGATAGCCTGACATTTGTTGAAGACTCGTTTGCACAGCTTGAACGAAGGTGTGTTGGGAGAGGCGGCCAGATCCGAGGTGTATGCCTGCAAGTACCATAGCGTCTATTTCGGCAAGTGTGGTGGAGGAAGCAGAGGAGTTGCGTTGAGTCGACAGATATCTTTGCAATATGCATGATCCTTGGGGCGCCATTCTCTTCCTTTCATCGCTTCGTCTCCTTCGGATCCAGAAATGAAAGAACGCTATACTGCAAAAGCCTGCATGAAAAGTGAACTGGACAACAACTCCATGGTCGGAGTGTATTTCGTCCTTTCCTGGTCGCTTATCCATGATGGTCGGCCACAATTGCGCCCGCCGGGCAATGGTGGCGGGATCGCTGTCTTTGTTGCCGCTGGCCTGGCTTCAGTGTTACACTGGTCCAACTTTTTTTGTCCCGTGTCGCCGAGTGCAGTTGTTGAGACTGTGAGCCGTGTTTTGGGGCAAAAAAAAAGGACACCAACAAAAAGATCCATGTCGTGTTGTTGGGTAGCACAACCGACCAAAACCCAAGCGTGCGCTTCTCTGTACATCCTTGTGTTGCCGCTTTGTCGTCGAATGTCCTTCTAAACAACAGCGCCTGTTTCTGTCTGTGTCGCAAGAAGAATATGAGCCTTTGTGTGTGTTGCTTACAAGGATTGCCATATGAGAAGAGATCTGGCAGCGGTCCAAGATGAAGTTCTCGAGCGCGACCGATTCCGACGGCCTGCTGATCAGCAAATGGCTATTTTTCATAGGAAATGAGGAGTGGGGGGGGGGGGGGTCTCTGTCAGTAGATGATAAAGTGACCTTTCTCATCCAAAAGATGACTTTCACTTCCAGCTTCTGTGATGTTGCAACTAGAGGTCGTTCGCCTTCGCTTCAGCCCAAAGAGTTGAAATCGTCCACATAAGTCCGTCCGTTCTGTCTAAGCAAATGAGTATCCTTACACGAGCTGGGGCAGGAAAAACTCGATTTCGTCCAGGGGGAACTTTTTGAGCTCGTTGCAGAGGTAGTGTTGGATTCCGACGGCATCAGGGTATTTGAAGAGGTACGAGACCGCGATCCAGGCGTTGAAGAATTCCGACTTGAACAGACGCAGCAATAGCGAGTTGCCCGAGTTCATCATCTTTGTAGTAGGTGTTGGAGAGTGGTTTGGCGAGGGAGGGGTGATGATGATGAGTGGGTGAGTGCGTGACAAAGAAAAGGTGACCCGTGAAAATAATAGGTGAAAAAAGGCGGCTGAAGGGATGAGCGAGTGAGAGTGATCAGCGAGCGGGCTGTTGATCCGCCAATGAGGATGAAAGGGTCGGTCGAAAAGGGGGAAAGGGAGAGGAAGGAGGGAGGGAAGAAAAAGAAAGGTTAAAGAAAGAAAAGGGAGGGTCTGGCAAAGAAGAAGTGAGAGAAAAGAAGGTTGAGCTAAAGGGAGCCTACTTTCTCTCTTTACACTCCTCCAGGCACATCCCGGTGCTTATATCCTCGCACCATCACTTCGTCTCTGTCATCAACCTTCAACGACCCCAATGGGTGCTTTTCCAGTTGTTCAATTGCCTCAATTGTCCACGACAGAGTGAACATATACCCAATGTCCCAGGTCAAGACGCCACGTCGCATAACCTCCCTTCACCCTACTCATCCTTGTATCAGACAAGTCGCACACAACTTGTGGAGGGACGGGCGTCATTACTCCCAATCGATCCTCCCCCTGCTCTTCATTTGTTCCTTTTCATTCTCCACTGGTTGACATAGATCATTCACACAAACACCATATTTCACATATGTCACAAGGATTATTTTTGTTCAGTTTTTTTTATTTCATTGCTTAAGAATGGGGAATAAAGTATTGTACAGATTGGGCAAGGAAATATGACTGAAGTTAGATGACGAACACATTCTTTAGTTCATCTGACGGATCAAGTTGTTGATCTTGAGCTCGCGGTCACCAGAGTCACCACCCTGGATGAAGTGCAAGGCCTTCTTGGCAGAGTAACCACCAGTGGCGTTCGACAACTTGAAGGGCCACAAGAAGTTGGAGGCCTGCTTGAAGTTGGGACCGACAGTGTAGATCTCGTGGATCAAATCCTCCATGCAGACAATGCCAAACTTGCCAAGGGACTTCTCAATGATTGAGTTGTCGGTCAAGGGGATGCGCTGCTTGTTGACCTTGCCATATCCACGCTTGTAAATCAGCTCACGGACAGACTTGAGGTTGGGCTCACCGTAAGCGACATAGGGGTTGATCAACTGGAGCATCTGGGTGGTAGCCTTGGTCAAGCGGACAAAGACACCGTTGTTGATCTGGAGGAGACGCAACAACTGGAGAACCTTGCGGGGCTTTGGGGCAATGTGGTTGATACCCTTGATGCGGATGACGAAGGCGAGCTTGGGCTGAGCAGGGACGTAGAACGAACCAGCAGCCTTGGCCTGGCGACGGAGACGGATCTCGTCGCGCTCCTTGGCGCGGTACTCGCGGACGTACTGGTCAGCACGCTTGAAGATCACCTTGCGCTGAGCCTTGCGGGCCTGTTTTCCAAGTGAAGATGTAAACAAAAGAGGAAAGCAATTAGTTTTCATGTTTTGTCAACAACGTCGAGTAAAATGTCAAATGAAGGTAGACCAGAACACGGCAAAAGTGGTGGCATCAAAAAGACATTGTATCAGTCCCGAAAGATGGTTGACGTTAGCAACATCGCCTTAGGCTAGCCACGAAATGCGGTATAGCTTTTCATCATTAATGTCTTGTGAAAGTAAAAATGCCACCACCATTGAATGTTGTGCTGTGTTGTGTTTGGATGTGAAAAAAGAGGAAAATAATTACCTTGCGGGCAGCGGCATCGGCAACACGCTTTTCAGTGGTTGCCTTATCCTGGGTCTTTCTCTTCTTCAAAAGGGTCTCGGGGACGAGAACATGCTCAAGGGTAGGGGTGGTACTGTGGGGTTCGACAAAAAGATAAACAAGCAAATGGGATGATTAGGAAAAAAAGGTCACGTCGGACTGTCGCAAAACTTGTGCCCAGAGTCTTCTCTCACTCTTCTCAGCTTACACTCTTAGTAAAGAGCAAAGTGAGGGAGCTGGTAACGAGTACACTGCAAGGGATGGGATACAAGGATTATAATGCAGTTGACATCCGACGAATTGTTTTAATTGGAGTTGGGCCTTTTTTGACGCATCGACTAGCTTACACGTAGGCACATGGCCAAACGAGAAGAATAACACCGGGCGGTTCATATAGTCCATATTGGAGGGCTTAAGGCTTCAATGATGAAAAATAGAACAGGCAGCCATCACACAACAACGAACCCATACGCGTTTGTTTCCCGCGAGAGAAAAAACGGTCTGGAATACGACATCGAGATCAGAGAACGATCAAAGCAAAACTTCATCTCGAGATGGGAAAAAAATGAACCCGAAAACAAGATGAGCATCACAAAAGGAGATTGTTGACCAAGAGTCACAGAATGGATTTAAAGCCAAGGGAGGTTATTGTTCCTTCGTGAGAGGGAAGCAATGGTATCCCTAGAGCTCAAGACCCCAGGTGGATATCTTCAATGCATTGACTCAGGAACCTGAGATATGCAGATATCGTTGAAGCCCTGGGAAACAGAGATTATTGGTAACGAGAGTAAAAAGACAGCATCCGATGCCATCCTTTTTTAAACCGTACTTTCCTGTTATGTCCACACGTCTCGTATCATAGGAAGAGGAAGGATAGGAGGAGTAGGGGAAGGTACAACTTACGTGGTCATGGCGGTTATGAAAAGGTGGTGGGGGTGAAGAAGTGTGAAAGAGTAAAAGGAATTTCATAGGAAAAATTTTCTAATTGCTTTTATTTTTGATTAAAGCCCACACGATCATTATATCCTACCGCTGTGTCATTGAAGCACCGAAGCCAGGTCGGACCTCCAACGGCCACGGACAAGCCAATTGGGCAGCTTGAAGGCATCCTGCCTTCACTTGTTTCTAATAAGGTCATCAGTTGAAAGATTATATCATCAGTAAGAATGTTCCATATCATCCATTCATTGAATATCACGAACCCCATCGCCAGAAGTTGATGAAGGAAACAAGAGTCCATCAGATAAGATCAAGTTTAAAACTTCATTGCGAGAACGCCTCCCGCAGGAGTACAGACAACAAGTTGCACCCATCCCCCAAAACCCCTTCTTTCTCTCAACTAAAACACAGCAATAAGCCTCAGTAATAGCCCAACACCCTCCAAAATAATAATGTAATGCAATATCGCTTTCAGCCTTGACAGTCATAATCCAATTCACGATTCCATCCATGATAGCATGCCGTCCTCAAAGTAGAGAATCAAATGAACACAACACCACCAAGACTCTATCAAATGCTTCCCTGCAAAGTATCCTTTTGCTATCCCTTCAGACTTTGATCTTTGTTGTTATCCTTCATGTCCGCCATCACTCCAATGTCACCAGGTTCTCACCAAGATCCAGTGTCGGGTATCTCCAAAAAGAAACCACAGTCGCGCATAGGGACTACAAAAAAAACAACGTGGAAACAAATCCTAAGGACCCAACAAGCAAAAGAAATGCAGAAAAAAAACAAAGACAAGGTCGTGGGTGTATTCAACAGCAATGCAACAGTCTTTGCCAATGAAAACGTAGAAGGGATACATCGAGGCATACGAAAACTTCATGTTCAAAAAGGATGTGTCGTTCCTTGTAACTGATCGCGGCTCGGTCGAACAAAAAAAAGGGAAGAGAACAGATGGCAACTTGTCCCGTAAACGTTCTTCGCTCTACTCCACTGTGTCATCACACGGTTCTTTTATGTTTCCTCCTCCTGACGGCTGAATTCAGTTCCTGGAATCGCCAATGGACTTACACTTGAGTGAAAGAAAGATGATTTTCAACCAGAATCCTTGGCATCCAAGGAAGAAAAGGAAGAGAGTGACGTCACCATGGCATTTTTCGGGATATATTGAAAAGTGTATTGAGAAAACGCCTGCAAGGGCAACAAAACAAAAAAAAAGATAATTACTTCGACTACTCTACTTCAGGCGCACGCGGGTTCTTTTGTCATTGTCGAGTTTGTTGATAGCAGCAAGGTTGGGGGACGGGGACGGGGGATGTTGAAAGTACAAAATGGTTGTTGATGATAGAAAATGTAAAACGAAATGGACTATTCAGAGATTCCCTCTTTAAGCCTTGCGCTTCAAGTTGCTGGACAACCACTCAAGACCCTCATAGAGACCATCTCCAGAGGTAGCGCAAGTAGCCTGGATGTACCACTGACGCTGGCGGAGAGAGTGAAGTCCGAGCTTGTCGGTAATCTCGGCAGCGTTCATGGCGTTGGGGAGATCCTGCTTGTTGGCGAAGACAAGGAGAAGGGCCTCACGGAGCTCATCCTCGTTAAGCATGCGGAGAAGCTCGTCACGAGCCTCGCTGATACGGTCACGATCGTTGGAGTCGACAACGAAGATGATACCCTGGGTGTTTTGGAAGTCTAGAAAAATCAAAGAACGGGCAATGGGAAGCATGCAGGTGTTAGAATGAAAAAGATACATATTCTGCAATGCCATTCATGCCAGGAGGTCCTTTGCGTGGTCCAGTCGGTGAATGGTGCATGTAGGAGGGGTTGTTGATTGTCCAACACCAATGATTTCGGTGTTCTGAAGCTGATGTTGTTTTTGAATCGAATTTTCCCGTCTTCTATACGATGTCCAACCCGTGCCATGTCCCTGTCCTGCGGTTTGACGTATTCAGGAGGATGTGAATGCGATTGCTTGGGTTTGAAAGAGGATGAGGCAACTTGTTACATACAGTGGCGCCACAAGGGACGAATCTTGTCCTGTCCACCGACATCCCAAACGGTGAAGGAGATGTTCTTGTACTCGACAGTTTCGACGTTGAAGCCTATAGTGAATAGAGGAACAGAGCAAGATTGTAGTTAGTAACGTGGCAGAATGAGAGAGATTGATGATATATTGAACTCGTTTTGCTGGCATTGTTTTACACGTGTACAATGAGAAACAGGATGTATCAAGGTAAAAAAACAAGGTCAACCGCAGCATCTCTCCTAATATCAATTAAAGGAAGGAAGGGAGACTGCTCAAGGAGGCTGGCTCAAAACCACTCCAAAAAAAAGGACACGCACAAGGGAGAGCAACAACACTCATAAAAAAGATACGTGGCGAGGAACGACAAGAGCATATCCCGTGACCACATCACCCCAGGGTGTAGAGGAAGGTTCTGACTTGACTCCCTCTGTTTTTCCATCTTGTCATATGAACCGGACTGATCACGGGGAAGGAACTTGCAAAAAAGGGCTGCCACTCCTTGGTGTACGAATCGCGTTCCCTTCCTTTGCTTATGTCGTCTCCAAAGAGCCCCTTGAATCTGTTCCGATCAAGCCAGATGAAATATGATGACAACCATTGGAATACATACTCAAGAGTAGTGTCGTGACACAGACTCTTTTATTTTCCCTTCAAGAACCACAGAGAGATGATGAAGCTCTTTTTTTCTTTTTCATTCCTTTGCAGCATGATGAGAAGTAAGACGCAAACGAAAAGTGGATAACAGAAAAAAATAAAATAAAGGTCAAGCACGGGGGTGGACGTGGGCACCGAAACTCAGGGGCAAGGGTAATAGTACAGCGTAAAGGGTCACCATACTGCAGTTGATGAGAGAGAGAGAAGGGCAAGGAGCGCTGTCCTTAGTAGAAAGTGAGCCAGTTACGGCCAGTAGTTGTCATTGAAAGAAGATAGGAGAGTAGAAAATAGAAGAAAGTAAAAGGAGTAGTGCAAAGAAGAGTAGAGAAAGAGAAAGGAGAAGGGGGGCGACTTACCGATGGTGGGGATGGTGGTGACGATCTCACCGAGCTTGAGCTTGTAGAGGATGGTGGTTTTACCGGCGGCATCCAAACCGACCATCAAGATGCGCATCTCCTTCTTGGAGAAGAGGCCGGAGAGAAGCTTTGAGATAGAGAGACCCATGGTGTTGTGAGTGAGGTGATTGGCGGAAGGGGGAGGAGAAGGATGAAGAAGAAAAAGAAAAAAAGATGATGAGCAGACACACGCAGAAATAAAGACAGGTCTTGTGTCTGTGTGTCGTACTAGTGTGCCAACACATACTCTGAGAGGAGAGGACACGCCGGTCGGTGGCTTGTGAGAGGGGCAGGAAGTGTAAATTGAAATTTGATCGCACACCATTGGTTCTTTTTTGTCGTTGTTGTCATTCCCAACGCCCACCTGCTTCCAGGGCATGCATTATTAGTCCTATCCGAAGACGAACATTCTCTTCGACAGGTCTAGCATTGAGCACATTGACCATGACACAGCATGCCATATCCTCAAAAGAAACAAAAGAGTCTTGTTGTTGGAAAGACCGCGTTTGTTGGTTGTATTTACACCATCGTCATAGTGGCAAGCAAACTGGTATGTCGTCTAAAGAAGTCGAGACACGCCACATGTCATGAAAAAGGTTGCGGCTGTTCTTGTTTGATTTATTGTTGTAGAGTTGAGAGTGAACAATTGGTGTTGGGTAAGGAGTAGGGTAGAAGATGAAGAGGAGTGTATTAAAGAGGAGGAAGAAGAAGAAGCGTTTAAGCATCCTCCTCCTCAACGGGAGCAGCCTTGGGAGAGGGACCCTTGGCAGCCCACTTGAACTGACCCTATCAATGGCAAGTATAGAAGTCCACATATGCAATGCGTTAGTGAACTGCTGCCAATGTCTTCCGATCATTGCTCCTGAACCTCAGAAGGTTACATGATATTTCAATTGGATATTCCTGACGTTGATGACTGTTGATGTTCGTATTATCTTGAATTGTGTCGGTCCATTCTCCTTGTTCATCAATGGCCGTAGGGTCGCCCTATCCATGAGGTGCTCTGCCGATTTAGTGGTCGCACCTTTTGCTGTCGATCCTGTAAAACCAACAGTCGCGCCTCGGGATCGTCTTTTTGCTCGACTCCTCTGCTCCGTGTGCAATCGGCTGTAGATAACCCCGTTATCCTGAACCCTTGTTGTCTCCTGCTGTTTGTCGTACTCTTCCCCTGAACTTTTGAAAGACTAGAACTTCGTTGTTGACGTAGCGTGGTTGTGGGTCGCTGAGCTTCATCTTACATCGGTTTCGAGGGCGAGGTACAAGAGGGCACCGGGGATGACAAGTCCAAGAATACCAACGGAGCGGACGTTGCGGGCGTTCCAGGAAAAGTGCTTGGCAGTCGATTCGCGCATGCGCACCCACTTCTCGACAGCGGGATCGTGAGTCAAGTATCCTCCCATTGTTGTTGTATATATGTTTTTAGTTGATGGAGAGAAAGAGGAGAGTGGAGCTGTTCTTTTTGTGCACACAGAAGTCCGATGTCCGTCCGATTCGAATCTGCTTTTCCGAACTGCGATGGCTGGCTTCCTGGTCCACAGTGTGGGAAGGGAAGGGAAATCTAGTCACCGGATTTATTCGTGATGCGGGAGCTGCCGATCTCTCGATTCTCCCTCGCCTGCCCTTTTATCAGCCATGGCAAACCTTCTTGACAACCAACCTTCAACCAAGACTACATCACCCCTCACAAAGACAATGTCGGCACCCAACTCATCAGGATCCGCTGCCGCTGCACCAGCCGTTGCTGCATCTATTCACCAACTGCCATTGGGTAATACATCCTGCCGCTCCTACTCTACAGGAACTCAAGCAGGAACATGAAGCACGGTCACGAACTTGACTTGGAGTAAACGAACTGGCTTAGGAGTAGCAGAGGAAGTTTGAACCAAAGCTACTCCTCAGGACTCAATTTCGCCAGGACCATTCATCGTACTTATGGACCACTATTACTTGATATTGTTGTGAAGTCAGGTTCAGGAGTCCATCAATGCCATGCGCTCAGATCGACACACCCTCCTCGCATATGGGCACAAAGCAGACCTGAAGCCAGGATGTACCCTTTCACAGAGCGAGGGCTTAAAGGCGACGCAGTATCATCAAAACACGCCTAAGAATATCCTTATTAATCGCACACGGCACATTTCCACCAAAAAAACAACAACAAATAGAGTTGATTGATTCGTGCATTGGATCCAAGATCTGGGTCGTCATGAAGTCTGAGAAGGAGTTCACAGGAACGCTCAAGTACTTTGACGACTATGTCAACATGGTTCTCGAGGACGTCACAGAATTGTAAGTCAGGGGGAATCGCCATCATCCAACCCAACCCATGCACAGTATCATTCATTCAAACGCGCTCGATAATCGTACATTTATATCGATATGAAACTTATAGTCTTTTTTCTTTCAATTGAAATATTTTGATGGTGTAGCGAGAACACGCCTGAGGGACGGAAAACTACAAAGCTGGAACAGATTCTTCTCAACGGAAACAACATCTGCATGGTAACCGCCTTTTTTCGACACGGGCAGGATATGATCCTTGTGTGCGTTGCTTTTTTTGGTCATTCGTTGCTGTTACTTGAACTAACATGACTTCTCTCTCTATCATGTTGTCTCCACCTTGCGCTTTTAGTTGATTCCTGGAGGGGATGGACCACAGTAGTAAGACATACAACAACAACAAAACAAATCCCTATTGCCCTTGACAGGAACAACGACATCCAAGGCGGGATCAGTCAAGAAATAAAACAAAAACTGAAAAAAAAGATAAATGTATCATTCACAGAACACAGAACTCGTTGACATTCTGTCAATATGAGAAAAAGCGGATAAAATTGTCTTCAAAGTTTATTAAATGTGGACGGTATGTTATTTTATTGTATCTCCAACAAAATGCCTGCTGAAGGCAGTTAATTGTACACAAGAAAAACTCCTTTACTCGATGATCTGGAGGTCCTGGGTACGGCCGACAGCGTAGACGTCCCTGTACTTTTCCCAGATACCCAAAAGGGCATCGATGTACTTCTTCTGCAGGGCTTCCAATTGCTCTGTCGAGGGTGATCCCTCAACCTTCTCGACGTGGATTGGCTCTCCGATCACAATCGCCACAGGCCTTCTTCTAGGCAACAAACCAAACTCGTCTAACAATGATGAAGGATAACAGAAAGAAACGTGTATGTCAGCAAGGTATTTCAAGCGAAGCAAGCAGAAGGGGGGTCAATCCAGAAAAAAAATTTAGCGGATGAAATGAGAACACTTACAGTTGAAAACGCCGCGACCGTTGAACATGGGCATGGTCCATCCTAGGACCTTCTTCATACACTGCTGGACGTGATACATCTTGCTGGTGTGGTCAGTGCTGTAAAGCTCATACAGTTCGTTCTCGCCAAACGACAACGTTGGCACCAAGCTTGCTCTACACAATAATTACGCAACAGAAAAATGTAATGTGAGTTTTACCATTGTGTGACGCAAGTTGTAGATCAACAAAAAGAAAAGAACCTCTAGCAGTAGTAACTTAAGAAGAGTAAACGTACCCGTTGACGAGAGCCAGTTTGATAAAGCCCAAACGCTTCTTGAGCGTCAAATCCAGCGTTCCAGGCTTGGCTCCCAAACTCTCCTGCGCGCCTCCGACAACAATGGTGATTGAGTTGCCGGGGCCTGAATTCAAGATCCTTTCACATGATTGCTTCGACACCGACGCCATTCCCATCGCCATAATACAATCGCGATAGAACGGAATCTGGAAGTTGGACTGGAGGGTGAGGAGGTGAGGAATGATACCCGGGTACTTCTTGGAGAACCCGAGTCCTTCGGTACCGAATGAGCCGACCGCCCCGAGGGAGAGGATTCCGTGGGGGTGGTAGCCAAAGATGTAGTTTTTGCTGGGGTCCAGATCTCCTTCCTATTTGTTGTTTCGTTCAAACGAAAAATGCGTATGCATGGTTAGTATGATCTTTTAATATCAACAAGAAAACTCGTCTGCGCCTGTTGTTTGCTGTCGCACAGAGATTTCTAAACAAACAAAATACACAACCCAACCATTACCTTAATAAGAGTCATAGGAAAGTAACGACCAAAGTACGTCCACCCGATCCAATTCCTCCACAGGGGCGACCGTCTACCGCCATGCTCGGGCGCTTGGTCGACCATAAGGATCCAGAGGAGGTAGATAATAATAAAGGGCCAGAGATAGCGGATGGTGCATAGATAAAAGAAGACCGTGAAGGAGATGCCCAAGGCGGCAATCCAAACCAAAACGGCGGCTGTCTGTAACCGGCGCTCGACCGGGAGTAACAGTGGTGCAAAGATGGCCATTGTGTGTTTTTTTTGTGGATGGGTATTGTTGATTGTCCTTGTTGAGAGGTGTGCAATGGAGAAGAAGAGAAGGAATGCGGATGGTTTTTTTTTGTTATTGGTGGGAATGAGGTTGGTCCAAGCGTGCGATCCAGTACGTTTGCGTAAGGTGGCACCAAAAAGAAGTCAAAAGGGTATGTAGAAAAAAAGAAAAAAAGTGAGAGGAAGAGAGAGAGAGAGAGAGAAAGAGTGAGAGAGAGAGTAAGAGATGGCAGTTGAGGAATGGAAGAGGTAAAAAAATGACGATCAACATGGTCTTTCTGTTTTTTATCCAGTCTCACTCTCTCCCTCACTCACAACGGTCGTTCGTCGTGCTGAGAGAGATATGGCGGTCGGACTTAATCAGCCCGGGAAGGAAGTTTGAAGACCCCGACGATCGACCGTTATCACTCAGCGAAAGACATTTTTAATCAAAAGCAAAACCTGCTTGATTGCCGTTCTGGAGCACGGCCCGATGAAAGAGCTTCAAACAAGAAGTGAACATGTGAAAGTGTAAGAACAATATGAAATATGAATAGAGAGGGATAAAGGTTTCTCAATGAGCTGAGTTCACGTTCCACCGGGATGTCGTCTTTAGTCGCGTGGGCGAAGAAAGAAGAGATAAAAAATAGCATCTCAAATCCCAGACAAAGAGGCTCAACCACCGTTTATTTATCGGGTATCGCATCCACCTTCCGTGGATAAATTTAACCGAGTCATCTCAAATGGCATGTATGCATTGGCAAATACTACTATTGCAGCATAGTTTTTTTTGTCTATCGGGGTCATGTTTATTTGGATGAGAGGGTGTGTGTATTGATGTGTGTGTGTTGATGTGGATGTAAAAAAATCTCCTGTGTATGCGTGCGTGTTTATTATCATTTCTTTCGATGCCATCCATGACTTTAGAGGATCATGGACTCGGGGTTCTCGACATAGTGCGACATGCGGCTCAAGAACCGTCCAGCAACCTCAGTGTCGATCACACGCTCGTCAATGCTCAATGTCACACTGACAAGCTGCGACTGCTCCAACGAAGGGCGAAGACGACGCAACAACTCATCACCAATTGCTGATTGAGAGGTCGAAGTAGACTTCTTCTTCAAGGGTGCGTTGCCTCCCAAGAAATCGATCAAGTCAAGATCCTCGTTGGACTTTTTGGCAGGGGCTGCTGCAGATGATGTCTTCTTGGACTGTCCTCCAAGGTAGTCAAAGATCTCAGCGTCGCTCACAAACTCGGCCTCTTCTACTGCAGAGGGCTTGAGGACCGTGCGGGAGCCTCCGATGGCCAAAATGGATGTCTGGGGAAGGTTGATGATAGCTGTGAAGTTGTTGACACCAAACATACCCAAGTTGGATACGCTACGTGTACGATAACAAAGAAAAGAACACGTTGAGTTAGTGTTTGGCGGCGTGCTTGATGAGAAAATAAAAAAGCTTAACCTCCATCACGGTCAATCGATGGTACCTGAATGACCCGCCCTGGTATTCCTCAGGCTTGAGCTTGTTCTTCTTGGCTCTCTCAGCCAACTCCTTGACAGTAGTAGAAATCGACTGGAGACCGCGAGAATCGGCACCCTTGACGATGGGGGTGATCAACCCAGTGGGGGTGGCAACAGCGACAGAGATGTCAATGTTCTTGAGCTGCTTGACATTGTCTCCCGAAGCAAACTGGACGTTGGACTCGGGAATATCGCGCAAAGCCAACGAGGCAGCCTTGATCAAGAAGTCGTTGACCGACACCTTCACCTTGAGCTCGTCTGGAGGGTTGTGTTTCAATACCAGTCGGGTCAAAACAGAACAGCATAGACGGTGTTAGAATTCAAAAGTCCTGGTGAAATATATGGCAAAAGACATTGCATAAAATGGAGTAGCGCATTGCAAAGAGACTGACCAGCCAAGAGGTGACGGAGCTTCATCATGTTGTCAATGACAATATCGCGGGTAACATAGGAGTGGGGAATAGTGGTCTTGGACTCGCTCAAGCGGGAGGCAATGACCTTGCGCATGTTGGAGGTGGCATTGTCGGTGTAAGCAGTTCCAGGAGCAGGGGCGGCGGTCTTGGAGGCAGCAGGAGAGGCGGCCTCGGCAGCAGGAGGAAGGGTCTTTGGCTGGGGAATAGTGGGCTCAGGAGCAGGGCGAGCCTTAATCTGGCCCAAGAAAGCAAGAACGTCACCCTTCAAGACGCGGCCCTTGGGTCCGGTCGAAGGAATCTTGGTGACATCGCTGATGTGGTTCTGGAGCAAGAGGTGGGCGACAGCGGGCGACATGAGCTTGGACGAGGGGGTGGCTGCGGTCTGCTGAACGTGTTGGGTCTCCTGCTTGGGGGCTACGTGACATATGGTTAGATGGACAAATTATCCAGTCAGTCAGATTATCGTTCCAACAATGATGGCGAAACGAAGGTGGTGTGGTCTGTTCTTGCTAGCTCCTGAATACTGTAATGAGCGTTCGTCTCTGGCGTGTCATGTCGTATCGCGCGCTATCGGTCTGACTCCATTTGATTGACGTTGTAGACAACATCCGATCTATCCAAACAGTTGATTCTACAGCCTCTTCTTTCCATTCCAATTGTCCTGATCCGCTGTATTCCTCTGTTCCGTTGCTTCCAAACTTTTGAATGACTCCTAAATAGTCTGTTTGCAAAAAAAGCTCACCTGGAGTCTCCTTCTTCTCCTCCTTTGCAGGGGCAGCAGCAGTAGCCTTGGGGGCCTCGACCTTGGACAGATCGTCACCTTCCTCGGCCAACAATGCAATAGGCTCGTTAACAGCAACCTTGGAACCATCAGGGAACTATTATAAAACGCAAACGCTGGGGTTAGATCTCGACGCGATAGGTTTTCTCCTCGTTGGTTCTTCTCAAATACCAGAGTACGTTTTAGTCCTGAACGCGTGGGAAATGCGAAAATGAGAGCATTGAATAATAACATATTCCCCCCGTTTTTCCCTTGCGCACGAAAATAAATCCACTGTTGAAACAGGCGAGAAGTAGCGATTAAGACACAGACAACAAACTTGCCAAAATCTTTGCGAGGATACCATCCTCAACAGCCTCGACATCCATGCCAGCCTTGTCAGTCTCGATCTCGAGAAGGACATCTCCTGCAATGACCGAGTCACCTATCAACAATAACCGCAACAATACAACAACAATGATATCAGTATCGCGAAATGAACGAACGCTTTCTTTAGATAAGAACAAAACAACCTTCCAGATCGGAGAGGCGTGATCCTTCTTGATAACATAATGAATCCTATTTCGCTTACCCTCCTTCTTCTTCCATGCAGTAATAGTTCCCTCGGTCATGGTAGGTGACAGCGCCGGCATCGACAATGTAGTAGTGGCGTTTTGAACAGCGGCAGCATGGAAGTCTATTCAAAGATCGCAGATAATTTTGGGGGAAAGAAAGGTGGGTGGGCGTCAAGATAACAGATTCTTTTCTCTCTGTTGTCTATTTTTTTTTTGTCGGATGCTCGCTGACAGGTATGGCGATCGCGTTTTCCCGCCATGAGCGTGTTCCTAATGCTTGTTGGTCGGTCGATGGTTTTCATTAAGTCCTTGAAAAAAGCTGATCAGTCTCTCATTCTGTTGCACTGTTGCTGTTGTTCCGGGTCTCCTTTTGGGTGTGGGAGTTGGCGATAATTTTTAGTTCCGAGTTGGGGTGGTAAAAAGGCAAGAAGGTTGCCCGTACATTTGACGCCAGCGACTGAGCGCATGGCCAGGGTCTTGGAGAGGTTGAGCATGGCGTTATGTGTGAGTGAGGAAGTGAATGAAAGAAAAGAGAAGAAAAAGGAAGGTGCGAAGGAAGAATAAAAAAGGGGGGTTGTGGAGGAGAGAGGAGAGGAGTGCGAAGAAGTAAAAAAGAGCAAGCTATGTTATGAGAACGACGTCAACGAAAGACACCCAAAAAAAATAATAAACACACCAACACCACGCACGACTATCTCAAGAGATGTGGGTGAAGCAGAGCCTGTGTTCTCCCTGCCTGCTCAATTGGCCGCTGCACTGTATCAAAGCAATGGCTGATAGGCGAACCGCTGCAACAAGAAGAGATATGATATGATATGATATGGGAAAAGATGATAGTGAGCGGGAACTCAAACCATCTGATGGAAATCAATCGCCGTCAAAATTATTTTTCTCGCCTTCACTCGCTGTCCCCATCAAATCCAAACCGGGCTCGACCGTACATACGCCCCTCTCTCCGAATTCGACCGACTTTCTAGTAGGGGAACGCTGAACACACACTCTCCACACTCACACTTCACATTAACTACGCACCTCACACCTTGTTTATTTGCTCTCACCTCTTCTTCCTTCAAACACACCCACATTCAGGAACACAACCCATATAACAAAAAACAATCCGGACGCGGGCACGTCTGTTTAGGGTTACACCTCGAATGTGTCCGAAAACACCTCGCATAGATCGTCCTTTCCTTACCGCTCAGAAGTAAACCACCAAGATCCTGCCTGTCCGACTCGCTCATTCTTGTCTTACATCGTTCGTCCCCTCCTGTGGCTTCCTTACTCGTAAGTTTTCTTTCCTGCCGCTGCGGGGAACTAAGCCCTACTGCAGAAAAAAAGCCACTTTGACAGTTCTGCAGCCTAACTGCATTCACGCTCACATATTTCTTGCTTCCAATTGTGCTCTTACACCTACTCAAAGCACTCATTCCCGCTCCTCATTCCTACACTCTTCCTTGGAGTCGATTCTATGCGCAAATGAATATTATTCTAATGAACGACGACGTGTAATTTACAATGTAGAAAACCCTATCTAATGTTGCTCCTCAAACACAACCTCCTCATCAACCTTCTTGACCTCTGGGATATTCTCAGGCGTCACATAAAGCTTGACCTGCTCCCGAACGCGATCCAAGATATTGATCTCGACAGGGCCTCTGTACTTCTGGAAGAGCGGCTCCTCATCCCGACCAATCTCCAGATCGTCCTTCTCAAACTCCTTGGTCTCTGCGAATGCAACCTTCATCACCGAGGCTCCCGCATATTCGACACAGTCATACGAGTTGAAAAGCGCAAAGATCTTCTTGTGGAAGTTGCGGAATCCGGTCAGATTCTTGAAGGGGATATATCCGACGGGCTCCAATCCGGAGGAGGGTACTGAGAAGTAGGATTCATCCTGAGGGATGGGGATGGGTGCTGGCGCTTTCTCTTCTTCTTTCTTCTCGCCATTCTTTTCCGCTGCTGCTGCTGCTGCTACTAGTTCTGCTGCTGCTGCTGCTACTGCTGCCTCTGTAGATGTAGTGGTATCCTCGGCGCTCTTATCCAATGTCGTTGTCTCGACCGATCCTGTTGCCTCAGTCACTAATGAAGCAGCCTCATCCTTGATCGAAACCTCCTCAATCTTCTCCGCCACAGCAACGGGTTCGGGATCATCCAGACTCTGAAGACATCCATCGTTGTAACCCTGGAGGACCTCTGCCAGGGCAATACGGCCCAAGACAACAATTCCGTCCGAGACAGACTTCAGCGGCACAACGGGTGCATTCTGCTCGGCCTCGGACAAGGCAGACTGCTTTCCTGCAGCAACACGGCGCCTCTTGCGCACATCCGCCGCAACCATGGCCTGGATCTGACCGTCTACCAATCCTTCCTTGACCTCGTAATCCACTGCTGCAGCATCAAACACAGGCTATATACATAACATATTGAAATGCGAAAAGTGAGTAAAGTAATATCTCAAACTGGGGTTATCCAGTATGTCGATCAGAGATGAAAGTAGAACAAAAAAAAAGGGGGCGGCAGATGATCTATAGGTGACGATTGTTTACCTTGACAAAGGCCTTGAAGTAATGACGGGTCTTATGGATACCATCACCAGGAGGAGCAGTGATATAGACGGTAACCTTGCGGGGCATGTCCTGAACACCACAGCTCTGCTTGGCCAGGATGTCAACTTTGTCAGCAACCCGCTTCTTGGCATCGACCGTCAAATAGTGATCACGAACCACCAGCCCTCCAACCGTTCCAATTGTTGTCCAGAAGATCATCCATCCGCGGCTGGGGAGCTTGGCACGAAGCTTTCCTGAAAGTGTTGTTGGGACGGGGGGCTTTTCAGCAACGTTGGGCGTCAACTTGGGACGAGCTTCTGTTGAGTTCTCCATGGTCGAGAGAAAAGTGAGATGTGAGTGAGTGAGTGAGAGAGAGTGAGTCGGAATGAGGGGTAAAGAGAGATCTTGACCCCGTTTCTTTAGCCCTTGGTAAACACCGCTTGACAGTCACACTTCCTGCTGATCTGATCAGACACATGTCAATGGTCTTCATTTTTGACAACTTTATCTCCTGTTCGTCTACTACAAAGAGACAAGATGAATAGTTGTAGAAAGTGTATGCTTTTTTATTACGAGGAACAAAGTCCTCTTAGTGCCAATGCCTTGAAAAAAAATGAAAAAAGACTGCGCTAAACTTACACCTTCTTGTCATCGTCCTTCTTACTATCGTCCTTCTTGGTATCATCGTGGTGCAACTTGTCCTTCAACTTGTCAAACGTAGACTTGAAGAACCCGTTTCCAGACGACGACGATGAATCATCCTTCTTTGTGCTCTTGTCGCTCGACGTCGATGATGATGATGATGATGATGTAGAAGAAGATGAAGAAGATGAAGAAGTCGAAGAGGAGCTGCTACTGGTGCTGCCAGGGTTGGTGATCTCGGCATACTTCTCCAAGATCTCACGCTGAGCCTTGGATAAAGTCTTTGGGAGGGCGACTTTGAGCGTGACAAACTGATCTCCCTTGTCGTTCCTGTTCAACCTCTGGATACCACGCTTAGCAAGACGGCTGACATCGTTGGGCTGCGTTCCTGAAGGGACCTTCAACTCTACATCGCCATCGACTGTGGGGATCTTGACCGAGCCTCCCAAGGCTGCTGTGGTGAAGGGAATGAAAGTCTCGGTATAGACATCTGCTCCCTGGCGCTTAAAGAATGGAGAAGGCTTGACTCTGAGACGAACAAACAGATCTCCAGACTTTCCTTCGCCCTGCACAGGAGCGTTACCCTTTCCACTCAAGCGAATACGAACACCTTCATCGGCACCTATTTCACACATTCGTCACAATAAACCATGGATTAGTCAGTTGAATGGATTGAATTAAAATTCATAATAAGTCGTAAACAACAAAACGGAGATCATACCTGCAGGAATGTGAACATCAACAGACTCGTGGACGCGCACACGACCGACTCCTCCACAAGTGTGGCACTCCTTCCCTTTCTGAAGCATAGTTCCGACACCGCCGCAAGCCTGGCAAGGTGCTGCCATATGGAATCCCTGGAGAGAGATCTTTTGTTGACCAGTACCATGGCACACCTTACAGGTATCAGGCGCCTTTCCGTTCTTTGTTCCATGTCCGTGGCAAGGGTCGCAAGTCCTGATGGGGTCAACCAAAACTTTCTTTGATGCTCCCTTGACTGCCTCCATGAAATCAATGACGAGTGGCACCTAGATTGGCATCGCGGACGAAAATCATGTTTGATGTGAGTCGCTTATTCGATAATAACTGATCCCTCGTGACATGAACCAAAGACAGACGTGCTTACCTCCAGGTCCTCTCCAACGCTGGAGAATCCTGATGATCGCGATCCGCGTGGTCCACCGAACCCACCGCCAAAGAAATCAAACACGTCCTCAAAGTTGCCAAAGCCTCCAGCGCCTCCTGGGAACCCACCAGGGAATCCACCAGGGAAGCCTCCTGCCCCATGAGGCGAGTTGCCTAAAGCATGACCGACCCAGTTATAAAAGCAATCGGTGATTTGTCAGTATCCAAGTCGATCGTTTCATTGATACATGTATACATTTCGAAGCACGTTTGATATGTAAAAGGTAGATCCATGATCAGGCAAGCCTCACCATTGAATCCTGCATGGCCAAACTCATCGTATTGCGCCTTCTTTTGCTCGTCTGAGAGAATCTCATACGCTTCCTGGATCTGTACAAACTTTTCACGGGCAGCAGGATCTTTGTTGGTGTCGGGATGGTACTGCTTCGCAAGCTATTGAATTGCAATGAATTAGGATCGTAAAGCATGGTACAGTTTAGCCGTGGACTCCGTGATATATCAAGACGACATGGCGACTGTTGAGGCTGTGGTTGGCTTACCTGGTAGTAGGCCTTCTTGATCTCGGACTGCGATGCAGTCTTCTTCACTCCGAGAAGCGTGTAGGGGTCCTGCTGGCTGGCTAAGGTTGGGGCTATATCATCGCGATGTAAGCAAGAAGCACCGTATCAGAAAGTAAGCGATCTGCTCGTGGGGAGAGAATGTGAGGTACGCAGCATCATTATCCCATAACAAAAGGCATAAAGTACCCGAAGCATGAAAGTCTCTCTATGAAGAACAGATCGTGTAATTGGGCAGGTGAGACAAAAAGAGGGTGTGTTAAAGGGGTGGGTGCGAGAGACTGAAAGAACAGACCAATTGACCGCTGAAGAAGACTGCACCATCTACGATCCCCGAGCTGGAGAGGTGGGTATTGCCTTACCTTTTGGCTGAATACTGAGGGTGCGCACCCAACAGCTTGGCCGTATCCTATTGAGTCATAGTTCCATGGGGGAGAAGAAGTCAATAAATCAAAATTCGTCTTTTGCGCTGCTTTTCCGATTTGCTTGAAGGATACGCACTGCACAGGGTGTGGGAAAATGACCGGTGGCGTACCTTTAAACGAACCGCCAAACTGAGCGAGGTTGGAGCCAACACGCCTGGTTCCGAGGACGGAGAAGGACCGAGGAAGACCCAAGGAGGTCGAGGCGACATGTAATGACGACTTTGTGGAGTTGGAGGTGCATCGAGAGCCAATGCGGAGAACAGAGGCGACAGACATGGTTCGTTGTTGATTTCCAAGGAAAAAGAGGCCGATTAACAAAAGAGAAAGAGAGCGAGTTGTCCTTCTGTGTGTACGATGTGTAAGAAGCGGCAAAGATGGGATGCTTTTGCGCGAGCAGAAAAAAGGGTCGATCGACGGGCGAGAGAGGAGACAAGCGGTGGGGACGGAAAAGAAGGGACAACTCTTTGCTTTATGTGTGAGAGTTTTCAGAGCTCCGAACGGGCGGATTTTTTTCTTTTTTTTTCCATAGGTCTTCTCTGGAAAAGGAAGGTTTGGCCCTGTGGCTTGGCTGATCTGACTGTGTTTCTCTCAACTGAGACTCTGATCAGTCTCAGAGGAAACGCGCTCTGGGTTTCGCCCTCTGATGCCATCACCACTGTTTCTATGCGACGCGTCAAAGGGAAATAAAGGAAGGCGAAGCTATTTCATAACTGATCAATGGGTAGCACCTGTCTTACTCATCAATAACCAACTGCTCCTTTTGTGCTATCCGAGATCCTTCCTCAACAACCATCCAGGGTTGAGAAAGAGAGGGAGGGAGAGTGAAGCACCCTTAGGCACTCCCACCTATGCTTGAGCAATGCTCACTTTCAAGTGGCTATGCCGAGGAAGAAAAAGAACGAAAAAGATAAACAAAGGCCGGGATCGGTCTGGTAGCCGAAAACCCTCCGTGTTTCGCACAATGACAATATTAAAAATAAAGGTTATGTACTTCCCCAATTCGGCTCTTTCTCTGTTGTTTGAGGCCGGAGTATTGCCTTCATAGATGCTGAATAACCAACCTGGAAGGGTTCTCTCTGGGCGCGACCTTTTTGCATCCCTCCCTCTTTTTTTCCTTGGTACTTTTATGAGCCTGCAAGGCAATACAAATTGGCACAGGCAACGAACCCTCTCGACGCCTTTTTCTTTTCAGTTCCCAAACGAACAAACAAACAAGAAAAAAACATCGCGAACGTGTTGTTTGATTCTTTCCATGTGTTGGTTTCTCAAAGCACTAGCATGGTGTCAGTACCTTGTTTTTTTCCTGTTGAGATGGTTGGCTCATAGAAAGAAGAATGAACCCGCCACTTTCCTTTCCCAGCCACAATCATTCGCCCAGAATGGGCAAAGCTCTTGCATGGTTTAGCTTGGGTCGGTGCATGGCCCTTTCACACTCTACTTATCCTTTTCTTCATTTTTCTTACACTCTCACTTTTCGCTTTCTCTGCATTGAGTAAATGCAACGTCCTCAGCCTTTCCCTTCAACCTCCGTTCTCCAGCCTCAATGTGTTGTAGAATGGTGAAGCACTCCCCACGCTTCTCTATTGCCCTCTTTTACCTTTGCTGGAAAAACAAATCAACATAGCCCATAAGCACAGAGTACGAAATGTGATTGACTACAGTACGAAGAGATCGAATACAATGAACAATATCAACATTGAAAAGAAAGAAAGCTGTCGTTTTAATTGGGTTTTCTTGACCCCCATTTGATACATCGTTTTTATGATGACACTTCAATTTTTGTTTCGTTCTAGTCAAAGGGGAAGTGAGAGCGCACTTTGTTCTGAAGCTCATACGCCTGATAAAAAATGTGTGTTTGTGCTCGATTATGGATCTTACGAACCCTCTTTGTTGCGGGATGTTTATTCTAGGCAACGTGTTGGATTCGTATCACGTTTTTTGTTGGTGTGTGTATGTTTTCTACTATTGCAGTGGGTGAGAGCAAAAAGTGTCCGATGTAAAACGCGTCAGTGTTCTTTTCATCGCCAAAATGGTCAGCCTTTAAGTTGATGAAACGAAGAAAAATGAAGGCAGCAAAAGGCTGTCAGTCATTGAATGCGGACGTGACCAGCCTCTCGATACCCGCCGTTCAACCCGGCTGGACGTTTTGATGCATCCCGAGTATCCCAACAGTTCACGTGTTCGTTAATACATGCATGCCTACCATGACAATGTGGCGAGACAATGCGAAGAAAAGGGAAAAGGGGATGAAAGAAAGCTTCTAGGAAAAATGTCAAGAAAAGAAAAAGAGAAGTGGCAAGTCGGCTTGTATATTTGTAAGTTTTTTTTGTATCACCCTTGGATGCGAATAATAAAACCAAAGGCGAGAACAAAAGGCTAGGTGTATCAGGGGGGTTATGCATGGTGCCCGTTTATTATGCTCCTGTGTTGTATGCTGCTCTCTATCCAAGTTATTCTCTTGTCGCCGTCCATTCTTTTTTTTTCATTTCTTGTAGGAGGTGTGACCAAGAGGCGGAAACAAAGTAGAAGCAACGGACAACCCAACCCTCACTCCTGAATATGTTTGACAATCTATTATTTCCCCTCTTCTCCATTGGCAATTGTAGCCCAAAAGAGGGGATGATAAACATAACATGCTGGTTCTCGCTGCTCATGTTGTTCTGATAGTCTTCTGGCCGTCTACCCATGGTTCCACTCTATCCCTCGTCCTCCTCCTTGACCACCTTTCGAGTAAACTCTACACGCACACATTATCGACCCTTTTTTGTTTGTATTACTCCCAGCTCTCCAAAATCAATAATAGCAAAAGAAGACAGAGAAGGAGTAAGAAAGCGAGAGTGCGGGAGAGAGAGAATGGACAGCATGACTGATAGGGACAGAGAGAGAGAAGGAGAAGGAGAGATAGTCTATGTCTATGTGTGTGTGGAGTTGCCTGGTTGTCTGTTGTTCTGCTATTGTTGACATGGTTCACCTACAGTTTTTGTCTTTTTGTCTATAAATGGCCGCTTTGTCCACACCTCTTCTTCTCACTTCTCTTACAAGAAAAAGGCCATTTCTGTGTTTTATCCCCATTCACCATCGACGCCTCTTTGGCCTTCCCTTCCTCCCTCCCTCTCTTCCTTCCCTTCCTCGTTCCCTCAATCGCGCATCCTTTCATCTTCTTTACTTCCCTACATCCTTTCTTTCATACCTTCTTCTTCTCCACCCTTCCTTCATCCATAATCCAAATAATTCTGTCCCTCCTGCACCTTCGCCCTCCACCCATACACCCTGAAATACTTCACCCACCTTCCTCTGCCAAGCTTATTGTTCCAAGTCACTTCAGTTTTCACTACGCTCCTCGCAAATATGAACTGGCACTCTGGTCTTCCTTCATTGCTTCGCTCAACCTCCGACGTCCTCATGTCGGATCGCTTCTCAGAGTTTGGCTTCCCCCTCTCATCCAACCCTCCCTCCCCTTCTCTCTCGCCTGCCTTGTCCCCCGTCCACATCGACTCCTTCGACACCTGGCAAGAAGCCACCTATTCGCGCAACCTCTTGACTACTCTAGATCTGCAAGCGATGGACACCGACGACAACCACTACAGTGGTTGTGAGGGCAGTGGTAACGGCAGTGGCTATGAGAGCGACATGTTCACAGGTCCCCAAGAAATGCACAACTCTCAAGGCATGCTGCAGATCCCTGTGCGCTCGCACGAGATGTCCTCATTCCATGCCCGATACAGCCCCTATTCTAGCTCTCCTTCACCTCAGCCTCAGCCCCTGTCCCTGCACCCTTTAGACAATTCCTTGGTCGGAACTCCAGTGGCCGGATCGCCCAGCCCCCAGCATATTGATGCAGCCCAGTTCCGGGTGCTGATGAACGAGGCCACTAATCGAATCAAGGCCTTGGCCGAGGCCGACTATGTCTCACTTCCCCAACCCAGCCTTCTCGCCGCCAATGTCGGGTTTATTAGTCCCAACAACCCAACCGCCTTTCCTGCCTATGTTCATAGCGTCCCTCGCGTGTACTTGGGGCGATCAAACAGCGTCGAGTCTCTTGTTGCCGAGCCTGCCTCTACTTGGACTACTGCTGAGCAGATCGGACAGATCAACTGTGCTCAAATCCTGTACCAGCATCAGCAGCAGCAGCAGCAGCATCTCCAAAACTTGGAGCTGCAACATCAGCAGAACCAGCATCAGCAAATGGTCGACTACCCCATCTCCCCGGTTGTGACAATGATTCCCGCAGGAAACGTCAACCATATGAACCAGCCGAGCATTAACATGGTCCATATGCACATAGGGTCGATCAACAGCAGCAACGCTTACGAACCAATGGCCATTGTGGACAGCCACCTGTCTCGAGTGTCAGACCCAATGCCCATGGTTATGGCCATCCGCAACAGGCGTCCTCTCTCGGCGTGCTCATATTCCTCCATCGCTTCCCCTTCTTTCTCTTCACCTTCCACTGCCTCTCCGAGCCCAATCTTGCACTCGACAAGCCCAGCTTCCCTTTTCCCTTTCCACCACACACCTGATCACAAGCGACATGCCCACTTTGCAAACATCAACACCGACATTACCCTCACACCCCCGCCACACTCGACATTGTCAGCATCATCATCATCGCCATCTACGACCACAGTCCCAAGAATTCAATCTTTCTCTCTCCCAAAGACGCGTCTTAAAAGCGTCCCTTACAAAAGAACCGTCAATAGTAAGGATGGCAATACCAAGTCCAAAAGTGTCTACAAGCCTCCCGTCAACAAGTTCATCTGTAAATTACCCGGTTGCGGCCGCACTTTCTCGCGACAGTTCAACCTCAAGTCCCATGGCATGACCCACGAGACTCTCCGCCCTTACCCCTGTGACCAGTGCGACAAGACCTTTGCCCGGATCCACGACCGCGACCGCCATCTCAAGAGCCACCACGAGAAGGCTCACTTCTGTGTCGTCTGCCAGGGCAAGTTTGCTCGCCAGGACGCGGTGACCCGGCACTTGAAGCTGGCCGAGGAAAAGAACCCCTGTGCGGTGATCCTTAAGGAGAATGGCGCCAGTTTCCGAGACGCCGCCGCTGGTCGAATCACAAGAAGTCGATTGGGGAACGAGGTTGTATTGAGGAGTCGGTTCCAGGAACTGGAGGATCACGCGAAGAAGATCAAGGCGACCAAGACTTTGGAGAAGGGTATGTTGAGCATGCAACTGTTGACTATGGACAATCGCACCCCCTTGAACATTCCTCAGATGAAGCATCAGCAGTTGCAGCTCCAGACACCCATGAGCTCGGCCTCTCGGTCACCTTCGACACCTTACTCGTATTTAGCAGGTGGAAGGGGATTGGAATTGGCCAGTCCACATCAATAGCATATTAGACACATTCATATTATTTTTTCCTGACAACTACTAAACCATAGAAGCATCTCAAAAAAAACAAGTCGCCATGGCTCAAAAAAACTATTTATTCAATAATATCCGCAGAAGTGTGTGGATGAAGCGTAAGCGAATGGACGGGGAGAAACGAAAAAAAAAATAGTTCCCGCAGAAGAGTGTGGATGAGACAAAAACAGAAGCATGAAGGTAAAAAGGAGAAAGACAAGAGCGAGAGACAGCGTTTTGCGCATAACAGATTCTATATTGGAGAGTGGATGGGGAAGAATTGTTAGCTTGAGTAGTGGTACCTCTGCAATTCGATATGAGATTGACAAAGAAAAAGGGTATATGGTGCTCTAACACAACAATACCAGAGTGGCTATTTGTTTACCTGGAGTGGGTGTTTCCTGAGTGCCTGCTGTGGATGGAAGTGGGAGTAAAATTTGTTTACGCCGGTGGGTGTCAAGTGTTGGAGGGCGAAGAGCTCTCACGCTCCCGCCACAGAGAAAGTATCAAAACGAAACGCGTACTTTTTCCATGGCGCAGTCAATCTGACCTCATCTCTTTTTTTTGACCTCGCCAGGCACATGACGAGATATGAATTACAAGGCGTGTTTTTAGTAAACCTGCACTGGTCAAAGAGTTGAATGCTAGAAAAAGCGTTAACGGTTAGACGATAGCAATTTGCAACATCTACATTGATCGCCCTGAGCATTACGTTTGCACAAACACCCCTTAGTCGTTTATTGCTACGTGGATTTTTGTGCAACAACCACTGTCGCTGCTGCTGCTGCCTCCTTGAGGGCTCTTCTCCGCTGACGTTCCTCATACCTATTCCAATAGTAGAAAGCAACAAAGAAACATCTAATCAGCATTCTGCAACCCCTCTTCACGGCCCTCACAGTACATGTCTTCCAGTTAACGGTCGAGAGGCTTACATTTCGCGCTGCTTGGCTATACGATGGATGATACTCCGAGTCGTGACCTCATGCGCAGGTCCATCCAGTTGCACAAAGATGCCCCTCTCCATTGCCAGTTGGTACGGATCATTTTTCATTTTGCTATCCTGTGTTATCCTTTCCTGCTCAAAATGATGGTGAAGACTGCCCCGAACTACTTCGTGTATTGTATAGTCGCCATCCAGAACATGCTCTGTGATATGATATGGTGCCGACAGGATGACATCGTCGACGTGCTATTTCACGTTTAAAGTTAGAATGAAAGATGATGAGAAATTAGTGTCTTCACTAGGGAACGTGAAAATAAATTAGGAGATGCTCTCCTGAATCATGTTGAGCACATGGATGGTTTAGGACGACGTAAACAAACAAACGCATAAAACACAGTGTCATGAATTACCCGACATGCAAGGAGGGCAAGAACACGTTCATGCATACTCATCAACGGATGGTGAGCACCCTTGAAAGTCCGGACAGTCGCATCATCATACACACCCACAACCAGAAAATCCCCTCTCGCCTTGGCCCGCTTCAGGAACTCGATATGCCCGACGTGGAACAGATCGAACGTCCCGTTGACATAAATAATCCTGTCCCCTTTCTGCGGGTCCGAATTCCCACGAGCAAAAGTCGAGATTTTGCGTGCTGTCGATAGCACCTCATGCTGCTGTTGTTGCGTCCGCTGTTGTTGCTGTTCGGTCCTGCCGATGATGGTGCTACCACCATTGCTATCACCAACAACCTGACCTCCTTGTCCTTGCTCATGCTCTTGTCCCTGCTGCTGACTGGTCATGAGCAACATCCGGTTGACGAGATCCGTGGTCGAGACACCCTTGGTGCGCTTGCACTCCAGATACCGCCCCTGCGCCTTGACATACTTGTAACTATCCGTCCCATCCGCCAGCGTCGAGAGGTCGTCTCCATGAACACAATAGTCACAGTTGTACTTGTCCATCCATTCGAGGGAGGTCGAGTACGGAGCGTTCGGGATTACTTCGTCCACCCATTTGCATGCCGCTACCGCTGCTATTCTATTCACATCATAACGGGAAGAAAGCAATAATGAGATCGACATGTTAGCACTTTGTCGGCGAATATGATAAACAAAGAGAAAAAATGGTTGGCAATAGCAATGGCAGGTGGGTGATTGTTACCTTTCGTTCTCGTTCATGACAGGAGGTCCTTTATGCAACAGCAGCTCCGCATCCGAATGAACACCCGCAATAACAATATCGCCCATCTCTTTTGCTTGACGGAGGGCGTTAAAGTGACCATGGTGCATCACGTCGTAGCAGCCATCGACCCAGATCCGAATTGGCTTTCTCTGTCCTGTCGTCGTTGTTGATATTACTGGGGTGAGAGGCACAGTGGAGATCGATGGCAGATGTGAAAATTCGGAGGTGTATGAGGATACCATTGTCGAAACTGGACCTGATGATGCTGTTGTTGTAGTAGTGGTGATTGTGGTTGCAGCTTTCGTGAGTAGCGTGGGTGCCTTGATTTTATTTGCCAGTAGGGTGATAAGGATAGACGCGTGTGAAAGGAAAGGATGAGGAGAAAGGAAGGAAGAAAGAAAAAAAAAACCAGAGCGGTGAGAGATTATGTTGATCCTCATATTTTCTTCACATTCTCTGTTTTTCTCAAGCTGTGTACAACAATCGTACTCTCGACGCGGTTTAAAGTTTTTAGTGCCTTTCCCTCCTTGCACACCCACGCCGCCGCGTGTGTGAACGAGACCCTGGAATTGGCTGAACCTCTTTCCTTCCAACGCGGTGCTAACAGAAGACAATGGCATGTTAACACTCTTCCTGAGAATGACTTTTTTTTTTCTTTCCTTTTATTCATTCAAAGACATCATATTTTTTTTTGAAAGTATATTCGTTTTGTTTTCTTTGTCGTTTCTTTGCTGAGAGTGCGATGAGAAGGGGTATCCAAAATGATAAAAAAACAAAAACATAAACTAAACCACACAAAACTGCCTACAACACAAAACTGCCCCCTCCCCCCACCCTTCCCCCCTTCCTCCTCGCCACACTCTGTTTTGTCTCTTGCGCAGGCTACCTCCTTAGAAAGGAATACCAAACTGCCGACACCTGTCAATGGCCCGCTGCTCCTTCTGCCTTGCCGCCATCTGCCAGTAATGGTCTCGTCTCTGAACATTGATTTGGACAACCGCGCTGCCTCGATGATAGGCATCTCCCACCAAAAACTGGGCGAACGCGTTTCCCGTGTCTGCTGCAATCTCCATATGTCCGAATCCGGTGGTGTTGTTCCTCTCCACTCCTTGGCCTTCCAGATAGCAGACTGCCGCATAAAAGTGGGCATTCGACGACAACAACCTCAGCTCGGGACTCAGATCCATCAATGTCACCGCGTGGAAAAGATCAAACGCAGTCCGACGGTCTTTGGCCTGACCTCCCTCGCCGTGGAACAAATAGTACCCTGTCCAATACATTCCTTCGGGGTGACCTTGATCGCTATGCGCCTTAAAAATCTTCCAGGCATCAGCACGCTCGCGTGCCTCGTGGAAGAGAAGTGCCTGTGACATGGTATTGGCCACAGGTGCTGGCGAGAATCCTGTCGACCGAGGACGACCACTTTCCTGTCCTGATGAAACCTGCCGTTGGTGTGGAGACAATGGGCCGCCGTTGGTGTTAACACTATGGCCGCTGTGGTTGCTCTGCGTGCTCCCAGTGCTCTGGCTGCTCTGACTGTTCTGGTGCCGTTGGACGCTGTTGGCCGATTGCTGATCAGAGTTCTGGAGTGTCGAAGTGCTACTGTCGCTGCTCATCGACAACCTATGCATATCCGCCTCGAGAGTTTGCTTCCTGGCCTTGATTACCAAAGGTCGGGTGTTCTTGTTGATCGGTGGTGAATCCAGTCTGGGAGAGTTCAACGGCGACCCTAAGGGTCCTGAGGATTGCGTGGGCGACATTACATGAGCGTCGTTGGAGAAGACGACGCCGTTGTGGTTTTGGTGGCCGGTGAAACCGTGTGGTTGAGTGGTGGTCGCTGGCAAAGACTGATGCGGCCTTGGTGTGCGGGGCATGTTCACGTTGTTGACTGGGACGGGGTCGACGTACTCTTGTTTGGAAGCTGAGGGCTGGTACTCGGTACGGGATCCTGGCTCTGGTTGCGAATGAGGCTTGGGTACCGTGTGAAGAATGCGAGGCGAGTGAGTTGGCTGTTGAGGGGTTTGGAGTTGCTGCTGATTCTGACTCTGAGGTCTTGCCTGCTGAGGTATTGCCAGATGTGCCTGTTGGTGTGTGGATGATTGCTGGGATGACTGCTGTTGTTGAGCTTGCCTCTGCTGCTGTTGCTGCTGCTGCTGCTGCTGGATCGCCTCGTCCACGTAGCGTTTGTTGACATAGGGGTTCTTGTACGCCTCTGGTGTCAAGAGACCTGCGACAGGCGTCATGGGTGGCGAAAACAGGCCTTGGTTCTTGGTTGCTGGAGGAGACACAGCAAACAGAGGTGGTGGATCCTTCAGGCTGGAGGGCAATGCGATGGGGTCTCCAGTCGTGTGCTTCTCACACGTGTCCCTGAGAATCAACAGCACCTGTGAAACAGTTGGGCGCAGACGAGGGTCGTGTGACCAACAGGCAGTCATGATGTTTCCAAACTCTGGGGGTGTGCCCTCTGGCACCTTTTCGTACAGATCCTCGCGGACAATCTTCTCGGGCAGATCTCGGTCGTTGAATGACGCGAATGGGATCTTGTTAGACGCAATCTCGAAGAGCAACATGCCGAAACTGTAGATATCGCATTCGGGTCCATATCTGACCTCTGGGGGTGTCATCTTTTCAGGCGCCAGCCATCGCACATAGCTGAAGGGATCCGACATGGGACGTGTCTGGGCTGACTCCAGTCGACTTTGGCGGAAATTGGTGATCTTGGCTTGGTTGAACCTTGTCAGCAGAATGTTTTTGGCACGCAACGTCTTGTGGATAATCCCGACCTACACCATTCAAAGAAAGAAAAACAGGTGGTGTCAGATTTGCAATGATATGGGCAACATGTACCCAACGACATCGTTGACCTTTAACAATGAAAGAACATGTTACCTCGTGCAAAAAGTGCAATCCTCGAGCGATATCAGCAGAGATGAACAGCTTTTGCTCCCAATCCAACTCATCCTAGAAGCACAAAAAAAAAAGTCAAGCAATGAAAGGTCAGCTGAGAGTGACCAAATAACGTTTGCCATGGCACTTTATGCCCGCTATTTTAGCACGCAATGCTCATCATATCTATCCATAGTCGACTGACTTTGGATAATGTGTCGGCTCTCCCATTACCTTTGCCAAAGTCGAAGCAAGATCGCCGTTGGGAAGCCACTCCATGATAATGCTGATCTGATTGTTTCTGTTGGTGATGCCCATGAATTTTGTGATATAGTTGCATCGGTCCAGTTTCTTCAAGATGGCGACCTCCTTTTTCAGCATGTCGAGCATATCCTGCGATCCAAAAAATCCCAGGGGCTTCTCTGCAACCTCCTGAGCCAGCCATGACCTTTTGTGGACGGGGAAGGTCCTTCCTTTGCGGGTCTCTGATGGTGTGATGCTGACGACCTGACGATAGTCGATCTCCACCATGGCCAGGATATCGTCCATGGGTCGGTTGGTGGCGATCATCTGACGAATTCCGACGAGCTGCCCTCCCAGAGAATCCAGTCCGTTCTGCAGCTCCTTTCTAAAGACCTTGAGCTCGACCATGTCCTCCTCCAGTGCATTCCTGTCTGTCTCCAACTGAGCCTGAGTTCTCAGCGCGATTCCAAGGTTTAACTATCATGTTTGTTGCAAAGGGGAAGATGAACGGAAGACAAACACAATTATGCGGATAACAATAGAGAGTGTCAGAAGGCGTCACGTTTTCGGCATTGTTGTTTGTGTTTTGTCGTTACTGTTGTGTCAGCAATGGCAAGCAACTTTGTGTTCTTTACTAGGTTTCTTCTCTCCTTGAACCACATTGGGAGCAAATGGCAAAAAAAAAAAAAAAACGTTCGCAAAGTGGGTAAAACGCAACATGAGCGCCAGAGAAAATGATACCCAAAAAAAAAGCATAGAACCAAGACTTACATCCAAGACACAGCTGTCGAAATCCCGCAGCAGCGCGTCAAACTCATCGCGAAACCTCAGCGCATAGAACAGCTACGACAACGAGTGATATTGAGAGAGCATTTAGAGGGTAACGGATAGACAAGGCCAGCAAGCGAGGAATGGGTTGAAAAGTGTACAATTGACCAAGGAAACATAAGCAGAAAAAAAAGAAGAGAGCATTGGTTAGTTCAGCGTTTGAATGTCCATTTTCATACTGTTGCCACATATTATCATGCTCGGTAACACCCATTAACATCATCTGCAACAACAACCATTCTCCATTGCAACATCAATGATCATCCTCAGCAACAACAATTGGCATCCTTTTCTTCTACGATTAGCTGAAGACAAAGAAAAAAAAACTAAGACTGTCCAGCCGCCTCGTTCGGGGGCGTAAAAATAAATCCACCAAAAAAAAAAAAAAAAAAAGAACGAACCAACTCCCTCACACCAACCTCTCAACCGCCCTCCTCTTCTCTCCTCCATTCCCTTCTCAAAGCTTTATCCCTTCTCATTCCCTTTTACCTTGGAAAAAGCCTTGCGCTTACTTATCTCAACAACAAAGTCGCGCATGCGTTCTAGGAGCAGGAAATACTGCTTAAAGGCCGTTTCGGAGATGACAAAGGCCTTTGGGTTTGACTTGAACTGTTCGAATGCGGCCTTGATGATCTCGTTTGCGATCTGGATGCGGTGGTTCATGGCCATACAGGAAACCTTGTTGGACTGGGCTGCCCGCGCGATTTCGTTGATGATCAGGGCTAGTTGGATAGCACCTGTAAAGATACCGAAGTCGACCATTGTTGTGTTTGGCTATGGGGCGTGGGGTTAAGCGGTCGATGATGTGAGTGAGGTAGTGGAGGTGTGAATGAGTGAGGGAGAGGGGTAAGGAGAGGAAGAGAGGAGGTTGAAAAGAGGGGTTGGGGTATGGAGTAAGGGAGTAAAGGAGTACAACGACCGGTGTGAAAAAAAGTGTGAGCGAGGGCGAGGGGACGGGAAGCAAGTGAAAGAAGGAATAAAGAAAAGGGAATGAAAATGCAAGACAAGACAAGGAAGAAATAGAGGCGTGAGCGAGTGAATGCCCTCAAGGAAGGGTGTTGAGCAGCAAAAAATAAGCGTTCGGGTTGGAGCTTAAAGGACAAACAAAAGTCAGACTCCAATAGGGGAGAAAGGTGCGATGGCGAGAACGAGGGATTGCGAGTGAATTCAATATATTGAACCCAAAGGGCGTTTGCACGTTTTCCTCCTTACTCTTTCCTCTCTTGTTGTTTGGTGCAATGCATCCTCTAAGGTCCATTTGAGATGCAAGAGAAGTAAAAGTGTGTGCTGTCTTTTTAATTTTGATCGATGTTGTTTTCTGATGCTTGCTTCAGTGAGACAGATAAAGTGATCAGTGATGGAGGAGAGCAAGTGTTCAAAACTAGATCAAAAACAAGGTAATCATCAGCGATGGTACCTGGATGGGGATCATCCTTTAATTCTGATTATCGATCATTCTTTGAGTGAAAACAAAGGCAGCATTATATGTGAAGAGTCCCGGGTGCCATGAACCTGCGCCTCCTTATATTCGGCCAGCGGAAAGGGAAGAGGGAAGCGGACATCGCCTTGTCTTCGTTCTGGTGTGAAAGGAAAGGGCAAGCACAAGAAAAAAGATCGCTATCCGTCCGCAACAAAGACTAATAAAGGTGGGTCTCGAGCGAGGTTCCTTTTTTTCCACCTTCGCCGTCCAGTAATCCTGCATTCAGTCATTCTTTCGTTCGTTACTTTCTTATTTTGTATATCCTTTTCCATCTCTTTCTTCCTCGCGCGTTGGTTGATCCATCTGTATCTTCCTCGCTCATTCTCCAATGCCCCTTTTTGTCCATCCGTGTCCATGACAGCTCCTCCGCCGCCTCTTCGAGCAACAAGAAATGCCTTTCTTTGTACTCGATCAAAAAAATATATATTCTTAACAATCCGATTGACACTCGCTTGTCCTCCTGTACTACTACACCATGGCGAGTGAGGAAAAGAACAGAAAACATGTTGATGCGACAAATAAAATTTTCTTTCCCATTATCCAAACCCAGCAGCAGCACCAGGCAGGAGGAGAGGGGAGAAATATGATGTGAAGTTGAATCGCGCCTTTCTTTTTGTATTTTTTCCTTGATGATAATTATCTGAACGATATCTTGACCTATGCGAAAAAAAATAGTGAAGGAGGAGCACTGCCCTATCCCTGTCGTTCTATTTTGCCACCACCGACCTTTCCCACTGCACTTGTTACCATTCGTTCCATTTCGTGTCGTTACCCAAACCATGGTCCAAACCTATCCTCCCGTCTACCCATGACAAATGGGCCATCGACTCTCTCTCTCTCTCTGACTCAGAAAAGGGGGCGGAGCAACAGCAGCAGCAGCAGTGCTTGACATTCGACATACACCCTTACATTTTTCCGCGTGAACTCCATGCTCACTTGGACACTTTGCTCACTCGCCACAAACCACAACGCACGCACACATCGCACACATCCTTACTTATCCACGCACTAATGCCACTCAGAAGAATACCAGCAAATCCTATGCGTACACCAAGAACCTACCAACCTTCACCTCCGGCCCCCTCACCTTCCTTCCTCTTTGACCTCATTTTTACTGCCCATCACTCTCTTTACTTATTCTCGCCTCCGTTCTGTCGCCTATATGCACTGCCTCTCGTATATTAGAAATATAGAGTCGAAAAAAAATGTGAAAGGCGACAACAGATACTCGCCCTTGACAAAGTCTGTCTCTTCTCTTCCTATTCATGCCGTTAACCTAAACGGACCTGCGTTTTCACTCGTTCAATCTCCAAATTTAGCGGGAGACTCGTTTGTTGCTTTCAAGGCATTTTCTTTATTCATTTTTTTTTTTTGTAATTGACAAAATGCTGAAAGGGGAAAGGGTGGGGTGAATATTATGTTACAAGAGGCACACTGTACCTCTGCTTCGCCGAGAAAATGATGTCAAATGATCCATTGATCATTATTCAAAAACCAACAAGGAGTTACTTAAAAGTCCTTGGTGGAGAGCTCCCAGAGGTAGGCACCGAGCAACTTGGTGCCCTCGATGTAGTTGGAGCGGTCCAACTTTTCGTTGATGGAGTGGGCGCCATCGGAGGAACGACCCATGGGCAACAAGAGGACGTTCTTGTTGAGGGCATCCTGGAAGGTCAAGGTGACGGGGATTGAGCCTCCCTCACGAGTCAAGTCGGGCTTGACCTTGAACACGCGCTCAACAGCGGCGGCAGCAGCGACTAATAGTAATGTGTTGAAAGGGAAGAACAACGGTCAGATTCAAGGTTCGTTCGGACAACGATCGAGCCCAAGTATGGTAAGTACGGTCAGTACCACCACCAATTATTTTTTACATCATGGGAAAATAACACAACCTAAGGAAAACATGAACACAAGGAAAAGCCTAGTGTCCCTAAACACTTCACAATACATTGAGGGAAGGAAGGAAGAAACGAGGGGGAGCAAAAGATGAAAAACAAAAGGTGGCGACGCCGTGGGAAAATGAACAAAAAGAATAAGCCATGGACATACCATAGTTGGGGTGCTCGAAGGAGGCAACCCAAGGCTTGCCGGCGTGGAGGCACTCGATCTCGACAGTGTTTTTGGATCCGAGCTTGGCAAACTCGGCGTTGATGTACTTGACAACGCAGGCATCGATCTTCTCGGGGACCATGTTAGGGACAGAGCGGATCGAGAACTTTCCAATGACCTTGGCGGGGATCACAGTCTTGGCTCCAGCAGCAGAGAAGGCGCCCTCAATTCCGTGGAGAGAGAGCGAGGGGTAGCGCCAGCGGCCCTTCAAGGCATCAATGTGGTTGTCGTGGATGGTGTTCTTGGCATCAATGGCGTTGTGGAGAGTGCTCAAGCTGAAGTCCAGGGGAGGGTACGAAGCCTCCTCAGCAGCTGCAAGTTCAATGTAATAGTTTAAGAGTTAGCACTTTGTACGATCGCTTTTCCAGCACCTTTGGAAAGAAAACCCATCATTGTACACAATCCAAGCAAAAGAGGCGCACCGGTCAAGGGAGCGACGTCGTCCATGATGCCGGGGATGAGGATCTCGCCCTGGGGAGTGACGAGCTTGGAGAAGATGTAGGCCAAGTCGGTCATGGGCTCGTGGACGGTACCACCAAAGACACCAGAGTGGAGATCACGGCCGGGTCCCTTGATGGCGAGCTTGTAGTAGGAGATTCCACGGAGACCGTAGGTGATGCAAGGCTTGCTGTCGCCGAGCCAGTAGTTGTCAGAGATGCAGACGGCATCAACATCCTTGAACCAGCCCTTGGCTTCGGCAATAATGACATCGTCCAAACCCTCCGATCCGTTCTCCTCCATACCTATTTTGTTGAACATTATTTTGGTTGCCTTGTTAGTACCACGAATAAAGTAGCTTCAATTGAAAGAACGAGAAAAAAAAAAGGCAACCATGAACAAAAGCAACTCAGCATACCCTCGAAGCACATGCAGAGGTTGACGGGGAGCTCAAGACCCAACTTCTGGTGAGCCTCGATGGCGTTCAACCAGCCGAGGATGGGTCCCTTGTCATCAGTAGAGCCACGTCCAACGAGCTCGCCCTTCTCGTTCTCGACCAACTCGAAGGGCTCGGTGGCCCAACCGTCCTCCTTGAGAGCGGGCTGAACATCGTAGTGTCCATAGATGAGGACGGTCTTCTTGGCGGGGTCACGTCCGTAAGCACCCAAGACAATGGGGGGAAGCTGAAGGGTGTGTCCGTCCATCTCGTGAGTGCCAGGGTCGCGGATCTCGAACCTGTCGATTAGAAGGGTTGGAAGAACCAAACACGGGTTAAGACATGGAAGAACACCGAGTCGATTGAATATGACCAATGCTGAACAACACTCTCGGAAAAAGAAGACGACAATCATAAGCATAGACATGGCACTTACTCGACGCCGAGGCGGGTTAATTCCTTCTGGATCCAGGCGCCCATGGTGAAGACGTCGGGGCGGTGGGAAACGTCGGAGCTTACACTAAAGCGGAGAGAAATGCGCAATTGATGGGAAAAGACGACATTAGTATTTATGAAGACGACATTCGTTTGAAGGGTATTGTGAGAGTAAGAGACGGATATCGATACAGTTTGATATCAACTGGTGGAAGACAAAGGTGCCATGGATGAATGGTAGCTGGATGAATGGTAGCTGGATGAAAGTGAAGGAGAAGAATATTCCAGTGTTGGACTCCAGATTGCAAGAAGGTACGATGTTTCCCACGGTTTATTATTTTTTTCATTCTTCCGGAAGGGTCGTGTGCTGCTGTCATTTGTTATGGTGGTGGCGAAAAGAAGAAAAGGGAAATGTACCTGGGGATGGCGACGACCTCGCGGAGACGGTCGACGTAGATGTTCTGGTCCTTGTCGACCTGGGCAAAGAATTGGCTGAGGGAGGCGTCCATGGTTGTTGAGTATGAGAAGAGTGGTATGTGTGAAAAAAGGTGTGGGGAAGGAAAAGAAGAAAGAGAAAAAAGAAAACAAATTTTGTGAGAACACCAAAGAACTTTTTACTTGTGTGGGACTTTTCCGCCAGGGCGGCCACGTCACAAGAAGCAGAGGCGGTGTGTAGGCGTAGAGTGAGAACTCTTTCCTTCGCTTCCATCAACACATACTCAACAACAGACACACGGACACAACCATATTTCACCCAAGACAAGGAACACAAACCAAACAAGCAACCAAGGAACGAAAGGATTCTACAAACATCATCAGCAAACCATCATCAACACACCCAACACACTCTCATTGAAACCTCATTCATGTCAACAGCAACATCTCCAGGAAGTGGCGCCAACGCCGGCAGCAGTCATGCCCAGTTCTGGGAAGACTTCTGGGACACCCTCTACCAGTTCACACACCCCTTCTCTTCTACCTTTTTCGACACCGTCCTCTCCCAGGATTCTTCCTCCTCATCCTCCTCACAACAACAGGAGCAACAGCAACAACAGCAACAGCCTCCAACCGCAGATAAGCCTTCGTCGAGTCGATTCTTTAAAGACGAGGCCTCCTTTCAAAAGTTCTGGCAAGGATTGCAAACCGGGTCAACCGACGGCAACCCCAGCAGTGGCTCTCTGGTGGACCATCTCCAGACGGCCTGGGTTGACTTCAAATCTGCCTCGTCGGGCTTTATCCAAGCCGTAAGTTGAACCCTGTCCTGTGTGGCAAATCACACGAATAAAACTCAGAGAGAGGAACAAAGAAAAACGTGACTAATTAAGGTCTTGATGGGAAAGTGAAGAAAAGGTACTTACAGGTTGTATTCTTCCTTTTGCATTCGGTGCTATGTCGAAATAGGTCGAGTGGCAACAGACATGGATCCAGATGGTGCTGGCGATGCACTTGATCCTCTTTATCATCATCGTCTCTCTCCGGAATCGTCCCAACCCCTTGGCCGCCATGCTCTTCTGCACAAGTAACGTATCCTCTCGTCGCTAATCTTTCAAGCAGGTTCTGTTATTTATAATTGGTCGCCAGGGCGGTCAGCATTTACTAACTCATCTCATTGTCGCTCTCTCCTTTACCTTCTTGCAGTCCTCCTGGCGGCACTGTCAGAGCCATTGAACGGTATAGGAAGCCGGCATTGGCAACTCTTCGCGGACGACAACTATTTTGACTCCCATGGCGTTTTTACCAGCCTTGTCTGGGCTTGTCCCCTTCTCGCGAACGCCATGGTAGCAACTGTAAGTACATTTTTATCGTGTCAATGAATTGATGCTTCATCAGTCGCAAACACACGTACAACACGACTGATATACTTTCAACTGGTTCTTCTGAAAATAGATGCTGCTGTTGAGGGTAACGGCCAAGTTGCTGGTCAAGGTCAAGAAGGCACAACTCGAGGATAGCAAGAAGAAGAAACAGAAATAAAACACTTGCCTATGGACTCTCGCGGCTTTTTTTTTTTTCTCACAAAGCACAGACCCTTACATCGACACAGATACATTTGCGATGGAGTAAAACGGCCGAGTGAAAAATACCCAAGGGGAATAGAGTTGTAATCGATGGTGCATTTTGTTCCCATGAACAACAACCAAAACCGAAACGGAAGAAAAACTTTGACAACTTTTAACTTATTACAGAATGGAAAGGATGAGATTGCTTATACTAAACTAATTTAAACGGGAGCGGTGCAGCTGAAAGAAGTGGTAGAGCTAACCTCAAAGGCCTGCTTGATCGAAACCCCGGACCCCCACATACCCAACCCAGCCATGGCCAAGAACCCAACCGCCAACACCAAATTCAAAGCCTTGAACCAAACCCGACCCGTCAAGATTCCGCGTCTCCAACGGCTCGAGTCCTTCCAGGTATCAATCCTTCCCGTGGTGCCATGACCGGGCATATAGACCGCGTCCTCGGACATGGCGTCTGTAATGACATCGTATCCGAGTCGAAGTGCTGGTGGGAAGGTATACGAGAACTGCATGATGCAGATGGCGGCGATGAGGGAAGAGATGTTTTCGACTTGGGGGACTGCAGATCCGACAATGTAGGCGAGAGCCCAGTAGACGACGACCATGATTGCCCAGATAACGTGGCCCTTGCGGGAGAGGAGTGATGGGCCATGGAACCAGTCTTCGACTATGTTGACGTAGGCAACCTTGATACCGATGTTACCGTAGAGACCTGCAGCGATGATACCGCTGATGAGGGCCAGGATGTTACCGACGGTTTGCCAGGAGTACTTGCTGACGCCCTGGTAAGCGAGCGGGAGAGTGAACTGACCCTGGAAGGAGTAGACAAAAACGCCGTAGACGAGGTAGGCGACATAGATGAGGGATTGGGCACAGGCCATGCCCTTCCAGAAGTCCATGGGGCGACGCATCTCGGCCATGATCTCGGGAAAGATCATGGCGCCTCCGTAGGCAAAGACCATTTGCATGATGCCGTTGATCTTTGTAGTTGCGGGGAGGGGGACAGAGGCGTGAGTGACGACGGGGCCCATGGGGACGCCCATGCTGGCAAGGGCTGCTGCATAGTTCGGGGGAGAGTGGGCGATAAATCCCATGGAGGTGAAGATGATTAAGAGGTTGGCCCAAACAGAAAAGTTGGCCAGGAGGGAGAAGGACTGGAGGGTTCGGATTTGACCGATGACCATTCCAAAGAGTGCCCAGATGACAATGGCGAGGGAGAAGCAGATGTAGCCTGTTCCGTTATTGCCGGCGACGATCTGTGCGAGGGATTGACCGTTACTGAGACAGATAACACCGACGTTGACAATCAGCTGGAGCGACTGAAGGAAGGTACAGATATGGCGGGCGGAGCGACCAAAGATTCTCTCACAGATGTCAGAGTAGGTTTTGACGGGGTACCGGTCCGAGTCGAGGTGGATAAAGAGCCTCCAAAGAAGGATGCCACAGTAAAAGGCCGCGATGCCCATGACGGTGTAGAGGATGATCCCGGGGACATACCCGAGCTGAGCAATCGCAATGGGGGCATTGAAAGGTCCTAGGATATCGGTGGTAATAAGATAGAAAACAGCGGCCCATCCGGCTTGTCGGAGTGCACGGCGGGCATTTGCACGTTCGAGTTCGTCGGCGGTCATGTTGGCGGTCGTGGCATCAAAGGAGGTGACATCTGCCAGGGGGAGACGGGCGTTGGCCCAGCGACCGAAGGGGTTCCTGGTGGAGGAAGGAGAGGACGACGAATCGCTTTCGACGCCCTTTTGGAGGGTGGCAGCGGCGTGTTCTTCTTGGGTGCGTTGGATGAGAGAGTAATGGAGGAACTCTTCAAAGGGGACGTCGGAGATGTCGGTGTATGAGATGTGATGGGAAGAAACATCCTTCATCTCGTCCATGACGATCTCATTGTCGAGCTCGATTTTCCCTGGGAACTGTTTGGCCATGGGTGCAAATATGCGATATTAACGGTGGAAGGTAGAAAGGGTACAGGGTGGAGAAGTGGAAGCAGAGAAGAGAAATGTGAAATAAAGGAAATGTACAATACAAGGAGAGAAGTAAAAAGTGGAGCCAAGGCAGTGTCGGATGTAAAGGAAGGAAGAATAAAATAGTAACAAGAGCAAAGGAAAGCGATGAGGACAAAGAGGAGTAAGGAGAGAAGACTGTGAAAAAAAAAGAGGCGAGGGGCGGGTTTTTGTAGTTCTTCAGACTTACGGTTGCATTGCCAACAGCCGCCACTCTCACACTCCAACTTTTGTCTTTCGATACTGATGGGCAAGTCTATGTGTTCACCCCTGCTACTACTTTTTTCCTTGACGCATTTTTACCATTGTTCCTTTACAAAAAAGAATGACACAGGAGGATATGGAAGAGAGACGAAGGTGCTAATGATTAGTGGGTTCTCGCCAAACTGACATGGGGCAACGGTGGGGATTATCCGATTGGACTAGAGGATGGATTCACTTCTCACGCGTTCTTCCCATTGCCTTTACAGTTTTCTTTATCGACAAAAGTCATGGGTAAAAAGAGCAAACTGGGGCGTGTGGACAGGGATATGGCAATAAGAAACTCGTGTATAATTGGTCTAATCGTTCTCTACAATTTAGCGTCCGGAATAACGTCCATTACAAATGGCAAAGGATGAAAAATACACCTCACTTGCGAGTAGTACAGAAAGCGTAAATGGACGGAAGCGGCAAAACACAGGTCAGCTGGACACTCTCGACATACTTAATGTGCTCGATCAGCATTTTCGTTCTCACGGTGTTGTTTGCCGGTTGTGTCAGCTTTCTGTAGTGTGGTGCCATGGTGGCCTTTTTTTTTGTTCTCTTCTTTCTTCAATTGGGGTATTCGTAACAGCAAAGAGGTTTACCCCTCTACCTCCATTTATTTCTCCTTTGAGTTCGTCATAGGTACAGTGCACCGATCGACCTTTTGGCTCTAGATCCGGAACGGACTCGTATTTTTATTCCCAGCAAACTGTTCTTGTTCTCTTTTACCAAGTGCCTTAGAAAATGAGGGTAAATATGAATGACTCAAGGAACAAGGATGATGCCTCTGTTGCTGTACCGCTTCATTAGATAGTCTGAGGTACTTTCGTTCTGTGTCTGTATTAACGTTTCGGAAAATATTATCAAAAAAAAAGCGGTAAATAACGATAGGAGGAAAATAGCGCCAAGGCCAGGTCCGGAATCAACGACAAGCCCTGAGCGAGCCTGATCGACTCTGGACCCTTTGTCTTGTCGTCCAATGAGTGCGCGATCTAAGTTTATTTTTATCCAGTGGTTGACGGAATAGATTACGAGAGGTAGTTACGGTGAAATGGATAAACGGATATGTCTCTGGGGATCCTTGTACTCTTTGCAGATACACAACCATGATTGGTGCCACCAAGTCTCTTTCACTTTTCTCTAAAGGAGGCACATCCATGCCTTCCAGATCCAGCCACCAAGCAAAGAGAAAGTGGGCTTGAAAAAAGAAAAGAATAATAAGACCGTCACGATTAATATGCAGGGCTACATTTGTTATTTTTTTCCTTCTCGTTGGGCGAAGCAACACGCAACAAGCAACAAGCAACAGCAAGCCAGCGATGCATGAAAGGAAGATAAGGTGGGAGAGGGAAAGAGAAAAGGGTGTGAGGAAGCAGATTGATCGCCCCGTTCACTAAACACCATCTTCGGCCTAGAAACCACGGGCGTTGTATTGATCTACCCATCTTCCAAGCACCGCCAGTTTGTTTGGAATCAAGCCTAATAGAGTTATCTCCCACGTGATGTATGCGCGGTTTCGTCACCTTTTTTTTTCGCTGGTCCTTCGCGTTTTCTTGGTTCGCGAGAAAATGACTTTTTTTTCCTTTAATCATCCGTCGTGGAAGAGTAAAAAGGGAGAGGACATATGATCAGACCATCCTGACGAGAGAAACGCAAAGGGTGTCTTTTTCATGCTTACTCCAGCGATTCATCAAAGGTCGTAAGCTAGCATGGCAACCAAAAAAAAAAAAAAAAAAAAAAAAAAAAAAAAACGAGGCCAAGTCAGTAGAGGAGGAAGGGGAGTCGAACCTCCACCCATCCCTTTTTTCGGGGTTGGTAGACCATCATGCTGTACTCTTGCCTGATGACAGATGATCCACCCAACCCTTGCTTGCGTTTTGCCATGTGTCCGTGAGACAGAGAGGAAAAGGAGACAACGAGAGATGTCTGTGTGTCTATCTCTCCGCCACCGTGCCCTCTCCTCGAACCCCCTTACGCAACCTTCTTCGGGCCTTTCCCCTCACCCCTTCCTTCGCGTCCTCGAGAAAACCCTCCTTGGTTTGGTTGAACTCGTGTTGATTTTGTCAGTAACAACTCATATCATCTTGAGGCGGGGGGTTGTGTAGCAGACATCGACGAACCTGAGGACCCTTGCTTTAATGCTTTCTTGTTTGTTTGGACAATTGGTCCAAGCGAAAACCAAGAAAACAACAAAGGGCACAACTACGTCTAAAGTCAATGAGAGGTAAGAGAATGTCCATCCATTGGCAAACAAAGGAGGGTATATCCTCCGGTCAAGGTTGTTTGCAAAGGCTCAATAGCTTGTAGCTTGGCACATGGCTGAAGTGCTTGTTATAAGGGCTCTGGTGGGACAGCAATTGGACATTAGGGATAAGAGAATCAGGCCACTCATTCTTCTTCCCTTCAGCCTTCTTCAGCCGTGTAGATTATTTGTACAATAAACGTGGCACTTTCTTTGAGAGAGAGAGAGAGAGGGTGAGAGGAATAGATAGAGAGAATGATATCCAATCATACTGTGGGATGGGCTGGGACAAGTGTAGGCTGTGGACCGGTGAGGAACAGAGATGATCCTTCGAGGGAGTGCATGTGGAGAGAGAGAGAGAGAAGGGCGAGGTTAACGAAAATAAGCATTTCAATGTCCAAAAAAAAATGATGGGCAATTAATGAGAGAGGGAGACAGCCCACAGACCGTTCAAGTCTTGCTGCACGTTGTTTACTTATTTGAATCCAAGAATACTTGCACACAGCGAGGTCATTCATCCATTACTGAAGGACGCATGTATGGACTGACAGGCGGACAGACAAGAAAGAGTGTGAATGACTTGAGATGTCCCCCTTTATTGAGATGTCAGTGTTTCCCCTGGCTCTGTCACCCACTGCCCTTTCTTTTCTATCCTTCGTGTCATGAATGACAAGCAGAGTTGGTGTGTGTGGTGTGAGTGTTTAATATGCCTCGCTCATACTGTCCACTGCCACCGAGCAACGCGACTGGCTGATCTTTTTTTTTGTCTTGTTGTTTTGTCCCCATGTTGGAACAGGGCATTCATCTTTTCTCTCCGACTGCCAGTATCACTACAGCAGTTCGTCACTTCCACTACAACCAACAACAACAGCAACAACAACAACAACAACAAATGATGATGATATGTTTACTACATGTGTCCCCATGTCGATTCGACTTGTGTCATGCCAATCACTGTACTTCAAAAGAAAGCACACCCTTTCTTCCCCCCACTCCCCTCCCCTTTGTTCAGTTATGACCCCTTCTTGTCCTGCTTCTTGATTCACCCTGGCTAAGCCTATTTATGTTTATGTGTCGACCCTATCCTGGGGTGTGTCTCGTCTCGCCTCTCTTTCCTTCCCTTTTCTTTCGTTCTTTCTTTCTTTCTTTCATCGCACTTGCCCTGTGCTCGCTCACCCCTTCGTTTTTTGTTCGTTATCTTCCTTCCTTTTACTTTTTCATCTCCGTTCACTCTTCTTCTTTTTGTCTTTCTCTCTTCAAGTGTCCTTGATTTCTGATTCGTGCCTTGACTCTCTCTCTCTCTCTCCCCTCCCTCCGCACAAACCACACCATCTGCCTGTATATATCTCTTCGAGTCAACAACAACACCCACCCCATCCTCTTCTACTCCTCCCTTTAGCCCGAACCTTCGCCCATCCTTTTTCTTTTATTTCTTCTTTTTCCGTTTCGCTCATACCACTTTTGGTACCAATTCACCCACGCCCACGCCCACGCCCACGCCATCTATCTTTCTTTCTTTCGTTCTTCTTCTTTCGCACCCTTCCTTCTCTCCACACAGCCAACAACAAGCCTCCTTTCATCACCTTCTCATTCTCATTCCCTCACTCAGCAGCAAGAACCTGATTCCGATTCCGACCCGGGACCAGCCCAAACACCGGACCTGGCTCTCTCTCTCCCTCTCTTTCCCCTTTTTTTCACTTCTTCTTCTTGTCGTCCATCCTTCGACGGACTAAAGAAGTAGAACACTCAGTTCAACTCAACCAACAATCGGTACGTTTGCAACCCAACACACACAATAATCAACACTCTCTCGTCTCTCCAGACACTCTCCCCTTCACCCCTTTTCTGCACCGTGTGTCCCTGTCCGTGTGGCTCTTTTTTAGACCGGACCAGATTGCGATCGTGCTAACCCTCTTATTCTTTCTTTGCTCGCCCCTTATGTTCATCACTTTTTTTTTATTTGCCATCTGTCCCAAACAATAACAATAACAACTATAACAGCAAGTTAGAGTGAGTGTTGCTTTCTTGACAAGAACAACTTACAGCCTTTTTGCGACAGGCACACGAGTGAGAAAGTGCCAAGAGAAGAAAGCGGAGCAAACGCCGTGAGCCCTTTTTTTTTTCTATATTACAACCTTGGGGGTTCCTTTTTATTTATTACACTTCTTTTCATATCTGTTCCTGTTCCTGGCTCCCAATTCATTCTCTCTCTCCAACCCAACCCAATCCCAACCCATTACACAACAAGTCGGACCCAGGCTCTCTGCGTCGTCGATTCTCTTCTTTCTATTTTTCCCTTCCACTCTCCCTATCAACGGTGTCTGTAATTCGTCTCGTCACACCAACTTTCAATTCCTCACTATGACTTCATCAGGAACAACACCTCCTTCTCCTACTTCGGTTTCTGACCCCACCGCCCCTCCTCTTTCTTCCACCTCAACTTCTTCTTTATCTTCTTCTCCAACTCCCTCTCTTCACTATCAAACCCCTTTATCCCTATCCATTCCTCCCCCTGACAGCTCCCAGTTGGCTGCCTCCTCTCAATTAACCCAGTCTCCCACCTTTCTCGTGCCCCCTTCGACTTCACCGTCGCCGCGCTCATACCCTGGCCCCTCCCCCTCTATGACCACACCCTCGCCAAGCAGATCCCTCACTCCGGCCACCGCCAACAAACTCCTCACCACGCGACCGCGTAGTGGGTCACTACCGATGGCACATCTTTCCTCCAGAGCCCCAGCAACATCCTCGTCGCTCAGGCTCGAAGTATTACCCGACGATCTGGTCGCACCCTCTTCCTTGTCTTCATCACCAGTATCATCGTCATCGTCTTCTTCATCTTCTTCATCTTCACTATCACCACTTTCTCAGTCAATACCAAGGAGCGGATCGTCAACACTGACACCACCCTCAAAATTGCGACATGTCACCTCACACTCGACCTTCAGCCCCTCCTCTGGCGGACGATCTAGAAGCGCCTCTATCACCTCTCCTCGACCTGCCAACCTCTCACTCCTCGCTCCCCCATCTCCATCAAGTACACCTGTTCCCACATCGACCTCTTCCTCTTCCTCATCACCTTCGTCATCGTCAACATTGGGAGCGCCCGTTCAGGGTCGTCCTAGGAGTGGGAGTGCAGCACCTGTGCTTACCAGCAATTCGTTTCGGAAAAGGTCGACCCAGCATGACGAGCAGGAGGCCGACCATATGCGCACGCAACTCAACCTTTCTCTCGACAAAGGCCCTCCTCAGAGCACTGACACATGGGATCCTGTCATCCCAGACATCATGGTCCACGACGAGGACGCTCACCACAGCTCAGACCAGGCCGACTCAACAGAAAACCTTCACCAGCATCATGACGAGGAAGAGGAAAAGATCATTTCCGCCTACCAGATCCTGAACCTCATTATCCCCGACATCTCGGAAGCTGCAGCAGCTGCCGAGGCTGCAGAACAACAGGAGTTGGAGCAACAACAACAACAGCAGCAACAGGAGAACGAACAGGGCCAGCCCACAACCACATCTCAATCCTCGACAGCGACAGCATTCTCAGAACAGGCTGGCAACAGCAGTAGTAACGCCAACGAGAAGACAATGAGCGAGTTTTTGAAGACCAATGCGACGTCTGCTACCTCTGCGACGGACTATCTCGCCCTTTCATCTATGGGGATTGGCGCTGGGCTTATCCCTCCCTCAGCATCCGGTCCATCCTCTCGTTCAGGAACACCCCTTCCTCCCATGTCGGCCTCCTCATCTGCACTCAACTTGGCTAATCCCAACATTCCAGGAGGTGGTATCAATGCAACCCCTTCTGCAACACTCAGTTCTCGGTTCCGTCTGCCCTTCTCGTCCAAGGCATTCGTTCCTCCTTCCCGCCCTGCTTCGGTCCATCAATTGAATCAGCCTCCGGGTGAGGCCCAGTTTGCAGGCCAGGAGAACAACCCAATGGGAATTAGCAACCCGATGCAGAGCAGTACCAACCTCGGCAACAGTGGATCGGGCATTCGATCTTCGTTCTTTGATTACCGTCTGACAAACTTGTTGCAGTTTGCTGGGTCGAGTATTGCTCCGAGTATTCGATCCTTTGATCCCAACCGGACGATGGGCGACGGATCGAACGATGAGAACCGACAAGAGTTTTATGAGGTCGAGTTCAATGTGGCCCCTGATCCGGCCAAGGAGGAAGCTATGCGATACGACCACACAGCTTGGGGTCGAATCCGCAAGGTTCTTCGATCTGGATTCCCTGGTCGTGATTTGGACCCACTGACGAGGAAGCCTCGCTACAAGTACCCGACCAACAACATCAAGACTACCAAGTACACATTGCTGACCTTTTTGCCCGTCAACCTCCTGTTCCAGGTAAAGTGAGATTTTTTTGTCTTTATTTTTATTATTTCTTTTTTGCGTTAAGCTGTTTGTTGAATGAAGGGATAAAGGCTAGCATGGTGGTGAGAGTCGTGGGTAGTGGCATGGTTGAAAGAAAAATGGGCAGTTTCAGTTGGATTGAACTGGCTGTCGGCAAAACCGATTAAACGAAAAACCAGCGGCGGGCCCGGTAAATTAGGTTCCAGGGACGAAAAAAAAAAATTCTGGTTCTTTGTCCGCATTAGTCTGTGTAATGCGCATCTCATCCCACCAGTTTTGGAAGAAGAGCAGGGGGGAAAGAAGGGGACAAGTTTTTACGGATAAGAGAGCAGGTCAGAGGAGGTCGAAAGCTATTACCGGAAAAAATGGGAACAAAGCGTGGAAAGCTTCTCAGTGTTCGATCGACCCTGAAAGGAGGCTGTGAGATTGCGTGTTTATGCTTTCTTCCTTCTTTTTTTTTTTTTTTTTTTTTTTTTCCTGTTTCCTACGCATGGTGCATGTTTGTGCCTGATTTTGTTCAATTGCGCATCTCGTGGTCGTGTGTGTGTGTGTGGGTTAAACTTGTTCACCGAAGAGACGCGCGTCATTGTTTTTGTTTATCCTTTATTTATCGTTTATCTCCATGCACAAATCAGTCTAACCTTTCTATTCCATCTCTTTAACTATAGTTCAAACGTTTCTACAACATCTACTTCTTGTGTGCCGCTATCTTTGTCTGCGCAGAGCCTTCCCTCTCTCCTGTCACCGAGATTCTTCCTCTGACCCTTGTGCTCACCATCACCGCCGTTAAGGATGCATTGGAGGACTATGTAAGTGTTTATAATCTGCTGGCTAAATATTAAGTGCACGAGCAACAAAAGAGTGTAGACTAAACACCTGTATTCCACCTTCATTCTCGCGAGTAGCGCCGGTACCAACAAGACAAGAGATCCAACAGTCTGGAGTGTATATTGGTCAAGCAGGGTGAGCTGATCCCGATCAAGAGCAAGGATATCCGCCCAGGCGATGTTCTCAAGATCTGCAAGAACGACAAGATCCCCGCTGACGTCGTCCTCCTTTCGACATCCATGGATGAGGGCGCCTGCTTTGTTGAGACCTCTGAGCTTGATGGCGAGACTAACCTGAAGCGCAAAGCCGCTCTGACACTTTCAGCTGGGTGGACACAAGTCGACCAGGTCTCTCACATTGTCGGCAAGATTACCACGGAGATGCCCAACGAGCGACTGTCGAGACTGGATGGCAGGATCAAACTGCACTATGAGGGTCCAGAGTACAACTATGAAACCTTGCGCGAGGAGTCTTCGACAGGACCAGCAACCGGCTCCAGAATCAACGAGAAGGCTGCTTCGGGCAAGTACGATTCTGGTATTATTAGAGGCACCAGCGACAGCAGTCTCAAATCCCTTGCGTCTTCAGGAAAGGGTATCATTCCTCGAGGCAGTGTACCACGGTCCAAGCAACCACAGGATGAGGTCGTACCAGTGACCATGACCAACGTGGCTCTTCGAGGATCGTGGCTCAAGAACACCGAATGGGTGTACGGGGTGGTCCTCTACGCTGGAGTCGACACCAAGATGATGCGCAACCTCAAGAACACTGGACTCAAGTTTTCGACCATGGAGACCCGACTGAACCGCATGATTGTCGCCATTTTCATCTTTAACGCCTTCCTCCTGGTCACGTCCATGTGCTTTGCCTATGTGGGAACCCATTCGACCTACTTGCGCGCACCCCTGGCTTGGTACACGACCCAGACTGGAGACGAGTATGGAACGAGCCCTACCGATGCTCGTATCTTTGTTGGACAGTTGATGAACTTTTTTGTCGTCTACACCTTTGTCATCCCCATCTCGGTTTTCATCTCAGTCGAATTGTGTCGTGTCGTTCAGGCGCTCTGGATGATCTGGGACGAGGAGATGCGCAGTTATAACGAAGGGCCCCTCAGTCAAGCCGAGCAGGAAGAGTTGGCGTTGGAGCAAGAAGGCGATCTTACCGGCGCACCTCTCAAGCGCATCAGGGCCTCGCGAACTGCGTCTGAGGCGACGACGCCCATCGCACTCGCCAAAAACGCCAAACCCCCAACCAAGAAGCTCTGGAAGCGTGGACCTTTAAGACTCTTGCACAAGAAGAAGAAGGCGCCCAAGAACTGGACCAGGATGCACGTTCGCAATTCGAACTTGAACGAGGATCTTGGGGCGGTGGAGTACATCTTCTCGGATAAGACTGGTACGCTGACCCGAAACGTCATGAAGTTGTCCAAGTGGCATATCGGTGGTCGGACCTTCCATGATCTCCAGCAGCCAGGCAGTTTGGGACAACGGATGCGCGACCCTTCGATCAGCGACGAGGAATACGACTTGTTGATGGCTTTCTGTCGCAACATTGCCGTCTGCCACGCCGTCTTGCCCTGCGAGGATTCCAGGACGGGCGAGCTTTTGTACGAGGCTCAGTCGCCAGACGAGTCGGCGCTACTGGAGGCCCTGAGAGACAACGGAGTGGTTCTGAAGGCCAAGACCAAGGACTCTGTCACGGTGGAGATCTTTGGAATCGTCACGGAGACATACACGGTTCTCAAGGTTCTCGAGTTTACTTCAGACCGCAAGTGCATGTCGGTCATCATCGACACTCCCCAAGGAATCCAGCTCTTCTGCAAGGGTGCCGACAATGTCATCCTGGCCCGTGCTGACAATATCGAGAACGATCCCCTCATGGTCCGTCAACTCAACGCGACGGTTCATCGATTTTCGATTGCTGGTTTGCGTACCTTGATGCTAGCCTGGCGTCCACTCAGTCCTGAGGAGTACCGGATCTTTGACGTAAAGTACACCAAGGCCGAGTGCCATATCGGCGACGGCGAGGATGGGTCTGATGATCGCGAGGAGCTCATCCGTGTTGCCTGCGAGTCGATTGAGGGACGTCTGCGACTGTTGGGATGTACCGCGATTGAGGATCGTCTTCAAGACCAGGTGCCCGAGACGATCGCGTACCTGATGGATGCCGACATCAAGATCTGGTTGTTGACTGGAGACAAGCAGGAGACGGCGATCAACATTGGAATCTCGTCTCGTTTGATTTCACCTTCGATGAAGATTCTGGTTCTGAATGTCAAGGTCGAGCGCGACTGCCGTCTTGTTCTGGAGTACTTTGTTGAGAAGATCAAAGAACGCGAACGGGATGACGAGAGGCTCTGGCTGGATTACGAGTCTTCGAGCAAGGCCGGCATTGAGCTTCCTGAGAGGGACCGGTATGCGCTTGTGGTCAATGGCGAGAGTTTGGCGTTTGTCCTCGGCAATGAGATTCTTGAGGATATGTTCCTGCGTGTCGGAACAAACTGCCACTCGGTAAGTGAGACTCGACTTTTGTGAGCGTTTGCCCCTGTATGTGTGGTCATCGCGTCTATTTGTGATTTCTTCTTTCTGAGCTGCTCTAACAAAAATATTGCAATTAACCACTGATAGGTCATCTGCTGTCGTGTGACACCATTGCAAAAGGCGTTGGTGGTCAAGCTTGTCCGTAAGAAGCTGCACAAGGTGACACTCGCGATCGGTGACGGAGCCAACGACATTTCGATGATCCAGGCTGCCCATGTTGGTGTCGGTATCGAGGGTATGGAGGGCGCCCAGGCAGCACGTTCGTCCGATTTCAGTTTCAAGCAGTTCAAGAACCTGAAGCGGCTGTTGACGATTCACGGACGATACTCGTACCTGAGGATGAGCAAGATCATCTTTTTCTCGTTCTACAAGTCGATCTGTCTGATCACGGTCCAGTTCTGGTTCGGATTCATGAACGGCTGGTCTGGTGGTGCGCTCTACGACGAGAACTTTTTGACGTTGTGGAACATGGTCATGACTGCCCTTTTGCCCATCGCGACGGCCTGTTTTGAGAAGGATGTGGAGGAAGAGAGCATTGGACAGTATCCCAAGCTGTACAAGGCTGTCAAGGATGGATTGTACTGGAACACTCTGACCATGGCCGGATGGGGCATTGCCTCTTTCTGGCACTCTGGAGGTAAGAACTCCCTTCCCATATCCATTAACCATTGCCTTTTGTCTCCCACACATAACATGCACTAACGCGAAGGATTTTCTCATATTTTTTTTTTTATTTGCAATAGCATTGTTTGCGAGCATTTATGCATCGCTGCAGCATGGAGTGGTCAACGGGGCGTCAGAGACAATGGACATCTCCATGGTCAGCTTCTTTGCAGGATCACTGGTCCTCATCACCGTCACACTCAAGATGCTCCTCATGATCTCGCACTACACGATGCCGATCTTTTTGGCAGTGGGGATCAGTATGGGAGGGTATATTGTTGTCTTTATCGGACTGGAGGTGGTCGGTATGTTGGAACCGGGTGTGTTTGCGGCGATGCACACGATGCCGTTGTACTACCTTGGTCTGCTGGTCATCCCGGTCGGGTGTCTCTTGCCTGATTACACGATCGCCTATGTGATGCGGCAGTACTTCCCTTCGGATGCTCAGATTATTCAGGAGGATCAGCGGTTGGTAAAGATGAAGCAGCGTCAACTGGCAATGGCGGCTGCATCTGGGAGCCCTCAGGGTGAGGATGGCAATGGTGGTGGGAAGGGAAAGAAGAGAGATGATTTGGAGGATCAGGAAGCTATGGTGGATAATCGCTCCGCAACACCTGCTCATCTGGCTGGAGATTCTTCTGCGCCTGATTATGAGGACGAGGACGAGGACGACGAGGAGGAGGAGGAGGAGGAGAAAGAAAACGAGATGGTGAGAGTTGTTGTGCAGGGACCTAGTGATCGCGAGAAGCAAGAGTTATCTCTTCTCCAGGACGAGAAAGCCAGCAGCTTTGGTCGTCAGTAACTTATTTATTTTTTTTTGTATTATAGATTTATGTAAATAAATGTACCTGTGAGTATGAGTATGCGCATTTATTTACGGAGGATGAATAGATCTTCAAATGGGATGATATAATATGATATGATATGAGTGTGTGTGTGGGGTGGGAGGGAAAGAAGGAAAAGAAAGAAAAAGGGAGTGTATGGGTCCGAGATACGCCGAATCTGTCATGTCCTAGCTCCCACCCCTTGTCCTTGTCCCGACTCCTACCTCCTACCATTTAGTACTGGCTCTCGAACTCCTTGAGGTAAGCGATCAAGACATCAACACCCTCCTCGGTCATGGCGTTATAGATCGAGGCACGGATTCCACCAACCGAACGATGACCGGCCAACTGCAACAATCCCTTGGCCTCAGCTTGAGCCACAAACGCAGCTTCCATCTCCTCATCCTTCTTCTTGTCAACAATGGCCGAGCTGTCTCCCTTGGGGGTAGCAGATATCCTGAAGGGGATGTTCATCTTTGAACGTGCAGCCTTGTCCTGAACGACAATCCTACAGAATCGAGACTCGTCCAGGGCCTTGTAGAGTTTCGAGGCCTTGCGTTCGTTCCTGGCCTGGGCAGCTTCGACTCCAACAAGGGACGAGTGAGGGTAGATGGAAGCATCGCCGTCCTGGACACGCTGGGAAGGGGCGTCGAGGAGCCACTCAAAGACGAGGGAGGAGATGTAGATGGCAAACATGGGTGGGGTATTGTAGAGCGAGTTGTTCTTGACCATCGTCTTGTAATCCAACATCAAGGCCACGGCTGGCAAACCATCCTTGAGTTCGCTGGTCTGCAACAGGTCCTCCCGGATAATGACGACCGACACACCGGCAGGGCCGATATTCTTCTGGGCGCCGGCATAGATAACTCCGAATTTCGAGACATCAACAGGGCGGGAGAGGATGTTGGACGACATGTCACAGACGAGGGGGACCGAGGGGTCATGGAGTGAAGGGACATAAGGGAACTCGACACCGTTGACAGTCTCGTTATCACAGTAATACAAGTACGCAGGCTTCTGTCCGGCCTCATCATCCGCTTGACGAGTAGCACCATGGGGATCAGAAGTCGCCCAAGTCGTCTCGGCCGGGATACCCGTGTACGCGCCCAGAGCCTTCTTGGCATCACACACAACCCTCAAGTTCGCCCCCAACCTCTTGGCCTCCTCCGCCGCCTTGGCAGACCAAGATCCGGTCACTACATAATCCACCGGAATCTGTCTCCAATCGCCCTTGGCCCCATTCTGATGATGCCTCCAGGCAATGAGGTTATAAACCACCGCCGCAAATTGAGTATGCCCGCCTCCTTGCATAAAGATAATCTTGTAGTTGTCGGGAACCTTCAAGAGTTGACGGAGTTGCGCCTGGGCCTTGTTGTTGAGGTCCTCGTACGGTTGGGATCGGTGGGAGAGTTCCATGAGGGAGAGACCTGTGGATTGGTAGTTGAGGAACTCGGCTTGGGCGCGTTCGAGGACTGGGCGGGGGATCATGGCGGGACCGGCTCCAAAGTTCCATTTGTGTTGTCCTGCTTGTGCTTGTGCTGCTGCCATGGTGTCTGTTTGGTGTTTGGTGTTGGGTGTTGGGTGTGGGTGAAGTGCGGTGTGGTGTTTGTTGGTGGTCTTGACGGCTTGGTGTTGTGTGTGGGGTTGCGTGAAGAAGAAGAAGAAGAAGAAGAAAGAGAAAAAGAAAAGAGAAGAAAAAAAGAGGGGAGAGAGAAAAAAAAGATGAAAGAAATAAGGTGACGAAGGTATAGTGAAAGCCGAGTCAGAAGAAAAAAAAAAAAGATAAGCATGAATCATCGTGTACTCACCCCAAAAAAGGAAAGTGCGGGGAGAGGCCCCAATTGATAAATAAAATCTATCACTCATCCTTGCATCACACCGATATCACACACCACATCCATCCTTTGGAAAGAAAAGAAAACGCAGGAGGCAGATCGGATCTCGAAAAATGAAAAAAGCATGTTGTTATTAGAAATGAAAACAGTAGAAAAAGGAAAAGGAGAAGACTATGCTACAGAATAAAAAACAAAAATAAAGAATAAGCTAAAAACAAACACCCGCCCGACATTCTACTCTACTCTTCCTTCTTCTGCTAACCTGCGCTCAGCTAGAAAACAAAGGATCAGCGAAGCCGTCGCTTGGCACGCGTGGTGATGGCCCCACCATCGCTTGTGATCACAGGTGCTGATGCCTGTACCTGTGCTACTGCTGCTGCCGCGGCCGCTCCTCGTCTCTTGGACTCCTTATCGCCATTCGATCCATTCGATCCGCTGCTTTGGTGGCTCTGTCGACTCGCTCGTGACACCGTGGCTGTCACCGCTGCTGCTGCTGCCGTCGCCGCCGATCGACGCGTCGTTGTCGAGATGTTGGATGTCAAAATAGCAGACGAAGGTGTCGAGCCCTGGTAGATTAGGGTGGCTGCTGCTGCGGCTGCTGCGGCTGCTGCTGCTTCCGCCTTGGCCGCCGCTGCTTCCGCCTTTGTTACAGCTGCCGCGGTTGCTGTGGATGAGGATGCCTTGGATGATGGTGTAGCCTGGTTCTCCTTGATGCTGCTACTACTGCTGTTGCCGTTGCCACTATTAGGGTTGGGTGTGCTGGCGGAACTGCTTTTGGACAGTGCTGGGGACTCGTTCCGATGACTTTGCTTCTCCTCTGCAGGCGAATGGCGGCGGTGATGGTGACGATGATGGTGGTGGGACGCGTAGTATTGGGGCGAGGACCGTGTAGCACGACGACCCTTGGGGACGTACTCTGAGCTCTTCAGGACTTCCTTCAGTCGACGATGCTCCTGTCGCAGTTTCTGCATATGATCCATAATGTTCTCATAGAACGCCTCCCGCTCCTTTGATCCAATCGCAAGTGTCGGCAACACAATCTCAAACCCGCGATCCATCCCCTGTCGGTCTAGAACCAAAGACTGGAGTCGTCCGTTAGTCGAAGTCGTCGACGAGGTTGTCGACGCTGATGATGGCATCTGTCCATCATCTGGTCCCATAGATGATGGCGACGAGGTCGCCGAGGATGCTGTTGTCGAGACCAAAGACGATGGTGGAATCGATCCAGACTTTTCCCGGCCTCGACCTTGGTTTCTGGTAGACTTTGGTTCTGGTTCGTCCACATCCATCGCTGTCGACTCCTCCTCTGTTGTTGCTGCACCAGTCGATGGCTTTGTCTCCTCGGTCTCTTCATTCTTGGTCGTCTCCTCGGTGTGAAGTGCTTTACCCTCCTTGACGTCAAGAGTATTTGACGTCTGCTCTGCCTCACTTGAGGCTGTCTGCACTGTTATTGGTGGCGCTGGCGGTGGGAGAGAGTTGGCGCTCTTGGGCATGGATCGCTGGCGAGTCATGCGATGTGTTGGTAGCCGTGCCGAGACAGTAGGCTCAACGGGTGATTCGGATCTTGGCTCGCCTTGTCCAGCTTGCTGGATGTTTTCAGGGGCTTTCGAGTGACGAGAGGAATGTCGAGTAGACCGTGGTGACGTGTTAGATTCGACTGATCCCTGTCTTGAAGATCGAGCCAAAACCGCTGCTCCTGATTCTGGCGCCATGCTCTGAGAGTCTGTCGAAATGGTAGGCTCTCCCCCTGTTTTCCGTCTCTTGATGACCTCGCCTGACCCAGATGCTGGGGTTAATCCTGCCTCTGTCGAGGGTGTCGTTACTGCGATGTTGTTGTTGCTGTTGCTGCCCGAGGAGGAGGAGCCGGGCGACGAGGACTGTTCGCTGGCGTTGCGGGACCGCTTCGAGTTTTCCTTCTTGTCTGCTGCTGCTGCTGCTGCCTTGGAAGTGGTGTCCTTGGGAGAAGATGTCGACGTGGCAGCAGAGAGAGAAGTGGCGGGTGAAGACGAGGATGTTTTGGGGTCGACCTCCCGACTTCCGCGGCGGGACCTTGATCGACCAGAGACAGGACTGTCTTTTGTGGCTGTCCCCTCGGTCTTGGTTTTTGTCGAGCGGGTCCCAAACTCAATTTCGTCCATTGGTTCGGCTGTGGCCAGGTCCTGCAGGCTAACGGGAGAAGGGAGCAGAGTCGTCGCTGTCTGCTGCTGCTGCAATGATATTCCTCCTCCTGCGACTGGACGCTGCATCCCATTCTTGAGAGTATTTCCCGCTGCTTGTGTTGCCGCTGCTGTTATTGTTGTTGTTGTGCTAATCAAGGAAGACGAGGCCGACGAAGAAGGAGTCAGGGGCATCGATGATAAAGCACCCGATACGAGACCGGAACCTGATTGACTTTGGGTGTGTAGCGGATCATTGCTTCCGAATTCAATGTCCGTATCGTCCTTGGTCGAGACAGCGGGTGATGAAGCGGCGGAGGATAAGTGCGAGGCGACAACCGCTTGGGACTGCGGCTGGGATCCAAGGTACTCCTCGTCAGTAATCAAGGGCAGATTGATCGCCTTGCTTCGCTGCATATCCAGGTTCAAGTCTTGGTCCTGAGCAGAGCCCCAGCGGTTCCAAGAGAAACGGCGCTTGACCTTGCCCGAATCGAGGTAGGACAGTGCGTTAACGACGCCTCCGTTCTTGAGGAACTTTTGGCCGGCAGCGAGTTCAAACTCGAGGAAGGGGATGGTTGTGGGCTTAAAGTGCTGGAGGTCAGAGAAGGGGACGACTGAGTACTTGTTGTCCTCAAAGTACTTCACGAGACACTCGCCAGGGTTGAGGACTGTGCATTCCATGGACGAATCGATCTCGGGAACAGGTACGATCTATTGCGATAATGGGAGCAGATACAAACACAAAAGAATATTATTACCCACGATCCCATGAGGAAGTGAGAGCTGTGTGATCGAGAGAGCACGAGCGAGACCACAGCCTGACGAGACGAAACCAGACCGGACTGGACAGCACAAGACACATCCCCGAATGCGCATGCCATTGTCAATATAATAAAGTCGAGAATAACGCCATAAGCTTGATAAGGAAATGCGGGCGACGGAGCCAGCCAGGGGAACGACGAGAAAGAGGCGCATGGTTATACAAGAACCAAAGAATGCCAATCCCACCACCCCTGCCACACCACACCGACACACCAACTGGTCCATTAAACTCCAAAGATAAAATAAACCCCCCTCAGACAAACAAGAAAAACACTAAAAGACTAAAAATGATCATTACCATGGCTGGCCACCAGTAACTCTCCTTGTCATCTACATTCATAGGAAAAGAGAACAAAAGGGCATTCGAATGAGTGCGTTGTGTCTTCAGCATAGACCTCTTTGTCCTTTTTTTGCGGCGCAAGCACTAAAGAAAAACGTGAACTGCCAGCCCACTCCAGTCCAGGCACAGGCGTATTGCAAGAGACACCACTCACCGAGAGGATCAACAAAAACAACGTCTCGGCCCTTGAAGACAGGGCCTGGTCTTGAATTGGTGGCAGCATTCCCTGTGCTGTGCTTCCGATTTGATGATGCCCTTGTCATACTTGAAAACGGTCAATCGGGTGATTGAAAGGTAAAGAGAGTGTCGGTGTTGTTCTTGGGGTTGCTTGTTGTTATGATAGCAGATCCTGGTCCGGATAGTCCGTTGGTCTGCTGGAATAGGATGGTTGGAAAAGAAGCAGTTGGAAAAAGGACGGATGATGGCTGATCCCTTCTCTACTGTAGCGGATGCGTTCTGTGTGTGTGGTATAGGTGGGGAGGTTCTGTTTTGTATGGAGTATTGCCACTGCGTGTGTCGATGGATCGCAGCTAGGCCTGTGGTTGTGTTGTATTGTGTTGAGCTCCTTGGTTTAGCGGGATTGTGTTTTAGTGTGTTGTTGTGTCCAGTGGCAACGCTGGCGTGGTCATGGTCCCGTTCAAGGAATCGTTTTCGAGGGGTGATATTATCCTATGTTACCATACACAAAAGGAATCAAGCAAAAAGTGTGGAGCAAAGCGTTAGGGAACACACTGTCCGTGAGCTGTTTCTTTGTATCATGGCGACCGTGGCGACGGCGATGACAATGCAGGACAACGACAACAGACCCACAGCTCGTTACTCTTTTTGTTGCTATATCCTTGTGCCTGCCCTTGCGGCCCTGCCATGCTGTGGATCATTTCTGTCCTTGTATGCTGGTGGGGCAACAAGAAGGATCGAAACGGGTGCGGCGAGTCTTGGTCCCCCACCTCTCTCACTCTCCCTCTCCCTCTTCTCCTCTCACTCCTCTCTGTCATTCTCACTCTCTCCTTATCTCCTCGTCTCCTTGTTCATTATCCTTTTTTGTTTTCTTGGTTGAGTCCCTTCCACAACCTATTGATCTTAACTTGCCGTCGCTGTAGGTCCCCGCCGCTACAACGACGTTGAGTGCTATATGCAATTGAGGCCGGACTGTGGGAGGCTGAAACTGGCTGAACCCTTCGTTGCCCAGTGCGCATCCGAGCCATCAAGGTAGAAAGGTCTCGGGAAGAGAAACTCTTCTGAATGCACTGGGCTGTGGTTCACATACACTCGCTTGTTGTCTCCAGACCCCAGTTCTCAGGTTGGCCTGAGCTTCATGCCGCATTGGGTGGATACAATGGTCAATTGGGTCCTGGAAGAAAGAACACACGAACCCACGGTCTGCTCAATCCAGTATTGGCATTGTAAAGAAGGCAAGTTGTCCTCTGGCGAGTGTTGGTCTCCTCTAGAGTTATGTTTCTCTTTTCTCGTTTTCCTTGGAATGAGAGTTGAGGTCCGGACGGTGGACGAGGAATGAAGGGATGACCCTTTTTCCGTATGGACGGTGGCCAAGAGGCGAGACGGAGGCGGCAGGGATACTTACGTGGTTGGTTGTTGCTGTTGACCTCAGGAGAGGCAGGGTTTGTATGTTGGGGGCGAAGGAGGTTGGGAGGGGTATGGTCTATGTGAGAGAGAGAAGGCCAACGACGGGAAAAGGAGAAGGCAGGGCGAACGACGGTGTATTAAGAAAGAAAGAAAGAAAGAAAGAAGCAAGAGGGAGAGAAGTTGATTTGCCTGCACAGAAGTCTAATAAGAAAAAATCGCCCTCCCTAATCGACCGACCTCTTCCTGCACATCGCCATGAAACTCATGGGCACTTTTTTTTGTTCTTTGCCTCTTGTGTCTCTCTGCACTCTTCGCTTTACCGTCTTGGTTTGTATTTGTATTCAAACCATTCACTTTGCTCAAACACTCACACATACTCAAACGCATACCCACACATGCCTCACTACACCTCACAATTGCCCTGTACCCAGGCAATTGATAGCTACAAAGATGGAACCTCGAACCATGCCTTGCCCTGACGCCGACCTTTATTCAACTGATAACAATCGTTCTCATATACTCCTGGCTTTTGGCCTATGGACTGTGTATCTGCTTTATGCTACAGTGGCGATCCTACTTGACTCTTCAACAAAAAACAACAGAGGAAGCACATACAAAGACAAGGCAAGGGCAAGATTAACGATCGCCAGATTGCAGCCCTCCGTTTGCGCTTACATGAATACATGTATGCGGCGGGAGAGAGGGGGAGGTGAGGCCGCCGAACCCAGTCTGGTGCGACCTAGGAGTAAGTGCAAGCTGGGGATGTATCTTTTGTAAACAGGCGATCGCGTCCTGCCTACCGTTGAATCATCGTTCGTCGCCTTTACGTCTTCGATCACATCAGGACAGCCAATCCACTCCCACTATACGCAAACCAAAATCGCATATTTCTTGCCCCACTCTTCCTCTCTGACCTTTACTTGACTACCTCCTTTACTCTTCCTCTTTCCCTCTCTCTCTCTTCTCATTCATTCCTTCATTCACACACAACACACAAAAATACTCACAACAATGTCCATCCCTCTGAACTCGTGCATCATTCTCGGTGGAACAGGAGCCGTCGGAAAAGCCCTCGTCAAGGACGCCCTCTCCTCAAACGCTTTCACACGAGTCCTGACCCTCGGCCGCCGCCCCGTCCCTACCGAAAACGACAGCAGCTTCACCAACCTCTCGGTTCTCGAACAAAAGACTATCGACTTTGAAAACATCGCCGCCACCTTCCCCGACGAAGGCGCAAACCTGCCCCAGGTCGTCTTCTGTACTCTGGGTACGACCCGCGCGGCTGCCGGATCCGCCGAGAACTTCAAGAAGATTGATCAGCAGTACGTCGTCGAATCGGCTCGTCAAATTCACGAGAAGGCGCCCAAGGATCCCGCCACAGGATTGTCCAAGGTCCATTTCCTCTATTGCTCCTCCGCCGGTGCCAACGCCGACTCATACTTCCTCTACCCAAAGTCCAAGGGCGAGACCGAGAAAGCCCTGGCTGAGATTGGGTTTGAGCGTGTCAGTATCTTCCACCCTGCGTTCTTGAAGACTGTCGAGCCCCGTGTAGGAATCCGCGCGGGCGAGTGGATCTTCGGCAAGCTTGTTCCTGTGTTTGAGTTTGTCTCGGAAAGGTCGGCCACAATCAGTGTGGCCTCGGTGGCGCTTGCGATGCGCTTAGTCGGAACCTCGGACTCGGTCGATGTCCAGGGTGTGTCGCCCAAGAGCGTCGGTGTCAACCCCAAGTCCAGGAGCAAGGTCGCCTACTTTAACAACCCCAATATTCACGACATTGTCAACAAGTACAACGCTTCTTCCAAGCTCTAAACTACAGGGCGTGTCACCGTTTTACGAGGGCTGGGAATAGTGTTACAAATATTAGTACATACATAGCACATCATTTTGCATGGAGTTGGTGCGACATGAAAGACAAGAACCCAGAATTTGAATAAAAGAAAAAGAAAAGAAATACGATGAATTCGAATTAGAGAGGGCCAGTTTCTATTTAGTGGCCGGTGGTTCGCGCTCGTTTCAACCTCCTTTCATTTCTTTGTATGTGCACAGAGGGGCAACTGAAATGCGGACAGTGGCGACAATATGTCATCGATAGATTTACAGACATCCGTCGTCCATCATCCATCGATCGATACCACCATTGGCGCCATTGCTACGATCCTATCCATCCGTTCAGGAAAATGTAGCACGAAACTAACACCCACCATCTTTTTTTTCTGCTGTCTACATATCACCTTTTTACTCTCGGGAACCGACTTTACAACTTTTTTCTCATGCGGCGAACCTCTGATTCAACTCGGGATTGGGATGTTACTTTTACCATCACACAAAACTCCAACAATCACCTAATCGGATCCGACCTCTACATCAACTTTCCTCAACCAACTCCTACAAAAAAAAACAACCAATACCTAAAAAAAAACGGGACGTTCATGGCAACACTATAGAACAATATGGCCAGCCTCAAGATTGCCAAGAACGGCCCTGCTGATGAGATCGAGCTCTCTGTCGCTCAGGCTCTCTTTGACTTGGAGAACAACGTCGCTGACTTGAAGAAGGAGCTCAAGGCTCTCCAGATCTCCAGCGCCAAGGAGGTGAGTTTTCTCTTTTTTGTTCAAAGAGGAACGAACAGGGCAGCGGGGGGGGTTGGGACGACGTACAACCACTAGCAGGATACGACGACGTTTGACCCTCCAGCGTATTCTTTCGCAGTCTTGGGAAGAAGGGAAGAGTTGTTGGTGGTTCAGGTCCAGGAATCGGGAAGATGGCAGAAGGAGGAATAAGGATGGAGGATACTTTCATCTAGGATGATGTAGTTTTCCATGCGGAACCTATGATTCAGTGACCAACATCGACCGACGGAAAAATCAAACCGGCGTTCAACCAGACCAACAGTCATATCACCATCGACCGAGTTCAATTGCTTACAGTCGCTAATAGCAAGCAGCAAGGACGTGAAAAGGCTACCCATGACTTCAATTTATTACGCCTCCAGCAACAACCCACACCGGTCCTACTTCCACTTCTACAGAGTTCAACTTGATCAATTGGAAGAGAGGAACAGACAGCAGCTTGCAAGGAGAACCCATTTCCATCGGTGTTCCAGGGAGAGCCTCCAACATACCTCTACAAACAACGTAGTGCACCTGTGCAGCCAGACTGACCCAACATCTCTCTTTTCTATCACCAAATTTCTCTGATCAGATCGAGACCGGCAACGGCAAGAAGGCCATTGTCATCTTCGTCCCCGTTCCCCAGTTGAAGGCCTTCCACAAGATCCAGGGAAGGTAATAACCAACTTCCACAATTATGCCAAAAAGTTACAAAGGACAAGGGAGATATGGCAATGCTTCAAACGACCTAACAACAAGACGCTAACAATACCTTCAACACATCAAAACAAAAAATATAGACTCACCCGTGAGCTCGAGAAGAAGTTCTCTGACCGCCACGTCGTCTTCGTTGCCCAGCGCCGTATCATGGCCAAGCCCACCCGTACTTCCCGTGCCAAGCAGATGCGCCCCCGCTCCCGCACCCTCACCTCCGTCCACGAGAAGCTCCTCGAGGACTTGGTCTACCCCACCGAGATCACCGGCAAGCGCACCCGTGTCCAGACCGACCAGAAGAAGATCATCAAGGTGTAAGTCCCTCTGTCTTTCTTGTCGGTTGTCGACAAAAGAACGCGTAAACGCGTTCTCTTGTGTGTCTCGTTCAGAAACTATGCAGCCATCATGCTCGCTGGAAAGAATACGCGCGTAATTTCTCACACCTATTTTTTTTTCCTTTCATATCCCCTTTTTGGCACATATTAGCTTCCTCGATGCCAAGGACTCGACCTCTTTGGAGTACAAACTCGACACCTTCGTTGCCGTCTACCGTCGTTTGACCGGCAAGGAGGTCGTCTTCGAGTTCCCCGCTCACCACGCCGAGTAAATTATCTTGTTCTCTTTCCACACTACTATTGTTATGGGAGATAATGAGACGATGACTGGGCTATTAAAGTTAAAGGGCCATGGCCAATATGGACTTTTTTTTTTCTGGACCATTCAAAACAAATAAACACTAAGGAAAGAACACATCCCTTCTTTTTTTTCAATGTCTTTGTGTGTGTGTTTGTTTTGTTTGTTTTGTTACATCGAGGGAAGGCAGTTACAAAAGGAACAAAGTAACCATTTATTGTTTTCATTGTCAAAATCGGAATATACAGCGCAGAGGAAGGATGAGTCGCAAAATGCCTTATGAACCGGCAGCTATTAGAGGTAAGAACAAGTGGAAGGTGGGCTTTCGTTAGGAACATATCACTATTGCGAACAACAACAATTAGCAAGTCCAAGCAGCAGGAAAAGAGAGACATACTGTAAAAGTAGACAGACTCCCAGAGGGGCTGGTAGTCGCGGACAATGCCTCCGACAAGCGAGATGAGAGGCTTCTTGCTGGCCGACTCGCAAAAGTTGTGGAGACGCTCCCTATTTTAACAAATAAAAAATTGCCACCAAAAAAAATCAAAGTCGATCGAAACCATTAGTAAACACAACTAGCAAACAACCTGTACACATCCACCATTCCTCCTGACAATCTTTCTACAAAAACAAAGAGGATTGATCCTTACTTGGTAAAGCGGTCGTAGAAGGGGCTGCGGAGAACATAGTAGAGCAACAACCAGAGTCGCCTCTTCATCTCATCCTTCTCGAGCAAGGTTCCCGATCCACCACGGCCACCACCAGGACGGCTGGCCAAGCAGTGCTTGATACTCGTCCTCGACGCCAACTCGATCGCCAGGGACAAGAACCAGGGGTACCACGACTTTTGTCCGTACTTGCGCATCGCCAAGACATAGATCAAAGGTCTCAGCACAAACATGTACTCGCCAATAGCGCCCAATCCACTCAACATGCCAACGAGATCGCGAGGCTTGCGGACCACATCGGGTGTGAGGACCTTGCTGAGCAAGAACTCTGTGACATCCGATTTGCCGCCAGCCTTGCCGTTGCCGCTGTTCTTCTGGACAGCACTCAACTGAAGACGAGTCGATCCTGTCCTGGTGCCTGTCCAGTGGCTCTCCTTGACCGACTGTTCTGCCTCGGCGAGATCAGCGAGTGTGGAGGGGTCCACGTCGCGCTCTGTGTGGATCGGGTGCATGATCATCCTCTGGTTTGTCAATCGCAGCAAAGTCAACCGTCCAGCAGCCCTATGATTCGAGTGTGAAAACCACAGCGAGTTAGTTCTGAATATGCGATCGTCGTCGGTTTGCCATCGGTGTGTGACACAAGTGGACAGACACACAAATAAAAAACGTTAAATGTTCTTTTTTTCACTTTTATCTTCCAATTGATCCACAGAGACGCTTTGTTCGTTTTCGTCTTTGTCATGCTAAAGCAGACAATTTTTTTCCTCAGCGCTTTGATGTGAAAAGGAAGACTTACTTGATGGCTTCAAGGGCGGTGATGACACGCCACTTGTACTGTTGACCCCACTTCTTCTGAACACCCATCTCGATCAACACCTCGGTGTACTGGATTACCGTCAGAAGCATGGCAATCCTCTTGTAGGTCAGCGACGAGTTCTGCCAGTCCCGGGCGTATCGGTTCAAGGGCGATGGTGTAGGTCGATGAGTCGCTGGCAAACTAGCCACATGCCTTGTCAAAATCGTGTCGTGGTAAATGCCAAGCAAGTTCAGCGTCGAGAACACTATCAAGTTGAAAATATAAGATGAGTGTGAGTTAGGGTGAATCCTTACTAACTAGCAACGACTGATGGGTTGACAATGGGCTCCAAACTGCATGGTTCAGTCAACCAAGACAGGTCAAAAGAGGTTCCCGGGAAGCGATCCGAAATATCGAAGCAAACAAACGGTTGCACTTACAGGCCTCAGACGCGAGATCGGCATCATCGAACCGACCTAAAAAGGGTCACACAGAACGAGAGCGAGCGAGAGATGAGAGAACAGTGACAGGAAAGTGGAAGAGAGAGTAATAGAAGCGTTTCCGCAACGTATCATGTCAGTTTTATAAGTAAGAAATATAATATATTAACAAGCGAGTAGATGAATAAGACAAAACGACGGGTCGTACCAGGGAGGATGTAGGTGAGTGACCTAAGGGTGCTCTCGATGCTTGAGATCTGAGAGGCATTCTTGAAGATGAACGACTCGTACTTTTTGAGAAAGTCCATGGTGAGCCGCCTATGTCTTTGCTGGGTGCTAGGATAGTATATGTACCCCGACACAAGTTGTAGATGTAGTTGTAGTTGAGTGTGAAGGAGGGAAGGAGGTGTCGGGTGACTAGGACTGTAGGCGGAGAAAGAGAAAGTAGTAAGTGGGTAATTAGTTGATGTGAGTAGAGTGGGGTAATGGAGGGAATCAAAGAAGGTGAGAGATGGGGAAGAAAAGAAAGGTCGGAGGAGACACTCTTAGTACCGACTATCACACGCACACCGGAGAAAAGAATAAAGAGGAAGGACGGAGAGCAGCAAAGAAACGATTGAAGTAGGACGCACTACATTCTACCGCACAGAAAACAGACACGGATGAATTTCGAAGCGAAATTGTTCTCTGCTCCTCCTTCTGCGAGCCGAACATCTCTTCCTGGAAGACTCACTCCTCGCCCCTTGGATGGGAACAAACTCAACAAACAGACAGGACACCACCCTTACCTGTTTTCCAATTGAATGCGATATAGCATCATAAAACATCAACAACGATATGCCAGTCGCTTCTTGGTTCAATAGGAATATCCACCCATCTACCTTACAGTGCGATCCGATCGGGATGCCAGTGCCAAGCTGGACCGCAAGGCTTCTCCCGCGTTGAAAGAACCAGAACAGCAGCACATGCAAATCAAAAAATCTCGTGCCACTTTATTTCCACGCTGAGTTGTTTTCTATTGCTTCTGCGATTATTATATATACCTGGCGTGATCGCTCTCTCCGTTTCTGACACACAAAATTTCGAGAGTGAGACGATCCCTGCAGGGTGGGGAAGCGATGTTGCGATGCACAATGCATAAATCAAAAAATATGGGACACAACACATCCCTTCTTTCTTTTTGCCCCCTATCCTTATTCTCCTTATCCACTCCTTCTTTTCTGAGTAATAATCCCTCTCTTCCCATGTTCCGCAACCCCCAACAACAGCAATAGTTAGAAACAAATCTTCAAGGAGCGGGTGAGTGGTGCATATCGTCCCTTCTCAAAATTATTATTGCCAGCATGATCTCGCCAGCTGATCAATGCATTAAAACTCTATCCGTTTCGAGGAACAGTCGCGCACAAAGCAAGCTGTCCTTCCACTATGGTTTGTTTGTCGCAAAGACGAGCGGGGCCCGCTACTTTACCGACTTGAACAACGCATATTCCTCGTTCTTTAAAGGCGGAATCAAAGTTGAAAGGAAACCGCAGTTTTTCACGCCTTTGGCCCTGGAAAATGAAATCCATAATAGGCAGGCATTTGTTCAGCACTGTGATGTCTTTTGGATGCAAGGGAGAGAGAGGGCTCTCAAAGGCGACGTGTGTGGTTCTTCCTTTTCTTTTCAGTTGCAACTTGCAACCTAACTGATTGCGAATTATGGGGGGCGGATGTATGTGGGCACTGAAGGGAGAATGAATGAAAGAGCAAAAGCAAACTAAAGGAACGCCCCTGGGAAAGAGGAAGTAAGATGTGATTGGTCGATCGTTTACACTCTAGCCGCACTCTGTCCATCCATCCAAGAAGAGAGTTGGCCACGAGTTGTCTTGGGTCACCAGGCTGGTTGACTAATTACCTATGAATAGCGTTTCTGTCGATGAATATGACTCTTTCCTTTGTTGTGTTAGTCCACCACTGTGCCATAACTCTTATAGCGAATGAATACCGAAGTTTGATGTAACGATGATGGTCGCCGTTCGCCTTTAAACGGGAGCTATGGCACCGTTTGTTTCGTCTTTTTCTTCTTCAACTCTTCCTTTCCTTTTCCCCCCTCTCCTCTCCTGCATACAAATCAATACACTTGTGCCTCAGTCTCTGTATTCAATTCAATCAAACACGCCCCCTTGTTTTCCGTCACTCTCTTTTGCTCTCGCCTCATTTTATCCGCTCTTCCTCATATTCTTTACTTTTGTTCTCGCCCTCCTTTCTTTTCTTTCTTCCTTCACTTATAAAAACTCCTTTTCCCTCTTTTGCGTCTCTCTTCTCACTTCGCACTCCACCCTCTACCCTCGCACTCTTCGCACTCTCCCAACCAAACCAACCAACTACCCACCAACTCATTACTCCCAGACACATAGCCCAATGTCCATCAACAGAGGCAACATCGGCCTCGTGGTCGGAATGCTGATCGCAGGAACAGCCAACACCGTCATCTCAAAGTGTACGTTAATCTCCTTTTCCCACTCCCACTCGTACGCTTTCGAACAACAAGCAAGACAGACGGACAGACAGACAGACAAACAGGAAGATTGACAGGAAGACTGACAGGAAGATTGACAGGAAGACTCACAGGAAGATTGACAGGAAGGGACAATACACATAATTGTGTTTGCGGCAGAGCTAAATATGTGTGTCAACGTTCAACATCCGACTCGCCCTCCCATCCTCTCTGTCATTCTTTTGAACTCCTCCTCTTTGTGTGAATTGCGTTTATCTGTATTTGCTCTTTGCCATGTTTAAACAGGACACAAACAGAGGACAAAGAAAGGACCAGAGGGGAGGAAAAGAGCGTTGAAAGGACGTCCGGCATGACAATTCGCACTAACAAACGCATATTCCACATGGACCCCACTCACCAAGAACAACAATGGCAAAACAGTTGACCAATTCCACCCGTTATGCTTTGTCGTTGCCACCTTCATTCTTAGACCAGGACATGGCCTGTGTCAAGAACTGTGACAACCCCGACCCCAAGACTCATGAGCACTTTGAACAGCCCATCTGGCAGACACTCAACATGTTCATGGGCGAGACCCTCTGTCTGGTCGCTGCCTCTATCTTTGCTTTCTTGGCCGAAAAGTATGGCCGTGCCAAGTGGGCTGACTTGATTCTGGACGACGAGGAGGATGATATCCTCGCGGTGGTCGAGTCGGACGGCCTTCTTTCTTCTCCACACGAACATGGACACGGACACGGAAACGGACATGCTGCTCCCTTGAAGAAGAGAAAGCTCGAGGGCCCCTTGGTTCTCTTGCTTTGGTTGCCCACCCTCTGTGACATGACCGCCAGCACAGTACGTAACACAACATCACCCTTTTTTTTCACTCTCATTGGTTACATTTTCTCCCTTTCCTGCCCCTTTTTCATCGGACGGACTGCAATATCCGGGATCTTGGAATGGCAACATCTTTCAGATTTGGACATGCGCGGGAAAACAACAACAGCGACAGCAGGATGCAACGCGAAAACAGGAATGGATCAAGGATGTGCCCACGAAGAAGCTAAAAGAGTCTCTCGAGATGGAGCATCCATCGATACATGCCATTGCAAGCAGCAGGACAGGACGAAGTAGCAGGACAGGTTAAACCATCAGCGCATTTGAACCGGAGGATAGTGGAATGAATGACGGTGACCCCGTGGAACAGCATGTGTTCTAACCAGACTATTGTCTCTGTATCCAATGATGCGCTTTGCATATATAGTTGATGAATGTCGGTTTGATTTATTGCGCTGCCTCGGTCTACCAGATGCTGCGCGGTGCATTGGTCATCTTCACTGGTCTTCTCTCAATCATGTTCTTGGGCAGAAAGCTCCTTGCCTATGAATGGTTCGCTCTCTTCACTATCGTCGCCGGTATCGCCACCGTTGGACTCGCTTCTGTCATCACCCCCGCCACCAAGGACCTCGTCGGTAACGCCGAACCAGACTCGGATGAGGCCATCCAGGCTGCCAAGGCCATTCTCGGAATCTTCCTCGTTCTCATTGCCCAGATCTTCACCGCTACTCAGTTTGTGGTCGAGGAAAAGTTCTTGTCAGGATACCAGATTGCTCCCCTGCGCGCTGTTGGTTTCGAGGGTCTTTTTGGAACAATCACCGTTTTGGTTGCTATGCCCATCCTTCACTTCACTATTGGCGCATCGCACCCTGGTTCGTACTTTGACCTCCACGCTGGCTGGGAGCAGATCACGACTTACCCTCAGATCTGGATCCCCTCGATTGTGATGCTCTTCAGTATCTCGTCGTTCAACTTCTTCGGTATCTCGGTCACAAAGACCATCTGCGCCACCTCGCGTTCGACTATCGATTCGTGCCGTACTCTCTTCATCTGGGCCATCTCTCTCTACCTCGGTTGGGAGAAGTTTATCCCCCTCCAGGTTCTTGGTAAGTTACACGTTTGTCTACTTTGTCTTTTTATTACTTTGCCACTCTTCCCCTCGTGATTGAAAAGTCTAAGAGGGCATCGACTGCTCCAGACCGAACTCTATGCTAACCTTCGCCTTTGTCGCTCTGTTATTGCTCCACGTTTTTTTCTTTTATATAGGCTTTGCCTTGCTTGTGTACGGAACCTTTGTTTTCAACGGTGTGATCGAGCCCCATGTTTGCGCTCCTCCCAAGGCCGTCCACCCCGACGAGAACCGCCCTTTGTTGAACCCCAACGCATAAAAGTGTAGGGGGAAGTCCAGACACTTTTTTCTCTTTTCCTTCGAGGAGACCTCGACCCCCTTTTTTTGCTTTTCTCTTGGAGGTATAGACGGGATTGACTATTTTCTTTTTGTTTGGTTTCCAAACACGCTTCTTTTATCTCTTTTTCCAACCATGTCACGCTTCAGTGAGTGTACATTCATTTCTTGATGCACTGCCTTCTATCTTTGCCTCTTCTATACCTCTCTCTTTTGTCTTTCTTGACCTTGTATGATACTACTACCTACCTACAAATAAACTCTGCTAAAAAAAAAAAAAGGCGTGCGACAACGACAGGAAAGAATAAACGACAGAAAAAAGAAGCATTGTTTGAGAATATCCCCGTCGACCCTTGAAGAGTAGAAAGCTGTCGGTCGCACAGCGCCTAGGTGAGGGAGAAAACAGAGTCGAGAATCGAAATTTTAGCCGTGAAGAGGAAATGAGGGGTGGCAAAAATCGGCAAGAAAAGTGAACATGAGGGCGCAGCCAAGTGCTCTTTGAAGACACACTCCATAACCTTCATGTAACGAAGAGCACCGACCCATGCGATGGTCATTAATCACTTCAGAGGATGTGAGGTTTTTTTATTAGTACTCCTATCATGCGATGCTGTATGGATTGGCAAGGTTCTTCTGTTGTAGAGAGCGTTCTTTTTGTATGAGTGCTCGGCGAGTGACCGATGGCAACCTGACTCCCACTTTCTACCTGCCATCGTCCATAAGCATGCTCGACTCTGCCCTTTTCTCGCTTTCGTTCTTCTGTCAGCCTTATCTGTTGCCTCTTTGCCTTGCCTCCCTCTACTTTTTCTCTTTTGGCTGAGCCACTTGATACTAACAAGCACTCGTGGCGAGTGTCACGCACACACTCCATCTCGCTCTTATACGCATATTCATCACAAACGAACAATCCCATCGCAAAGGAGACCGGTGTCCATAGGGGTCCCATTTCTTTTTCTCGTTTGATTGTTGCGAAAAGACAGAGTCATAAGGAGAAAAATAAGAAGTAGGCTTAGGGCCACATATAAAATAATGCGTCCTGCTTTGCCTCTTTTGTTTCCTTTCTTTCTCTCTCTCACTTTTCCATCTTTCTCTCCTTTCTTTTTTGTTTGTTTCAACAACAACAATAACAGCTACCACAATAACAGCACATCTTTTCTATCCACGTCTCTCAGTAACGGCAACATCCTTTTCCCACAACATACACCTCTTCTCTCTCCCTCTCTTTTCCCTCTCTTCCTTCCAACCAACCAAACGATTATTCGTTTTGTACTTTTTGTGCCTGTGCTGTTGTGCCTTGACCTGTGCCCATCCATTACAGCCTATCACGTCAAACACACAGACGACTGTCAATCACCCCTTTGTCTCTCTCTCTCTCTTCTTTTTATTCTCGTCCTCTTTCCTCTTCTCTTCTTTTCTGTCTCCTTCTCTCTCACACACCAACCCTATCACCCAGACGAGGAACAGCAACAGCCAGCAGCAAGCAAGCAAACAAGAATCAGGATGCAGCATATCACCATGACCACCATGGCCCACCCGCCGTCCAAAGTCGGACCATCGACCCATCACGATCACAAACATCACCACCATACCCCTTCCCCTCCTCCTCCTCCACCGGCTCGTATCCTTCAATGCGGTATATGCATGGACGACTTTGAATGGTTCTCGCTCAAGGACCTCAACGGATACCAGGAAGACCCAAAAGACAATAGCGCCGCCACAGTAGTAGTATCATCCCCACCGTCACGCCCACGAATCTGTCAACGGCCTTTTCACATCTTTTGCAGTCATCGTCGTAACCAAGGCACAAGCATACGTGCCAGTCAGGATCGTGGCATCCGTGCCTTGTTTGGAGGGGAGAGCCGTCGTCAACGTCGGGAACAGAAACAACAGAAGCTCAAACAAGTTTCTGTGACAGGTCCCTCGGTCGAGGCTTTGAAGTTGGGGTGCTCGTTGCATATGGGCAAAGACCATGCGTTCTGTCTTGAGTGCTTGGCACGATATATTGATACGCAGGTCAAGGCGCAGACTTGGCCGATCGTCTGTCCGCATGAGAATTGTAGGGAAGTTGTGTCTTCGTTTGCAGTTGAGACTCTCTTGGGGAGTGAGGCACTTCAGTGGCACCAGCTTGCTGTCGAGCACGCGATCCAGAAGAAGGTAACGTTTTTTTTGTTGTTCTTGTTGTTGCTAAGAAAAGGAGGAAGGGAAGAAAACGTGAACATGAGCATGAGCGTGTTTGTCTGTTGAGGGGATGAAGGGCGATATCATTCCGGACATGGACCATCTGTTTGTGTTCCCGTCTCTCCCTTTTGAGTTACGCATTGTTCACCAACAAACCCTTTTTTATGCTCTCTTGCTCTATTATGGTCATTTGTACTCACCTTTTACCTGCCGCTGTGTGGCTGTTTGATGAAATAAATAGATCTACTGTCCAAGCAACGCATGTGGACGGTTGTTTGACGGTGACCGAAACGATGAAGATGAGGCGGTCAACCGCAACTGCCCCTACTGTAACCAGTCCTTCTGCGCCATGTGCCATGGTGAAGCACACACAGGTATGCATTATGCGTTTTCGTCTCTTTCTCTTTTTTATTGTTTTTGGTCAATTAAAAATAACGGGCCTGATGGCCATGCAGCTCCTCGTCAAGCCAGGCACAGCATGAATGAAACAAATTGAGCGCATTGTTTTTTGCGTTACGCAATTGCATGTCCTGTCTTCACCAGACCAGATCTATCCAATTGACTGACTGATCCTTTCCTCCTTCTCTTCCTCCTTCCCTTCCTCCTCCTCTTCCCCCTTTCACACACCCCACTCCTTGACTTTATGTTTGCAAATCATAACATAGGCATGGACTGTCAACAACGACTGGACAAGATCTTCCTGGCCATGGCCACCGACAGCAAATGGAAGAGCTGCCCTTCTTGCAAGCACATGATCGAAAAGGACTCAGGTACCCATCTCTCTCTCTCTCTCTTGTTTTTTTACGTTATGGAATGGTCTTGTTTTGTCATGCCAGTGAAGTAGTGTCTGTCTTCGCCACACTGACACATCGTTTCTATTCAATGACCTGTTGTTGATAGGGTGTGACCATATGACATGTCGCTGCGGGAACCAGTTCTGCTATGTGTGTGGCGGCAACGGATGGCCCTGTCGAAACCAACATTAGACGTTGACTGAGCTTGGAAGGGACTAGAGTAGGACGACGACACGTGAGAGGTGGGCGCGTTTCATTGTACAGGGCTGGGCTAAGCGAGGCTAGTCAACGATTTGGAGAAACGGGGAGGAAGTTTTCCCAAAGGGTAACGGCAACGGAAAGAAGCCACGATTGGGTTGAAGCATGCCCCCATGGGACTTGTATATAAGGGAATGACTTGTGAGAACGAACGTGAATAAAGCAAGCAACGAACAGACTCTAAAAACACATGACCCTACTCTGACGATACCTGTGCTCACAGGCTCTTTAGAACAAGCCAATTGCTTCCATCACAACAAAACGTTGATCACCTCGTTCGCTCATTCTTGAATTTATTCCTTCTATTCACCATTATTTCTTCCTTCTCTCCTCTTTTCTTCCTCTTATTTTCTCTCTTCTTTCAACAACACACCCCAAACACAACAACTGAACGAGATGGCCACCATCACTCACTCATCGTCCGAGGCCCGGCCCTCAAACTACCACCTCCACTTCAAAAACAAGTCTAGCTCACCTCCGTCCCAAGCCTGTCCCACCACCACCGCCATGCGAGCCCTAGCAGCGCGCATTCTGAAATGCGGTATCTGCTTCGAAGACTTTGAATGGTTTTCGCTCAAGGACTTGCCCGACTTCCAGGATGACACAGAAGATTATAACTTCATCACCACCGATGCACTCCCACTCCTGCCCCGCATCGCCGAGAAGCCAATCTCGATCCTTTCTGGCCATGCGCACGGTCGGACCGGCAGCTCTCGGCAGCGTCGTGTGCGCTTTACGGGTGCTCTTTTCGGTGGACGGAGTGTCCTGCGCGAGGAGCAAGAGGCACTCGCCGCCGCCTCTGCTGCCGCAGTCGCCGCGTCAGATGTGAATGCTCTGTTCGAGCCAGAAAAGCCAGTGTCGTTGAAGCTGGGGTCCTCGTTGCACTTGGAGCAGGACCACGCGTTCTGTATGGAGTGCTCTATGCGGTATATTGATACACAGGTCAAGGCGCATGCGTGGCCGGTTGTTTGTCCGAAGGAGAAGTGCGGGGAGATGGTTTCTGCGTTCGCGGTCGAGGCGCTTCTAGGGGATGATGCTGTCAAGTGGCATGCTTTGGGACTCGAGTATGCTGTCAAGAAGAAGGTGTGTTCTATGCCTGCTTGTTATTTGAGAGTGAGGAAGGAGGACGCGCTTGTCCATGATGTGCGATATTGCGCCTCGATTGTGACCCCACGTATGTTTTGAGGCGATGCTTCTTTTGCTATGCCTCCAATTTTCTTCTCACGGTGATGTGATACTGACCCACGGCCGATACAACTGATCATTATCGTTGATCACATCAACGGATTGACTTAGATCTATTGCCCAAGTCTTACTTGTGGGATGCTGATTGATGGAGAGCTCAACGACGGGACTAAGCCTGTCGACCATCATTGCCCCTACTGCATGGAGCCCTTCTGTGCCATGTGCTTGGCTCCCGCCCACAAAGGTAAAAATTATACTCCTCTTGCCCTTTCGTCTGTTCTAATGAGGATCAAGACACCCAGAGAGAAAGATAGTATACCCTCGCCTAATCTCTCATACCATTTTTTTGGACTTTTTTTGTGGCATTCGTTAGGCAACAACTGTGACAAGCGACAAGACAAGATTTTTGAAAACCTAGCTGACGCAAGCAAGTGGAAAAACTGCCCAACCTGCAACCAGAAGATCGAGAAGTCGTCAGGTATTATCCAACCGGCTCTCCTCGCTTTACCCTGTCCAATTTTTTTGCGTCTCTAGTTGACATAACGTGACACTAACAATCGCACGTTTTTCGTCGGATATTCTCTACTAGGCTGCAACCATATCTCATGTCGCTGCGGGGCACACTTCTGCTATGTCTGTGGCGGCATCGGAACGCGTTGTCCACAGCATGGGTGAGCCATCAGCGTCGGCGTGTGAGGAGAGTGGACGGGCGACTGACTGCAATTGGATTGGGAAGAACGGCAAGGATGGACAAACAAACGAGGGAAGGATGCTGTGAACGCCAGGATGAACAACAATCAATAACAGGAACAAGGACGACGACAACGCGTGCAGCAGACGGGAACTGGTGGATAGAGCGATAAGACATTCAGGGCAGAGTGACAGCACGCCTTTTTTTTTTTTAGCTCACGTGCAGTACAGTACGTGTAGCTGAGCTACTTTTCAGAATAAAGACCGACGGACAAAAAAAATTGGTTGGCTTGGCATAGCTCGTTTCCACCTTGCGCATTCTTCTCTGACTCTCATTCATTCCCCTCTCCTCGTACCTGCTCCGGACAATCGACACAGGAACATAACAGGAACATCAACACACAGAGAGAGAGAGTGAGAGAGAGAGAGATCTAATCCACATACCATGAGCAACTTCCCTGACTACTATGGTAAACACTAGCCAGCTACAACTCTTTGGCATTCTCCTCCACTTGTCTCATGTATAGCATGGTCTGGGCGTCACTTTTCAAACTCGACCATTGCATTCGCTGACATTGCTTCATTCTTGTCCTCCCTTGCGTTCTTTTCCTGACAACGAAAACAAAAACTAGAGCTGCTGAGGGTGCCAGAGACGGCAACGCCGGAACAGATTCGAGAGGCCTACAAGCGGGAGGCGTTGAGGACACACCCAGACAGGACTACCAACATCGGAGGCCCCGACGGTGAACGACCCCTGTCCAAGGACGAAGCCACCTATCTTTTCCAGCAAGTCGCAGGTACTTACTCTTCGACACCATGCCCCTGCTTTTCGTTTCAGCCTGAATGGGTCTCCTTTAAAAGCACGTCTAAGACTCGTCTTCTTTTTACCAACTGCATAAATAGACGCATACTATGTGCTGTCAAATACACAGAGACGCAAGGAATACGACATTGCACGGCGAACGGCTCAGAACCGCGGGTCATGGTCGACCTCGGCGACAGCACAGGGGCAGGCAGAACCTGAGACGGTCTTTGGAGGCGTCTTTGAGGAGTTACTTCGACCCGAGGTGCAGAACCCGACTTCGTTCTTTTCGCCTGTCGGGATGGCCTCTGGAGCTGCTCTTGGATTCATCTGTGGCGGCATTCCTGGTGCCCTCATTGTACGTTTTTTTTTCTGGCGGATAACAATAATGGAGTGAGGCTGCTTGGGGGTTCAATGTGCTTGCGTTTTGTTTTGTTTTGTTAGTGAACATGACCAGATGTATTTTACACTATTACTGACATGCAATTGACGCTCTACTCTTCAATCTTGAAAAATGCCACACGAATAGGGAGGATATGGTGGAAAGACATTGGGCCGTATCAGGGACCAAAAGGGCGTCAGTGTGATTGAGGCGTTTGGGCGATTGGAACATGCACACAAGGCTGCCATCATTGCTTCCTTGGCCGCCAAGATCTTTCAAAGTCTCCAATAGAGAGTAATGTCTCGCTACGGACCTTCTCGGCCAACCATTCTTCTTTGTTACACGCCTTTTTTCACTTGACAGCAAAAAAGGCTTTTGCTTATGCAGCTAATGTACATCTTTCTAAATAAACCATAACCCTTCACTCTAACGCTGGCCGCATCTATTTAGCTGATGGCTTCGCTTTGAGCTCCAAAAGTCCAGACCGTTTTCAGGTGGCTTTTCTCCTATGGGTAGAGAATAACCTTGAGGTTTTAGATGTGTGACGTCGAATGAAAACGCCTTTCTAAGGTTTCCTCGCGCACTGTCCAGCTTCTTTCTCCATCCCACTTCCCACTTTTTTTTTGTCGATTGGTGCCTACTCACCGTCATCCACTTGTGCATCTCTTCATTCTGTCGGACCGGTCGGTAAGCATGCAGTGTTTTATTCGCGTCACCTCTCTTTGTCATCTCTTTTCATATTTGTCATTTGGAAGGTTTTTTGAATCAGGAACAAGGTCTTCGCCAAAAAAACAAGTAATACCAAAATTGGCAGCGTCCATTCGACTCTTTCAGTGATTTCGATTGCCACGCTGTTTGTGGAGGATCAACACTCCTTTTCCTTCCCAGGAGTATCAAACGTTCTAGCGACAGCGGGCGTGCGATGCTTGATTGGCACACAGCCTGTTCTTCTGCCCTTTTCCTCCTTGACTGGTCATTGGCTATGTTCATCTCTCCTCCTCAGTTTTCACTGACTACACTTCTCTGAAGAGCTCGTACTCTGTTCTTACTCTTTTCTCAGGCATGTTTTGCACGTGTACTCTCAACGAGTCTTGATGCTTTTCTGTGCTCCCGGCCCAGCCAAACCACAATCCCTTTGTCGTCCACTTTGCATAGTATGCTGCGTTACCCAACCAATTATTTCAGCTCTTTGACTTTGCTTTGGCCGCCTTCGCCAGCCCCTCTCCGCTCTTCCTCCTCCTGCTCCTTAGCACTAGTTCACCCATGATACCCATATGGTTAATCGCTTTCTTTGTCTCCGTTTCCAGCCTCTGTTTCTACCTCGACGGCTACTCGGTGTGGTGGGTCCTTGGTGTCCCCTCTGCCGCGGTAGCGATAGGGGCGCTATATGCCCTCTTTGAAAGATCGAAACCCATATTCTTTCTCCTTATACTCGACATCTTCGCATTCTATGATGACGTTTCGCTCTGGTGGGTCCTGGGCGTTCCCGCAGGTTGTGCCTTGCTATGGGTACTCTATCATCACCGGGACATAGAGAGACATTACCTTGGAAGCAGATATGCCTATTCCGTACCAAGCCATAGTGTCCGAACTATCAACGAAAGGACACATCTGCTGCCTTCCTATGTATCCCGGCAGCTTGCGGAGACCCCAAAGAGAATCGTTCCATCACAGCCATCCTATACATACCGACCGTATGCGGAGACCCCACAGAGAATCGTTCCATCACAATCATCCTATATGCCTCGATCGCCAATTGTCACTGCACCAAAAGTTTTGCCCACATTACCAAGCAACACGATTCGTGTAACTGTTGACCTGAGACTCCCGCAATACACCACGCTGACTTATCCATCTCCAGCAGTCGTTGACACAAGACGCCCACTCTACGCAAACCCTACATCAGGAGCTTTAACGATAGCGGCAGGGAGACAGCTGGCACGCGTTGCACAGCCTGCCCGTAAGATCCCTCGACCAGAAGTCGACGGCATTGACCTTCATAAATCAGTAACAGCAGAGGTAAACGACCGGTACCTGTATGACCAGCAGATCAAAACAGATAGCGCCCCCCATTCAACAACTCGATCTGTCACTGGAGTTTTCAAATGCTACAGCTGCGAACGAAAAAAGAGCCGACCGGAGGAGCCACGCATATGGACTTCCAACGGAATCTGTGTCGAAATTTGGATGTCCACTGGTCATCAATATCGAACTCGGTTGCATTCTCAATTGTGCAATCGTTGCTACACAACTGTCGAACCTGAAGTTATGAACGATGATTATGTCACGAAGATTGTCAAGGTGCTGGATCGTTGGACGCGTCAGCACTCAGTGGTCAAGCCGCTCCAGCGCTATGCCGCGACTGGTCCGCACCAAACAGACAAGTGCAATGCCTGTCTGAAAGACATCTGCCACCAAAAGCCCACAAAGTAGCTTAACACTCAACGGAGAAGGTAGGGGGCTCTGACTTTTATTCCAAGGTCCTGTGCCTGTCTTCGATTAATTCGAATTAGGGTTTGTTCTTTTGCGCTTCTACCATGTCGCGTTTATTATTCTTACTCTACTTCATATGTTACCTTGCCTTTTATCTACCTTAGCCCGTCTTAGTCTCTTTCAACCTCCAGTTTGTTCTGCCTTCCTCAGTCCTGGTCGCCAAGCCGGCGCATTTGTTATTACTAAAGTGCTCCAATAAAATGATTCATCGAATTATGATTTCGACTTTCGTTTCGAAATGCTCATTTCACTGTTGTTCCGAACGGCCTTCAGATTCCTGTCATGCATTCTCTTAATTCGTAACCTCATTCATCACAATTTGCCTTTTTTTTTATGCATGGACCGACATTGGAGCATCGCAGGAATTGAAATGTCTGAATTACTTCATAGGATCGCATACACCACAGTTTTCTTTTTTCAACTTGCGGGGTCTTTTTAGCTTCTAACTACCTTCAAACTTCAATGAGTTATATCGTCAACTATATCACCTTCTATCAAAGTTTGGAGCTCCTGCTTAAAGATCCTTGTGCTTGATCTACATACGTATATGATTTTACATGGGTTTGCCACGTATTATTCGGTCACTTCAGTCAATCGATCAATCAGCTATTCGTCACTTGGTCCATTGGTCAACTGGTTAACCAATAAACTCAGTTGAAAGAATGGTCAATATTGGGGGGGGGACTACTCTGGCACACTACCGAGAGATCTCATACGCTCCCAACTAGACCAGCAAAGGTCGAGGAAGAGGAAGAGGGAGGCGAGTGATTTCAACTAGATCACTGGTGACGACGAAATGTGATAGACAGCAGGAGATTATTTATTCGGTGCATTTTGGGTCTAAGTGCATTGTTCGAGTGACAAGAGTAAAACTTATAAGTAGGAAGGCGGTAAAGAAAGGATTTACCTAGGTGAATGTGATAGACAAAAGGAGGAATGATGTTGTTCTAACGTTCACTCTAGGTGTCCTTTTTTACAATCTGCTACATTAATACCACGACGACGACTGGATAGAAAAGAGTAGAAGGGAAAGAGTGAAAAAAGAGAAGGGAACGATGACTCAGGGTTGAACACACCAACAAGTTGGAGCCCGGGTTTTCATCAACAAATAGGTCATGAGATTAGTCAAAACAAGAGGGGGGTGAAAGTGAACACGTAGGAACTCATCGACGAGAGAGAGGAGGAAGAACTAAGAAAAGTGAGAGAAGAGAATCTGAAAGTGTCAAAGAAGAAAAACAAGAGCGACAAAAGAGAGAGCAAATTTGACAACAACAAATAGCGCTTCTTGGCGTTGACTTCGCAGCTTAAACGGAAGATAAAGCGAAATAAGTGGATTCTTCCCATCCTTTCCATCTTTGATAACCTCCTTCCCAACAACTCTTCAGCGACCGCTCGTCAGCAGCGCGTGGGTCCTTGGTCGCCCCAAGGCAGGTCCCATCTTTATGTGAGGCTAGCGAAGCGCCACATAGGCAAAAACCATCACGAGCGAAAGCCATCACGGGTGATGTAGCCGTATCCTTGACTCCAGTCACCTCGGAGGCCTGTGGATTTGGATGTCTTGCCCTGGGGTCTGATCTACAACAATCGTTGCGGATCACCGGGGTTTCCAGATCAGCTACGAGGACTGCACCTCCAGGTAGCCAACAAACTTGCGCAGGACCGTCTTGGCGATGGACATTGGGATCCGGGAGGCCGCGGACCATTCAATCAACATTCTCTTGGGAGTGATGCCGCGAAGGAAATCCGACACGTTCCACTTGGGTTCTCGTCGCGATCGGAAGCAGGACTACCGCTATGCACGGTTCGAGCTCCACCGATGGAGGAGACTCCTCGAACATGATCTGCATCCGAGGGGGGCCGCCAGTATATGGGTACTGGCCTCGGCACTTGACGACCCTTGCCAACCGCGCGTCTATGTCTTTTTTTTTTTCGTTCAAGCAAGCAACGAAAAAAATCGAGGCGAGGTGCTCATTTGTTTGCGTCGTCTTGTTATGAAAGAACGAAGGAAAGCTTTGGAAGGATATGTTTTTGAGGCCTTTCAACTCCAAATTATCATATGGTGTTTGTTACATCTCTACAGATCTTGCTGATATCCACCGCGACCATTAGAGGAGAGTGTATGTTTGTATGTATGATATCAACCATGTAAAACAACCACTGTAACATTCCTTGTGTAATTATCCTACTAAACACCATCACATTCTCCAAACAACAAAATCTTCTTATTTTTCACAAACCAATCTCTTGAATGTGACCACCTACTGTTAAACTGTACCCCTCACTGCAAGATTCAGGGGAGTAGTTCTTGTATGTGATCATCTAAGGCACTTGTACTCTCAACTGTATCTTCACTGTGAAATACAGGGGAGAGATTACATTTTTAAAAATCTTGTGCTGTCTGTTGCTATCTTGCCCTCAGTTCTGTTGCCGACTGTGAAGAGATATATCAGCTATGGAAGTCTACAGTGCATTCCTTCGGCCGTGGATATTTTAATATGCTTTTTTATATCCTTTGCACTTGGAGAGGCCGCTTTGTTCGGCCTTAACTCGGCTAGGAGAGCATCTTCGCGAAATTAGAAGGTCGTGTGTCCGGCCCACACGGGCCGTACTTCCTCCTCATTTATTTTTTTTGGTTCCTTTAGTGATAGTTAGCAGCACGCGTCTGGCATTTCACACCTAGGCTGGCCCGTGCCATGGTTTTTTTTATGTCGTCTTCCGTGCTTCATTTTCGACTATTCATCCCTTCTTTGCACTAATTCTTGCCGCAAGAAGAAAAATGCGTCTGCGCCACCCAAATCGGTTACCCCTCAACTTAGCCACTACATGAAAAGCAATAACAGATGATTCAAAGAACAAAACGCAAAAGTGCATGGTACAGCCATATTACATCGATTCGGCCTTAGCTCAGTCGGGAGAGCGTCTTACTGAACTTAGAAGGTCGTGTGTTCGACCCACACAGGCCGTATCACCTCCTTTTTTTGTCCTCCTTTTGGAGCAAGACCATGTTGCTGCGCCGCGCTACGCCTCGGCTCGTTCTTTTCTTTGTCTTTTTGGGTTACACTTTGCAAATTGATTTGGCAGCCCAGGTTGCCAATTAGCCGAGGGTCTTGGGCAGACCAGGGGTTTTAATATTGCGGTAAAGCGCAAAAAGGCTAATAACCATTTAGATGAAGAGGTGGTGTCTGATAATCGAGAAAACCAGCCCAAGAACACAGTATCGTAGCAAGTGTGCGAGGCACCTAGCTTCCTCGCAAAGATTTTTTTCTCCTCAACAGAGGACCGGCGCATCAATACACGACATGCATGCACACACGTCCATAGAGGTATCGTAGCAAGTGCGCGAAGCACCTAGCTTCCTAGCAAAAGACTCCATTTATCCAAAACGAAGACACGTTCATCCGCCACATATCACATATAGTATCTAGTCTCCTGGTATATGGCAACCTGAATTTGAAGATGAGAATGAGCGGAGGGTTGTCGTCATACTCTTTAGTTTGGAGTTTTCAATGTGCCTAATCAGTCTTTTAATTTGACACTCTCAAGCAGAATGCCCCCGGCCGAGCCACGGTCGTCCTCCTTGTCGGGTGTGCTTTGTTTGTTCATAGGGGCGGCAAAAGGTACGACCTTACGCCCTTAACAGTGTTTGTGACCAATTTTTTTTGACTAAGCTAACCGGTTAACCGAGTAAAGGGTTAAACATCTTTTGTTCTCTCTTCTTTACGCATCTTTTCAATTTCTATTTTTCTTCTTTCGCCTTTCCCTTCTACGACCGCGTAAATCTTTGTTTTGGTCATCCACTCGGATGAACCTTCGTCGTTTTATTTGCGTTGATGACCCCAAGAGCAGCGACGATTATTATACAGAGCCAGGTTCCGGGGCCGAACAGCAACTTGGTGGATGGCACCCCCTTATATTTCCAAATGCCTTCATTGTTCTGTTTGACAGAAATAAATCTGTGCCCGAAAAAACAAAAAAATGCCAAAAGGTATGCGACCTGTGTGGATTGAACACACGACCTTCAGATCTTCAGTCTGACGCTCTCCCAACTGAGCTAAGGTCGCAAGCTGATTGATGAACTGAAATTTTTAATTATACTTTTATTCCTATACTACATCAAGCTAGAAGTGAGGTATGATGTCATGGTAGATTGATTTGGTGGGCGGCCTGCGTCGCGACCTTCATAAAATTGTGTACGAAGAAAAAAAAAAAAAAAAAAAAAAAAGGCGTCGCGCCCTCAACAATATATCGCGGAAGCACACATGATAAAGGAAGGTGCCCTGGGACGACTAAGGACCCACGCGCTGCTGACGAGCGGTTGTTGGAGAGTTTGTTGGGAAGGAAGAGGTTGTCAATGATGGAGAGGATGGGAAGAATCCCCTTCATTTGTATCCAGTTTTATTTTCTTCCGTTTAAGCTGTGAAGAGCAGCGACAATTGTTGAGCAGAGCCAGTTTCCGGACCGGACTGCGACTGGTGGATGGTGCACTGAAGAGTTTGGTCTGTAGTTCCCTTTTACTTCCAAATAACTTCTCTATGCTGTTTGTTAGAGAAATAAAATTGTGTACGAAAAAAAAATCAACAATATGTGGCGGAAGAACTCTGTTTAGTTTGAAGGTCAGCATCAAGGTAGGTTGAAGTTGCAGGCTCAGTACATGAATGCGCGTAAAGCCAAGAAGTGCTTCCTCTTCTGTTTTTCAATGTGCTGTCGAGAGAAGTGGAGGTAACATTGCAGCCCTTTTTTTTTGTTCTTGAAAGTCATTGTTAAACAAAAAAGACGCGATTGTTTTTTATTCTTTTTTTTTTTGGAGGGAGGGGGGGGGGGTGGAGGTCGAGACATGGGCAACTATCATGGCCACCTTTTTGTGCACCCGTTTTCTCTTTTGATTTCTTCAACCAGCCCGAACAGTGGGATGTTAAGTTTATGTTAGAAAGTTTCCACCAAACCCTCCTATCGTCCAATCAATCATGAGGAGCTTTTTGAGTGGGCAACTGGAGTAGAAAAAAGGAAGAAAACGTGGATGCAAAGATTAGATCGAGGATAATGAGTGGGAGAGAGAAAGAGAGGAGGAGCGAATTGCTATGTCCAGAGAAAGTTGAAGCAGCGATAGTCGACGCCCACTAATCTTAAGGGTGGCAACTCTCAGGAACAGCCTTCTGATCTCTCTATTATTGAGTCGCTGATTGATCGATCACTAATTATCGCCATCTCCTCCCTACATGTTCCAAGCATTACCCGCCCCTCAACCACACAGCAATGAGAAAAATTCGTTGTCAAAAGTGGCGCACTCTTCAACCCTCTTCTGAAAGTGAAAAAGAAAACCAAGGCAAGTAATGTGCTATTGGCCAAAGCCTCTGCTCTGTTTAGCGACATTCTCCAGCAGAGAGTAAAGTTGCAGAAGAAAACGGACACAAACAGGCAGAATAATAAGACGCTTGCTCGCTCCGCTCGCTTTCTATATTTTATTCTATCCCCGCGCGCAAAGAAGGAAAGGGTGACACAAACCTAGCCCTTCGTATCATACAATTTTGTTCGCAAGCAGCGTGCAGAATGCAAACTCATCTGAATTTGACAGCTACGTGCGGGACAGCATACAAACAGGAGAAACAAAAAGCAACAAAGAGCAATTGATCTCAAACACTGAGCTAGTAACGTCTGGAGAAAAAAGAAGACGCATAAGACAAAGTTCAACACGTCCATCTCTCCATCTCTTCTCACCCACAAACATTCCACACAGGGTCTGCACAGACACGAACAAAAAAAGACCCTCCTTTCTTCACCCTGTTATTTGCCCCACTTCAAAAATAAACGTTTCGTTTTGAAAAAGATCTATTTGCTTGGTAAAAGATAACAAACAGAGAGGGTCCAGAAAGGCGATTAGGAAAATTATACTTGTTCTTCTGGGTCTTGCCGCTTTTAGGCCTTCACATCTTGGGCGTGCTGCTTTCTCCTACTCCACAACAGGCCTCGCTAGCCTTTCTCTAAAAAAGACGACCCCTTTCTTTGAAATGCTCCAAAATGAAAATGTCAACTCCTAGCTTCGGTACCCCTGAATGTCGTCCATATTTGTGAGCGCGTACAAGCTGACACGGTCAACCTCATCGCCGCCTCCATACACCGTGGATACCCACATGGGGCCAGCACGGAAATGTGGACAAAAAAGAGTTCAATCTGAGGTACCGACGGGATCCAAAAGATGAAGCTAATGCTTACATGCCAACACCTGGAATCGAACCAGGATCGTCTCGGCCACAACGAGATATACTAACCATTATACTATATTGGCGTTCTAAAATCAATATTTTCAGAGCTATCTGAATCAACTGGAAACTGGAACCGGCGGCCTCCTGGGGCATGGAATTTTTTTGGTGGCGCATTTTTTTTTCTTTTTTTTTTCTGGAAACCTCGGTGCTCCGCGACCTAAACTCTCACCATCCCCTCACCTCTCCCGCCTGATACAACCGATCTTGTCTTTGAGCGAGCAGTCGACACACTGGACGACGCTTGCAGAGAGCGTCTCCTCCGTCCCGCGGCCGAATACGATGCCGAGATCCTTCGCATCAACAGCGACACCAGGAAAAAACAGTCGGCAGACAACACAAAGTATGATGGACTCAGAAGCCGATACCGGAGTCAACTTGCCAGGAAACCACAAGAACTGGCTGCCATTCTTTTGATGACCAATACTCAGGTCGACAACGCAGCCGCCCGCATCAAGTCAATTTATAGTCGTCGCAAGACCGTCGCCCTTGGGATACGTCGCCGGGCCACCGAGGCCGTCAACGAATACCGTGCTCATCGCCTTGTCTCTCTTCGCTCGGATTTGGAGATCAGGCTGATCAGGAAAGCAGAGGACGATCGACTGAGGGTGCAACAGCTGGAATCCTCCCATGCCAGGAAACTGCAACAGCAGAAAGAAACAGAGGCGCTCCAACAACACCAAGCCAGGAGACTGCAGCAGAAAGAGGAAAAGGAAGCACTCCGTCAACAACACCAAGCCAGGAGACTGCAGCAGAAAAAGGAAAAGGAAGCACCGTCAACAACACCAAGCCAGAAGACTGCAGCAGAAAAAGGAAAAGGAAGCACTCCGTCAACAGCACCGCTTGGTCGTCGCTCGCCTAAAAGAGATCCTATCCAGCCTCAAGGAAACGAAACCACGATACAAACCAGCCTTTGACACAGATGCTAGCTTTCCTTTGCAAGAACGCCATCAAGTCCAACCACCACCTGTACCAGGACCCCCGACCACACAGATCGGCCCCCTTTGCCTGTCTCCAGTAGAGGCGGCGTCCATGCGTGTAGTTCAGGACACACACGTCGACAACTCTACCCCTCGCGTCCTGTACTCGGACGGATCTCTTCTGAACTCGGGAACGCTAGAAGTATCCCAGGCCTTTGGAGTGGTGGATCTCACTCAGGACAACCCTCTGACAGTACAAGGACGAACGGACGGTCACGCGTCCTCGGCCAAGGCCGAGCTCATGGGTTTATTAGCCGCAGTCTTGTCAGCACCTCCGGAACAGGACATTGTGGTCAAGCTGGACAATCAGTCAGTGGTGGAACAGTATAGTCGCCTGGTGAAGAATCGTCGGGACACCTTACCGAGGAAGCGATTCAGGAGTACATATGCGGGTATCTGGGCGGTGCTTTGGCAGGCTGTGGAATCTCGGCCAGGCGGGGTTGAGGTGGTGTGGATCAAAGGTCACAGCAACATCCACGGAAACGAACTTGCGGATCAGGCGGCGAAGGTGGCAGCACAGAGTGGTTCAGTGCCCTGGATGGTGGATCTCACTCAACAGACGGATATCACGACCTTTGCACATTGTTACGGCGGGATTGTTGAAATCGATCTACGTCAGCTCCTCAAACAACAATCGACAATCCGTCACCATCAGGCCTGGACGTCACAGAGGCGGGTCAAGAGGGCGATCCCTGACATCGATGACGTGGAATGGAACTCGACCTTGGCTTATGTCCACGACAGGCACGCAGTCTTCACCTTTTACAGCAACAGCAAGGACTCTCACCAACGCACACATCATATCAAAAAGCTGCATGGAATGCTGCCCACTCTGAACTCCATGCAGGCTCGCAAGCCCAACTTGTACCCAACATGCGTGTGCCGAAGATGCGAGCTCGAGAAGGAGGATAACGATCACGTCTGGAAATGCCCTTCGGCAGCTGAGACCACCACTGAGATCTGGAAGGAGGCCATGGGCAAGATTAATGAGTGGGGTGTGCAGGCGACAAACAGCTACAACGCAGCCAGGAAGCGAGAATACAAACGCGCGGTGGACAGAGGTCGTCAGGTACCGAGGCCAGTACCCATACACTGGTGGCCCCCTTCGGATGCGGATCATGTGCGAGGATTTTCCTCCATCGGTGGAGCTCGAGCTGTGCACAGCGGTAGTCCAGCTCCCGATCGAGACGAGAAACCGATGTGGAATGTGTCGGATCTCCTCCGCGGCATCACCCCCTTGAGCATGTTGACTGAATGGTCCGCGGTCTTCCGGACCCCAATGTCCATCGCCAAGACAGTCCTTCACAAGTTTGTTGGCTACCTGGAGGCGCAGGCCTCGGAGCTGATCTGGAAACCTCGGTGCTCCGAGACGATCGCGTGGGAACAAAGCCAGGGCATCTCTGCCAAGGACAAGACATCCAAGTACACAGGCCCCCGAGGTGACTGGAGTCAAGGATACGGTTACATCACGCACGATGGTTTCTGTCCGTGTGGCGCTTCGCTAGCCACACATTGTGAAGGAAGGTGCCCTGGAGCGACCAAGGACCCACGCGCTGCTGACGAGCGGTTGTTGGAGAGTTTGTTAGGAAGGAGGAGGTTGTCAATGATGGAGAGGATGGGAAGAATCCCCTTCATTCGTATCTAGTTTTATTTTCTTCCGTTTAAGCTGTGAAGAGCAGCGACAATTGTTGCGCAGAGCCAGGTTCTGGACCGGACTGCGACTGGTGGATGGTGCATTGAAGAGTTTGGTCTGTAGTTCCCTTTTACTTCCAAATACCTTCTCTATGCTGTTTGTTAGAGAAATAAAATTGTGTACAAAAAAAAAAAAAGGAGAGGATGGGAAGAATCCCCTTCATTCGTATCTAGTTTTATTTTCTTCCGTTTAAGCTGTGAAGAGAAGCGACAATTGTTGTGCAGAGCCAGTTTCGGACCGGACTGCAACTGATAGACGGTGCACTGAAGAGTTTGGTCTGTAGTTCCCTTTTACTTCCAAATAACTTCTCTATGCTGTTTGTTAGAGAAATAAAATTGTGTACGAAAAAAAAAAAAATAATTGGTCGAGATGGTTTACTGAGTCCAATTTACGGGCGCTAGAAAGTTACGTGAGGTAATACCAGTGCGGTTCTCTCCGGGATCCTCGACTTTGAAAAGAAACAAATTCACGAAAAAGTTTTTGAGTGCTTTTTTTTTTTTTTTTGTACACAATTTTACCCTGAATGTATCGTCTATCGGCACTCCTTTGTCTGCGATATCCGCTCTGAACATCAGAAACGTCCTGTCCTTTTTCATTTTGTCCGAATTAATGTGCTTCTGGATAGTCTTTTTGAAGAAGTAATTGGTCAAAAAGACGCACACTTTTCTCTCCGATACCAGGTAAGGATCCGGCCGACTCTTGTACGCTATATCACAAAACCTCTACAAGAAGTAAGGGAGAAAGCAATATCGATTAGCGATGACAGTGAACGCAACCAATGGTCTAAGAATGACTGCTCTGTTTTCATTGGTATACTTCATACCTTAAAATCAGCAAAAGCTGGTCTGTAAGCATTCTTGGTGGCGTTGGCTATATATGCACCTTGGGCTTTGATCTGCTCAAGAACTACGTCCTCCATCTCCTCGATGTCGTTCGGATCTGCGTGTGCGGCTACTGCTGTTGAATCAATCATTGCTCCTCCAAAAACGAGCGTGTTGATCAGACTTGTATAGGACTCTATGGCAAAGTAAAATATAGTTACACAACCGTTTGTTTCATTGTGGACTGAATAACTCAAATCAAGGGACTACTGTTGTTAATCGATTACCTGTTTCTTTCAATCCTCGCTTCTTGGATAAATATGCGTCTTTCTCAAGAGCGAATGAAATAGGCCTAGGGACGACGTCGTGGTCATTCACCTCCTCCACATCATAGTTGGCTTCTCCCTCGATGTCATTGTCGACACCAACCTCGGTTTCTTCATCGATGTCGAAATCCTCACTCTCGAATCCATTATCGTCTTCTCCATTATCATCTTCTTCGTCATAGCTGTCTTCTCCCTCTATACACAAAATAGTAATGAGGGCAAATGATTAAAAAGCAAACGCAATAAACAAGCACTACCGCTGTTCCGCGGAATAGTTACCAGATGCGATCAAGGATGGTACAGTGCGAGGAGTACGAGCGCGAGTGTTGTGGACTATAGCTGGCATAGGCTGGGTGGTGGAGACGACGGTGGTGGCGACGGGACGAGGGGCGCGAAAGCGAGCGCGAGTGTTGTTGGCTGTGGCTGGGATAGGCTGGGGAGTGGTGATGACGATGGGGGTGGGGGTGACGGGAGCACGAAGGTGTTGAGAAGTGCGGAGACGTTGCTTAGGCGGAGCACCCTCTGCACGGAAAGTAGAACGGCGCTTGAGCCTGGCGTTGGGGAGTCCCCGGTTGGTAGGAAGTTTCGATGCATGGAGAGAAAGGGGAAGGGTGAGAACAAAGAAGAAAGATTGGCGAGAAGAAAAAGAAGAAAAGTGCATCTTTTTAAACCAAAGAATCTTTTTTGTCTCCGTTCCTGTCTGTGCTCGTTCTTGTTCCTGACCCTCTTCGATGTTCGTTTCCACACCAACGAAAATGCCCTGACCAATAAGATTGCGCCAGCTGATGGAGGTACTCGAAGGGTACTTGAGCACGAAAAGTTCTTGAGTGAACACGTTGGACCCCGTTCGCTTTCCGCTGTCTCTCTCTCTCTGTGTTTCTCTTTACACCGTGCGCCTCCAGATTTACAATCTCTGCAAGAACATTTCACCTCTCGAGTCCTCTCCATCTCTCTATCTGTCCATAGCTCAAAGGCAAAGAGTGCGTGCAGGGTATGCGGCATTTTATTCTGTCAGTCTGTGTTACATTTGGCCAGGGAGGGAATGGTCGTGCTAAAAAAAAAAAGGTCAGGCGGTGAGGGCTGAGACTCCCCTTATTCTTTCTCCTTTCTCTTTTTCACTTCTTTGTCCTTTGTCCCCTTTTCACACACAGCTCTTTCATTCCCCTCCACCATCCTCACATTCTCGACTTTGACATCAGGGCATTCACCCTCTCTTTCTTTTTATTCCAGTCATTCATTGTGCATCAGATTCCCACTTTTCGGAATCTACATTTCTCTGAACAGTCATCACACACAAGAAAGAGAGAGAAAGTTATTCTCGGGCATTCCTTGGACTCCTTCTTTTAACGTCTTCGCCGTTTTGTCCTTGTAGTCAACAAGTCACACTTTCTTTTCTACTCGCCCTGTACAAGAGAGACCTCAATACCTGCAACAATTAAAAAGACCAACAATAACGAAAACAACAGCAAAAAATAACAGCAAAAACAATAGCAAAAAATAACAGCAATAACAATACCAAAAACAACAACATCAACCAAAAGGTTTCGAACAAAGTAAGTGTATTTGCAATCGACAAAACACGGTCAGTTGTTGTTGTTGCCCATCGTTGACATGAATGCCTTTCCCCCCTTTTTTTACGCAAATAGAAAACGAACAGCTCTTTGTACAACGCAATTGAGAACACAGTTGCTAAGATTAAAAAACAAGAACAACTAATATATCTATAAGTATGTTGTGTTTTGTCCTTGTCAGACAGTCATTATATATTTACTCAGAAATGGTGAACGTCAGCTAATGTGTCCTCCATGCTATGTTCTACGCTTCTGCTATACTGACCATTTAGCAATCTACCCTCATCTCACTCTATCCTCCGACACCTCCACATCCACTGTTTTCCTTCCAATCTTCAAGCCCTTTACACGTAGGCGAGGTAAACACAGCCTGACTGCTTGAAATCAACATTGACTGGAAGATACAGTTTACCGACAATTCCTCTTCTCTTTCCTAACACCACAGAACTTGCGCCATGTCTAACAACCGAACCCAACAACAAAACCTGGAAAGTAGTCTATGCAGTGCTGAACCCTCCAAAAAGCGCATCAGGATTGACGACCCCTTGGACGTCAATTCCTCCAACTCCAACATCACCACCACTGCTTCATATCAGCAGACAAGTCAATTGCCTCATGGCGAACCTGTGGCACCTTCCACTCGGATTCAATGGATTCCCTCCGTCGAGGATGCCCTGCTTTTACTGAAGAAGCGACGACTAGAGGATGAACAGTTACCTGTATACATCCCTCCCATGGCCAAGGTCAACCTTCAGGCTCGCGACGACAACCCCTTTCCTCTCATGGACAAAGTCGAAGAATTCCTTGCCAGCGATCGACAAGTCATGCTGATTCTAGGCGACTCTGGTTCAGGCAAGTCGACCTTCAACAAGCATCTCGAGCTGCTGCTCTTGCAGTCGTACTCCCGCGGCGGCCGCATCCCTCTCTTCATCAACTTGCCAGCCATCCGGGAGCCCGAGGAGGACATGGTGTTGAAACAGCTGCGGATTCACAACTTCACGGAGGACCAGGTCCAGGAGATGAGACAGAATCGGCAGTTCATTGTCATCTGCGACGGATACGATGAAAGTCGGCTCACCACCAACCTGCACGCATCCAATCGCTTCAACACCCCTAACCAATGGGATGTCAAAACGATCATCAGCTGCAGGAGCCAATATCTCGGCCAGGACTACCGCGATCGCTTCGTTCCTCAAGGAGTAGGCCATTACAACCGCCCATCCCTCGATCTCTTCCAGGAAGCCGCCATTGCTCCCTTCTCCAGAGAGCAGATTAAAGACTATGTCGAGCAATATGTCCCCCTCGAGCCACGGACCTGGACCACACAAGACTATATGGACAAGCTGACCACCATCCCCAACCTCATGGACCTCGTCAAGAATCCGTTCCTCTTGTCACTTTCCTTAGAGGCGCTACCTAATGTCACCGAGGGGAAGCTGAATCTGTCGACCATCAAGATCACACGCGTTCAACTATACGACATCTTTGTAGATCATTGGCTGGATGTCAACAAGAGACGGCTACAAAGGAATGTCCTGTCCAAGGATGATCGAGCCACACTGGATGATATCCTTGATACGGGGTTTGTCTCGATGGGTGTTGACTACTCTACTAGACTGGCATCGGCGATCTTTGAGAAGCAGGAGGGAACCCCGGTGGTTCAGTATGTTCCAGGCAAAGACAAAAATTCATGGAAAGCCAAGTTCTTTGGTTCCGATTCTGACATCCGACTGTTGAGGGAGTCGAGCCCATTGACTCGTACCGGCAGCCTGTTTCAATTCCTCCACCGGTCCATGTTGGAATACTTTCTTTCGCGTGCCGTATTTGATCCCAGCGGCCATGACGATAACCAGGAGTTTCCTCCGCATCCGGACCCAGACTCCTCCATAGCCCAGTCGCCTGATTTGCGTGGTCCTTTGTTCACGTGTAGTCTCCTCACCGAGTCATCTATCATTCAGTTCTTGTGCGAGCGTGTCAAGCAACACCCCGATTTCGAGAAGCAGCTCCTTGCTGTCGTCGAGCAATCCAAGATCGATCCCACTGCTGCCACTGCTGCCGCCAATGCAATCACCATCCTTGTCCGAGCTGGTGTTCGATTCAATGGAGCGGATCTTCGAGGCATCAGGATTCCAGGCGCTGATCTTTCCGACATTCAGTTAGATTCGGCGCAACTGCAAGATGCCATTTTGACGGATGTTACCTTCGCGAAGAGCTGGCTGAGACAGGCGGATTTGAGCGGAGCGCATATGGATGGTGTTCGATTTGGCGAGTTACCTTTTCTGAAGGTTAAAATTATGGCCTATGTCTGTGTTTACTCGCCCGATGGCAGGATGCTTGCTGTTGGTGGGGCTGGCGGCGCTATCAGTATTTACGACACTACAACATGGAGCATAATTTATATTTGTAAGTACTCTATTGATGCTAAGACAGTTACCTGCGCCGGTTTTTCGCCCAACAACCAACAGATCGTATACGGCAACAACCAACAGATGGTATACGGAAGCCGCAACAGTATTGTTAAACTTTGGAATTTTGCCAACAATGACACTGTATTGGACATGGTGGGGCATGACGAACCGGTTAGATCGGTAGCGTTCTCACCCTGCGGCAAGCAATTGGCTTCGGCAAGCGAGGACATGACGGTTCGGTTGTGGAGCTCGGAGACTGGAGAGTGCGTTTTTGTGCTGATAGGTCACACCGATGCTGTCTTTGGTGCAGCTTATTCCTCGGATGGACAAAGGCTTGTTTCTGGCAGCAAGGACAGAACGATTCGAGTATGGGATCCAGAGACAGGAGAACCGGTCGCCTGTTGGAACATCGGCCGCGAGAAGTATTCAGCTCTTGCCTTTTCTGCAGATGGACAGTGGGTTGCCTGCGCTCTCAATGTTGGCAAGATCCAGATCATGAATGCTGTCACCGGAGAGCTAGGCCTGGTTTTGAACAACAGTAGCGAAGCCCAATGTATCGCATTCTCTCCAAACGGACAATATATTGTCACATCGAGCAGAGGTTCCATCCTCCTACTGTGGGACCTTTCATCTGGACTTCTCATCTCCAGTTTCTCAGGCCACCACCTCTCGGCTTCCACCTGCACTTTCTCCCCAAGCGGTTTTCAGATTGCCTCAGGGGATTTCGTAGGCGCTGTGAGGCTTTGGGAGGTCGATACGAGTCGAGCTATTTTGGACTTGAACAGACCCACCGGTTCCGTTAAGGTTGTGACATATTCTCTTGATGGTCGGTCAATCATGTCTTATAGTATGGGCCAAGGAGTTCAGCAATGGGACTCTCGAACAGGAGTGTCTACATGTCTTCCACCCAAGATGGCTGACAATGTTTCGTCGATTACATTTTCACCGGACCGCAATCAGATCGCGACAGGAGACAAAGATGGCACCATTCAGTTGTGGAATCGTCAAGCGGATACAGATGAGTGCACTCTCCTTGGACACACTGAGGAAGTGAGTCAACTGGCCTATTCGCCGTGTGGTCGTTGGATTGTCTCTGTCGCTCGGGCCGAAGTACGATTGTGGGATCTGCACACCAACGAACACCCCGGTTTTATCTTTCAGACGGATGAGGATGAGTGGGCCAACGTTGCTCTCACACCTTCCGGTCAGATTGTACTAAATCCAGAGAGTGGCACACTTCGTTTGCATGATCCTCGCGCCCAAGACCCTTGCACTGCTCTGAAGGAGATATCCATAGATTTTGGGATCCTCTCATTGGATTGTTCGCCTAATGGTCAAGAGGTTGTCATTGTCGCAAATGACGGCACAGTCTATCTCTGGGACTTTCAATCGGATAAGCCCTGTATCGTGCTAGAAGTTCAAGACGATCTCGCGTATTGCATTACTTATTCACCCTGCGGAAAGTGGATCCTCGTAGGTACAAACCATGCGGTCCTAATCTGGCGTTTCAGAACTGGCGAGGTCAGCATTTGGTCCTGTGTCGGTGTCGTCGATGGGTTTTCCAAAACTATT